GATGGGATGCACATTAAACACATTGATGGGGGTGAAAGAAACAAATGGAGCCTGAAATGCGTGGCCTGCCTGCCATGATGACCTGGAAGTGAATGAAAAATGCACGACAATGGGCATACAAAACGCACTGACCACCTGACCTTATCATTGGTGGTGTGTACAAAATCAAAATACAGACTCAAGCACACTTCAAAACTCGATACCGTCCAGAAAATGGAAAGAGATATTACCCCTGCCGCATCAGAATATGTCCCCACCAAACCAGATACCCCCGTGGCACGAGATACCCCCGTGGCGCGAGATACCAGTGGATTACCACCACTAACTCATTTCACTCCGGTGGAGACTCTCCAGCACAGCCAAATAAGCATGGAATCGATCCTTTCCGAGGTCTCAAACGCGCTGGAAGAATGCGAGAAGTACCGGTGGAAAGCACCACGTCTGTGCCTCAACACTGGCAGCATCCGCAGCATTGACACCGACTGCTCTAACGAAACAGAGGATCTATCCGTGTCTAGCGGAATCAGCTCCGGGTCGATTACGGAAGACCCTTTTTATTCACCCGTTACAACGTTCAAGAGAACATTTTCTCTGCTATCACAGCCCCACTTGGCGGAGGAGATCGAGCCGTTGGTCATCGTGAAGTCGAAAAAGGAGGCGATCTAATCGCTTCATAGTAATGTACTAGTCTGTTGTGGTGAATTAGTATGGGGCACAGCGAGGTCCCGGTAAGGTGCACATAGAAATGCCCCCTACTCTGGAGTAAGTTCGATAGCCCACCTGACCCTTGTGTCCGTTTAGCTCCGATCAGGTGAACACTGACAAGGAACATGGGCGGTCCGGCTGGCTGTGGAATTAGCATCGTGCGGCGTTGTCCTATTTGTACTTGTAGCTAGCTACTGTAGTCCTTAGGTTCCCCTCAAGTGACGACGCTGGGTTTACCGTTGTCTCAAGACATGTAACCAATAGCGAGATCGCTGGATACTACCGATACCGGCGTCAGTCATTATTATAGCGCACGGTCACATCTGCACACACTTTGCAAATCCCGGAATTAAAACACTGATAAGAACAGGGACTGACAAAGTACAGTAATAGCTACTTCTATAAATGTATGCTTATTGTTATGCATAATAATCGGAGGTAAACTGAGCAGTATCAAGGTCAATAATCATGCTTTCGATGGAAGAAACCAAGCGGTGGTCTTCTTCAGCCTGTCTTATCTTCATGATAAAGCCACCTTGACCATGTCTTTATACCTCGGGACAAGTCTTATTGCACCGAGCACATGTGACGTAAAACAGACGTCATTATAGCCGGGAATTATAGCGCAACACTAACACCCTATAGGCCGATACCGCTAGCTACAAGGGACGATACTGGAAAGATAAGACAAAGCTCGTCTGAGCTCCGACTTAGTGTAGGGTAGTGTGGGGTATGCGCCGTGCGTAGTGGAATGCCAGTGGGCAGAATGTCGATAAGGAGAAACGAGATGTAGACTGGCAAAAAATTACACAGTCTGAGAGACAATTGTATACGTCCTTCTCGCCAAGATCATTTGACATACCAAGATCATCATCTGGGGACTGTTTGAAAGTCTGCCAAGGTGTGTGTCAATGTCGTGATAAGGGGGAGACGCCAATGGTGTGTGTAGAACAACCTAGTTTTTAAAGTTCGAGCCGTGCAAGCCACTGGAAAAACATCTGACAGGCTCGACAAGCATGTCTAGGCACGAAACGAGAATTTTAAAGCCTCCTGCTGTCAACGATAAGGAGAAAATGTCGATTTTACGTCTCAAATTTGCTCCAGCAAACCCAGGATACCTATATACGCTCCCATGCATGTTCCACAGTGCTGCTGAGATGCCGGTCAGCCGTGAAACTTAAACTATACTCTATCTGCCGAGAGCCCTATCATATGGCTTGATTGTGGGAATACAACCAGGAGCTCGTTATTGCATACGCCAAGACAATGATGTGACGCCAAGACTCTGATGACACTAGCTAGTGCCGTTTGATCTACCGCTTTCGAGTTGCGGGGAGGTGTTGTGTCGATGGGAAATGGCAGAGGACTCGCTACTGGCTAGAATGTTGCTCGGGGTCTGGATACGAACCCAATGCAGTGTGTATTTCACAGTATCACTCTAAAGACGAGAAAGAGAGTGATGCGTTACTCCATCGTCATTTAAAGTCCAAAACGCAAGGGTGCAGCACACCAAGAGAGTTGTCACTGGGTGTCAGACAAGAGCTGGGTGCTTGGCAAACTCTTGGTGCCGTGTCATAGACCCGACTTGTGTAAGATGTGGCTTCAGTAACGAGCCAGAATGTGGTCTTAGCGCCGTGTGATCGTAGCAAGGGTGACAAAATGATACTGACAGTGATGGTATAGATAGTGTGTAGCTGAGTGATTATTCCCTGGGTGCCATCGATGGCCTCTGTCTCTATCCCACAGGACCAGCTCCTAAAAGACACCCGTACTTTACCAATACTTACCAATAATACTCTTCTATACATCATGAGAACCCCGCTGTGATAAGGCTGCACGGCGTTTTCGATAGTCGGAGTCTATATGGCTCTATCTCGTATTTCTGCTAGAGCTCGGGCTATATAAGTCATGGATTGCTCTCCACATTTCTTGACATCAATCAACATACACACAATGAGCAAACACACTGAGGTTTTCTCTTCGGAGAAAGTCTCCTCTATGGATAAAGACGACCTGGTTGACACCCAGGTTGCTGAGGTGACCACTTCGCTCCTCGACTTTGTCGCTCTTCAGCTGGAGATTCCTCCCTCTGAGAACGACGGCACGTATCCTCTTGAAGTCCACTTCATGGCTGAGAAGCTGGAGGAGACTACTCTAGAGGAGGCTATCAAGATTGTCAAGACCAACTTTGCCTACCACGACCACGACAACAACTTCAGAGACGAATACAGAATCGAGGTTAGAGAGCTCCTTAAAGTCTTTGACGGCAAAGACGACTACGAAAAGGCTGATCCTGATGATGTTCTCATGATGAGGTACTGGGGAACCGTCTTCAACTGGTGGAGTCCTTACCCCGAGGTTCGAGCTGTTACTGATCCCTACAATGATGAAGATTGTACCACTGAGACCTGGAGAGTGTGGGTTTTGGGTACCGTATGGGTGGCAATTGCGGCCTTTGTCAACCAGTTTTTCAGTGTGCGTATGCCTGCCATCTCTTTGGGGGCTGGTGTCATCCAACTGCTGCTGTATCCTTGTGGTAAGGCTCTCCAGTATGCTCTTCCTGACTGGGGCTTCCACTTCCGAGGGAAGAGATACTCACTCAACCCAGGCAAATGGAGTCAGAAGGAACAGCTCCTCACCACCATCATGGTTTCTTGTGCCTCTGGAACTCCCTATATTACTTCAAACATCATTGTTCAGTACCTCCCTCAATTCTACAACCAAACCTGGGCCTCAAGCTTTGGATACCAGTTTGTTTTTATGCTGGTGACCCAAATGCTAGGTTTTGGTCTGGCTGGTATTCTCAAGCGTGTGGCCGTCTACCCTGTCAAGGCAATGTGGCCCTCTCTACTCCCCACCCTGGCGGTCAACAAGGCTCTTCTGGCTCCCAACCGAAAGGAAAACATCAACGGCTGGCTCATTTCCCGTTACACCTTTTTCATGATTGTCTTTATCGGCTCTTTCGTCTACTTCTGGATCCCCAACTACCTCATGAACTTCTTGCAGACATTTAACTGGATGACCTGGATTGCTCCTGAGAACGCCGACCTGGCCATTGTCACAGGCTCCGTCGGAGGACTTGGATTTAACCCCATTCCCACCTTTGACTGGAACCAGGCCACGGCTTCTCTTGCTCCCATCACTCTGCCTCTCTATGTGTCTTCTATTGGTTTCGCTGGCACCTTCTTCTCCGGTCTCGTCATCCTCGCTCTCTACTACACCAACAACTCGTGGACGGGATACATCCCCATTAACTCCAACCGACTGTTTGACAACATGGGCAAGAAGTACAACGTATCCAAGATTCTCACCAATTACCGATTCGACGACAAGAAGTACCATGACTACTCCACGCCCTACTACTCCGCTGGTAACCTCATGTTGTACTCGGCCTTCTTTGCCGTCTACCCCCTGTCGTTTGTCTACACTTGTCTAATGGACTGGAGAGCCATGTGGGATGCCCTCAAGGACACGGGAAAGGCTCTCAGATACGTGCATCGATCCTCCTACCACGGAAGAGAGGACCCCTTCTCTCGATACATGAAGAACTACCCCGAGGTCCCCGACTGGTGGTTCTACGTGGTTATGGTGATTATGTTTGCACTATCTATTGTTCTCGTCAAAGCTTGGCCCGTTGACACTCCTGTGTGGACTCTGGTGTTTGTGCTTGGACTTGTGTTCGTTTTCATTATCCCCTTCACCGTCTTTGCTGCCTACACTGCCTCCTCCTTGTCACTGAATGTGATTTCCGAGCTCATTATTGGATACGCGCTTCCTGGACGATTCATGGCTCTCAACCTGATCAAGGCTCTTTCAGTCACCATTGCCTCTCAGGCCCAGAACTATACCACCGACCAGAAGCTGACCCATTATGCCCATCTGCCTCCCCGATCTATCTTCTGGCTCCAGCTGTGGGCTACTCTGGTCAACGGTCTGGTCTGCCTTGGTGTTATCCAGTTCCAGCTCAACCTAGACGGTATCTGTGATGCTGATAACAAGCAGAAGTTCACCTGCCCCGGAGAAACCACTTTCTTCACTGCCTCCGTCGCCTGGGGAGTCATCGGCCCCAAGAAGATGTTCGACAAGTACCCCGTGATGAAGTGGATGTTCCTGTTTGGAGCGCTGGCCGGCGTCTTTTTTTGGTTTGTCCAGGTCATCCTTCCCCAGATCCTTGTCAAGTACTTCCCTAACAAGGCCCAAACCATTGACTACTACCGACGAAAGATTCTGTACTTCAACCCCATCATCTTTGTGGTCGGCTGTCTTGGCTGGGCTCCTTACAACCTCACCTACCAGGTCGGAGGCATGTACCTTGCTGTGCTTTTCAATGGCTACATCAAGAGTCGATACCTGGCCTGGTGGAGAAAGTATGCCTACGTCATGGAGGCAGCTATTGTCACCGGTATTGCGCTGGCCGGCATCATCATCTTCTTTGCAGTCCAGTACCATCCCAAGGACATTGATTGGTGGGGCAACACCGTCATATACGATGGCGTTGACGGCAGTGGTATCCCTCCCAGACTTGAGATCCCCGAGAAGGGATTTTTTGGCCCTCCTAGCTCCGAATGGTAGCTTCTAACTTATGTACGATAATATTATGAGATTTTGATTGACTCACAGGTAGAAATGTATGAGAAGGTCCAGGGTAGCTGAGAGGAGACTCTCAAACGGACATGTAGTCAGTTCAAGTAAATATCATCGACAACCCGTTATCGAGTTGCATGTGCAGAGAAGGGATACAGAACTGCCAGGAGCAGAAACAGGTGAAATAACATAGCCAAAGACATCCTCAACACTGTCAAAATCATGCAATGCCTCAGATTGTCCGAGTTATTCACTTTTCCAGCTCCCACATGTCTTCTCGGCATTAGTCATCCTAATTTACAAAGGATTGTACTTCTGTCAAGGACGGCTCATACACTACCACCACAGTAGATATACTATCGCGACCTCATAATATTGTCCCCGCCGAATCATTTTGATACCAACATATATCATAACGCGTTACGCCTCGCAGTGCTCATTTCAACTTCAGCGCATCATCCATGACTGGTGCAAACACACCAGCTGTCTGGTAACGATTGAAGACCCCAACAATGGCAATAAAACCAACTCGACCAATTAGACCAACTAGACCAACTCGACGCGGAATTTGAGCAATATCCCACCTTTACAACCCCATCGCTCAAAGACAGGTTCCCCGATATCTATCCGAAGATTCCCTTCGGAGTCTCAAATACACGCAGTATTTCACCTAAAATAGAACATGTAGGCATTTTTGGGTGGGTAAAAACAGTACACATAAGGGTAAATGACCACAAAAATCCCTGAACAAGTGCCCATTTCCCACCAGTGGCTCGATTCCGCCCGGATCAACTTCTTCCCCCAAATCTCCACCTCTTACAGCCATGCACCCCATTGAAACTCTAAATTTTTCACTGCTCGGGACTGAAAAATTTCATCTACACAAAAATAAAGTTTGTAAATTTTCACTGTAGCAAGGGATCTTTGCGGTCGAATTACAACGCCGCGAGACATGGTGTTCTTGGACGGTGATGCAGGTGGAGCCACGTGACCAGTAGGGTGGATCTGCATCTGTCTGATCCGAGCTGACTAATCAATTGCGGCTGTTTCGGCAGATCGCCGTACCCGGGTAGCGTTAGACTAGGACCGGTCTACAGCTCTGTTACACTGTTGTGAGATGGGGTAAGCAAGATTTGGCTGGTTGCAAGGTTGCCCGGAGGTGCTAGGGAGGTAATACGGTGTTGAATGGAGGTTGTAGGACGTTAAATGGAGGTTTTAGGGCGTTGGGTGGCTTGATTTTTGCTTTGAAAACAGATTTCAAACACTACGAGTGAATTCCAGCGTTCCAAATCCGTGTATAAGATGCCTCTACAGGCCTATACCTCTCTTATCCACCCTCAACTTCGGTGCAGAAGGATGAATTGAGACGGGATAAAAAAAAACAGTTTAAAGTTTGTCGAGAAACTCAATCCTGGGTCTGCAGGCATAACGTTGAAGAGCGGCATCATGTGACCTGTGTGGGTGAGGAGCACAGATGAGGGTGTCCAGAAAGTGACGATGGAGGTGGATTTTGCGATTGCAAATTTTTACCCAAGGAATTGACACCTAGCTACTGAATAGTCTCTACTCATATTCCCCAAATTATGACCCGAAGATGGGTTACTTGGGGTCCCCCGTCTCTCCACGTGCATGGTTACCCGGCCCAACATGTCACCCGATTGGGATGAAAATTTTTTCACTGCAAGAGCTCATATTTAGTTTCGCTCTTCCCTCTTTTCACTACCACCTTACCTTGAAACCCTCAAGTATAACAAAATGAGTGAAGGAACTTTTGCTGGAGCTGTCGGTATCGATCTTGGAACCACCTACTCGTGTGTTGCCACCTACGACTCTGCTGTCGAGATCATTGCCAACGAGCAGGGAAACCGAGTTACCCCCTCTTTCGTTGCCTTCACTGAGGAGGAGCGACTGATCGGAGATGCCGCCAAGAACCAGGCCGCCCTCAACCCCGTCAACACTGTCTTTGACGCCAAGCGACTCATTGGTCGACGATTCGACGACGAGTCTGTCCAGAAGGATATCCAGACCTGGCCCTTCAAGGTTGTCGACAACGCCGGTGCCCCCCTCATCGAGGTCGACTACCTTGGCGAGAAGAAGACCTTCTCTCCCCAGGAGATCTCCTCTATGGTTCTCACCAAGATGAAGGAGATTGCTGAGGCCAAGCTCGGCCAGGCTGTTGACAAGGCTGTTGTCACCGTCCCCGCTTACTTCAACGACGCCCAGCGACAGGCCACCAAGGATGCTGGTGCCATTGCTGGTCTCAACGTTCTGCGAATCATCAACGAGCCTACCGCTGCTGCCATTGCCTACGGTCTCGGTGCCGGTAAGCAGGAGGCTGAGCGACACGTTCTCATCTTCGATCTTGGAGGAGGAACTTTCGATGTCTCTCTGCTTTCCATCCAGGGCGGTGTTTTCACCGTCAAGGCCACCGCTGGTGACACCCATCTTGGTGGACAGGATTTCGACACCAACCTCCTTGAGCACTTCAAGGCTGAGTTCAAGCGAAAGACCGGCCACGACATCTCTGCTGACCCCCGAGCTCTGCGACGACTGCGATCCGCCTGCGAGCGAGCCAAGCGAACTCTGTCTTCCGTCACCCAGACCACCGTTGAGGTCGACTCTCTCTTCGAGGGTGAGGACTTCTCCGCCAACATCACCCGAGCTCGATTCGAGGACATCAACGCTGCCCTCTTCAAGTCTACCCTCGAGCCCGTCGAGAAGGTCCTCAAGGACTCCAAGATCGACAAGTCCAAGGTCAACGAGGTTGTCCTTGTCGGAGGTTCTACCCGAATCCCCAAGGTCCAGAAGATGCTCTCCGACTTCTTCGACGGTAAGGCCCTCGAGAAGTCCATCAACCCCGATGAGGCTGTTGCCTACGGTGCCGCTGTCCAGGGTGCTATCCTGACCGGCCAGGCCGTCGGTGAGGACACCGAGGATCTGCTGCTGCTCGATGTTGTTCCCCTTTCTCTTGGTGTCGCCATGGAGGGTAACATCTTCGCCCCCGTCGTTCCCCGAAACACCACCGTCCCTACCCTCAAGCGACGAACCTTCACCACCGTCGGTGACCACCAGACCACCGTCCAGTTCCCCGTTTACCAGGGAGAGCGAGTCAACTGCTCCGAGAACACCCTGCTCGGTGAGTTCGACCTCAAGAACATCCCCCCCATGAAGGCCGGCGAGCCCGTTCTGGAGGCCATCTTCGAGGTTGACGCCAACGGTATCCTCAAGGTCACCGCCGTTGAGAAGTCCACCGGCCGATCCGCCAACATCACCATCTCCAACTCCGTCGGAAAGCTGTCTTCCGAGGACATTGAGAAGATGATCTCCGACGCCGAGAAGTTCAAGTCTCAGGATGAGGCCTTCTCCAAGCGACACGAGAACAAGCAGAAGCTCGAGTCTTACATCTCCACCATCGAGGCCTCCATCACCGACCTTGACTCCAAGTTCAAGCGAGGTGCTAAGGACAAGATCGAGACTGCTCTCTCCGATGCCATGTCCGCCCTTGAGATTGATGACGCCTCTGCCGACGACTACCGAAAGGCCGAGCTCGCCCTTAAGCGAGTTGTCACCAAGGCCATGGCTACCCGATAAGTTAAGTCTGTGTAGACACCCAAAATATCCTTGTATGATGAAACCAATGAAAAGCGTAGAGAGGCCTCAGACTTGAAAATACTGTCTCAAGTGTAGATGGCCTGGCAACACCGAAGTCAATTGGACATTGTACCGGTCTAAGGCGATACTAGAACACATCACATCACAGGCACAGACACAGACACAGGCACAGATACAGACACGGATACAAGATGCGCGATATCGCACGATCAAGAACTTACTCGATCGTATGGCTTCAAGGCTGTGCCTGTGTCTAGGGTCCAGCATGTAGTAGTGTCATTGAGTGCCGTCGGGTGTCCTGTGCTATATGAAGATTTCCTGTGCTATATGAAGAAGGAAAGAAACAGGTACAAGTAGGATGAAGTACTTGTAATTCTCACAAAACCGAGTAGGAATTCAGGGTTGATCTAGATGCTGCATCAATGTCATCTCATGTCCTACAAGTAGGCCATCATGGAAGGAGGTGAGTAGGACTAGAAGCCTGGGGACATCCCAAAAATTGTCGTCCTTGATCATCAGTGTCCATTGGGGCGCTCCGTTCAACAGGACTCAAGATAACCAATCTGTGAGACACACCGACAACCAGAGGGCCCCATATTTGTACCCAAAATCCACTTATTTCTGCTTTTTAATTGTAGTTGAAATCAAACCCGTCCAGGACTCGAACTCACACGACGCAAAAAATGTGCACCTTTTTTTTTTTTTTTTTTCTGCACCAATATCGGGTCACGGAAATGTGGTGAAGTAAACCTAATGAAGAAGCGAGGACGATCACCATTGTGTGCCCAAAAGCCGCTGCCGCGGGGTTAGACACAAGACAGTACTACCGTTCGATAGCCCTGGCTATGGAGAAGGTCTCCACGAGGTTTGTTTCCCCATATCTCTTCTCAAACCTCCTGTTTCTTTCTTTTCCCGCGAGTGACTCACTCTAAACCGAGTTGGATTCCCGCTGTCGGCTCGTGATATGCCATTGGCCGTCTTGGTCTTGCCTTGTCTTCAATCTGACTCTTTAGGTATTGGCATCAAAGTGAAATCGTCCACATTCGTCTGAGAGAAAACTGGCTACGATCATCCTCAAACCATGTTGACAGCTAAACCTAAGCAGAGAGACGCAAAGGGACGGCCAGAGGAGGCCCTATGTCGTTGCTATGATAGCTGCCGGAGGCATTAAAGCAGCTGTTATTGAATCCATATCTCCGGCGTTTTGTCTCTCCCTCCTGCAATGATCTGATACCGTCAGTCTGTGTTTTGTTCTGCCAAGAGCCCCTTCCCAATGCTGCCAAGAGTGGGGCTGGATACAACCCACATGGCTGGCTGGTTTGAAAACGATCGGCCGCTCGAGCGACCGGCGATGGATTAGATAACTTGACTGTGCGTTAATCTGTGCGGGTTGAAACTCCACACGCTGCAGCAACAGTTAATACAAGGTCGGAATATGTGCTTGCGATAGGTGCGTGCCGTCATGTACATGTGCAGCATGTGAGCTTTTGCGCACTGTAGAAACCGGTCCAAGCCGGTGAACCTACGGCTTGTTTATTGCAGGCGTTAGATGCTGTCGGTGAGTTCTTTTTTCTTTTTTTTGGTTGGTCCTCAACGGTGTAGTACGACTACCTGGAGCTATAAGACACACCGCCAACACTCTTATTGTGATACGCTCACTTTGATTGGTGGATGGTAATTGCACAATATCACCTCCGACTCACCCGATTCACGTGCTTCCTGTTGTCCCGCACCTCGCCAAATGTCAAAATGTCACCACAGACAAAGACGCAAAGTTATCTGATTGGGCTGCAGCCAACATCACCAGTGGTTATCCACGAGACGTTGACGCATCGTATAGCCACAAGAGATGAGCTACTGAACCTCAAAAACCTCGCTACTAGCCTCCCTATCCTCTCTCGCTTCCCTCGCTTGTCTAACTTGTCCTGAGGTCACCGTTACACCTCCATCTATAGCTCCAAGCGTCCCTTTACGGCCTCATTGTGCGCTTTCCTTTTTGCTCTGCAACCTTATGAGTTTATTCCTAGTGGTGCCGCGTGTGTAGAGTGACAGCGGAAGCTGTTAGTGCATCTATAAGATGATGGCTAGTTTGGTAGTTGATTGAGTCTTTGGGGCTGGCAGAAGCTGTCCAGTCGTTGCCCGCAACTCCTGGGTCACGTTAAGAAGAGCACAGGAATACACTCTGAAGAGTTTCGAAGCGAATTTTTCAATGGCGGCCCCTCCTGCCTCTTTCACAACTCTTGGCGCTCTTTTAGCAGATTTCAAATTAGCTCTGAGCGTGCATTTTGGCTCAAGCAATCTCATGTTGTCCCATTTATCAGATTGATCAGAAGATGGGTGAAACTGCGAGTTGGAAACTACAACAAGCGTCCAGACGAGCAATGAGCCAATCAAAACCCGATCACAGCAAGATCGAACACGAGCACAGACCGCTAACCCCATTGAATCCCCGTCTCGGAACTCCGTTAGCCGCCTTTGCCGTGGTGTGAACAAGGGCAGAACCTAGTCCTGTTGTACATTTAGTCCCCAACACGCCAAGAAGAAGGCTAAAATTATCTGATTTTTTTTATTATCAATTTGATCACCCCCAGAAGACGGGTTATATATACCGCTCGTAGACCCGATAAAAAAATAGCCTCCCATCTTCTCAGCACACAATGAAGCTCTCCAATATCTTTGCCCTCGCAACAGTGGCTCTGGCTGCTCCCCAGCCTCTGATTACTCCTCCTCCTACTGCTGTCGAGAAGCGAGACGACCAGGCTGTTCTCGGAGCCGACGTCTGGATCCAGACCATGCCCAACGGCCATGAGAAGCGAGTGACCCCCACCATCATTGACGGAGTCACCATTTCCGGCAAGCCCCTCTCCGATCACAACGGTACCCCCACCCCATGGAACTCTCTGGACAACACCGGTATCCCTTACCGAATCACTCCCTCCATCAAGAAGGAGAAGGACCAGCCCGCCGAGACCATCTCTGCCTCTCCTTCCCCCCCTGCCAACTACCCTCAGTCTACGGACACTCCTCCCGTTCTTGGATGCTGGGGAGACCGTCTTCCCGAGGACAACGAGAAGCTCCCCGGCTACCCCTTCTGCTCTCCTCATAACGGTACCGAACTCGTTGCCGGTGAGACCTACTGGGTCACCTGGGACCCCTCTTACTGGGGAGGTGATGACATTGCTCAGGTCAAGCTGATTCTGCGATCTTTGCCTACCGGCACTGACGATCTTATGTTCGAGACTGAGCCCTTCGCCAACCGAAAGGGTTACTACCCCCTGGAGATTCAGCGATCGTGGACCAACAACGGCGGCTACTTCTTCATCAACATTGCTCCCCTCACTCGACCTGATACCAAGGCCAAGAACGTCGGCACCAAGTCTGGACCTATTGTTCGGGCTATCATGAGCAAGAACGACGGCATCACCACCGTCTCCCGACTTCCTTCTGAGAACTCTCTGCAGCCTGGCAAGAAGCACAGCGGTGGAGGAATCGGCAAGGGCGGAATTGCTGCCGCTGTTGTTGTTCCTGTTGTTGTTGTCATCCTCCTGTCCGGCCTCGGCTTCCTCTACTACCGACAGAAGAAGACCAAGCAGCAGCAAATGTCTCAGGACCGATCTTGGAACCCTGCCGAGAACGTGCGAAACATGGACTCCATGCCTCCTCGACGATCGGACGTGTCTCTGGACCGAACCATCTCCATCGACACCCAGCACTCCATGAAGGGCGACAACCCTTTTGAGGACCACCACTAAGTGTTGGCATGTGCGACTGTATGACTACACCATTTGAGATTCACTCACATTTTTAAAATATAAAACGGCGATGCCTTAGTAATGATATTTATGACCTAACAACTGATTGTGCACGTAGACGAGCTGGATTTTTACAACTGTCAGTGGGTGCGTACCGACATACCCCACAGCCCAGCATGATCACCAACCGAACCAGTGAGTACCTCTAACTGGTTCTGGTCACCCATCTTAGTTGACGGAGACAGATGACGAAACTGGACAAGCAGATTCCAGGTTTTCCCCTTTTTGGCCCCCGAGAGAACTTCATAGAAAGGTTCGTTACCACTCAGAGAGAAGCGGGACGGTGAATATATTCCCTTTTCTATATCATACAAGCAGGTATTGGAGAAGTTTAGACTTTCTAGGCCATTCCAACGCGACATTTACACACAACTTGGTGCGAGAATGTCCAATATGGCTAAATATTAGGGCAACGGGACACTTTCAGTGTGGTCAAGGTTATTAGTCCCGGTGGTTCAAATATCTACGAGTACTGGACCCTCACAGGAGTTTGAGATTGTTTCCAAAGGGTCAGAGTGGCCAGTCTTCAGACAAGACCATCAAGTGATTTTACACATTATCCAAGAGTATCGCCCGGAAGAGGAGACCTGTGGGATCAATATAAGACCATATAGTGATTGAATTATTCAACGATAGGCAAGTCTGAAATCAATATGTTTCATTCGTCAGACGTAACAAGTGTTAGGGGGACCTGTTATGTTAATCGCGGAATGGCCAAAGATGAAAAACGAGAAAACATCTTACGGATCTTGTTCAGAACTTCCCGAGTTCGAAATTTCTGCTTTTTCAGCCCTCTCCGATATACCAGAGTTCAGCTATAGGCTTCAGCTGGTGGCAGAGGAGTATGAGTGATGGTATTTCGTTTTCCAGGAGTCTTGCCGTTGAGCAGCAAAGGGTTTGTTGTCAATCAGGGCACGCAGACCGGCTAGCTCGAGAGTGGATACAAGTGCTTGGTTCAATAGCTCGAGGTTCAAGAATGTATGTACAGTAGATACTTGTATTTTACAAGTAGTATATATCTCACGACAACATGTACTTACTTCAGATATTGGTTGTCGATTACTAAAGTCTCAGTTACTTCACTCTGATACACCTGGGATACCAGCCTTGTCCAGGTTACCTCCCGCATCCAAAAGAGCATGGACCCTGTTTCTGGATACTTCATCACTTCGGCCACACCCGGCCAAGATAGCCGAGTACGGTCTTCTAGAAAGTGATTCAAGACCGAATGGTCAAGTGTCTTACTGGCATTGACGATCCCGACATTGGTCTCGGCAACTACGGTATCTCTGAGCATGTCTCTGGCTTCATTTCGACATATTCAACAAGACTGACGACAGTAACCAGCCGATTGCGCCGCTAAGGAACCAACTCAGGCGTTGTTGTTGGCTGCCGGTCGGGCTCCTAGCCAGCCCCTCACCAAGAAGGGAGTCATTTGTCTGGTCTTACGTCCTTTGTACAGATCTCACCCCAATTGAGCGCGGCTACGGACTAGCAACTGACGCAGTATACACCCAATTGCTGGATGTGCTTCATTGACGTCTAGCTCCGAGCCCTTGCCAAGTTATCGTCTACAAGTACATGGTATGTACATTTTGTACTGCATACACTGCCACACCTTTATTTCGTTATTTGCTCCTACTTTTACATGTCACTGAGTAAGGATAGGGAGTTTATAGACCTGGAGTGGACCTCCATCAGCTCTACCGGCTCCCAATGCCTATAAGTACGAGCATGTTACTAGAATGGACTACTCAAATGACTTATTCTGGACTCAGAGTTGTGGGTTGGTATACCGTTGATTCAGGGGTCAACTCTCCGGACAGTACAAGTACGAAGCTGAACTTCGGACAGTGGTATATCTGCACACTGCCTCGGTACTTGTACGACTACAAGTATCGTACTACTGTAAGTACTTTACCCTTTTAAACCTCATATTAATAAATCCCACATTTTAGACCCCCCTTTCGCTTACCACCTTGCACCCACCTCACACCCACTTCCTCCCACCTCCTCCCTCGCACCCACCTATTGAAGTAGTGACACCAGGGTAATAAAAGACACACGGTTGTTATGAGCGGAACCCGGGCTTTCCAATTGTCCCACGTTTGGCCCGTTTCTCCACTTCCTCGTCGCGCCAAGATGACCCTCTGCGCTTGCTCTCATACTTGTGGGACAGTATGCATCGTGTCACATGTGGGCAAAGAAAGATATCGCCAACACGCATGTTTTGCATGTATAACACGTCAAGTTTACGCGACGTGCGTACTGTACGAATATGTACGAGTATGTACGAGTATTCTACTTGTAATATATTGTTGGTGGAATGTGGACTATTCGTATTTGTACTGATTTGGCAAGGGAATGTACATATTAGGAGGTAGGGGTGAGTGGGTCATGGTTGGTGCAACATCAGGCATGTATTATACATACTGTGCTTGTAGATATCGGATCGGATCGTGTCGATCTGTAGATCGGTGTAATACGATACGGTAGCCATGTACTATCCTTGACTGGCGCAATACTAGTACATGGCGCGCAATTGGCTTAATGCTATTACCACCACAATCACTACCACAATTTCGATTCCGCTGGCGTCTCCTCAATACCTCCCCAAATCAGGCAAATCAGGGGTAACTCACCAATGTATCGCTCCGGGTTCCTGCTTTGTTCATGCCCCCCTGGACGCATGTGCACTGGCACTGGGGGGCTGCAATTGATAATGAGGAAAATGAGGTCAAGTGGTGTCACTCCCATCGGTTCGGTGTGAATAGCTCCGCTGGTTCAGTGTGAATAGCTCCGTTGGTTCGGTGTGAATAGGTCTGTCGGCTCTATCAAACTTGAACTGCCAGTTGAAACTTTTGTTAATGTTTAATTGGCATGTTTGGTTGACCGCTGTGATACGGAACACTGCCATTAATTACGTCATTCGGCCGCTCCACACACCACCACTCCGCCACTCGGTACTCACACTCCTGTAGGTGGCTTCCCGTTTCACAATATTATTAATGTACTAACACAAACAAAACACGAAGCTCCCCCCCCCCCCCCCGCATACATCTATATAACCCCCTAATGTCCTTCATAAAACCCACAGTCACTCGTTCAGTCATTCATTCACTCTTTTTTCAATCCCACCAGCTTGCAATGAAACTACCCATCATTGCCCTCGCTCTTCTTCTCTCCTCGGTGGTGGCCGAAGTCACCGAGGACCAGGCGGTCCTGGACACCCTCACGGCCCCCAGCATTTCCACCAGCAACCCCGCAGCAAACGCTCTTCTGGATCTTCTCCAAGAGCAGGCCGGTGTTCTGAGCACCAAAAACAATGGTGCTGGCAACATCTCCATCGATCGCACCATGATCATCGGCTACGCCAGCAACGACCCTAACTCCCAGAGCCGATTGCCTGGTTTCCTCAGACGACAGCAAATGTACGGCCAGCACCAGTGGGAATCCACCTGTGGACCTGAAGACTGGAGAGATATCATTTCTCTCGACAACCCCCAGTCGGTCAAGGAAGCCTACGACTGGTACTTTTATGAAATTGGAAAACACGAGCCTCAGTACACTGATCTCATGTACGAACAGACCGTCTATGACGTGTACATGATGTGGGCTGCCCAGAATGGTGCCGACGAGGCTGAGCAAACAGGCTCAGAGCTGATTCTCAATTGGCCTCCTACAGGCACTTGTGGAGAGGGCTCCTCTGCTGAATCTGATTCTTCCTCCGTTGAACCCTCTGGCGCTTCTGATATGCCTGTCACTACCGATTACACCAACACTCATATTCCTCTCGAGACTGAGGTCCCTTCTATTGAGCCTTCGGTTGAGCCTTCTGCCGAGCCTACTTCTGAGCCTGTCTACGGAAGTCCTTCAGTTCAGCCTTCCGTGGAGCCTTCTGCAGAGCCTACTTCTGAGCCTGTCTACGGAAGTCCTTCAGTTCAGCCTTCCGTGGAGCCTTCTGCAGAGCCTACTTCTGAGCCTGTCTACGGAAGTCCTTCAGTTCAGCCTTCCGTGGAGCCTTCTGCAGAGCCTACTTCTGAGTCTGTCTACGGAAGTCCTTCAGTTCAGCCTTCTGTTGAACCTACTGACGCCCCTGTTTCCAATGAGACCCCTGCTTCCACTGATGCTGCTTCTGTCGAGCCTACTTACATTCCATCCGTTGAGCCCACCCCTACCCCCACTGATACCGAGATCGATATCCCTCCCGCTACTGACAGCTCAGCTGCCCCCTCAGACCACCCCTCCACAGCCGAGCCTGATTTCACTGCCGCTCCTACCGCTACTTCCGCTCCTGTTGAGCTCGGAACCACTCTTTCTGATGTCCAGACCACCCTAGACTCACTGCTGACCAACATGCCCGACTCTGCTGAACTCAAGCAGCTTGTCAGTGATGCCTCTGCTACCCTGGCTAGCATTGAGAGCCAACTTTCTGGCACCCTGGCTAAGCGAGACGAAAAGGCCGATCTGGCGGTTAACGTAGCTACCCTTCTGGAACAGCTCAAGGCAATTGCTGCTCTTGTTGAGACCGTGGAGGACAAGTCCGCCGAGCTGCAGGCTGATCTGGACAATCTCAATGCTCAGATTGCTGAGCTGGAAGCTTGGCTGGATGAGAATGCCCCCGAGGTCACCTCTACTGAGACTGAGGCTCCTGTTGAGACTGCTTCGGAGACGGCTTCTGAGACTGACGCTCCTGCTTCTGAGACTGACGCTCCTGCTGAGACTGTTTCTGAGACTGACGCTCCTGCTGAGACTGTTTCTGAGACTGGCACTCCCGTTGAGACTGCTTCTGAGACTGACTCTCCTTCCGTCACTGAAGCTCCTTCCGTCACTGAAGCTCCTTCCGTCACTGAAGCTCCTTCCGTTACCGACGCTCCTGTCACTGACTGTGAGACCGACCTCGTGTCTTCCATCCCTGCTAACATCTCTGCCCCCCTTGTGACTGAGATTGAGACCCTGTCCACCACTCTGACCACCACCCAAACTGTCACATACTGCGAGGAGGAGAACGTTTGCACCAATACTGTTGTCACTCTGACAACCTGTGTGCCCATTACCCACACCGTCACCGTTTGTGACACTGTCATTGATGGCAAGACCGTCACCGTGACTGTTCCATGCGAAATCGAGACCGAGTACGTCACTGCCGAAACCACCGTTGTTGGCACCACCGAGATTGTTTCTCAGCCCGTTGAGACCATCCCCGTCTCTCAGCCCGTTGAGACTGCTCCTCCCGTTGTCGTCGAGTCCACTCCCTTCAACAACATCTCTTGGACCATCCAGTCCACTACCGCCCCCGCCACAGCCCCAGTCCCTGTTGAGACCTCCCCCGTCACCGTCGAGACTCTTCTGACCACCCAGACCATTGTTGAGGAAGATTATACCACCACCATCACCGGAACCGTCGTTGTGACCCGAATCATCGTCACTCCTACATCTACTCCTGCTGTCGCTACGCCGCTTGAGCCCGTTCCTACTCCTGTTGACTCCACTCCCGTTGTGCCTGTTCCTACAGCCGCCAACATCACTGAGATTCTCCCTGTTCCTTCGAACCCGGTCCAGGGTAACTTCACGACATTTGTGCCTATTCCTACCCAGGCCAATATCACTCAGTTTGTGCCCGTGCCTTCCGACGTCACCCAGGCTAACTCTGGTAAGAAGCTCACCGTCGGAGCTCTCATTCTCCTTCCTCTACTCATGTTGTAATGTGCTGGATCACAGATGTACTAACAGACTTAATCTCCAATATAACTCTCAATGCCAGTTATTTATAGGTAAAGCAGAGCACGTAAACCTGTTGGATGAGATTTCTCTCTGATATTTTCACAAAATATTCCCCCAGTAATTGAGTAAATCCCGAAACAATATTTTAGGATATGTTTTCCTATATTTTAGGTAAAAATTTCAAGATTAGGCGAACTGTTTGGTTCAAAGCAGAATATATAACGGATATTATCTGTGGATCTACTCGAATCTCGAAAAATCCATAAATCATCATCTCCATATTGTATGACTAATTTAGGAATACCGAGAAGCCCGTGTTTCGACGCCAGTCATGGTTTTTCTCATCATCCCATTTGGTCACTGTCAATCCCTGAGCAAGCTAAAATAAAAGCCAACAGTGCAAAAAAAGTGCCCGGAGCACAGCACTGGGGGTTGCACAAGATGGAGATTCCTCCATAACCAAAAAGAAGCGTCTGACTCGCACACGTAGTTTGGGGAACGTGAATGAGGGTTGTGCAGATGTCTCCATGGAGACGACCAGGTGGCTGCTCTCACGGGATATGGGTGTTCTTTCCAACACTCCGCTGCAGCATCACCATCTACTAGACCCTGACCTATCCGTCGTTTTGGACGAACTAACAGCCATAGTGAGCCCTCTGCTTGAAGCCAGTGGAGGGATAACACATCCATTCTGATCAGAAGAAGCCCTCAAAATCCATGGAGTGGGCAGTGGCAATCATGGCAATTGCAGTTGTAGGTGTGCAGTAGATATGTCCTAGACTGCACAGAAAGATGCCACAGAGGTAGTATGATGAGAAAGAAGATTGAGTAGGGAGACATAGTATAGACACTGTCATCACCAGATGTGTACTTTTGTTGTCCTTTTATACTCACCTTATTTTACATTATATTTCCCGTATTACTGTAATAGGAAAGAGGCAAATAAAAAATAAAATTGTACCTCCCCAGTACAATACATGAATTCTTATCCTATAATATACTGTATAACGTATGTACTGTAAAATATATATGATTGGCGATTTGTTAAGGTTGAGATAATGCCATGGAGTGCATAATCGCAACTCTGTTGGGAAGTTATTAATGGTGGAGTAAATTGTAAATGGCCGCAAATTATTCTAATGATTTATGTATATTTATTTGTTGATAATATCTGATGTCCGTTGTTTTCCTTTTTTCCCGATTTTATAGTATATATTATTATTATTATTCTGATTTCGGATATAATGGGCAACAGAAATAGGTGTCTCTGGAAAAGGCTTAGAGATGTCACATTGAGAATAAGAGCACTTTCCAATGTTTATGAGGCTATTATAACATCCAACTTGATGTTGGTGATATTAGAAGGTGTTCTAGAGAGTGTCATTCGCTAAGTGCTGTAGTAACATAGTCAGCACAAATAATTGAGTTTGTTAGTAAGGCACACTGGTCACATTGACATTTTTACATATGGAATTATATGGAAGAAATGTTCTTTTAGAGGGTGTCTGGCACGCACTTCCATGGCACATAAAACATCTTCGACTACTTTGCTATCATATAACCAATAAATTAACGCAATCTATGTTTTGGGACTTGAAGCAGTGTGTGGAATATGATATCCATCATGACTTACAGCCACTTGTTGCTGTTTATAGGTATTGGAAGAAGTAGTAGACACCCCAGGCTGCCCAGTTTCTCTCCCTGATTACCGCGTATACCCCGCTCGAATGGTCGTCATTCCACTCCTGCAGCGGTGCGAAATCCTCGCTCTCCTCCAGCATCTGCTTGTACTTGGTTTGGTTCTCCAGTCGGGCATCCACTACAAACGCCATCATGTAAGAGACGTACAGAACCGCTGCAAAAAGAACAAGATAGAACCAAGCTGTTTTGAAAAGCGCCACGAGACCAGAAGAGATGAGGGTCGATAAAATGGTTAGCTGTTTGCTCTTTTCGATCGTCTCATAGTACTGGGACTCAGGCAGCCAATTGGAAGCAAAAAACGCCTCGGACCACTTGATTTCGTTGACGAGAAACGAGTTGAGAAGTAGAACCAGCACAAAAGCCGCAGGATGTACCGACAGTAGCCAACACTGACAGACACCCAGTAGTAATGTAGACGCCAGAAGAATGGCTGCTGTAAATATGTAAGGAGAGACCTGAAAGAGATGCAATTGGGCAGCGGAAATCTTGGGGGGTGTCCACAGAGGCAGGATTCCGGCTGCCAGACATGCCACCAGCTCCATCACCCTTCTTCCCTGCTCTCCAGGACTCAGATTCTGGTTTTGAAGACGGTAAATTGTCACTGTGAGTCCAGATAGCATCACTCCATGTCGTAGAATCATGCTGAACCAGTTGGCCATTAGGGCGGGTAGAAGGGTGTGAGTCAATTGCTGTTGCGTGTCCTCTTCGTTATTTAACATGGCCGAGACTTGTGATAGTACTGTAGATACACAAGGTGGTTTCACTGTGCTGAAAGCTGTGCCTGAACGCGCTCACTTGAAAGAAAGAAAGGAGTACATGATGCGGCTATGTACAAGTATATGGTTTGGGACGTCACGATGGTTCAGGGAGGGGTTTATTTCCCTTTCTCGGCTCAATAAGAGTACACGGGGCCTTTGTTTTTGTCACGTGATTTTGATATTTCGTTTTTGTCGCGAATTTTTGTCATCAGACAATTGCATCATTGTCTCCTTATCTCGCTTTCTAGCAGCACAGCCATGCACTCCACCAGATCTATATGATAGAGTTCAGGGATGACCACAGGGGGAACGGAGAACGGGGTGTGGGATATCACGTGAACTGAATCTTTGCGTGGTGTCGATATGATTTTTTTGGCGGCGTTTGCGTCTGCAGGACTACGATACAATATCAAGTGGAGGGCATCTGTCTCTTACATTGATTTTTGTGGGATATTTGGAGCTCAGTCGGTATTCTGGTGACTCCAAAGCTTTGAATAATGTATGAAGTGAGATATGGAACTAAGGGTTAATAATTTGTTAACAATCAGAGTAATTAAAGTAGTTCTTTCTACGTACTGTACTGAATAGATATTCTTGTTTTCAACGATATTGTCGTTCGCTTTGGTAGGGAAAATTTGTTGACTGTTAGCAGCTACTTTGTCATTGTGCATCGATTCTGAAAAAAAGGTCTTTAGGCAGTTTTGATTTTGGGGTTCGCTGGATACAATACTTATTCAAGTATGTCCTTTCCCCCAATTTTATTCTTTTTTTTTGTGTGTTTTTTTTTTTCCTCTTTTTTCTCTTTTTTCTGTAAGACTATGTTTTAGATTTTCCTTTTTGTTCCTTTTTTTATTTTTTTATTTTTTAATTATTTTATTTCTCCAATTATGGGTTCGAATCCCGACTGACTCAGTGCTCCTCCTCCTCTCCTCTTCCATCTATTTAAGGTTCACACTAAACATACACCAAGGCCATTATATATAATGGTTACCAATCAGTATATATTACGTCACTGCCGCCAGATTTTGCCCCCGCTCCCGTCGACCCATGAAACTGCCCACGGAGATTGTCGCCCAGATATGCGCGTCGCTCGACCTTGAGTCCCTGCTCCAGCTCAGTTACACAAACGCCAGACTGCGGGCAGTGGCCTCAAATCTATTCCAACAAAAGATCCAAGCGAGCTGGCCCTGGATCACGGACTGCTCCGACTGGTACCAAGAAGGTATCAAAATCGTGCTGGCGAGAAGACGAATGCGTGAGAAGAGCCCCATGAGCGAAGAACTGCCTGTGGTGCAGGTTGCCAGACACCTGATCCATGTGAACGAGCCTGTGCCTGAGGAAGCGATTCTGTTGGGTCCGGAAACCAAGTACATGGACGACGACCACGATCTGTATTTCCGCACCGCTTCTCTGACCCGAATCAACCCCCGCAACATGGCCAATCCGCTGTCGTACCACGATCCTCTGTGCATGGATGTGGACGACTTTCTGCAGCTGACAGGCACCAAGAACGCACACGGAAAGACGATAGTGACACACACATTTATGGGGAGATATTGGATATTTGCATACGACGAGGGAGGAGGGGTGCTCGAGGCCCCAAAGCTCGCTGCTATTGATAACTGGATATACTGCTACTTTCAGACCCGCGAAGACGGTTACACGGTTATCAAGCACCATTGCATCACTGATGGCGTCAAAGATGTCCCTGACTATCTTGTATCGCTTGCAAAATCGGAATACGGGTCCACTTACGACCTTGACTTTTTCTTTTCGCGCGAAAACGTCTTTGTGATCGATAAACTGGTTTTCGGAAATGAGGACGACTTCAAGCCTGTCTACTTTCGGCTTTTGAATATGGAAACAGGCGCCACGGTACCCCTTTGTTTTGTGGACAAGTCGGATACCCATGTGGTGGAGTATGAGGCGTTTGTGGACTACATGCGGTACTTGTGGCTGGATGGGCCGTTCTTTTACATCTACTCGGGTGCCGACGAGATGATTATTGTGGTGGATGTGAAAGAGGGGTGGGTCAAGTATTTGGTGCTGACAACAGAGATATCCCATGAGTCGCACTTGAGTAGGTTGACTCATGGCTTGTTGTGGCTGTACGACAATCTTGTGGTCGATGTCAAGAGGCACACGGTTCATTATTTGCCCGATAACAGCAGGTGCAACACTGCAGGGTTGTATAATGGGCAAGTTCATTGGTGGAGGTTTCCGAAAGCCGACAAGTTGGTGAAGAAGCAGGAATTGGAGATTGGAGAGGGGGTGTCTGTGTTATAGCTAGTGCTGACGGCGTGAGCGAGACCAGCTGAGGACACTATTTGGCTACTGACACAGACCGACATCTTGACTAACATAAGGCTACTAACAATCTCTCTGCAGGACAATTTGGGTGGTGAGTGAGATACTGGTTCACTACAGAACACAATTGGGGAGGGTGGAGGACTGGAGGACAGACTGACGAAGGTAGATGCGGAGCCTGAGAGCTTGTATCTGAGTGTACTAACGATTGTTTATTTATTTATTCTTGATAATCACTTTTTTGACCCCTACTATTCAGGTCCTCTAATACATGGACATGACTACCCCTTGAACTGTCGCAGCAGTGGTCAGAAGCGGGAAATATTTATATCATTGGAATCCCCGAGGTCGTGTTTCAGTACAAAAATGTCTTTTATTTTCCACAAATAGCGGCTTCTCGCGCAGTTGTGGTGGCCCATACTTGTGTAGGATTTTGCTCACACGACCAAAAAGAAAGCCACAATCGTTGAACATAAATGGAGGGAAAAATCACGAGTTACTCAGACAAGTTACTCAGACAAGTTACTCAGAGAGGCAAAATATAATCGGAGAGGGTTTTTTGGGGCTATTTTGAGGGCAAAAAGAGAGGACGACAGGACTCGAACCCGCAGCCTTTGGAGGACGTCGTTCAGAAGAACCGAAATCCAATGCGCTACCATTACGCCACGTCCTCAGAAAAGTTGAGTCTGAAGATGAAAAATCTGTTATATCCGGTATAGAGGATCACGTGAGTTCATTGGAATAAAAAAAAAAATTAATACAAAACCAATTATTACCGGCCATTTGAGACTGAACCGCTGGATTAATTTCATCGGAGAAGATAGCATATATATATTTCGGCTATGGCGAATACGGTGGAGTTGGTTTTATCTGTTTTTCTTGTTGTTGTTGTTGTTGTTTTATCGTCCCGTTGTTTCGGTGAGGCTCAAAGAAGAGGGGAAAGAAAAAATTGAAGGAAAAAAAAATTAAAAAAAGGAAAGGAAAAAAAAACATGATTGGTTTGGAATTTGGCTGTCTCGTTTTATTTGCTGTATATCGCATCTTGCTGTTTGGAATCCTGATACCACTTCACTACCTCCGATCTACTTGAACTCACACTTTTACTTTCACAATCAATTCATTTACATCAATAGACGCTTGATCTAGATCTTGAGCTTGAATAGCTTGAGCAGCAGCTCGGCGTCCTTAATCTCCTGCTTCTCCTCGCCAATGTACTCGCCCTTGTGGGCCTCGTGCTCGCCCTCCTTTCGGAGAGGTCGTCGAAGAGTCTTGGTGAGCAGATCCGAGTTGTTCTCAATGGCCTTTTCCAGATTGAGATCAGCAGAGTCCTTCACAACAGTGTACTCAATGTGGACATCGTCGGTGACCTCGAGTCCCAGGGTCTTTCGCAGTTTCTGGACTCGGTTGAGCACCTCTCGAACAGTGGCCTCGCCCTTGTACTCGTCGTAGACGTTGGTGTCGAGCAGACAGAGCACGTCCTGGTCGGAGGAGACCTCGAACCCGGCACCACAGTCGTCAATGGTTCGCGAAATGGTCAGATCGCCCTCCACCAGCTCAATGCCGTCGACAGTGCACTTGTTGGTCTTGAGGTAGTTGAAAACCTCCTCGGAAGACAGCTGGGGAAGACCCTTCTTAACTCGGGCAATGTCCTTCTTGAGCTTCTTGCCGAGAACGGGCCAGTCAGCCTGGGCCTTGTACACCACCTTGTGGGCAGCCTCGTCGTCGGTGATGACCACCTGTCGCACGTTGAGCTCCTCGACAATGTACTTTTCGAGGTCTCGCACGTGTTTGAGGTAGGCAGGGTCAGTGTGGATGATGACCAGCGACTTGAGAGGGGTCTTGAGAGGCACGTTCTTCTTGTCTCGAATGACTCGGCCCTGTTCAATGATGGACTGGACCCGCTTCACAGCAAGCTCAATGTCCTCGTCAAACAGCTCCTCTCGAACCTGGGGGTAGGGCAGGAAGTGGACCGATCGAGAATCCGCCACGGAAGAATCAAACTCAATGTAAGGCTTGATCTTCTGGTAGATGGTCTCAGACAGGAAGGGGGTGAAGGGAGCCATGGCTCGAACCAGGGTGTACTCGGCCTCAAACAGAGTGTTGAGAGCCTTGACGGCGTCCTCCTCTCCGTTGTCTCCCTTGAGACGGGATCGGTTCAGACGAATGTACCAGTTGGTGAGATCGTCAATGAGGTGGAGCAGTCGAGGAACCACGGCGTACAGCTTGTACTCCTTCATCATGGCGTGAATGTGGCCCACCAGCGACTGCAGAGACGCAAGAATCCACCGGTCCATGACATTGTCGGATTTGAGCGCAGGGTTGTACTTGAACTCGGTACCGTACAGCTTATTGACCAGAGACACCTGGCCCTCCCAGAACTTGTACGAGTTCCACCACGGCAGCAGAACCTTGGACACCACCTCTCGAACGCCCTCCTCCTGGAACTTGAGGGTGTCGGCTCGCAGAACCGGCGAGTTGATGAGATACAGCCGCAGAGCGTCGGCTCCAAACTTGTCGAGCACCTCGGTAGGGTCAGGGTAGTTTTTGAGTCGCTTTGACATCTTTTTGCCGTCGGCAGCAAGAACCAGGCCGGAGACAATCACGTTCTTGAACGGCGACACGCCAAACAAGTAGTTTCCGAGCACCGTGAGAGTGTAGAACCAGCCTCGGGTCTGGTCGATTCCCTCGGAAATGAAGTCGGCGGGGAAGCCCTTCTCCATCACCTCCTTGGACTCGGGGTCAAAGGGGTAGTGTCTGGAGGCGTAGGGCATGGAGCCGGACTCGAACCAGCAGTCAAAGACCTCCTCCACTCGTCGAAGCACGCCCTTGCCCATCTTGGAGGGGATGGTGATGTCGTCAATGTGGTGCCGGTGGATGTCGTCGATGTTCTTGACTCCAGACAGCTCCTCGAGCTCGGCCACGGATCCCACGCAAACCACCTCCTCGTAATCGTCGGAGACCCACAGGGGGATGGGGGTACCCCAGTATCGGTTTCGGGAAATGTTCCAGTCTCGGGCGTTTTTGATCCAGTTGCCAAATCGGCCATCCTTGATGTTGGAGGGCACCCAGTTGGTCTTGTCGATGTTTTCCAGCATCTGAGGGATCATCTCCTTGATTCGCACGAACCACGAAGGCACGGTTCGGTAGAGCAGAGGAGTGTCCGATCGCCAGCAGAAGGGGTACGAATGACGCACCTGGCCGTCGACCACCAGTCGGCCCATCTCCTTGATTTTCTTGATGATGGACCGGTCGGCGTCCTTGACATAGACTCCCTCCCAGTCGGAGACCGCGGGGGTGAATTTGCCGGCGTCGTCGACGGGATTGGGGGGGTACCGCTTGTCGGAAATGATGCCTGCGTCGGTAGCGGCCAGATAATCGTCCTCTCCGAACGCGGGAGACTGGTGGACGATTCCGGTACCGGAGGAGTCGGTGACGTAATCGGCACAAATGACCTGGAAGCCCGGGGTCAACTTGAGCTTTCGGGCGTCCTCCGAGTCTTCAAAGTCCGCGGCAAAGTAGGGGAACAGAGGCTGGTATCGCTTGCCCTTGAGAGAAGAGCCCTTAATGCCCTTTTCCAACACGGAAAAGTCGGCCTTCTTGGGGTTCTTGTACAGAGTGGACAGCAACGACTCCAGCAAAATGTACACGTCGCCGGTCTTGCCGTCCTTGATCTTGATGTAGTCAAAGTTGGGGTTCACGGCAAGAGCCAGGTTCGAAGGAAGAGTCCAGGGAGTGGTGGTCCAGGCCAGCAACTTGACCTCGGGCTCATCCACCAGAGGGAAGGCGACGACCACCGCGGGATCCAGCACCTCCTTGTAGTTCTGAGCAGCCTCAAAGTTGGCAATGGGCGTGCACAGAGCGGTGGAGTAGGGCATGACTCGATGGCCCCGGTAGACAGCGTCCTTCTTGTACAGCTCCTGAAACACCCACCAAACCGACTCCATGAACGACGTCTGCAGCGTCTTGTAGTCGTTGTCAAAGTCGATCCATCGACCCAGCCGACCAATCGTCTTGCGCCACTCCCCAGCATATCGCATCACAATGGCTCGACACTCCTCGTTGTAGTTGGCCAGACCAAACTTCATCACGTCTTCCTTGCCCTTGATATCCAGCTTCTTGTCAATCTCGTGTTCCACAGGAAGCCCATGCGTGTCCCAGCCAAACCGTCGCTCCACATGATGCCCAGTCATATGGGCATATCGTGGCACAATGTCCTTGATGGTCGACGCCAAAATGTGGCCATAGTGCGGAGTGCCAGTGGCAAACGGAGGCCCATCGTAGAAGGTGAAATGGGGCTTGTCAGCATTGAGCTTGAGTGACGTCTGGAAGGCATCAATCTCCTCCCAGAACTTGAGCACCGCTTCTTCCTCCTTGGAGAAATTCATTGTGTTTGTGTCGGTGAATCCGAGTGGGTGTTGCTAGGGTAGATTTAATGCAAAATTTCACAGGTTAGGGCTCGTTGGTTTATGGTAGGTGACTCACTGTCACGTGAATTGGAGACAAGAAAATGAAGAAAATGAAAACAAAACAAAACTCTGACATATTATTACCGGGAGGGAAATCACAATTTTTGCCCCCTTTTTATCCCAGAATTTCCAACATTTTTCCTTGGCTTTTTTTTTCACTTTTTTCATCGATTTTTTCACAAATTTTTCATCCGGTGTTTTTCCAGACTTTTTTTTTAATCTTTTTTTCCCCCGAATTTCTGCCGGGGAAAATCATGTTTTTCGAGTGGATTTCTTCATCATTTATTTATCACTCATTATATAAACACGCAATAACTGCAGTAGTCGAAGATAAATTAAAATAATAAAAAATAAAAAAGCCCGAAATACTGATATTCGTTGTGGTGGTTTTTTTTGTTTTTTTTTTCCAATTTTCGGTATATCCCATCTTTATTTTTCCCGTTTAATTCCATGACTGAATGTGACTCAACCGAAATTCCAGTTGACTCTTCGCCTGGTCACGTGACTCGACATTCGTCTCCGAAAAAATGACTCATCCGAAATCGCAGGGCTTCCCCGTTCCCCTGACCTGGTCTGCACCCGACGAAATCAGCCCCGGAGGAGATCAGAGATTAAGAGTGTGTCGCAGAGGTTATGACTAAATTTTGGGACTACAGTACCTCAACACCAACTAACCAGTGTCGCAGAAATGGCCACCATGTCCGTCTCCAGTCTGTCCCCAATTCCCTGTAAAATATGCCATTCTAAACCTCTTAATGTTCAGATTACGGCAAACTCATCTCCTTAGGTTATGAATAGCAAGCAGTGTTCGTGATATACAGATTATGACGGGTAATAACTATCACCTGACAATCTGTCCGTCAAGTACTTGTACAAGTATAGCACCTCTGGTTCTATTTTGCGGATCCCCCTTTTTACATGTCCAAATCTAGCCAACCTTTGTCATTTAATTATACACTCAAAATCAGGTCGATATGTGCTTTAATATATTTATTTTAAAAAGGGGGAAAAAACAGAAATAAAAAGAAGGAATAAAAGAAGAATTAAAAGGGTCTACAAAGTAAAGCCGGGAGACATAAAAACCAGATGACTTTTTTGTTTTTGCGATACATTTTCTACAAATCACATCAACCTACACACGTGATTTAGAGATATTCATAGTACCAAACCCTAATACAGATACTTCAACTTTTAACCCCAGCCCTACAGTAGAAAGATACCCGAAACGTAGCAACCCAAGGATTTTATTATATTCACATAATACAGAAAGCTATATATGGGAGGTTGAGATTCTTTTTTCCCATAATGACATGTGTTTGATTGTGCCCGTGCCCATTCTTCAACGACATTCAGTCTTGAAGTGGAAACCCCAACCCCCCAAACCACCTAACCCTGCCCTAAACCCAACAACCCTAAACCGAGTAAACTATAATTTATTACTAGCCACGCCGGGTAACTCACGTGATCTCAAATTTTCACTTTATGGATACAGAGCAAACCTCAAAGATAAGCGATTGATTTGCACTCAACCATTCACTCCTTTACAACTGCACAAAAAAAAACAAAATGTCGACAACGGTGGAAAAGATCAAAAACATCGAGGAGGAGATGGCTCGGACCCAGAAGAACAAGGCGACTTCGTTCCATCTGGGTCAGCTGAAGGCCAAGTTGGCCAAGTTGAAGCGAGAGCTGTTGACGCCCACTTCCTCTGGAGGTGGTGGCGGAGGCGCTGGGTTCGATGTGGCTCGAACTGGTGTTGCTTCGGTTGGATTTATCGGGTTTCCTTCGGTTGGAAAGTCGACTTTACTGTCCAAGTTGACTGGTACTCATTCAGAGGCAGCGGCGTATGAGTTCACCACGCTGACCACTGTTCCCGGAGTGATTATGTATCGTGGTGCCAAGATCCAGATGCTGGATCTTCCTGGAATTATCGAGGGAGCCAAGGATGGTAAGGGTCGAGGTCGACAGGTGATTGCGGTGGCTCGAACGTGCAACCTGATTTTTGTGGTGCTGGATGTGAACAAGCCGCTGGAGCACAAAAAGATCATTGAGCGGGAGCTGGAGGGATTTGGTATTCGAATCAATAAGGAGCCTCCTAACATTTTGTTCAAGAAGAAGGAGCGGGGTGGAATCAACATCACCAACACGGTTCCTCTGACCCATTTGGACAATGACGAGATTCGGGCGGTGATGGGCGAGTATCGAATCAATTCTGCTGACATCCATTTCCGATGCGATGCCACTGTCGACGAGCTCATTGACATTCTCGAGGCGCAGAACCGACGCTACATTTCGGTCATTTATTGTCTCAACAAGATTGACAGCATTTCCATTGAGGAGTTGGATCTGCTTTACCGAATCCCTAACGCGGTGCCCATTTCGTCGGAGCATGGCTGGAACCTGGACGAGCTGCTGGAGGAAATGTGGAAGAAACTCAACCTCGTTCGGGTCTACACCAAGCCCAAGGGCCAGCAGCCCGACTACGAGCAGCCCATCATTCTGCGGAATGGTCGGTCGACCGTCCAGCATTTCTGTAACCAGATCCACAAGAGTCTGGTTGAGGAGTTTAAGACGGCATGTGTCTACGGTCAGTCGGTCAAGCACCAGCCCCAGTATGTTGGTTTGGCCCATGAGTTGATGGACGAGGATGTTGTCACTATTCTGAAGAGATAGTCTGGATCCTGGCAAACACTGAGCAGTCAGCACAAGAAAAGAGGAGGTGAAGATGAAGATGAGAAGGATCCGACCGGACAGACCAAAAAAGAGATTGGGATAGATCTCAAAGAGACCGGGATGGACCGAAACAGACTGGGATGGACCGGAAGAGACCGGGTCAGAGCTCCAGACATCAGGACAGAGCTCCGGACACTGACAACCCTCCATACCCGGTCTCAGCGGTGTCCTGATGGACACACAGCTAACGCTCACCAGAGTAGTGAATATATCATGATAGGATATACATACAGTACTGTAGAGAGAAGGGTGAATGTAGGTAGTAGTGGCAAAATTCTAGCTACAACACATCTCTGGTGCATTGGTTCTGTGATGAATCAGTCATGACGACCACCAGTAGACAGTCATCGTTGGTACACAGACTCCACTGTCAATGTGTTGAAATGACGACGATTCAAACGTCTCCAACATGTGCGTACAGTACCAAAAGCATTGAAGGAAAGCGTTGTCTCATTTCAACCAAGTCCACACTTGCGAGACACCTTTATCACTCGGGAGCTCAGGCCCCTCATCCAGGCGAGACGTGGTTGGATGAGGGACAAGCATACACTCTGATAAAGGAGTCATCAGGCAGCCAAAGGGACGTTTCCAGCCAAAGGGGCGTTTCCGGCCATTGTCGAGGACCCAAGGTGCAGAAAGACCAGCAATATGTCCAGAGGGAACACCAGAACCATGTTGAGTGAGTTTGGGTCATATCTCGGACGAGGAATTGTCGCTTTGATTAGTGAGAAGGGCGGCGGGGCTGCTGAGTCATCCACCGAGATGACAACTGAATGCTTTGGAGGGATGGACTGTCGGTTGAATAATCATATGTCTGCTCGCTCCATCTGCTGTTGACTTGGTATCAGCACACCAGGACTCTCGGTCAAGAGAACAGGTGACACACGATCCAAACCTGATCCAGATCCAGCTTGTTTCGTCTGAGCATGAACGTCTGCGAAGACCGTCCTTGAGCAAAGCGTTTGTGCCCAACTCGCCAAACCGCGAGAGCAAGAGCCAGTCCGAGCAGCAACATGCCAGAACTACAGCCGCCAGCCGACGATGCCGATAACACAACACGACAGCGCCAAGATAAAACTGTGAACTACGAGAGCCAGGGTCGTTGAGTCAGAGCCATGTTGTCAGAGCCATTGAGCGAGAGCCATTGAGTCGCCATGTTGCCAGAGCCATCGAGTCAGAGCCAATAAGAGCGTGTTTGTGTTTTTTTGCGACGAATTGGGGATATTTGTGTCAGGATGTATGTGGTATCAAGTTGTGTGAGTTGTGGAGATGTGAGAAGACTTGTACAAGTGCACCCGTAACTAAAATGTCAAGTATACAGTATCTAAGGTCACTCTATTTACTTAGTGGGGGAAGGAGAACTCGGAGACATACACACAACATCAAAATTACACAGCTCACTCATTTACCTGGCTCGGTTTTAGTTGACATACTAGTTGACTGAACACGCACGTCTCACATCAGTAATTTCTTATTAATTAAATCGAAACTGCCCATCATATTCATCACGTGACCACTTCCTCCCCTTCTCCACCTCCCCTTTTCCACCTCCCCTTTTCCACCTCCCCTTTTCCACCTCCCCTTTTTCACCTCCCCTTTTTCACCTCCCATCTCTACCTACTGTAGCCTAAATCTCCACTCAATGGAGAAAACTCCCCAGCACAGACAATTAGTCAGCGGATAATGATCGCAGGGATACAAAAGTTGTACCATTTAACAGCCCTTGATCTAGCAGTTACAACGATATAATGTTATTGCAGCTGTCTCCTTCATTGTTTGACGTGAGTGGTTGTCCCGTATGTACTTGTATACATTTATTTTACTGGTGATGAAGATATTTATTAAAGATCATAAGTATTATTGGTGTGATATAGTTAATTAACAACTTACAACCCACTTCTAGGGACACGGCGTTCCGATAGTAGCACACACCCTTCTGGTGTGTGCTTGCTCGTTCACCAGAAAAGAGATTCTAGATCAGTGGATAAAACTATCTACAGGATGGACATCTCGTCTACGACCCAGCTGATTCCTCTCATCACTATGTGGTGACATCTCATCATTATGTGAGGAATTAGCCAGGTATTACCCCACCGGATATTACCTTCAACAATATTTAGGGGACCGTGAGTGTGCATTAGAATCTAAGAATCAATTTGAATCAAAGGTCAATATGTCATGGGATTCACTGCAATGTTCCGATTTTCTACCAGGTTTTTTTGCCAATTTTTTCCCTATAATTTTTCCAATTTTTCCAATTTTTCCAATTTTTCCATCAATTTTTTCATAATTTTTTTTTCAATTTTTTTCCAATTTTTTTCCCAAAATTTTCTCTTTCGTCAACTAAAGTCAAGTAACTGAGCGAGGCCGACTAACCAGACTCCAAAAGGGACAACAAACCAGAAATGAGACAGGTGACACAAAAGGATCTGTGGCCCATGACTAGACATATATTACAGCGACAACCCCTGGAGATTGGCAGCTGTTCAGCTCTTGGGGAACAGTAATATATATGTGTTCAGCCAAATGAACGTGAAAGATGGACGGGTTGGACGGGTTGGACGGGTTGGACGGGTTGGACGGATTGGAGATCAAGAGTTGATGGTTCTGAGAATGACGTTCCCGAGAATGTCTCAATTACTTCTACAGCCTCAGACTACGATATGTGCTCATAAAAATACATAGAAATACATCCGAGTGGTGCGGCAGCTTTTCAGACAGCTGCTTGAGCTCGGCCCTCCAATAAATAATCTTTCTGAGTCGAGAGAATGCAGTCAACACGGTCGGCAAGACACGCCATTGAGAGTGGATGTTTGTAGACAAGTGACAGGTAGATAGCAACAATAGTTCAGAGGCGATGACTATTTGTAGACATATGACCGGTAGACAGCAAAGTAGTTCAGAGGCTATTGCTATTTGTAGTCATGTCAAAGCCGTTCCGATTGAATATGGTAGTTGCAGAGTCCGATCGCAGGGACCGATCGCAAGGACTGATCGCAGGGGCTGATCGTAGGGACTGATCGTAGTCACTTGCTCCAATCGCAGGTCCACGATGGAATCGCTTGCTCAATCGTTTGCTCGCTATGATAGTGGCTTGCTCCAATCGCTCGCTATGACAGTCGCTCGCTATGACAGTCGCTCGCTATGACAATCGCTCCGCTCTTGTCACCACTTCACTCGCAACTCCTCTTACTCCTCCTCTCCTCTGCCTGTCCACTGACCTTTCTGGCATGCTTCTCCACACCATTCACCCCATCTGAATTTCTCACCACCATGCTAGCCAGACAAATGTCTTCATAAGTCTGTAGGTTGTACTTGAGAGACTCGTCCAGTGCCACGGAAAACCGCTTGGACTGCACGTACTGAATGCTGCGCACCGTATCCCACCCCATGGAGTTCATCACCATGGCACAGGTGGCGGTGGCACTCCGGTCGTTGCCAGTTTCGCAGAACATGAGCGTGCCCACCCCCATCTGCGCGGCCTTTTCAAACAGCCCCATCAGCCAGTCCATCTGCGAGATGATCTGGTGTCCGGCCAGAGGCGAGTTGATGGGCCCGGGATCGAGACAATGGGTTTCGAACCGGGCCGAGTCGAACGTGGCCTTGCGGAACAGCGACTCCGCCCGCTCCGGACGCGTCACCGCCACCAAAAGACGCACATTGTTGGACTCAAAAAAGTCGGCGTTTCGCAGCACGCTCATGGGCCCCAGCCACAGGCCCGGCAGCACCATCTGAGCCTCGTGACGCTTCTCATATCGCCATTCGGTCAGAATAGACGGGTCCGACACAAAGCACGGAGGCACAATAATCCGAGGCAGCTCCATCGTCGGTGGTTCCGTGGTTGTTGTGAAAGAAATTAAGAGAGTGAAAGAGAGAGAGAGAGAGAGAGAGAGAGAAGCGCCGCGCCAGATGCCGACATAGTGGAGGAGACACAAAACATGAAACGCGTCATAGGGTTCGTGTGGGTGTGATCCGGGGAGTACCGCAAGAGGACCGTCGGTCACGTGATCAGAAATCGTGGGTAGTTGGTGTCCAAACTCTTCATTTTTGGATCGAGAAAACAGATATAAAATGTGTATAATTTTTTTTAAAAAAACATATAAAACATTTTAAAATGTACAGTATATCCCATTCTCCCAGCGCAAATCTTAGGCTATTTTGGGGCACATACTAATTAGGAAGGTTCCCAATTTGGATGCAGAAAAAGGAATTTAAGGAATTAAATGGGAAAGCGGGATAAGGAATAAGAATTTTGGAATAAAGAATAAGAATTAAAGGAATGAAAGGATTTTTAGGAATATAGACTTGGTGGAATAATGGAAAAAAGGAAATAATTAATTAAATAATTAAATAATTAAACAAATAAATGAAATTGAAATAAAGGGATTTTTTGACTCATTTAAGTGCAATTCATCCCAATTTGGTTGCTAGATTTGAGGTTCGGGAATATGGGACTGATTACAGCGACGGCAGAGTTACCCGGCCGGAGAGAGAATTGAACAGACGTATTTTGAGAGTAGTGAGGATGCCATTGAATTATGACCATAAACAGAAGGGTACCAGTTTTGCAGTATTTTTCTTCAGTATTTGTTAGTATTTTTTGCAGTATTTTTATATATATTTTCCTTTTTTCCTCCATTTTCGGGGTTGGACCCCCGATCGACACCTGAAACAGAAGAAAAAGACCACATGTGCCGTCACACGGACTCCTTGTATGCTCAAAGGTGTTGTATGACTGAGGATAGGGATTGACCGATTTTTGATGCAATTTGATCTTTTTTTTAAATTTTTTTTCTAGTTTTTCTAATTTTTCCCTAATTTTTCTGATTTTTCTGATTTTTCTGATTTTTCTGATTTTTCTGTTTTTCCCTCTTTTCTTGTTTGCATTTTTGAATTTCTGCTTTCTGAACTTATCTGTAGGAGCCGCTCAAGCGTGTCAAAAAGTCTACAGAATCATGTCAATTTTGACGATATCAAAAAACAGAGACTTGCCTTGAGATCCTACTGGCAGGAGATTCACCAGTGCCCCCATATAACCCGCCGGAACTCCACAACATACCTAAATCAACCATGCTCCATCTTCTCATCTGGGCCTTCAAATCTTATCACAGGGTTTAGTCACGGCAAAAAAGGATGCAGCACAGGAGTGAGAAAATGTGACCCGAACGGTTGTATAAAATAGGCCGAAAATTCGCAGGAGGTTTTTATACGGCCAGCAACTTGATACCGGGCTTCAGCGGCTCCAATAGGTGGTTTATTGCTGTTTTTAGAACGATATCCATTCCCATAGTTTGCGCCACCATCGAGGTTAACTGCTAGGGCTGTTCGGGTGCTGCTGGTACAGAGAAATACTCGGTGAAAAGGACCCAACTGACATTGTCGATAGATACACACGCAATCTCCCCTCCTACGAGGCTTCCCACTAGCACCGCGTGTTTGTATGTCCTAGTCTGAGGGGAAGCGAGTCCCGACTAATGGCAAGGCGACTAAAAACGGTGATTAGTCGATGATGACTAGCTGGAGATTAGTCCATAGTGACTAGTCCATGATACGGTTGTGTGAGACATGTCAGGACTCGGACGGTCGTTTGACACCGGCTCTTTGTATCTTCTCACCGACTCTTTGTGTCTTCTCACACGACACCTACTCGTACTGTACTCAGCACTACGTATTTGGAGATGTTCTGTTATCGTCGTGTCCTCTCCTCCTCCTGTAACGTTACAGCCACTGGGGTGGCGAATGTTAATACTATAGGTCGTTGAAGCGGGGCAATTGTCACATGGAGTTGTGTCTGTGGTCTTTCCCACCCATTTTCACCCATTTTTCATCATCTTTTGCAACTTTTCATCACCTTTTGCAACTTTTCATCACTCTGCAACTTTTCATCACCCTTTGCAACTTGGTCCTTTTTTAAAATAACATTTTTTAACCGGCATTTTGCTCCCATGTACGAATACACCATTTAGACTCTCAATAATTAACTACAAATAAATTAGGACAGAGAAAAATGACATGGCTTCAGAGTAGTCTCAGAGAAGGATTTCAACGAAAATCATTTGACAAAAATGACCAAATTGACCCGAATTGACCCGAATTGACCCCAGATTGCCTCCTCGCGCCCTCCTTTGCCCCATCACCGTTTTTGGACCACCTCTGTTCCTCTTCCCTCCTCCATTGACAAATTTCAAAATAAGCTTCTGGACACTTTCATATTAAGCTTTGCCCATTTAGGCTCAACACTTCACCTCGCCCCCGCCAAAAACAAAAAAAAAAGACCTCCCACAAATCGCCAAAAACAAATAGATTGACGCAAAAATCACACGCTGCGGTAGTCATGTGACCCCAACCATCCCGTTTCCAAAACGAGCGGCGCGATTCGGGCCATTTTCGCCCCTTTTTTTACCCGACCCTTTCTGCTCAGACTTAGACCCACCATGATCTTCAGACACACGGTGGGTGCAATCATCTCTCGCTGATTTTCTGTCTTTTTTGTCTTTTTTTGTCCTTCTTTGTCTTATGGCGATTTTTCAGGGCCCAGGCTAATCCCACCAATCTTAACCAATATTCTCTGCCTTTGGTCATGTCCACACAGTGTCCGAATTGTCCTACTCGTAGTCCTACCGATCGTTTATTCCACCAAGAAATTAGCGGTTTTTTGCATACTATTTTTTCTTGCTACTTTTTTATTACTATTTTTTAGCTATTTTTTAGCTATTTGTTTTTATTTTGCTATTTTTTTTTCAGACTTTGCGTGCAATTAGCTTTGGGTAACTGACAAAGGAGGTGGAAAATTTTTGTCGGTGACGTGCAGCCAGATGGGAGTTACCCTACCCTGGTGCCGCTGGCTTATGTTAAAATTTTGCACCTTACAGTCTCCTTTTTTTCTCTTCTCTTTTTCTCTTCATCCTTCAGTGGAACTAAAAGAACTTCAAAATGGGTGAGTACGAGCGGCAGCGGGAAGAAGAGGGCAGCGATGACAAGCGAGTGGTCGCGACGACGACCGGCAATGGCCCGATTGATCATTGATCTGGTTTTGTGTCGGACACAAGGTGCCGGAGAAAAGGTGTCGAAGACAAGGTGAATCGACACAGTCCCGACACGACAGAGATACTTGTAGACAAGCCGACAACAGAGCAACGAGCAACAAGATGGCAATCGATTCAGCAGTGCATGAGGCGACGAAAATCTGTTGCCGTTGTATGTCAGTTGGATAATTGGTTCTACCACGTTGTCATGGTTGTGATTTGTCACGAGCACGTGTCCTTTGGCACACACGCCACCTCACCTACATCAAACACACTCGAACATAAAAACTAACCCAGTTAACTTCACTGTTGAGCAAATGCGAGAGCTGATGGACAAGGTTAGCAATGTGCGAAACATGTCCGTCATTGCCCACGTCGACCACGGAAAGTCCACCCTGACCGACTCTCTGGTCCAGAAGGCCGGTATCATTTCCGCCGCCAAGGCTGGTGAGGCTCGATTCACTGACACCCGAAAGGATGAGCAGGAGCGAGGTATCACCATTAAGTCTACCGCCATTTCTCTTTACGCCCAGATGGACGATGAGGATGTCAAGGAGATCAAGCAGAAGACCGTTGGTAACGAGTTCCTGGTCAACCTGATTGACTCCCCCGGTCACGTTGACTTCTCTTCCGAGGTCACCGCCGCCCTCCGAGTCACCGATGGTGCCCTTGTCGTTGTCGACTGTATCGAGGGTGTCTGTGTCCAGACCGAGACTGTCCTGCGACAGGCCCTTGGTGAGCGAATCAAGCCCGTTTGCGTCATCAACAAGGTTGACCGAGCTCTGCTCGAGCTGCAGATCACCAAGGAGGATCTCTACACCTCTTTCCAGCGAACCGTCGAGTCCGTTAACGTCATCATTGCCACCTACGTTGACAAGGCTCTCGGTGACTGCCAGGTCTACCCCGAGAGGGGTACCGTTGCCTTTGCCTCCGGTCTCCACGGATGGGCTTTCACTGTCCGACAGTTTGCCGTCCGATACGCCAAGAAGTTTGGTGTTGACCGAGAAAAGATGATGCAGCGACTGTGGGGTGACTCTTACTTCAACCCCAAGACCAAGAAGTGGACCAACAAGGACACCGACGCTGACGGAAAGCCTCTTGACCGAGCTTTCAACATGTTCGTCCTCGACCCCATCTTCCGAATCTTCTCTGCCATCATGAACTTCAAGAAGGACGAGATCCCCGCCCTCCTCGAGAAGCTTGAGATCAACCTCAAGACCGACGAGAAGGAGCTCGAGGGTAAGGCTCTCCTCAAGGTCGTTATGCGAAAGTTCCTGCCCGCCGCTGACGCTCTCCTTGAGATGATTGTCATCCACCTCCCCTCCCCCATCACTGCTCAGAACTACCGAGCTGACACCCTCTACGAGGGCCCCATCGACGATCCTTTCGGACAGGGTATCAAGAACTGTGACCCCAACGCCGACCTCATGCTGTACGTCTCCAAGATGGTCCCCACCTCCGATAAGGGTCGATTCTACGCTTTCGGTCGTGTCTTCGCTGGTACTGTCAAGTCCGGCCAGAAGGTCCGAATCCAGGGTCCCGACTACATCCCCGGCCAGAAGAAGGATCTTTTCGTTAAGGCTATCCAGCGATGTGTTCTTATGATGGGACGATTCGTCGAGCCCATTGAGGATGTCCCCGCCGGTAACATTGTCGGTCTGGTCGGTGTTGACCAGTTCCTGCTCAAGTCCGGAACCCTCACCACCAACGAGGCTGCCCACAACCTTAAGGTTATGAAGTTCTCCGTCTCCCCCGTCGTGCAGGTCGCCGTCGAGGTCAAGAACGCCAACGATCTGCCCAAGCTCGTTGAGGGTCTTAAGCGACTCTCCAAGTCCGACCCTTGTGTCCTGACTTACATCTCCGAGTCCGGTGAGCACATTGTCGCCTGCACTGGTGAGCTCCATCTCGAGATTTGTCTGCTCGATCTCGAGCAGGACCACGCCGGTGTCCCTCTTAAGAAGTCTCCTCCCGTTGTTTCTTACCGAGAGACCGTCTCCGCCGAGTCTTCCATGACCGCCCTCTCCAAGTCCCCCAACAAGCATAACCGACTTTACGTTGTTGCTGTCCCTCTTGACGAGGAGGTCTCTCTGGCCATTGAGTCCGGCAAGATCTCTCCCCGAGACGATTTCAAGGCTCGAGCCCGTGTCCTTGCTGACGACTACGGTTGGGATGTCACCGAGGCCCGAAAGATCTGGTGCTTCGGTCCCGACGGTACCGGTGCCAACGTTGTTGTTGACACCACCAAGGCCGTCCAGTACCTTGCTGAGATCAAGGACTCCGTTGTTGCCGGTTTCAACTGGGCTACCAAGGAGGGTCCTATCTTCAACGAGAACATGCGATCCGTCCGAGTCAACATCATGGATGTCACCCTGCACGCCGATGCTATCCATCGAGGTACCGGTCAGATCATGCCTACCATGCGATCCGTCACTTACGCCGCCATGCTGCTTGCCGAGCCCCGAATCCAGGAGCCCGTCTTCCTTGTCGAGATCCAGTGTCCCGAGAACGCCGTCGGTGGTATCTACTCCGTCCTTAACAAGAAGCGAGGACAGGTTGTCTCTGAGGAGCAGCGACCCGGTACCCCCCTGTTCACCATCAAGGCTTACCTGCCTGTTAACGAGTCTTTCGGTTTCACTGGTGAGCTCCGACAGGCTACCGGTGGCCAGGCCTTCCCCCAGATGGTTTTCGACCATTGGGAGGCTATGAGCGGCTCTCCTCTCGACCCCTCCTCCAAGCCCGGAGCTATTGTCTGCGAGACCCGAAAGCGACGAGGTATGAAGGAGAACGTTCCCGGTTACGAGGAGTACTACGACAAGCTCTAAGCATGTTGGTATGTTTGCGAGTCTAGAAAATAATTGTAAAAAATCACTTTTGAAGAGATATCAGATTGTAGTGTTGAAATTCAGTAGAATAAGTAAATTTGTCGAGCCAGAGTTGGATTGACAATTCCATTCCTTTTGCAGGCGTGGTTCGCAATGCGTCACTCAGCCTGGGATGAATCATACCTCAACTGATATCATAAGTGCGAGATGTTTTTGATTTCCTCTTCTCTGGTTGCACCATATGACTTCATTCGAGATGGACTGTCGAACCTACCCAGTGCATTATGGCCTGTCTAGTGTGTGTCTAATGTATGCCGTGATGAGAATGTAAGCAGTAAATTAGAGAAGTTAGCCAGTTTGTGGATGTTTGGGGGTACGTTGCGTGTTACCTCTAAGATGAAGTAGTAGTAGCTCCCTCTTGTTCCTTGTTTTGCTCCTTATGCTCCTTGTTTCTGTTCAACTTGCGCTTCAGCTCCTCGTTCTCCACACGAAGAATGCCGAGCTCGATCTCGTGCTGAACGCTTCGTCCAGACCCCAGCATTTTCCCCAGACGTTTGTTCTCGTCCACCAGAGACTGTAGTTTGGAGTAGACTCTGAAGGCAGCGGCCTCTTCGTGTCCGTCACGGGCCATGAGAGACTCAATGGTAGTGTTGAGGCGGCTAATCTCGTCTTCCTTGGCCTTGACCAGCTCGCCCATGTCTCTGAACACCTTCTCCACCGAAGGCTCCACTCTATGGACGGTGGAGACGCTTTGTTTGGCCAGCAACTGGGTCAGACGAGCCACCTCCTTCTGTAGTGTCTCAATCTCCAGCGATTGTTTCCACGACACGCTGGCTGACTGCAGATGAGGGGGGTGAACAGGCGTGGTGGAAAACTGGGTTTGTGTCTGTCCTCCGTATGAAAACGATTGCAGAGAGATCTCCTTGGACCGGTCGAAGCCAATGCTATTGCCGCTGCTTCCGTAGGGTGCAGAATAGTAGCCCGTGGTGTTGAACCCACGTGACGCCCCTCGCGAGTAGCTTCCCGAGCCATGGCTGTTGTAGGTCATTTCCTGATCGTAATCTCTCGAAGAGCCCGGTGCACCCTTCCCGTGGCTGGCAGGTTTGCCGTAATTGCCGGCCATCACAGACAGAATAGAGTCTTCTTCCGTCACCTGCGATCGTTCACTTCCGATGGTTCCGTACATGACTCGCGCGTGTGGTGTAAGTGGTTGGAGAGGACGGGAAGGACCTCTTAAATAAAGAGTGCACCATTTACTTGGTTACAAATGCCCTGTAACAGCGTCAGCTGAGAGAGAAATGAGGCTGCAGGGACCGAAGCGAATGTGGGGTGGGGTGCATAAATAAATTAAAAAAAAAGAGAAAGTAAAAGAGAAATTAAAAAAACGGTAAAAAGATGGAATATACATAAAACGGAAACTAAATAAATCCATTGGATTGAATTGAATTGACAATATTTTTTTTTTTTTTTTGAATTATTCTGAGCAAAAATGGGGGGTATATGGTACAGTACATGTACAATACACATAAGATGCTTTTATATATATATATATATATATATATATATTTTTGGTTTTTTTATATATATTTTTGGTGTATTTATTTATTTTTTATTTTTGGTTTTTAATTTATTATTATTTTTTGAGTGCGATATGATTTATAAGCCTTTACTTTATATCATTTTTATTTTAATGAATAAAGAAATACGACCCAAAACTAACCTCACAGAAAAGAGACTGAATTAACCCCTACAATTGGGCAACAAGTATGTACATAGAACGACCAATATCTCCATGACTTGATTATACCATTGTAAAGTGATCATATATCCGAGATAGCATTTCCGAACAACTTACAATTTACAATTTACATAGACATGAAGTCCTCTTGTTTGATAATCAGGATGAATCAAGTCCTCAAGAAAGGATGGCTATGGGACTACTGTATGTGTCAAAGTCCTCATCCGTCTACCACTTGTCTAAATGACTACATGATTCCTTTAGTCGGCTTGGCTATTGGTTTGGTATTACGTGCTCCTTTACAATCCACAAATTTGTCATCATCACGTAATGCCAAGAGGGGCTGTGGAACACGATTGTATAGCCTGCGATGATTCGAGTAGTTTGAGACAAATATTTGTGGGATTTCGAGCATATATAAGATGGTTATATCAATATTTATATCAACTATTAGGGGCCCTGATACATCGCGATGAGTGTCCACTTTTTAGTAGGGGGGATTACAAAGTCTACAACTCGAGGTGTAGAAACTCCACCAAGACAGGGACTTCACCATTATATTTCTACTGTTCTCAGAATCATTTTGATACTCATATTGACCTAGATAATATTACAATTCATTAAGTTAAGAGTTATATTAGTAAGGATGGTTAGAGAAGAACGACACATCCGGCGGCAATGACAACTCCAGCGGCGAGCTTGGCGTTGAAAGAGGCGTTGATGAGTTCGGGAGCCATGTTGGAGGCTCCGGTGGCGGACGAAGAGCCGGCAGCTCCGGTAGAGGCCGTCACGTTGGGGGAGGTGACGTTGGAAGAGCCGGAGGCAACGGCGGATCCGGAGGCGGCAGCAGAGCCGGAGGAAGTAGAAGCGGCAGAAGTAGCAGCAGTTGAGCCAGAGGCGGCAGCGGAGCCAGAGGCGGCAGCGGAGCCAGAGGCGGCAGAGGTGGCGTCAGCGGAGGCAGAAGTTGCAGAAGAGTCGGCTGAGGCAGAAGCACCGGAGGAAGAAGCAGAAGCAGAAGCCGAAGCCGAAGCATCAGCAGAAGAGTCGGCGGTAGCAGAGGCATCAGCAGTAGCAGAAGCATCAGCCGAGCCGGAAGCAACAGCAGAACCCGAGGCAACAGCAGAACCCGAAGCATCAGCAGAACCCGAAACAGCTCCTCCGGGGAGAACTCCAAGCTGCTGACCAAGTCCAAGAACCTGGGCGGTGGCGGCGTCCCACTCGCTAGAAAACTCGGGGGTCAGAGAGGGCAGATCGGGAGTGACAATGGCCCAGACGTTAGCCAGGTTTCCCTGAATGTTCTGCAGGGCTTGGGGGATGTCGACGGCGCTCAGAGCCAGGAATCCGGAGCTGACTCGAGGGAAGTCGGTGCCTGCCTGGAAGGCGGACAGGGTGGCGGAAGCCTCGGACAAGAGCGAGGGGAAGTTGTTGGTGTTGAGGCCGCCGGCAACGGCAGGAAGAGCGTCGTCAAACAGCTGGGAGATGCCGGGGTTGTTGGTGACAATGTCCATGACGGCCCAGACGGAGGACGAGGCGTCCTGGTCGGACTGGCTGTCATCAGTCTTTGCTGCCAGAATACCGTCGGCGATATTGGTGGCAATAGAAGCCACAATGGGGTTCTGGGCGTGGGCGCCAGCAATCAGAGCTGCGAGAATCAGAGATTGAGCAGAGACCATTTTTTTGCACTTGATTGTGAATTGAGACCAGAGTACGGGGTACTTGTTCGAGAGTCAGCAAAGAGCGGCCCACCCATATTTATATACAACAACTCCACTTAGTCCCCGCTCCCCCCCTTGGTCAATGGCAGTGTTGTTTGGCCAAGGTACGCTAACGTCTCTGGCTACTTCTTTGTCAACCACGACTCAGAATTTATAATAATCCAGGTCCACTAACCAGTTTTGACAGCTTCCCCGCGAGTCGGGGGTCAAGAAGTGGCTTGTGCCTGTCTTTAATGAAGGGGGCGGGGCTACCACTGTAGCGTCGAAGACAAGCGACTGGAGAAGTCCAACTGATGAGCTGAGAGGACAAAAGAGTCCACTGACCGGAGTCCCCAAAACTGAGAATCAGACTGAGAATTGCTTTAGACCAACGAGAATCAAAGACTGAGAGTTGCTTCAGACCAAACACTGCTGATGAGGCTACACCATCACGGGCTACTGCGGGCTCCCCTTCAGCCGCACATGGATCTACTGGTACCAGTATTGCACGGTACTTGGCGAGATCCGAGTTGGAATTGCATCGATGGCACCCAAATGCTATGGAAAAAGTCCCCAAACATTCGTTCATAGGCGCAAAACCTCGCCCATAGACGCAAAACCTCGTCCATAGACGCAATACCCCTTCATAGACCTCTTATGATAACTGAGCCAGGGATACTATACAATACTGTACATTATCCGTTAGTGTATCTTGTCAGAGTAGGTGGTGATAAAGGGGCAGCCGCAACCCTCGTACTACACCTCTTTGGTGACTCTTTGGTGACAATCGACCGAGGCTGGCTCTTGGCAACGGACCAAACCCGTGACAGTCTAGCAGCCTACTATTTGCCACAGTCACCACATCTCCACGCAACCTCGCCAGCCAGCTCTCCTCTCATGCGCCTCCCCACACGTTTGCCAATCTCGCACGTCACTGCGAGCCTAGACAAGCACCTGACAGCACGCTAAAAGGACCGCTAAAAGTACAGCGTGTCCCAAGAAGGCAAGCCCGGGCAGACACAAGGCTGTTGGAGGCCATCGAGTGGTTGCTGTCATGTGCGATCTGCCACGTAAAACAACCATCCACGTTCCGATCTTGTCCGACAGGTGTCTGAAAAGTCGACTGTCGCTTGTAGTGTTGTGTAGTTGAGAACTGTGGGCAGAAAACTAAAGCTATACGGAATAATTATCAGAAATCTGCGAATCGGTGAATCTGCGAATCTGCGAAGTCTGCTCCACATTCCAGTTGGAAAGGAGGACTGAAAATGATTTACAAGTGAAAAGTTGGATCGAAAATGATTTACAAGCGAAAAGTTGGAATGAAAATGAATAACCAGTGTAAAAATTGGTCCCCAAATATCGCTAGGTCGAATAGGTCGAAAGGTCGCCAAAAAAAAAAGGAAAAAATCTGAAAAATGACAATTAATTTAGACAATTAAACAAAATGCACTCCTCACCACTCCTCATTCAACGCAATGTGGAAAACACAGACAAATTCGTCCCAGACTTACAGTATAAGTATGTACAGAATTGTGTACACACTCGTACTTTACTGAATCTGGAAGTATATACAGTACATACTACTTGTAGTATATATACTATAAATTCTGTTGAATTATAACCCAAACAGACACCCCGAGCCTCGTAAAACACGCAAAAATGATCGAATTTCTTATATTTTTTGAAACCCCATTTATATACACCATACACACTCTCAGTGAAATTATCACGTCAAAAAATCAACCCAATGATAACTTCAACACCTGGCATAATCAAAGAGCCCCGAACCTTAAATCCTAATAATTGGAGTTTTTTAATTTTTATTTATATTCATATTTATATTTTCATAATTAAAATCTGTAAGACTACAATATGTATGTACTACACCAAACACACTGTGTCAACTTTTTAAATCCATTCATTAATCATACATAACTGTAGCTCCTCCACCACGACTTTTTACCGTCTTGGGGCCTCATCCTGCTGATCATAAGAAGGATCAACGGCGCCCATGAGCAACTTGACCAGCCACAGAGTGGGGGTCAGATCAACTCCCAGACGAGCCATCTCATCCTGCTCAGTTTCGTAGTTGGAGGTACAATCGACCATACCTCCGACATGAGGATCGTTGTCCAGCTGGCCCAGGAAATCTCGTGCCTTGAGATCGTTTCCAACCTGGGCAAATTGGAAAGCCACGGCTCCGGGACCGTATCGGGTCTGAGTCAGAGCCTGCTTGGTTCGCTTGATCACGTCAAAGATCTTACCGTGAGGCTCTCCAGCGGGGGTTCCATCGGTGATGGTGATGACCAGAACGGGCTTCTTGAGACCGCCCTGTCGAGCGGGACCCACAACCAGGGGCTGGATGACGTTGGCGTCCAGAGAAGAGCCCAGAGGAGTCAGACCGGAGAACTTGGCCTGAGCGACAAGAGCCTGGGCAGCCTGCTCGCTGGCAATTCCATTACCCTTGAGCGAGTGGTTGTTGAGGAATCGCACCTCGATACCGTCTCGGTCAAACAACGAGGCGGCGTAGGCACATCGGCCCAGAATGAGCTTGAGATCGTCGATTCGCTCACCGTTCTCCTCAAAGGCCATGGAACCGGAGTCGTCCACAAAGAGGACAATGTCATATAGAGCCAGTCGCACCAGATCGACAGCAATCTCCATGGGCATGTTCCACTGGCCGGCAACTTGCTGGATTTGGGTGCTGATGGAGCCTGCAATCTGCTGGAGAGCCTGGGGAGGGTAGAAGGCCTCGAGATGGTTCTCCTGAACCGCCTTCTGCAGCATCTGCAGGTACTGGCCCTGGTTGGCTCCTCCTCCCTGGGTGGGGGGAGCGCCGTACTGTCCTTGCTGCTGGGGAGGCTGTCCGTACTGGCCCTGCTGCTGGGGAGGCTGTCCATACTGGCCCTGCTGCTGGGGAGGCTGTCCGTACTGGCCCTGCTGCTGGGGGGGCTGTCCATACTGGGACTGGCCAGGAGGAGCGCCAGCGGGAGGTCGGTTGTACTGGCTGGCTCCGTATCCTGCAGCGGCTCCTGCGGCGGCTCCTGCGGCGGCTCCTGCAGCTCCGTAGCCTCCATGCTGGCCGGCGCCCTGCTGACTATAAGCGGGGGGTTGGCCCGGTCTAGGGGGTTGTTGGGGAGCTCCATATTGGCCCTGCTGCTGGGGAGGGGCTCCGTACTGGCCACCCTGAGGGGGCTGGCCATATTGGCCCTGCTGTTGAGGGGGCTGGCCATACTGACCTTGCTGTTGGGGAGGTTGTCCGTATTGTCCCTGCTGAGGGGGAGGAGCTCCATACTGGCCCTGTTGCTGACCAGGAACCGGGTAGGGCGCTTGTCCGGGAGCTCCACCGGCCGATCCGCCAGGAGCACGGGGCGGAATGCCTCCGGGAGCCCCTCCGGGGGCTCCTCCGGGAACGCCTCCGGGTGGGGCGCCTCCCTGGTTGGCCTGAGCGGCTGCTAGTTTGCTTGCGAGACCCATCCTTGTGTTTGTGTGTCTTTTCTTTTCTGCACAGCGGTTGTTTCTCTGTGTGGCTTCTTTTGTTGGTGTCAATTGAATTACTTGCAATTGAGCAATTGGTGGTGGTGAAGAGGAAGAAGAAAGATAGTTCGACGACGTGGTTTATCTGTGTGCTTGGCCGTCATGTGTTATATCTGGTGGCACAAACACCCCAGCCGCTAAAGTTAGAGTTGCTTCCCCGGAGTTGTCTGCACGAGGCCCAAAAAAAGATAAAAAAAGATAAAAAAAAAGAGGGCAGTGCTGGGCGAAGCAATGATGGGCGGAGTCGCTCCAACCAGGTCATGTGACCAAACAGGTAGGAAAAAAACATACAAAAAATACCTCGTCGGACTGACGAAGAGGGCGATTGATGACATCTCAGAGCAAAAAAATATAAAAAATATCACCTCATCCTTCTGCCACCCTAATTAACTTAACTTTGCGGTGTTACTGACGAAATGACTGACAGTCGAGGAACGAGACGGAACAACCTCAGCTAAATTATAAAAATAAAAATAAAAATAAAACTGTGGATAATTAAAAATGGTAAAAATAGTGAAAATAGTGGATCAATAATGGCTCAATGCCCATGACTGGAATAGCATGGTCGAATGAAAGGAATTTATCATAACCATAAGACAACGCTGAAAAACAGGTACAAATGACCCCCAAATAATACCTCCATGTGCACCTCCGACCTACCTTCTATGCATCTCCATGCACTTTGACGTCAGAGAAATAATGCAATATAATACAGGTTTGTACTCATACCCCAATTGCAGTAGGCAGACATGGACTGTCACGTGATCTGGGCTCAAAAAGAGTCTTCTTTTCGGAGTAAAAATGAGTCTCCAATGTCGGAGTACAATGTCGCCATTGCGCTGTTGGTGAGGTAATTGATTCCTGGCGGGGTGGTGTTTTCTGTTAAAATAAAAAAAGGCACCTGAATTATGTGCATTATAGGGAGCTGAGCTACAAGACGCACCAAAAACGCATTCTAAAAACGTGATGTGGATCCACCTACTACTGCGCACGATCAGATGATGACTCTGTTTTGCCCGGAGTTAACTGGTGGCGACTTGTGGGCTTGAGTCACCGGCAAATAATGTTCTAACCGTCGTGCCGGACTGCCGCCATGCACGGTTATTTTGAAGCGGCGAAAAATAAATGTAAAAATAAAAAGATCAAAATATATATAAATTAAAAATCAAAAACCACTTGCAAGCGGAAAAATGGAGTGAGAGGGAGGCATTCATATGTTTCTAGATTCATGAGAAATCGACCATGGCCAATGTATCGTAATAAACCCGATTTCCGCTTATATCCGATCCGGAGTGTGTGAATAAATTATAAATTTTGGAAAATATGAAAATGCGAAAATACGAAATTATCTCCATAATGGGAAACTTCTGAACCATCTAAGGGAGCATTCATAGGTACTTGTATTTTTTGTAAAAATTGAATAAATTTATATTTATGAACTTTAAACGTCAGGTTCCGATTACAAAATATCGAATAAATTCTGGAAAAGATTCAGCAGAAAATATAAAGGTGTTTATTCACGTACAACTAAAAGTAGCTACAAGTACTTGTACCTCTTTCTTACACTCACTACTTGTAGTAATTCAATCAATTTTCATTCATTTTTTTGATTACCATAACATTAAAACCTGCCAACTCCAATAAACAAACCATCATAAATACCATGCACAATGTCATCCTACTAGTAGACACCTTTTCAGCGTCTTCCACTTGAATTCTTCCTTAGAATCTTGCCCAGACAGGAGCACACTTGAGTCTCGAGGCTGTGAGGAAGAGGAACGAAAAAATGGTCATTCCTCCGGTGAAACAAATGAGACCAGTCCAGCTGGCGGTTCCGTACACAGCTCCAGCAACAGGAGGACCGATCAGAGAGCCCAACGAGGCAACCATGTAACAGGTGCCGTATCGAGTTCCAAAAGACTTTGTGTCTGAGATCTGTCCGATACAAACGGGGGTCAGGGAGATGAAAGAGCCCGAAGTGAAGCCCCACAGAACGGCAAACACAATGTAGACGGCAAACTTGTTGCTGGTGGGCAGCCAGACTGCGAAGATGAAGAGGGCGGTGGAAGAGATGGACGCCAACATGGTGTTGAAACGGCCCCATTTATCTCCTGTCCAGCCGGTCACTAGACGTCCAGCAGCGGATCCGGCGTTTGAAATGGCAAAAATCCACCATCCAAACGAGTCTTCCCCCTTGCCTCCAATCTCCTGTTCGATACCATACTTTCCGAGGTAGGTGAGGGGCACAAACAGAGACAGCTCCATGGCAAAGACGGAAATGACCAGCAGAGTGAACCGCATGTCCTTGAACGCGGTAAGATCGACAGCGGCGGGTTTTTTGGCGGTTCGAACTGAAGGAGTGACTCCAGGGTTGGCTGCAAGCTCGAGTTTCTCCTCAATATCGACAATCTCAGGTCCTCGAGAGTCGCACAGAATGATGGCAACAATGAGAAGACCCAAATAGACGAATCCCAGAATTCGCATGGCCCAGGGGAACCCGTAGGCCGTGATGCAGACTTTCATGACAATGGGGAAAACCACTCCTCCTACCGCTCCTCCACAGATGGCGATGCCCGAGGCCAGGCCTCGTTTTTCGTTAAAGTAATGTGAGACGCAACTGGGCCCAACAACAATCAAAACGGAGCATCCGATACCGGTGCAGATACCGAACGACAGCATGAACTGCCAGTAGTTTGTGGACTCTGCTGTTGTGAAGGTTCCCAGCACAATGAGACAGGCTCCAAAGATGTTGAGCAGCCGGGAGCCATACCGGTCGAAGAGAGGGCCGATCTGGACACCCAGGAAGAAGGACAGAAACGCGTAGATGCCGAAAATCCAGCCAATTTTCTGCTCGCTGTCGTTCTTGAGGTACGTTTCGGAAATGTACGAGTTGACGGAACCAATGGTGTTCATGATCCCCAGAGACACCACAAGGCCACAGAAGGACCCAAACACCACCGTCCAGGCCTTTCGGCCGCCCTCCGGGTACAGAGGCGGGATATCAGAAAAAGTGTCTGACGATGAGTGTGTTGACAACATGTCGTGGTTGTCAACAATGTGGGTTGGGGGTGGTTCGTCCCCGTGGCGGTGGTTGCCTTCATTGTCGGAGCTGTGCCTGTGGGTGTGTTCTGAGCTGTGGGACGAGGTGGGTTCGACCAGATCCGAAAGCTGGTGTTTTTCGTCCGTTTCCTTGTCTTGGACTTCTCTTCCTGTCTCCAGATCAAGGGGTGCGCTTGGGGTGGTTCGGGTGCTCTCTCGGGTCTCCGATCGGTAAATGACTCCGGCGTCCTCCAGCTCCTGGGCCACTAATCCCACGGGGTCGCGTTGGTACGAGTATTCCATGCTGTTTAGACAAAGGCGAAAAGACGTTGGCACCGATGACGAGGGCTCTGGTTCTTATAACTGCTGCTTTTCGTGAGACTCATGACTTTTTGTGCACATTGGAGCGAGCTTGGACTAGGCGTCGGGAAACCACCCCCGAAATGCAGGTCGAGTTTAAAAATTGACCATGATTATTGAATTAAAAAAGTGATAGAGGGCGGCCAAAGGGACGCCAAAAGACGGGAAAATTGGGGATTTTATGAGATAAATCTGACTATTGGAGTCCATAAAACAATACTATTTGTTTTTTTTGCTTGTGCCCCCCCAAAATTGTCTTCAAAATGCCGTCTTTCAGCCCTCCCCATTTTTACCCTCGTATCTCAATCCATTTCAGAGTTTAATGCTTTCCGTCCCCCATCAATAATCAGTCATAAACGTCCTCATAAGGACATGGCGAGCGAGCTGGTCTAGAAAGCGATACGGACTAGTCATCATTTGCGGCTGAATTTTAAGACGGTGAAAAAGTCCCGTCTAAAAAATCCTGTCTAAACACTTTGTCGCTTCTCCCATTTAGCCGCCTGCTGCCCACCCTACGAGGATGACGACGAACGTTTGACGTGACTGTTTACTTTGTGGCTTACTTAGCAAGGAAAAAACGTGCCAATAACGCTACTAATTCGATACAAGCGACAAAAACGGCCTCGAACGACCCTGGACTGTGTAAGTAGCATGGTAGATGCAGATACGGAAGGCGGCTAATTCGAAACCGGGTAAAATGTCACGACGAGACAGATTGGGCTTGTAGGCGAGCGCAAGTATGACTGTCTGGTATTGTCCAGAATGGGTTGTATTGTCCAGAATGGTTTGTATTGTCCAGAATGGTTCGTATTGTCCAGTATTGTCTAGTATTTTGTCCAGTATTTTTCCAATTTTCCAATTTTTTAATTTTTCCAATTTTCCAATTTTTTAATTTTTCCAATTTTCCAATTTTTTAATTTTTCCAATTTTTCCAATTTTTCCAATTTATCCAATTTATCCAATTTTTCGTAATTCAATTTAATTATCGCCAAAATTCAATAAAATCAGAATAAAACAATTCTACTCCGTAAATGACTTTGTATCAAAGAAATCACACGCGACTACAATAAAACACCTCGCCCTGTCGCTCCTCCTCGCGGTAGTCGCTCTTCGTATCCTTCTCGGGAGACCTGTAGCAACAGAAACAGCATTTGGGAGCGAGTGTGGGGGAACAAAAAAAAAAAAAGAATATTCGGAAATGCGGGGAAATTCTGAGAAATCGGGAACTTCAGGGAAAAATCGAGGAAAATCAGGGAAAAATCAGGGGAAAATCAGGGAAAAATCAAGGAAAATCAGGGAAAAATCGAGGAAAATCAGGGAAATTGCAAACTTCAGAGAAATCGGGGAAAATCAGGGATTGTCACATCTAAAATCATCTCCTCACTCTTGACTATTGACTCTTGGCTCAACCAAAACCCACCGCAAACAATTCCTCAGCTGATCATAAGCTGATATGAGAAGTAAATATAGCCGCTGCTGCAGTGAGCAACACCACATTCTAAGCAACTGTACAAGTACTTGTGCCGCAAACACCGACAGAAGAAAAAATAAACCTCAATTAATCAGCCCAATTTGACAGCAGAACCGTTCTAAGCCGCGTCATAAGCCCAATCATATCATTTCTCTTTTTCCCGCCCAATTCACCGCTCCATATTCGACCTGCATGCGTTATCACGTTGAGTTTGGGCGGATTTGGCCTGCGTTAGTATACCATAGAGACACTATGACAAGTTGAAAACGCGACAAGTACGAGAAATACGAGAAATTCAAGTGGGAATTGCAATTATATCACGTGACCTCCACCCTCCCCACACGCACGCGGTCCACCGCCAGACAGTTTTGCCTGTGCTGTCAAGACACATCGCACATGCAGCAAACTCAGATAGACGACAGACTCGGTGATACTTCCAGCACATCACCAGTGACACCACCACAGTTACACAAAGACACACTAAAGACACACGCGTTCTCTGTCTAATGTTCCGAATCGCCCGAACACGTCTTATGCCCGGTCTCCTGGGTCTCACAACCGCCACGGTGGGTCTCAGTATGGCCTCGTCTCTGCACATGCCACGCATCTACGCCGACGGTCTTCAACAGCATCCAGTGTCTCAGCAGCAGGTGATCAACAACGTGAACCGTGACGTGGAGCGGGTTTCGCAGCAGGTGGAGCAGGTGGGCAAGAAAGTCGACTACCAGCAGCTCACCATCGGCTCGTTTGTGGGGCTCATCAGTGGAGTTGTGATTGGCAAGTTTTCCAAGATTCTCGTGTGGGTTCTGGGAGGCGCGGGTCTGCTGATCCAGTTTCTCAAGAGCCGGGGAATTGTCGAGAGCAACCCTCTGACCTCAAAGTCGTTCCGAGAGGGCGTCTACCACAAGCTCAAGGGCGTTGCCATGGTTCTGGGTCTGGACGAGACCGACTACCAAGAGCTCATCAAAGACAAGCCCTCGTTCAATGTCGCCTTCTTCCTCTCTTTCCTTGTTGCCGCCTGGAATATTTAGACAATTGTCCATGTAGAGAATACATCTCATGTATTGGTAGGTGGCGATTTTTACTTAGACGGGTGAAATGTAGGTGGATTTTAGTCGGGGAATTACTTGACATTAAGGAGTTTCTTAATTAAACATTCAACAATGGTAGATGGGTATAACAAGAGCCAACTAAACACTCCACTTTCGGTACCACACTTCACTTTCAGTACTGCACCAGAAATGTCCGGGGCGTCTCAGACTTGGACCGCAAGATATAAACCGTCAATCAATCCTCAGGGGAGCATCTTAAAGCCCTTTCAACCCCCCCAATAGACCCGAATATCTCTTTACAATGGCCCATCAAATGCACGAGGAACTCAAATTATCCCAAAGTTCACCACTCTTAGATCGTCTGAAGTCAGCACAGCTGTTACTCCATTGACCTCCAGCAATGACCAAGGCAGCACGCGTTTCGCCCATCAAGAAGCTTGGCCAGTCCACCGCGGCCTGTTCCACCGTTGTGAGTATGAGTGGTGACCGGAAGGAGTAGGGATCTAGAGGTGACCGGGAGCGAGAGGCCCTAGGAGCAAGAGGCGACCAATAGAACGGGTCAGACAAGCAGTGTTCACGTACGTGATCCGAGGTATTCTCCAACCACTCTAACACAGGCGTCGGCATACGGCAAATGCATCTTGGAAAACTATCAGACCGTGTCCAAGGACATGTGCCAGCAAGAGTTTGCCAAGTTCAAGGACTGTGTCCAGAAGCAGATGGGCAGGAAGTGGTGATCTCGACGGAGTAGACCACAGCCCCGTTTCCCCCATGTATATAGATTAATTTTATTGACCAACATTGAAGTTGACCTGAGGACAGTCCAACTCATGCTCTGTGAATGGCGATGGACCTGCTGAGAAGAAGAGAGAATGTGATTTGAGAGGCGAAAGTATCTGGCATCTTTGATACTGGAGCGGAGCCGTAGATAGCCCGAGACAACCAGTTGATCGCCGTGACTACAAGTACAGTTTACTCATTAGTGAGCTCGAAAACATGATCCAATGGTCCGATAAGTACAACGCTCAGTTCTGTTGCTCAGTCGAATAATCACATGTTGGATACATTTCCCGCTTCTCATTTCGTTTCGTTTTATTTTATACCGCATCCTAATCATATTCCCACTCGCAACCAAGCGTAGGATCAAATCAAATCAGGAAAGAATGATATTTTTAATAAACCAAAAATAAAGCATTAGGAACAGCACAACCTTCAGAATCCTCAAAATCTCAATATTCATTTTTTTTTCTAATGATATTTTTTTTTTTTGTGTATAGGGAAATAAATTTCAGCTACTGGCCTAAAACGATGTTATACCCGTAAATCTGATTCGGATTCGGATTCGACTGTTCAGAAGAACGCATGACATTCGTGCTCGCTCGTTCACGTATGCTTTTTTTTTACATTTCAGCTATTTTCTTGCATTTTAATAATTCATTACAGATTACGTAATCGGACGTCACAGTGACAACTCCAGGTTTTCGGTTTTCATGTTAGGGATCAGCGGCTAAGAAATAGCCGCCTGATTAGTCTCTCGTGAACCGCTAGCGGAGACTACGACGAGGGGCCACCACGTGGGCCCTCAGTGGGATTACGCTATCATTAATATCGATATGCCAAGCCTGCTATCACGGACAAAGGGCTGCGCCGCAACCCTGGATAACATATAAACCCCTGTATTCCATGTATTCTAATACACCTTTCTTGAGAGTGACGGCAGTGACCATACCTTCGGTATGGCCACCCCGGCTGAGTCATCAGTCGGCTTAGTCACGGGGCCTGGGTTCTAACATTTCAAATGTAATCTTGGCCCGATGGTTTAGTGGTATAATTCTCGCTTAGGGTGTCCTAGGCAATTTGCGAGAGGTCCCGGGTTCAATTCCCGGTTGGGCCCATTATTTTTACAAGTATTTTTGCGGCGCATTGCCAATCAATTTTTGCTTAGTAAGAAACCTAGGATTTTCAGTCGAGTAAAACCAAGATTGAAGGGTATATACACAATTAATGGTATTATCAGAGCGATTAGAGAAGACAGGCAACGTCCTTTTTTAGGAGATTTGACTCGTGATGGCGTATGTATGTTTCTAGAGACTTTTGAGAGTAGTTCGAATCACAAATCCATGAATATACCCTGTAGAACTACAAAACTTGGCCAGTAATAAATAGTGGAGTAAATAAAAGTCCCAAACTGTTCAGATTTATCACCAGATTTCTCCTTCCAGACTTATAGTACCTTCAATGATAAGGTTCGCAATTTGTCAATTAATCTGGTAGAACCGTTTTACAAGTATGTCAAAAACCGACCTGATAATCTGATTAAAATGACAGATTCAAGTGGTACCCGACTCATCTAAGCCGGGCGAACATTACAGAGCCAATATTCCCTACTTTGAAAAGTTTGGGTCTGAACGGCACGTGACTGGAGAGGTTCTGACAGACCCCCAAGTGGACCATGGTGTAACAAATTTCTCACTAGACTCGATTTAAATTACCAGTGTTTAGTGAGATGTTCTTAAAGAAAGGAACTTGTAAATATATGCAAAAAAAAATGCAAAAAAATGCAAAAAATGCAAAAAAATGCAAAAAAACAAAAAAAAAAAAAAAAACAGTAGGTATCTTCTACAATCTCCATTCCCATGAAATGCTGAATTTTTAGTGGTCACATTTCGTCTCACCGCTCATTCCTAATAGTATTGTAACTTGTATCATACTCGTACACTCCGTCAACTGCGTAGCCGCATGTTGTCTCAGCTTCGTGTAGGATCGACACATTCTAAAGTAGAATGTGAAGATCACGCATAGAATGAATGACGGTTTATGAATGCTAACATAGCGGCTATGGCCACATGGGCATGCGGGGTAGTTGGTGGATGAGCTACGAGACGAGAAACTCGGCACAAGTGTTGGCTGCGAGTATTCAACCTGCAATTTCAGTTGGGGCCTTCGCAGTGCCCTCTTGGTATGCTATGATGATTGGGTTGACATCAGTACATACTGGTATCAGTGGAAATAATTTCGGAGGTTGTGTGGACGAAGCAGGAGCTGAAACGGGGCTGTACGGCATCGACTGAGAGCCGCGGAGTCGTCGTAAGAGCCTCGATCCAAATCTCCGAGCCTCTTGTTATTGGCCATGTGACTTGTACGCTAGACGAGTGGGCATTGGAGACTCCGCTGTAGAGTATACTATGGTAGGTGTGTAAACAATGCCAGAGTATGGAAATGTACTGTGCAGTACAAGTACAAATAATACACAGCAAGCAAGACCTTACATAAGCGACACCGCTCAGTGCGCTCTTCCAGCCCTGTCCCTGTTCCCATTGGCACACTCGGCCAAAAAATATCACAGGTGCATTCTCAGACGCAAGTCCGGAATGTTTCTTTTGCAAATTGGTCCTTTTCGGCTCCACTACAATTTTTTAGGTTGGGAGGCGGGATGGACGGGGGGGGATCAAGAGGCGGATTCTTGGGGTCAACCCGATGGATTTTGGCGGTTGTAAAGACGAATCCGGGACAAGACGGCCACCAGAATCCATATAAACCAACCGTCAAAGCTGTGTCAGACCAACAACCAGCCGAAATCAACTCCCAAACTCCCACAGCCCCGACCTAATGGGAACACTCGTCACCAGTGACATACATAAGAATGTAACTTTGAGGGAGGTGCGTGTCGACGTGTAGACCGCGTAGAAACGTGTCAATGACCTTCCTAGAGCCGGAAACGGCCCAAAAAAGGAGCAATGTGGCCGAAACACGCCCAATAACGTGACCAGACATACCAACCCTCTCCCTTGCGGACGACTTCCCCTTCCTGGCGCCGTGTCTCAAACGGGGTTGCTGCGCAACGTGTGTGTAGACCCAAACCTTGTTGTATCTAAACATGCATGCACGGTCCCATAGCCAAAAGTGCTAATAAGTTGGACCGTTATACAGCTCTCTACAACCAAACATACACACACACACACACCTGCTACAGCATACGCCCAGCTAAACCGGCTTATATACTGCTCACAAATAAATGTCGCGGGATCGAATGTTTGGCTCTCGTCTGACATACGGCCGGCGCAACAAGTCGTCGTTTCTGCGAGAAAAACAGGAGGAGCAAATGCTGTGGGACCAGCAGGAAACGTCAACGTCTTCCAACAACCCCAACCGTCACTCGGGCGTGCTCAAGGAGTCGTCGCACTCCAAGAACAACTCCGTCTCGTCGCTGGCTGCGCTCAAACGACGATCTTCCAGCAACACCGCATCCCTCGTCTCCAGGGACAACAACAACAAGGAGAACGAGAACATTGCTCTGCCTCGAAAACTCGACAATGCTCCCCGCTCCCGGCCGCTGTCGATGGTCTCGACCTCGTCTGTATCATCCACAGGCTCGTCGACTCGAACAGTCTTGCTCGATAGAGTGTCCAAGGCCTTCTCTTCTCTGTCTTCCGACCATGGATCAAGACGGACTTCGGTGGTCCAACAGCCTCCTCACACCCCCAAGCGGCAGATGAACCCTGAAAGTCGATGGTCCATGACCACGGGCACGAACACACCCAGCACACACACAGGTAGCACCCCTGCGGGCCGCACGTCATCTCTACGACGCTCCTTTGTCGAAAACAATCTCAACTCGTTGCTTGCAGATGAAGATCTGGACCTGTCCTTGCATCAATACTCTTTTGACAACAAAGATACAGCTTCTAATTCAGGAGACGTTTCTATGGAGTCAGCTCACAGTATCACTCTCCAGAATGACGACCACGACCACGACCACGATGTCAGCATGAACAGTCACCCCAGCAACGCCTCTCTGGTGTCCATCGTCTCCAAAACCGGTCACGGACGAAAAGAGTCCGCTACCTTCTACATGCTCGAACCCCCTCAACAATCAAACTCTTCTCTGCATTCATACTCACACCACTCTCAGTATAACAACTCACAACATTCGACACCCTACAGACAGTCCCTCGCTCCAGCTCAGTCGCTGCGACAAAAGATTTCGCTCATGTCATTGGAGAAACATGAGCCTCTGCGACGAAAACACATTTCAAAAGAAAGCATTTCCACCCCTCGGGAGCTGTCCAAGGACGAGCAGCGAAAGGGATCCACTTCATCCCACTCGTCCTTCTTCTCCATCAAGTCTTTCCGATCGCAACACAATCAAAACTATGAAGATAGAACCCCCTCGCGGTCGTCTACTGCCTCTTCTCTGGCCAGCATGTCATCCAACCATTCTGAAATGTCCATTAAACGGTCCTTCAGTGACGTGAGAAAGTCCATCTTGTCCCTCCGAGGCTCCAGCTCGTCCAGCAACTCCGACTCCAGAGGAAACAGAAGATCCTTCCTGGGAAAACGGACCAACGAACCGGCTATGGCACACGTCAAAGCCCAGATCTCGCTGCCCACACCAGACAATCTGTCACGTGACAAGCTGCGAAACAAACTGAAGGCGTCGACGTCACTGCTGTCGCTGACCCGGTCGGAAACAGACACATCTCAAGTCGTGGCCATGCCATTTGAAGACCTGCGGACCACCCAGCTGTCCACTCTGCTCAACTTGTGCGACTGCGGAGAGGTCGTCGATTTCACCTTCTTCCTGGACTCAATTCTGTCTGACCACAGGCAGGGAGCTCTGGTGAAGCTCGCCGAGGCGTCTTACTCGGAAGTCTTCGCGCGAGGCTCGTCCGTGTTCAAAATCATCCCCTTTGGAAACGACGAGCAGGAACAGTCACCTGTCAAGGACATTATCCAGGAACTGACCATCGCAAAGACCGTGCAGTCGTTGGAGGGCTTTGTCAAGGTCCTAGGGGCCACTGTGTGCCGAGGCAAGTACCCGGACCACCTCATTGGTCTGTGGGACGACTACGCCAACTTCAAGGGCTCAGAGAGCCACCGACCCGACTTTTACTCGGACAACCAGCTCTTCTGTATCGTTGAGCTCGCCAACTCGGGTACAGATCTCGAGCATTTTGAACTTGAGAGCTGGATGGAAGCCGAGTACGTTTTCTGGCGCGTCGTGAGTTCCATTGCCGAGGCTGAGTCCAAATTCCAGTTTGAGCACCGGGACCTGCACTGGGGCAACATTGTCATTCAGCGAACCGCGCGTCCTGATATCGAAGAGAAGCTCGCCAACATGTCTCTGGATGACCTGGACAATGCTGTGTTTGACGACGAAGACGACTTTGTAGCTCCAAACCTCAAGGTGACTCTCATCGACTACACCCTGTCGCGAGCTCGAGTTCCCGCTCGATACGGCATTGACGACGGAGCCGTGACGACAGTCTTCACTGGTCTGGACCATCCCGACTTTTTCCGAGGCCGGGGCGACTATCAGTTTGACATCTACCGTTTCATGCGGGTGCTCATCAACTCCGCCACGTCAGAGATGAACTCTGTCGCGAATTGCGGAGCGTCCATCAATTCGTCCCACAGTTCACTATCGTCGGTGGCGTCCAACAAGCGTGATAGCAATGAGACCGATTGGTCACTGTTTGCGCCCAAGACCAACATCATGTGGCTGCATTACCTGGCAACCAAGCTGCTGGAGAACAAGGGCCTGTCGCACGTGACCACCACTCGGTCTGGACGGCTGTCGTTTGGTACCTCCAACACGTCGCTCCGATCGGCGTACCTCGCTGGAGAAACTATGGAGGCTGGTCATCACATGTCCAACCCCCACGAGGAGGCTCGGGCATGCAAGTCGCTCAACACCGTGACTCGGTGCATCGATCCTCGACGAAAGAAGCTAGGAGGCAAGCGATCCGGTACCGCCATGGTGTTCCAGGACTTTGACTCCGCGTCTGACGTGCTCGAATGGGGCTTCAAGAACAATCTTATTCCCGAGGGGCTGTTGTAAAAACAGAACCCAGTTTGGAGCAGACAAAATCACTATCTATACATTAATATTATTCATGCGTTTTTTTGAGTTGGTGCAGCATTGGGAGCGGTCATCTGGGCAAAGATATACTGACTGTAACAGCGACCTGCTACCACGCCTGTGTCATCACATCTCCCACGATCCAACGGTAGAAAAAAACAAAGATACTCACATAAGGAAGCCATCGAAGATATATCGACCCCATCAGGCGGAGTTGGCTTACTGTGTGGAAGTTCCAACAACGCCAGAGTGGGAGAGGGTCGTGGCGACTGTGTTGTTTGGGAAGTGGCACAAACAGGGTTGGGAAGAGCGCTGAGAAGGAGACAAGGAAAAGAATGGTGCTTTCAAGATGAATAATGTGAGCATTGCAGGCCTAAAGTTGACGTGTGAAGAATGGTGCTAGGGAAAGCTACGTTGGATCTCCCTGGTCTGTGAGAGTGACACAGCTGATGTGTTGACCGTGTTGGTTCCATGGTGCTGTTCTCGAGCGGTGAGGAGTAAGAGGAAGAAAGGAGAGAATTGAGTTGGTGTCAATGTGGGATGAATTAAGGTGGACGGACTTGGTGGCCCGATTGAGGTGGCCGGAGTTAAGGTGGTTGGATGAGGTGTGCTGCATGACCCTGCATGATTCTGCATTATCTGGCAGAGAAATATCAAGGACAAGAAAATTTTATTCTATTTTTATTTTTATGAGTGAAATGTCATAGGGCAAGTAGAAAATGAGTGCGGAAATATACTGGAGGATGAAGTCGGAAACTGTAGTGGAAGCAGGAAACTGTAGTGGAAGCCGGAAGCTGTAGCGGTTCTATATTACTATTTCCGTGGTCTGAAGATTGACTTGGTGGAAGTGGCTGACCAGCGGACTCTACCAGGTTGCTACGTTATAATACTCATTTAGTGTTGGAATTAATACCCGGTAGGAGGTGGAAGATTCCTCACTCAGTCATGAGAGGGACCTGCTGGTCGTATACGGGATGTCTGTCTTGTAGATATTGATTTTCTGATACGGTACATACATACTCTGGTGTGTGTCTATCGGAACATGGTGTCCCTAGAAGTGGGTTGTAAGTCGTTACACCAACAGGGATCTAATCAGATATATGGTCTTCATTATTCGGTACATAATAATCTGTTTAGTATACCATACCTTCGAACAGCTTGAAGAACTGCAACATGGCATTGAAAACAAAACTGAATACACCAGTTGTTAAGACGCGCAATGCAAGTGTCTCAATTGAGATTGGGGGACTAGGAAGACGATGATTTGTACTACAAGATCATCAACTCTTGTCTCTTACCGGCAGTTTTCGTAATCGCTCATTGCTGGACCATCAATTGCTGGGGGTACAACATATTGGTTTGCGGCAAGTTGAAGGACTCTTGAGGGCGAGCTGCCAAAGTTCTACCGCGTGGGTTCACAAGAAGGAGATTGTCGTGTGTACCCTCAGACCAAGATCTATCAACATCGCTTGCACGCTGTTCAATGCAATACTGGCTACGAGATCTACGCATCGATATGTCAAACAAGCAGCGATAACTTGGAAAGATGATCTATATTTCAACACACTACTCTAGTTACTTCACTGTCAACCTCTCAGAGACTCCCTCAAATACCGACTGGCACTTCTTCGTCGCAGCTCCTTTCCATAAATGATCATAGGAACAGTTAGAATCACAGGAATGAGACTGAGACAGCCGGCCGAAACGTAGGTGTTTTGCAATCCAATACTGTCTACCCATGGGCTCATGCAAAAGAGAATCATCATGGCGAGTCCGTTTCTGATCACAATGACCCCAATGAATGCGTCTGCCACAATCTTCTCGTAGCAATCAACTAGATAGGTGACGATGATGGCACCTGCTGATCCGAAGCTGAAGGCTACGACGGCAAACCCCACAGTGGGAACCATCCAATGAACGTGGTTAGCAATGGAAATTCCGAACATGAACATGCCAATGGTCATGGTGAAGTTTGCGAAAACAAGACTGTAGAGTCGGAATTCCGGCTCGTAGACACCATTGTTCCTCTTAGAGAGCCATATGATGGTCTTGTCGTTGAACCAGCCGCCGTAGATACATCCAAAAAGACATCCAATGAAGGGCGAAATGTTCACATTGCCGATTCCGGCGGAAGAGAAGTTGTAAGGTGGGTCTGCAAACGAGTTGGAGACGGTGGTGGATGCCATGGACAGAAATGATAGCAAAAAGCCGTATTGGAGAGCTGAAAAGGAAACAATGGGGTAGGAAACCAAGGTGAGAAAAGGAGTGAAGAGCTTTCGAACAAACTCTTTAAATGAGCCGGGGTTGTAGGTAACCAGAGCGAGTCTCTTAGACAATGGGTTCATTTGTATCTCCGGGTCGATGAAGACTTCTCTAACGGCTTTTTCGGGGGGCGATTTGTCCGATCCAGTCTTCTCCAACTGTCCCATCTTCTGCTCGTCTGTCTCCGCCTGTTCGGTCTCTGACATGTCTGAGAGGTCAGTAGAAACAAGCACCACGTCTGGGGCCGTATAGTTGGTCTCTTCAAAGAAGAAGACGGTCATGACAAACTGAACAGCGGCAATAATGGCCACAATGATGTACACCCATCTCCAGCCGAGATTGACAGTGGCATAGCCCGCGGGAACTAGCACTATGAAGTTGCCAACCGCTACCACGAGCATGTAGATGCCATTGAAAGTTCCTCTTTCGTGCACAAAATACAGATCGGCGACTGTCATCTGGATGATTGTTTCGGTGACACTCACGGCCAATCCCTGGAGAAACTGAGAGCCGTATGCTTCTCCAATCGAGTTCATGCCGGCCTGCCAGGCTGCCGTAGCCACCACCAGAGCCGAGGCCACCAGGTAGACGGGCCGTTTGCCAAACTTGTGGGAGAACGGAACCAAAATTGGACATCCCAGACCTAGGCCGGCCACAGAAATGGCGTAGGTGTTGTTCAGCTCGGAAAAGGTCCATCCGAATTCGGCCTGCCACGGTCCCCACAAGACAGAAGACACGTCGGAGGCCGTGAAGGCGATGAGGGTGAAGAAACACACAATGAAGAAGTTGAGGTGTTTGCGCCATCGGGCCCAGTTGAGAGGTTGGTTGGGATCGCAGCTAGGAGCGGGTTGCAGAACAATGGAGTCGGAGGACGTTTCCAGAACCACCGTTCCAGGTGGCTCGAGAGCGGACATGTTTTAGGCGGTCAGGTCAGGTCGGGTCGGGTCGGGTCGGATAGAATCTGGTCTGGTTTGTCGTATTGAAGTGGCATCAATGGTTGTTATATAGAGAAGGAGACAATTCTTTCCATAGAAATTCACACCAAAGAGAGATCATTGTGGCTACAGATTGTATCAGAGTATCATGATAGCCTTAGATCCAAAGTAAACTTACAGGGTCTGGAGGCTAGTGGTACGGTATGAGCACGGTACAGTCTTATAGGTATCTAGAGACGTGTCTGGTTGTATAATAAATGTTTTCTACAGGTAAATGTATCTAATCGCGTCTGTACTACATATTCAGGTCTTCATATACAATGCACTGACTCCCTGTCGTCCCATCCACGACGTTGAACCAATGGTGCAAGAGTTAATCAGACAACTCTGATAAGCCTCGTTGCGGAGATGCCATGGTCTCCACAGAAGTCAAGATAGTCGATACTTCCGCTAAACCACGTGCGGAGCTACTGTATTGTGTTCTTCTAAGACATCCCAGGCGGTGGGGGTTGTGTGAGGTTGTAAGAGTATGGGGAATGAGAGGAAGGAGAATGAGAAGAAGGAGAATGAGAAGAAGGAGAATGAGAGGAAGGAGAATGAGAGGAAGAAGAATGAGAGAAATGAGAAAAAGAAAACTGAGAGAAATGAGAGGTCACACAAAAGGGCAAATTTCTAGAGCGGAAAATGAGCTCCGACTTCGCACCCAATCCCCCAAAGTGAGACATGTCTCACCCTATTAACCTTGAAATAAGTACCCGGACCAAACCTCCGTGGATTTCTCTTCACTATCGGCAGTAGCTCTAAACTAGGGTCTATCTCCGCAGCACTTGTCTCAGCGTTATCTTGCTACCGGGAATATAGATAGTGCAGCTCAACTATCTCCGCTTCTCTTGTTCTTACCTAACAATCTTCAATTCCGCCCAAAAAGAAGTTCCTCGAGATCCGTGGAATCATGAACAGATTGACAATCTCCCGTACAAGCCGCAGATAGGCCAAGGCCGACCGAGAAAGCTCGTATTGATGCGAGGTTTCCGAACGTGGTAGTGACATTGTGTATTGTCATCATATGTCATCTGCAAGTCGTACTACTGGGTTTCAATCTCTAGCCAAACGTTTGACTGTCTGTATCCAGTTTTGTTAGCTTGGTCGAGGGTTCAGTTAGAGGGAAGACACTATGGATATCACCAAAGTACTGTATGTACTACGGTTGTAGAATATGAACCAAATGAGAGGGGAAATGGATCCTTGGAGAAAAATATGACAATTATTTATTTACACCTGCATTTTCTTGACCTCTGAGGGTCTCAGAATCGCAATTTGCAGAATCGCAGGATATTTGTTCAACAGGAACGCATGAGACTGCTACTGAGGCGGTGTGGGGCTCCTGGAACAGCGGAATCTCCTAGACCAGACCCCGTTTCTAGTTTCACTACTACTCCTTCGGCGACAAGCGGAGATATCGAGGATCCCATCACCAACCACCAGTAAACTCCAGGAAGATCTTACCGCCCTTTTCTCCTTGTCTGAGCAATAAATGAATGCTGGTCTGATCACGTCTAGTCAGGTGCACTTGACCAGCTAATGAGCCTTCATCAACACACAGAGAGGATCCCGTTGCTACAAGTTCGGGGTTCCGATCTGATCATGATCCATACTGTCGTTTGCATCATTTGGCATGATGATCCCGTACGACAATGTGATGAAAGATCGGATTATTTTTGTACCAGTCTCGAGTGAATATATCTACTAATTCACCCCCATTATGTCTATGATCAATTATGACGGTCTCAAGCCATTTCCATTGGCAGTTCTTTTAAAGCGGCAGTTTACTACTGTACATACTTGCAGGAGTACAGCACTGTAGCTGATATGAACCAGTTTTTCTCCTGGTTTCACGTGCTGTTTTTTTCCCCCATTTTTTTTCCATTTTCCCCCATTTTTTTCCATTTTTTTCCAATTTCTCAATTTCAATTTTCAATTTTCAATTTTTCCATTTTCCAACTTTTCAATGTTTTCCAATTTTTCAATTATTTTCCGATTATTTTCCGATTATTTTCCAGTTTCAAACAGAAGTTTAAATATAACTTATGGATTTTAAGTCGAAACCCGCACAATCCCTCCTTCATCATCGATACCCTTGACCTGACAGAGACACTTTTGGATTCCCTCTTCGAATTCCCAAAGCATTCTATTCCGTGATATCTTTCTTTTTCTCTTCTCTTGGTAATGCTCAACAACGACACTCTGAGACTGCTCTATGAAGAGTGCTGCTTGGAATCGTGTCTAGCACTTGGGGAGGTGTGTAAGGCGTCGTCAGAAGTGCTGGCGTCACTCGACAAGAGCCTGATTATGAGAAAGGTGCAGGACCGAGCCCCCTGGCTCGAATTAAGTAACGAATACTTGTCCTGGACGAAATGTGCTCGTGTTCTTATTGCCAGAAGCAAAAAGGCTCAGGATGGAAAGTACGACAAGTTAAAAATCATCACCGACCTTCGACAAGTGGACTCAGAGAGCTCAATTGATCTTGTCAGTGTCGAACCAACTGATGTCGGTAGAGATGACACTCTTCGACGGGCCATGAAGCCCTTGTTCCCCTATTCCCGGTTGCAAAACTTGTTAAAACAACAACAGTCTGTGGTCGAAGGAACCAAGGTTCTTTGTGAACTTCAAGAGCTAGATCTCACCACCATGACACTCAAAGTGAGTGATTACGATCCAGAAGACAAACTGTACGCTGAGCGTAACCGCAAGCCCGTGTCTACAGCTCCCTCGGGCCTGAAAGTGAGGCACAGTGAAGGTCAAGACGTGGAGGTAGTGGCGGAAAACAAGACCATGCTACAGGTTCAATATTATGTGGGAGACACCGAGACTGAATTTGATGAGATTGTGCACAAGGCTTCTCAGCCTCGAGACGAGGACGGAACACTTGTTATTGATCCACATATGAAAGCCCCCCGCATCGAGGCCAATTTCAATGTGGATATGGGCATGGTCAATCTAGTACCAGGTTCCGGTGGAGCTCTCGTCATCCAGCACTTCGTTTTGAATCCAGAAAAGTCTTACTTGGGGTACATTGAGCCCTCGTCTGAAAGAAGAGTCGTTGAACTGTGCAAAATCCCCCCACAGGTGCAAACTCAGGGCATTGGCTTCCACCAAGGCAACCAGTGGTTCTACGTTCTCTATGATGGGTTCATTTACATTTACTTGTATGGCCGATTTCTTCAGCTGTGGATTGATTTGGGGGCCGGTCAAAACCGGGCTCTGACTGTCTGGAACTCCGACTTTCCGGCTATTGGCCCATTTGGACATTTCAGAGATCAGAGAGCCACATGGAATATTACCCAGGGAGGTCTAAATGACGATCAAAGGCGATTTGTGACGATCGAAGATGAGCCCTGTGGATGTGTGGTTGGAGACCTCCACACGGGAAAAACGTACTATTCTCGAGGGTCCTACAAGAGCCCCAAGCTGACAATCCCGTTTGCCACAGAGTCCCAAACAGTCGGCTTCTATGTCTTTGATGAGCAAATCTGGGAGTTCATTGATAACACCATGGACAGTCTTTATGGGACAGCGACCAACTATGACATTTCGCTGCTTTACGCCGCCTTCTTGGAGACACATCACAAGATGTTGGGGTTGATAGAGACAGATGAGGAGCCGTCAAAGGAGACACTAGAGAAAGAGCTCAGAGAGCATGTGTGTTGTTTCCCCCGAGATGACTCTGACTATGGAGATTATGAAGATGAAGATGGGCAGGAGGAGGAGCTATTGGAGATGTTGGACGATTTGGAAGAAAGGGTGGAGAATTTGACCATTTAAGGAAAAGTAAATCGCAGTTTACGTGTGATATCGGAAAATGACTTGATTCTCGCTATCAATTAAGTAATAAAGGGGTATTTGAGAGTTATACAATACAGGATGTTTGATCCAGCTACATCAGCAGCAGAGGCAGAAGGGCAAGAGCTCCAATTGTCAGCTTGTCTCCAGAGTTGGCCTGGGCAACAGTGGAAGGAACCGCGACCACAGAAGTGAAGTTGGCTTGAGTAGGAGCCAACGGGGTTTCGAGGACTCTGGTGACAAGAATAGTTCCAGTGATGGTGGTGGTGAGGCCGCTAGACACGAGAGTCTTGGTGGTTAGATGAGTCTCCACGGTTTCGACGGGAATGGGCAGGATGTCAGGGGAATCGGACTTGATAGGTTTGATGGTCTCAACAACCTTGTAGCCAGAGATGGTCTTGGTCTTGATCTTGGGCTCACCAGCGACAGTGGGATCAGCATGAACGTACTCGGTCTCAATCTCGCAGGGAACGACAACTGTGAGGGTCTTACCCTCAATGACAGTGGGACAGGTGGTGACGGTGTGGATGACGGGGACACAGGTGGTCAGAGTGACGACAGTGTTGCTGCAAGCGCTGTTCTCGCAGTGGGTGACGGTCTGGGTGGTGGTGAGGGTAGTGGACTCAGCAGTAGTGTTTGCAGCGATGGGGGAGACAGAAGCAGAAGCATCACCGGAGACAGCGGCACCAGAGGAGGCAGGGGCGTCGCCAGAGGCAGTAGCAGAAGCAGAGGCATCACCAGAGGTAGCAGGGACATTACCAGAGGTAGCAGGGATATCACCAGCAGAAGAGCTGGAAGCAACTTCATCCTCTGCGTTCACAGCTTCCAACCAAGCCTCAAGCTCGGCAATGGTGTTCAAAACACTGTCGAGGTTGGCCTGAAGAGCATCAGACTTGTTCTCGATGGGCTCAATAATGGCAACAACAGCTCGCAGCTGGTCCAGAAGAGTCACGACATCGTCGATGAGGTCAGAGGCGGTATCTCTCTTGGCAATCCACATCATAATGTGTCTCTTGGCAGCAGTTGTGGCCTGCAGCTCAGCTAGACGGCTCATGACACTGTCAAGAGAAGCGGAGACGTCAGCCACAAGCTGCTGAAGCTCAGGGGAGTCGGAAACTTCGGCAAGGAGTGTATCCAGAGTGTCCTGGAGACCAGCAATGGTGGCATCGAGCTGCGAGAGCTCCTCGGCTGTAGGAGGAGAGGGAGTGGTGGTAGAAGTAGGAGTAGGAGCAGGGGTGCTAGCGTCGACGGGGGTGGAGTCGACAGTGGCACTAGGAGACTGGGTGGAGCTCACGACAGAGGCAACGGGGGTGGAGTCAACGGTGGAACTGGTAGGCAGGGTGGAGCTCTCGAGGAGTTCGACAGGAGTAGAGGCACCAGGAGACTCAGTGGAGCTATCGATGGTAGTAGAGGCACCAGGAGGGTCGGAGATGATGTCAGTTGTGTTCTGAGCCAAGACAGCTGAGACGAGAGTGAGGGGAATAAGAGACAGCTTCATGTTAGCGAGCGAGTGAATGGAGAGCGAGTGAAAGAGTGACTGGGGATTGAGGACAGGCAAGTTGGGGGTTTATGTAACATGTTTGTGTATAACATGATGAGTTTGTGTCCGTGTTTCTCCTTCCAAGCTAGCCCAGAATTGTGCTATTTAGTTGAGTCGGGTTTTGTTGATTTTAGCACGGGTCTATTGTGTGTTCCGCCGTGTGCTATTGTTAGGCGGCTGCACAATGGCGATGAGCCATCAGTCTTGCCGTGCATATATCTATAGATGATCGATATCATATCGGACAAGATCACATTGACCAGATCTCATTTATCAAAATCATCTCGATCAAAGCCCGCTGATCAACATCTCCTGTAATGAAGACGCGTCGCACAACCAATGTTTCGACGTGCTGACAGCTCGCCCACATTCATCAGGGGGGTTCCAAAACAAGGCAAGAGGTTTTCCGCCTACTGTATCGGATATGCGGGTATCTGATTATGGGTATAGACGTCGGACTAACCATGTGGCGGTGGGGTTGGGGTGAGAGATGTGGGGATTTCTGCTTGGTAAAGGCAGACACAAGGCCACAAAGAAGAAGAGGCGGTGCTGTGTAACCTAAGCTGGTGCTCTGTGTCTGGAAAGGGGGGTGTTGCAACGCTCGGTGTCACGAAATGTCTTCTCGAAACTCCAGAAGACCGCATTGGGCCGAAATACTGGGCGGTAAACCTTTTTATGACGCTAAAAGTTCCGCTTCTCAGCATTCCCAGGTTCCCGTGCCCCCCTGGATGTCATCTCTCAGGTCGACTGGCATTCTTTGCATTCTTTCAGCCGCTTTGGAGAGTCGTAGGGTGCGGTTAGTGGAGAAGAATGTCCACTGTATCGTCGATGGATCGAAACCTGTACTTGTACAACTATATGATAGAATAAATCGATAGATGACATATTGCCAATAAAAAGTACTAGCTGATCATCTTATCAGTCTTGCAACTCGATTTTCCTGTGGAAGATCTGATGGAACGTACGGTACAGTTTCTTCAAACGACCAAATACTTGGTTATAGTTGTGAACTCTTCTTATAGTTAGAACTGTGCGTTAAGGGTGAACTAATCTCCCATTAAAACAGTTGAACCAGCTAAATACTGATAACAAACAACGTACTGTCCTTGCAATACATGTAGTCACACCATCCAGAGATGGCACTAAAGGATACGCTGTCACGCCACGCAGAGATTGAACTAAAAGATACACTGCCACTTTGTACACCCAATGTCATCAAGAACCCCATTTGACACATGCTTATGCTAATGTACCGGATGTACTTGACATTCTTTAGATCAGTCCAGCGCTCACAGGTGCTTGCCATGAATAGCCGTATTAGTGGGTAGAAACATAACAGTCTCTGAATATCCTCCACGTTCTCAACTCCCCGTCTCTGAACTCCCCGTCTCTGAACTCCACGTATCTGAACTCCACGTATCTATCTAAAGTGCCCTTCTTGTGGAGGGAAGTCTTCCAGCAGCGGTTGCATGTCAGAGTGGAGACCAATAGAATGATGGACCTGCTAAACCGCAGTCACATCCAAGAAGTAGGACCGGTAGGTGGTCACAAAGACTCAAACAAGCCCGTAAAGATCTCAATTGGTCCGTCCTGAGTATCCAGTATAAGCATCACACGTGCATCCACATTTCTTGTACTGATACTCAACACCTACACCCCTGGTTTGACACAACAGCACTTGACCAGTCTGAGATCCTCCCATAAAGTCCCTTTGGTCGATCATCTACATCTGTTTGTGCTTTACACATGTATCCAAGTCAGTGACAGTACTCTAGATCTATTCTACTTGTATGAACTATAGATTAGGCGGGGTGGATCCTGCCCTAGGTCAGAACTACCTAAGAGAAGTAGGCATAGTCACCTCCGGCCTTAGCGGCGGCCTCAGTGATGGTAGCCTTGGCCTTGGCGGCATCAGCACCGTCAAGAGCAGCAGCAAGATCACCGAGAGCAAGGTCGTCAATTCGGTTGAGCAGAGCATCGAGATCGATGTCAATATCGGCAGACTTGGCCTCGTCGCCGAAGTAGCCGTTGTCCTTGGCGGCATTTCGCACAGCTCGCTTGTTCTTCTTCTTGGCGGACTTGGCAGCCTCCTTGGACTTCTTGGCGTTCTCCTTGTTGGCGGCAGCCTCCTCAGCCTCCTTCTTGGCCTTGGCAGCAGCCTCCTCGGCCTCCTTTGCGGCCTTAGCAGCGGCCTCTCGGGCACCGGCCTCCTTCTCCCACTTCTTGGCCTCCTTGGCCTTCTTGTCGGCCTCCTTGAACATCTTGATTCGGGGATCGAGGGACAGAGCAAGGTCAACGGCCTCTCGGAATCGGGCAGTGTCCTCGGTCTTGTGCTTCTGTCGCTGGGCCTTGTTCTTCTTCTCAATGTATCGCTTGTGGTCTCGGTTGGAAGAGTCATCGGGAACATCCTCGTCGAGGTACTCAAAGGTTCTCCACGAGTCGAAGGAGTACATGGCGGCGTAGAAGCCCTCCACCTCGGCCTTGGAAGACTCCATGGTACCAAGAGAAGGACAGGGCTGGGTCTTGGAGAATCGGATCTCGGAGTCGAAGAAGGGACCCCACAGCTCGATGAAGTTCTCGGCGGTGGTCTCCTTCTTGGTGGGCTGCTCCACATTGGCAGCCTCGTCGACGGAGTCGTACTGTCGTCGTCGGTTGGAGTCCATCAGAACCTCAAACGCCTTCTGGATACACTTGAAGAAGTCGTCCTCGTCGAGCTTGGAGCCGGAGGCGGCCTTCTTATCGGGGTGATGCTTGAGCACTCGCTTTCGGTGGGCCCGTCGGATCTGGTCCTCGGTAGCTCGGTGTCGAAGGTGAGAGATACCCAGAACTCGGTAATGGTCCTGAGACTTCCAGTCCTTGGCCTCTCGCTCGAGATCCTCAATGTCTTCAGGCTCGTCGCCGAGATCGGCGTCCTCATCCTCGCCCTCGACCTGCTTGACGTTCTTGGCGGCCTCCTCCTTCTCGTCCTCAGACCAAGTTCGGCCTCGCAGAGTTCGTCGCGCATGGGCCAGGAACCCGGGTCCAACGGGCTCAATCTGTCGCTTGACAGGAGAGGTGAAGGCGGAGTGGGCAACAAAGCCCTCGGAGTTGGCAGAAGCCCATCCGGAAGGAAGAGTAGGCAGAGACATGGTGTTGTTGTGCTGGTGTGAAGGAGAGAGTTGGTAAGGGTAAAAGTTTTACCAAAATGTCAGATTAAGGTTTTTTTCAATCTTATTAAGCAACGGGGCCTGAAAACTGCTGCTGTAGAGAAGTGAGACTAGTATGTCGTTGTGTAGTCAGATTAGGAGCTCTTTTTGGGCTATTGTGACTTACTCATTCATTTTTTGCCGTTCTACGTGCCATTTCACGTCACATGATCGCTTCTGGCTACTTTGAATGCCTTCCCCCACACTCCCAGACTGCACCCTAACTCACACTACCAATACAGTCCTGAAAAAAATATCCGACAGACTTGAATATGTCATGCTACTTCTCACAAACTTCACATTGGAGACATCCTACAGTCCAGTTGAGAGATACGCTAGGGGGCATTTCACTTTCAATCCAAGGTACAATACAGTAGAAACAATACCTCTACAAGTAGAACGGATATTTACTGATATGATTCGAATCAGAGTGAGCCCCTGGGCCGTTTGGTGATCTTGATACTTGTTCTCTCCTATACGCACTCTCTTATCACTTAAATAATAATTACCATAAACATATACAAAACCCATTCTTTTCATAAGTAGGTCCCCTTGGACCAGTCCTGCTTAATGTGCAGGCCAAACCACTGAGTTCAGACTTCACCACTAGCTGCGCGCGCCATTCGCTTCGCCCGTTACTCGCTTAGCACTCGTCATCTAGGCCTTCTGTCCATCAACAAACGTCAGCGCATCCTCCCGAGTAATACTCTTCACCGTAGAAATCTTGTTGTTGAATAAGACTCCGTAAAACTTGTCAGCCACGTGAATCATCTCATTTCGGAACGTGGTGCAAATGAACTGTGTAGGCTGAGGAGCGTTGGCAATCTGGGAAATCACCTGCGCCACAGCAGTTCGATACTGATCGTCAAGATTAGCGTCAATCTCGTCAAACAGGTAAAAGGGGGCAGGATCGGACCGCTGGATGGCGAAAATGAGCGCCAACGCACACAGCGACTTTTGACCTCCCGACAGCTGCTCCACTCGCTGCTGCTCGTTCTCCGTCGAGTTGAACGACACGTTGATCGCCACTCCAGTGTACGAGTCAGGGTTCTGGTCGTCCAGAGCCCGTCGCTCGATCACCAGCTGACCCTTTCCTCGAGGCACAAGCTGTTGGAACACCTCGGAGAATTCCTTGGACACTTGCTGGAACGTTCGCTTGATTGCTCGGTCCTTCTGGTCGTTAAGAGTGGAAATTAGCTCCTCAATGGACTCTGCAGACTCCATGAGGTTCTGTCGACGTGAAAGAAGTCGATCTCGGTCCTTGCTAAACGTCGCAAATTGCTCCAGAGCTTTCCGATTGACGTGGCCAAACTTCTTGAGCTCGTCAGACACCTCTCTGAACTCCTGCATCATGTCGCCGTCGCTCTGGGCAGACACATCGAGGAAAGCATCGTCGGGCAGAATACCAATCTCTCGAATCTTGGCCTGCACATGCTCTCGTCGCTGTTCAAGGGCCTGTCGCTTGGCTGCAACTCGCTCGGCAGCCTTTGCAAACTTGGACAGCTTTCGCAGACTCTGGGCCTGCTCATCCTTGAGCTCGGCGAGGTGAGCCTCGTCGTTTGCCACCTGCTGCTCCGCGGTCTCCAGTGCTTTCTCAGCCGACAATTGCTTGCTGGAAGCCTCCGACAACTGCTCCTCCATCTGAGCAAGCTTGCGGGTAAGCGTGGCAGCCTTCTCGGCCAGCTCGGCAGCATCAAAGTCGCCGTTGTGTTGCAGCTCCATGTCGTCTCGAGACAGGTACAAGTTCTGCTGTAGCTCGTTCTCGAGACTCAGACGGGTCATTTCCAGAGCAGACACCTTCTGTTGAAGCTCGGCGACCGAGGCAGACAGGCCAGGAAGAGTCTCGCAGACCCGCTCGAGCTCTTGCTGCTGAGCAGAAGACAACTGCGAGCTGAACTCGGACACCAACTCCGAGTTATACGACTCCAGCTGCGACTCCATCGACGAGATGTCTCGAAGCAGCGTCTCGGAGTTGTCCCGCTTCTTCTCAATAAGACCCTTGAGGGTTGTGATGGCCGCGGTCTCGGCCTTGATGGACTCAGAGGCCCGCTGCCGGGTCTCTTCAATCTGCTGCATTTCCATCAGCAGTTTGTTCTGCTCCGTGTGGCATTCAGACAGCCGGTGCTCCACCTCATCAACGCTGTTCTTGATGGCGTTGATCTGCACACGGATCTGACTCAGCTCCTCCTGGGCCTCCTGCACGTCTCGAGCAGCGTCCAATCGGCTTTTCTTGGGGTCGTGGAAACCACCAGTAAGCACACCCTTGGCATCCACTCGATCTCCACCCAAAGTGATGGCGTTGAGGTTGTGGTTTCGCTGAACAGCAGCACCCACCTGCAGATTGATGCACACAATGGTCTTGCCAAAAACTTGCTGCACCGCAGGCTCGTACTCTGGGTTACAAGAAATCTTGTCGACCAGTGGGAATACGTTTTCGGCCTCGGGGTACTTTCTTCGCTCGGGGTTGAGCCGGTTGAGAGGCATGAACGTCAGACGACCGCACTTTTCACGCAAAAGCTGCTCAATCACCTTGGAAGCAACATCGTCATCCTCGACAACCACATGGAAAAGCGAATTGCCAGCAGTCACCTCAACAGCTCGCTTGTACTTGTCATCCAGCTTGATCAACTCGCACAAGGGACCATAGACCTGGTCCTCCAGTCCCAGCTTCTGGGCCACTCGTTTCAGGTTAGCCAAACCAAGGGAGGTGTTTCTGTCCATGGTAGAAGCAAATGCTCGCTGCGCCTTCTCGACCTGCTGCTCCAGCTGGTCGCTATCCTTGAGAAGATACGACTCCTGGCGCCACAAAGCCTTCTTCTCATCAGCAATGCCCTCTCGGGCCTGTTGGGAGGCCGCGTGGCTTCGCTTGAGCTCAGAGTACCGCGATTCGCAGTCAGCAAACGCTTGTCGCTGCTCCACAATCGCAGCATCCTTGGCAGTGATTTCACGCTCGCACTCTTCCACACTTCGCTTGCCCTTTGCCAGGGCCTGCTTTCGACTCTCCAAAAACTCGGAGATCTCTGCAATCTGTCGTTGCAGCCACTTGTCCCGAGCAGCCTTGGATGTGAACTGTGCAGATCGGCCTTCTCGGGAGAGCAGTGAGTCCTTGGTTGCCGAGGCTTCTCGCAGAGCTCGATTGGCAGCCTCAAGCTGACTTTTGAGAGCATCCCGCTCGCTCACGGTCGCCCTCAGCGAGCTCTCCTTGGATTCAATCTCGCCTTGCACCCGCTGCAACTGCTGCTCACGTGACAGCTCCTCGTGCTGTAGCGTACCATGGATTCGGTTGGTTTCAGCGAGCTCCACCTCGAGGGACGCCTTGAGTCGACGGAGCTGAGCAACGTCGTCACGTGCATGGGATGCAGCCAGATCTGCGTGCTCACGTGCCCGGCTGGAAGTCTCAATCTCAGCCTCTACTTCGGAAATGACCAAGTCCTGCTCCTCGATCTTAGCAAGTCGAGCAGCTCGGTCGGAAGCGCCGCCGTCGTCCATGTCCTGCAGCTCCACCAGCGCAGTCTCCACTGCCTTGAGCTCGCGGTCCTGCAGCGCAAAGTCCAGGCACTTCCGCCGCTTGTCCAGCTGCAGAAATTCGTTTAGCTCCTGCTTCTCCTCCTCCAGGTCGGACAGCCGCGTGTTGATGTCGTCCAGTGCGCTGTTGATCTTGAGAATCTTGTTTTCGTTCTCAATCATGAGCTTCTCCGACTCGGATCGCCGCTGCTCGTAGACCTTAGTACCAGCCACCTCCTTGAGCAGCGCCAATCGCGTCTCGTTTTTCGCGTTGGTGAGCGCTGTGATTCGTCCCTGAGGCACAATGTAGTAGGGATTGGCCCGCGAGAAGCCCGCAGACTCCAGCAGGTTCATAATCTCAGACCGTGTGCTGGACTTCTTGTCGAGCGAGTACTCGTCCTTCTTGGAGCCAATCGTCCGTCGAATGGTGACGGTTTCTCCTCCGGTGGGCAGTCGACGATCACTGTTATCGAAGATGATCTCCACGAACGCACTCATTGTCGTGCCAGACATGCCGGAGCCCTCGTGGATGAGAGCAGCCCGCTCCTCCTTGTTGAGGTGGTTGTAGGCGTCGGAGAGAACGAACCGGACCGCGGCAAAGAAGTTGGACTTACCGGAACCGTTTCGGCCAACCACCACGTTGAACCGTGGCGAGAACGGGTCGATCTCGACCAGGTTTTTGTACGACTTGAATCCTTGGATTCGAATCTAGGTTAGTATCGGCACCAAGTGGCGAGCGCGAAATTTGAGCAGAAAGACAGCGGTCGGCGATCTGGTCACAGTAGTTTCGTTGTCTGCTGTCTGTTATACATCTTTTCTGTGTCGTTTCAGCGTCTGAGCATCGTCTGAGCCGCAAATTTCGGCCCATCGCACGACCCCCTCGGTTGAATCACGTGATCAGCTGAATACCATCCCATCCCCCTCAGTCTCATCATCACGTGACCGCCCGCCCTTCCACAATACTCACCTGTTTAATATACATGTCGTGGTGTCCAGTGGTGTGAGTGAGTGTGACGAGAGACGCGTCTGGATTTTTACACACAATTGGGAGTAGAGTAATTAATTCCACAAACCTTATGCGCGTGTTTGGGTGAGGTGGGAATCGGTGGAGTAGAACCGCGCGTCAGGTCTGTTTGTGGTGAATATAGTGGAGGAATTTGTGGGTGTTGGGTCGGGGAGTCCCTGGCTATATATAGATGGTTTTAAGCGACACAAGTAGACGTTTTTGAGGGGATATCACTTGTACTTGTAGCGATACATGTAGGTATTGTAATTATCACCTAAAAATAATACCATGCAACTTTAAGCGCGCAGGGTGAGAATAATGGGACGTGTTAGTGAGGGGCTGATGTTGGAGTATTACAAGTAGTACGGACAGCAATATTGTCAGTTGAAGTATGGATGATACCGGTAGAGACTGATGTAGTTGGTTTGGTTGTTGAGTTGCTACCTCACTTGTACTACAGTACGAGTCCTGTGCGAATAAGCCATATCTGTAAATCAAAAAATCAGGCCCAGCTGGACATTATTTGGTGCTACAGATTCGGTGGAAAGTGGAAATGTATTAATTATGCCAGCGTATATATATCTACCTATTTTTAAACTAATCTACGACTCTATTACCAACGTTCAGTGTACTATTATGTTCAGAGATGTCCACACGCGTTGGAGTCAAGTATTTCTTGTTAGCGTAATAACGTAACTGGTTCTATAAGAGTCTCAAAGTGAGAAAAAAGACATCCAATTAAGTCGCTTGTCTCCTCTAACACTCTCCATTGGTTACAATAGCCCTCTATACAGCCGGTTTGACACTGGTAGACCCCCTTCACTAACGTCCGTCCCCACGTGCATCTAACCTGCACCTGCACTCTTTTTTGAACCTCCATCTCAGCATCACCACCACACTACTACCACAAAAAACACAAATGGCCGACTCGCAAATCAACTACGACGACGCAATTTCGTACTGGGCGTCGGTACCTGCTACCAACGACGGTGTTCTCGGCGGCTACGGCAACACCTCTGTGCCCCGAGCTGACGTGGTTGGCTCCATCACATTTCTCCGACGGCTCAAGACCCGAATGCCGGTGGAGGAGGGCAAGATCAAGTACGGCGCGGACGTCGGAGCGGGTATCGGCCGAGTCACCAAGGATATGCTGAGCCAGGTATGCGACAAGGTGGATCTGGTGGAACCGGTGGAGCAGTTTGTGAACCAGGCCAAACAGGATCTGGCCGGTAACGACAAGGTGGGCGAGTTTCTGGATATTGGCGCCCAGGACTTTGTGCCTGAAACAGGCAAGTACTGGGTCATTTGGAACCAGTGGTGCCTGGGCCACTTGGACGACGAGAATCTCGTGCTGTACTTCAAACGATGCATTGACGGTCTGCAAAAGAACGGAACCATTGTTGTCAAGGAAAATAATGCTCCCCTGGAGGACGAGTTTGACCCCACAGATTCCAGTGTTACTCGAACAGACGCCAAATTCAGAGAGCTGTTTGACAAGGCGGGTCTGCAGCTCATTCTCACAGAGGTCCAGAAGGGTCTGCCAAAGGAGCTCTTTGTGGTCCGAATGTACGCTCTGAAAGTCAAGGAGTGAAACGCGGGTATAGATAATGCATTATGGTGGTGACTGGCTGGAGTACCATAGAGTCTCTTGAGGCTGTGAGATGCGCCCATGTCGACTAGATATTAATTAAACTGGATATCCGTTCTAACTAATTAGTTTAAACAATTAAAATACACATCCCAGTTCAACAAATTCTACCTATTCTAACTATCCTTAACTAACTTATGACCACACATTTAGCTGAGCCTTCACCAAGCAATGATTCGGAACCAAAACATCCCTTCTCCAAAGCCAATTCGTCGTTTTCATTAATCCAACAATTTTCCTTTTTTTTTGGCTACACATTCATTTTTATTTTTCAGATTTTTCAGATTTTTTCCTCTTTTCAGACTTTTTTCATAATATTACACCTCTATATAACGTCTTGGCATACACCATTGCATATTTCGGGCCACTGAGGTTAGTAAGAAAACCGGAAAACATCGATTAGAATCGATAAAAATCAGATAGGAGCGAAAGACATGCTAAGATTAATTCTTCATTGATAGTCAGATGAACTATGCGAATTCTTAATCATCATTTGCGGGTTTCGATGGGAAAAGGCGTCGGTACTCACTGTTTGTGTCTCAAAGTGACAACCAGGAGTCCAAAAACCAGGAGGGAACACACATACGATTCCGCGCGTCGCAGAGCATCGCCTGTGTGTCTTCCCTCCAAGATACCGGGTCCACAGTTGTCACTGTTGTGAGATTAAAAAGTTTTTGGACAGCATTTTTCATCCCAACTATATAGACTTTAATAAAAGGAGGGTAACTCAAATACCCTAGTCACGTGGTACACCTTATTTTGCTGTTCTCAGACTGCTCTGCGGATGTTGGGCAATCCGTAAATGAAAATTGGAATTGAAAATCAAAACGAAAATCAAATTGAAAATCAAACCAAAATTGAAAATTGAAATTAAAAATTGAAAATCAATATATATATATATATATATATAAATCAAAACAATAAACATGCTACAAACACATTTTATACTTACTATATGACGAAATTAATGAAACGATCCTTCGTAACACCCACAAATGTAACCCTTCGCCCATCAATATGGTCAGACCACTTCATAATGCTGCTGTCAAAAAACTTGCCTCCAAACCACCTACAATGTACTTGTACTTGTATATTCTAGCCGAGAGTGAAACATGAAAAATGAAAACTGCTGAAAAATGAAAACTGCAAGCTGAAGATTTATTGATATTATTATCAATCCTGAACTTGGTACGAGTACGGCATGTAGATCGTATGATACATTCGTATCGTACAAGTTCAGGATCGTACTCAGTATCTGATCCATCTCAACACGGTATCTTGCTTATTGGACGCATTTTCTACAGGACTACGGCACGGTGGGGATTTCGGTTTAGAGGAGTTCTTTTTTTGGTTCTTTTGATCATAAATGCAAATAAATAAGGGTTAATGAAACATGACTCAATGGCTCTCTTGTATGGCGCAAGCTCAGACGGCTTACTCGGCCGCTCAACCTCCTAGTTCATGCCGGAGTTGGAGTAGGCGGCAACAAGCCCAAAGCCCTGGTACTTGTTGGAGTTCTTTCGCTTGACAGAGCCGCCGTCAGGAGACGGGCCCATGTCCTGGGGGCTGGCAGATGCCAGCTGGGCGGCGATTCCACTGCCCCCGGCAGCGTTGGATCCAGCCCGCATTCGGCCCTGGAATCCACCGGCCCGCGACAGGTTCATGGCCTCGTCAGCGGTGATGGGAGAGCCAGGCGATCCCACCTTGGAGAAGTTGGGGGAGTGGCCGGGGCCCGAAGGCAGAGAAGAGGACACGGGGGCGGGAGTGCCGCCCGAGGCAGCCTGGGAATTGCGCCGGAACTGCTGCAGCTTCTGCTTATGATCCTCCTCCTGCTTGGCCAGGGCTGCTGCGAGAGCCGACGCCTTGGGCGACATGGTCGGCGACATTGCCGAGCCAAACTGCGACGGCAGCGACTGGGCCACCGAGCCGTAGACGGAGCCGCTCACGGACTCGGACACAGACTGGGGGATGTCCTGGGAGCCGGATGGGGGCTGGTTGGGCTGGGGAACTGCCACGGGGGTGGACTCTGCGTTGGCAGAGCCAAAGTTGTTGCAATCCTGCTTGATGGGGGGCCGGCTCTGCTGTTTGGGAGCGGCGTCTTCCTTGGATCCAAAGAGGTTAGATAGGAATGGCATTGTGGTCAAGTGTGAGTGGGGGGAGTGTTGATGCGACTGTGTTTATCTGTTTGCCTAGCTGTGTGCGGGTTGGTACGATGATGACTGACTGATGTGTTTCTGAGTCAAGTGGTTAGTTCTTGTGTCGTTTCCACTGGCTCGTGGTGTTTGTTAGTTTCCAGTGGTTCGAGACAGGCCAAGAACAGAAAACAGAAAACAGAAGACTGAGAGCTAAGAAGAAAAAAACAGAAATAGAGAAAAAATCCACTGCCACCTGTTTGTGTCGATAGTCTTGTTGTGCTCGCTGTGCGGATTCTCGAGGTGCAAACGTGTCGGTTGGAAGGGTGGGTTGGGGTGGCTGAAGTTGTGTCTTGTGTGGAGAAGGATAAGTTATATATCTGGGGTTAAGGCAGACTTGCTATTAGGTTTTGTGAGTCAGACGTTGTGGGGTGAGGAAAATCGGACGGTTTGAAAGGGGTGCGAAAAGCAACGAGCGGGGCGAAAAAGCGGCATTTATCGGCCACTCTGCGTCTTGTTTGCCAATTAATGTGGTTTTTAACCCATGGCTCCATACAAAAAAGCGCCATAATACGCGGTTTTGTAGAGGCCCTTTTTTTTATGGGCGACTTTTTTCTCCCAAAAAATCCGTCTTGCCTTTTTGACTCAACTACGTCATAGCCCCCATACAGTACACATGTGTATCGGATGTCACATGCCGAGACACAGCAAAAGCCGATACCGGCTAAATGGAGGGCGCCGTAAAACGCCCCACCGAACGCGAATGGAATGGCTAACCTCCTGCCACCAACCGCACGCGTCTCGACCGCCGATTGCCGCTCTAAAAACCTCAATTTGATGGCTTGGAGGCTTGGTTTGGTGCTAACAAAAAGTGGTCCTGCCGAGGTTGATTCACGGTAGCTAGTCGTGGTGGTCACGTGCGTATGGAGAATAAGGTTGGTTGGGAGTTCCAAAGTTTAATTTGGTGGCGTTGGAGGCTGGAAGTGCAAACCTGCCGTTTTCCACGTGTGAAATAATGGGACGTTGAGGAGGTGGATGTGTGATTTATTTTTTTTATTTATTTTTTATTTTTTCTTTTTTATTTTTGATTTTATTTTATATACTTTATTTTTATTTTATTTACTTTATTTAATTTATATTTATTTATTCATATTTTTATTTATTTATTCATATATATATTTATTTACTTATTTTTAAATCACCCTATCCTCCGAAAATCCGAAAGTATAATTGACAGTACCTCGCTGACTCAGCTGGAATGAGGTTTGGGAGGAATTAATTACAGAGCCGAAAAATGGTAATAGCGCGGACAGAGAATCGAACTGCGACCGCTTGACCGGGAACAGTAACTCTCAATACTGGGAATTTTGGAAAATATTTTTTCAAAAAAAAAAAAGAAATACCAAATAATGCTGCATAATAACACCATCAGAGCGATAATATTGGGTCCAGATAATGTAAGTCGGTTGTTATCCGATAATAAGTGGCTAAATTGAATGTTAAACGGAGCTCTATGCAGCAACAAGGTGATATAATACCGTGGAATGACCAACTTCAGGGAACCTGTCCATATCTCAGATGTAAAAGTACCCGGTAACGACCAATAAACACGCTGAGGCGACTCGGCACACCTCGCTACAATCGTACTGCACTGAACTTGTAGACACATTCTAGTTGCGCAAGGTTCCTACAAGTATGTACCCTAATAACTTCAGACTCGGGTCAGAAAAAGAAGAGACAAACATGAGTCTGTTTAGGCGACCAAACCGGATGAGGGCACCATCGACGATGTTTTCAGTCGGTTGCCGGGCGCTCATTGTCGCTCATTGTCTCAATATCCTTCTCCTCTGTCTCGTATGGGTCCGCCTGGTGTCTCTATCTCCGCATATCACTGCGGTTTAACTCTCGCAAACCCAACACTATGTTCCATTCCTACAGTGAGTATCGAATCAAGCCGAGTTTCGTGCCATGTGTTTGGTCGGAGATGTGAAATAGTTGCAGTTGTCGACCCAATACCACGCACGAGTATGTACAAGTACTTGTACTTGCAAACAGGTGGATCTCGCCCCGAATGACACCTTGGTTACAAGTACTTGTTAGATCTGTTCACTCCACAGTAATATTCACTCACCCCACCTATATCACTCAACTCCACTGACACCAACTTATGCTGTATCGCCTTCAAGTGACGGCCGTACAAACACTCGTACAGTACTGTAAGTGAACGCCCTATACAAACAGGTGGCAGAAGTCACCTCTTTCGGCACAGGCAGCGTGTTTGTGTCAGCCGTTTGGACCGTTGCGGACTTGTGTTTCCCTTTCTGGCACCGTGGTCGGGTCGAGACAATGTATCGCCGTGTATAGGTGCCATTTGGGCGACTCTCCAGCTATTGCGTCTCTTCATAACAAATCCGCCTTGCAGAGGGGCTATTCTAGCTCCGCTAGGGTTTCAGTTAGGTTCCCATAAGCTAATTGTCTTGTTGCGCGGCTCTTGGTGTGGCGATGGGAGAGGTTGATGAGAGAAAAAAACGAAAAAAAAAACAAAAAAACACGAGCCAAACCCAGTAGGCCCGAAACATGTTGCAGTGCGAGATTTGAGACCTCTATTTTTGCGTCACCGCCACGTAGCGCGAAACCGGTCTACGGATAAAACACTTGCAACCCCCGCCAAAACCATACTTGTATGGCATGGGCAGTTTGGTGTCAGTAGGAAAACACCGCATATGAGACAGGTGGGAAAAAGACGAAAAAGATGTGCAAAGAAATACAAGGGTTGATGTGCACCGACAACAAAAAAATAAAACAATAAAAAAAAACCCACACAGAGGCTGATCTCCGGTGGGGAAAGATAACTGACGATAATAGGATAATAGTGACGGAGAAGCTTTCCGCAAAATCCTCTACAAGTAGGCAACCTGGAGCAAGGGGCTTACAAGTACACGCTGGGGTGAGGGTGTAGGCATGTAGGAGAGCATGCAGTGCGATGCAAAAACGCACAGATATATTTAGTTAGACGACCACGCGTCATGATGGCCCTACCAACATGGTCCCCACAAAAGATGCGTCTGGAATGTACAGTGAGGTAACCGGCCGCAGAGGTTATTTTGGCTATTTGTAGGGCAAAACCGGTAAAAAAAAAAAAGAAAAAAAAAGAAAAAACAGAAGCCAGCAATAACAGTTTCCGAACGGGCAGAAAAAAGACGGATTTATATGGACTTGGTGGGGGTCGACTAAAATCTCCCGTTAAAATGGTACCATCTGAGCCGCTTAACTGCCCACTGGTTGAATTCCGATGATATTCAATGCAACTCACGCTCACTTTTTTTCTTCATCTTTTTGTTATGCTGATCGCTCGGAACCTACGGGGTTTACCTAGAGTCTATGAAGCCCCCCAATGTAGGTTTATTTTTGATAATTCACCGCCATGGCTGGGTTTCTCCACGTGGACCCAGCCCGGTTGACCCAAGTCTTTGCGACCGCCCACAAGCTCCATTTTCGCGGTTGCTACGAATCCCAACCTCATGCCTCCGTGCAGTATTACATGTCGCTCTGCTGCGTGCGGGTGCGCTGCTGCACGTCCCATATGATATTGTGCAGTCGGTTCCTGTGGCTACAGATTGTCTGCCTTGCCAAAGTTAGACTTTTTCGACATTGGTCTGATGCATAATGGTGCATGGAGGTGCAGGAGTGAGGGCTCTACCGGGACAGCATCGTGAGCTGACGGGCGGCTAGCGGGCCCGAAAAACACACACAAGAATATGACGCCCACGGCTCCCAGTCCATCTGGACGGTCTGCGGGCCAGGTTGTCGTACATTTTGGTCCAGCAACCAGCCCCCCCGGAAATAAGCGCAAACCTTGTTTAAATTCAAAGCAAGGAAGAGTGAAGTTTCCGCTTTTGCTTTTTGCAACTTGTCTGGGATTGCCGTGGTTGTCTGGGGGCAAAGTGAAGGCTGTAGATATTTGGGGCCGGGGCCTGGGCGCTTGTGGTACACAAAAGGAGCCCCGATTTCTCGCTCCCGATACTCTCTCCAGTTTCAAACGACACCACATGTCCAATGCCAATGTCACTGCTACCACTGCGCCTAGTACTCGTAGCCAGGTACAAGCTTCGGAGGCACATACATATAGTGGTGGGTTGACGCAGACGCAGCTCTCGTCGCAAATATCCACTCCTCTGGCTTCTTCCTTACCATCTCCATTGCCAGACACAGACACAGAGAGATCGATACAGACACCGATACAGACACAACCGACACAGACAGGATCTAGCTCCACGCAACAAGCGACATCAGCGACACAAACGACACAAAGTACTCCAGCGACACAAACTACTCCAACTTCAGCTACACAGACACAAACACAAACACCCTCCAGCACAGACATGAACGTTTCCGAGTCGTCCACTCTTTTGTCCTCAACCCATGTTTCCTCACAGCTCTCTTCGGCTGCTCCGGTCAGCAGCAGTATAGACACGTCTTCAGCGTCTTCAGCTTCTTCTGTGACGACTGCCACAACCTCGGAGGCACCATCCACAACATCTTCAGAGACGCCCACCACGTCCTCGGAGCCTCCCACCACGTCTTCCGAACTACCCACCACGTCCTCGGAGCCTCCCACCACGTCCTCGGAGCCGCCCACAACCTCTGAGATACCCCCAACATCGTCTCTGCCACCTACAACCAGCTCGGAGCCCCCCACCACGTCATCTCTACTAGAAACAACTACATCGCTCCCCCCTACTACTTCATCGCTCCCCCCCACCACGTCTTCGTTCTTCCCCCCTACCACAACCTCGCTTTCGTCTTTCATCTCCTCCACCTTTTCGACTTCCTTCTTGTCGTCAGTCGAGTCCTCTGCATTGTTTGATACCTCCAGTGAGCTTTCGACCACGTCGCTTGAACCCACCTCCGAGTCGTCCACGTTTGTGGCCCCCACAACCTCCTCGGTCGAACCCACAAGCTCGTTCGAGCCCACAACCTCCTCGTTCCAACCCACAAGCTCGTTCGAACCCACCACTTCTTCCTTCCCCCCTACAACCTTCTCTTCCTCTTTTATTTCCTCCTCGGAGTCCTCCACCTCCATTTTCATTGCCCCGGTCACCTCGTCGACGTCGAGTACTTCGTCCTCGTCTAGCCCCAGCTCTAGCAGCACCCCGCCCAGCTCCAGCTCCTCTACTAGACAGTCGACCACATCCAGTTCTACGACATCCAATAGTGGTACTAGCACAACTTCATCGAGCTCTACAAGCAGCTCTTCCTCGAGCCCTACCATCACAAGTTCGTCTACCATGTCCTCAGCCGATCCTACAGATCTTTCAGTAATAGATACCATTCAGACGTTCACTCAGACCGTCAACGGTGAGGTTATAACCACCATTGTGACTGGCAGAGCCACTGTGACCCCCACAGCTGCTATTGCTCAGGCCACAGCTTCTTCCGATGGTGGAGGCGGCGGCGGTCTGCATGGAGGAAGCAAGACTGCCGTTGCTGTCGTTGTTCCCATTGGAGGAGTGGCTCTCATTTCTGCCGCGGCCTTTTACTTCTGGAAGAAGAAGTCGCGAAAGACCTTTGCCGACCAGCGACTCAGCACCTCGTCTCGATCGCACTCCCCCTCAGACTCCTTCTCTAACACTCTGAGTACCACGCAGCTGGCTGGAGGAGCGGGCGTACCGCAGTACCGAGGCTGGGACATGACCGGGGGCGGCAACGCTGCTGCTGCTGGCAACGGAGTCAATGGCTCCATCAACTCGGGCTCTGGTTCGGGCCTGGGTCTGGTTTCGGCTACTGGTGCTGGCGTGGCCTCTTCCGCCTCGTCTACCACTGCCGTGGGTCCCACTCGAACACAATCGCGTGGGGCAGCCTCTCGAACGCACTCTCGAGCAGCCTCCTTGTCCATGGGTCCCATTGACGAGGATCTGGATGCCGACGGGGCTGCTGTGGGAGATCCGTTCAAGTCTGCGGCCGACGAGGAGTACGAGCCTTCTCCTGATACACATGGTCTGAACATGAATACCAGTCATGCTCGACGGCCGTCCAACTTTTCCAACTTTTCCATGACCGGCGACTCACCTCCAGTCAGTCCGACCATTGGAGGTATTTCAGCCAACTTTTAGGAAGAGCCACCACATCACATTTTGCATATAGTCAGTAATTCATATTTTAACAGAGATGGAGGGAGGGTAGTTGTACATTGGTCAAGTATTAAACAAGTGAGTGTTCTAAGGATTAACTGAGGTGGGCATTGCTACTTGTAATCACTTGTACTTGTACTTTTACTTGTACACTTGTTGTAGATAGATGGTTTCACGCAGTCTCCCAAATAGGACGTCTCAGTACATACAGGCCTGCCCGGTTTGGGCTTTCTCAAAGGGACCAGAAAGGACGACAAAAATGTCTCATGGCAGGCTCTCGAGATGAATATGCGGTGATGCTCATGCTCTTGCTCTTGTGGGTGTGGATTGAGGCGACAGGAGGAGAGCTTGATACAGGACTTCGTGACCGGCGTCTGATTACATAATGGAATGTTCTCAATGAACGCGTAATTGTAGGGACCTTGTACAGCTCGAGCGTTCACTTCCCGCGCCGTGACGCTCACCCCACATTCCAGGGCGTATTCGTGTTTCTACGTTAGAGTCTGCATGCGTCTGTTTATCCGGTTTCGTCTGATTTCCCCCGTTTGTTTTTTGCGGGCATTTCCATCTCTTCTTGGCGACTCGGTGATCATAACAACTTAGTTGGATCCCGGAAGGTTAACTAAGGCGGCGTGCTGCGAGTTTTCGCAAAGAGACCGGAAGGGAGCCATTTTTTGTAGTTTTCAAGTAAGAAATCAACTTTGTATGAATGTGGAAACATGTTGTGAAAATTTCAAGCGATTTCGACCTGTTTTTGGTCTAGTTTAAGCCATCCCAAATCCAACGATTGTTTACCGCCTTGCAGCAGGGTTCAAAACGCTAACGCCTAAGTTCAATATGCGCTTCCCGACGGAGAAAATCAAAACACTCTACAGGTAGGGTCTGGCAGTTGCAGCGAGTCCATTATGGGCCGAGAATGGACAGGGACGATCTCCGTGGACACATGTCGGGTATCTTGTCCCCGTTGCTTGCTATGCACAAGTGAGCACTATACCAGGGGACCATGCATGGTTCTGCTCGCACAACGCGAAAGATACGAGAATTGCGACAAGTGACCGTTTGGGTCAAGCCGCAGGGTTGATAAGAGCAATCTGACCGAGTTTGGAATTTGTAACGTTCAAATTGCTCGTTATGGAAGAGATGTAGTTGTGCGCAGGGCGGGGATGAAAGACAGATAAAAAGTGCAATACGGGAGCTACGAAAACGACGAGACTGCCGTTGGATTCGCCGCCTCCGGCTTATCCAGAGCCTTGATTTTCACCTTGCACTTGAACGAAACATGGTTGTTGCTCGCGCTGATAGTATACAAGAGATAGGCTAGAAGACCCCAGCAATGTCAAAAGGAGGCTTCTCTCTGGTATCGGTTGCACTAGATAGTTGATTTCAGTGCTGAGTACAGTGGCTAACTCAGCTACCGTTCTCTCTAGCTGTAGAGATAATGATTGCTAAACAACTACTTGTAGCCATCCCTCGATGAAGAGAGAAACTTGGTACAAGCATGTAGTGTATGTACATACTGTACATACTGTACTTGGATCAGACCTAGTCCTGGACTGCAAATAGTTCATCGCCATAAGACCCAGACCCGTTCACAGACAGGTTTCCTCGCAGTACTCAGAACGACTGCCAGCAGAGAAAACATACACTGGATTTTTCGGCAAGTGAAATTGCTCTCCAGCTGAACTGGAAATACTTCTCAAGCTCTGAAGAGTTGATGCCATGATGAGGGCACAATGAAGAGATATCATGGCTCTATAACTGCATTTGGCGACGCACTAGATAAATGTGGGAAGGGACAAACTGTCGACAATATCGCTCATGATGTTCAAGAAGGCTACTGAATCTGAATGATATTGTTCAGGGCTCATACGAGACATTGACACAGATCGGAGAAAAGGTATAAGACAGCTCTTCCAGGCCCAAGGGCAGAATCGGAAAAGGGAAGCAGATTTGGGTGAATTGATGATCTTTACGTGCCGATGTACTCAATTAACCACTCTCGGTATTACTTGTACTTGTTCCCTGTGAACTTGTCCCCAATCATTCTTAGCTCGACGTTTTTTCGACATCCTAAGTCTGCTTCACTCAAGACCGGAAAATAAGTCCTCCGAAGATGAATACTCAATAATATGAGACAAAATGAATCTTACATTGACGTCAACCTGTATCCCGTTCAAAGACTCGGTCGGCAATGGTTCTTTGTCGTTGAGAGGCAGTCGTCTGATATTGCTACTGTCAGAACAAGAAACAGATATTATGATGCTGACCAAACGGGTATCTTGTCATATTTAGGTCGGAGTATGTTTGATATTGACTCCGAAGATACAAGCGATGTCGAAATGAGACTAGTGATGCCCGGTCGCCGCTCGTTGAAGTGGAAACGTGAGACAAGTATAGATGAAGGGAAAGAAATTCAAAAAGGGGCTACGACAAAACTAATGGGTCACTTCCGTGATAATCTAAAAGACTTTTCTCCACTTGCCGAGACCCCGGACAATCTATCTTAGAACACAATCTTGGTAGCAGGGCCCAAAAATGAGCTAATGGGCTGTACAGTACATACCACAGCCTGATTCGAATCTACTGCTAGTTCAGGGACAGCTACAGTGAAGAAGTGACTTTTAGCGTACTTTCTGAAAATGTTTCGGTCCATCATTAATTAATATTGGGCCCCTTTTGAACCGTACAACCGCACTACAAGTAGGTTTCTTGGCTGCAGTAGCCAAGATTTTGATACGAAATAGAGATTGATAATATGTCTCATAAGTGACAGAAATATCCCATTCCAATGGTGTATTTGTGTCTGAATGGAACCCAAGGAGTCCTTAATTGCCTATAATTCACTCGGAATATCTGTAATACAAGTACGAACACAGGGTCAACCTCACTTCCATGAATGACCTGCGGATATTTCAGTCATAATCTCTGAAAGAACCACTGAACTGGAAAAAAGATTAGCCCGACGTGGGGCTTGAACCCACAGCCTTGAGATCGCTTTGAATAAGAGTCTCACGCTCTACCGATTGAGCTAGCCAGGCAGATGTATTTTCGGGGGGGTGGAAAGAGTAAATGAGGTTGAATGGGGGTCTATAACCAGGCCGAAACAGGATAAAATTGAGTAGACGTGGATTACAGAGTCACTTGTAAACACAAGTATTGTATGATCACTTCTACGCACATTTCACCCAACCATGGAGGGGGTAAAATTAGTTGGATTTTAGTCCAACTTTGGTTTAAAACGAAACTGTTGGAGGACTTGATCTCCATGATAACGTGGCTGTGAAACAATCTTCCACATACCACTGTAACTGAAATCGAAACTTTTTCTGGGCAGTGGGAAAAAGATATTCGCATGCAATGTATTATCACGGTTCTTCTTGTACTTGATATTTGTAGTTGTAGTTGTAGTTTTAGTTTGTTGAGCATAACATCTCAAGTACGATCTTCGGGAATTAAAAAAGCACGATTGAATGGAAGGAAGAAAACTAGTGAGATGATAGAAACGGTAATGGCGATGAGAAGACAAAAAAGTTGAAGCATATAGGAAATTATATTCACTCCATCATGTTTGGTGTCGTTGACCATGGTTGTACAGCCATCTGTCTGGTTATAATGAATATCTATGAATGTCTATGAATGCCTATGAATGCCTATGAATGTCTATGAATGTCTATTTCCGGCTTGTTTTGCAAACATTATATCAAGTGAACCATTCGATTCAGAATCTTTCGCCTTTCGACCGATAAACATCCACATTTCATCGTATTTGCACTTGAATGTTCTGCTACAAGTAGCATCTCTATACTGGTGCTGGTGGTTCGATGGGGATGCCAAGCCTCCAAAATCTAACTGTGATGGCCCATAAATATCTACTTTTTGGTACCAAAATAATCCTTGAACTGAGAAGAATCATATAATGAAATAATATGAACCTATTACCACACAAAAACCAACTTTTTCGCACTGCTCCACTCCAAAAATGCTCCAAATTCAAACGACTTTAACGTTGCATTCGGGGACATTAATTCGTGGCGAAACCTTGCAGATTTGGGCTACTCTAAAGCAACTGTCAAAATGAACCACCGAAAAAGAGGACGTTATTGAATAACTAGCACAAAAAATAATTGTACCATCAAATGGGCCTGAGAGCCTGGATCACAAAGAGCTTTTAAAATATCAAAATAACCCATTTTTCGGCCCAAACTTGCCCAAATATCAGTTCTGTCCCAAATAGGCAAATGCAGCAAGAGCAGTCTATCTTCGCATTATTTGTACTGAACTGAAGATCTGACATATGGCTATTATTGTTTGATTTAATGATACCATTCGATTCGTCAAACTCCATAGATTCCGAATATCGACTCAGATACACTCAATGGCCTCTATTGCGTCTGTTGTAGTAACACCACCTGATTTAGCAACGATGCTAGATTTTCCCCCTAATGTATTCAATATCATGATAAATAGAACAAAACTAGCATCATTGAAACCGCCAGACCATTCTCATCAAAAAGATACCAATTTCTACCCATTTTGAATGGTGGAATTTTTTTTGGAAGTACTTTTTTTTTTCTTAGTATCATCGTGCGTACACCAATAGCCGTGTGACGATCACTTCTTCTCTTAGATGCGGTTACTACCGTATATATGCATCTATGACTTGTATTAATTATCCAATCCAAGCATCATCAGAACACACAACATGGCCCATAATCCCCTTTTACACCTCCTGTCAAATCAGCTGTCAAATCAGCAGAATAATCTTCACGTCACATGACAAGACGACTGGCCCCAAAACAGCCCGGAGGTCACGTGACACACCAAATGATTACCCGCCAGGGGAGAAAATTAGCGGCTGAAATTGGTCCCCCTTTTATCTCTCCTGCGCCCGTTCAGCTGGCCACGCGCACTGACATACTCATAACCTATCACGTGTTTCGGCGGCGGCCTCAATTGGCTGCACTTTTAAGGTGTTGGGAAGGAGGTGCATATTTGCTGCAATTGGGGGCACGTGCGGAGGGGAGGTTGGATGGGGGCATTATGGGGGATCGGGGCGGAATTGAGAGGTTCCGACCGCTTTGATCGGTTTGTGGCCCCAAGGTTGACGGTTTGGTTCTTTTCCGCGTCTTTTTATGTCCATTTTCCGCCCTCCTCGGTGCCCCCACCAGCTCTTTCCAACTACCCTCCTTCAAGCTCGGTTAAGCTCAATATGAAATTAACGTTGTCTCTTGTCATCTCTGTTTGTGTCAGATCAGTCAGGAGTCGACAACAAGTGAGTATGGCGGCGGTGAAGCGACTCTGGGTCGCTCGGCGAGCTCGTGGACCAATTCTCCAGCCACCCAGCATCCCGCTAACCCAGTGAAATTCGGAAAGTACCTTGCCAAACGGCAATTGGAGGTGCCCGAATATGGAAACTACTTCATCAACTACAAGGCGCTCAAAAAGCTCATCAAGTCGCTGTCCAACCAGGCGGCGGCCGGAGGGAACGTCGAGCAGGCGCTGAGAGACAACAAGGCCACGTTCTTCTTCCGGCTGGAACGAGAGCTCGAAAAGGTCAACTCGTTCTACCTGCAAAAGGAGGCGGAGCTCAAGCTGCGAATCGACATTCTCATGGAGAAAAAGGCCGACGCGTACGCCTCGGGCTCGCTAACCTCGTCCACCTCCGTGTCGTACATCTCGCTGTACGAGGGCTTTCAGCGGTTCCGTCGTGACCTGTCCAAACTCGAGCAGTTCATCGAGCTCAACGCCACGGGCTTCTCCAAGGTGCTCAAAAAGTGGGACAAGCGGTCCAAGCAGCAGACCAAAGAATTGTATCTGTCACGAGCAGTAGAGGTCCAACCCGTGTTCCACAGAGACATTCTGGCGCGTCTCAGCGACCAGGCGTCGTCTTCCATTCTGGAGCTGGAGGCCTGGGCCGACGGAGACGTGATTTTCGACGACTCTCGACGAGGCTCCGAGATCCAGGCCGCCACAGCCCCAGCCACAGCTCCCGCCACAGCCCCCGTCACAGCCCCCGTGGCCCCAGTGACGGCTCCCGGAGCCAAGGACGACGATCTGTACTACGAGTTTGTCGAAACCGCCAGCGCCGAAAACGTGACGACGGCAGACATCTCCGAGTGGGTGGAGGTGCTCAAGAAGGTGCGAGACGCAAAGTCCCGAGTGACGCGTATTTTCTTGCTGTCCATCTCCACCTCGGCGTCCAACGCGGCTCTCTTGGCGCTCTATGAATCCGGACTCGTTGATCTGAACGCCAGCGACGCTCTCAACGGCCGGAACGTGCTCCACGAGGCCGCCATGGCAACAGCTGTCGACCGAACAGCCATTCTGGAGCTCGCAGTGTCACAGGGCGTGTCATTATTGGCACGTGACTTTTACGGCCGAACGCCCCTCCACTACGCCTGTCTCCACAACCAGCGAAAGCTGCTCAAAATGTTTGTGGACCAGGGCGCGGAGGTCAACGCGCTCGACAAGGACAACTTCACGCCGCTGCTGTACTCCGTCATCAACCAGTACTCCGACTGTGTGCGTGATCTCATCTCCATGGGCGCCTCTGTGGACGCCGTGTCGGACAATGGATACATCCCCCTCAATCTGGCGTGCCAGTACGGTGTGTACGACGCGTCCGAGATCATTTTGCAAAACAAGCCGCGTCACGAACCCGACGCCGAGGGCCTGTTTGCGCTTCACATTGCTGCCCGAGCAGGACACTCATCCCTCGTGAGCCTGCTGCTCAAGTACGACGCCGACGTCAACGAGCTGGACAAGCTGAACCGGTGGACGGCATTGTTTCATGCCGCCAACGAGGGCCATGAGCAGGTCCTCGAGACTCTTCTTTCTGCCGGAGCCAGAACCGACATTCTGGACGAGGAACGGCACTCGGCACTGTACTACGCAGCCTGGGAGGGCCATGTCAAGTGCATGCACCGGCTGGCCGACCTGGAGGCGACCGTCAAGCTCCAGGAGGTGGATATCGACATGAAGTCGCCGGTGGACGTGCAGATCAACGACCTGAGCGGGCTGGACGAGCTGGACGGAATCCCAGACCTGTCTCTGCCCCCTCCCATTCTTCCCTTCCGAAGATATGGCCACAACTTCTTGGACCAGAAGATTTTCGTGCTCATCACGTTAGCAGGCTCGACTCCCGTGAAGTTTGTTTCTGAAGAAGCCACTCTGTCGTCTGGCCAGTTGCGAATCTCGTCCAAAAACGACCACTCGGTGATTCCCCGGTCTGTTCCTCTGGCCATGTCTGATACAGACCGAGCCATGTCGTTCCAGCTGGACTCTCTGGACGACTTTGCGCTGGATTTCGAGATTTTCCCTACATTTGGAACCCGAATCATTGCGAAAACAGCTGCCCTGCCCTACATATGGCGAGCCACCCTTACACAGTTCCACCAGAGCTACACGTTGCCTCTGTTTGACATGCGACTGCATACTATTGGTGAAATGTCGTTTGACGTGCAAGTGGTTCGACCCTACAAGGGTACTCCTCTTGAAATCACAAAATACGACACGTACTGGAAGAGCACAGGCACTTCGCAGCAGTCGCTATCGTTCGTCACAGCCTCGTCGGTTTCCGGACAATATGCTCGTTTGACTATCTGCGTCACTTCGGACGGTGTGCCTGTGGTCACTCCCTCCTGGAAGGTGGATGTGGGCCATGGTATTCGCGTTGGAGTCAACACTCTGACGTATGAAGAGCTTAAAAAGTGCACAAACGGCGTGGTTAGCGACCTATCTACGGTCTCTGACCCCGTGGAGGTTCACAGAGTGCTCTCTAACTCCACGCTGCCTCTTGCAGAAGTGCTCAAGCTGCTCCCCATCACCGTCAAGCTTGATCTGAACGTGATCTTCGCTGCATCTGACCTCAACCATTACGTGGACACGGTTTTGGATGTGCTGTTTGCTCATGCACGTGACACTCACGACACTAACCGCATGTCGAACGGCGATCCTGCTCCTCGAGCCACCCGGTCCATCATTCTATCGTCCGTCAACCCCGACGTATGTACTGCCCTTAACTGGAAGCAGCCCAACTACCCTGTCTTCTTTGTCATGCGAAATGGTACTTTCAACGAGCCCACCGATCTCGACCGGGTTTCTGTGTCTGTCAAGGAGGCTGTGCTGTTTGCTAACGGCAACAACATGCTTGGTTTGGTCTGCGATGCGCGGTTGCTAAATCTGGTGCCTGCTCTAGTGGAGAGCATCTGTTCGTCGGGTCTGGTGCTAGTCAGTGATGGAGAGCATGAGTGCAAGGGAGTCAAGGCAATGCGAAATGAGAGCGTGGTGGAGTTTCACAACAGCATTGATGTTTAAGTGAACATACTCCAGGGATTGAAAAAGTCATTATAACAGACGTTCGCTCAGTGTAAGTCATTGGTTATGGTCATTAGTCATAGAGAATAATTATTATTATAATAGACTTGTTGGGGAGTTGGGTACTGGTCACCAAGGATGATCCAAAGCAGTCCAACAATTTACGATATATGGCCGAATTTGTAAATTAATTTGCTAAGATCGTTTGACCAGTGTTTGTAGGCTTTTGCTGAGGATGTCGGGGTGAATTCTGACGTGAAAGGGCAAATAAATGAACCAAACTAAATACAGAGAGTGAGAAAAAAGCAGGTGACGAGGTGTTCAATCGGGTATCTTTAGTTGTGACCCCATTTCCGTTTAATCGCTCCAGTCCTCATCTTCCTCCTCCATTTTCTTCTCCGCACGTCGCATGCCGCTTGTTCCCACTCTCTGGATGATTCCATAAGTGTAGAGCAGGTTTTCCAGTGCGCTGAGCTGGAAGTTGTCTGTTCCTCCGAGTCGTTCGAAGCCAACCACCCGGGTAGCCTCCTGGCCCTTGATGTAGCAGACTACAACGGGAAGAGCCTTGAGACCGAGTTTTGTGGCGAGAAACGGTGCCTTGGACGCATCCACACGTACGAAACGCGTGCCCAAGTGTCGTGCTGCCAGTTGTTCCAGTTTGCTGTCCATGATTTTGCATCGTGTGAAATCGGGATGGAAAAAGTGGATCACGCACCGGTCAGCCGAGGTGGTGGCTTCCAGCACGTCCTTGTCGCTCTCCAGCGTCTGTACGCTGCCGTGGCCGCTCTGTGCGCCGTCCTTGGCCTCCTTCATCTGTCTAGACAGTTCGGCAATACGCTGTTCTCGGTAGCCCTGGAACGCCTCGTCGTCGTCGAGCAGATCGAGAAACTCCTGGTCCTCCGCGTCGCCCTCGTCCACCAGTTGCGAGTTGTACCTGTCAAGTAGTGACATTTGATGTTGTGTTGGAGTATGGGTGACAAGATCAGGTGTTTTGCCAGTTCTGTATCTGTATGCATGGTAATATGTATGGCAACTTTAACCGAGGGAGATGGTAACCATTATGTACGTACAGTACAAATATAGTCGGTTATTGTACAAGTACAAGTACTTCGAATATGTTGCAATACATAAACGACGTTAGATGCGACCGTGATGGATACATTTACTCAGTGGTGTCTTTTTACAGTGCCATTTACAGTGTCTTTTTACAGTGTCATGTTACATTATTCGGAGAACACTCCAGTCGAGTCGATCGATTACAGATTTACGTGTTTCCGGCGGTCATGGGTCCCGAATCGGAACAAAAACAATTCCAGAGTGTTCATCACATCTTTATGATCGTTTTGATACCTCTTTTGTACCGTTTTTGCTGCCCTGTCTTCAACTGAATGCTCCTGTTCAGCAGTGTCTGCCGTATGAGCTCGTGAGAAGAGTACTCTGGGGTTGAACATCAGAAACCAAATCACTCGAACAAGGAGCTCGTCAGAGATTGTTCTGAGACTCGTTCGAACTATGGAGAAGCAATGGGCTAGATAAGACTTTGTACATTGGTCCAACAAGTACAGCACTATACTTGAACGCTTTTGTTAACATCAATGGTCTTCATTCCTCGCAAGTTCTGCAAAATCGACAGAGTAAGTCCCTGTTGGCCACAGAACCACCCTTCCAGGTGGTCCGGCCCTTCTTGGCCCAGGTCTGATGCCATTTGGTGAGACAATTGAGAGTGTATGTGGAGTCCCGGCAAAAGTAGCACCCCTGGGTCTAAATAGTGGGTCTAATAGTGGGGCTAAGGTAGCTCCTATCGCCAGGTTCAGGAGGTTGGTCGCTAGAGAGCAGGCACGAGAGTAGTTGATGGAAATAACCGGTAGAATAAGACCTGGGAGATTCCTCATGAGATGCACCAGCTGGTTGTAGACGAGATATCTGCCTTGTAGATGGTGTATCTGATCTAGAATCTCTTTCTGGTAGCCCTTCTGGTGTGCCAACTAGGCTCCCTGGTGGTTGACTAAGGCTGATGGGACGAGAAGCCGTATTTTCACCAGAATCGCCGTAACTGGCGGTTGGAGGTAGTGAGGGGGCTGATTAAGTCACATGAGCGAAAAAAAAGACCGACTACGTGTATGGTAAACAACTCTTCTCTTCACTGTGGACTCGACATAGCGGACCATCGAATGTCATTCATGGTTGACAACGACCAGATAGTCACCTGTTCAAGTATGGCATGTCGTGCTATGGAAGAAGCGAAAGTGAGAGAAACGGCATTGAACTATTGAATAGATACTCTGTAAGTATCCGATACCGCTTGACTTACTTGGCAGTAAGAAGGATAATTCACTGGAAGATGGCCAACTGCAACGGCAACCTCCTCATGATGGTCAAAATCTTTTACATCGCCAGAGTCTTTGATGTTGCCAGAGAAATATTTCAAGTTTGAAGAGTTAACCGTCGCCTCTTAGTCTTTGAATCATCTCTCCATTCGTCATCTCCTACTATTTTGTTGAGTTGGTGGTTCTACAACGGACTAGACAGTGTTGTCAAGGGTCTACGGCATAAGTGACAATCTACGACTTCATTGACTGTATCCGGAGTGGTGAGAGTGATTAGAAGGCATTGGTGGCCAATCACAGTAGTATTCAGTTCTTCTGCGATCATGATTGTCTTTTGTCAAGACCCTTGTATCACGCAAGATGGAGGTGTGCGACTGTGACTAGCAGCTTCAGTGCGACAGCAGCTTCAGCTATATGTACAATTGCACAAACCCCTGGCAAGTGTCACCTAACACCATCCATGCCGACGATAGCACGGATGGTGTTTCAGAGAGTGGTAGATGTTTCAGAGAGGTATTGTACGGTTCAACTACAAGTTGAAACAGCCGCTACAGTATGTACTCACCATTAGCACTACTTAAGCAGGACGGTCTTGCCGAAGACGCCAGGGACTTCATTCTGGAACTCCAAGCAACAGAACAGGATTCTTTACATCATTGTATCTATGCACAACCTCGAGGAACTTTTTTCTGTCATCCTTGTACACCGCTACGGAGTGATGGATGACCCTAATGACATGGACGTCTTACGGCTCCCAGAAGTCGTGCCGATCGGTGGAAGCATGATGTGGGGCCTCTTAGACTCGATCACCAAACAGAGACCTCGAGACGGGAGTGTTCACCAGCAAACTTGCCACCAGACAACAAGTCTAGATCTTTCAAGTTGATGAACAAAAGACGACTGGAGGTGGCGTGAACCAGATACGGTCGGTCGCCAGTGGGGAGTGTTCTCATATCCTACCAGCGAGGGATTCCTAACTCGCTTTTAGCGGATTCAGATATGTTTAGAAGGTATTTGTTAGGGGGCAATCAGTATGTATATGAAGGTCAGGAAAACGAACGTTGCACTAAACTATCCTGAGGAATGTCAGACTGAAAAGAAATGGTCATATGAAGCGGTAGTTGTAGGGAAGATATGTAAGCAGTTATCTACAGACAGACACTGAGAAGAGAATAGAGAACCAGAGAGATAGGGATCCCCAGACATGGAACAAGGGTCACGAACAACAGCTCAGTAGTAGACACCTTGAGCAACACATCGAGCATCGCTTCCAATGTATTGTTGAAATGATTCGCATGTCCGTACAGTATTGTCTGTTCCGGCTGAGAGACCCTGTCGCTTCTCAAAGCTCATTTGGATCAATTTCTCACTCTTTGGGAGCTTGTGGCACGATTTTCCAGCTGGAGTTGCAGTTATTGCGGTGATATACAATAGAGACAATGAATATAATTGCGGGGTGATGTTTTTTTTTTTTTTTGGGACAAAGAAAATGCGGGGTTAGCGAGTTACCCTAAATTTTTCACATCTTATTACGCATTAACGTTCAAACTTTATTTTATTTTATTTTATTTTATTTTATTTTATTTTATTTTATTTTATTTTATTTTATTTTATTTTATTTTATTATAAAAATATTTACATCACACTCCTCTCCTGACTGTAAAATTCTTTTCGAAAGGTGACCTGGGCATAAATGCCTCGGCGGATCCTCACTCTTCTAAATCGATCATTTAACCCACATTCAGTTCTCCAGTTCTCTGACTAGTGCATGACATGAGGCAGCGTGAACAAAGAACGGTTATCAGAGTTTGCCTCATCGCGTGAGCGAGTGGTAAATTGATTTACACCAATTACACAGCACACGAATACACGATTGTAAGACTATAAAACAGATGCGAAATGCTTTCTGGTTGTAGTTGATCGTGTAGACGACGCGATCTCCAGTGTATACTTCTCCCATTGCCAATTCGGCCGCTCCTGAGACACTACCAGAGCTCTATCGACATCTGAGGTCTCGCTGTGAGAAGGTCTTGGGGTGCTCGAACAGGCAGGTGCAATGTGGCAGACGGTATAGAGAAGAGATAGGTATATAAATAGAGTCGTTTTCTTGCAGATTCTACTCTTTAATTCGTTGCATCAACAAAACTCATCTTTCTGACTGGATTCAACTGGCAGTCTCTCCTATCCATCCCCATCAAATCTTCAGCCCATCAGCACCCATCACCATACCCCATCAACACCCATCAATACCCCATTAACACCCTCATCATGGCAATAAAAACACTAGAACAACCACATTCACCCAAAGAAGCTCGTTTGAAACAAGACACGCGGTTCGTGACTCTTCCACAGCCGGCTCCGCCGTTCCTCGAGTTCCTCCGATGCCCCGCTTGCCAGACGTTGGTCTTGAGTATCGAAAGGAGAAACCACCGGTTGACCAGGTGTCCGAAGAGGATGTAAGGGTGTGAGCAACTTGTTTGGATCAACATCTGACGGATATACATCTGACGATATACATCTGACGATATACATCTGACGAATATTCAAGTTCTCTAAAAAAATATAACATGTGACAATCACCCGCCTCTCGAACCATCTGAAACCCCCCATACCACAATACGCTACAATCATTGAAGCTCGTCTAATGCCAATGAACACCAAGTACCCACGTTACGACATGTTCCATCGTGACTTTGTCTGCGGTACAGCTATAACTACACGTGAAGCTGGGTTTCTCCTCTACCACTTTAAAGACCTAGGAAAAGTACATTTATAGAAGGCGGTTGGGCAAGTGATGATTGTACGGCAGTTAATCGCTCCAGGCTGTATCTCACATAGTTCTGACTACAGTGTCTGTACTTGCTACCTTGCTACTTCAGTGAACATACAGTAGTAGGCTTTAGTTGGGTTTAGTTGGGAATATATGTATCGTAAGAAAAAAAAATGCGGAAAAAAAAAATGCGGAAAAAAATGCGGAAAAAAAATGCAGTTGAAAAAGTGTCAAATGATATACAGAGTCCAAATGCCAGAGAATTTATCTAAAGACATCAAGTTACACTATCACGCAGCCATATGTCTACTGCGACCAGATCGGCTCTTACGGGAATCAGTGTATATTACGTACAACCGTCCAAACCTCTTGAAGCGGCCTACAGTATCAACTCACTTCAATCAGCAATATCAATTTTCATTTACGTACATCTTACACAATAGTCAGAGCAATAACAACGTACCAGGCCATTTATAACAGTGGCTTGATGTTGTCCGCTCCAGATCTCCTAATCTCCGAGATCCCTTATTTGATTCCAAAAGTAGTCTTGAGGTTTCTGAGCAACAGCCAGTCCTCTCGGGGCACGTCGTTTCGGAAAACGGGGTCCTTGAGAGTATCAATGGACTTTCGGGTGATGGACGAGTACAGAACATCCTTCTCGTCAATGTGTCGGCCCCAAGTAGGCTGTCCGGAAGAAGTATCGATTCGCATAGCCACACCAGCGTTGGTCTGGCCCTTTCGAACAACAGATTCGGACTTGTGGTTCACCTCCATGGAAGTCACCTTACCGAGCTCGAGCACCTCTCGTGCACCGGTCTCGGGGTTGGTCTTAACGGCACAGATGGGGGTTCCAATTCGCAGAGAGCCCTCAACAACGTCGACACCAATGATCATGGGCGATCGCTTGTTGATGATCTGGACAGTGTGCAGAACACAAGGGAAAACGGCCTTGTCGATGGTGTCCAGTCGCTTCTGCTCCTGCAGCTTCTTCTGGTGCTTGACAAAGTCGTCAAACAGATGGTAGATAATATCAGCCGAGAAAAGCTTGACACCCTGCTCGTCAGCATATCGCTCGGCGTCCTTGTCGATCTTGACGTCGAAACACAGCATGATGGCCAGCGACTTGTCCTTCTCCAGCATGGTGGTGGCTCGCATCACATCCTTTTTGTAGACGGGACCTAGAGCAATGGACATGACGGGGATCTTCATATCCTTGAGGAAGTCGAGAAGAGCCTCCAGGGAACCAAGAGTGGAAGCCTGGACACACACACCACGTCCAGACTTGTCAACGGAGTCAAGGAGGCCGGTAAGATCGTCCATGACATCGTCCATGAGTTCCTCCTCATCATCATCAGGACCCACAAGCAGCAGACGAGAACCAGCCACGGCCTTGTCCAGGTCGTTGGCGGCAATCTTGACACCGAGAGCAGCCTTGACCTCCTTGTGGTGCTGGTAAGCAGACTTGATTCGCAGCTCTCTGAGCGGCTGGGGAGTGAGTAGAGCTCTGACGTTGGTGGCAATGGGGCCGTTTTGACCGCAAAGCACGACTCGGTCACCCTCGCGCAAGACACCGTTGGACAGAACAACATCGATGGTGGTTCCGAAACCTTCGACAACCTTGACTTCCAGAACGGTGGCCTCGAGCTCAGACAGGTACATGAGCTGCTTGGACATTCGGCTCTGAGTCAGCTGCAGCAGAAGAGCGAGCAGATCGGGAATACCCTCGCCGGTGATGGCGGAGGTGGGGACCAGAGACACATTCTTGGCCAGGTTCTTGTTCTTGTAGTAGACCTCAGAGTTGAGACCCTGCTCCATAAGAGCGGTCTTGGTCTTCTCGAGTCGGTCCTCAAACTCCCGCAGCACAGACTTCTTCTGCTTGGAGAGCGAATCTCGGAACGAGTTGTTGGGGATGGCCTCCCAGTCGAAGAGTCGATCAATCTTGTTGAGAGCGACCACGAAGGGCGTCTTCTTGTCTCGCAGCAGCTTGATGGACTCAATGGTCTGGGGCTCGAGGCCGTGCATGATATCAATCACCAGGATGGCAATGTTACACAGCGACGAACCTCGGGATCGCAGGTTGGTGAAAGACTCGTGACCGGGGGTATCGATCACCAGCAGACCAGGCACGTGGTAGTCAATCTCGCCGTACTGCTCCATGACCTCCGTCTTCTTTTTGATGGCCTCGATAGGGAAGTAGGTGGCACCAATCTGCTGAGTAATACCTCCAGCCTCGCCCTCCTGCACGTTGGTTTGTCGCACCTTGTCCAGAAGCTTGGTCTTACCGGTATCGACGTGGCCCAGAATACAACAAATGGGAGATCGCAGGTTTCCGGCATTGGCAGATGCAATGGCTCGCGAGTGCTTGGCGGCACGCTTCTCGGCAATGGCAGCAGACTTTCGTCGGGCCTCTTCAAGAGCCTCCTCGGCAGCAACTCGCTGTCGCTCCAGCTCGGTCTCGTCGTTGAGCTGGGTGCCCTCATCAGCAGCCTTCTGACGGGCCAGAGCGGCAGCCTGGGCCTCAGCTTCCTTGGCAGCAGCCTCAGCCTCCTCCTTGGCCTTGATGGAGGGGTCTTCCTTCTTGGTGATTTCAATCTCGCCATTCTCGTCGGCCATGGCCTCCCAGTCGTCCTTGACTTCTCCGTCAGAGTCCAGGGCAGTCTCCCAGTCGTCCATAAGGGCGTCAACATCGTCCTCCTCGGGAGACTCGGCCTCCTTCTTGACCTCCTTGGGCTTCTCAACAACCTTGTCCTCAACCTTGGGCTGCTTCTGGGCAGGAGTTCTGGTGGGCAGTCTGTTGTTGGTCTGCTTGGCGGGTGCTCGTCCACCGCCAACAATCATTCCGGCAGCCAGCATCTGCTCTCGTCGAGCCTCGGCGGCAGCTCGCTCCTGCTTCTGCTTCTTGGTCATATAAGTACCCTCAGCCTTCTGTCGCTCGACCTTCTGTCGTTCTCGCTCCTTCTTGGCGAGCCGTGCAGCCTCCTTCTCCTTCTCGGCCTCCTCAACAGCTCGCTGGGCAGCCTCCTCGGCAGCTCGCTCCTCCTCCTCGGCAGCAGCCATAGCGGCTTCCTGGGCCTTGATGGCATCCTGCTGGGCCTTGATCTTGGCAATAGCAGCAGCTCGGCCAGTCAGCTTCTTGGCGGGGGCGGCGGGGGCGGCCTCGGGCTCAGGAGACTTGGACTCGACCTTCTTGTCCTCCTTCTTGTCCTCCTTCTTGTCCTCTCCCTTGGCCTTCTTATCAGCAGCCTTTGCGTCGGCAGCGGCCTTTCGTGCGTCGGCAGCAGCCTTCTTCTTGGCCTTCTCCTGCTCCTTCTTGAGCTTGTCCTTCTGCTTCTTGGTCAGAATCACAGGAGCCTCCTCGGGCTCGGCCTTTGCGTCCTTGGCGTCTCGCGCGTCCTTCTTCTTCTTGGACTTTCGCAGCGCTCCCATCAGTCCTCCGCCCTCGAATTCGTCGGCAAGATCGTCCATAGTGGCCTCCTCGGGAGCGGCAGGGGTGGGCTCGGGGGTCGCAGAGGCGCTCTCATCGCCCTTGGGCACATCAGCAGCCCCAGCAGCCTTGTCCTCCACAGCAGGGGTCCCGTCGAGGTTCTGGGGAGTCGTGTCCATGCTCTCCTCCTCACTGTCGCTCCAGTCGCCGTAGCTTTGTTGCTTCTTTCCTTTCTTCGCCATCTTGTCGTGTCGTGAAAATGGTCAGGTATTCAGGTTGAGATGTGTAACTACATGGGTGAAAAAGTGAGAAATCACGTGATCCAAACCTTGTTACAAGAAGACACTGATTGCCCTCAAAGAGCGGGAAAAAAAAGGGAAAAGGACCGGTGGAAATGTGGCAAATCCCCGATATGAGATTTTTTTGTTTGTTTCTTAGGTTTCACATAACTCTGGCTCGGCTTTGTCGAACTACCGCAATCCACTTCTCAAACATATCAATCTAGGCCATATCTACGATTTCCTTGCATCATCATTGCGCCAAACTAAAGTTTCCTTCAAAATTTTTCACAGATCGAACGCGGTTGTGGGTTCGATTCTGTGGTAGATACCATATAGTTGGTCTGGATGGGTGCGAGCATTGTCTTGCGCTCTTCTGAATACCTGGATCCGAGTCCGATATGGGGGTTAATATTGTTTTTAGGCCTCTGTAGCTGTGTTGTATTTCCCCTAGAATTAGAATAAAATAAAAATAAAAATAAAAATAAAAATAAAAATAAAAATAAAAATAAAAATAAAAATAAAAATAAAAATAAAAATAAAAATAAAAATAAAAATAAAAATAAAAATAGATAAAAATTTATATATATATATATAAATAAAAATTAGAAAAAAAAAAAAAAAGATGGCATCGGACTAAAATATGTACATACTGTGCAGTACTTCTTGCAGTTAGTCTTCACCTTCATCTTAATCTTTAAGAGAGTAGGATTGAGAGTAGTCCAAACAAGTGGCATTGTGAGGAAACCAGCGAGTTGGTTGCCAGTCTCCACAAATGAAACAGTCTCGCTACCATTCACTCTCGCTACCATTCACTCTCGCTACCATTCACAGCTTCTTTGGTGAAGTGATATTGTCACGGATGGTCGCCTAGAGACTCCAGTTGTTGACCGCACTATCAATGTCCGGAACTACAGTGTCCAGAACCCCCCGCACTATCCGAGAGTCTGGACTGCTCTGCTCCATGTCCCATGAAACCCCAATCGTCGTCTGAATGAAGAAATGAAGCACCGATGGGGCTACTAGAACTTCACCAACTCTCACCTTGCCCGACGACTTTACTTGAGATCTGAGTACCCTCCTCGGTCTCAGCCGGTTTCAATTACGTCATTATTGGATCTCGGGCAAGTCATACTCTACCGCGCAGGAGTACGAGGCCATGAATCATGCCCTTGAACTTGCATACACCCATATTCCGGTCCTTGTTCTCGTGGAGAAGTTTCCCGGTGCCAGCGAAGACAAGATCCAGGGAGTTATCAACTACTATGGGCAGGATACATTAAGAATCTGAACGTGGCCAAGTACTGGGACAACTTTGACGCCATTGGCGACCTCAAGGACCACATCTTCGACAACAACGGTGATAAGGATGCGGATCTAGACTACACCAACCCTCCCCATGTTATCGTGAACTATATCATGCAGGATCCCGTTATCAAGAACCTCATTTTTTCGTGCCTCATGAAGTCGACGACTTACGAGCAAATACCGATGGGGACTGATGGACTTTGCCGACTCTTCTACTATGCCTACGCATCTCGACTGGTCGACTATTTTGGAGGACATCCGACACCTGAAGGAATCCACGACTGCCCACGACATTTATAGGAAGCTGGTCTGTCATACAGACATTGTCTATCTGCCTGGAGACGCCGACAACTCCAGGTTCATGGAGTGGGTCAATGCTATGGTTAAAGTCGAGGAGGAGTCCACCTTTGCGAGAGAAGGACCTGAGTTCTAGAGTGATCTCAACAGGCGCATGTTGGCCAACTTCAAACTCGAACCCACCATGAAAAGACGAGATCAAATGCTGACCAACCTGCGACTTTGAGACTACTCGAGCTACAATCTATGATATATATTCTGATTGGCGACAGGAGTCAGCTAAACCGGATTCAGTTGCGAGCTGTGACCAGGCCTGGTTCAACTGAACAATGGTAACGCCGCTTACAAGAAAAACTTTCGCGCAATGGAGTATTCGAAGAATGCTATTATCGACCTTCTTATGGAAGATGGCGTTTTTCTTCTCTGCGGTTTTCTCGGCCACAGTTATCAGGAAAATCACCGTTTTGATCACGACACAGGCGAAGGGATCGTCCGCTGAAGGCCATTTTTGGTGAATCGGGCATGAAGAGAAAAATCTTTGAAACGGTAATGCGCAGCCCAAGATCTCGGATCATCTGAGGAGAAATCACCTCACCTCTTCCGACAAGCGTAAGCGGAAACAGGACCCGGGGGAGTTCCCTTTACACAAAGGTACTGTGAGATTCATCTTTCAATCATTGCAATCAAGGGTTGGATTCGAGCAGAGTTACAAGTACCTTCAATTATTCAACTCCACTGGTTCGTCCTTCCTACTTTCCAGCCCGTTTGAAGTAATGTCCATGCTGGTCAAAATCTGGAACCAGAAGGTGGAGGTGTTGAGCTGTGAGAATTTCTCCGTCAAGTTCTTCACCATTTGGAGTTGAGCTGCGTTTTTGAACATGAGAGGGCTACAAGTACAGCACTGTATGTACACCGAATCGACACAAGAGTCTTTAATTAATAGTACAAGATGTCTCTGTAATACAACTGTAGGAGTGTTCTTGCCACAATAGTAAATCTGCTTAATAATCAGATAGTTGTCTCTCTCTCCAACAGTGTTTCATGGCTTCTTTTTTTCATCTTCTCTAAGCGTGGGTTTATCATTCGGTTTTTGTTGTTTTTTGTTGTTTTTTGTTGTTTTTTGTTGTTTCTTTTTTCTCTCTTTTTTAAATTTATTTACTTATTCATTTTCCATATCACCGATTAGGACTAGGTTTTTTCCGAAAAGTTGGACTTGCCCGAAACGAGAGGAGAGTCGTTGCGTAACTAAGTATGAAGTGTGGCCGGGAAAACGCGAATCCCGCCGTTTAACAATGCTCCAGGTCTCTTGTCAGTGGTATTCTCCGTCTGGATGACTTGCAATCACGTGCCTACGACGCGTCGTGCAGCTCACAAGTAACTCATATGCTATACATTTTGGCCCATCTGTTTTGCTGCTTTTCACCAACCAGCTCACCACCAGCTTGCCATCATGACGTCCAACCGCCGATCTGTTTCGGATGTGCTCGGCGGAGTCAAGCAAGAGACCACAACGAAGCGACTCAACGTGGATCGCAACATCATCGAGCGACGGGTTGGAGGCAGCGGCGGGTTGACCAGAAACAGAAACAGAAACACCAGCCGGGCCACGTCGAAAACCAAGACCGACGGGAATATCAGTGGGTTTTTCCAGAAGGTTCGAGAAAACTCGCCCTTGAACGGACCCCAGAAAAAAATAGTTGGTTTCGGAAAGAATAGGGTCAGGCGTCAGGCCAACTCGGCCGCCAAAGCCAAGCGCGAAGTCGGATCGGATCCGGAGGAAGACGATGCACTGACCAAGAAGGCGAAGAAATGCGACATGGCTTCCCACGGTGGTCCAAGATCCAAAAGAGCCAAATTCGAGCCCAATCTCTCCGACAGTCTCTCCGCCGACAATGTCTCGGATGAAGAGCTGTCTGGCTTCTCCGATCTGGACGACAATGTGGCGTCGACGCTGGCGAAAATCAAGAAGGCGCGCGAAAAACATGACGCCGCGTTGGTGACGGAGACGGAGCCGGATTTCTTGCAAACATCCAGCCAAGAAGAGGAGGACGACGAGGAGGACTGGGAGGCAATCAAAGCCCGGCTCAGTAGAGCCCCGACCCGAAGCCAGCTCATCCGACAACAGAGACAAGAGGAGGACGACGGCGAAAACGACATTGAGTTCGTGCCCGTGGGATACGACGACGCTTACAACCTGGATCTGAGAGAACGAAAGGTGCGACGACAGGTGAATCAGCACGCCCAGTCGCAAGGCTGGCCGGTTGTCACTCGAGAAGGCATTTCGCACAAGATTGCGACACGCTTCCAAAAAATCTACAAAGAAAACATCCTGCCTCTACTCAAAGCCGGAGGTGGAGACAACCACGTTTTCTACAAGGACATCACAGACTACTTTTCTAGTCCCGGAGCAAGGAGAGCCGCTAACACCACACAGCTCATGTATCTGGGCGGTCGCAGATACACCACGGGCTACTATTCCGAGCTGTTTGCACATGAGTTGAACAAGCACATGACCAACAGCGGTCTTGCACAGGATTTCGAACACCACGTCCGAAGTAACCCGGAATTGCATAGCATGATCATTCGTCCAGGGCTTTTGTTCCACTTCCAGACGGCAATCTGTATTCCTGAAACCGTCATTCGGCTGATCATGGACGACCAAAAGGTCTCGTATGAAGAGGCCGATCAGATCCGGCTGAGAAGTGCTGAGTTTGGAGTTGTTGTTGCGGAGCGAATCCAGGATGAGGAGCGTGTTGAGTCTAGTAGTGGTGAAGGTGATAGTGAGAGCGAAAATGAGAGCGAAAATGAGAGCGAAAATGAGAGTGAGAATGAGAGCGAGAATGAGAGCGAGGAGGATTAGCATTGAGCTACTATACTGGGCTGGACTGAGCTGGACTCGATTGTACTTGTATTATATTTATTGCTACATTTAGTGATTGGAGAAGACCAACATTTACATACCACACTAGTTGATGGATTTCTGTACTACACTAACAACGACAAAAACATATCGGAGTCGGATTCGAGATTTACAGAAGAGCGTATGAGAATCAGATTCACAACGTCCCTCTTATTCCGGAGTTTTTTTGCATGTTTTTTTTTTTTTTTTTTTTCCGAGATACAAGACGAAATCTCAAAGGTTGCATAATTAAATGCTTGGATTCTGATTGTCGACTTCCACTAACCCGATTGGAGTCCGGGTGCGACCTTTTTGCTCCTTTCAGTGTCGGTATATCGCGGACAGTTATATGGCATACTCTTATATATATATACAGGTCCAGACTGACGCCATTGGAATCGAGTGTTTGTATTGTACTACAATTAGCTACCAGTACTGAGACTAGTTAAAGATACATTCCACTTATAGATCACATCAATTAGATCAGTTAGACCAGTTACAATCGACCAAAATTCTCAGGACGAGCGGGCTTGTTGTCAAAGATCTTCTCAATCTTCTCCAGAACCTCATCGGTCACCTTGTCGAGAATCTCGTAGGTCTGGAGGTTCTCTTCCAGCTGCTCGACTCGAGTGGCTCCCAGAATGACGGTGGAGGTGTGGGGCTGTTTGAGGAGCCAGGCCAGAGCCAGGTTGGCAGGCTTGACCCCAAGCTCTTCCGACAGCTCGACAAACTTGGCCACCTTCTTGGCGTTGGCCAGACCGCTGTCACTCTCGAGCTCCTTGGTGGCTAGTCGCTTCAGCATGGGGTCGTTCTTGATCTTGTCGGGCGAGAACCGCGAGTCCTTGGGCACCTCCTTGAGGTACTTGCCGGTGAGAATACCCTGGGCGAGAGGAGACCAGATGGTGGTTCCGTAGTTGTAGTCCTTGAGAACAGGTCCCAGCTCCTTTTCGAAGAAGTCTCGCTCCAGCAGGTTGTAGACGGGCTGCTCGGCAATGGGGGGAATCAGTCCGTACTTGGTAGCGGCGTGGTTGGCTCGCTCAATCTCGTACGAGGTCCACATGGACGTGCCCCAGTAGAAGGCCTTGCCGTCGTTGATCACCTGGGTGAAGGCTCTCACCACCTCTTCGATGGGGGTATATCTGTCGGGTCGGTGGGCAAAGACCACGTCGACGTAATCGAGTTGCAGACGCTTGAGCGACTCGTCAATGCCCTCCAGCACATGCTTTCGAGACAGACCCAGCGCGTTGACCGTCTTGGTGGGACCCCAGAAGAGCTTGGTGGAGATGACGTACTCTGTTCGCTTCCATCCGAGGTCCTTGATGATCTTACCCATGGACGTCTCGGCCTCGCCGGCTCGGTAGACCTCGGCCGTGTCGAAGAAGTTGATGCCGGACTTGAACGCTTTGTCGAAAATCTCGAGCGTCTTCTTGTCCTCCACTCCACCGTCGCCGTAGTTGATCCAGGAGCCGAGTGACAGAGACGACACTCGCAGACCGGACGGGCCGAGAAATCGGTATTCTTGCTTGGGGATGAGCGACATTTTGTTTGGTAGGCGATTGGCAATTGAGCGTTTGGATTAATTGAGAGTGTGGGGCAATTGAACTTCTTGGGGGCAATTGAGTGCAATCGAGTCGGGTTATATAACTTGTGTCGGGGTCCGAAAGCCACAGAAGTGCCTGGTGTAAATGTAAAATGCCCCACAAGGTTGTGCATGACAAATGCGCCAATTACTAATGTCTACGGAGATAAGTTAAGATAATGCAGGGTGGGTGGGTCGGGTTCCACTTTGTGTGCTAAAACAAGACGTAATCGCTTCATTTACTCACAATTATTATGTAATCGCTTCATTTGCCCATGATTATTATGTAATCGCTCCTCTTGGGCTCTCAGATATTACGTAATTGCCCAATTCGCCGTTCCCTCTTCGCTTATAGTTCCCCGCCTTACAGTGTCCATACATGGATTTAGTTTTGTTATATTAAATGGCCAAACTCTCCATTTCTCGCTTGTAATAATAAAAATAAAAATAAAAAACAATAAAAAATTGAAAAAAAATTGAAAAAAACTCTTCCTCTCACCTCACAACAAATACTCAAACCCATTTCGACCACCACCGTTCCGATTGAGCCGCCGCAACCACAGAAAAACAGCAGTGCTCAGAAAACACGCGCCAATCATGAACCCCATATCGATCCACCCAGCCCGGTGAAACACAGGAATCTCCCTGTGGGTGTGCGTTCGAAACTCGAGAACGCCAAACCAGTTGACGATCATGGCAAACACGGTGAAGCTCATCAGCCGGCGGTTTCGACCCTGAACGTTGCTGCCCAGCCAGCAGGCATTGGTCACAAAAGCAGACACCATGTTGGGCAACACAAACCACGCGCCTCCATACATGATCCACAGATTGTGATCCGACGGCTGGCAGACCACTAGGGCCCATCCAATGATGGCAAACACATAGTTGGAAAGCAGAAAGTAGTAGTTGACTTTCCACTTGCCGCTGAACCACGCCTGTAACAGACACCACACCATGCACATGAACATGACCGGCCACACTATCAGCTGTCCCTCGGCGGGCGAGTACTTGAGATAGCCAAAGGTGTAGGTCATGAACTGGCTGTAGCACGACCCGATCCCGTACATGGTGAACATGCCCAGGATACCGCAGCCCCACACCAGCGGGTCTTTGACTGTCATCACCAGTCCCTCCACCAGCGTCTCTGTGGGTTCCACGGGGTTGCCGTTGGCGTAATCTGCCTCGGTGTACGCCTTGAAGTATTGGTAAGCCGCCAGTCCGTTCTTTCGAATCCACCTCGAGCTGTAAAAGTACTCGGGCAGTGTCAGGAACACCAGGGAGGACTGCAGACATCCCGCGGTTCCGGTGATGATGAACATCCATTGCCAGCCGGCCTTTCCGTCGTGAATGAGCCCCAGAGCAATGGCAATCATGGCGAAACACGGGACCAAAAACCACGACACTCCCCAGGCACACGCCAGAATGAACTGCCCATTATATCTGCCGTGGTTCTCGTAAACCACGTAGAGCATGGCGGGGACGCCAAAGTTGAGCAGCAGACCCAGAAAGAGTCTCGCCATGATCATGCCGCCATAGTTGTGGACAAAGGCAAACAACAGACAGTTGAGCCCCCACAGAAACATCTCTGAGCCCAGAAAGATTCGGGGATTGCACCGCTTGAACAGAAACACAAACACGAGAGGAAGCACGGCATAGGGGAAATACAAACACGCAATGGACCATTCATATCGTCTGGGAGCCAGCCATTTCTGGATTCCAACCGCTCCCGACGAAATCACATCTCGGCAGATGATATGACTTGCACAAAACGCCTGGAGTTGCAGGCCGACATTGAGACTGGTTGCAAACCTGAGTTTCTTGGCTTGTTGCGGCGTGAGCACGTCTTTCTCACTGATGGGGTCCACAGAGGTCTTTTGCAAGTCTTCACCCGAAGCCGACTCCACCAGGTCTCCATCACCGCAAGCCACCGACTTGTCAGGAGATGAGGAGTCCATCTGGCTTGTTCTGTCGGGAGCATATCCGTACTCACTTGTTCTCCCCGATGAGCAGTCTGCGTTTTCTGTGTTGATTGGAGAAGAAGGGTTCGTCATCATGTGATTGGAGTTCTATCGCAGGACTGAGAGAGGGCATGACTGCTTTTAACGGGTTCGTCCCGCCCCTCATTTACGAACTGGCCATCTTTTTAGTCCCCAGTAGTGTGGAGAGAGAGTCTTCTGTGGAGTCAGAGTTGCAAGACTGTGAATCGAACGAAGCAAAAGATGCTGAAACGAACCGTCAGTCTCGAGTCCGTCGTTTCTATGCCCCGGGCTGATTCTAGCAAAGTCCTTCGCTGGATCTCGTCACAATGACTACAATTCCGGAAGTCAGATGCCCGGGTATCTCTTGCGGGGTTTATGGTATGGAATCAGTAGGCGACTACTGTGGTGATAGTATCGTGAGCCGTTCGAGTCTTTCTTGATGGGGATACTTGCAGTGAAATCGAGTGCTATGGATCTACCTGATGGCGGAGATTACTCGTCTCAGTGGTACTCTGACTGACGTGATCGGCATTACGAGATGGCTTGGTCCAGATGAACCACGTTCAAGTGGAGCGGTCCACACAATCGCAAGATCATGCTCTTGGATGCACGATAAGAGGAGAGTACACTATCAGTGCATGATTAGACCGATTGGTATTTCGGTGCCAAAAGCGGTGGAGCTAGTGCGGTCTGGACCTTGACTTCGCGTCTGAGCATCTGTCCCATGACACTGCTCCTCGGCACATCTCAGAGAAGAGAAAAACCGCCAGTGTTCATACAAGTGGTGGTTCTTGTTCGTCTTCGCCATCCAACTGCCCAAACCGTGCCCAAACCGTGCCTATGAGCAGATGGGGTTGAGACATGGGTTAATTACCCGGGAATGCGGGGGGAAGAACAAGCAGCTCATGAAACGGTCTATAGTAGCTACTACTTGTAGTAGTTGATGTCCAAAGATGGTAACGAGGGTCGTCAAAGAGGATGCAATTGGCGGGGGCATGGGATTTTGAAGTCACAACCCTCCAATCCAACCAATCCAACCCCCACAAACCACCGGTCAACAAAACGTGCAACAGGATACACGGGTTCTTGCTACAAGTACAAGTACAAGATACACGGTAGCGCCGCGGCGGGGGAAACATGACAGGGCTGTACCAGCTACAAGTAGCGTTGTGACCCCCACAGCGGGAAAATGTCTCTAGACTGAGCCCTGAGCCCCGTGACTACCTACAGTGACCTAGCACGAGCTAGTGAGGGCTGGATGGGGCAAGTGGACAGACATTGATATCGTTTGATCCAGACTACTTCAGACGACTCCAGACCACTCCAGACGAAGTTCGATTCCCCAGATCTGCAATTTCACCAATGCGGCGCAAAAATACACCAAATGTCAAGGAAGGAGGAGCTCGCTTGAGGATCACGTGACCATCGTAATCCCATATCCCCGTTGTTGTTTTTTTGCTGTATTGTTTGAGCAAGTACCCTGGTGGTTAAAGAGGGTACAGTATGTATTGCTGTAAGATCAATCTGATACAAGTACATCATACGTATCATTACCCTATATCATTATATCATTTCTTTTGTGTCCTTTTGTACTAATAGAAATCTGTATTCTCGCGTGACAGTGTCTACAAGAAGTAGTCGGGGGTTCGTCGAGACACGGAGGGCTCTCCGGGACGGGGACAAGGATCGTACTGCAAAAAGGAGTTTGAGAGGTTTTCGTCCACCTCCATGATGGCGGCCTGGTTTCCGCATCGGTAGCAGTAGTTGGGGGCGGAGAAGATGGTGACCACCTGCTGCTCGTGTGCCCAGCTGAAGCCTTCCATGACCAGCTGGTGTGCTCTTGAAATGAGACTCAGGTTGTTTGTGTGGTTAAACTGTTCGGAAATGTCGGCACCGAAGGTGAAGCCGGCTCCTCGGGGGCTCATTCCCCATCCTCCTCGGTCATCGGGGTCGGACCACAGCAGGTCGCACATGGGGCCGTCGTGGGGCACCTCCTGGAATCGGTTGAGTTCTCGGATGTTGTCGATGGACTCGATCATGGGAGACAGGCCTCCGTGCAGACAGAAGATTTGGTTCTCCACCAGGGCGGTGACGGGGAAGTAGTCGAACAGCGACGTGAAGGCTCGCCACACGTTGGCGTTTCCGTACTTTCGCAGACACTCGTCGTAGAAGCCGTAGACCTGGGTGATTTGTCGCGACTCGTGGTTTCCTCGCAGAATGGTCAGTCGGTTGGGGTATCGCACCTTCATGGCCACCAGATAGGACACCGTTTCGACCGAGTAGTAGCCTCGGTCCACGTAGTCTCCCATAAACAGGTAGTTTGTGTCTGGACACGGCCCGCCGATTTTGAACAGCTCCATCAGGTCGTGGAACTGGCCGTGCACGTCTCCACAGATGGTCACCGGCGCGTGCACGGGCTGCACGTTTTCCTCCTTCTGCAACACCCCCTTGGCCATGTTGCACAGCTCGTTGACGTCGTCTTCGCTGAGAGGCTGGCATTCGGTCAGTCGTGCGATCCAGGCGTCCAGCTGGCCGCGGGTTGTGGGTGTCAGTTCTGTGAACGTCCCTTCGCCCCCGGCTCCCATGGCGTCCATGGGCTTGAGTCCGTCGTCGTTGATATCTCTCATCAGCACGTCTGAATCTTCCATTGTGGCGGTTCTTGTGGGTCTGGTGATGCGTGAATGTGTGGGTGTGTGTCTGTGTCTGTGAGATGGATGCGGGTGACGGAAGCTCTTGTGTCTACAGCGAGCTCGAGAGATGTGGTTATGGCGGAGTGGTGTGTGTGGGTCGACGTGTTTACACTGCGCTGACCACTGTGAACTTTGAGGGCCGAACCTTAATGTTTTCACCCAATCCCTGGCTTTTTCGCCGGTGCGGGCTACCTGAAAAGCGAGTCCCGGAGCGGTTTTATCGGGAATACGAGCCCGCCAGCGTTTTTCCTTGACCCCAAATAACCAAATTCGCCCTTTTCCCCGCCCCGATACCTTGATTTCCCCGTTTTGGCCGTTCCCCCCCATCCCCTCTCGTACTGCCGCTATCTTTAATGGCGATTATTACGATACGCCGCCCAAAACTTTTTTGACCGCGGCAGTCTCCTGATAACGGCAAAAGACGGTCTGACGGTGTCTAATACCGTCGCAAATCGAACCGACAAGGCTCTGGAGCCAGGAAATGGCGCTTTTCGCCACCCTCAATGTCCAATAGTTGGTCTTGAGGGGGTTACCCGGTTGTCGACAGCAAGCTAGATTGCTACAACCTCGCGATCACGTGGTAAGCAAGATAATGGTTAGTAAGAGAATGGTTAGTAAGATGGTTAGTAAGGGTACAGTAATAGTTAATCAGTCGTGACAAGAGTTGGAATTTCCCTGGAATCAAAAAACCGAATAGATTGGACCGTGTCAGTTTAATGAGAGTGAGGTGATACAGTACGTGTAAGAGTATAGAACTGTCAATGGTTGATTGTACAGTACTGTTGTTACAAGTGTATGTTGCTGTGTTAACCGTTTATAAAATGGCGAAAAATGGAATAAAAGCGGAAATTGAAATAAAAGCGGAAATTGGAAGAAAAACGGAAATTGGAAGAAAAGCAGAAATTGGAAGAAAAAACAGAGGATAAATGGTCGTATACCACATATTTGCCTCTTTGTATTTTTATCTTCTTATTATTATTTTTTAATATCTTTCGCCTCCTTTTCAAAATTACTCCTTTCTGTCTGACCCCGCCATTTGAAGTTACCACCAGACTACGTACGAGGGATTAACTGTGCCATGACGTAATAGAAAGGTATAAATATGGGTTCGAATCCCGTAATCGCCCTTTGTTGGGGAATGGGTAAATGGGTAATCCATTAGGTGTGCCGCCGTATGTACTTGTACTTACGCAGATATCGTGTTTGTGGTACGTTTGGTGTCGTCGAACAGTGCCGACGTGGACACATGGAGTCTGGAAGACATTGTTAAAGAAGAATTGATAACGGACTAAGACGGAGCTTTTTGGCCGAATAAATCGATGCACAAACACGGATCCAATCATCTACAGAGCTGGTTGGTTGTTGTAAAGCGTTTATTGATGTATGTACTGGATATACTGGATATACTGTACATTCACTTGTTTGCCCTTTTGATATGTGCATATATTTATATATATATACTGTATATATATACTGGATATACAAGTACATACTGTAACAGTACATACAGTACACTTGTTTGCCCTGTTGAAATGTGCAATATTGCAACGATACGGTAGCTCCTGAAATATTAGAAGGCAGCAGTTCCCGAGCGTCCAAAAACCACCGGATTTACCTCGACCCCTGCCTCGATCATACTGTGCATTCTTCTCCGCAATCGTAGATTGCAGACTGGACAAGAGTAGAGCTGCTGGACTTTGAGATGAAACAAACACTTGTGGAATAGCTCCATCAAGTGTCTCGTGGTCCATTTCGCATCTTTCGCTTCTTTTGCAACTTTCCATCTTGTTCTCGATACGTCCAGACAACCCGGCCTCACCCCATTTCCGATATTGTAGGGTTATCAATCTCGCCCTCGAGTTGGAAATCGATCTGTATCTGCAATGAGGAAACATTCAGCGTACAATGAATGTTCAGGGAAGTCCATTGAAAGTGCGGTATGGCAGTATTCGGTACGCATGAGTATGAGTGAGCACGAGATATCAATGTAGTGTCCGATACTAACAAGATCAATCCACTTAGACGAACAGTGCCAGTAACAGTAGTTTCCGAAACAGTGGGCTTCAGAGCTTGCCGAAAACCAGTACTCGGTGACTGATTGATATAGAGCCACAATGTAGACGGAGATGGCCAAAGAAACATTCAGAAAACGGGTGGACTGCTCTAGGACTCACTTGGGCCCACCTAAGACGTTGGAACAGTGTACTTGTAGTATTCTTGCTCCCGGCTGGGGCAGTGAGTACTTGTACAAACGAGACGAGTACGGCGAAGACCTACTATAGGTACAATACTGGCACCACTGTTGTTTCTTGTTCAGATCATCTGAGACAGGAGACATCAGGAGGTCTAAGAGGTCTAAACGAGACCTACAGGAGACCTGAAACACCTAATCACACCTGAAACATCTCAACACCACCACAATCACACCCTACCAGACCCGAAACACATTAATAACACCTCAAACACATCCAATCACACTCGGTAGCTCCCTATGAATCTTTTAATAATCTCTAAGAATACCATCCTCTGACCACGGAGGTTCAAACACCCAACTCTCCCATCCACACCCACTCTTGTCAGGGGTGGGGGGATGTGGGGGTACGCGAGGCCGCTGGGGTGCGGGGGGCGGGGGCCGCGCGGTGATGATTAGTAAGCAGTACACACGCGACAAACACACGTGCACGTGATTAAATACACCCACGTAATTGGACACGTGACGACTTCAGTGACCACCCCCTTCTCCTTACTAACAAAGTTGCACGGCGTGTGAAAGTTGGAGTGGGTTTTTAATTTAAGCGTTTCGTGACATTGCCAGTTTCGACACGTTGAACGAACACGACGTGAAAAAAAACAACCCCCCGCCTGAAAAAAACCTGATCGCGAAAACAACCGGAAAATGAGAGTTGAACAGCTGTGGAAACGCGACTCGGACGACGACTCGGATGACGACGATAATACGGTGGTGCAGGGCCCTTCCACCGACGACAACGGAGTGCCCTACAACTACCTGACCATCATCGACGCCGGCTCCTCGGGGTCTCGAGTGCACATTTTCAACTGGTTGAGCTCTCGAGAGGCTTCGTCGGGGGCGGAAAAAAGACAAGACACAAACGACAAGAACCGAAGCAAACAAAAGGGCGCCAAGGGCGGCGCGGAGCTGCATCTGCTCAAGATGCTGGAGGTGAAACAAGACCCTTCGTGGTACAAGAAGATTGATGGGGGCATGGACTCGTACGTCAAGGACCCGACCAAGGTGGGCAAGAAGCATCTCAAAAAGCTGCTGAAACACGCCGCCAAAGCCATTCCGGACGACCAGATCGCACGAACCCCCATCTACGTGCATGCCACGGGCGGAATGCGCAACCTCGGCAAACAGGACCAACTAGCTATCATCGACAACGTGTGTGGATACATTTCGGACAAGTCCAACTTCTGGCTGCCCGATTGCCGAACTCACGTGCGAGTCATCGAGGGCGGAGAAGAGGGTCTGTACGGCTGGATCGCCGCCAACTACCTGATCGGAGCTCTGGATGATCCCTCAAACCACGACCACGGCAAGGACCACTCCACCTACGGCATCCTGGACATGGGAGGAGCGTCCATGGAGGTGGCATTCGAGCCCGTCAAGGGGTCGGGCGAGGGAGGAGCTGCCACCGACGATACCTCCTACACTCTTCATCTGGAGGGCAACTACGACATTCACACCCAGAGCTTCCAGGGATACGGCGTCAAAATGGCCCATCTGGCCTACCTGCAGGCCCTGGCGTCGCAAAGTGCCCAGGAGGGTGACAAGGACGTCAAGATCGACGACCCCTGCGCCCCCAAGGGCTACCGACGAGACCTCAAGCTCGCCGACGGCACCAAAATCGAAACCACCGGATCCGGACTGGTCGAACAGTGCGAAAAGTTCCTCAAGGTGCTGGCAAAGGACCAGTGTCGAACAGCCACTGCCAGGTCACGTGATCTTGACGGCGAGGAGCCGCCGCGGGGCTGTCTTTTGGACAATTCGCCCCTGGACAATCTTGACATTCACCATTTTATTGGTGTTTCCAAGTACCATGACATTATCACTTCTCCTGCTCTTGGTCTTGACGATGGTTCCAAGTACGACCATGACAAGTTCAAGCATGCTGTGAACGACTTTTGTGAAGACGACTGGGACGATATTGTCGAGGAGCATCACGATGTGTCTGAGAAGCATCTTTCCAATCTGTGTTTCCGGGGAAAGTGGCTGGATGCTGTTCTGGAGGAGGGCTTTGGTTTTGTGGGGTCTTCTGAGAAGAACGAGGACGAGGACGAGGACGAGGGCAACGGTGGCCAAGAGGACGTCAAGGAGGACGCCAAGGAGGTTGAGGAGGCTCCCAAGAAGCCTAAGCGACCCTCTCGGCCACCCTCGGCTATTGTCGGGTTTGTAAAGGGGTCTGGTAACAAGAAGCCCGAAGACAAGGAGGATGATAAGGCGGTTGACGGGAAGAAGGAAGAGGAAGAGGACAAGGACGCCGAGGGCAAGACCAAACTGTCGTCAATGTCCCAGGCTTCGGTATCGCACAACGACAAGATGGTGTACAATTCTCTGGACAAGATCAACAATGTGATGGTGCGAGATACTCTTCTTGGAAGAGACACGACCTATCTCGATCCCTTCCAGTCTGCGGATCTCATCCAGGGCCGTCAGTACTCTTGGCCTCTGGGTCGGGCTGTTCTCTACGCCTCTGCCGAGAACCAGGAAATGAACATTGTGGGCTACGAATACAACCACGAAACCGTGCCTGGAAAGGTGGAGATCAACGGAGCCGAGCAGAACGTGGAGTGGAAGCGGCCTCAGTACAAGCGAGGAGAGGTACCTACCGACAACAAGACGGGGGACAAGGAAGGCTCGTCGGACTGGCACGAGATTATCGAGGACCATGGAGGAGACCGAGTTTGGGGGTCGGTGGCGTTCCTGTTGATTCTGGTGATTGCTGTCTATCTACTTCTTGGTAAGACCCGACGCCAGCTGATTTTCCAGTCGGTGTCTTCTCGAATCTGGAAGCGTCGAGGCGGTGGACCTGCTCGAGGCGGAGCTCGACAACCCTACCGACCGATTGACGAGGACATTGAGCTCGGTGATGTCGAGACCGAGTTCGAGGTGCATTCCGACGACGAGCGACTTTGACATTCATAGGTATAAGACATGTAAGGATGGGTTTGTTCCATTGTAGGGAGGAGAGAGGGTGATTAGTGAGATGAGTACACTCGTACATACTCCACGTTCGGGAACAGACTTAGATCGAACTGTATCGAAAGGTCAATTGTATCAACCATGGAATTGGTTGCACACCAAGATCTGCACAATCGGGTGTTAGCGCGAAATCTCAACGCTCGTCTTTCGATGGTTTTTGAGTGGCACTGGGGTAGGTATACCTACCCCTTTGTAAAAAATGTAGTGAATTTTCTGCTGTTTTTGCTCCATTGAAGGACGAGAGATGTTTCCATCAGAATTTGGACGACTCTCAGAACTGTTGGATGATCAGGATAGGTTATGATTCTTGTCGAGTCACATGGACATTGATAATCGCATAATTTACCCATAAGACGAGTTTTCGCGGTATCCATTTGGTTGTTTACTTGTCTATTTGATTGTTTACTCGGAGTACTGTACATACTATACCACTGTATACTGCACTCGAACTATGACGGTTCGATAAATGTCGCGAAAAATACCACCCAGAGTTTCTGAAAACATATAATGCAGTTTTAGAACATCTAATAATCATTGACCGTCTTTTCCACGATCTCTGGCCTTAGATTAACCACCAACATGACATCCTCCACATCGGTGAGAAGTGAGAAATCAACTTAATGCACTAGTCAAACTCCCCCACGGACTTTGGTGCTGCCCCTGTCAACCTCGCCTTCAGACTGCGACCCTGTAGGCTAACGACTCTGGGGCTGTAGATTCGAAAAGTCCACCAACATAGACCATAGTAGTCTCAGACGAGCCGACATGTGCGACCTGTGAGACTTCTCGAATAGCGATCGTCGCGATTAGCGTGATTTCCTCCGACTTGGGTACCGTACCTGAAGTAGGTACACCCGTTGAGTGACGGCCATTGAATACGAAAACAATGGTGGAGGATGAAAGACTAGGTACTTTCTTGATTATGTCGTACTTGTTGGCGACTAGGGAGCGATCACAACGGCTCCACTGCACGAGATGTCATCTCCGGCTTCGAGATGGAAGGGAACTACTCAGGCGCATACTCTGAAGAAGATGGGGGGTGGTGATTCGGCTCATGTAAAAACTGGTAGCTACAAGTAAAGTGTACTCCACAGTATCGCCATACGGGTAGCTCCGGTAAACACTCCTAACTGGATCAAGTCCTCTCGAAAACTGGTGGGCTCGACTAAGTACGTCAAAAATACTGCACTTGTACTTACTCACGCAAGAAATATAACCGATAGATCCGGGTACACTTTACCCAGTCTGTCAAACAGATTGCTAGGTCTTGGAAGATGTGGTCGTGACTCCATTGAGTCTCTTATTATTCCCTTTGACAAGGGGGCAGAATAGACCAACCATCTTACAAGACTCGAATATCGCTGTACTGTAGTCATAATTGGGCTATTATTACTCATCTTGTACTCGTATTCATAGTGCAATTAGTCACCATCTCAATATGGAGATGTACTTCTGGCTTTTGCGTCGATAATGCAGGACCAGAAGAGATGAAAACTTTAGTGCGAGAGAGTACTCGTATAAGCAGAAGCACAAGCCAGAATTCTTCTCTCCACTCGTGTTCAAGTGGTGCTGTTTCCCGATTGCCTTGCCATCCCACCTCATTTTCACTCACTAACAAAGATGGGCGTCATAGGAACTAGCTACTATCAGAAGTAGGACTAGTCATAGAGGGGTGGTATTGTACCTGAGGAGCTGTGCGTGTGACTGCCGTATTCCGAGGCTGTCGGTGTTTCAAAGTCGGCCAGAGTCTCGCAGGGTGTGCCCCGGAAACCCCGTGTCTACTGGCGAATTACGTCTTTTGACACGACACAACCAGTCAGCTTCACTGCAACCTGCAGTCACCCTCTGCATTCCAAAAGAGAATATTGATCGCATCGAGACGAAACATGTATGTATTGGTCTTGGTGATGGATGTTGGAGGTATGCCAGGGGAACTGGAAGAGAGTAGCAGGAAGATAGAGCCCGAAGATGAGCAGAGTTCGAAGATGAGCAGAGTTCGAAGAAGGAATGTTGTTGAGGAAATGGGCGAGGATTAATGATGAAAAGTGAGAGGCGGTCGAAGTATTGCCAGTCAGGGTGTTGCCGGTCAGAGTGTTGCCGGTCAGAGTGTTGCCGGTCAGAGTGTTGCCCCCCAAAGACAACATGTTGATTATTTTCATGATGAGACCATCTATTGACATGACCCAAACCCCCTTGTAACCCATCTCTATGTTCATTACAGCGCTGCACATACTGTAGGTAATGGTTGTAAGATCGATGGATACCGCTGGCGAGGTGTTGAGAGAGATGATTAGTATAGTCAAGTGTATACGTTACATTCTTGTCTTGTGATTAACCACTTACAACCCACTCCCTGCCCTGTGGATATCAGATGGTACTGTACATGAATAAAACCACTGTCGAGTGATTTGTAGTATCATCCAATCATTTGACAACACCAGATGTACACAGTATCATACATTCAAGAGATCAAATCCATCGCTGGTGACCAGTCTTCGTGTGGCCGATAACTAGCAAGCCAGCGAGACATCAGTGGTTCATATCACATTAGCATCAGATGTTCCCATTCATCACCTTGGTCATCTCTTGACCGTCTATTCCACCTATCTTCGCATCCATTTCTCCCGAGGCCCTGTCTTGGCACTATCTGGCATTAGCCTGCATCCAAGGGTGCACTCGGGATTGCAGTAGTGCGGGCTAGTTCGGCGTCTAGTCTACTGGTCTCGAAAGAAGCAGAATGGGATAGGCGCGACCCTGGTCATCCAGCTCGTTTCGACTGTACTGTTTAAAGCCCATTTTTGCGTAGAATTGCGCCGCCCGGGGGTTCTGTTCGTTGACGTCAACCAGAACCGCAGTATGGCCTTTCTGCCTCGCCTGTTCCACCACTCTTTGTACGAGCTGAGACCCGATTCCCGACCCGAAGCATTCTGGATCCACAAACAACGCCTCCATGTGTGTCTGGGTGTCTGTTTCCGAAACAAGAACAAAGGCCTTGATGGTGCCAGAGTCGTCTCTGTGCAATATGAAGTCGTCCTGGTGGAAGAATCGACTGACCGTCAGCTGTTGATCGATCTCATCGATCTCTGCTGGGCTCAGAAACTCGTGAGATGCTTCCACCGATCTTCTCCATACTCTGTGGATTTGTTCTTCGGGTGTCGTCATGAAAAGAGGAAGAAGGGGTACTGAAGAAGAAAAGGGCTAATAAAAGAATTAATTGATTGTTCGTGATGAAAATGGAGGAGTTCTGGAAGATGGTGGAGAGCATAGATTCCAAGTTGGGTTGGTTAGGGCGAGACTGGGAGACGAGGGCGCGTTGGGAGACATCAAGGCCATCTCTTGCGCGACATTCAGTCGAACTAGCCATTAGTCTTACATTGGAGACACCAAGACCCTCTCTTGAGCGACACTCAGTCGAACGAGCCATTTGGCCTGACAAGAAGTGTGATCTTTGTGGCAACACCAAAAACTCCAGTTAGTCGCAATTACGACTTAATCGGCCATACAGTGAATACGTCCATCTTTAAGGGAAACTTGATCACCTGTTGTGCCAAAAAAAAAAAAAAGGGCGCTTGACTGCAATCGGACTGCCCTCGCGGTCCTCGGATTGCTATCGGACTGCCCTCACGGCCCTTGAGGTGTCTTCCAGATGTCTGATACGTTGGATCGGTTGGAGCGTTAGCTGAGAGTCATCATCTTTCACCTTCCGCCATCACCTCGTCACATTGCTGGACGCATCTGGCTAAGTCAACAGCAGGAAATCACACGCAAAAGTGTTACAGTACTGTACCACGGTTCAATTGCCTCCATACTCACCAACCCCATGATCGTGCTGTCCGCCTGCATGGTTCACGCCTATGGTGCGGAGTCCGAAACCGTTGCATTCCGCATACCAACCACAGAACACGTTTCTGCTCCTGGAATGTGGCGCCAGGCGCGCCGGCACAAAGACCGCCCAGCACGCCCCGGACGGGTTACCCCCGACTCACCCTAGGACCGACTAAAAATAGCTCCTCTCGCCACCGTCGGTAACCTGATAACCCCAAGGGTGATGGGCGTCGCCCCCTTCCGGGTCTTTAACCACTGCCAGATGATAAGCTTGAAGGTTAGTTGGTGCCGTGCACAGAAGCTCCGAAGAAAAATCGAAGAAAAATCGAAGAAAAAAAAGTAAAAAAAAAAATTTAAAAAAAAATTAAGTGGTGGCAAGTGTCGGCAAGTGTCAGCAAGTGTCAGCAAGTGTACCTTAGAGAAAGAGTTTAAAGTCGGGGGTGGTAAATGGTTATATATTCTGCTGGGCTGTTTGTGTCACTGTCAAAAAAACGTCTTTATGTATTTTCGTCGAAATCGTACGTTCATCTTCTGTTCTCAAAATTACAAACGCTTTGTACCGAATTCTGTAATACCTTCTGCGTCATTCGTTGCGAAGGTATTTTAATTAGTTCCGGCTATGAGAGTAGCTAGAGCTAAAATGGAGCAAGGGGGAGATGGAAAGATTTTTGGAGAAATGGGGAAAAAATGGGGAAATAGAATGATAAAGCTTATGTAATCCTTTTATTTTTGTCGATTTTTCCGTTACCTTTTTTTGGTGCTTATAAATCCCCGGACCGCTTTCTATCCATCTCTGGTGCTTGCCATTCCGCTCTCACCACCAAGGTGCAGAATTAGCCAAAAGGCAATTGCAAACTACAATTTTATTTAATCCGAAACACACATTATATGCAGCCGTACGCGACTCATCTCTTGCGACATTTAACGGTTTCCGCTTTACTACGACTACGATTGTGGCCGCAACTCCTACGACCAACTCTTGTCTACTCTCTCTCCACCTCTCTCCACCTCTCTCCACCTCTCTCCACCTCTCTCCACCCTCCTCAGTTCGATCCCCAGTGCTACACTACAGTGCTACACTACAGTGCCACACACAGTGCAACAAACAGCACCCCAATCCGCGTGAATGATATCGCTACTTCCAGACCTGGACCATTTGACGGGCGACGAGCAGGCGTGGTTTCTGACGTTTGCGTCGTCGGTGGCCTGCATTCTGGGCTGTCTGATTCTCTACGTGGACAGCGTCATCTACGGGTTCCGACGCCTCAAGGGCTGGATCACCGGAGAACCTGCGGGCGAAACGGAGGATCTGTGGAACTCCAAGGGCTTTCTGATCATCTCGCTGTCGCTGTCAGGCGGCATTCTCATCTTCACCGCTCTTTACAGACTGTTTCCCCAGGCGCTGGTCTACCTGGAACACTCGGAGCTGCTGACGCCCCAACAAAGCAACTTTCTGGTTCTGGTCATGTTCACCAGCGGCGTCATTGTCTGTGCCGGAATCAACTACCTGGTTCACGCCGCCACCTCCAAATCAATCGTCCATTGCGTGCACGGAGACGAACGAAAAGATAGCGCCGTCACCGCAACCTCCTCCTCCAGCCACACCCACACTGAACTACCACCACCACGTGCCCACACCCAGACACGAACCCACAGTCACGTCCATGGTGGACACCATCACGTGCATCACCAGGATTCTCCCCTCACCCACGCGACCCACACACACGTGATCCCCGCGGGAGAAATGTCCGAAAGCACCCCCTTGCTCCATGTGGCTCCCAGAAAGCGGTCGATTCTCGATCTGGCCCATGAAACCATCAAGGGAGCGGCTCCTGTCGGAGAGTGTCGAGGATACACCTGTGGCGACTGTTGTGCGCCCGAGGATCAGGTGATTTGCGACCCCGATCCGTTTGAAGAGCCGTTTGCTTACCCCGGAGAAGAATTCCGGTTCCAGGACGACCATGCTCACGTTCACCATGATCGAGAGGACATAGACGACATTGATCCTCTTGACGACCACCATCATGATCACGACCATCACGATCACGATCATGACACTGATCTGGAACACCAGGTCCATCACCATCATGTTTCCACCCGACGTTCGCATCTGTACTCCATTGCGCTTCAGACGGGTCTGGCCATCACTCTACACAAGCTTCCCGAGGGCTTCATCACCTTTGCCACTTCTCACGCAGACAAGGAGCTCGGGCTCAACGTGTTTCTGTCGCTGGTGGTTCACAACTTCACCGAGGGATTCACGATTGCATTTCCCTTTTACGCGTCGCTTCGGAAAAAGTGGCAGGCCGTGTTGCTGGCGTCCATTCTGGGCGGCTGTTCCCAACCTCTGGGAGCAGTGGTGGCCTGGCTCATGTTCCGGCACCAGAACCTGCATACGGATGCCACCGATATTCTGTATGGGTCAATTATGGGCATGACGTGCGGGTTTCTGTGCATCATTGGGCTGCAGATGTACGGCACCGCCATTGGTTTTGGAGGCACACAAAAGGTGTGTCTTACCAGTGCGTTTGCCGGTATGTTTATTGTTGGTTCTTGTTATGCCTTGACCGCTTAGCAAGCGAGAAGGGACTCATGTGGAATGATCTAAAGGCTTCGGTCGCGCGTATCTTCGGCGTCGTTCGGACGTTGTTGCAACACAGAGGGACTGGGACGCCTTATTTTGTCACTTGGTCCCAGATTATGAGTTATGAAAAGCGTGCACGGCACGCATATTATTATATTTAACAGGTTTGGTGTTATGACCAGTATCGCACTTCAGTGCCAGTTGGCGTAGTCGACACCGTAGTGAAGATGGAGAACAGAGGTGAAATGAGATATGAGGAAGTCACGTGATGATTTCCCCTGACTGTACGTGAATGTACGTGACTTCCTGTGACTTTATTCTGGCTGGTTGTAAAACTCGGGATCTAAGCCGCCTCGAGATACTCTGAAACTATCTTCAAGTAAAGAGGTAACAATGTCGCTGAAAGATGAGGAAAAGAACGTTTTTGATCCAGAAATTAGCTCAGTAGATAGCTGGGGCTGTGGAGTATTTAGTCAAAATTTGTACCGAATACTCTCTAAAGCCAGGTGATCTGGACGCGCTCTCTGAGTTTCATTGTCTCAGCCCAACACTAGATCAATTTTTGAGTGTTGTAGCTGTGGAGTTGACCATTATATTCTCCAGGATGAGACGAACCCATTAATATGTTCAGATCTCTCTTTCTGTCTTTCCAAGTATGTTTCAACCGGGAATTGAATCCGACGGTTGTAGATTCGCACATTGAACGAAGGGCCGGGGGAAGTGGACATTGGAGAATACTTGTAAGTACAATCTTTGGGGAATTATCACATGAGAGAATTAAACTGTTTGTTTTCAATACCACTTGTTGAATTTCGTCCTTTTTTGGCAAAATATGCCAGTTCAAGGCGACAGTGTCTGGACAAACCACCTCCCCGGACAGGAACACACATCGACAGGGGCTTAAAAGAGCCAACAGGAAGATGGAGAGTTCAAAATAAGAGAATATGGGTTGTATTTGACTCGTTTACGGACTTTCGGAGGGAGATGATTCTGTGGATGAGTCTGTGGATGATTCAGTCTCCAACTTGGACCTAAAGAGTATAGAACATTCCATTCAGTTTTGTTGTGACATTATTGACAAATAAGTGGGCTGGAGGGTCAGTTTTGGGACTCTTTAGGGGTCTCTGTTTGCTCTCTTGTCACAATTATATATTTTCAACGACATTCCGCGTAAAATTCCAAACCGATCTGTCCATTCTGAAGGTCAAGTATTTCTCAACAAATTGATTGTATGTATAAGTATTCTTAACAAATTGACTGTATGTCAACAAGCAGAGTATGTACAATACAGTATCTACCTACAGTACTACGCTACAGTCGCATGGAATGACAACCTACAAGTACAGTACGTTATTGCGACCGTATCAATCCATTTTATCACCCCAGATGAGCTATTTTCACCTTTACTCGCGTGTTGAGATCGCTCTACAGAACTCCTCAATTCACAGCACGCCAAAAATGCACGATTATCGCCGAAATTGGTACCATTCGCAAGCTCTCAGACACCCAAATATTCTCCTTTTATCCATTTTCCTCTGGAACCGATATTCGAGATGTTTTCGGACCTTTTTTCCCAGGAATCAAAATAAGGTTACATATGCGTATAGGTGCGATTGAGTCCCAGAGCCCATCACACCACTCCAGAAAATGGTCGACTTGGTCGTTACGCACCGGATCCGGGACGCCATCGTCATTTTCCAGTCCTTCTACACAAAGTACTCGCCCGAGAGCGTGGAGAAGGAGTGGAATTTGGCGCAGGTGGCGTGGGAGTTTCCCAGCCAGCGCGGAGTCATTCGACAGACAGAAGAGAAGATGCCGGTTGGTGGCGGCAATGAGAAGTTGGGCGACAAGGATGAGTCGCATCCGGGTGGCTTGAAAGAGTCACCGCACTACTCCCCATCGCTGTCAAAACTGCTACAATTGTCGCCCGAATCACCGTCCATCTCGCACGTTGATCTCATCAACCTGTCCAAGGCGTTGCAGAAGAAAATCCGCGGCAAGTTGCGACTCAAGCCCCGAAACGGCGTCTTTGAGGGCTCTCGAGCCACCCGCACCCACGAATACGGACCCTTCAATCTCCCCTATCTTCTCCACGGCACCAGCGTCTACTGCCCGCCGCCACCAGAGAAAAAGAAGAAGACGCGCGAGTTTCTGCGCATTCTGGAGACCCAGAAACGGCTGCTGGAAGAGGCCGACTACCAGCAGCTGCTGGTGGACAAATCGGCGCCAGAAATTACGACCAGGGGCCTCAATGACCATTTGGTGCACTCGACCGACCTCACAGCCCCCTCCGTCAGTCAACAGACCAAAGAACTCAAGCACCAGATCACCACAATCTTCAACATTGCCCTGTCGGTCGTCTCTGTCTCGTACGCCATCTGGTACTGGACCAAGAGCTCCGCCGGCATGGGCGTGTCTGCGCGGGCGCTGTTGGCTATCTGGGGAGGCCTGCTGATTCTGGTCGCCGAAGTGGTAGTCTACGGTCGCTACGTGCGCAAAACCACCGAGGCGCGGGTCACGGAGCGCAAAAAAAAGGAATCAAAGCAGATTGTCAGCACGTCGGAGTTTCGGGCGGGGAAAGCAACCATTGAATTCCAGACAGAAATACCGGAAGACGAGTGTCTGGATACCGTCGACTTCACCAAGGGCAACCATCTCAACACCGTTCTGGGCGCTACCGGAGTGCAAACCCAGACCCAAGCTGTCAACAGAAACAAGCCCATTTTCTAGCTCCTAAACGCCTTGAAACAACCCATGGACGATAGACCATCTATATATTAGACATGTAATTTATAACACCTGACTGCACAAGTTGATACAGTAGTTTGGAGATCGAAAGGTCGAATTAAGACGATTTTAATAAATAATAATAATAAATCCATTTGTTTTATCTTACTCCGCCGATTCGATTCCGGATCCCGCGCTTCGGTTATCACCATCTTTCACCATATTTTCACCATATTTTTACCACATTTTTACCACATTTTTACCATATTTTTACCATATTTTTACCATATTTTACCTTACCTCTCTTGGTACCGAGTTCCCTGCCATAATCAAACAACAATACAGAGAAACAAAATACATCTTCCAGTATATCGCTCGAAATCCCCAAATGTACAGAGAATTGCCAACAGAATTGCTAATTGTACTTCACTACCCCATTTTCCGTTGGATCACGTGACTTTATCTGCGGTTATCGGGCTTCCGAACAGGGCCGGGCGGCTGAACGGTCGGCTGGGGAAGGTGTCCGTTTTCGGAGGTCCTGATTCGGAAGTCGGAACCTTATTTTGACATATTACACAAAAGCATTGAAAAATAAAAAAATAAAAGTTGAAAATTGAAAAATTGAAAAAAATAAAAATAAAAATAAAAATAAAAATAAAAAAATAAAAAACAGCAAAACAGAAAACAGAAAAAGTGGGGAATATTGATAAGAGGAGGCCCGTCTCTTGTTCAGATAAGCGATAGAGCGGACGATTATGAACAGAGGAAGGGAGATAGAAGGACGGGAGGAAAAAAGAAGAAATAAAAACGGAACGAGACGAGACGGAACGAGACGAGACGGAACGGAACGGAGAAAAAAGAACGAATGAATGAACGAATGTACGAACGAAACGAACAGTACTCGTGTAATTGTTGAAGAGTCACAAGTTGTTTTGAAAATAGCTGATTGTCTTCGTCAGTCAGTTGACGTCATCACTCCGTTTTCATCATTCACCCTTCATCACTCACTCACTCTTTATCACTCACTCTTTATCACTCACTCTTTATCACTCACTCTTTATCACTCACTCTTTATCTCTGATCCATATCACCTCACTTTTAGAGAACATCATCGTCCGTGTCGGTTCATCTGTTCATATCTAGAGCTGGTCATGTGATTGTCATTTAGACCATGAGTGGTATCTATGTACTGTACTGTACCTACTCATACCCTACCCAGTGTCTCCAAATTGTCTCCGCGGAGTTGGTGGAGTTGGTGGAGTGGACTTTTGAGTCGATCAACGCCATTTGAGTCGAGTTAATGAGGCGGACAAGTCCGTGGATTGGATTCGATTGACATCACTCTGACATATGTCACTTTTGGTGTCAGAGCTGACTACCTATACCAAGTACAGTACAATACACACTATACCTACAAGTACAGTAGTCCCCGACTTACCAATTTCTATACGACAAGTACAGTGGGTCGATCTATTACCGTCTCCCGGGATGAGCTTGCCATTGGGGCTACCCTTGTGGTCTTGTATGGCGCTACAAGTACTTCTAGGACGTGTCTGAGCTTACAAACTATTCTTTGGCGGTCTGGAGTACCCGCTAGTGTAGCCTAGCACCCCCATACTTCCCCATATTTGTAGAAGGCTCACTTTGGGATCGCGAAGTACTAATAATCAGATGTTTTGGTGCCCTATGCTATTCACCTTGGACCCAGGAAAAAGTGAAAAACACCGTCGATAGTACGGACTTTGACCGTTCTTCCCTCAAAAAACAGTCTAGTAGGATTGACACAGGCGGAAGTTACATTTACTGTAGATGGTGCCTGTTCTCTAAGACTTACAAAGTCATAAACAGTCATTTAATTCATTCTTTCAGTGAAAAAAGGTGACCATGATACAGTACACCCTTCGGTAGCTGACGTAATCACAGTGAAGTTCGTACGGAGTCGTTCCTATTGAGTCGCTATTCATCCGATAGTTCAATACTCGGAGGCCTGAGTACAAATAGGAGCAGAGAGTCTGCTGAAAGATATCTCTGTTAAGTATCCGGTCTTGTTGGTTTTTTTATTTTTATTTTTTGGGCCTTTAATTGCCCGAGCCGAAGAGAAGTGCAGTGTATGGTATGTACTTCTCCAGTCTTCAATCCTCCTTCTGCCTTGAGGATGTCTTTTGACACACGTACTGCTGGAGAGTCACGTGAGAAATCACGAGAAGAATCTGGAAAAGTCATGTGAGGAGTATGGAAAAGTCACGTGAAAAGTACTCACAACCCCCTGATGAAACGTTCCACAAGGGCACCAGTGTGTAGTATTTATGTCTGCAAGGAGGGCCTCGAGGGGGGAAAGGAATGTTCCAATGGATTCTCTGGCTCAATTATAACGGTTTGTTTGTGATTGAGAGTAGATCCGGTGACTGGATTCTCGTTTGTGAGTGAATTGGATGAGCTTCGATTTAATCGCGTAGAGAGAATGACTGAAAGATGACTGAAAGATGACTGAAAGATGACTGAAAGATGACTGAAATAGTGACTTTTGACAACAAATTACTGCTTCGACAATGGATGACTATTTTGGGAGATCAAATAGTCACTTCGACAACCGCTTTCACTCTTCACTCTTCACTCTTCACTCTTTAGTCTTCACCCCATTTTTGTGCTGTTATCTCTTCTATATTATCACTCAGATCTCCCTCGAATCCCACTGATCTCACTCTAGTCTCTTCTGATCTTTCAATCCTTCAATCCCCAATACGACCATCGCGAGACCGCCAGAAGAGGATCAGATTTCACAACTGAACCATCATACGCCCCATTTCACATTGTATCGTATTCTCGATCGATTGGTTTGCTACCTGCACTCGCAACGAGTCCAAGGCGGACACTCAATTTCCGATATAATAGATATTTGCTTCGCAAATTGCAGTGTCTGAAAACTTGCATTTAGCCAACTAGACGGAAAAAAGAGAAAAAAAAAAGAGAAAACAAAACTGACGATCCGCAAACGCAAAACATGTCTTGAGCGTTCGTGAACCATAGCTTTGTAACGGTTTTTCCCTTTTTCTTTTTCTTTTTCGTCAGAGTCGATTATTAGTGTCGATAAAAGTAGAAGTACTTAAAACTACATACCTGTGCTCATACCTGTGCTCGAATGACATATTGACATAATAATGGTAACCGAGTCTTTGTTTTGTGTCATTTTTTCCTGTTTTTTACTGTTTTTTTCCTGTTTTTCTCATACAAATTCAACCGGATCACGTGCCCGGTTGCAGCAACTCCGCCTGGCAGGTTTTTCGTTGGACATACATGGTGTTGGATCAAAATCGAACCGACTGCCTCCCTCATTCTACACTTGACTCCACGTTCGATCCGATGTTTTTTTTCGCAAAAACAGTTGCAACAGTACATACTCTACCCCGTATCGTACGCTGAAATATATATCGCTCAGAACCGATGAAGTCTCACAATGAATCGAAACCCGAATCGCAGCTTTCAAAGTGATCAGCCGATAACTCCGTCTTTGTTGCTCTTAGCAAACAACAGTATGCACTTGAACGACCCCGATGAGACATCCAACGCAAGATGCAAGACGAAACACAGGATGGGATAAAAATGACGAAATAAAGACGTATGCGATTGACGAAACGAATGACGCTGATAGATGGAGATCCGATCGGGCGGCTAAATCGTGGTTATCTGGCGTGTGTCGGCTAAACCGCCGACTTGGGAACAATGAGACTGTTGTAGTACAGCGTATACTGTACTCGTACTTGTAGCCCATCTGCACTAACGCACAGGAGTCTGGTCACGTGAATCGGTCTTATCGTTCTGTCACGTGGAATGTCGTCGTCATCACGTGACCGTCTTTGGTGCAGTCTCAACCCCGACTTGTAGGAGCTGGATTGGAGGGGCATATTGGGTGGAGATAGGTATCAGAATATTTGAGGGTTTGTTTCAAGTCGGGAGGTGGAAACTGCTCGCCAAAGGGCCTACGAGTACAAGCACTTGTACAAGGTGGCTCCGGTGACATGAAAGTGGTACTTGTATTACTTGTATTAATCATTTTTGGTCCAATTGATTAATAATTTGTCCAAGCGAGAATCGAACTGGAAATATCGGGAGTGAAGAACTGAACTGAGAAAAACGAGAACAATTCAACAGAACCATTTATGTATTCTGCAACATTGTGGACGCTATAGAGATCAGAGCGCAAATCGGCAAACTCCGTTGGACTCAGAGTGGCCGCTTTTATGTGAGAAGTGGTTTTGTTCCCCTTCTTGGAACGATAATACCCTTTTGTGAGCCGCTTGTTGCATCTTTTTATTTTATGTTATTTTATTTTATGTCACTTTACTCTCACCTTCACTCCCAATCTTCCAAAAATGCTCCGATTTCAAAACGGAAACTTCCGATAATCTCCCCAACGCCCTCCAAACACGTTCCACTCCTGAAAACGCGCCCCTGCTCCCCTGCTGACAAACCGCCAGCATCCCTGCTTTTTCTGTGCTCTTTTTGCCGCGCCACAACGCCACATTCGCCTATCGTTAATAATAAGGTTTGTTGGGAGTAAAGACCACCGCAAAAAAAAACACAAAAAAACAAGACAAAAGCCGAGGGACCTTTTGGAGCATCTGGGGGTCACGAAACACCCTGAAAACACAACACATATCTGCCAGTAGCTCACGTGACGATTCGTGGGCTAATTTTTTCCAGAACTCGCCAGCCCCATCCCTCGGTCGAAACCGGAGGTTCGGAACTCCGCCTCCGGGCCGCCCGGACCAATCAAAAGAGAGTTATCACGCGACAATTGAGACATTGCTTGAGTCACAAACCTTATGTAAACGTTATTATCCCGGCAATTAAGGTTTGGATCTGAGCATTTTAAGCGAGGAACAGTCATCGAACAGATATCGAACCATTCAGAATAACTAGATAATTAATAAATAAATGAAAGAAAAGAAAAGAAAAGAAAAGAAATAAATAAAAAGAAATATATAAAAATCCCCAAATAAAATCCCCAAATAAAATCCAAATAAAATTCACATAAAAATAAATAGATACCAAAAAATTCAAAATACACCAAAATATCCAAAGTACACCCCCTCAAAACACACCAGAATACCCCCCAAACCCCAAACCCCCTTTCCTCATATCACAAAGATCCTCAAGACCCAAATAATAACCTAAAAAAAACTAGAACCCCTCAAAACGAACCGTCACGTGATCCCTCCCTCCCTTCTACCCCCGTTGCCCCTTCCCTCTCCCTTCTCTTTCACGTGCTTCTCTGCTGTATTACTACCAAGACTTTTTTCGACCCAAGTCAAAAAAAACAACCAACATGGTGATGTACTCAGGTGTTGTGCATCAACTTTATTCCGGTAGGGTAACTGTCGGTGGAGTGCATGTGCATATTTTTGTGCAGATGGTTAATGTTGTTTTTTTGGAGGTGTGGAGGTTTTTTGATGCGGAAATGGACCAATGTTCTGGGGAATCAAGTTTTGCACATTTATCAACATGTAATGGCCTATCTCTGGGGCTCCGGAGAAGGATTTTTACATCCCTTTTTCTCGTCAAGATTTTTTCAACTTAAAAACACGTTTTGTTTTTTTGAGTTTAACACAGAGTGACAAACAGAATTTAAATTAAGTTTTAGAATTAGGTTACGTCTAACCTAAGATATTCACCTCCTTTGTCTGACTCCAATTTAAATGCCGACGAGATGTGGTTATGACGGACCGGAGGATCCTCAGAAGCCGACGGGAAATGCTCCCGTGACCAATACCGAGAGCCCCGAAGATGGATGGAACACCGGAGAACTCGGAAGGACCTTCAAACAGTAATTTTTGAAGGTATTGCGCCCGTTCTGACCTGCACGAAATCACGACCCTGTTGCCCGCGCGGCTGAATAAAAAACTTAGAAAACGAGAAATCAATAAAATCGGGAAAAGTCAGCGTAAATAAAGATGTCCAAAACCACACTGCGCACAATCTACAGGCGGCTGGGAAAGTATAAAAAAACGTGTTTTTGAGAATCTGGAACGTGTCATTCGGCCAGAGAGAATTTTTGTAGTATTTATGGCGGGTTAGGGACGACTTCTATTATACATTTGCGGGCTTCTGGATGCTGCAACGGTAGTAATGAATATCGAGTATCATAGCACAATATTTTTATGGCTGTTCAGACGCCGAGACGACGAGAATTTCGTCGTTGAATTCGATTCTCATCTGTACAAAATTTAAACTGAATAAACTTGAAATATACGATGAATGGAGAAATCACGAAAATAAATCACCATACAATAAAATACTAAAATGAATAAAAAAAAGATAAATCAGCGAAAAATGGTAAATCAGAGAAAAATACATGCACTCCCGCCATCCTCCCCACACCTCTGCATGTCGCTACAGTACGATCCGAACCAACCAAATAGGACTGATCTAAAACGTGTTCCTGCACTGGGCTGCTTTGGGGCATTAGGTATAGTAGAACAACGAAAGAAAACAAAAAAAAAATAAAAATAAAGGAAATAAAAAATAAAAATAAAATAACGGTAAAAACAAACAAACGAGACCCACAACTAATAAAAAAACTGTTTTCAAAAAAAGCTGATAGGACCTCAACACTTGTGATTCCTCCATCGACTAATACTGTCAAGCCACACATCGATATTACCACTCCCATCGTGTCAAAGCCCGTTGTCCTAATCCCGTTACCCTAATCCAGATACCCTAATACAACCCTAACCCAACCCTGACCCTAATCGGCGCTGCCTGACGATAACCTAGATAACAAAATGGGCTATTTCAGGAAACTATCCAGGGTTAGGGTAACCAACAACCAATGAGCATTCGATCCGTCCGCACGTGACGGTTCTATCTGCCAAGAAAGAGACAACTGCCCAGGGCTTGGCCAGCGGGGACAAGACGTATAACTCCGAGGTTAGGGGATAAAACGATAACCGAGGGTTGGGGATTGGGTTAGGGACCAGTGCAAATACCCTATGTTCTCCCCAGCGCCTGGTTTCGTCTTGCCCATCGGGTCCGTCGGACTCCTAACACAGCCGCATTCGCCGTTACGAACTTTGGTGAGCTTAGGGGCAAACTGTCAGGGTTAGGTCATAAACAAGGTTTTAGAGATAGCCTTCTTTTGGGTTTGTAATTAAGTTCACAAAACATAAAGTTAGACTTTCCCAAGGTTGTGTTTTAAACTAGACTTAAAAATGCCGTTGTTGCGAAATACATGGCAAAAATATCCACCCGCCAAGACGTGGTCGTGTGACGGCTTTTGGCGGAACCAACGAGACCTTCAGGACAATTTTTCGAGCGCGATATTGATGGGAATTGACGAGTAATCGATACATGACACCTCCAGATCCACATTTTGGTTTAGTTGGCCCGTTTTCGACAAACTTCTGGGGTCATCTCCTGCGGTGCAGTGCGGTGCAAGATAGAGATACTACCTTGAATTTTTGAGTTTGGGAAATGCGAAACTGGCGGGTTTTGGAGGGCTTTTGTGGCGAGGGAAGTGGTTTTGGGGGTTGTGAGGGCTCGAAACTGGAAGAAATGGGCGATTTTGACTTCCAACGGTTTTATTTGGGCTCTTTTGGACGTTTTCTGAAGACAAACAAATGACAAAATAAAAAAAATAAAAAACAAAAAAAATGGCGGTCAAAACCGTCTAAAAAGTAGGGTCGTATCGATATGTGACGTTGCAGAGTCCAGAGGGGGTTGTAGAGACGAGATAAAAGGGATATGAGAGCCAAATGGTGTTTCTTGGGATAGTTGAAGAGGTCTTTCTGGCGGAGGAATTCAATTAAATTAAATTAAAGTATAAAAAAACTAAATAAATAAAACAAATAAAAATATTTAAAAATGAACCGGTGAAGATACACAAATAAGAGATACACCAGAACATTTAGCAGAGCCCAGAGAATCCAAGAACACCTCTCGATCTCGGATAACGTGAATCCACATTGAGTTGGTTACATATTTCGTAATAGTTCATTCAGAAAAAAAATTGATTCTACATTTTAATTTTCCCTTATTATTTTCATAATTTTATACACATACAATCGGAAATCATTGTATATAGCGCCTCCTAAATCTCCCAAAATCTCCCTCACACACCAATCGGGTCAATTCCAATGCCAACAACTGCTATCACCAAACGGCACCACTACACAGTTGCCGCCTCGCAACACAAGGTTAGAGTTCACTTTAGGCCAGCAAAATCTAAATTCTATCCAAATCTAAAGCCAAACCCTATTCCAAACATATAACCTTGTTGGGTCTCTTTTGACTTACCCTAACCCTACAAGTCTGGGCATTTCGATCTCATGCCAATATATAAGAAGCGACGGGTGCCCGTGTTTTGAAAGACAACCATCTTGTGAGGCGATTAACACACTAAACGCGACTAACGACGAACCGACTAACTCCAATCACAAACACAAACAGTTACACTCACACAAACATTCACACAATCGCAAACACAATCGCAAACACCCACACAAAACCAGACACCCCCACTTCTGCCAAAAACATGTCTGAGAAAAATGGAGTTTCCTCCAACTCCACCACGGCTCGAACAGTCACCAATTCTACCGCTCTAGAAGTGCCTCCTCCTTACGTGCAAACCATTGAGCAGGTGACCAAGCAGGAAAATGCCAACATTCACCAGGGTCTTTCCGACTCTGAGGTCAAGGACCGTCTCGCCAAGGTGGGCCCCAACCAGCTCGACGAGGGCGAGGGCATTTCGCTCATCAAGGTCATTGTCGGCCAGGTGGCCAACGCCATGATTCTGGTGCTCATCATTTCCATGTGCATTTCGTTCGGAATCCGAGACTGGATTGCCGGTGGTGTCATTGCCGGCGTTCTGGGCATTAACGTGCTGGTTGGAGTCATCCAGCAGTACAACGCCGAAAAGACCATGGACTCTCTCCGATCGCTGTCTTCTCCCACCGCTCGAGTGATTCGAAACGGAGAAGATACCACTGTGCCCTCCGGCGACATTGTTCCCGGCGACCTCGTGGTTGTCAAGGTCGGCGACACCATTCCCGCCGACTTCCGAATTATCGAGCAGGTCAACTTTGAGACCGACGAGGCTCTGCTGACCGGTGAGTCCCTACCCATTGCTAAAGACGCCGAAATCGTTTTCGACGATATCAACCTGCCTGTCGGCGACCGAATCAACATGGCTTTTTCCTCCTCCATTGTTTCCAAGGGCCGAGCCAAGGGAATCGTCACCTCCACTGGAATGAACACCGAGATCGGAGTCATTGCCCAGTCGCTCAAGGGCCAGGACCGAGGCTTCCGACCCGTCAAGCGAGATGAGTTTGGAAAAGCCCGAAAGCGAGACTACATGGGCGCCTTTTTCGGCACCTGTGGAGACTTCATCCAGACCTTCCTCGGAACCAACGTCGGAACCCCGCTGCAGCGACGACTGGCCAAGCTGGCTCTCTACCTGTTTGGTATCGCCGTGATCTTCGCCATCGTCGTCATGGCCGCCCAGAAGTTTGACGTGAACCGAGAGGTGGCCGTCTACGCCATTGCTACCGCCCTCGCCATGATCCCCGCCTCCCTCGTTGTTGTTCTCACCATTACCATGGCCGTTGGAACCAAGGTCATGGTCCGCCGAAACGTCATTGTCCGAAAGCTCGACTCCCTGGAGGCTCTTGGAGCCGTCAACGACATTTGCTCCGACAAGACTGGAACCCTGACCCAAGGAAAGATGATTGCCCGAAAGGTTTGGATCCCCTCGGTCGGAACCTTCACTGTGGAACGATCTGAGGAGCCCTTCAACCCCGAGCAGGGAGTCACCGACCTGCTGCCCTGGGACCCCAAGACTGAGTACGCCAAGCGACGAGAGACTGACGACCCCCGTGCCTTCGACGACGTCATGGTCGACGTGTCGCGACGAAACACCGATGAGCAGAGTCCCCTGTTCCGAAACTGGATCGACTGTGCCTCTCTGGCCAACATTGCCGAGGTTTTCACTGACAACGAGGGCGCCTGGAAGGCCACCGGTGACCCCACCGAAATCGCCATCCAGGTGTTTGTTTCTCGACTGGGCAAGTCCCGAGAGGAGCTCATGAAGCAGCAGGGCCTGGTCCACGTTGCCGAGCACCCCTTCGATTCCACTGTCAAGCGAATGTCCGCCATCTATGATGCCCCCGATCAGTCCCGAGTCATTTTCACCAAGGGTGCCGTCGAGCGAGTCCTCGCTTGTGTCACCACCTGGACCGACCCCGTTTCTGGCGACACCGCCACCTTTGACGACACCTGCGTTGCCGAGATTGAGAAGCAGATGGAGACTCTGGCCAAGCAGGGTCTGCGAGTGCTGGCTTTTGCCACCCGACCCATGGACGCCTCCGAGGACCCCAAGGCTCGTGCCGATGTGGAGAAGGATCTCCACTTCCTCGGTCTGGTTGGAATCTACGACCCCCCTCGAGCTGAGTCTGCCCCCGCCGTGGCCAAGTGTCACGAGGCTGGCATCAACGTCCACATGCTGACTGGAGACCACCCCGGAACCGCCAAGGCCATTGCCCAGGAGGTCGGCATCATCCCCGTCAACCTGTACCACTACCCCCAGGAGGTTGTCGACGTCATGGTCATGACTGCCATGCAGTTTGACGCTCTGTCCGACGAAGAGATTGACGCGCTCCCTGTTCTGCCCCTAGTTATTGCCCGATGTGCCCCCGCCACCAAGGTCCGAATGATTGACGCTCTGCACCGACGAAACCGATTCACCGCCATGACCGGAGACGGTGTCAACGACTCGCCGTCTCTCAAGAAGGCCGACGTCGGTATTGCCATGGGTATTGCCGGCTCCGATGTGGCCAAGGACGCCTCCGACATTGTGCTTTCTGACGATAACTTTGCTTCGATTCTCAACGCTGTGGAAGAGGGCCGACGAATGGCCGACAACATCCAGAAGTTTGTCCTCCATCTGCTGGCCGGTAACGTTGGCCAGGCATTCTTCCTGCTGCTCGGTCTCGTTTTCCAGGACGACACCGGCTTCTCCGTTTTCCCCCTGTCTCCCGTCGAGGTTCTGTGGATCATTATGATCACCTCCGCCTTCCCCGCCATGGGTCTCGGAGTGGAGGCTGCCCAGCCCGATATCATGACCAAGCCCCCCCGTGACCCCAAGGAGGGTCTCTTCAACTGGGAGCTCATCACCGACATGGTCATCTATGGTCTCTGGCTCGCTGCCATCTGTATCTCCTCGTTTGTCATTGTCGTGTACGCCGACGGAAAGGGCCAGCTCGGAGTGGACTGTAACAAGGAGTTTTCCGAGTCTTGCCACTTTGTCTACCGAGCCCGAGCCCTGGCTTTTGTCGAAATGACCTGGATGTTGCTCGTGCTCGCCTGGGAGGTGATTGACATGCGACGATCCGTCTTTGCCATGCACCCTGACTCTGAGACTCCCTACACCCAGGTCTTCAAGGACCTGTGGTCTAACCAGTTCCTCTTCTGGTCCGTCATTCTCGGCTTCTTCACCGTCTTCCCCGTTGTGTACATTCCCGTCATCAACGACAAGGTCTTCCTGCACAAGGGCATTTCCTGGGAGTGGGGCGTTGCCGTCCTCGGTCTCATTCTCTTCGTCATTGGCGTCGAGATGTACAAGTGGGCCAAGCGAGTTTTCTTCCGACACTATGAGAAGAAGCAGAAGAAGAAGGCCGTCATTTCCGACTTTGACGACTCCGACCCCTTCGCCAAGTTTGCCCAGACCGTGTCTCGATCCAACACCATGGAGAAGAACCCCATTGCCATTGTCTGATCTCCTGATTGGACCGTCTTCTCGACGCTAACGAGATGATAGATAATTGATTGTTTGCTTGAAAAAGAAGTTTGTAGTTGTAATGTAGTGTAGCGCAGAAGTATCCACAGTAGGACTATGAGTAGAGTACGAGTTCAGCACGAGGACTCGTACTGTACGTAGATAGCACGACTCTACTTGTAGATGATTGCACAGGAACGTCAGCAATTGATTCGAGCACAGTAACCAAGCACCGCAGTTGACCTCGCCAGATGACAATGGCCTCCGCAGTGTGAAAATGTCGAATACGAGCCAACTTCAAGCTCAGAGGTCACCTGAGGGACCACTCCGTCACATACATCGACTCAGACTTCATCTGCAAGCCAACCAGTATACAGTGACGAGTTTGCGGTCGAACCAGAAAGCCAATCCGGCACTCGTTCGCTTTTTGTTCCAGCTAGCTCATCGCCCTTGCATGGGGTAAGCAGGCCAAAAAAGCTGCGTCTTTGTTTGGTGGCTGGTGGCGAGAAGTTGTTGAAGTGAGGAGGCGAATGGGAGTAATCATCGGGATTTTTTAACCACAGTATCTTTGTGTCCCGCTAGCAGTGGGGTGAGTTTACGTGCACAGCTCCATATACTGCACCATGTTGAGATGAGAATGGAGAAAGTGGAAGTGAGGTAACGAGTCAATGTTCTGGGTAGGGTGTCACATCGATGGTGGTGACGTGTTGTTGGTGGTGTGCATGGTGATGAGAATCTCCAAGGCACTACGTGTGCGATGACAATTGTTCTTCGTTAGTGTCGTGTCAATGTCGTTTCAGTATCAGAGCGGAACTTTAGTGGTACGCTTCCCATCCCAAGAGTCGTCCAAATAGTGTCCCAAAGAAAAGAAAAGGGTCATCAGGTCGAGCCCCGAAAGAGTCATTTCGTCGATTCCCTGGAGTCAATCAGGTAGTGTGAATTGAAAGGACTGTTCGAGTCGTTCTGTGCCCAGTGTCAGGGTCGATTTCAGGTCGACGTCACCATCCTTGCTATTTGAGAGTAAACCAAAGAAGAATACCAAGCTCCATGGGAGCTGTTGTCGTCTGGAGATGTCTGTGCAGTCAGTGTCAGTACCCCCTCTCTGTCTGGGCCAGTGGCAGTGTCTGTGTTTAGACAAGCCAGGAAGGAGAGGCCCATTCTACTCACCACCGCAGCTGGTCGGTGTGTGTCTGTGTCGCCGAGAGCATCGTTTGTGTCACTGAGAGCGTCTTTGGTGTCACTGAGGACTGTCTGTGTCATTCAGAAAGTTGTTCTGTACCACTGAACTCCCGTTTGTGCCACGCAGACCCCGTTTGTGCCACTTTGTGTCGTTATAGCGTCGTGTCAAAGTGGTGTGAACCAAACCAAGAGTGACAGTCACCGACACTTACAATCATTATCTAATTCATCCCATTGTCGCTTTTCCCTCTCAAAATGTATCTATATTAATATAATTTAATTTTTGTTTCCATCTCTCCCAACTCCACCTTATCTGCATTATCTGATTGTAGTGCTGAAAAAATAAAAAATAAAACCAATAAAATCAATAACGTTCTGAATCACAACGCAAGCAAAAATTAACTATACTAAAAAAATCACCAAAAAAATTCGTTCAAACAGATATCTCTAAAATCCTTCTCCAATAACTCATAACCTGTGAAAATGGTATTGTCAAAATCATCCACTAACCACCACTCATCGGCACCAAGAATCGTACCGGTACGTAGTTGTCCTTCCCCACACTTGCCATAATCGACTTGACATCCATTTCGTCGTCAGCGTTACAGCGCAAACAAAACGTGCTACTGTACTCTGTTGTACCTGTAGTCGTGGTTTGCAACTGCCCAATAATTATCCGCCCAAACAAAGACGCAGTTTCACAGCAGTTGCGTATCTATTTTCTTTGTCAAAAAGCGCCTTGTTGAGAGCACAAGAGATGGGCATTTTCTTTTGTTTTGTTTGGTTTTTTGTTATTTTGTTATTTTGTTGTTTAGATTTTTTTTGTTTTTTTTGTTGTTTTTGCCATTGTTATTTTTTGTTAGTCATTTTCAGTCATTTAATTTAATTTATATGATTTACATTGAGTTACTCGTATATAATCACATTTATATTTGGATTTTCTCTACAACATAGTCACTACAAGATAGTCATTTTTATTATATATTTTATTATATTTTCTAAGAATTTCTAAGAATTTTTAAGAATTTTTTCTGTCTTTGTTTATTTCTTTGTTGTATTGTATTATTATTTTATTATCTGCCAAAAAAACGTGCTCCTTGGCTCCGTAAAGGTGGGCACGTGGAGAAAACAGATTGTGAGAAAAATGACATCAATAAACATAACAGCGATCTGAAAAAAACACAGGATGGTAAAGTCGCCTTTTACCGATGATTGGTCTATTGAGAATGTCCGTATCTATCCACAAAAACGAGATATTCCCCTTCGTATGATCCCAAAGATAGGGTGACATATTGGTCCACGACGATAGGACAACAAGACCGACAAAAGACACCAAGTAGCTACCCCTGTGCAAAGACTGACCTTGCGGTGACACTCAGACGCAACCCCTCTGTCTGTCGTCGTATTGGACTATTTGGCATGTTTTCTGTAGCGATTCATGTCTTGTATCAGTTGTCTCCAAAGGGATGCTGGAATAATGAGAAATATACCGTTGGATTTCTGGTCACGTGGTGATTCCAATGGTACTAATTTTGAGCGACTGTTGGTGGGTAAGTATCCAATTTTCTCAGAATGGAGGTATGGGGATTTTCGACTCAGGAGAACAAGAGTAGTAGAATGATAATATCCTACACATTCCAACAGTTACCAATCACTATGAATTGGAGAAAGGAGTCCGAGAACATTTGTCTATATTCTGCTGATAATCGCTGGAGAATTGTTAGAGAATTGCTAGAGAATTGCTGGAGAATCGCTATACTAAACTCCAACTAAACTCCAACTAAGGCCAACATTATGCCTACAAAGTCCAACAATAAAAAATTGAAATACAGAACAAAAATTGAAAGTAAAGGTCAATTGAATTTGACCAAAGACGAATTATGGGGCCGAATCTTGCACCATTATCTACGCAGGATCGCCCTCTACAAATGTATCTACTTTTTGTGTCCAAACCTCTCTATAACGAACATATATGGACATTTCTGATTCACAGGAGGGACCAGTGTCAGTCTCATAGTACAGTATTGTACAGTACTGTACCCGAGTGAGCAATGAAAGCACAAATTTACAACGTCTAGTGTCTCTAGCAATGGTATTGTTAAATCCTTCGGCGTCTCTGATCTTTTGAGGGTACTTTTCTAGGGTCCCATCCCATATCTGGCCGTAAAATTCAGAGAGATGTACCGAAAATGACCAAAAAAGATCCGGAAAAGAGCAAAAAGGCTTGAAGATGTGTTTTAGTCATGGTGTAGTACTCATGGATCCCTTTCCGCCTTAAAAAATCTTGTTTTTGCTCTGTTGAGATGAGTCTCGGTATGCAGTTGTGGAAGATGTCATAGACGGGGGTTATTGTGGTGGTAGCAGGTCGTAATGACACAAAAGCATGTAGATAAGTAGAGCTAGCTGTGGCGAACATTTCTATATAAAAATTGTCAAATTGCGTGCTGTGGTTTCGTGTTGTCATGAAGGATTTCCTTCTGATTTGAAATGAACAAGGATCATCTAAATGTCAAGTAATCTGACTCCATGTCAAGTAAAGCTAACTACAAGTCAACCCAAGCAAACCATACACAAGTCCAGTAAATGTCAAGTAGTGCCGACTAAAATTCCACTAAACGTCAACCAAACCTATCTGAATTATATCACAAATCCCTTTCGCCCAAAAATCGTGTTGTGGCGGTTGGTAATTTGAATTTGTACCACAAAAGACCCCCACTGACGACCATATTAGTATCAAAATCCCAACTAAAATTCTAACTAAAATCCCACCTAAAATCCCAACTAAAATCCCAACTAAAATCCCAACTAAAACCCCAACCAAATTACGCAATTAAAGTTCAACACTGCATCACCATCTGTGCCGCAATTTCCCTCAACTAGTTACACAAACACAACACGATGCTCAGAGCGCTCAAAACACGCCAATTGGCGCCGATTTTTCGCCAGCGAGTAGTCACACGTCTGCTGACGACCGCGCCGGCGGCAAAATTGTCCTATGTATTCGATATCGACGGCGTTTTGATGCACGGAGGCGAGGCGATTCCGCAGGGTCGCCAGGCGCTGCTGGAGCTCGAACAGGCCCAGGTGCCGTGGATTCTGCTGACTAACGGCGGCGGCAAGTCCGAGGTGCAGCGAACGGAGGAGCTCTCCAAGGCGCTGGACTTCTACATAGACCCGCAGCAGATTGTACAGTCACACACGCCGTTCAGGGGCCTGTCGGGCCAATATGAACGGGTTCTGGTGGTGGGCGGAGACCACGACATGTCGCGACAGGTGGCAGAACTGTACGGGTTCAAACACGTGATTGTGCCGGCGGACATTGTGCGAGCCACCCCGCACGTGTGGCCGTACCACCGGCTCACGGAAAAGGACGACTTCTGGGTGCTCCCCAAGAAAGAATGCGACCAGCTGGTGGACCCCAACAGTGGCATGAACAAGGTGGACGCGGTATTCATCTTCAACGACCCCCGAGACTGGGGCACCGACGTCCAGATCGTCATGGACATGCTACTGTCTCAAGACGGACACATTGGTACCAAGGCCAACTGGCACCCGCGACCATCGGAGCCCACCCTCAAGTCGCCCTCCATCCCCATCTACTTCTCCAACAACGACCTGCTGTGGGCCAACCAGTACCCGCTGCCTCGTCTTGGCCAGGGAGCTCTCCGAACAACCATCGAGGCGCTGTTCACAGAACTCACCGGCTACAAACTGCGTTCCACCATCATTGGAAAACCCGTGCGGGAAACCTACGAGTTTGCCGAGGAGACGCTCGACGACTGGCGACAAAAGACCTTCAACCTGGCGCCGGGGTCGTGGGAAAAAGTGTACATGGTGGGAGACAATCCTGCCAGTGACATTGATGGAGCTAACCGATACGGCTGGGAGAGTATGCTGGTGAGAACGGGCGTTTTCCGTGACGCCGATCTGCCCGATGCGGTGGCCAAACCCAACGCCGGTATCTACGATAACGTCTTGGATGCTGTTAGAGCAGGCATTAAGAGACATTATTAGATACCACATTGCGTGATGCTGCGCACGACAACACATGGTGAGCGTGATGATGTGTCTCTATAGTCGCACACAAGAATGAATGGACCTTCCTTGCCTTGCTTGACCCACTACGTCCTCCCTCCCATATTAGAACCATTAGATAGTGTTTCAATACATTAGAATGACATCACCCGCGTAGAGAGAGGAATATCCAAAGTACGAGCTCGTAGATTCTCTATCAGCTCCCGGGGTTATCCTGGTTGGTACTCTCGGGTCGATTACAAGACCTGAACCTCACGCGGGGCTCTCGAGCTGTCGTTGGGCCCATCTCAAGATCCACAGCACCCAGCTGAGACTCGTTGCCCTCATTATTGTTGCGGGATAACGACTATACCGGAGGGTCTGATGAGAGAGGTGGTTTGTCATGTGAACGATAGCTGGAGGACGTAAACGATAGATGAGTGGTTGTTTGAGCGACCAGTGGAGGCGGACATATAGCGCATACTGTAGGGTGCTTTACACAAGTGCTTTGAGACAGGATATATGACCATCGCCACTTGTCTTCGCTAGGTCGAGAGCCACAAGCCCCTCAACCGTGATACCATACTAACTGATCCACATGTGATCCGCTTTCGCCTCTTGTTAGCCCTCCATAGAAGAGCTACAAGTAACAAGTGCATTGTCAATTACGCTCTTTTGTCGCACGGTTTGATACCCGTCACATGTCTGATATTGTGTATGAAGTTTGGGGTGGCTCATCGCCTCTCCCTGTTCCCCTGTTGTTTTCCCTTGATATTTCCGGCATTTACTTGACATTAGTTAACAAACCTTATTTCTAACGGGGCTTTTACTCCATCACTAAGCAATCATTAGCCAAATCTTACGCTGCAGTGAAACATCTGGTAGTCTTCTCATATTCTATAGAGTTTAGTATTATGATGTTATAAAACAAAATCAATACCATTGATTACATAAGAAAAACACTTCCAAAAAACACCGCTTACTAAGCATGACGTCATACTAGCATGTACTCTCCATCACTACTACAATGTCTTGTTGAAGTATGTGTCGTTATGGGTTTGACGTTCAGTATTACCATCATATTTTCGATCGATCTATGTCTCAGTTCAGTTCAGTATTCGGTTCGAGACACTAAATAATTTACGATGGTCCTTTTTTTTTTTTTTTTTTTTTGCAAGATTTTAGAGCAAGTTTAGTCGTGGATATTAGATAAGAGTCTTGGATTGGAAAAATATTTGTTTGGGAATATCAGTTTCCTTTTTTACCTCCCGTTTTTTCCATTTCTCCCGCTTTTTTTTCAGTTCTCCCGGGTTTTTTTTTCCTTCTTTTTTTTATATATTTTCCATTTCTTCTGTAGGTCTCCAATCAACACATGGTCTTTTCACATACTCGATCCTGCCGGGTAACATGTAGCAACGGTTTTGCGTCGGAAAAAAGCCGATCGTCATGATCTTCTATCACAGGCAGCATTGCATCTGTACGGATGACTGATAGTAGCGGATGTTGGCTTTTCTATTTGATATTTTTATCTTATTTTATTTTATTTTATTTTATTTTATATCATTTTTTTCCGTGTTTTGCCCCATAATTATTCCACACATTGTTTTCTTGCGCGCAAATGCCATATTTTCCACACACATTTTTTTCCTATGACACTGCTCCAATTTTATGGAGATAATAAATAATTAAATAAAATCAACAAAAATATTTGGAAAATCAACAGCCATTCCATCTTCGATATCATCACGTGACGGATATAAAAACCTCAGTTTCGCTAATTCTGTAATTTCACATTTTTCTATTTCTATTTCTATGTATTTTTTCGTTGACCGATTTAATTAGTATGATCATGTGTGCCCCACCTTTCCCCTCCTGATCAACGTTGCTTTTAACCGTGGCGGCGGTTTTTTTCTCTTAATCTTTCTTTCTTTGCTGTGTCAAATAAGGTTTAGGGAGGGGCACAGGATACAAGTGGCCTCCCTCCAGGTGATACGTCACCACATAGATTGGGCAATCTGAAGTGTGGCATGTGGCAGTGGAAAAAGGTGGCAGTGGCACTACAGATTGTGGTCATATCTCATTATAATACAGGGCAACGGATGGTTGCATGCTATGTGTAGGTCCGGATTGCGGGGTATCACTGGCAAAACGGAGGAGGTTAGACCTTGTTGGCCTGGGTCTGCTCGCGGTGGAGCTTGGATGCATTCTGCTCGTGCAGCTGGTCCTTACAGGACTGGAGGCCCGAGCAGTTGTGCTGCTCCAGCAGTCGGTGCGTGCTGCAAAACTTGCCGTCACAGAAGGAGCAGTCGCCGACCATGCGCAGGGGTGCGCTGGAGCAGCCGTTGAAGGAGCATCGCTTCTTCTTCTTGGTGGTTTTGGGGGCCGAGTTGCGGCTGGCCACGTTGCGGCTGACCACGTTGACGGTTTTGGAGTCGAGGTCGAGCTCCTCGATGGTCTTTGTGTCGTCCAGCGACTGTCCGCCAAACACCAGGTCGATGGTGGAGGAGGACAGGGTGGTGTCGCGCTCGTGGAGGTACTCCTTGACGGCGGCGATGGTGTTGGAGGCGTCCATGGTTACGTCGTACGACTTTCCGGACACAAACTTGACAGTGAAGGGCATGGTAGGGATGGCGTGGTGGGGTTGGGTGTGGTTGTAGGTGTGGGGAGTAGGACTATTCTATGACTGATGTCTCGATGTCTGTATCTCTATTTCTCTCGATGGCTGCGTTACTACGGTGGCAAGGCAGGGACAGTACGGAAACGAGGGGTGCTGGTTGAGTCTCTCGGTGTCTCTGGTTGAGTCTCTCGGTGTGTCTGTTTGTGTCTGTGGGTTTCGGCTTTATCACGCTATCAAATTAATGGGGCGTGGAGTTGCGCGACTTGGGTGGCGGGTGGCGTTTGGGCGGCAAAGGGGCACACAGATACGTTGGGTGTGTGGTGGTGAGGTGTGAAAGGTGGAGTGCGGACCCGCCCCCTTTATATACAAAGCCACGCGATAACGTAATATAATGACTCTGATTGCCAAACAAGCTCGCTATCTCTTCTCGGAACTTCCATAAGCCTTTTGTCTGCCATGCTAAAAACAGCACAAAGTGTACCATGCGCATGCAAACCTTGAGTTTATTTCTGGAGTTTAAAATTGCCCCACCGAGCTGATGCTGATGATGACTGATTGGTTGCCGGTTCGTCGGTTCGAACCGTGCGAACGCGATTAACGAGTTGGAAACTGGACATTTAGTAGAAGGGTTGGAGGGGTTGGAAGGGGGTGATAAGGACGATGCGAGGGCGAGAAGGACGCCACGAGGGCAAGGAGGACGCTGGAAGGACGTTATGAGGGTGAAAAATGGTCCCAAGAGGCTCAAACGGAGCAGCGGGGTACTCCTACGAGTAGACGACCTACAGGCCTACTCCTACTCCTACTCGTACGTGTAAAGATCGGTAATACATCCAGTTTTTGTAATATGACCCAAAGTAGTTCCAGTCATCAACCACCTTCTCCCTCAGAAGGACTGATCCACACCCTTGACCTTGCCCTTGCCCGACCTACTTGTAGCCGCTCGCTCAAAGCAATAAAAACTCAGCAGTCAGTCATAATACGTAACGTCATGTGACGCTCGAGGGAGATACGACTCGTACAACTGTACATACAACTGTGCAACTATCTCTACCCATACGTTAACTCCGAAGTCCGAAATTAACTCCGAAACCCCATAGCGGTCACTTGACGGGCATAAAACAGGACCTAGCGACTGCTCCAGAGGTCCTAAAAGTCCCCCGAAGCCCGGAATCTGCTCGGACGACCCCGCAGAACCCACATCTGCCGCGAAAGCGGTCCCGAACGGCACCAAACGGCCCCAAACCCTCGCCACGCCCCATCGGCTTTTTTAGCCCTTCTTTCCGAACTCCTTTTTTTCCCGCAGCCCCAAAAAACTCAACATGGTGGTTTCGAGACATTTCGAGGCGCAGAGAAAGACTGAAAAACCGCGCTTGTGAACCCTCGTTTGTTTCAATCCGGCAAGTCCAAGTTCGTCCAGTCGGAAGACCTTGTCGGGAGACCCCACCCGAGTTTCACATGGATAATTTAAATGATTAAAAATGTTTTTAAAATCATTAAAAGTGGCAAAATGATTTTTAAAAAACTGAAAAAAGAAGAAAAAGGGGGGAGGGGAAACACCAGATACCACCAAAGACCACAGCAGGCATCAGTTGTACAGAAGCCACATGAGAACATGAATATAATCTGTCTTTTTTTTTTCCTACCGCCCCTTCTCCCTTTTCCCTCGTTTTTCCTAATTTTTTTTAATTTTTTTTAATTTTTTTTTTAATTCTAAACATGTTCGTATTGCTCCATGTCTTAAAGTTGTGGCACCAAAAAAACGACATCAGAAAAGGTGGGCAGAGCCGTGGAAGGGAGCCTTGCGGACGCCACCAGTCACGTGATTCAAATACTGACTGGACGAAATCCCGAGCCGAGCCGGGTCGGGTATGTCGGTCACGTGACACACAATCTACGGCAGGGGTTTTTTTTTGTTTTTTTCTGCTCGGATAGTCGGCTTTATATCCGAAAAACCACAAACCGAAATAGTCCGAGTTCGAACTTGTGTGGGAATATTTTTCCGAAATGACCAAGGCTCGATCCCTTGTGTTTTTTTTTTTTTTTGTTTTTTAAACAGAACGTACTCGTACTCGTACCATACCGTACATACCGTACAATATGATATTGCCACTCTTACGCTCTTATCATCAGGCACTTCAAAAACTCGTATCTAACTAACACCTCCGATCTCGCTCCCGGTCTCAACAGAATCGAACCCAGCAACAGTGTCTCACCAACAGTGTCTCACCAACACGGTACGAGACATGTCTTCGGTGCTGGAGCGGTTTTCAGTTGCGCAAAAGTGAGACAGAGCGGCTGTCGTTTGGCGTTTAGGCCGTAAGATTGTTGATACTCTGGAAATCTCTCGGTGAAGGCCATGGAAGTATGGCAGTATGAGTAATACGAGGAAAGAGTACGAAACGAGCTACAATTACCGGTAGAGATACCATACAATCCAATAACGGAAGCCCCAGGGATCATTCTGACGTTTGAAAAGCGTCGCCTATCTTCTATTTGGGTGGCAAACTCCAGAAGTAGGAATATGTGAAACTGGGAGGTGATAAATAAAATAAAATAAATAAAATAAAAAATAAATATAACATAAAAAAATAAAAAATAAATAAAAAAGGTGTAAAAGTATATACTATAGTTCTTGTACTCGTGATTTATTGTAGATGACTCAACCATGGCGTAGACTCATACTACAACACGTGCATTCAACCATTCCACCAGTTTCGGTTTCATCACCCTTCTAGAAACTTCCACACAACTCCACGGTCACATTAGTAAGCAATTAAAAAGTCCCTCTAGAGCTACGGGACCTCTCTCTGGGCAATGCAATCATTTCCCCACATTACTCTGTTTCCCCGCATGGCCCAAAATCGCCCGAAATCCGCGTTTCGCGCATTTTCGCAAATACGACGATTCCAGACTCTTCTCGCGGCTTCCCCAAATTTCCGCCAGGTTCAGATAACCTTATTTCAGTGGCGAGTGCATGATTTTGCATATAATATGCATATAATATGCACCCGTCCAGAACTTCTGGATGATTCTCGTCAGGTGGCAATGGTGTATATAGGGTGGGGATTTCGCCGTCTCTGTCAACCAACACAATCACACATCCTCACAAACAAGACAAGAAACAATGCAATTTGTCTATTCGCCCTATGACTACGAGCAGCAGCTGCAGCAGTATCAGCAGTACCAATACCAGCAGCAGCTTGCTCAGCGACGAGCTCTTGAGGAGTATTATCAGCGCCAGTTGATGCAGGAGCGACTCCGACAGGAGGAGCAGAAGCGACTGGAGGAACAGAAGCGCCAGGAAGAGCTCCATCAGAAGCTCATTGAGCAGAAGCGACAGGAGCAACTCCAGGCCCAGCAGTTCCGACAAGAACAGGCCCAGCAGCTGTTTGACTACATGTACATGCAGCAGTTGCAGCAACAGGAGTCTGTTCGACGACAGCGGGAGCAGCAGAAGAAGCAGATCCAGCAGTCTGCTGCCAAGGCCGCCTCTCTGGAAAAGGTCCGTGTGGCCGAAGCCAAGCGACAGGCTGCTCTTCAGGCTGCCCAGGAGGCCGACGCTGCTCGACAAGCCGCTCTCGAAGAGATTGCCGAGCACGAGAGATTGGAAGAGGAGAAGCGCCAGGAGGAAAAGCGCCAGGAGGAAAAGCGCCAGGAGGAAAAGCGCCAGGCTGAGGCTGAGGCCAAACTTGCAGCTGAAAAGGCTTCCGAGGAGAAGCGAAAGGCTGAGGCTGAGGCAAAACTTGCCGCCGAGAAGGCTTGTGAGGAGAAGCGACAAGCTGAGACTGAGAAGGCCAAACTTGCTCAGAAATCGCTTTCCCACTCCGCTCCCAAGCCCGTGCAATCCGAAGCCGAGGCGTTCGCTGACTACTACTCGCAGCTCACAGGCTGTCCTGGAAACGGCCCTTCTTTTGCTCAGGCTCTCAAACAGCTCGGAGTCAATGTTCATTATCGATCCGACGATGAAGATGAAACCGAGACTCTGGCCGATGACAAGGAGCGACCTTTGCAGGTTGATCTTTCGGAGCCCGCCACAAAAACCGAGTCTGAGTCTGCGCCCGAGCCTGTTTCCGAATCTACCGATGTTGATGACGACTCGAACCTCAAGGAGCCTACCGAAGAAATCCATCCCCTGGTGGCGTTCCTGCAGTCTCTAGGCATCCCCGCTACCATTTCAGAGCCCCAGATTGCCAAGGCCGAGACTCAGACCGACCCTGATCTTGCTCTGGCAGACTTTGTCGAGTCTCTGAGCGACGATGAGCGACCTTCTGAGGCTTCAAAGAAGGCCACCAAGGCCGCTAAGCGAGCCGCAAAGGCCCAGGAGGCTGCCCTCAAGGCCCAGGCCGAAGCCGAGGCCGCCGCCAGAGCCCAGATCGAAGCCGAACAAGAGCTGAAGCGGGAAAAGCTGGAGAAGAAGAAGTTGGAGAAGAAGAAAAAGGCGGCAAAGAAGGCCAAGACTCAGTCTCCTCCCTCCAATTCTATCCCCTCCACCCCCTCAACTCCCCCTAAACCCCTCCCTTCAGTCGTGGTCTACTCGTCTCCTGTCGATACCGAAAAAGACGTGTCCAAACAGCTGGCCAAACTGGGCTCCGTGGTCGATCGATCGGTCGAGACTTACGAGCGAATCAAAAAGGCCGCCACCCAGTCCGACTCCGAGTACTCTAACTCCGTGTCTTCTTACACGTCGCGAATCAAGGTAATTCAGCAGGCCCAGATCAAACTTGAACAGATCTACGACCAGCTGGACTCCATGGCCGTGACCAACGCCGACGAAAAGAAGGAACGAACCCGACTTATCCGAAAGGCCGTCTCCACCGCCGAAGCCATCGACTCTGTGGTCGAGCAGCTCAAGTCGGAAAAGTCCAAGATTGAAAAGTCCGTGTCTTCGTCCGACGAAGAGGAGATCCCTCGAAAGGTCACCAACAAGACCAACAAGATCATCAAGAAGAACAAGACCGTCAACAACGGCTCTCCCGTTCGAAAGGTCACCCTGGAAACCGTTCCGGATGCCGACTCTGCCTCTGATTAAGCACAAGAGTCACATCTTCTTATTTATGATTGGTTGTATAATAGTTAATGGTATTTTATGATATTTGACGATAATTGCTTTGGTGTACTGTTTTGTTGTAGTTGTTGTTGTTGTTGAAATGAATCTCACGTACAAAGGTGCATTTGCTGAGTTCTTATGGGCTCAAAGCCCCACGCGCAGATTCTCAAGGTCCCTGAGTTGGTATCGCTGCTTGGAAGTTGGGGAATCGAAAGTGTAGAATTCAGCATAGAATACATTGTGTGAGTTGTTTGCACCACCGAATTCGCCTGACAATTGGGCATGTATCACCGATATCACCGAATTTATCTCATGTGGTGTGTCGTCATGTGGTATCTTCCAAAAACGGAGCTGTATCCACAATATCGAGTGACATAATCGACATGACGATGGACACTTCACCTTGGAGGTGAGTTGGGAATGACATGGTCACGTGGCAAATCATATGGTCACGTGACGAAAAACTCCTCTGGAGCCTTCTATCGTCCTTAATGTGGGTGTGGGTTGGTTGATGAGAGGATCGTGGAGAGAAATAAAATTTAAAATAAAAAATTACAGGTGTTTTTTTAAATGACTTTTTTCCTCCCAATTTTTAGTTAAGAATGGGAGTTGCATTTTACTTGGAAATTACTGGAAATTACTTAGAAAAGCCTGCAGCGGGTAAAAAAACAATTAAATGCAGAAAAAAAATTAAAAATTAAAAAAAAAAAAACCGCTCCTCTCACATTCACTACAACAGCAGACCTCATTGAATGGCCACAAAAGACGCAAGAATAACATTTGGACTGGATCTTCGCTTTTTTCTTTTGAAACCGTTCGTTCTAATTCATTACCACTGCCTCGCTTACTAACCGGTTCTCATAACCACTACCAACGGAACCCGAAGAAACGAACGACAATAAAACAGCAAAGAAAGACCAATTCCATTGAAAGCACCCACTTTGAGCCGCTTAAGCAGCCATTCAAACCCACGAAATCAATCCAATTAATCCATGCCATGCCGTTGTATTCGAAGTCATGCCATTGTATTAGAAGCCATACCATTGTATCCCAAGCACCATTTGTACCGATTCTACGGATTTTACAGATCGTAAACTACTCTGAGAAAGCTCGTAAACTACTCGGGAAAGCTCATACTCTGGAAAGCTCACAAGTCCATCGGCTCGCAATAGACCATCCGAAATGATGGGATCACTGCGCCATTGCATCGTGTGTATCTTTTAGTCTATGACTGTGACGCCCGTGCAACGAGCAATAGTCGTTAATGTCACAGATGTGGCAAAGATCATTCATGTCATTCATGTCAATGTTTCAGAATCAGGATCTGAGATCCAAAAATGTACCAGTACCCGTGGGTACTCGGTACTCCGGTAGTGTCGGAGAGAAGGAATCTATCAGTATTTTGTTGTCCAAAAGTGTCGCTGCTGAACAGTATGTGTACAGTACTCGTGCTGTACTGAACACAGGTGGTAGCCATGTAGCCAAGTCATTGATCATGAGTTCAACTGATGGGAGCAGAACAATTTCGCGTCAGTCGACTCGCGCCAATCTCGCACCACCAACTCACACGCAGTCACTCCACTCACTCCAACTTGCTCGCGCGATCCTTTGCAATATCACACATGGCGTTAAACGCCTCCTGCCTCTCCTTTTTCACGTCTCCTCTGTTGATCCGCTCCACCATGTTTTCCATGATGACCTCCCGCGATCGTCCGTTGACAAAAACAACGTAGATGAGGCCTGGAAACGTTTCTTCGTACTGCTTGTTGAGTCTCTCGAGCCGCAGGCCCTCCTGTGCCGACCTGGCCTGCAGCGATTTCTGCTCCGCCTGAGAGTGCGACGAGTCCACCTTCTGTGCGCCCAGACGCGGGTGAGCGCCGATGATTCTGTTGATCCGCGGATCCGTGTCGTCGCCCGACTTGAGCAGCTCCAGCAGCTCCGCCCGCACCCGCTCAATCAGCTCGTTGTAGTCGTGGCACTGTTGGCGGATTGCGCCCCGGATCACAAGCTGCTTGAGAGTGGCACACGGCTCAAACAGATGATCCAGCAGCAGCTCCTGGTCGGCTTCAGGCAGCGACGGTACCGTTTCTATCGCAGGTAGCTTGTACATGTCGTGGGTAGAGAGGGAAGAAGAAGAGAGGGAGTTGCGATCTCTCGCTTATCATTGTCAGTAGAGTTTCGGAGATGGCCGATGGAAAACGTACATACTTGTACGAGTACGGGTAAGATACTGTAGACGTCAATCACTGGAAATATATGAACCGGTGTTGTTTTGTTATTTTTTTGTTATTTTTTATTTTTTGTTGTTATTTTATCGTTGTTATTTTATTTACTTAATCAATGTTACTATTATTTTACTTATACTATTATCATTATTTAGATTTTATTTTAGATTTTATAGGAGTCATGGTGAACAGCCGTACTGTCTGTCTTCCGTCTTGTTCCTGTAGAAGTGCTGCAGCCACAGCTACTCGAGAGGCGCGGTTGACGCTACAGACATGAACCGGAGCGACCCGCTGGCAGACTTGACACCGAGCTCTCCAGCCAGCTCGCGAAACGGTGCTGATGTTGGCTCTACAGCCTGCTTGGATCAATCGCTGGACGTGGTTGAGCCGTGACAGACTCTTGTCACCTGTAGCAATGTGGACCTCTTGAAGCCTCGGTGTAGATAAACGCTCTGATCTGGTCGCAGAAACGACATTGACTCCAAAAGACTCATCTTCTGATGACTTGTTCTAACTCCTCCACATTCCCCGACTGTCCCGCCAAAAGAGGAGCCGTAGTTCAAGGCCCTTACCTAGCCCGGAGACATACGGTCCCACACATAACTTCTGATATGGATAAATAATGCATTTTTATGTCTGTCTAGTAATACACGAGCATATACTGTACTCGATTTTGGTCCATGCTAGTCTTGCTCTACTCCTCGACTTCAGTCTGGTCTGAAACATTCGGACTACGTCCTCATCTTTCCTCCAAGTCTACGCAAGCGCCGAAAACCCCTTCAAAGTCTCCCCAACTCCCGTATGATATCCCTCTTCAATCTTCCACTTTTGACCCTCGTCCAACTTCTCCAAAATGGTGCAACTATGCCCGACCACCAGCAAGCCCGGGGGACGCGAGCCAATGGCCTCCACCGCCTCGACGAGATATTGTAGAGTGGTTCTGGTGACTCTCTGGTCATGGCAAGAAGCTCTTTCTATCACAGCACAAGGAGTGGACAGATCCCAGCCGGGAGTGGCAGAAATGGCCTCCATAAGTCGGTCAACTCGATGCAGAGCCATCAGAAAAATGACTGTTCGCGACTTGACAAACTCGGGAATCACAGGCATGGCTCCCTTTCGTCCAGTACCCGTACAGATGAGCACCTGGTCAGCCACATCTCTGTGGGTAGGTGGAATGTTTGCCGCCAGCGGGGCAGATAGAGCCGATGTGATGCCCGGAACAACCTCGGGCTTGTATCCGTGGCCGGCAAAAAAGATGTATTCTTCTCCTCCTCGCCCGTAAATGTACGGATCTCCCTGTTTAAGTCGAACCACCATTTTTCCTTGTTTCAGGCCGTCGAGACCGCGCTCCAGAAGCTCAGTCTGGGCGGCCTCGGCATTTCCGGGGTACTTTTTGGCGATAAACACCTCGGTGGCCCGCGGAATGAGATCCAGAACCGACTCCGGCACCAACTTATCTGCCAAAATCAGATCAGCACTGTTGATGCGCTCCAGAGCAGCGGAAGTGAGATACTGAGCAGATCCCGGCCCAGATCCAATCAATGCAATGTGGGCTTTTGAAGACGAGGAAGAAGAATCAACAACTGCGGGAGCCGAGTCATCTTCCTGGCCGTTTTGCTGACTCTCTTTGGCGTCGGCTTCTTGAGAACTATGATAAGCTCTGTTAAGATCATCAATGGAAACATTGGCGAGCTTTCCCAGAGGGAAATACTCCACCAGCTGGCTCAACCATCGTAGTCGTTGTTTTTTCTTCTGGATGAACGTCTCCGAGTCCTCCACAACAAGCACATTGAGTCGCTTCTGCTCGGCGTCGTCATCCTCCTGGCCAATGTCCTCTGCCTCAAACACATCCTTGAGATCCTCCTCGTAGATTCTCTCTCGCAGCGAACCAATCTTGTTGCAAATCTCGTCCACGTTGGCCGGCAGAGCCGCCACCATTTCTCGTTTGAGACGATTGGCCAGTCGGCAGCCCTTGCCGGAGGTGGTGACTCCAAACTGAAAGTCGCCGTCGGCATACGACGCCAGAAACGTGAAAGAACAGTACTCGGGGTGTCCCGCAACGTTGAGAGGAACCCGTAAAGACAAACACTGTCGATACAATGACCCCAGATCAACCTCCTCATGCTGATGGACCCCAACCACAAGAACCTGATCCACAACTCCAGACACCTCGTCCCGGCCCAGCGACGTCACGTGGCGGAACTGGAAGCTCTCGTCCACGTGCTCGACTTTCCCCGTCTTCACCAGGTCCTTCAGGGCTTCCGGAAGTTGTGTTCCCACATAGATGGGTTGGGCTCCGCACTCCAGAGATCGTTGTGCGCGCGAAAAGGCCAGATTCGACTGTCCTGTGATGATGTGGCGATGTCCGTCGATTTTCTGAGCGGTGAGTAGTTGCATTTTCTTCCCTTTTCTCTCTCGCCGGCTTTTATGTGTCTGTGTGTCTGTGTTTCTGTTGGTGTGTGTTTTATGTCAGTCGTAAATCATTCAGTGTTATATCATTTTTCACGCCCCATTTGGACTGCATGAAATATGCATCCCACTACTCATCATATCACGTGAAATGTGGCGAGTATGCACCTATCCACATAAGCGACGTGAAATATGCAAGCCACTAAACCGTAATTGGGAAATGAATGGCAATCGGGGAAACTTGATTGGCTCGGGATAATCGTGGACCTGAGTCACTCTGTGGCGCAATTTGGGGGGGTTTCAACGCCACTTTTCTCGGTGGAGGCGGAGGCGGACACGGTAGAGCCGGGTCGTCTTCATATCACGTGAGGGAGATGCGAGTATGTGTGAGGTTCGTCGATGTAGGGTAACCGACGAACGTAAAGAAGAGATGAAAAGCGAGGGGGCTTAACTGATAGCGGGTTGCTCGTGTACACAGGAGCGTCGTAGTTGAGGGTCACAGCCCTTTCGGAGGAGCCAAGAGCTTCCTGTTCTAAAAGTCAAAGACACAAATAAAACGGGGAAAACAAGCTGCATTCTAAACTATAGAAAACTGGTGATTATATACACAAACCAAATAAGGTTTGTTGGGAATAATATGTCACCGGAGTAACGTAACTACACAGGCTAGGGAGATAGCTTACATATGGGGGTCGTAGTTGCAGCTGAATGTAGGTGGGGTGGATTTAGCGAATTTACTTGGAATTTACTTGGAATTTACTTGGAATGTGCTGTGTAGTACTCGGAACCGACGACAACAGATCGAGAGAAAAGTAAATGCAACGGAAAACTCATCACGTGGACTCTCCAACCCACGTTACTGTGCCTCCTGTCGCCCGCGGTGGCTCCAAATGTGGCTCTAGCTGTGGCTTGACACTAGCATTCAAAATCAGCCACAGAGAAGAGTTTTATGGCTGAAAGTTGGCTGAAAGTTCAGACAACATCAATCCGAGTGGATGATGAAGATGAACGGTGGCTGAGGAGTGTCATTGATTTGCATCGGTTGTCATTGGGCTGATCTGGAGGATGTGTAGTGGAGAGCAGGGTTCTTGTACAGATAAAAAGATGAAAACCTGGGATTGCAATACTTGAACAAGAAGTATTAGCAGTGGCTGTATTGTACGAGTACAGTATGTATCTGTAGTATCTCAGAGCTATCGGCTGAGTCATCAAACAGAAGGAGGGTATGGTCAAGGCATGGATCAAAAAGTCAAGTGTAGAGTAAGTGCTGTACAGTATCTACAAGTAGAGCAGACGGTTGAAATGGGGACTATAACTCTGGTTATTCATCCAGAAGGACTCTCGTTGATATATTCTTGTCTGATAGTGAATCATTGTACTAGTTCTTTTACTGTAGACAATTGTCCAGCTCAATTGCATGGGTTGAATGAGAGGAATATAACATCACTAGTACAAGTACAAGTGTAGCAAAAGGTTCTGAAATCAACCATTGAGAAAACCCGCTAGATTGGATCGTTTTCAGGTACTTTTTCTTGTAGTTTACGTCTTCCTGGAGAAGTTTGAACGTCTTCTCTTGTCTCTCTTCTCTTGTCTCTGGTTTGTTGAACCTCCCACTACACTTTGAGTAGGTTTGTTGACAATGTAGTTGACATATTTGACATAAATAAGAAAAAAACCAAAAAAAAAAAAAAGTGAAATTGTACAGTTCTGGGATTGATAAAACAAACCATTGACAAAACAACCGTGAATAAACATACCATTAGCAAAGATCATTGAACAAACCATGAGAAATGGATTAAAACTCTTTTCAGTGTTCCTAGGACTTGTGCAGCGCCGTTCAAAGCGATTCTCCAAAGCCTGACACCGCCATTTGCTCAGTCTGATCTGATATCTCCTCGATCCTTTTTGCTGCTCCGACTAGCCCCCGAAACGACGCTAACGACGCATCGCATCGCGGCTAGTCTTGGCAGTGGGTGGGGATGGAGAGCGAATTGAGAGGAGACATGGGACGAAAATGTGGTGATATGAGACCCGAAAACCATCATCTGAGGTTCGTATCGTATCCATGCATCTCTTCATTCATGTTTGGAGAAGTCCTTAGAAGCTCTCTATGGCACAGTATGGACTGGAGAGTCTAGTATCGACGTTAAAGTAGACACAAGAACCACCTGAACAGCCATTAAACCCACAGTAGCTCCACAGTAGTTCCCGGAGAGGGCGAACCCCGCAACTAGGATATGCACCAGTACTTTTTTTGACGACTTTGACACATTGGGGATCACGGTGTCATGTCATGTGGCATATCGGTCGCACCTTTGTAGCTTCCATCTCATGTTTGTAGTGCGGTATTGTACTCTCTTGTAGGACGGTACTGGATCTTAATGGGCTCTTACCGTACAGTATGAGCACGAGCGAGCGTGAGTATTAGACCTAGAAAGATTGTCCAATTTGATAATGACGGTGATAATGACGGTGATAATGACGGTGATAATGACGGTGAGAATGACGATGAGAATGACGGTGCTAGTGACGGTGAGAATGACGGATAGTGACGGCGGGTTGCTGATATATAGTCAGATCTCAGAGTCAGACTCTCTTGTCGATCTCGTCGTCGATCCCAATTCGACATGCAAAAGATAATTGCCAAAATGCCCATTTTCCAGACCCCCAAAACACCCCTCCGTCCCCGCCCCCACACATTACTAAGCACCCCACCTTTTCAATAAAGTTGCATTGCAGTAGGGGCTATTTAGCAATATGGGGAAATAGTTGAACCGAGTTGTGTACACAACGGAGATACAAAAAGACCGAGAAATCCCACAGACTTGGATCTGTTTGTGTAACTCCAATTGATTTCCCGGACTCGAACTGTTTGTGTAACATCGATTGCAGACTTGTCTTTCAATCCGCCTCTCAACTCATTGGTAATTGCCGCCTTCCATCCACACCAATAATGTCCACCATTGACAACGACTGCGTCATCAGCATCCACAAGCTGATTGACGCCTACTGCTCGGACCCGTCGGTCATTCCCGGGTTTGTGATGAACGTGGTCAACCGCCGGGGCGAGCTGCTGGTCAACTACGCGGCCGGCCAAATGGGACTCGACAACCCCGCGCCCATGACCACCGACTCGGTGTTCTGGCTGGCGTCCTGTTCGAAGCTCATTGGAGCCATCTGCGCCATGCAGCAGGTGGAGAAGGGTCTGATTGGCCTGGACGACTCCGACAAGCTGGAGGAAATCTGCCCCGAACTGAAAGAAGTCAAGGTGATCAAAATGGTCGACAAAAAACCCACTCTGGTGGAGAAGAAGAACCGAATCACCCTGAGAATGCTGCTCAGTCACACGGCCGGCTTTTCGTACTCCTTTTTCCACCCCTGGCTCATCAAACTATTCCCCCATGTCGACGAGCTCGCGGGAGACAAACACGTGCTGGACACCGCTCTGGTTTTCGAGCCCGGCACAGACTGGGGCTACGGAACCAGCATGGACTGGGTCGGCGTGGTAATTGAGCGCCTGCGAGGCAAACCTGTGTCGCAGATTGTCCAGGAAGACATTTTCGAGCCTCTGGGAATCACAGATATCGAAATGAAGCCCACCCAGAGCATGCGAGACCGACTGGTCAACCTGCACCAGAAAGACGCCGAAAACGGAACCATGACCCAGCGAGAACATGTATACTCTTTGGACGCTGAGTTTGAGTCCTTCGGAGCAGGCTACTTTGCAAAGGGTAGCGAGTACGTCAAACTACTGGCCATGCTGCTCAACAACGGAGTGGGGCCCGACACCGGCAAGCAAGTGCTCAGTGAAAAGTCTGTAGACGACATGTTTGCCAACCAGATCCCCCAGTGGCCCAATTACGGCCGACGAGCCACTCCCCCGGGCAAGCCAGAGTACACCAATGCTCTCCCCGAGCTATACCCTCAAGGAAACGCTCCTCAGGGCTGGGGTATTTCGTTCATGTTGACAATTGAGCCCACCGATACCGGCCGCGGACCCAACACTGGCTGGTGGAGTGGAATCATCAACACGTTCTGGTGGGTCGATAGACAAAAGGGGGTTGCGGGCCTAGCCCAGTCCCAGATTCTGCCGTTTGGTGATGAGGATGTCATGGTTCTGTGGAACACCATTGAAGCCATGATTTACAAGAGTCTGGTTGAGGACAAGTCCAAGTTGTAGGCAATGTGGATCTGATATTTGAATGAATGATGTTGATTTTGAAGAAAGGGGTGTCAGAGGAGTAGAAGGGAAAAAAAGTATTCAACACCACTTTTTCACCCTCTTATGTCCACAAGCCACCGCTGCATTCACGTGCGGCAACCTGGCCGAGTGGTCTAAGGCGCCAGGTTCAGGTGACTGAATCAATATCCTGGTCTCTTCGGAGGCGAGAGTTCGAATCTCTCGGTTGTCAGCTAGTCTCGAGTTCTCGAGCTCTTCTTTTTTTCTTTTGTTGAGCCATTTGCTCGTCTACTGCTGGCATATGTCAGGCTCTTGTCTGTCATGTCTCCAACCAGATCAGAGCTTGCAGGAAAACAGATTTGAAGAACAGATATAACAACTGGTACGTTCAGTACTGTACCGATGGATTTGTTTGTATCAAAAAAACCTGTAGAATCAGTTCTTCCGTCTGATCCAGTTATAGTGGCGACCAAAGTGTAGTCTGGTTCATACTCCAGAGACATCGATTTTCGATCAACCCTGACTAACCCTGACTTGATAGACAACTACATTTCAGAAACCAGGGCCTGCAAACAAGTTGAACCTGGAATTCGGTTTCGGATTGGAAATCTGGCTTTCGCTCTGGTTTTTTTTTCGGTTTTTTAGACCAGTACAAGACCAAATAATTGTGCTTCTACAAGTATATATTTGTCCTTAACCAATCAGAAAGACGACAGTTCTTAGATTCTACGGCTTCGTTTACCCTGCTTGTGGCCATTCTTCGAGAAGGATGATTGTCACTGATGGTATGGTAGTGAAGCGGAAGAGTTATATATATTGACACTGTAATACCATGATACCAATGAACGATGCGATACCAAAGAACGACACCATGACACCAAAGAACGACATCATGACACCAAAGAACGACACCAAGAATTAAAAGCATTAGAATCAACAGCCGCTTCATAAAACAATGACTCGCAATGTACTCGTCACTTGTCTACACACACGACGGCTCAGGACTTGTCTATTGAAATTTCAAGACATTTTTTTCAAATTTTTTTCCATTTCAAATTAAAGTTTCAAATAAACATTTTATAAAAAAGATCTGCACTATATATACAGTATAGATGCACGCACGGTCTACCAAATCTACCAAAAAAAGATGGACAAAAAGTTCTGTTTCCAAAAGGGAAAAGCGAATAATGGAACAAAGGACTGCGGCAAAGAGAGAATATAAAATTGCAAAAAAATGATATCCGTGAGATTCGAACTCACGCCTCCGAAGAGACCAGGAAATTCGTTAAGGTATTAGCCTTAACCTGGCGCCTTAGACCGCTCGGCCAGGATACCAATAGTGATTTCAAAAAAGTTCAAATCATTGTGAGCGTGAAAAGGTGTTAAAATACGGCGAAAAAATGAATCATTAGAACAAAAAACGGCGAAAAAAACGGCGAAAACACGAAGAGATTGAAATACAATGGTCAATATACTATTTCCTTGTTCAGCTCCCCACTTACCTGGCCTCACTGTCTTTTTCGGTTCCATCCTGGGCTTCTACCTGCTCCTGTTCTCCAAAAGCTCGAGGTACTCGGAAGATCAAGGGTGAATACAAGCTGATGGCAAATCTACAGGACCATGACGACAATGACAACGACGACTACTATATTGAATCTCAGAGTCTGTGAAGAAACAATCATACATCGAAACAATCATACATCGAAACAATCATACATCTCCACTATCATGTCGGAACAAGTATGAGTGATAAAACTACAAGTACTGTGCTAGTACGAGTACGAGTACGGGTACAGTATGATAAAGTGCTATGCTCGTATGTACGTGTAATATACTCTTCCTACCTCAGATCATCATCTACCTGACCGATGGAGTCCCCAAACAAACTAATGTCTCAGCGGAGCGTACATTTTGGGGTGGCGATCGTCACTTGCGACCAACTGCAATAAGAAGGGCGATCCCTGAAATGAAACTGAATTGCCACCAAGTGATTTACGGTTCGGCATGTTCAAGAGAGCCTTGGAAGGTGAACAGATCGGCCGTCACAGCCCCTCAATCATTGTGTCCGGGTGTCCAAGACAGAACGGGGAGGCGACAGAACGGCGAGGCTACCGACAGACTGGTCCTGTTCGGCACATCCTTCCCGTACAGTAAAGAGGTATCTACAACACATCTCCAAACTAAGAGCTAGGGTTTTCGGATCCGCACTAAACCCAAGCGGAGAGAGTAATAGCCATTGGGTTGGCGGAGAGCAACAGCCATTGGGTTGGCGGAAAGTAACAGCCCGCGAAGAGCAACATTGACTAGCGTCGATTGTGAGCCTTACCTGCGACGCTGAGTCGGTTTGGATCGAGACCATCAATCCGCAGCATACGGCCGTGCGAACCAGTCGACAGGAGCCGCTACAGTGAGAAATGGGCGGAGGAACAACTTTGAGCTTCGCAGAGACAACTCTCCACCGCCATTGGTGTCTTCTTGCGGCTGAACCTTTTATCCCGCCGGTGTGCTTCCACTTTTCGAACTCGATGCAGAATCGGACATCGTATTGTGAACCCTCGGAGTCTCAAAGTTATCAGGGCCTTGGTTATGTCTGCTCGGAGACTGTGATCAGTGACATCGAGATGCGGTTGTAAAGAAAGACGCAGCTGCTGATAGGAGAGCGAATAGAGAGAGCGAAGAGCAGTGAACACGGCACGATGGCGTAGCCACTTGCTATTTAGCAGGAGTGAAGGAGACATTGGACAAAAGGAATCAATAGCGGAAGATTAGAATTCCGTTGTTGCAGACAAACCTCGTACTTGTATCATCTACCGATGAATGTCTGGTAACAGCAGGGAGAGCTCCGAGGCACGAGTCGGAGGCTAATCTTTCTAGGTTCCAAGCAAAAGCCGCTAAAGATCAGCTCCTATCGGGATAGATAGATAAAGAGGGGCCATGGCCGTTTTCCCGGTGACCAAATGTCCGTCATCATCTCCTATCAGGGAACCCACTTGGATCTTCCTTACGCACCAGCAGAAGAGTCCCATGATGATCATGATGATGATGGTGATGATGATGGGTCACCCAGCCGTAACACCACAGGGCTAGATGCTCTTTCCAAGACAACAATCTCCCTTTCCCGGTCCGACTCGCCTCTACCTTCGTTTGAACAAGTGATGCACGAACAGAGATCACTCATGGTGGATTTTACACCCATTGTCACAGTGAAGTACACGAAGAGCATGCGGGTCAAAAAGATGACCGCAGCTCTTGTTCGTCACATGATCGTGTCGGAGACTAGGACTCAAACAAACGAGACTCTGGTCCAATGGGATCTCTTTTCGGGTCGATGCAAGCCTGTGAAAGGGCCCATTTCTGAAATCGCCAGTCCTGTATCTATCCAGACTTCCACCCACAAGTACCCACTTCACTGCACTCTTCCAGCTGGGCTTCATGAAACTGCTTCCCACAACTCCAGCAAGCTGTGGTACACTCTGGAGACCCAGGTGAGCTGCCAAAAGCGGTTACATTCAAACTGCGGCCTCTTTGACTATTGCCAGGAGATTGTCATAGCTCGAGACAGACAGATGAACGACCAGGCTCTTCTCCCCGTCAATGTGTCGACTCCTTGGCTCAAAAAGCTCAGATTTGTTGTTTCTTACCCCCAGAAAGTCATTGTTTTGAATGAAGATACCGAGATCCCCGTCAAGATCACCACTACACTGTTTGAGAAGCCCATTCGGCTCAACACCGTCAACATCTCCGTGACCCAAACCTGCAATTCAAACGCCAACGATGCGCAGAAAACTAGACTCCTCACCGTGAATTCCAACCGATACGCGGATTCAGACGAGCTGGAGCACGACGAAATAGAACTCCAGCAAGCCAGGGAAGAAGGCTTCGACGTGAAGAAAAACTTTTTCGATTCCATCCATAGAGGCAATCTTCTCATCCCCGGAGCCGAGGAGACAGAGCTGGATTATACGCTGAAGTTGAATGTCCGGATCATCGACAAATTATCCGCATCAACCTCTCGCACTCACCCTCTTCACATAGTGCACAAGATACACGTGTCGCTGCGCTTCTCACAACTGGATATGACTGACCAGCCCAATCAGAAGACCCGAAGGTACGTGGACCTGTCTCTGTCTGCCCCTTTGGTGTTCTCCAGAACGCGGAGATCGCAGCCAGTGGACGCTTGTTTGAACCTCGTGCCGTTCGAGTATGAAGACTTTTTGCTGTGCGAGTACCCCCGGTTAAAGAATACAAACATGGTCTTCAAAAACGACTACGCAAACGACTCTGCTCCTCTCTACGAGTCTCTCCCACCCCCAGTTTACGAGGCGATCGACTCAAAATGGGAATTCAAGGCGGATACCAGAGGAAAGACTGGATGTATGACTCCAGGTGGATGTGTGGACCAAAGTGGAATGCGAAACACGACAGGTTGGTGGTTTCGACGAACCATGTATTAGCAGATTATGCAAATGGCGATAAAGGACTTGCCAACGGTTCTAGCACTTGTCGAATGACGTCAAAGTGTAGAGAGCTGACGTCATGATCGTTTAATGGATCCAGACTCCAGCATTGAAGTCATGACTCCCTTTCAGGGCCTCTAAGGGCTCTGTCAAGAAGCAGAAGTTTCCGTCCGTGAAATCAAGCGAGTGTTGGGCCAATGAGGTGGAATGTCTATCGTGACAGCTATATTTGAAGTCCAACTAAAACTTTTCGCTCCAGCAGGAAAACAGCAAGGAGTCTTATGATACTAACAGAACCAGTATTTACAGCGACAATACATATATAATTGCAATACAATACATTTACCCTTTTGTACACGCTCAGAACATGGCATCCAGGTTCGAGTCAATTGCATACTAAGAGATGTACTTGTAGGACTGGTCATATATACTAGGAACCGCCCTGACCGAAAAACACAGGCAACCTGGCCGAGCGGTCTAAGGCGCCAGGTTAAGGCAATACCTTGACAAATATCCTGGTCTCTTCGGAGGCGAGAGTTCGAATCTCTCGGTTGTCATTGCTACTGAGGTAGTTCTTTTTGCTTCTGGCAGACGACACTGTTATCGTCTCCAGGTGAGCTACAGTGCGTTTTTAGATGTAGTGGCATGTCTGTACAGTATCGGAGTAATACCATCTTCAGTCGTTGAGTACTGTTTCACTATTAGCATTGAAGTCAATTGTGAGATACTCGTAGCAGGTTGCAGAAGTAGATCTTTCAGTCCCCAAGTTCCGGTGATAGGAGACAGACGACACTACTGTCAAACCCGCTGAAGACTTGACTTCGACATGGAAAATGTCACAGATTCCAAACAGAAGTGAGATCTCATAGACTGATAACCATTCATGCTTCGGTCCCTCCTTATCTATGTTGGCGAGTCTTATCTGCATTATCTAGGCATTAACCGCGCTTATCAGCATATTCGAGGCATGATTGCGCGAGAGTCAATAACGATCCGTGGAGGTGAGTAGAAACTCAAGAGAACCCCCCTAGAGTTGGTTGCAAAGTGACTTGTAGTTGGACTGTTCCATTAGCGAGACTCATTGTGAACTCCTCTGCCACGGAAAAACTTGTATGAGTACACCATATAGAACAGTCTTAGGACATGAGTGCCTCCCCATCACCATGTCCACACTCAAAAAACAACATTGACACCGGGCTACTTGTACAACGACTGACTCGGAGGTTCACTCTGAAGAGATCATGTTTGGAAAGATTGACAATCTGACTGACAGCTGGTCAGCCTGGTCTTCTTTCTAGCTTGGATTGAAATTGGAGTGAAGACTGTCATGCTCATTCTCCAATGAACCAGGTTCTATCTAACATGATTGCCGCTTCACGACAGTCCTCTTAAGCGACGACAGCCATTTCCAAACTTCTTCAAGGGAGCCAACGACAAGTATGTACTCAAATCCCATCAGATGCGTCAGGGAAACGCTATCAATGTTGTATTCGGATGTCTGTGTACCATCGACGCCGCCAACCACTGCTCTCTTCTCCTTGTCAGTAGGAGGCAACATGACTCCTTTGTTCCCGGCCAGTTGACCTCGGAAAAACACTGTCCATGGCCATTGTAGGGTTTGCAAGGCTGTACCTCGTCTTCGTTCTCATTCTACTACAGTTCCCTCAAACCACGTCCCATCTGACAAAGACACAATGAACTACACCTGTGTCGCTACGGTTTTTGTTATACTACTTTCTGCTTGCCACTTTGACCCTTGATCCTGTGGTTATAGAAGGGCAGATGGTGGCAGTGAGAGACTGACCATCAAGTGACAGTAGTATGTAATGTAATAAATGTGGTATACATACATTAATTGTTTAAATCGAATGCAAACGAGAGTAGCCTACCAGGACATCTGGTTGGTACTTGTTCTTATTCCAGAGTACCCTACCAGGACATCTGGTTGGTACCAGCGACATCTGGACGGAACTTGTTCTTGAGTACCCTACCCGTGACATTGGGTCGGTACTTGTTATTATTCCAGAGTACCCACCAGCGACATCTGGTCCTAGTTCTTATTCCAGAGTATCCTCAATCACCTCCAGCTCCGTGGGGCTGTAGATCTTGTCACTGACACCCCAGATCTGAGCAATATTGTCTTCCGACACCGATCCCAAACACCACTCCATCTCGGGGTTGTAAGCAAATGCAGATACGGGAGCGGTGTGACCTCCATGCATAAAAAACAGCTCGGGCGACGCGTCTTCAGCATCGTCCTGCGACTGCTCACAGCCAATGGTGTTCATGTTCCAGATGATCACTCGTCGGTCCTGTCCTCCAGTGGCGAGGTACTGTCCATGGAAAGGATCAAACTCGATGCCTGTCACGGCGCCATTGTGACCAGACAGAGAATGCAGCCGGTAGCCGGTATTTCGAATGTCGTAGAGGTTGACGGTGGACTCGGACGAACCAGCAGCAAAGAGATACTCGGAATGAGGAGAGAAAGCCAGACAGTTGTAAGGAGTGGGCTTGTCACCCGAGGGCGGTCGGGTCAGTGTACCGCCGGCTGTTTCGGGGGCTCGAGTGTCGTACAGAGCAATGAATCCTTCTTCCAGAGCAGCTCCAATAATGTAGGGGAAGGTCTTGTGGCACTCAACATCATTGACGGAGGAGGTGGTGATGTTCCAGGTCGATTTCTTGGACTCCAGGTTCCACAAAATCACTTTTCCATCCTCGCCGCCGGAAACCAATGCCTCGGGGTCTCCAGCACCTCCTCTTCCTACAGACCACGCCAGACCAAAGGCGTTGGTTGTGTGCTCCTTTAGAGTAACAGGTGTCTCATCGACGCTGCCGGTGACAGATCTGACGAAGATGGTGCCCTCACCGTTGATAGATGCCATCAAATCCCCACAGCTCTTGATCTTGTTGGGTTCTCCGTCATGGGACCACTCCTTGACTGTCTTGAATCGCAGATCAGCAGGCCGTCCATTGGGTCCGAGTTTGCCCAGGTCGCCCAAGTCGAGCGGAATCGTGCTCTCCATCAGCACAATCTTCTCCTTTTCCTCCTTGTCCTGCGAAAAGGTGCCCGCCAGCGCCTGGTGAACCCCCATGCCCGCGGCCTCATCCTCTCTGTAACCACACCAATCGAAGGTCAGAGACGGCCACGTCATGGTGGTTTCGGAAACAAACGAGTACATGTACGGACAGTTCCTCTTCCAGGTCTCGTACTCGGCCCCAATGTCCGGGGTCTCTTTTTCGGGGGAAGCCATTGTGAATTGAGTGATGTTGGTGATTTTAGCCACGCGCAGCAACTAATATATTTACATCAACGCGTTTTTAAGGTTAGGAGGAGAGTTGAGAGGGCGTGTGTTCGATTTGCGGTGGTGTTGTTGGAGTGAAATTATTCTAGAAAATGTCCAAAATTGGATTTCAGAGAAACTTTTCAATTTATCAGGTGTTTTTGAGTACAATTAAACAAAAAAAAACCCACTTATCTCCCCAATAGTCGCTTTTTGAAGCGACCCTTTACCCACCCCCAGCGTCGTATAATTATCCCGATTGGGAAGGGCGGCCGTAGTGGTGGCAACCTGGAGAGGGACGTTTCTGCCTGACATAATTGGCTGAAGAAGAGTACGATGAACGTTGTGCGACATGTATTTTCTAGAATAAAACATAATCAAACAAAATCACGTTTCTCAGGTTTCGAGAGAGCGCCATACGCACTTACTATGGCGATTCCACGAGTGGCCACCCCACTGGCCGAACCGTAATATGGAAAATAAATATTTCACGTAAAAAAAAAACGCGTAAAGTGTAAGCGACGTGTTGGCTGCATGGTTCACGACAGAAAACAAAGCAGTTAGTTCAAACCGTCGCGTGCCATTATTTATACAGCTCTCTGTGCTCTCTCTGTGCTCTGTGGGCTCTGCTCTCTGTGCTCTGTGTTCTCTGAGCACTCTGTCCGGGAAACGGTAGCAATAGACAGACAGAGACTCGCGCCAGACCAGGAAGATGACGTTGCAAAATGGGTTATACAGAGAGTGAGAGCGGGTGGCCTCCCGAACATGAAGACGTGGCCGACTTGCAAGTGGGTTGCTCTCATGGCTATGGTCCCATCGGAAAAAGATGATTCAGCAGGTTCCTCAAGCGCGCCATGGTGTTCTCAAGTCGGGTGTGGAGGCGGTACGAATGGACGACAAACGGTCGGTTCTATACCCACATTGGACACGAAAAGTTCGCCAGTATCGCCTACTATGACGTTTGGAAGATGGACCAGATGGGCAACGGTGGAGAGTGACTGTCATGCTGAACAGACAATGTTTCAGAGGACACCGAAAGCCGGAAAGTGGAATACCGTGGTTGAGGCGGTTTCTGCCGGAGGAAAACCATCCCACCACTGGTCACCTTCAGAGGGTGCGATCCAGACAAGAGCACTCGACAGCTCCGTCGGGGGTGGCATGTGACCGTGCAAAAGAAGGCTTGATTGATTGACAACTGAAATTTTCGACGTGAATAGCGACCGTCGATGAAGCTGTCCTCACGCCTCCCGAGGATGAGTCTACCTTGATCTCGGATGATTCTCTGGACGATTCATTGAGTTTCCCGACATCCGTGGGCAAGAAAAACCCGTTCTCTGCCAGCCCCGGAGCCCAGAAAGCCTGGGAGGAGCTTTGTGCTTCAAGGAGGACCTCTGATATCGAGCTTCGTGAGTACCTGTGGGAATGTATTCTAAGCCGACTTTTACAGAGTCAGGGCTTGAAAAATCAAGAGCACTTCATGTAGTCTTGATGAAGGGGTCCTAAAGACTAGACGGACGGACGAGGAGAGTGAAAGTGAGGTTGAGGTGGCACCGCATGACAATCTCCTCTTCGCAGTCATCTGATAGATCTTCCCCGCCCCAGCTCCGGCGGCCAACGACTTCCCTAGGCGACGCGGGAGATCTTGTGCTGCTTCCACCGAAACTTTCGAGGCTGGGCTAGTGCCAGGAGCTGATACGAGTACCCCTGTCCAGAAACGCCCGAGAGGAAGACCTCGAAAACAGTGAGCTGTTCAGATGTCGATAGGCCGAGAAAGAGAGGACGTCCGCCGAAGAATACGCTACCCGAGGCTCCACCACACTCTACTTGTGTACCAGTCGTCGAGACCTTGGGTAATGTGTCTCGTTGCAGTGGTCAATGACTTCTAGGACTCCAACCAGCACATTAGGTGGGAACGCTTGTGCAATGTGGTGTGTAACCTGGGTGGATATACTTGATAGTAGTTGTGTAATAATCATTGTGATTTGAACCAACTACTTTATGAACATCCATACTTTCCTTCATAATACAAATCAGGACAAGCCTTGTCAACCAGATAACTGAAAGACCTTTGCGTGAAGACTTGTACAAGTGTACTAGTAGCTGTTTGTGCTTAAGGACAATGGTTGGTGCTCAGCTGAGATCTTGGGTCATTTCTGATGCTGAGTAAGAGATGTCTTTCACGTATGAATCTGTGGAGTCAAGACTTGTTTATGGATAATCAACCAATGGTGTTTTTCGCCTTACAAGCGGAAACTGAGAGAAGTACAGAGTGCGATACTTTAGATAGATGTACATACTGTAGTACATACAGTACTGTATCTTTCTCGTCCACCTCTACAAGTTCAACATGTTGTATAAACGGTCGTCTGGCGTAACCCGGAGACTCTTGCCTTCACCATCATTAAACACCCATTTGTCGGCGAACTCGCAGTTCATTATAAATTAATAAAATTACACTAACTAATTTCTATACAGTCGTCTCCTTGAAGTCTCCATCGTTCCTCCGTCGTTTCTCCATGTTCCTCCGCAGGTTCGTCAAGACCTAGCCTTGGTTCCCATACATTCAAATATCCCACTAAACACCAACTCGGTAAACTCGTTGTCGCTGCATTCTAAACTGAATGACCTCCGATCTCTCCAGAGCATGAAGCGTTCGGTCAAGAGCCTCCTGGCTATGGTTTCGAGTGTTGACAAACTCGGTAACCAGACGAGAATAACTCGTCGACCAGCCCATGGGCAGACGTCGTCGCAGCTCCTGGTCGATCTGTGTCACCTCCTCCATGATGGTATCCTTTCCAGACGTTCCCTGGGTAACGGCATCCATTGTAGATGCATTAAACAGTCGAATGGCCTCCTCCACATGGGCAGCGCTGGCCACAGGCTGAAGCTCCAGCTTGGCAAGGGCCTCTGTGATTCGAACAATAGCTTCTAGCTGTCGAACGGTGATGGGAATCGACGACTTTCTGCCCATCTGACGCTCGGCAGCCGCAACTTGTCTTCTGAGCTCGACAAAGTGGCCAGACAGACGCTCCGATGCTTCGTCTGACAGAACGGGAGCCACCTTCTGTCGACAGTACGAAATGTATCGTTTAAGCAGATCCAGAGGAATCTCTCCCTCCTCTTCCGTCTTGTTTCCGGTCTCGTGGATGGCCATGACGTGCTTGGCGATGGTGGCGTCTCTGGAGGCATTGTGGTCATCCTTGATGAGGAAAATCATATCGAAACGCGACAAAATGGTGGTCTGGAAGTCAATGTTTTCGCCCGGCGATTTCATGTCGTCGTATCGGCCGAAAATGGGGTTGGCCGCCGCCAGAACGGCTGTTCGAGAGTTGAGAACGGTGGTGATACCGGCCTTGGCAATGGAGATGGTCTGCTGCTCCATGGCCTCATGGATAGCAACTCGATCGTCATCCCGCATCTTGTCAAACTCATCAATACAGACTACTCCTCCATCAGCAAGCACCATGGCTCCTCCTTCGAGGTAAAACTCCCGAGACCCCGACTCTCGCTGTACACTGGCAGTCAGACCGGCAGCGGAAGAACCCTTACCGGAGGTGTAGATGGCGATAGGAGACACCTTCTCGACAAACTTGAGCAGCTGCGACTTGGCAGTACCGGGGTCACCCAGCAGCAAGACGTTAATATCTCCTCTGAGTCGCATTCCATCTGGAAGTAGCTTCTTGGAGCCACCTACCAGAAGGCATGCAATGGCCTTCTTGACGTCTGTGTTTCCGTAAATGGACGGAGCAATGGAGCCTGTGATCTTTTCGTAGAGATCGGGCTCTTTACTGAGGGTAATCATCATCTGCTCTTCGGCTTCTGAAAAGATAACCTCTCTAGAAGGGTTGAGTCCATCGGCAACAGGAGCGTTGTTAGAATCAAGACCAGTCATTCCCACTAGTCGAATGTAGGGACTCTTGATGGCCACGGCACCCTTGACTCCAGCCTTGTTGTTGTTCTTTCCCTTTTGCGCCGAGTAAATGGCATAGACGCCGATGGCCATGATTCGAGTGCCGGGAACCACCCGGTTGGCGAGATAGCCATCGGCGCAAATGATCACGTGACGGGGCATTTCTCCCACGGGCACCATTTCTGGCGCCTCCTGCATCTTGAGCACCTGCTGGTCGACAAACTCGCTCTTTTCGTGCAGGATCTTGTAGGGATCCAGGGGACAGTTTTTGGCTTCTCCATTGGGGTTGGGGGGTCCCTGGCAGGCTCGAGGAATGTTGAGAGAGGCGAATCCGGGAGTCACTTCGATTTTGATCTGGTCTTTGCAGTGTGAGCAAATGAGAGTGACCGTCTTGACCTTGTTGCTGACGCTGCCACTTCCGATGATGATTCCGGGCACTCGAACCAGTCGGGAAACATGTGTCGATCCGAGATCTCGAATCTGGGTGATGGAGGCGTCCGATCTGAGCGTCACCTGGACGTAGGGGACCTTGGCAATGGCGTCGGGCCCCTCTTTTCGCAGTCGCTCGTCGGCCTCATCCATATAAGGGTTGATTAGTCGTCTTGCCACGTTGGCAGCAGCCAGCTGGAACAGATTGAGCATTCCGGTGGGGTCGTCCGCCAGCCGTTGACCCAGATCTCCATCGTACGCTCGGACATGAGCAATGTCCACTTCTATGGTCAGAATGCCGCCCAGAATGTTGTCTTGCAGCTGGTCTCGGTAGATGAAATTGCCGTCAATGTAGAACTCGCGGATGAAGTCGGCGTACTTGCGGGTGAGTCCGACGTTGGTGTCCTCGACCCGGTCGTCGTCGCCGGGCAGCACTTGTGTGGAATACACTCTTCCTGTATCGAAGGACATTGCGGATCTTGTGTGGCGGGGGGTGTGGTGAGGTGTTGATGAGAGTTCTTTTCGCACTGGGAGGAAGTGTGCACACGCGTTCGTTACTATTCCTATTCGGGACAAGTAGAAAGTTTACTGAAAAAGAATACACGATCGAACACCACACCATACAACCGGGTAACGGGTGAATGAAACGATTGGAGTCGGTAATTGTGACCTCCGAGAGCTTGGAAATTCACAAATATCTCCAAAATTCCGTCATATTCCGTCTATCGTCGCACAATCGCCCCGTCAAACCCCGCCACGGTTACCCCCTAGCAACGCGTAATAAAGTTGCCAAATTAATTAAAGGGTGAGAGCCCGCGTCTCGCGGTTAGGGCTGCAATGTTTGGGAGTGGCTGTTTTGGTCGGGGCCGCTTGAAACATGCAAACGCTGTATAAGATGGATTTCTGCTTACTAACATTCATCATTCTATTAATACAAATAAATACATTACCGTACAATCACTTGTCGTCCTTTTTGTCGTCCTTGTCGTCCTTGTCTTCCTTGTCGTCCTCGCCCTCAGACTCCTCTCCAACCTCATCATCCACAACCTCCATCTCCTCATCGGAGGCCTCCTCGAGATCCTCGTCCTCTCCGTCGCCGTCACCGTCGCCGTCGCCCTCGGCCTCCGCTTCACCCTCAGCCTCAATGTCTTCCTTGGCGTCAGCCTCAGTCTCTCCCTCGACCTCCTCCTCAACCTCCTCTTCCTCTTCTCCCGCTCCATATTCCTCCTCATCGTCTTCAAGGTCGGCGTCGGGCTGCTCAGGAGGGAACTCCTCGCCCTGCTCGCCCTCATTGTCCCACACAATGTTGAATCGAGTCACCCGGGGCTTCTCAGCAAGAATGTTTCGCACCACATGGTCCACCTGCACCTTTGGAGGGGGGTTGAGGCGCAGCTCCTCGCTGTCGTACTCGTTGTTGACGTAGTATCCGACTCGTACAAACTCGCGGTCGTTGTAAGAACACGACAGAATGATGACGGTGACAGAAACCAGCTCGGACGCGGGAATCAGGTCAACTGTGGGTGGGTCGGCCGTGAAGACGAACTTGTTGACTCCAACGGGAACCGGGCCCACCAGAAGCGAGTCGAGTTCCTGGTCGTGTTCGAAAGATGTGGACGAACCAACGTATGTGAGTTTCCATTCGAGGTCTGTGTTAGTAAGAGATATTGGGACATTCGTAAACCGAAGCCCTTGAGGACCCAGTTGATGAACCAGGAATAGTAATCCATCTCAACCCCATCAACTGATGGACAATTGCTGATTAGCTCAATCAACATTGCTGATTAGCTCAATCAACATTGGTGGATGCTCAACCAACACTTGGATAGATGCTGAGATGGAGACACTCCATGGACCCCTATGACAGCCTCATCCACCAGCCTACAACTCCCGATCAATGCACCTAAAAAAGAACCAATCAACAACTTGACATCAATCCAACGTCAATTAGATTGGAATAGTCTCTGCCACTGGCTCTCCATGTGTCTCTCCATGTGGCCCTCCATGTGGCCATCGCACTGCCTACCACCGCTCTCCCCGGTCTACTCACCATGCTTCAAAGGCTCGAGACACTCAAAGGTGATCTGGAACTCGTAGGGGCTGCCGAACGGCGCAGGGTTGTTGAGAACGTCAATGTTGAGTAACGAAACGATAGACATTGTGATTGTGACGGATGTGTCTCGTGTGTGTGTAGTAGGAAGAAAAGATTGTACAGGCAAGCGTAAGACGCGTCACTTTTAATTTAGCAAACTTTAAGACAAGTGAACCGCGTGAGAATTGACGGTGAGAGTACGAGCGAGTACGAGCGCACAAGTACCGTAATTGTAGATTGCGTGCTAGGAATGACTGAAAAACAAATGTCTGATGATCCGCCCCTTCGTTCGAAACAAAAAATCGTGATCGTAAATATCTTCCATAACATATACCACTTGGTTGCGATCCCACCGCCATACCCACGGCAACTGGATCTCTGCTGGATTGCTCCACTGAAGTTTCCCAGTTAATCTTAGAACGGAAATCTCAAAGCCGATTACTCAGACCGAGACGCCCATCAACCGCAGAATTCGGAAAGGACAACCAAATGGCCAAGTGCAGAGCCCAAGACTCGAACGCACAACAAGAAGACGATTTACCACTCCGACAAAATGCCATTACAGCTAAGTTTAAAAAGCGTTGGGACTACACACCCAGCCAATCAAGTCACGTGTTGCCCAACTTCAAGTGCGATTTTAACCACCTTTCGACGCAATTTTCAAGAATATAAATCGGTTATTGGGTAAAACCATATGTGATAGTTGCAATCATGCTATAAAATGCTGGAAATTCTGAAAACTGACAGCCGTATCGTTGATTCGAAAATCGGGCGTTTCCAGACTCTTTCTTTTCGGTGCTGGGGACGAACCAGAGGTCGGATGTGACAGAAAAAAGTACCAATCGACTCGTAGAAGCATGTAAAATTATCTCATCTCAATATCGTTTGTTTATAACCTCTCAAATACAGAATATCGCGACCTCTGATGTCACCATACAGTACAATACATCGCGTATATAGCATATATAGACTATTGGACAACGACCCCCCCCCCCCCCCCCCCCCCAATGTTTCAACCCGCAAGAGTCCTTGTTGAGACGGCATTTGTGGTCATAATTGTGCCAAAAATCAGCCCGTGTCTCTTGGCACGGCCCCTTCCTCGAGCCGCGCCAAGAACACGTTTTTCGCCCTCTCAAAACGGCACTATTCTCGGACTCGTAGTAGTCGGACGCAACCTCACGGCCAACTCTAAATGCCACACTCTATAAAGCTCGGCATGCCGGGCTACTGTGAAACATGCATAACATAGGTGTCACCATTATCGACTATCACACTCGCAGTCCGAAATGTCGTGGCCGGTGTCTGCGCCGCAAAGCGTCAAACTGCTGGCGCCCGACGACGAGTGCATAGCCATTGAGGCGTCGCGATCCGGCTTTTTCCTCATAGCCCTCACCCACTCCTCCATCTACATCTACCAGCTCAACCCACTGTTTCCAGTGGCGGTCCACTCCCGCAGCGCATCGAGCCTGGACACGTACGGCGTCAACCGCAAGATCATCACCAAACGCGACGGCTCCCACGTGGGCGTCATCACGTCCGGCGGCCACGTGATTCTCTACTCGCTGTCGATTCTTCCGCATCTGGAGCCAGGCAACATCACCTTTGAAAGCAGCGGTACCAAGCCCGTGCTGTACCCGGGACCCGGAGAGAGCGTGGGCGTGCAGGGCGTCCGGATTGAGGTCCGAACAAGCATCCGGGTCGACTCGTTCTGCGAGAATGCCGTTGTTCTGGAGGACGAAATCGTACTCTTCACAAGAGACCCCCCAGCAGTGCAGATGCTGCCACTGGACTCATTACAACCGACCAGTGTGGTGCTCCGCAAGCTGCCATGGCTGCGGGACGACAATGGAAAGGTCGATTACCCCGTTCACATTGACTACTCGCGTCCCATGGACATGTACTGCTGGGTGGGAGAGTCTGGACGGGGCTACGTGGTAGTCTCCAAAGAGAACAGAGATGACGACGACGACGGAAGAGAGTGTGATGTGACTCCGAAAGATACATCGCCAAACGGCAACGAACCTACTAATGAGCCGGAGGTTGATGAACCCGACGCTGCAACTTCTGACCCCACCAACATTGAACTGAAACCACTGACTGTGACAACCACACCCAAACCGACAAGCCCACCAATAACGGGATACTGTTTCCACAAATCAAAGATCAAGGCAACGATAAGCGCCGTCAACTCGCGCTTCTCGGTCATCGCTCTCGGCGCCACTGACGGATCCATTGTTCTCTACACAGTTCGAGACTACCAAGGAAATTGTCTTCGAGTCACAAGAATGGTCCACCCAGACACACCGGCTGGCATCACGTGTCTCACATGGAACCCTGAGGGAACCTGTCTTTTTGCAGGCTACGAAAACGGATGGAGTCTGTTCTCGGTGTATGGAATGCTTCTGTCGCACTCCTTCCAGGGCTTAGATACAGATGACGAGAAGGAAGTGTGGCTACGAGGTATCAAATCGGCAGCCTGGTCCGGTGCTGGAGATGGTTTATTTCTTGTGCCACTCATTTCAACCCCCGAAACGCCCCAGCTTTACTGCTTGGATATGGCTAAGTTTTCTCTGTTTGAAAACTTTACCCAGGACAATCTCAAGGGACCGGTGTTGTTCCGAAACAACAAACTGGCCATTTATAGAGGCCACCACCAACCCGGGTTTGCTGCCATCTCACGTGACTCGATCCTGTGGCAGTTCATTTGCATGCCTGCGTCCTACACGGCCTCAAACTGGCCCATTCGCATGATTGCTTGCTGCAGTCGCCACGAGTACTTTGCTGTGGCCGGAGCACGAGGCCTGTGTCATTATTCCATCAATTCTGGACGTTGGAAAATGTTTGCCGAGGAGTACATGGACAATGAATTTGTTGTCAAGGGAGGAATGATCTGGTACAAGCACTTTTTGATCTGCGGCGTGTACAGTTTTACCACGGGAGGGTATGAGATCCGAGTCTACTCCCGTGATCTCGACTTGCATGCTTCCAAGGTGGTTCTAGTACAAGAAGTGCCTACTCAGATAATCCATATGAGTGTTGCAGGTGCCTTCCTGTACGTCTACACCCTTGACAACTGTCTCTATGAGTTCACTATCAAGGCCACAGGTGTCAATGGACTTGTACTTATGTTTCAGAAGATGTTGTCGTTCACAGAGATCATTAAATCTCCCAACAGGGTGCGTGCAATCACCAAATACTCCAAGGACGAGTTTCTGGTGCTGGTGGACGGTACTTTGGTACTGTTCAGTCCGTCGGAGATCAGCTCTGACTCGTCACAGGCAGTTGGCTTTTCGAAGCGTACTCTGCATCACCATATTGAGTACTTTCTGGTCGAATCCTCTTCTTCTGAACCTCAATTTGAAAACACAATCTGGGCCTTTGACGGCAGCAACGTCTTGTTATGGCTCAATCCTCATGAAATTGAACCGTGCAAGATTGATGTGGAGAACTACCCGTTAATGCCCCTTGTTTCCAAGGGCATCATGCTCGGTATTTACTCGGATCTACTCTCTACACGGTCTTGTTCGTTCCCCATTTTTCGCTTTGCGTTTGGAACAGACATCTTCCTCTCTGATCTTCTCAACTTTCTCATCAGCCGAGGCGACTACACCAAGGCTGTTGAGCTAGCTGGACAGTACAGACAGCTGGACTACTTCAACCACTGTCTGGAGATTCTGCTGCATACTAACGTGGTTAATGGAGATGGTAAGAAGGACGGCAAGGGTAAGGCTGCGGAGTCCACTGAGACATCTACAGACTTGATTGTCAAGCTGTGCAGGTCATTCCCCGGATACCTGGATATCTTTGCCAATTGCGCGCGGAAAATGGAGGCGTCGTATTGGCCCACATTGTTCAACTCGACAGGGTCTCCTCGGTCTCTTTTCCAGCAGAGTATGGAGCAGGGACGACTCCAGACGGCCTCTAAGTATCTTCCCATTTTGCATTCCGAGGAAGATGAGGAGGCGTTTTCGGATACCATAGACCTGATGCAACAGGCCAAGGAGCAAGGGGAATGGGGATTATGTGGAAGTCTGTGTGACTTTTTGGTAGGAATTGATCGTGAGTATGAGTGGAGAAAGAAAAAGTCTTGACAAATATGGCTCTTCAGGTTTACTGTTTGATGTCTAATCGAGGATACATGTTGCCAGCTGCCGAAACTAGACATCCTCTCGGCACCGTTACTAACCCAGCTACAAACAAATCTCTTAATCGAGTTTTGGACAAGGTCCAACTATAATAGTGTATCATTTCAATATATAATGTGTTTAAGCACGGTTCTGAGTTAGTATACGAAAGAGGTGGTGGAAGATGTTGGAATGTCAGGAGTCTCATCTGTGAGAATTGGGACAGTTGCTGCTGGTTTGGAAAAGCGTAGACGAAGTAAGAAAGAAGTAAGAAAGGTGACCAGGATATGGGATGTTCCTGGGATGATGTCAGGCTGAAAGTGGTCATCAAATGAGCAGTTGAGGGTGCCCTATAACCAGACCGTGTATTGATGCCAGTTTACAGAGCTGCGTTCCATGAGGCGTCACGACAGAGCTCAGGGCTCTGCACCAACTACTCCAGCACAACCCTTTGTCTTAGGGCCCAACAGCAGAACACGAAGTAACAGCTTGCTGCTAAAAATGTCACATAGCATGATGCTACAACACCCAAAAACACCACATCCTATGGCGCACCACACGACCAATCTCCACACGACCAATCTCCACTCGACCAATCTCAAACACCCTTCATTTCCTTCTGTATCGAATTGTGTTGTTTCATCGTTAGGTTGTACGCTGTCAAATCTTCAGTGTCATTCTCAGTCATCTTCTTCTTCCCAAGGGTATCACCTTGTCGTTGTGTAGCTCCACTTCAAACTTGCTGATAGGGATAATCTGACTTCTTTCAATATGCCACAACCAACCATGGTCGGATTGGCCAGAATGATCAACCAACCGTTATTGGCCGCAGTGAGAGTTTCCGTCGTTGTTCCATTGTCATCCTGATCTGCAATTGACTTCATCTTCAGCTAGTGCCATAATCGAATAGAGTCAATGGCATGTGTCGTTTCAGGGTCGTTGAGGGTCGTGTAATGAATGCCTTCTCGTTTGTCTGGCCTCGATTGGGGTCGTGTCACGCTTGTCGCTCTCTTCATGATCACACTCTCAACATTAAGTTGTCCATCAGCCAGTTGAAAGCCGCTTCTAATGATACTCACCTTCAGGAACTTGTCCACAAAGTTAGAGGGCTGGTGTCGTCCCTGGATGTCGTCCTCCTCAGGGAAGTACTTGAGGAACTGGGCCTGCTGCTTCCAGAAGTTGATGCACTCCTGGTACTCCATGTGGCCCTTGGCGTACAGCACGTTCTGGATGGACAGGTCGTCGACAAATCGGTGTCGCTCAAACTCCTGTCGAATCTTGGTTCGGATGGTGGGGATGGAGAACTGGACCTCGTACAAATCGGCAAAGGTGGGGGCACCTCGCAGGAACTGTCGGTACAGAGCCAGGGTTCGCTTCTGGAGCTCCTGCTTGGATCCCGAAAACTTGACGGTCTCGGCAAAGGCGGTAGCGATGATGGCCATTGTGTGTGGTGTTCTTTTTTTCAGAGGTCCGTTCCGGATGCTGTGTAGCGTAAATAATGCTCTGCAGTATAGTAATAACAATTTGGGCCCAGTGATTGGCCGGATTCGAACTTTAATGCGCCGGACTGGGAAGACGTGTTTGTAGTGTGAGAAACGTGTGAATGGGGGAAAAAAAGTGGAATTATTTCTTTGGTAATTTGGTTTAGGCCGGATTTGAAGACATTTGCACTTTTCCGATTCCCGATCGACAAAGTATTCGCTCTTCTGCAGTCTCCATTCCAGACGATTAATCATCCCTAACCGCATCAACATCCTTTCCTCCCAACTAGAACCAACTGAAAAATACAGTTTAGTGAGATCGAACCAGACTCTCAACAAATATCACCACCATAACTGAGTTTCCTCACTAATCTCAACTAAAAAACCTCATCGAAATCACGTTCGCTAATGCACCCCGTGCATGTTTACCCCAGATTATCACAACCAAGACAACACCTCCACCGTATCGCCAACATGACCGACTCCCTCTCGCTCGGATACTACCAACTGTTCCACAAGTACGCCGTTCTCGGAGACAAAAGATGGCACTATCTCGACATTCCACCCACCAGTCCGAGCCCCGCTCTTCTTGGATCCGGAAAGACCCTGATGCTGTGCCACGGCTTCCCCGATAGCTGGTATGGATGGCGAAAACAGATTCCCATACTGCGCAATCTTGGCTACAGACTCCTAGTACCTTCCCAAATGGGATACACCCGGTCCGAAGCTCCCCTATACCCCACACCTGAACCCAACGAAAAGGGCGAGTATCCCGAGCTCGGTCTTGAGGATGGAACCGACGCATTGAAGGACCTGTACTGCTACACTGGCAAGTTCTACGCCCAGTGCATGGACGAGCTGCTGACCCAGCTGGGTATTCCCACGGTTACCATCATTGGACACGACTATGGTGCCTATCTGGGTCCCAAGCTGTACCTATACTTTCCGCACCGGGTCGAGGCCATTGCCACGTCTTGCTGGCACTACGTTCCTGCTCTGAAGAAGTTTTTTGCCATCCCCGACTTTATCAAGCTGGCTCCCTCATTGTCCTACCAGGCATATCTTATCGGAGATGCTTCCAAGGACTTTGCTACCCGAGAGGGCAGTGAGCCGTTTCTGCGACAAGTTTTTGGCGGCGAGGGGTGGGGCGGCTCAGACTCCTCTGTCCATATGACCGAGCCCGAGTTCCAGAACTACATGACCGAGTTTGCCACTGGTGGTCGCTTTCTGAGCTACATGGTGTCCACCTACAAGGCTCGTCGACTGACGTTTGAGATCGAAAAGCAGGACTTTTTGGACAAGGGCCGAACGCCCGAGAGCATGCAAGTTGATGTTCCGTATCTCCATGTCGGTGCTGAGCAGGACATGGCCTTCCGGCCTCCGATGATCAAGAATCTGCGAAAATACGTCAAGCCGGGAAGGTTGGACGAGGTATGGATCGACGCTAGTCATTGGCTCATGTTCGAGAAGGCTGACGAATTTAACCACGAGCTGGTCAAGTGGTTGGACAAGATTCATGGTTCCCAGTCGAAGTTGTAAAGCGATGGCACTTGAGCAGACCAAGATTCAGTGAACTAAGGGATTCGAAACAATGCGAATGCACAAGTATGTACTACATACTGTACTGTACATACTGTTCTACTTGTACAGTACTTGCTGCGTTCAAGTGTCTCTGTGTATCGTAGAGACCTCTTGAAGATGTATTACTGTATGTACGAGTAATGATCAAACTAGAGGCCTAGGGACGGTTGTAAAAGTGCATCGGTCATTCCACGGATAACCACTGTTCTGATAAAAGATGAATATAGATCATTGAAAGTCTTCTTTCATTCTAAAATGCCTCCATACAGCCCCTATAGCCAGTGTCTATACGCTCAGTAGCAGATTGGAGCCCAAATATCATCTCTCCTAATGCTCCTGTGCGGTACCCCTGAATGTCCACTCTGGAGAATCGATAGGCTGGGTTCTGATCAATGGACCGAATCATAGTACCGTTCGCCCGAGCCGGTTAATTCCACATGTCTACTTCTGATCTTCTACAAGACTCTACGGACCAGACCAGTTCTACAAGACTCCACCGACTGGCCAACAGAGACACTACGGTCGCAACGTACAGTACCGTAAAAGTACATTACAGTACCGGATCATCACACAATCATATCAATCGTTAGTTGCATTTCATACATGTGTTCCAAACACTCGTTTCGTCGTTAGTGGAGGGCGGCGCACTGGAGCGCACTGGAGCGCATTGGAGCGCATTGGACGCGTACTGGTGAAGGTGCCTCGTCACTACCGGATAAAGTCCAGCGTCCTAGTTGTCATTCTCGGCGCTCAAACTAGGCACTCTCTCCGTCGTTGAGAGAAACTACCTGGTCCTGCTCCAGAATAAACGGGAAGTTTGCATATTCCTTGGTGGTCTTGAGGTACTGGATGGCCTTATCGGGGGCAGAGAAGGCGAAGCCCTTGATGAACGAGTATTCGTAGCCAATCTTGCCTCCCTTTGACACGATGGCCTTCTTGACCTGGTCAACGGTGGCTTCGGGGGTGGAGTCGTCCTTGAAGGTCAGAATGTACTTGTTGGGGATGTATTTTGCTGCTGAGACAAGAGCCGCTAACAGCAGGGTAATGAGAAGAAGCAGTTTCATGGTGGTGGGTGATGGTGGCGACCTGGCGGTGTTTCGTGTCGTTGAGAGTGTCGTGGGAGTGGTGTGGTTAGTCGGTGGTGTTGCTTGCCAATTATAAATACCACGCCAGTCCCCTTTCGAAACCCTCTATTCAAACCCTCTTGTTTCACCTTCTGACAGCAGGTCTAAGCCGTGCAGCGCAGCTGAAACGCACAGTTAACTCTGTTTCGCGGGCAGGTGATCAGACGAGCGGACTCGGGGGAAGCTTCTGAACAGTGACGACGACAGGCGACATGGAACTGACATGAACACCATGGCATCACCGATGTCATTTCCCAATTGATGGGTTTCGTTTCCATTTCTCCCCGATTTTCGCCGATTTTCGCCGACTTTCGCCGATTTTTCACCAATATCACTCGGTGATCGACTGGACCAAGGCAATTCAAACCACTCTCAACCAACACCAACCAACACACGCCGTCCATCGACGCTCACAGACAATCAAATGAGCCATACACTCACAGCCCCCGTGTTCCAATTATAAAATGAGACATGGGGCCCAATTATTACGCCATTGTACGCATGGGGTTTGCCACACACAGCATACCACAATATACAGTGTCTGATACGAGGAAAGCGTACATCTGAGTACACGGTGGCAGAAGGATGAAAGAACATGTTGGGGGATTCAATTCGGTACCTCGAAGCAATAAGCCAAATAAACGAGCTTGTTAAACATCTTGAACCCACTCCGCCCATCTTTTAATTATCGTGAAGGGCCATTGCTGCCAATGATCCTGCACAGTGGCTCGCCTACATCCAACCATGCCCTCCAACCCATTCAGTCAGAGAGCCCGAGACATAAAGGCAAAGATCGCTTGTTTGGGAAATAAATATTCTATACACTGCGGTGTGTAGAGGAGCCATTGTATACTTTCTCTGAAGGAAATCGAGCATCAGTCTTCATCACTCGTCACTCGTCACTCGTCACTCGTCATCTCCTCTCGTAAACCCTCATGTCCTCGTCCACAGCAACCTCCTTGGTGCCATACTGAACAGCAATTTTAATGCCCTCCATGGTCTCAACATCCAGAAACACATGATCCGTTTCTTGGAAAGGTCTGTGAAGGTAAATGTACTTTTGGTACGTGTTCTCCGTGCTCAACAAAACCTCGTCCTCAAATGTGCGGTTGATGTTGATACGTTTCTTGACCAGCAAAACCGCCCAGTTTTCGTCCTCCTCTTCAAACCGGTGTCTGATAGTGTTGGACACTCGTCGGGCAAGTGGAGTGCGATACTGACGTGTCGCGGTTGTCTCTGCATCCCCCGTCTCCTTCATTTGGGGCAAATAGCGCAGTTTCTTGGCCAGAAAATTCACGTAGACGTTTCTATCGATCGCCAAAACCACCCAGGGACCACAAAAGACCACAGTCGCGTTCCAGTTGCTCACCCCGTGGAAACAGTTCCAGATCTCGCCCGTCTCACAGTCAAAAATGGCAATATTGGTCTGCAAGTAGAGACAGTAGATGGACGCAGAGATGCGTGAAAAGGAGTTGATGAAGCTGCGCGTAGGAACAAACCATTTGGGCGGGAACCTCAGCTCTGTATTTCTCAGATCAGCTTCGGACAGCTCTTGTTGCCCTGTTTGGCAGATCAGCAGTGTCTTTTTGATGCCAGAAGATGCGGTGTAGCTGAACACAAAGTGTCCCGTGCCGTCTGGATCAACCAGAGCACAGTGGACGAGCATGACGAGGCCAGATACCTGGAAGTCGCTCTCCATCTCCAGGTCGAATCTCCACGTTGTAAAGTCCGTTAAACTCGCCGTCATGTTGTTTCCAGAGTTGTTAAATTTGACAATCAAGCCAAAGAGATTGTTACCGAGCGGTAGCACGGCCACCGGCGCCGTTTTGCGATTCACAACGTCGTATGTGTTGTGAGGAGGAGTGTCGAGCGTGTTGAGTTGGGCCGCATTGGCAAATGTTCCCCCGCAGAGCAAGCGTCGTTTTGTATTCATAGGGTCGTCCGATTCGGCGCCCATCTTGTCGTCTGCGTCTGCGTTGGCGGTCGTTGTGTTCACCTCCTTGAGTCCCATTGTGTAGATGCTCCCCTTGTCGATTCGCATGTCCCAGTATCGTTTCACCACGGAGTTGTCTTCCACGTGGCACCAGTGCTTTTGTGGTTCGCCCACCACCTTCCAGAGTCGATAACACGTCATTCGCCAGCTTTCGGAGCCCCCGTAGCTCTTGTCGATGTAGAAACAGAGATCGCGGGCCGCGTTTTTCCACAGAAAGTCGTTTTCAGCATCGGCCAGCACATTGCGGGTCGTTTGGCACGTGTCTGTGAGCGCCGAAAGCGACACAAAGTCGTCCCGCAAATGCTCGGCGATTTTTACCATCAGCTCCGCCGGTAGATGGTTCATTTGTGGAGGGGTTTTGTAACGGGCTCCTCGTTAATGGTGATAGGTTGAAGTATAAGACTGGTTAAGTTGGGTCACGTGGAGATAACTGGAAGAATGGGATGGAGTGAATAATTACTAAATAAATGGACTGAATTGGGAAAAACACTAGAAAATATATATAATGTTGGATCCAAGCAAGCATTTCGTGATTGCTCTATAAATTGTCAGTTATAAAGCTGACAAAGGTGGCGATCGCACACTATGTACGAACAAGAGACAACCCACCATTGTATGACCATGAAAACGTCAAGAAAAAGACAAGTTGGTACACGAACGAGTAAAGTATCGTACATACTTGTGATGCCCTTTTATTGGGCCAGATCTCCTCTCACTTTGTATAAAGTCTGGAAACTGTGACCACCATTAAAGAACCCAACATCGTGTCAAGACTTCGACAGTACATACCTTACCCTACCAAGGCTGCTGGCATAGCATTGTACAAGGCTGCTTCGCCCTACGATTCTGAACAGTTTGTAGCTTTTAATTTGTCCGTGTATCACTCTCTCAATCAACCCTATCAACAAAAATGTATCTACTCTATCAATCATCAAACTCCAGCGCTAGTCGGCGTTCTTCCAATCAACATAACCCTCACCGGTCTGAGTGTAGAAAGTACTTCTGTCGTACTTGGTGAGAGCCTTACCATGACGGACTCTATCAACAAGATCAGGATTCGAAGTGAACATCCGTCCAAAAGCCACCAGGGTTCGATCGTTAGTCTGAGCCTCGGCAACAGCACTCTCAGGAGTATATCCTCCAGCTCGAATAATAGGACCCTTCCAGATATTCTGGATCCAGTCATTGTTCATCCACTGGGGAACCTCGAGGTCCTGATGGCCATCTGTTCGTCCCTCGATCACATGAATGTACGCCAGATCGGGGTACTGGGTCTGGAGTTGGGTGACCACGTACTCAAACTGTTCACGTGACTTGTGCTCGTCCACAGCCATGTCTCCAAACCGCGTCCAGGGACTCAGTCTGATACTTGTCTTCTTCTGTCCGACTTGAGCCACCACAGCGGCCACAATCTCAAACACGAACCGGGCTCGCTTCTCCACCGAGCCTCCATATTCGTCGTTTCTAGTGTTTGTGTTCCATCTCAGGAACTGGTCTGGCAGGTATCCGTTGGCAGCGTGGATTTCCACTCCGTCAGCGCCCGCCTGGATGGCGTTCTGGGCAGCCTGGACATAAAAATCCACCCGTTCCTTGATTTCCTTCACTTCCAGGCCGCGCACAAAGTTCTTTCCGTCTTCGGTGTAGTGATCAGAGGCTGAAACTCGGTCGTAGCCGAGCGCCTTGATAGTTTCGGGGTCAGAAGCCCGTCCCAGGTCCCACAATTGGATGAACATGAACGATTTGGCATCGTGGACGGCCTGGACTACCTTTCTCCAGCCTTCGGTTTGCTCGGAAGACCAAATTCCAGGCAGGTTCTCGTGACCCAGGTATCCTCCGGACTTTTCCGAGATCATTGTAGCCTCTGAGATCAGCAGGGTGCCCGGATCTTGGCCGCGCTGGGCATAATGGGTCACTTGCAGATCGGAAGGCACAGTCTTGACGTTTCTGCACCGAGTCAATGGCGCAAACACGATGCGGTTGAGCAGATGGCAATTGCCAACTTGGATAGGCGTAAACAGGTTTGACGGCATTGTAAATGGTTGAGGAAGAAGAGTTCAAAGTTTGTCACCATTGCTTGATAAGCGTGCACTAGAGAAGTGAGATTTGGAGGCTAAAAGAGGTGCTAACTTCAGCCACGAATCAGGTTCCGAGCGGAGTTCTGGGAGCCAATGAGAGCGTTCTAGCGCCCTTTGCGACTGGAAACGGTTCGTGCACCGAAGGGTGGTTATGCACGAACGACCGGTAGTAGATATTGCTTAGACTTTGTTGAATGTCTTTGTTGATAGTACAAGTAGTGGGCGTGAATGAGCACAACTGGGGATGTTATCAACATACTTGTAAGAAGATGGACTTCCAAAACAGTAGCAGTGTGCCCGAGTCACGTGACTTTAGATCATCAATCCATGTCCGATCCGGCGTCAGGTTCTGTACGGGTCACAACTGCTCCTTCAGCGAGTTCAATGGAAGGAGTCGATGGAAGGAGTCAATGGAAGGAGACGACCAAGTTTGATCAGACTGTGGGGACATTTGGCTGTAGAAACCTCTGGCCTGTTTTAGTGATACTGTGTTGAATCGTAGGGACTCCTTTGGGTCGGACATGGAAGATATGTTGGGAAATGTGAGTAATGTGGGGGAGAGAGTCGAGTTTACAAGAAAAAGTCGATGTGATCTTTTAGGTACGGAATCGGAGTCTGAAGATGATGGATTTGAATCAGGGAGAGTTCTTGTACATATTAAATAGATACCTTTGTTAGAAGAGAACAATGTGGCGTTCGTGAACGTCGTTTTTTCGTTGACGAGCGACATTACAGGATTGGGTCAACCATCAATTATTCTTTCAGTTTTGGGAAATGTGTGAATTTTTCACATCCAACTGGAGATGTCATGTATTGTACGTACTGTACTTTAGATACTGTACATACTCGTTTTCGTACGTACAACACACATGTTTTTTTTCTCAGCAACTTGAGGTGTCAAATAATCCTCATTAATGACTCTTTAAGGAGTCAAAACTTGCTAAATGAGGCACTTTCACGCAATAAGAACCTCCCCGTATCGGACTCCTTTCATTCTTTTCTCTTTCCAATCCAAACATGTTGAATCGATCCGAACCCGAAAAGCAAATTGTCTACTATTGTGCGACTCACAATGTGTATCTATACGACGAAGACAAGTCCGCGCACTTTTCTTTTTGTATTGGACCTTACAGCTCTGTTTTTCGCTGGGATTTGTGATACATTCTAGGTCGAGACCATTGTAGCTGGGGCATCGGTGGATCGAGGTGTAGCAGACACACGATACTGTTGAGTACAATAGACTGCATTTCACGGTAATACAATGATATGACTTGATCCAGTTGGAGTTATTGCTTAATGTGTGTTTGAGAAACGGGGCTTAATCGAGTTCGTTTGAAGATGTGGTTTGGTCCAGCTCTTTCGATCTACTCTTTCGATCTACTCTTTCGATCTACTCTTTCGATCTACTCTTTCGATCTACTCTTTCGTTCCACTCTTTAGATTTATCGCATTCTTTCTCAACTCCGCCCGATCTCAACACATATGAGTGGAGAGACGTCCCTTCATCCCCTTGACTTCATCTCGTTTGGCAAACATGACCCTATCTTCCCCAAGCACACTGTTTAACACACTACCAGCATCTCGATGTTAAAATTTTTTATCAATGTCAAATAAAGCAAGAAATTGATCTAAAAATTCAAAGAAGAGACACTTGAAGCACTGTTTTGGACCATACAATACGTGTGTTGAATAGGAGGAAATGGGTATATTGAATGTACTGTAGTGGCCTGTGCCACATGCTTCCAGATGGCTTCGTATCACGTTACATTTAAGATGACTACTGGAACACCCTCTGTCGTCATTGTCACCATCCTTAATTCAGCACTCCCTTCGTGGCCACGCCTGAATATGTGATTGCGCACGTCCAGCGGTTCATGCCCGACGTCCTGGATGATCTGGGCATCAGTCAAGAGACCCTGGATATTGCCTGGTCTACCTTCGCGCCTTCAACTTCGCTTCGTGACATCAACATGTATGTCTAGCCAGTGACTCAAACCAGACGTACTCAAGCTCTTTCGTTCAAACCTGGCCACTGTACTGTACGGGTTTGTGTTCCCCGTGTCCCACCATCGGTTTTTTCATCTCATATATAGGCCATTCCTCCGGCTAAACCTGGTGTTCCTTCGTCTGACAAACCTGCGGGAGACTGGAGGCTCTGGCTAGGTCGAGACTTCCTAGGTGACTCTCCTCTGGCTAGGGTCACACCTCCTCGGTGACGCTCCTCTGTCTACAAGGGTGAAATTCAAGGGGTTGAACATGATGAGATGATCAAGGGTTCTCTGTTCCCCTCCAATATGGATTTGAAGAGAAAGATCTATGGTTACGGGCACTGCACTTTTTCTTGTCACCTAAATCGGATAAACTAACCGAGCAGAACTGCTAGGTCTGCTATTGCGCCCGGTGTAGACGTATCCCTGGTGACGAAATTGTTCTCATATTCTGACATAACAAAGGGATATTTAGAGTTCAATTTTCTACTCGATACGATGAACCTTATTAAACCCGAGCCCACCTTCGATAGCTCGAAAGATTCATGGATCAAAAGACACTGAGAAAAAGATGCTGATATATATTTACCATTTTGATTACCTAATATATATTACGCAAATTATTATGTGATAATCTCAATTTCCATCTCCATGATTCGTTTCTCGAATTTTTGACAGAGCTCTCTCTCTCTCTTTCGTTTAAAATAAATGATCGACACTATTATTTGCCACTAATGCCCCTCTGACACCATGAATTGAAACCCATTTCGGCCTCATCAACAATATAAAAGGCCTCTTTATCGCCCAGTTTTTCCACCGTCAGAAGTCGACCGGTCTCTCAGCATCTGCAGAGGATTCGGTCAGAGAGATGCTGCCACTGCCGAGCGAAAGCAAGGAGGTAGTCCTGTCTTGCGCGAGCAGACAGTAACTTCTCTCCTACCATGACGCAACTTATGTTGCCGAGTTGGAGAGTCAGCACACCTCTCTTCATGCATCTACGGGATGGAACTGTGACGAGCAAAGATTCGCAATCTACCTCAGGAGCCCCTTATCTCAGATGGTTCGCAACCACGGGTGAAATTCCCAGCATGAACAAAACGTTGGTGTCTGCTCTACTGGTCCTGTCGCAAGACAATGATCCAGAACTTGCTGAGCAGAAGCTGCAAAGCCTCTGATACGACGCAACTGTTGAAACTGATTAAAATCGTGCGTGAAGAACGCATGAGCGAGTAACTAAGACGTAGAGCTGAGCGCAAGCTACGAAGCTGCCGAATGAAAGGAAACCCCTTGGTACATGCACTACAAGAACGCAGGGTGCGGACGAGTTGAAGGCTTAGAAAGCCCCTTGAGGATCCTGTCTCCGTGAATATGAAGCAGTGACGGACATGAAACATTGTCCATGAGCTCTCCAAAGGTATGGGTAACTCCCATGGGTGCAACTATCAGCATGGATAACAACTCCTGAATGCTTTGGAGTGATGGACTGTCATTTGAATAATCATGTCCCCTCTATCTGCTGTTGACTTGGTACCATAACACCAGGAATCACGGTTAAGGGAACAGCTGACACACGATCCGATCCTGATCCAGCTTGTTCCGCCTGAGAATAAGCGTCTGAAGAGACCGCCATTGAGCAAAGCGTTTGGGCCCAACCAGCCAAACCGCCAGAGCAAAGAGTCAGTCCGAGCCGCAACAAGCCAGAACTAGAGCCGCCGGCCGACAAATGCCGAAAAAAAACACTACGACTACGCTGAAAAGCAGTCTGGAGCTGTACGAAGGTAAAATTACACCTCCCACCAGAGCAGGAAACGTTGTAGCGAATGATACACGTTAAGTTATGCCAGCACAAGAGTGACACTGTGAAATGATGACAACAGCGCAAAGGTGAAACTGTGAACTGTGAGAGCAGACCTTCTGAGGATATAGGCCAGAGCCAACCAATTATAAGAGCCACTGCCATCATTATAAGCCAGTGAGTGCCAATGAGCCAATGAGAGCGAAGTCTTTCTGCCAATGAGATCCAGCGCTATCAAGCCAGAGCCAATATGAGCAACAAGAAGATGAGATGAGAGTCACTGCATGCGCCAGATTATCATCCAAGAGCCAGTAAGTGCTGCAAAGCCTGTGAGAGCCATTCGATAAGTCGGAGATCCAACGATCAGATTCGCATTCAGGAAGGATGTAGGCGTGGAACCTTGCTATGAGGATGTACACCAGCCGAACCTTTAGATTATAGAACAAGAGGATGTAAGCACTGAGCTGAACCTCTGGGGATAATACATTATGGACCATAGAGTCCAACCCAGATCTTCACCTGTAGTTATTTTTGCCCGAGTAATTCAATTGAATTGTAGATGAAGTCAAGGTATGGAGTGCAGGTACAGCGATCAGTATTGTCACTTGTAGTGTATTATACTCGTTACTCAATCCAACACTTTAAAGGTCTATATATACTAAACGATCGAATAAAAAGTAATCTATTGCATATTAGAAAAACCGGCATCAAATAAACTGAGCACAGTATATAAACTTTTCAATATCAATGAAAATTTCCCGATTCGGCAATATATTACTTATCTTTAAGACGGGAAAAACATGGAAAAGTCTACTTTAATACTGTATAAATTCGTATATTGCTATATAATTCAATAATATATATACTATACGACTATTGTCAAAGAACCAAGCAGCCCTCACTGATGGTGTTTCGGCGGTAGTCATGGGGTTTGTCTCATCAGGGCAGCCAGTCCTCCGTTGTGCTTAACGCGCAAATAAAAAAGTAGTGGAAAATCCACTGCACCCACACACCCGAAAAAAAAAGCCCTGGGGGACACCAGAGACTTACTTGCATTACTAGAGAGAAGCGTTGGACCTTGACCACGTAAGGTGCTAGGGGTGTGGTCGAAAGGTAAGAAAATTGGCATCTCTGTGAGATTCCGGTTTCCGGAGGTTTGGCAGAATCCACCGTCTCGAGCATTCTTTTGAAGGAAAATGAGATACCAGAAGGATGGGGACTCCCCTTCTAAATCGAGTCTCTCGACGTTTCACCCTATTAAAAACTGCCAGAAGAAGCTGAGACGACACTGACTCCAAGGAATGGAACTCGAGGCTGCTCTATAGGGCCTTGGGAGGGGCTTTCTACCACCCCAACACTGCATCATCTCCTGTCCGGCCCTGGTTCTGTAACCACCTTGCTATGTACCAAATGGAGGGGGACCTAGGCTACCTTCAGCTGTGTTAGTATCGCTCTTGAGTATTCAAGGTCGTCTGTGGAATCAGCCCATTTCTCTTTGGTTGCTCACTTGAAGTGACATAAAAACAAAGAGCTAGAAATTATGAGAACTCACCAAAAATCCCACCTGAAACGACTAAAGAGGACTTGGTCGATGTCCGTTCATCCTAGTCGTAGAAGATGTGTCGTAATGATGTCGTAGAAGTGTCGTGAATGATGTAGTAGATGCCCTGAAGTGAGAAGAGGGGAGGAGAAAGAAGAAAAGCCCACAAATCATCTTCAGAATAAGGTGAGGTGGGTATTATAAAGAGAATTGTGGCAACCCATATAATCTATAATGTTCTGGCTCTTCACCTTATTTTGCATGTATTGTTAGCCGTTTTACGGTAATAGGAAGAAAACATATAAGATATATATACGATGCATATTCCCAGGATATAATTCCTTATGCTTTTTTTTTTTTTTTTGAATTACTGTATGTTGAATAAGTATCACGACTACCCACATGTTAAGGTTGAGATAATGCAATGGAACGCATAAAATCGAAACTTTGTTAATGTGGGTGATGAGCTGTTGGCCATTGAATTAGATTCTTGCTGATTGGAAACTATTATTTTCGGTATCTAGAATGACACTATTAAGAGCTTTGTTGAATAATTTTTTTCAAATGGCACCATTTTTGAGGGCATGGCAAATTGAGGAAAGTTTTGTTTTAAATATGTAACCTGATCTGCATGAGTATGGTCTGAATTTTAGATGCCGAATTGTCATCGCAAAAACAAAAATCATCTCACAATGCACACAAGAAACATCTAGGCAGATAACTCAGTTCCATTACACACTTATTGATCAACTTAGGTATTTCACATTGAAATACACCTCGTCATGGCTAAGCACGTGATCCCCGCTACAAATAGCGTCATCTGCGCTGGTTCATAACGAGATCGAAGTTCAACGCCATCAAGAGATTTAACCTGCTGCAGGAGTTCCCAAGTTATTGTCACAGAGCTTCGTCCTCACAGAGATCGATGTGTGAATGGGCCCAAAGCCCGAATATACGAGTAGTTGTGTTGAGGCTGATATCTCTGTAGGTACTGTACACATCGTAGGTGACCTCGAGAATGGACCGTAGATGAGAGTACCATGTCGAAACGACAGTTGCTCCGATACTTGCGACGATTACGAACCTCTCTCTCCTGTTTGATACTTGGAAACAAGACACGTACATCATATTTATACATATAATGCAATGTTTCGGATCCTGTCTAAGTGAACAACATACGGCTCAAAACAATCAATAAAATAAATTATATATTCCACCCACACAACCTCAACATCCCCATTGAATAACTTATCCCTCCTCCAGCATTCCATTCGCATCCACTGGAGGACGTGATTGAAAAGACCACAACTCGAAGGTTCGAGCACTTTTCTCCCTCGCACCCAGATGTGATTGAGAACGAGGGTTCCAGTGCTTTCTCCCTCACACACTCCAACTCCCCTCATCTGCCACCGCTCGTCACCTTCCAACTCCCCTCATCTTCCACTGCACGTCACCTTCCACAGCCCCAATCTAACTTCCCTGTATCAAGATGGATTACATAAAACGCGAATTCGACTCCATACAACTCCAAATTTGACGATGTCGTTTTTTGTTTTTTTGGGTTCGAAGTAGTGCATAAAGTTTTCTTCTCATTAGTCCCTGCATTATCAACGCAAGGCCAGAAAAACATCTCGACGTTAGTTTATGCCCGATGAAATAAGCTTCGTGAAACTGGCCTGATTCCCGGGCAAGTTTAAGGCCTTGCAAGTTTATGGCACCTCATTTAAGATTACTCAACACTTTGTTAATAGCTTAATTTTACTCAAAAGATTTCTTGGAGATGATCATAATACGGACCATAGATCCACTAGCTTTCAACTAACTCTATACAGATTGTTCCAACAAATGGAGCATGCAATAGAGTTTGTGTTTCATTTCGTTTGTGAAGAATTAATTGAAATATTTTAACCTTGTTTAATTCCGAAACTTTGCTCAACAGATTACCGACATTATGTAGAGTAACCTTAATCGGAGGTTCCCCACTTTAAGAATGGGTATCCTCAGGTGAGTCTTTGGAGTCACGTGACTATGAAATCACGTGATTTAGTTGTACCAGGACATATGAGTACGGGTAGCTACTAAAGTACGTACCAGTGTCAACTGAGCGAGCTCGTTACGTCGAGCGTTCGGATCCAGATAACGCGAATGAAGAATAAGATGAAGAATTAGAGTCTGTAGCTGAGAGCTTTGTACAGTGTTGTGGGGATAGGGTAACGCACTCCTTTATCCTACCTGCTTACTAAGAGTACCTTCACACCTTGAGAATATACCGGGGCAGGGTTGTTGTCCAGGTTTCTACACATAAACTCAAATTCATTTAGAGTTAGACTATGCAGCCCCCCCCCCGAATGGTCCTGATGTATTTATGTTGGAATTTTCAAGGCTTAAAATTGGTAGCTCCAAATGAATAAAATGGTATCTGAATAATGTACTATGAATCACTCCAACCAGGGCTTCTAATCCTAACATTGACAAAGTCGGAAACGGTTATGTGCCTGATTAGGAATATTGTCATTTTTATTGAAGATGTTTCGTACGGGTAAACCTTAAATATACCAACGGGTAATATAAAGAAAAATATCTCGTGTAGTGATGTTACCTGATTCAAGCCACAAGTTCTGGAGTTATATGGGGCCCTCTGATAATTGCTATTAGGATTGCTTCATCGTAGGCCCCGTACTTGTAAACCAACTGCTGATCGAGAGTCTCGATCTATTTGACTATGTCGACCCTTGAGACGGATCAAGCCGACTTCTAAAAGGCTATCTCTACCCTCGCTCTGGCTGAAGAAGCTCTCAGGATCACCCAGGCCGTTGTTGAAAGTGCTTCGGAACGGGCAGCTGATACCGCTGAATTGGAGACTACTCTTGAACATGCTAACGTCGAAGTGCTAAAGGCCAAAGAAGAATATGACCTTTGGTGGGGGAAGGTTAAGACGCACACGACGATCGCTCCAACCACCCCTAAGCCGAAGGAAACGATTGAGGTTGAGGACGGTGTCCCGGGGGATCTGTCTGATGTTCCTGAAAAATGGCGAGACATCCTGAACCTCCCCGCGGTCCCCGATATCGAGCTCAATGTCGCTGTTTCGAACAGTATTGAGGAACTACTTCACAATTACCTCCGTCTTACAGAACCTGGTTAACAGCGTGATGGAAGAAGTCATGAAAGACGTCTCTGAAGCCGAGCAGCAAAAGAACCCGGACTTCGCAGTGTGCCCCTACCCCGAGGAGAACCTTCGTCCCTTCAAGACTACCAGGGTGCACTGTGACATCTATGCTAAGAAGGCCTACCAGCTGGTCTTGCAGTTTGCCATGTCTAGCCAGGATGATAGGGGCACACGACTCCATCTGATGACCTTCATGGCATGGTCAGCCCACAACTTGAAGGATCATGGTAAGATCCGTCTTTTCCTCCTCCAGACGACTGCGATGTCGTATTTCTCACCTGAGCAGACATTCCAAGGGCTCAAGACCGAGGTGGCTGCTCTCTTCAAACTTGACAAAGTTCGAGTTGCCAACCTCAATGACGAGCTCTCCTGTTCCATGATTAAAAGCATCCTCGAGGGCTCAAGCGAAGCTACCCCATCATCAATCTGATTCAGGCCGTTCATGACCACAACGAGAAGACGATTGAGGAGGCTGTCTATTACTTTGGAGTGGACCGTATTGTAGGTTTATCGAGAGCTGGTTTTGGGACACCTTCAAGGATGCTGCTGCTCAGACAACCTATATGACCTACACTGGTCTCGCCTTTATCAGCACTAACAATGGTCTTGACCAGACTCTCAATGTGCGCCAGGTGCAAGAGCCTATCTTGGATGCAATCAAGAACGACGACACCAAGAGTTTCACTTCTTGGTTCTCGCTGTTGATTGTCTACGCTGAGCTCATGAGCCTCAAGATAGGGCAGCCTAAGGATAGGGCAGCAATTCGAAATCAGCTCATTACCGAGCATGTCTGGTACAGTACCAAGAGTATGCAACGGATGAAGACAACAAGGAGTTCTTCAAATGGCTCCCCGATGTCTGCAAGCTGGCCCACTACACGGACGTGGTCACTCTCCACGATGATGTATCCTTCGCCAAGGTGCATCAAGCCATGGAGCGGTACGTATCCGAGGTACCTACGCTGTTCAACTCCCTGGAACACGTGCAATCTCTGACTTTACTTCATTCCGAAACTTCAACATAAAGAAGGCTCAAGGCTGGCTGAGTCGATACGACCCGGTAATGAAAGATCTCAAGAAAAAAGAGCGAGTCATCTACGCCTATCACCAACCAGGTCTGTGGCAAGAAACGAGCAAATGAGACCGCTGATGACGGGCAGCCCCCTGGATCCAAGAAGGCCCACCTCTATTCAGAGTATTACTCTGACCAAGCGGATAAAGCTCGAAAGGAAGTCTCTAAGATCATTTCAGACTCCTCCCTGAGTGAGCAAGATATTCCTCTGTGCTCAAGTCGTGTCTTACCGACTACATCATGGAGAAGTGCCCTCCTATAGAGATCCTGTGTGCCACACTGGGCCATGGCACAGGCCAAGCCTTCCGACACCCCATCACTAAGTGTATCCTTGCAACGCATGGAAATCAAGGGCATCGACGAGGCACGCGTATCACCAACGGCTCTCTATGGTATGCTCTCAAAAACTTCATCAACAAGATCGAGGGTCGTCGAAACGGTGGCTCCAAATTTGCCACCAAGAAGAACTGACAAAGTCCGACACCGTCAATGTCGCTGAAGACTGCAAAGAAGGACTGAGATCCACGATCTGCAAGCTTTATTGGCTCATTGAATAAATTTACCTCCCATACATTCTGACAGTGTAGGGAGCTGTGCAGATCTATCAAACCTGTACTCAACAAAACCCCCACGCGGGATTCTGACCAGAATGGTAACAGTACAGTATGTACTGTACACCCGTAAGTGACCTCGAAAGGTACATGATCACTCCGGTAACGGGGGAGCTCTTGATCCGACTAGTGGCCTTGACGACACAGGAGTTGAGGAGCATGATTTGAACGAAAGCTTGTACCTGATCAACGTACTCTGGATGATTGCTCTTAACTTCATCACGCTCTTCATGAAGATGTGATATCTGCTATCGGCTACCACCGAGAAGACTAGTGACTCCGAACTCTGGGGTTATATGTCTTCGTTTACCAACCTATCACCCCAAACCGTTTACATAAGCGCGCCAAAACGGTACTTGCTCAGGACCTTTAGGATCGAAGGCATCCCGAAAGCTGAGGTGCTCGATCGAATGCAAGGTACTGTTTCCTATGTTATGAACATGTACAAGATTCTGTGACAGTTCCTTTACACCAGGTCTCCAAGGTGAACTCTTCGGAGATTAACCACAGTGAGTCCTCTGCTTTAGAGAATGACTCCCTCATTTCCTTCATCCTCCGCAGATAGAGATTTCAGGTTTGATACATCAACACTGAACTTGGCAGACCACCAGTTGATTATCAATTTTTTACCCCTAATGACGCCATGACAGATGTCAGCTACGTCCATCGAAACCAGGTCACGGAGAACTTACAACAGAAGTGAACCAAATCTTTGCAATTTAGAAAGAGAATATCCACGACCAGAAATCTGCATCTACACTGTCAACGAAGCTCAGTTGATTGTCAATGACAAGGTCGAACTCAAGGCAAAGTGATGCACTAGAACATGAAGTTGTTCTGGACTGGTACGAAATCGTCAAAGACAGGAACACATGAGCAGTACTGTACCCCAATTCACGAAGCTACATTTCCAAGCAACGAACGTGAAGCAAAGATCGTACCTGATTCTGGTGATTGGAAAGACACAATGGTGAAGGAGCTGAGAGATCAGCTCAAAACCAAGGCTCCATTGCCAGTCAAAAAGACCAAGGAGATCCGACGCAACCAAATCGTACCGGTCTCGTGGGTGTTTACACTCAAGAAGGATATTAATCATCAGAATATTCTTCGAAAGGCCCGTATGCCACTTTTTGGTACAGTAATATACAAGGCGAATCCTCATTTGATGAGACCTCTTCGCCTGAGCTGACTAAAACCTATTTGCCCCTCTTCCTATCATTATCAGGCAGACATGACAGGACCATCCAACAGATTGACATCAGCAACGCCTGCCTGAGTGCTGATATTGGCAAAGAAATCTATATCAGACCGTCTGACACATTCAAAGAGAACTTCGTTGTCAAACCCGAGAGGGACCATGAAGAGTACTGTACCTGCAGCGTGTCGACAAAGCAATGTATGGCCTAAAGCAGTCTGGATACCTTTCTCATAAAAACCACATTGTGAATATCATGTACCTCAAGACAGAGAATCAGCATGCTGATATCTTTACGAAACAGGTCATCACTGATTCTAAGAAGTCTATCCGGTGAAGCCACCGCAACATATCGTCGTCGGCAAGTCTTACACAACAGAGAGTCATCTAGTAGTCTTCTCGTAGTCTAGAGTACATCTGGTAGTGCTCATTCGACCTTTTCTGTCAGCGAGATGGTTTCAACGTTGATGCGTCCTGGATGCAAGAAGGAACAAATCTTCTGGATCATCATCATCATGGAACAATTCTTTGGGATCAAAATGTACCCGACAGAAAATGTGCAATTCGTCGGCTCTCGTGTCGAGTACATCAGAGAGTATATACTGTTGCAGTTGATCCTAACGCATGCCGCGTCTTTGACGTCTTGGGCGGTCAGAAGAACCTCTTGATAGTTGGTTCCTCCACTGTAGACGGCAGACGATCCTTTCAACAACCGAATTGGGCACGTAGGACAACATCATGAGAAAAACTCGACCTAGAGGTCACCCATAGACATGCTTGCGAAACCAGGGCTGGGCGCTTGGCGGGAAGCAGCTGTGGAGACATCAGAGGCCACGGAGGGCGAGATTCCAGATACCTTGGATCTGCTGAGCATGGAGGATCTGACCGTGGAAGGTCGAAGGTGTCACCAGAGTCGCAGGGTGAGGTTCATGTGTACGACTAACGTACAGTAGACGGAAAATGATGACCCTAGTGCACTAGATACATACACGCCGAGGACATTGGTATGTACATTCTGTACTTCCATCTCGCACGCCCATTTCCGAGTGTTCCAGGTGTTCTGGCTGGTCTGTTCGGGACCTTTCCGAGGCTGTCTTGTTAGTCTCTCAGTGAGTCTCTGGAAGTTCTCTGGGTCAGTCATCTCCAGGATATGCTGAGATCTGGGGCAAAGTACAGGACTCTCAGGTCAGCAAGTAATTAGAACTTTTCTGAGTCGTCCCTGGGTGAGTATTTCTCCCTGAGAGCTCTTCAAACTCGAACTCTCAGACTTCTCGGAACTCTCTAGAAGTTCACTCAATGCTCAGTCGGCATCTATAGAACATCGCACCTCTCACTACGCATAAATGAGACTAGGACTGGAACGGAACGAGGTTGGCCGGAGCGTGGATTTGTCAGAAACGAATAAAAATGGAGAGGTCACGTGAAGTGATCACCTGACCCAACCAATAGCGTGTTTTTTCCGTTCTATCGTTCTTCCTGAGGTGTATTGTACTGTACCCAGCAGTACGCGTCTGTTTACTAAACTCCCAAAGGAGAAAAAAACGCGAAACTCTGATAATACGCCAAAATCGTCTCCACGACTCTCAAATCAGCACCAAATGACCAAACGAGACCTGCCCAATGGCTTGCAGACGGCGGCCAAGCGGCGACGCACGCAGAACGAACAGGAGGGCGGGTTCGACGACGACATTGACGAAGAACAACGGACGTACAACAACGAGATTCGAGAACACGACCAGCAACACGGGTCCCAGGTGATTCCCCGACCCAGTCTCGACATGTGCGCAAAGACGGGCTACCGACCGGGCAGCATTCTCCAGATTTACATGAAAAACGTCATGTCCTACGACGAGTGTCTCGTCAACTTTGGACCCACTCTCAACTTTGTGATTGGCCCTAATGGCTCTGGTAAGAGTACCATGCTCGCTGCCATTTGTCTGGCGTTCGCCGCCCCCATCACGTGCATGGGCAAGGCGGCTCTTAAAGCGCAGCAGCTCATCAAATCGACCAAGGACGCGCTGGAGGTGCGGGTCGTGGTCAAGAACTTTGCAGGCATGCCGGACCTCACGTTCAAACGAACGCTGACACGCGATGAGAAGCTGGGCAGGTTCTTCATCAATGGCAAGTCGGCTACAATGAAGGAGGTTCGTGCTACCGCTCGAGAGCTCGACATTCAGATCGTGTCCATGACCCGTTTCCTGCCCCAGGATCGAGTCAAGGACTTCACCACCATGAGCCCCAAAGAGCTGCTTATCACCACCATGGAGGATGTCGGGTACCAAAACATGCGCAGCCACTACGACTCGCTGGTAAACCAGCAGGAACACAGTGCTGGCGATGAACACAGACTGCAGCTGGCCACAAATGCACTTGCGGATCTGGACCGACGAAGAAACGATCTCACTGACAAAATCGCCCAGCTGGAGGAGCGCGAGAAGCAGGAAGAGATGGTCAAGAAGCTGGAAAAGGTGGCTGTTTACAGTAAAGGAATTTTCCTCAAACAGGAGACTGAGCGTATCAAGGCCGAGGTGGCACAGTTGAATGCCGCGAGCAAAGATCTGGCTGAGGAGAGAGAGACTCTGAGCAAGAAGATGAGCTCGTACCAACAAGTTATCAAGACATCCGAAAATGACATGTCTCAAAAGGAGGAAAAGGCCAAACAGTACTGGCGCAAGTACCGAGAGCTCCGTAACAAGGATAAGGAGATTGCGGGCAAGATGGCCAAGCACGAAGGAGACTTTGAGGCTGCGCAGCGCCGTCTCGACAAGCACGAAGAGGGAACCAAGGTGCTGCAGGACAAAGTCCAGGAGGACCAGTCGAAATACACTGCAATGTGCAGGGAGTTGGACGACCCCGCCTTTCAGGAGAAGAAGGAGGATCTCAAGGCCAAACTGGCTGAGTTCGATAAGGACTACAGCGAGACCAAACAGGTGGTGCGTGACTTGGAAGCCAAAGGACGGAACGAATCAGACAAGGCTGATCAGGTTCACTCTGCATTGGAGTCCGAGAGGCGTGTAAACAACCGGTTTGTGCCTGTGCAGCGGATCAACATGAACCTGATCCAAAAGGTCAAACAGATCGCTCCTCCGGACCAGTTCAGGTACACGCTCCCTGCCATCAACACGGTTCGTCTTAAACAAAACAACGTCGATGACCAGAGAATGGTGAATGCCGTGGTCAGGGCCACTGCCCAGCACTTTGTGGCTCGTGATTCCAGTTCTGCCGCCCAGATTATGCGTGTTGAAGATAGAATTACTGTTCGAGAAATATCCAAGCCGTTTGAGGAGGCGTCTCGTAATGTGCCTGTCGACCGGGTACGGCTTCGAGGGTACGGTTTTGACGGCTACATTTTGGACCTTATTGAAGGTCCTGATCATAACCTGGCTCATCTTTGCGAGGCAGCCAAGATCCACGCTGTTCCTTACAGTCGACAGGGACTTACTCCCGAGCAAATCTCGAAGTTGCCTCCGTCCCTCAACAGATTCATCTCCAAGAACATGCTGTACACCATCAAGCAGTCCCGGTACGGACAGCGGTACACCTCTACCAAGTCCGAGCCGATCGACACCTATCCTCCCAAAAAGGATTCTCAGATCATCTACGAGAAGGTGCCTGATCGGTCCCAAGAGCAGGAACTACAGGAGCAGTATGATGAACTTGTGCAGCGACTCAGACCCTTGAAGGAGGAAGTCAAGATTGCTAAAAGTTTGCTTCAGGACAAGGCTCACTTGAAAACTGAGACTGTAGACAAGCTGCGTCAATACCGGACCAGGGAAGGTAAGAAGGATATTCTGGCCAAGAACCTGCATACTGCCAAGGTCAAGCTCAAGGAGCACGTCGAAAACCCTCCAGCGGGCATTGAGGAGGTCAAGGCTCTTATTGAAAAGAAACGAAACGAGACCCGCGACGAGATTGCTGCCAATATGCTTGATCGAGTCAAGGTGATCAAGAAGCTGGGCCAGCTCATTCCTGACGCTCAGAAGGACGCCATTGCGCTTGCCCGAGCAAATGTGTTGGTTGCTAGTCTCAGATCCCGATACGCCGAGGTGGAGGCGGAGCGTGCCCAGTTCAAAGAAAAGTTCCAGCGTCTCAAGGACCGATACAAAGCTGCCAAGGCTGAATACGAGGCGTTCATGGCGAACAAGGAGGAGGTGGAGCCCGAGTACGTGTTGTTTTTCGAAGAGCTCAAGGCGCAGTACGATGGCCCGGATCTCCAGGCGCATGTGGATGCCCAGATTGATGTTCTTCGCCAGGAGCTGACGTTTGCCAATGTCGATATGGATGCTCGAAACAAGTACGAAGAGGTGATCCGACAGGCCCAGCGCACCAAGCAGGAGGTGGTCTATCTCACCAACAAACGAGACAATGCCGCTGAGGAGATGCAGAAGATCATCGACGTGTTTGTGCCCGAGCTTGAGAGAATCGTCAATATTGTTTCTTCACGGTTTGCCGAGCTTCTCAAAAAGAAAGAAAAGGCTTCTGGTTTGGTTGTTTTGAGAACCGCCAAGGAGAAGGCCAACCCTAACGATCCTGGTCCCGAGGAGCCTCTCCCGTTTTCCCAATGGGGTATTGAGATTATGGTCAGTTTCCGAGAGGGAGGCAACAAGTGTAAGCTCGATGGAACAACCCAGTCTGGAGGAGAGCGGTCCATTTCGATCGGAACTTATCTTTTGGCGCTACAGGGGGTGGCTCCTGTGGCTTTCCGGGCTCTGGACGAGATCAATCAGGCACTGGATGCCAAGAACGAGGTGATTATGAACCAGCATGTTGCCGACACGGCTGCGGACTTTGACCAGCAGCTATTTTTGCTATCGCCCAAGCTCATTCACTTCAATTACCCCAAGAAGATGCGAATTCTGACAATTTGCAACGGTTCCGGTGTCGCAACCAAGGGAGCCACTGGAGGTTCCTTCTTGGCTCTCAAGCATCTCCAGCAGGTGTTTTCGGAATAGACGCAAGTATAGATGCAAGTAAATTATAGAAGGATAATGAATATTTATTGTTATACAAAGGAGTCGAGTTCATGAATCGAGTTCATGAGTCAAGCTCATGACAGACTCCCCAACTCGGACCTGTGCACAAGAGTCAGTCAACCCAGTCAGGAGCCATTCGAAGCTCCGATCTGGATTAAGGAGATCTCCATCCTGTTCCAGACATCAAAACCCGACAGCCTGTTTCATTTGCTTCGTCTGTGGCTCCATCTACATTTCAACAACCTACTGTACAGTACAGTATGCAAATGTGCAAAAACTAAACTACAGGTGATAATTCAGGAGGGACTTCATAGTCCATAACATATTAACCCAGAGGTTCGGGTCACTGCTTACATCCTCTTTTCTATAGACTCAAAGGTTCGGTCTCGTCTACATCCTCTCGTCGAGGTTCGACTGCTTACATCCTTTCTGAAAGCGAATCTTGGATCATGAAGATCAACTTCGGACTGCCTGGATCTGGCTTGTTTAAGAGCTGGCTGTTTCAGGTCTGGCCCATGTCTCAAGGTGCTGACATTCTGCTCTCGCCATTCACAGTTTCACCTTTGCGATGTCGTCATCGTTTTACAGAATCAAGTGCTGGTATAACTTGTCGTTTCACAGTTTCATTTGCTGGCATAACTTCTCAATCGCTTCAACGTCTCCAGCTCTGGTGGCTGGTGAAGTTTCACCACCGGGCAGCTCCAGGCGGCTTTTCGGCGTTTTCATGGTGATGTCGGCATTTGTCGGTCGGCGGCTCGGACTGGCTCTTTGCTCAGGCGGTCTTTGCAGACGCTTATGCTCAGCCGGAACAAGCTGGATCAGGTTCGTACCTTTGGAGAGCTCATGGACCATGTTTCGTGTCCGTCACAGCTTCATATCCACGGAGACAGGATTCCTGAGGGGCTTGCTCGATATCACCCTGCTTCCTTGTAGTGCATGTACTGAGGGGTTTCCTTTCACTCAGCAGCTTCATAGCTTGCGCTCAGCTTCACGTCTTAGTTACTCGCTCATGCGTTCTTCGCGCACGGGTTTAATCAGTCTCAGCAGTTGAATCCTTGAGGAAGCCTTGAAGCTCCCACTCGACAACTTCTGGAATACTGTCCTGCGACAGGACCAGTAGAGCAGACCCCAAAGTATTGTTCATGTTGGGAATTTCACCCGTGATTGCGAACCATCTGAGAGAAGGGGCTCCTGAGTAGATTGCGACTCTTTGCTCGTCACAGTTCCATCCCGTAGATGCATGAAGAGAGGTGTGCTGACTCTCCAACTCGGCAACATAAGAGAACTCAAGTTGCGGCCTGGTCGGAGTGATGTGACTGTCTGCTCGCGCAAGACAGAACTGCTTCCTTGCTGTCGCTCGGCAGTGTCAGCATCTCTTCAAGTGACCGAATCCTCTGCAAAAGCTGAGAGACTGGTCGACTTCTGATGGTGGCAAAACAGGGCGATTAAGAGGCCTTTTATATTGTTGATAGCCGGATTGGGTTTCAATTGTGATGTTAGAGATGCATTCTTAATGGCAAGCGTAATGTCGATCATTGCATGAATGAAGAAGAGAGAGCTCTGTCGAGGATCGAGAACGCGTCACAATGAACCAGAATCATGGATATATGATCATGTTAGGGGATTAAGAAGAATTTATATGGGCTGGTATTCGGGTGGACCATTCGGTTTTTGTGTCTTTTTCGACAATAGATATTTGGAGGATCTGAATGAGTTCGAAACGGTAGCTCATGGGTGGAATAACGGTCCTCGTATTCGCGTGGCAAATTGAACTCTAAATTTATGCTGAAATTTACTCGTGTAATGGAGCGTTACAAAACTGCGGAGAAGAAAAAACACAGACTTGATCCGCATTAGCTAGTTGGAGATCACACTCACAAATCTCGACAGAGTTCTCAAAGGAATATACGTCGGAAGGCATAAAACTACTTGTACAAATGGGGCTTTCTGGCACCTCGAGCATAAACTGAGCTTTAATGAACGACGTCGTTTTGTCGAGCCTGTTTTTTGCCAACTTCGTCCCCAACCCGGCTCGGGTCACTCATTGTTGGATTGAGAATCTTGTCAAACCGCTAGTTTCCATTCCAAGAGGTTTTTCACTCAGCTGAATTTGTCTACCTGATGGCGTGCGCAGTCGAATCCTCGACTAGGGTGCGGAGGCTCTGGCAATGAGTCTCTGTTAAAGAGTGCTACTATCGGAACGTGGTGTGCCTAGAAGTGAGTTGTAGTTCGTTAAACTAACTATATCTAATCAATTAATACTTTTGATGTTCAATACTAGTCGCTAATGTATTTGTTATATCCTCCTATCTCGTTGTCACTGTCGTCATATTTCAAGGTTCGGGTTTTACCTACGCGAATTCAATTTGACGCGTCGCGTTCAACTGCTAAAATGTGTCACCACCATCACAACCAGACACACAACACCCAACTAACCGCCGCAAACGCGCCACAATGAGTCGACCACGTGACGACGACGCGAGCGATGATGGCCAGCAGCGGCCTCGTAAGCGCCAGAACACCCAGGACTTCTTCAGGCACCACCATCCTGGTTTCATTCGGTCTGTGGAGTGCATCAACTTCATGTGCCACGAAAACCTGAAGATCGATGTGGGCCCCGGAATCACGTTTGATTCTGGCCAGAACGGCCACGGCAAATCCGCTATTCTTAACGGTTTGATCCAGGTCTTTTCGACTGACCGTAAGATGAAGGGTGAGCGAGGAACAAGTGCTGCTCTGCGACGAAACATTAAGGACAACAAGAAGGCCAAGTCCGCCAAGATCCAAGATCATTGTCAAGATCAACAACAAGGAGGCTGACGAAGATCTGTTCTTCACTGATGAAGGAGTAAAGGGATATACAATGTCTCCATTTGAGTCTGAGACGTACGGCGATGTCATCATCATCGAGAGAGAAATCTTCGAGAAGTCCAGAAAGCTCAAAATCATGACCGAGAAGAAGGAGTTGGTTTCTGAGAAGACAGAGGTCCTTCTGCAGATCATGAAGCACTTCTCCTACCAGTTCGACAACCGTCTTGTGATCCAGACCCAGGAGAACGCCAAGAAGAGAGGAGACCCTAAGAGTCTGTTTGACTTCTTTTACAACGGATCTGGTTTCGAGGGCATCGAGAACGACCTTACTGCCATGAGAAGAGAAGTCAGACAGCAGCACGAGTGCCTAGACTCTTCTTTGTTGCAAACCACCCTTGTCAAGAAGGAGCGCAGAGACAAACTGAAGGCCGAATGCGAACTTACCGCCCACACCAAGGAGCTCTACGACAATCTGCAGCGGTACAAGGCCATGAATCAATGGTTGTATTACTCCACTTTCCAGGGGGTTCTTAACAATGCTCTCAGTGTAAAGATGAAGCTTGAGGACAAGTGCGAACAACTCAAGGAGGTGGGTGCAAAGCGTCGAGCCCAGCTGGAGGAACATAAGCTGACTGGAGCAGTGTGAAAAAGAAAACCCTGAGCTCGATGCGCAGATTGCTCAGGCCAACAGAAAAAAGACTCTACTAAAAAACGAGAAAGACGACATCAATAGACAGCTCCGGTCTTCAGAAAGAGATGTAAAGGATCTCGAGGACCAAATAAGGCTGTTAAACCATGCCATTGTGAATCTTCGAGCGGAGCGAGATCAGTCCAACTCCAACGCCGAACATAAGCGACTGGATGCAAAGATATATGCGTGTGAAGAGAAAGTCACCACTGCCGAGACGCAACTTAGAGCATTCAAGCTCAAGTTGGAGGAGAAGAGAAATATCTGGAAGGATGCAAGATCCAAATCTCAGAATGCTTCATCGCCGAGAACCCAGAAGGAGGCTCAATTGCGCGATGCAAGGGACGAGGCAAGTCGGCTGGAAGCAATGTCAAGAGATAAAGGTAACCCCATTGCTGGTTTTGGTCACCAGTTCGTCGAGGCTGATCGTATCATTCAGACCAACATGGCCAGGTTGAGACAGCCGCCACTGGGTCCTGTAGGCCAGTACATCAAGGTCAAGCCTGGTACTAGCCAACAGGAGCTGACGCTGATCAATAGTCATCAACCTCTCACGAGATTGCTCAGATCGTATGTCGTTGCGACTCCTGAGGATGAACGAACGCTGAGAAGCATATTGCCACGCAACCATAATCCCACCATCTATTATGTCAAACCCGATAATTACGATGTGGATCGTATTTCACCCTCTTCCCAGTTCAAAACTATTTTGCGGTGTCTTGACATTTCGGAGGCTCGGGTTATCCAGGCCTTGGTCGAGTGGGCAACCGTGCACGGTACCGCTATCGCTGGTAGTACCGAAGAGGCTGTTAGAGCTCTGAAGCAGGGGGCGCAAAACTTGGAGTCAGCGATTGCCCCTCATAAAACGTCCGAGAGGTTTATTGTTACTGCAACGCAGAGAGGCTCTCAGCTTTCTTCTTCTGGGGTTGTGCAGTCGGGCCTTTTGCGGGTAGGAAAAGCGATTGTGACTGGTGAAGACGTTTCTGAGGCCAAGAAACGAGTCGCTGTGTGCGAGCGGGAGCTGCAGCCGCTGAAGGAGGAATTCAGACGCCTGGAGCAAGAGGAGCAGATGGCTCTACGAGAGTTCAGATCTCTCGATGAGAAAGAATCGGTCTTCGAACAGAAGCTCCAGTCGCTGAAAAAAGAACATGCTTTTGCTGTGGCAGAGAGGGACACGATTCCTGATGCCCCCAGCACAGATGAGACTGATCAGGCCATCGAGATCAAGACTCAGGAGCTGGATAACAGCAAGCAGCAACTTTCTGAGACACGAGAGGCTCTGGAAGCGGCAAAGCAACGTTCGCGTGAGATCGCCAATTCTGAGACGGAAGCTGAAGTGGAGCTCGACAAGCTTAACGCGAAAGTACACGAAAAGTTTTTGGCTACTGAAGAAGCCAACTTGAGGTACACGGCACATCAGGACGTGGTGACCAGCACACTGCAGAAGTTCGAGCTGGCCAAGAAGAAGCTCGCGGAGAAGGAGGTTGAACTAGTTGATATACAGGCCAACATGGAGACTCAGCTTGCTGCTGCACAGGCTCTCAGCGAGGAGCTCGTTCCTTTAGATGAAGGCGTCGACTTGGAGAATGGTTTTGACTATTGTACCAAGCGTACTGGTGAGTTGCAGGCCAAGATTGATGCTGCAAAGACGCGAAACCTCAGAGACTACCGTATAGTCTATGCTGAATTTCAGGAGGCGGAGGAGGCATACCGACTTGCTAAGGAGGAGTTCGAGGCGCAGAAGAAGGACGTTCGGGCTCTGGGAGATACGGAGGCAGACCGTGTCCGGGCTAAGGGGCAGGCTCTTGCTTTTGGTATTATGCAGACCAGTTCTTACTTTGGTAACATCATGAAGTCTAGGGCAGCCTCAGCTGATGTCGTTTTCGATCTGAACACCAGAAAGCTAGAAGTGAAGAACTACAAGCTCGCTTCTACTTCCGATGCCTCGTCCAAGGGAGGTGCTCGAGATGTGGCTACCACCTCTGGTGGAGAGCACTCTTTCCTGCAGTCAGCTCTCATGGCCGCTCTGTGGCAGATGGTGGATGCTCCTATCATCTGTCTGGATGAGTACGAGGTGTTCATGGACGACACCACTCGAGTAACGGCACAGAAGAACCTGATCAATACTCTCGGAGGCTTGAGGCAGTGCGTCCAGGCTATTTTTATTTCCCCCACGGTGGTGAAGAATAGCGCCGTGGACGACGCTAGATTCACGTATGTGGAGGTTCGAGATCCCAGTTTTGCTTCTCGAAATCGGTAATAAAAGATGTAATAGCGTCATGCCTTGAATGTTTGTAGTTGGTAGTTTGTAGTGTTGTCATTTGCAGTTATGCCAGTATATCTTCGTCGACAACGATTATTGTTTCCGATCATGGCTTTTTCCAGAGAGTCCATAATCCCATGCCATATTTGCCCATCAGTCAGTTGTCTGAGGAACAATAAATGTGCTTCAGAAGACCGACAAACTACAGTTCTAGCCTGCAGATGTTTCGACTATGGCCAGAATCCCTACGTCTCCTCACGGTAGTCGTTTTTCTCCTGTGAGGATTGGACTGGTTACTGATATGCCCAGCCCACGACCTCGTATCGTACAATGTACTCCAGAGTTGACTTGGAAGTCGGGGCATGATGTGTCTCTGTCATGTTTAAACGGAACGAGATCTCGTACGAGCTCACCTGTATGATCCATAGTACTTGGAGTACTTCAGTACAAGTACGACTTGGCTCCATAGTACTTGGAGTACTTCAGTACAAGTACGACTTGGATTGCTTCTACCTCGATTGGTAGAGCTTCTCGTAGCCCACCCTGGCTCTTAAGAGACAGATTGCCACGTCTGACAATCCACTCAAGCCCAAAGGGAGGCTCATTGGTGGATTTGTTGTTTGTTGGAAGGCCCAATAGGCTCCATTTAGTTAACCCAGTGTCCATGGTTTGCAGAGGAGAGGAGAGGACCACAAGACGCGCTATGCTCCTCCTCCATCAGGCTAACCCGAGAAGATCAGGTCATGAATCGGTGCCGTCATACGGTGCCTTTCTGGTCCGCAGAGCCCCAGTGGACTGACTGGCCAGAGAGCGAAGACGGAATGTAAACGGGTCACGTATTACGATTCGCCCATCCCCTTTTTTTTTTGTTCTGGCAAAGATAGCTTCTAGAGAACTTCAAAGCCGGTGTTGACTAGCGGATCTTGACACAAAGGCTTGTTACCACCCAGGATCCTCGATCTGCATCGCCCAAGCTTTTAATCATCAGAGGGACGAGGTCATAATGGTCAAAAGGAGACCACAAGTGACTCCACAGACTGATACAAGACCGCGAGTGGGTGATTTTTAGCGGATAGACGGGGAGTCGAGTCGAGTCGAGTCGAACCGAGAACATTCTTCAAGTACTCTACCAGCTGCTCCGCACGAAAAAAGCCCTTCCTTCCCACACAAACTGTCTCTAGAACTGTTTAGTCTTGGGGGGGTTTTCATCTACATGGCGCGAAGCCACCAGAGAAAAACCCCTGAAAAACAGAGGTTTCCAAAAACAAAAAAAGGCAGATTATGAGTCTCAACCCTGACAAACCCGGTTTATATGTCTTTGGCTGAATCTCTGCCATCATGCGCCGCTGCAAGGTAAACCGGACCAATATAATTATGGTGGATTGGGCAATTGGGGAAATGTAGAAATAACCAGAGAGACGAAAAAATGGGGAAAAATGGCTACAAAATACCTTTATTTGTCGTTTGATTCGTGTTTTTTTATTTTTATTTACTTTTGGCTAGTTTGTGGACTTCAGTGACACTGTTTAGATGGACTGGCTGTCTGCAGATCATCTGGTTTCGGTAGCACTCCAGGGAGATAGAGCTGCGGTTTTTGAGGTCAAACTTGGACCAATGGCAGCATTCTAGAAGCTCTCAATCGATTTATATTTTCACATTTTCTATTGCTTCTAAATTGCAGCTTCAACGGGACCAAGCCGGCTTCTATAGTATGTTATGTACAGTATGTATAGTGCATTACTTTCCTGGAATGATAGATTTTTGGTTTGTCGCATTTTGGTCGATTGATTGGCATTAGTAAGCATTATCCCCGTAGTTGTTGCACTGAGAGAGGCTCGAAACCTGTCACTTTACCCGAATTCCGTCCATTCCGAGCTCATTTTTACCACCCCAGAGATACCCATTAATGTTGAAACCGCATCACCGAATATTAGAGTTTGTCATCCTGAAATAATATTCCAATTAATTTATTTAGTCACGTGACACGGAGGGGGAATCTTTTTGGGACCTTGAAAATGGGATGAGGAGTGTCATTTTTCGCGTCAAAATGTGCCAAAGATGTTATTTGATGCCGTCCAATGGTCTCTGACTAATCTAGAGCCGGCGGTGGTGCCTTTGGCCCATTCTGGCAGTCTGTGACATGTAGAGAACATTTTGATTAGTCCTGAAAAGTGAGTCAACTTGTTCAATTGAGTCTAGAGGCGTCCAAGTTGACAGTAGTCGACAGAGATATTTCCATCGATCGATTGCGACGTTCAATTCAGTCCACAGCACCAGTTCCTTGAGTCCACAGCACCCGTTCCTTGAGTCCACAGCACCGGTTCGCTTGAGTCCACAGCACTGGTTCGCCTGAGTCAACATCATCAGTTGTTCGTTGAGTCCACAGCACCGGTTGGTTCCTCAATGGCCCCTCAATTTAGTCGGCTGGTAATCCCGCTATTTTCACTGGTTCTGGCCTCGCTGTAACGAACCATTGCGTGAAGTAGTGGGTGTAGATCTAGCTTGATTGGCGGTAATACTCTTCTACTATCATTACCCTTAGTTGGCAATATTTGTTTAGAAGCAAAAACTCTTAACAACTCCCCAACAAAACTCCACTAATGTATATAACTGTCGAACCAAGATGTCTCCATCAATTCTTGCCCATCATCACGGATACTGCACCTGAAGGTCCTAGAGGGATTGACACCGACTCTAGAACCCCTCAATATCCATAATACCGTAAACATTGCCCCAGACTCACTCGGACCTGTATGATAGTACATGTTAGTCAGCCCCATCAGAAGACCAGCCATTCCTTCTGATATTATTCAGTGGATCAGGCCTTTTGGGGCTTCTGTGGTCGAAGAGTTGTCATTCTGGCCCTAATCGCACATATATATACCCCATTGGCTGTCCATCGTCCAGATCACTCGCCATAATCCATAACATGTCCCGGAACGCATACCGACCGCCTACCGTCCCCCTAGACGAGTACATCTGGTGCAAGTCGCACAAGATGTTTGTGAGTCCAGACGGGCTTCGTATCCACAAGATTGTTTGCAAAGGGCCGTTTACCTGGCACGGACTACCTTACGAGGAGTAATTGGTAATTTAATGGATATGCTGTGTGTACATCCTGTAGTGTACATAGCATAGTACTGTACCGCCATTCGAGTCCAGGAGCCCACTGGATAGACCCTCTACATTGTCCGTCATCTCACAGCTTTGTCATCTCACAGCTTCGTCACTTCATAGCTGCGTCATCACCCTTCATCGCTGTCCTGGAATTCAGTGTTCTCTCTCCTTCAAGACATGGACTGGATCGTCTCCATCACTAGACTTCTCATCGGCCCCTCTGGATCAAGAGCCATTGATAATACTCCAGATATGAGTCACAAACACAAGCCGTGGCCAGCAGGCCAGATCCTCCTTGTTTTTGGCGGTCCATGTGTGAGAAAATAAAGTGCTTTGTGCGTACCAGGGATAGGGTAGGTAGTGAAATCTGAGTTAGTACATCAACTCTAGACGATGGGCGTCGCCTGTGTAGAAGAACAATAACTCACCCGGTAACTAACACTATTTCTCGGTGGTCAATGCGTCAGAAGATATCAAGACGGTCCGTTTTGCGTTTAAGCCGAGTGAATGTTGCCTGCCGTTAGTAAATTTATTATGAAAAACCCCACTATGAATACATCAGCCTATACTGATATACCAAGAAGTGCAAGGGAGGTGGTCCTGTTCCACCTGAACGCGATTCCCGACAGGCGGCGGTACTGAAGGGCTTTGTGAGAGAGGTAACGCCGATTCTCTCTGCAGTCGTAAGACCCAGGTGGTGTGTCCGAGGCAGTATCGCTTTCCCAACTCTAGTAACCTCGGTAGTGTGAGACACACTACCCCTAACGGTAGGACAGCCGGACGACGATGGCGCAGCAATTGGCGAACGCTGTTATAAAACAATTCACTTACGTGCAATGAAAGTTGTTTGGGCAATAAACAATAAATGTATTAGAGCCAGACGATAGACAACAATCCAGCAGATGATGAGCAGGAAAATTGAGTAAGATCGACGTGGCAAGAAGAGTTACAGTTACGCAGAGTTAATAAGGTGTTGGGAGATTAGAGTTACCCTGTCGGATGACTAACTCTCCAGAGCGAGTGTTACACATGTTAGACACATTGTCTCCATACACCAAACATACAACGATACAGTAAAGAACGGTATGTACAGTACGAGACATGTGTATATAATCGTTAACTACACCAAAGGGGTTTGTTTCCGTGGGTATGAACAATTGCACAAGCTGTGTTCATGGTGCACTGTAGCACTTGATCTCGGGCTCCATATTGACGATACAACGAGGAAGTATACACACAATCCCTAACAGCTGCTTGGTACGGTAGATACAACGCTCGATCACTTTAGTAAACATTTCTCATCCGTGTTGCTAATTTGCTGACCACACCCGACCATTCACGGCAGAATTGGAGAGAAACATCACCAGTATTGGTCCATGGTAGGACGTACTTTGACTTCTTCTATACTGTACATACTGTACTACTTATAAGAGAAGTTATTGACCGAGCAGTCTTGGGTTTCGATTCTCTGAGTGGCATTGGCGTTATTGATATGAACTACTGCCAACCCTGGACTCGAGCCCTTTCTGTAGACGACAGCGGCATCCCTGGTGGGCTGGGGTGTTCTAGCAGAACATCGCTAAGACCAGCCGAAAGGAGGTGGCTTGCAGGAGGTTCCCAAGCAGTGATCTCGTCAGTTTTGAACTCCCTTCTCGCCTATCTAGAGTGAGAATGACCCCAGTGACAACTTCACAATGATCATGGGTCTTGTTTTCTACTTGATCGTGACAATTTGAAACATCGTAGGCCGCTAACCATCTACGTCTCGCCTATACGCTCATAAAAGCACATTAACACTGGCTATGGTATCAGTCTGGATTATGTTGTATATATTTATGGCCTCTCTATATACTCATACCACTCAGAAACAACCTACATTGTTCGGGAAGAAGCGCAGTCGAACTCTGCAGGTTGCCGGTAGCCGCTTGAGATAAACACCTGCTCCACCTGATCTCTTCATTCTGATAGCGATGCGACTACGTGGGACCCGCAGTTACTGTCGACTCCAGAAAAAGAATCAAGCATGTGAGTTGGTCGGTTCAGACATGATGAACGATAGTACAGTATGTACTGTACCTGACGGATCCACTTCTGATCTCTCGATCATTTGAACTGCAGGTTCCATTTGGAATTTTCAACAAGTCTTCATCTCCCCCTAGGCTGAGAGATTGAGGCTGTTGGGAAACGTTTTCTGCGTCGAACTGCGTCTAACCATCTTGTGATTGTGTCAGTTCGGGCATAATTACTTCCGGCAGCCCCTGCCTGAAGAATCTGAACCCTACTCAGCCCTCATCTTACCAGCCATGGCGACCGAGACATCAGAAAACAACGCGACCAGTTCATCCTTCTCAAGATGCTGTATCTCGCGCTTGAAATCGTCCACCGCAGGCATAAGCTGCTGGATTCTGGCGGAAGCGTGGTCTCGGACCTGTTCATCCTGTGCCCTGAAGCTCTTCTGCCACAATAACAGCGCTTGCTGAAAGTCCATGGGTTCACTCTTGACCTTGGTTTTGGCCAACTCCAGCAGCTCGGGCAGATTGTACATTCGCGCATTGAGAATGAGATTGGCGGCATCGTGAAACTCCATTTGCAGCTCTTCTCCGTACAGATAGCTCATCAGCACGTCAAGCGTGCTTTTGGGCATGGGCAACTTGATCCGATGCTGAGGTTCGTTTTCCTGCTTCACACGCAGCATATCTCGAAAGAAAGGCCATACTCCCTGCAAAACGGCCTTGTGGACCTCCACAGTCTCTCCCTCTTCGCTCATGAGCTTGAAATCCGAGCCCGCGGTATTTCTGATGCGAGACAGTCCCGTGGAGTGAACCGAGGTCTGCTTGGTGAGAAAGTGGGCCATGCCCAATCTGGTCTGTGCGCTGAATCGGCGTGAGGAACAGGTCTCCCAATTGGCGTCCAGTAAGAGCAACGTGCTGTCAAAAAGAAAGGTGTTTTGGTCAATGGCGAAACAGGTGGCGCCCGTTTTTGGTTTTCTTCTCCACCAACCCAGTACTCCGGATCGATGCACCACTCCTTCTTCGTCATTGTAGAACTGCAGACATACACTGAGCCAGCCGGGGCCTTTTCTCTCGCAAAGAACAATGTAGAAGATTCCCACGTCTTTGAGTGAGCATTGGGCGACAATCCTGTCTTTTATTTCGTCCTCAAAATCCTCTCTGGTGCATTCTGTCCGTTTTCCCCCGATTGGTTTCGGGTTCTTTGGTGTTTTGGTCTGTTTTTTCGTTCTTGTCGTTCCCGTTCTTGTAGTTCTCGTTCTTGTCGTTCTCGTCCTCGTCATTGTCGTATCCGTCGTATTTCGTGTCTCTCGCGTTTCTGCCATCTCTTGATTATCAGCCATGAGATCAATGGTACTGTACTGTAGCACGTTTAGTAGGCAGTATGTACAGTACGTACTGTAACCATATCACGACGCGTCGATTATGTAAAGTAACTTTGACGCGTTTCAACCGTGACGGTGAAAAAACCGGAAAAAAACCGGGAAAAACGGAGAACAACCGAACTATTGACCCAGAGATATGATGCTCAAATGCCCATTGTTTCAGTCGAATATGTCACCTCCATACCCAATGACCACTTAGTCGGCTTTTACCGCTCTCATTACACACAAAAATACATCTATAACCCCTTTGTACTGTCCTCGGAGGCACTGGCCTAACCACTCGTTTCACATTCCTCCGTATTAACCATGATGACTCTTGTCCAAACAGAATCTCCTCGGGAGTTGGCTTGAATTGCAACACAGCGCGAATTGGGCTGACTTTGGTGCGGTTTTGACAATGCCAAAAGTCCATCTTCATGCCAAAACCGCATCATCATCCTTCAGAGCACCCAGGGCATGTTTCTCAGTCGAAAAGTGTCCAGTAAGAATGGAAGATCCATTGTGTGATCAAACAACAAGTCGCTCTGGCAGCTTGTGTACAAACGACGATCCAGCAATACAATCATTGAATGTTGAGTTGGGTACTTACTGTAGATAGGGCTGGTCAGTGGTAGAGTATTGTATGTACCAGCGATAGAGGACTGTATGTATTGTGTACACGTACTGTAGGGAGTCAAGGGACTACTCCTTCATATAATATATTCTTGTCTGAAAGATCCAGCTCGACTGCGTGTAACGCCTGTGTGACGCCAATCAGCAAAGACCCACAAGCGTCACCAATTCCAAGTCTGTACTTACGACGTTGGATCCAGAGAACCTGACTTGAAACCCACGGAGATCTAACAAGTAACCATTAGTTTCAACCGGAAGCCAACAGTTCCTCCGTCGTACCATCTCTTTTCCTCCAGTATATCATCACCGTGACATATGTATGGACTTCTTCAGCTCAATAGTTCCTTGTCGTTGAGCAGGTCACAGGCCACAAGCCAGTATCCACAGAGATCTCTTACAGGCACGGAGATATCTTACATGCACGGAGATATCTTACATCCACCCCCCCCCAGAACGGATTTATCGATCTCGATCTAGACTGTGGTTCACAGGTGTGCTTCTGCCGTGGTCTACCAGTGGTAAATCGCGAACGGAAGGTCTTGTCGGCAATGATAAGAGACGGTGGATAACCCCAGTGATTTTCCAAATGATTTTATATCAATTGCTCCCCTTGACCCTCGTTTTGGTTGTCTTTGGCAACTATGATACTCACTCCAAGAATCACTAAGACTCACTAAGACTCACTAAGACTGACCCTGAGACCCACTCTGAGATGTGTAATTGGAACAAACTGTGATCCGACGACTTCCCGAGCCCCTCTGTTCATGATAATCCCCCAATTGAACTTCACGACTGGTGATATGGACGGATCAGAGCGATAGACCTCGTTCAAACATACCTCTACCGCAGCCTTCACACCAACAGCAGGGTATCCTCGAGTCCTCCATTTTCCGGTCCAATCTTTTTGGTCAAATCCTGTTTTCAAATACCGCAGTATTTACAGATAGAGGGCCTTTTTGTTTTTCTTTGTTTTTTTTTGTAGTTACTGCACTCTAGTCAGGATTTACTCACGATAATGATATTTTACTTAAGAATCCAAGTAAAAAGTTTGGTCAATGCGAACATTTAGATACTATTCTCCGTCTAAAACAAAATATTCCCAACAATTCCCAACTAAATTAGGAAACATAAAACTAGACTCCCGAACCTTAGACCTTTCGACTTCATTATAGGTCTCATTAAACAGATATAGAGATTACTAATTGGTAATAAAAAGTGTTTCAATGCTTCCCAGTCCATTGTAAACAGGTTTCAAACCCCACAATTCTGTCAAACCAGTTTTTCATTCGCCGTATTAGTCATTAGAATTCCCAATTAATGTCTCCTAATTTCCCCCACGTAACGCTTCAGACTTCGTGGCCAAGTTGGTTAAGGCGTACGACTGTTAGTCACCTAAATGGCCGCCATCGTAAGATCGAGAGTTCGACCCTCTCCGAGGTCGTCTGAATTTTTTTTTACATGGAAAAACTGAACGAGTTTTTTTTAATAATATACAGCGCGCACATGGAAAAACTGAACGAGTTTTTTTTAATAATATACAGCGCGCACGTGACTCATTTAATTTCAACCACGTGACTTAATCTCTCCTCCTAATTAAAATGCAATTCTATCTGTTCTGTGAACTTGTACTTGTAGCTTTTCCTCCAAAGTAACATCCATACTTGTCAACCCAGTCTTCAACGTATTTGGCCTGTTTCTTCGTCTTCAGAAACTTTCTCCTTCTGATAATCTGCCGCCGAGTGAACTTTTGCAACAATTGCGAGTTGTCGCTCTTCAAATATACGTCGTCGTTCTCAGACCATGCCTCCTCGTCTGCCTTGAGCCGTTCCAGTCTCATCTTCTCGTCCAGCGCTTCAGTCTTGTGTAAAAAGGTAACAACCTTGTCAAGTTTTCCACAGTATGAATCATACACCTTGATGACATCCTTCCTGGTGTTTGCTTTGGAAACTACGCCAAGAAGGTCGTTGATGTCATCATTGTACCTGTGGTAGTTCCAGATCTCGCGATTTCGAGGCAGATCTCTTTCAAAAGTCTGGGTTGTGTATTCATTAGTCCATGGATAGTCGACACGGCGTTCCATGGTGGCCATAGCTTGATCTGGGCTGTTTTTCGACCTTTTTCTGCTCTGATTCCAATCGCACAGGGGTAGTCTCTTTTGCAACCGCTTCACTCTCCTGTCGCTGGTCCCCAGGAGAGGCAAGAGATGTCGTGGCTCACACAGGTCGTCAGAATCCCACTCCAAAGTCGGCAAGTCAGTGCACACAGCCCCTGTCTCTTTCTTCTGCTTGGAATCGAAATTAGGAGCTCCAATAATCTCGGAAGAAACGATATCCTCGTCGAAAGACATGCAATCTGTGCATCTGAACACGAGATCCGGAGTGTACCAATTGTTGAAGCAGCTGTAGGACTCGGGAATCACAGTATTTTGGTCATAGGTGATGTTGAATGTGTCTTTATTGGGCTCATCGACAACTACTCCTCCAGCTGAAGCAATAAGGGATCTGAGATTGGTGTCGATTCTGACGGAGGCTTCTGACCAAGGAGTCACAATGAAGAACTGCCTGCTGTGACCATCTTCCTTTAGAAACGTCTTGGCGAGAGCTCCTTCCTCTGGAAAAAAGGGAACGTGGTTGTAATCCACGGCTACCAATCTCTTAGCAGCGACCTTTGAAGTCAATAACGCGGACTCTCTGTTGATCTCAGCTGTGGTTATTGTATCGAGATTGGTATCCTCCTCTATTTTGACCTTGACCGTACCACCAATAGTATCAGTACTTGGATCAGCACCTTCCCCGACAGAGGTATCAGTTGTGTGGCCTAAGGCGAATTTGGACACGTTGTGCTCGGCAATGATAGATGTATCTTTCTCCTGCTGCTTGGTCCTCATGGTGCCTAGCGGTGGTTCTCCAGTCACATTCTCGGACCCTCGATCAAATGCACCCAATTCTTCCACGTGAGTCTCAATGAGCCCGGTCTTTGACAGTTTCTCCAAGTCCAACCGTTTTTCCCTCCTGCTGCTCCTCTTCACCACTTTTCCTGCTCCTGCTCCTTGGTCATCAGACTTGATCCACAAAACTCGTCTTCTTTCCGCTGCCATAAAAAGCTCTTGGGTCGTGAGTTTTGGCGCGTGTCGGGATTTTGGAGACATTGGAGTCGATTTCAGCCGTATTTGTGCCATTTCAGCATGTTTCGGAAGTCGATAATCGGTGTCAAAAGCTCGTGGGGCCCAACATGAGGTTCAGTTCGGTTGTATTCTGCATTTCCGATGCGGCATGTGCATGATTTGACTGAGGCTCATGTGGGGTAAAATTGAAAAAAAAAAAAAATAGAAAAAATAGAAAATTAAAAAATAGAAAAAATAGAAAATTAAAAATTAAAAAAATTAGAAAAATTAGAAGAAAAAAAAGAAGAAAAAAATGACTACATTAATCTACTTATCCTATTAATAACATGATTATTTCAATCCTCCTCCACCACGTCGATGACAGCCACATCCAGCCGAATCCAGCCGTATCCAGCCTTTTCAGCCTCATGTAATTCCACAATCTACACAACCCACAATCAACCATCTATCAAATACATCATCCAACTATCCCCTGGAGCCTATCTCTCAAGAGAAATGGAGTTGCCAAACTTGGCATACAAATGCTTCTTGAGCTCCTCCATCTCGTCTCGAATCTCGGACATCCTGCTCTGGGTCTTGTCGAGCTTGGCGTCCACTTCCTCCTGCTGCTTCTCTAGTCGCACCATGGCTTCACTCTGGGGAATGTCCACAAAGGCGTCGCCAATCTTGAACTTGACGGTCTCGTCCTCGTCCATCAGCTCCATCTCCATGATCAGATCGTCCAGGTACTCTTTGCTGGTCGACGACTCCTTCTCATCGTCCTCAAGATGGTCCATCTGGGTGTTGAGAGAAGAGAAGCGGTTAATTCGGTCCTGGTCCTCCCGCAGAACTTCCACGTCCTTGACCTCGGTTCCTTCGTCGAGCTGGGTTAGTACTGGATGGATTCGCCAGCAGACTCAGATAAGTGTAAACGAGCCCTTAACTGCGCACGATTGCCAGTCGTTCAGGCATACAGCCAAACGGGTCGAACGCAGATGGATTTCTGGTTTCTGGTAAGTCAGCGATCAACATGGACACGGCAAGCAGATGTACCCCGGCTAATACATCAATTTGTGGCCTCCATCTCGATCTGTTCCTTTCTGCGGTCCCAGTTGCAATTATGGGCACATCTGACTTCATTACAGGATGATCAATCGATCTCAACCACATCTCTCAGCCCTACGGTACTCGGTGAGGTCGTATCCCTGGTTGGCTGTTGGTATGCTTGAAGTTGTATACCACCTAGTCTCATACCACGGAGATTCAATTTTAAACAACCAACCAGACCTTCACTCATAATTGCCCTCCTCTCAAGATCAGATCAAAGACCAATCACGGATGTGTCACTGATTGCCACACCGCCCCAGCAACTGGCGATGGTCCATTCTGAACCGCATCTGCATTGTAACAACAAATTCTGTCCGCAAATGCGTCTCTAAAACCTCCTGTCCAGCCCATTACTCACCATTCGCATTGTGTGTAGTTGTGTGTTGGTCAGTGCACTCCTGGATTGTGTGTTCAGGCGTGCATCATCTTGCTTATGTAAGTGAACTCTACGAGGAGGATGGGTCGCCAGTTCGAACCCGGTCAGGTGGTATTTCAAGGAAATAACCGCAAATCGCGAATCGGACGAGTTATACCATCTTCCTCGACCTCGTCAATCGGATCTGGTGGATCGCATGATTTGATCACGTGACGTTATATCCCCCCTTCTTAGACTTCCTAAATGATGTTTATGTATCAAGTCCAGATTGGATTTCTCCAGTACGTACTTGTAGTGTTATTTGGCTTAAAAACAGTCGATTTTGTCCAGAAAAACCAATCATGAAAATTTGCAGGCAGATTTGAGCTGACTTCTCTGTTTCCAGCTCTTCAGCGCCATTTCAAGTCTTCCAGAATGTTCTCTGTTTTGGTCGTTATTTTCATCTCAACTTTAAATCACCACTGAAAAAAAAAAAATCGTGATTTTTCATTATTTTAGAGTTCCCCATAATTTCAAGTTTCACCGTACACATCAGAACAACATCATATTTCCGTCATATTCCGTCATATTTCCAACATATTTCTTCTAAAGATTGGAAATTGCAAAAAAATCAGACCAAATTAGTCGAAAATATCGTTCCAAGTCGAAAGACCGGCCTAAGATACCCACTTTTGCGCAATACCCAACATCCCCAGTCATGCCTTTGAACACCCTCACAAAACTTCCCAGACTCGCTCTGGCGGTCAGCGGAGGGTCCGACTCTATGGCACTGGCCTACATGATATCACAAACACCCGGTTTGAGCGAGAAAACCACAGCATACACCGTGGATCACGGGGTACGGAGTGAATCGTCTTCGGAGGCCCAAAACGTTCACGAAATCGTCTCTAGACTAGGTATAAACCATCGGATTCTCAAATTGGACGCTTTGAACGACACAAAAGAACTTTCAATGCGACAGGCGCGTTATTCGAAACTCATTGCGGCCATGAATGATGACGGAGTTTCTACAGTCGTCACGGCACATACCCAAGACGATTGTATAGAGACATTCGTGGTACGTATGCTTAGAGGAAGTGGATTATTTGGACTTGCAGGAATCCAGCCACGAGTCTCGTTTAATCCTTATACCTGGGGAGGAGGTGGTATTGCGCTGAAACAGCATTCAAGGACGGAATTGGCGTCTGGATGGAAGCTAATGAGACCGTTACTGGGTCTAACAAAGTCCCATTTACGAAATGTGCTTGTTAAGAACAACATCCCCTGGTTCGAAGACCCTACCAACCAAAACGTGGAGATTGCAGAACGAAACCTGGTGAGAAAGATGTATTACGAGTACCCGGAACTGATTCCGGAGGAGTTCCAGGCATCCAATGTATTGAGACTGCTGGAGAAGCTCAATGGGTATCGGATAAAGTGCGAAACGGAGGCTTCCGAGGTATCTTCCAGATTGCTAGCTGCTTCTCAATCGCCAGATGGAACTATTACTCTCTCTGAGGAACAAGTGAAAGGGGTTCTGACCAAACTGCCACATGATACGCTTCAACTAGTATTGAGAAACATTCTTTCTCCGCTATCTCCGTTGCCAGATCTGTCTCTAAGGCTGCACAGACTGCGAGGCTTGACTGGACGGTTTGAAGCAGGCAACAAGTTCAACCTTGCCGGAGTCGACTTCTCCCTCAGAAACGACAAATGGCAGCTGTCGCGCGAGGTGCCTCGACGACCTTCCGATCACGTGGTCCAGCTAACTCCCGGTCGTGTGAGTCTCTGGGATAACCGGTTCTTTGTTGTTTCCGACCTCCCAAAGGCCACGGTCCAGTTTATCGACTGGGACAGTCATCGAGAGCTGTTCAAGAGCAAGGAGGAGCTGAACAAGGCGCGAGATCAGGCGAGAAAGAGAAACCCCATCCTGGTTTACGAGGGTGGATATTCTTTTCCTGCTTTACAACGAGGTGTTTTGAATACAATGCCCAAGTGAGTGTACAGCACGATATGGGGAGTGCGAGGCAGCCCGGCGAGCCTCGAGGATCTTTCGAGCGTCTCAAGTTTTGTTTATTCATCAGCTGATCAGATTTCATCACCACTGGGGAAGTATGAGCTCAGAAATGGCTATAACGTTCCAGTAGCGTGATGGCAAACACAGCTCAACGACATGCCCGACATGAACGACATGCCCGACATGGCCGACACATATCATCATGCCCGCCGAATACAGCTTTGGAAACAAGAAGCCATGCACTGCAGAGCAGTTTTTGAAAACAAAATCAGCAAGCTCTATGGCGAGTGCACACTTGAAAACGTTGAAAGATTCAATTTCGCATTCGAGGGTCCAATGAAAGCTCCGATGGATGGTTTGACGTATTCTTGAAGTTTTATGAAGCTCAACTTCTTTTTTTGGCGTTAACGAGGGAGTTGACTATGCCTGTTCGATACCGACTGCGGCAAGAGATCAACACCGAAGAAGTTCTACTCGGGAAGGGGGGTTACTTCTGTTAAGGAAGTCCATTGAAAAAGAGTCAAACCTGTCGCGGGTCCGAATTGGAGCCCCTTTTAAAAGCCGCCGTTGGTTCTGATATGAAGGAGGCCAGTCAAAACTGGGTAACACTACAATGCTCAACACCCACTCGCGAAGTCATGGCTCGATTATTCTACGAACAGGACCTGAAGCTGGAGTTTCCACATGCGGCAGATCTAGTTGACATTGCACTATTGTATGATATACCTGACCTTCTGGAGATTGCAATTCTCAAAATAAAGGCTCAACAGGATCTCACGGTGTTGTTGATGGACCTTTCCAATTTATTTATCTGACTTACAATCATCTATAAATCTTAGAACGGGCGACAGTAGTGATATATCTGCGACCAAAGTGTTTTAATAATGCTAATACTGAAAATCGCGTTGCGAAGCGCTTGCTATTGTTGAATTGTACTTGAATGGCCCATCATCACCCATTTCTATACAGAAACGTGGACACATCCATATACACACAGTCAGATTTAGCACTATTGTCAATGAATGTCTGAAAATGACAATAGTACAAAACGGCACTTCGAATCCATCGAATCCATTCAACGTCACCCAAAAACTATCTAATAATCTATTGTCTATGGCAGGATCTAATCTTCCTCCGGCTTCTGCAGTTTGTAGCCCATCTTCTCCAGCTCTCCCTCCAGCTTGTCAAAACCTCTCTTTAGTCTGGGATTAACGGCGTCCTCCTCGTTGTTGAAACCTCGCTGGCCCTCAAAGATAATCTCTTTCAAGTTGCCGAGAGGCTCCATGAGAGCAGAAAGCTCGAGAAGACCGTCAAGATACTCCGCAGGAGCGACAGTTAGCTGATGGACGAGAATGTCAAAGAACTGGACGTAAAGATCGGGGTTCTTGGAACTCAGCTCCTCGCCCTTGCACAGAATCTTGATATAGTCTCTCCAGGTGATGGAAGAAGAGTAATTGCTCAGAACCAGACACAGTAGAAACGACAATTGAAGATAACCCAGTAATGACGAGGACGACGAGTCTTTTAGAAGCACATTCTCAATGTACCATGACGAATCGAGCGAGTCAAGAGTCCGTTCTCGGCCTGTAGATCCAGGTCTCCAGGTGTGATCGGGGGTAAGAGCGGGGAAGTTGAGAGTGGGCTCCTTGTCAAGATTCTCAAATCCAGGAGTGATATTGTTCATCTCATCGGCAGGAATATCGTGCGACGCATCCTTCTTTGTCGATGAGGACACATCAGATTCCGCAACGGGAGAGGCATGACGCTTGTCTCTCTGTTCCTTGGACTTTTGAAGAGCTCCCTTCAACACACCAGCCTCCTGGGCAGTCGCAGTGGTGGAAGAAACGACAACGTCGGGAGCAATGACGCTGGAGACCACGCTCTGGGTCACGTGATTTGTCAGTGTCGCGAAGTCTGCCGACTCGGCGGTATGGTGCTCCTCACTGATGGTATCGAATGCCAGCATGTAGGGGTACTGTTCGGGGACAATGGAGAGTGCTTCGGCGATATCAATGGTCTGGTTTGTCAGCATTTCTTCCTTTTTGGAGTCCCATTTGAAAATGAGCACCTCTCCTTCCTTGGCCTCGAACACCACTCCGTTTCGGACACTGGTTTCGTCCTGGCCCCAGTGCAAGATGTGCGTTCGTCCGGGGGGGATTGATTTGATGCCTTTAAAAGTGGGAGTTGAAGTGAAGTAGTAGAGATCAATGCCGACAAGCCATCCGGCAGGGATATCCAGAGCAATTGTTGTTTTTGGTGGTCTTGACATGATAATGTGTCGTTGAAGCAGACTGGTTGGAGACGATTTGAGTGTGTGAGTTCGGCACTTGCAAGTTGTTCACTTGATATGCCTTCGTGTTTGTGATTGTGTCAGTGTCAAGTGTCTGTGTCAATTCAGTCGGTCGTCTTCGTCGGTGGTGTATCGGATCGGCCACCAGACTGTACTTGTAGTATCGTGGCTGTAAGAGTGAGAGTGGTTTGCTCTTCGGATATCAGCGCCTCGCATATGATAAACTTCAAAGTTTCGGAGCGAGTTTGAGAGTGTAGAAGGCGGAAAAAACGAGAGAAAGAGCCGAAATTTCTACAAGACACTCTCATAGATGCCAATGGCCTACTGTCGAAATTTTGGCCCATTTCAGTCTCTCGAATACCGCCAAAAACGACCCCTTTTCGCGTCGTACATAAAACTCTAATAGTCGAGATCTCTATCTGGCGCGCAGCTCCAGTTAAGGCGGCCATGTGAAACACGACTCTGATGAAAGTCTCACCTTCAGGGTCGCCAAAAGAAACACCAGGGGGCTTACTAAGAAGGGGGAATATAAGAGAAACAAAAAAGAAAATATCCTTCCCTCATCTCCTCGTCTCGTCATGACGAGGAAAGGGAAAAAATGAATTCTGGCAGGATCGAACTGCCGACGTTCTGCGTGTTAAGCAGATGCCATGACCAACTAGACCAAGAAACCAACTCTGTTGGGAATAAAAAGCGTTGGATGAGATATATCCGAACTCTGCTGAGTAACATGGCCATCAATTTTGTGACCTTTATGGTCTTCTGACGAGTAACTGGGCATTTTATATCCCACCAATAGCTGGTTTGATCACTCTCATGTTGTCAGAACTTCTTCAAACCAGCTTTATTGGAGTCTAGAGCTCAATGGTTGAGAATACAATGGCCAAACAATCATGTGGACGAAGTAGAAAGATCTGGGCCGAGATTGAGGATTTTAATCAATACAAAAGTTAGATTGAAATTGAAGAGACACACGCGGTTTTCTCCCGCAAAGCCCTTCAACCGCGTATGTATGTACATACTGGACGGCATACTGGTAGTGTCGAGCTCTCCAGGATCCCAAGCCGCAATAGAATTCTTTTGTATGTACTTTACGGACAACCTGGATATTATACAGATTCCCTCTCTATACTTATTCGACTCTTTGGTCTCGAAATGACTGTATTATCTTCGCCTTGCTCATTTCAGTTCCACTCAGCGTGTAGTTGGACCTACTCATCGATCTCAACTAAACCCAACTAAACCCTTCTACCACACTACAAGCCCATGCCACGGCCACAGCCGCATTCCAGGAGATGCAAAAACTTGTACAAGCATACAAATCGCTGCCTGAAACACGATATCCTGCTCTATATCTCTCACTTGTGCCCAGATCCCGATTCAGCTGCATTGTATTGAAGATACAAGAATGACTGCGAAGATATAGTTAATGAACTACTTGGACGTTCCCATAGTTCCACCAGAAGTTGTGCCATACACCAAAAGATGTGTTATACACCATCAAGAGATTCTAGACAGCTGATACACATCGAGAGGACAGACATTTCGTCAACGACCAAACTGGTTCCTCTCATGACTAAGAAAATAGCCAGGTATTACCCTACTGTATTACCTAATCAAACCCAAATCGCGAAAATCATATAATCACTACAGCTCAGACGCACTCCACCACATATTAGACACGACTTTTAGACGTTTGAAAACGTGCAAATCACGCGACCAGGGTAGTTGCGACGCGACAAATTGACATTTACGCGCGAAAACACTTGTCGGACGCAAAAATAGCCGCCGCATCGCCCCCTTTTCCCCCACGACGCCAACCTCTCATGACCACCCCACCACCAGGATTCAGGACGCTCAGAGAGCTCCACATGTTGAAAAACAACTCAATGGTCAATGTCATTGCTCGTGTGCTGGCCAACCCGCCGGGTCTGATTTCTCTCACCGACCTAACCATTTGCGACCGGTCGGAAACCGACTTCGACGTGGTGGCCAACTTTGACAGAAACCCAGGCGAATGGCACCCTACAGAAACCCCACAAGTCGGTGATGTAGTGGTGCTGACAAACTTCAACAAAAAGACGGGCTACCAGAAGGGAAACCCCGTTCTATACAGCAAGAAACACGTCTCCAAGGTCGTGTTCTACAACCAGAACTTGAAGTCATACAACAAGTATCCTGCCCTCGAACCTCCAGCAGAATACATCTCTAGTCACCCCGTCTACAAATACATATCCATTCTGATCGATGACTGGAAGCAGGACCCCAGATCTGGCTGGGACGGAGATGCAGCAGCTGTCATGTCGTTCCCCATGAGTCTCGAAGAAGTGAGCAAAAAGTTCGACACGAGCAGATTGACGACAATCAAGGGCAAGATCAGCGAGCTGGATACCGACGTATTCCAACTCACTGACGCCCCAGGCTGGAAGGTCCAGTTGGGAGCTTACAAATTCGAGGACGAAATGAGACAGAGATGCAGAGAGAAGTACTCATGCCACGTGGAACTCAGCCACGTGAGATTCAAGTCATATGACAAGAGCTCGAGGAAGCTGTTTGCGAAAATGACTGACCGAACCTCCATTGATCCAGTGGAGGGCAAAGAACTGGAATCGTTGAAGGCCAGACTGAGTGGCAAGAGCAAAAAAGCAGATACGGATGCGCCTTCAGAAGACAATGAGGTGAACATTGTGCCATCCAAGAAGGTCCAGAGATCCGATGATGACAGCGAGTCAGAGCAGGTGGAGGACTCTCCTGAAACTCCGGCATATTCCACCCCTGAATCTTTTGAGCTTCAATCGGAAACAAATCTCGACTCGCAACATTCTGAGACAGAAGAAATGGGCGACGACGCCATAAATGATCTTGTCAATGCCGTTTGCGGATCACCTGAAAGCTCGGCCAAGCCGGATTCGCCCTTTTCACATGACAAGTCCGAGACCGGGCAGAATAAGCCTCCTCCAAGTGGCCAGCCCAGAATGACTTCCCCCACTCCCCTTAGACCCGAGCCTGACCTCTTGAGTCATCTGTCTCAAGGGACTTTAACCAATAGAGATATCAGGTCTAGGGATGTTTCACCCCGTGCCCGTGAAGATGATTCGGAGCAACCCGTCATACCCCATGAGATTCCAGTTCGAAAGAAACTCAAATCCGAATCTCCCATGTCGCGCACGCCTTTCAGCAGACCTCAAGTGTCGCAGCCGCCACCAGTGTCTCCCGTGTCGCAGGGACCATCAGTGTCTCCCGTGTCGCAGGGACCATCAGTGTCGCCTGTGTCGCAGGGGCCACCAGCACAAGAGTTTCCTACAGCGTCGCAGTCCGGCCCGATGTTGGTCATGTCTGAGTACATCGTTCCCGACATTGAAGAGCCGTACCTTGTTGTTTCAGGGGTGGTGAGGGGAGCCAGAGTGACCGACAAGGGTTTTTTGTCTTTCGCGGTATACTGCGAATGCGTGAACAAACTGTTCACGGTGAAGATCCGCAAGGAAGATGAGGGAGAGTTCCTCCTTGGCGTTTCCAAGCGCAATCAAGAGATGAAGCTGAAGGCGTTGGTCTCTTGGGCAGCCCAACAGGAACATGTCAAGGTCAATCTCATTCAGGACGAGCACAAGAACGAGAATGGGGAGTCGGAGTACTGGAGCGTCGGCAACTCGCTGGAGTGGCAGATGTAAATACACTGACGAATGATGGAGATGAATACATTGTGATGTGAGTGACTTTTTGACGTGATGAGAGGACAGAGGGGTATTATAACAGACGAAAAGGCACAACGCCATTGGGTTACTCCATTCAACTAGACGATGGGCGTCGTGGTGGTAGAATACTGATCTGGTAAATGAAATTCGATGGAATACCACGTTAGAAGTTCTCGGGACGCCGATTCTCCGTAGACCAGTAACCCAGTGGTGAAGTACTAATTCGGACGACGACGAGGCCAACGGGTTGTATAGACAAAGGCATTAGCGCCAGGCGAATGCAATCGCCCTAGACCAATCAACAATTGAGCAGCTGTGAGCATCAAAGTCGAATGAGGTCAACGTTCAAGAAGAGTTACAGTGACACCAAACACAGGTGGTTTAGCTACATTTTCTATGACTAACATAATAAGCGGTTTAGCTACCTTTCCGAATGACTAATCTTTCCAGGGCGAGTGGTGATACATTATCATGCACTAGTCTGCCTAATCAGCATCATCAGACATCGGACTTGGGCGGCCCGAATAAGACAAAAATTGTATGAAAAAGGTGGTTGATCAATGTCTCAATAGATAGTGCCCATAAAGGCAATTGAGACGATATAGATACATTAATTTGTACTGTACTATATATACCCTTTTCACTGTACCTCTTCCGATGTGAGTCCGCAAGCTCAAGTCGTATCGTAAGGCTGATTCGACCATTTTAGCCGATATAATGTTTTGGACCAGGAACCACGAGTGCAAGAACGAAATTGTTCTACAGGTAGATGTGCTCTTGTAGTATATCTGATACCATACATAATCGATACATTTCAATATTTTCCTGAAGATCTCAACTCATAGACGGGAAGATAGAGAGAGCAGAGACTATTACTATATACTGTAGTACAGTTGCTAATATGACAAGTGCTAGAGACAAAGCTAACAATCCTCGTGTCCATTAATGCTCGTAAATCACAAAACTTCATTATCTCCTTGAATTACGTGGTCAGTTTACTCACCTCGAAAGTTGACATGAGGGAGAGTCTGTTTTGCCAACTCGTGTGTACGAGTACGAGTGTTGTACCTACTGCAAGTAATGTACAGTACATCCCCTCCTAGAACCAAATATTCAGATGCCTGATCTTTTTAGTCCTTCTCTTGCCCTTCCTCACCACTCTGCTATCCCTCACTCTGTTCTTCCTCCCCCAACCTCTCTTGCACCCTCCTGTCCACAGCTTCGATACTAACATTGCCCAAATAACGATAATAAGAGATCCAAATAGCATCATCATAACATTGAGCAAAGGGAAAGTCCAACAGAAAAGACGAGATGGCAGTGTCCATCAACAACTGCCAGCTTTCTTCGCTTCTATGAGGGAACCTCACATGAATCAGTCTTCGTACACGTGCCTCCCCAGAACCTGGTCTGTACCTGTTTTGAGCCATATAAGCCGCAGCAAGTATTCTGTCATGAACAGGAGTATACAGGGGCTTCTTCCGATAGGCCTCAGGATATCCCTGTTTAAAATGTTCCATGTACTCCTCCACAAGCTGGTTCTCCACCGCGGGTAGAGGTATCTGTCCATATCGACGAACAGCCTGACTCCACCATTTTCTTCCCAGCCAACCCCATTCCTGTTTAGAGCGGTGAGGGTACCGTTCAGCCAGAAGTTCCAGAGCAGTATCCTGATAGTACTCGTTCAAAGCGAAGACTGGCTTCACAACCTCAATTTCCATGGCATCTAAGCAGTCTAAAACCTCCCTCAGCTCCTTTGTCCAGTTCAGATACTCAAAAGGGTAAACTCCGCCTTTCCGTCTGTGTTTTTGGACGATTCTTTTGAGCAGTGCAACTGTGCAGAAGGCCGGCAGAGTGTGTGGGAATCCCGGCGGCTTTCGTTCCATTCTCTTGATACACGCTACAATGACTTCGTAGACTTTTGTTGATATCTCGTTAGTGTCTCGGAATCGTCGTGGATACCTCTGAAGATACAAACGGGCAATCGTGTTGACAATCTCCCTTGGATTCCTCTTCTCGATCAGTCCGTAGTTCCAGAACGTCCAAATGAGTTGTTTGGAAGCGTGGCTGTCGGAAATCGGGTCGTAGAAATCCAGCCAATTGAGCCCGCTCTTCTTGAGACGGTGGCGATGTCTCACTAGGTTGGACATTGTGGTGATGATGGGTTCTCCTCATTTACAGCACATATTGAGAGTATGCATTAGGTTCGTATCTAATCTGCCACATACGAGCACTTTATTTTTTTTCTGGAAAAAACGAATTTTTATATATTTCTCCTGTTTTTGATTTTGACCAGTTTGGTTGGGTTAAAACAAGTAGGCGATGTCAATATTTCACCTACATTGACGTCGCAAAGTCGTTTTCCGTACTTTATGGAGTCACAAATAGATTTTTATTCTAAAAAACCAAAACATAATACATAATACAACAAACTCTATATATATATTCTGCATAATACATCCATTAATTATAACTTCTCTGAGGAGAATAATACAAAAAACTGTATATAGAACTATTGCAATAAAGACTATATGTATGATTTGTTAGATATAGTTATGTAACTACTAACACCACGTTCCGATAGTGCCAACCAGAAGTGTCATATCAGAAGAGTGCTTGCTCATTCACCAGGAAGAGATTCTAGATCAGCAGATACTATCTACATTTCGTCTACGATCAGCAGGTCCTTCTTATGACTTTGAGGAACCAACCAGATGATATCTGCTATCTTCAACACAATTATGAGATTTCAACAAGATTGCAACAACCTCTTTGACGTTTGTGGTTTTCGTCTCTTCTCCATTGACTCGGATAGTCGATTGAATGAACAGAGGTCAGTCCCCGTGGTATCCCTCCAATCAACTGTCTAGTTGCTTCTTCTTACTGCTATTGGCAAGTGTAGACAGTTCGAAGTTTCAATCTATGCAAGAAGCGCTGAAACAGGCGCTGAAAACTCCTCTCCATCCACTCCCACTCTCAACCCCCTCTCTCCTCATGTTCAACTCAAGTTCAAACACCAACATCGCGCTTTATTGGGGCCAGGACCAGGCTGGAACCCAACTGCCTCTGTCCACCTACTGTCAGTCCAACTCTGCCGACATTTACGTGGTTTCTTTCCTCGACTCGTTTTCTGGCAAACAAACCAACGGAACGGGAGAGATGGCGGTGAGCTATGAAGGACCCATGACAAGTCTGGGAGGCGAAATTTCAATCTGTCAGTCGCTGGGACGAAAAGTTCTCATTTCACTGGGAGGAGAATCAGGACAGTATGGCCTGGACTCTGGCGCCGATGGAGAAACACTGGCTGGACAGCTGTGGGACACATTTGGGGGCGGAAAGAACGCGTCAGTACAACGACCATTTGGAAACGTGATTATTGACGGCTTCGATCTCGATATCGAACACGGAGATCCCGTGGGGTATGGAGATCTCGTCAACAGATTGAGAGTGCTGTATGCCACCGACACTTCCAAGATGTACTATGTGTCTGCGGCTCCTCAATGTCCTTTTCCCGACGAATGGATTACTCAAGCCCTGGAGCAGTCAGAAGTTGATTTCGCCTTTGTGCAGTTCTACAACAACGACTGCGGTCTTGACGAGCCCAAAAACTTCAATTTTGACCAATGGGCAGACTTTGCACAGACTAGGGCAGCCAATAAACACATGAAGGTGTTTCTGGGCGTGCCCGCAAGTCGTAAATCTGCAGACACGGGCTACGTCGGAGTCCCTGTGCTCACACGGTACATTCAGAAGCTACTGAACCACACTTCTTTTGGAGGAGTCATGATGTGGGACGCTTCTTCGGCCTTTGGCAATAGGGACCATGGCAAGTCGTATGTGGAGTATGCTAAGGGTGCTCTCAATGGAGTTGTTTCCAATGGCGCTGGAACGAATTTTGTTTCGGGGGTGGTTTTCGAGGTGGTTTTCGCGGTTGTTGTGGTCTGGATATTGTAGACAATCCAAGTTCAGACATGGCGTCACGGAATGGCTGTTTTGAAGACAGTACGGGAAATTGTATGGCACAGTACAGTATGTACAGTGTACTACAACTCGGTCCGGATACAGGTTGGCTAGTTCTGCATTCGGTACTCCTTCTACAGGATGAGATGGCACATCTTCGATATCCTGTCCACAATAACCCAGACATATTGTTGCCTTCTAGGATAGGTGTCGTCTACTCTCTGTACTGTATCTTATCGAACACGTCTTACAGTGTTCACAGTGGTGATCAAGTCCAGAAGTCAACCGCTGGTTGCCCATTCCATTTTGAAACTATAGTGGAAGAACTCGGTGACTGGTGTAGCAACATCTTCCTCGCCTTGTCACTGGGAAACACAGCGTTCGCCTAACTATGAGTATTCATACTGGTGCCAGTACCGGACTTCAGAGAGCTACAAGTACAGGTACAGTACTGTATCGTATTCTTAAGTAGTCGTATTTGCACTGTAATACCCTCCAGTGACATATGACTGACTGATACGCCCATAATAGACTAGCAAGACGTGTGGGCGGTTGCTATAGGAAGACCGGTATAAAAGCTATAGATCTGCTTAATATGATTGGATACTTGAAAATTGGGGTCAGATAGTCACAGAGATGAAGTAAAGACGTGAGGTGATTTATTTGTGGGTCTTTCTATGACGATATTTTGAAAGGAAGACAAATATCATACCAGTAGCCTAGGGGTGCTGATAACACCCGTCTAGTGCAAGTAGGGGTATTGGGAGAGCTAGAAAGTGTCTTTTAGTTTATATTTGTCGTTTGAAAATGTTTATATTTGCATATCTCCGCTTTTTAGTCATATTTGTATCGTGACAGTGTGATTCTCAGACAATGCTTGGATTGTATGTCAACTAAATCGTAACTAAATCATAACTAAACTCTAACTAAGCTCCAACTAAAATTTATCTGAAAAACAGAGAAAGATAACATAGCCCTCATTTGAATAGTATAAAAAAAGAATGGAACTGCTCAGATCTCTGAAATTTACAATCCCATCTCTTGTACTGTATATACTAAAGCATTGTAGAAACACCACCTTCATAGAATATTTATTACGTGCCACAGAAACATATATTCACTCAATAAACCAATCTGGACTCAAACTTGATGTCGAAAAAAATCATCAGAAATTTATCCAAGTTGTATAATCATGGTATCAATCTAGAGCCCTTGATCTCTTGAATCTTTTGGTGTCTTTAATTTTCAAAATCTCTACTAAAAATCCTTACCAACAGCAACATCTTACATCCCGGACAAGATACAGCCCGTACGTTTGTAGACAAAAAGATAGCAGTAAATTTGAGGTGGACACAACTGATATCTGAGTACTTTCCCAGGCTTTGCGGTTCGAATGGTAGTGTTTTCATACTTGCAGCATTCCTCTGGCAGATTCTGCTATAGTACAGACTGTACTATTCGAAAGAACCCTGGTAAGCACACCCGTACAAGCACAACCACATGTAGAGATTACAAGCAGATATCTGATCTCATTGAGAGAGACAGAGAACAACTTTGCATGCAAGTTTGCAGCTTATGAAAAAATGGACGCATTAACGATGGCATTTCAGGACAGGATAGTTCAAGTGCAGGTACAAGTATGTACAAGTACAAGTACAATTACTTACATCACATACTGCACCGATTTATGCCGCACAAAAAAAACGCACAAAATCAACGGAGACAATTCAATATGGGGATCAAAATGACGAGAATCACGATTTGTTTTGATTTAATGGCTATTTATACAGAAAATTATTGTTTTGGTTCAATTGCTTCGGAACTAAAGTTGGGTTTCAACAAGTACGAGTATATAGCTGTATGTACATGACGGGCAGCCCAACGTGCTGACATATAGTCGAATCAGAGTCTTCAACTTTTCAGCCGTTTCAGCCTTTCAAGCCGTTTTTCGTGCGCCAATGAGGTGGTTTGTATTTTTTTTGTTTTAGTGTTTGTTTTAATTTTTTTTTAAATTTTTGATTGTGTTCTGTCTGTTGAAGGTAATACCCGGTGGGGTAATGGTTGACCATTTGTTGAATTGAATAAGAGATAATTGGCTTAGTAAACACCGGTGATGCCATTGGCGTTTATTTAATGGTAATAAAAGCAGATTTATGAAATAATTAGAATTAAGAATGCAAAAAGAAAAAATATATATTCAACGAATGGCGGGGTCCATATCTGAGCACCGAAATGTCCGACGCAGAAGACGGAACTCCGACAGGCTGAAAAAATAGGGTGAAAAACTGCCTGACCGCTGCATTGACATTTTGACAGGTTCGTTGTACGTACAAGCACAAGTACAATGTGCGTCTATGATTGTTTGTACATGCAGTGGAATGATTCTGATTGTACGATTTTCAACCAAAAAAAAGGGGGAAAAAAGGGAAAAATACCGAGCCACTCTCCAACCCGCCACCTCGCTTACTAACCCCGCCAACCTCGCTTACGTATGCCAAACAAGGCTAGGTTAGGGTTGACCGTTCCAAGGGTACTCAGTAAATAGGGGTAACATGCATACGGCAAAAAAGGAAATAGGCTGGGCTGGGTTCCAGTCCAAGAATGTGTCCGTTTGGGGGCCGTCAAAAGGGATTTCGATGTATTAGGGTAGATGTAAAAAATTAGGGTAGATGTGGCTATATTAGGGATAGGCTAAGATGGTGGTGAGTGTCCGGTTTACTTTTTTTACTTTTACTTTTACTTTTACTTTTACTTTTCCTTTTACTTTTATTTTTATTTTTATTTTTATTTTTATTTTTATTTTTATTTTTATTTTTATTTTTATTTTATTTATGTCTTGTTTTTATTTTACACATTATAAATTCTATTTATGTTTCTGCCGGTATTCGATAATCAACATTGGCAATAAAGAATCTTAGGTTATCGTGCATATCCTAAGCCTAATTAACGTGGTAGGGTAACTTGTTGAGTGGTGTGGAAAATGGGCATATTTTGGGGATTAAAAAAAAATTGGACGGGAAAATGGAATATCCACGGAACGGTCAAAAGTTGAGGAAGGCGGACCAGGTCAATTGGTCAATGAGGTTGAATTGGCTCAAATATTAGGGCAAAAAAACCACACCAATTGTGGTCCTATAACGCCCAATATTGGTGTTCTACGACTACCAGTAGTTCTAACGAGTAGTTCTAATTTTACCCCTTTTTACGTCCACTTTGTCTAATTGGATTGGCAAGAAATGCAAATTAAAAATGCAGTTAAAAGTGCAATTAAAAATGCAAATGTGTCATGTACATGCTCGTTTCTGTACTCCACGGACAGCAACTTTGACCCCAATTGGACACCTGTCGTGTCCCAAATTGGAACGTGGTAGCATATATTTTTGTGCAACGTATTTCACATGTATGCAGAGAACATGCTAGGAGGTGGGTTGAGGCGGAATCGGGCGGTGCATATTAGGGTAGGTCCAAATCGGGTCTCAGGGTCGAGGGTTGACCCCAAAATAAGTACTAGGGTTAGGGTTGGACCCACAAGGGCACGCGACTGTGGGTCTGCATGTCGACGTATAATGTGCGTTTGGGTACAAACGGTTTCCAGAGGGCCGAGGTGTATGCGATTTACGGCGAGTATGATTTGATTCTGCGGTACAAGTATGTACGACATTGGAACGTACGATACAAGCGATATTCGCACTTTTACTTGTTTTTTGGTACAAGTACGTACGTACGCTATTCACTACTCGCACTTGTCTTTTTTCAATGGAGGTCAGACATTCAAAACGGCCAAATTAAGCGATGGAAACGACAAAGGTGGTAGAGCATTCTTTCCCGCGCGATATGGACGGTTTTGCAGCTGTGCGGTAATGTTGAGACAGGCGAGTTACACCAGTATTCTGTAGGTACGTAGACAGGGTACATCATGGCCGCAAAAGGTTAATTCCAGAGCTGGATCGAAATACAAAAGACTATTTACAAAAGGGTTGGAGAGATAATATTTTGGCGCAGATTAGAGTTACCGATTAAGGTTGCTGCCAAGTCCATATTTCCAATCACCGTCGAATGAGTTGGAGCCAGAAGGGCGAGAACAGCGAGAACGATACGACGGAAAGAGACCCGCAACGTTGCTTTTGGTGGGTCCAAGATGGGGGAGAGTCGGGAGACGGGAAGTTGGTTGCTGGTGATCCGCAGATATTCGAGTCTATGGCTGATATGTTTTTCGGAGTTGAACGGAGTCGAGAGGGAGTTGAAATGAGTGAGTGCGTGAGTGAGCGAGTAGGCATGTACAAGTATCGCAGACCAACGTAACGGTAGTAGTTGCGTCATTAATGGAGTAAAGAGCGTGTTGCGACTATGTATGTACGATACGATATGAGTACGAGAGTGTTTATTGAGTAATGAACCATTCAGAACGTCAACCAATGAACAGTTCAACAACCAACGAACGACTCAACCATAGACGATTCCTCCAAAGGACGATTCAACCAATAAACAACTGGATAATCAATGTACATCTGGATAATCAATGTACAACTCACAACCACTAAATAACTCGAAAACTCGACTCCACTCAACGCTCTCTTCCTCGCATACAGCCGGTATTGTACATATTCTGTTCAGTACATACTTGTAATCTACTCATGTCGTAATTATCTCCGCTACGCTAGATAGTGTTGAACTACGTACCAAGCCAAGTACAATATATAATATACAACTACGACGTATTATACAACTACTCGTACAATTACTCGCTCACTCACAACGGTGGCAAAGCCCGTCCTCGATGACCGCACGGTTGCTCCGTATCTCCGTAACTCTCTCCGACGAAGGTATCGGATATGTGTAATGCTGCAGTCTCAACGGCGTCAGAGGAATGGAGTTCAGACGGCGAAGGGAAACGGCAACGGCGGCTTAGTAAGCGGAACCGGATATGGATATGGATATCGGATCTCGGATGCCGGATCTCCTCCGTTTCTTCTTGTCTCCGCCTCCTTCTCCACCCCAATCGGTCTCCTCCTTTCCCCCAGACAGCAACGTCACCTCTCTCACCTCTTACAACTAGTCCATACGGTTTGAGATTACTATGGTAAAGTTGCCATTTGACTTTGAGAGAGAGAGCAATAAATCCGGGATTTGCCGCGGAAAGGCCCCCGAGCGTGCGGAGACGGGTCACGTGGACCGCAGAATACCGCCAAAAGTGGCCCTTTTCTCAAGGGCTTTTTTTCCCTGCCCCAAAAGTCCACTCGCTCGCCCGCCCCATGTTGCCGCTGCGGGCCAATCAGCGGGGTGCAATTTAGGCTTTTGTCCTCCTGCACGCTGACACAAAGGCCAAACTCTAATCTCCTTAGGTCTCAGTGCATCCACCTCTCACCGCACGTCTATCGTAAGTCTTCTTCCACCTTCATCATTCCGATTCTTCCATCATCATGACTACTATTGATAGTTATCCCGTTCGGTCGGATATTTACGGTGCTCAGGTGGAGCCGACACAGACGGCGACACAGACAGAGACACAGTCAGAGACCCTGAAAGAGGCGACAACGACACAGACACAGACCCTGAAGGAAGCGACCCAAACAGCGACACAGACACAGACACAGACACAGACAGCGACACAAGCAACACAGGCGACACAAACAACACCCACCCCACAAACACAAACATCAACTAACAACATTGACATGGCGACAAACACAGAAACAGGCGCAAACGCCCCCGACACAACCGCAACGGCCGCCGCAGCCACCTTCACAACCAACAACACGGTGGGAGAGGCGGGCAACAGGGCGGGAAACGCGGTGACCTCCACCGCCGCCACCGCCGCCACCGCCGCCAACTCCGACCACGTGGCGTCCGTGTCGCAACACCTGCGCCAGCGCAACAACTCGTCCAACTCGTCCAACTCGTCCAACTCGGACAACTCGGAAACGTCGTCGTCCCAGTCCAACTCCAACTCCAACTCCTCCGACACCGCCGCAACCACTCTCTCGCCCACCACGCTCACCGACGGCAAGGGCGCCGCGGGAACCGCCACAGCCAAGACCGACATGCATTTCGCCAAACAGGCCATCCGCAAGCTGTCGGCCGACAAGGGCACCCCCACCACCTCGGCCTTCTCGTCCTTCAGCAGCACAACGTCGCCGACCCAGATGCGGCGCCCCACCGCGTCCCTGAACAACGACGACCCCAAGCCGTTTGCGCGCCGTCCCAGCGACAAGCGCTCGCCCGGCAAGGTCCAGCTCCAGCAGCACGACAAACACCTGCAGCAGCAGCGTCAGCAGCACGACCCCCGTAATGACACTACCCAGCAGTCGCAGCAGCACCAGCAATATGACAAGGCCCCCTCGAATGGCCCGCCCTCGCTGACGGTGCGAACCGGATTCAGCAACCCCCAGAGTGCCATCCAGACCCCGGCCTCCACCCTGCCTCCCTCGTTGGCGTCGTCGGTGGAGATTGGCGCCCAGTTCACCTTCACATCGCACAACCGGCTGAACGAGCTCGCCGCCGAAGCTGAGGAAAACGCCGTCGACCAGGCGGCCGCCGACCTTGGCGTCCGAAGACACTCGTCTGCATCCAACATCCAGGAGTCGCACATCCGGCGGCAGATTGCTGCCCAGGAGGGTCTGGCCAAGGCCAACTCGTCCATCGACCTGCTGCTTCCCCCCGTCAACCGCAAGCAGCGGCTGCGACAGTACCAGCCCGCACTGGCCAAGTTTGATTTCGACGAGGCTCTTGCGCACGAGGCCGAGGTGAATGGAGCTCCCATGGGCAGTGCCGCTGGCGTGCCCGGCGCCGAGGCCACCAACGGAGGCACCCCGACATCTGCTGCACCTAATGGCAGTCTCGGAGGAGCCAACGGAGGATCTATGGCCGCGGCTGCCGTCAAGGCTGCCACCGCCATTGCCGGTGCACCTGGTAGCTCGCGTCCCTACGATTTCGCCTACGAGGACGAGATTTCGGCGTCGGCTCCTGCCACCTCCCATAAGCTGCACCGAGTGTGTAGCAATGAGTCGTCTATTTCGACCATGGCTCCCCCCAAGCAGCTGCACACCCCCAAGACGCCCATGTACGTCCCCGCAGTGCTGCGAACACAGAACATGACTCTGTCCACGTCTCCTCTTTCCGATTACGGAGAGACCGTGCACGAGATTCTCATGGACGCGCCCGTCACTGGTCCCCCTCGCCGGTCTCACTGGAAGCCCGACGACGCTCGTCCCGGGTGTGCCATCTGTGATGTGCCGTTTACCTTCTTTGAGCGACGGCATCACTGCCGACGGTGTGGAGACGTCTTCTGTGGACAGCACTCGTCGTACTCGCTGCGGCTGGACCAGCACTGCAACTTCAACAGCCAGGGTTACCTTTCGCGATCGTGCGACATGTGTGCTCAGGACTTTAACGAGCATGTTATGAGCGTGAGTCGACGGCTGGAGGAGACTTTGGGCTGGGGCAGCAGTAGCGCTGCCGCGTGGGAGGAGGTTTCCGGTGTAGCTGGCAAGGCTCGAGGAGCTGCCGCCAATGGCGCTGGTGGCGCTGGTGGCGCCCATCTACGTTCTTTTGACTCGCCGTCTGCTGCCGCGCGCCAGCGTTTCAAGGCCACTGGTCCCATGCGTCAGATGCCTTCTAAGATGGAGGGTGGCGCGGGGCCTCAGGGCCAGCAGCCGCAGACCCAGGACATTGAGGTTGGGTCTGTGCCTGCCAACTGGAACTGGTCGACGTTTTGACGTTGTTTACGACGCACGGGACCGGTCCACACAATAACACAAGCATATGCATTAATTTATAGGTAAGAGAGAGAGATATTTTGATTCTTTGGGTGTATAATGTTTGCTTTTGGGTCCGATTATGTTAGGGTGAGGAATACAGTGGGCTTTAGAGGTTGTGATCTCCTTTTTGGAACGATAGCTATTCTGGGATGTGGCGATAGCGGCGAGACATCGTTTCAGGTGGCGATGGAGATGAGCAGTGCGGCGGACGTACAGGGTTGTATAGAAGATGGTGGGCATTCTGTACCCCGCTGTAGATACACAGTGCTACAGATGTACAAGTACAGTATGTACCCCAGTGTTTCCTACCGTGATTGTGGTAGTGGTATGGAGTGGGGATGGAGAATGGATATCGAGAGATGAGATGGCTATTGAGATGAGATGGCTATTGAGATGAGATGGCTATTGAGATGAGAATACGGCTATGGAGATTTGTCGAGTCTGAGACCGTCTACTCGTATTCGTCTAGGGTATCTTTTACGGACTTACTGTGATGGTATAGTAGGGACAGGTAGATATACGAGTACAATACGAGTACAATACACATCACACCCACCATCGATCTTACAATAACGGTACAATCCTCGTTCGACGACAGATTGTGTGGAGCTGAGCGAGTTGGACACATGGCGAGCAGGGTATTGAACAAGCAGACATGTACATGCGATAGTACGCTCATGATATATGCAGAGACCATTCCACAAGCGGATGTATCTAGAACTGACACCTTCAGAGTTATGTCACGATCCGGTGGCTATAGCTATAGTATGTATTGTACTAGTACGTAGAACACACGTACATTCCGTACTACAAGTACATACAGTAGTCTGATTTCACAGCTACAGTAATGTCAGTAACCCCTAAACTAGTGTTTCAACAAGGCATCTGAGAATGGGACCATCCGGAGCCGCCCTGGTTGTGTCGTTGCTGGTGCCGTTCATTCATAGCACTCTTGTATAGTCTACAGGGGTGTTTCATTCCAGTGATCGTTTGGGCGGATAACGTGACGGACGGATAACGGACGGATAACGGACGGATAACGCGACGGATACGCAGCTCATCAACACTCTTCAACACTCTTTAACGCCTCCAACGCCTCCAACGCCTCCAATTCAGTCGTTATCCCCGCTAGGCTAATTCAGACCGGTCGACTGCCGTTGAAAGACGTTTGTTGGCGGCTGCAGCTAGCCGACAAACTCTGTATCTAGGTTGGATGCATTTCTGAGATGTTTGAAACTCTGGGCCGGATTTAAAAGATGATTTGCGGCTCGTGCTCCTTTGGGGCAGTTTGCCGAGCGTGCCTAACAGGCCTCGCCGGCTCCCGCGCAGCCCACACGCATACGTACTGGCTTCCGGCTGTCTTTGAGGTGCATTTTAGGTGCTGGTTAGAAGGGCCCAAACTCCGCTTCTCCCTGGGCCCAGATTAGCGGGAAAAACTCGGGAGCTGCGAGTCTACCAAACCCGGGGAATTCGCTGGGCGGCCGAAGCTGCGGCGGGCGCCCGGGAGCGTCTTCTTCGGCGTCAGGACGGCAACCTGCGGTCTAAACTCGACTACAACGAACGTTGCTACAAACGTTGCACGGCACTATACTATCGGCGAGCCAGGGACACCAAAAACCAGTCTGGACATATAGGAACCACGCTGTTTCGGAGCATAAAGAGGCAGGCAGGAAAATGACAACGCACCCCGAGCGCTATCTGAACTTTTTGGGCCATTACGTTTGGCAAAAGAAAGCGCGATGACTATTCCTGCATCGTGATTGGTGGACCCTAACAGTAGCATCAATTAATGCACAATCCGCTTGACCAGCTGCAGTTGTCTGCTACGTCTGTATACTGTCGGCACAGATTCGGGCCGGGTTGGTGACTGAGTAGGCGGTTGCTGGGTGGTACAGTACTTGTACAGTATGTAGTTGTAGGAGTAGGAGTAGGAATACAGATTTGTACATAGTTGTGATCGGATCAATACGGAATTACTCGTACAAGTATCAACGAGAAACTGGAACTATTACTCTTGTAGTAGTTGCATCCTGGATCTGAGTATGTATGTACGGTTATAGACACTGTCGGTCGTCTACACTCGTCTACATTACAATACGACTTGCTCTTGTACAAGTACATTCTGTAAGGGCTTATGGCATTCCTTCCATCTGGCTGCCACCCTTTACATTCTGTATCCACAAGATCGACTGCAGATCGACTCCACCATAATCCAGAGCCCAAAAGAGTTCTCACCACTTGCCAAGGATAGGAATGACGGTAGCAAGAAATGGAGAGGAGATATGAAGATATGGAGTTGGGAAGGGAGCATTAAATGTAGCCATGAGCAAGTGGCTGTATTTGTGAGCCTTTGTGATCAAAACCGGTCAGAGTAGAGCTTTTCTGGATCAGCAAGTAAGGCAGCTGGAGTAGTCTGACACTTTCATACATTTCCTGGTGGACAGCAGAGGCACACTAAGCTACCTGCTTACCACTCTGCTGTTGGTTAAACTACCTCGTTTGCTCATTTATTGAATATACGATCCATTTCTTTCCTTACGGATTATGATCAACTCTCCATTGAGACACTGGTTTGAGTTCAACTAGACTCTTAACAAATTAATCCCCAAAAAAACTATTTATTCCCCACGAACTCCATAAATACGTAACCAAAAACAGTAGTTAAGGCCCAAATCTGCTATATTCAACCAGGTCTACCAGGTCGTCTGTTCTTCATTTCTCTGGAGTATCGGGAACACTGAAAATGAACCCCCAGCCCAACTTTCATTTTAACTAATTGTTAACTAACTCACAGGGTTGATTTGATGTCGTCTGAATGTATCATGAAATGACACCATAAAAACTGATTGAACGAGATTCATCACCAATATTCTCGTTCTCCAAAACAAAATATCGACTCAAACAACTCCATATACAAAAAAGCCCACGTGGGGCTTGAGCACACAGTCTGGAGATCTCTAATCTCGATCCCGGGGTTAACAAAAAGAGAATACAACATAAAAATAAAATAAAATAAAATAAAAAATGTAAAAAAATGATATAGAACATTTATATACTCATCCCGACCATGAATGACACACAAAAGAACCCGCAGTAGCTTCACAAGTCACACACACCACCTCAAAAAAATTTAAAAATGATAAAAATGAGCGGTAGGGGAATTGAACCCCTGGCACCTGCTAACAACTCAATGGAAGGCAGATATGTTACCACTACACCAACCGCCCCGAAATTTTCTTGTAAAAAATGAAAAAAAAGATAGCAATTCTGTTTTATGCAGTCTTGACTTACAAAAAGTTGACTTGAGGAGATGTGATGAAGACAGAAGATGATTTGGTGTATTGAGTGACAAGCCGTAAGTGTTTTGGACGAGTTTCTGGGCCAGTTGGTCAGGTATTTATCACGCAACTGAATGTTTTTTTGTTTCTGGGGCCTACAATAATTATTGATGAGCGGATTAGAATAAAAAATGGTAATAGGACCTGAATATTGAAGTGGGAGGTGATGACTGTCCAGAGACGGTACGGCCGCCCGGTTTGTACTTGAGTCTAAACCTCATTTTTGTACAAATGTTCCTACAAGTAGTCTACATCACATTCTGATTCTACACCTGCTCCTAGTCTGAAGTAGTTGGAGGCAAGTAACCTGATTTATTTGGTGTATTCGAAGCAAGGAAACAAAATTATTGGCGAATTATTCATATTCACAGCCAAACACCTTTGTAGACATTCATTGGCTTGTTAGAAGGAGCTACAGTAGGTAGAGTATGTACCTACAACACAAGGAAGAAATGATCTGTATCTAATGCAAAGTCTGTATATGATAAAGGTATGTAGCATTGTAGACACACTTCCAGTATCACATTGGTTCATTCATACATTACCAAGTCTTATCTTCTTCACAAGCCGTATTGTTATGATATTGTGGAGCCTACGAGCTACGAGAGGAGATTCAATCCCCATGAAAACATCCTAAAGTCAGGCAAAAGGTAGCACGTTTGGATAAAAAGGAATCAGTTACACTAAAAAACAACTTCCTGTCTCACCTGTATTTCTTCTCGCGCTTCGGACGTCTCGTTATGCCCGACAGAGATCCACTGAAACTCCATCATGAGGATTCTCGGAATCACCGTATTATCCACTAAAGGATTCTCGAGCTAATATCTGCAACACTAGCATTAATTCGCTACCCCGCAGCTACTCATGGACCAATCATTCTCTTTTATTTGGCTGGACGACACCCATGCGGGCTAAAGTAGCGTGCAAAAAGCTGCTAATGACATAAACATGGGCTACTAAAGAAACGAGTGAGCGAGTAGACAGGCTAAAGGGGTGAAAGAATGTCATTCAAGTCTTGGCTATTAATACGAAGAGAAGGACGTTTTATACGAAATGTTATAACGGTGACAGTCATGACAAGGGAATGCAAACAAGAGTGGCCAACTCGACTTGGAAAGATGCGAAAGAAAGAGAGAGAAAAGATTACCTAATTGAATTATACGTCATCTTCGAACTACCCCGGAAGTATGACTACTAGTCTCACGCAGCTTTGATCTAACATCTGTTGTGGGAGGGAAGCTGGGTTACAAGTATGACCATCGTTTGATAAAGGCATTCATTTGATAAGGAGAAAACAAGATAGACACGAGGAGTTCACCAATGTATTCTATAGCTCTTCAGGATGACAGTTATACACTCTTTTCTGTCTCAAAATCACCACTGATCTCCAAAAGTAGCAGGGCCCAGCCATGCATACCCCAACAATTGGAGCGCACTAAAACAATGCAAACCCGGCTAAAAAATGGGGTAACGGTAAAGTCGATCGATATATAATGTTGCAACCAACACCTGGGTTTACAGCAATTATTCATTTACTACTTTCACAATGTTCTGGAAGAACATGAAAAATGAGCCGCGCCAGGTTCTTAACTCGACACTATGGCTTTCCGTCATTGTCTTTGGTCTTCTGGGCTCTGCCCGAGGTTTGGACGAAGGCATGATTGCTGGAACAACTTCACAGGCCTCCTTCGAGCATCAATTCAATCTCAAAGACCCCACAAAGACCGCCAACCAACAGGCCAACGAGCTGTCCAACATCACAGCCATGGTGCAGATTGGGTCTGTTGGAGGGGCTCTGATAGCCATGTTTGTGCAGGATCGAATTGGACGAATCAGATGTCTGCAAGAGATGATCATTCTGTGGACGGTGGGGGTCATTATAGAGGTGACTTCCTACTCTCAAGGACAACTATTGGCAGGACGATTCGTGGCGGGACTTGGAATCGGCCAGTCGGTGGTGGTTGGGCCCACCTATCTGGCTGAAGTGGCCCCCAAAAACGTCCGAGGACTGTGCACTTGCATCTTTTCAGGCTCAGTCTATCTCGGCGTCATGTTGGAGTACTTTGCCAACTACTCCACCACTTTGCACATGTCTCCAAACAGCCGAATCCAGTGGGTGCTGCCGACTGCTGTGCAGTTCATTTTTGCAGGTCTTTTGTTCATTGGTTCGTTTTTCATCAAGGAGTCTCCACGGTGGCTGATGAAGATTGGTAAGGACGAACTGGCAGTGGAGACACTATCCAAGATCAGACACCTGCCGGTGGACGATCTCTACGTCCAGGGAGAAATTGTAGACGTGAGAGAACAGATTGAGCGAGAGAAGCAGGCGCTCAGCGGAACCAGCATATTGTCTCTTCTCAAGGAACTCGTTTCCACCAAGGCCAATCGATATCGCCTGTTTTTGGGAATCATGGTACAGCTCCTGGGACAGTGGTCAGGGGCCAATGCTGTGACTGTCTACTCTCCAAAGTTCTTCTCCATGCTCGGAATCCCCTCGAAAACGGACCAGATGATGTACACAGCGGTTCTGGGTGTCATCAAGTTCACCTCGGCCATCTGCTGTGCCTTGTTCCTAATTGACACCATTGGACGCCGAAGAAGTTTGTACACGGGCATCTGTCTGCAATTTGTCTCCATGTTGTACCTTGGCATCTATCTCGCCATTGTGCCTGCAACAGTTGGAGTAGATCGATCACCGTCCCAGAAGAAGGCTGGAGGAGCCGCCATTGCTGCCATCTACCTGTCTGGCTGCGGGTGGGCTCTGGGATGGAATTCGATCCAGTATCTGATCAACGCAGAGATCTACACCGTTCGTCACAGATCTCTGGCGTCGGGAATCATCATGGTATTCCACTTTGCCAACCAGTACGGCAACTCCAAGGCGCTTCCGTTCATGCGGTCTGGTATCACCGACCATGGCAGCATGTTCTTTTTTGCGGGAGTGTTGCTTCTTGGACTGGCCTGGTCGTGGTTCTTTCTGCCCGAGGTGTCTGGACGGTCTTTGGAGAGCATTGATGAGATGTTTTCGCTGCCCTGGTACCAGATTGGAAGACGGGGACACAAGCTGGTTCCTGAAACGGGCACGGTGATTCAGATCCAGGAGGAGGAGGAGAAGAAAGGAGGTGTTATTCATGTGGAGAATTGTTAACCCGGTGACAATTGAGTGTGAGTTGCACACTTGTCCAGCGGTCCAGTTAACAGCCAGGAAGAATTGCACAGGGAGTATTGCACAGGGAGTATCTCACAGGGCGCATATCAGCCAGGGGAAGTTGTATGTAAACAGTTTATTGGAGTTTTGTATCGTCGAAAAGTTGATCCAGTCACGTTATTCTGATGTTGGAACCATTTAGACCAGAAAAACTACTATTACATAGAGGAGATCTGAGGTCAGAATCTCATTATTCACCCTACCCGTGGTACAGTTCAAACAGCTCCTTGACACTATTGTGCACACATCGCAACTAGTTACTACAAGACCATTGTTTTCATTCAGGTGGTTCTCTCTGATGTATGGGATCAGACAACCGTCATTTTGCGGAGTAGTAGATTGTTGTTATAACTACTTCCGTCCTGCTTCTGCAAACGGGGTCTGCTGTTTGGGCGAGTTCCATCAGGGTTGATCGAAACAGCAATATCATTATCGATACTCTACCAGAATCCCATTGATCAACTTCACAACACTGATAATCACCAGAAATCATATCGTATCAAACCACCAACCTCACCAACTGCTCATCGGTCGCGATTCCGATTGTCACTTAACTCGTAACATTGGTGAAAGCTTCCTAAGTTCCGCCTCCAAAGCGCCAAACAGACCATATGGCGACCATCTGGCCGTTGTTTTCCACTCCGAATCTCCATGTCACTCTCAGCACGACAAAAAGATATCCCTTACGATGAATTGAACAAAAAACAATGTCCGCCACTTTTCTGCGGCCCAGCAGGATCGAACTGACAATCTCTTAAAAGGCCTTTTTTACTTCTTATCGGTATCCTTATCGGAACTCTAAGTTGATGATAACCTTTGCTGGAGAACAAAGACCATTAAACAAGATACCATCTCTCAAGAGCAAGATACCAAATCTCAAACACAAGATACAAAAAACCCCCATTTTTGCGGTTGATATCCAAAGCAAAAATACCGACTACACTCAACTCGCTTCACGTGACCTGAAAAGTACAGCCCCGTAAAACGGACCCGTTACGAAAATAAAGTTTAGTCTATATCAACCTCTAAAAGTCAGTCGAGACGCAACTCACTCTTGTCGACTCCATTGACCCAGCACAAGAACGGCGGAAAAAGATCACCACCAAAAGTGGCTGTCACGTGACATTATCCTCCGCCAACAACTCCACACAACAATCTCCGATATTCTCCAATATGCACGCTTTGCTCACCTGCTATGTCATGCACTACTCTGTACATAATCCATCTCTATGTACGGGGAGATGAGGCACAGTCCCAAATGGGTTGTCCGAAATTGTTTTGGGAAATCGTTTTTCGAAGGGGTTTTCCTAAAAAAGGACGCGATAAATGCTTCGTGACCACGTTTCTGTCTTCATCTCCCTTCCACCTCCACAATGTTCTTTTCGACTGCGCTCTTCCAACACCAACCAGGGCTGTCTACGGTATGGCTTCTAGCCACGGTCAACAAGTCGCTCCATCGTCGAGAAGTGATGGAGCTACAAATCAACCACATTTGCAAGGAAATCTCGTCTCCAGCTCATCCCATGGCGTTACGACTGTCTTCACAGCTCATGTACGGCACAGTTGTGGCCATGCATCGCCAGTCCTCCTCGCTACAAGCAGACGCAATCAACTTGCGCAACAGACTCAGCTTTGCTCCTCTGGCTCCCAGATCAATTGACCTTCCCCAGAGACGTCCTGCCCGTCAGTCGCTGGTTCTGGAGGACGCGGCAGTTCTGGCCCCTCCGCCTCTGCCTGAGATTGCAGGGGTGCCGATTTCAGGTCTCTCGGAACTCAACCTGCCCGAGCTCATTACACCTGAAATATCTTGGGCGTTCGACGACGATGATGAGCTCGGTGATCTGGACATGTCCTTCGACGACAACGGCTTGCTGACCGACAATCTCAACATTGACGACTTTGTGGTAGACGATGAGCTAAACATTGATCTCAGCTCCGACTACGTTCCTCCAAGCGACCCAGGAGTCATGACTCCTCGGACCCCTCGTTCTCCCCACACCCCCCTGCACAGCTCCCCGTTCATGCGCCATGAAATCATGCAAGTTGACGACCTGGCCACAATCCAGGAAGCCACACAGACCCCGGCTGGGTCTCGAAGAAAACGAGTAAGGGCAGCTGTCATGGACGAGGAAATATCGCTCAAGATGGCAGATATCCGCAGCTTCAGAGACAATTACCTGGAAAACATGGAGTTACAGAAGCAAGACAGGCGGCCTCGACGCAAGCGACGAAAGGGCAAGTTTGGGCAATGGAAGGAGTCCGTTTTGAACCAATGCGAGAGTGATCCAATCTTACTGCTCGAAGACGAGATCCGAGAGATGCTTACCGAACCTGTCGCTCCCCGACGTCCCACCAGACCGAGTGCTGACGTTCCTGTCGAGCTGGAAACAGGTAGAGCAGGTACTTCTGCACAAAACACCCCTGCAAGCATTGAAATTGCACGACGAGGCTCTGCTGCCACATCTCCTTGGAGTGACCAAGGAGAAGCTCGAATTCTGGGGACATCGGGCTTATTTGGTTCTCGAATGAGTGGGTCAGCCGGCGGCACCCCCGGGTCAGGAAGAGCTCGTCATAGTCGTCGAGGAGGCGTGCACTCTAGATCAGGATCGTTTGGCGACATTGATTTCCTCGACGAGTATCCCGACCCCTATTTTCCAGACGATATTCCTGGCGATGACGAGTACAACATGTTGTCTGGAACGTCTATTGCTGCTCACGAGGCCCAAGAGTTCCTGTTTCATCTAATGAGTGTATGTCAGGGAAAGACGTCGTTCGAGGCAATTCTTCCCTCTACTTCATCGGATGGTGTCCCTAACGATCGGGCTACTGCTGCCACTTCGTTTGCCAAGGCCTTAGATCTTGCCACAAAGGGGATCATCAAGCTAAGCGGAGGAGGCAAGCCGCAAAATGTGTTTGTGGAATTGACATGAGGGTTTATAGTGTTTGATTATATCTGGATTAATGCTGTTGGTGTATGTGGGTGATTGCTGCAGCTTGGTTTATCCTGGTCATTTCGTTGTCCTTTCAGAAAACTCCATGAATGGGTTGCCACTTTACCACTAACGAGCCAACTGGAGAAACATCTACAATTATTCTGCCGATGTTTCAATTCTGTTAACAATTCGTGAGTACGAGTCCGATAACTGTACAATTAGTTGTCACTTCACTTAACAGTGTAGTTGGCAAGCTAACTGTAGATTTCTCAACAGGATTTGGTCTATACTGACCGTCATACCTGAGCATCTGCACAAGAGAATACCAAACAAGTCTGCTAATCCGATCGGGATCTCTTTAGTATCAATTAAACACTGTTGCACTGCTCGATGTACCGACTTCTTTCATCTCTGGTCAACACATGGAGATGACAGTCAACATCTGTTATGATGTCGCCATCAATGCCCGCAATCGACTCTCGACAGTCTCCAATGTTTGAGGGCATGGCATACTTAGTTGAAGAACTGATTATGTGGAGTATACTACACAATTGAAGGAGGTGATGGAACTAGTACTGCACGTAAACACATCCACCCTCCGGCACCCCAACTAGAAACCTAGACCATGATGTACACAATGCCATAGGGATGAATAGGCTGCCATGGGGACGAAAAAGACCACTCTTCTAATGACTTTGATCAACAGCAACTACTGTACATACGGTACTGTACTCTACCTTTACTGCAGTAGCTACCACCACCTCTGTCTGATGCAGATGGTACTCAATCCTCGTCTCGAGCGAGACCAGGAAACACCCAAATCCGACTACATTATCCTTTAACATCACAGATCCACTCACTTACTCTTACTCGTACTTCCACTTCTAGTGGGCGCATCCCTTACATGCCGATCTACATGTCTTGAAATATCGATGGACATGTACCTTCAGTCAAGAGATCACCCTGAAGCAGAATGGTCATCATCCAGATCTACGCCCTGGCGACACGGTAATCTGGTAGCCTCCGGTTCGCCTCCCAGTTCGACACTGCTAGCCACCCACCTATCTCGACGCGACTGATCTACACCGCGGCCATGATGTGTCGTCGTGATTGAGTTTCGCAGTCGTGTTTCCGTGCAGCAGCCAAGATGCGTTTGGGTTTCGGCTAAGGAGACAGATCTACACAAACACTCGGTATTGGCAATGATCTACATACCAACGAGATCCTGGATGTGATATATAAGCGTCTCGACGCACCGAAGGGCTTGGCGTTGTTTTTTTGGACGTTGCCGTTGTTTTTTTTTGGACGTTGCCGATTTTTTGTCATTTCCGCTGAGACCCTGTCGCCATGAAACCAGTCGCACTTCTCACATCCTGTGTGGCTACATTTGCCGTGCTTAATGGAGCCATTGCGGCCCCTTCAGCCCCCAAAGTGCTCCAGATCCCCGTCACAAAGCACCACGAGTCTGCTGCTGAGGTCAACCGGACCCTCGCTCTAGCTCGTCGAGACGGAGCGTACACCGAAACGGTCCACAACAAGGAGTTCTGGTACTCCATCTCCATCTCGCTAGGAACACCGGCCCAACAGTTCAACGTGTTGCTGGACACGGGCTCGTCAGACCTGTGGGTGTTCAGCACGGAAGACTCGACCGACTGCGCTAACGGAGCCTGCGAATTCACAGGCCAGTTCAACGCAAAGTCGTCTTCTACCTACCACTACCTCAACAGCGACTACAGCATCACGTACGTGACGGGGTCGGCTCATGGAGACTGGGTCACGGACTCGCTTTCGGTCGGCCCCGTGACTCTCAGCAACTTTCAGTTTGCCGTGGCCGACAAGGCGGTGGGCAATACTGCCATCTTCGGTATCTCTCTGGAGGGATCCGAGTCTCTGAACCATGGACAACAGCCCGAGTATCCCAACTTTCCCGTCCAGCTCAAGAACCAGGGCTTCATCGACAGAATAGTCTACTCTCTTTACCTGGAAGATGTCAATTCGCCCCAGGGCACTCTTCTACTCGGAGGAATCGACTACGCCAAGTTCCAGGGTCCTCTCAATGTGCTTCAGCTTCAGAACGCCAACGCTTTCCAGGTCGAGTACCAGGGAGTCGGAATCAACGGAGCTGGGCCCTACGGACAGCCTCACGTGGCGGTTTTGGACTCGGGAACTTCATACACGTTTCTGCCCGATGACATCTACTACACCATCTTCGACCAGGTCGGACTATCAAGTCAAGTGAACCAGAACACCGGTCTCAACTACGTCGCATGTAACACACGCGTTACTCTGGCGTTTGATTTCGGAAATGGAGCCATCATCAATGTCGACTCTAGCGAGCTGGTTCTCAAGCTGAGCGACATTCTTGGTGATCCCCACAACAACCAGTGCGTCTTTGGAGTCTCATCCAATGACAACACCCACGGTATCACCCTTTTGGGAGACACCTTTCTGCGATCTGCATATGTGGTTTACGACATTGAAAACAAGGAGGTTGGTATTGCTCAGGCAGTGTATACCAGCAACTCCAACGTTCAGCCCGTCACAGGTGCTCTTGGAGGACAGGGTCAGCAGCAGAGTCAAGGTCAAGGTCAAGGTCAAGGTCAGGGACAGCAGAGTCAAGGCCAGGGTCAGGGACAATATCCCTGGGATGGACAACCTTTTGGATCAGGTTTCTTCTAATTTTGAAGCACCAACTCCTGTACTTTTATTCATCTAGTCCACGGAATCGTAGTACAGTACAGTAATTGTCACTGTAGCAGAGCTCAATCGTGCTGCTAAATCCCCAACTGAGCACTCGCTTTCCTTCTCGTGTAGTCAACAACACCTGAACACATACACCAGGATTGAAACTTGCCATCTCGATACCCTAAAAAATGGACTGATGGTTCAGGCCATGCCATTTGAGTCTTAACCAGAGTGATGATACCGGTAGCAAGATCCACAATCTCCTGGCCGTATTTGTGTTCTGTGGCGACCAAATGGCTCGAATCACGTGTGTCACTGCCTTGTGCAAAGACATTTTTCTTTGAGAAGCCCGTGATAGCACCATCGGCATTATAATACACCTTTTCTGGCGTTTCGAGGTCGATGAATGTCGGAACGAGACTTGTATCTCCCACTGTCCACCAAACGAGTCCGTTGTAAAAGGCCTGTGGCCGTGCTCTGAGTGCTTTGGCATATCGCACCATTTTTCTTCCCTCCAAGTCGGCCAAGTTGAAGTAGAATCCCTCTCTAGACACATACATGTTGCCAAAGTGGTAATGTGAGTCTTGTCTGGTGTACCAAAAGTAGTCCTGATGGTGCGCAAGATCCCGGGGAAACATAAGAACGTGATCGGTCACCATGTACACCGACACCATCGTTCTTCCAATGTAAATGTCCTCAATACAGTCTTCATCGTCGATAAGCCAAGTGGGTAGGGTAATAACGATATCGCGAAACCTCAAAGTTGAAATTGTTTCACCCACCGAGACGACTTCATAAGGCTCCTCATATCTTCTCGATTCCATTGTCCAGGGATCCACTACTAGCCTAGCTTGGTCATTATCGATATGCACATGTTCACAAGTTGAAATGCCGCATCCACAGTCGTCCAGAATCGATGTGAAGTCTGACGGCAGATTTTCGTCTTCGAAAAGTTCTAAACTCACCATCGTTTTCCTCGGTGCGTTTGGTTTCGTCACCTTGATGGTGTCAATGTTGTCTGTAGTGTGCCACTTGTCGCTTTTCAGTCGACCCACTAAGAGGAGGGCGCAATCTTGCCAGGTCTTCATCTCTCCATCTCCAGGCTTCATCCAGGGGTTTCGTTGTCTCAGCTTTGTTCTCAAAATGCTATCAGACTGTTGGAAGATGGTGTACCATTTTGACGACACTTGTCGTATAGCAACACATGTCTCCAGGTCTACGCGAGCATAGATCATTGTCATAATCTCTGGAGGAAGAAACCTCGTCTCGGTTGGACGAGAAGCTATATCTTTGAGTACAACTTGCGGTTTCGTACTTGTGACTGGAGAAATGTGCTCGCCAAACTTGCTCTGGTACTTTTGGAAGAACCAGTTCTTGAGCTCTTCACTCTGGTTCCTGACAATGTTTTGGAGACCTCCCTGAAACATGACGCTCTCCAAGGATTCCCAGGTCTGCTCAAACTCCTTCATGAGCCCCTCCCACACGAGACACTTCTCCGACAATCCCAGCAGTATGCCGATGAGATACTGCTGCTGGGCCCCTTCGTAGTCCTTGGGCCTGACCAGATTCCGGAAACCTCGCACGTACTCCATTTGCCGCTGTTGGTTTAGCACGAGCGAACCGTGCGCCGGTGTGAGTCTCTCCATTATCGCGGCACATTCTCTCGCCAGATCGTCCACAACCGCGCTGACTTGTTCCTTGCTGGCGGCAACAGGAACACCGCTCATCTGTATTTCCCCATGCTCGTCTTTCACAAAGTCATGAAACTGAAAGAACTGGAGGTACAGCTTGTGGCCGGTTTCCATGCGCTTTAACCACTCCGATTCTATGCTCTGCCTGAGGTCATCCCATTGTCTATCACATTCTTCGCGGGTATCCATGATGAGGAAATAGGAGGAGATAAGCAGAGGAGAGTAGGTGAGGAAGAGAGCAGGAGGGAGAGGTTTTCTTTCAGTTCGATCATTATCTCGGAGTCCATTTAATCTTAACTTTACACGCGACTGAAATTTGGAATTTGAAATTTGACATTTGAAATTTGATCTTTGAAAGTTGAGAGGATACGGAGATCACTGGAGTACGGATACAAGCGATATATCAATGGTGTCGAATTGTCATGGTTGAACTCAGAGATTTTTGTTGACTTTTGTTCTATTTGATCAAGCACAAATGTCAGTTTTGGTAGTGGTTGGGTTGTAATGGTATCGCACAGTATCCTAGGGGAGCGTTGTTGACCTGCTTTGATGACCTGTACCAATCTCATCCTCACTCTCATTATCAATCAACTTTCTCACTGGCGATGTGCAGTATTGCACCCTTCTCGAATCTCACCAGCTCTTCTCAGCTCTTCTCAGCTCTTCTCAGCTCTTCTCACCCACTCTCATCACGTCCAAGGGTGCCGAAAGTTTCTTACAATCACCCTTCAATAGATATAATACAATATATACAAAAACCAATGTCTACCTCCTCCTCATAAATAATCACCCGGATCATCACATGTATGTCCCCTTTGTCTCGTCGTGCTCCAGTTTGATCTTCTGATTCATGTGGTTCCCATATCCCACGTGTTCTGGCTCGAGCAGGTCGAAATCGCAGCTGTAACTGACCTCCATCATGTCGTCCAGTTCCTCAGCCTCCCGTTGAATCTGCTCCTTGACAGCCGTAATGGAATCACTGCCAATCACAAACCGATGCGGAGGATTGGGGTTGCACGCTATGGAGATGACTCCATGGACAATGTCGGTGATCGCTTGCTGTGGATAAATGTCTTCGCGAACTATAATGTTACGCAATCGCGTAACATGTTCCGACGTCTGCTCATCTTCGGTCATAACCACCCCCTGTGTGAAAAGAGACGCTTCAAGAGGAGCAATAATGTTTGTGATTTTGATGCCGAATCGCGACACTTCTAACGCCAGCGATTCACAAAAGCCGCTCAGAGCCCGATTGGCGGCACACAGCAACGACAGACCTGGGATGGCTAAACTGGCGGTGGAGTCCATGATGTTGATGATATGGCCCTGAAGCTGGCGCCGAAAGTGCGGCAGAATCGCCTTGATGACGTTCACGTGATGGAAGAAGTTGCTCTCAAACTGCTCGTTCACCTGCCAGTTCTCGTACCGCGACGCTTCTCCCAGAACCATGGTGTGACTGCAGTTGACCAGCACGTCTACTGTGGGGCGTCGGTTGAAGGCATCGGAAAAGGCCATTTGGCACGAGGTCGAGTTGGCCGGGTCAATTTCGACGAACGACAGAGAGTTGTTGGAGCCGTGTTTACTCAGCAGAAGTTGCAGGTTGTCTTGAGATGTGGTTTCCCCCACCTCCAGATTGCCCAGACCCTTGTTGATTCCTCCGATCACCACGTTGTTGTCATGTAGTACGCGCTGTGCAATTTCGACGCCCACCTGCGTGTTTATGTTGCAGATAAACCACACGTGCGCCTTGGGCCCGTTGTCTACCTTTTTCATCGGGTGGTATCGGAGTGATGAGATCAAGTGTGTAGATCAAGTGTGGAGATCGAAAATGTGGGGTCCGAACTTTGTCCGGGTTGCATTGTTGAGCCGCAGGGTCGTAGAGATGAGATGAGATGGATGACATGTGAACCAAAAACATATCACCGCGTCATGAAAAGGGCCGTTAAACGGAGTCTGAAGGTCACAAAGCAGGAAATTAGACATAATGTACATTGTCACGTGATTCCCTGCAATCCAGTCTTTATTGGTCTACGAACATGCGGTTTTCTGCTCTGGGTGAGCTGTCTGCTCTTAACCAACGTCTAAGTAAACTAGAGCATAGTGTTAACTGTGGGTTAGAGGATACAAATGTGTTCAGCTAAATGAGATAAATATAAACCTTTTCTTAACTAATTATCAACAAAACAACAGGGAGGATCGCAACGGACCATCACAAGACGTAACACAAGTAACACAAGTAACAGTGCCAATGCTTCATCTACAATTATAGGCGTTTAGAGGTGTACGATAAAGTCCCTATGTAGGTCTGGACAGATTCCCATGGATCTCAAGACATACCAACCTGCCTCATATTCGTCAATTTTTCAATTACTGTATATACGTGTTGAAAACGATCTGAGAGAAACACGTGCATTGGAAACACACAGCACTGGAAGCACTTATTCTATGATCTGATGACGCCTTTTCTCTGATGACGCTTCTTCTCTGCCAATGTCCGCACTCTCTTAAACCTCCAACTCCATAGAGTCCTTAATAACACCGATGGCAGCACTGGTCTGGATCTTCTCGGAGCCTCCGTTGGCCAACCGGTACTCAATGTCGGCAAGCTTGGACAAGAGTGCAATCTTGGTCTTCTCCTTCAGATTGAGTGCCATCAGTTCGGCAGACAGCTTCTCCAGAATGTCCACCAGTGCCAGACCTCGTTCTCGTTTCAGAGTGGAAACGGTGTCGTAAGCTGTGGTCCAGTCGTCGTTCAGGATCGAAGTCAGAATCGTGTCAATGTCTGCTGGGTCAGGCGACCCAACACACAAGTATACTTGTGAAAGAGTGATTGTGTCCTTTCCAGGGTGCTCCAGACCCGTGTGGCACGCCTGCAGCACGTTGAGAGCCCGTCTCATGTCTCCCTTGGACAGCTCCAGCAGCGCTGCCTTGGCGTCGGGCGCAATCTTGACCTTTTCCGCGTCAATGACCTGCATGATTCGTTTGTCGATGGCTGCCTCGGGCAAAGGGCTGAATCGGAACCGTGTGCATCGCGATAGCAGCGCGGGGTTCAGCTTGTGTGTGTAGTTGGCGAGAATGCAAAATCGGGTATGGGTGGTGTACTGCTCAATGACTCGTCGCAGGGCGTTCTGAGCCACGTTGGTCATAGCATCTGCCTCGTCCAGAATGACCAGTTTGAAGTTGGATCGCGCATTCTCTTCGCCACCACGCTGGAAAATCTGCCGCGAGCTGGCAAACACCTTGATCTGGTCTCGCACCACGTCGATTCCTCTGTCGTCGGACGCGTTGAGCTCCAGCACCATGCTCTTGTAGCTGGGTCCGTAGATCTCTCGCGCCACCGCAAGAATGGTGGACGTTTTTCCGGTACCGGGAGGACCGTAAAACAGCAGATGCGGGAACTTTTTGTTGGCCAGCAACTTTTTGAGCGTGGTCACTACTCCCTCGTGGCCTGTAACATCGTCCAGAGTGTCGGGTCGGTACTTTTCGACCCAGGGCAGATGATCCTTTCCGGGCTTGATGGTGTCGACAGCAATTTCCTTGCCCTTTCGCGATTCCTCGAATCCCTCCATGTTAGCGGACATTTTCTGTGTGTGTAGTAGTGTTGATCTGTGTGTGCTGGACGCGTTTCAATTTGAAGTTTTACATGCATGTGGTGTTTTTCTTTCTTATAATATTTTTAAGCCGGCTGTGAGTAAACGTCAAGTAGGTACTGCAGGTGTCGTTGGGAAATAGTTGAGTATCCTTAACACTGGTCGAAGTTTTAAAACCGAATAGAGACGACGGGAATAGTCGAAAAATATAGGAGAAACATGACGAATCGAAATACTTTCAATAAATAACAGATATTTGTCTCATCCCTCACAATCTGTGTCTCAACTCTCACCATATCCGCCCCATTGGTCGAGATAAACGCCTACCCTTTTTTTTTTATTCTCGCCCACCATCAGAGACAATCAAGGTTATCGAAATATTGTGACGTCATTGGGTCGGTAAAGCGCGAATATCGGGGACCGAAACGGCGTAGAAAGGTGTCAAAAACTTGTAACGGAGACTCTAGTTGCTCCATCTAACAGCTATCTCTCCCGAACTCCTACTATCATCGCGTCGTCTACTCGTCAAACTACCGCTGCACACTCTGTTCCCCCAGTATTTTTCATTTTTCAGTCGGAACACCACGTGCGGCTTAAAAACGGTTGTTGGACAAACTCTTTTTTTTCAAGGAGAGATGGTAAGACATGAAGAAGACAGTACAAGTTGGCGTTGAGAATACGACCTTGTGCATCGAATCGTCCGCACGCTCAGTGGCGCGCCTGCTTGAGTAAAAAACACCTCGTCTTTACCACGTGATCGGGCAGCTTTGGGTCCGCCTGTGTAGAGTTACGTAGTTAGCATCCCCAGTGTTGTACAGCCCGGCACGTGATGTGCACGTAGGCTACCTTGCACCTTTCAGGCTCTTCTCCACCACCCAGCATGCGTCTGTGGATCCTAATTCTGGGGTTGGCGGTCACGTTGGTCCGGGCGTTTCTGGGCAACGTGACCGACGACGACTCGCTCGGCACGCCCGAGCTGCTCCTGCCGTTCCAGCATCTCGGCAACGACCTGTGGAGACGGGTGGTCGAGAACCGGGCCAAGGCTCCGAGCTCGGTGATGACGACCACCTCGAGTACTACGACGCACACAGAGTCCACAAATCTGTTCACGGCGTCAACAGTGCCCAATTACAACCAGCCGACCGGCACCACGCCGGTGGTGGCCACTCCCATCGCCAACAACCAGCCCGTGGACTACGTGATGAAACTGAACGATACACGTATCTACAATCTGACGGACATTCCTGCCAACGCCAAGACGATTTACATCACCGCCAACATCTGTGCCGGTCCACCTAACCTCAACTACAAAAACATGTCCATGGACTACGACTACACAGCCCCTGCATTACTCAAGGCTGGATGGAACCCGCAGAACATTGTCTTTTCCATGGACAACTTCGAGTTTGGATTCGCCAACTTGACGATTGATGTTAGCGCGGTGCAGGTGACGAACCTCTACATTCAGCTGGATTTCAGCAACATGACGTTCGACACCAGTGCACTGACCAAGATCGACTCAGATGTCAACAATGTCGACAAACGTCAAGTAAAACACGCAGAGCTCAAGAAGGACAAGCTCACCAAGCGGAAGGACAAGGATGAGGACAAGGATGAGGACAAGGCGCCCCAAGGAGGCTCGGACGATGGAGATGAGGTGGTTACTGCTGCCCCCAGCGATGTTTCTAATAACGGAGTATCCAAACCTGCGGCTCCCACGTCGGTCGCAGGACAGGCCACTCAGCCTGGAGACTTCACATACTCGCTGGGGGTTTCATGGGAAGCGCCTCTCTATTCCTTCAAGGACACACCGAACCTCTATCTGGTCGACTCCGACTACAACCATGCATTATTTGTGACGGGCAACCTGACAACCGATCCCCAGAACGCCACATCGGACCATTACATTGTTGATATCAAAAACGCCATCTACGACATTACTGCGTTCCCCATGGAGAACGAAATGCAGCTGTGGTGGCTCTCCAACTCGTATTGTGCCATCCAAAAGGGCCCATCTGTGCTCAACTCGGGTAACTGCGATGTTTCGTACACCCGGCGAGGTCTCGGACATTACTACAAGCAGCAATTTTTCATGAAGGGGCTGAACAACTCTACCCCCTACCTTGCTGTGCTAACCAAACCCAACTCAAACACGCCAGGAGGCACCGTTTACGACCAAGTGTGGTTCTCCTCCAAGACATCAGACAATTGCCAGCTGGTCTACGATTTGGACTTTTGCTCTGATGTGGCGTACGCGGTTCCAGGAAACTCGTCCATGGTGGACTCACAGGAACTAGCTAAATTATACGACGATAACGCCTCCAAATGGTGGCAAAACTTCACCTACTCACAACAGATTGTCGCCTGTAACGCGTCGCTGGACTCGAGATACTCCATTCTCAAGTCGTGCGACGACTGTGCTGACTCATACAAGCAGTGGCTTTGTGCCGTGACCATTCCTCGGTGTGCGGACTGGTCCAACAACGCAACCTATTTACAAGAACGGCCTCCTGGCACTTCACGAAACGCCCTCATTGATCGCGTTCTCAAGCCCGGACGGTACAAGGAGATCCTGCCGTGTCTGGACCTTTGTCAGAAGATTGTGCAGGACTGTGACGCTTCTTTGGGCTTCCAGTGTCCCAAACAGCATCGAAATAGAGAGCTCAGTTACGGGCTGCGATCAGACGACGGAGATATCACATGCTCGTATCTTGGAGCAGTCTACTTTCTGGACGGCGCGCGAGCAGTGACGCTGTCCGTCGCCCTGATGGCAGTGTCGTTCCTGTTTGTGGTCTTGTGGTAGCATAGATTTATAGATGGAGTTCAAGACTTCCAGGCAATACATTTAGATATATGGTGTGGGCGACAATGTAGAGCAGGACAAACGAGCCAAAGGGCCGCTGCACGAGTCCGCCTGGGAAGCTACCGTTTGTCGGAGATTGAGAAAGCTGTTCAGGATACCTTAGCGAGTTCTTAGGAACACTATGTGCTATACATACGATAGCTACAGTCTACTATACAGCGACTCGATTCTGTACAGCGACTCGACTTGATTCCGTAAAGCGACTCGCTTCGTTCACAGATCCAAGACGGAAAACGATTTCAGATACTTTTATACGACGGTGGAGTACAAGTATATGTGCTGGAACATTTCTACTCACCGGAGTGCAACCAATCTGTAGACAATGTTCATCTTCGAGTGCAGTATTCGTTCCCAGTGTATGTACATACTGTACACTGTAGGTACAGTGCCTACTTGTACAGGCCGCCGTACCACAGTGTACAACCTGTAAGACGCTGTACGTAGTCCAATACTCGAATTCTATATCACATAGACATTGACCACCAATCCTTGCTCCATCTCCTTCTCATCTTAGACTTAATCTCAGTGGATACCAAGCAAGCTATTGCTGTATCTGACAGACACAGCAATAGCTCATCTCCTGCAATATTTCTGTGACCAACTGTGCCGATCTGCTCTCAATCCCCCCTCTAATACACCGATACCACCATATCTACGCCTCGCCACCAAAAAAGATCAACATATAGGCCCCCTTGAAGTTGCTCGATTTGCCACCCTAAATGCAGTCCCAGCCCATTTTCTCCCATTTCTGGCCTAAATTATCCAAACTCAAAATAATACGAAAGCTGCATAACCACCGATAATCTATCTCGCCCCACACAACTAACACATCTACACCTTCCACGACATGCTGCGACTCACACGAGCCTTTTCCACCTCGCTACGACGGGCCAATCACCAGTTCGGATCGCTCGGACCCATGTCGGCGCCTCCCAGACTACCCAAGGAGCAACAGGAGGAGTTTGAACGTCTCCAGAAGGCGGCAAGCACCTCTTCGGCGTTTGCCGATCTTATGACTGACGAGGACAAGGCCGCTCTGGACGCCGACATCGGACCCACGCTTTCGTCCAAGGGCCCTGAACTCATGCATCCCGAACAGCGACGACGATACGACGAGTTTGAGGGAGATCGAAACCCCAAGACTGGCGAGATCGGAGGCCCCAAGCAGGACCCTCTTAAGCATGGAGATTACTCCTTCAACGGACGATGCACGGATTTTTAAAGAACATCTAGTGCTAAAGCAACTGCCAGCAACGCTCTCACCAGCAACAAATTGTGTATTCAATAGATTTTATTTCATATCACTAAGTACAGTAGTTACTTAACAAAAGCTAAATAATCAAACCGGACTTACTTGCACTCGTACTTACACCTCTATCCGTTCCACTCTCAAACCCGTTACATTACACACAATAAAATTATTCATTACTTTTCCTCCTTGGCCTTCAGAACCGCCAGCAGAGTCTGACTCTTGTGCAACAACTGCTCGAGCTTTTTCTTGGTCTGCTCGGCTACCCTATCCTCCTCCTCCAGCATGAAACTCGTTCGAGATAGCTCAGCCCGAGTAATACCCTGGATCGCATCCACAGAGTTGGACGACGTGTTAGCGTCTCTGGTGAAGCTGGCTATCTGCTTCGCCTGAGTCTGCGCCTGCTTGGTCTGCTTCTCAAACTCGGGCAGCTTGTTCTTGAGCCGGTTCAATTCGACATGCCACTTGCGCTCGGCATCCGACAGAGGCAGCGACTGTGATCGGTTCAAGTCGGTCAGCAACTTGTCGAACCTCTTCTCATGATCCTTCTGACGCGCAATGAGCTTCTTGAGAGACTCAAGCATGTCTGTATCACCATAATGCTTATACAGCTTCTCAAACCGAGATTTGACAGCCTCCAAGTCAACCAGTTGCCGTCGCAACTCACTCTTCTGCATAGTTAGGCGTCTCTCCATCAGGATGGTGACCTCCTCCATCTTCAGATTTTCTCTCGAGAAATGGTTAGCAATCTGAGTGAACACCTGGACCATGTCAGGATGCTCGCGCAACTTCTCCGACATGGAGAAGGATAAATTCTCAGGTAGATCGGGCCTAATCTTGACAGAGTTGATCTTGTGGATGATCTCCGGTGAGACAGCACTGATCAGACCAGCTCGCTTGACGTGATCAGCCGCGACATTAACATTAAGTTCAGGAATAGAAGATGCCTTCTCCAACTCAGTAGCCGAAAGAGAAAGATCACCGTTCTCGGAAACAGACAAATCACACTCGTAAACCTGGTCTGACACAAGGATGAGACGCTCTGTGAATGTAGAGACGCCGTAGTCGGGTGCAAGAGAAATGCGCACACGTGACGAGCGTAGTTTGGTGTTTTGAAGCTGGCTTAACACCTGCATGTCCTGCTCGACGTAAGCTCCAGCAAGCTTTCTATACCAGTTTCGAGTATCGACCTGAGTGACGGAATCAGACGCTAACACATGAACAAGGCCATCGTGAAGACACTGAGACAGAACAGCAGCACTCTTCAGATCAATAGTCTCAAGAAGAACCATCTCCCGAAGGCCAAGCGCGTTGGAACCGTCTTCCTCCTCCTCCTCCTCGTCAACCCAAATGTGATCAGGTGAATCCCACGAACACACAACAGGGCCTCCAGCGTACATAAGAATGTTGACTCTGCCAGACTCAAAGAGCTCTGCAAAAAGGGCGATTCCACGTGACTTGAGAGCAACCAGTTGCTTGGCAGTCTCCGTGTACATCTCCTTGGGGTAGGGAGACACCACAAAGGGACCTTGAAACTTGAGCTTGCCGTTTCCAAACGGAGCTTTGGGTTTGGTAACCTTCAGAGCTACCACATTTCCGTGTCGCACATCCTTGTTGGCCAAGGGAATCTGTCTCCATAGGTCATAACACCAGACCAGGTTGCCCTTGAACATCTTGGCAGTGGTGACACCCGGAGGAGGCAGACCCGAAGAAACCTTGGTGGTTTGCTCAAGGTAAACAGCCTGGTCCAAGATGCTCTTGATCTCAGTCTCGGTTAGAAGAGCGGAGGAAGGCATCCAAGGGGAGAGACAGAAGATGTCGCCATCCTCGTTGAGCAGATACAGAGTCAGGAGACCCATGGCCGCGGACGAATGGCCAAATGAGAAGGAAATTACCTCACCAATGGTGTCGATTCGGTCATCCTCCTCAGCAAGCTCGAAAACGGACTTCTCAATGTTGCTCTCCAGCGAGACACCAAGAGAAATGACCTGATTATCGCCGGTAAGAATCTCAAGAGTAGCATCAGGGTCTGCGACAGGGTTCCACAGAACATAACGGACACACGAGGCCGAAATGTGCTTGGAAACATCTTGAACGGAAGATTTGGCGATGTCGGAGTCGTTAATTCGAACAACAGAGACGTTCTTTTCACCAACAACAGCCAGCAGAGTGCCCGAGGGGTTCAGCAGAATGTTGGAGATCGCGAATCCAACCGAGACAATCTTCTCACGTGTTTGAGCACCAGTGATATAGCTGTAATAGAGAGTATCGTTGATGGCTGTGAAAAGAAGGTTTCGCTTGAGAGCAGTTCGTTGACCAGGGGTGGTGAAAGAGGCATTGGGTGTCGACAAACTGGACTTCTGGGGGGCGTTAGATGCAGTGGAGAAACCTGGAGGGGCAGATCCGGCCCGGTCGCTAGACTTGGGAGCACCAAGTCCGCTGGAGCCAAAGCCGCCAGTCTTGGAGGCAGGAGCAGGAGAGAAAGGGGCTCCGAAACCGAATCCCCCAGTCTTCAGAGGAGGCGCAGCAGAAGAGGTGGCACCAAGTCCAGATCCAAATCCTCCAGGTGAAGGCTTGGGGGCGTCAGATGACGACTTGGCTCCAAATAGCGAAGAGGTAGTGTTGTTACCTGTGCCAGAACCAAGACTGAACGGTTTGGTCTCCGTCTTAGCATCAAGATTGAAAGAGGGAGCAGCTGTCTTACCAGCGTCGGGCTTGGCATTAAGATTAAACGACGGAGTGGCGGTCTTGTCTTCGGGCTTGGAAGAAAAGCTTACGACGGGCTTGGGGTCGGCCTTGGATCCAAAAGTGAAACCGCCAGACTTGTTATCGGTCTGGGTTCCGATAGAGAACAATGGGGCCGCAGGTTTGTCGTCCTCCTTCTTAGCTCCAAAGGAGAAAGACGCTGTAGCAGGCTTGTCGTCCTCCTTCTTCGGAGGAAGAGAAAAGGAAGGACCCGTGGGCTTCGTCTCGTCCTTCTGGGCACCGAGAGAGAAAGGGGTGGCAGTCTTTGTGTCGTCCTTCTTAGCACCCAGGTTAAAAGTGGGAGCAGAAGATGAAGTAGGGGCATTGGCACCAAAAGAAAGCGCTGGTTTGGAGTCAGTCATCTTTTCGTCCGCATTCTTAGTACCACCAGAAGACAGAGGAGGCTTGTCCTCCTTCTTGTCATCCTCCTTCTTAGCACCGAAGGAGAACGCAGAAGGCTTATCCTCTGTTTTGGCTCCAAACGACAACGCGGGCTTCCCGTCCTTCTTATCCTCATTCTTGACACCAAATGAGAAAGCAGGCTTCTCGTCCTGCTTTTCACCCTCCTTCTTGGTACCGAATGACAACGCGGGCTTCTCGTCCTTCTTTACATCCTCCTTCTTGACACCAAATGAGAAAGCAGGCTTATCGTCCTTTTTGTCCTCCTTTACATCCAAAGACGGAGCCGTCTTGTCTTCATTCTTGACACCAAACGAAAAAGCAGAGGGCTTATCATCTTTCTTGGCCTTCTCCGGCTTAGTCTCCTTGTCGTCCTTCTTGTCCTCGGGCTTGGAACCGAATGCTCCAAAGGACAACGTGGGCTTTGAATCGTCCTTTCCCTTTTCCTTCTCCTTCTCGGCTGCAAAGCTGAAGCTGCCAGTAGCAACACCAGAGGAAGATCCAATTCCAGAGCTAGAAGTGCCAAATCCAGAGGGAGAGCCAAATCCACCAGACGACAGCTTGGGGAATCCTCCAGTAGCAGGCTTGTCGATGCTGGACGAACTGAACAGAGAGGGCTTCTCATCGTCCTTCTTGTCATTTCCCTTGTCGTTGTCTTTCTTGGTTCCAAATGAGAATCCAGAAGGCTTGTCCTTACTGTCCTCAGTCTTGTCCTCCTTCTTCACACCAAAACCAGTGAAAGCCGGCTTGTCGGACTGATCTCCCAAATTGAACCCTCCAAACGTAGGCTTGTCGGTGCTAGACTTGTGGACCGAATCCTTGGGCGTATCGAACAGAGAGGCCTTGGGCTTGGCCGGGGTGTCAAACAGGCTTGGTTTTGTGTCCTTCTTGTCGGAGTCGCCATCCTTGGGCTCCGCGGGTTTGGCGAACGAGAATCCGCCGCTCCCGAAGGCCGGTTTGGCCTCTGTGTCTGTTGTTTTTGTGTGTGTATTGTCCGAGTTTGAGTCTTCCTTCATGTCGTCAGACTTGGCGGTAGTGGCACCAAAGTTGAATTGCGGCTTCTGACCAAATGCGAAGGTCGGCGCCGCTCCTTTCTGGGGCTTTTCGCCGTCACCAGCGTTCGAATTGGACATGTCGATGGAATGTGACGAGGTAGCACTGTCGATGTTTTGAACTTGATTTTTGGGGCCCTGCATTACGAGGTTATTTTCCTGTATGCATCTTACTGCCAACTGAAAGAGCATTGTAGATCGCTACGAGTGCGAGTCCAAGGGCCAAAATGACTGACATAAATCTGAAAAAAAAAGTCTCAATTCGTTCCTGGACCGCCCCCCAACTTGCCCCATGCGATGTAATTGAACCTCTCGGCGCCGTCTAATCGCAGCAACGTGCAAGTCCAACCACCCCCCACCGTCTAAAGAAGCAACTACAAGACCCTGGATAATGATGTCTTCAAAAAGCTCCCAAAATCGCATAATTTGCGTATATATATACTCCATACTGTAATATACGACTGTAAAAACGATAATGGGTACTTTGCTGCAGTTACAGTTCCAACACTGCCTCTTTGTCGACCTTTTGCAGCCCCGTTGGTGTCCTACTACTCAAATATATTTTTTCAAATATTTAGTTGACTTAATTTCTCTTCTCCAACTAAAGCTAACCAATTAGCCTCCCAAAAGAGCCTTCTTCAAGTACTGCACGGTACTTTTCCTACATCAAAAATTCTGCACTCCCGTCAACAAAGTTTCAGACTATCGTGATCTTTTTTTCGAAATGAAATTCAGCTAATTCACACACATGGAGCTCACAGACGAACTGGCGGCAATCTCCATCGACACAGAGCCCCGCAAGGTGCTCAACGAGGCGCCCAAAAAGGGCAAGGGCAAAGTCCGAAAGGGACAGAGCGCGGAGGAGTACCAGAGACAGGTGGATCTGTACACCTCGGGGCCTCCCGTTCAGACCTTGACAGTGAGTACCTCCACAGCTCACCAAATCACTTACATTGGTTCCTTCCACTAACACAGTCAATCCTGGAAAGAGACTACAGCAACATCGACGGCATGGACCGACTCGACAGACATGCTGTACGACATGCTGCGGAACGGGCTTACTTCCTGAAAAAGTACGCGGAATGTATCAAGGTGGTGGACGACAGCAAGTTGCTGGAGAGTCCCGAAGTGGAAAAGAAACACGCCCGAGACGTTTACGAGATTCGTGTGGTCTACGACTCGGCCAAGTCTCTTGTATAAATATTTATTAATGCTATCCCTATTCAACAACACAACGCTAGTGATCCGTGGTTCCATCACTGATCCCTTTGATATACGCGCACCTCAATGGTACTGATTATCCGCTGTTGTTTGACAATCTCCTCATCGCTGTCCGACTCGTCGTCTCCATCCACCTCCATCTTCTCTGACGTCTCGTGAGCCACCTTGATCTCATCAAACAGAGTCGTTTGGCCCGTGAAGATATCCACCTTGTATCCCTCTTTCTGAAAGCGCAGCCCCAGGCTGATGGTCTTGTCCACGCACTTTCCCATGCCCATCATTCGAATGTACTGGCGCCTGGGCTGCTTGCGACTGGGTTTTAGCAGCTTGGTCACCTTCTTGAGAGCAGACACAAAGGCCATTTTGCTGGACACATAGAAACAGTCCTGCGACGCCTTTCCAACCAGTCTGATCGGCGCATGCTTCACTATCGTTCCCTCCACCCGAGTTCGCTTTTGTGCCGCTGGTGCCATTGTTGTGTCAGAGATTGAATTATAAATTTCAGCAGATTATGCAGGTGTCGATAATTGTATTAGTCAGCTGAGCAGGGCCCAAGCAAGGCGCGAAGTTGCATCAGTTCAACATATACAAGCGGTTTTTACAGGTCAAGGAGATGTATGAGCCGAAAGCAATGTTATGACCCTCTTTTAAGAGAGATTTTCGTTCCCACAATGGAGATATAGCAGAGTCGATCCGGACGAGTTATAATAGCCAAAATCAGGTGAACTTTGATAGGGCAATTTCGGCTTGGAAAGGATCCACCGTGGTATGATGATATCGTAATATCGTAGCTACCGTATTGAATAGTGCGAACAGTACGAACAGTACTCGTAGTTAGGTGAAAACGGAGAGCTATTAGCCTGGTACAGTACCTACCTACAGTTCATACTGCACCTACAACACACTGTAGATCCGTACTGGGAGCACTGTATGTACTGGGACTGTACGATATGAGAACCAGCAAAGAAGTTCCATTGCGGTATTAGTGGTATATTCCAACTGCTTACTAATATAAATGTCCCCTTGATCCTGTCTTCGCTATTCATTAAACATTTTCTATCAATACACACCTCTGCTATACACTCGTGATATGGACCCCTACCCCAATTACCTAACTCTTATCAGGCATGAAGTTTGGTGGACAGAGTTTGGTTTTAACATCAATGAAACGAGGGATTGAACGACACGTGGGCAAGTTCTACACGCGCAAAATCGCGGCGAAAAACATCAAGGTCGAGCGGCGGCAGTCCTCCAACGACGGCGAGGCCATCCAGCGCTTTTTCGAGCAGCAGCAGCAGGTTCTTCTGGCGCAGACGAAAATCATTGCTCTGGACGGAGGCGCAGTGACCGTGCCCGAGGAGGAGCTCTATCGCATGGTGGAGACATTCTGTCGGCATGGCAAGGGCGCGCAATGCTGGCAGTCGCTGTTCAAGGAGTGTATCGAGCCGCTGACGACAAAGTGTTTGGAGAACATTGAAGCCATCAGCCAGGCCGGGCTCAAATCGATCACCGCAGCTTTTCTGGACGAGTACGACATGTGGAGAAGCCGCATTCTCAAGCTGCAACTCATCTATTTCTACCTGGACCGCAGTTTCCTGCTTCAGAGTGGCAATGGGGGGAGCGACATTCTCCGGAGATGTCAGGATCTCGTCCGAGACAGGATTTACGCAGTCATTAGCCAGCGGGTGGAGACAGATTTCGCTTCTATCTTCGCCAATCTGGTTCGTGGAGCTTCTGATTCGGCATTGCTGCTTCAGCAGTGCGAGAATGTGGTTCGAGAGCTCTGTGGAGAGTCCAGTGAGCAATATCAGCGCATTATCAAAACGGTGGCGGTGCAGAGTCGGCTCTACTTCAAGTTGCAGGCTGAAAAGTGGCAGATTATGAGCCCCGTTCAATATCTTCAGCTGGTGGTTGATACCCAAGTCACAGAGCATAGACGCATTCAGGAGCTGATAAAGGACTCATCTCGGGTTGAAATGATCATGTCTGCCCTTCCCGAAGAGATGATCGTTCCGCATGTCCAGTTCATTCGCAGAGGAGTGACTGAGTCGTTTGAAGATGAACTCATGTTCCCTTACATTCGTCAGCTGTCGTTGTTGTCGTTCGAGGGCTCTGAGCAGCAGCTCAGAATCGGTGACATCTTTCGCCAATGGATCGAAACTGTCCTGGGACCCACTTTTACAAATATCGACATTGTCGTGCAGTCGTACCACAAAAGTAGTCGAGTCACTGAGGCACTGGCAGACGCAGATCTCATCAACAAGGCACCGGACTGGGTGGCAGGGTTCAGAAACAGCATGAGGGGTAAGAGAAACCTATCTGAACAGCTGGCCAAATTCTCCGACTCGCTACTACGAAAAGGAGCTAAAGGAGGAGACAGCTTGAAGAATACGGCTGATGTTAAAACACTCACATTTCTGCTCTCGTGCATCCCCGAGAAGGACGTGTTTGAAGTCTACTACAAGCGATACCTCAGTAAACGTCTGCTGGTGGGTCGAGCACTTGGTCTAGAAAGTGAAAGCGAACTGTTGACCATTCTACGAGACGAGTTTGGACCTGAGTTGACAGAATCCATGGAAACAATGCTCAAGGATGTGCGAACCAACTCGCCCGCTACCATGGCGCAATATCGCGACTCTGAGATATACACAAAGTACGGCAACTTCGACCTGAATGTCAACATGTTGAGTCAAAACGCATGGCCGCAATTTCCGGCTTCCACATCACCCATCCGGCTACCGTCGCAAATGTACTCGCAGCTAGACAACTTTTCCAAGTTTCTCAGCCAAGATCCCAAGAACACAAAGAAGAAAGTTACCTGGCAACACGCTCTGTCCTCGTGTACAATCAGAGCACATCTCAACGAAGACACCAAGGAGTTTGACGTGTCTCTGCATCAGGCGCTAGTGATGATGCAGTTTGTGGATGAGAAGAAAAGACCGCACATGACCTTCGCGGACCTCCTGGCTGCTACAGGTATTTCTGAGAGAGAGTTGACCATGTCTCTACACTCCCTCATGACGCCGAAGGTGAAGATTCTCATCAAAGAAGAAGGGGATGAGACACGGTACAAGTTTAACTGGAATTTTAGCTCGAAACTACGACGAGTAAAGGTGCCTTCCGTCGCCAGAGGAGCAGACGATATCATGTTACCCCATAAAGCCATTCAGGACACTTTGGAGAGAGATAGGAACATGGAGATCCAGGCTGTCATTATCCGAATCATGAAAGCCAGGCGGACTGTGGGACATGCAGAACTCGTGATGGAGGTGTTGGATAAAACGAAATCACGAGGCATTCTAGAGGTGGCGGACGTGAAAAAGAATATCAGTAAACTCATTACTGACGACTTCATTTCCCGCCAAGGACGAGATGTTTACGATTATGTAGCGTAATATTTATAAGCCGATGGCTATACAAAACTCATCAGTGAGGCTTGTTGGATACGGCTTTTACGCTGCATTTCTACGGGACAACATTTCATAACTGGTAACACTGCTTGTAGCCAGCCTAATTCATTATATAATAGAGTGAATATCCTTCGCGACTACTCCGCATCAAAAATGACATAGGCGTTCACCAGAATAGTCTCAATGACTCGGCCCTGGAAGCCCATCTCGGCCACATTGCCGTAGTCCGTGTTCATCAACGTAGGACCCCAGACAATGCCCAGGTTTACCACCGACATTCGGTTGATTGCCTCGCGCTCCTGGATTCGGTACAGGTGGAAAATCAGGTACCGCAAAGTTGTGTAGTTAGCGTCGGGAAGCTTGTTGACGGTTCCATGGAGCGCGTCTCGTCGTTGTATCGCGTTTTCAATCATGGCGCCATCAATGAACTCCTGATGCAACTCCTTGGTTAGTAGACAGTCGGGCAGCTCTCGGAAGTAAAGCTTTAGGGCAGAAGCCACCGAATGAATGTCGTTGAGGTTGTCTGAAGGATGCAGCAAGTCCACCTTGGACGGGTCTGTGTCAAACAGATGCTTGATTTCTTGGATCTGCGAGTTGTTTCCATTGGCTCGGTAGATACCCTCCACTTCCAGACCGAAATTGTCAATGGCCTGCACGCACTGGTACACTGCTCTCGGTACTGTTCCACCCTCATAGTCGAGAAGATCCTCGATGGGAGTGCCGTAGACAGGCATGGAGTCCGTCACACCAGGGGGGAACTGCGTAGGCACCACCGAGGAGGTCACCGACTGCTGGTCCATAGAGATTGTGGGCTGAATGGGAGGAGGAGCTGTGGTAGAAGAAGTGGAGGCCACTCGAGACGCAGCGATGCCTCCGATCGTGCCAGCAGCTCCACTAGGTGCAAGGCTGGTCATAGAAGACGCGCCTGGGGGCTGCAACACGGAATTGGTGGTTCCCGAAGACACGTTTCGCTGTCCCACACCTGCCGAAGAGGGAGTGGAAGATGAGAATGGGGAGGGGTTTGAGGAGCTGGCAAATGGGGTCGGGCCCTTGACCGGCCTGGAAACCGAGGTGGTGTTGTTGTTGCTGCTGGAGTAGTTGAACGACGACTTGGGGCCTGCACGCGACTTGTACTGAACCACATCTCTGTTAAGCCGTTGTTTTCGAGGCACTGCCATCACCGAGTCAAAGAAGTCCTTCTCGTTATCAATGAGAGCAGCGTTTTCTCGCATGGAACGAACGTTGGTCGAGGTTCCGGGAGGCTTGAGAGGCGAAACCACAAAACCGTTGTTGAGCGCCAGAGTCTCGCACACGTTTGCGAACTTTTGAAATTGCAGTGACATGCCGCTATCGCACTCAAAAATGAGATCCTTGAGATCCCGTGATGCTTCAGGTCGTCGCACCCGCAGCAGCTCCTGTCGCGACCGTTGGGCAGCCGACACCTTTTGCTGGTAGTCCTGGTCGGCAGCCTGGACCTTTCTTTGTAGCTCCTCCTCGTGCTGGACCGAATTTTTGGTTGTTTTGAAGCCAAACTTGTTCTTTGTGGGGTCGCCAGTTCGTGCCCGTTCCAGATCGTCGTACAAAGACTCGTACTTGGACTTTGCCTTCTCTGCAGCCTGCTCCAGGTCCACCAGGTTCTTCTCGTGCCGCAGATGCGTCTCCTTGACCTGCTTTCGGGTCTTTTCTGTGGTTCGGGCTAGCTCTGATAGCTCGTCGTTCATAGCATTGAGCTTTGTGACAAATGTGGCGGACACATCGCTAACCCGCTCGCCCACACGTGCAATCTCGTCAAACTGGCGATAGAAGGTGCCCTGGCGGTGCTCGGGCCGTTTGATGGCGTCCCGTGTGTTTCGCGACAGCTTCTTGAGATGTGTAATGTGGTCGAGTTCTAGAGCTCCTCGCTTTTTGATGAATTGCGCAAACTCCTTGCACGACACAATGCTCTGTTTCGAACGGGCCAGCAGCGACGAGATTCCCACGTCCGATAGCATGATTTCCTGCAGCTTGGGGTCCTCCAGCAGGTGGGTGCTCTTCTGGGGCACCACGTTGAAGTTGGAGGCGTTGAGCGTGGTTCCCACACTGGTGGAGGTGGCAGTTGCTGAGGACGACGAAGGTCCAGACACAGAGCCGCTGTGGTTGGTGTTTGTGTCCTCCACAGACATGCGTGACATGGCCGGAGTCAGGCCCTGGTCCTCCATATCGCCCACAGAAGACGTGGACACAATGGAGTCGCCATCATTGTCGCTGTCGCTGTAGCCTGCTAGTGACTGGTGTTTTGTGGTGGTGGGGGTTTCTGTGGTCGACGAGTTGTTGCTGGGCTCGTCGAGAATCATGGACGGCTTGGAGGCCAGGTCGTCCTGGTTTTTGGGGTCCAGACGCGATTCTGGCATGGTGATAACGGTGGACTTGCAACTGGTGGTGTTACGTGTAGAGTGTCCTTTTACAAATGATAAGGTTTGAGGAGGTGGGTATTGGGACGAAACAATAGTGAGCCGCACAGCTGAAAAGGAGATGTAGAATGGGATTGGGACGAGGTATCGAGGTTCTGAAACATGTATTTTTGTGAGAAAATGCGGTTCAAGAGCTATGGACCTTTCAAATTTCAAATTTGGACCCCCACTCGGCCAATTGAACGACCTACTTCAAAGCGGGGCTTGGTGTAAGGGGTAGCTGTCAGTTCGATTCTGGGTGGGGAGGATATAACGACAAGGGCCAATATGGGATTTGGCACATGACCTTCGGTCGTGTTTTTGCTCTAGTCACGTGACCATGTAGGTGGCTACCAGTTATTCGACAATTGTGCCGTCTCTGTGTTCCGTTATTTGTCTGTTTATCTGTCGCCGTCTAACTTGGCACGGTTGTCTGTCTTGATTATTGAACCATTTGGAAGTAAAAATATAATAAAAAAGTGATAATAATAATAATAATAATAATGAATAAATTAATTAATCACTCCAACACCACGATTATACGAGTATGAGATACGAGAAGCGGGAATGTGGAACAAGGACAACTTTGAGAGCCTTTGGAGGGCTCCAAAGCGGCTTGTTTTCTGTTGAAACTCGAATCTACATCTCTTCAAACAGCAACTGTGGTTGGATGCCAAGTCTAGTTATTTTTAGCCGTGGGCAGGGTACATGGATCACCACGACACACGAGACTGTTGAGACAGTCAATCAGGGTACCTAGGGGGAAAGCGGTAGACAAGATGGGTTGTGAATGTCTCTCTTTGTAGAGTAAATAAAGAGCAGTATCGAATATCTGCTCCAGTTGTTTATTTACCAGTGCTAAGAGGTGATATTTCTGTAGTCTTGTTTCTGCACGATCTCGCTAAAACTCGTGCTTTTTTTTTTTTATGACGTCACGGTGCGTGCACAGTACAGTAGCGTCCTAGGTGGTAGACGCTGGGGATTGCTACAAGTAGCAGGAAAAACGTGTACACTACGTACCGTGCGGTGCAGTATGTATAGTACAGTACAGTACTCCAGGGTCTAAGTGGAGTTCTAGTTCGACTCGTCGTCATCACAAGAGTAAAACGTTCGCCCATGGCTAGACACTCCGTATGTACGTTACAGGTGAGTGTCTACGACGCTCGATTGTAGTCACCCTCATGGGACGGAACACCCTAGAATTTTGTTTTCTTTTTGGGAAAATCTTTCTGTCGAGGTCAAGTAAGAGTGGCCCCTTCTCTACTGTTCATGAGACCTGGCAGTGTGACTCTGAGATGTCAGACGAGCTCAGGGTGTCAGTTTGCGTTAAATCCGAGACTGGTGAACATGATTTGGTTTGGAGGGCTCGAGAAAAGTCTGGATTATGTTGAATCGCAAGTTTTCGAGGTTGTCTAGACCAGATATCGGCTATAAGAGCTCTTTCCGGATCGTGATATCAAGATTGATCAATCTTCCATAACGTAGTGAACTTTACTATAATGTGAACACCAAGACAATTGTCAAGACGAGGAGTTTACCGTTGTGTCTAGAAGGCTTCCTTACCTCGTGTGATACCCTTTTTGACCCGGTATAGCGACGAGGGCTGTTGTATTCTCACCTTCTGGTGGATGGACTCGAAGGTTTCGCTGCTCTGAGATCTGACTGCTTTGATACCTGAATCCTTCAACAAGTAGAGGCTTCAGCTTCCAAAAGGGGAAATTCTAGTCATCCACATGCTCTAGTCATCCTCATGTTCTAGCCATCCTCATGTTTTAGCCATCCTTATGTTCTAGCCATCCTCATGTTCTTGTCTGCTCATCTTGTAAAGGAGACAACTGAACAGCAAGTACATACTGTGCTCATCCTATACAAGTACAGTATGTACAGTACTCGTAAAAGGACTGCTTTCTCATCGTGAAGAGAAAATCTCACCTCAATAATTCTGGAGCAGAAGTGGATCACCTCATCTCAATCACCGCCCTTTGTTAATGTTCACTTCTCGGGAGAACCCTCGAGAACCTGCACCGTACATTCTGGTCAAGTTCACCACACAAGCTGTGCATATGTTCGTTTGGATGGGTGTGAATTGTTCGCCAAGGAGAATTGTTCTCCAAGGGTAGAAACAGGTATCGATACATAGTGTAGTTGTTCCATACAGAACTGAACAATGGCACTAGAGTCTTCGGTTCCAGACACTTATCAGCGTACAATGTATCGGCTATCTGCGACTCAACTCTTCCAAACAGAAACCTCATTTCAGATGTAACTATTTTATGGCTAAAGAAGAGGACTTTGTATTATAGACCTCCTTCCATTAGCTCCTTTGATTCGAATTATACAACTTTTTGCTCAAAGATCCAAGTGCACCTATACTCCTGTTGTTGAGTACACTCTCATTCTACCAGAACGTCTACAGTAGCCTTACACACACCCATTGGGATACACACATGTGTTACTGGTGACAAGTAAACTGACGAGAAGAGTCTTCATCTCCGGATTTCAGTCAGATTCTCTCTCTCTCTCTAAACCTTTCGGGAACTGATCAAATCGTTCGAGAGACCTCAATAACAGCCCAGAACTCACCCACCCCAAAGGTCAGCAATTTGGCATATCTGGCAGCGTAGATCCACTTACGCATTCATACTCTATAAACACTCAACCTGCCATAGTTCCCATCTAAGATCAGCCAGTCAATCGTGTATGACTCGCTACAGACGACGCTAGTTTGAGATCACGTGATCAACACAAGTGCCAACAATCCTTCAGGACTCCATTCCAATCTTTCCTCTTTGTTTGGTTCGTTTAATTATATATTTTGTTTCATTTCGTCTGTCCGCGTCCACCAATAAACAGCAAACAGCCTCTGAATGTGTCAAAAGTCACCTAAAAAATCCAGCAGCGCACATGAAACCGTGCATCTCAGCTGTTTCACCATACACTGCTGGTTGGTACCACTTATAACTCTCACTCAATTGCCACTGGATGTAGATAGATGAGCGGTGTGGACGGCGATATCGGACTAGTTCGATCCTCTTATATAGATTGTGTTGAGAGTCTGTATTAAATAAATTTTACAATTTCAAGTCAACCAGAGTGCTATTCATTTTTATTTATTTATTATTTTATTTTCAGCGGTTTTAATCACTTTTCGACAATTCTTATTTTATTTTTATTTTGTTGCGGTTTATATTTTGATTTTGATTTTTGGCCCCACTTGCCCCACTTGGGGATTTCATTTTAATATCGTTTTAAAACCCAAATGAACCTTCCCGTAGCTAGTGTGAGTCATCTTGACTCAGAAAAAGTAGGAGACAACGGCGAATGTGGAGAGGAAGGGAGCAGGGCTGCAGAGGTGGGAGGTGTGGGGGTCGCGTGATCCGAATGGTATCACGTGACGTCGTAATCTGTGTCCAAGACGCCGTTTACCGGGCCCGAAACGACTCGGTGTCGTCTCTTTCCTCTCTATCATCTCCCAAAGCAGCCCCGAGTTAGTTTATGACGTTTGAGGACAGACGATCTTTGACAGGGTGCGTGGAGGAGCGCGGAAATAGCAAAGAGGGGTGGTATTGGGGCGTTGACGACACTTTCAAGTCAGTAGAAGTTGCCTAGACTCACCTATCTCCCCGTATCCCCCCCGAAACAGTCGCATCGCTCCATCTACAGTGCCATGTTTCAATATATCTCTTTTCGTATGCACGTCCATCTTCAACTAACTTTGGCTCTTGTCCCAACCACCTAGTTGGGCCTCGGTCAAACCTTGATTCCCCAGATCCTATGTATTCCAGATCAGGTCGGAAAAAAGAAACCACAACACCCCAACACCAACACCAACAGCTACAGCTACTCTACACGCTCTTATTCACACTATTCATGGAGGCGTATCATCCGGGCGACCTGCTCTCGGTGATCCACAGCACGATGGCCATGATGCTCATGTGTCCGGCGCTCGGCATGCTCTATTCAGGGCTCACTCCACACTCTTCGGCCCTCTCCATGGCAGGCATGAATCTTGCAGCTCTATCGATGGCTGTATTGCAGTGGGTGGTATGGGGGTACTCGTTGGCTCTGAGTCCGACGGGGGGCAAGTTCATGGGGAATCTACGACACGCAGGCTTCCACCATGTGGCTCTGGAACCACACCCCATTGCTTTTGGACGGCTACCAGGACTCGCGGTGGCCATGTTTGAGGGCATGTTTTTGTGCATCACGGCGGTCATTATGACGGGAAGCATCGTGGGGCGAGGCCGTGTCGTCCCCTTTGTGGTCTTCATCTTTTGCTGGGCCACGGTGGTTTACTGCCCCATTGCATGCTGGGTTTGGGGGCCTAATGGATGGAGCGGCAACTTGGGCGCTCTTGATTTTGCGGGAGGCTCACCTGTTCACATCAACTCGGGATTCACAGGTTTGGCATACGGTATCATGCTCAGATGGAGCCGAGGAAGGAAGATGGGCCAGACCCCCGTGGCGGTCCCTGAACCACATTATCCACATTCAGCCATGCTGGTAATGATTGGAACAGGCCTACTGTGGACGGGGTGGCTCGGTTTTGCGTCTGAAGGCGCCTTTGGGGCCAACCTCATGGCTCTTATGGCTTCGTCCAATACTATGATTGGAGGAGCGTTTGGAGGACTAGCATGGGCCGTGCTGGACTACAGAATCGAACGAAAGCTGTCGATGATTGGGTTCTGCTCAGGTGCCGTGTCTGGACTCGTTTCTCTGTCCCCTTCGTCGGGCTATGTGGCTCCTTGGGCCGCTATTGTTTGTGCCATTGTAGGCTCCATAGCCTGCAACCTCGCCACACAGCTCAAGTTTTTCATCCACGTGGAGGACCCTCTGGACGTGTTTGCTATTCACGGTATCGGCGGCATGGTAGGTTCGCTGCTAGTCGGGCTGTTTGCCGAGAAAGAAGTGGCCAAACTGGACGGAAACAGAGATATCAAGGGAGGTTGGGTCAATCAGCATTACGCCCAGCTTGGCTACCAGTGCGCAGAGGTGTTTTCCGTGGCCGGATACGCCTTCTTTGTGTCTCTTGTTCTGCTATTCATCATTGATCGAATTCCAGGGCTACATCTGCGGATGGATCCTGAAGCAGAGAGCCAGGGTCCTGACACCAACCAGCATGGCGAGGTGTGCTACGAGTTTCTGGCGCAGCTGGGTGACGACCCCAGCCCCAACCATCCAGACACGGATCCTTCCAACACCATCAATGGGTCGTCCCCGCGTCCTTCCATGGACGGCAACCAGTTTGGCATCTATGAGTTGCATGCCATTCAGTCCAAAAAGGTGAACGATGCGTACCATTTTCCCATGCACCCGCCCATGCAGGTCAACTTCCCTCCCCCGGTATCCCAGCCGCAACCTCCATCTCAGGATGCGACCCCTCCGCCCCACAATGAACCACCTCCAACGCCCATGCTGGACTTTAGTCTTGGACCCCAACAGCCCCCAAGACAGCCGTTGAACCGCACAGTGACGTCTCCCTTGCTAGGGGAATGAACTGGTGACGGCGTATTTATTTGTACTTACTAATTATCATTAATGCCGAGAGACGACAGGAGCAGGAGACAAGAGAGAGATGAGTATCGAGAGGTGAGACACTCGAGGGGTGAGACACTCGAGGGGTGTATGCATGCGAATGCCCGGGCACGACGCCAGATGAGTGTAATGTCTCACAGACGACCATTGGTAGTATCCATTCTGAGACCCTGACCCAAACGGTCATAAAAGCACCGCAACAGAAGTTCGCAGTGGATGAAGAGTGTACATAACCCCCAGTTCATGGACGTCACTACCCCAACTCATCGAGGCGTTAAGCCTTTTGCAATTAGAACTATTATCCAAATTAGCCAGTTATCTGGACTCGCATCACCCCCAGTTTATGGAGTCGCGAACGTTGTTGCAAGTCGCGATAAGGACGTCTATATAAACCCGTAGTCCAGCACCTTCCTTCCCGACATCTTAACCTCGGACACTGATCTGATCATACTAAGGATAGTTGTACTGGAGTATAATCTGCTGCGATATATCTGTTCCCTTTTCTTTCCTGTCTGACACCTGGATTCACTTTTGATGACAGATGGTACTTGTACTTGTACTTGTCAATTTCCCAAAATTCGGGCTTGCTATGGACAGCTTTTTTATTTTATTTTATTTTATTTTATTTATTTATTTAATAATTTATTTATTTTTAATTTTTTTGCATTTTAATTTATTTATTTATTATTTATTATTTATTATTTTATTTATTTATTTATTTATTTATTTTTGCATAATACATCCATCCATCAGTTAAAACTTCACTTGGGAAGAATACAGCTCAACCTACGCCAAACCACTTCACTGAAACGCGTCTATTAAACTTAAAGTTATAATTAAATGAATGTATATGCAGAAAAAAAAAAAAAAAACTTACCCGCTCCGAAATTACTTAGGGCGCGACCACAGCCTAAACCCGGTGACTACAAGTACAAGTACACTGCATGTTCCACTACCGAGTACCGGTACAGTACACAAAAGATACGCGTCGAAATCTGCCACCGAACCAGAAAAGTGCGCTTTTTCCGACGTATTTTCGGCACTGGGATTTGAGTGTCAACTCTGATGGGCACCTGTACCATTAATTACGCGTCCTGCAAGGTCACGTACGTGTGCAAACCTCCACCACCCCAGATCACTAAGCGACCATAACAGTGACGAACCAATATGTCCTTCGAACAGGCGACGGAACATCCAGGTTCGTCTTTTGACCGTTCGAAGCCAATTCTGTATCGACTCGACTACAAAATAGAGGCGTTTGTCAATGAAGGACATCGATTCGTTCATATCCCCAACGGGCGGAATCCCTACAACACACTGAGCCATGTGTTTCGACAAACAGACATTGATATGGAGCCCAACATGACCTTTGTCGTTGAGAACACTTACGTCGACTATCCTTGGTCAAGTCAGAAGTGTCATCGGGATTTCCCATGCGCCCTAAGGCCGAACGTCGTTGCACCGATCCCGCCTCAGCCACCTGGTGCTGTCGTTGCACCGATCCCGCCTCAGCCGCCTGGTGCTGTCGTTGCACCGATCCCGCCTCGGCCTCCTGGTGCTGCCGCTGTCACGTCCAGTGGTCTTTCAAGCAACCCTACTGAACGTTCCGGGGAGTCACTGACCGAGAACTCGGGGCAGAGCTGTTCCTCGAAACCAGGGGACCTTCCAAAAACCACGACTGGAAGGACAAAGATGTCAAAGGCCACCGAACACAATCACCGAGTGGCGCAGCTACTCAAGCGTGGCATGAGGCTCACGTATCCTGACATTACAATGACATGTCGCGAATTCGACTACCCCACCATGTACAAGCATCTGTTCAACGATCAGATCAGATCTTCAAGAGCCGCAAGTTGGCTCAATCTTACGTTGATGAAATCGCTGCCAAACATGGATTTGCCGTCAGATTTAACAATGGCCAGGGGTACATGGCATGTACACGGAACGAAGCTAAGCCCACACGGAAAAACGATACACGGTGCAAGGGTGAATACGACGAGAGGGTCAGAAAGACACGAGTCACGCATACGGGGTGCAAGTTCTCCTTAGCTATCAAGAGGGCTTATAACGCCAACGAGTGGTATGTTGTCGATGTCAGCGACGCCAAACCCATTCACAATCATCTGCCATCTGTCTGTTCTGCTTCAAATGCTAGATATCGTGCTCAACAGCTGGAGGAGATCAGGGCTCAGTTCAAGTCAGTTGGTGCTGACGAGTCCAAAAGCGACAGCGAGAACGATAGATTGGACATCTGCGACATTTTCATGGACGTTCAAGCCGCTCCTCGACAACTCCGAGAAGCACTTCGTATCATATCTCCTAAAGGTTACGCGGTGACAAGCCAGGACGTGTACAACCTGTATAAACGACGCGACAAGGACCTTTTCGGCGACATGGACCCTATGGAGGCTTTGCTGGTATTGTTAGAGAAGACGCCTCATTTTCACTGCAGCTATCGACTCGACGATGATCCGGCTTTCCTCGATACCGAAGCTGTGGTTGGTGACCTGCAAGAAGACAACAGTGACGATGAAAGTGACGATGACACGGAAGTACAAACTGTACCAACCAAGCGAGCTCCAGAACCCGCGCCCGTACCAGCACCTATCAAGAAGCGAAGGGGGCCACCAAAGTCCCAGACTGGCTCAAGTCAGAGCGAGTCTGCCACAAAGCCTTCCTCACCACCGCCCGAGGGAAGCCCTCCGGCTGATGACGAAGCAAAACGCGAGAATGTCGTTTGTGACATCTTTTTCTTACACCGCAAGTCCATCAAGTTTATGAGGACCTTTCCTGAGGTCATCGCAGTCGATTGTACTTTCAACACAAATGGGTACAACTACAGGCTCTTCAACATTGTCGGTGTGGGATCGGATAATAGGTCGTTTCCCATTGCTCATGCCTTCATCTCCCGGGAGAACGCTGACACCTTTGCTTGGTGTTTGAACGAGCTGAAGAAGATCATGGAGGAATTTAACATTCCCTTCCCGGAGTGGATCCTTTCAGACTGTTCCAAGGCTTTTCTCAAAGCCAAGTCTCTTGGTGGCTTCCCCGGAAAAATCCGTCTCTGCGACTGGCATGCTGACCAGGCAGTGCTGAAAAGGGCGTCCAAGCTCTTTAAGAGTGATACTGCTTTCGACAAGTTCATGGAGGCCTGGTACTTGATGAAAGGTGCCAACAGCAAGACACAATTCCGGAAATTCTACAGCAAGTTCAAGAATGTGTATTGGAAGCCGGGCACTACCGAGCCCGACCAGAAGGACTCCACATCTGTGGGAAGAAACAACAGGGCATACTTCTACATCAAGAGAAACTGGTTTGGCGACCCCGACAGCGACCACCCAGACAAGATCAAGTATCGTCACATGCTCGTCAAGGCTTATTCGAACGGTACAGAGGATTTCTTCAACAAAACCACATCCCGGGTCCAGAGTCTCCACGCACTGCAAAAGAGCAACATGAGATCGCGCATCTCTTCTCTCTTCTCGTCTGCGATGACTGTGATACGAGTCTCGCTTGACATCCTTGCTGACTTGGAGACCGAACACTCTCAAGCCATGGAGAAATACGAAGTGGCCTTGAGCCGAGACTTTAACGACTGCCTCATGCCATTCATTTCAGTGCTGGCACTGCGAAAGGTGGCTGAGCAGGCTCAGAAGGGTAAGCTCAGCAGTCAGCAGGCTGAGGGGACTGGGGCCACGAGTCGCACGAGCAAATGCTGTACCGAGAGCTTCATGAATACCTCGGGTTTGCCTTGTATACACTACTTGCGCAAGATTCTAGCCAAGCCCAAAGATGGCGCCACCATGAGACCTAATGCTGAAGTCAACAATGCGCCCGGCAAGTCGGAAGAGGAGATGTTATTTCCTGTTCTAATGCTCGGCGATTTCCACCCACACTGGAGAAATCTACATGCCACACTAATGATGGGGCCTGACGATTGGGATAGCGCAACCAACTATGGCAGACATCGAGACTTGTGGCGGAAATTGCAGTGCAGGCTCGAAAAGGATAAGGAAATTGACGAAATGTGGCGGAAGAAGGACGAAGCAATGCTACAAGAAGTGGCATCCGGCAACGATTTTGTTCGCTTGAAGACTAAGGGTGATATCGCTGACACGTTCGTTAATGGCACAAGAAGAAGCACAGGCCGAGTGAAGCCTTCCCTCGACAAGGGCAAGGCCTGCCCCATCTGCAAGAAGAAAGAGAGTGGCCACGCCATCACCAAATCGTGCTTCCCCAACAACGCTGCGTACGAGCGCTACTTGGAGAAGAACGACCCAGAGTCAAGATTGGAACGCATTGCCCTCGATAAACGAAACTTGCAGAAGGCGGGTCTTGTCGAATCCGTACGCAATGCTTATGTGACTGCAGGCGACGACTCCGACAACGAATTTCCAGTATTGTAGTGAAATCTACGTCAAACTCACCCAATCTGTGATTATCGACTCAGGTTCGAAACTTGTTGAAGAGAACTTTGTTAAGTTTCTACTAGAAGTGCTCGTAATCTCAGGCAGATTGTTTATGTCTCACTTGGTCAGGCGGTGATACTGAAACCAGCGCCAAAACATCCACCCGAAATGAGAGACCTGACGCCTGACTGGTGCAGGGAACTACAATGTGGAAGTAACCGTTCTATGGCCCTTTTTTTCAATTCACCTCGTAAATAATTAATACTGTAATAATTATCGCAGTGCTGTTTAGGCGTGAAAATAGTTCAGTCTATTATATCATAATGGAGTATTAATCGCACCAAAAGAGGGTATCCATAATAAAAGAGTGTATATATACAAAAGAGTGTATAATAAAAAAGAGTGTATAATAAAAAAGAGTGTATAATAAAAAAGAGTGTATAATAAAAAAGAGTGTATCTTAATATACCCGCTCTCACCAACTACAAGTAGTCCATATATTTTGTTTTCACAATAAAATATTCGGACGCCTTTGTCCAATCCTATATACGACCAGAACATACCCTTCCTCCATCCACCTCTGAACTCCTCAGACCCATCATCCTAACCCTGTAAGACCCCTGAAACATCTCCACGGCCCTAAAACTGACCTGCCATCCACCGATCCGAGCCACAGACCAATTATTGTGCACTTTGAGCCCTACAAGTAGCGGTGAAGCCTGTCGGCGCTATTTTCAGCTCTGAACTAGATTTCACCAAGCGGCTCATAGAGTTGTCAAACAGAGTGGATCGAGTCCTGAATAGGGCGAGTGCGATACCAGTCGGAGCACAGTACGAATACGAGCACAATACTTGTCTGGTACAATCATGGAGGTCGGTGGGTTAGGTGCCATTGCTGATGTGGGTCACGTGACTGGTGGAGCGAGCGCCACAACTACTCTTTGGTCACGTGGCTATCAACAGCAACTACACTACAGTACCGGTACTTTACGCACTCGTATATACTGTAGTTACAGTAACAAAACTCGTATGTCCACAGCCTCCTTTCTCACCTGCTGGTTTACTGCACGGCGTGAATTTTAAAGTCAAGTCAAACGTGAAAGATGCGAATGGCATGTCTCGTATCTAGCTCCGTATCGACTCCATTCGGAAGAAAACAAGGCAGATGGTGTGTTTCAGTGTTACTCTGCATTCGTCATGTTTTTCTGCCTTGCTCCCCAACCGTGATCCACCCTGACAGCCGTCGCTTCCCCTCCATCCCCATATATATTTTTAGCCAAAACCCAAACACTAGATGCAGTAGGTTATGCAACCGGCTCTATACTTGTTGGTTGGACCTTTGAAGACCATCTCACATCGCTCTGAGCCATGAAACTCGCGCAATTTGCCGTGTGGCTCGCGCCGGCAGCAGCCATATACTTTTCCGACTGCTTTCACCAGCGCAACAACCCCCTGGGGCTCTCGTGGACGCCAGACAGCGTTTTCGCCGACTACGACAAGGACGATGGCCGTCTACACTTTTCCGTGACCGGCACGGTGTCAGGGGCGGTGCTCAGCGACCTCAACGAGACGGAAAACAAGTACACAACACTCAACAGCCAATCGCGCAGCATGAAGGGGCTTTTTGTCGACAATTATACCCGGTTCTGCGACGAGGTCAGCAAGGACACCAAGCCCGAAACCTGCCCTATTCAGCCGGGACAAGAGGCGTCCTTTGCATACACAGTGGAGGTGCCCGAGGTGGCGAGGAGGATTTCCGATATCGCAACGATATTCAAGATCATCAGCCCGGTGGACAATGGAGATGGGCTGGTGGTGGGGTGCGTGGAGATCCAGACCAGTCCCGTAATTGATAAGGGCACAATCTACGCCGTCATTTTCTCAACCCTGGGCGTGAGTATAGTTGTGTTTGTGGCAACTTTCGGAGTGCAGTCCTTCTCGACATGGAGCAGGTTGAACACAGGCTCTGATTCAGACTTGGACACCTCGTCTCCGCATGCAACTATGAAGGCGTCGATTCTGGCGCAGTTCACGGGCCTGGTGGCGTACTGGCAGTTTGCATTCTTTGTCGCTTGTCTGAATCTCAACTACGCAGGTGCTTACCAGGCTGTAGCCTCTGGATTTGGCTGGGCCGCTCTCACGTTTGGTAAGAGCTTCACCAGCGACGTGATCGAATCTGCAGACCCCGCCAACGGACTCTACAACTTTCACACGCCGGGAATGCCAGCTATGGCAACGATAGTCGGTCTGCACGACAACCGGGACATTTGGCCAGGCTTCATCATATGGTTTCTGGTCATTTTCGGGGCTACCATCATCGCCATGTGCGTGTCACAATGCCTGGCCGGCAGAACGAGTTTTGCATCTCTATTGACAGGACTCGCTAAAACTACAATCACGGTGGTCTACTCATTACTTGCTCTGCCTCTGCTGGCCCTCAGCTTCTACCAGCTTCAGGCGGGAGGTACTCTGACCGTGGCCAAGGTGCTCAGTGGCTTGATTGTCGGGTTTTGGGCACTGGGAGGTATATACTTTTGCTGGAGTGTATCTCAAGGACGAAATGGAGATTTGGGATGCTTCACAGGATGCATGAAGCCAAGCACTTCATCTGCGTTTCGAGCATCCATTGTCTTCGTCGAACTAGCCCACGTCTATCTGCTGGGTGTGTGTATTGGCGTTCTGCAATCTTCGGGTGTGGCCCAGGTTGCTTTCTTGGGCACATTGGAGTTTCTCATCTTTGCAATCACCTTGATTGTTGCTCCTTATGTGTTCAGTCGTCTGAGTGCCCTGGTTGCACTGTTCCGAATGATCATCTCTCTGCTGTCCATTGTATATATTCGCAGTTTGGACACCTCCCTTTCGCTGAAGATCATCATGGGTATTGTCATCATGGTGCTGCATTTGGTGGTCTGTTTGTCGTTTTTGTTTTTCGCAGGCCTTTTGATCTTCCGACCTCGATTTAGATCCCAGTCTTCGCCTGTCAGCTCCTCGTCTTCCTTCAACATCAACTCCAAGTCGGTTTCTCCCGTCAATGGTGACACGCTTCTGGGCCAATACAACGACGATCTTAACTCGCAATCCGAAAAACGAGCCGCCATCAGAGAAAACATCCGTTTCCAGCCGGAAATGTATGAAAGACCCATGTCTGGACTTCAGGATCATCTCAAGGGTCATGTTCAGGATGTGCAAAGCCCCCAGGATCTTGGTCTAGCTGACATGGACTTTGATTTCGAAGACGAACGGCCCATGCACCAGCGACCTGTTTCGGGCCACAAGAGATCCATGTCTGGAAACGAACGGCCACTCTCAGGTTCGCTCACAGGGTCTAGGCCAACGTCTGATCTCTACGAGCGAAGACAGTACCGACGAAGACGAAGTTCGGCGTCTGGCCATCGCAAGTCGCTCACCATTGATACCTCTGCTCTTGTCAAATCACATACTAACCCTTCCCCTGCCCTGCCCAACCCCCCTGCACTCAAGACCGTGGCAGACAGAGTGGTGGCTTCTCCTCACACATACTACCGACCTCCTCGGCGACGATCGGAGGATCGAACAAGTACTGCTACTCCTCAGACTCCTGAGGTGCCTGTGCTTCCTTCTCCTCATGTGGACTACACTCAGCGAGAGGCTGACATCTACAAGCGAAGTTCTACCATGTGCGAAGACTACGATCTGGGAGGTGTTGGCAGCCACGACGCGCTTCACAAGTCGACTTCGCATCTCATTTCCAAGACCCGGTCTGCTGACGAAGTGATCAACAAGCATGAGCGTAAGTTGTTCCAGCCCAAGACGTGGATCAAACCTGAAGAGGATCCCCTCGAGCCCAAGGGCTTTGAGGTGGTTGGCAGAGGCAAGTAGAATCATACTATGTCGCTGTGCTGGGGTTATTCTGCTGGGCCGTTCGGCTGGAGCATTGGTGCTCGTTCAGCTGGGCTTCACAACAGTGGAGCCATTAATTTATTTAATTTAATTCATCTTTTTAGTCACGCTTTGGTTGTTTGGTATACACGCAGTACTTTTAGAAATCACCAGTGCTTGAATGTCTGAAGACTGGTCCGACCCATGCAAGAGGAGGGATAAGAGCATGCAGATTTGCGACTGTCTAGGTGCTTTCCGGTTGCTGCGAATACAAGTACGAGTGCGGTTATTGGATTGGTTTCGTCTTCTGAACTCTCGAATATCACTCGTTACAAGTACTGTACACTTGTAGTACAGTATGGGTTCTACAAGTACATGTTGGTGTATGTACAGTATGTACATACTGTACTTGTATTTCGATATACTTACACTAGTACATATTGTACTCTTACCAATAAATATTCATCGAGTCAATTGCAAGTACTGTACATGTACTGTACAGTACATACTTACCTGTCTCGAGGAACACTCACTCGCACTCATACTCGCACTCGTACTCACTCTCATACACACTCTCATACTCACCCATGCTCGCACTTCCAGTGAATTCCACAATGTTGTAAATAATATATTAGTCAGTCTATTTGACCTACAGTACTCGACCGCGACTGTAAGTCGCAGAACGTCTGTTCATGAATCCAACAATCAGACGAGAAATATGTGCCGCTTGTGACCTTTTTAGTGCATCTTGTGACTTCTATAGACACCCAACTTATCTCGTTTAAGCCCCGTTTGAACCTACTTGTATAATGATACAGGCTGAACGTTTGCGTGGAGAGATGGAATATCGGAGAAGACTGAGTCAGTTTAAAAGCGCGGGTTTTGACCGAATCTGAGAAAAATCCCGCTTACTAACACAAGACTGACCGTGGAATACTCGTAATCCGGTCGGTTGCGCGACACAGCGCTTGCAACATCTTCTTCTCCTGCTCCTCGGCTCTTTGGATCATGATCCCACAATTTCAGAGAGAAGTGTCGATACGCGCATTAAAGTTGGCAGGTGGACCCACCACGGAGGTGGAATTTGCGAGCCATTGTGGACCCAGAGGGCTGTTTGGGGCGGAGGAAACGGCGCCATCACCACCTCTGGCGTCTTCTGCTGGCGCCCCCACGCTCATTCCACAAATCCATCAACCTCAAGGTCTGTTATGAAGATCCATAATTGGGTTGGGACGCGTGGCGGAATTTCCACACACATTTGAAATGCACTTGGCGCATCCCCAAGCCTTCTTCAATTATCTCAATGGGCCGAATTTGGCGTTCCTACAGCTAGCCCTGCCTTGTGTGCGATGGCACGTTTGAGAGCAAGCGATGGGTCTACTGTACACGTACAGTACGTCCTGTAAGGCGGTCCGATGGGGAGACGGCGCGTGCTTGGTCTAAATACGCTGCTCTCCATCTCGCTGTCGTCGTGTTTGGGCCACACATCCGCGTCTAATATTTTTTTTCATAAATAACAAAAAACCGCTGGCGGTGATTTTCATTTCCGTTTCGGGCTCGACCCCATCAGAGTTCGGGTGCTCAGCGGATATGCATGTGGGCAGGTTGAGGGATGGTGGTGGAACTACAACACGACACGATACTCAAGTGCGAGTAATAACGGAGCTATTACTAAGGGCGATTAATGTGCCAGTATTACTAAGCGATGTATCGACCAGAGACGACCGCTTACTAAGTCAACAGTGTTCCAAGCTCGACTGCTCCAGTATCGGGCTCTCTGCTGGCCGACCGCACTGTAGCTACTGTACTTGTAGGTCACACCTTGTCCCCACATTTAAATTCGGACACGTGTTGCGACAAAAAAAAGGACTCGCTGGACCTGGACTCAGAACCTCGACTCGCGGTGTCATCGCAGAGGACGCACGTCGGGCACGTCCAAAGACGCCCGTGCGCTCCACGCATGCACGTTGTCCGGTTCTAGCTCCGTTTTGCCCTCTCCTAACCCCCTATTCCGCGGTGCTCCATGTACAGTTGAGGCACTCGTACGGGTAAATGTACAATTCGGAAAAAAAAAACCCTAGAATCAAAAAAAAAAAAAAAAAAAGTCCTGTTGGTCCCAAATGTGTCTTTTTTGTGAACCCTAACACTGAAGCCTAAATGCCAAGTCGCAGCACCGAACACAGACACCCTCAGCAAGCATAATAGAGACTCAACCCCTCTCGCCGAACTTTGGAACTTGAACTTGTTCACTCAACCACCGCACCAAACATGTCCAAGCACCATCTGAAGACCCAGAGTGCCGTTGTGAGTATCATTGAGGAGGCAGCAGTTGCTGGGGCTAGACCGTGGCAGGTGACACGAGCACACGAATGGGGATGGTAACACGAACGGGGACACGAACGGGGACAGTGACACGATCGGGGTAACACGAATGCGGACTGTTGAGGAAAGAGGGCGGACATACAGACACAGCTGCTCTGAATGCTCTGAATGCTCTGAATGCTCTGAATGCTCTGAATGTTCTGAATGCTCTGAATGCTCTGAGTGCTTAATGATCGTTGTGCCTGCTCTCTAGTGACATGATCCGCCAACTGATTTGTGGACGTGTTCCAGGACCCAATGCCATGAGAACATGAACGTGGCTGGTGGTTTGAGGAAAGTGGCCCATCCAGACCACTTTTCTGGACAACCGCCATGTCGTGACCCCACTCTACCTTGCTCGTCATGATCTGTCCCCTGCCAATCGCAGGGTGCAGAAGCTCATTCTGGTCAGCTGGTCAGTGCAATTCGCTCGTTATCCAGTCCCGCCAGCATTGGCTCTGTCCGCTCGTGTCGATGTACTAACAAAGGCATTCGACAACTCCGCCACCACCGTGGCTGCTTCGCAGATGCGAAACGCCCTCAACAAGCTCTCCGACTCCGTCGAGGACCCCGCCCAGAAGCGACGATTCGAGAACGAGATGGACAACTTCTTCTCTCTCTTCCGACGATACCTGGTCGACAAGGCCAAGGGCAACGCTCTCGACTGGGACCGAATCCAGCCCCCGAAGGCTGAGCAGGTCATTGACTACAAGGACATTGACCAGGATGTTGGCGCCGAGTTCCTCAACAAGCTTGCTGTTCTCAAGCTTAACGGTGGTCTCGGTACCTCCATGGGCTGCGTCGGCCCCAAGTCCGTCATTGAGGTTCGAGATGGCAAGTCCTTCCTCGACCTGTCTGTGCGACAGATCGAGCACCTCAACCGACAGTACAACGTCGACGTGCCCTTCATTCTCATGAACTCTTTCAACACCGACGAGGACACCCAGACCATCATCAAGAAGTACCAGGGCCACAAGATCAACATCAAGACCTTTAACCAGTCGCGGTTCCCCCGAGTCTTTAAGGACTCCAACCTGCCCGTGCCCAAGAGCTTCGATGACCGAATCGATGCCTGGTATCCCCCCGGACACGGAGATCTGTTTGAGTCTCTGCACAACTCCGGCGTTCTGGACGAGCTCATTGCCGAGGGCAAGGAGATCATCTTCGTCTCCAACGTTGATAACCTTGGTGCTGTTGTGGATCTCAGCATTCTCAAGCACATGTCCACCACCGGCTCTGAGTACATCATGGAGCTGACCGACAAGACCCGAGCTGATGTCAAGGGAGGAACCCTGATCGACTACGATGGCCAGGTCCGACTTCTCGAGATTGCCCAGGTCCCCAAGGAGCACACCGAGGAGTTCAAGTCCATCAAGAAGTTCAAGTACTTCAACACTAACAACCTGTGGATCAACCTCAAGGCCATTAAGCGAGTCGTCGAGAACAACGAGCTCGACAGCGAAATCATCCCCAACGAGAAGAGCATCACCATTGGCAAGAACGACATCCCCGTTCTGCAGCTCGAGACCGCCGTCGGTGCTGCCATCCGACACTTCAAGGGCTGCATGGGTGTCAACGTTCCCCGACGACGATTCCTGCCCGTCAAGACCTGTTCTGATCTTCTGCTGGTCAAGTCCGATCTCTACACCCTCCACGCCGGCCGACTTGAGATGGACCCCAGCCGATTTGGCGGTTCTCCTCTCATCAAGCTCGGTGGCCACTACAAGAAGGTCAGCGACTTCCAGAAGCGAATCCCCCACATGCCCAAGATTTTGGAGCTTGACCATCTGACCATCACTGGTAACGTTATGCTCGGCAAGGGCGTCACTCTCAAGGGCACCGTTATCTGTGTCTGTGAGGAGGGCAAGAAGATTGACATCCCCAACGGCTCTGTGCTGGAGAACGTTGTCATTACAGGATCTCTCAGTATTCTGGAGCATTAAGGTATAAGTAGTTAATATCAGGTAGTTGTTATGATTCTATGGAGTATAAGTACAGTACTTCCGTGATAAAAAGATGGCTTCTCCATTTCTTAAGTGTACCGTAACTGTTATTTTCGGATTCAAAGTAATCCCAACTAATACGAGAAACAGACAGCAACGTGTTTGAGTGCTTCAACCGCCATAGACGGCGTGTCTATAAATAAATCTATGAACTGTTCCCTCCTCAACTGTTACACCACCAGACCTGTTCCTAGGAGCCCCCTTGCTGCGAGATAGTCCACCTTTTGTTTTGATGCTCTCAGTTTTTCCTTCCACTTGACAGTTTCTTCTCTACTGAGCTGTTGAGGTTGCCAGACTGGTTTGTAAGGCGGAAAGGTGATTCTGGGACATCCTGCAAAGTCGTATTGAATCTGGTGGCAGTCTTCATTCGTTTTCGTTCCTGAGGTCAGCAGAGGTCTATAGGCCAGATTGTCATCTGCGATTTCGCGCACGACCCACGGCCCGTCGTGGTAGTAGACAATGACATTGAGGGGGATTCCAGGCACGTAGTATACGTTTTCGATCCACAAGGGCGTTCCATCGTTGTCATCTCCCACATACACCTTTCCGATGGACTCGACATCAAAGTAGAGGTTTTCGCAGCAGATCTGGGTAGGTTCGCTGACGCCTTTGAGCTCATGGATCATGTCCTTGTTGTTGCAGATTGAGACTGGGTAGTTTTTGGTGATATGTTCGAAACTGCACGAGAGGTCCATTGATGCCTGGGAGTCGTTGCAACAGAATCTGAAAGACGTTTCGACTGGTCCTGGAAGAATTGTTGGTGGATGGCCACAGGTGATGCTGTATCGAACCACCACTGGCGGGAACAGACCCATCAGTTCTCTGTATGCCAATCTGTATTTGGCCGCGAAAATCACCTTTTCCACCTTGTTGTCCACCGTTGTCTGTCCCGACACAATGAACGACGTCTCCATGGTGTGTTTATCGTCTATAAGTCGTTCAAACTGCGCCAGAGACTTTTCGTTTTCAGCACCTCCGGCGGCAGGCTTGAATCTGTGTGCCTGGATAAGAGTGTCTCTGATGGTCGTTCCGAACAGATCAGGCTCATCCTTGTGTCTGTGCCATAGTTTCGAGGCGTAGTCCGTCAGATCGGCAAGGTCCTGGTGGTACTCGGAGCCTCTCAGCACGTTTTTGCACCTTCTGGCAAGTTGGGCCTTGGCCTTGCAAATGTAGATGCCCTTGAAACTCTTCACGTTGATGATGAAATGGAGCAGCTCGGAGGCCTCTGTTGGATGCAGAGCCCGGATATGCGTCTGGATCTCGCTGTCGACGCTCAGCCACATCATCTTGAGCAGCATCTGAGAGTAATGGGCTGGTTTTCTGTAGTAGAGGAGGTTGTCAGTTGTCAGATCTCCCTGGATGATGAACGGCTGGGTAGATCGCACGTAGTCGTAAATGTCGTCGTCCGAGCTCCATTTGTTGAACAGATGCACCCGATCAATAAGTCCACACCACCCGACATGGTCTATAAGGGCCGAGACAGCTCCGACTCCAAACTTGAGCAGCCAATATGCGTTTTCCACCTTGAGCGCCGTGTCTCTGACGGCTGCGACCCAGTCGGAGATTTTTTCCAGCTCCGTCCACCTGAGCACTATTTCCGTCTGCCGCAGCTTTTTGATGTCCTTTTCAAAGTCGCCATCTCCCATTTTTGCGTCCCGTCTCGTAGTTGCACTTCCAAACTTTTGGCGATAATTGAAACCTTGGAAAATGTCCCAAATTGACCGCTGACGATAATTGGGAGTTTAAATGGAGAGCCTTAGAAGTGCGAGTAAAAAGAAACAGGTAAAAAAAGGCGAGTAGGAGTAGTAGAACATTGGAGGTCCAAGCCACAAAACCATACCCATGAGGACCCATGAGTAAGATGGAGATGTATAACGAAATGTCCAACCAATTGAACAAAAATACAACAATTGCAAAATTGGTACAATGACGGGAACTTGTGTCCAACATTGATTTTTTTTTTTTTACAGCCGCCGTTATCGTGGCTTACTAAGCCAATTTCACCACCACCAACCCAGTAAGTAATACAGTTTGGCCGGATTAATACATTGCCCATGCACCAACGATAACGGTGACAAGAGAAACCGAAGGGAGCCGAACTCCGTCAATCACGTGACCAAAACCCATCCCCAGGGGCTAGTCAGCTTTGTCATGTAGGCTGCGACTCTCTCACCTATCGCTGCTGTCTTGACATCGTCCCCTCACTTCACTCTGGCATTGCTTATCTCACGGTCCAAATAAACTGTGGCGAAGAGCGGCTAAAAATAAAGCATGGTTGGGGGGGCCAAAAGGGCTGCTAGAGATGGTGCTAAAGCGTGCCAACAAATGTCAAGATCGCCTGTCGCCTATCAATACGACAAAGATAGTGCCTGTCCAAATAGCTTCGTCCCATACCCCGCTTCACCCTGTAGTTCGGACGCGGCGCAAATAGAGCAGAGCTACTGGCATTTGTAGTCGGAGTGAGAGGGGGAGGGGAAGACGGGGGGTCGCGGAGGTTTGCCAGGGGGAGGGGGATGTTATGGCGGACCTTTGAGGTCACGTGACCGGTGGCGTTTGGTTCCGTCGGCTGTCGCTTTTTTTTGGGGCTGTGCACGTGATTTTTCGCATCTTGCAAAAAAATAAAAATTTATCGTCAATATTTCGGCTCCCGGATGTCAGGGTCTGGGGGGAGGAGACGTAATGCCGATGATTACCTGTGCATAATCTGACATCTTATTTTGTCTGCACACGTTTGTTTGAGGCGTGGGAGAAAGGGTGGTGTCTAAAAGCTGACGCCGCATGCTGAGAGCAGGCTAAGGGGTTAGTCAGAGGGAGCCAGAGGGAGCCAGAATCCCGGTGAGTAAGCAGTTTTACATGCATGTTGGGCCGTCGGACGGCTTTCGTAGTCACAAATGTGGTCTCGCAACGCCTTTTTCGTCTCCAACGCACACCTGTGGGTGTCACTTGCCCTTCTGGTGTATCGACCCTCTTCCCCACCGTCATCTCAGAAGCTAAGGTTGTGTTAGGTCGATTGAAGGGGGCGAGCAAGAGACGAGGAGGACAGGCAATGTCAACAAAAAAACAACAACTTCCTTTTTAGAGAGTCAAAATTCCCGTCCAGTCCCGCACAAACGCCGTCTTCTTCCCTTCCCTTCCCACAGACATTGCTATATGTCTGAGATGGGGCTTGCGGTGGTGACAACAAACTGAAGCAGTCCTTTAGAAGGTTCGATTATTTTGATTGCGTGGGAGAAGGAAGAAATGGAGGGGTCGGAGGCTTATAAAGGGTCGTGTTTGGGGCAATTGGCTCGTTGTGGTCACGCACGCCTGGCGAAAAACCCTTGCTCCGTTACACCCGCCAAGTGATCCCCCGCTCCGCCCCGCTCGAAGGCAACATATAAACCGAGCGTCGTCCCCCGTGGGTCCATCATTCGTTCGTACCTTCCTTGTAGCATGCTCTCAGCAGCAGCGTAGCAAGGTGTCCATGCATAGAGGTGCAAAAAGCTTAAATGCGCAAGTAAATGGTCCATGCCTGCACTGCACCCTCCCAGTTTTATATCCCGTTGGTCTGCCGTCCGAAATCTCTCAGCCCCGTGTACAAGTGCTGAATTGCCCCGAGTCGACAAACTAGACGCTGTTGCCACCACGCCCGCAAGCACACACCCCGCCACACACAGGTTTATACAACAGACACAAGCCGAACGCCACAACCATGCACCACCACCTCAACCCCAAGGCGCTCTTTTCTGGTGAGTATGGCGGACAGAAATGGACGGAGGAACGTGGCAGAGCCGATTGACCAGCCACGCAGGCCGACCAAGCCCCATTGAGTGAGCCATTGGACGTCCTTGGCCCGAATAGACGCTCTCTCCCAGGTTTGCCGGAAAAACGAGCTGTTATATCCGAACGAGCTGTTTGTGCCCAAAAAAGCCCCTACTAACCCCCAGGCCGAAAGGAGAGCACCTCTCCCCAGACACAAGCCGCGTCCGGCTCCGGAGCCGTGTCTCCAGGCCGACCTCTGGATTCGTCCACCAACGTCGAAGATGTGGATGAGCTTGACGGAGACGGCCAGAACATCATCATGGGAATTATCGCGCAGCTGCGACCCGGCGCTGATCTGTCTCGAATCACACTTCCCACCTTCATTCTCGAGCGAAAGTCCATGCTCGAGCGAATCACAAACTCCCTGCAGCACCCCACATATGTCATTGAGGCCCACGCCACCAAGGACCCCATGCAGCGGTTCATCCAAGTGGTAAAGTGGTACCACTCCGGCTGGCACATCACCCCCAAGGCCGTCAAAAAGCCCCTGAACCCCATTCTCGGCGAGTTCTTCACATGCTACTGGGACTACGACGACGGTTCCCACGGATACTACATCTCCGAGCAGACCTCCCACCACCCTCCCAAGTCATCCTACTTTTACATGATCCCTGAGCACAACATCCGAGTCGACGGTACACTGGCTCCCAAGTCCCGTTTCCTGGGTAACTCAGCTGCTTCTCTCATGGAGGGCGCCACCATTCTCAAGTTCCTGGACATTGTAGATGCCAAGGGCGCTCCCGAGGAGTACGAAATCACTTCGCCCAATGCCTACGCCCGAGGTATTCTCTTTGGACGGCTCAAGTACGAGTACTGCGACCACTCGATCATCAAGTGTCCCGCTCTGGACCTGACTCTGGACCTGGACTTCAAGGCCAAGGGCTTCATTTCCGGTACATACAATGCCTTCGAGGGCCAGATCAAGAAGATCTCCACCGGCGAGGCCTTTTACGATGTTTATGGAAAGTGGGATGAAATCATCGAGCTCAAGAACCTCAAGACCGGCGAGAAGTCGGTGCTGTTTGACGTGACTAAGGCCGCCCTGCACCCTCCCAAGGTGCGACCCATCGCTGAGCAGGCCGCCACCGAGTCCCGACGACTGTGGGAGCCCGTCACCGACGCTCTTGCTAAGCGAGACCACACCGTTGCTACCGACGAAAAGTTCAAGATTGAGGACAAACAGCGAACGCTGGCCAAGGAGCGAGAAGAGCACGGCGTCAAGTTCCTGCCCAAACTGTTCAAGCCCGCCCCCGCTCCCCTGGACTTCATTCTGTATAAGGATCTGCACGGCACTCCCGAAGAGATCACCAAGGAGATTCTCAGCATAGTCCCCATTCTGCCCGGCCAACAGTTCACCAAGGACTTTGAAATGTCCGGCGAGAAGAAATACAAGCTGGAGAAGAGCGGCCAGGCCAGCAGCGAGACTCAGCCCACCGCCACGACCACTGCGGCTGCCCCCCAAGCAGGCGCTGTCCCCACAACCCCTGCTAACGGCCAGACTCCCCTGGCCAAGACTTCTGATCTTCAGGAGGCTCTTCCCACCGAAGAGGACGAGTTCCACGACGCCCAGTAGTGTCCATGACCCAGTAGTGTTCCACGACCCAGTGGTGTTTTCCACATGTTTTTGTATGGAGGTTGCAAGTGACTATATATAGTTTGATAGAGATTCTTAACCAAAACGAGCGACGTCGCGGTTCGATTGTAAAGCCATTGTAAATGTACTGGTATTTAATGATATTTTATCTATCGCGCGCTTCGGCCCGAGACTTACTCTTCTGTTTACGGTCACTATTTCAAAGTTGAAAGTTCGAGTGTGTCGAAATAAATGCCCAGAGCCTCTTTTGCAGACAGCTGCCCAAAAGTCTCCTTCTCTTCATCACTTGGTCAGTCCAAACTGCGATTGCTTTGCAGCTATATCTCCGGTCAGAAATATGTGGAGTCCAACTGCCGGCAGTGGCGGCGCTAGCAGCATCCCCACCAGCAACAGAGCTGCATACCTGCGTTCTCTGTCGCACTCACAGGAGTCGGGGACGTGGAAATTTTCGTCTTCGTTTGCGCGGTCGTCGGCGACGTCTCTGGACGACTTTTCCGATCATCTAGACCTTGACAGCGAGATGGAGGAGAGCACTTCCACGGCCGTGATTTGTCACGACGAGGATGACAGTGATGTGTTGGAATAATTTGTATGAGCTGCTGGCTCCAATTTATGTATTTATAATTATTTATAGCAGTTTACAGCAGTGCTTATGAAGTGAAGATTACGTATATGGCCAATTTCCTCATTCAATTTGTGAGTTTTTTTCTCGACGATTATTTTAGGTGGTGCGCAATATGATGCATTTAATAAAATAAAACAAAATAAAAACAAAATTAAATGAAATAAAATTAAATGAAATAAAAATCCAAGTCCGTGAAAACACATCAGATTAGCTTATAAACAGTACCAATCAGTAGCCAGCCCTTGGTTGATGGAGTATGGCCATCTAATTTTCAGCTCTTCACTGTCACTCCTCGTGATGTAGTTCGGTGTTAGTCCCATACTCATACTCCGCCCTGAGCAACGTTCCTATGCCCAACAAGTTCTCAAAAGCGACTCGGAAGCGAGCTGGCTGGCTCAACTATGGTCTCCGGGACAAAGCAATGTAGTGTTGTGTATCGCGAGTAGCAGTCAGGAGGCCCCTGACAAACCCCTCGTTCTTTAGACCGAATCACCTTGGCGACATATCTTCACAGCCGCTTCCTGTGTTCAAAGTGCAGTGCCCTCCTGCTTGGTGATTTCGGCCTTCCTCCGTTGGTGAGAGTCGGGTTGTCATTCATCCTATATATATATATATACATATTCTCAATTAATTAATTTTTACAAATTTTTATATTTTTTCTGACATATTTCCAATACTACCCATAATTCCAATAATTCCAGCTCATTAAAACCCTCCTGTCACTCGATCCACACGCTAACACAGTCCAGTCGTACGATAATGGGCGTTGGAGATGGAGTTGGGCGACGGAAACTGGTATACGACGAGCCAGACTAGTGGGGTAATCAGCAGAGAGCAGAGAGCAGAGAGCAGTGAAGTTAGCAGTGAATCAGCTGCTCCAGTGTGTTCAACCTGCTCTCCTGCCCGCCAGATCGACTCATCATTGGTCGAGTATCGCCGCCAAGTCTCCGACAAGGAGCCCAGGACGTTGACAGGAGCCCAGGACATCCTCCTTTCTCAGCACCATTTCGGCGTGCTATCATAAAAGGAATTAGTGCGTTTTGTGCGATGGCATTTGGAGCTAACCGAGGATGGGGCGAGGGTGCTGAGTAAGATTGAAAGAGATCGAGAGAGACCGAAGGAAGCCAACCCAGCAGAAACGCCACTCCAATCTGGCCTCGGCTACTATCTGGGTGTGGTACTTCCGGGGTGGCAGTCTAGTCAAGCCCCGGTAGTCTAGTCAAGCCTACAAGTAGTGGTGGAGTCATACGCGAAGTGAAGCCACAGTTACAGACCAAAGATGGCAGTTTGAAATTCCGAAATTAGCCAGAGTGTCACATCTAGTGCTGAGCTGACTACGACTACTACTACGTAGAGTGATAGTCACCTCGGTCCCCATCACCCAACACCACCCGCCGCTGAAACGTCTTCGCCTGCGTGAATGCCGACCGTGTTAGCCTGCTACAGTATTGGTACCTTACTTGTAGCATTTGCGGGTTCACGCATCCACAGTATCTCTTTAGCATGTCACACAACGGCCCCGGCCACGAACATGGACCTTTTCGTCCGCCGGGCCCTCCCGCTCCGCTCTCCATGGCCCCCACCGTGTCCCCGCCCTCCCGGTTCCACTCCCTCTCGCCTTCCACCTCCAACTCCAACCCCTCGCCTTACCCGCGTTCCATGGGGGAGTTCCACTCCAGGCAGGGTCTTGAGGCGGTGGAGACGTCGTTTGCCAGTCCTCCCGCCTCAGAGTATCTCCAGGGTCCCACCAGTGAGCCGTGGTCCGAGACCTTTGTCCAAACAGAAGATCCATGCAAGCTTCAGCAATCAGACAAGATACAGCAATTAGACCACCCCAGCAATCAGTGTCATTGCCGAACTATGGAGCGGTAGGTTTTGCCAGTAATGTCGACCGTGCTCTTGTCGACCATGCACTTGTCGACCGTGCTCTTCCTATCGACCATGTTCATCTCGGTGCTCATCACGCTGCTCACGCTCCAAGCACCGTCGAACAACCGCGGCTTCAGCTGCTCAGCTCCGGAGTGTCAATCACCGAGAGCGGTGAGGGAGTCATTCCCCAGGAGGCTCTGTCTATTGGTGATCCGGGGTTCGAACCGTTCCGAGGAGTGGTAGTCAAGCAGAACAGGCCGGGCAACGAGAACCACCGTTCTGGATCGACTGCCCGAGATCCCTGGGGACCCAAGTCATCAGACCATGGGCTTGAGAGCCCTGGCGGAGAAATTGGAAACTGCGTAACCGGATACCCTCTGGCGGGTTTCCGACGACAACTGCAAGGGTCAGAATTGCTGAAACAGGTTTCCCAGGCGGTTCGAGAGGTTCCACGAAGCTCACAGAAGACCGTCTCCAAACCGACGAAAAGTCTGCCCAAATCAGCAAATCTGCCCAAAGCCGCCGAGATAATCCCACGAATTGGAGTGTTTGAAGGCCACCAGTTTCCCCGGGCTCAGGGCGTTTCGCGCCTTCTTCTTCCTTAAGAGTGTCAGCAGGCGGTTATTGACCAGGGAGTTAGTGAAGTTCTTATTCACGGGGTTCCGAACGGAGTTCCTATTCACGGGGTTTTGAGCAGAGCTCCTACTCCTCTCACCCACCCACTACATCATTCTTCACCACAACATCTCCCTCCACAACATCTCCCTCCACAACATCTCCCTCCACAACATCTCCCTCCACGCATCTCCCTTCACAACGCACCTTCCTCCACCTTCCCATCACTCCTACGGTCCTCTCCTCAACCTCCCATAGAGTTCCGACCACACCAATTTTCCCGACACAAACCACCCGCGCGGACCATCACCCCTGACCCTTCCACCATAGTGCCTCCAGAAACGCAATATGGATGTGTGGTGGAAGGTCCGTTTTCCGACGGCGGCTGGTTTGGTCTGAAGCAGAAAATGACTAACCCTCCGGTGCCGTTTGAAACGCCGGTGCTCAAGGGGGAAGATTCCGTCGTCCCGTAGGGTGAGTAGTTATTCAGATGTCTTGGTTGTGGTCGTAACTGTTACTGTGACTCTGGGCAGACCTCAACCTGTCGATGACCACTCCGTTGCTCACGAGCCTTTCCAGAACCACTCAAGATACTAGATAACCACCAAACGCTCCGCCGTAGCTCAACAACGGGGACTGCAGGTATAGTCGACAAGCGAATCCGGTTCTGGGACACTATCCCCGGTGCGTTACTCAACGAAATCGACACGGGTTCGAGCTCGCAGGTGTTCAATCCCATAAGAACTCCAACGAAGTGGTGTCGACTCATGGATACAACCAGAACCAGATTATCATTTGGAACCCTCAATGAAGCAGGTGGCACAGCTCAAGGGCCAGAAGTACCGGGCCTTATACAGTACAGTACAGTACCTGAGTATGAATGCCGATGGTCGTCACTGGAGCTGGCGATGGACTCTGCGGTTCTGGAATATAACCCTACCGACGACCAAGGTAGCAGCGGCGTTCTGGACATTTTCATTTGTGATAGAAGAGGAGGCATCATGCCCGGCCTTTCTATTTATATTGTACTACGTATATTTGGATAAGTGTGTTAAGCCGTAGTGGCCGCATCTCCATCTGTTTTTTTTTTTTTTTTTTTTTTTCCCATTAGTCATTAAGGTTCTGCTTGTGTGAATTTGTGTCTTCAAAAAGGGGACTATTTGGTGTCAGATTGGCCAGATAATCCCGTTGACCGTTTATATAGCTTTGATTGAGCTCTATGACAATTTTCAGCTCAATATTACTGCCGGAAAGCCTCGTCGAAGTGCACTGGTTCACGCGCATGTTTCTACAGCATGCATGTTAATTAAGTGGAGGTTTGTTTTACGCGTTTCAGTCTCCTTCAACATGGCCAAATCGAATTCAAAGCCATACTACGCCGTCAGAAAGGGCCGAAAAACAGGTGTATTTACATCATGGGACCAGGTGCAGCCGCTGGTCGACAGATTCCCCGGCGCCCAGCAGAAGAGATTCGAATCACTGGCCCAAGCGGAGCTATGGGTTTCCACAGCCGTTTGCGTGTCTCCTCCAAAGAGCACGCCGCCGTCCAGTGCTGGTTCTAACGGAACACAAAGTCCTCGCCTCGACCGCAGTCCTCGCAAACCGACGTGGTCTTCGTCGCAATCGTTGGGATTGGAGGGGGTCCGAAGAGACCTTCCATCTTCTCCCACAAGATCCAAGCCGAGGATGGACAACTACACGACCAAGGTGAACAATGAGAAGATGGAAGTTGCAACAAGGGCGACGAATCTGGAAAATCCGACAAACTTGACGGGAAAGGAGGAGACAACATGGTGTCCTACGACCAGTGAGATGGAAATGGGCTGGTCCATGTTCCGTATGATCCAGTCTGATCCGTGGAACAAGGTGGAGGTGGAGGGACGAATAGAATCTGGACGGACATTGTTTGAGATTTATTTCAACGAAAACAACTCCCAGAATGTCGTGCGTCCTGTTGTTGTTGCTGACTGCCAAACTGAGGAGGAACAGGTGGCCAGAGCAGTGTTGGTAGGTGTCTATGAAGCATGCAAATTGATACACGCTCGCAACGATGGACTCAAGTACGAAATACAGACCACATCCATGTTTGTCATTGAGTGCTACTATCGACGGTGTTTCAAGTGGCAGATTAATGGTTGGGTGGATACAGACAATACCCCTGTACCTCACAGAGAGGTGGTTGAGCCTACGATGGAGTTGTTGCAGCAGTTGAAAGGAAGGATCAGATTTGGGAAGTTGAAGGTGGTGGAACAATGAACTCGGAATGAGCCGAAGATAGATCTGGAGGTTGATCCAGTTCCAGCAGAATTCCTCAGACTGCAGCGATTTGCTGCCAGAAGTATTCTAGAATGATACAGATGGTTCTTCAAGCTCCCTGGCTATGCGGAGTCTGTTCTTGCTCCCAAGCAGGGAATGCGACATATCGTTGTGATGAAGGCAAGATCCGGACCGGCGATTACTTTCAATACTACCGGTATTGATACCAGTAGCACTGATACCCTCGTCGTACTACAAGAGACTTATTGCATCCATACTCTCAAGTCTACAGTAGATCTGCAGCTGTACAATTTATTCAGCTATCAATAAATACATGTTCCTGTAGGTGAGCTAACATTTGCAGGTTTTGCAACCGCACTTGGTGCAAGCACAGGAGGCGGGCATACTGCTCTCTGAAGTTGAAGACGAGCAGCAGCAGTTGTTGACCAAGTTGTGCTTGGATTGGGTGGAGGTAGTGAAGATGAGAGAAGTTCCAAACATAGCAGTAGTGAATTCCATTATGTGTGTGTGTGTGTGTGTGTGTGTGTGAGTGTGTGACAACCGAATTGCGGATCTCGTCTCCTATTTATATCTGCTGCTGCTGTTGCGAAGAGCACATATTGCAATCTGGTAATTTTTCACTTTTTTACTAATTATTTCAGCCGCAGCGATAATCTCGCATCTCGCATACAAGCGAAACCTTAGCAGCATAAACCCCTCGAATGCTCCAGTAATGCGCGGTAAAATACCACTGAAACGGGGCTAAATTCGGCCAAACGGCATTAATAATGAAATATCTCACAATAATAGCCCCTCCTAGTGTTTCGGAGTCCGAATGTCTAGCATCATGTGGACTTGTGCGTTTTCGGAGTCCTATTGGAATATACACTTCGGAACTTTGACGAGAGATCTACAATATGTACGATGCACCTGACACAGACGTTGGAAGAATGGAGAAGGATAGAGACTTGAGTGGCACGCTTATAATGACATTAGTTCGAGTTGAATGTTAAAAGTAGGTGAATCGAATCCACATAGTCCAGGTTGAGTTGCTTCTCGTACACCCTTGTACAATTACTATCCTTCACACCTTTACACATTTCCATTCTCTTTCAGACCCTTCTAGCAAGTTCTACAAAGACATTGTTTACTTTAGCGCCACCTAAATCTTAGTCAATCATTGGAGATATGAGAAGTTTGTGCCACGGCTGTGCCTTTTTTCTTTGTCTAACCGCATTCTTTGCGACATTAGTGCTACTGCCGATGCAGATGCGTACTTTGCGCTGCGGCTGAATACAACTGTATTTTGAAGATCTAGGAACGGGAAAATCTATAAATACGGCCAGATGTCCCTCCTTTTCTCACTGCACAGACATCTTTTCATTCACCACTCTCAACACTACTTCCAAACTCACTATCTCAATGGAATTCACTAGCGCCCTGTTCGGAGCTTCGCTCGTCCAGTCCAAGCACAAGACCACCAAGAAGCACAACCTGGTCGATTCCTGCTGTTGCTCCAAGCCCACAGAGAAGCCCACAAACTCCTGCACTTGCTCCAAGTGTGCTTGCGATTCTTGCAAGTGTTAATTTATTGTGTTATTAGAAGGATTCTCGTTAATACATTTGGTTAATTGAATTATTTAAGCTTTGTAAAATTTCAAGTAAAATATATACCACGGTAGAAAGACAGACTATGATTTTCACAGCAATAGCCACTAAGTAGATCTAAAGGAGACAGAAAAGACATCCAGTAGCTGGTTAGACGGTGGCAAGTAGAAGAATACCTCGGATCACGTGCTTCACCTAAAGAACCTGTGGTTTAATTTCTCCTTGTCCCCAAAAGAATGTTCCAAGAACAGGAAAGTTCGTCATGCAGCTTATCGTTGGCGATAATGCACCTGCGATGATTACCTGCAGGAACAATTTGTAGAGGGTTAGCGATATTGCGGTCTCGCTGGTCAATTTGAGGTCACATGACAGAGTGTTTTTGGTGTTAAAATATGGAAACACATCACTACAACTGTCATCAATGCTCTAATTCAGCGTTATCAGCATTCAGAAAGCCCGCACTTATGAGCGTTAGAAAAACAATATTGGGGATCTATGAGTGAAGTAGATACTATTTGTTTGACTTGAGCTTCTCTTGTATCACTAATGGAAATTAATACTATACGAAAAGGGCTGTTTCATGTGATCCTTGCACATTTTCAAGACCGTCTCAGTTTTACTGGAGCCTGAGGCCGCGAAAGCTTGGGAGATATCTTAAACCGATTTCTGCTCTTCTTTTCAAGATATGTAGTCACTCAACAGGTGATAACTACCCAAAACTTCTTTGATAGCTCTTCTCGGATGCACTTGATTGGTATAACCGTCCAGTCAGACGACGGAGTTGCAATGTTGGGAATCCGCCAAGGTGCCACCGATCAATGATGTTATCGGGGAGGACCAGAAGCTACAGAGCTTTCCAATTCAAATGTGCAACACATGAGTTCCTACGAGAACACTCAGAAACGAGTTATAGTCTTCCAGGAGAGCGTCGGGAAGAAGAGCAACAAAGTGAACGACAAGTCACAGCTATATTTACAAACTGAAGTCGAAGGCTCGAGATATTGCAGTGCCAAGAAGTCAAATATTCGATATATCTCAGTCTCAAGAGTTGCCCTCTGAGGAACTGAGTCAGCTGCCCAGTTACTGTACTGTACACAACGTTCCTACTGTGCTGTTGAATGACTGGGTGAGATTGGACCAACAATAGGCACGTAATGAACCCCTCAGGGGCTCTCGCTGGTTACCAGTCACTCACTAACGTGTTGCACCGAGCAAACATTCACACGACAATTGACACAGCAGTCAGGAGATTCAATAGTCATCTGATTGAACGCTGCATCCTGATTGCGACTGAGTCACGACTATAAACAACAACAGTGTGTGATTCAAGGCAGACTCTTCATCAATCGAGACGGCGCAATACGTCAAACATAAAGAACAGCTGTTAGCAGTCCAACCTGGTGCTTTGTCCATGAGCGATACAGCGGACCCATATTCGGCCCAACAAAGAAGGACATGGCACCAATGATTGTGCGGCAGAGGCTTCACCAGGCTTAACTCAAGAGAGAGACAGACGTAGCTACTGTATTACCGTACCAGTTGTACTCGTTCCCGTACTGGCAACAGCAACGAGTTACCTTGAATGAATTGTCGTGTGGCACCACGGGTTTGATGCTTTATAAAATGCATTAATAAATAACCAAGCCTACATCACACTTCAACTCTAGGCTCCCTCCTGTAGAAAAAGTTGAGAGCCTGCTTCTTCAGATAAGCATCCCTTTCTTTTGTGGCTTTCATCAGAGATTGAAGGGTGTTTGCAGCTCCTAGCGTCTTTCCCTCTTCCTCCTTCTCAGGACCCTCATCGAGTTGCGTTAGCCATTCTTGCGCCGCTTCCTGCGATACAGAGGTCAGCAAGGTTCTCAGACACACATAGAAGGTCTCTGAACCAACAAAGTCATTCTGGACCACCCGGAGGGTGTCCAATACCGCCCTTCTGTCCTTTTCGTCGAGTTTCAGACTCAAATACGTGAAGAACGACCATCCGGAAGTATCCGAGGGATGCTTCGAAACCCACAGCAGCATCAGAGACAGCAGTTTCTTGAAAAGCTCCTTATTTTCCTTCACGACCAAATCAGTCACCCATCTGGCGTATCCCCATGCATAATAGTTGTGTTTGTGTACCTGAGCTGATCTTAGAATGACGTCAAACTCGTGTTCCAGAAACGGACCCAGGCCAGTGGTATCGTAGTAGTGCTTCCCAAGCAGCGCGTTGATTTTTTCGAGGTAATTGACTTCTTTGAAGAGTTCTTTTGGGGTAAACAGGTCCATCGAGGCCGACTTGACAAACCCACGTCGGTAGTTCCACAGTGTCGGGCTCTTGCTCTGTTTCTTGAGTTTAGACGTGAGCAGCAGATCCAGAAACCGCAGTTCGGCCCCCTCACTCTGAAGGCCCTGCTCCACCAGCTTGTGGCGAATATTGGTAGCCGAATGGTGTTCATAAGCAGCCAAAAGAAGCACATTGGAGAGATCTAGCACTGCTTCCGACGCTGGCGATGCATCAATGGCGCTTCTAAATGTCTTCTGAGCCACCAAAGCCGCCGTTACCATCTCTTTTTTGGGCACACAGGCGGTCGTGATGTTCTTGTCCTCCACCAGTTGAAACGGCTTGAATGTGTCGTCCGTCGGCACTTCTTCTGGCAGCTCCGAAGGCCCGATTTCCACTTGATCGCTGGGTTAGTCGTGTCGGGCAGTGTGGCAAAAAGTACTCACGCGGCCAATAATGCTCTGCTTAGTTTTTGAACGAGTTCCATGGTGATATGGAGGTGAGGAATATAGTGACTGCATGGCTCATCATTGTAGTAGAGCTGGAATAAACCTTGGTGTTCAATTTATGAGCCGCACAGTGACATTGACGAATTAAGAAAAATTAAAAAAAAAATTAAAAAACCAAAAAATCTTCTGTTGGTACAATACTATATTAATAACATGTATGGAATAATGTATCATCGAAAGAGCCTTCATATACAGTCTCATGTCACCCAGTATGTTCCGTGAATCGAGAAAAAAATGCAATATTAAAAAAATTATGTAAATAGAAATGGCTGCCTCCTTCTCCTTTGTCAATGCCTTCTCTCTCTCTAACACCAGGTAAAGAAAGGAGCCTTTCTAGTGGCAATCTGAAGTCGCTCAACAATCACCTTTCTGGTGGCTTGGTAAGAAGACTCGGCATGCGAAAATCCCACGTCATTGATAGGCGAGTCTGTGTTGTTGTTATCAGCTACTCTCAGCGGACGGCTGGTGGCATTCTCACTGATGAGCTCGTCCCACAGACTCTGACGTCTTCCGTGGCGCTTGGAAAATGCAACGGCGTTCTTCTTGGTGGGACTAGAACACTCGAGCTCTCTATACCTGGCCTCCAGACTGAGCGAGGAGCCCTTGGAAGGCCGCAGTTTCTGATTAGGAACCGTAGCTGGCGCAGTAGAGGGTCCTGCTGAAGACGAAGCGTTGTCGTAGGAGGATAGGAGTGGAACCTGGTCGCTATTGAGGCTCTGATTTTTGTTTGGCGACACAGACAACGAGTTGAGAGCAGGCAACAACATGTTCTCGTCAACACTGGATTGCCGGGAATGCATGTTCGATGGAGTGGAAGCTCTGTTCAGCAGAGGGGTTCCAATAGCTGAGTTGAGTGTTTCGATAGGAATTCGAACGGGAATGTCCATCTCTCCGTCCCAAATCAGCACCTTGTCTCTCCGGGCAAGCTCTAGAGGGCCCTGGTCATGAGACTTGAGCGTTTCAACGACGTTGAAGGCCTGACCTTTCATCACAGCCCACTGTTTTTTCCACATGCGCTCCCGGAAGTCGGGGTCGACACTGAACAGGTCTCGGAACTCCACATAGGTCTGTTCCCACCATCTGGGAGATGTCAAGAGCGGCAAGAAGTGCTCTCTTGTTTCTCTGGAGAATGGCTGACCGATAAGTTCTAGCGGAAGAAAGAGCCAGCCAAACGGATACGATCTCCATTCATCAGGGTGCTTCCAGGGCCACGAAAGACCCGAATCAATGGCTCCTATCTTGAGTCGAGGCACCTTGATAGGAGAATGAGAAGAGTGGGGTGTGGCACCTCGTGAAGGAGAGCCCTGCGAGTGATATTGCGGATGGGCTGACGAAGCATCCACCCACTCCAGCTTGATCATCCAATTGTCGAGACCTCGATCTGTGTTTCGCATAATGTAGTCGAGAATCACGAGCTTCTCGAGCTCCAAACGAAACTGTTTTTGAACGGCAGGGGTCCAAATGTCCGACTCCGATGCAGCTCCGTACTGCTGACGTCGCTTGTCGGGCCAGGGATGCTTTCTAAAAAACACATCGGCCTCCTCGTAGTTGTGCAGAAACAGTTGGAATGAGCCAGGCTTTCGTGGCAGTAGACGAGCGTCATTTTTGGCCCGTCGACGTTCAAAATATCGATAGTAGAATGTTGGGGAGGAGAGATAGACAATCTCTGTATGAGGGACGATTCCCGTCTGCAGTCTGCGGTCCAATAGCGATGCCGCGGCCTCACAAATGTATCCGGTGTTTGGAATGAGACAGGAGCGTCCAAAGAAGCATGGGAACAAGTTTCGGTGTAGCCATTTGGTCCATTTCGGAGACAGAGGTCCATATGGCTCTTCGTCCTTTGGTTTAAATACGCCCACAACTTCATGGTGTTCATTGTAGGCAAAGTAGCTGCCACTGGAGCCCTGTGCGATGAGTCTGGGAAAGATTCCGTGCGAAATGGCCTCGATCACCGACTCAATGACTTCTCCGAAATGCACCGCTGAGTTGTAATCTTCTTCGGAGGTATCGAGAATTTGTCGGGACTCGAATTCTGGCAGGTTTTTGAAGACGGAGTAGTAGATTTCGACTGCCCGTTCCTGTGCGGGGTTGCGGTCTGGTCGTCGCACAGGAAATGCTGTAGATAGTTTTCGTCCGATTCGAGAGAAAACACCCATCCATGTGGACGATCCCGAGGCGAGCGAGTCTCGATCCGAGTTGTTTTGCTGGTTGGACTCGAGATCCACAAAATGCGTCAATTGATCAGGCGTCTTGAACTCATTAGGAACCAGCTGGGTACCGGGAGTACCCCAATGATGGGCTGGTGTAGAAGTCTTGGGAGACAGATCGGAGGCATTAGGCATTTGCGGAGAGGGCATCAGGTCCTTGGTGACCACCGACAAGCGTCCTGACTGGATCCCCAGAGCTCGGTGTGTTTCGTTGTTGCTTATTCCCTCCTCAGTGTATTCTGCCGACTGAGCGGTTTCCCGATCGAGACTAGCTAGTCGGTCGTAGCCAGATTTGAACACTCTGTCTCCGTCGGTGACGTCGCCGTTGGAAGCCGCCCCGTTGGAGCCTCCACTCGTCGGCCTCGTCGCTTTCTTCGTTGGTGACATGTTGCAGATGTATCACAACCGGCAGTAACAAGGCGAGTGATATTGTAGTCTCCGGAAATTCGTGAGGGTGGGGGACGCTTGTGTATGCAGTGCCGTGAATCTGTCGAATATCAGTCCTCGAGCCGTCTCGGTGAAGGTGTATCTAAGTGCTTGGTACCACCTTCTCCTGCTCCGGTTGACAACTATATGCACCACCCTGCGGCCTGGGTGTATCCAAAAGTTAACTTTTGGCGTGTTTGGACATGTGATCTGGGGACTCAAGGGCAAATAAACAGCTATATATGTGCACGTGTGTGGCTGACAGCCGTGTCGAGGACATGTGTCCCGCTCAGGAGATCCATTATATAAGCGGTTTCATATAAATGGCTGCTCCAATCACGCTATCGCACTAGCGAGGCCCTCCCTCATTTCTCCTTACACCGCATGACGTCGGTTGCTGAACGCCACAAGACTGCCTGTATTCGCCACCTGGGGTCTCCAGCTGCGAGAAAAGACCGCCAGCGACGGCCAAAAGGGTCGATTAATTTGATTTTGGTGCCTTCAGCGTCCCTTGTGGCGCCTGCAAGGGACCCGTGAATTGTAACTCGCTCGGAACTCAGGGGTGCCAAGCCGCTAGCCTAGAGGTTAGCCGTGCCCTAAAAGTGCATTGATTGAGTGGGTATGTCAGGTTAGGCTTGGAAAGTCCCTAGAATAATAAATAAAAAAGATGTCTGTTTCAGGCAATATTTATTTGGCAAGTGGTAGTATAAGTTGACTGATTGATGCAGACGTCCCTGTTATTTGATTCAGACATTTGGGTATTTGATTTGTGATGTCTCCTACTCTACCATATAAATTGAAAATGGTCGAAGGCTCTACTCATAACAACAACATAATATCCTCAAGTAATTCTCTGTTAAACTCCGACACGTTCCTCCACTTTACTTGGGTAGTAGTTAACATTATTGGCGATCACATACAGTACATACGATCCTGTGCTAACATACTCGTAACACGACTGCAAGCTGCTCTGAAATCAGAACGAGTCACTGGAGCCAAGGGGAAGTCGTTCTAGCCGTAGGTGGCAGGTGGAAGGTCGCATATCACAGATTAAGATGGCGAGGTGAGAACAATCTGATCCTGTGCTTGGCTTCGTACCTACTGGAGTGCAACTGTCACCGACGGACTCATCGACACGCGCAATTGTACAAGCACCGGTGCCGTACGAGCGATAAGGTGTCACTCAAATGGTCGAAACAGACGAATTTGTGGAGCTTACCCCGCCAGAGATGACTTCCTTGAGAAGGTACTCTCGGATCTGTGAACAAGGCGAACTGATGCTGACTTTTCTATGGCTCTATGACACTATGATGTCATTAACTCGACTATAATTACATGAATGGTCAAAACACGGCCACCTTCGTTGTGTATACTGGCTTACTTCTTACAAATCATGACTAAATGTTGAGATTAGAGCCCATATTCAAAGGGGAGAAGATAGGGGGTGTCTAGTGAATTCCTCTGCGGTACTGTACGGATGTAACAATTTGAACAACGGCGTTTCAAGACCCCAAACTACTTTGTAGCTTCAACTACTTCTACTTGTAGTCTGTTGATGTCTTACAAAGTGAGACACAGCCTGAACAGTAGTGTATCAACTTCGGTAATATATCTTGGCGTAGGAGGGATAGAAACCTGAAAAGTGGATATTCGTAACAGGTGATTAGAGAGCTTTCATATGATACAGATTAGATTCTCACAGTGTAACAAATGATGGAGATCTCTAGAGCGTAGTTTTGGAACGCATCTTGTATAACATTCGTGAAATACGCGATATTAATTTAACAGACGCGAAAAGTTGATAGTAAGCACCCACATACAAAAACTTGCAGTAGGCTTGACAGAAAAGAAATAATCCAGATTGTAATCATCACGTGATCATAATGTATCTATAATACACTCCTTCCCCCAAAAAAATCAGCAAGAACTGTGTCTCAAACTACCCTCCTTTTCTTGTTGACGCGTCGTCCAAAAAAAAACAGAAAGGTTCTTCAGAGAATGTATATATATCAAGTGTCTTTTCCTATGTCGACTCGACCAAAAGTTACGGTACACCTGCTAGACAATGGCCTCAAAACGACAAAAGGGAGCCAAGAAGGCGCCCAAGGACCCAATGCCCATATATGGAGATACCCCGACCCACTAAAAGTGACTGCAAAGATGACTATTGCTGGTTTGGCTTGCCCTCACCCCCCAGGGACGCCACGGCAGATAGAATGGAGGATCAGGTCGACCACTGCGTGTCACGTGAATGATGTGGGCACGTTTTGCTATACCGATTCCGTCAAAAGGCCTACTTCCTGTCCTTGTGTTACTCTGACTTTGACAAGAAGATGTTCGAGGATCAGAGCGAGGCTTTTTTGGACTGCGGGTCGGAAGTCGAGCGGTTCTTTGCGCTGGACCAAAACAAGCTCCTGGTGGAGTTCTCTGGCGACCACCGTCTTCTAATCATCTCCACCAAGGACGACTGGGAGACTCTTGAACAGCACAGAGAGCCCATCTCTAAGCTGAAGGGCTATCTCAAGGTCAGGTACCCCCATGACAAAACGCTGTTTTCGACTTTCAGAAACGCTGGCAACAAGGATGTGACTATTGTCTGCGAGGATGGTGTGGAGGTGCCTGTTCACTCGATCGTGGTGACTCCTCAGTGGCCCCATTTTGCCAGGACCGTAAATCAGTCCATCGATAACACCTATCACTTTACAAAGCTGCTTCGGCCTTCCAAGTGGGTCATGGCCATGGTTTCCTTCTTCTACAACGAGAGAATCCCCATGGATCTCGATACTGCCTGTAGAGTTCTTATTTTGGCCCTATCCTACGATATCCCGCATCTGGGCCCTGCTCGACGTGCTAGCAGGCGTTTGTGGAGTTCACTATGAAAACCTCGTTTGAAGAGAGCAACCATTTCGTCGCTCACCTGTGTCCCACTAATGCTCCTCGGCCTAGGGGAATGAATGTAGTTGGATGAGGATTTGTAGCGAGTGTTTTACCTAGTCATGAATATTTATTTTGCAGATTCCAAGAAGAGATGGTGCTACTTGTAGTACATACTGTACAGTAGCGGTGAAGGTAGAAAAGGTGGAAAGTGGATGTAGTGCTGGAGGAGACTCGACAGATAATGTTGTGAATGGCTTTCTCGAGCTGCTTTACTTCTCAGCCTGGAACAGTCTCTCGATCTCAAGGAACTCATCTCCTTGAGCTCCGGGAGTCGGAAGTAGGCCCAAACAATGGCCAGGATACTGCATGGGCCATAGATAAACCCGATAGGAGCCCGTATCAGCATCTTTCTCATATATGAGTACCGTATCTTTTTGCAATTCACATTCCAAACAATGTGCAAGTCAAGAGGGAGAGCTCCCATGTACAGAGTTCTTCGTTTGAGGGTTCTACCGAGCGAGAGGTGGATCGATGACGATAATAAACCCACTGGGCCACTTCTTTGGTCAAGCCTCCTTTCCCTATCGGAACTCTGCCCGACATCTGAAAAGTGCACCACAAACTATTCAAGCGATTCTCCAAGCGAGAGATCGATCTCCTCACTGTCCCCCAGCCCGTTCTCCCCAGGGGCACCCTGGGCTTTTCGCTCGACCCCAGAACAAGAAGCCTCATGTATAAATAGTGTATATAATAGCAAGCTACTGTTCCCAGTTGAAGAGCGTACGTGGACCACGAGTGCGCTCTAAACCTGTTGGCCAGAAGTAGTGAAGTAGCCTGTTGTCGCGGACCACGAGACCACCACGAGACATCTTAGCCGTAAGCCTTTTTATGAGCTCTGGACTACAAATCCCACAGTCCTGTAGTCAAGTGTAGTCAAGTAGAGTATCAGCATCAACTGTACAGTAAGATACTTGCATCATAAAGCATACAGTAACAAGTTACCTTGTACTACTGGTAGTGGTTGTACAGGGGTACTGTAGATACACCAGTCGAAAGTGTGCTTCATAGGTGCCTCTTCTTCAGCCCTTTGCCCATTCGAGAACAAAGTACATACTGTACATACTTTACTGTACATTACTTGTACAAGTGTACACTACATAGGTACATGCTTGTACCGAACTGCAACGATCTGTCTGATAGTGGAGCAATGGAACGTCAAAAGAGCTGAGATATCGTTTCATCTCCAATCGATCTTACTGTATTCCAAATCCAGCCCAATCTCCCCTACTTTTTCCCCCTAGAGCCACCAGATAAGTGGCTGCTAGACCAGCGGTTCTCAGCATCATGCTGAGGAATGCATGTGAGTTTCAGAAAGTAGGACAACAAGTAGAGTCTAGAGCTGGAACAAGTAGTCGAGATAGAAGGCTTCTGTTTGTCTATTGCGAGTATTCGTATTGTACTTGCGCTGTAACGCGCTTCTATAACGACTCAATTGAACTCCTACGGTATGTACTCGACTCCTACCACTCAACTCCTACCACTCAACTCCTACCACTCAACTCCTACCACTCAACTCCTACCACTCAACTTCAAAGCCCGAATCTTACACCAAACCATCACCGACCTCGCTTGCAACCTCCAACACGTCATCGCTCACCAACGTTGTCTGGCAAAGACTTTCTGAGACCTTCCGTGCTTGCAGCGTTTGGGTTGGACTGCAGATGGTGCAGGGGAAGCAACCATCTCGGGGGATGGGATTTCACAGGAGATGGACCGCGTATAACCCAAGTGAGCACGTCACGTGACTGTATCGTGCTGTCACGTGAGCATACACGTGACACGAGAATGAGATCCATCCTCCAGACCCGGGCCAATCAGAAAGTCGCTAAGACCCACTCCAGACGGTCACTATTATCCGATTGGCAAGAGGCGTCGCACCAACTTAAAAGACGATTCGATTAGTCTCAGGGTGTGAGTCGTCGGAGCCCACTTTTTCAGTTCAACACGCCCACCGGGATCGGAAATGGCTGGTTTTTGGGTGTTTATAGAACCATCTCCCGCCTCGTTACCGTCCGACAATTCGTGTCACGTGTTTTTCCGTGCTGGTTCTCTACTTGTAAGCTGTCTTTTGTCGACGACTAGTCTGCATCTTGACGTGTCCACGCATGGTAAGTTGAACATTATTGTAAGTTGTAGGCTGTGTTGTGCCGGCAACCGGAGTTGGAGTGGAGACGTTTGAGAGGGGTAATTCGGGGGATAGGGGAAAGGGAAGGGGTGGGTAATGGGGGGGAAGGAGAATAGATTGCTCACGTGACGTGGATTCTGCAGAGTATAATCGACTACCAGCTTCTCTTGTCGTCGTTGGTTGGAGCCAACTCATCCATTCTCTCCATTAGCTGCTGGTATTTCTTTTCCAAACAATGGCCATTGTTTTCAAACCTTGGCGCCAAACTCTAGTCCCCACGCGCTAATGACAACGACATTATCATGTCGGCCGCGCAGGATATATAAGCGTGCTTCCTGCTGCCCTTCTTCCAGACTCTCAGACACACTCCGACTCCACAATGAACCGAAACGACTACGACGACAACCGAGGCAACAGCCGAAACGACTCCTACGGCAACCAGGGCCGAAACGAGGGCCGAAACGAGTCCTACGGAAACAACAACTCCAACTACGGCAACAACTCCAACTCCAACTCTGGTTTTGGTGGTAACAACTCCAACTCTGGATTCGGCGGTAACTCCAACTCCAACTCCAACTACGGAAACAACTCCAACTCCAACTACGGAAACAACTCCAACTCCAACTCCAACAGCTCCTACGGATCCAACTCCAACTCCAACCATGGTGGCAACGATTCCTACGGTAACAACTCCAACTCCAACTCCAACTACGGAAACAACTCCAACTCCAACTCCAACTCCAACTCCAACTACGGAAACAACTCCAACTCCAACTCCAACTACGGAAACAACTCCAACAACTCCAACTCCAACTCCAACTCCAACTCCAACTCCAATGTCAACCCCTACGTTGCCAAGGGTATCAACATGGTGGAGGAAAAGTTCTTTGGAATGGACCAGAAGAACGAGACTGCCAACGAGCGAAAGTACGACCAGAAGATTGGCGAGTTCATCACCTCCAAGATTGGCGGCGGCAACAAGGGCTCCTCCAACTCTGCAAACAACTCCAACAACTCTTACGGAAACAACAACAACTCCAACAACTCCAACAACTCGTCTTCCGGCGGAATTGGCGTGAGTATTACAACGATAGATTGATCTGTTGCAGCACTACACAGGACTGCTCCAATCATGGTTAATTGACCACAACTAACATCAGGGCTTCATTTCTAGCCAGCTGTCTGGAAACTCCAACTCCAACAACAACTCCAACAACTACAACAACAACAACAACAACAACAACAACAGTGGAGGTGACAGCCTTCAGGACAAGCTTGGCGTGAGTATTTAATTTCCCCAGTATCGAGAGTGCGAATATTAATGGTTTTAGGGCTTCATCTCTGGCGCCATGTCCGGCAACAACAAGAATGGCAACAACAATAACAATAACAATAACAATAACAATAACAACAATGGAAGCGAAGGTGGCCTGCAGGACAAGGTCACTGGATTCATTGCTGGAGCTATTGCCAAGCAGGGCCAGAAGCAAATGGAGAACCAGCTTAAGGATCAGATCGGAGTATGTATATTTTCTTTTTTTCACCTTCCCCCCATATCAACCTACTAACACAACAGTCTTTCCTCGGCGGTGGCAAATAAGTTGCTTGTCTCCTTCCCCCAGGCGTATATTTATAGCGTAATATTAGTCCGATCGAATTGACCGTCATCACCATGGCGTGCACTTTTATGTTAGTGTTTTAGTTTCATGACGATCGCGCCAAGGTGAGGCTATCAGAGTTCATAGCGGCGATTTATGACCGTCTAAGTTGAGATGAAATTGGTGGCACGTGAGGAGAAGCTGGTGTCACGTGACATATTCCGTATGGTGACTCTCGCTTCTATCCACTGTCGGGTATCTGGAAGTTCGCCTCGTTCCTGCGGTTATGATCATCTTTTTTTTCTTTTTCGTCTAGCTTAAAATTGGTACTTGTAGTTCTCTATAATGATATCTGTATAGTATACCATTATTGGTATGAGTACGGTATGTCAAAAGTTACAAGTACAGTAGTTGTACAACTTTTTTTTGTTGGCCAACGGCGGTTTTGTCCCCGTGTCTCCATCTAGTAAAGCTGCTTGTAAATGGCGTCGGACATTTTGATGGTCTGCTTGATGTCCTTGACGTCATGGACTCGAACAATGTCGGCGCCCTGCTGAATAGCTGCAGTGACGGTGGCAGCCGTGCCGAGAAGTCGGTCAGCCGCAACCTCCTGGTCGGTAATTGTTCCGATAAACTTCTTTCGGCTGGTTCCAATGAGCCAGGCGTAGTTGTTGAGGTTGCCCTTGGTCCGAATGACTTCCTGGTTCTTGAGCGTCCACAGATTCTGTTTCAGGTTCTTGGCGAAACCGACACCTGGGTCAAGGATGATCTGGTGGCTTCGCAGACCCGAGTCACGAGCCTTCTTGACAATTTCCTGCATTTCACGCGCCAAAACAGCCACAAACTCCTCCTCCTCGGTGATGTTCACGTGGGTTGATTTTTCGTTGGCAGCGAGCGTGTATGTGTTGTTCTTAACGTCTTCTCTGCTGTGGTTCAGGATGATGGGGACACCGAGCTTGGCCACGGTGGGAAGCATTTGAGCATCGTAACAACCAGCGGTCACGTCGTTGATGATATCGGCGCCGGCCTTGATGGCTTCTTCAGCTACTTGGCTGTAGAAGGAGTCGATAGAGAGAATCACATTCTTGAGCTCCTCGCACGATCTGATCTTTTCGACAACAGGAATAACCCGCTTCAGCTCCTCCTCCACGCTGACAGTGTCGGCTCCAGGGCGTGTGCTCTGGCCACCAATGTCAATGATATCGGCTCCCTCAGCCACCATTCGCTTAGCTTCTTCAACTGCGTTTTCCACAGTGAACTTTCCACCATCAGAAAACGAGTCAGGCGTGATGTTCATGATCCCCATGAGCTGGGTGGGTCTGTTCTTTCGTTGCTCAATGTCAAACTCCAGGAACCGGCCAGTTTCCGACTCAAGAGAGCCAACAGGAACAACCTCGTTGAGATCAGACGACTTTTGCACGTTGGAGCTCTTGGGAAGAAGACCCAGATGCTCCTTGAACGACTTCATGGTCACGGGATGAAGTCGATCGCTAGGAAGAACGTCCAACAGAGGTTTGAGCACGAAGCTTCGGTCAATAACACCGGCATGGGGAATGGTGAGTCTGGGGTGCTTGAAGACTCGATCATCGTAGAGAATAATGTCGAGATCAATGGAACGAGGACCCTTCTCGACCTCCTTGACTCGCTTGAGCTTCTCGGACTCAATGTTCTGAGTCACATCAAGCAGGGCAATGGGTTCAAGAGACGTGAACACTCGCAGAACACCGTTGATGAACCTCTGCTGGTCCTGGACAAACATGGGCTCGGAAATGTAGTAATGGGACACATCCTTGACTTCGATTCCTGCCTTCTCGAGTTCCTTAATGGCCTCAGAGATGTTGTAAAAGGGGTTTCCCACGTTGGATCCGAATGCAATATACACTTCGTGCTTCAAAGAAGCGTCCTTGGGCTTGTCTTCGTTGGAAAGCACGTATTCGGACTTGAGCTGGTCCTTGGAACGGGTGATTTCAACTCCCGCAGCCTTTGCAAAGGTAAGAGCACTGGGTTTCTTCGCAGTAACAGTAGCTTTTTCAACTCCAAGCTTGCTGCAAAGAACGTCAGCCACAGACGTGACCAGAGCCTCGACAGTTTTGTACTCAGAGGCCTCCACGTGGTCCACCACCACATCCACCACATTTCTGAAGTTGTAGGCTTTGTCAAATCCCACAGGCGAGTTCTGGGGCTTGTAGAGGATGAGATCAATGGTAATATTTTGTCTGTGGATACGCTCACCGGCGTTGATACCGATAATAGTGACGATATTCAGCCCACTGATGCTCACGACGTCGGTATGGTTTGCAGGTGTAGAAATCTTTCCAGTGTAGGGGTCGAGCTCGCGGATGATCTGGATGGTAGCAGACTGTGCCCGAAGCAGAGCACGAGGTTTGCTGACCTTGATCATGGCCCATGCGGCTCCGCAGCCACTGGTGAGGATTCGTGTACTGATTGCATCGGCGATATGTTCCAGGGAGTTGAATTTGTTGGTTTCGACGAGTTTGGTGACTTCTTCACACACGGTTGCATAGTTGATGGAGTCGGGCAGATGGTCGAGGGCTCCGGACTTGGCGATACTCGTCTTCATCCACATCGACACCTCCACCGGCTGGGCCTCGTTTCGTTGCCATGCATCTACTCCAATGAACGTTTTGAGCAGCAAGTCTTTGAGGAAGACCACATCTTTGGATCGGGTCGAGTCCGACGCGGTGTTGGACAGAGGCCGGTCTGGAATCGCTTCACTGACCATTTCGGAGGAGGTGAAAAAAGGTCTTGATAGGGACGGTGATGATCTGAGCGAAAAGCGGGGCGCACAAAGAGAACGAGATGGACGAGATATGCTCAGAGAAGCCGGAGAGCGCGAAAGGTGTCTGATCCGCGCAAAAATCTTGAAATGTCTGTTTTCAACCGCCTTTTGAAAAGTATCAAAAGTCGAGTTGGCAGGGGATCTATAAATCCAGTTAGCGTTAGGCTCAAAGAGTCAGTCAAGTGGACTGCAGAATTTGAGTTGGATAATGTGGTGATATTTGCGGGTTTGGACGTCAAAATCCCGTGATGAAGACGGAATAAATCTGAAAACTTGACATTAATTCTTGATAATTCTGCAAGTCCCTTTTTATCCAGAGCTATTAGTAATCCTTCCCCCACATCAGCCCCCCAGAGCCGTCCCATTCAACAGCATGTTAGCTGCATCCCTAATATGACGTTGATCTAGTTGACGACTACGCAACACCACCATTGTTGGGCCGATAAGGTAGCTGGAAGAAGGAGTAGATGGAGCTTTTTTTCACTTGATTATATCACGTGCTTGTTTTTTATCCACTGTTCTTGTCTATTTATTGTGGCATTATTCACTTTTTTTATTCAGAAAAGTGCAATCAACTCTAACTGTCCCCGAGTCGAATACATAACTGCACGTGGAATGAGAATTATTGAGAATATTATTTTCCATTTTTTAAACAGGATAAATTAGAGAAGATCTCAGAAATTGGGTAGAGAAAAAAGGAAATCACGACTGTCTAGTTTAAGTGTCTAAAGACTATTGAATTCTACTCCGAAAGAGGATCACATCCAATATACAAATACTTGTGTCGGTACTTCTTACAAGTCCTGACAGCATCATTCCCAAGGGGTGCTTGCACCACCACCCCAATATCTTGAGAAAACAAGGCATGGCACAAACCACACCATCCTTCCATCTATCTACAAGTATATACATCTAATTCACCTTTCTCTTTTCCTGAAGAGCGACGGCATGAGCTCGCTTGGTGAAAGCGTCCACCATGACCTGGCTCACAGCTGGCGCAAACTGAGAAGATACCATATTGTACATTGCATTTTTGAACTGGAACTCGAGGTCCAGTTTCACATTGCATGCGTTTTCAGAGATTTGGCTGGGGGAGATTGTCCACTTCGAGTAGAGCACATTGAACATGGAGTGGTCCGGCGCTGAGGACTGCGTTAGTTAGGCAAAGGAAGTGACGGGATCCAGATCATGATGTCAACAAGCGATGATACCATGTCTGCAGAGGAGACAGGACGGATAACATCATGTGACTGTTTTACCAGGTGATCCAAAAGTGTCACATGTCATAGAACCAAGCTGATCTGGCAGATACAGCCATGTAAAGATACAGTACCAGTATCCCGCAAGATGTGAAGTGGTATCATGTGACACGGGGCGATGGCTCTGGTGGTATCACGTGATTCAAATAGTCCGACAGCCCACTGACATCACGTTTTTCAAGTGGGATCATGATCCTAAGGGTGTAATAATACACACGTATGAGACGTGGTCTTCAAAGCGCCATGATACGACATTGGATCAGGCACATTTTCCAACTTGTGATTGTTTACCTATGATGCTCGGAATCATATGGCTTTGTCATGTGACTTTCTCATGGCGATACTCACAACAACGCTCTTATCTTTCACGCATTCAATTTTGCTGGCGAATTCCTCGTTGAATTGGTTCCAGCCCACCTTTAGCACCGCCTCGACCGGGTTTCCGTCTCCATCTGTTTTTGTGATTGTCGAGCCTTCGCAAAAGGGCACAAACTCCGAGTAGTGTTGGACGTCGGAGACCACTCCGTAGATGAGACCTGGGGGGTAGTTGAATCGTTGTGTCACGGAAAAGGTGGTTGGTTCATTGGAGGGAAAGGAGAAGAAGTGCCGACATTGGTAGTGTTGCGATGCAGAGAGAATGGAGGTGGTTCGGCAGCGTAGACCGGCCAACATGTCGGGTTTATGATGCTGGTGTTGGTTGAGATGTCTGGAAGCTTTTTGTCACAGCGCAATATATGCATGATTGGTGGACTTGTGAGAGACAAATGTGTGAGACCTAGTTTAACAATTATCCCAACCCCAACTCAACTAATCTCCCACCGCCAACTAAACCCAACTTTAGCTCCGTTCATGCACACTGATTAAATAAATCTCAGACACGGCGCGGTCAGGTCACACCACAGACACACTACGATATCTTCACAGCCAGCATGTCCATCGATCTAGACTGGGATGGAATGATCAACAGTGATGAGATCGATGTTGCCGAATGGCTGCGCTCGCTTCTGGACAAGCAGTTCCAGCAGCTCGACCTGCCTCGGAACATTCGGTCCGTGTCCATCACCACTCTGAGTCTTGGAACGATCCCTCCCGAGCTCGAAATCAAGCACATCAGCGACCCGTTCCCCGAGTTCTACGCGGAGGAAGAAGCGGCTGCCGACTCGCACTACTTGCCGCCGTTACACCCCCCGCAACAGCGCAGATCGGCACCCAGCACCCCCCACATCCACACAAACACAACCAACCCGATTGATCGAGGGATAGCGTCATATTTCCACCCCCTTGGCAGTGCTCCGCTCATGTCCGGGCTCAGAACGCCCCTTAACATTCCCTCCTGGGCCACAAATGGACACACACGAACCAGCAGTCGGCTGCCTCTCAACACGCCGATTGAAGCCGAAATAGTCGAGTCTGTGCGTGAATCAACAGCCCCAAGGACGCCGGAGGAACGCGAACAACAACCGGTACCGGAGGACCGCGAAGACGATCTTCAGGTGCTGTTTCGAGTCAAGTACACCGGTGATATCCGTATCGGAGTCGAGGCTACTTTACGGCTAAACTATCCCTCGGACGACGTAGTGTTGCTTCCCATGAAACTCCATCTGTCGCATATCAACATCAACTCGCTGGCAATAATGGCATACATTAAAAAGTCCATTTATCTGAGTGTTATTTGCGACCTGGACGACTCGGACCATGCTGTGGCACGAACAGGAAGAGAACGACTCGATATCATTCGTGACGTCAAGATTGACAGCGAAATTGGACACCATGATACGAATGGAGCTGCCCTCAGAAACGTCGGCAAGGTGGACCGTTTCATTGTTGACAAGATTAGGTCGCTGCTCAAGGCTGAAATCGCCTGGCCCTCATGGATCAAGGTCAGCATGGAGGATGAGGACAGTGACGATGAAGAGGGAGAGGAAGAGGGGGATCAAGAAGACGAACATTAGATGTATGAGTCATTGGATGGTACGGATAGGGACTAACTGTATATAGTGAAGAACATTTGGATGGTACTACTTTTCAATCATATTGGTGATGGCCTCATAACTTTTGTCATACTATTACTGCTACTTGTTCATTATTTACCATTCTTCTCTGCAAGCATATCGTCGTATCTGAGAATACCGCCGAGCAGCACTGAGGCGCCCTTGGAGCACTGCTCCTGAGTGGAGTACTCGGCGGGATTGTGGGAAATACCGTCTCTGCAGGGAATGAAAAGCATTGCTGTGGGACACACATAAGAGGTGTAGCCCGAGTCGTGTCCTGCACCGGATTGAAGACGTCGGTAGGACATCTTTTCGTGCTTGGCCGACAGCTCGAGGGCCTTCTGACACTCGGGATCAAAGTGCAGGGCAGGAGAGGTCCATTTCATGGAGTGTGTGAAGGTCACGTCTCGCTTTTTGGCAATCTCCTCCAGCTTATCAAAGACGGCCTTTTCCAGCTCGTCCACCTTGCTCTCGTCCGTGTGTCTGAGATCGATAGAGAAGTTGACTTCTCCGGGAATGGTGTTTGTGGACTGGGGCAGTGAGTTGATGATTCCCACGGTTCCCAGACCTCCCAGAGAAACGGCCGTCTCTTCAATTGCCTGGATCATGGCAGCAGCTGCCACCAAAGCGTCACATCGTCGGTTCATGGGGGTTGTTCCGGTGTGGGCCTCTCGTCCAATCACCTCTGCGTCGTACCACCGCATGCCCTGGATACCTGTGACGATTCCCACATCCTTCTCTTCTGCTTCCAGAATGGGACCCTGTTCGATATGAAGTTCGAAATGGGCAGAGAGGGGCAGATCTTTGTAGCTGGCGGGGGTGGTTCCCTTGAATCCGATTCGTTCCAACTCGGTCACAAATTTGGTATCGGGTTCGTTGACGTCTCGCAGATCATAGGCGTGTTCTTGGGGGATCTTTCCGGCCCACACACCCGAGGAAACCATGGCCTTGGGGAACCGGGCGCCTTCCTCGTTGGTCCAATCAATGACAGCAATGGGTGCATAGGTGGTATGATCGGCTTCGTGGAGAGCTCGGATCACCTCGAGACCGGCAATGACACCGGCAATTCCGTCGTATCGGCCGCCTCGAGGCTGCGTGTCGAGATGCGAGCCCATTCCAATAGGCGGAATGTCGTTATTCTTTCCAGGTCGAACCGCGAAAATGTTGCCCATGGAGTCCACAGTCACTTTGCAGCCCAGAGCTTCGGCTTCGGCAATGAACCACAGACGCACCTGTTTGTCGTCATCATTGAGAGTGAGCCGGTTCATTCCGCCGTCGTCGGTGGCGCCCCATTGACACGACTCGTGGATCGAGTCCCAGTATCGCTGGCCGTTGGTTTGAGCCTGCAAGTATGTCTGTGCCTGAACTGTTCCGTCCATGCTGAGTGATAGTGTTTAGTTGCGGGATTTTGTATTGTCTTAGGCGGACGTAATTGAGTGTACTACGGCTGAACAGATCAGACTCAACGATCCTATTTATATCGGACTCTGGATCGCGTTATCGAGCGGGGGTTATCAAGGTTCGAGTATATTTAGCCGCGGTGCAGAGATTATGCAGGCATTCGAGTACCGAATGGGGGGCCAAAAAAGGCGATTCATGGCAGATTTTCTTGCTGAGAACGCTCAATTGACAATGTCTCGGTGACGAATTTGAACGTAAGTGATTTTCTAGTCCACATCTTCTCTCAAATCTGTTCCGTGGTACCCCTAGTTTTGCGAATGACCAGTACATACTGTTGTAATTATAAAGGCATCGTGATATTTCTTGTACAGGTACAGTACATGCTTACAATGAACTGATCGGAACTCGGTTATGGGACAAGAGGGGCTGGAAATAGCCGCTATCAATGCTTTAATGTACAAATGTTCAATCACTCTTGCAACGACGACTTGATAAGACCTATGTGCAAATCTAACACGACTTCTATACGAGCACCAACAAACCTACAAGAGCTACAGTATGATAATCTTGGTGTGTCAAGTTAGTGATGATAGGGAGATCGGAGGTAATGTTGAGTATCCGATACTTGCAGTTTCTTGAGACTCCTGAGACATAATCATTCGACCTATTGTTTTCCCCATGCGAACCCACATCCAATCATACACCGACAACCACTGTAGACAGTTCCATCGCCTTATCCAAGCCGTTGAGTCAGACAGAGTTAGACGTTGGGATTGTTCCGAATGTACTGTAGAGTTGAATGGTTGTTATTGGGAATAGCAGTATGTTTTCAGTACGATACTTGCGATATATCTATGACCATGTTTGCAAGTGTCTACTGAACCAGTACAAGTATATCTACACGGTACAGAATACATACACGGTACCTACATACTTAGTCTGACCATTATGAAAACCTACAGAATGAGTAAACTGTACAGAATAGACCCTTCTGTTCATCTGGGCAGAATTACCTTTTTTTCAGAGTATGTTCTTGTAGCTAATATTGTATCAGCTATATACCCCAATTAGTGACTCCTTTATTTTATACATTTCTGGCGATTTATTCTGCTCTTGTTGATTCTCTTTATTCCAACCTCGATGCATAATGCACCCCTCACAGATGTCGAAATGTAGGATGTTCGAGAGGAGGAACTGTCACTGAAACGGTGTGAATTTTGACCGTTGACACTTTGTGTGTCTCAGAACACTTGTCATCAAATTTATACGAGTGCTACCTCTTAATACGCTCGTAAATAGCCGTAATTCCACGCAAATCCAACTCCACGAATTAAGGTTCCAAGAGGTGAGGAGAAGTGGGGGTCAGGCTGTGGAAAATCGGGTAAAAAACGCTCTTGGGTGGTTTTTTGCCTTGTTGAAGGCGTTATCTCGGCTCGGTCGTGCGCGTGGACGCAGAGGCTCCACTCTTGGCGCCATTTAGCCGCTGGACTGTGTGACGTTTCGGTGCAGGAGTGACAGTGAATAGATATGATTTGGGGTGAATTAGGTGAAGTGTGGAGAAAAAAAAATGAAGAAAAAAAATGGAAAATCCAAATCAATTTGGAAAAATCTATAATAAATTCGGGGTCAATTATTCGTGCTTCTACAAGTACAAGCATCTACGGAAAGTCCCCCTTTTAGGCCATAAAGACCCGTTTTGCCCCCGCTATACGCATAGAACCACGTCCAATAAATAATATATACATGTACAAGTATCTAAAAGAGCTCGGCGAGGAGATTCATGACCCCAGACCACCGTCGTTTGGTGAGGATCTCCATGCACAGAACCAGGAAGATGACCTGAGTGATGACCCACGTAAGCAGAACCAGCGAGTTGATGACCACCGTTACAAACACCACCGTCAACCACAGATTGCTGTCTGTTGGAAGCCACGAGACATGCTCAGCCAGGTGTTTGAGGTACAGATGTGGTGGTGAGGCGCTGAGATACTGTTCGATCGACCCGCTCGACGTGTTGACGAAAATGTGGAAGATGGCAATATAGAAAAGAAGAACCACTCCCTTTGCGATGCCTTTGCGGACCTGCAAGTTGCGGATGTTGGGCATGATGTGTGAGATGCTAGATGTGTGGGATGTGTGTGATGCGTGTGGGGGGATGAGATGCTGGTCGTCGTCTGGACGCTTTTTTTTTCTTCGTGGATGTGATTTTTGTTTCGAGGCTGGCCCAGGTCGCTGTTTTCGGCTGCTTTTGTGTCCGTGTCCGTGTCGTCGTCGGTTTTTGTAAGTGTCTTGTCTTCTTGTCTGAGGTATTTGATGTTGCTATACCGACGTTGCGCCAGGTGCCTGTGACATGCACGATATGTGGGGAATAAAGCGATAAAGCCGAGTTGTTGGGGAGGTGTGCTTTGGCTGCTAAAGGGCTGGAGACGTCGAGGAGAGTGTCGAGGGTGGTCAATAGGAATGAGACTAGTTTAAGTACGGTTGTCGGTGACACCAACGACACTGCCGTCTCCTTTGCTGTTATATTTTTCCTTTTCTTCTTCAGGCTTTTTTTCTTCCCTGCTCGCACGCTACTTTTGGTCGTGCTATAAGTGTGAGTTTATTCCCCAGTTTTATGGTTGAGGTTGATGGAATCAGATAAGTCGAGAGGACGTGGAAAAAAGAAAAAAGAAAACACATTTACGGAGGAAATATCACATTTTGAGACTCATGATCTGGGTCCGTTCGTTGAGTGGCGGAAAAAAGCCGTTGGCCGTAGTTCTAGAGAGTCCGTCGGGCCCTCGTCACCGACTCTCGAACCTCACAACGTTACTAGCTCGCACTAATGCGGAAACTACTGATGCACGTGTTTACTGCGTTTCCACAACGGCAGGTAGAGAGACGCAGAGCTTCATGGAGCAGCTGCGAGCGCGAGTACGAGCCTGGTGTGAGCAGATCCGTCCAAAAAAACGAGCATTTTACGACTCTGACAGCCATCTTACGGCCGGCGTCCCTTGCTATACTCGTCGAATGCCACTTGGCGCACTTCCCCTCCCCCTCCGCCCCTATTAGGCGTTGACTGGGGTGGCGCCGTGGGGAAGTGAGTCAGAAGGTCTCGGGACAGCGTTGGAAGCGTGTCGGACAAAACCCTTGTCCAAGACACAGAGCGACTGTACGACGGTCCCGATAGTAACGATCCATAAAGGCCAACCGTAAGACAATGGGACGTCGTATTCGCTACCAGGCATACTACAAGTATGTACATACTGTGCGATACTGTACTGTACCTACGATACTGCACTCAGTGACAACGCGCTGTAGTATAAACAGACAAAACAGCAAGATAAAAACATTCCGGTACTTTCTATAAAGCCCCTTTTTTTTGTTCTCTGATTTAATTAGTGCATTTCACTCACTCCTCTCCACCATCCACACCCTGGAACCTCGGAACTTTGTTGGTGAGCTTAAAATCGCGTTTGCCTGTCTGAATCCACCTACAACTTTAAATGCCAACTCAAACACACCAACCCCAGATTCGAACACACGACCTCCCGTAGTGCCAATTGGGACAGACCCATATAATCAAGTTACCCGGCCGACCCGTCGCTAAAACCCCAGCGTTCATTGGCCAACCGATATTAGAGTAGGCCAACATTGCAGCGAAATCCACACCTTAGTAACAAGACACCAAAATGTTGCCTGGCGGTCCCGTCCCTGTTTTCAAGGTGAGTACGAGCGGCAAGAGACGAGGGAGGTGGTATGACGGTGTTGGACTGTTCGATGGGGAAATCACGGCTTCTCCACATGTTCTGCGACATCCATGGCCCGAAGTTGTGTCATGATCACAGCTGAAGAGATGTGACTGAGAATGGAAGCTACAAAAAGATGTGACAGGGAATGGAAGCGACAAAGAGAAGCGAAGGGAATGAATATGATATGGATGGATCCTTTTAACACGAGCGACCGACCAAACACGACCTGAAACAACACATTCTACTACTCGAAAAAACACCATTCTATTGAGATAACAATGTTGTTTACGGTACCACACCATATCTCCATCACACACCCCACACCCCTTTCGTTACAATTCTAACCCAGAAATACACAGTCGGCTCTAAGGGTATCTGGGAGAAGCTCCGAGTTCTCCTGGCTATTGCCCCTAACCGATCTACCGGTAACCCCATTGTGCCTCTCTATCGAGTCCCCACCCCCGGTTCTCGACCCGAGGCCAATGTCTACCAGGATCCCTCCTCGTACCCCACCAACGACATTGCCGAGAACCCCTACTGGAAGCGAGACCACCGACGAGCATACCCCCAGACCGCCTTTTTCGATCAGAAGACCGTGACCGGTCTGCTCGAGCTCGGCTCTGAGGCTACCCCAAGAATCGCCGACGGCGAGGCTGGAACCAAGGCCCTTGCCAACATTGCTAACGGTGGTGTTTCTTTCACCCAGGCCCTCGGAAAGTCCTCTAAGGACGTTATCTACGGCGAGGTGCTGACCGTCAACGGTCTCCCTCCCGTCGCCCCCACTCTGGCTCCCAAGCAGTGGAAGATCATTGAGGGCGAGGCTGCCATCTACCCCAAGGGCTACCCCTGCCGAACTTTCCACTAAGTGGTTGCATATAGATAAGTTATGAAAACTGGAAAAACGAGACTGGAAGAGGGAGAGAGAGAGAGAGAGAGATGGTTGGTGAATCTTGATGTGGAAAACAGTGGAGATGCATGCAATGACTTCAATTCTGGCACATTACGTAGCTACTTGTATCTGCCAAGTATTGAGCAGGTCGGCCTCTGTTCTTGCACCACTCGTGTAGATCGCATGTATACAAGGACGTAAACTGGGGATGTGCGACTCGGAGAGAAAGTGGATTCCGATGAACTTTATGAAGTGTCATGTTGGGGTGTTTGTGTTGGAAAAGTAGTGGTTAGAGTCCTTTTTTGTGAGTTACTGTAGCTACTTTAGTGTCGAAATCCTCACATATCTGCAAATTGAGTCGGTATTATTTTTTCCGATTTTACCCAATTTAATACGAATTAATACGAATTAATTAATAATTATGGATAATCCCCTTTAATTGAAATTAAACCTACTCCCAACCGCTTCAGACACGGCTTTCCGAACCGGTGAGTTTGTTGAGTGAAGCGAAGTGGATCCGAATCTTCAAGTAGGATGAATGATAAATAGATCAACCTGTCACTTTGTAAAATGATAAAGTGAGTCCTTCCGAGTAGAATGCACTTTTCGGATTTTCCACACCTGCTCTACATCACGAGATATCAACCCACCCATGCACAACCCCGCAACTGTATGCTCTCCCCAAAGTTAATCCGTCGGATCAACTGTGGTGGAGCCAACACTAACAAGCTACCAATACGATATAAGGGTTAGCTCCCGCTCTCCTTCATCATCATTTCTTCATCAATGTCTGTCAACGCCACGTCTCTCTCTTCATTCAACGCCAACCACGAGCTCTACGACAAGGCTCGGCCTTCGTTCCAGCAGGATGCCGTCAAGTGGCTGATTGACACTGCTGGGCTGCACAAGGGCTCCAAGGTGGTGGAACTGGCCGTGGGCACCGGCAAGTTCACCAAGTCGATCATCAACAATGGCTATGATCTGGTTGCGGTCGAGCCCAGCGAGGGAATGCTGACCTCCTTCAAGAAGAACTTCCCCCAGGTCGAAGCCAAGATCGGATCATCCTACGAGACTGGCATTGAAGACCAATGGGCCGATGCTGTCATTGTGGCGCAGGCATACCATTGGTTTGCCGACCACAAGTCGCTTGAGGAGCTGCATCGAATTACCAAGCCTGGAGGAAAGCTCGTGTTCATTTGGAACATTGAGGTGCTAGACAAGCTGTCTCCGTCTCACTGGCAGAAGATCTCCACCGAAAAGGTGTGGTCATACGACGTCAACGTTCCGCAGTACCGCCATGACAAGTGGCAGGATTCTTTCAAGAACCAGACGTGGTTCAAGATGCCCTACCAGGAAAAGATTCTGCCCTACCAGCTGAGTTACTCGGACGAGGACATGTGGAACTACTGGGAGTCTCGCAGTTATATCACTGCTTTGGACGGGCCTGAGAAGGCCAAACTGAAGGAGTTCATCGAGGGTGTTGTTTCCAAGGCTCCCAAGGAAGAAAGAGATTCTGAGGGCAAGCTGGTGGCCGACCGAGGTACTCATGTGGTTGTTGCCACGCGAGTATAAACGAGTAAGAGTACAGTACGAGGAGAAGATTGAAGTACTAAAGTGAACAATTGAGTAATGAGAAAGTATGTGCTCCATCATTGAGGTATTTGAACAAGTAGCTAAGCATAGCTTGCCAGGGCGGTCATGGGCGATCAACGTATCAGCAAGACTTGTGTTTTAGTTCAATTCTAGCTGCATGTCCTTTATGAACGAGCATTGTATTTAGATAGTCTACCTTTAGACTGTGTATATTTTCAATTTATTTTAAATTTTAAATTTCTAATTTTTCGTTTTTTTCATCCTTGTTACCGTCAACTAAGTAATTGTAATGTTTCAGTTGATATTTAGTTGAGGTTTCAAACTTTACCAACATATGATAACTCGCCAATATCTGCTCCAAGGCAACTGAAATTTGTACAAAATTTTCCTTTGAACCATTTAAATACTTTCACCGTTTTAATCTGCTTCAGCATGAAAATTGACCGTTCTAGAGCCTCTCCATCTCCACCTCTCCTACATCGTAGAGTTTGGACACTTTTATGCTACAACTCACAGTTGAAAAAGGCACTCTGACTCGAGCACGGGTATGAGAGGAATTTCGACGGAAAAAAGAAACGCAATAAATGAATTATTGTGACTGATTTGGCCACAAATGGACATCTGATGCTCTTAACGCGCTCGATGCAATCCCTCGGGTCCCTCTGAGTTGCTGCGCTTACTCAGCCAAATTTAAGTTCCAACACTGACATAAAAAAAGCGATGAAAAATCTCTTACCAACACACCATCACAATGCGACCTATTCTACTGCAAGGCCACGAGCGACCCCTGACCCAGCTCAAGTACAACCGGGAGGGCGATCTGCTCTTCTCCGTCGCCCGAGACAAGACCATCTGCGTGTGGTACTCTCACAACGGCGAGCGACTGGGCACTCTCGAGGGTTCTGGAGGAGCCAACTTTTCTGTGGATGCTGATCCCACCACCACCATTGTGGCGACTGGCTCTGCTGACCAGACTGCGCGTCTGTGGGACATCAAGACCGGCAAGACGATTCATAGCTGGAACTTCAAGACCACCGTCAAGCGTGTGGAGTTTTCCCCTGATGGAACCAAGCTCATTGTTCTGTCTGAGAAGATGATGGGTTACCCCGGTGGCATTTCCGTGTTCAACGTCAAGGCCGACGTGAACGCCACCCAGGAGACGGAGCCTATTATGGATATTAAGCCCGAGGAGGGCGCCGACAAGTTTTCGTTTGCCGTGTGGTCGTACGGAGGCAAGTACATCATCACAGCCCACGCTGACGGCTCTCTGTCCAAGTACGACGGAGCCACCGGCGAGTTCATTGCTTCCACACAGATCCACGAGGAGAAGTTCCCCATCACCGATCTGCAGCCTTCGCCAGACAAGACCTACGTCATCACCAGTTCCAAGGACAAGACCGCTCGACTGACAGACGTGGACTCTCTCAAGCTGCTCAAGACCTACAAGACCGATACTTCCATGAACTCGGCATGCATCACCAGCAAGAAGGACTTTGTCATTCTGGGAGGAGGACAGGACGCCAAGGATGTTACCACCACCTCTTCTCGAGATGGTAAGTTTGAGGCCCGATTCTACCACAAGATCTTTGAGGACGAGGTTGGCCGAGTCAAGGGCCATTTCGGTCCCCTCAACTGTGTCGTTGCCCACCCCAATGGCGGCTCCTACGCCTCTGGAGGAGAGGAGGGATACATCCGAATCCACCACTTTGACCCCTCCTACTTTGACTTCACCTACGATGTCGAGCGGTTTGCTGCTAAGGAGTAAATGGTAGGTGTTATAGATGGATAAAAAAGAAAGGTCTGCGAAGCCAGCTCTTTAGTATGTAAGAGAATGAGATAAAGAAAAGCCTGCAAGAATGTACAATGAGAAATTTGACGAAGATGTTAGCTGTTGTGGATGACTGGTGCTGAAACTCGACAAAGATAGATATAGAAACGAGAGTCGAATGCAGTGTCTAGTGTAGCTCTGATTGAAGGCAAGTTGACTAGAAGCTACAAATAGCTAAGGTCAGAAGACTGTCGCAGGGTACAATCAACTGTGTGAAAGGTCAAGAAACGATTCCACTTAGTATTTGAGGTGTATTTGCTGTGATATACACATATACTATCGTTGGTGATGAAGAAACTCATAAACAGGAGAGAATAGCAATATAAAACATCTTCTTGCCATAAACTTGCATCATGAGACACACATTGGTGCACACACTACCCACTCATATCTGTATATGTATCTTTTATATGTATAGCGACGACCGAAACAACAGTCCAACTCGTGACTGGGGTTCGTTCTTACTCTGTGAAATCACATCCTCCTAGTTCTTACCCTACCATTGTTGGTAGAGTTCCTAGATTCCTAGTCATGACCCGAGCCCATGGCCTCCTGAATCACACCAAAATGAACATGGGAGGGAAGGCAACTAACAGCTGCTCCATCCTTATCGTCTCAATCTAGAGCGGCGACGAAGGAAAAGCTAGCGGCGGTGCGCCTAGCTCGTCTATTTAACTCTCTCAAACTTGACCTTTCTGTCCTCGTCCAACACCAATCTCAACTGCCGATTGGGTCTAGTCAATAGTGTCTGCTCTCTCAGTCCGGGAATGTACATCTCATAGGCAGGCATGTAGCCATCGATGAACTTCTTGACCTGCTGGTCGGTCATGCCTGTTCCTCGTTTCTGGATCAACGCGTGTTCCTGTTGCAAACGCCACTTGTAGGTGAAGTTTATGTCCAGCGAGTCAAGGTGCACAAACGCGTCAAAGTACTTCCACAGCTGCTGGAGCTTCTTGAGCTCGTGGTTGACCTGCTGCAGATCGGAAAACTGGTGGTGTGCCAGAGTCGTTGGCACGGGCTCCTTGAGCTGATCAATGGACGAGGCCTCGAGATTGGCGGGATCCACTGCCGGTGCCGCGTCGGGATCTGTCTCGTCACGCGCCAGACTCGTGCTCTGCGCGTACAGAGCCTCCAGCTCGTCGATGGAGATGGCTCGGAAGCCAGCACACCAGCCCTCAAACAGCACCACGTCAAAAGGGGGCGTCATGACGGGCCACTCGGACTCGGGCACGCGGTCGCCCTGGCCCTGAAACTTGCTCTTGTCGTACCGAGGCACGGGAGTCACCTTGTTCTGTACCAGGCTCTTGAGGGTCTTTTCGCCCAGAGCGACATCGTGGGTGCCAGGCTCGCCTCTGTGTCGATAGAGCTTGTTGTTGGGGAACTCCTCCGACAGTCGCTCCTGGCCCTCGTGCGTCAGGTACAGGTCGTCCAGCGACAGCTCAATGACCTTGTAGTTGAAGGGGGCCTGTCTCAGAGCAGTAGACAGCTCGGCTACCAAGGTGGACTTTCCACAGCCCTGGGGCCCGGAAAAGCCGAGCACAAACGGCACGTTGGCGGAGGCCGAGCGGTGGGCGGAAATCAGCGGCCGCAGAAACGACACAATCGAGTTGACTTTGTCTGTGTTCATGGTGATGTGCGGTACAAGTAGTTGCAACGAGATTGTAGTCGCTATTGTTCGAGTACTTTAATACACGGTGAAATAAAGTGTGGCCCCCAACTTACCCCCACGAACAACACGAGCCGACCAAACTAAAAACCACCATTCTAGTCTGGAGAATTGCTTTTTCGTTGTTGGGGGAGAGTAGCCGGGGGTGTCGATCACGTGCTGCTGGGCAATTGGTCAGATCACGTGAACAGGACTTGTGTCGGTGGGTCTCTGCAGTGTGACGGTACCATATCAATGTAGTACAACTACGCAATCGTACCGCGGCACACATGCTCGTACAGTGCACAAGTATCAAACGCGCGCGTGAGTGATTATGTAAGTCTTCAGTATGGACATTAGATAATCACATCCCCGTTACGCACGCGTGGGGGGGTTAAAATCCACGGCCAAATCTCCACATTCCCCGTACCCTGTAAAACGCCCAGGTATATAGACATTTTCAACCTCCCGGCAGGTCCCCTCGGCTATTAACTTTAGCCGAGGAATAGACCCGCGAGTTTAACCAGGAACACGATGACAGCAGTTATAGGTGGGCAACATTGTGTGAAACTGGCATTGGTACTCGTATGAAGTCGCTGACTAATCAATTGGTTCTAAGATGGTCAAAAAACCATCATTATTTGACACGTTACCGTGTATACTCCACGGTATTATGAGCACATGTTCAATCATTTTGGGCTGATGCAGGGGGTCGATCATAAACGTCTTTCTGTCGTATAATTAACGGATCAAGTGACCTAATGTTGATGTTTGACTGAACGAAGGCTGTCGTTTATGTTCGATACATTCTAGTGATGTCAATGTCGTACTTGTACAAGTGAAGTACAAGTACTGTACTGAAGTAGAGAATGACAAAGTTCCCATAATCACGGACCTGTTGTATGATGGTTTGCGAATCTACAATAGGTGTATGATTGCATCTGGTTCTAGAGGTACAAGTACAGTTTATTGTCTCTATCCTACAGTACAATGCAGGAGTTTATAGCACATTCCATTGAGCTGCTGTAGAGATTGCAGTCGGTAAATTATGGCGGTTTAGTGACCTTGATGGATGGAGTTAGCATACTGTAATGTTGATGCATTCTGGTGCTCATACTACCAGTTACACAGAACGTTCCCATTCAATCAAGACAGTTTCTGAGAAATAACTGGTTTTACTGTACATACTGTATAGTGGTTGTACTGTCCTATACCTATTTTACATACGGTCTATTGATGGATCCAACATTGGATAAACAGTCTCCTTGGGGCAATTGGGGTAATTGAGGTTTGAGATATAGAGGGATTACTCACTGGAACTGACAATACTCGAATGGTGACTATTAGACAGATACTATTGTTTCCAGACATTGTTCCTGGGTAAAAGTTCTCAGATTCAGACGGGCAACCTCTCTACTCACGTTGTTCCTGTACCTGAAGCTGGAAGCGATACCCTCACTAGTACACTGACAACTTGTTTGTTCGCACTAATCTTCTCATCTTCTCATTCCCTCTGAGAGTATAGTGGCAACTACAAGTACTGTACAGATTGTACTGTATATATTGTAGCATCGTTACTGGCCCCACAGCTGTAACTGCCATTCGCACCAACTCTTACGGTACTCCTGTATCAACTAAAATGTCCCCATGAGGGAACAGAGATTCTCATAAACTCCGACGGTTCCTTAAACAAGTTGCAATGACCACAGTTTCTACACGATTCGCGCCAGAACCCGTAGTTAGATAAGACACTGTCCAGGAATTGTTTGAGCACTCATGCGGATGGAAATCTGAATCTCACAAACACTGATGGTGATTTATTCGAGCTGCTGACCGTGGCTGAGACCACCGATACTTGCATTGTTCAGGGTTCCCCGTCCATCTCGCCTACAGTACGGTACTGCAAAAATCACTGTTTTTGTTACTGGTGGCTCAAAGGTAAGTCTGGAGTCACCGGCTCTGCTGTCACATCTGGACGCACTGTGATTGTCTATGTCACCATTCCCTCTTCTTCAATCAGTGTTGGAGGTGGCTCTAATGACTCTGAAGACTTTATTTCAGTGCCCTACTGACCGTTCACGATCGATTCAACAAGCTAAAGTAACGACGCTTCGTCTTTCTCAGTCGGTATTCTTCTGATCCTTCATTTGGTCAACATGGACTCATAGACTGACATGGCCGTCTTCTGTATTATGGTCATTCCGTATGTTTTTCTCACCCCTCTTCCCAGCTCTCAAAACAAAATTATTCCGGTTGTGAGTGAATCGGAATCGATTACCGTCTGTTAATAACTACTTTCTGCCTATTGTATTAATATATATATATATACTTATATATACAGGTATTCAGCGGTGAGATATGTTGTTCAGTTCTCAAAGGAGCGATCTAAAAACACGACAATAAGGATGTACAGTAGTTGACGTACTCGCCATGATTCCGTGGAAACAAGAAAGACGGCTAAAAAGTTCATCTAACGGTTCCGTGTGGCAAAAAACTGCTAAAAACTGCTAAATCCATATATGCACTGTACGTAGTTTCCACCTATCTCGTCTTGCTGCAGATTAGGGTCCCAGCGCTGGAACTTGTAACTGACCATATCCGTCCCCGGCAAATACCTACAACAGCTGACGCAAAAAGATTTGGTCCCTAGCAGGATCGAACTGCTGATCTTCGCGTTGCAAAGTTGCTATTTCTTATTAGCACGACGCCTTAACCAACTGGGCCAAGGGACCTGAAGATGTTTCAGCGGTGGAGATCTTTAATTTGAGTTTAAAAATGGGGTCCAATAAGTGAATCATTAGAATAAAAAAAAAAAAAATTCATTAGCAGTGAATCATTAGAATTAAAAATATTTATATATATTTATGTCTATGTCGGAGTTTATGTGATCTTTTGTCTCATCCAAGATACCATGGATGTCATGAAATGACGTTTTACATCATTTACAGCTACTGTCGCTTTGCATCTCACTGGCGCCTTGTTCATGGCACTCTCGAGAGAAACCTGACTATGATACAAGCCAGAACGTGTGAAAAATGATAATTATACTCCCTTTAGTGAATAGGAGCTCCAATTGAGACCAGTATTCTGTTTCCTTTCCTTTTTTTCGCACGGCCTCTGACAGAACCCCCACGTTGAGAGATAAACCCACCTGGACATAAACCACCTAGAGACATAAACACACCTTGAGATAGTTCTACGAAACCATGCAGTTATCCAAACCAACTATGTGAGTGACTAAATGTATAATATCATATCTAGTCAAATACCATGGCATATATCTTGTTTCAGCTCTCTAAGCCATGACGATGAGCTGGACCGTTTGGCTCATCGCCGTCCTGAACCTTGTATACAGAACAGAACAGTAGAATGTGTTCTTGCAGAGACAGTGACGAATAAATTGGTCACATGAGACATTCAAATCTGATGTATGTCTTGGGATACAAAATCCGGTACTTATACAGCTCTCTCAATAAACAAGGAGCTCTCTGAGGACCATGTCTTGTGGAGGACGCTAGTGTGGAATGTGCATGAGAACTGCAAGGGAGATAAGACTCGAAAAAGTGGATAATCTGAAACTGTGAAGCGACGAATGCACCTAAACAAGTTTCCCAGGTCAGTGATTCTGTCTCTTTTGACTAGTTTCAGTGATAGAAATATCAATGGAGGTGTGGTGTTCCTCTGTGGATTGCCAACATAGGACCGTTTCTCATAAACCCACTCCCTAGACTGTCATTAGTATGTGACGTAAAATATGACTTATGAGCTATCTGAGGAGATTTTCTCCCTGTAAGATTCATCCACGATTGTGCTACTATACGGCGAATCGTAGTCACTTGTTAAAAGTCCTTCCTATCTGGTATTAAATATATAAAAATTAAAAGGATTACTCCTTGGTGGCTGCAACAGTAAAGTGAATGGGGTCCTTACAGGCATAATTGTCACCCTTCTTCACGTAGACGACCTGGCCACCGTGAAGAGGGTCATCTTCAGATGTGCAGGAGTACCACTCGTTGACTCCATAGTAGGTGACAGACTTGACCGAGTTCTCTCCCTCAAACTCCCAGCCACCGTTGTAGCCCTTTCCTACAGAAGCAGGGTGCTCGTTGATGACAAGCTCTCCGTTGTCAGCGGCGTATAGCTCCTTGGGAGGCTGCCCCTCGCTCTCGACGTTTACAAGGTTGTCGCCAACAGCCTCCAGCTTGAAGTAGGAGAACCCCTGGGTCAGTCCGTAGACAATAGAGTCTCCTCGGACCTGGAGGGCCTTCATTCCCACAGCTCCCTGGCCAGGCATGATGGCGTTCAGAGAGTACTTGGGGTTGGAGTTGGAGTTGGAGTTGGTCTCCACGTGCTCCTGGGGCTGTTCACAGGCAATGGGAGCAGCAAGGGCAGCAGTGGCAGAGATGAGAAGAGTCTTTAAAAGCATTGTGATTGTTGTTGTAGTAGTAGTTTGCAGATGTTATGTGAGGGAATGAAGGGGATATGGAGGGGGTCTATATACTTCTGGGGACACCATTTAAGTCTATAACTTGCTCCTAAGATGACGTCGAAGTCGATAACATCTCACATTTCCAATGCAATGCCGTGTGGATAACGACGTCACTTGTAGAAGATCTATTTAGAGCCGTGCAGATGAGAAGTGTTTGCCGATGCCTGGTGACTTAAGCGAGGTGGGGGTCAGATGTGGTGGTGGGGCCATTCTGAAGGGCATTCGAAGAAGATAAAACAGCAAATGCTAATTTTTTAGCGGTTTAGAGACTTCTCAAGTCATCTAAAAAGTTGATACCATTGGTATTGATCCAGTTGTCGCCATGTGTCCTGGAATATTCCGAGGCATTTAAGGTTGGCTATAATTAGAACCGTTGAAATTAGCATGCATAAATAAAAGTTCGACAGTTCAACATGACGCCAACTCCACATGAGAGGAGCATCCAAGAATAGACCTGGTCAGCTGAACGTGTTGCTCGATCTCAATCTCTTCGATCAGGGTTGGGAGTTTGATTGTTTATTAGAGCATCGAACATTCTGTGGAGCAAAGCTCTATATGAGTGAGAGGTACGAGCAACTAGAAATGCCCTTCACTTTGGTGAAGAACTCGGTCTTCATTTCTCGTAACTGCAAGTGCAAATAGAATTAAATACCCCCTAATTATAGTGTCACCAATACCGAGTTATTATGGTCATTGAGTTGATCCTACGGAGTCGAAGGGGAGTTTGATAGCACTTGCGAAGTCAAGTTCATATCACGTCTTGAGTTCAGGCAACTATTTTACCGAAAGTCCACTCATAATGGGAGTATTTGGGAATCAAACCACCCAGGCTAGGATCTATCTTCGTATAGTTATATGATCTAAAATGTATCATCTATGTATCATCTAGCATGTATCCCTTCAGTATAGCCCCTTGTGTTCCCTTTGGTGCTAATGGATCACTCTCGGGGAGTTTCTATTGATCATTAGACTGGGGTATGATAATTTAGCATAATTGTACAAAATACAGTATGTACTGTACGTACAGTGCCGTACAATCTGTACATATCCTGTTTGTCTATTTCGTTCTATCGTCGACTGGATGTTCAGGTGTATATGATGCGACTAGACACATGTGGGACATGGAGAGAGCTGTTCCATAAAGGAATAGACTGGAGCCCCATTGGATTATGGCCATTGATAATTAACCTTTCCAACTGTCAACTACTCACTCAATACAAGACTATAGTCAGTATGTCATTATTCTCATTTTTCAATCAGCTTCCGGACACACCAATCCTGACTCAGCAAACAAGAAAAACATCCACACGAGAAGCAAAAAAGAATGAGCGGTAGGGGAATTGAACCCCTGGCACCTGCTTGCAACTTCTTGGAAGGCAGATATGTTACCACTACACCAACCGCCCGAATGGTGGGGTCTGTTAGGGTTCGGCGGCTAATCGGCCGCGGCTAAACCTGATACTGGAGGTTAGTGATACTCGATCCGTCACCGCGGCTATTCGTGCTCTTGTGTGTCTGTTGTTTCCTTGTGAGTGTCCAATAGTCTGAACTCTCTGTTCTACTTGTCCATGGTTGTCTGCCTTTGTACTTGACCGTTTAACAAAGGTTAGTGGATATTGGTCCAATATTGGTCCAATATGATCTAGCGGATAACCTACGCACTACGCCGCTTGGAGAGCACTGCCCGTCCGGAACTGGAGGAGTTCCGGAAGTTGCGGACGCCGATCCTGAGATTATATAACTTGCCCTATTTCCTATATTATAATGCACCAACAATTGTTCTGACACTTCGACTACTAACTACCGAGCTTCTCCAGTAAGTACTGGTTGGGAGCCCAAGTCCTGAGGCCCTGGGTTCTAACAGGGTCCCAGAGTTGTATCGACTATAAGACAGTGGAAATGATCAAATATCCGGCGAAAAAGGCTAGAAAAAAGAGAGAAAAACTGTGTAAAGGGGTAAAATCAGTAATATACAGTACTATGTAAAGAATTATTCATAGTTTTTTTGTCTCCAATGAATCATCTCAGCCTCCAACTGGAACACTCAACAAGGAATAAACATCTCTAAAATTGATACCAAAATAACCACAAAAAATGTGACATTTCAATGAACAAATTCCCATCACGTATTTTCTTCAAAAATTCGACCCTTGATCTCCTTCTCCGCTCCCGCCATTTCATCTTTTCAATTTCCCTTATCTCCTATCTCCGATACGAGAACCTTATTTGCTTCCATCCTTCAAGCTTATTAATCATCTCCCAGCAAGCTTATTTTGTCCCGTCACGTGAGAGTGAAATTTTACGGTTCCCAAATCATCACCGCGACATCAAAAACCATTCAACACACAACACAAACATCTCCACACAATGAGACCCTCGTTTGTGACCCAGCTGCTGCGACCATGGAAGAAGGACCGTTCCGGGTACATGTTCAACCTGTTCTACGGTGTGTCGAAAAACGGTAACAAGCGACTGCCCCTTACCTCCAAGCAGGGTAACAAGAACTTCTACAAGGGCCATGGAGCCGGTGGAGTCGGTAAGACCACTTCCAAGGGTCGATTCATTATCAACCGAGACAAGGTCCGAACTTTTGTCGTTCCTGCCGGTCTGGAGGCTTGTGAGCTCAAGCCGTTTGTGTCCCCCACCCTGGAGCCCATCAAGAACTCTTTCCGAGGCTTCTCGGGTCCCCTCGACCCCAAGCTCACCGTCAAGAAGGTGAACGAGTATGTCAAGTCCGGCCCTGTTGCCGAGGAGGATGCCCCCGATCGAAAGAACTGGATCGATCGAGAGTAAGAGACGTGTCGGTACGTGACACACAAACCTGAAGGATGAGCGACTGGACACGAGTCGAAACCAGAGGAGGCGAAAATTGTATATATTGAGCATGATTCATGATGATTGAGAACGGTGGGAGTTAGTAGTTGATGTAGGTCGGTGTAGTGATAGTCAACGTGACGGTGGTGGTAAGTATTAGATGGTGTACTTAGGAGTAGAGTGGTTTGTTTCATCGAACTTATTCCAAAAGACAGAACTTGTTGTATGTGTACATTTGTCTTTCAATCGCTTGTTTTCTACATCTAGAGTCTGGTTTTGTTTTTCGAGAAATTGGCTAAAAACTGAAATACTGTCCAGTTCCACGCAGAATAGATACAATACAGTTGGATTTGATTTATTATATTTTTCGAACGTCGAATCTTCAATTCGATGGGGCACCACACACTTCTGTTCATAGGCCAATTGTAGCTGATCCACAGGCCCCATTCGGCTGAGCACTAAGCCCATGTGTTGCGATCTAGAGTGACACTATACATTATGATCCATGTTCATGTCACGTGCGGCGGAAAGCGAAAGCGCGAAACCTGCTAACAATGTCGCTCCACACGTGTCTCGATAACTCGATAACTGGTCCTTGTCATCGTATTTGTTGCACCTCTCTTAGGCGTAGTACCTGGGTTAGCTCATTCTCGCTTCTCACTCACCCTTCGTCTCCTCTCGTACTCACAGTTCCAGGTTTGATCCGTTGTGGATCTCGTAGTCATCCAGAGTGATATGGTCCTTGAAGGTCTGGTATCCCTTCTTGAGCACAATCTTCTCGGGAGCAGTTCCGATCTGGGCTGCCAGCAGCTTCTTGAAGTCGCCAATAGTGTCTTCAGGTAGACACTTGACCCGCACCTTCTTGCCCACACTGTGTTAGTCATGTTGGTAGATCAGGAAAAATAGATACTCACCGATCGTTGCAAGTGATTTCAATCATTTCTGGGTTCCTGAATGTTGGATGGGAATATTTGCAACTTCTCTGATGTCCATGCACGGAGATAGTCCAGTATAGTTAAGCTTTTAAATTCGTAAATATGTTTTTATGGAGTGTTAGGGGGGTGTCAAGTAGAGGGTCATTAGATCCACTTGAAGTACGAGTACTGTGCTCGTGGTTGTATCATTAAAATGCACTTTCCGACACAAAACAGTCTTTTCCGGATATATTCCGACTTTTCCCGCCATTTCTGGCTTCCCATAAAATGCTTTCTATCGGATCATATTCAGCCAACTCGATGCTCCAAACTTTGTAAAACTATCTCAGTATGTACAGTACACTACATACAACAATATACACAAGGCAAGCCACCTCCCCATATCACATCATTGATACCATTGCATACCACTCGCACCACTCATACCACTGAGCATTCCACGTGATCATCTCATGAACAGCAAGTTTGCCACGGTCTCATCGATACACTGAACACCAGCCCTTCTGATACCTCCACCACCAGCCGGCACTTGTGGAGACACAAACCCGGACCCACCTCACGTCGCGCGCCAGAATGAGTCTGTTTGTTCTTGCTCTCATTTACTGCGTTACGTTTATTCTCCTCTGTTTCTGGTGTTTCTGGTGATCTCCAGCGTTCACCTGCCACCTTTTTGTCCTCACCTGACAAGATATACCCATCCCGCACACAATACCAAAACACAGTCTGGCAGCTACAACAATACCTCTTCTTTTCAACAACACTTTCAGTGCTCTTCACTGGGTGGAGAAGGATACGCCGAGGATATATGATACCCACCAACAATCGGCTTCGACCAGGCATGGGGAAAAACATCATTCTCTGCCTGGATGGCACGTCCAACAGTTTCGGAGCAGGTCCCGAAACCAACGTCCTCAAGCTGTTCCGCATGCTCGAAAAGGACTCACCCAACCAATTGGTTTATTACCAGCCCGGAATCGGAACCCACATCACCGTCGACCTGCCCAAAACCATCTGGTCAGCAGCATACTCATACGCAGAAAAAATTGTCGACATTGGAATAGCCTGGTCCCTTGATGCACACATTATTGCCGCCTACATGTTCTTGATGAAACACCATTGCCATGGCGACCGGATATACCTGTACGGCTTCTCAAGAGGTGCCTTCACCGCTCGAATCCTCGCAGGTATGCTGGACCGAGTCGGATTATTGTCTCCAGGCCAGAACGAACTGGTACCTTGCGCGTGGGAAATCTACAAGACGTGGGAAGCAGCTGGTCAGCCTATGGAAGACAAGACGTCCAACCTGGCATGCTCTTTCAAGTCGACATTCAGTGTCCCTTCTGTGTGCGTCTACTTCATGGGTTTGTGGGACTCCATCAACAGCAGTGGCATTATTCTGGACCGCTCGTTCCCCTACACCTCTTCGGCGGGTATCGTTCACCACATTCGACATGCTGTCGGCATTGATGAACGACGAGCCAAGTTTAAACAGAACCTCTTTGTCCCTCATTGCTACAACCCAACACTTTTTGGTCCTTCCGGCATATTTGCCGAGCGTCAGAGCCCTGAACTGACTCCTGAGACAAGCCCACAGACCAGTATTGTTTCCAGTGTCCGCGTCAGCCCTGTTGAGAGTCGGCAGCATACACCCAAAGGATCGATGGTCATACTGAGACACCCTACTTCTCCTGTCCCTATCAGTGCGAGCACACCGGTTCTTGCAAGTGGATCATCAATTCGAACCACGGCTTCAGGACGTCGATTTCCTTGCAGCAGCCGTTCAGAACTGTCCCACATGTTCCGTGCTCACTCTGAACAATCTCATATGATTGGGACACAGAAAACACGCCATAGACCGGAGCGATCAGGAGATCTCGTGGAGTTGTGGTTCCCAGGTGACCATGGTGACGTAGGGGGAGGATGGTTACCTCGAGGGTCACCACATTTGCTCTCTGACATTCCTCTGGCGTGGATTCTCTCCGAGAGCGTCAAGTTTAAGGTGATCTTTAAGGAGGGAGTGATTGACGAATTTCGAAACAACCATGATCCCGAAGAGTGTCTTATTGCACCCATGCACGACTCTCTAAATCTCTTTCGACGTCAGGGAGAAAACGGTCGTGGAGAAGATCCTTGGTGGAGACCGTGGTTCTGGTGGTTTCTTGAAACCATGCCGGTCGCTTACCGGGTTGAGAACGAGGAAGAGAAATGGACAAGGGTTGCAGTTCCCAATTACGGTCGGGCACGGACCATTCCTATGGGTGCCAAATTTCATTGGAGTGTGGCTTGGAGAATGAGGTTGGTTGACGGATATCGTCCGTTTGATCGTTCAGAGGATGATGACGGTTCCAGTGTGACTGGCGGTGGAAGTAGCAGTGACGAATACGGTGCTATTCCCGATGACTTTGACTGTCATGATGGTTGCTAGGATGTAGTTTTATATCCTGTAGTATTTATATTTCTTGTGTCAATTTACTTGTACTGGGTACTGTGTCAAAGTCCCCCGTAAGAATCGAACCCCCGACCGTTGGGACGCGTTTAAGGTTGTCGCTTTGTATGGGGTCGGAACAAAGCAGGCAGCAATGCACTGTGAAATCAGCCAACCAAAAGCGAAACGATAATGCGGCCGAGGGAGTGCATTCAATTCGGTCAATTCGACAAACAGGAGACATCTGGCCGGTTTGATGGGATAATTGGCCGATTATTCTCGATTAAGTAAGCAAACTCGTCGAGATTTGTGCATTTTTGGCCTTGTTTGGCAACTCGTCATTTTGCCAATCCATACACCGACTGCAGCTTTAGAGATGGCCTTACCTCCCAATGGCTTTTGGAGTTCTCCCAATGGTCAAACAAATTAAGGTTTTCAGGGTAGGGGCTCGGGTGGACCAATCACAGTGGCGAAATATGCGCTGCGAGGGAGTTTTTGCAAAAGCTAACATTTGCACGTAAGGTCCCAAGTCAAGCACACACCACACTTCAACCTCTCTTGACACTCACCCTCGACTGAACAATGAGCCTGCTTCGAACCGCCGCCCAGGCCGTCAAGGCCCCCAAGGCCTACACTCCTCTTGTGGCCGCAAAGGCCTTTGCTCAGACCCGATCTGTCTCTTCACAGCCCATTGGTGGCAAGTCCACATACAAGATCCCCGACTTCACTCCTTACCTCAAGAAGGACCGAAACACAGATGCCAACCGTCTCTTCTCCTACTTCATGATTGGATCGTTTGGCATGCTCTCCGCTGCCGGCGCCAAGGCCACCGTCCAGGACTTCCTTTCCAACATGTCTGCTTCCGCTGACGTTCTGGCCATGGCCAAGGTCGAGGTCAAGCTCGGTGCCATTCCCCTCGGTAAGAACGTCATCATCAAGTGGCGAGGAAAGCCCATTTTCATCCGACACCGAACCTCCGAAGAGATTGAAGAGGCCAACGAGGTCAACGTTGCTACCCTGCGAGACCCCCAGACTGACGACGAGCGAGTGCAGAAGCCCGAGTGGCTGGTCATGATCGGAGTCTGCACCCATCTGGGTTGTGTGCCCATTGGTGAGGCTGGAGACTTTGGCGGCTGGTTCTGCCCCTGCCACGGATCCCATTACGACATTTCCGGCCGAATCCGACGAGGCCCCGCTCCTCTCAACCTCGAGATTCCCGAGTACGACTTTGCTGACGCCGAGACTCTGGTCATTGGTTAAGGGATATAAAAGTGCATGCACGAGAGTGTAATAAATTTATAATCGAACGACTGACAGGCCAGTGCGATCCACGAGTCTGGCCGGTGACACGAGCACCATGTAGATAACACGACGACAAATGACGGTGACAAGAGCATGGGCGGAGTTTGACTGATGGAGGATGTAGATCTGGATTTCCGCTGGGATGTCAGTATGAAATGCTGAAATTCTACCGAGTGTCCTCGTTATCGTGTGGTATCTGCTATATCTGCAAAGGCCATGCTGGTGTGTTGTGGTTATCGTGTGTGGAGTGTAGATGTTGGGTTTCGCTGTTACCGTGTGAATGTGGTAGAGGGATCGCTGATAAAAGTATATAAGGGGATGCTAAGTTGCACAATCGTCCATCTCATTTTCTTCACATTATCGAGATTCCGTCTCTACCACCATGACCGCCATCGCCACCATCTTAAAGTCCCATTCCTGACATCACCCATGACCTGCTGATTCAGAGTTGCGTCTCGAGAACCATTGGTCACTGGGAGGTTGTCTGACCAAATAAAGTTGCGGAACAACACAACATGGGAGGAAAAACACGAGAGGAGCTGAGCGGGACGTCGTTCGAGAGGACAGGAGCGTTGACTTATCTGTTTGGAACGGTTGTGAATGTTGTCTGCATCGCAGTTTTAGTCTTCCAGTCCAGTGTCTTTCTCAATGACGTCATCGTCTCGTCCATCCGGCTGCAAACATAGGGGGTAATCCATGTTCGGCTATCAAGATTAGGACGTTGGGCTTGTCACATTAGAAGCAACTTAATTTGACTGGGAAATGGAGTGACAAAATAAAATGAAGTTAGAGGAGGCAGTTGGAGAGCTGGAGATGGAGCAATGAGGTGAGACCGAAAGACGAAAGACGGAAGAAAAAAAGAAAAAAACAGAATGACGAAATGAGAAGAAAAGTGATATTTCCAATCTTTCTTGAATTGATTCTTGGCGGTAATCGTCGTAAATTCATCGCTCTCATCGGTTGCCTCACATTACACACTCTGAATGGGTTCACTATGTTCAGTCAATGAACCCCAACTGAGTAAGTGCAGACTTTGAAGATGCTTGCAACGGCTTCCTCCAGTTCTTTGAACCAACCGCGGAAGGAAGATGTTCTTCGTGCGTTTACAGTACTTGTACTTTTCAGCACCTCTCTAAAAGTACATCATACTGTTTTTTGTTTTTTTCTGCATCCAAACGTCCAATAGGCCTAAGTAATTACATAGTTTACTTGGAATCAGACCAACTAAAAAAACTCCATTTACTTCACCAGAAACAAGACTGGCTGGAAGAGAAGTATCGTATATTGTGAAGACAGCAAGACTCACTTGAAAACCGATGCTTGTGAGAACAGGCAAAACGCGAGTAATAACATGTACGTACCGTAAAAACATCCCTGATACCTCGCACGGTTCCATCACGTTCACACCCAACGCACCAAAACACCTACACTTGCACCCATCTACATCCCCATATCAAATGCCAATATTAATATATATATACCGGGTTCCCATTCCATCCTTTTACGTGCGAGTGAACACCTCTACACCCCTAATCAATCTCAATGGCCACAGCAGAGCCCTCCACAGAGTCCTCAGGAACAGGGGTGCTGGTGGCTGTGCTTGCTCTCACCGGCGTAGAAGTTCCAGTGCCGGCATTGGATCCTGCCGATGCCCCGGCGCCGCTGGGCTTGAAGAAGTTGGTTAGCGAAATGTTGCCTGTAGGCTCCTTGGGCACCTGGACCCCTCGAGACTGAAGTGATCGCGCAGGAATGGTTCTGGGGATGATGTCCTGCAGAAACTCGAGCTTGGGGTTCTTAGCTATCGCCTCGGCCACGTCCTTGTACGCCAACGTCTTTCGCTGGTCCATTCGAGCCATGAGACCAGCCTGTTCCGACAGGTACCGCACAAAGTCCTGGGTGGCCGCGTTGATGGCGGCATAGGCGGCCACAGACACGAGCGACACGTCATCGTCCTGGTTGACGATTCGCTTGGTTCTTGCTAGAGGCAGCTTGATGTTTGGAGTCTTGTCGGCGGCAGTTGTTGGTGTTTCTGTGGACGCTCCGGATTCTTTGATTTGCGCGTTGTTTTCTTCTTCCGGGGCCTCGTGAGTGTCCACGGTCTCCTCCACGGTCTCCTCCACGGTCTCCACCTCCTCGCTATCTCTCATTTCCACGTCCTGGCTCATCTTCGTAATGTTCGTATTAGTTGGAACTGATGCGTTTGGCTTTATGGCTGATCGTGCTGCATGACGTGTTGGCGTAGGTAATCACGTACAGTAGGGAATCGAAATTGATTTTCCAAATGTCTTCAATAGGTGGGAGATCTAATATCTATATATATTCGGGAAACGTGTTTGTGTAACTTGTATCTGCCCCAGCACACGACCAATGTCGTGATTTCTCAATCTGCAAATATATAAACAGCTCCATTATTCCCACTTTTATTTTTATTCTACTTTACACTCTTACTTGCAGTCTCACTCAATCTCTACGTTTCAGCCACCACATCAAAGTTCATGCATAGACAACTATCAATCTACAAGTTCGACTATCACGGCCAAAATGACCAGAAGGTGAGTACCATGCGCACAAAACGGCTCACCCGACTCAAGCTAACATAGACGTTCGGTGAACATCTCGGACGTGACGGAGGTCAGAAGATATGAGGACTTCTCGACCATCGACTGGGTAGATGTGGCTGCCAGAGAAAACATGCTGCGATGCCTGACGATTGAAAAGTTCCGACCGGCGTCCCGAGTCGCAGCAGGGTCAAGCGACACCCGAGGACGAATTCGACACAAGCTCTATGAGGTCTACACGGCAGCTCAATCATGGCTGGTACTGGCCCTCATCGGTATGGCTATCGGAGCTATAGCAGCCGTGCTCAACATTTCGACCGAGTGGCTCGCCGACCTCAAAACGGGCTACTGCTCTACAGGATTCTATCTGAATGAAGACTTTTGCTGCTGGGGCACCGAGGGAGACCACTGTCCGGCATGGCAGTCCTGGACTGGCTTTGGACTGCTCAATTACTTTGTCTATGTGGGATTTGCTGCCGGATTTGCCGCCCTGGCGGCCTTCCTCGTCAAGACCTACGCACCTTACGCTGCTGGCTCAGGCATTTCAGAAATCAAGTGCATTGTTGCTGGTTTCGTCATGCAGGGTTTTCTAGGCCCCTGGACCTTGCTGCTCAAGTCAATTGGCCTTCCTCTGGCCATTGCGTCTGGTCTGTCCGTCGGAAAAGAGGGGCCCAGTGTCCACTACGCCGTTTGTGCCGGCCACGTGATTGCCTCGCTCTTTGGACGGTACCGAAACTCCAAATCGAAAATGAGAGAAATATACTCGGCCTGTACGGCTGCAGGTGTGGCTGTGGCGTTTGGCTCGCCTATTGGAGGCGTGCTATTCTCTCTCGAAGAAATCACCAGCAACTTCCAGATGAAAACCATGTGGCGATCGTACTTTTGTGCTCTGGTAGCCACAGGTGTGCTGGCAGCGTTCAACCCCTTCCGAACTGGCCAGCTCGTCATGTTCCAGGTCAAGTACGACCGGGACTGGCACTTTTTCGAAATCTTCTTCTTCTCCATCATTGGAGTCTTTGGAGGTATGTACGGAATCTTTGTCAGCAAATGGAACCTGAGAGTCCAGTCGTTCCGAAAGCGATACCTCGGCAAGTACGCAGTCAAGGAAGCTACTCTCTTAGCGTCCCTGACCGCTCTAATCTGCTACTCCAACGAGTTTTTGCGCCTTGATATGACTGCTGCTATGGAAAACCTGTTCCACGAATGTGAGAATGGATGGGAGAAGTACCACGATCTCTGCCAGCCCGACCGACAGGGTTTGACCATGCTGCTATCTCTCCTGGCTGCCTGCGTCATCCGAACATTCCTGGTTATTATCTCATACGGCTGCAAGGTGCCTGCTGGTATCTTTGTGCCCTCCATGGCCGTTGGAGCTACCTTTGGACGACTGATTGGAAACATTGTACAGTACTGGCAGCAGGCACGGCCCGACTCTATCATTTTCAGCCAATGTGTCGTTGACCAGCCTTGCATCACTCCTGGCGCGTACGCCTTCCTTGGTGCTGCCGCTGCATTGTCTGGAATCACCAACATTTTCGTGACCGTCGTGGTCATCATGTTTGAGCTCACTGGTGCGTTGACATACATTCTGCCTACCATGATTGTTGTTGGAATCACCAAGGCTATCTCTGATCGGTTTGGCAAGGGAGGTATCGCTGACCAGATGATTTGGTTCAACGGCTTCCCATTCATTGACAATAAGGAGGAGCATGCCTTCAACGCACCCGTCTCAAAGGCAATGCAGAAAAATGCCGTCTACTTCACCTACGACAGCATCACTCTCAAGGAGGTCGAGACTCTGCTCGAATCGAACCCCTTCCAGGGCTACCCGGTGGTTGAATCCAGCAAGGAGGACCCTCCCATGCTAGTGGGATACATTGCCAAGGAGGAGATTGTTCGGTTGATTGCAAAGTTCAAGGCTCTGAACCGCGACATTCATTCATCGGAGCTCGGACAGGTCCAATGCTACTTTGGAGAGATTCCCGAGTCTGCTAGACAGTCATCGCAAGCATTCATCGACATGAGACCAAGTATCAACACATGCCCGCTGACAGTGGCACCACTAGCTCCGCTTGAAAACGTGACGTCAATCTTCCTGCAGATGGGCCCTAAGGTGGTGTTGGTAGTCAAGGAAGGACGTTTGGTGGGTCTTATCTCCCGAAAGGATGTGCTCAAATATCAATTCATCACTGAACGACAACACAATCACCACACTCGACTGCAAACACAACAGTACAATGAGCAGCTCGAAGAACGAGTATGGAAGCTGCTCAATCAGGCAGGAGACTACATTAACCACGGTCTCGCAAAGATCAAGGGATACGTCCTGAGGAGGTAATTAGAGCGAACTTCCACACAAAATTTAATGACGATATGATGACGTATAGACAGAATGGATAAGTACAAGGAAGAACTTGTACTCGTAACTTGTAGCTAAATTGAAACAAAAGGGACTATCTATGTACATACTCTACGTAGGATGGAAACTACGTGACAGTTTCTACAAATACAAGGGAGGGGGTATCACAATACAAATGGAGAGGCGTAACGTCGAACAGGGAGAAGCATTCAAACATGAAACAAGTCGCTAAAGATTCGTTTGGCTGTCAAAAAGTCGCTCTGTTTTCTTCGGTGTTGCGCTCATGGACTGAAAGGAAAAAGACATGTGACAAGGCGGGGATCTCGGAGGCCTCTCGTGGTTTGTGTTCTCGTAAATCTTGCTTGCTCGCAAAAGGTCGCAATCTACTGGGTCGCTCCAGCAGGGGTCGGCTGCTCGTCGGGTAAAAATCATTGGTGATACATTTTTGGGCGTAAACTATTTCATCGTAAGAAAAGGAGTGCAGGCAGGGCAAATAGAGTCGAATCGGATGGAATCGAACAGCATAGTAATCGAATAATAGCCAAACGGCGGACGTCGGACTTACAAGTTGTATGTACTTCGGTGGGAACAGCTTCAGGCGGACTTTCGTAAATCTGTGTCTGTTTCTGTGTTGGGGGGTCAGCGGGAGTGTCAACGCACCGCTTAAGATCGGTAGTCGTCTCCGGCTCCGTACTCACCTCGGAACTCCCGCTCTCGTGGGGGAGGTCGGCTGTACCGGTCTCCTCCTCGCTCGCTTCGATCTCGGTAGGAGTCCCGGGGCTCTCGCATGTCTCGGGAGTCTCGAGGTGGGGGTCCTCGGTAATCTCGGGAAGGAGGGTATCGCTCTCGATCCCGATCATCGTACCGGCCACCACCGTAGCCACCTCGCTCTCCTCGGTATCCAGCACCGCCACCAGGGGCGCCGCTACCGGGGAATCGGTCTCGGTCATCATACCGGGGAGGAGGGGGTCGTCGGTAGTAGTCCTCTTCGTATCGACGGTCGTCGTATCGAGAGGGGGGAGGTCGTCGGTAGTCGTATCGGTCTCGGGAGTATCGATCGTCTCCGTATCGTCCTCCACCTCGGCCACCTCGTCGGGCCTTGGGAGGTCCAAAGTATCGACCGGGGGTGGGGGTTCGGGCTCGCTTTCGCTTGGCCTTCTCAATGGCAAGAGTCTTGCCAGCAAGCTCATGGCCGTTAAGTTTGGCCAGAGCCTCGTCGGCGCCGGTAACGTCGGCCATCATGACGAAACCAAAGCCTCGGGACTCGCCAGAGTGGGGGTCCATCATGATCTGGCACTTGAGAACCTCGCCAAAAGGCTTGAACAGGTCCTCAAGCTCGGTCTCATTGACGTATCGGGACACGCCAGTGACGAAGAGATTGGTGCCCTCGTTCTGGGCGTCAACATCGTCGTCGTCATTCAGGGGCTCCTTTGACCGTCGGTCCAGGTCTCTGTCGTCTCTGTCAAAGTCACGTCGGTCGTCTCGACGGTCAAGGTCGTCCCGGTCGTCCCGTCGGTCGAGATCGTCTCGGTGGTCTCTGTTTTCGTCGTCCCGGTCATCTCGACGGTCGAGGTCGTCTCGGTCTCGCATGCTGTGGTCTCGGTCGTCGAGCTCTCGGTCGTCGTGGGTGTGCTCAACAGGGGCACCAGCCTCGTCGTCATCACGACGGGGAGACACACTTCGTCTCTCGTAGGTCTGTTCAGGGGAAGCCGAACGGTCTGTGTTAGTGGATGCGTGTGGGTGGATTGGCGTGATGCACTGGTGCCGAATACAGACACTTGTGGTGGACAGATGCAGACCGAGCCCAGCACAACCTCATGGCGAACAAAATGGGTAGACAAATATGGGAACAGCTCCAACTGGACCCGTTCTGTGTCCTTGAAACAGGTTCGGCGCAATACACCTTTGCAGCGGGCACTTGTCGAGTGTCTCTTCTCTTCTCTTCTCTCATTCTGTCGTTGCGGTTGTGCTAGTATTCTTGTTGGGTGGAGAGCTCAGTATCTTTGCCAACATATATAAGATACGGCTTGCGGTTGCTCGTGTGCGACAGTGCACGCCGCCTTGTGCGCTCGCAGGTATCAATTACTCACTGTATTCTTCGTCGGCCATTTTTCGTGTCTGAATAAGATGTACGAAGGGGTCTTCTGCCCACTGACTTTTACATTTCTGACGGGGGTTACCCGGAAGCCACACCCAACTATATACTATACATACACACACACACACACACACTGGGTGGGTCTCCTTGGGAGTTGGGTCTCTGGGCTTACGGCCGGGTAACACTGAAATTTGCATGCAGTGCCACTATCTCAAAGCTTGAAGTCAGCAGTTTCGCGATCTCGAACTACACAAAATGCTTCGATCTCTGGGAGCTGCCCTCACAAACGCCCGAATGGGCATGGCTCGTCTGCCCTGGACAGCCTCTGCGCTCCCCAAGCCCACAATGAGCCCCACCCTGGCCGCTCTCACCGTGCGACACAAGACCATCAACCAGATCCAACGAGACGGAGGCCGACCTGTGCCTTACCGACGAAAGAAGTCTCCCGATCTCGAGTCGTGCCCTCAGCGAAAGGGCGTTGTTCTGCGAGTTCTGATTCTCAAGCCCAAGAAGCCCAACTCTGCCCAGCGAAAGGCCGCCCGAGTCCGTCTCAGCAACGGCAAGGTGGTGACCGCCTACATTCCCGGAGAGGGTCACAACGCACAGGAGCATAGTGTGGTCTACGTCCGAGGAGGCCGAGTCCAGGATACTCCCGGTGTCAAGTACCATCTGATCCGAGGAGCCGGCGATCTCGGAGCTGTGCCCAACCGAGCCAGCTCGCGATCCAAGTACGGAACCAAGAAGCCCGCTGCTCCGGGCGCCTAATGTATATAGTAATGGAGCATCAGCTAGCGACACGTCGTGAGCTGTGTATGTGATGGTTTTCGGGATGCGGTGATTCTGTAAATAATGGGATGTAGAGGAGGTTCCAGTGAGGGACTTACTGGAAGCAGAGTCGTAAAAAGGTGCTATTATTGAGTAGTTGCACAGTTGAAGTCGCTTATCCTGTGACAATGTCATGTTCCGGATCATTCTCCCGAACACTTGCTATCTGGGATCATGAACGTGGTTATCCTGGTCAGGACGGGAAAATGGCCTGCTCATCTACAAAGTCATCGAGCCTGGTCATATTGATTTAAAATACACGTAACAATCAAACTCTTCAGAGTGGTTACCGTACCAGTACCCACGCCAATCTATCTCGATAATGCCTTCCATACACCTTCACTACAGTCAGTTGTTATTCATATCATATTCATTACAATGGTACATGGAGACATACCGATGCATAGCTAGTTCCGACCGTTAGATGAAGAGAAGTCAATCAGCAGCACGCTACGTCAAGTTACTGGCCACCTAGTTGGGATGCTTGAAGGTTCTTCCACTGGCGGTCTTCTTCTCCTTGACCACATTCTCCTGCTTTGCTCGGTTCAGCACCTTGAGGAACTCGCTCACTCGGAATCGCATTCGCGAGTGCATATAGGCCTTGGAACACTTGATATGGTAGTGGAAGTAGTCTCGGAAGATTTGGATGTGCGAGATACAGTTCTCTCGTCGAGAGGCCACAAGATGTCGGGGGAAAAGCACAAAGGTGACGTATCCCATGTTGTCGGCGTTAGAAGAGGGCTTGACAACGTCTCTGATCTCCAGCGGCGGCTCCTTTTGCGTGTACAGCACCTGGGGGGCGTTTTGGATGGCTCTTCGTCGAGCGTCAACGAATTCCTGCAGGAACACCTTTCCAAAGATTCGGTCAGTCTCGTCCTTGAAGATGGTGGAGAAGATGACGGTGACTCGGTCGTAGCTCGGTCGCACGTAGATGGACTCCTCGTCTCGGTAGTGGATCGCCATGACCTCGTTATCGGACTTTTGGGGGGCGTACAGGTCCTTGCCCTCGGCAGCAGCCTCCTCGGCCAGCTGGTCGAACTTGTCAAAGGCCTTTTCGAATGGAGCAGCAAACGTGTTTCTCTTGAGCAGTGCAATCTTGTTGACAAGCTCGTCTCGCTGCTCGGGGTCCGAGGGGATGGAGCCGTCTGTGAGGTTGAGCAGCAGCGAAACGTCGTATCCAGGCTCGGGCTCGGTCAGGTAGGGGCCATACTCCCGCTCCAGAATCTTCTTGGCGCCGCACTTGACCAGATCCTGGAAACACTTGATGTACATGGACACCATGATGACCGTCTTGTCCTTGGGGTCCGGGTTGGAGATGTGGAAGGTGACATTGTCGAAGTCCGACACCACCTGATCGATGCCCAATGGCGGGGTTTCGGGGTCCAGACGCTCGCTGAGCACCGATTGCAGCAGCAGGTTTTGGTACTGGAGCATAAGCATGTTGGCGGGTCTTGTGGAGTGCTGTGTGGGAGTGCTGGGTCTCGCAGTGGGTGTATAGTCAACGTGGAGATGTGTGCTGTACCACTGCGTTAATATCGTTGGTTAGTCAGAACTCTAATGGGAGGCTGGGGACGAACCGCGCGAAAACTGGTGGCACCAAGAGCAGATTATATACGGAGAAAATGACAATTATATTCCTCGAGCTTGTGATTGATCACGTGTCACCCAAAATCTTCCCCCAGTGTTATTATTTGCCGCAGTTGCAGACTCGCTAGATGACCTTCACACCACTGTTTATGCACTCACTCGGAGATAAGCCCTCTGGGTTGCGGATGTAGGAGTTGATACTTGTGCGAGTACTGTGCAAGTACGAGTAATTGTAGCCGGAGTAGTCAATTACAGCGGTGAAGGTAATTGGTGACATATGCTGGAGAAGTCGATGGATAGATGGGGTCCCAATTGGACACGGAGGTGAAACCCCGACCTTGATAATCCATTGTTAGGAACAGTTTACTTGGGAGTATGCTTGACATTTTACTTGAACTCTATCACGAGTGACGCGGGAACATGTATAATGGGATATGTCTCACATCACTGATATTCCCCCTATATTGAAGTATTCCACTCTATCAAAGTATTCCACCCTATATCGAAGTCTTTCACGGCTGGAGCACCTTTACGATGCTTCACTACAGTATGACCCGTGCTGTTCTTCACAGTCTCTAGCCAGACCTTCGTACATTGTACTCGCACTGAACGCGAACAAGTCTCTATCCATTCAGTACAGTACCTCCCAGTTCATCTGTCTCAGAGACTAACCATCTAAAGTGTTACGTTCCTCTTAGCTCTGATTCTAATCAGATCATGGTTCTGAGCTTGGACTCGGAGGACTACGAACATGATCCCAGACGTTTTAACCTGAAAACACGGACATAGAATGCCCAATTGGGGGACCAGATTCAATTGTTCCACTCCGTCATTGCTCTGGTTTCACAATATCACTCCGGTTTGCAGTACATACTAGTGCAGTATGTAGCAAGTACAGTTCACAGTTCGTACAAGACCACTTACAGACACCTCCAATTGCACCATGGATCCGATTTAAATGTAGTTTTTTTGCCACTGGCTCTGCAAGTTCATTCAATAGAACAATTTTTATTCATTTGACTCAGTATCATGACAATAACCACTTTTTTTATTATTCTAATGATGCATTACAGCATGTTATTACCATACCAAAATTCAACGTAAAGATGCAACTTCGACACCAAAATTATTAACTTAATATCGGTTCTACTCGAGTAAAAAGCTACTAGGGGATACTTTTGGTCTTTGAGAATAAATATCCGATGTTATTTACTTTGTACAATGTCGATAAGGGCGTCAAAATCAAAGAAAAATTCAAAATCACTTTTTTAGTCTCTTGACCGTATTTTTTCACGTGATTTTAAGATTTTCGGCCGTGTGGTCTAGTAGCTATGATTCTCGCTTTGGGTGTGAGAGGTCCAGGGTTCAAATCCCTGCTCGGCCCCTTTTTTAGATGCCCTCGAAAATCAGTCCTAATTGTTTTTTTATTTTTATTTTTTTATCTGTCATCCCCTCCACATTGCTTTTACGCCTTGCAACAATTTATCCAGTCCCTTAAATCACGTGTACATACTGTACTTGTCTGTTTCAACACCCTGTCTGGCAGGACATGAGATGTTGGACGGACTCTCCTGTGGGGCTCTACTTGTAGGTTTAGCAGTCAGTTATAGTCGATCGAAGGGCAGATTCTGGGAGCAATACGGGGCAGTGGAACCTATTTAGTCGACCGGATGGTGGGATTCGAAAGCTTTTATCGAGCTTTGAACGGGCAGTAGAATGGCATCTGTTGCACTAATGGCGAACGGCGCAACGCTCGGAAGGTCAAAAACTTGTAGTTTCCAAGTACGAATACCATAAGCAACCGACCATGCACCTCACCGTCCCCTCTTCATTCAACAACAGATGGCCAGTTCAAAGTCGATTAATGTTCAAAACCCCCATCTGTATGTTCCATCTGTTGCAGATGTGTGGGGTAGGATTGAAGTTAGTCGCCGACAGAGTTCTCGTTAAGGCGAGGGGAATAGTCGATAAAAGAGGTATTGAGAGCAAAAGAGGAAGAAAAACTAGACAAGTGATCATACAGATCCCTTATCAAAGCCGATCTGAACGGGTTTCCCCCTTCCTTTCTCCTACTGTAACGCTTCTTGGGTGGTACAGGAGAACCTCTCGTGAGACAAAGAAGGTGGGGGGCACTGCAGACGGAAGTCCGGAAAATGCAGACCCCGACAACAGAGTGAGAGGAGCAAATGCCAAGACTGGTTATCTGGATGTATTTCCCATTGTCCGACAGGTTTCGGCCGAAGTTGCGTTGACACAAGTTCTAATTCAACCTGTAGGCATTCGTAGGTACACCTCCCACCGCCGTACACACCTGACGCGGCTAGATTGTTTATTTGCAACTGTAACTATGTAGTAGCAAGGATACAATTAGCATTGGGTGGGTCCTTTTGATTGTGGAGACAGTTTCGAACAGTCCTGTCCCGTTGGTTCGCTGTATTGAGGTCACAATTGCGTGGTTCTGCGAGTTTACGTCTAGAGTAAGCAAAGATTGTCCAACAATCAACTTATATCCCAATAAAACCTCACCGACACCCCTCCTACCCCACAGTACCATATCATTCCCCACAATCCAACTTAATGTGGACTTCTGCTGAGTCTTCTGAGTTTGCTGAGCTCCTTGTACTCGCCTTGTACTGGTTTCCTATATAGCCATGTTGGGGGTGTGTGTAGAGCAGTAAAAATGAACGAATCAACCTTCCCAAAGACCTCAATTGAATATCTCGAGGACACCAAACACTCCATTGAACACCTGGAAGATGACAAGCCGTCAGTTGAGCATCTGGAAGAGACCAAGACAGACGATCTTTATGTCCAACACAGCGTCACTTCTGGACAAGTGTCAGACGTCTCCATTTCAAAGAAGAAAGAGGGCCATCTGAAATTACACAGAAGCATAGCCGTTGGTTGCCAATTCCAAGTTTTTCTTGCTTCTCATATTGTTTCAAGGGACGTGATTGGAGTGACTGTCACGGGAGGAATTGAGCCTTTTCTGAAACTCACCCCCTCTGAATACGAATGGTCGCAGGCAGCACTATACTTCACCTACGCTGTCTTTGTAATTCCTATGGCTTTGCTGTTTGCTAAATCGAACCCGCGCGTGTTTGCTGGAGTCCAAATGTTCATCTGGGGTCTCTGTTGCACACTGTTGGGCATCTGTGTCAATTACGGAGGTCTTACAGCGGACAGAGTGATTATGGGGGCCGTCATGAGTGTTGCGCTACCTGTAATTCTTCAGGTTACATACGAGTCTCATGGAAGATTCGAGGGACAGTTTGTCATTGCCTGCTCCTGGGCAGTATCTTGGTTCATGGTACCTCTGTTTGCCCTCATCGCCATTGCACTTGGTCTGATTACAGACGGAAAGCCCGGTTGGGCGTGGATGTTTTTCATCACCGGAATCTGTGGCTGTCTTCAGGCTCCTCTGGTATGGAGATTGCTACCAGACTACTTCTACCACCCCAGATGGATCAGAAAACATGGTGAAGACGGATACCAGCTGTTCAAGAAAATCACCGAAAAACACTATGCTGGAGGAAACCCGATCGAGCCCATCGAGACAGTCATTCAGGGCCTTGGAATGGCTCTCAAGGACCCCATTGTCTGGCTCACCGGTGCCATGGGTCTCTTTACTTACAATGGTATCTTTTCGTGCTATGGAGAGCTCATGACCGTGACTCTGCACGTGCTCAAGTACTCACCAGCTCTAGGTCAATGCATCGTTTGGCCCATTCTGGTGTGGAGTTGCTTCTACTGTCTAGTTCAAAACTGGTTCTCCACTAAGTACAAGACCAACTACCCGTTCCTGCTGGCCAACTACCTGTTTGCTATCATTGGATGGGCTCTCGTTCTGTGCACGCCCAGCCACAAGAACTTTTGGATCAAATATGGAGGAGCGTGGTTCATTATCCCCAACATGGTCGCTGCCATGCCTACTCTCGCCTGCTGGCTGGGGAGCAACGTCCAAGGAAGAAACAGAAGACTCATGAGCTTTGCCGTTTTCACCTTCATCACTAACTGGTATGGAGTCATTGTTCTGCGAACATGGGTCGCCACCGCCGCTCCTCTGTTTGTGAAAGCCGCCTGGGTCAATATGGCGTTTATGATTGCCGGCGTTGTATTCACCGCCGCCCTGGTGGTGGTGCTTAAGCTGAAGACGAGTCACGGGGCCTTCGTGTATTTGCTGTAGGTGATGAGATTAGTTGTAATTGATGTGATTGTTGTGCGAGGAATGAGCCGTGAAACTTGACGAAACAAGTAGACCAGTATACTGTCAGAAGCTGAAGAATGGTGAGTGTATCACTATCTCTATCTCCGAGCCAACACCACCACCTAGATATTGGACACCCGCTGAACAGACTGGCCTGTTGCACGTTTGACCAAAATGAAGACTACGAGAACCTGTCTCCCAAGGAGCGAATGAAGCTCAATCCCGATAATGACTATAAGGAGCCTGAATACACCAAGAAGTGCCGTTAATGATGAAGACGAGCATCCTGACAAGGAGTCAATATCTGTTCAGGACGATAACAAAGTCCCTGTGGCTCTGTGTGCCAGACTACCACGAAGTCTCTGAGGTCTGTATGCCGGGTGAATCCTGACCGCGCTGATAAACCCACCCTGTTGAACACGGATAAGGAGAGAAAAGTAAGATCGAGCGTCCTTCCGAGCACCAGACAAGTTCGAAGACTTTACGATGGTCAACTTGATGCAGTGTTCAGGACAAAGTGTCATCCCACAAGTGGTCTCAGAGACTGCAGAGTGGTTATCGGACGTCTTCCCAGTAAGTCACAAGGGAAACTTGTACATAGATTAACGACCTCCACTTGACTGGATAGGTTGCACATGACTGGATAGGGCTTGTTCCGACTTGACAACACCACAGGACTCTTTGGAGGAGTAGGACTGAGCCCACATCAGGTCAACATCAGGTCATCATCTGGCCAGAAAAAATCCCCCTGCTCTTGTGGATTTATCACCACAAACGGGAACAAGGTCTCTCCGATCAGTAGTAAGTCGCCAATCCATTTGCGAGTCACTGACATATTTGATATAAATTCACTTGATATTTTTTTGAAAAATTATATATATTAAGGTTTCTGATTGATAAGATAAAAGACGGGGGTCTGTGGGGGTCAGTATCATAACCACTCCACCATCGCTGCCTGGTTTTGAAATCGCTGTTAAGGTGCTTTTACGCACAAGCTCGTATCGCTCAGCCACATGCCATCAGTACTTGATATATGCAGTCAGACGTCACAAACTGCAGATCTGTACATGTGGACTGTATCTTGGGTTCGAACTGGTGATAGCGATTCTTACGGTACTGTACTAGTATTGCATTCAGAGAGGTGTATTTGAGAAAAAACTGGCTTGGAAGTGACTCCTACAGAAGGTGGAAATCTCGTCGGTGCACGGAAAGTAGATTCCTCGGCGACAGTTAAGTAGAATGATGTTCTACTTGCTCTCAAGCGATCAATCTACTTACGACAATGCCGATAGTGATAACCTCAAGAGCAACTTATCTGAACCCGGCTACGGTCTTCTATCCGACTCTGTCTCACACGTATCGATCGATGGAGTTGAGTGTTGACCCGCAGCTCAGTGCTTCCACTGCACATCTGTCTCTGGAGTCGCGATCTCAATGAATCCATTACTGAAGCCTCTCGGCAGTCTGGATATTCTATTGAACGACACCTGATGCAATCATGCCGTGGTACTTGTTGTGTAGAACCTACCGCTCGCCCTGATCGTCCGAGTGTTAGTTGAGCGTTGGTCGAATGAGCGTTTGTTTGACTGGGTGCTAGTAGACCGAATGTTAGTCGACCGAGTGTTAGTCGACCGAGTGTTAGTCGACCGAGTGTTAACCCTGACTAACGCTTGTTAGCCCTTGCACTGTAGCAATTGACGGTTCCAGCTGATCTACGAAAATGCCATCTATCATACACAGTTAGCATTTATTCTCATATAGTCGTTAATAAGTCCCGACGCGCGGACGTCTGCTCTAAAGGTGCGTCTCTCCCATGTCGTGTCGCCACGTCTATCTATCGTCCGGAAAAGTGGACCGCGATCGGAACCACAATCACCACAATCAGAATGATGACTCCAATGACCAGACAGACCTTCATCTTGAAGTCCTTGAGCCACATGGCCTTTCGCACCCGGTTGGCGCCTCGTCGGAAGCCCTGGGCCGACACCGCCAGGTTGTCTGTCTTATCTTGCAGCGAGTCCAGTCGTTCTCCTCTCTCCGCCACCTTGTTGATGTTCTCTCGCATGATGCCCACGGTATCGTCGATTTGCGCCTGGATGGCGGCCGTTTTGTGGTTGCCCGTATGGTGCGTCTGCGCATGGCTCTCGCCGGCGTACGGGTCGTACGGCATGGAGGACGACATTGTTGTTGGTGTAGCTAGCGGCAAATCGTATACCTGGTGGTGCGGTTCAAACACATGGTTGGCGGGGTCGCGGTTAGGGTAGATGGTGAGAACCTTGACCCATGTGTTTGGTTATTTTGGCCCGGAGGTATTTTTAGACCGAGCGGAGCGCGTTGATACGAGTTGGGGAGCGAGCTATTTTGGGCCCTTTTTTCGTTCGTTTTTGTTTACAGAAAATCCGCTTGTTTTTGGCCCGTCAATTGGACAACAGGGTCCGTCTGAGTGCGCCACGCGTGGCTGGGTAGAGTTTTGGAAGAAAAATAAAAATAAAAATAAAAAATAGAAATATAAAAAAGTCATAGAACTAAAATCTGGAAAAATAAAAAAATTGGTGAGAACAAAACAGCACAGTGCAGTAAGGTAAGTAGAGAAAGGCGTTATTGTTGGAAAAAGGAAACCTTTAGCTGGTTATTTACTTAATTGTTGGGGAGTTACTGGGTACGTACAGTATGTACAGTACAGTACGTATGTGTACTGGTGTGTAATATAATGACAACCAGGTGGCGGAATTGATCCACTGATCGGGGCTTTTTGAGAAGCCCATGATTCTATGGTAAAAATATTCTGTGTTTTTCTGTTGTACAATTGCAGGCACCATCTTCTCGTGCTCATATCTGAAAACTTCAAAGAACCGTCTTGGCACATAAATGACAATTATTCACCCAATTCGACTCACTCTGAGCATTTTATGACTGTAAAAATGTCCACGATATGTATTTTGACGGGAATGTCACCTTTTTCGATCTCCTGATATACTCATATTCTCTTGGGTGTCTCCGAAGACGGACAACCGGCTCACGGAGTCAATCTTAAGTAATTACCAACTAGAATTATAACAAATTGTAGTGGAATACGTAACAACAACAGAGCCAGACTAGAGGGATCCAGGAGATTTTGAGGAGTTGCAACATCTAATGTTTACATCAGAACAAGGTACTATTAGTACAAGTACACTACATTATTGTCCCTCTTGGCGAGTATCACTCTCTAGAGTCACTCTTTCCAGCATAACACTACTCCGCGGAGAGTATTTGACACCATTGTCTGACCTGAGGAGATTATAAAAGAGGAAATGCTCCGGTAAATGTCCAGGCCCAAAAAATCGTTGCAAAGGACGCCTGGAACATATCTCTCAGTGCCCAGAACATCCCTAAAATGAACGTTGGAACTTGCTCGTCCGCAGATCATCTCAATTCCGTAGAGGTCATGAGGTCTTAGGGACCAAATCGCCTCCCCAGATCCACTCATCTCCTTCTTTTTCCCATTCTTGGTTCTGGCTCTCGTGACGTCATCAGTGCACAAGAAAGTTGGTGTCTGGTGAATGAAGGAGGACTAATTGTCAGTATTGTACATTACTGTTGGTGATGCAAGAGGTTGCGAATATGGAGAATAAGGACAAGGATCTTGCTACCACATAGATGATATGACAACATCAGTGCTTGTATTTACTGTTTTTTGGCCGGACTCGTCGAAGAGCCGAGAAAACTCGATTACTTTTCTCCCATACTTCTCTCCCATACCGATTACGTCTCCCCAACCAACACTAATACGCAATGTCTGGCAAATCCCGGAATAACTATTCGTACTGGTAGCTTTCTCCATTCCGTTCCATCTCATTTCATTTCACTTGCCGGTCTCTCTTTCTGTCCAACCTAATCCAATCAGGAATGTCGGGTTCGTCCGCTCGTTCATATATGTATGTATTCGACACGTGTGGCTTGACTGCGGCTCCCGTGCTTTCTGCCGTGCCATCTCGCATCGTCTACACGACGCAGAAGTCGCGGAATCGGTGCGACTTCGACCGGTGGGCGTTTGTTGCAACTTTTTACGATTTCAACTGCCTATAATATCGCCCGGATTCAGTCTCAACGGTCGTCAAGTCGCCATGACCTCCCCCCGCTACCATTGGCGAATCCAATCAAGCTTCGCGCCGTCCAAACTTGTCTTTCTGAAAAACAGTTTGAAACAGAAGCCTGTCTTATCTAGATAGCGACGCACGCAACCACGCAACCACCAGACGTGTGTCCCAGCCCGGGCCAAGACCCGATAACGCGCGATAAGCGGCTAAGTTTGCTTGTTCGAGTCTTGGCAGGCTTGGCAATGCCCCTCAGACGAGGTTTTCTCGACCACAATACCCTCCAACGCCCACTCCCTCCTGCCTCTTCTGATCCACTACACGCCCGACCATGCCCCCCCCCAAAGCTAACATGGCCTTTAGTGTTAGTGTTTGAGCGACTGTATATAAGTGGAATCGGAAATTTCGACGAGTAAATCACTCACCAGTCGTCGGCATAGTGTCGTCGCTTTTCCCTCCTGTCCTTATCGCCATCGCTCCCCTCACCATCTCCTTTTCCGCTGCTCCAAACCCACCATGAACGACCCAGAGGCTAAACCCCCCGACACCCTGGACAACCAGGTCCTGGCCGACATTGGATACAAGCCCGAACTGAAGCGCAACTTTTCCAAGCTGCAAATGTTTGGAATCGCCTTCTCCATCATGGGCTTGCTTCCCTCCATCGCCACAACTCTCTCCTACACACTCCCAGCAGGGCCCTACGGAATGGTGTGGGGTTGGTTTGTGTGTGCGTTTTGCGTCATGAGTGTGGGGCTCACCATGTCCGAGCTGGGATCGGCACTACCTACTTCGGGCGGTCTGTACTGGTGGACCTTTTATTTTGCGCCCGACAAGCTGAAGCGCCCGTTGTCGTTTCTGGTTGGCTACTCCAACACCCTGGGCCTGACTGGAGGAGTCATGTCCATTGACTATGGATTTGCACAGATCTTCACCAGTGTGATCATTGTGGCAACAGATGGACGCTGGAACCCGTCCAAATACACCGTCTATGGCATCTTTGCCGCCTGTGTGGTGTCTCACGGGTGCGTGGGCTCTCTGGGAACACACCATATGGCCAAGTTCCAGACCATGTGCATTTTCATTAACTTTGCCGTGATTCTGGTGGTCATGATTGCTCTGCCAATCGGCGCCAGAAACAGACTGAACACTGGAGAGTACATGTTCTCCCACATTGACAACCTGACCGACGGCTGGCCCGACGGCTGGGTGTTTTTTCTGACATGGCTGTCACCCATCTGGACGATTGGAGCGTTCGATTCGTGCGTGCACATGGCCGAGGAGGCCGCAGACGCCACCAGAGCTGTTCCGTTCGGAATCATCTCGTCAATCGGTGCCTGCTGGGTCCTGGGCTTCTGTCTCAACATTGTGTTTGCAGCCGTCATGCCCCATGATATTGCCCCGCTCTTGAACACCAAGTTTCAACAGCCGATGGCCCAGCTGGTTTACGACTGTTTGGGAAAAAACTGGACGATTGGAATTATGTGCATTTTCTTCTGTCTACAGTGGACCATGGGCCTTTCGAACGTGATTGGAGCGTCGCGACAGTCCTGGGCCTTTTCGAGAGATGGAGCTCTGCCCTTCTCCACATTCCTCAAGGTGGTCAACACCAAATACTCAAATCCCATTAGATGCGTCTGGGGAAACGCCCTTTTGGCTCTGGCTCTGGGCTCCATCTGTATGATCGATGCTACTGCTGCCGCCGCCATCTTCTCCCTGTCGGCTGGAGGCAACTATCTGGCGTGGTTCATCCCACTGACTCTGAAGCTGGTGTTTGGACAAAACAAGCTGACTCCGGGCCCGTTCTATCTAGGCAAACGACTCTCCATTGCTATTGGAACCTTCGCGTCCACCTATCTGTTCTTTGCAATCATCCTGCTGCAGTTCCCCGGCACCACAGCCCACCCAGACAAGCTGTCCATGAACTACACATGCGTCATTCTGGCCGGCGTCTGGGGAGGCTGTCTGACATACTACTTTCTGTTTGCTCACAGATGGTACACGGGTCCCAAAACCACCGTCGATGTGGTCGATGGAGTGGGCGAGTCGTCGTGCGAGTCGATTGAGCTGGTGGATGAGTCCGAGGGCGAAAAGAAGAGGGTGGTCAACGACTACTCGACGAGTCATTCCACGAGTCAGACCACGTTAGAGTGATATAGATATTAGACGACATAAAACAAAAGATGGAAACTAGAAGCAAAAAATAGAAGCAAAAAATGGCGACATCCGCAGGATTCGAACCTACGCGGGGAAACCCCAAGAGATTTCTAATCTCTCGCCTTAACCGCTCGGCCAGGATGCCAATTTTATCGTGACGTAAAAATCGCTCTGAATTGTTAATATCTATGTTGTGATTACACAATCAAACGAATTTAGAATGAAAAAAAGAATCCAGGTTAAAACTAGAATGAAATAAAATAAATGAAATGAAAAACCGACCAAAAACCGACGTTACAAATAGAATGACTACGAGATCTAATTGAAAACTATCTCAGATATTGCAATGCCTTCATGGAGAACATACCCAGTTCGTCATGGCGTTTTCTTTGGTCAAGCGAACTGTGGAAATGACGAACTGGGATTGTGAAGGGGAAGACACTGTGATTTGTGATTTTTTTCTTCAAAAAACCGAATCAATGCACGTATTTCACCATATTCCACCATTCCGCCCGAGTTGTATGACTGCTCCTTGTTTCTTCAGGCTATCTTTCGAAGCTGTCCAACTCATCCTCTCATCATTACAACCAGATGACCGATCATAAGAGTAAAGCGTTTCAAAAGCCGTAATAGGACTCTCTCAGAATCTAACAGTTACGATCACCTATCACACGGTTGTCAACCCCCTGTGAGGCTTTGATTCACCACCTGGTTTCACCACCTAGTTCACAACCATGGGTCTCCTACTCATACTACTGGTGCAGCACAGCTCTCCACTATTTCTGCAATTGGGTCTGCATATTCTAAGAACAAAAAGGTGAAGGGCGGGTCTCTACTCCTTTTGTCGAGATCCCAATTCAAGCTCAATAGTCACCATTTATGGCACTCATACTACAAACTGTGCTATCACTGAGCTGAGTACAAGCAAGAGCACGAGAGTACGGTTCAACTGAAGTCTGTTGTACTTCAGCTATGGTTAATCTGCTCTGATAATCGCTCTCTCATGGCATGTCCTCTTTCAATTACCGAAAATGTCGACAGATATACAAGTACAGTACATTTTCAAATTGGAGATCCTAGGTTCCACGACCCAGTTACATTGTTGTATATCATATCATTAGATGTCCGACGAATTAGACAATGGTAATGACCTGAAAAAAATTGAACTGAACTGGACTTGGTCAAACTGCTTCATCTCGTTGGCCTGTCGCTCGGCTATGCTGTCGGCCAACAGTCACCTTCTGCCAACAACAGTTTCACAGTGTCAAATGCTGGCTTAACGTGTTTCTGTCGCTTCCGCAGCTTCTACTCAGGTGACAGGGAGATAACCAACAGTCCATGCGGCTTAGATCAATACGGTTGCATTGTCGCCGCAGGCTGAAGTTCGGTCGGTGGTTGCAACACCCGGAAGATCAAAAATGTCTCCATTCCTCCCGGTTGCGAATGACGTGAAACTCCCGGTGGCTCCTGTCCACTGCACACACTCTCCCGTCCTGGCAGTAATTGGTTTTGCCGGCTCGAAGATACAGCCATCTTCCACGAGCCTCGAATATGCCCTTCTTGACGGCGATTTCGACCCTGCCGTTGGACATGAGCGTAACACTGGTGATGTTTGAGTAGTCGCTGATCCCTTCCAGCTTGACGGGAGTCGGTGGATTTCGCAAAACGGGACATTCGAGCTCGGAAGAGGGCGAGTTAAACGAAATGATACCTGAGTCTTCGTTCAGAAGAGGAGACCTTTCATGCGAGCTCTTGTGACTGACATTGTTGCTGTATTTGAACTCACTGAGACAGTTGCGACATCGACAGAGGGGTTTCGGCCTGGGGACAATGTTGAGCTCCAGGTGCTCGACGTGTGCGTTAGAATAAACCCGTCCATCGCTGCAGTATCTGATGAACACGGGGGCGTTTCTGAACCCTTTTCCGAGCCGTTTTTCAGACTCGTGGGGCACCATCAGCCTGGCGTTGTGGAAGGAAAAGTGCGGGATCTTCCCCAGCAGATTTCCGCACTCAGTGAAACCCGTGAGTCCAAACGAATCGCCTGGTTTGCTCTTCCATCTGATCTGGACGCCAATGAGCATTTCGCAAGTGTGCCAGTTGGTGAAGACTATGGTTTTCGAATGTACGACGACTTGCAATCCTTCCCCAGACCCGCAGGACACGTCCCTCTATTTATCATCTTCGACGATGATCCGATAGACTCGAGTTGAAGGTTCACACGGCACTCACGCCACACATGTCTTATCAAAGTTGCCAGGTGATACCAAATCTGCTGTGGCGGAGTTGATAGAGGTTCAGATATTGGTTCTCTGATGTTGATGACCAGGTGTGCCAATAGAGGCCGTGGTTATTCCTACAGCTAGACAATGTACCTGCTACCACTACTCAACACCATTCTACAGTTACAATACCGCATTTTCGCACCACAATCCAGATCTCAACTAAGGTGTATTTGCCACCTGTTGTTTATTTTCAAAACTAAAACCAATCATGAACGGACTTACTAACACATTCAACTATTGTGTAGCCCACGTATTTTGTACGTTTTTGATGGGGTAAAAAATACTAATGTTATAAAATATTTTGAATAAAAAACAATCAAAAGTCAAATTTAAGGTTTATAGTATTCGGTTGTATATTAAACTGTAAATAAAATATTCAGACATGTATCTAAACAAAGGGAGAACGGTGGAATGGAGCCCAAAGAAGTATCAAAGAGATGCCGACGTCTATATGCGTTAATAGCACTAATAAATGATCACGTCTCGGTTTTTATCTCTAAAGACCGTCAATTGCCAGTCAGCGTGCCGCGACCACTGTCGAGGTAGGTGCTCCACCTACCAGACGGCTATGGAAGCTGTTCAAACAGACACCAATTGCAATCTGTCTTTTCACTTTTCACCTGCTGATCCTTCCACTTATCGAGGGGACCGTCGTGTTACGACTTCCCGTCTGATCGCCCACAGTCAAGCTTCAGAGAGCCCAGTAAGTATTGCAGGGATAAGTATTTGTAGGGAAACGAGGGCGCTGTAATCTTCTACAGTTGGAACATCACTATAGCTCCCTCTTTTTTATTCTGGCTGCGTCTACATTGCTCGATCCCTGAAGGAGTTGGGTTGTGTACTGTAGCTATAGCTGTAACCCGGACTCTGCTCGGGATGTCCTCAGTATCGATAGTAACGGGCTTCTTGGTAACACTACCATTGCTGAAAGTTGACTGATGAGATTGTGATTCATGGAAGCAACCCGTCAGGGAGACCTTGTTGCCATGGTCCTGTCTGAAACACATTCGATTGGTATATCTGACGTTTGACCAATGTTCATCAACACCTGTCAGTCATTTTGGTGGAGACTCCCTTGCCCCTACCAATTGAGTGCTAAACCTGGTATGAGTGGAACTACCATCAGGTGCGAGGTAGTCGAGAAGACAATAGCTACCATCATCTTCCCGAATTGGTGTAGATTTTGAAGTGGTTCTTACCTTCTACATGAATGGGCTCCATACCTTTGAAGACGCCGAGGCGGTTATATCAATGGCCACATTCCAAGGACTGAACTCATAGTATCCTCATGTCTTGATCTGGTATTGGAGGGCTGGCTCAGAGACTTGAGGTGATGTTGAAGATGGTTGTCATTTGGCGGTTAGTTGAGTTGGATCGAGAAGTGCAGGGAACAGAACATCGAGAAAGTAAAGTAGAGCATGATGTTGATATCTGTTGACAAGTGCGTCCATGTGCGAAAGTCTTGCTGGGGGCTGTACCCGAGCTGTTGGGTAGAGTGGGAGACAGTAAGCACACAGTAGCTATACCCTCTCGTATAGCACCACTTTTTCTGTGTTACTATCTGTAGCAAATAAAGCAAACATCTGGAAATTCCAAAGTCCAATTTCCATACGTTCACTTTTCATGAATCCACTTCCTTTTGGGGCTGTGTGTCGACTTTTCAGGTGCGACGTCATATTGAGGCTGATAGGAACTACAAGAAGACGCCCGATCCAGCTTGCAAGACAATTGGGGCTGAACGAGATCTCGAGATCCCGACAGCACTTCTCTTCTTCTTGCCAACACCTCTCCCACATGACCACTATGAAAGCGAAACGAAATCTACTGGAAGGAGCTATCACAAAGATGACACTAGAGGAGTACGATGAGTACGTGAACGACAACCTATGTACTCAGTGTTACCTCCAGGACTTTGGGCGGTTCGATTTCGTCTTCAACGGATTGCCAGAAACCAGCACGTGTCAACAGGAGGTGTTTCTCTATTATTATGACCAAAAGTTGAAGCAGAGACACGCCAGCAACAAGGCCGTGTTTTGGGCTCCCTGGACAACCACTTTGGATTCGGTTTCGGTGGCCATTGACATTAACCAGTTTCTTATCTACAACAGAACCACTGGTTCAAAGAACCACCTCATTTCCTACGATGGGTGGGTAACGTTCAAAAGCATCTCCCTGGACGCCAACATCTGGATATTGCTAGCTTCCCAAAGCTCCATATTCGATGTCCCAACTTGCACAAGTGTCCAGAGGAAAGGCTTGGCTTGTTTGAGACAGTCTGGCAACGGCGATTTCTGCATCAAAAGTGAGGACGGACATACCATCAACGTCCTGAAAGCCGTGATGGAAGCCAATTGGCCCTTCTTCAAGGCGATGGTGGAATCCGGCATGAGAGAGATCAAAAAAAACCAACTAGAGCTGCCTCTACCTCATAGTACAGTGGAGATGATGGTGAGGTACCTTTACGGTCAGGAGTTAGAGCTACAGGTGAAAGAAGCAACTAGGCTCGTTGAAGCTGCTCAGATGTACTTATTGCCTGAGCTGCTGGAGATATCCCTCAAGTTCATCGAATCCGAAGACACGGACATCGGTCAGACGATTCAGGTTTGGAAAATGGGTAAGAAGACTGGCAACTTGCGCATGGTTTTCTGGGCTATGGTAAGGATTAAAGAGCTGAAGGTCGACACCGACGTTCTTTACGATCTGGACAAAGAAGATCTGATTTCGTTATTTCAAATGATGACCCTTGGCACCGATCCTAAGAAATGATTGATCTTCGGCCCTGAAAATGATCATCTTCTTGCCATAGTGAACAATCAGTTAAGCGTTGTATCTTCAAATGGGCGTTTTATCAATAGAAACACACTATACAGGTTCTTTCAAGGGCACAGTACAAACCAATTTCCATTACAACTCCCAATAAGGGGTGCTTCAGATATGGGACTGGTGTATGTCTGAAATCAATCCTTTCCAGTCGTTTTGTGATTTTATACCGTTTTTGCAGCGTTGTTTTTAATTTGTATTCTAATGATCAATTACCGCCATATCAATCGATTCATGTCTTATCCAGACTCGAGGTTGGTTTAGTTTGTTCTCGTATGGATCGTCGAAGGTGTAATTCGTGTGAAAACAACTTCGGCAGTCATTCCGCGCCGTACATCCGCTTCATAGCCATGACCACAATGTCGCGACGATATGCTGCAGAAACTCAGATGAACAAGCGAGTTAAGTCTCGCTGGACCACGGGGTCAGTACCCACTAGGCCAGTTTTTCGCATAGCTCGCTCGAACTGCCACAAAGAATGGGGGAGCTGTCTAATGTAGTTCAGCGGGCCGTCCTTGGCTTCCAGCAAGATCTAGTCCGCCATTTTTGATGGAAAGGGGACACCAATCTTTTGGCAGATGGCCATGGACGCTGGACAATTGACAAAAAGATGCACGTGAAGGTAGTTCTTCTGTCTGAAGAGTAGACAAGAACTATATCCTGGTCTCTGTACTGGACAGATATTGATTTAGGGTACCACCAGGTGAAGGAAGGGGAGGCGGCTCAGCCGCATCATGTGTGGCGTAGCAGCGCTCCTATCGTCACGTCTTTCGTGCTTGCTCAGGGACTGATTTGTCTTGAGCCAGTGTAGATGGTTTGGATCAAGCTCCGATCGCAGTGTCTCCAACCAGTGCTTGTTCTTCGTGACTTTGAAACGAACGCGTCAGCCGTCCTTTGCCACCTTGACAGGGACTTTGCGATTTGCGATATGCAACTTGCTCTCGAGACATGGATACGATCGGGTTTTCACGACGCTGGCGTTCTAACAGTTCAACTGTCTTCCTCTTCTTTGACCACTCCGCCCTGGGGCGCAAGTCAACCGGAGGCTCAGCCAGTACAGCAATAGGAGACAGCCTTGCAAGTCTTCGTAGGCACCGGTCCGTGGATTCAGATAGGAAGTGGCGCCAGTGCCAGTTTCCCGTCTCGAACTACCGAATCTTGATCATTCTCGTAGCAGGGTGGGAGTCGTGCCCGTAGCCCAAGTCTACTGTCTCGCTGGCAAAGAACATAGCGTTTGTCTTGCAGCAGTATCATCCCTGAAGAAACGAGCCGCTCGCGTGGCACGGAGACTCTTTGCTTGCTCAACAATGTTCAAAAGGCCAATGCCTTCCGCTCTGAGAGGCAGGTAGATGAGCTCGTCGTTGAAGAAGCGCTTGTCAAAGTTTCGAGGCGTTCTTGGCGAGAATCCTGACAAGATCGGGATCACTCCAGGTAAGACGCCTCGGATGTTGCTGGTCGACGCTGCCTTTGCTTGAACTGCCTTGATGTAGTTGATGATCCTAGGCGGGAAACCCACATGTTCCAAAACCATGATGATCCACTCCTGGCTGATCGAGTCGTAAGCCTTCTTGAAGAAGAACATACCGAGCATCCAGGACTCCCTTTAGCCATAGACACTGTATTAGTGATACATCGCATCAAGGTTGGTGGCCATCTGCCTACCAGGAACGAAACCGGTCTGGGCTGGGTGGACCAGGAAGTTCAGGGTTTTCTGCAAACAACGGTTCACATGTGAGTGAAGATCTTCAGCTTGGTGTTGATCAATGGGATTGGGCTGTAACTGGCGACGTCGGTGGGATCACCATCCTTCGGGTGAGTCAAGCTGTCGTTGGAAATCACTCTCCCTCATCTGATTAAGAACCGACTCAGGAACCTCTTTCAGAAACTCTTCAAAGCCCTCAGGGTTGCCTTTGTGCTTGTAGATGTCTGTGAAGGCAGCTGAGTGATCCGGCCAATAGAGGGTGTGTCGGAGAACAAAGTGCCATCGGGTCCTCGCAGGGACATGATGTTTGCGCTCTTACCACAGGACTTGACTCTTGCTTTCAGAGGGGTGAAACTGAGATTGGTGAGTACGTGGTCGTCATAGGGCGACCGAGAAGTGGTGCCTCATTCTGAATCTCCTGAAGACGTTCAGGGTTGTCTCTGCATTTGACCCGAAGACAGATAGCTCTCTATTTAGAGTCCAACTGAATTTGCGATTCGATAGTCTCCAGTATTGAGATAAACCGCAGTTCCGTGGGTAGAGGTTTTCTTAGGGCAAAAGCGTTGTCAACTACCTCTGCGAGCCGAGGAAAATAATCTGGGAAATAGATATGTTCACGTTCTCTCCATGTGCCTTTCTCGACTAGCTCCGGCTCTGTGGGGGACTGAAACTTGAAGGTGCTGTACACTGGGTGATGGGAGGACCTGTTCCGGCAGTAGGTCCAAACCCAGCTGGGGGGGGTTAGGAACCCCGTCTTGGTCGGGGGGGGGGGGGGGTCCAGCCCGGGAGGCCCCGCCATCGAGCCTCATGTCGTCGTCGTCGTCGGTGAGAGAATCGGTCTGGAAGTCGGCTGGAACAGTGGTGGAACTATATTTCCTTGGATCCCCGGAAATCGGATGGCCGTCCATAGCATCCTTGTGGATGGACGATTTGGCTACAGCCTGATCGTTGATGGTGGCACCATTGGCGTAAGTGATGACGTGGTCACCATTGGGGATAGCAACGGAGAAGAAGAGGACATTGTTGAAAGCGGTGTTGATTGAAAGAGGTGAATTGGGGGAGTGAATTCGTCTGATCAAGTATCTATTTACTATAGCAAATCACGAGAGAATCGGATTTGAAATTTGACCAAAGTGAAGAGAGTTGTTTTTGTTGTTTTTTTCTACTGTGCAACGTCGCTTTATACTGTGTACTATTCTCAACCCCTGCTCAGCCGTCGGGCCAATCGCTGGATCTTTTCGTCATGCTCGCCCATGGCCTTCTTGAAGCCCTCCTGCTGCTGTTGCTTCTCCTTGGCCTGCTCCTCACTAGTAGGAGGCAGGCGCTCGTTGCTCAGATCCGCGCTTCGAGCCTCCTCAAACGAAGTGATAGCATCTCGAATACCCTGGCCACCGAGCATAAGGGTTCCTTGAGGAAGCTTGCCTCCAGACACAGCCTTAAGCTCGGAAACAGACTCGGACTCTTGTCGCAGAACGTTGAATAGACGCGACATTTGCCCAATGGCCAGAATCTTGTTTCTGAGAGCCCTTCGCTGGTCAAACGAGATGGTACTGGGAGCATCAGAGTCGCCGGTGGCGACAGAAGCAGCGGGCTCGGGTTCAGTAGCCTCACTGATCCCGCTAACGTTGTCGTCATCTTCAAGCTCCTCCTTTGTGCAAATGTTGAGCATGGTGATGAGCATTCCGGTGATCTTCTCACCCACAAAGGGCAAGGACCAGGTGAACACATTCATGAAGTTGCGCAGCCAGTAGGGATGAGGAGATGAGTTGAACTGCCGAATGTTCATGATGTTGTTCTCATACTTGAGAACCGCAGCCTTGTTGTTGTATGCATCCAGATAGTTGGGTGCCGAGAAGATGGTCATTACCGAGGGGAAACCAGTGCTCTTGGTTTTTCTGTACATTCTGTAGCCGGCATCTTGGGCCTCGTGAGCTCGAATGATGGACAGCAGTCCGTTGGCCTCCAGGAAGGCACAGGCGGCGTGATAGGAGTAGAAGAAGGAGCAGCCTCGCACGGAGTTGTGGACAAAGTGTGCGTTGCTCTTTTCGGCTCCAAAGTCCTCGCAGGGATCGGCCCACAGCAAATCACACATGATGCCATGGGTGGGGGGCTCTCGGAACCGGTCTATTCGCCGCAGATCGTCCAGGGTATGCAATTCAGGAGACAGACCTCCGTGGACACACAGAAACTGTCTGTTTACAATGGCGGCCAGAGGCAGGGTGCAGAAGGAGGCCAGACACGCCTCGTACAGATCGACCCCGTACTTGTGGACACATTCCCGCTTGAATGTGAAGTATTCGGTCAGATGACGGCACTCGTGGTTGCCTCGCAGCAGGTAGATGGAGTCCGGGTAGTGGATTTTCAGCGACCACAGGTAGAGCACGCACTCGACGGAAAAGTAGCCTCGATCCACGTAGTCGCCCAGGAACAGGTACTGTGTACTGGGTCCGGGGGTTCCTCCAACCTCAAACAACTTGAGCAGATCGTAAAACTGGCCATGCACGTCTCCACAGATGGTGATGGGGGCGTCCATCTCCAGCAGGGTTGGTTCTTGCTCTAGAATACGCGATCCGGCCTCTACGATGCGAATCGCCTGCTCGTTGGACAGTCGGCCTTCTCGGTAAATGTGGTCCTTAAGAAACTCCAAGTTGGGTTTCCCGGTGGCTCGGTCGAACACGTCGTCGTCGGACGGCTTGCTAGTGGCGGGTGCAGGCACCGACTTGATGGGTCTGTCGATCGTCGACACCACCGATCCGTCCTCCATGGTGTGCTGGGTGAAGTCGATTTTTGGCAGTGGCTTGCGGTTCTGGAACGCCTTGACCGCGTTGGAGAGCTGTGCGTTGTCCATCGTGTGTGTTGATGGAAAGTGGTGGTCTTATTAGTTGTGTGTCTGTCATGTGGTGAAGATGAGTGCAGTATCGTGCCTGTTGTGCGTCAGGGGCAGGCTGCAGATCAATGAGACAGGTTCAGAGCGCAGTTGTGTCGCTTCGAATGGTCGAAGAGCGGGAGGAACAGCGAGCTGGCAACCGAGAGATGGTGTATTTTCTGTACGTCGTCGAGTTGTGGGCATTTATTTGCACTCAACTAGCCCAACCACTGGTCCAGCAAACATCTGAGACTGCGTGGCCAAGTTGGTTAAGGCGTACGACTGTTAGAAGCATCGGGTTTCTGTAATCGTAAGATCGAGAGTTCGACCCTCTCCGCGGTCGTCTTTTTTGCTCTCCAGAGATACCACATATATGTTGGACTCCTTGCACCACTTTATATTTGCACATTTCTGCGCCCGCCTCGAGTCTTTGTGGTTGATTTTTTTTGTTAAGCATACCAGCTCCGTCGTCTGGAAGATCATAATTCCCAACTAAAAGGTTGAAGTATAGTTGACAATAAACAGCCACATCGTAACTAATACAGTAGTATAAAGTATAAAAACATGCAAAACAAAGCCGTCCAAATTAATTCAATTACCGATTGAAGACACCACTATGTACAGTATACTGTCTTGTACGTTCTGGAGGTACAATCCAAAATTTGGCAAAAAACAACTGCCCGATACTGGAATCGAACCAGTGACCTTTGCATCTCAAACTGAAATACAAGTGCAACGCTCTACCCCTAAGCTAAACGGGCCCTGATTTTCTGATCTTGTAAAAAGTAGCCACCATAGTGTGAAAAAAAAAGTTTTTTTTATTGGAATAAAAAAAATTCAAAAGCCATGATTCACTACCACGAGACCACGACAATGACATCAACTAGACGAAGCGTCGACAAACAAACTGACAGCGCCTCGCAGCGCACACCGCAAAGATTCAGAAGTGTATGATTTATTGAACGCCAATAACCCGGCTTACTAGGTATATAGCTGTAATGAATCATTAGAATAAAAAATTGGAATAAAAAAAACATCGTCTAAAAAACGCCGCTGTTACCACGTGACGGTACGGAAAATATCTCAGACTAGAAGATAAATGTTTTTAGTGGCCTGATATTCCCTTGGAACCCTCAATTCGATATCGAATGCTGTGGAGTCATCTAGGCATGGGAGGTGGTGGTGGTGGAGTGATGGGCTGGTAACCAAACATCACAATGGATGGGAAAGAATCATTAGAACTAAAAAAAATGTTCAATTGGAAGGTCAATTGGTTTCTGACTGGATATCCGCCTGAATCTATACCAGTTCCGCCGTCATTGACAAGATGAACATGTTATGAAGAAAAAAACACTGAGGTATAGGAGCAGAGCATACAAGTATGTGAACTGTACATACTGTACGAGAGTCCGTCTGTCGGATTCAATTACAAGTACCGGGTTTCATATGGGTATTTTCTTGGCTCGATGTCGCATCAGATGACTTGTTTTATGTAGCAAACTTGCACTTGTGCAACATAACTACACTACACATATTGCCATGATTACCACCTCTCCAATTGACACATGTGGGATCCCACCACAACAAGACGGTGCGAAAAACGTCGACAGCCGGTGAGTGAGACTGTCGACCTTTCAATTGAACGGTTCGCTATCTTTGGACCAAAAATTGGATGGAGTTGAGTAGTTGAAGATCTCAAAAAGACTGAGTCTCCCGTCAGACCTGACAACCCCACTATTAAACAGCCAGTGTCGAAATACCGACTGGATAAACCGATGCAGAGTTCGATTTCACGTGGATTCACGTGAATTGCGCCACCTAAATACATTTTTCAGCATACAAATCGCCATAAAATCTGTGAAAAACACCGGCAACCTGGCCGAGCGGTCTAAGGCGCCAGGTTAAGGTCACACCTTGACGCAATATCCTGGTCTCTTCGGAGGCGAGAGTTCGAATCTCTCGGTTGTCACGTCTTCCAATTGCCAAGGCAGTTGGATATCTTTTTTTGTTATGATCATGCAAGAATGATTAGTCATTAGCTCGAGCATCTCGCCCCGTCTGCTCGTCCTCTCCACACTATCCCGCGGTCACATGACCCCAACACTCACATAGCTGGACTATAGTGGCTCAAGGTCAATCGCACCTATATCCTGATGGTACGGCTTATCGTCAGCCGAGGCCCTACCAGTAGTTGGTCTCAATATCAGCAACATCGACTCATACAAGGCTTTCTTAAAGCTACTAACAATGTAAATGTGCCCTGGTATTACTAGTTCAGTACATACTGTACAGTACCTACCAGAACTATATGTTCAATATTTCATCGTTAACAAACACTTCTCTACCTATTTAAATCTCAAGACAGTCGAACCGCTGCGTCCAGTCCGATATAGTTGTGCCAAGCCAAACTTGCATGTTGGAAGCAAATCCTCCGGTCTTCAGGATCCAGAGGGGCGATGCCATCGTGACGACGTTCGGTTTCAGCCCCGTGTCCAAATTGCAGGGCATGGAAATCAGCTCCAACATGGAAGTCAATTCCGTCGTTGTCTGGCTGGCAAACAATTCGTTTCTGGGTAATCAGAGCCTGACAATTTCGCCAAGACGACACGTTCATGACACCGGCTTTGGTGCCAAAGTATTTTGTCATCGTCACATTTAGCACAGTTCGGACTCGGTCCAAAGTCCACATATCATCAAAAATCACCGCGTCGCATTCCTGCTCGTGAGTATCCGAAGTTTCAGGCGGGTCGTCGTCGTCGTCGTCGAGCTCGTCGAGAACGCGCTGCCGATACTGCGATTGGAACAGATACCTGCTTTGAAGAAGTGCTCGTTCCCCGACAGGGCGACTTCTGTTGTACAGCAGCTGGTTCATGCACATGATAAACGGATGAATCACGGCAATATAGACCAACAAGGAACGAGCTACCTTTTGAGGCAGGAATCGATGCACAGTCTTTAGGACGCCAGCCCCCTGCTTCTTGTACCGATACGCCAACGCTCCTCCTCCCAAGCCGAATTCAACGTTTCTCTTTTCCCACGTCGAGTTCATCAACCTGAGCGTCAAAATCTCCGAGCATCTTGCCGGCGAGCCTCCCGTCAGTTGCAGAGCAACCAGCAGCAGCTCCTTGAATCTGACAACCTCGACGAAGAAGTCTCTTTCGCATTGAACTCTGCTGAGACGCCCTCCGTTGTAGATTCGCTTCGACCAAAATCGGTCCATCATAACGATGGGGTCTCCTCCTGCCCAATCCCACAGCCTTTTCTTGTCAGCAGGCGATTCGCCCACCCTTGTTCCGGTGCATTCAACTTCCATATAGTCGAGAAACATGCGAGGGTCCAGAGCTGAAACATTCCTGCCCACCAGTGCAACAGCCTGCGACTCTAGGTCGTCAACTAGACGCATGATACCAGACTTGATGTGCGACTCACTAGTGGCCGCAGCTCCAATCGAAATATTCCCGTCCTCTGACAACTGCACGTTGCCCGTCGACGTCTCGGAGATGGCTCTGCCGTATGCCCACAGCCTCAAAATCTTTCCGGCCGGTGTATGGCCCTCCGAGCTGCGCTTGGTTCGAATGAACGGTTGACACTCGCGCTCAAAAAATCGTCCCATTGTCAGATTCCTCCCTCCATGGTTCACGCTGAGCATCAATTGGGATGCACAGATGCTAAAGTACACAAGCATCAGTTTAATCATCAGCATGATATGCGCAATGATCTGCATCGCTTGCTTTAGCGGCCTGAACATACCGTTCGTCTCATCCCAGTTCAGAGCAGCAAGACCTGCCTCCAACGGCTGGTATGCGGCGTTAGCACAACCGCTATAGGAATAGCAGACGACACTGTGCCAAAACCCTAACACTGTCCAAGTCTTGGGATCCTTCTTCATGATATCGTATGCTGCACGCTGATTGGCGGTAAACTGGAAGATCTTTGGCCGCGACACTAGAACGCAAAACAGCTTGCGAAAAGTGGCGAGATACTTTTCCTTGAAGACAGGCACAAAGACGGGCTCCTCCGTGAAGTTCTCAGCCTGGGCTCGCACGCGCCAAAGATCATTCTGCCAAAGACTAACAGTAGCAGGTGATTCACCCATTTGTATCACCTCATCCATCAATGTGTCATGTGCTGTCAGAAGCGATGGAGGTATATTGTCTTCCTTCCACATGTCAGCCTGTCCGGCGAGAGCATCGGCAGAGCGTGACCACCCGGTACGTTCTATCCACATTGCGTCGGCACGTTCGAGATCCTCGAAATGCGTCCTAGTTGCAGTCTCATTTGGAATGGGAGAATAGTCGGACTTTTTCACAAACACAAAGTCCAGATCCTCGTAACGCATCTGATTATTTGCGAGGGGGGTCATCACAAAATTTCCCTTCCTCAATGCGGCGAATATCTGAGAAGCATCCATGAGTCGACTATCGGTGGGGCTAGGTGAAGGCGCTGTGTGTGTGTGGTGGTTGTTGGACGACAAGGGTGGGTCTTCAGGCGAATAGTCAGGGCTCTTAGGCAAGGAGACGCGTAAAGTAAATTAAGACGTGAACCTTGAACACGTACAGTATGCAGGAGAGAGGAGGCTTCGTCAGGAAGAGAGCTGGATAACGGGCCACTTGAAATCTTCGAATAATCATGTGACCGACTTTTAATCTACACGAATATGATCACGTGACTTTTCTCATGAATATTATGCTGGGAATTTCGTGATAGAGGTATCATAAGCAGGGTCCCATTGAGTAATCACTTGAAAGTTCGACACACCAAATGGAGATATGATTTAGTTGGCTGCCAATGGTGTCTTTTATTGAGAATAGAGTTCGGAAGTAGTATTTTCACCAACTTTCCAGGTTACTCAGGAAGACTTAAATGGAATTTAGTCACTAGAGGAATCCTGCAGTCGGTGGTCAGGTTGGCCTCTCTTCGTTCCAAGGATCTCCATAAAGGAGTTACCTGACTAATCAGATGTGTGTTGCCTCTGATCGTAGTAATCGAGCTCACTGATGAGAACTAGCTCTAACAATCGGAACTTGTTCAGGAGTAGCGTTGACAAGGTTACTTTCATTTAATACATATAAACTCCATTCAATGTCTTTCAGGTACTGTACTCCATTCAATATCTTTCAGGTGACTTTTCAAGGTGACTTTTCATGAAGAACCTGTCTCTCAAACAATGACTAATCAATCAATCAATTAATTTGATTTAATTTAATTTAATGTTATATAATATTATTTTGAGGTTGTTACAACAGGAATTCAATTACATGGGAAGTCCAGCGGGGTCGCTCGCGTAAATGTTATATTTTATAACGGAGAACGTCAGGCAATTGTCACGGACTGTGTTTATGGGACCAGAAGTCGGGTTTTGGCCTGAAGCTCCAGTTACAGTATACGCGTGGGATGAACCTATCTATCTAACAAAGGGTTTGTGTAGTTCCATGTGTGAAACAGCGTAACTGACCTCCAGTACGTCCCTCGTAGGTCTGCCCTGAACGGAAGACAAACTGCAGAAGTCCAATGCTCTCTTGCTATACTTAAAGTCAAGTTGTGCTACCGAAAATTGTAGTCACAGGATTGCTATTAGGACGTGCTTCTGTAGCTCTCACATGGTTTACAAGACACTGTGGTGTACAGTATGTACTACGATACCGCATTGATACAGCGGATAGTGTTATGTATGCATTGATAATCGATAAAGGTATGTAATTTAAGAGAAACTGGAATGGTAGCGGCGGTTCGTGAGACAAAGGTAGGATGTATGTTAGGCAATGAGTGAAGGTTGAAGACGATTGAGGCGTCAGGTTGTAGTTACAAGTACAGTATGTACTGTAGTGATCCCCTTAAATCTTTGCAGCTCCAATGGTGAACTTGATGGGCTTGTCGCAGGCGTAGCCTCCGTTGAAGACATAAACCTCCTGGCCGCCGTGAAGAGGGTCGTCCTTGGACGTGCAGGAGTAGAACTGGGTGGTGCCGTAGGACGAGAAAGACACGACGGAGCCGTCGCCGTTGAAGCCCCAGCCTCCGCTGTTGCCCTCAAGAGGCGGAGCGGGGTGGTCCAGAACCTCGAGCTTGCCGGTCTCGACGTTGGCGAACAGCTGACGGGGCTCCTGGCCTTCGGACAGGACGTTAACCATGGCGTTTCCAACCGAGTCGGCATAGAAGTAGGAGAAGCCCTGGGTGAGACCGTAGACCACGTTGTTGCCTCGGATCTGGAGAGGCTTCATTCCGATGACACCAGGGCCGGGGAACATGCTGAGAGCATACTTAGGGGTATCAGAGTCGTTTGGGGGTTCTTCGCAGACAATGGGGGCGGCCAGAGCGGCGGTGGCAATAGTGAGGAGAGTGAAGGGGTTGATCATTGTTGTGATGTGGTCGTTGTGTTTGTGGTGACGTGGTAGTACACTACGCACGGAAACACTGCCTTATATGCTTTTCGGATTCGATTGTATACCGCATCTCTGTGTCATCTGATGAACGGGAGTCAAGAGAGGTGGAGATATCTGAGACAAGAGCCGCACGTATTTGCACAAGGAGCATTTGCTCATGATGTTCAAAGTTGTACTAAATGTAGCACCTGCTTGATCGATGCAGGTGTGATGGCATTAGTGAAGGGGCGTAAAAGTGGCGATGACAGCGGAATAACAGTGTAGCAAAACCTTTACTGATGGCTTGGCTGACTATTTGTAGTCTTGGTAGTTTTTTACCATGTTTTCCGATTGAATTACACACTTGATTCGCCTCTTTGATTTCACAGCCTGCTTTTTCCAAGTCAGTAAAGTTTAAGTATAAATAGACCGCAGATAGTGTAGAATGACATCACGCCAAGAGGAGTCATTGGGCGCTGAGGGGATAGCGGTCCTCAGGGACAAGAGAAAACAGCAGACGCAAAAAAAAGCAAAAGAAAAGACAGCAGACGAAAAGACAGCAAGAGAAAAGATCACAAGACAAAAACATTAAGAGAGGCTATGTAATACCTATCTGCTGACCCCGTTGTCCTTAAATGGTGTTTTGTCTTCTGTTAACAGTCACCATCACTGATAGAGTTACATGTCCAATAGATACATAATTACTGCTCCTACCAAGATGATAGTTATACCAAACAAAACAGAATGATTAGCGCTATCCATCCGTATGATTTTTTCTCCAAAAATAACCACCAATCTACCCTCAAACACCAGTATTATCACCCAAACTCCCCAACAAATTGGCTTCCAATTACTGCACATACCCCACCAAAATATCCAAAGATATTATACGCACATTCAGAGGGGTCCAACATGTCAACTCAGGACGTAATGTTGACTAATGTATGAGTCCAGTATCTTACAACTATCTTATTACTCATCAGATAGGCAGCTCAACTACGTCACGTGACTGTCAAAGTACAGTATTACGTAATTGAATACATCAAAAAAACCTCGGCAATTCTAGCTCTTTGGATGCCGCCGTATGGCTATCGTACCAACCGATGTCAACATCGCGACTGTTTGATTACATCCGAAAAGAGTCACATGATATAATAATCAGCGTGGTCAACTATTTTTCGCGGTTATTATTCAACAATACGCTGTCCTTCTGGTCGCATTGCTTTGCTGCCATGTACGATACTTGTGCCACCGTCCAATATTTGGTGATAGCCAGATCTGAAAACACCCAATAGTCATATTAAAATAAAATAGATGTAAATAGCTATAGCAAATGGTAGGTACTCTGCTTTAGTACGTACGGTTCCCCTGAATATCATGCTCTCATCTTGCTTACGCTCTCCAGTAGATGGTCATATACGGTTAGACTGGCAAATCCATAACATCATTATCCAGCCCTCCCCAGTTGTCCGAATACAGCTCAGCGTACTTGATCTTGTCCACGCAAAACTCCTGCAGCAGCTTGGATATCTGCAACTGCGTCTTCTGGAACAGGCCAATCTCCTCCGTAATGCACTCCCTGATCAGCCACGTTCGGTTCTTGTGGGCCGCAATCATCTCGGTGTCCATCTTGATGGCGCGGTCCAGCTTCTCAATCTCCGACATGAGCGCCTTTCTCTGCCGGGCCAGAGTCACACGGCCCTGGTTCTGCTGGATCCGCTTCTCCAGCAGCGGGATGTTGTTGCCTCCGTACTTTTCCAACCGGTCAAACAGTTCCCGCATCGAGCCCAGCGCCTCCCGGTACTTTTTGGCCTCTTCAAGCACTCCCACCTGCGAACCTCGTGCCTCGTCCTGCTGAAGCTGGCAGTCGGTTTCAATGCGTGCCGAAGCCCGACTGAGACCCCGAGTGATCTGCTGGACGCACCCGTCATCGGCGACAGAGTAGAGCACGCGGGCGGAGGGAGGAAGAGCTGCGCCAAGGTTGTATGCGATTTTGGCGCTGTCAACAGCCTGGGCCTCTTGTCGTTTAGCCACTCGGTCCAGAAGAACACACAGCTGAACCACGGAGTCGTGCGATCTGTCCAGCTCAACAATGAGACCGGCCCATAGAGCAGTCGCCTGCTGCTCATCCCACTGTTGCACAAACTTTGGATCAATCGTTCGTCCGTTGAACTCTTCTCGGGCGGTGTTGAACACACTCTTTTTCCAGCCGCTGATATCGTTTCGCAGGGTGACAAAAGTTCGCACTGCCTCATCCTGGCCCAGCACGGGGTGCCGAAGAACTTGGTTAATGAACCGAGTCAGACCTCGTCGTCGACGTTCCAAAAAGTAGTTGTCGGAGGACAGATAATGACCGTTGACAGCCAGTCGCTTGGGCGGCAAAAGTGGCACCTGTCGAAAACAGTACTTCTTCAGAAGATAGTCTTGCAGCCAGGAAAAGTCCGAGTACCGTCGGATGACCGTGATGCGGTCTGTTCCCGACACTGAAGAGATTGAGTAGTTGACGTGACGGAACAAAAACATGCCCTCGCGTTCGGGCACAATAGCCAGTGTCACTGAGTCGGCCTTGTTGGGTGCGAAATCGGGTCGTGGAGGGGCAGTCCATACTCCAGACTCGGACTCGGGAACCAGGGCCTGGGGGTTGAGAGGAGGTGGGGTTGTAGAGCGGGACAGCTGCGATTGCGACAGCTGTGACTGTTGTAGAGCCTCCTGTTCCTCCGGGTTCCAGTCCAGAGCACTGTGGCCCCTGCTGTGTCCGTTGTTGTGGATGATGCTCTCACTTCTGCTGCTCTGGATGCTATGGTCGTCGAGATCATCTCCAAACAGCGGCGTCTGTGATCTACCGGTTGTCGAGGCGCTAAAGTTGATGCTAGACCGCTCGCCCTCCTCGGAAAAGTCCATTGGCGTCAGAGTGTCCACGTTGACGAGCTGCGAAGGGTCGTCGAACGGCAGGCCATCCTGCGCCACATTGGCCAGCAACAGGGCTGCTCGCCACGACTCGCGAGTGAAGGACGATGTGAGAATGCCTCCGCTGCCGTCGCCGCCCTCCAGAATCGATCCTGCCAGCGTCGCCAGCCGGTCCTTGTCTTCGCCCGAAACGTTGATGGTCTCCAAAAGCCGCTTGTAGCAAACTGCGGGAATCCGGCCGTCTATGGGATGGAACATGTCGAAAATGTGGTCGTAGCGCGAGCCATAGCCCGTTCGCTCCACGGCTGTAGTGGCCGCCGAAAACAGAGACATGGTGGTTGTTGTGGCGGTGGTGGTGGTGTTATTGTGGCGGCTTGAACCTGGGTCCTGTTTACCACTTCTCTTAGCGTCACCGAGTGCACCCCTAATCAACTCTATTCGATAGAGTTCGTTATCCTCATCCGTCCCAACATGTAATTTTGACCTGTCGATAGAACTAAAACAGAATAAAAAAAGAACAAAAAAGAATTCGACCCACCGAGGGGGGGGGGAAACGCTCTAGCGAGATCTAAGCGATAATAATATCGAGGCCACGAATAGCCTGATTGGATATACACTGGGTGCTGTTTTGTAACTGGCCCTTTGGTTCCCTCCAGAGTATTGGTTCTGCGCACTGTGACTACAATCAGCACTCTCTACAATACACATCGTCGTTGCTGACTGCTGAAGTAGTAATTGCGTACACTGTCGACTTCACTCGCCTGATTTTGACATCTGGATCAAACAAGTGAATTCCACTGCTCTGGAAGACTCTATCTGATACCACTATATACATCCCTTTGCTCCAGCAGCCCTACACTCCTTATCATTGCCACTGTCATTTTATAGCCGCTAAAGTCACCCTTACAAAGGAGCTATGACAGCGGGGTCGAAAAATGTAGAGTATCTGGCATCTGGGTGATGATCACTGTCGGTAATCGATGGAATGGCTTTACGACGTGAATAGTCCGCTCTTTCTGGCCATCTTTGCCCAGAGACACGTTGATTGTAAAAACTATTTTTACCTGAGAAATATAAGTAACTTTGTTGAATTTAATTGATGGATCTAAGCTGTTATTCTAATTTCTAACTATATTACTCACGACAACTCATACCCCGAAACTCGGCCCATCGATCGCGCCGTGAGAATGACTTTACACTAGTGAATGGATCGCGAATGAGCAATTTCGCTTCAGTCCTTGAGTCTAGAGCTTCTTGGCCATTTTTTTTATTCTAGGGAAATACATTTCAGCTACTTGAAGCCTATATGCTATACCCGCACATAGGACCCGGGTTAGGGTGTTCAGAAAAGCACATAACCATCGTGTTCTCGCATTTTTGCGTTCTCCTCCTTTTCCCCCGCTGACTAAACACCTTTTCGATACCCTTGACCAAAGTTTCGCACTTTTTCACCGCCTGGCTAGCTCAATCGGTAGAGCGTGAGACTCTTAGTCCATTGTATTTCAGATTTGAGATTATCTCAAGGCTGTGGGTTCAAGCCCCACGTCGGGCTTTTCTTTTTGCCCCTTGGAGCGAGACATACTACTGTATGTACTGTACTACAGTATATACTGTGCATAATGTACTTTTGTTGCATCTCTAGTTCTCTGTCACCCTACTCGTTCATAGACTTTAGGCATTCATTTTCTATATTATCATACTAATGCAGAAGCAGCGAGCCCATACTCCACTGCTCTACGGTGTTAATTAGTCTATCAACAACACTGTTTGTTTCCTTCAAACTTGAAGGAACGCTTACTTTCCTCCCTTCTTCTTTCGCATTCGCTTCTGTCCAATGAGCTTTCCGAGCTCCAGGTTCTTGTCCTTTTCAGGCTGTCGAGACTCATCCTTCTTGTCTCCCCCCTTGCCCTTTCGGTCACCCTTTCGGTCTTTTCGATCTCCTCGGTCTCTTCGGTCTCCTCGGTCTCTTCGGTCTCCCTCTCGTCGGGGTCGCTTGTGTTCGGAAGAACCCTCGTCCGCTCCTCCCTCGTCGTCCCGATGTCGCTTCTTCTGCATGTTGATTCGAGCCATAGTCTCCTTTCGTCGCTTGACAACCTGTGCGTTCTCAATTGCAAACTCAGCCACCAGGTGACGTCGCGAAGAACCAGTAAGATCAACGTGTTTTCGCTCGTTCTCCTCGTAGCCCTCAAGAACCTCCTCAGTAGACACCTCGTGAGCGTTCAGCCATCGCAGCGCCATGAGAGCAGCCTTGTGGTCTCGGAACTCCAGGAAACCATATCCTCGAGATCGGCCCAGCTCTCCGCTCTCCTTCTGCTCCATAATCACCTTTGCCTGTCGGACCACTCCATGCTTGGACTTGGCAGCCTCTTCGGTTCGAGCCTTGGTCGACCGAATAGCCTCCTCCTTGGACAGAGGCTGTCGAGCACCCTCCTTGGCTTCAGTGGCAAATTGCACCACGGCCTTTCGACCCAGAGCCTTAAGACCCTTCGCGTTGAGAGCTCGGGGCAGGTTTCGCAGAGCCAGACGAGTCAGGGACACGTGCAGACTGGGGTTGCCGTTCAGCTGTTTCTTTCGCTGGTCGTATGACTTTTGTCGCAGCTCCATGTCGGCCTTGGGCAGAGTCATACCCAGAGCAGTGTTCTCGCCGATTCGACCCTCGTTGATCAGGAAGACGTTTCGTCGATCTTTCTCCTTGGGCAGCTTACCCAGAGCCTCGGCTCGCTTTTTCGAATTGTGTTCAGACAGCTTGTTGGCGGTTTCTCGCTGGACGGCCTGAGTGACGGCCAGAATTCGGCCCTCAAACACGTACCGAGGGTCGGTATCATCAGCAACAAGCAGAGAAGTGGTGGCTGCAGCAGGAGCTCGCTCAACACACTTGTCGCAGTCGTCGGATGATTCGAATGCAACAAAGGCAGTTCCTCGGGGCTGGCCCGTGGTCTTGTCAATGACAGGAAGAGCGTATCGAACAGCACCAAAGTTCTCAAAGTGCTCCTTGAGAGACTCTGCTGTGGCATCGTAAGGAATGTTTCGCACAAAAACGGTCGAGGAGTTGGATTGGGCCTTGACCTTGGGAGTATCATCCTCCTCCTCTTCCTCCTCCTCATCCACCTCAATCTCGTCTTCGTCATCATCGTCACCCTCGGCAACGTCGGCATTGGACTCATCCAGATCGAGATCTTCCTCCTTGACCTCATCCTTGACCTCAGTATCCACGTCCTCGTCCTTGACCTCGTCCTTGACCTCGTCCTCGTCGTCGTCATACTCCTCGTCCTCGACCTCTTCACCGTCCTTATGTTTCAGCCACTTGTCCTTCTGAATGGCAAAGTCAACGGTAACAGTTCGCCCGTCAATCTCAAGACCCTTGCTTTCGGCCACAGCCTTGTCAGCATGCTGCTTTTTGCTCATGGTCACAAATCCAAACCCACTCATCTTGCCTCCAGCTCCTCGGGGAATAAACGCATCGACCACCTTGCCGTACTTGGAAAACACCTTGATCAGATCCTGGGGCTCCCGCACCGACCACGGCAGGTTTCGCACAATTAGTCGCGGCTTTCGCTTCTCCACAGAAGTATTGTTGTCTCCACTGCTCTCAAACGGCCGGTCCTCTCTGGTCTTTCGCTCTCGAGGCTTGGCAAACTCGATCTGAAGAATCTTGCCCTTGAGCTTCTGCTTTCGGCACTTGAGCAGCGCCTCCGCAGCATCCTCCTCGGTCGTGAAAGACACAAACCCGAACCCCTTGGACTCCTTGGTCGCAGCATTGGTCACCACCACGGCATGCTTCACGGGGAAGTCCTGTGAGAAAAAGTCCGCCAGCTCCTCGTTCGTCACCTCCAGAGGGATGGACCGCACAAACAAATCCGTCTTGCCCTTGTCCACCTTGTCTTTTGTGTCTCGAACCATTTTTTTGAAACGTAGTTGTGTGGTGTAAAGGGTGTAAATGCAAATCGAAATCGGTCCAGGAAAATTTCCATATCATGCATATTTTTTTTGGCCTTCCAAACCTTAAAAAGACTGATGCCCCGGTTTGGAAGTGATATTGGTAAACGAGTAAACATCTAATATGGGAGAAAATTGCAAGTAATTTTATTAAAAAATCAACAGTTCTTATCCTGAAGCTCGTTTCACTACTCTTGGACACTTTTCTTGCGTGTATGTTTGCTTGATTAGTCAGCCACACCGAAATCGTGCGTTTTGGAGTGTGGAAACAAGACATAGTGATCATAGAACAGAGCTGAGAGAACCATTATGTAGATTTCGTCTGGGAGATTCTTACGCTATCTTTTTCCCCTAATTGACTTCCAATTCAGGACAGTATATAACGGAAAACGATGTAGTGTATAGAAGGCAAGATATCACGCCCTAAAAACCGCTACAAACATATATATCACCTTTGTGAAGAGAATCACACACTACAACCAACGAGATATCCGTCTCTAGCTTACCGTATTTTCAAACTCAGCTCTCTAGGGGATGTTTTCCCGGATCCCGAAATCACGTGATCTCCAATGTTGACATAGTCTTCCAGCATGCAGGTCGCGATGCGATGGAGACGCGAACACAACACAAGATACACCATGAAGTTCAATGGCACGTTAAGGGACCAGATGGTCCTGAAGCAGACCACGAATTTGCGACGAAACGCGCTCAACAAGTGTTCTCACAACACGCTGTACAACCTGACTCAGCTGTGGCTGGGGTCTAAAGACTGTCTGCCGCTGGTGGCCATCAACTCTCAGGACGACTATTTATTCGACTTGGACGCGCTCTCAGACGACGAGGACGACGCTGAGGCCGATGAGGGGATTGATGAAGTGGAGGAAGGCGTTATTGTGGCTCGAGGTGGTCCCAAGTACGAAAAGATCATGGACGATGCTCGTAAAGAACTGACTGAAGGAGTGCAGTCTCGAAAGGCATACATGCAGCTCGTGGGACAAAAGTACTGGAATGCCGGTCTCAATCTACTGCAACTGGCCCAACTGGACATTTGGGGAGACGTTTTTGAACGTCCAGAAATGCTGGTTTGGAGCTACAGTACAGTGAAAGATTCTGTCGGTAAAGAGAAGGTACCTGATTTGAGCATTGGCACCATTGCCACGCGAATGAGTGAGGCAATCTATCCTGCCTTTAGATGCCACGTGCACGCCATGCGTCATCCTGAGCTGCCAGTCATTGTGGTTCGTGTCAAACCATATGACGCTGCCAATGACGATGCTCGTTTGAAGCCCCTGTACCTGGTGTTTCCCTACCATTCGCCTCACGTGATTCATCTGAGCATGGATCACGTCTACGCCCAAACAGTTTTGCATGCTGTCACTCAGAGTGTCACTACTGTGGCTGACCCTATCTCCTTGGTCCGTTCCAGCGCTCTCCCCACTCGTTCTTTCAATACCCTGGTGACTACTCTTTCGGACAACCGAAAAGCCGCATCCATGGGCTCCTGGTCCGTCTTTGCTACCGGAGAAGTCGACCAGTCGCCTCTGGCCATGGTAAAAAAGCCGCCTGCCAAAGTGGCCAACTCCAAGGCCAACAGAATTGCGGCGAAATTCACCTCAAAAAAGATCACTGAGCCTCTGCAGTACAGATCGGAGAATCCTCAAAGCATGGTGGAGTTTAGAATTACCCGGAACTCGCGGAAAGTGACGCTACGGATGGAGGGTACGGATGTGTACGCTGGTGTGTACAGAATGGCCATGAGGGGGGACATTAATGATAGAAAGATGCCTGCTTGGATGACTGGAGAGGAGAGCAGTACTAGTGGAGCGGTGAATGATGGGGCTTACAAGGCCGATAAGTAGAAGCAATCATCATGAGCAACGCGAATGATGCCTTCTTCTGTTTACGGCACTGATCATGAACATTGCCATCCACTGATACACAACGAGTAATGCGAATGACATCTTAGCACTGTTATTACGGCCACCTACTGTACCACAAATCTCTCTTACCGCTCCATCATCTCAGTCTATAGCCAGACGTCTACACAACTTATTTATTGCATTTCATATTCCAGTACAACCGCGTATTCAATCATTATCATATCATCATTATCATACATGTTAGCTCTGGACTTGTTCTCTTACTTCTGAGCAAGTCGCAGCTCCTCAATCATACCCTGAATCTCTTCAACGGTGGCACCCGAGGCCTTGGACTCGAGTTCCTCCAGAAGATCTCCTCGCTTGCCTCCAAACGCCTCCTTAGCGGCCTTGCTCACATCGTCGGCCTTAAGAGCCATTTGCACTCGCTCGTCAACGTCAGCATCTAGAGCAGTCATAGTGATGTATTCGGCGGCGTTTCGCTTGGAACCAGCTGCCATACAGGCATCGTAGAAGGGTACATAGCCAATAGGAGACCGTCGAGAAGTGGCAAATTCCATCAACCCGGTCCAATCTCGACGCTCAACGTATGCATTCAGCTTGAGCCATGTCCACTTACGCTCGGAAATCTTGAAGTCGGTTTTGATTTTGAGAGCCTTAGACGCCTGGCCCATCACCAGCAAGTTGTGAATCGTGTCTGTGACTGAGAGACCCAGGAAGTTGCACTCGTAGTCACGTTCTAGCTGTTCCTGCAACTTCAGTAGTTTGGACTGCTCCTCGATGATCGCAGCGTCGCCCACTGAGCCATGCTCGGAGTACATACTTGCAGCCTTTCTAAAGCCCTCGAGTTTCTCGGAGTTGAGGTTCTGGCCTAGGGCGTTGAGATAGACACAATTGGCCGAGTCGGTCTGTCGATCAGACTGGTAATAGTACTGCTCGAGAGCCTCCTTGCTGTTGACCTTGGCATTGTTTTCGTACACATGTGACGCAATGGGAAACTCCCGAATAAGCTTGTAGAGCTGTGCCATAGACAGAGTATCTTGTAAATGCAGCTGGACCAGAGTGATGAGATCGTAAGATCGGCATTCCACAGCCTTTTCTAGGGCAAGTCGGTCGTCTCCCAGTTCCATCAATAAGGGAACCTGCTTGTACGCATCTTTTTCCTGCTCAGTAAGTTGGGTGGCTAGTCGTACTCGTCCGTCTTGAGCTGCCTGGCGCGCAATTTCGCAGAATGAAACGCCTCGGCGGTCCTTAAGCCGGTTCATGATCGCTTTGTAGAGCTCTTCGTCGGTGGACTCGGGAGAGTGAAAGATCTTTGAACAGGCCCAGTTAACCTCGATGGCTGAAACAGGGTACTTTAGCACATCAGCAATGTTGAAACACAACTGGTGCAGGCTTCGTAGAAGCAATCGCTGAATGAGTTTCTTGGGACCTAGCAGTTTGTACTGTTGGTAGCTGAGACAAAGACCAACCTCCGACTGCCGCACAGAGTTAAGAACACGCAGATCATCGCACACCTGCACGAATCTCTCGCTGTTGTAAATGTCCAGAGCTGACTTTCCAAAGGCAGCCGCCCGAAGCAACCGTTTCTGCAAACTTGGAGAATCTTCATTTCCAGCAGCAAGAATACAGTTGTCGACGGCTGTTTGGAGATCTGGGCCAATGATTTCCAGGTTCTCCCAAGCTCTAGGAGACTGCTTATCGAGGTGGGTCACACAGTCGAGAAGAATGGCTGCTGGGGCTACCGATCCAATTCGAAAGATGGATAATGCAGCGTCGCAGACTCGGGAAAACAAGTGATGCGAGTTGTTTCCCATAATTCGGATGCTGCCATCGTCTTCTCCTCGGATCTCCACCGCTCCGTCCCCGTTGTAATACAGGGTGAGCTGAGAGCCGTTCTCCCGGCCAACCAGAGATACTTCGTCGCCAAAGGAAATAGCGACAGCGTCCTCTCCCAGCCAACATAGTGTTCTGATCGGCTGGTCCACATTTTCCTCGAGCTCGTACTTGCCGTAGATTCTGTCCAGTGAAACGTCTCCCATTGTTACGTGAGTGTTTCCTACCAGAGCCATATGGTGGCCGCTGGGAGAGACAGTCAGGCCATTGAACACCGGCTGGACCTCAGCCTTTTTGTCAAACTTCTTTGTGCTGGAGTCCAGCGAGTCCAGAGTCATCAGTCCCTGTTCTGTTGACGCCACCACCTCCACTCCTCGGCTCATGCTGACTTCTGGGGGGATGATGCACCACGAGTGGATTTTTTCCGTCACGGGCTCGGCTAGTTTGCGGGGTACTGGAGACTCGGAATGGGCTCTGAGTACGCCAATAAATTGGCCATTGTTGAGCAGACACACAAAACCGCTGTTCCAAAACTTGGTTTCCTTGACTCCAGCGGTCTCAGCGTCCAGACCGAGACTGAACTGGTTGAAGTTGCCATGGAAGTCGTAGTAGACCCGCACCGAGCCCTGGTCGCTCACGACCACCAGCTTCTCCCCCTCAGTGGTCCATCCTAGGCCTCGGATACGCCCCATGTCCCATGGCAGACGTCGAATCAGGTTTCCCGAGCCCGAAAACACACCTATCGACATTTGACGAGCTGCGTTTCCCATGGCCACGAGCTTGTGCTCGTCGTCGGTGACCGCCACCGCTCCTCCTCCAGGTGCCAGAGCCACCACCGACGAATCAAAGTCGATTTCCCGTCCGTCTCGTTCCAGCTCATAGTCGTACTCGTGGGTGGAGTAGAACTTGCCCGCCAGTTGCTCCCATTCTGTGTTAGTGCCTGAGAAAAAAAAGCCACCGTATTGTACTCACTCAATGCCGGATTAGATGCCATTGTGTTGGTGTACTTGTGCAAGTGCAGTTGCAACAGACATATTGGTGCATGCTGGCATCTGCATGAGATTAGGTTTACACGGGGACATATAGGGATGGGGTTGAGGGGATAGCCGGTGGCATTTACCGAAAGTAGAGTATGAATAGTATATTCCTCGTCACATTCTGAGTAGATTAAAGCTTTTCCGGGCTCAAAACCTCCACTTTTGACGAAGATAGAATGACCCGAAATACAAACTCTTAGTTAGATTTATTAAGTAATTTACTTGATGATTAGTTAGTTCCAAGCAGTTGATAGTTGAGACAGATAACCACCATTGCCGCCACAAATGCAATAAATTTTGGCGGTAGTTCTTCAATTATCTTTACTACCAGTCACATGGGCGATGCCACTTCTCATATTTCTCCCTACGAGCATATATATGCCGTTTGCATCTCACCATTCCACTTTCTCTACTTAACTCCCCATCTGCATGCAGCTAAATTGCAACACCTTCTCTACTCCTTAACATTGGCTTCTTCTACACCTACACATCGATATGTCCGCTGAAGAACAACCGCAGGAAGGATACGTGGGACTTATTTCCAGCGACGGACACGAGTTCTGGATCACCAAGGAGGCGGCCTGTGTCTCCAAGGTGCTCAAACCCATGGTTCAGGGAGACGGACATTTTCGAGAAACACTGGACAATAAGATCCCACTACAGGACATTCCCCATGACGTGGCAGAAAAGCTGTGCGAGTATCTGTACTACAGCTTGAAATATAAAGATCAGGTGAGCGATATTCCCGAGTTTGAAATCCCCCCGGAGATGGCTTTGGAGCTGTTGGTGGCGGCGGACTATTTGGATGTCTAAACTATTCCCGAGTGATGGGAATGGGCCACCATACATGCTGTGAAGCCACATGATCTACAGCACCGACTGGACAAACGTCTTCCTTGTACGCCGCGGGCCTTTGCACAGCAAGTACGACAAGATTTACAACAACGACAAGATGCAGTACGACATCTCGACGTATCGTGTGTTTCAAGTCTGGTGAAGGTGATGTTCCACGGATGCGTTTACCCCCCAGTCGGGGCGTGACGACTACAGGCCATTCAGACGCGTCTTCCACCTTGATGAGCTCGTAGCATCGGGGTTTGTCCAACAGTCATAGCATAATGGAAGATACCAGGTTTTGGTGGCGTAGACAGTGACTCGGTAGGCGTAAGGCGATCTCAGCTGCATGGGCGTGACATCAAGGAGTTATATCTGATATCGCGTTGCCAATCGCAATGACTATGACTGCGTGACGTTCTTTGAGATGGAAACACAGTCTGGTGACATTAAAGAACTATTTCTGTACATGTTGATACTGGACCTTAGATGTTGAGTATTACCGGCTAGTCCACCGTCATCTGTCGCTGAATAATATGTTTGAGTACAAGAGAGAGATTTTCTTTGGTACTGTATATGTACTTGTACAACAGTTCGGTGAAGGACCAGGGGAGCTTCATGGTACTTGCACTCCACTAATGTCCACTAAATTCCCAACTAACGGTAACTTCTTTTTGACACCAAGACGGAATTATCGAATCATTTGCGATATGAAAGGTTAGATGCTTCACTTATCGGTTTAGAAGTTGCACTTTGTCTATCGATTGGTACAAATTTTGAATTGGTAGCTTTATGGGAACGTCTGATTGTCTATATTTTTGTCTGAAAATGTTTTTAACCCCTGGCTCATTAACTAAACAAAATCTCAACAAAACATGGCTAATTTACAGTATGAGTCCAAATTAAATAAAATAGATTAATACAAAATTACGTCACCTAAAGAAGAGCAACGGCAACACCTCCAAGAACAGCCATCATTGAGACGGTCTGGACAACACCGCCGTTCTTCTTCTTGTCGGTAGAAGAGGCGGAGGCAGAGGGGGAGGAGGAGGCGGCAGCCGAGGTGGCGGAGGGCTCAGAAGCAGAAGAGGCGGAAGAGGAGGCATCGGGCTTGGCAGCTCGCTTCTTGGGGTGGCCGTTGAACAGGTTCTTGGCGTCAATCACCACAGTAGGGTCCTTAATCTCGTTACCATCCTTGTCCTTGATGGTGTAGTTGGTCTTGAGGTTCTGAGGGATGTCGACAATCTTTCCAACGTTGTTGTTGCCAGAGCCAGACTTGATGGTGTCGAGCACGGGAGAAGGAGGCAGGTCGGTGGTGGAGTTGAAGGACTGGTCGGTCTTCTTGATCAGAGTAGAGTTGCACTGCTTGATGGTGGGCTCGGATCCGAGAGAAGAGGCAGAGCCGGAGGGCTTGGAGATGTTGGCGTAGGCCTTCTGCAGGTTGTAGTAGTCCTCCTTGAGCTCAATGTTACCATCGCTGTCAATTTCGACCAGACCGTAGTTGTTGGCCTCCTCAGAGTACTCGTAGATGAGTCCTCCAGAGAAGGTGTCCTTGAGGCCGCCGTACAAACCCTGGTCGACCTCGTCAAAGGTTCGGGGTCGCACCTTGTTGCAGCCGTACTCGGAGAAGATGAGGGGGATGGCCGAGTCAGCGTAAGAGGAGTTGATGGTGCCGTAGCCGGAGTTGTCCCAGGTGGCGCCTCCGCACCACTGGTAGGTGTTGAGGCCGTAAAAGTCGGATCGCACCTCCTCGTCGCCGCACTCGAGGTATTGCCATCCAGCAATACCGAGGGTGGTATCATCGGCAGCAGAGTAGCCGACGGGGATATCCCGGTCTCCATGGTTGGAGATGTAGGCCTTCATGTCTCGCTGAAGAGCCTTGATGTAGGGAGGCACGGTCTCGGCGTTTTCCTTGTTGTTGAAGACCTCGTTACCGGAGAAGAAGCCCAGCACGTTGGGGTAGCCCATGAAGGCGTCCAGGAAGCCGAAGACTCGGTTGACGTAACCGGCGTTGTAAGAGCCCTTGGGGTCGTCTCGGTTCAGCGACTGGCCGCCCAGGGGAGTGTTGACGTCCAGAATCACGTAGATGCCGGCACCGTTGAGAATGGACATGCACTCATCGTGGTTGATCCAGGGAGACAGGGTGTAGACTCGGATGGTGTTAACGCCCAGCTTCTGCAGAATGTACGCGTCTCGAAGGCACGTGTCCACGTCTGACAGCGCGTCCGAGTCAGCCGAGTCCGAGTAGCCAGACGCTCCACCGGGCTGGTAGTCGATACCAATCACCTGGAAGATTTCATCCTCGGAAGACGAGTTGCCGGGCTTGACAAACTTGTTGCCTCGAATCTCAATGGGCACGAGGGCGGACACGGAGGCCGCGAGAGCGGATAGCGAGAGAATAGAAGTTGGTTTCATTTTTTGGGGGGTGGTGACGACAAATTAGTGGTGTAGAGAAAAAGAGGACCCTCCTGGTGTTATAATTTACGCCATAGAGTTACACTTTGGGGATACTGTGCGTAAGTAGAGTTACGGTTTGAGGGAGTGCGGGTGGGGAGCGATGATACTTGGAAGTAAAAACTACGTTTGTGGTGTGACGAGGTGTTTGTTGGGGTTGCGCAATATTTAAAGCTGCGGGCCCGCTCAGTTTTGTCATCTTTCTCTGCCCCATTTGCCTACCCAAACCCTCTGCGCTCCATCTAGATGGTCGATGCTAACCCGCTCGGCGTGCATTCCAACTCTAACTGGAATGTAAGGTCATCGAGGCGGCCTGCGTCAACAGCGCGGAGAATGTGAGCAGTGAAAAAGACGAGGGTGGATATCGTTGTCGCCGCGGCCAATCATGTGACCGCGAAAAAAGAAAAAAAATCCCGCTGACTCATCGACCGAGGACCCTTTCCACTCCATCTTTCCTGGCCACTCCTCCTGTTGTGCGAGTCCCTCTGACAGGGGTCTGGAATAGGAGACAAACTATCGTGTCAATCTCACACGCGAACTAATATACGCAGAGCGTGATTATTGACGGGAGACGCAACAGAGCACACAGCGAGGGCAAGTCGCAACAGACAAAGGCATATATTTTAATCGACCGCCGGTCACGTGACGAAAACAGACGCTAGCGCTCCAGGCACCTACCGCACGCCTCATCGCTTGGTCCATGTCAAAAGGCTTGTTTTACAGATGTCAGCCACACCCGTGCCGTTCTTAAAAATAACCCATATCGCCTAACCTTGAAATCCCCGCATGTAAGCGAGGTTTGGGTTGAAAAATTGAGGGGGAAATTGGCAAAGAGGATAAGTACAGTGAAAGTACAAATACATTGTAGTAAGTGCGAGTGAGGAAGACGGATGGGCTATAATGCGAGCAATGATACAAATTTAGTTGTTCGTGCTGAAGGAGAATAACAGTGTGTTGTTGCGTGTTGATGTGGTGTTGGTGTGAGTTTTCGGTTGTTGACGTTAGTGTTGGCGTGTTGGTGTTGATGTTGGTGTTGATGTTGGTGTTGATGTTGGTGTTGATGTTGGTAAGTTATTGAGTCTCAGAGTCTTAAGAAATGTCAACTAAGGTTTCAACTATATGTAGTTGGATAATTTGGCAAACACGTATACAATACGATTTTGGGGGGTTATATGACGATTCGAGGTATCAAATGTGAATCCCCTGAATTGTGTCTCTCAAATGGTAGTGATTTCTTGTCGATAAAATCCCTGGAAGGTCTAATAGTAACCCCCAGGTGAATTTTCTCGTTAACTAAAATCTCAACTAGTTCAACTAAATAAAATGAATATGGGCCGCATCTATACCAAGCGGACCACATGTGGGTATATGAAGGTGCTCGATTTCAGTTCTTTCTAGTCATGTTATTGTACAAGTAGTATAGTACGAGTACTAGTATTCAAGTTCCATAAGCCCCCTATTGCACAAGTACCGTCTTTTCTGCCCTTCCTGTCGCAGATGGTGCTTTGTTGAGATGGTACGAGTACGACTACAAGTATAAGGATGTACAATGATGGATGTACTGTACATACAAGTATATCCCAGGTAACAAAAGTCTGTAAAATTTTGTTCTGCTCCACGAAAGGAGAATTGACTTGAATATCACTCGTCAGTGCTGTCAGCTACAAGCATCGATATTTCCCTGGCCTACCTCCACTCGCTCTACTTGTACACTGCGTTCCTTTTTTCATATTCTCTAACCTGACTCCTAGAGCGGACAAAGTTTTTTTTTTTTTTATCTTCTTTTTTTTTTCTTGGGTAAAGACAGGACATACAAGTTGGCGTGCTTGGAGTGGGCATTTGAGACGCACAAAAATCATCTTTTCTTTCCGACAACACAGAAATATATACACACGGTGGCGGCGCGACACCACACAGCCATGGGGTTCGTGGGAGTACAACAGGCGTCGTCGCGACCCACTGGCAAGACAAGAAGACATCCGCCTGTGACCTATATGAAGCGCCGAATGCTGATTCCTAAACATCTTCGAGTGAGGAAGAAACGAAAACCCAACCACGTACCTTTTCTCGACGGGCTTCCGCTGGAGATTCTAGAGCAGATTTTCGTCGAGTCGGCCAACCCGGACTTGGTGCTCGTCAACAAGGCCATTTTCTCCGCGCTCAACTCCACGTGCATATTTTTGCGCTCCAGCATGCTTCTCAACTGGGTTGAGAAGAAGGAGCCCGAGAGAGTGGAGACCAGAGAAACCACAGCTACGGCAGAACCGGAGCAACAGGAGCAACAGGAACAAAATGGACAGACCGGGGAAATGACACAGGAGCAGATCGACCAGGACATCAACAACCACATTCATCATCCTCAGACATTCCATATTGACGACATGGTGGTGGATCCGCCGGCACCACCCCAACAGGACAACACTGACATCGCCCAGAGAGCCCCAGCCAAATACACTCTGCCGGTGGAGCAGCTCAAGTGGAAGTTTGTGACGAGAGAGCTGCTGGAGAGTCTGGATGTTGAAGTCTCGGGCACTTACATTCCAAGTACCTACGCAGCTGTCGACGCCACACAGCGACAGAAAGATCTGCTACCATTGCTCAAAAAGAGCGGCCTCAAGTTCCAGAACCTCAGCCAGGTGATTTCCAAGGCTGCCATCGACGCTGACCACTTCAAGCATCTTGTCAAACTCGACTTTGGACCGCCGACAATTGCCTGTCTGATCGCTGCTCTTCGTGCTACCAATGGAGAAGACCTGCTGAAAAGCAGGAGCAACATGGACCTGCTGCCCAACTGGCTCATCCGGTCCGGCTATTACGTCGACAAACTGTCCAGTGACGAGCTCTGGAGCTTCCTGGTGGCCTATCCGGACAGAAATCTCGTCCGGTACTTTTTGCAGCTCGGTGTCGTTCCTAGTGAAAGACTGTTGCATCAGATTCCTGCCTTGTAGAGTCAAGGACCTACTGATATATTTATTAATGCATTTATATAACTGATCGATGGCGTATGTACTTGAGTCTACAGTAAGTAATTAAACGAATCTTCCCAAAGACTAGTGTCAAAATAACCACTGAAACTTCGCGGTTTCGATTGCACTTGTTTCGGGCTTGTAACGCCTTTAGTACATACGCTGGTAACGAGAAATATGCTCTAGTTGCTGGAATGTTCGGTGATTACTGAAGACATGAATATTGTACCAGAACTCAACCGACAAAAGTGCTATACCGGATAAGGACATGTCTTACTACAATCCCGCCCGTATTGTACCTGCTACCCTTGTCTGTGTACTCTTTGTCTTTCTGACTAAGATTTATCGTGTATCACGAGCGCTATTATCCTTAGCGCGTATCGAAACCTAACAAGGAATGCTGATACAATGATACGAGTGGATGCGACACCAGCTTAACACGGAAGTCCCGAACTACAAATACACGTTCTTGTCATCTACAACGTCTTTCCACTTCGGACCATCCCCCCGCCTCCAACCCCCCTTCTAGGTCATACTCATGCATATATAAATAAATATCGTCAGACTCTCTGGCGCGCTATATCGCCTTCAATGTAATAGTCCTCGTCTGAGCCCCGCTCATAATCAATGTCCGTTTCGTCCTCCTCCGTCACCTCTTTCGAGTGCATGGAGGGACCCTTGGATAGTCGTTGTGGATGCTTGTTTTGGTTTGGTGGTCTCTGCCGCTGTTCTGAAAGCCGCCGAAGTTCTCGCGACACCCGAGGATTCGTCATTTGGCGTGACAGCTCGTATGACTGCCGCGGCAGCTCAAACGACTCTCTCCGGTGTGCGGCATCGGGGCTGGAGTCGCCCACCACCTCATCGTACACTGGAGGCGTGCTCTGACGCATCTCTGGTGATGGTGATGAGTCGTGGCCGTCGTAGAGCGGCAGTGGTTCGTCTCTGTCCTCGTCCTCGTTTTGCTCCCGTGACGGTTGTCTGTTGCGTTGTCTGTGGCGGAACGAGAACGCCGAGTACCAAATGTCCTGACTTGGCTCAGTCATGTTCTGCGAGCCGAGATCCAGGCGCAATGCCTGGTTGCGTAGCGACGCCCGTCGCAGGCGGCGCTCATTGGTCCTGCGGCGCCTGACACACGCAAAGATGACGATGCATACGAGGGCCAGAGGCAACAGCAGGAAGAAGAGCCATAGGTACTTGAGGTTGCGCGACGAGCCTGAATCTTCGTCGCCGTCGTCGGACCATGAGTCCACGTCGCCGTCATTGTCCGGGTCTGTTCCCGTCACGTTGGTGCCCGGCAGCTTGACCAACACCATGGTGGAATTGTGTTGCTTGCCCTCCTTTTTGTGGTCGCCGCCCTGCGACATATTGTTATGCACGACGGTGGCGAGGGCCGAGTAGTTGAACACCGTGGTGAATGTGGTCTTGTCCAACGAGACCGTGTATGTCTGCATCACCGGGCGGCTGGTGTGCACCGTGGTTGAAGTGTGGTTTTGTGTTCCATGCGAATCGTGCGACGAGTGGAAGGTGGAAACCGTCAACGTGTCTGCACCTGCCAACGTCGCCACCGCTGCCAGCGCTAGCACTGCTCTCATTGTGGAACGGGCGCGGAAGGAGTAGAGATTCTGGTGCAATCCGAGAGTGGTGAGTTGAGCAAGGAGGCGATGTTAAAGTTGTTAAGTTGGGTTGGTGCGTTTGTCAAGCAGTGGTGAATATGTAGTGTACGAGTTGTGGTGGTCATAAAAGCGACTGTTTATCACAGTTGTTGTGTCGCGGGTGAAAGTGCGCCCCTGATGAAACAGTATATATAGCCCTGTATTCTCTACTTTTGCACCAGTCATTACCGGTAATACTGCTGCCGCACCCTCGACCGCAGAACCTAAACCTCGATAATAGTGGAGCTATGCACAAGCCACCTGTCAAGGTGCATACTCCGACACACTACCTCCGAGACCACGGACTTTGCCAAGGAGCGGATTAGTGTCATCAGGGGCTTGGAGGGGCGACAGCCTGAGGCATGGCGCGCGTCCGCGGCTGTATTTGGCTCGACTTTGGCACTTGTTGCGCCTCGGAAAAACTCTCAAAAATAAAACCTCGGATAACGACCCTTGAACCGCCTCTTTATGCGGCAATATCTCCACGTGCAGAGTGACTAGACGGCGACTGAGGTGAGGATGCCTGAGGGGGCAGAGCCGCGTGCAGAGCGCGTTTTGGGCGGCCGTTGGAGAGCACTCAGAGGGCTGTATACCACGTGCTGGATTACACGTGACGGCCTTCTACGGTCTCCTCCTAAGATCATCTCTTCGTCTCTTATCGCAACAAGATTTACATTGTTGTCAAAAAAAAAAAAAAAAAAAAAAAAAAAAAAACCCTGAGCATAAGCACTGCCGGATGTCTCACTGAAAGACAACAATTGATGACTGTCGAGTTTCTGACATCCTACATGGTCCCTATACGGGAGAAAAAGGCGATACTTGTACGAGTACGGGTATTCGCAGTTATCAGATCGTGAGGAGACGAGGTCACAGCTTACACCGAAAATCCTCTAACTATGATGTCCGTTGGTGAAATATGCATCCATTTTTAGGACAGTAGGAGCATGATGGGGCAAGATTTTGCCGATAATATCGGCGAAACGCGAAAAAAAAATTCGCCGTAGGGTAGAGTCTGGGTCTGTGGTGTATAGGGAACCGTACTGAACCGGTATTTGTTGGCATTGGCCGGTATTGGTTGGTATTCGCAGTACACATTTCCAGGAGCAGTGGAAGTTGTACAGTACGAGTACATACTGTAACATTGTGTGACTCGGTTGATCGATATAATTAGTCGATATACTGAGACAACGCTGTCAGACCTATGAGACAGAGCTCACGGAGGCAAGAGAGCCCAAAAGATTCCTTCCGACGTATTACGAGTTTCTTCCATTCCATGTCAGATCCCGCATCTATTAATATCTCGTTACTTCAGGTTATTCTCTGCTCTTTCAGACTGTCCCTAGATACTGTAATTACTGTGCAGTATGTATTGTAGTTGAACTTATCTCTGAATTCTAACCCCATAGTTAGTATCTGGGATACTCTAACTGTAATTCCCAACAACTCCAACTACAATACAAAGACAGTCTAAACTCAAGCAGCCCAAGGCACCCACATAAAGTTCATCCAGGCACCATCCGGTACAGATTTTGCGTGCCAGTATCAAATCAATCGCATCATCAACTCGTACAAGTACCTTTATCATATCCAATCGTCTTTGTACGCGTGAATCCATTACCATGCCCAGTGTTCAAAGCCCATTGGAGTCTCTGAAACTCGGGAAACCGAGACCTGAATACGCCAATGTCGAATCACAGCTGGAAGCGCTTCAGAAAGAGCCTCCTACCGCGAGATCGACCCCAAACTACCTCAATGTGAACTTTTACAAGTTGGGGATCGCTCTGTGTTTCTTCAACGGCGCTCTGGACTCGGTGGAGTACTTCAACAAACCGTCGGGTAAGTTTTCGCAGTGTGCTCCAGGGTTGTATCCGTCGTGGTTCCCAGACCCCAACGATTCGGGTAAGGACCTCGTCATCAAGTTTGGGGAGCCGCTCCAGAAAGGAGGAGGAACGAAAAAGGAAGCCATCGACATATGGCTGCGATGGAAGAACTTCCAGGTGGAAATGCCGACGAAAAACTGGGACGAGGCCAAAGACGTGGTTTGGTGTCAGTTGGTGGTGTTCCAGGAGTGATCCTAGCCATCGGTAGCAGATTTATGACAGAATTCAGTTGAATGAGTGCTTGGATTCTTTTCGGTGCAGTCTTGCCGTTTATACACTCACAATCAACCTGCTTGTCAGGCATAATGCTGTAAATGAACAGCATTATTGGCACAAGTAATGATCATGATGAGACGTCTACCATTAATGCTCGCACTTATATCACCATAAGCCCCATGGCTCCGATCATCATCCCCCCCTTAGATAACAATTGGGGCTGGTTTGAGGCTGCACACCAACGGCGTACATATACAAGCAGCTGGCGTACAAGAACCATCATTCCTGCACACATGATGAGAGAAACTAGCAACGCAACATCCTACGGAACGGTCGAAAACGAGCGGTTTCTGTTCCTCGATATTCCCGGCTGCAGCTTACTGGGTCTCTACGTCCACCGGCAGTCTCGTTCCCTAATGTGCAGTTTTTCCAAACCGCAGGAAGAAGACCGACAGCGCACTGTGCACAAGACTCTGGAGATCTCTGCCGATATTCGTGGAGACTGTGACTGGGAATACCTCTATATTGGCAGAGAGTCGCATTTCTACGTGAAAATAGCCGCTGATAATGGGGCCTTTACTTACCTCTACAACTCGCAGACAAACACGTTCACCAAGATACGCCAGTACCAGTACAACTCGGCCAAGAGATGGTACCTTGAATCTCATATGCCGTCACCCGAGGAAAAGTACGTGTCTAAAACCAGAGACCTTTCAGCAGGAGAAGAGTACATGTTTGTTCGGAGATCCCAACCTGAGCCTTACAAAAGCTACTGTACCACAGAAAAGTCAACTCTGAGGAAGGATAGGATGATCGAGGGGCCTTCTTATATCAGTGACATCTAAGAGTACAGTACACTGTACATATACAATCGTGGACAGGACATTATGTCGAAATGTGACCGATTCAGCGACCCGGAGACCAAGTTCGGACTATTTCCATCTTCAATATATTCTCGTTTCAATCAGGTTCTCATTATGACTGTATGAGAAGTGATTTTCATTGGAACAGCCCCAATTTTGAGACTTTCTCTGTATATTTAGAGTTTCTGATAAAAGATAAGATAAGAAATTTTAATTTTCTCATAAAACATTTTATATACTAACAAGTACAGTACTTACTGTACTGTTCTTGTACTGTAGGGGATGTAAGTATTTGTACGATTCCGAGTACTTGTCGACTGGTTAATTTGAGTGATTAGTAAACAACATACTGCTGTAACTTCAGCAACTCTTGTAAGCACTCCGATGGCGCTCGAGTAGAGACCTCTCTTTGAAATCACTCAAGTTGGAGTTTCAATCTCGGTTTCTTCAACAAGCTAACAAGCCAGAGTGGAACCTGTACATACTGTGCGATATTTGTACTTGTAATGATGTGATATATACTCACACATCTGCTTAATAATCAACTCTTAGATGGTATTTCTGCAACGAAATCAAAGGAACCTGTACTTTCAAACAACTAATAATCTAGAGTGTAGCTACAGGAAATGTACATACTGTGCAGCACTCGTACAATATGTGATGTACCTGTACTTCCGATTGTTTGGGCGGATATAACGAGTTGAGGTTATATGGAAATATATAATACAAGTTTGTTCCTTGTCACAATTCTGTTTAGGATGCTCGTCATCCCAGTTGGCATTGCTCATCGTACTGTCCGACTACTGCATCTACACCACACAAGTCGAATGGACATCGAAACCGCAGAGACGAGTTTGGATGAACCGATATTAACCAGGGGGAGCCTGATCCCCACTATGAAGTTGACTTCTTCGACGTCGCTCTCTTTGCGATCTATTTCTTTGGGCTGGCCGAAGTTGTATCTTCAAAACACGGGGAAAGAGATCAATGGAATAATTCTCTTTCGCTGACCGAAGACAATTACAGTACCAGAAGTTTGATCAAGGTGTTTATGGGAAGTTCTGGTGTGTTCCTAAGAGCTCATTTGTCTCGCCAGTCAAAATGGTCCCGCATTGGGCTTGTGCAAAGTTCAAGTCTTCCGAACAAATGACTTTGGACTGGAGCTGAAAGATTTAAACAAACACAACTTCTGGGGCCAGTCCGAATCTACCCTGCATCTATTAGATTATATGAACGAGTCTCCGAAGCTTCTGGTTGAGCGAGTCCGTCATGGTGTACCATCATCAGCAATGTCTTTTCAGGACAGAGATCGCCTGCTTCGAATGAGACATACTGCCATAGCAAGAAGGGCAATGCTGTTTTTCTAACTTGATTCTGTTTTGCCAGACCTGACATCCTACAGACACGCAGGAACATCTGGCAGACACCTTCAGTCAACAGCCTCAGAAGAAAGTCCGTCAGCGGCCAAGAAGAAACGTGAGTCTGATAAACCTGAAAGTAATGAAGCGAATTGTGTCTGAAGACAAGAATCTGAAGAGAAAATGCCTGTCTGACGAAGAGCCTTTAGATGAACCGGAAGAACCTGAAACCGCTGTGATTGAGGCTCCAAGAGGAAGGAAAAACCTGCCGAGATTGGTGCAGAATTTGTACTTGTAGCAAGCTGCGTCTTTCTTTGAAAAACAAGACGCTCATCAGTTTGTGTTGGCTTGACGAGCTTTCCAGAATATTTTACTGCTAGTATAAACTGATTTCTCATCAGGGAGGGCCGACTATTTGGTATTGTAGCTGAAAACGTCCGAGCGTAGCGATACACCAAAGCGCAGTGTTACTAACCATCTAAAATACTGGTCTGTTGAGCGGGAAAAAAGAGAGAATCTCCCGGGGGCGAGTCGAACGCCCGATCTCAAGATGACAATTTTCCATTACAGTCTCGCGCCTTAAACCAGCTTGGCCACCGGGAGGTGAGTTTTTTTTGGAAATCAATCAAATTCAGGGAACGTGAAAGTAGTCGTTATATACTGGTAGCAGTGCTTTTAACGCAGTGTTAACGTCTTTAAATGAGACGGAAGTTCATTATTCATACAATCTCCAGCGGACTTGGGGTTCTCCTCATTTCTCTTGATTTTATATGGATTTTCCCCGTATTATGCACTTTATAGAAGGATAAATACGAGAAAATTCATAAATATTCCTTGAATCATTATTTTTTCGTAGGGAATGATTTTTCGGTTATATTAGGTGTCCTTTCTAAACCAAAGTACTGTAATTAACACCCACATATCAATGTCAGATGGTATTTCGATGTCATCTCATTTAATATTAAAATAAAACAAACCCCAATATAAGATTCTTGATAGCATCATTCATGCATGATCTTGGAAGTCCTACTTGGCTACACTTTCATCCCAGTGTGCGAATGACAGCAAGTGGGTCGTTTCATCCGATCATGACTGAGCAGGACATTATCTTTACGGCTGGGACGCCTGCCACCGAGCTGACGACCGCGCAGCGTCACTACGTCCAGTACATGATTCAGCAGGTACAGATCGACCAACAGGCAACTTTTAGCGGAGGAGAAAAAGATACCCAAGCCATATTGAAATGGGTCAGAGACATGGAGGAGCATTTCTACGGCCTGTTTGTCCAGCCGGAACTGTGGGTGATTCTGGCGGCTGTGCGGTTAAAAGGGGAGGCTCGGAGCTGGTTTGCGGAGGTGGAAAAGGAGCACATTTTTGGCGACTGGAACCGGTTCAAAACGGCATTCATTGAAAAATGGAGTCCCGACTACTTCCATAAAGTCATCACAGCTTACCATGGAATCAGGCAAGATGAAGAGGAGACAGTCGACGACTTCTATGCCAAGTTCCGACTGCTGCGAGATAACCTACCCGAAAGAGATCCAGAGTCAATTGCTAAGGTGCTCTTTGTGAACGCCCTGCGGCCAGGCTTGCATGAAATCGTTGTACGCCAGTTTCATGATTCGGTTGAGTCGACCTACAAGACCGCCAGACTCGTAATGGTGCTGCAGGACAGTGTTGAGAGCAGCACCCGAGCAACAGGCAGCCAGACCCAGAAAGCTACGGAAAATTTTGGTGACCAGAATAGCCAGAAGGCAAACAAAGCGACTCGGACTAATAAAACGATTGGTGTTAAGGCATGCTTCTTGTGCAACCAAACAGGTCACTTGGTCAGGGATTGTCCCCAGTACCAGGCGAAATTCTGCTTGCACTGTCGCACTAACGATCACTCGACTGCCGATTGTCTATTCAAATATGGACCCAACCGCAAAAGAGACAAAAAAGTACCCATCTGTTACAAGTGCAGTGAGAGTGGTCATATTGCCAGAGACTGCACTTATTCTCCGTTTGGTATAACCTATGTGCGTGGTCAGTCAACCGCTGGCAGGTCGTCGTGCTCGCCTCCTAAGGCAGCTGTTGAAAAGGGAAGCGATACGAGTTATGCCGAAAGTTCGGGCTCACTTGAGGGAGCTATCGAAACAGCAAGCGATGCTGACCGCCAAGCTCAAAGTGATGGTGATGATAAGCTCTCTGAAATGCTGGGATATGGTCATGGAACTGACTACTCCCCACCGTCTCCCATTACAAAGTGTTTTCGTTGCAGGGAATTTGGCCACTTGACTCAAGAGTGCACTGCCCCTCTGGAAATGTCGCATATCGAATACACATCGAAGGACAAGTGCCTCAGGTGCAAGAAGAGAGGTCACAGAGATATAGACTGTCCGGAACCAAATACAGCAGAGACCGAATCCCTCGAGGCTGAGACCCATGAGACTAATTCTGTGGCTTCTGCGGACTCTGTGGAACCTGTGGACCTCATTGAAAATCAGCCGGTTGAAATATCTCAAGGAGAGGTTCATTCCACCGAAGACCTGGGGTTTGCATCGGAGTAACCGTTCATTTTTACAAAACATTGTGTGGTTCGGGTAATGTGTACAAGTGGTACATATGGTACATAATACATACATACTTAGGTCATTCAAACATGCGATTTTATTCCAGTCTATAAGTACATTTCCGTGTGTAAGCACCGTGGCTGTTCATCCCCTTTGCTTAGTCAAAAGTCATCTTCTTACCAGTGCTTTTGACGATACCCACAGAGGCTCTCTGGGCACTGGCCAGGACCTGTCCAGGCTTCTTTCGCGAGTAAGGTCGGTCCTCCTTGCTTCTCTTAGGCTTATCGTATGACTCCTTGTTCTCGGTGTATGCAGGCTTATCCTCAACCTGGGCAGGCTCTGAGTACTCCTTCTGTGCGGACTGACTCTCGTCAGCGACAGCACCCTCGACCTTTCGAGGCTTGGGCACTCGCTTACTTCGGTCTTCTCCGGCCTCGAGACGCAGAGTTCGACCCTCGAGGTACTTGTACAATCGTCCCTTAAGAGCTTTTCGAGTAGCGTCGGCGTCGTAAAAGTCCACAAAAGAGAAGCCCTTTGACTTGCCGGTATCTTCAAAAGACATCATTCGAACCCGTCGAATATCCCCGCAGGACTTGAAGTGGTCCTGCAGCATTTCCTCGGTTGCGTTGAAAGGCAGGTTTCCAACAAACAGCACCCGTGAGTCTGTGTCTGTAGGGTCCTTCTTCTCGGGCCGTCCCTCGAACGAGTTTGCGTTCTTGATAAGAAGTTTTCGGCCGTTAAGGATCTGCTCTGACAAGGAGACCAGTCGCTCCATCTTCTCGGCGGTGGGGACGTCAACGTAGGCGAAACCCTTCACCTTCTTGGTAACCTTGGACTTGGGCAGGTTAATTCGAAGCAAATCGTCCTCCTCAATCACCACCGCGTCGGAGTCCTCTTCAGATTTACCCAGCTTAGCCAGAATGAACCGCTTGATATCCTCCTTGCAAGTGTCGAACGACAGATTGCCAATCCACACTCCATGTTCGGACTTTTTGGACTTGCCCTCCTCCTCATCATCGGCCTTCTCGACAGGCAGCTTTCCCTTCTTTTCGAGACGCTTCTGTTTCTTGGACAGAGGAGCGGACTTTTCCAAGTCGATCTCAATTTCCTCCTCGATCTTTCGCTTGACGGTCACCTCGGAATCACTCATGTTGTGGTGGTAGCTGAATTTTGTCTCGAGGCTGAATTTTTTTCAGATAATGCAGGCCGCCAATAGAGTTTGAGGGTGGTCGATTTTTTTATTAATGAGTTGAAAATACGTCCCAACTGTTGAAGGTAATACCCGGTGGGGTAATACCTGGCTAATTCCTCACATAATGATGAGATGTCACCACATAGTAATGAGAGGAATCAGCTGGGTCGTAGACGAGATGTCCATCCTGTAGATAGTTTTATCCACTGATCTAGAATCTCTTTTCTGGTGAATGAGCAAGCACACACCAGAAGGGTGTGTGCTACTATCGGAACGCCGTGTCCCTAGAAGTGGGTTGTAAGTTGTTAATTAACTATATCACATCAATAATACTTATGATCTTCAATACCAACTATGATGCGAACTCGGGTGCATTGGAATTATTCAAGGTGGAGAGGTGACAACGGTAAAGAACATCCCAAGTATTATTGATTAAATATAGTTAATTTACCGACTTACAACTCACCTAAGGCGGCGCCGGCTATCCTCACCCTGCCCAGACCAATTTCTGGCCCTCCTGCTTTCAGATGCTTCTTCCCTTGTAACACACTCTTCTTACTATTTGTCACTGCCTCATACAGACCTTCACCTTTCTTCACCTTGCGTTTTCCCATCTATTGGGTGAAGTCGTCACTATAGTATCACAAAGCGATTGCTGACCTCCTTATCAAAGAAAACGCCTGTCTTCTTTGGGGTTTCCTCCGACACCATTCTCAAAGAAAACATCACTATGTTCACAACAGAGATGAGTGTCTTTTAAAGAATCTTGGTAACTGGTAAATCGAAAGAACCTTCGAAATGGCAATGCCCAACGGGAGATAGTGCATCGGCTAAAGAGGGATTCAAACACTTGCAATGCCAGCTTGTGCTTCAGAGTTCTGCGGCTGCGTATGGTGGCTGAATTGGTGACTGACTTGGTGGCTGATTGTGTGGCTCTCGCTGATCTCAATTGTCACGATGGCAACTGTTGATCTCACTGATGAGGTTACCAATAGTAATCCAAGTTGTTGATGGACCCAGCGGACGTGGGACACTGCTGAGGATGTGCGAAAATGTGTCGTGTACGTATCATTTTCTTGCACTTCTGGCACTTGTAATATTTGACGGGGATGTATGACATGATGTGATCGGAGTGAACGTTGGATGGCGTAGCTTGCTGGCGCTACAAGGATAACCGCCCTCTATATATGTCCGTCCTGTTAATCACATACCCAGGTCATGACTCGATCTGTTTCATCGGACAAACGAAATGGGGATTATTTCAGAAGGAACAATGAGGCTTGCACTCATGTGCATATCAACACTTGATGAACGCAATAAAGTGCATATTGGCACTTGCTGTAAGTGCTAATCATGCGAAGATGAGGATGACCTGCTTGTAGGCTACGATACGATACCTGTATCGTAGCCTCTGGGACTCATTTACAGTGACATGAGCTCGATGTGAGGCTCAAATACCCAGTTCATGTGGCAATAATTTGCTAGGTCCACTTTTGTTCCACACATAATAAAGCATGTTCGAGAGAGTGTATTATTATCAAGATACATCACTGTCGGCAAAGTCTTCGTCTCCCCGTCTGATACAAACTCGTGTCTTAAAAGGAGAGATAACTTCTGGATGCGGCTTGAGATGAGCAGGGATCGCGACTTGGATGAGCAGGAATGGGGCACAGTACGAGCACTGTTCTAGGACAAGTGTTGTTTTGCCGATACATTATAATCGTACATCAGCAGGATTTCATTTCTAGACTGTGAGAAAAATTACGATACTGTGAGAAACACTACGATATTGTGAATCGGTGTCTTGCTATGTCGACAGTGTTATTTCTGATACATCACGTACTCTTTGTACATTGTTTGGGTCACCGGGAAGGTCATAACAGCATTTGGTTTTGGGGCAAAGTCGTCAGCGTCAGAACGAGGTTTGGGATTCGATTTACTTGAAGTGTTCTATCGTACAACTACAACATACAAGCGTCTGGTTGGGCAATTTGATGTGATACGGCTATTGTAAAAAATGCTCGATTTTTACTACAACTTTTCTACGGAGGTTCCTGTCGTTACGGTTGACGGAGAAAGAGTGGCCGAGAATTTGGGCTGCTTGAGACCGCCGAGCATGCCAATCCGGTTCGCTTTGAGTCTCCCTGTTCCACAGGAGCTTTGCCCTAACCTGTGATATCTGCATTGGTTCAAGGTGTCGGTGTGGCAAAGGAAGTGGTGGTCAACATCGGCCACCAGTAACTCTCCGGAGAACGGAAAGGCTACAATCGACGGAAACAGCCACAATCGACGGAAACGACCACACAACTGAATCCATAATCCCCAGAGTTGGCTACCTTTACCCATTGCTGACCACCGCCCAAGTAAGTGCCTCATATCCACACCTTCCCATTAGCCACTGGGCCATTCAAAGTTCTGAGGTGGTTTGACTTTGACTTGAAAAAAAAATAACAAAAAAAGTTCATTGGCCCCAACCTTGATCCAACTTTTCACCGACGTTTTTCACCATTCTAAATCCGTCCACTGTACGTACAAAACAATACTTGATGTTTGATGGGATAATGTTGGGTATAGGTGCGAAAATACCCGTACAGAACTGTACTCATACTGTCAAAATTCTCCCAAATTCACACCTACTGATGGAATCACGAATCCGCCGGCCAACCTAAGACAACTCCGGCTCTCTCGACCCCGGTTCGTGTAACTCTCAGTCTGCGGACTCCGCCATAGCCACTGCCTTGTGCGCGCCTTGTGAGCGAGCGGTGACACGGAAAACGCTCGCACGATCCACCTGGCGATCGAAACCTTGTAACTTGCGAGAAACGGGAGCGGCACTGGTCTCTAACGGCCGAGGAATTGGATATATGGCACGGATAGCCACAAACCAGCCGGAAAAGAAGGGAAAACGAGTATCGCACGAGCAGAGCGGAAGACTCTCGTCTTGAAAAAGATCGGCTTCGAGATGGGCCTATTGACCTACCACCATTGACCCGTCCCCGAGCCTACGAGTCTTCGATTCTAGAGGTTCGCCTTGTTCGCATTTGCAGTCTGAGTTCACGAGTGAGACAGGGCCAGAATACGGTCCGGTACGAACACCCGTTGAATAACACGGTGAAATTCCACATGATAAAAGTAGGGGCAAAACCAACTGCAGCCTACAGCCAAGCCGACGCCCAGGAAGTAGGGGTATGTGCACTGAGAGGAGTGCTTATATCGGTGGAAGCATACAAGGATGTGTGCACATGGAAGTGTGCCAGACATGCGTTCTTCAGGCTTCTGCTCTGTGAGTTTACCTGGATAAACCTGCAGTTGAAAAGAAATATCAATGGGCAGTTAATTGACTGGTACTTGAGTGTTGATGCGGAAATGAGGGGGTGAATAGATTCTCAATGTGAGGATTCGCACTAACAATGACAAGAATCTGTCCTGTTCCACCGCCTCTGTACCGCTTCCACTGAACCAACCCACTAAATCAACCTCGGTTGCTTGCGTCTCTCAAGTTAGCACACATTATCCAGGGCCACAGGGAAGAGCTGTATAGTTTATGCTGTACGACTGGGGTATGAGTTGGTATCGTACTTGGATGTAACACAACTGACGGCTTTCAGGGACCGTGAAGATCAATACCTAGGCGGTTGTTGTCTGCGACATACGCATCCATTGAGAAGTTGGAAATACGTTTTGAAAACCGTTTTCCGGGGGTTCTTTCACCGTATATTCGGTTTGCCACTCTCGCTTTCGATGCACGCTTTCACGTTGGGCTTACAGAGACCGTCAGGACCAATGTCGATCTTTTCCCACACACTCAACCTTGGGACTTCACAGTCAGGCACAGATCGTGCCCGCAACTAGTCGCAAGACAGGTTCCTTCTAGTGTAATGGTCTTTCTAACACCATCAACGGTTTTCTAGCTGCAAGAGAATCAGCTACAAGAGAATCAGCTACACCCGCGTCATGAAAAAACCACCACCCAAACCTCACTTGGATTTCCTCTTTAGTATAGACTTTGAAATAGCGTTGCTGAGACCAACCAGTAACTGAGCTACGAGTTAGATATTATTCATACTGAACAAGTAATAAATGATTCTCCCAAGTATGGTCGATGAATGTACGTACTGAGAAGCAGCCAACTCACAAAGTCGCATTACATACACACAAAGTCGCAATCAAAACACACATTTCTTCCTGTACCGAACCTGTACAATAGGAATACTGTATCCACCCAACAAAATCTCTTTGTCGTCTTTTCACGCTTTCTGAGACAGTAGATTTCAGGCCACCGCTATCAGGCATGCAAATCAACCATAACCGTAACCTACTTGGCCACAGAAGGCTCAGGTAACGGTGTCGATGGAGGGTTTTCAGGCAATATAAACCCGAGGGGACCCTTCTCCTCGGCTCCCCAAGCCTTCTTCACCCTAGTCATTCTCTTACCCCCTTTTTTTACTTCACCCTATACCCTCTTTAATCATGCTCTTCCTCAAGACCATTGCTCTGGCTGCCACTGCCGTTCTCGCCCAGGTGTACGAGCCCACCTCTGATATCCACTTTTACGCCCAGTCTCAGGACAATGTGGCTCCCTGGTCCCAGTCTCTTCTGACCGTCCAGGACTCTACTCTCGTGGCTGTCACCACCCTGACCCCCAACGATACCACCTCTGCCTTCGACACCCACGATGACAACTTCATTGCTCGAAACGGCAAGTTCCTCGCTGCTACCGCCAACAACGGCCTGGTGCTGTCCGACTCTGCTCCCACCCGGCAGCTCAAGTGGGTCTCTGGCTCTCTCAACGTTGTTGACAACGGCAAGACCTCTCAGCTGGTTGCCTGCCCCTCCACTGCCAACAACACCTGGGTTATCACTCTCAACTCCAACTGTACCAAGGGTTTCCGAGTCGCTGTCAAGCCCCGAACCATCGCCAAGAACACCAACACCTTCTCTCAGATCCCCGTCAACATCACCCACTCTTCCTCCAACATCACTGGCCCCGTGTCCATCACTAAGCCCGAGCCCGCCAAGGAGGACGATAAGCACAACGGAGCCATGACCAACAGCGCTGGCGCTGTGGTTGTTGCCGTTGCTCTTGTTGCCGTTCTTTTCTAAGTGACGACCGGATCGTTTCAAATCACATTTTGCCGTTTCTGGCTTCAGAACAGACACACACCACCAATGACTTCGCCTCAGATCGCAGTTTTTCTGCTCCCTTAAAACACCAAAAGATCAGATTCCACATCAGATCATTCAGATTCATGTATATTTATCATTCAATGCAGGCAGGTTATAAGCAGGACGCTAGTAGACAGTAGTAGACTGGTACAAGTATCAGTCCACTGATCCATATGTAATCCCACTAAAAGGGGACTTTGCAAGACGTGGTAAGCGCAAGGCAGCCATGTCGACGTCACCTCGACATGGAAAAGTCCTCATATCTAGACCATTACGATCAGAAAGTCCATATATCTGTATACATTTGGAATCAGCATCAACTTTCGAGTTGAGTGATTCAAAGCCACGATAGTATGGTCTGTATCGTACAATGTACTTGCGACCACTCTCTGATGCTGTGTAAAATCCAAGAGATAACACCAGAAATACAAATGTGTCGACAAAATCTGCAATACTAGCCTATCTATATATTCTTTTTCTGATTTTATTCCACGATCAATCCCAACTATTGACCCCAATAATCTCATCTAATTACTTGTACTCTAATTACTTCCGCCAACCATCCATGTCTCCCAACATCATGACTCACGCGATGAGAATTTGACTATTTCTGCGACAATAATTCGGGTGGCGTTATATATATAGAGGGCGCACCGGCATATATTTTTTTCCTGCCACCTCCCCAGTACAATAGTTTATGTGAGGAGCCTGCTGTACCTGTGCTTCTGGTAAAAGCAAGGAGGCTGACTAACGTACTGAAATGTACGGTGACAGACTGAGATGTTCCAAACTCTATAGTGAAAATATGGCCTTCTTGTGATGCGTCATACTACGAGGCTACCCTACGACACACGCAAAATGACTGATTTCGAAGACGCTACGCCTGATGTGGTGATTGGAGGCGACATTGTGGCCGAGAGCCAGTATTACGAGGAGGAGGACGAGGACGACAACATTGTTGAGGAGACTTCCGAGGTCAAGAAGACCGTCAAGTTTGCCGATGATGGCCTCACAGATGAGGAGCGACGAAAGAAGGAGTTTGAGGAGGGAGGAGGGCTCCCCGAGCAGCCTAGCGACCCCGATTTCACCAACATGACCGGTGTTTCGCCCGAGATTATTGGCCGACAGGCCACCATCAACATTGGTACTATTGGTCATGTTGCTCACGGAAAGTCCACTGTGGTCAAGGCCATCTCTGGAGTGCAGACTGTGCGATTCAAGAACGAGCTGGAGCGAAACATTACCATCCGACTGGGATACGCCAACGCCAAGATCTACCGATGCGAAAACAAGGACTGCAAGCGACCCGGCAACTACAGATCGTTCCGATCGGACCGAGAAATCCACCCCAAGTGTGAGCAGCCCGGCTGTGACGGCCGAATGGAGCTGTTGCGACACGTGTCTTTTGTTGACTGTCCCGGTCACGACATTCTTATGTCCACCATGTTGTCCGGTGCTGCCGTCATGGACGCCGCCCTTCTGCTGGTTGCCGGAAACGAGCCCTGTCCCCAGCCCCAGACCTCTGAGCATCTGGCCGCCATCGAGATCATGAAGCTGCGACACGTTATTATTCTGCAGAACAAGGTCGACCTGATGCGAGAGGATGCTGCTTTGGAGCACGAGCGATCCATCTCGCGGTTCGTCAAGGGAACCGCCGCCGCAGACGCTCCCATCGTCCCCATTTCCGCTCAGCTCAAGTACAACATTGATGCCGTTAACGAGTTCATTGTCAACCGGGTTCCCGTTCCCGTGCGAGACTTTGCTGCCTCTCCCCGTCTCATTGTCATTCGATCTTTCGACGTTAACCGGCCCGGAGCCGAGATCGACGAGCTCAAGGGAGGTGTTGCTGGAGGATCCATTCTCAACGGTGTCCTGCGACTCGGAGACGAGATTGAGATTCGACCTGGTATTGTCGAGAAGCAAAACAACGGCCAGTTCAAGTGCAAGGTCATCCGATCCCGAGTCCAGACCCTGTTTGCCGAGAACAATGACCTCAAGTTCGCCGTGCCCGGTGGCCTTATCGGTGTCGGAACTCAGGTCGACCCCACCCTCTGCCGAGCCGATCGACTGGTCGGTCACGTTCTGGGACACAAAAACGCTCTTCCCGAGATCTACATCGAGCTGGAAATCAACTACTTCCTGCTGCGACGACTTCTGGGTGTCAAGACCGAGGACAAGAAGCTCACCAAGGTCGGAAAGCTGGCGCGAGGCGAGGTTCTCATGGTCAACATTGGTTCCACCACTACTGGAGCCCGTGTCATGAACGTCAAGGCCGATATGGCCAAGCTGGTGCTCACCACCCCCGCATGCACTGAGCTCGGCGAAAAGATTGCTCTGTCCCGACGAGTCGAGAAGCACTGGCGACTTATCGGATGGGGTTCCATCAAGGAGGGTTCCACCATTCCCCCCAGCGAGTTTTAAAAGGTATAGATTAACGATTGGAGATTGACGATACAAGGATCCGAGTAAGGAATGAGCGACTGTTATGCTTAACGTACGCTGTGTAGCGATACAGTAAGACCGAAGCTGTAGATGTATCCGAAGCACTAGTGGTATGTACTGTAGTGTACTGGACTGATACTTGTACATACTGCACACCTTGCTGTACTGAAACGCGATAGATAACACCAAGTATTGATTATATGAAGAGCTACTTGCCCGTCTTCGTTGGTTCTCTTGCAATCTGAGGCAAACTAAGTACAAGACCTCTACTGTAGACAGCCTCTGAGGTCTCACTGTATCTACTGATTCACGCCGACACAGGGCAAATCTGGTAAGCGAGAAATATTAGTATCAAAAAGATCAGACAGACTTGAAATTACACTGTAGTGCGCTTTCATCAAACATCAGTATTTTTCTCAGCTTGAATCCTTTAATTGCTTCTCCTCCCTCTGGTTGTGTTCTGAAAGGGGAGGGCATCGGTAGACAGAAATGGCGACGCATAATTGATCCATTCTAGCTGTTGGTAAATCAATCAAAAAGTATTGAAGGGTCCTCACAGTTCCCTTTTAGTCCTGTCAATCAACACTAACCCTCAAACAAATATGAAGGTCTTCTTACTCTACTCCGCCGGCTCCCCGCCGTTGACGAACCCAGCTTCTTGGTTGCTGAAAACGAGCTTTGACTCCGAAAGTTGCTACTGGACTATAGCCATACTCTTGTTACCACTCTTCCAAGCCAACCCTGTTATTGAAAAGGAAGTTGTTGGTGTTGATAATGCCGTCGGACATGAATCCCATCTAATAATGGTGCACATACAATCTATCTGCCTGTATATATAATAATTTAATCAATAAATACATGTATCAGGCCTTTGTAACCAGAGGATACTTTCTAGGCCGACCTCGAGGACGTCTAACGCCGCCCTGGTATCGCCGGTCTCGACGTCTGGACCTTGATTTCGTGGTTCTTTGGGGAGCGGCTTTCTCCACTGTGGTGGTCATTCGAGGAATGGGGTAGGCTGTCTCAAACTTGGAGTAGTCTGTTGTGGACTCAGCCTCGGAATCGACATCGTCAGCGCCAGCATCACTCTCGCTGTCATCATCCTTCTTGTCCCCTTCGAGTTTCTGCTCCTCCTCTTCGACCCCATCACCGTCCTTGTCATCCACTTCGACGATCCTCATTCCAGGCTCCAAGTCCTCTCTAGTAGGAACCTTTGTGAACGGCCACTCCGGCACCGGAGCCCAAATCAGCTTTGATGGCTCCAACTGCACATAGTTGTTTGCCTTGTACTTGTTGACGACCATATCGATGGCCTCCCAATTCAAGCGAATGGCATACTTGCCTGTCTCAGGGTTTCTGACCAGAAATTCGAGTGACTCAAGAGCAGAAATGACGTCGTCAGGTGTCATGCCGGTGGATTTGGTGATGTCCATGACGGAGAAGTTTGGGATGGTTTTCTTGTCGGCCGCCTTTTCGCGAGCATTGAAAAAGAACCGGCAGATCATCAGCCGCCAGTACTTTCTGTAGCTCAGCAAGCCCAGGTCACTGAGGGGTTTTTCAGGCGTGCCTGGGCGACCTTCGACTCGACTCAGCAGGTACGAAAAGTCAATCAGCAGCTGTCCGTATCCCTTTCGTTGGAAAATGGGGAGAGTCAAAATGCAGGACACGTTGTTGGTGCCTGTGGTTTTGTAGGGTTGTTGTTTTTCCTTGGAGAAATAGCCGACGAAATGGCATCCGAACGCGTCATTTTCGGTCAGAACGTAGAACATGAAGGGCTCCACGTCGTAGTAAAGCGTTTTCGAGTTGAGAAACATTTTGGCCAACAGACACAGGTTCTGACAGTATAGCTGGGCACGCGCACCATCAACTTCCCAGATGGAAATGTTGCCGTGGCGATATATTTCTGTTCCGGGAGGGTGACGGGCTGCACACTTTAGTTTGTGGCGTTTGCGCACGTGTCCGGAAGACATGTACTTGAGACAGAACTCGCACAGCGGTAGCACCTTGTTTCGGGCGTATTCTTCTGGGTATGGCGCTGTATGCCAAGTGTTGATTTCGTAGTCGCCAAAGTGGATGCATGTAATGTTGGCGTTCTTGGTGGTTCCCAGCGACGCATCTCCTCGGGAAGACCGTTTGGACTCGGCCAGGCTGAGAGTCTTTGAGAAGAGTGCAATGTCGTCGGCGTTGGGGTTGGTTTCTGCTGTCGATGCGTCCTCGCCCACTAGAGCTCCTCTGTAGGGAGGCTCCGTTTCAATCGGTGTGCTAGGCGATGAGGAGTAGTCCGAGTTGATGGGCGATGGCGATCGTCGTGGCGATGGACCGGGAGACGTGGACGAATCGGGCGACTCGATTAACCGGGGGACGTTGCTTGTGGCGCGTCGTTCGCGTTCACGGCCTCTGTCTCGGATCTGCGCGCTTCTAGACCGGGTTTCGCGCGTGTTTCGCGGCCGTCGCACCCTCACTCTCAGACCATAGTCGTCACTGTCGTCGCCACTGTCGGTGCTGTAGCTGTCGCTGGAGTTGGAGTTGCGTCTGGGCACTGGGATGCGCAGCTTGACCGGGCTGCGTCTCGGAGACGCCGATGCCGCTGGAGGAGTGCATTTTCGGGGGCTGCTTTTGGGGCGGTTGCGTCTTCGGGGCTCGATGATGGGCTGAGGAACACCCGTGACAGTTTTGCGCGGCCGCCCGACCTGCCGCTTGATAGGCCGGTTGTACTTGATAGTCAAGTTGAACGACGTTGGCGTCGCTTCCCACGTCACAGACATGTTATGATGATCTAGCAGTGAAATGTCGTGAGAAGTTGTTTTGGACTTGCATTGTGGAGGTGGCGCCTAAAGTTTAATTTCCACGTTTCGCTACTCAAATCTGAGCCGCACGGAGGGAGTGTCAAACGGCGGAACTTTGCAACACTCAAACAACTCATCGTGGGAACAATAAACGCCGGGTAAGAAGTGACAGAATCGCAATGGTTCACACGTGTAATAAGTCCCCAAAGTATCAATCCTTCAGATGTGTTATATCCTTTCGACATGAACATTCTGGTAAAACACGCTAAATAGACCCTCCATATGGATCAATAGAAATCAAACTCCAACAAAAAGCCCAAACTTTCAAGAGACGGTCAAATACAAGTACTTGTACTTGTACACACATCAACCAATACTATACATTAATGACATCCTTCTATATACCCCTACGTGCTATGGGCGTCCAACTTGGCCCGGTTGACCAGCCCCACCACACTTCGTCGAGTGTCACCCGTGTCCAAAACCTTGAGAGCCGCATCGAACTCGCTCAATAGATCGGAATCGAGGTTGGTCCGGAACCGTTCCTCAGAAGCCAAGGTGGCCGAGTTGGGCTTGTGCAAGTTTTCAAAGTTGGGCACCTGGAGAGGACTGTTTTGCTGACCAATCAGTCCAGTGTCAAACGCGTACTTGAGAAGCTGGAAAAGAGGAGTGTCAAGGAGAAGAGCCTCCTGTTCCTGATCTGTCCGGTCTGACTTGTCGAGAACCTCCATCCAGTCCGTTTCAAGAAGAACCCGAACCCACACAGTGAGGCTCATGATGCTGGTCTTTGCGTTATTGCTGTCAGAAATGGCCTGCAGAGCTTCTTCTGAGAATCCAATCACACAGCTGCACAGTTCAACGAGCTCCAGGCTGGTCAGCACCTTCTTCTGAACCACCTTGGTCACCAGCTTCTTAGCGGCATCAGTCACACCCTTTGGAAGTTGGGGGCTGAGAATCTGCTCACTGAAAATCTGGGTGCCCTGCACGTGGCCAGAGATGTGTTCAGCAAGCCGTTTCTGGATCAAACTGAGATTGAGCTCATTGTTCACCTCGGTCTGCTCACGCGAAGGATCCATTCTGGTGCCAGATCGAGCTTGCATGAATGCAAGCTTGGCCATACTGAGCTGCACAAGCCGGTTTCGGAGGTCCCCTCCTGGAATGGTATCTTGGCCTTCCTTGGCCGCCTGGACAAGAGCCTCGGCTGCCGACTGGTATTCTCCCAAGCCAAGGGAGAGAATCCACGAAATGTTGGCGTGGTTACTGGACCGGAAATATTGCTTCAGCATTTCCCGATAGTCCTGAAACCGGGTGAACAGGCTCTCAAAGTCGCGGGTCTCAATCCAGTACGAGTAAAGCTGCGAAGCAAAGTCGTAGCCAAAGTTATGCAGGTACTTTCGAATGGCGTATTCCGCGTCGCTCTCGCTCTGCTTATTGTTGTTGGTGATAGCCACTCGCAGATCGTGGTCGAGAATCTCGGCCAAACATCGGTACAGACGGAACGTCTCACAGATATGCAGCGCCTGGCTCACTTGACCCACCGAAACGACTGCCTTAATCCAGTCTCCACGTCGCTGGTGGTATGTGTTTTCGTATGCCTGCCAGTCGTTGCCTGAATTTCGGGCCCAGGTGATAGCCACGACAGATTGGCTACACAGAGACTGGGCTAGGGGACCCAGTGGTCTGTGATCGTTCGTGTTGTTGGCGATGAACCGGAACAGTGAGTCCCAAGTCTCCATCATACGAGATTCACACCACCAAGGGCAATTCTCGCCAGTGTCGTCGTTGGAAACACGCAAAGCAGAAAGAGACTCCTCTCGTGCAGTGAGAATGGCGCTAATTGCAGACCCCACAGTAGCAGCGAAGATGGAGCCCATGTTGGGCTGCTGAATATTGTCGAACACGCCGTAGATCAGGTTGGCAGCCTCAAGGGTGCGGCTGGTAAAAAAATCCTGCACGGGGTCCTGGTCCGTGTTCTGGTTCTTGTCAACACTCTTGACAATGATGTTTTCCAGCACAATGTAGCCGTCCTTGACGTCCAGCATAGCCCAGATGGCCTCGCAAGCCGCGAGTTTCTCGGCATTGGACGCCAGAGTTAGCTTTGTAGCAACGTCGAGCTGGGACGCGAAGTTGTCGTAGGCGTACTGGTTCAGGATTCGCAGCCGGTCCACTCGGAATTCCAAACTGAAGCCCAGTCCAGGGAATCGGCCCTCCAGATGGGACGATGTAGACGTGCAGATTTCATGCGACACCTGCAACAGTGCACGTCGGACAACGTCATCGGGGAACTTGACATCATACTCTCCAGTGGCAGCAAACTGCAGAGGCGTAAAGTCGCCACCGGCAAAAAACACGCCCTGCTCGATTCGTGACTTGCAGATGCCACGCTCGAGCGTGTTCAAGCTTCTAGTTTGCTCCTTGTCGTCCTGTTCGGGGAACCGGGTGATTTTCAGCACGCCGGCCGCGTCTGTGATGGCCACAATGGCGGAGTCACGACTTCGGTTCTTGTCTTCGGCTCCAAAGCCTAGAATCGACACAGTGGGTTTCAGCAAAATCGAATCCTCCCACTTGCCGTACTCCACAAAGTTGAGGTTAGATCGCGTGACCATGTCGATGAGCACCACGGCATGGTCCAGAACCACATAGAGCGTATCGCCTGGAGAGGGTCGAGCTAGTCTAGGAGTGCCCCTGTCCAGTCCTGGTCTAACGTACGACTGCACTCTGTGACGACTGACAACCTTGTCTTTGTGGAGATCGATGGTGTAGATGATGTAGAAGATGGAATTGTCGACGAGAATGGAAGTCAGCACCACGAGATAATCCTCCTCGGCAACGTATTCAATGTCATGCAGGTAGATAGACGAAGTGTTGTAGAGAGTAGACACGTCAGCCGAAAGCATGGGCTTCAGGTCCTTGTCTGCCAAAATGGTGGCATCTCCACCCTCTGTCACCTCCCACACTCCAAGATGGCACTCCGAGGTGGCTACGTAGATGCGCCAGCTGCGGTTCGTAGAGGGAACCACTCGGACTCCAGTGATTCCACGTCTGTTGGAAGACACGGAAAAGGCGGATCGAATGTTGCTCAACAGGCCGGCCTTTGTGTCTCGCAGAGTCCAGTAGTTGAGAGCAGCCTCGTCCTTATCTCGAAGAGAGAGGCCAATGAGACGGCCCGAGGACAGAGACAGCACCAGCGTGACATCGTCCATGCGGTTCACGTGCTCAATCACCTCACCACTGTATAGCTTAATCTGGGTCTCCACCTGCTGTCGTGTTCGCAGGTACCCTTCAGCAGCTGCACCTCCCACTGACTCCCAGAAGACACACAAACCAGAATTGACACCCACTAGCACCAGACCGGGATGTCCAACGTCCTTGAAACTCGGCGTCACGGGGATCAGGTGACCCAGAGCATTATCCTGGACTCCCAGACTATGTGTAAAGGTCTCTGGGGTCGGCTCAGGAGATGTGTACTTCCACACATGTGCCTTGTTCCCCACAACCACCAGCCCAAAGTCGTCAGATAGCGATGAGCTCACATGCTCACCGGAATCAAAAGCAATCTCCACTCCTGATAGATCGGGTCTTGCTGCCAATCGCGTCACATTGTACATGGCCGTGCGGGTGATTTCGGAGCCATAATCCGCCAGACTGTCCTCCACAGCCGACAGGTTGGTGAACGACTTTTCCGTCACATCGTCGTTGAAGAGCGTCGCAGGCACAACTCGGTTGAGTTCTTGCTGCACCGCTTTTTGCCGCAGCTTTCGAATATTGCCAATTTGCGACATGGATGGATGTGTCTGTGTTTGTGTTTGGATCTTTTTGTGCAACTCTCAATTGCCTGCATTAGGGTTAGGGTCTACCAGGAGGTGGATTATGTTGTGGAATGATGGTTGTCGTAATTGCACAAAGAACCAACTACAATGGACTTTTAAACCCTTGATAGTGCCGTCACGGCGACTCCTGTTATTGTTTTGTGTCTTTGGACGCTCTATTGTCTCGTTCTTCTTGCAAATACTACCCTAAGTAAAATACCAACTAATACGAGGTTCACAACAAAGGATTAACAAAATTGACACAACCTACGGGCCAACTAATAGTCAAGTAGGCCCTCAACAACATTCTCGCTCTTTCTGAAACCAACAACATCAACTGGGAACCAGGAAAGTAAAGATATAGCTATATATCAGTTATTAACTCGTCAATTAATACGACCAGATTGGATTATACATTTTACTATCGTATGTGATTGTAACATCACCATCATTCTTAACAAAATCCTCAACCCTTTTCAATCAAGTTGGTGGTTGATAGAAACTAAAGCTGTAATAGATACTATACCCAACTCATACCTTCATCTCATATACATATGCTCGCTACAAATTATTTCTCCCAATCCTCTTGTTTGCCACTCACAATAGTGGCGATGATTAGTAAACTGATCTCAGTAGGTTTTCAATAGTAAGACACCCAAAAGTAGCCATTGACGTACGAAAAGTGTGCGTGTTTTTTTGAAAATTAGGTGTCACATGACCATAATAATCACTTTTCATATCACGTGACCAAATCATCTCGCACAGTCGTCCAAACACCTCCGTCTACTGACATTTCTACTACTCCATCTTATCAGGGTAAGGGCAACCGTAACTGTAAAAAATTTATGCAGGCGGTGAAATTTTCGCCTACGCAGACATTACACCGAACCACAGTTACAGGTACAGCAAGAAAATATGTTGCGACAAGTGAAACCGAAAAACGCTCGGGCCAAGCGAGCCGTCGATGCCAAGGAGCCCAAGATTGTCGAGAACACAAAGCAGGCGCTGTTTGTGCCCGGCCAGACCTCCAACCAGCTTCTTCACGATGCCATGGTGGATCTTTGTGCTCTCAAGCTGCCCGATGGCAAGCGATTCAACAAGAAGAACGAAATCAACCCCTTTGAGGATGTGTCCTCGTTGGAATTCTTCTCGGAAAAAAACGACACATCTCTGCTGGTCTTTTCGTCGTCTAACAAGAAGCGACCCAACAACCTGACCTGGATCCGAACGTTTGGATACCAGCTCTTCGACATGATCGAGCTGCAGATTGTCAACCACCGACTGTTACGAGATTTCAAGGCCCAGACTGTGGGTGTGGGTCTCAAGCCCATGTTTACCTTCAACGGTACCGGCTTTGAAACCGACCCTGTTCTGATGCATGTCAAGTCTCTGTTTCTGGACTTCTTCCGAGGCGATACCACCGATCTGCAGGATGCTGCCGGTCTGCAATATATCATTTCAATCTCTGCCGGCGAGGTGCAGGAAGACAAGCCTCTGCCTCTGATCAACTTCCGAGTTTACAAGATCCGATCTTTCCGATCTGGCCAGAAGCTTCCTCGAATCGAGCTGCAAGAAATCGGCCCCCGATTCGACTTCAAGATTGGCCGACGACAGGCTGCTGCTCCTGACGTGGAGAAGGAGGCTCTGCGAGTGCCTGAGCAGCTGCGACAGAAGACCAAGAAGAACGTGGAGGTGGACAACATGGGTGACAAGATTGGCCGAGTCCACGTGGGTAAGCAGGATCTGGGCAAGCTGCAGACCCGTAAGATGAAGGGTCTCAAGAAGAAGTACGACCAGGTCGAGGACGACGAGGAAGCCGATGACGAGGTGGTCACCACCAAGAAGGCCCGAGTGGAAGAGGAGGAGTATTTTAATGAGTAATTGATAGAATGCATTTTAATGATAACCGTTTGTGTAGCCACGTGAACAAACTCCAAATTTTTTCATCAAACAAAAGAGATTGCGTATTCCGTTCGATTCATCAAGGGTAGATATCTATTTAATTTTTAGTATTAGTATTATATTAGATTGTTTCGTATGTCACGATACCAGAAAACATTCTGAAACTGTCTTCCATGTGGTTTTTATCGAACTGATGTCAAAAGGAGAAAAAACGACCAGTAGAGTCGTCTTCCAACCAACCACGGCGTCAATAAAAAGTGATTTATAGATGGATATGTATCTTTTTAAATGAATTGAGATGTTCTCAGACAAGTATAAATACACGGCAAGTGCAGTATTACCTGAACATAATTACAAAAGATCAAGCGTCTACAACTACAAACTCTCTACGACTCAAATATTCGGGTGGGACTCTTTGGTCCATGATTTATTACCCAAGAGGTTCGGATTTTCACCTACTCCTCTCAAACTAGATAAACAGGTTCGGTCAGTTACGTCCTCCGGCTAAGAGGTTCACCGCCTACTCCTTGAATAGTGTATGACTTTGGCTCGTGCTCTGGCTCTCACTGCTCTTTGGACTTATTGGCAACTGGCTGGCCTCAGCTCTATGGCCCTGGCTCTCCCGGCTCTGTCTGTCTGTGCTCTGGCGTTTGGCGCTTATTGCATCTGTGGACTCACTGGCTCTTGCTCAGGCGAAAGGCTCTTATTGCCGTTCAGGACTCACTGGCTTTGGTGTTCACTCTCATTCGGCGTTTGGCACTTATTGCCTTGTAGGACTTACTGGCTCTTTGCTCGCAATGGTAATGGCTCTGGCTCAATAGCCGTGGCTCTGGCCTTGGCACTTATTGCTCTCCGGACTTACTGGCTCTGGTAAATGCTCTTATTGCTCGTTGGACTTAGTGGCTATGCTCTTCGGCGGCTCTGGCTACGCTTCGACTCTGGCATTTCAGCTCTGGTGACCAACGTGACAGCTCTGGCACTTGTGTGGCTCTGGTTGGCACTCATTGCCCCTGTGGGTCTTATTGGCTCTGACTCAGGCATCTGTTGCTCTTTTGACCATATATGGCGTCTGTCAAAGCAGATCTTTGCTCTAGTAATGCGTCTCAGCTCAGCGTCTCAGCTGGCTCCTCAGCGACTGGCAGCTCTGGCATTTCAGCTTGGCTCTTCAGTTCTAGGCGGCTCTCTCACAGGAGTTTCACCTGTGAGAATGATGGGAGTCTATCAAAAGGAATTTCACCCTTGAGTATCTCACTGTCGGTGGCTCGCGCTCAGTGGCTCTAGCTCTTTGCTCTGGCGGCTGCACATGTGGTCCTCGGGAACTCTCACAAGGCACGGAGGTGGCTCTGACATTTTTCAGCCGGCACAATCACTCCCTCTTTGCTCATGGCACTTTTTCAGCTCATGGCGGTCAACCGGACACAAAAGGTTACGGACTTAAGACACTTGGCTCAGGCGGTTGTACTCGCTTCTGGATTGAACTCGCCGGTTTCTCAGCTCAATCGCCCAAACAGAAGCTCTCGCACTAGGCTCATGCGATAAACGCGTCATTGCCTTCTTAACCGACACTGGGGTTCTGGAATCTCACCACATTGCCCCAAACAACTCAAACGGACGACAAAAAAATGAAAACGTCCTCGTTGTAGACAGATCCATGTTAGCTGTCTTACGAGACAGGTCTGCTTATCAGCTCTGCATCGCAGCAGGCTATAAAAGGCACCTTCCGTCTCCAGAACGACTCAGAGTGAACTGGTCTGATTCTGGTGTAAAAAGTGGGACGCAGAAGGGGTTTATGTATTCCTGGTCGAGACTGTTTAGGTTTGGAGAGGTCGGTCAGTGGCGAAAAAATGTGCATCATTCATGCGTGAAATATGCCGACCAGCCATTAAAATGCAGGAGAAAGAAAAAGACAGAATCACATGGAAAGCTCCAGAATGAGATGGTAGAGATATTTTGAAATAATTATGGAAAGGATGGCATATTCGGGTAGCAAAACAATGATTTCATCCTTTCAAATAGTGTCATATCAATTTTCCTGCTACTTCGTAGACCCCAGACATGACATTCCCTTGAATATCCTAAAACCCTATGCACCAGCCCTCTTCCTATGCAAAAAAAAAACAAAAAAACCAGAGAAGAATAGCGGAGAATATTCTATGATACCCACGCTGCCTGAAACTTGATTTCGGAAGAGACCAGTCCTGGATGGAAGTATGTACCAAAATCCCTCAACAAAACGTCTTCTTGTTCCCAAATAGCTGTTTTTTGCCCGTGGGAGTTCTGAATGCACACATGTCGAGGAGGCTCGAATGGATGACTTATATGTGAACTTGTGCAACTGGATAATGGGAAAACCTGATTGATTCAAATGTAAGAGCCCTGTTATCAAACAGTAATGTACTTATACCCCTGCTTCTCCCTGATCTAAAAATGACATCGTAGAAGCTATCACACCGACACAACGACTAAGACTAAAATGGAGATCATGGGTTGGAAACGGAACATGAAGGTGGCAAAAAGAGGTACAGTACTGTACTACCTCATTGAAAATAAGCCAAAAAATAATTGCAGCACCTAGGATTCTCGTATGGTCTCCCACTACAATACTAACTGGGCTCTCTGGTGCTTGACTATGGCTGATCGGACGGGAAGCCGTATTTTCACCAGGATATGGCCGCAACTAACAAAATTAATGTGAGAACCCATTTAACTGGCTTAACAGGTTATGTTACCGGCAAAAACACCAAAATAATCTAGGATGTCTGTTGTGCAATATCTGGCAGAAGATTTTCTCTTGCATCAAAGAAACGAGGATCTGAATCTGCCTGATCCCACCAAGGATAAGAGTCTGCAAGATTCTTAATACACTCTGATGAGTTTCATGGACTGTCTCGCTTCATTGCTGGCACTTTATAAGTCCATGGGTCATGTAGCGACATCACCTTGCTAACGCTCGCAGCTGCTGTATTGTACAGATGGTACTGAAGATCATGATGACATTACCATAGAGCATCTTGATATATTGCTAGATATCATTCATTATAGACACAGTATGTACATTATGTACTGTACTTCAACTTCATGTACTTGTAGAGTAATTTTTTACCCATGATACTATTTAAACATATCAGTACAATACCAAAAATCTCACACCAACCCAATACCTCATCCACACAACTACACTCTTACGAACAGCCCAAGACCCCACCGACTCATCTGCTTTCAATCACACCTTCCACCACCCACCACCCCTGTAGAGTCGACACCAACGTATAAGAGCACCTTACACAAGAAGTGGTTATCTGCTCCTGAGAATTATAGGCAAGGCATGGCTCTACCTGACAAGGACCGCTGGTTGCTGGCGATGGACGAGGAAATGGGTTTCACAGGAGCAACGAGGTATTTGAGTGGGTAGACAGCAATAAAATCAAGGGCAAGAGAGTATTCTGGTTTTCTCTCTGTGGAGGTATAAATGACACGATCTGAGGGTACTGTACTAAGACTGACAAGTGGCTAACTGAACTCTATAGAGACTGGAACCAACTCGCTGATTTCCTCACGAAGCAACTTGTTTGGACTATTCCTCTTAATCCTACTCTCCTGAAGATTGGGATAATGCAAATACTGGACGTCGTTGACACTCTCAACGAACCGGTCTAGGGTATTGATCATAAGTATAATTGATTGGATATCTTTAATGAAACGACGTACAAGTATAACTCACCTCTACGGACACCACGTTACGATACACACCAAGGGCGTGTGCTTGCTCATTCACCAGAAAGAGGTCTAGATGAGCAGATCCACTATCAGATACACTATCAGATACACCATCAGATGTCAGGTCCACCATCAGATACAAAATCTACAGGATGGACATCTCGTCTACGCCAAGTTGATCCCTCATGACTGAGGAATTGCCTAGGTATAATCCCTACTGTTGGAGATTGTTCAGCGAGGGGCACGAGTATCAGCGTGCAATACCATCGACATCGGAGAGTCTCTGGTGATCACGTACACCGACAATTCAATTCAATAGTAGTTTTGTCGAGACTGTGTCGTGCCACGGAAAGAATTCGTTTTTACAATACTGGAATGCGATAACTTCTCGCTGAGTCGCCACATTACCGCGTAGCCAAACGCGCTAAAAAATCAATTAGGGAGACAAGATAACCTTCTGAACCTCAATTAGAGAAAATTGAAGGTAAAAGTACAAGTGATGTATTTACTTTAGTTATACTGTTGAGTGATGTTATATATAAAAAAGAATGGTAAAACTTGACAGGAGACAATCCACTACTGTACTAGTAGTTTCCGTTCTGAGGGACGGATTCACTCAGCAGAATTTGTCAGCAGAATTTGTCGCCTGAATTTGTCAGCAGAAGTTGTAACCTGATGGCAGACTCAGTCGAATCCTCCACTGAATGCAGAGACTCTCCTGGTGTCTCTCTGATAGAGAAAAGAGTCTGGTGTATCGGAACGCGTCCCAGCATGATATGTAAGAGGACACACTGCAAGTCGTTAATGTATTTGTTATATAAAGTTCATTTTATTCCACATTTAGGAAATTCTTAGAGTATATTTGTTATATATATATTTTTATATACCATATCCCAAATTATTGCACCACTAAACACCACTACAAATACAAGTAGTGTATTGAGTGAAGGAACAAGTTTTGTTGAGAAGATGAAATGGAATTCGCTATGATGAAAAAAACAAAAAAGGGAGACCATCCGACTGTACAAGTAGTTGTAGCCGTACAGGTTAGGGTGGCCTCACTATTCATTCTGTTCTGGTACTCAGTCCCAAACCATAACTGTATAATTACTATTATTGCAATGCTGGACAACCGACGCGTCTTAATATTTCACAGCCAAATATTACACAGCACGCCAAAAACTCAGAGATGAATGACTCGCTAAGTTCTAACCGGAAACGAAGCGCCAGTCCCGGTCGTGAATCTGAGCGACAGCAACGTCCACGCCAAGATGGAGGAGCTGACAAGACGGCCGTGGCCCAGGAGTGTCACTGCACACCTAAGACGTGGTGGCAGGGATGGACACGCGATGATGTCCAGACATTTGTTTGCTGTTACCAGAAGGAAATGCAGGGGGTGAAAGAGGCCAACCCCGGGTTGGACAGAGATGCTCTCTTCAATCTTCAAAATCAGGAATTAATGCGACTGGTCAAACGCGACGTGGTTGGCCATTACAAGAAGCTCATGATGTCCAAGGTGAAGAAGCAGAAGCCCAAGGAGGAGAAGGTGAGGAAAAAATCCGAAGCGCCACACCCAACGACGACAGGACAGCAAATGACGAAGACACAGCAAGCGGCAAGGCAACTGACACCCAGTGGAATGGAGACTCAGTTGCCATTGAGTCCTGAAAGCAGCAGCAACTGCAGCTACAAAGAGACGGACTGTTCTGACAGTCCTGATTCTCCAGTCACTCTCACAGATGAACAGCAGGCGATTTTCGACAAGGTCAAGGAGGGCCAAAGTCTCATGTTTACTGGCCCGGCTGGCACCGGCAAGTCTATGCTCATTAAAGAAATTAAGAAATGGTGCAGCAGAAACAAGATCAACTGTGCACTCACTGCGCCCACTGGTCTGGCGGCCATGAACATCAATGGGCAAACAATCTACAGATGGGCTGGTCTAGGCCTGATGAAGAACAATCTACTCGATTCCCTACAGAATCTCACAAAAAACAGAATGGCCATCTACAACTGGTACGAAACGGATCTACTCATCATTGACGAAGCAAGTCAGATATCTGCATCTACGTTCGACAAGATTGACACAATTGCTCGTCATATTAGAGCGGACCGTAGTAAATTTGCAGAAGGAGGTTCTTGGGCAAAGAACTTTGCCCCTCAAGGGTACAAAGAGAACAATGCTCCGTGCGGAAAAGACCTGATGGATGTTCCATTTGGAGGCATGCAGGTCGTCTGTGTTGGCGATTTCTTTCAGATAGCACCCATCTGTGATCGCGTAAAGCAACCCGAGGGCAATTCATCAAAGCAGGTGGCTGACACTAACAAGAACAAGAACAAGAAACGAGTCAAGGGACCTGACTATATTTTCAAGTCGGCAGCTTTCCAGGAGCTCTTTGAGTACAATAAGTTCTGTCTCACAGTTTCCAAGCGTCAAGAACAGGGATCCGAGTTCTCCAACATGCTTGAAGCGCTCAGAAAGTACTCTGGTGATAGAGCAGATGGCGCAATCATAAAAAAGTACTTTGATCAGTTTGTGGGCTCCCACGACGGAAAGGAGGCTGTCTATTTAACTGGAACAAACAAGAAAGTTTCAGCGATCAACGCCGACAACTTGGATCGCTTGGCTGGCCCCGAGGTGGCGTTTATTGCCTATGATTATCGGAATAAGAAATATGGTAAATCCGAAATCGACGCCCTTTTCAAGAAAAAAATCCGTGCGGAGGACGTCATTATGCTGAAGCCGGGTGCACAGATTATTTTTCTGAAGAATAATCCACATCTGGGACTTGTGAACGGTCATCTTGGCCGGGTGGCATTTTTAATGGCCATGTCCCTTTACCAAAAGTATCACTACGATTTCGACGTCCTTTATCCTCTCTACAATTACTTTAGAGGAACTAACATTGACATTAAAACTTTGGACAATGAACCTCCTAAGGATATCGAGAAGGTCATTGGCATTACATTCCAACATCCATGGTGTTACTACCGAGACGCCCTGGTAGCGATTGATGGTTCTTATAAAACAGAGGCTCATGCCCAAAAGCAGAACTACGACGGAATGACAATAATTCCTGCCAATCCTAGTCTCAACACCTGCTTAGAGGTTGTTATCAAAGTGGGAGACAATCAAGGACCGCAGAGCAACAAATTCTTCCTAGTGAGTACGAATGAGTTTGAGGAACTCGACTACAGTAAGCCCAACTCAAGCAAGCGCAAGTTCGAGATTGCGGCAGAACGGAAATACCCCGTGATATGTCGACGTACACAGCTGCCATTGTCCTTGTCATGGGCACTGACTATTCACAAAGCCCAAGGTCAGACGCTCCGACGGACGATGGTGGACATGGAGAGCATCGATAGTGGACAGACTTATGTTGCTCTCTCCCGGGTTAGGGCTCCAGAAGACTTGCGGTTGGTTTCTTTCAAGCTGCCCCTCAAGCTCACCGATGTTTCAGTACATGAATTCGATAAGACCCTCAAGAATGTCTTGGAGTGATGTGATATAGGTATTGCAATGTATATCAGGTACAAAATGTGATTGGGCGTACATTACAGTAGTTTCTGACTTGTACGGACACACCGATGGACACATAAAAATGAATACCTGCTTGATCTCATCGGATCTTACTAAAATTGCATCACTACAGCGACTCTCTCGATTATTACAAATCCGCTACACTCGTAGCGAGTTTTACGTTGCCACACACAACAAATCACGCCACATTCTGCTTCTTGGCTGAAGACTGGTTCTCCTTGCCAGTAGCCTTGTGCTTGACAACTCGAGGCTTCTTGGATGTCTCAGCAATCTCATACGAGAACACATCTTAGTGTCTTTCCCTGTCCACTAACGGGTATCTTGGCCAAACCCGCATACAAAATTCTCCAATGAGGGTAGAAGTCATCAGGAGATAACATTTGCCAGTTGTGTGATGCAACCCATGAACACAGGGATATATGAATACAGGAATGTCCACATGAGTGCTTGTCCCCCCAAGGCAACCATATCCTTCACGCCGGCTGAAAAGGCCGTAACTACTCGGGACGGGATATCGGTGCATTAACTGGTGTAGTCACTGTCATTTCTACAGCTGTCATGAAAGGGACTCTGTAAAATGGCTTAGAACGAACAGCAAGTGTGATTGGTTTGCGTTAAGGGCCGACGGTGTTCTGAGAGTAGAAGCTGGATGAGACGGGGCAGAGGGTCCGGACAGAGCTCTGATAAAGCCACCAGCCATGACAAAACCAATGCGAGTAACAGTTCACGATCCCAACACCGTCTCAGGCCCAGACGATTCACCGAGTCCACACGAACCACGTGTTTGGGTACCCAGACAGCACTGTCCCAATCACATGGATGGTCGTTGGTATGGCGGCGGTAATCTCCATGCTTGCAGATCTGAACTGGAAATATGCCCGGGTTTGGAGGTTCGGAGCTGGGATATATGGCATAAGTCCTCTCATAACCGAACAGGGATGTATGACATAAGCCCACTCAGGTTACAGTTTATGTTGCTGGAGGCAACATCAGACATGACAATATCAACCTGCTCAGTGTCGCCGGAATCAGCGAAACCAGGTTACAGAGAATGTAGTTAGATTGTGCAATTGCCATTCCTTTTTGTTGAAGAAATCATCAAAAAAAAGGTGTCAGGTTTGTCGATGGGTGGTGGACTATGTGAGTTCTTAGTGAATTCTTGGACTGACCATCCATACTTGGCTTGGTACTGCTTGCGGGCCTCTGTAAAGGCTGAGAAGTTGTATTAAATCTTCTGTATAAGCCCAGCAATATTTTGAAGTAGTTTCTGTTTTATATTTTTGTTCATTGTACACTCAAAATTTGAGCACTTCCATCGACTTTGCCCCTTCATGTTCCTACAGAGGAAGAATGAGGTCCTACACATGGATTAACAAGAGGAATATCTGCGTCAAGTTGACATCATACGTTGTAAATTTGTTACTTGGTAGACTTGCATTCATCTGGTCGTTTGTATCTCATGGTTTCCGTATATGGCCCAGCAGGTTATTATTTAATGTTTAGGGGGTCAGACTTCCCCTGCATCGATACTGCAGAGAGACAAGGCGACCTACAATATTCGGACGGTTCGGCGCATAATCTATGCAAGAGTCTTTTTTTTTGTAATAACACAATACATTAAAATATAGAATATGAGAAGATTACCTGATGACTCATGATAAGAAGAATCCAAAAGGTAGATGCAGGTACTGTAGTGTCTGTACTGGTACAAGGCTGCACGGTTGGGAGAAGCACATCCGAATCTTTTGAATCTTTCCTTAACAGGTATAATTCCGATTCCTACCAATCACGGGTGAAGACGATAGTCACTACCGTTACTACTTTTGATGTTTTTAGGGGACGCTCGAGACGTAGCTGTCACCTGTGTGATTAACCCGTCAGAATCAACACCAAGTAGAATCATGAGAGGGGTTGGGGAAGACTCCCGGTGTCTGTTATGTCTTCGCTGTTCGCTTTGCTGTCTCTTCGATTACTACGACAATGTCCTCTTTGCAGTTGGCTGCGCTGTCACTTCGGTCACTATGACACTGTCGCCGCCCATCGGGGTGTCCGACGCGTACCAGTGGGCTATTGGACAACCTTGGCCAGTGTTGAGAGCTGCCCTGTGACAGGTGGAATCGTTCTGGTGTCGTCTAGAAGGTATGAAGCTCGTATGAAGCTCGTTGGTATCACTTGTACTGTCTGTGAGAACACCATCCATGTACCTGCCCTTTACGCCAGTGGTACACTGTAACCCTTCTTTTGTCAGTGATCTTTTAAAAAACGACGTAATTGATGAACGGAAATATCAAAGATAACACTTGCATTTTACAATTTTTGTACTATTTTTTGTTTCTTATACAAAGTGACCCTTATATCACATGTTTATTTGTCCTCGCACGCATGGAAAAATGGCCCAGTCCTGAAATCTGTAGGATTTTCATATAACTTGATTTATATCTTCACAATTCGATTTACACGAGCTACTTAGGATCTGGTTCCACTGTAGGGATTGGAATCCTCTTAACTAATTACAGAAGTTGAGTCTGATTCGTCTTAATAGGTTCTTTTTGGATTTGAGCTGCAAATGTTCCTCCTACGGACCATCCCTTGCGCGTGTCGTGCTGAACAACTACACATGAAGTTACTTGTTCTTGTACAGTATCTACTCGTACTTATAATTGCGCACCCGCGACCCACTCCAGCTAAACAGCAGCATCTCGACCCTTGTCAAGCTTGCCGACTCCACCTAATCCTGAGGTTGACTCTATATGCGTTTTTGTTGCTTTCGGTGAAGAGCTTTGCTACTCAGCTTTAGCTGATGACGGTCGCGATGTTATGGAATTGGAGGTTGAGTGTGGCTGACATCCTCCACTCCGTCAATGACGTTGGCGAACCGCGCACTCAACCTCACACGTTCAGCCGTGCTATGATGGAGGCCTAATGAGAATGTGTCTGACGACGAGCCGACTCCGCAGGAACTCCAGCCTTTGTGAGGGGATCCTTCTTATCCGATGAAGCTGTAAGGGAGAGTGAGGATTCATCACCAACCAGCCTTGGGCGATACCTGCTGGAAAGTGCAGTCTGAGTGCTCAAAAGATATGTGTGCTGACTGATAATCTGCAAAGAGAATGGAAACGTTTTCATAATATATCGATCAAGACAGCCGTTGGAAAATCTACACGAAGGAGAAAACACAGAGTACTGCTCCAAGTTTTCGTCTTGTTGCAAACGAGAAGCACCCAACAGTCCTACTGTGTGACCATCCATTGCTCAGCGCCCCAACCGTTGGTCTCAAGTGATCATAATGTTTGTATACCGTTGTTCAAAACGACCCTAGGCCAACGTGCTTGACTTTGAGAAGGAGAATACTCGGCTGTGCCTTTCAAAGCGCCAGACTCAAGGGACAAGTACCTCGGTATATTCCGCATTTTAATCTCACGCCCAAAACTCTTCATCTTTAGCGAGAAGCAGCTGCTACATACTGCTTGTACTTGATGAAGGTGTATCAAACCCAAGGGGATGAGCTATTTTTGGCGTAGCTCCATATGCAGTTACTACGACTGCGGGCTGAGTGAGTACCAGTATTTGGAGACAGGTCTCGCCATCTCAACTGGGATGAGAAGAACCAGGAGTTCGGATATTCGATGTACACGACTCAGATCATTGCCGATGTAATGAAGATGATGAGACTGACGCTTGTGTATACAGTCATCAGACGTCAGCAACTTGGAAAAGTGCTTCCAGTGATGGGTTGCCAGTGAAGAACGCAGGAAGATGTTTGCCATGAAAATGTCGAGTGTTTCTCCGCATCAGGCCACCATTGTATGACCCACGTACGTCAGCCAGCGATATTATGGAGCTGTTGACATTCGCACATGGGATCAGCACGTGATCGTCGGCCACAATACAGTGTGAGATATCCGAAGACGTTCGTATTTTTGTACAATGTCCTTATTCTGTGCGCTGTTAACTAAGACAGGCCTGACAACTGGAGCATATCCGGTCTGAAGTCAATTATCCACTGACAAGGCTTCAAATCGTTCGTTGTAAGCCGTGACTGTATGCAGAGAAAGGGCAGTCTTCAGATACTTGCTGTGAGCAAGACCAGGACATGGGCTGGTAACCTACCCGAAGTTGAAGCAGCCACTCTCGGAGCGGGTCCGAAAATCTGTGGGGATGTAGGACGGACAGAATGGGGGTCGTCGTACAGCTGCTCTCCGCAATTGAATACGAGGTTGTGGAGAGAGTGGAAAGGAAATGGAATGGAATAGATGGATATCTACTGTACAGATCTGAGAGAGCCTGCAAAACAGCAAATCACGACCACATCTCACCGTGCGTTTCGCAGGGCCGTCCGCAGGGCCGTTCAAGTTTCTTTTCTGCTGCACATTCGATCTCAACACACGGCACCGTGTGGCTGCCAACATGCCACTCAAGTATTCGTCATAGAAGCCACGAGTTTGAGAGCCGGATTTGAATTGGGAACGGTTCGAAGAGAATTTGTCGGATATACATGTACCACCTTGTCCAGGTCCTGTATTGTACAAACACACTGACAGACTCATCTACAGTCACCTCAACGACAGTATGGACACGACAAAATACACGGAGACGGAACTTACCTTTCTGTTTCCCCACGATATCTCGCTAATAGCGACCCATGACTGGCTCAAAGAAAAGCAAACATTACTCTGCCCTAGGTTAGAGGGTAGGTTCAACCAGGGGCTACTGGTAGACAGGAGATAAGACAAAACGGCGTGCACGTGGGGACAGAAGCTGAGGTTCGATTGAGCCGGTACAAGTACACACAGGTTTATCTGGAAAAACAAGACAGCTCATCTCTTGGCTCCGGGGTAGACACATGTACAGGCTTGGCATTCGGGTGGAATCTGGGACCGGGGGAGGCTGTTGTCTTGTCTCTTATCTTGGCCTGTCTTGGCGACGCACCTCTCGCCTTTGTCTCGGACTCTTGGCGTTGCTTGGCGCCGGACTTGTTCCCCCCATTTCTTCCTCCGTATGGTTTCATCACCGAACACCACCTTTAGCCACACAACCTTCCAGCCATCAAGATTCGCTTCCAGCTCAGATCACGCAACACATGCATGATAGGCACTGTGGCAGGGGAAGGCACGAAAAAGACGTGCATGCTGGACATTCGGGAGCGCACAGTTCCCGTACTGTACTGTACATTTGTGAGGCTGTCTCGCTTACTAATACTGATGGTGTGTGACGCAAGAGAGAGGATCTCCGAAACTGGCTTATCTTCGGCACGTCATTTAGCGTGCTTTTAAATCATCGGTACACCAGTCTTATCAGAATTTTTTGGAGTTACGGTATTTAGGATTTATAAAAGGTCAGTATGTCCAAAGTAAGTTCCTTTCTCGTGAGTATGATAACGTCTTACCACGGCTGTAGCCACTGCAGGTACAGCTATAGGGGAGTGTAGTCGTTCACGGTCTTTCTGGCGGACAGACAACCCAACCAGTACGAGTTGAGGACGATTTGGAGACAAGAAATCCAGGTGAAGAACCCGATTTCGGAACTTGGGCCCCTTGCCCGGTTTCCTAGGCGTGGCTTGTCTCCACAGTTCCACAGGAGCACTCTAAGCTCAGACTTCACAAAGGTGGAGGATACGAGATGGAGGCAATTGTCTTTTGTCTTCATCCAATCAATGTGGTTTGATTAATACTGTTGTTTGGATGTTGGGGTTTGGTTGCGTAGGAGTCTACTGAGATGGAGATTTGGTCAACAGTCAGTCATAGGGACGATGAACAGGACCATGTGTTCATTTTCTCGAATCGTGCACTTCCATAAATATCCCAGGCACGCTGATCAAACTCACTCATGCTCAAACTCGCAACCCTGCTTCTCTGTCCCACCAACCTACTCTGCAAGCGATACCTCATCTCATGGCACGGCACCAACTTTCCCAATGTCTGTTGAAAGTCCGTTTGAGAGATTTGTGCACTTCTGATGCGAGGGGTCAATACTTATACCTGAGCAAGTCGTCTGTTTTCTAACTACCACTCCAAAACCAATGAAGAAGTTCACGGAGTTTGTGCCTGAGGGCTGGGTTCCCACCTTCCACAACGAGCCGCCCAAAAATACAGAGAAAGATGAAGTTGATCGGTTTCTTGCCGAGGCAGTGGAGCCTGATCTGCTCGACATCATAGGCAACAAGTTGAATGCTGCCGTGGACCAGGACAAGGGATACGACAAAAATGTGCGGTACATTGCCCAGCGTGTGGGTGAAATGACAGATGAAGAGGCTCGATCTATTCTAAAAGCTTTCTACACAGTCCATTTCGACGACGGAAATCTCAGCTCAGAGTACAAAGATCACATCACTGAACTTGCCAAGGGATATCCCGGGATGGGAGGAGACCCCCCTGGACCTCGAGACCCTGAGATCCCTTACGACGACGATAAAGACGAGGCTCCTGAAGACTACTCGCTTGAAGTGCGGTTCCAAGCCTCACTTGTCAAGTACTGGAGTCCCTATGTTGAGGTGCGAGCCGTCACTGACGCCTACGACGACCCCAACGAACCCTGCGAAACCATTCGTTCGTACTTTGTGGGTTTCATCTGGATGGTGATCGGAGCAGGCGTTAACCAGTTCTTTGCCTTCCGCTTCCCCTCCATTTCTCTACCGTCCAACATTCTGCAGCTGCTGTCTTATCCTTCTGGAAAGCTGCTGGAGTTCATTCTGCCCGACTGGGGTTTCACTTTCAGAGGCCATCGAATCTCTCTGAACCCCGGTCCCTGGTCTCGTAAGGAACAAATGTTTGCCACCTTTTTCATCTCCGGAGGTGGAACTCCTTACATTACCACCGCAAACATTCCTGTCCAGCTGCTTCCCATGTTCTACCACGAGACCTGGGCAACCTTTGGTTATCAAACGATTCTCACTCTCTCCAACCAGCTTATCGGAATGGGACTTACAGGTATGCTGCGACGATTCGCCATCTACCCTGCCAAAGCAATGTGGCCCATGAGCATGCCCACCATTGCTCTTAACCGAGCTCTTCTTCAGCCAAAGCGAAAAGAACGTATCAACGGATGGACCATTTCTGCCTACTTGTTTTTCTTCGCCAGCTTCTGCTTCATGTTCATCTACTTCTGGTTCCCCAATTACATTTTCCAGGCCCTTAGTACCTTCAACTGGATGACCTGGATCGCCCCCAACAACAAGAACCTGGCCTTCATCACTGGCTCTCAGAACATGGGAATAAACCCCTTCCCTACTTTTGACTGGAACGTCATTACCGGTGGAGCAGGTGATCCTCTGGTTGTTCCTTGGTCGACTCTGCTCAATGTGTACTTTGGCGTTTGGATCGGTACCTTTGCCATTATCGGTGTATTCTTCAACAATGTCAGAAATACTGCCTACCTTGCCATGAACCAGCCTGGTATCTACGACAACACCGGAAGTTCCTATAACGTCTCCTTGATTCTGAACTCCGCAGGACGATTTGTCGAGGAGAAGTACCAGGCGTACTCCCCGCCCTTCTGGACCGCCGGCAGTCTGGTGTCTTATGGAGCCTTCTTCACCGTCTACACCCTCGGTATCTCCTACTGCTTGCTGCAGTATCGACGAGACATCTGGTCTGCCATGAAAGATCTTGCACGAGGAGTTCAGTTCTGGAGAAAGGACGAGTTCAGAAACACTCATCACGACAACACCTTTGTTCGGTCCATGAACAACTACAAGGACGCGCCTGAGTGGTGGTTCATTGCTCTGCTGCTCGTCTCCTTCGGACTGGCAGTGGCTACTGTTGAGCACTGGCCCACCAACACGCCTGTCTGGGGTATTGTATTTGTGCTTGGTTTGAACTACGTCTTTCTGATTCCCATTACCATGATCTCCGCCTACACTGGAAGCACCTGGTCCATGAACGTGCTGGTTGAAATCATTATCGGTGTGGCCCTCAAGGGTAGACCCCAGGCCCTGAACATTCTCAAGGCCTATGGTGTCATGATTGACTCTGAAGCTTCGGGTATGGCTTCTGTCTGGAAAATCGGTCTGTACACTTATGTTCCTTCTCGGGCCGTGTTCCGATCTCAGATTATTTCCGCCGTTCTCGCCAGTTTCACCTGTCTCGGTGTTCTGCAATACCAGCTTCATCTCCAGGGTATCTGCACCCCTGCTCAACGGTTTACCACCAAGTTCACCTGTCCCGGACTGCAGCAGTTCTTCTCTGCCTCAGTTCTCTTTGGTGCCATTGGAACTGAAAGATTCATGACCCATCTCTACCCCTTCCTCAAGTGGTGTTTCCTTCTGGGAGCAGCTCTTGGACCCTTCTTTTGGTTCATTCAAACCGGTGGACCCGAAATGTTGGCCAAGTGGAAGCCCCAGTACGCTAGAAAATGTGTCCAGTGGTCTCGACGAGCCAACCTATTCAACCCCGTCAACGCCTGTGTTGGTATTATTTCGTTTGCCCCCGGTAACCTCTGCTATTTCACCGGAGCAATTTACGTCGGTGCTCTCTGGAGATTCTGGGTCCGACGACGATACATCAAGTGGTGGGCCAAGTACACGTATGTTCTCTCTGCTGGTTTCGGCTGCGGTATCGCTCTCTCCGGCATCATTATGTTCTTTGCTCTCTCGTACCGAACGGGCACAACCAAGGCTCCTGAAATCGACTGGTGGGGAAACAATGCCCCTGCCACAGGTTTTGACGGCCAGGCTGGTCCCAGACTTGATATTCCTGCCGTGGGCTACTTTGGCCCTCCTGCACCCTTCCCTTAATTCTTTAGATTCTGACCGTCAACCGGGTTTTAATGTGTTTAATGAGATCAAATGCTGTAATAGCGAGTAAATGGCGATGGAGTATTTGTAGAAGATGACGCTTATTAGTGAATCTAGTTATATGTGACGAGCTTCCGGACTGTCAAGGGCACAGCGTATTCCTCCGCTGACCTAAACAAACTGTTGAGTAATCCCGAGGCTGATTCCTTACATGTTCGAGCAATATCATACTACCGCATCAGGGTTAGTCAGGGCGTTTGTCTGTACAATAAATAAATGCAGTGGTATTCAATACGACGTCTGAACCAAATCACATTGTCCTTGTGTGGTGATCATCTCATAAAAGCATCGCCATCGTGTGGTCATCGCCCTCACCCTCATGTGATATATATATAGCTTCTCTACGATTATGACCACCCCTTTTTCCAGTTCTCTGGATATGACTCGTGCACCATAGCTTTCTATTCGGAACGTCCATTTGTGAAAAAGTGAGGAAATACAAGAGCGATGACTCATCAATAAGGAATATCCATCATCTTTTCAAAAGTGGCAAGTCCAAATGGCCAGTATTTGGTCTCCATGCTTTCTCTGCGTGTTTTTCGAGAATTCCTGCTGCCTCGTGCAACCTCTACGGAACGAGACGGAGGTCTGAGGACTTCAAAACATTGCCTAAAATGGTAAAACCCCTGTCAATATTGCCTGTTTGGAATCCACCGCCGCTTTTATTGTTCCCGCTTTCCGAGTGGTGTATTTTTTTTTTTTTAATCTGAGCCGCACGGTTCGGGTCATCGCTTCCTGAACTTTGTACGGAACACGACACTTCGGAAGGACTCTCCAGCGGTGCTTGAGAGGAGGAAAAATCACGTGAGTATTTTTCTTTTTACGCAAAAATTGCTGTCCAAGAAGAATCTCCAGCTTTACTTCCCTCAAAACTGCCTCAGTGCTCAATATCGATACGCTCCCGTTGGGGTAAAACTGAAAGAAAAAAATTATGCATAAACGATGCAACCAGAGATGAGGCACGAAAAAGCCACCAAAAGTGGAGGATTTGCAATTCCGGGGAATTGAGTGTTATTTGAGACATTCCAGGGCGTATGGTAGAGTTGATAGAGTCTTGTGTAGGTGTAAAACAGAGCTGGGTGCATCGAGTGTTGTCATACAAACCCCCAAGCCAGAAATTTAACAGGGAGTTCCCTCGGAATATCGTCCTGCCCATTCTCCGTTAAGTTTAGTCAATTGATTCGGCAAGAATGGGCCGGGAATGCGGCTGGGCATGCGGCTGATACACTGTGAGACCACTTGAGTTATTTCTGGCGATCCGTCTGGTTCCGGAGAGGTCGGTGAAGGCTGCAAGGCCATTGATAACGTCAAAGGAGTGCCTGAAGATAACAGGGTCAACAGGGATTCCTCTGTCGTCTGTAATGAGTCAATGTTTTGAGTGGTATCGATGGTATGGATGTGATTGTTCTCAAACTCGCAATCATTGGAACACCCACGTATGTAGAGTATGTACATACAATAGTTGGGCTGGAATGGTACTCAGGCAAACTGGACATATGGAATAGTATCCCTACCTAGCCAGGATATACTGCCCGCGTGCTTCTGTTGTTTAACGAGACTCTGCAAAGCATCTAGAGGATTCAACCTGACAACAACAGCAATAATCAGCCCAGTGAACCGAAAAGAACGAAGATTCCATGATTAAAGCACTGCCCGTGGAAACCCGCTAGATCTGGAAGTGAAGTCAACACGTCCTGTTTTTTTTATCACATGGATTTTCACTATACACTCTACAGTAGACTTGCCCAAGGAGATAGATCCATGTTGGTCGCCGTGCCGCCGGATCTAAGCGAAATTATAAGACCTCCAAAAGCCCATTTTCGCTTGATATTCATCTCCGATTTCAGTCTCACACAAATGACGCTCCATCTGACCCTGTCCAATCTTCAAGTTAATACCTGATTATAAAGAACTTCACCGGGAATCGAACTAAGGCACCCGGGTAGATCATTGAGTTAATCATACAGATTTGAAGCGAGATTGGATCGCCTGTCCTCCTCCAATGTCGAAATGTCGATAGTGAACACCCCCAACGAGGTTCTTGGTCTGATCCTACGGGATGATTCCACCTCGCTGGAGTCAATTGTCGCACTCTCTCAAACCTGCCCTCTTCTCCGAAACGTGCTGGAGGGTCTGGATGGCACCATTGTCAAACAAAAGGTGTTGGACCGCATACCGTGGATGGAAATTGGACAGCCTGGGACCCATCTAGACACTTGGATGACAGCGGCGCGGCGCATTGTCGGCCGCAAAAGGTCATTTGTGTCTGAAAACCACAAGTGGATAGACTCCACCGAGTACTACGACATGCTAGGACGCATCTCGCACAACACAGACATCAATTATATCGAGTCTATCGAGATTGACGGCAAAATGCAACCTCAGGGGAGGAATCTACCGACTGATTTCAACCCCTTGTTTGTTACAGAGATGCCTACACCTTGTGGTGGACTTACGGGTAAATTCATGGAGGAGATTGAGGGTGATGGGACCCGATTTATCGACCTGACGACATTGGAATACTCCAGAGCACACCCCCATCCACCTCCAACTGCATCGACTTGGACTGGTAACCTCAGCGCGAGCTTCAATATGGCTAACGGCGAAAGAGCGGCTAGGACGCCAATGTCAGGCATCTGCACCATCAACAAAAGTGGACACAGATACAACCTGTTGCAAGAGACCGGGAGGTGGATATTGGTGGAGATTCAAGACGACTACGAGGACCCAGATGCGCAGGAGATTCGGTTTCGAAACACAAAGTACCTGCTTGACAAAAAGAATATAGTGTTGGAAGACGGCGAGACCCGTCTCTATTTCGACACAGACTCCGGCGATAATGCTCGTGTCTACCCCGACGCTCAACTCACGTTTGTTCATCTTCTTCCGGGATCTATTGGGGCTATTGTATTTCAGGACAATGGAGAAATGGTACTGGTTTATTACGATGACATTGTTGGGGATAAGGGCCGTGTTCTGCTAACATTTTTGGACTTTCAAGGACAGGAGTTTGCAGAAAGGTTGCGTTCAACTCAGTACGGCCAGGAGGGACTGCGAGAAAGAGGCACAAGACGTCAGCTGGTGGTGACTTATGGAGGAATGCTGTATTTGCATATTCGCGAATCATTCTTGGTTCCGTTGTGGGTTGAACTGGATGACAAGGCTTGTCATCCCCATGACGATCGGTTCTCGGAGTTTGAAGCATTTGCACACACATCTTCAAAGGTGGTGATTGGAGGTCTGCGAGCAGACATGAAGACTCTGCTTTTGGCTCCAGAGCGAGAGATGCTTTCGTTGCAACAAACATACGGCATCATTCGGTCTGAAAACGGCAGATGGGCAATGCAGACCCTCAGTTGTGGCAGAATCGTGGCAGATTTAGCCACTCAGAAAACCTTCATCATTCGACCACAGGCCAAGTGGCCCAACCCGGGGTTTGTGTTTGTCGGGCTAGATGTGTTAAAGCAGCGGCCTGTGTTCTACAGGTGCCACATGGCCTATGGTATCAAACAAGATGCTGACGGGTGGGAAGATTTGGATGAGAGTTACGGGCGAATTTCCAACATCAAAGATACGGGCAGTTATCTCAAGTTTCGCGACCCCAACGAGATTGCTGCCAATAATCATTTCAGAATGATTCCCCATAGATACACTGTGGTGCAGCCCAATATCAGAGACCAGTCGGAGATGAGTGTGCCCTTAGTCATTTGATAGATAGATAGATAGATGGATATGATGACAGTACTACGGCTCAGATATGCCTTTTGCTGGCTTCAGCAGCAAGGTCCCGGAGAAGCAGCATCATTTCATCTCTTGAGAGCTCATTAATCGACTCGGAAAAGCTCAGCGTGTTCGACATCAGCATTTGAATCTGGCTCACAGCCAGGCCTCTTAATTCGTCGTTTCCAGCCGCGCAGCATTTGCGCCACAGGATCATAGCTTGGGTAATTGCCGTGTCGAAGCTTCTGAAGAACCGTTCGACAATCGCCAATAGTTCGGGAAGTTGGTACATTTGCGCTACCATAACCAGTTCCACCGCTTCGTCAAAATGGAGATTCAAGTCTTGTCCATGTAGGTAACGCAGCATGGCTTCGACTGTTGATTCTGGAGCGTCCAGCGCGACCACGTTTTCCGACGCTTCCCGCATGCCCGAACTGAGCATGGTCTCGAAGAAGGGCCATACGGCCGTCAGCACCGGTGTGAAGACCTCCACTGTCTCTTCATCTGAGCCCTTGATGCTGAAGTTTGGGGCGCATTTCGTTCTCACCAGAGAAAGGCCAGATTCCTGGATGGTAGTGTGACCAGTCAGCATCTTTCCCACGGACTCCTTTTTTTTGTCGGTGATATATGCTATTGTACTTCGTTTGGACCAGTCGTCCGAGACAGTTACGAACACGGTTTCGCTATCGTCGGAGAGAATGAAGCTCCATAGTGATAGGGCGACGCCCTGGCCAGGAATGTCGGTGACGTGGAGCTCCTCTTTGGTGGTGTATTACACACAAATAAAGATCAACAAATGTGGAATATTACTTGACACTCTACTTAACTTTATACTGGTGAAATAGTCTGACAAATACATGTATTATATACGCCTGAGGAAGACGACAGACAATTAGATCACCCAGAAAAATAAGATGTTCAATCAGCCATCAGAATGCTCGATTAACCATTTCAATGTTGAATTAGACATCACAATGTTCAATCAGATATCCTGAAAACTTATACTCTCCAAGTAGTGCCTCTGAGAACTCTCCCAAATGACTGGAAGGCTCCATAAACAATTAAAAAGTACATAAATATACATTTCTTGTGGTTCAAAATCGTTTGGAACGCTGAAATATCTTTTGTTACTTCTGTGAAGTCCTCAATCGCCGGTGAAACTTTTCATCTCCACCCATAAAAGTCACCCACCCAAAAGTGAACCCATCACCAGGTTGTATAGTGTAGTGGTTATCACCTTGGATTCTGACTACTTGCAGTTGACTTCCAGTAACCCCGGTTCGAGTCCGGGTACGACCTTTCTTTTCAGCGTCTCCCGTGCTTTTTGTGACTCCATTCCTTTCTGGCAAGTCCAATCGCACTTGTATCCATTTCTTTTCCTCTCTATTGCTGAGTAAGAAAAATCCGAAACTGTAAAAAAAAACATAATTAAAGTTTAATAAATTGGAAGTATTATAAATAAAACGCGCAACACGAAACTCATTAAGACCCACAACCATGTCAATACTGCGGGTTCCTGCAGAAATCCAGCAGATGTTTTTGCAGGACCTTTGCTTGGCGTCGTTGGTCGCTCTCCACGACGCGTGCCGGGAATTTCGGACCCTTTTAGCATCTCTGGATGGCTCTGTCATTCGAGAAAAAGTCACCGAGCGGGTCCCGTGGATGGAAATAGGTCAGCCTGGCACCGGATTGAGCTCGTGGATGGACTGTGCTCGTCTAATTGTTGCTCGGAGACAATCCATGATCTCCTGTCCGCAAAAATGGCTAGATACGGTCAGATACGGCGGTCTGTTGGGACGGATTGTCCAGAACATTGACCTGGTATACATTGAACCTATAGAGCTGAACAACAAGGGACCAGGTCAGGAATATGATACCCTTCCCTCGAGTTACAAGCCCGTCTTTTCTACTACAATTCCCACTCCCTGCGGAGGACTTACTGGAAAGTACATGGAGGTGCAGAGCGACAAGCACGAGGACGATGAAGAACCAGAAACCAGGTACATTGATCTGACCACGTGCGAGTACCACCACGTTCACCCCCATCCGCGCCCCAAACCGGCTACTTTGACCAAGACAATGTTGAGTAAAATAACCGCCTCGGGAGAAAGTGTAGCCATCATTCCCAACTCCGACGTCCGGGTGGTTGACCGGAATGGACTGCTGTTCTTTGTGTTGCAAGAAACATCCAAGTGGGTGGTGGTTCGCCAAAGTGGCGGCGTCGAGGGAGAGGTTTCGTCCACCAAGTTTGTCATTGACAAGGACCGCACCGTGGTTCAACAAGATGGACAGAAATACCTGTATTTCGACTCGCACACTCACGAGAACTGCTCCCGGGTCTCTTCGCCCAGCAGATACACCGTGCTTCACGTTTTGCCCGACTCTCAAGGAGCCATTGTTCTCGAGTATCTGGAAGATGAAGGGCTGTGGATATTCTACGATAATCTTTCCAGCGATCAAGACAAGACGCTGCTGGTGTCGCTTCCTCTACAAAACGACGATATCTTTGAAACACTGGGCAACGAAATGAGCCTTCAAGGCACTCGAAGGCAGCTCATCGTCACCTATGGAGGAATGCTATACTTTCAGTGGCGGCAGCGATATCTCATTCCTTTGTGGATCGACTTTGTCGACGAACCCGGGCTGCTCAACTCGTCGCAGCACACACTTGGCGGACTCCGAACAGACATGAAGACCCTGCTGCTGGCGGCCAAGGAGAAGCCTGTCGCGTTTGGAGACGGACCACTGGAGTGGTATGCTGAAGGAGTTGTGCAGTCTGAAAACCAACGGTGGGCCGTGCAAAAGACAACCGCAGGACGTACGATTGTGGATCTGAGCAGACAGAAGACGTATATTGTACGCACCGGAAACCGTACCGACGAGAATGCGCGGTGGGAGGACTTTGTCATCGTTGGACTTGATGAAGCTCAACAGCTTCCAGTCTTTTACCTGTGTCACCTCGACACGAATTGGCCCGACATGTTTGGTAGCCTGGATCACAAGTTGGCCTGTTTTCTACAACGGAGACGTGGCGAAGAGCACGAGGCAAGGCTAGATTTGAAGGGCCAACAACGCAGAGGCGTGATTCGTCCCAATCCCCACGACCAGAACCAGAAGGGGGTTCCGCTGGAGTGGGAGAATGAGTGATTGTGCCGTTGTTCTCGTCAGCAGCTTCAGGGATAGCCCAAGAAAGAAAGAACAAAAATTCAAGCAACTCCAAGTCACGTGTCTACTCCGATACGGGGAATCGAACCCCGGTCTCCACGGTTCTCGGAATGAGAGCGTGATGTGATAGCCCCTACACTATATCGGATGGTGGGAGCCGCGACGGGTGGGCGTATAAGACCTCGAAAATGTGGAAAAATGCGGCAAAATAACGGCGAATTGCGAATTCTAGAGAGTGAGGCATGGCTAGATGGCCAGAAAATAATCAAGAGCCGTAGGTGCTCTTTTTGTGTATGTTCTGACATGGATCTCAGACTCCATCGATTCGAGTGTGGAGGTGGAGAAGGACCCGAAGAATATCACATCGGTGCCAATTCTGACTATGCAATCATGGTCATTCGGTGCTACTGCACCCAGCTTCTAAGTAGGTGTTCTTTTGTTTGGCTATAGTCGACCAGGAAAGCTCACTCTAGGGAAGTACATTCTCATGCAAACGTTCTCAAGTTGGCATCTATCGACCTGATTGGAGAGGCCGACATTAGTCAAGAGACCGCGTGCCATGGGTCACATATACACGAGATATATCTGTTGGTTGTATACGGTTACCCAGTAGATGTTGTTTATCTAATATATCTGGAATCGCTTTAGGGATCATGATCAAGCTCGTTCCCGTGTGTACTACTAGCGGAATTGTGCCCCTAGAAGTGGTTCAGAAGAGAGTCAGGGAGTCCGAATGCACAAAAAAACAACAAAAAAAAACACCGCTACCAGGATCGTCGCCGGAAGTAATAGCAGTAGTACCGTTAGGGTGCAGACTCAGTAGCTGAACTGAGCCTGACAGTCTCAGAATTGGGATGAACTGTTGATTCAATAGAGACTCGGAAATCAATAGTCGTTTCGAACATATTTGTGTTCCAATTAGTCGCTCGCACCGTCTCCCCAGTGAAACTCAGCAAATTAATCTTTGAGGAGGAAACTGAGAAGATCATAGGAACCCGATACAGAGTGTTCGATTTTCATCATAAAGGGAACTATGCAGTATGTACTTTACCACCTGAATAAAAAGTTTGACCCATAATCAGATATACGGTAGTACTATTTCCATGGCGGTATATCTGAACCAAAGCTGTAGACACTCAATTGGACACTCTACTGTGTGAGGATTAAACCTCCAGTAAACCGTTACAAGGATCAGTCTGAGTATTCTGACAATGAGAATGCCGTTGACTAGTTGTGTTTGGAGGAATAACAAAGATCAATGTGATTATTGTATTATAACGGATTGTGGGTGATTTTCGGTCTGTCATTTGATCATACGACTGTATTTATAATGATTAGGGAACATGTAAAGATCTGAGAACTGTACAGTATTATCCAAGTAAATGGTAATCAATGTTTAGAATGTTGTAATAACTTGAAGTGGTAGAGATATAAATTATTATGATTATTTATGTTGAGATCAACTACCTGTAATGTGCACTACATACTGTACATACTGTACTTATAGTGTAGATATATAGTAATTATACTGGTTTGAGCATTAGATATAAGAATGTATAAGTAAATGTAGCAATATCAGAATGCAGTACAAGTACACACTACAACACTACAAATACACTCTTACCATGAAGTACTTGTAGTGTACCATAAAGGAGACAAGAAACTCTACAATGGAAATAGGAACGCATTTATACCATCATGATGAGCGACCAAATTCCGTCCATAGCAACCCGAGTTGGAATCTTTTGATCTAATGATAATGTCGATACTTACAAAGAGGAAATACGATTGGTAATCAGATCTCAGTTGTCGTTTTTTTCCTATGGAACTGTGTAACTCGTTTCCAGACACGAACAATCAACATCTGATGACTAGCTCCCTTGGTCCGTAGTCGCTCTGAATGACACTAATACCCAACTTGGGTTTTCGCTGAGCCTCGAAATCAATTCAAACACGTGTCTACGGCCCCGTTTCAGAGGCCTCTAGACCATGTGCGCCGCTTACTGGTTTCCACCTTACCATTGTCACGATTTTTACACTCATGCACCAACATGCGTCTCTCCTGCAAAGACGCCGAGGTTTGAAATTATCCGGCACTTTATCTGCAATAATATCTCCGATTGTGCATATATGACGCATTTGTCGATGAACTATTTCAGCGAAAGGATGAAAGACCAAGATGGACAAACTAATCGTGAGCCGTTTCATACACGGTCCAAAATGAATAAAAATGATCTTGTGTTGTTTCTCGCTGTCTTTTTTTGGTATAATCTGTAGCAAAAGTACCGAGTGGAACAAGCCATACTAGACCACAAGTACATACTGTAGTAACTCTCTACTGAACATACTGTACTGTACGTATCTAATAGTATCTCTCTACCCATCTTTTAGTCTCTATAATATACCATCCCCTTCTGGAAGTTGCCTGTGGCCGTCTTGGGTCGATTGGTGTAAAAATAACACATTTGTCTCAGGTCAAGGTCCTAGGGGCAGCCATTGACCCGAACAGTTAAAAAGGCGTGTAAAAATAGATCTTCTAGAGGAGCAGAGTCTGGAATAATGAAGCAATTCCAGGTGGGAATGCAATCTCTCCGCTGAATAGCTCTGGTTGAGCACTCGTAAAAGTGTTCCTCTGGTTCACTTCTCTTCTTCACCTTGACCTTCTCCTTTTCTCTGCACCACCAGTCGATGAAAGAACCACCCACCACACTTCACGGATCAGCAAACCCTGACTCACACACCAAGTGGACAAGTGCCACAGTTCGGTATCCGTCCATGGACCCCTTGTAGAGTGGAGCCGTGCGGAAATTCAAAAAAAAGCAACATATAAATACCATCTGATTTCCTTCTCTTCTCAATTCAATCCATACCACCAACCTTTCAATGCTCTTTTCTACCACAATTCTCACTGGTCTCTTGTCTCTGGCTGTGGCTGCCCCACCAAGCCTGGATACGTGAACATCCCCCTCACCCACCCCATATCCGGGGTCAAGAACGGCTCCGAGGTGTCCAACGAAGAGTTTGTTGCCCGGCTGGGCTACAACTTTGTGGAGAAAAATGTCCGAAAGTACTCCTCTGAGCTTTTTGCCGCCGGGATTGTCCAGAACAGCTCCTACGCTCTCTCCCTTGTCCCTGCCAACAGCTCTCTCACCAGTGAGATCACTTTTGGAGGCGTCAACACTGGCCGGTATGAGGGAGACCTCAAGGAGATATTCGGACAAGCCGATCCCGACCAATTTGTGTTTCGGGCCGGCGGAAATGTCAACGGCGCTCCCTTCTCCAACTCGTCTCTCTGGTTCGTAGATGCCGGAAAGACTCTGACATACCTCAACCCGGCGACCTACGAGGTTGTCTTTGGAGCTCTTTTGCACAATGCAGGAATCCGACTTTTGTCCCAGGACACTCTGGCCACTTACCCGTGTGCCGACGGAGCCAAGGCTACCTTCCGATGGACCACTCCCTCCTCGGCCATTGAGTTGACCCTTGCGGACTTTGGAATCCCCCTCAATGACGTTCTGAACAACGGAGACAAGGAAAACTGCTTTGTAGGCATCGCAAGCTCCACTTTCAACAATCTCGGAGACTCCAATGTTCTTGGATCCAACTTTCTCAACAACTTTTACTCCGTCTTTGACCTCAAAAAGAACACCCTCAACCTCGCCAAACCTGCTCACAAGCCGGACCATTACCAGGCTGGATTTGTCGCCAGCTTCGAATAGTTTGTCAATCTAGAGATTTTTCCACATTCCTTTTACTCCAACACAAGCAGTGCAATAGAGTATACCATTCCTTCAATACAGTATGTACCGTCCATAGGCGTATCAGAGTATCATGTTACAAGTCGTCGTTCGAGAAGACATTGCAAACTGGTTTGAACAAACAATGTTTCCCTTCCTGATTGTAGACAAAAAAGATACGGCTTTGCCATCACCCAGAATCGAACTGAGGTTTCCACGGGCTTGTTATGAACTGAAGTACACTCCACAACGTGGTGTACTAACCACTATACTATGATGGCCGGTGAGATTCGAGGAACACGTGGAACCGCCGATGGTGAATTCCCTTGTTTTGAAATTTCCCTACCAACCAACAGACAGGCTGTTGCGAGTTGTTGGAAATCAGGTAGCGTTTCCAGAGTTGGCAGCCAACAGTGAGGGTCTACATCTTGCCTTGGAAGTTGTTAAAATGACAGTAACCGATTCACAAAAAGTCTCGGTTGGACTATATAAGCCATTATATCGCCTTTTCGTCTCAACAAGAGTTCTCCTTCGTTCAGAGGTGTAATCAAAGTCCTCAGTCATCTCCCAGGCCCAGGACTAGAATACAAATATGAATGTTGACAAACAAACGTGGTTTACTCTTTCACACGCCAGGTTGTTCCTGCTTGTAGTCCATAATATGTGAACGGGTCGTCAATTGTCGTAATTGTCGTAATTGTCGTAATGGTCGTAACGAAACAGCTCCATTATGCTGTCTCAGATATTGTTTGTTTTGGCATTCCCTGCTGTTGCCCGATTAATAAGTCCCACCATCTAAAACCAAACTGGATCGAAATCGCCGTCGCCGACCTCATTCATGGCCTCAATGCACAGCTCAAGTTCCTCAAAAATCTCATCCATCACCTTCTGAACTCCTGGCTTGTCTTGTTCACAGCACTGTTGGTCCAGATAGTCATGCGTGTACTTCCACACTCCCATGCGTCCGTTGGAAATGCCAATGACAGGAAGGTGGTCCTTGTCGAGATGCACAGCCGTTATCAGATGCCGTTTGAGGTCGACAACAAACAGAGGAAACAGTCCGCCGGCAGAATACGCAATCCCGTAGCGCGGATGTCTCTCATCGTGGCAGATTTCGTACCCTCCCATTGGTCTTTTGGTGTTGTCCTGATAGTGGGCCGAGACGATCTGAAGATCTCTCTTCTCGTTGTAGATGCCCTTGTATAAACACCCGTTGTAATGCAACCACCCATAAGGCGGCGAAGTGGACCCGCCACCGTCTTCTACGGGCACAAGCCCGCGGCCTGGAGCAACACAGTATGTTCCCTCGTTTTCTTCGTCGCTGTCGCATCGGTACACAAACGCCACATTGTCAATCTGTTGCAACTCGTAGGAGTGTAAATACGACGACGACGAGCTGATCAAGAACTCGTGGTAGTCTTCTTCACCGCGGTACTTGATCTGAAGAACCACTTCCTTGCCGCGTCGCGCCAGCACTGTGGCGGTGTCGGTGGTGTGTTGGTAGTGGATGTAGTCATCGTCGGATCTCACGTTTCCAAAGAAGAAGGACCGGGCTTCTTCCTTGGACATGTATGTGTCAGTGCCGGAGTCTGTCCTGAGATCCACAAACGATGACGATGTCTGGTCGTAGATTCCTCTGTCGCAGTAGTTCCACCAGTACCGCGACTTGCGCTGCATGTCTCCCTGCAGAGCGATGAAGTCGTCCGGTAGCGGCTTGTTGTAGTGGTCGTCCATCTGGATGTGTGTGAAAGCCACTGCCTCTTTGTGGCTGTTGTAGTTGTCTGCTAGCGCCTGCCACGAGCTCCAGTCGCTGTGTTCCAGGCTGAAATACGGGCATCGCAGCAGCATTTTGCGGATGTCTGAGAGCGCCACGTGCTGTGAGCGCGACGTTTCCGCCAGAGCAAGAAGATCCCGGGGCTCCAGGTAGGTGCACACCATCGACAACAGTTCTGGCGGCAGCATCGGCTTCGGGTTGGGACAGTGTCAAACAGGAGAATGTCAAGGCCCACTGCCGAACCAATAAGCCGTTGGGTTCGCTACAGCAAGCATGTACGCCGTGCATCGATCCTGCATTTTTTTCACCAGCCGGACAGCAACCATAACCCGGGTGCGGCGGAACGCGAGGTGGAGTGGGAGCTGTTGGGGGGGCGGATACAGGGTCACCAGACTACAGAGGGACGTGAAAATACGGCATACGTGGTCTCCGACACGCCTAACTCTGTGTCGATAGGCCGTCGAGGCGGGTTCTGTTTCGCGATCGGGACAATTACGTCACAGGGTGAGAAAACCTAACCTACGGTGCATAAGGGGCGGAGAGAATTGTCAAATATATAAAATAAAATAAAATAAAATAAAATAAAATAAAAGATTGATTCTGGCAGGATTGAAAATGCAACGGATGAACTGAACAAAACTGAAGTGCGAGCGTGTTACTTGTATTATAGATCAAATGTTCAGGAATTAGTTAAGCAGATGCCCCGTCTAACTGGACCAAGAACCGGAGGTGGGATCTGGGGTAAAGGGATTTTTTAAAAATAAAATAACAACTCGTATATCCCTATTTTCTACAAGTCTTTGGAAGCGTGAGTTCGAACTCGCGGATATCAATGTTTATACGAGAGCAAAAAGGACTCCATGAATGGCTCCAAAGGCTCCAAAGGCTCCAAAGGCTCCAAACGCTCCAAAGGCTCCATGAAAGGCGCAAATAAGAGTCAAATCACTGAAAACTCCAACACCATCCGTCACTCAATCCATTGCACACTCCCCGAAAGTCAACTCCCACTATATCGTGTTGGGCGGAGAATCTAGGAAGTCGCCATACGTTTGGAGACCCTACTTTGTGACTTGAACTTCGGGCAGGGTGCGACATCTGCGGGTTTTATGACTTCTCCGAGGTTTCCACTCTCTCTACACGAATATCTTCTGTGATTTTCCGGTGGTTTATGAATCTCATCTCCCACCTCTGATCTAGAGAACAAATCAATACAGACCTACGCCATCTGGCAGTGTACCTCAAATTTTTGCTTACTAAGAGCAATAGAACGATACCCTTCCCTCATTTCAAGTCAGTCCACGCTTACATCAAGAGAATCAGATCTTCATCCAACCAAGATACGTATCTCATCCTCTTGGTCAGATATCGGACGTTGGTCGGGCCAAAATGGTTTAGCCAGTCAACCGACGTTCGTAACATGTGGTGGAACACCGAATGGAACTACGTCACCATAGATCTGTGCGGAAAAATATACCTCATCACTTGGAGGTCAAGTTGATGAGTTCCAACCAAGCCATTCAAAACCACCTGGGTCTGTTAACGTCAGTGGTCAATTGTTTTGACTCTTTCCCAGACCTCCTAAATACATTGTAAGCAGAGGCTCGAGATGATCTGAGTCGGTGTTGATCGAGTCTGTAGTGCGGTGAGAAGTTGGGCCTTGTTTTCACGTTCTTAGCGTTCATCTGTGCCATTACTTGTAACTATGATTAATAACACGAAAATAGTACCACTCCTTACACATGTAGTGCACTCGCATCGTGCAATTTCTCTCTCTCTTGCAGGGCTTACAGTCTCTGAAAAAAATAAAAATAACGCTGCCTCTAGTTAAGATTATTTAGTTGGTAATAGTTGGAGAAAAATGGTGCTGGGGGTACACATTTCAGGGTTTCCGGCATGGTAACAAGACATAGATTGTATCAACAGATAGAGGATATCCATGATCTAAACAGATATACAAAAATATCCCACTTTACCATACTGTTATGTCACAGCCTCCCATTTTTCAAGAGCAGAGTTAGGTATCATTGGTTGACCCGTTGTTGACAAATACTTGAGCCTTAACCATTAATGTTGACATGTACATTGCCGTCTCGGATCAGCGTGGGGGCGTTTCGTGTTTGGCGGTTCAGGGTCACGTGACTCCATGATCTGAGTCATATGACTCTGGTATCGTTTCCCAATCAGTTTTACCGCATGTTTCTCTCGTGCCTCTTGCGCAAAATGCAGGTCCCATCGTAGATCGCCGAAGATCATAGGCTAAGTACGACAAGCAGAAGAGCGCTGGGGTTCTGAGTAATATGAGTACGAGTACATACATACTGTAGGGAAGTTCGAATGTAAAAAACAATCACAGATTGCAAAAGATTACAGCACCCAGGATTCTCGTATGGTCTCCCACTACAATACTAACTGGGCTCTCTGGTGCTTGACTATGGCTGATCGGACGGGAAGCCGTATTTTCACCAGGATATGGCCGTAACCAACCTGCGCCGACCCGGAATCGAACCGGGGGCCCATCGATGGCAACGATGGATTTTACCACTAAACCATCGGCGCATTAGAGGTATTTTTCATACCTGTTTGAGCTTACTAATGCTTGAAAAAGTGTAAAAAAAGTTTTTGGTGATAAATGGCCATAATCGGGGTGTTAGAGGAAGGAAGACTTGAGTTCTTGTTTATTCTTCATTCAATTTGGGGTGTAGAGTGGTCCTTGTTCTTTTTGTTCTTTTAGATGGCTTCTGATGTCGGACGTGGCAACAAAACAGGTGCAAGAACAGGTGCAAGTACAGTATGTACAGTAAGTACTTCAATGACAACCACAGATTCTTCACAATGATTACCCCAGCTGTCTTGATACAATGTAGAAGTTTTTACTATACTCGTACTTGTATTGGAATGTACTTGTGCTTGTACTTGTACTTGGTTTGCCCAGCCTACACGTCTGCACGCTTCTGACTATATGCGTATGTAGATAACAGATAACATACAAGGAAGAAGAAAGAAGAGAAAAACAACATGTATCCATAAAACACTCGATCTGCAAATCGTCATTCTCATATACACCTGGGTATTGGTGATGTAAACAGTCTCTGCAACTCTCTGCAATGTGTAGTACAGTAAATGATGGTTCTCATTACACTCAGTGGTCAGTCACTACACTGGAAACAACTCAACATGTCAACTAGAGCTCCAACACGCGCAAATTCGGGCGACCTTCGGGAGGAAAACGTGTTTTTTACAGCTCGAAACGGCCAACACCACCCCGAAAACTCATAGCAAGCGGATTTAGCTCAGTTGGGAGAGCGCCAGACTGAAGTCGTTCTTCGGTCAGAGTAATCTGGAGGTCCTGTGTTCGATCCACAGAATTCGCAATTCTTTTTTCCATTGGTTTCTGTGCTCCATCTTACAGCCGTATGTTCTGGTACAGGTTGGAGACATTACATCGCCACTTTTTTAGAGTTTGGAAGTTTAGTTTTTTAAAGTTCCAACCCCCACTTGTCCCCACATTTATAATAATTTAATTTCATGTGGGACTTGTTTTTTTCTCAGAATGACTCATGTATAAGTACAGAATGTAAGTCGGCTTTTGGAGGAATAGGCCATATAGCCGTTTTAATCACACCAAAAGCTGCTCTTACCCTGTAGTTTCAGCTGTCCCCTCTCTTCAATCCTTCACTTTCATTGAGTTCTTACAACCATTCACTTCCTGTAAAATTGGTCCAGCGGACTGAATAGAGATGATATCATAACATAATGGGTATCATGAATCCCAGAAGTGTACCAGGATTATTTCTTTGATTCCAAATTCCAAATGCTTTCTTCGCTTTTTGGAGTTCTACGTTGAGTGGTCAGAAGTGTGGTGTTGAAGTAGACCTCCCATCCACTGTCTACAACTACGGTACAGTATGTACAGTAATATACCAGGTAGAGTATATGCTCAGGTACCATTTGAAAACGGCACATGAGCACATACTCTATATGGTATAGATTTACGACTCTTTCATTAATAACAAACTACTCCAGACTCAGAGCCTCCAAAGAGATGCCCAGATTGTCCATATAGACGCCCTCTCGCGTGTGGAAGTCGGACGCCTCACAATACACGTTGCGTTCGTTTGCGTTTCTGAGAAGACTCTCCCATTTCTCGTTGCTTACGAGAGTGTCGGCATTTCCAATGATCCACAAGGACGCTTTGGCTCGGGTGATGGCCACATTCATCCGTCTGACATCGGCGAGAAAACCGACCGTGTGGGCCGTGGGATGGGCTCTAACACACGACATGATGATAATGTCCTTCTCACGACCCTGTAAACTGTCCACAGTTTGGATTTCCAGCGTCATTGTCTCCTTTTCTGTATCATATCTCTGTTCAAAATGGTGCCTGAGCTTCTCAACCTGCTGTTTGTACGGAGACACAATGCCAATATCCAGCTTTTCGCCTGCTCCAACGCACTTCAAAACAGCGGAAACTAGTTTGTTGGCAAACTGAATCTCAGCGGTGTTGCAGAAAGAATGATTGTCTCCAAACTTGTGCTTTCCTTCAACGTTGAAAAACATGTAAGGAGGCAGATGTTCTGTGGAGTGCCACTTTCTGGCAGTCTTGAGCTCCATTCCGGGAGCGTCCTTGAGAACGTTGTCGTAGAAGAAGGCTCTAGGGAACAGAGAGATGTTAGGGTGCATTCTATACTGGGTGTCTAGAATGTGCATGGCATCGGGATGAGCCTTGAGTATCCGTACAAACAGCGATTTGTCGTAGTCAAAATTTCCAGCCTCAGTTGACAAAACTGTGGGCGGCAACTGCTTGGGGTCTCCCACGAGAATGACCTTGGTGCATCTATATTGCAAAGGGATCAGCACCGAAGGCTCGGTACACTGGCCGGCTTCGTCAATAATGACAGTAGGGAATAACCTGCCGCATCTTTGGACGTCGGTGCTCGCCGACCCTGACAAGGTGCAACAGAAAACATCGCTCTGTTGAGAATTTTCGCGATGCGCTGGGCTCGATTAGTTTTGATCTGATTTCGGAGCAACCAGATCTTTGTTCTCAGCTCCATAACCTGTGAGCGAAGGCCATCTATGTCCTTTTTGACTGTGGTCAGTTTCGACTTGGTGGAATTGATAGAGTACTGAACAGTAGAGCCAGAACTCTTGAATAGCAGGTTGAGCTTGTTGAAGAGCGAGTCTTTGGACTTGTAAAGAATGTCCATTTCTTTTTCCAGAGGTCGGAGAATAAGTGTGAGGGCGTCACACTCAGCCTTTTTGGTGGCTTCCTGATCACTGGACGCACTTATCATGCCTCCCAGTGTCAGATGGGCAACTTCGGTATGAACATTCTCCGGACGTCCGATACGAAGAATTTTGTAGTCCAGTTTCTCGTCCAGGAAGTGCTTCTTGAGTCGCTTGGTCAACTCGTCAACTGCTGCATTGGAAGGCGCACAGAACATGAGTGGTCTGGAGCCAGATTCCAGCAGTTCGCGAATAATAGAGACAATGGTGCTTGTCTTACCTGTTCCTGGGGGACCCTGGATCAAGGAGAACCCACCTCGAGTATTGAGTGAGCCATAGACGGCCTGAGCCTGAGACCTGTTGAGCTTGCCGATGTACTTGTCTTGTAATCGTTGGATTTCCGAATCGGGGCCCTTTGGAAATGAATAACATTGGCCAAACAAGATGTCGTTCTTCAAAGCAAAATCTCCAATGCTCAAAAGAGCCAGTAGTTCTCGTTCAGCGGTGGCCATGTTGGTGAGATAACAACACTCCCATAGCGACCCTTCTCTCAAGTCCGCACGTCGCGTTCGGATCCACACATCCATTTCTCGAGTCTTCTTGTTCCAGACAATCTCACTGATTTTACCAAGACACTTGGCTTTTCCACTTCCCGGAACCGTAATGACGACGAGTGTCGAACTGAACAGCTCATGTTCTTCTAGTTCCTGCTGGGTGGCTCCCATGCAGATTTCGGTGAAGAGTTCGTTGTCGTCTCCTTCTTTGGTAGCCTGCACCTTGAAACGAAAGCCTCCGAAACGTCTGGCCTTCTCCTGGTCTCTGAACTCTGCAAATACTTGACGAATAGAAGCGTAGCATTCCAGAAGATTCAGAGGCTCCATGATTCTCACATACTCGAAAGAAGACTTGTACTTGTCGAGAGCATCTTCACTCCGAGCTGACCTGGGATGCTCGTGCTTGAGTTTGCTTAGATCCCATTCCAACAGATGTTCATAGAGATAGTCAAGAGACATAGCTGACGAGAGTGATAAAGCGAGTCGGTGAAAACGGGTCAGCGGTATTCAAGCCTCTTTATATATCAATCTACAGAGTCACTCAAAACCCTTTGGTGATCAAAAACTAAACCATACTCGCCCAACCAACAAGAGATAAGTGAAACTCACTCAGTTTCCCAATGACTGCTCCACTCAGTACCACTGTCACAAACCGATTCTTCCGGTCAACCCAATGTGGAAATTACATTCAAAACGTCTTCCCGTATACGCGTGTCCACAGTTGAAACTACAAACCACTCTAGGTTCGATGACGGTTTCAAGAGCTGAAAATGCTCTCCAATTGGCCCCTGAAGCTGCAATTGTGTTCCTCTAAAGATATTTTACTTCTGTCAGAACATTCTCGAACCCTGGGCATAGCCTTGGTGATTCTGCTTAGATATTCATCCAGACCTCTACACACGGAAAACCCAAACTGCAACCAAAACTGCGACTATACGTTTGTCCACTCAGGTTTTGTATTTAGATACTTTTCTGCGAAACTAATATCTGCCGCTAAATTAATGTTGGCTGCTAAACTAATATTTGCCACCTTTTCTCTCCCTGGTACGATTATTATCTTTCTGGTTGTGGTGCCGATCCGCACGCTAGTGAGGACTGCGTCTAGTGGATGTTCGGGCGGGTTCATCTCGAGGAGCCCGTCAAAGTCGTCAAAAGCAAGTGATAAGTAAACAGCTCCATATGTTACCTACAGTACATCCTGTACTACTTGTACGACAACTCTCTGTTTTCTCCCTATTACACAACCAACACACAACTTTCACTGCTTGTTTCACTCAGACGGCTCTCTCCCACGCTAAACCATACGCCATTCATTTTCAAGTAGGTGAAGATCCGTCCGAGCGTAGATTCAAGTCAGATATACATACAAGTATGTACTGTACAGTACTTGTACAATGATCTCCACGCAATAATCCCATTGTTGACTAGAAGTTGCTACTCCTGCACGGTTACCTCGGCATAAGACCCAGGTGGTAGGAAAGCTCTGCTCTACCATCCACTATATTACAGATATATTACAAAACAATATAAATACACGACCCCGTCGTCAAGCTGTTTGCTGTCAAGGTTTAATTCAGCATCTTGTCTTCCTTTGCTGGCTTTGCTCGGCTACTAATCAACCAATCCCTGGTGGTAATCCAAAAAGTACAGCTTCAAAGCGGCTCTCGCAATCACAGCCAGAGCTCCCGCAGAGTACGGGGCCATAAAACTGCTCTTCAGATCCTCATCTGCGTCCAACACCTTATCGTAGTACTGTAGCAGGTGTTCCTTTCGTAGTTCGTCTCTCAACCTTTGATCCTTCTGACTTTCAGGCCAAGCTGAGTACTCTTTGAGAACGTGTTTGAGGATGGAATCCATGCGAGTGATCAATTTGATGTACTTTGGAAACAGCTTTTGGCTGCGTGGATCTTTTGACAGCCAATTCTGCTCCACTCGCGGCTTATACATGGTTTTGATGCTCTTACCGGAGATGGTCTCCGAGGTGTACCATCTATAAGTGTCCTGACAAAGTGTCGGAGAACTGGGATCAATAGGTTTAAGTCGTAATTGTGTTGCGGTTGTCCATCTGAATTCTGGTGCTTTCCCCTGCGCTATTCTTCTGTTGTCTCTTTCGATTTCCTCCTTGGTTCGTCGTCTCCGTTTGACCGGTGGAGGAGACGACAGAGGCGACCCCGAGTCAAAGTCCTGGTCGATTTCCTGTACGCTGCTTCGACGTCTGATTTTGTGCCCGCTGTTGCCATTGTTATTGCTGTTGTGGCTGTTATTGAGGGGTAGTGCTGGTGTGATAACCGCACTAGTCACCGTTGTCGGGTCTTCTTGCAACTCCCTGTCCACTTTTTGTCTCAATTTCTGAACGCGAATTGCATCGCCCAATTCGGCTCCGGACTCCTCCATTTGCTTGTACACGTCTGTGATGGACTGGAACGGCACTAGACGGGCCATGGCGCTTTCTATGCTCATTGACAGTCGCTTTTTGAACGCGAGAGCCGCGTAGTTTTCGTCGTCAAGCTCGTAGACCAGCCGTTCGGAGAACTCCTTGAGAATCGTGCCGAAAAGCGACGTCCATCTTGTCTTCTCGGCGCTGGCAGGGATGGCGGCCACTTCATTTTTCCAGCACGTAGTCAGCTGGGTCACCAGCTGTTCTCGAAGGCGGCCTTGTTCCGCCACCTGATCCTGTTTGTCGATCTTATACTGTGTTCCAGGTCATCCAGAAGGTTTATTTTCCCGCCCATTGGGTGAATACTGTGTTGGTCGTACTACAAGTAGCCTGTTGTAGTGCATGAACATACCCACTTCGCGCAGTTCTGGCTCATGCATGAGCCATGTTCAAAAAAAAAGTTCATTGTGTGTGGAATACACATCGATCCCATACCTGATCGAGAAGTTAGAACTGTCGGGTTTTTATTATCGATTTAAGCCGAGACTGTTGGCGATGATGGAGGAAACCCATGTCAAAATTCCGTCTCGAGACGGCTTCTTGTATCTTGTTGTACCCGAGTTGACGATTCATTCACTGGATAGCCTTGAACACATGAACCAATATATGATGGTGAAACATTGACTGACGGTTGGCGAGTTGCGTAGATGTATGTGGCTTGGCTGATTTATGTGGAGAATCACATGAAAGATAAATGACCGGCAGTTGACAAGGGTGGTACAGCATTTTATGTGGGTTAGTATCAATTAGTTGGGTTTTTGTTGAGAGTTTTGTTGAGATGACCTGGGAGTGAAAAGTAGTTGAAATTTATGAAGGAAGGGAAATAAAAAAAAAAAAGTAGAGAGTCAGATGGTCTCTACTTTCATTTAATATCATATACAGTACAGTACATTAAACTCTCTGGAATATACTGTATATAGATATATATATTTTATGAGAAGACTGGAACGCTCAGTTGCATATCTTTACTTGGTAAAATACAAACTGTACATAGCTGATGTTTACTTGGTTCGAGAAAGACCCTGGAGCCTACAGAAACATATCACGCTACTGACCATAAATAAATGCCCTCGTTGCAGTTATTTGAAATCTGGAATCGGTAAATTGTCTGTTTCCCAATCTTCTTTATTCTTCTGAAAAGCAATGTTCATTGTGTTTCTATACTGAACGTCCTGTAGCTCGCGCTCCAGGCCGCCGATCAGTTTCGATCGTCACGACCTACAATAAGTATATTTCATTTCCGAAAAGTGCTTTCCAGTAGTCATGATGATATCTCCAATGTCAGAACTTTTCCAGCCTGCCCATTCCAAATTCACCCCCATCGAAACGACCATTCGTGGTCGTCTACGGATCGTGTAGGTTGTAGAGTTTTCTGCATTTATATTCATTTAATTATAACTTTGCTTTGTAGGTACTTCACTGTATTTTTTTTCTGCACTGTAGTACTTGATAACTATCCCCCACCTTCCAACTTCCAACAACCTTACTTCACCTCCCAAGTACCAGCTTCACAACCTCTCTCACTCAGAAAATAAACCCCTTGAACATCTACATTTCAACAGAGGAGATGTCATAAGACCCAGCACATGGCCCAAGGAACAGTCACGAGATTAGCCGTGTGATTTTGTGCGTTTCTTTCGGTCGGCGGCGTTACATTGGCATCCCACATTGCCATAATAGAGCTCACCTATCAATTTCCACCTGTTCGAGCCAGAGTGATTCGCCACATGTTCAGTCGACACTTTTGGGCACACGTGGGACCTGCGGTCGCCACAGAAACCTGCAGACTCGTTTGCAGTCTGGTTTGCCGGTGCCGGCAGAAATGGAGCAGAACAAACTCAGACGTACAGTACATACTGTACTCGCTTCGTCCATGGACATGGAACAAGCAAATGGAGTCCCAGCCCATGTTCCATATCCAGGCACTTCAGGGCAAGGTCAATTGCATCGATTTCCACAGAAGTGGGCCCTATAATTTGATCACTGCTTCATGCATATAATGAACTACAAGGACATGGAGGGGAGTGATCGATACGAACCCTGTCTATACGTACAGAGGCCATGAAAATGTGGTTCGAGAGTTTCTGTGGTGGGCAAGAGATGGACTCAATAAAAAGGTGGACGGCCGAGAATTCCAGCTGGTCACATGGTCTGAGTATTGTAACCTGCGTCTCTGGCAATCTACTCCTGGTCTCGAAAGCCGTGTCAACTTTGTGCGAGGTGACAAGCCTGTGCCATACAACCTGATACGAACGGTGCACCATACGTTCCATACACTCACGAGCCAATGGGATCTGATTCATTCCCTGTGGGAGGAATTGGCATTGGAGGGCGACGGTCAGAATGTAGATTCTAGGCATGACAGTTTTGGCTGTCCTCGGCAGCTACAATGCGTACATACCAACGTAAGGTCATCTCAGGGCAAGAGGAACATGAATTTGTGAAGGCTCTCAGATGTTCTCGTTGGTGTTGCTGCCTTTGCTTCCCACTATGGCTCGTTTGAAGAAGAAGTGGGAGTATTTGAGGAAGTTTTATGCCAACGTCGCTTGGAGAAGCTTCCTGTGGGCGAAAATTTTCCGAAAGTGTGATTTGAGAAGATTAATGTGTCAACAGGCCAAGTTGAGGTGACTCTGAATGGTCAACTGGATGAAAATTACCACTTTAATCATTGACTGCATCTCTATCATGGAATGTCCAATATCTGCAGACCTTGCACTATCATGCACTATCAATGCAATATTAACTTGGCCTTGAATCGAGAGGTGGAAAAAAATGTAGTTTCTGGATTTTTCAGGAAAAGGAAATTCCCTTAAACTCTCCAATCCAAGAGGATTTATTGGATATCAATATCAACTCGTTTGCAGTTAGATACACATGAGATTCTCTATATTTGTTTCATTTGTTTTGTACAATCAGCTTGTTTTTTTTCATAATTTCGTTCATTACTTGATCTAACTATTCAACTGGGGTACAGCTAAAAGACAGCATCCTCAAGAGTCTTGAACTTCTTGAGGTACTTGTTTCCAGATCCATTGACCTGACCCTTGTTCTCGGCCTGTAGCAGGTGGAGGTAGAGTCCAAAGGCAGCGTCGTCGTAGTTGTGGGTCTCCTCGTTCTTCTTGACGGTGGCTCGAGCCTCGGCGATGGACTCTGCAGGCACAATCTCCACCTTGACACCCTTCTTCTTGCCGTAGATCTCGTAGTACTCTCGGAAGGTCACCTCGCTTCCTGACAGTTCGAGAACGTCGGGGATCTCGTTAACAGGCTTGGACAGGACCACCGCCAGGGCAGCGGCAATGTCATCGAGGAAGGTGGCGGACCACTTGGCGTCGGGGTTGATGGGGTTGGCCTTGTTGGTCTTAGGGTCGAGTCGCAGGAAGGAGGGGTATTTGACGGCAAACTCTCCAAAGACTCCGTTCTGCACAGCGACAACCTTGAGACCCTTGACGGCCCGTGCAGCCTCAAGGTGGTTCTTCTTGAGATCCAGGAAGTGGAAGTCAGGGAATTGGGTGTAGTCGACTCCAAACTCGGAGGGCACGTAGACCTTGACTCCGGCGGCCTTGACGGCGTCCAGAATGCCGGTCCAGTTGGCCTTGACCGACGAGATGTTGAGAACCACGTCCACGCCCTTGAAGATGGCCTCGAGCGAGCCCTTTTCATCGGCCGAGCCCTGCACGTACTTGACCTTGTCTGTGTTCTTGGACTTGGAGGCGTCTCGGGTGACCACGATGATGGGGTATTTGTATCCGGGGGCCGCGGACAGCGCGTTAATGAGAGGAGTTCCGAGCACTCCGTTAGCTCCGACAAGTGCGACTGTAGTCATTGTGTTGGTGTTGGTGTTGGTTGGTGGATTGGTGTCTGAGACAGATGTTTGTGGGGAGCATTGTCTGGAGCCTCTCAATGGCTATATATACGCCCGACGCCCTTGTGGCTCCAATTGAGTTTGGATCTGTCGCGGTCATCGTCGGGATCGCGTAATAGCAGCATGCCAGATGGATAACAAATCTTGTCTGCTGTCTGACAAAGCAAAGACAAACTTTGGCAGCGCGGTTACAGTACGAGTTATGGCAGGCCAGTAGCTATTACCATTTTATTGCGAGTAAAAAGGGGACAAAATCGGAGGCAAAAAAAATCAATAATAACCAAGCTGCGGCGGAAGGAATAAATCCGGGCTTTTTTTCCGCCCGTAAAACCCCTCATTCGCTGCTTAATCTGACACTAAACTAGCGGTAGCACGCAACTTCTCTCCACTATGAGGTTTGGCGGATTTTCGGTGACGCACTTTTTTCCCAATGGGGATTTAGCGTTCGAATTTTGTCAGCACGATTTATTTCTAATGCTTAGAAATAACTAAGAGGGGGGATTACACACTGGTTGGAAATGAACATGGCGAAGCAGCAGCACATTTTTCAATACAAGCGTGGTGACAAAAACAATGAAACAATGATGCAGAGGTGATAGCAATCGCAAAACAACAACAAGGTCGTCAATACCGCTGTCACCCTGCACAGTGCGCTAGTCTGCGTGGGTGGGTACTACCTGAACTACAAGTACAAGTAGATGGTATACAAGTAGCACAAGGCTTTCTAGCTCATTCCCTAACAGCTCATTCCGATGTTACTGTACAAATCGTCACTCGTACCGGTACCTTCAGTCTCCACTAAAGGTGGCTTGAAGAGCACGTCGTTGGAGAGAAGGTGCAAAATGTTGTACTCCACCAGTAACTTTGCGAGAGTCCGAGGAGTGCATCGATGTGGCACGGCTTCAAGAGCATGATCCACGGAAAGTCTACGAGTATTGCGTGTATTATTAGAGGGCATTTATGCTAGGGTGAGCGGGATTTGTAGTAGTGTACAGTACGAGTAAGGGGCATTGATTAGGAGCTGGCCCCTTCGGTCTCGACCACGGATAGCTACCGAGACGAACATAGCTCTCAGACACCAGACAATACTGTACTCTAGGTGTACTATACTCGTACCTACTCTCACCGTACCGCCCTTCTACCCCCACTATGATACTTCGAAAAAGAAACGCCAACTGTAAAGACGGGAATACACGCGATACGCTATGATAGGTACGAATAGTCGTTCTTGTAGTAATTGTCATGGTTTGTCGGATTGGTCATCCCCAACCAATGCTTCTATTGACGCTGTTATTCTCTGATAGAGCCGTCCAATGAGGCCTTGAGACTGTAGCCGCTGGGGGGAGACCTGCAACGATGTGGATCATTTGTTCCCCAAACAAGCAGTGCTCGTACCGGTAACTGGTGACAGACTTGTGTCAGATTAACTTGACACTCACACGACCAGTACTGTACCATCGTTAGACTCCATTGTTGTCTCAGACTCTTAAGGCTGATGGTACGAGAACTGTGCGAGAGCGAGTACAGTATGTACAAGACTAACTTATCTCCAAATGCACACCCCCTAACTCCCTACGTCTACACCCATCACTCTAACAATGCCTATAATACATACATACCGTCCTGCACGTGTGCGTGCCTTACTTTCTTCCCTGCCATCCTCTGTTGATCATGAACCGATCCAAAGACTCCCAGAACCGGGCCACAATCTCCCTATCCTTGAATCGCTGTGTCTTGTCGATTCGAACCACCTCCACGTTCCAGTTGGTCACTGGAGGAGGCACAGGGTCGTTGTTGTAGACCAGGCAATAACCTTTGACTCTCTGGAACAGTTGATTGGGGTCCGACCACCGGTACGACTTGAACTGCCACTCCTGGCCAGTGGTAAACACCGCCACCACTCGGTCCCAGTACTCCGGCTTGGTCAGCTTTTCGTGGCTGTCCACAACCACATATGTGAGCTTGCCCATATAGGGGTTAGTGTGGTTGAGCCGTAGCATATCAATGCCGTATGCCGATTGAGGTTCCACAAAGTTGCCGTACTCCAAAAATTCCTTGACGTTGCTAAGAGTGAGCAGAGCCGACGCAGATGGAGACAGCAGGATGATGGGCTCTTTTCTTCGGTCATGCGCATTCTGCTGCTTAGACGACTCGTGGGTCGCTGCAGGCTTGCCCTTGTGTTTGAGAATATTAGTGTAGCAGTCCTTCTGCACCGAGGAGAAGTCGGTGGGCTTGGTGCCTCGCAGCATGGAGTTGTGGTCGTAGGGAGCCACCTCGCTGGCTAGAATTCGTTCCAACCGAGGATCGTCCACGTCCATGGCATCGGGGTCCACGCCACCGGCCTTGTCTTCCTTGGCATCGGTCTTTGTGTCGTTAGCCCCTCCCTTGATGGCGTCGACGCTCTCGGTCTCTCCCTTGAGCCACTTGATCACGTCCGAGCGCTGCAGAAACGGGAAATGTGTGATGCCGTTGGTGTTGCAAAAGACCACGTATTGCGCAATGTTCTCTCCGGCCTTGTCCCAGCACGCGTACACAGACTTGAGGTCCTGCGGCACTCCATCGATCTCCACTCGGGTCGTGTCGCTCAGGGGGAACGTCTGCGAGCCGATGGTCAGAGCGGTCGCCTCGGCAATGTCGTCCTTGTCGAGCGACAGAGCGGATCCGGCCTTGATGGCGTCTCGAAGGGCGGTAAGAGGATCCATCGTTGAGACGCAAAGTTGGTGATGTGTGATGGAGGTGAGAGGGCTTGAACAACCTTATTTGGACACTGTTGTGACTGGAGAGACAGAACTGGTTTAAATTCGAGTAAATTCGAGTAAATTCGGGAAAAATAGGGAAAAGTCGCGAGATTGAGAAAAATTGACGGTATCACAAGAACAAGGTTGGTTCATCCTCCATTTGTTACGTATGAAACCTGATTCAAACTCTTTGACTGTCAGACAGATCCGACTACTAACACACGGGTACATTATGTACTGTATGTACGGTATCAGCATGTACATATTGTACTTAATTATACACTCCAGCTAATTGAAAGTGAAAAACAAGTAGCAAAGTAGGAAAACAACGCTTGAACCGCTCGAGGAACACGGTGATCTATCTCAATCTAAGCCTTCACCGTTTCAACTCCCTTCTTCTTCATTCTCATCTCCCCGTCGGGTCGTTTCTCTCACGGACCTGGGCACCGCAGTTCGAATCCTCCCAAATACATTTCCGTCTTTATTTTTCCACCACATTACAGCGGGTTTCCCAGCTCTATCATTTGACGGCGTAATCAATTATTAGTCACCGAAAGCACGCCAATAAAAGCTCCTAACCAATGCAAGTCGTTTTGTCAAAAATGTTTTATCTATTCTGCCTTGGAGATTCGAAAGACTGTAGCTTTACATACTGGAGATATGTTTCCATGATTTGATGTCCATTGAGACAGCCAATCCAAGTTTACAAGTTATAATACGATAAAACGGGTCACACCAGTACAGCACTCGTAATGCAATGGCTACAGTGAAGAAATCCATTCTCTATGAGTTCCCCTACTACACGTTTCTCGCGATCCGTTGATCACAATCAGTTTCTCATTAGTATTAGTACATAGCTGCGTGTCATCAACAACAACTACTCTTCTGTTCGTCTTCGTCTGTATGCAAATAGACCACACTCTGTCTCTGTCTCTGGCTGTTGTGTTTCTGCTGCTCGTCGGCCTCCCGCTTGTCCAGCAGCTTTGTGATGATCACCTCAAATACCTCCTCCACCCCCTCGTCGTCTTTGGCGGAGATTTCGTGGCAGCACGAATCGTCCTGTAGCCATTCGGATGCGTATTCCACGCACTGCTCGAACGGCACCTCGCGTAAGCTGGGCTCGTCCTTGACCAGGTCCACCTTGGTGCCCACAATGTGTATGATGATGTCTGACGACAGGTTCTGTTTGAGCTCCAGCAGCCACAGATGCATGGCGTCGAACGACGCGCGGCTCGTCACGTCGTAGCAAAGAATCCCACAGCTGGCGCTTCGGTAGTAGATGGGGGCCATGCTTCGGAATCGCTCCTGCCCCGCCGTGTCCCATATTTGCAGCCGCACCGTCGTGTCGTTGACCACCACCCGTTTGCGCGAGAAGGAGGCCCCGATGGTCGATGCCTGCCCGGCCTGGAACTTGTTGTTGACGTAGCGGGTCACAAAACACGTTTTGCCCACTCCCTGGGCGCCCAGCAGCACGATTTTCGCGTCCATCGACTCCATGGCGGTGGCGTGTGTCGGGGTTAAAAGTAGAGCTGAGTGCACTTGTCGGACGCTCTTCTTGAGCCACAGCGAGCTGTGTACGTGTGTAGGTCGGTTTGGAACGCTGCTGACAAGACAGTGTTCGGGGCGCTGCTGCTGTTTAGGTGGTGGCTCTTTCCTCAAGCGGAGTTAATGTATATCGCTGTGGCCTTAAAGCTAAACTGTGGAGGGGGTCAAATTAAAGTGGCAACGGCTCAGGAGATGGGTCCTGTAGACGAGGGTTAGATGTTGCGAAGAGCGTGATTTTCGACAGCTGTACCGACCACCTGGCCGGTATATAAACAACAAGTTGCCCTACGGGTCCCTTTCTCCTCATCCGCCCCAAGCCCACAAGCCCGCCATGCCGTCCGCACTAAAATGCTTATCTGAAATGAGCTCAAGCGGCTGGAGGAGTGTCTGCTTACTGTGCTGGGTATGCTAATCTCGTGTGGTACGAGCCCGCCACAAGGCACCCAGGGCTCCAGCTACATGGTGCGACACAGATGAGCAGGTTCTCCTGTCGCCCCGATGTCTGAACGCAGGTGTTTTTTCGCACAGATACGCTAGTGGTTGGCCCTGAGTGACGTCACAATACATTGTCCCCACCAACATTCCAAATACAGGTACAGTACGAGGACGAGAACGGCACGAGTACATGCTGTACTTATACTATAAAAAAAAAACAGGCGGCGATTTTCTTGCTGTCTTTTTCTTCGCTTTGGACCCTCCGTCACACGGTCTCTTGCAAGTGGCCACCGCACAGCCAATTAGCCCGAATCAGCTGATCCTAACCGACGTTGCACACGTGCAGAGCGCCCAGGATCAAATCAAATAACAGAGCCTGAACCATGAACAATGGGGCGGTTGTCATCCCTTTCAAAACAATGGGGCTAAAGAGTAAAAGTGAGACAGACTACCGGGCCCGAGGGTTGCATCGCGATGCTGCGCGCGTGGGGTACAGGATGTGCGATATGTGCCTAGAAGATCTACCCGTCTATCTCGGGGGGATATATCCAAACCGGAAACGGACACCGAAAATATGCCGGCTACAGTCTTGACATGCAGGAGGTTGCAGACAAGGAAAAAAGGCGCCGCGAAAAATGGACTCACGAAACGAAACGAAACGAGTGTTGTTGCGTGTTGGTGAGTCATCACGTTGCCGTATTTGAACGTCTTGTTTACCTGACTGCTTTCCTTGTTTTTTTCAGGTGGCTTTTCGTGTCTCGGAATGTGTCTCGGACGTGTTTTGGTCTATTAAACCCAAGTATAACTTCAATTGGATTAGTTGAAGCCGAAGGTGTGAAAAAAAAAAAAAAAAAAAAAAAAAAAGAAACCCCCGACGAATGGTGATAAAAGTTGTATCAGAGGAGTCGGAAGAGAGATACGAATAACAACTCGGTCTCAGTTTTCCCCATGCACTTGTCTATCAACACTTGGAGAGTCTCAGGCCCTACTGGACTGGGTTTCCCAACTACAGTACATACTTCAGGGGCGTTGGTTTTATGGCCAAGATGAGAGGAGAGAGGAGAGTGGTGGATTGACGAGATTTTGTACGGGTGAGAGAGATTGATGTGCTGAAGTAGGCGGGAGACTATTGGACAGGATATCAAGTCAATTGTGATTTGCATCAAGTGCTGCGGTTTTGTTTTTTGAGGATTGACTTGGCAACTTCACTTGATCTTCTAGATAGATCTACATGTTAGATGGTCAGTTGGTGGTAGTGGTTAACGGCTCAGAGGGATAGATACATGAGAAAAAGCTCACCTGATAAGTTCTGAGCAGATCATCAATGGTACTACTGTATTTACAGTACTTTTACTTTTTCCTGTCGGTTTTAATTGACGCTCTCTCATGGGTTGACCATCTTTCTCGGATATTGGTACGGATGGCCCATTACTTGACAATTACTTGAAGAAAAAAGTCAGCTGGGGGTTCAAAATCAATGTTCCAGAGGCGCTATTGAGATTTTAGTCATATTATCAGGTAGCCAGAGAAACTTCAATTGAAGTCACCGTACGAATATTGACACTTTACTCCCAAAGTCTTGATATATCTGAGATTTTCTGAGATTCCATCAGTCCAAATTACTTACACTATAGTTGAAGTAACCTGTTGTACAGCAGATCCAGGAGATCATCATCAGAGTCTGTATCATCAGAGACTGTCTCATCAAAGGCTGTATCATCAAAGACTGTATCCTCAGAGACCGTTTATGATCAGGATATCAAAAAGGTCAAGACCCATCTCTGACGGGACAGTCCGTCATCTACACCCAAACTTCAGGAGTTCAGGAAGTTTGGTCAAATATAAAAAAAAAAACCTCATAGTCGCTACTTTCAACAATACAACACTTTTTCTGGAGCAAGCAGTCATAGGTAATTGGGCAAAAAAGAGCCTCACGCAAAGATCCATTCTCAAAACCGCCAGGAATCGGATTTTGAAATGCCAAAAAAATCGACAACTGCAGGATTCGAACCTGCGCGGGCAAAGCCCAACAGATAGTACGGTTATTCGAATCTGTCCCGTTAACCACTCCGGCAAGTTGCCACTCGGCCACGAAACGCGCCCATAGTGCACGTGATGGATTTTTGGAATCCAACCCTGGAGGGTGCATCACGTGTCCTGAGATTATTTTAGTTGAGTTGATAAGTAATTATTAACAAAATGGAAATATTTGGAAATGTTGCAGGGGAGGTAGTAGGGGGAATAAACGGACGACAGCAGGTAGTTTCATCTGTTCTTTCCATTCAGGCGCCCCTAAACTGTCAATATAGGTTGGAAATCTTGAATTGCTTACTCTGTGATCATGATGGTACCAGCACCAGTATGCACATTCTTGTACATACACAAATCTTCAAGTACAAGTCGACGACTTAGAGTGTGTCTGAAGAAAGGATTGCACGATACAGTGTCCATTGGAATGCTTCGTTGGTCTTGTTTCAACACTTGTTTTTGTCTCTCCTGCCTTCGTCCTTTCAGTTCCGTCTATATTTTCTATGTGAGGTCGATTCTACTTGCACAGTCACATTCACTTGCTTCTCAGATTTGGAGATTTCGCTTCAACAGACCCAGGATATCGACATATCAAGTGCACTATCAAAAAACAAGCCGAACCGATATGCCTAAAAATGTCGATCTCGTACTAACTGGTTTGTATGTACCTACGTGTAGACGTTTCAGTTCACCCTCTTGTCATGTGGCATCGGTACTTGTACTGTACACACAAGTGCGTCGGAGGAAAACTACAGCTACAGGAACTTGAACAACTACAGCATCGCCCTCGTATATAACCATATATGCTTGTCTCCTTGCAACGTCACCACCTCACGTCAGGTATCTAACCTCAGCTCAAACCATGCAAGAGGACTCACCGGAGAAGAAAAGCACCGAGACAAGAAGAGGAACAAAAAGAAGCTGCTCTAAGGAGCCGTCTCCGATACCGGGAATCGAACCCGGGTTCTCCGCGTGAAAGGCGGAAGTGATGACCCCTACACTATATCGGAAGATATCCATGTTGATTAATAAGCGAGCCTTGTGCGAGAAGGGTGAAAAATCGATAAAGAGATGGGACAGAATAGGCAGCGTGAACACACAAGTTCCTTTATAGACGAAATAACACCCCCTGGTATGTTTTATTAAACTCTCTGAGTCTCTCTTGCTTACCGATAGCTCTCTTACTCACTGGTGACCCTCTTACTCACTGACGGCCCTCTTAGTATGGTCCCTGATGTGTTGACCATTTCAAGGAGAACACAGGGTATAACACCACCTCCAAGGAGACTGCTGATCTCGTCACATACACTTATATTCCTCCCTATCTGCTCAATTCGGAAAAACTACGGATTAATACGCCACAAGAGCCCGTGCCTGAAATCTAAAACGGCGGCATGAACCGGAATAGAGGTAGATCCGATGAGCTTGAAACACCACGATATATTGGATTTATGGAGTTGGAGTTCTCCGGGATCACTTTAAAGACCTTTCCGACGCCAGACATGAGAGACCACCTTCAGATCCGGCGCCTATTCAGATGCGCTATTTTAATTCGGATTTGAGGGAAATTTCGGATATAAACAAGGATTTCTAGCCATAAGGTTCGATAAGCCAGGCGCTGTAGATTGACGGATTCCGCTACAAGGCGATATACGGAAAGGTATCCTGTATCTAGAAGTGCTCAAACAATAATTCCATGTCGTGGCCAAAATATCCGAAAAACTCCGAGCCAATTGGCCCATTCTATCACTCCTTGCTATGATATGTAATTTCCGGCCTCTGCATGAGACAGGCATCTCATATGCGTTACACCCCGCGGCATTTAGGTATTTCCAGACACTAATTTTTCTTCCACATCTTCTTTACTCATCATGCTCTATTCGGTCGCAGAGAACACGCCTCTCTCCAAGCTCCCCGAGTTTTCGGACGACTTTTACGCCCTCATCAAGCATCTGGAATACCACAGCACGCCAGACGCCGCAGACGAGATCTTCAAGGGCACGGCCGGACAAAAACTGGAGCTCACGCGATGGTTCGAGGGGAGTCGAGACAGACAGAAGAACCCCCTCAACGTGTACTTGCTAAACGTGGGGAATGAAGAGGAGGTGGAGGCTCTGGAGGAGGATAACGAGGTCATGTTCAAAATGTTTGTGCGGTGCTCCAACTACAACAGAAGGTCTCACTGGCTGAGCGAGAAGGATCCCAAGCTGATGCGACTGGCAGCAATGTATTATCTGGAGCAGGAGAAGTTTCTCAAGAGCCTGTTCAACGTGCTTACCCCCGAACGAGCTGCCGTCTACACCGACGACGCCAACTTCACCAATTCCGGCGCTCTTCGAGTTCTCAAGCTGCTGCGACGAGAAAACACCCCTGGCATTTTCAACATTCCTCACGGCAGGTTGAGACACTACAGAGTGGCCAAAGCTCTTTACAATTGGCGCAACGGTGAATACAACCCGTTATTATACAGCCCTAATTAGGCAATTGCATTTATTAGACATGAGCAAGAGATGATAGACAGGAGGATATATTTCTGGATATTTCATTGTGTATATGTTCAAAAAAGAGTTAGTATTTGTCTGTTAAAGGTTTTATTATTATTTTATTATTATTTATTTTCAATTTGATAAAAAATCAATGGAGTTCTGTTGGAGATTGCACTCTATTAATAATCATGTTAGTAGTATGTCTCTATATTACTTCATCCAAACAACATACGATGGATACACTCGAGATTTATCGGAGCTTCAAGACGGACCTCAGCGCAGCGGATGCATCTCTGCCAGAATCGGTGATTTTCTCCCTTTTCGAACGATTTGCTGCGCTGTTGGCCACTGTTCTCAGTTCCTCCTCCCGCCGCAGCCCCGGCTTACGTTACCGCCATTCCGCTTCTGCGACCAAAAGTCTCGAGGTGCTACTGGATGACCCCTCAAATCACGCTGCGCTGTCAAGCTGACTCCCTCAAGCCCGCTAGTGTTTTCTCCGGCCGGTTTAAACTGCATGCTTCTCAAGCTCTCATCTCCAAAGATCCTAATCAGCACGCCCGCTACTCAATTCCCACCCAGTGTAAGCTGGTATCGCCGGCCATGTGCACTCTTCCCTTCACTGAGACGTTCTCCGGACTAAATTTTATGAGGTAGCGATCGTGCCACGATAAACGTCCATTTGGACCATGAGGAGAATTCCCGTTACTTCCTTTGGTGGATTAACAAGAAATGCAAAGCAGCCAACCCCCCCCGAGGGCAAGCTTCGCGTTCTGCTGACTGACATCTAATCCCTCCTGGGTCCCATCTACAAAACCAGTCCCCGCGCCGCCATGTCTCGTGTTCAGCGAATGTTCTAGAACCTGCCACAGGCTCTCCCCAATCTTTACGATGTGCATATTCGCGCCACCTTCGCACCGTCTCCAGGTGTCGAACCCGTCTTTACCTTGTTTAGGTGCCCTCCGGTAATCACTTCTCCTGACCGGATCCCTCCCAGTTCAATGCTCATTTTTTCAGCGGCACCAACGATCTCTATCGGCCCCGGCAGAGTACATGAAACGACAACTCTGGTTCAGGTAAGGACAGCTAGCGAAGGACCATAAGGCCGGTAACGTACGTTATTTAACTGAGAACACTCAGAGCCCCTCTGGCTCTGACAACCACGTCGGTGCCCTCGTAGTCGACCCTCGTTCCGCTCCCTTACTCTGGCTTTGGTTTGATTTTCCCATTCTTACCTCCAGCGCTGATGTGTCTGCCATTTCACTCGATACACTACGCCGCCGCCTTGATCTGTGGGCGTCTACCAACGGCTATCCTTCTGTCCTGTTTTCGGACCACGCCGCTCCGTTCCAGTCTGCCGATTACACCGACCTTTGCCACTACTGTATTGGCGTTGAATCATTCACCACCTTGACTTACCACCATAATTCAAATGATAAGGCTGAGATCAGTGTTTTACGTCTCAAGAGCATTCTTGGACAGTAAATGGTTCCCCTGAGGATGCTTTCATCGATCCCCTCCCGCTGCTGGTGTGTGCCTATCAACGCCCTGAATTCTTCTACGGGTGACTCCCCCTTCTTTCTTCCCTGAGGGGTCGAATTCCACTCTCCGGTTGACACCGTTGTGAGACTCGCATCGAAAACGTGGACCCGATCTCTGGCTCCCAAGCGTTCAAAGGTTCACCCATCGCACCTCACTCCTTGCGGCTGAGTCCTCTCGTGAGGAGCCCAGCCTGTCCGGGGATGTGTTCTGTAAGCTCGCATTGCATATCAACCAAAAAAGTTAAACAAGAAACACAGGAATGCAAGTAGGCAGCTCAGTATATATCAAGGAGGATCCGTATTTTTCGCCGTAATTTTTGCCAAAAATTCACACAAACTGCGAGCGAAAACGATTTTTCCACCTTTCATAGCATCGAGTACGCCTGGTTGGCTCAGTTGGTTAGAGCGTTAGTCTCATAATCTGAAGATCACCAGTTCGACCCTGGTACCGGGCATTCGACTTTTTGCTCATAGTAAGTGAATTTTTTTGATCTTCGTGTACTGATCTGCCATCAATCTATCTTTCATTTCTTTAAAAGCAGTCTCGTTATTTGCGTCGTGATTCATTTCTTTTACCGAGTGTTGTCGGTAAAACACGGTACAGAGTATGTACAGTCAGAACAGCACCAGGTCGCTTCTTTCGAATTCCACAGTTGGATAATGATCTTATGGATCTGGGATATTGCCAATCGGAGTATCAACCATTGAACTATTACCTTGAAGGTGAGGGTATTCGTGCTGGGAAGTTCCAACCTCGAGGACCATAGAGACCGAGCGATTCGTCCTTCGTCTCCACTCAATGATAGTTGCTATTAACAAAGAACTGGATACAATACTGACAAGGGTTACGACCCGATACAACTATACAACCCTCGACATTCTCGACAGTCTTGTTGGAGAGACTCCAGCCGAAGACCAGCTGTTTCTTGGAGTCTTTCACGCTGGGTCTACGAACTACTTGTAGCTATTGGCACATTACATGGCACTGTCCTAACCCGCTGTAGACAGTTTGGAATTCCGAGCTGGTGATCTGGTGAGTATTTCATGTATCTTCAACGACCCTGTGACACAGCAGGCAGTCAAGGTATCTCTACCGAATGGGACTTGGAAAGAAGTCCAACAACAAGGATAACAAGCGACCCAAGCGCAAGTCTTTCGAGCAACAGAATCACTCTGACCAGCCCGCCAAGCGAGTAACGTCCCTGCTAGAGGCCCCTCCGATGACGAAACCAACCACGAATTTGATGCTGACCTCTAATATTGTGTTGGACAAGAACATCATTACCATAGCCATCCGACAAGACTCCTGGGAGCTGTGCTCCGAGGGTCTGTCTCAAGAACTTCACTAGCGCATGGCTCTCTATACCCGTATAAAAGCGTGACTTTGTCGAAAAGCTCAAGATAAACACCACTAAGGAGGAACTCAACCTCTTCCAGACTGGGGATCTGGTTATCAGGCCTTTGGACTCATCACTTCCAAGAAACAAGACTCTGAATGCGATCCTCGTCACTAGTGAGCGACAACCAGTCACGCGATTGATGAACTCAGACGAAGCAGCAACAGACCCAATCGATCGAGAAGTCTCAAAAATAATCTTACCGAATATACTCTATGAAGAGAATGCGAAGAAAGTGTCTGAACTAGGCAATGTGGAGATTCACGATCACGTCCATTGATCCCTATGAGCTGCAGTTTAATGACGACAAAAAGTCTGACCATACTGACATGATAAATCAATTTTACACTAGATGGTCTTCGGAATCTTATATGATTGAGGGAGTTTTTGCCCAATGCTCGTAATTTGAACATCTTTTTGATCTCAAGTAATGAGCCATGGGCAAACTGTTGAATAAATCAAAGAATTGAAATAAACAGAAATTAACTGAAGGGAAGTGACTCTATTCAACTGAATTCCTCGTCTTTTCCAATAAATAATGAAAGCGACCATGGCTGACGATGTTTTCCTGACTCTAGCGTCGATAATGCAGGTACCAGATGAGATAAGAACCTTACTTTACACCAAATTTCGGGCGCGGACAGTTCCACTCGCCCTATGCAAGACCCCCGAGGACTTTGCAGCGAGCATGAAGTTACCCAAGCCCGGTAAGAACGTACACGTGTTTTCGACAGCCAGAGCGGAGCTCGGGCCCGAATGTTTGAAACACAGGGCGAGCCATGTGGATAAGAAAACCGGGGATATATCTGGGGTCCAGGAAAGAGTGGAGCCAATATGAGACAGAGGTTGGACAGTGTTAGCGATGCTACAAGCTGATACGAAAAGCTAGCTGGATAACTAACAGCGAACAATTAGCCACTGCGTGTCGATGTTATAGCAGCACTACTACTTCTGGACTGCTACTTTTACTCTGCTACTCCTGGAGCCGCCTTGTCCCTGCTCACACCTGACTAGTGTGATAAAGAGACTTGTTAAATGGGATTCGAAAAGTCGATTCCGAATGATATTTTGTCCAATTGACGCCTTCGGGACCAGTTTGTACAGGCACAGTGGATAGAGCACGTACTCACGCTCGTACTGTATTGTTCGTACTGTATTTATAGTGGAGTTTCCCCACCTATATTCTTACTGTTATTTTTAGTCCTGGAAATCATCTAGTCAAGTTTAGAAACATTTCGATCCAGGTTCCGCAAACGGATACTTGGATTTTACGACATTTAGTTAAAGTATTAGTTAGCCTAGAGAGTCATCGTAATGAGGCCATAGATTGGTGCCTATAGATAATTAAACGTCATCCAACCATCTGACGGGGTTCGACTCTGTTTTTCAACTCGCAGAATCAGTTATCTCCTTACTCATTACAGCTACCATGCTGACTGATACGACAAGCAACATCATGATACTCATAGAGTATAACATGGTAGGGGCAGGCCCATTTATCAATGGTACTGTAACTCTGGTATATTCTTTCAGTCAATATCTATACACTTACACATGATTGAAATACAACTGAGCCTCTTTTGTTCCTCCTACTTCGGGTGTTTCAAATCTTTACTGTTCAACTTATTACTCGATTATTTTCCCACTTCTAGAGAAATGTGAGTGTGCTCAGACAGTGAGTAATTATCAAACCGTAGAGGAAATTTGAAGAATTATGAAGAATTTTATCTTTCCATCCGAGTCACGTGACTCGTTTTTGTTGTACTTGTAGATGCCTATGATAATCATGTCTCTTTGTTGTCATTTCGGTTTCTTCCTCAACTATCTAACTTATGTTCCAACTAATAATCCAACTAAAATCCCAATATTAACTAACCAGCCAAACTCTCCAACTAACTCCAATTGCGCCACCCCGATTAACTTCCACTAGCTGAATCTAACGCCCGTGTACACTTTGGCTAGTCCTGTTGATGCTGTTTATAGTCTTTTTCCGCTGGTAGAACTTCTTTCTCCTTACCAGCAATTATCGTGACCTCTTCTCCAGCATGCCCTACTACGCAGTCTACAGTGGTCGAAGAAGGGGAATTTTTTTCAACTGGCAGGACGCCGAGAATCAGGTGACGGGCTACTCGTACCCCGGACGTGACCGATGTGCACGGCTGGAGGGTGCCGTTCAGCTAATGAAGCAGAATGGTGCCGGCAATATGGCCCGTCTGGTTGACTACGATGAGATCGGCTATGAGCGAGATCTGGTGTATATCACGGCGTGCCAGGGGGCAGAACCTGGTCTTCTGGGCTCTGCGGTATTTTTGGGCTCCGGAAACCGCTGCAACCACGCCACCTTGTCTCCTTCAAAGACTCTCAGTAGGGCCAGACTAGAGGCCATCTTGCACTTCTACAAAGAAGTCATTTCCAAGAGCTCCAAGTCCGATCCTGCCACCGCTGCATCGTACAAATATGACCATTGGCCGTCGTGGGAAATCCGCACCGACTCTCGAAGCATAATCGAACAGGTGTCTGAAAGTGTGCGACGATGGACCTTTGATGCATGGAGAGAGGGCGAGATGGAAAATGGCGACTTGTTGCACGAAATTGCAGAGGAACATGGCAAGTTGCGAAATCCGGACTTTGTGATTTTCAGACATGTGGAAAATTCCACCGACGGAGGTTCTCATGAGTGTGCACAGCTGGCTTATGGAGCCACCAGAGAGTGTCCGTTGTGCCATAGACCTTTTGCTGTCGCTGATATGAAGATTCTTCGTGGAGAAAGGTCATAATGGAGAATAAAATAAAATCATGACAAAATCATGACAAAATCATCACCAAACTCCATCACCAAACTCCATGGGCAAAATTAATGGTCTTTGACAGACACAACCGCAACAGAAACTTGCAGCGTATGAGCTGAGACAGTCGTCTATATTCGAGTATGTACTGTTATGTACAATACAAGAACTGGCATTTAAATCACATCTCAAAGTTGTTGATCCACTATTCGCCGCCATTGTTCATGCTCAACTGAGTCTTTCACCCGGCTCTCCCTGTACTATCCGTATTAATGAAAATATAAGAAGTAACGAAGGATACTATGCATAATCAGGCCTTATCTATGCACCTGAACAGACGTAGATGGAACAGCGTAGACGGCGGAATTTTTGTAAGATAAACATCGAGTATTGTAAAGAACTATCACGTGGCAGAATTTCTTCTTTGGAGCTATTTCTGTGTACTTTTACCTTGTTTTTCTTTCGCCCAAGACTTTAACGAAGGATAGCAACAGGAGCAGGTTTCCACTTGTTATAGAGGAGTCATGGCCAAACTTATATATTACAACGTATTCAATTTCCTTTGGTTAGTTCATTTCCGTTTACTTATTTCTTATCGGGGCAATTTTGGGCGAGTTGAAGGTCGTCATATGGTGGTATCAGTATCTTAGTGATACAACCAGAGACGACCCAAACATAGTTAGGAGAACATCAATTGACCAGGCTCTATCCCATAGACTAGTGTACCAGCTATTACTTGTTGAATTGATCACCTCGGGAGTCTTCCGGTGCACCATTCCAAGTTCTGGACTGTGTGTTGGGTCTATATGACTGTTGTAAGTAAATAACTACTTGTAAATTCCAACAATACTGGTTATCAACAGAAAACAGACTGTCAGATGCAATACTGATGAAGTTGCCACGATTTCTTGCCGTTCCCGACTCTTCAGACTCACCGATGATGCCGAGTCTCCCGCCGATGACAACGGTCGTCTTCATGACTCTCGGCAGGAATCCATGCACACCACCATGATGATCCACTCGCGGCTGTTACAGGTCTCCCAGAAGTCCAGCATACTACTTATAGCATCTAAGTCGCTTCAAGTAGACATGATGATCCGTCGCAGTACTCGCACATGGAAAGAGTCAATAAGAGAGACCAATGGCTCGCGAAGAAGGGGTAAATGTTGATCACGTGATCTTTACGCATGTTACTTGTACTTGTACCATTCCATCATTCTATAAGCACTGTTTTCAGATCTCAAAGTTGACATGCTCTCTACAGGTCTAAGTGCAGGTTTGATGAACATGTCCAAAAAGTCTTAGAAAACACTTTCAACAACATAAGCACACCAATGGTTGCGATTGAAGTCTGAATCCGGTCCGAGTTCCGCGTAATTACATCATATCAACTCCACTGTAACACATTACTTGGGTCTACCGCCGAATTCTGACATGTTGGTCTCCGAAGCTTTTCACAGTTTGCAGCAAGGGCTCAGAACAGCATAGAGAGTCATTCTAGGAATCTAAAGAGATGATTCAGACGGAATATATTTCGCCCTATTTTTCGATGAATATCATGGAAAAACGAAATGGGCCGTTTTCGGGCACAAAACGTCGCCTGGTTGGCTCAGTTGGTTAGAGCGTTAGTCTCATAATCTGAAGATCACCAGTTCGACCCTGGTACCGGGCACTTGTTTCTTTTTGCATCAATAGTCAGAAGGGCACACGAGTTTTTTTCTTTCAGGTATCAAAAAGGAGTCAAGCAAGCTTTTAGTGCTTTATCGATACATCTTTGTCGTATCTCAACTTACAAGTACAACCTTTTTAGCCCTCAAGTGATAGGTTTTCTTTGGCTTATCAATCAAATCCACGATATAGTAGTAAACGAGGGTGTTAGATATATTTTAATGTCGGAAGTGGCAGTGCATGAAAGAGAGAGAGAGAGAGAGAGAGAGAGAGAGAGAGAGAGCTATTACTAAAGTGTTGGTATCAATAATGGTACCAGAACACTCATACGGGGAGCTTCCTATCTCTAACAACAAAAGTCCATATTCAGGCAGCAATACTGGGACAACCAACGACAAATCTGTTCCTTAACGCATTAAACAGAGACCACTTTGTTTCCACCGTTACCGACCTCACACCGAACAATGTGATCGAACACCTCGAGGGGCTCTGGAACATGCTATTGCCAACAATACCTGATCCGAAACTCATGTCAATGGATCAAGTATACTTAACTAGCGGCTAGCTACCTAATTATATTACTTTGGTGAGGAGAAACCTCCTGCATCTCGAAAAAATCAAAAAAGGTGTTTTTTTTGTTCTAATGATTCATTACAGCTATATAACTAGTTAGCCGGGTTATTGGTGTTCAATAAATCATACACTTATGAGTCGTTTCGGTGTGCGCTGCGAGGCGCGTGTCAGTTGGTTTGTCGACGCTTCGTCTAGTTCTTGTCCTTGTCGTGATTCTTGTCGTGGTCTCGTGGTAGTGAATCATTGCTAACAGATCAAGTAATCGTATCAATCGTTCCACGTCTTATCCAGACTCGATTTCCGCCCTAACCTAAGGAAACTGCTGAGTAATTTCGAGGTTGGTTCCTAACAAAAGCCAAGAAACGCGCCGATGGTTTAGTGGTAAAATCCATCGTTGCCATCGATGGGCCCCCGGTTCGATTCCGGGTCGGCGCAGGTTGGTTACGGCCATATCCTGGTGAAAATACGGCTTCCCGTCCGATCAGCCATAGTCAAGCACCAGAGAGCCCAGTTAGTATTGTAGTGGGAGACCATACGAGAATCCTGGGTGCTGTAATCTTTTTGCCGCTTCGACCAGTCCCTGGGCGTGGCGAGTGGGCTGTGCTTTTGTCTCATAGGCTGTGTTCTTCTGCCGTTATCACTTTTCATGGCGTTTAAAAGCTCTCTTTTAACGTAGATGTTCTTCGGCGCGAACAATCAGCGAGTATGTACTTGAACGCCGTTTTATCTTGATATGCCAGGCTATGGCGATTCAATGGAGTTGTGTTGGTGTAACTAGTTCCACTGTCGTGTACAACAATCTCGTGACTGACTGTGTCCTGATCTTCTAACATTGCCACCACTTGCAGTAGTCGTATCGGTACTCGTACGAACTCATAGGTGCATGTATGATGCCAAGTGCCGTTTGACTTCTTCTCACCACCATGACTGAAGAGAAGAGGAAGGAGAACGTGGATGCTCAGGACGCATCTGACGTCGAGGACAACAGCGACACCGCCTCGAGCGACACCTACGACTCCCACGATCCAGAGTCGGAATACTACGATCCTGAGAACGGGTTTCGGAAACAGCCGATTGAAGAGGTGCGCCAAAAGGTTGAGGAGATGGAGCAGTGTTATCTAGACGCGCAGGCCGAAATGAAGGAACTCGCAGAAATGATGGAGAAGTACAAGTCCCTTAAGTCCAAGTGCAACAAGCTGTCTGCCTACCGGGTCTACCAGGGGCCGTGGAGTGTGTACATGGAACGAATGGAGCAGGAGTTTCCCAACGAGAAGTTTGAGATACACGAGGAGAACACTCTGTTCAATATCAGTCAGCAGTTCGATGAGCTGACCAACGAGCTTCTGAGAGAGTCTGCGTTGCAGGTGACCAAAGATGTGTAGCTGTAGTAATGGTCAGGAAGGAGATGTGCACTTGACCCAAAGTTGATAGGATCCTCTCTTCGGAATCAGTTCTTTCCTGGCTTTCAGACAGAGCTGGAAGGAAGAAGTCGCAGCAATGGGGGTACAGTGCCTGGTCTCGTGCTTGGGCCCATCAAATTGATTGTATAGAGATAATTCCATTTATCCGGTGTATCGATGAGTATTTTCAGGGGAAACCGAACAACTAGACTGTCTTAGAGATAGAAAAGGACTACAAATAGGAGAGGGGATGGAGATAAGAGAATGGTTGGAAGTAAGGGGGCATAGGAGGAAAACAGGACGTAAAGGGAACGTGAACAACCGCAATTCACAGTCTATTGTCACTGGGTTGTTGTATCTGTTTATCCTATGGGTTGTAGCTTAACAACAGGTAGGCCGTATAGACATGATGATGTAATGGACACCCAACTTATGGTCTACTTTACTGTATGTTGGAGTGAATCCAATCAGATTACAAGTACTGTACCAGTACAATATCTCCAATTGAACGCTCTAAGCCAGTCCGTTTCAACATTTCAGAGCCAGTATCCAGCATCTACATGATGTCGCATTGTAGCACTCACCAACAAAGTACACTTAAAACCTATGCCTCTCAATTGCAATTTTTCAAGCGAGAAGCATCTACTTTTACGACACTCGTACTTGGACATAGTAATGGATCTGTCTCAACCATGCTTGAACGGCGGTTGATCCAGACATTTAGAAGACTGACTGAGTATCCAACGGGCCTACTTCACCTAACGCGACTACTCCATCAGTTTGTCCTTGTCCCAACTCCCGGAAGGGCCCGTTCCTCGATGAAACACACTTGCAGTCTGCGTGTCACATCTGGAAACTATCTGAAACGCTTCAGGGGAAGAGATTGTATTCCGTACCAGCAATATACTAATAAACACAGACATTGGCGATATTACCCTCTGGAATGTGCTGTACAGAAGGTGTTAGTTTGGTTACGTCCGGTATCGTACGAATCGTCATACGAGTATGTACTGTATATACTGTACTTGAACAAGTGTGATGCACTTTACTCATACAACATCGTAGGGACAGTTGTATGGAATCATACGAACCACCTACAATCACCATTACACCGCATGGTCTTCCCATTGCTGCTCGAAAAACAGTTTGAACTCGCCCCCAGCTCTTCTGTCAAGACAGCACAGTCTGTTTCTGCTTGTCTTGAGTCCATTGTCCATTGTCCATCGTCTATTGTCCCTTTATTATCTCCTTCAGACTCACGAAACATGTTATTATATAAAAAACACAACTGGCATAACATTGACTCCGTCGCCCACGCCCATAAAAAACGCTGGAGACAATCACTCTATCGTACAGTTAACAGACGGCGGTACGAGTTGGTACCTCCAAGAGTTGTAGCCCATTCCCGCTCCTAAATACCCCAACTCCGAGCCCTTCCCCTTCTCTCCAGACTTATATAAGCCCCTTTTAGATCCCGGTTCAGATGCCGCTACTTGTAGTACGAGCGCACTTGTACGAAATTAGACCAAAAAAAGCTCTTTTCAAAAAACAACACTTACAATATATTATCTGCTCCAAACAAAGTTGGGTTATTTTTAAATTTTGCCCCTGGAATTTGTGCGCGTGCTGTTGGCGTTTTCCGAAACGAGAAACCCTAGCCGCATCGCTGATTGGTGGTGGAGACGTCCAAAACACGGCCAAAGGCAGCGAAATCGACCTAAACAAACAACAAATCAGCCGCATATACCCCCATATTACCACGACAACACCATTTCGCCACCCTACCCTAACCGCCAAACGACAGTCGGACCACACTCACTAGCAGCCTAAAGTTCACTCGCACGGCTGAGAGGTACGCTATACAGTGCCCAGTTGAAGAACATTTGCCCGAGGGTTGCTTAGGCTGAGAAATCGAGACGGTGGTCACGTGACCGAGGGCTGGCTCCCTCCGACCACGACTCGGCAAACGAGACAGACACAGAGAGGGGACAACACGTGACGTCTATGAGTCCACGGGCCCCTTCTTCCCTTCTCCCGTCTCCGCCAGTGTATTATTGTCGACACCCGTTCGGGATACATCAAAATAGGAGTAGTGCCAAACGTTAAAAAGTGAAAATAAACTCAGTCGTACACGAGCACTGTAATACACGAAACTATCACCACTCCAACCTCCATCTACATCTCAGAAAAAACCGCACGACTCGGCTCAAAACCCCCCACAAACACACACACAACTAATGAGGTGGTCCAGTCTACTACTACTGGGCTCGCCGGCTTGGGCAGCGTACGCGGTGCATCCGGTGGAGCTGCCGAAACTCAACACGGACAATTTCGGCGAGATGGGCATTCTGGGCGACTATGACGGCATTTCGCGGGTCGAATATGGCGGTCAGCAGAACTTTTCGTCGTTCTCAGGCTCGCAGGTGGCACAAATAGGCCACGACTCACCGCACGTGATAGCGCAGGTCAATTCGTCTGTGCTGATTAGTCTGGCCCAGGTGCAACTGACGCGAAACCAGACCATCAAGCAGTGCCAGCTTGACAACAATCTATATATGACGGACGGAAGGGGCTTGTGGACGGTGGACATTGCCGAGGGAACCGTCAACTCGATCATCACGGGCCTGAATGGTACCATCCACGCACTCTTCTGCGATAGCAAGGAGGGCTCGGTGCTTGTGGGAGGAGAAATGGAAGGAGGAGTGGCGCAGTGGGACACGCAGAAGCAGGATTTTGCGGTTCCCAGCTTTGGAGGATTCAAAAATGGGTCTGTCACCGGCATCACCAGACTGGGCGACAATCTGGTATTCACAGGCTCGTTTGAGGGCATTGTCAACGACAAGGGCACCAACCACACGGTCCAGCACAACGTGACCGACATCACCGATCTTGATTTGACCGGTCTGGCTTCCAACCAGACCACTTTGGAACTGCTTTCAAATGGCCAGAATGGTTCTAACTCGTCAGAAACTCTCCAGGAGATTGCTCGAAAGGTGAACCAGACAATCAACGCACCCCAGCAGATCTCCTTCCAATCTGCACAGATCCAAGCCGAGGGAACAGCGGGCGATGTGAACCCGAAGGATATTTCTTGTCCAGGATCCACTTCGTGGGCTCTTACTCCCGACAGACAGGGCACCTGGCGAGCCAACTTTCCCTACTCGTTCACACCGTCGACAGTTGTCATTGATAATCTTCCAGAGTCGTCTGGAGGCGGCACTGAGATGCTGCGGTTCCTGGCGTTTCCTCTGAACGGTATCATGAACCTCAGTTATGTGGACCAGGACGGACAGAAGAAGTACTGCGACGCTTTTTGTCCTATGCCGCAAGGAGGCTCGCGTGAGTTCACCTTTGTCAACGATATTGGCATGAACTCTTTCCAACTCGATTTACTATCCTTCTATGGTAATCATGCTGGTCTTTCTGGGGTGCAAATGTTCCATGCTGAGCGATTCACTTTCGCTGACAACCAGCTTAACGAAGGTAACGGGTGCTCTAAAAACATGACGCAGGCCACAAATGCCACCGCACAGGGTGATTTCAGTACCCAGGGCACTTATTTGACATCTTCCATCGACTCTCAACAGCAACTGGACGACACACAAGTGTCCTTTTCACCGAACGCTTCCTATTCCGGAAACTATACAGTGCGTCTTTTCACCCCTGGATGTATCCAGGACAACTCTTGTGATGCTCGAGGTGGTGTTGATGTCACTGTGCAGACTTCTCCCTCTGACAGTCACTCCATGACTCTCTTCCAGACCAACAACGAGGACAAGTACGACACCATTTTTTCTGGCCCCATCAACGTGACGTCTGGTTTCCATCCCTCAGTCATTCTCAAGCCTTCCGCAGAGGGTCCCATTCCTCGAAACTTTGTGGCTGACCGTCTTCAGTTCACCATGACGTCGGTGTCTAACCTGACACAGATTTTTGGTGACTCGTACCTCAACTACACCTTGTTGGGCGGCAAGAATGGATCTCGACTTGTGAACAGCTCCGAGATTGTTGACATCCGCAACATCTTCGAGTACTCGCCTGGCAACTTTTCCACCGCCAACCAGACTGTTGGAAATACTACTCTCAACCGACTGGGACCTCTGATTAACGGTCGACTGACTTTCATTGAGACTTCTGAATCTGATGACGGCGTTGTTCTTGCTGGTGACTTCATTTCTCCTATTGGAAAGAACCTGCTTCAGGTGGGCAATGAGTCTTCTCTGTTCCCCAACTCCACCTCCGCCAACAAGACCGATATTGATGGTCCCATCACCATTCTGACATCTATTGAAGGCACCATTGTTGTCGGGACTTCGTCCGGTCTGTTTCATCTTGATGGAAATGCTCTTCGTCGGATTGACGGAGTTCCCGGCTCTGTGGATGCGTTGGTGGAGTACACTTTCAACGACACCAGGCACGTTTGGGCAGCCACCGGCAACAACTCCAATACCTCTGTGTTTTTCAACTCGACAACGTGGGAGAAAACTGAGCTTCCTGTGTCGGCCTATCTTCGAGCTGGAGGCAGCAGCGATGCTGTGACTGTTTATCTCGGTATGCTTTCCATGTCGCAGGTTGAAGCCAAAGGTGCCGTTTATCTTGATTCTGACTTGAATCTAGTTCCCGTCGCGAAATTAGGCAACAGCTCTACTTTGACCAAGAGACAACAGTCCAATGAGTCCGATTCTAACCAGACTGCCTCCTACTACACCGGTCACTATGTAAACGAATCGACTCTTGTGCTTGGAGGCAGTGATCTGACGATTCTGCAGGATGGTATCAACGTGGGACCTACCAACTCGCTTGGCTACCCTGCCAATATCACGTCCTTGGCCTCTTCCAACTCGTCTAACATGCTGTTTATTGGTGGTGCCTTCTCTTCCGACATTGGATCGACTCAGGTGATTAACCTCGCCTTCTATGATCTCGACAACAACGGCTACGCCTCTCTGCAGCCACCGGGACTCACTGGTGGCAACGTGACTCGCCTTGAGTACCGAGCGTCTTCTCAGACGCTTGTTGCAGCTGGATCGTTCGGCATGGCTGGTTCTCTTATGTGTTCAGCCTTCTGCTTGTACGATCTTGACGCTGCTCGATGGAATTCTCCCTCGTCGTCCATCTCCGGAGTCGTCAACTATCTCGAGTTTTTGTCCAACGATGTTCTTCTTCTTGGCGGAAACATGACGTTCGACGACCAGACGGCCTCCGTGGCACAGTTTGATTTTTCCACCGGCGAGTTCTCGTCCATCATAGACGGCAACCAGACAGACTTTGAGGCCGTGCAGATTGTCATGACAAACGATGATCTTACCAATGTGTATGTGGTTGGCAAGAGCCCGTCTGGCCAGAAACTCGTGCACTGGAACGGTACTGTGTGGGACGAGGTGTCTATTCCTGGTTTGGAAGACACTTCGTACATCTCATCCCTACAGCTGTTGCAGACTGGGGGTAAGAAGAAGCGAGACAATGTGGTGACACTGGATACTGATCAGCTGCTTATGATCTCAGGAGACATTCAGACCAACCAGGGCAACTTTTCGTCGGTCCTGTTTGACGGACAGTCGGTACTGCCCTTCTTGGTGACACAAAGTAAGTCGGGACAGGGATCCATTAACGGCTTTTTCTCACAGAGCTCCAGGTCATACTCTCCCATTCACAAGAAAAAGAAGATGCGACGGGGTTTTGTGGTGCTGGTGGCGCTGGCCGTGGCTGTCGGTGTTATGTTCCTCATCGTGGGCATCGGCATCATTGCTACTTGTCTGCGTCGACGCAACAGTGGATACATGTTGGCTCCTGGCCGAGTCAACGAGGCAGAAATGACCCAGTCGGTTCCTCCGCAGAATCTATTCGAGGATCTCCATGGGTACAACAACAACCAAAAGTTTTGAAAAGTTTTGATAGACGTTGAATTTATTTATACACATTGCACACAGGCTTAAATCGCAAAGTGTTGCGTATTGTAGCTGCTATTCTGTAGATCATCGGACGTCCGTGGATGCTCTGTTAATCACTTATGTAATACTGTACCCTGTAGTAATAGTTGCAATTGTCACTGAGGACTTATGATACTAATACTGATGTGACCGCTGCTGAATTCGGACAGTCTCATTCACCAGCAAATGAATGGAATCATTCCAAGCATTGAAGGAGTCTCTGTCATGTGTGTGGTCCTTCAGCTATGTTGAACTAGCTGATACTCTTCGTCATGCCCATCTTCATAGTCTTCCACCACCTTTCCTTCTCCGGTTTCTTCGACAGATCATACTCTGCCCTTCCAGGATCAACCTTGGTATGTACTGTCAACATCTTCTTTAGCCCCTCCATCATCTTGGACGAAAAGTACCATGCTCCAAACTCGCCGTTCGAATAGCCAGCAAATATGTGACTGGCATCATCGGCCGTCTCGATATCAGTAACGGTACCATTAGCCAAATCAATGATTTCAGCTCCTGCTTCGGTTCCGTAGCACGTGTACCGCTGTGCGTCACGTGATTTACTTCCCTGATCGCCCCAAAACCGACCATCTATGCCATGGATCATTCGGTCTTTGCGGTAGTACATGTTGGTTCCGTCCAGGAACACAGGTATATAGGCCAGGCCCTTTCCTGTGCACTTTGTAAACCAAACAAGCCCGTTGAAAGTGGCCACAGCGTCGATATTTGCTGACGTTGAAAATAGATCAACCATGCGTTTGTGATACAAGTCAGCCAAACGAAACGTTCGCGATGTCTGAGGAGCATCTTGGTAGTAAGTCGAGATGTAACTTGATCTGTTGGAGAACTCTGGAGATTCGTAGTACTTTTGGCTGTACCCAAATCCCTGGCCGTCTCGAAAATCAGTTGAGACACGTGGCAACAAAAAACATTCTGTTCCTGAACGAGCCACTATCACAGCGTCATTCATATAAATGTTGGTCAATTCGGCCATTTTTGCTGGTAGAACCACAGAAATGTCCTTGTAAGTCACTTGTACCTTGTGGCCGTCCACTGAGTCGATCCTGCCCATCTCATCTCTCCCTGGAATGATTTCACGAGCCCTCAGAGACCGTCCATCGATAGCGTACTTGTCTTTCAAAATGAGCTCTTCATTGACCTTGGAGTGATCGCAACCAACTAGGAGACCTCTGAAATCGCTCGGAAGACGTCCATATACCTGTATAGCAGGCAGGATCCGAGCTTCCGACTTTTTCCCTGGAGGGGTGTCCACCTGCTCAACTGACTCGATAGCCCTCCATTTAGAGCTGCGCAAACGCGCCACAAATACCAGGGCACAATCTGTCCACGTCTCTAGTTCCGATCCGGCTTCTCCTGGCTGAATCACAGCATTTCGTCCCAGCACCTTGTGTTTGACAATCTCATCGGCCTGTTTGAAGGCCTCGTTCCAGAAAGAGCTAACTTGCCGGAGATCAACACAGGCCTCAATCTCACAAAATGAGAATATGGCGAGCGCAATCTCGAGCGGAATGGCACTCTCAGCCATGTTTTCAGTCGGTTTTATCGCCATATCAAGGTGTCGTTGTGGGGTTACATCTGCATCATGCATTAGTTGCATATTCCGATGCATGTCGAACCTTGTTATGGAAATGATCATCGGGAAACGAAACACATGAAACACATCGCGGCAGTTATTTCCACGCAAGGTTTATGTAGTCACGTGCAAATCACATGTGAGTGTGTCATCACGTGAGAAAAAAAATGTACATTTGCTGATATATTGTGTAATAACGCGGTTCCACCAGATACCCACAAGACTACTTTGTGGATCTAACTATAGATACTGACTTTGGATCTGACTCTTCATTTGTGTGTAAGAGTCATGGATTAGACAGCAGATTCTCTCTGGAGATAATAGGAATCATCTGCATGGGTTTCAGTACTGGTACTTGTAGCTCGTCTATGATTAGATCAATTATTACTAATATACAATGTTTGAGTGACCCATGAAGTAGACCCTGTCTCTTCTACTTCCTCTCCAAAATATCCGAATTCTTGGCCTTTTCGGCATACTTCAAAAGCTCCTCTCTAGGGTCCTGTCGATACGCCTTGTCAGTGGTAGCATCAACATGCTTCTGGTCAGGGGTTCCCCAAACATCCAGCTTATTGTCTGGGTGGTGACTAGCGGCCTGCTTCTTGCGCTTCTGGTTGTCTTTGTGGAAGTCGTCAGCAAAGGGGTTGACAGTTTTGAGCGACGTGGACGATACATCGACGGTCTGAAGAACATCGTCAATGTCTCGCTTTCGATGGCCTCGCTCAAGAACCGCCAGGGCCCCCTTTGAGGACAGCTCAGGGGAGAACAGCATCTGTAACTGCCCATTTTCGAGTCCTAGGCAGATCTGATTGAGGCCCGCGTGCCAAGAAACACATTTGGCAGGTGATCGAAGCTTGCATTTGTAGACCTCAGCCAAGTCACTGCTATCAAGAATCCGTAACGAGTCAGAAACAGCAACTATGTACTTCGAGTCTGGTGAATAGGCAGTGCTGGTAACAACTTCATCAAGGTTGTTCTCCAGTTGAACCTTGAGATCCTTGGAGAGGATCTTCAGAGACTTGTCGGTGGTCGTGACCACCAGGTTGGTACTATTGGATGTCAAACTGGTCACCTCCACCTGTAGAGTAGACATAGATCTGGAGTAGCCATTGGACTTGCTATAGGTTATCAGAGAGTCCTTGGTAGCAGCAACGATGAGGCCATCCAACGCTGCTAGATGGTAAACCACCCCAGAATCGTCACCAGCGACCTTCTTGACCCCCTTGGTCTTGGTCACAATCACATTTGTCTGCTTCAGAGACCCAGGAGTGTACTTCCAAATCCGCACTGTCTGGTCACGTGAGGAGGTCACAAACTCACAGCCGCCCAGTGCGATACCCGTTAGTACCGTCGCAGTATGTCCCTTTGTGTTCTGAGGCGTCACGAGGTACATGTCACCTTCCACAGACTCTGCCAGTTCCTGTCCGTCTCTACTGTAGATCTTGACTTTCTTCGTCTCAGAAACGGCCAGAACAATGTTGCTGGGATCATGTGCCAGGCAAGTGACTTGGGCATCTTGATCCACCTCTCTGAAAGGCTTATCAAGAGTGGGGAAGTCATAGAACTCCGTTTTTCGTCCGGTGGCCAGAATCAATCTGCTGCCAGACTTCTCCTGAACAAGGCACGAGACTGGCTGTTTCGAGATGCTCGCAAACAATTCATGTGATATTGGCAGTTCGTCGAGTTCGTCGTCGTCATCGTCATCATCGTCGTCATCACCGTCGTCGTCATCGTCGTTGTCGTCATCGGTTTGTTGGCCTTTTGGCTGATTTCGATGCTTGAAGTCCTCACGAAGAGCAAGGCTCAGCTTGTGGTCGAGATTGGACGTCTCCTGCTGTTTTCCAAACGATGTGAGCTGTGTTAGAGCCGTTCTTGAGTAGTTGCTGTGCCCCTTGCCACTAGTACTCACCTCCATTGTGTGCTCAAGATGTTTCAACAGGCCAAGTACCAACGTTACCATATTTGCATGCTACATGCACAATCCTCTTGCACAGACGAAAGACCCGATGACTAAGCAACTTGGTCTGGGGGCCCACAAACACGTGCTTCGAGCGTTCCAGAATAATACGAATCTTTCTATCAATACCCCTCACAATCATTCAATCGCGTCCCCCCATGGCCAAAAAATATACTCTCGCTTAATCTATCTGCATGCATAATCGATTTTTTTACATCTTAACCATCACCAGCAACAATGGGCAAAGACACCAAAGAGGCCAAAGACGGTAAAGACAAGAAGGAAAAGAAGGAAAAGTCGATGAAGGCCCGAGAGGGACGAGACAACCAGGTGTACTCAGCCTCGGGGTCGCGGGTCGTGGCTGGCTGTGTCTGTGTCAATAATGACTCATCTCAGGTGCTCATGATTTCGTCGGCGGCCCACCCCAACAGATGGATTCTTCCCAAGGGAGGCGTGGAGAAGGACGAATTGAGCGTGGAGGGCGATTTCAGTGAGTCTGCCGTGCGAGAAACGTGGGAAGAGGCCGGAGTCACGGGCAAGATCTCAAAATACCTCGGCAAGTACGACGACATGCGAAAACCCATCGAGTACAAGGACAGCCTGATTCCCAAGACGGAGTTCCACTTTTACGAAATGGAGGTCGAGAACCTGGCAGATGTGTGGCCCGAAAACCGAAAGCGAAAGTGGGCAGGGTTTGAAGAGGCCAAGGCTGATCTGACCAAGGCCAAACGTCTGGAGCTCATCGAAGCTTTGAAGGACAGTTCCCTGAAGAGATAGGTGAGAGATCTGTCTCTACTACTGAAAAATACTTGATATTTATTGCGTTCACACTACATCCAAGTATGTACTCGTACCTACTTGTACACTTCAACGTTATCACCATGTATTATAACTTATGCTTGACTTTTTATAGAAGATGCGAGCATCTCAGATTAACGTTCCAGCTTGTGGAGCACGCTGCATTCGTACTCCTTGTCACGTTCGATTCGTCTTCCACAGCTTATCTTTCTGACCTCCAAAGAAGAACCCCGAACTGTTCTTCATGTTGGGACTCTTGGCCGGGTTGGGCTGGAAAGTATGTGGAATATCCTGATTAGTAATCGTGATGTCTCCGTCGTCGTCTTCGCCCTCGCTGTCTGCTCCCACGTGATGCAAAGTGACAGAGTTGAAATTCTGGAAGGGGTCGTAATCGCCCTCCCGCCCGTAACTTCGAGGTCCCGCCACTGAATTGGTTGATGATCGGTCAGTGTTGACCGACAGCACCGACGATATCGACTTGTCCTGCTTCTTGTCGGTCACAAAGTCCACCGACGAAGAATCCTTCATGGTTCGGAAGTTGACAGCATCAGCTCCCCGACTAGGAACAGGAACCAAGGGAGGCGTTTGGTTTCGTAGCAGAGCCCACTGTGTGTTTTTGAAGAAGGGATGGTTCTTGATATCAGATGCACCAGCCTTGGAGCCCATTCGCTTGTGTTCATCCTTGATCAGCAGCTTTCGAATCAGATTCTTACACGACGACGAAATGGACTGGTATCCCGAGCCGCTGGGAAAGTTGACTTCCTGTTTCAGAACGTTAGAGAAGGTCAGGTTTCTGTTCTTGCCCTTGAAGGGAGTCATGCCGAACAGCATCTCATAGATGAGAATGCCCAAGGTCCACCAATCCACCGCGGAAGTGTGTCCGTTACCCCGAATGACTTCGGGAGCAATGTACTCCTCGGTGCCGACAAACGAGTTGGTTCTGAAGTTTGCAATGCACGATTTGGTGTCCAATTGGGGCACGTTGGTGGAGCTCTGGATAGTTGGTGCACCAAGCTGCTCCGATTGCTTGGACAAGTCGAAATCAGATAACATGATGTGGCCAGACTGATGCAACAAAATATTCTCGGGCTTGAGATCCCGGTAGATGTATCCCATCAAATGCAAGTACTCCAGAGCAGCAGTCACCTCGGCAGCGTAGAACTGTGCGTCGGCCTCCGCCACACACTTTCGCTCGCGGGTCTGAAGCGCTCGGAAAAACTCACCTCCCATGCAATACTCCATACACAGGTACAGGTAGTCATTCGACTGGAAGGAGTGGTAGAGGGTGACGATGAAGGGGTGGTTGGATGTAGCGAGAATCTCCTGCTCGGCAAATGCTCGCTTGATCTTATTTCGCTTGATCATCTCCTTCTTGGATAGCACCTTCATGGCATATAGTTTGGTTGACTTCTTCTCTTTGACCAGGTACACCTTTCCCACGTCTCCCCGTCCCAGCAGTCGGATCTTCTCGAACGACGAGGGCCCCACCTCCACATCACAAACCTTTATCGAGTTGGATGAGTAGGTTCGTGCAAACGACTTTGAGTTGGTTCGAGATCGCGACTGGGGGGTGGCTGATCCGGAGCGGCTGTTCTGGCCGTGGCTGCCGTTTCCGTGATTAATGCCGTCGTTGAGAGGCGCAGAGTGGGTTCGGTCTCTGTCGGTAATGGGGTCCGAGGGATGTTGCTGCTCCTCCCGCACGAGGTCCTGCAGACGCACATCTTCCGAGCCGGCAGGAATAATAGGCAGATGCTGTTGATGGTGGCCACCGGAGTGAGAATGCGAGTTGGAAATGGCATTCTTGACGTTGGGTTCTGAAGCCACCCGTCGAATGTTCTTACGGGGATGCTGTCCGGGCACGCCGAGACCTCCGTAGTTGCTGCTGTTGTTGTTGTTGTAGTTGTAGTTGTTGCTATTGTTGTTGGGGGAGGGTGAGGAAGGAGGCGAGTGGAAGTTTGGCGAGTTGGGAGAGGCGGATCCGCTCATATGCGCAGGCTGAACGGGCCACTCGTCGACCACGGGGACAGGCTTGGTGGAGTCCATGGGGTCGACGGCCTCGTCCTCCGGGGTGTGTGCTGCCAGGTGTTTGGGGTAATGCAACTTGGGGGCAAACTCGGAAGGGATGTCCGGCACGGTGGGGACGGAGCCGTGGTGTTGGTTGTGCTGGTCGGGTGTGTTTGTGTCCTTGGTGGAGGGGGTGGAGGGCGATCTACCCCGCAGAAACCGCTGTTTGAACGACGATTTGGTCTCCTTGTCGTCAGGCGGAGGCGAGGTGTTGGACGCGCCCGGGACGCCCTGGACATGGATCGTGGGCGTGGGGTCGTATTTGGGGAATGCAATTTCTTCGTCGGGGCCGTTGCCCGAGTTGGCCACGGGGCTGTTTGTGTTGTTGAACTTGAAGAAGCTCTTGAGCCGTTGGGGGAACGTGATCTCTTTGCCCGAGTCTTTGGCGGTCGTGGTGTCGTCTCCCGGACCTAGAGTGAGGGCTGCCGACGCCGACGTCGACCGGTTTCGCTTAAACACGTCGTCTACCATCTTTGTGGGTTGGTTGGTGTGAATTAGATGGGCTGTGCAGAGCGGTTGGATGTTTGTGGAACCTTGTGTCTGGGTGCTGTGTCTGTTTCCTGGTCGTCTGTGTGTACGTGGTCGTCTGGGGTCACTTGTCTGGGCTGGTGGAGTCTTCCTTTGCCGCCACTCTCACAAATGCAATAAGTCAAAGTGCAGTCAAGTCAAGTCAAGGCCAGTAGTCGAGGCGAGTCAGCTGGCTGTCGGTGTGTACAGAGTCTATGTGCTGTCTCTGCGAAGCTAGCTAAGGCTAATATGCGGGTCTCCGCTAAATGTCGCAAGCCCAAAAGGAAGGTTGAGAGGGGACGATGGGGACCCGCGAGCGGTGGCTGGCTGGGGCGGGTTTGGACATGAGCGGACTCGCCAGAGCCAGGCGGTTAAATCCGTGCAACTATCTCGCCAATCCGCCCTCAACACGTCCTCCGGGACCCTCCATCGTCCCCCAAGACCGGAGTTAACACGCGTTATTTCGGAAACCCAAACCCTACGCCCGGTCTCACCCTCGTTTATTGCGTTAATCTGGGCTCCGAGAATGGGTTTCGGGACAAGCTCAGTGTGCACGAGCTTCTGCTTGGGACGGCGTTTGAGACGTACCTGGGTTATGTAAGCCGCCATCTCCGGAGCCACACCTCCGTCACGTCTCTTTTTCGTGTTCCCGTGCCGCCCTGATGCCGTTTCGGGCTCACAACCACGAGCTTCTTTTTCTTGTATTGATGTCTCACATACAGTAGACTATTGGATTGTAGCTACTGTAGCTACTTGTAGCCATCATGCCTGGTCTGGGAAGTGCTACTTGTAGTAGCTTGATTCGGTAGACTGAACACGTGACCCAACTACATGTAATCCCTTGTGTGCTCTCGTACTCGTATCGTCCTTTAAGCGACAAATAATAACTGTCTCCGCGCACGCAAAGTCACTCAGCACTCGATGCAGTGTGTCGCCCTCAACGCTGGAACACCGCGGAAGCTTGCTAGCAAAGCGCACGGCGTTAAACTGTGGGTTTAAGCATGTTATAAATGCGTCTTTTTGGGGACACGCCGATGAATGGTGGCTCTTTGGGAGAGGCGAGCCTGCTACACACATCGTTGGCGGACTGCAAAGTCACTTTTGCCAAGGACTCTTTCGGAACTTTACTTACCAAGTGGTACTCGTACTGCTTAGTCAACGTCAAGACCTCTCCAACGTTGACAAACATTGACCTGACAAAATTAGCTCCAATGCCCACTGTAGATCGGGGTGGCATGACTTTTGGCAGATGCAATAGACACACAGATGTCTTTCTGACCGGACCTTCCCGCCAGTCGCCGGTGCCGAGCTCCATATCGCCACCCCAAACGGGCTTCCATTTCTCTGTTGTCTCCTGTTCGAGGCCCCCACAAATCACCCTCGCTTTTATCGCCAACTTTATACGGTGCCCATCTCCCAAAAGAGGTTGTCATTCCCAGGTCAACCGGCACCTCGGAAGCGGACCGTGTACGTTTGGGGCGATTGTGTGGGATGAAGAGTGGTGATCTGCGCTGAAGAGATGGCTACAGTAGAAGAATACAGCTCGACGTGACTGGGGTTGTGTTCTGTAGTCTTGCGCTGCTCTTAATCAACTGATGTCCTAGTCGATCTCCCACTACAGCTAAAATGATGTCCATGTGCTGGTCGTCTGAGAGAGCAAGAGCCTGAGAGACGCGCTTTTCCAGACATTCCACAGCGCGTTTCTCATTTCCCCATTTTTCGCATCTGAGAGGCTATCCGAACAAAATCTGGAAAGCTGGACCCTGTACCCAAGCCGTCGAGCTATACTTGAATGGGGAGAATTATCAGAGAAGGCAGCATTCAAGTCGTGCTCGGTATGCGGTCGCCAGTTGCAGTACACCTTTGCGAAATCAAACTGGAACCGGAAGTCACTGCTGACCAATGACGTTTTGTTGACTGGGTCTGCAACGCATCATGGACGTCTTTCATGTGATCGAGACATGGAATTTTGGTTGAGGAAAGCAATCGAGTCCAAAGAGACTGCTTGTATACATATTGCAATTGTTGACGGACCATTCTCCCACTCTCCAACTATCCCACTATACCGACCTGGTATCGCCAGCGAAGATGCGCATCACCGTCGAGTTTCTACAAGATCTGTTTACTGTACAGTACGAATGGTATTCAAGCACAGTGACATACTACTGCGATTCCTGTGGTATTTGTACAAGTACTTCAGGCTCTTGGGAAGCTACTCGTTGATATCTTGATTGATACAAGTACCTACTGTACATACCTTTTGATAGCCCTCATTGAGGTGGTTAGTGCAATTCTCATAGCCCCTGAGGGAGCTGATAGACGCTTTAACTGACTTGAGATACCAAGGAATGTTTCCACGAGAGGTGGGGGATACAACAAGTACTGTACTGTACTGAGAACATTGTTGCGCTGTGAATTAACCTCGAAATTAACCTGCAAATATCGTCTTCTGTACAGAAGGAGAACTTATTCCGACTGAAACCACCCCGCTATCCACTGTTAACTACCAATCTAAGTAGATACTATAATTCTACTTATCCTTTCATTAATTACTCAACTATAAACACGGCCTACATACTAAGGGCAACCCAGCACTTGGTGATCGTCCCTGGCATACAGGTTAGATTTGGACAGGTGAATAATAATGAAATCTCCATTCAGGTGGCAAATAACGTCATCAGATTGCCATAGCTTCAATTACCTACGAAAACCCCATCCATGACGAGACCCAATTTTTGTTTGTTCACAGAATACTCTTAGTAGCAAAACAGCACATGGGCACAACTGCCTTCTGCACCAACTGGTCAAATATACATAGTCAAACAGGCAAAGGAGTCGGGACTCTCTCCCTGCATTGTCGAGCTGGTCTCAGTTAGACGACTGACTGCAAAAACAAAAGTACTGTAGCGGCCAATGGAAGGGCCCGGGCACGATGTGTGGCCTGCCTTTGTCAAGGAACGTCACGTGAGGAATGTCTTTGTCGAGACACGTCACGTGAGGAAGCCCTTTGTCAAGGCATGCGACTTGAGGACTGCTCTTGAGTCGACTGAACTTGGGTTGACGGCCCTGCGTCGGCAGGTCCTGTTCCGACTGTGCGACCCGCTGCTGTCTGGCTTTGTCCTATTCTGTCCCTTTCAAGCGAGCTGACATAGCATCCTTGATACAGACTGACCTACCCGGATCACTCGAGTACACTCTGATTCTCTTGGTCTTGCTTCTCACGACAGAATTCTCTATATCCCGCTTTTTGAACTTCTTGCAGAAGATACAAATCGCCCGCCATCTCATCGATCATCTCAGCAAATGCTTCAGATTATGGCTGAGGAAGTCTCGCATAACCGGGGTTATGCTGTGGATCCAGTTCTGAAGGGCGGTACCACTTCTAGGTGGATTGACCATGGGTGGATACAATTCTTTGCAGAAACCCTGCTCAAGACACTGTCGAATTTCGGGTGCGCGCTGGAAAAGTTGTGGAGCGCCTGCAGCGAGCCAAGTGTGTCTGTCTCCAGAGAGTCCCTGTCTTGAGATGGGGAAGCACCCTGAAAATCGTCGTCATCTGAATCATCAGATGTCGATATGGGGTAGTTGGCTCTGCGGGACATTCCTCGTGTGCCTCGGTCAATTTTCTATTGTAGAGAAGGCTGACATTCCGCTTGAGAACCGTCTCCTGGTATTGGGCCCTCGGCCTTTCAACCCAGCCAGGTCGGAGAGCGCCATTTTCCTTAAGTAGTGAAATTCTGTATGAAAAGATAGGATGAGGAACACCCCATTGGCGGCCAGCTTCCCTGTGAATGGAGCCGGTCCTGATCACCTCCAAGCAGGTTTTGGAGAGGTTCTCTGGCGGTACTGCTTCCTCTTCTTCGATGCTCGGTTTCTGAGCATGGTAGGCTGTGGTCAAGATAGCTCAAACGGACGTATTGATTGTACCAAGTCGCTACAGTAAGTACTGTACAGCACCGGTGGCTACTTGTAGTTGGCCAACTTCTTTATCGCATGGAAAAGTCACAGTTGATGTGTTCGGCTGAGGGTGCCATGTGGCTTACTAATGAGTTCATCTTGACTAATAGTCACCCCCAAAGACTCGTTGAGCAATTGAATTACTTGTAACTGTTGCGAAGCTGGTGGGGATAATGAAATGTCGTATCTTTGGAAACAGTCTCTACTACACTCGATCTAAGTAGGCGTCTCAGCCAATCAAGTTGGTCGTCTCAGCTTAATAAGAGCGTGGAGGTTGGCCATTTCGTACATCTGAGGTGCTTTTTTTTTGTATCGACTGGACATTCCATGGATCCAGCCACTGTTATATATACTCTATGTTCTCTCTACCATTGTCCTCACATCACTGTTCATCTTCACTCTGCATACTGTACTGTACTTGCTTATCACCACCTGCACCGTCCTGCACCTAGTTGTACACCTCCTGCACCTACACATGTTGACCGACGCAACATGAGATAGCACAGCCAACGACATGTTCTCAATAACGAATCTGAAAGTTGACGAAACCGTTCTTAACCGGCCACAGGCGCAGGAGATTGACCTGGAGTCCTTCTGCGTACTGGGATCAAGTTTCAACGAAATTAAGCGCGAAAACGACGCGTCACCAACATCCGACATCGAGCATCAGACCCAGAAAAAGCTGAAACGACACACGCAGGCCCCCACGCCTTTATTACTGTGCGAACATGACCAGCAGACCATCTCCACGCTGTTTGAAGGCGCCACCATCCCAACCAGCCTGTTTCTAACATGTCTAGTCAACGTGCTGGTGGGACGAGAATCGATCATGTTCATCTGGAGATGGAGCTCGAGAAGATTTGTGTCCAAACACTTTGCACAGCCTATCAAAGTGCCCGGAGTCTCCACAATGGCTCTTCAGGGACTGGTCGACCAATGCCTGGAGATTGGGTCTCTGTTCACTCGTCTGTCCAACACAGCCAAAGATATCGCCAAAATGGTCTCGTTGGAAGACAGCATTATGATTGCGTTCAGGTCCGCTCTCACCGACATTCTGGCTGCTATTCAGCATTACATTGAGAGTCTGGATGCCAGTGACGAGTCTCTTTTCCCGCTACTAGTCCACCTGAGACCTGTTTCTACTGTCGTACATCTGCTGGCAAATATCCTTGGCTGTGGAGATCTTTCACGAGCTTTGTCTCTTCAGAGCCTTCCCAACCCCGTAAAATTGCTTTCTGAGCTTCATACACGGCTTTCCATCTATCAAACATCGGATATCAACCTGTATATCCTGACCGCTGAGTTGTTCAAGCGGTGTTTGAGCCCTTGGATGTTCAAGTTACATGGAGTCATTGGGTTGAACGGTTCCACGTACTGGAAAACCCCGTCCAAAATGGTGGATCCAGAGATGTTTGTTGTTCAAGAACCAAATTCGGGCTTTTTGATCACCGACAAGGACCGTTTACCGACGTTTGTATGTCCCGAAGACGCCCAAATCTGTGTGGAGATTCTCACGGCTTTGCATATCCTTTATTCTCTAGGAGACACCACTGTTGTTGATACGAACGTTGATTCCAAGCCGGTTATGCCTCAGGTAGAGTCTCAAGAAACACTCATACCCCCATTGGATTTTGAATCAAGTCTCGAAAGGGATACAACGAGTCTCCTAGCGCCCGCTCAGCTGTTCACAGATACGCTGTCATTCCTGAAGCTCGAGAAAGCTGAATCAATTTCCCTGTTTGAGTCAGATGACCCCCTGAAGGACTTCCAGGTATCGATTGAGCAACAGCAGCAAGCGGTCAATGACTCACTCATGTCTCACGTCAAGAAGTACCTCTTCACTCATTTAGAAAGTGCTAAGCGATTCTTCCTGATGGGGTTGGGAGCCATAGATCTCTGTCAACTCGTCTTTCAAGACAACACTGTCAAAATTGGATCTTCCTTGAACTGGCCTCCTCTGAACTCGGATCTGCGAATCACAGAAGATTTGGTTGCGGACCTGCTTCCAGACAAAGACATCAGAATATGGTTTGGAACTCCTCAGAACATTGATGGTGGTGAGGAGTCTTTCGCTCCCGACTCAATCATGGCGACAGAGTATATTACAGTCTTCTACACTCCACCCGAGGAACTCAAGTACATCTTCATGCCACACATCATTAAAGGCTATCAACGCATCTTCGCGCGTCTTTTGAAACTCGCCCGATGTGTCTACTTTCTCCAGTTGAAACACAGATTCAGTTTCCACTTCCTCATCCAGCTGCAATACTGCCATTTTCAGATCATTGATGTTGAGTGGTACAGGTTTCACACCGGAATCCACAAAACGTCCAACTTCATGCGAATTGTCAATCTGCATCACGCCTTCATTGATGCTGTTGAACGCAACCTGTCCCTGGTTTCTCAGGAAGACCAGCTGCTGAACAACTATCTACAGAGTCTGCTGAATGACGATCCTGTAGATGTTCCCAAACATTGGAAGAAGTTCTCCGCCTTAGCATAGTATTTATATATTTATTCCGACGCTTGATAAGTGACATAATGGTAGATGTTTGAGTCGCATGGATATTGTTTATGTGTGTGATTCACCGTAATAGAGACGTTTTAATGACATGAGAAGCTCCCATAATTTCAGTTACTCATTTACCACGTATCATTATTGTTTCTCACGTGATCGTCTCAATATTTCAGCAAGATTTCTAGTTTTCGCCGTGTTCTGTTTTTATTCTGATGAGTTGAGCATGACTAAGCACGCTTCCGGTTTTGTAGACGAAGGTCAAAAATAAATCATAATTTGAGGGCGTCTGGTGTAGTTGGTTATCACATGCGCTTAGCATGCGCGAGGTCCCCGGTTCGATTCCGGTGTCGTCCATTTTTTAAATCTTTGTATTTCGATTATTTTTTGTAAACGAACGATGATTAAAGGAATGATTTGTTGATATGAATTATTTAAAATGCATTCATAGTTGCCGCCGCTCCTACACCACGACTGATCCTCTCTATTGGCCCTCATACAAAAGTTGTCTCGCTCTCTGGTTGTTGAGATCAGTCTGGAACTCTGCCAGTTCCTCCGGTAAAAGATCGGGACACAAATAGGCCGTAGCTTGGTGTCCAACGTGTTCCAGGAAGTAACATGAGCAGTAATCTCGGATGACCTGGTTGTCAGCTTGTTTGGCGGTCTGCCAGGAAATTATACACCTGTCGCCTTCCAAAGATGAACCTGTGATAGCTCGTTCCACAGCCCGTTCCAGATCTTGTAGGAAGTATACCTTGGCCGGAATCAGAAGCTCCAGAGCCAGTTCTTCGGATACGTTGGTTACTGTTCCATAGAGAAAGCCGATGATGATGTCTAGGATGTTGGAGGGGTATTGGAGTTTGAGGGTTCGATCACGAGACTCCGTCATGCCGCTCTCCAGCACTGTAGCCAGGTAGGGCCATAGCGGTATGAGGACTTGGGTATGAATGAGGTGTGTTTTGTCATCTTCGTCGATGATCTTGAAATCAGCCAGTTGCGGATGTTTGTAAATCTCTTGAAGTGCCTTTGTACCGTAGCTGATTGGTGCAGGCACGTCTGGGGCTCGTGTAAGGTGTGGTTGGACATTGCCCTTGTCTGGTACCTGGAGAGTGTAAGGGTGCCCGGCTATGACAAGTATCACGCTTTTGGTGTCTTGTTGGACCATGTGGAAGTCGAGCCAGTTCGACTCCCGCTCGTACCACCACTTGTTGGAGTAGTTAGCACTGAAGAAGCGCTTTCCTCCGGGAAAAAACTCGGTTCCAAACTTCTTGGCAGAGTAGTTCCACACCCGGGCGTGGCCCTGCTTGTCGGTGACAGTCAGCTCAATGTTCTTGTATGTGCATTGGTCTATCGATAGCGAGCCAATGTCCTTCAGCTTGAGCATTCGCTGCTTGAGAGGCAGTCGGTCGGTAGTCATGGGGTGGTGATAATGAGACAACGCTTTGGGTTTGGTGAGCGCTGGAGTATGTTGTGGCTAGTGTGGTGTCACCTCTTCAAGAGCTTGGACAATTGCATTAATTGCTGGTGCAAATTGGCAATTGTGTCGAACTAAATTGATTTCTGGGTTTTTATTCGCTTTTCGGCAATGCAGAATGACAATCAGCACTGGCAGCTTCAGTGGCGGCGAATGGGAGACTTAGTTGAGTTTTTGTTAGATGTACTTATGATTTACTTGAGAGTCTTCTAACATGTCAAGACAAGTGCCGAATTGGTACAAGTACTATACGAGTTTTAGGAAGGCCATGTTGTCAAGGGTTCTGTGGTTGTCTGAAGATGTACTTGTCCAGGTACTTGTACTTCTGCTTGTACTTGTACCTGTACTTGTACAAATGGGGCCAATATCGGAAATATTTGGCTCATCACTCACTCTCTTATCCACAGGCAGTTTAGTGTGCATATCACCAAGAGATTGACAATGGACATGTGAGATAAATCCAATGTGCAAGAGAAACCCAAGAAAACCAAGAGATAAAAGTACGAGCTCTTCAACCTGTGGAAACTGCTCTTGACCGCCAAATCGCCCTCTTTATGATCTCTTTGGACTAAAAGAAACACCAAAATTTTACGTTTGGATCAAAAGTTTCCACTTCAAAGTAATTCTTCACAGTTGACTTTAGTTGGGACTTTTTGTTAAAGAATGGGTTGTCGAAAACCTCCGTAGAGAAGACGAAAGACGACACGAAGTGTACACAAGGTACACAAGGACACATTACGGAACCAAACAAAGATACCCAAATGCAGATTACTCCACTTCTGACTCCATTTCACCCCAGATCAACAAGTCAGATCAAAAAAAGTCCCAATTGATAGCCTGTAGCTATTGGTGCTGGTAAAAGTACCTCCGATCTCCACCTCTCTCAAACTACATATATGGACGGTTTCTGAACATCGAAAAGCGCTTCAGAGATGGAACGTCGTCGACGCTCCCCTCGACCCCTCGACCTCCCTCTCTTTCCATCTCATCCGTTCCAAAAATATGCCACTGTCAGAAGCTAATTTCTGGTGCAAACTTTCGGATGTGAAAATTCACACACTTCTGCATTAACGAGCACCCATCCACTCGTCATGGCAACCAAATTCTACGCCGTCAGGGAGGGCTACCAGCCCGGCATCTACAAGACATGGGACGAATGCCTGGTTCAGGTTAAGGGATATCCGGCCGCAGCGTGCAAGAGTTTCGCAAACAGAACCGATGCGGAGGATTTCATGAATGGCAAGAAGTTTCCTTCCAAAAAGGAGCTAAGGAGGCCAAAAAGAATGGCCGTACGCCATCAACCAAGCCCAACCGACCCAAGGGATCTACTGCCCATGCTTTAGACAGAGACACCGGCCGGGTGGTTATCTATGTGTCTGGAGCCTGTCGTGACAACCAGACATCGTCTATTGCGTCTGCTGGCACTGGTCTGTTTGCAGGTGTTGAACATCCCGACAACCAGTCCAAGCCTTTGCCTGGATACCAGCATTCCAACAACCGGGCTGCTCTCGTGGCTCTCTTGGAGGCGTACAAGCTGATCCGGCTGCGTAACGACGGCCTGAAGTACGAGATCAGAACCGTCAGCCTGATTGCCATTAACAGCACGACTGTGTGGTGTCGAGGATGGATGAAAAATGGCTGGAAGAACGCCAAGCGAAAGCCCGTCGCCAATGCTGACATTGTTCAGGAGATTCTGAAGCAGAACACTGCCATGCCTGGAAACGACAAGATCACTCTGAAGCATATTCTCAAGTCTGAGCAGGATAAGGGCATAATAGCGTCCAAGCTGCTGGCAAAGAAGGGAGTACGAAGCTGCAGAGACGTGCAGTGTTCGTGCGGCCAGATGTTGACTCATGCGCATTAGTGATGAGGATGATATGAGGAGGAGTGTGTGATGAAGGAGCTCCAACGTGAAAGTCGTGGGAAAACCACTCACGTGAGGTGAATCGGTTCAGGAAGTCAGAGATATGTTGAAGGAGAAGGGGGTTGGAACTAGGGATCGTGTTGGAAGTCCATACGAATGATGCATGATGGAGGTGAGGATTGAACTTGAAATGACATTGCATGGTATGTACAGTAACTTGTAGGTTTTTTTGAAGGTGATGGTTTTATTGGAAACTTTTCTAATAATTTATGTTCCTCATCAATAGAAAACAACGTAAAGGAATAATCAAACTACATCAACAAAGGTTGATAAAAGATGAATTAAAATATGATTACTTTTTAGATAAAATGGAATATTAATTTATTATTTATCAAATTAAATAATAAATACATTATTATTTATCAAATTTAATACGTTAGGTATATCATTCGATTTTATTTGGATTGATCTTGACACAGGTACAAATAATGACAGAAAACGGCCATGAATACATTTATTCGACAAAATCTGCAATTATCTGGCGAGCCGTTTACCTTGGTACAAGTACGAGTTACGATACCAAGATTTGGCGATATCATCACTTTCTGTAGCAACACTCGACTCACCTACCGTAGAAAACCCGCCTCACAAAATCGCCCCAAAAACTTCAGCAACATGAGGCCAAACAAATGATACAGAGACAGAGACATGACACGTCGACTGGCGTTTAATGCCAAATATCGTGAATATAAGGAGGAGCAGATCCGCAACTTTCCTCTTACTTCGACACAACAATTATTCACACAAAAAATGGCCGTTCCACGCACTCCTGGAACCTACTCTTCTGCCGTCAGTATCCCGCCGCTACTGAGATGCCAAGTCTGCTTGGGCTCTTTTCCTCCTCACATCTTTGACAAGCACATTCCCTACTGCCATGAGTTTCAGCGACAAATTCTCAAGGATTATTGATTGATAGAGGTATAGATTTATTGACGCATGGAAAATACAAAAAAAGGAAAAAAACAGATGAAAAAAATTCAGACGACCTCGGAGAGGGTCGAACTCTCGATCTTACGATGGCGGCCATTTAGGTGACTAACAGTCGTACGCCTTAACCAACTTGGCCACGAAGTCTGAACTTAATGTTAAAAATTCGAATTTTATATATATTGAGGTTATTCGATTAGTCAGCGCTGAATCATCCCGAATAAAAATGACTCATTAGCATTGAAGAAAAGCAATTTTTTGTTTAATTTCAGGTATATACGAAACGAAATAATAAAACCCTGTTCACTATTCCAAAATCCAGCAGTTTACTTCCTGACCCAGATCAAGAGTTGTGCCTAGACTTGACTCTGGCATGCGATAGGTATAGTACACCTTCCTGAGCCACTCTGGCCCATATAACGTCATTATCAATGCATGGATATTACTACAATACTATAAATTAATCAAAACGTCCTCGTAACCAAACTAAAAGTCGTCATCGTCAGGTTCATCTTCCTTGACACCCTCCAGGACCTTGACTAGGGTCATGACGCAAACCTCCAGGTTCACCACCAGATACTCGGATTGTCAGGAGGCAGCGATTTCTTCTCGCGGGCGTGGAGGACCCATAATGACGCTCATATCTGTCGCCCCAATGGCCCCTAGACCAGTATCAGTCATGGCAGACCATCCACTGTTGATCATGTTGTCAATTCTCATCTCCTGATGGTCCAACCAAGCCTTGGAGAAGGACCAACAGTGAACTTGGCCAGCAATGACTCCAAACACAGAGATGGGCTTAACAGACATAACAGATAGCGTTTCTGTGTCCAGGAACCGGTTGCGGGTCTTGATATATCTTCCAGTCATAATGTCGCTCGTGGCATGCGAAAAGAGATCCTTTTGAGGGCCGTCCCCACACACGTTTCGAATGTACATGGCCGAGGCATTTTTTGTGTCGAGATACCACTCTTGGATGCTTGTGTTTTCGCTCATGTCGTCTTCCTCCGTCACAGTGAGCCACAACAGTCCCTTGACGACAGCCACACAGGTCACATGGCCCGTGGGTCCTCCCTTGATGATTCTGCATGTCATTTGTTCGTAGTCACACAGCAGAAGCATTTCCAGTTTGAATCTCCAAACGCGCACGAGCGAGAACCGATCACACAATTGCGCCACTCTCAAGTTGTCGATATCTGTCAAGCATCTGGGCAGCTTGAGATCCGTAATTTTACCTCTACCGACTCTTCGGAGAGCTAGAGGGGTTCCATCTCGTCCCGTGAGCTGGTAACTGAGTCTCTGATCAGCAATATCAAAGACCAGAACGGGAGCTTGGCGTGAGGACGCCAGAAAGTCCCGATCAGGGTTCATGTGGAAGTACTCCGTCTTCTGTAGCACGTGGGGAAGTCTTAACAGTGTGTTTGCGGGGATTGTGTTTTCAACATGGACACCTCCGGTAATGAGATTAAGGGAGAAAACGACATGTGTTTGTCGTTCGCCAACACCCACAGTCTTGCACCATCTGAGTCTCAAGCCCTCAGAGGCCCATCTGTTGAGAGGAGCGGCATCCGAGTCTTTAAACAGCTGTTTGATGTTTGTGTCCAACGGCAGGTACTGGTCGTGATGCTGGACAATGTCCACATGTTCCGAGAGTGTTTTTGTCGGCGTGGGGACGTCCATTGTCTGTCTGAAGGCTCTGGATTTTCTGATTGCGGTCTCAACCCTCAGCTTGGCCGCTGAAAGATGATCTGGTCGGCCCTCAAGATGTGGGTTTTGCAGCGGGAACAAATGTGTCGAGAGCCCCGAGTAGTGTTCGCGACTGTCAACCAGGGCAGCGTGGAGATAGCGGCTGGTGCGCATCAGGTTGAGAATCTCCTGGGGGTTGTCCAGTCCCACGTAGTATGCGATTTGGTGTATGATTTCGAGCGGCAGAGCAAGCATTGGAGAGGCGTGGGGCTGTAAGGGGCTGTGGGCAGGCTGTTAAGTATGAGTCGTATGCCCCTGGTTACTGCCAGTTTCTGGGGTTGGTGGAAAATATGGGGATGGAGAAGGTGGGACGGAAAGAGGAAGCTGGGAGGGTTGTGCAGATGGGGATCGGAGAGAATCGCGGGGACAAGTCGTATTGAGATGAAAGTTTGATCGTTCGATAGCTACAAAGTCGACTAGTCCGAATTTAAGGCCACAATGACTTATTTGTTTTGGCATCGATTTATTGGCGATGTGTCTGCACCGCACCCATAAGCTTCAGGACCTCATTAGTGTGCAGCAACCATGTGTGATAGCGTGATCTGCGCATGGCTGGCGGGAGGCGAGCAATCGGGCAGGGTAACCGCAGTTGATGGGGGAAAGATTGCGGTGGAAACGAAGGCACCGGTCTTTAAACTACCGTGGAGGACCCGTCTTCAAGAGGAAGTTGCTGCCAAAGTTGCTGCCAAAGGCCCCACCTGACAATAAGCGTCAGCTGACGGGATTTACAGAAAATGTGGAGCTACTTGTAGATAGAGGTTGAGTGGGCTAATATCTAATATATGACGCCTTAGTGTTGGTGGAGTGGGGGCAATTGGAGCGAATGGGTGGTGTAAAATGGGGAAATTCCGAATGAAAGGTAAAAGTAATGAATAACACTGGTTTTGGGGACCTTTTGGTGGCGCTATTTTGCATCTACCGCCGCTTTGGATGCTTCCTAAATTGTTGGCGATTTTACTCGATTTTTCCCTAACAATTCCCTTTCCGTCAAAGTTCAATTAGTCCCAATTAGGCGCGAGGATGACGTCATTTGGGTGAGATTTACGACGGTGAGGAAGAGATACAAATGGTCGAATGTTTGAACAAGATGTAAAGTACGAGTACGAGTACGGGTACGATACTGGACTATCAGGGGTGTACTTTGTAGTTGGCGGTTAACAGGATGCGCCAGCGATCTGGAAGCTGCTGTAGAATGGGGAAAGTAGCTTGGAGGTGACTGGGGCTGTATAGAGGCATTAAAGACACTGGAGCACTGGAGCACTGGAGGCATTAGCGGTATTAATGCTCGTTAGAATCACGTCCGTCTTGAATATCTTCAGTGCAGGTTAGATCCTTTGCCTTTCCCTCTCTTTCCCTCTGCTACTTCGCGGTTATGGACTCCTTCCGTCGTTTGCGCGACCCCAACGTCTTTAACAGTATCGCTCAATGTCCTCCATTGCCTTGACCAAGGCCCGCGACTTGATGTTCATCAAATCAATCCAACAGAGCAAGGGAGTGAGCAGGGACTCAAACTTCTCCACCAGAAGCTGCAGAGACGGGTTCGGCACAGATCTCGACATAGGAACGCGAGAGTTGAACAGGTTCCCACAGCATCAATTCGAATCGGATCATCTTCTTGAATCCCGAGCCGAAATGGTCGAAACCGTTATCTGAGCTGCGCTCGCTGTAAAAGAGAACTTGTTAAGCGTCACGGGATCGTCATTTGTTTTTCGTGGCTTTCTTTGAACGAACCGCTAGGCTTGGTGGGAGTAGGCTTATTCAAATCCAGCATCTCGTCCTTGGTCGCTTTCATTCGACGTTTAATCATTCAGCCCGTTGAAACTGCATGATAAGTGGAGAAGGAGGAGCAGAATGTCAGAGTAGCAGAATGTGAGAGTAGCAAAATGTCAGAGTAACCGCAGAAGTTGACATATATTATGAACAGGGTCACTCAGAATCTCGACTAAAGTCCCGCGGAACGCAACACCATTGGAAAGCGACTTCTCCTTGAGAATAGGTAGACTAGGGCGAGGGAATCTGACCAGAGACTCAGTATTCAAAAGTTCCGCAATTAAAGAAGATACGAAATGGGATTGGGGAGAGCTCTCTATCGATATGTCCGACATATGGTCGCCATGGATGGTATTCACTGGATATATCTTCTCTTCTGTACCTTCTGTGTTCTCTCTCCACTGCCCACGTGATACGGCACTTCCCTTACAATCACCTATATTTCAACTTCATCTCCGGACCTGCATATCTGCAACTTCGTAGACTCCAAAAGGCTTATACCGTCAAAAACGCAGATATTACCGTGACACCATACCAATATTGTTCAACCGATGAAATCCCCTCGAAAACGTGATCATTTTGGTACCACATGAGCCCCACCAGTCTCATTAAAAACAGCCCCTTGCGTGGGTTCCGTTCGCCTTATGAGGCTGACATGTATCTCAGCACAGCCGTCCCAAGGTGATTTGGACCTACAGTAGTTACACTGTACCAAAGCGACCACCAGAAAGGGCTTTTGCCGACTTCTGAAGTCCAAAGCGAGGTCTAGCGAGGTTTAAATCGGCCCCAACACGGTTGCAAAACACTTTAAACCCGCTCTTAATCGCTGGTGTCCTTTTTTCTCCCTCTCTTATACTCCTGTCGATGCTGTATCTGGGTCTGAGACAGCCTATCTCGGCTGATATCAGATGGAGGAACTTTAGGACGAGGTTGCATGAGGGGGATTCATTGGCCAAAAGGAGGAGTTTATAACTTTTTTAAAAATATATAAAAATTAAAATATGAACGAAAACATCGCTCTCAATTTATGGGAAATTTTTGTGATTTAATACAAAATGTTTTCCCGCCATTAGAACCCCCACCTCTCCCCGCTAATAAAGTTAGATTAACGCCACCGCTGCATATTCGACGTGCTAACATTGCTGATGAGCCTCTTTTTCTCCTCCTCCACAACAACACATCACATCACACTCCACACCATGAAACTGTCCATTCTGCCTTTGATCGCCCTCGCCACGGCCGTGGTCGCCTCGCCCGCGCCCGATGCAAACTCCATGAAGCTCATGAACCAGGCCAAGGACTTCGGCATGTCGGTTGCCCAGGGAGGACTCAAGGACATTGCAAAGACCCTGGACGACGAAGACATCCCCGGAGACTCGCCCATCTCGCTGTGCGACGCCGAATACGAGCAGCTGCTGGAAATCAAACACCTGTCCATCGACCCCAACCCCCCGGCCAAGGGCCAGAACCTCACCATCGAGGCGTCCGGATACCTCTACGAGGACGTTGAGGAGGGCGCCTACATCGAGGTCGAGGTGCGATACGGCTACATCCGGCTCATCAGCCAGACTCTGGACCTGTGCGAGCAGTCCGAACAGGTCGACTGGTCCTGCCCCATTAAGGCCGGCGACCTCAAGCTCAACAAGCAAATTGAGCTGCCCAACGAGATTCCTCCCGGAAAGTACGTTGCCGTCGCCCGAGCCTACACCGTTGATGACGATCTCATCACCTGTCTTCTTACCACTGTTACCTTCCCTGCTTCTTTGTAGGTCGAATGATAACAGCATAGTATGGCGTCCCCCCTCAGTACCGCGCACAACTAACTGCATATAATTGATGAATGATGACTATTTTAGAGTGGGGGAGAAGCTAGCCAAGAGTCCAGGGCTGTTGAGAATCTTGGAGACAAACTGTGCTATGGCAAACGGTACTGTAGACATGTTCACACGGGCAGCATGAAAGCTTACCAGCTAGCTGAGGTTATCTACAGGTGCAAGTATCGTATGTACTTGTAGTTGGTTGCTACATAGTTGGGTATGTTTTAATACTGATATCGAAACATTCATAGTAGTTATTCGGTCTGAAAAAACAACAGCTTGATTGAGCATGGAACTCGATCTTCCTAGAAGTTGGAAGAGACGCCAGCATACACAGATGGTAGATCTACCCTACACTTCGATGAGTTTCAGACCATTCGCGAGAACTATTCAGTTTACTCACTTTCTACAAGTACACCCACTGACTCGAACCCGGACCCGCCAAAGAACAACCGACAAGGCTGTATCTAGATTTAAAACACTATCTGCAAGCGGATTTCGACAAGCGGATTTATCCAACATGGAGCTCTTCCCATGTTTGATGGTCGTGCCCCGGTCGTGCCCCGAGTCGCATGCCAGGTATGTTGCCCGTAGCTACCTGTACACTCATTGAATAGACCTCTACCAGACATGTTGAAACCATAAGCACTCACGATCTACGCTCATGTGCCTGCGTTCTTCATATCTGCTCAATAATTGCTCAACCGTCTCAGATACCTACATTATCTGTCTGCGTTATCTCAACCTTTAGGTCGATTAGATATTTGCTCATGCAACGGCGATGGTATTCTAACTGTAAGGTTGCTGTCTACAGACTGAGGAGTACTCATCAGGGGTGTGTATATATCATATGTTCATATTTATCATGCACCGGAGTTCGGTGTTGTGTCACAAGTACTCAAAATATAAAAAAGTACCAGTGGTTGGTCATGTCTGCATTCAGCATGGTCGAGTCCTTGATCCCACTTAAGAAGTGCTGGCAAGAAGAGGAGCGTCAGAGTCCACAGACTCTCGGTTCTCGGCCGCGGTGTTGGCCGAGTTGGGCATGCTGTTGGTGCCGTACTGGGAGCTCTTGTTAGTGCCCTGGCCCTCAACGTTCATATCAGCGGAGTAAACAGCCGAGGCTCGCTGGAAGAGTCGGTCCTCGTCGTCGTTCTGAGGAAGTCGAGTAAACTTCTTGGACTGCCACGCTCGAGGGTACAGGGGGTTGTAGCCAGTCTTCTCCTTGACCAAAGACACGTAGACGGCCACAATGATGAAGATCCAGTAAAAGTTGTAGGAGATGACAGAGCCGTAGGTGGCCGAGTTGGTCCATCCAAACAGCGCGTTGGCAATCATCCATCCTCCATCGGTCTGACCGTTGCAGCAGTTGACGTGCCACACGGACTTGGTGATGTCGTAGGAGCCGGGTCCAGAGCCGGTCTCAGATACGTCCATACCAACTCTGTTAACGAACTGCTGCAGCTCCAGGAACCACACTCCACGGGAGAAAAGACCGGCGGCCACCAGGTACAGGAAGCACGTGGAGCCAATGAGGAAGTAGTTGATGGAGATGGCGTTGCCATACTTGTACATGGCGTAACCAATGAAAGCACCAAGGGCAATGGCGGTGATGACGGGAAGGGGGAAAGCAGAGAAAGGCTGGTTGACACCGATACCGCCGAGGAAAACCACGGCCTCCATTCCCTCTCGAAGGGTGGTCACAAACGGTAGGATGGCCAGAGCGTACTTTCGAGACAGGTACTTGAGGCCCCAGCCGCCGTGGCCCTCGTGGGTCTCGACCAGAATCTTGGCAATCTTGTGTCGCCACTTTTCTCGCATCTTGTTGATTCGCAGCATGGCGGCTCCCATGATGGTGATAATGATGGACGAGACAATGGAGAAGACGCCCTCCCACACGTTCTCAGTCATGCCCCACAGATCGTGTCCGTAGATGTAAAAGGTGGCAATGAACGCACCTCCCACGGCCAGACAGATGAGCAGACCGAAGATTCCACCCAGCCATACCTGGGTAACAAGCCGTCGATACACTTGCAAGTCCTTCTGGGACACATTATCGCCCAGACCCTGGTTGAGGAACGCCAGAAGCACGGAGATGATAATCGCCGTCTCAATGGTCTCTCGGAAGATGATGAAGAAGACCTGAACCGAGAAATAATTCTCGAAAAAGTCCGCGTAGTTGACCATGTTGTGTTGTGGAGTACAACCTGGAAAGAGTGAGTCTGGTAATTAAAAGCGACTTTTCAAAATAAGCTCCGTAGGGGTTAGAGTTGGGCGGCGTGGTGGTGGACATTTATCAAGGGGCAATCGGGGGTTATAGGGGCGGAATTTGAACGCAAAAAACAGATCATCCCACTACTAACGCGACAATAAATAGATTCAAAACATCTCCCGTTCAATTTGGCCGTCCCTATAGCTCTTTAAACGCCTCTCTTATCTGATGTTGCTCCATCTGATAACTGCACAACCTAATTATCCGGAGCCTATTTTTCTGCGTATAACCGTAACGGAGGAAACAACAAAACGGTGGCAACAGCTCCCAGAATCGTCGCAAACCGGGAAGTAAAAGGCGAAAATTCCTCACAGTCACGTGAGAAGTTTGTGCCCGTCACATGATGTCCAGGGTTCCGTCTTGGGTTCCTGGTACCCTGTTATTTCGCCATCCCATCACTCCGCCACCCCACACACCCATAACCCTTGACTAGCACGGCTCATTAACAAAAAGGCAAAAGGGAAGCATCGTCACGTTGCGGCTAATTGGAAGTGTATGGAGGAATCAATTTAGAGAAGTTTGGCGCAGTCCGATCAAAGCACAAGTGGCATAGAACGACTCCTCAGAACGAGCCAATCAAAAACGGTATGTTTTTCTCCCACATTGGACTCTTATTAAGCAACTAGAACTCCACCGAAACTGATTCGGAGCGAATCTACCTTGCACCTGAGTTCCGTTATAAAGTGGAATGTTCATCTCCGACAACAGAACTCACACAACTTGCCCAATTGAGCTCCGATTGGGCCGCCAGAAATTTCAGTACATCTGCTGTCCCTCGCTGACCATTTCTATATATAAATATTGCCATTGTACCCCGTCAAAACAGACACAGACTAGAACTAGGCATTGCCAAAGTTTACAGCAATACCCTGCACTCTTGCAACAGAACATACACTAAACATGCGCGACAATGGTTTAGAACGGCGCTCGGGGTTTCTCCTTTCCTTTTTATCCGCATTAGTCACGTGCGGCCAAGACTTTCCACCCTCAACTGCATACTATCTGCGTCCCCGTTAGCCACTTTGAGTGCAACTACGGTGGGTCTGTTTAGTCCAGATCGTCTTCTCAACAGGGTTGTATTTTGTAGTTAGTTGCAAGGAGGTAAAAGACTATAAACCCGAAAGACCTTGTTTGTGAATGCGAATCCACGTGAGTTCACGTGGTTGGCACGTGGCTGTATGCCTACGACTGTTCTGGTCAGGCTGTCACTTGTGCATTCTTTTTTTTTCCTTTCTTTTGTCGAGTTCGTTAGCAACATGCACTCGGAGTCCGAGCGGAGCTACAAGCACTCACCAAGGAACCACAAGCCACAGTGGCGCAGCCGAATGAGACACGGCGCACCGATCAGATAACGTCATCTGATAAGAGGGGAAGAGCTTGTTCGTCAGTGCCGTGTAGTTTCAGGGCCGTTTGGAGTGTCATACGTTGAAAACTGTAGTGCATAAAAGACAGTCGTTGTGTCAAGGCTAATCCTCTTTAGTTGAATGTTTGTTAGGAAAGGGTGTTCTGTGATACCGCAAGTTATAATTTTTTAACATATATTTCAGAAATACTAGGGGAATTTCAAGCCTGAAATGACAAAGAAAGTGTTCAGATTGTAGAACTGAATGAACAGAACGAATTGGGACCATCTTTTCCATTCATTTGTACACACCCACTCGATCCAGCAGAACCGATTGGGAATGCCACACTCAGACAATTAGTTAAGATTAGTTGGAATCAAGCGCACTTATTTGTTATGTTTTTTATTAACGGAGGGATCTCTCAGAGAACTCATTGATCTAACTAAGGCAATATGAACAAGACAAATTGTCATAAAGAGACCATTCCAAACCACACCATATCCTCTATCATTCCCCTGGGACTCTTCCTACGCATCCTACGACGTGGTTTGGTTCTCCCTATTCTGCTCACCATCTAGCCCTAACCTCCATGCATCTCAATGCACGTTTAAAAATTATTTTTCCAGGCTGAATATTTCCGTACACACTCACACCATGGCTATCAAACAGAATGCGAAAAAGGGCGGCAAGCCTGGCAAGCCAGGTGGAAAGCCTCCTGGTGGGGGCAAGCCTGCTGGCGGCAAGAAGGTGTTTCGAAAAATCAAAAACGGCTTTGTGGAGCCTCGAAAAGCGAAAGCGGCCAAGGGTACGACTGTGGCAGCCATGGACATTGTTTCTGCTGCTGATCTGAGTGCCAGCGAGAGCGAAGACGAAAACAAGTTGAAGGATTTCGCCAAGTTTGACGATGATGAAGAGGAGAAGGAAGACAAGGGTGGCAAGGCCGAGAAGGACGTCAAGAAGGATGTCCAGAAGGACGTCAAGAAGGATGTCCAGAAGGATGTCCAGAAGGATGTCAAGAAGAGTGTCAAGAAGGATGTCCAGAAGGCTGGCAAGAAGGATACCCAAAAGGATGTCAAGAAGGCTGATGCTAAAACTAACAGCGCCATTGAGGGTTTCGCACAAGCCACTAAAGGTGAAGAGGCTGAGGTCTCTGTGCCTGCGAAGGAAGTTAACAAGGCTGCCAAGAAGGAGGACAAGGATGTGAAAAAGGACACTAAGACAAAGGATACTGTCAAGACTAAGGTCAAGGCTGCTGTTTTACCCGAATCTGACGCAGAAATGGACAACTGGTCAGATGCCGAGTTTTCAGACGGTGGGGAAACCATCGATCTTCCTGCACCCGGAACAAAGCCTCTCGACATTAACAAAATGAACTGGAAGAAGGTTGAGCTAGGCGACAAGAAGATGGACTTTGAGGGTTTCTACGGACTTGAAGAGCTGGACGGTGTTGATATTGTGGTCAACAACGGCCTTCCTACTTTTGTTGTAGGGGAGAAGCCTGAGAAGAAGAACTCTAAGAAAGAGACCAAGAAGGCCGAAGTTAAGAAGGATAAGTCTGGGGATGCCTCTGAGCCAGCCAAGAAGAAGGCCAAGGTTGCCAAGGACGGAAAGGACGGCAAGGAGGTTGCCAAGACTCAACCTAAACAGAACAGCAAGAAAAAGGCCGAGGGAAACGCATTTGAGGCCCTCAATAGTGTGCCCGACGACATTCATCTCCCTGACTGGACTCTCAACGGCGAGCAGCTTAACTACTCCCTCATCCAGGGCCTGTATGCTCTTGGCTACAAGTCTCCTACAGAAATTCAGAAGAAGTCGATCCCACCCATTCTGGCGGGTGATGACGTGATTGGAAAGGCCAGTACCGGTAGTGGTAAGACGCTGGCGTACGGTCTGCCGATTTTGCATCGATTTTTGGAGGCTGAGAAGTCAGACAAGAAGGAGGAGGTCGAGGAGGAGGTCCCTGAGAAGTGTACTACCAAACCCAGACCTAAGAAGGTGACCAAGATGACCGGACAGGAAGAAAAGAAGGACGACGAGGAAGAGGAAGAGCGATTCGATATGTACGATGAGGCTCCCGAGCCCCGCTTTGATATTTCCGACCGACCTGCTGACCTTCCTGTGCTTGACAAGGAGCGAGAAGACCGAGAAAACGAGGTGGAGATGGACGAAGAGACCGAAAAGGTGGAGAGAGACATGTCTTCTGTTAAGCCTCCTCAGGCCATTGTTTTTGCCCCCACCCGAGAGCTTGCTCATCAGATCACCGACCATTTGAATGCCGTGTCTCAGTTCTGTCCTATTTCTGGACCGCGAGTCATGGCTCTGACCGGTGGACTGTCTATCATGAAGCAGCGACGTCTCATGAAATGGAACCCTGCCATCGTTGTCGCCACCCCAGGTCGATTCCACGAGTTCATCACCGATACCGACGGCATGGTTGATGTGTTTAAGCGAACCAAGACTGTGGTAATGGACGAAGCCGATCGAATGCTTCAGGATGGACACTATGAGGATCTTGACAAGGCCCTGGATCTCATTGGACGAGGAAAGGTGGCCAAACGACAGACATGTGTGTTTTCAGCCACCTTCCAGAAGTCGCTCATGTTCAAGCTGGACAAGAAGCGAAAGCAAAGAACAGGTCTGGCCACCGATCAGGAAACCATCCGATTCCTCGTGTCCAAGATGAAGTTCCGACAGTTCCATCCTACTTTTGTGGACGCCAACCCTGCCGAAGTTGTCGCTCGACAGGTTCTGGAGAGTATCGTCGAGTGTGGCGCCATGGAGAAGGACCAATACCTATACTACTTCCTGCTGACCTACCCCGGCAAATCCATCATTTTTGTCAACTCCATCGACTCTGTCAAGCGTCTCACTCCCATGTTGCAGAACCTCGAGCTCCCCGCTGTGCAGCTGCACTCCAACATGATCCAGAAGGCCCGTATGCGGTCCCTAGAGCGGTTCCGAGACAACAAGAACGGTATTCTGGTTGCGACTGATGTCGCAGCTCGAGGTCTGGATATCCCCAATGTGCACCATGTTGTGCATTACCACCTGCCTCGAACTGCAGATGTCTACGTGCATCGATCTGGACGTACTGCTCGAGCGGGAAACGAGGGTGTTTCTGTGCTCCTGTGTTCGCCCGACGAAGCGTCGGGACCTCTGCGAAAGCTGCGAGCTGCCCTGTCACGTGACAATGCTCTTGCGAAGCTGAAACCTCTGTCCATGAACTACGACGTGCTGGCTCAGATCAAGCCCCGAGTGGAGCTTGCCAAGGAGTTGGCGGATTCGGTTCTGGACTCCACACAGGTTGGCAAGCAGGATTCGTGGCTCAAGGAGGCTGCCGAGGACCTTGGAGTCGACTTTTCCGACTTTGAGAACGATACCCACGATCACAAGAGCCATGTGCGAACCAAGCTAGGCAACAACAGCAAGAAGGGCATGAAGGTGATGAGCAAGGACCAGATGGCTCGTACTCGAAAGGAGCTTGAGAAGCTACTTAGTAAGCCTCTGGGACGACATTCGTCCAAATACATCACTTCTACTAACGGAATCAACTTGGCCAAGATGGTTCTGGATGGAAAGTCGCATGACAAGATTATGGGAGTGGCTCCTCAGACTGCTGGAGAGACCCTGAGAAAGAAGCGAAAGAACTAGAAAGCGAATAGCCGAAGTTCAATGCGGACCAAAACATGGAGGAGTTTATAGAGCAATCATAATGGATAAGATGTACTGTTCAAGTTCAACAGTAGTATACCGTACAGGTGCTGGTTGAGTTCTACAACCACTAGTTTTGTGCGTAATCAAGACAAATGATGGGAACAACTGGTTACCTCAACAATACTTTTGCACCTACATATCTCTAGGACCGCTCAATTGTTCAAGACTGTATTGTATTTTCATTAGTTACATCCCTTTAACATAAGAGAAGGAAATGAACAATTCCTTCAGTAAGAGCGACGTACAGGCGATTAATAGCTATAAGTAGCCCACAAAGCCTCTCATTCAGAGTCATACATTTTCCGTTTTATTAAATCATAATTGCATCCCATCCATACTTTACAATCCCAGCGGCAGCGTGCTCTAGGTACCGGAGACACACTAACACACTCTCAATGACATTTCTTAGTGCTGCACACTATTCGGTTAGAACCGTCCCCGACCTCTAGGTCCACCTCGTCCTCTGGGACCACCTCGGCCTCTAGGTCCTCCACGGCCTCTCATAGGTCCGCCTCGTCCTCGAGCCGCACCTGGTCCACCTCTTGCCGCGCCAGGAGCACCAGGCTCAACCTTTCTTCTCTTGGCCTTGGGAGTATCATCAATCAAAAGAGTATCCAAGGGTAGCGAGTCGGGGAGAATGAAGAACCGGATTGTGTTGCCTCGAATGTTGATGTAGTCGAGCGAGGTTGGGGGTCGGTTCTTCATGGTCATCTTCACATTCTTGAGTGTCGTGTTCATATTGTTGGACACAGACATGACTGTTCCGAGAAGAACGGTACCTGAGTTAGTAATGACGTAGGGGAAAGGGGGCCGCCATGTGCACATTAGAGGGAGTGACAGATGCAGACACAGATACTGACAGAAGACCCTGATAGAGCCAGAGTAGACCGAGCTCTGTGGAAGTAGGAACAGCTGTATTCAGCAGACAGCATATTGATTTACCAGACCCCAGGGTAAAACAGGCCGTGACTGTGATGTTCCATGGTCTTGATCAAAGGCGGACAGGCAAGAAGAGCATGAGAAATCAGCCAGAATATTGTAATAGAGGTAGACGGATCGTGTGAACTGATGATACCGCAGCGAATAACGTCATTTCCTCTTAACGTCAATGCGTCTGACCACTGTCTGTTGATCTCGCATATTGCGAATCGCGTCTGATGGGGTCAAGCGTGTATACACGCGAGAAGACAGCAATGCAAGCCGCTATAACACCATATACATTATCAGCTGTCACAGTATCACACCGAAACCATTAGCCAGACTCCCGGTCCTCTCTTGTCTGTGTCTCTTCTCTCTTACCCAGTCTCCCATCAACCTTCCGTGTACCATAGTCAGTGTTCTTATGAACCGCCATGTCACCGTTTGAGTGGAAAAAGAATGTCACAGCTTGTAAAGCCGTTTGTGCAATGTCAGCCCGCATCAGTCAACATTCTCGCCTGCTCCTTCGCCTCCCTCAACTTTAGTCGACATGTACATGTTGACTCGTTCATAGTGGATCAGACTTACAATAGTAACAAACCCATCATGATCGAGCCACGTGTCTGGATAGCTGTTTGTGCCACAATGTGGTTGGTTGTTGGGCTCTCCTCCGCCATCAACTCGAGCTTCTCGCTCTTTCGTTCTGTTGTTCGCTCGTCAGACGTGCTTCGCACTCTGCACTAGTTTCCGCACTCACCATTCTTCAGCTCAATCTGGACCGACTCCGAGGTCAGTTTCATCAAAAATCTGTGTTAGCAAAGCTCGCGGGGACGCCAGTGCTCAATACTCACCTGACCAATTTCATTTTGTGCTGTGGTGATCGAGAAGACGATTTCCAGATATGATGCAGTGTTTTTGCCAAACTCAATCTGATGAGTAAGCAAGGATGGAGAATAATGCAAGAATGGGTGGGAGCAGACAAGTTCAAATACCCAAGGGATAGACTGAGAACGACAACAATGCTGAACTCCCGTCACTGATAATAACCCTCCTTGACTCATAACCTGTTCATGATCGCACACACTTATCAGGTGCATGTACAAGCACCAGTACACGCCCAGTACACGCCCAGTACACGCCCAGTACAAACTCCAGTACAAACTCGCATCAGCTCTTTTAAGAGACTCGTGGGTCGTAGTCACGTGATCTAGTCCAGTGGATTTGGCGTCGCTCTACTCCGGTTTATCTGTTTGATCACGTGAGTTTTCGTGGCCACAAGACAGATATACCCCTCCTTGAATTCCCTCGATTTATTTCCATTTATTTCCGAATACAAATAAAAAATAAATTCCAATAAAAATTCCAATATTTCCTGTCCCATATTTACACACACCCACGTGCCCACAATCCCAACAAACCCTAACGAATTAGCACCCGAACGGAGATAAGCGGTTTGCCGTAATTACGATAGGATGGAGCAAGGGGGATAATACGCTACAGTACATACAGTACAGTAATGAACTTGTACTGTATGTACTCCCTGTCGACTGGGGTTAGCAAATACGCCTAATATCCAATTTAGTGGACAGTTGGTCGTATTACAGGTACAATACGGTATGTACTGGATACGGTGAATTCGACAGGGATAAAACACCATATCTCCGAAGATACAAGTTTTGAAAACAAGTGGATACGATGATCACGTTCAGGAGATTGTCTGCTTTCGAAAGTTATACTTGTTGGTCGTATTTCCTCATCAATCGGCGAAAATTGTGCAGCTGTTAAACCAAGCATCTTGTACATGCGATACGATACATACCCCCAGCCCCCCTCTCAACGTTTCTGAAGGCTGTCATATTGGGAGATGGTCGTGGAAGTAGTGCAGCAGTAAAATAGAGTTAGCAATACCTCGGCATATTTGGTCTCTTCAAGAGGTGCCGAGAGGTCTTCAATGAGGATGAAAATTACACCAATAGACTCCTCTTTGGCTGAGATTCATAATGGTACAATTTCCATGATTATAGCCCTTATTTAGCGGGAGGTAGGGACATATCATTTACCACTTCTGTTTTGTTGAAACTCCAAGTAACTCTAAGTAATACCTCTGCAATAGGTGTCAAAACCCCTCAATTCGATGTTACCGGGGCCAAAAAGATTCGGAAAACTCGTCATCCATAATTTGGAGTCTCAATCAGCCCTTTCCAGATCGAGATACCAGCGAATTCTCTCTCTTCAGCCGCCAAACTGCCCACCTCGGTGAAGCAACCCAAACCCGGAGGTAACTCTATTTGTTCCCACACACACGACATACCTTGTCACCACCAAACCTGCCCACCCGCAAAACACTCTCAACCATGGTCAATCTGTCTCTGCGTCCCCGTCCTGCCAAGGCCAAGTTCAAGGGTCTGCCCGCCAACCTCGAGGTGTCTCCTGAGGACACGGTGGCCTCTGTGGTGGCGAAATTGAGCGCTGCCACCAAACTGTCCAAGTCCCGAATTCGGCTCACTGTGGCCGATGAGGAGAATGGAGGCGCTCCCGGAGCCAAGAAGAAGCACATTGTGCTCAAGCCCGAGCACGCTGTCGGCGATTACCTCTTCTCCGACTCTCCTGTGGTGTTTGTGAAGGACTTGGGCCCCCAGATCCCCTGGAGAACCGTCTTCATTCTCGAGTACCTGGGACCTCTTCTGGCCCACCCCATCATCTTCTTTGGCCAGAAGTTCTTTTACCGACAGAGCTTTGAGTACACGTTTGCTCAGAAGCTGGTCTTCACTCTATGCATGCTGCATTTCCTCAAGCGAGAGATTGAGACCATCTACATCCACAAGTTCTCCTCCGCCACCATGCCTCTGTTCAACCTCTTTAAGAACTCCGGCTACTACTGGTTCATTGCCGGTTTCAACCTTGCCTTTTTCGTTTATGCCCCCGCCTCCTTTTCTTCTCCCCAGGCTCCTCTGTGGAAGCGTTTCCTCTTTTCCACTGGCTTCTTTGAGCGAACCCCTCTGTTCCTCAACCTCATGGCCGCCCTGTGGCTCTGGGGAGAGACCTCCAACTTCTGGACCCACTTCAACTTGGCTTCTCTGAGAAACGATGGCTCCAAGGACCACAAGATCCCCTTTGGCTACGGCTTCAACCTTGTTTCCTGCCCCAACTACTTCTTTGAGGTTGTCAGCTGGATCGCAATTGCCCTCATGTGTGGCAACTGGTCCGCTTATGTCTTTACTGCCATTGGCTTCGGTCAGATGTACGTCTGGGCCGTCCAGAAGCACCGACGATACAAGCGGGAGTTTGGAGACCGGTACCCTCGAAACAGAAAGGTCATGGTTCCTTTCTTGCTTTAGATGCAACGAGCTTGCGAATTGTATCTACATCCGGTGGTTATTTCAACCAAGTGTTTTGGCCTACATCACAATACGATTAAATCGTGTTTGATTGTACGTCAACACGATAAAGAAAGAAAGACACTCCAGAGTCGGAGTATATAGGTAATATCTATGAGTAAAGTACAAGAGCACTACAGTAAGTACGCTGTACTGTGTGTACTGTGGTGCAGCGTGTTGAATCTATGGGGGACTTGGGATACTGTAAAAAGTGAGTTTTGACAAATATCACTTGCCAGTATCTTGAACAGCTTCAACAATAGTATCATCACCTTGACAGTCAAGGAGACTGTGCAAGACCGCATACTGCTGTTTCCACACGCTTGTGTACTCGGCCTGGAGCTGGTTCAGGGCAACATTGTTCTCGGGAACATCCAAGACAAACGAGCGGAGGGTATCCAGGTTACTTTCAAAATCCTGTCGCATGATATCCATGTAACGAAGTAGATCTTCCGTGTGATCTTGCGACGCAGAGGCGTATTCGAGAAGGTCTCTGTATTTAACCGTGGGGAACTTGTGGCGGAGGTACGGAGTTGACTTTGTGACCTTCAATTTGTATGTTGTCATTGCTGGTGGGGTAGAGGGCCATTGGGGGTTAAGCGTGTCTTATATGTCTTTTGTCTCTTACATTGGCTATGTTGTGATACGTGGGCTACTTGTACTGCTACCGTAGGGCAATTCAATAATTCTTCTCTGCCAACCCCGACTCTCATTTACGACACGCGCGGTCAATCATTCAGACCCAGCTTATCAATCTTGGCCTTGGAAACATCCAACATGAACTCCACCACCTCTTGCTTGGGCATTCCATACAAGGGCTCAGCAACATGCTCTAACTCGTTCCACTGGTCTCTCGCAAAAGCAGCAAAATATTCCCGCATCTGCTCGTTCTGTGCTTCAAACGCGTTCCTCCACCCAGTCAGACACTTTGTCATGTCCAACTCCTCGGTCTTGATCCTGAACACTGCAAGATGTCGCAGTTCGGGGATATCATAGACGTCAGCCAGGACCAGCAACCCGGTAGCTTGTTCAAACTCCGCCTCGAACGGCTCCCCGTAGAAATACGACACCATGACCTCCACCCACGCATGTGGATATGGGATTTCAAGCCGTTTCTCGCGCGAATCGATCATGTTAGCGTCGATCATTGCAGCAAAAAAGGGTAGAGAGGCCTTGAACACGACAGAGTGGATGGGGATGGTTCCTTCTTTGGTGACGAGCGTGAAGTCAAAGTCCCCGTTTAACCGCACTTTGGATAAGCCCACAAGTCTCTGAGAGTAGTGGAGAGTCATTACTTCACAGAGAAGCTTTTCACCAATGCTGCTTATCAAATGGCTCGACGCATCTCCATTGATGATGAAAATCAAACCATTAGACATCTTCATCAGGAAAGTGTTTGAAGCGGTTTTGACTACCAGCTTCATTTGAAGGGCTCTCCAAGGGACAGTACTCATACTAGTTCCGGTGCCTGCTCCCGAAAATTGTTGGAGGGTGAAGGAGCCATGTCTGCTGATAGTTTTCTCAGAGTTGTCGTACACGGAAAAGATGACGGTTTCTCCCTCGGAGCATAGGTAAGCTGTTTTATGCAGGTCAATTGCATACCTCGCCTTGTGGTTCTTTTCCAGGCTCTCTAGCTTGATTTGAACCTGGTCCATGTTATTGTCGGTCATTGAGCTGAAGATGGGATGACATGTACATACGGTACAACAGGAACCAAGTTTGGTGCGGTTCATCTTCTCAGTTTATCTACGAAAAAATGTTAGCAAGTGCAAGTACGTACTGTACTTTTATCCGGCATGCCCAAGGCAGATCGGAAAGTCGAGCGGGACTTGCTACGAGTACAGTAATGTACACTGTACATTCAAGTAGGCATTTCCTACGATATCCTTCTAATCAAAGATAAGTAACAACAGTCAATGATGCTTATTCTTACTTCATATGACTAGTCTTGGAAGTCTTTCCAAGTCTTACAATCCCTCTTATTTATCATATTCTCCATGATCGAGAGAATTATAAATGTGATAACCCTGACTAACATGAGTGTTATGCCTCAAGATAACAGCGCAAATAAACAGTCTCTGGTGTATCCCATCGACTATTTCGCTCACCGATCTTCATCTGTTTATCAAGGGTCTAGACATGTATTAAGAGAATTGCTGACCGTTTATTTCAGAAGTTACATAAAGATTTGTCTTCTTAGATCGCTCCTTAGTTCTTCAACACAATCTCCGAACTCCTGATTACCTGAACCGATCTGCGTGCATTTGGGGTAACTACGGTACTGGAAGGTATCATCAGGGTCAGACTGGGTCATCTTCCAGGTTTGGTGAGGTGGGTGAACTACACACTTGTATCAGCAGGGACATGGTGTTTTAACTGGACGTTCGAAACACTCAATTGAACCACCGTTCAAGACCCAAGTGTGTCAAACGCACCGTCAAACGTACCGTGAACAGATTGGTGCCTCTTGCGTCGTTCTTCCGTCGTCAATTGGCAAAACACCCTCCCCACTTCCCACTTGGCCCTTTGTCTCCTCACTTCGGCCAATTTGCTTTGTTGGTATCGATCCCGTACTGGTCTGGATGCGGACTCCGATTCTTCTTTGGTATCTCTCTGTACTGGACGGAATTGTTCTTGATGGAAGGATGTTCGCCCTCACACGGATATTTCTGTGAAAAAGCGCGGGAGCTGAATGTTGACATGGTCATGTATCCAGGTCGATGGTGATGGTGTTTTACTGCAATATGCGCGAGCTGCATAAATAAAACGGTGCGGCTCGGAATTGATCTCAACTAATCCCCGGCATCGAACCATCACAACAATGGAGAGAGCCAGGAGAGACCACTGCAGACCACTGCAGACCACTGGAGACCACTGGAGAGACAGGGCTATTGTTTTGTTAGGCTTTATAACCCTGCACGATATCATCTTCCTTGTTTCACCATAACGTCTGTAGGATATGTTTCTTTGTTGAAGAATTCAGGCTGTATTAGTCTAAATAATATATAGCGTAATAATATTATATGTTATTATAGAGTATGGTACTGTACGCTATTGAATTGTTAGAACTATTGGTTTCGGATTATCTACCGCAACCCTTTTGTCAGTTGATTAAAATACACATGCGAATTTTTACCCAAAATTTACAAGTACTGGTACCAGAATTCACCCAATTTGTTCTGATTTGTGTCCCTTTGTCAACACGTGTTTCAGTTTCGACATTTTACACCACGGACTTGCTTTTAGTTGGTGTCTCAGATTGAGTGACATAAAGAAAATCGGCTAGACGGGAGAAACTGGCCATCGACAGCAGGATAAATGAAGGAACAAACGTGTATGTACGCCTCGAGCGTGTATGAGAGGATGTACCTTTGATTTGTCGTACGATTGTTATTTTTTCTTGAATTTTATCCAATTTAACCAGAATTCTCGCATAATTCTAGAATTTTCTAGAATATTAAAAGAAAATCAATACCACTACTCGTATTTTTTTTTATCTACATGAACCGATATTGATAAACCCATCCTGTATTACTAATAGCTATAAATTATCTTTACCCAGAGGCAGAGGAAGGCACTCTGACTGTCTGTCTCTCTTGCATCTACCCTGTGAAAGCCTTCTTGATCGATCTGAACGGTCTCAGCAGTCGAGGCACCTTGTGGCTCTGAATCACGTCAGCCGAGGTCGACATGGAGTCCTCCCGTCTTGGCTGCGGTGGCAGTGTATCGTTATAGACGGCGTTGTAGGGCATTTGGAACGTCTTCTTCTGGGTCTGGGACGGAGGGGCCATACCGGCCTTGGACAGGAGCCGTTGTCGGTTTTTCATGACCGATTCGCCCACATCGGGATCTGCACTGGCCTGGTTCCAAACTCGGTTGGAGTTGATGGTGGCACTTTCGTCCAGCTTGTCCCACACGTAGTCGTGCTCGGTCTTGTTGCCATATAAGGGTCTCGATCCCGTCGTGAGGATGGACTGCTGAGAGGTGTGTGAAGAGACGGACATGGCGGCCGAATTATCTGAGCGGATTTGAGAGAACACCTGCGGCGACTTGGTTCTTGTTCTTGTTCTTGTTGTCGTTGTTGTAGTTGTTGTTATTACAGAGCTGTTTGCGATAATACCCAAGAGCGAAGAGTCGGATCCTGGTTCGTTTGTGTAGCTATTGGTTATTGTGGAGCGATCTGTGAGCGACTGTCTTGTGTGTCTTTTGTTGGTGTGGCCAGATTGAGTGTTTGTCTAATGTCGTTAGTGACTGTCCGTGACCTGGTGCGGCAATGTTTTGCGAGTCGGAATTTGGATTGTTGGTTTTTTTTTGAGTGTCCGATTTTTAGGCGGGCCATCTCAGATATATGAGCAAGCTTTAGCCGTTGGGTGCACATGGCTTAGCCCACTCATGACCTAACCAACCTTGAACAGAAAACACGGCGACTTTTCGTTGCTGGCTGGATAATGAGAAATGGGTGGAATCAAATCGAGTCCCACGAGAGAGTCCCACGGGGCCGCGACGCCGGTGGTCACGTGGCCACCCCCCTACGTTTGGCGAGTCGCGATGGGGTGTTTTGCAACATTGCTACCTGCACTTGTTATGGATGGTTACTGTTTCACCTTTCAGTAAGCTGACGTTCCAAAATAAGCGCAAGTCCGACAGCCCAGCCTTTTAGTGGGTTTTACACAGTAATTAAGTTGTCGGCTTTAGTATGGGTTGGTGGTATAAAATAAAAAATAAAAATAAAAAATAAAAAATAAATATTCCAGAGTCCGTCAGAAAAGTCCAAAGACGTCAGAAATGCCAACCGTAGACACAACAAAGGATCCGCCCCGCTCTACCCCACACGTCCGTCCGACTCGGCCCCCTGACCACACGACAGCGTCCACACTGTCTCACTTTCACATTCTCCACTTACTGGATAGATGCAGGTACAAACTATCGACCGTGAATGTGACGACTTCACGAGACGTAAAGGGCCCAAGTAGTGGCTTAATAAGCACCGAGGACGTTGCAGACTGTACCAGGCTCGTTCAACCCACAATTTTTGCCTCTAACTACAAGTTTCAAACCTCGGAAATGCACCTACCCCACTCCTTCCGGCACATCCATCGACGCTCCATTCCAGGGGCTTTCGGTAGTGTCAAATTGAAATAATATCGCCCCTAGACTCGAACCAAGTTCCAAACCCGCCAGAACCATGCTGCAACCACGCTTCGGTGCCGGAAACAAAACCTACACGCCCCTCATTAACATTTGAAACACTCCTTCGAACGGGAAAGATCGGGTTGAAAGTGACAGCTTGTTGGGGATGGTATGTTGGAGACATCATGATCGGGGGAATAGCTTTGTAGACCCGACGTGTGTGTACACTGTATGAGTACATGCTATACTTCTGCTCGTACTTTTAGAGGTACAGTATGTACTGGTAGGATCATTCAAACTGCCTACTAGTACATTCTCTCATGTTCAAGTCCCGATAACGGAATGGCGACAAAAACGTTGCATTAGTGAACTGAGTGATACCCAAGTCATATCAATCGTAACAAAAAGCTCGATAAGACCTCTGTCGCCTTTGTCTGTAGCACTGTCGCCTTGTAAAAAGTCTTCCATTACATCCTAAATGATTCGAATACTTACCCACTCGTCTATTACAAGATACAACTCAGTGATGATCTTATATACTGTCAAAACTGCTGCAGAATGAGCGAAAAGCCACCCTACAATTACCTATCCGGACACTAATAACTATTCAGCCGTGCCCAAAGACATCCAATGAAACTACATAAGAATAATCGACAATTAGAGTGCCCAGATGAGTTGCCATTGTCATTTGAAGTGGTTAAAATTCATGTATAGGCGACTCATTCCTTAATCAAACCACCCCATATGCCCGCTGCTCATTTCTTACTCTTTTTTCGGTGTTTTTAGTCTTTTTTTTATTCTAATGATTCGGTTAGTCAGCTTTATCCACATTTTGTATGTCAAAATCCATAAAATGTAACAATTCGCCTGGCTAGCTCAATCGGTAGAGCGTGAGACTCTTATCCAAAGGTCATCTCAAGGCTGTGGGTTCAAGCCCCACGTCGGGCTTTCTTTTTTCGCACATCTGACGTTCGGTATTCTCCTTTTTCCTCTATGCTCCAATATCCGGTTATTCATCTTCTCGGAACTTTATTCCAAAAAATATTAACGTTTAAACCTTAATATGGAGAAACTTTTTGTTTTCCTTTTCTTTGTGTGACCGAAAAACCCATAAAGAATGGGGAAATGGGGAAATGGGGAAAATTGAAAAAAAGAATTGCCTTCGACCAGATTTGAACTGATGATCTCAGCATTACTAGTGCTGCGCCTTACCACTTGGCCACGAAGGCTGGTTATACGAATTTTTAAAAACATTTTCATTGTTATCGGAAGACTGATTAGTCATTAACCCGTCATTAGGATAAAAAAAAAAAAAACCCGGTTTACTAGGTATATAGCTGTAATGAATCATTAGAATAAAAAAAAAGGTAGAAAATGCGAAAAAATACGAAAAATACGAAAAAATACGAAAAAACTAGGAAACTTGTTGTAGAAGGTGATTTTCTGACAGGGTGAAATGGAATGAGTTTCAGTTGGAACTTCATTATCCCATTTCTAAGGCGATAATCTCTATTCAGATATTTACTCCTCCGGTGGAAGCAATACCGAAGCTATGGAAGAGTCGTGTGATCTCTTCAAAGGTGAATATATAGGATGGAGGAGAACTTGAACATTGGGTGTTTTTGATTGTGATTTCAAACTGAAGTACGCAGTTCTTGGTATGGTAGCCGATAATCTACGTGCCTGATAGAGGAATTGTAGTGTGCCCCAGCTGCCCTGTTGACCAAGCAGCTTTTTATGACATTGTGGTTTACATTCTAGTAGTAGTAGTTACGAGAGCTAGGCCCTACGTGTGTGCTATCAAGTCGGAACACATTGTGCAGGTTTGGTATTATATGACTGTTGATGTTGGATACAGACGCTTGGAGCATTGTATGGTACGTATCCTGGTGAGCGCAAGCGTTCGAGAGTCGCGTTTATATATATTTAAATCGAATCAGATTAACCAGAGGGTTCCATAAAACTCATTCGGTAGTCTTGCTTCCCATTTTATTCAATTATCTCATTCAAAGTGGTTGTCCTTCAAGATACAGTATGTACACAGTACACAGTACATACAATATTGTATTTGAGGATAACAGCTTCTAAGCTTGTGATTTTGGTGCTTTTAGAGACTAATGGGTCCACAAGAAGAAGCACGTCAACCGGCTCATGTTGGAGATGTTCTACTTGCATGTGTTTGTGAGTTGACACTGCTGGCGACTCCAACTTCAAGTGTATGGGGAAGGAAGTAACTAATGTAAAGATAGTATACTCATTACACATTAACACTAGGGTATAAACAGTATGCTGGACTTCTTGGTACTATACAGCACCGTCGGGTCACTATCAACCCTCCTCTGGGTTCCTCCAACAATCAATCAAATCTATATGCAATGTCTATGTATGTACTAGGCCATTAAACCACTATCTCTGGTTACAGGCGAGCAACAGCTGCTTCATTTCCGGAGCAGTGTGTGCGTAAGGGTGCTGGCGTCTCCAGGGGTTTCTCTCAATCTTTTTCTTCAGGAGAACCTGCTCCACACATCCATGAGGGTCTCGTTGGAACGGCAGAAAAGCGTGTTCCAGTTCACCGGCATCAGGAAGCTCGTCCTCGCCCCAAACAGGATCAATGCCGACGTACTCAAACTTGTCAGAATCATATCCTACGGCTGGTCGGTGCAGTTGTTCAAACCGGGCTCTTTTGAACTCGTAGCCGACCACGGTGATTCTGACTGGGTACCGGCCCGTCAGCTCCCTGAACCTCGCAATCGAAAACGCCAGGTTCTCGTACGAGTCACGTGCGTACTCCTCCACTGCTGTCTGAGACATGTCTAATCCCAGAGCCTCCGCCAGCTGGTAGTAGGAGGTTCCCTCGGAAATGGGGCCTGCAGCCTTTTTGGTCTGACCTCCAGAGAAGAGTAAGAGCGCCGAGGGGTCTTCTGACGCTCGTCGCACTCCCTCGGTGATGTGTTTGAGCAGAATGTCGGTTTTGCCCTCCAGAAACGGGCCTGCAACCCAGTCCGAAAACGCCAGTCCCGGCAGCTTGGTGCTGCTCTTTCGGGGCTGTTTCCACACACCATGGCACGGCACCATGACCAGGTGATCTGTGTCACTCTCCACGCCCGGAAAGTCCAAAGTGCGGTCGAAGAACGCGCTGGGTCTGGATCGGGTGCTCTCGGTGGCTGCTGCTCCGAGTTTCATGGCCAAATCGGGCTTGGAAATGATAAACGCCATGATCAGAAGAGACACAACCGCCAGGGCCAGAATAATAACGCGTCGAGAGCGTCTTATCCGACTAGCCAGTGTCATTATGAGAGTGGTGATCGTGTTCTATGCATGAACTTTCACTGACATTACTGGTATGATACTAGTGTGAGGCTAATGGACACTAAATTAAAGACACTTATTTAGTGCGAATAATTTGGATTTAATCGATACAATCGGGGAAACAACGGAAATCAATTCTAGTCACATGATTATAGCTCACAAAATAATTTTTCAAAAGATTTGTGGTCCAAAAACTGCCACAAATGACGCTCCCAATCACCTCGCCCTTTTGCTCTCATGTAAGGGTCCAGCTTGCTTTTCAAAGTCTATTTTTGGTTTAGCACGAAGCAGTCATCCAAAACTAAGTTTGGATTTTAGTTGACTTTATGGAATTTTTAGTTGACCTGATACTTGAATATTTGTTTGGACGACCGCCCAAGATAAAACCATTCACATGAAATAGAGGTGATAGGATAGTACACATTTTGTGGTTAATTCCACTTGTTCGTTCAATATAACTCTCATCGACTACAATTGGCCACGTTAGTGGGTCCAGTTCCTACTCTAGCGAACACTACATGCCTACATGCTCTACAGTATGCACCATATCTTCAGGCAGCTACAAGTAGTAGAACTGATGGACATGGTATCTGGTCGCAGTTGTGCCGGTACGAGTAGAGTTCTTATATTGTCGTCTACTCGTACCTACAATCACAATGAGACAGCTCATTGGGTGCACTTCTGACCTGATTACGGTCAGTCAGTCCCGCAGTGCTCAGTCAGAATAATTTACTATTTACATATATACAAAAGACCTAGGCCTTGGAGTCGTCGCTGTACTTGCTCTGGAGCTTCTTGATCTCTTCGGGATCAAGAGGAGGAATAGGCACATCGCCAAAGTCGTCGGTACGCAGAGAGTACATGGTGTATCCGTAGATACCGGCGACAAAACCGGTGAGGCCGGCCAGAGCGAGCATGTTTCGCACAAAGAAGGGTCGTCGGGCCCGAATCAGAGCGGGGGACATCTGGAAGGTCTTGGGGTCAATGTACTTGCCCTTTCGGAAACTGTGTTAGAATGGAACGGTCGAGCATGGTCGAAGGTCAGGGGTCAGAGGTCAGAGGTCAGAGGTCAGAGGTCAGAGGTCAGGAGTAGGTCCTTCAAGATACCATCGAAAGTTTAGAGGGTGTAGTTGTGATAAAACCGACGTGCTGCTTGCTGTAGCAATTGATTGGCTGGTTGCGGCATGTGGCTAGCCACAGCAATGCAGAGTTCAAACGGGTCTGTCACAAGCAAGACAACGTGTAGATTTTCTGGAGAAGAGAAGGATGAAGGAGACACATTTCTCATTCACGGTGTTGTCCTGGTCACAAAATGTCCGTGTAGATACTGAACCCAGAGTTGCATTGAGAGATCAGTGGCTCTGATCGTCGCACGCAGCTGTAGTGTCTTGAAGAGAGTGAGATTGGTAGTTTGATTGCAAGTCGCTTTGGGGAATACCAACCAAACACGTCTCTTCAAATAGCCCATTTCAACCACAACTTCTCTTCACACTCCCGTCCACCATTAGCCACCCGAATCCAACCTCCACCGCCAACACTGCCTGAGTGTCGCAGCCACCTCCTGTCTCTGATTACGACACATATCATGGCGTGTCAATCTCTCGATTGTCGTGATACTCACACTTTGAGACCGGGCTGGGGTTGCTTGTGCACCTCAAAGGTGCCCTTTCCGTTATGGGGATCCTGAGACATGTTTCTGTGATGTGTGGGTGTGTGTGATATGAGCCCTTGGGTGGTGAGATTTTGACCTCATGAGATTTTGAGTTTGGAGACAAGGCGAACAGGTAGGGTAACTTCATTGCATACAGGATGCGCTCTCCTGGATATGTGGTGATGGGCCAAAAGATTTTGAAAAGATTCCTGAATCAGTGCGACAATGGCAAAAATTCAACTGCGACACAAGAAACGGTTCAGCGCGTTGGGAAACAAGCCCGTTAAGAAAGCGGCGTCTCCAGACAGAGCGGGCTCCGCCACGGACACCCCGACTGCTGTTCCTGAAAAGCTGACTGAGAAAGAGGAAGAGCTCAAGACTAGCACAGAGGAAACTGCGGTGGAAAAGACTCCGGCTCAGACAGAGTCCCCCGTGAATACCGCTGCATCTTACAAGCAGACAATGGTGCCCAACTCGGTCCGAAAACGGCTGAGAGCCGAAAAGCGAGCTGCCAAGGGCCAGTCGGTTGGGGCGGATGGAAAGACTGTGGTTGTAGAGACTGCGGTTGTAGATACTATTGCTGGTGATGCGGCTGCGGACTCAACGACAACTGAGACTCAAACTGCTCCGAAACGCCTCGGAAACCTGTTTAATTTGCGAGCCCAGCAGGAGAAGGAAGTAAGGGAAGACACCAAGGTCGAGATCATCAAGCCACAGGCTATTGGGGACAATGTTACACAAGTGGCTGAGCCACCGATTATTGTAGTTTCTGAAAAAACACATGCCCAAACGCTGGATGCAGCGCCTCGGCCCAAGAATCGAAGCAAAGATCGAGAATTTGAGAATCTGGCGAATGACAACATCCACGAGTTCTCAGTGGACGCTTTCACGGAGGAATCGGAAAGACTCAAGGCCGAAGGAAAGCTTGACGAGTACAAGCGACCTCTTACGGCCATTGGAGGAGGCAAGCACCAGATCACCAGTCTGTTGCGACAAGCCCAGGACAACAAGGAGCAGCTGGAGGCGTCATACTCTCAGAATCGCCTTACCCAAAAGGAGAGTGGAGCAAAGTATGGATTTTAGAGCGAAAAATCGTGACTGCACGACTATGTTTACTGTATTATATATTTATTGCATTTATTTAAAATCAGATTTATAAGTGTAGAAGATCTCTTCCGTCCTAATTGTAGATTGTCTGCTCTACAGTAACTCGTTCGCTCCGCATAAATGATTAGACCCATTACCACTGTACCTGTACATACAGTAGTCGTATCGCAATACCAATATCTCACCTTGACATCCTGTATAATCCAAAATATATTACTTTTCACTAATTCCATCCCATCTGCATCTATTTGAAGTCCTTGAAAGACCACTTCTCGGTCACCTTCTTCTTGTATCGGGGCTTGAGGTTGTGTCGCTTTCGAGCCTCGATCTTTCCTCGCTGCTGCAGCGATCGGAACCGGTCTCGCATCAACGATCCCTCGGGCTTGAGTCGTCGAAGAGAGTCTGTGAGCTCGCCTGAGAGCTTGACATCGAGAGTGGGCTCCAGAATTTCGTATTTGCCGTACCGACGGGTTCGCACCTTCTCGGCAGCCTCGCCTCCTGCAATGAGATCCTTGAGATCCTGCTTCTCCTGCTCGGACTTCTCGGACCGCTTGGCGAGCTGTTGCATCTTCTCATGAATCTTCTTCATCTCCATCTTCATTTGTTTTCGAATTCGTTCCTTTTCCTTGTGTTCTCGCATCTGTCGTCGCTTAGCCATGCTCTTTCGCTTCTCCTTGGCAGGCGCGTTGATAGACAGACCGACGCTACCGCCCTCGAGTTCCTCATCAGAGGCCTCCTCCTCTTCCTCCTCGGACGAGTAATCCATCTGCTTGTCCTCGTGGTCCTCCATGGTGTCCATGAGATGCTGGACACGGGCTTGGTCGGCCTCCAGCTGCAGTCGTTCCTCCTCCAATGCCTCTTCCTTGGCCAGCTCCTCCTTGAGAAGAGCCTGCCAGGCCTCCAGAGAGGGATTGTAAGATCGACCCTCGTGGGGAACCTCAATAGCCTTGTCAGTGGCTCCAAAGACAAGAGGCTTGTGGTCCAGAGTGGAAGGTCGCACAGTGCTTCGGGTTCGAGAAGTGGCCTCTCTGTGATCACCGTTAGCAAAAGTAGCCCGCATGATGTTCTCAGGCTTAGCAGACTTGGGCATGTATGCAACCCGAGATCCAGCATTCTTGACCTTGGTCATACTCTGAGGGAAACCCTGGAACTCGGATCGGGGCTTGACCACCTTGGATGCAGTAATGGTCTTCTTCTTGGGAACCACAGGAGCGGGGGCCTCGTCCCATGCGTCGTAAACAGGAGTCTCCAGGACAGAGTCGGCTTGCAGAGCAGCCTCGGTCATCTTGTTGTCCACATCTCGTCGTCCAGCCTTCTTCAACAGCATATCCAGCTGCTCCTTGCTCATCTTCTTCTCCTTCTTGGTCTTTTTGCCAATCACGCCGGGGACAGCAGATCGCCGGGCAAGAATCTCGTCCGACTTGAGACGCTTCTCCTTCTTTTTGCTATGGTAAGTCTCGACATCGCCAGACGTTCCAGCTGTGTCCACAGTGAAGAGAGCATCACCAGCCTGCTCCAGGTTCTTGGAGCCAAACTGCCGCTCGTTTTCTCGAGCGCTGTCTAGACCGGCGTTCAGATCCTCCAGATCAATGTTCTTTCTCCACGCCTTCTTTCCTTTTCTGCTCGTTTGTTTGCTCATGTTGTCGTGTGCTTAGGAAAACTGCCCTTTGGAATTTTCTTCCATAATGCATCAACCTGCACATTTTTTAGAGTTAGTCTTCCTGTTGGGTTAGGGCTGAGTAGTATTGAAACCTTAAATCCGAAATAAGAGACACAGACCACAAACTCACCTCTTTTGTGTATACTGTACTAGTTAATCTCGGAATCTTGGTATTCAACTTCTTCTTCTTCTCCTTCTTTTTCTTTTCGACTTTTCGGTTTCCCGTCATTGAAAACCGCCGCCTACTAACGCCACTAACAAAGCATACCCTCATTGAGATACATCGCTACTGATACCCCCGTTTGATACCGACTTCTCCCCGTGACACCCCTGGTGTGATATCCTGGTGTGATATCCGCTCTGAGACCTATCTGTGACACTGTCTCATCTGTCAAAGCAGTAATACCAGCGACTTCCGTGTCTTGCTCGATACGCACCCGTCTCACCGACGGACCGATACCATGGCCACCACCGTCCTTGCTGACCTGGCAGTCTTGTTACACAAAATCTCGCATGAAGTGGACACGGCAGAAATCAACGGCAAGCTCAAAGATGTCTACTCCATCCTCGAACCGACCATTGCGGAGTTCAAACGACTCGGCGCCAAGGCCAGACTGCACGATGTCCCCGACGCACTCTGGAAGTCTCTGACCCAAACCATCACCACAATCATGACTCTGTGTGAGCAGCGTGGTTTGGAGAAAGAGCGACAGATGTGGGCTTCAAAATGGGCCACGTTCAAGCAGTCCTACCAAAAGGGCAAGGCCGCCTTAGCCGAGGAGCGCAGGCGGTGCGACAATCTCAAGTCCGAAGTCGATGCTCTTCGTGACCAGCTCAAAGATCTGCAAACCGCGGGTTCGAATATGTCTGAGAGTCGCAAATTGGCAGACGAAGAACATCTCGCAAGACACATGCAGCATCTCAGCGACGCCAACAACGACAAGATCAAAGCGATCGCGGAGATTGAGAAGCTCAAGGCCAGCGAGCAGATTGCAGAGCTCAAGTTCAACATGGTCTCAAAAGAACGTGACGAAGCGCTCAATCATGTTGCAAAGCTACAGTCGCAACTGGTATCCAAGGATGAGGAGCTGACAGAAGTCCTGGGCCGTGTCAAGTCCGACGCCACCCAGACTCAGATGGCTTTGTCTGACGCCGAAGCTCAGCTGGCCCAAATGGATAAGGAGATACAGACCATGCGATCCCAATTGACCAGTAAGGAAAATGAGGTTCATGACCTGCAGGCCCGACTGGACCATACACTGGAGCAGAACACATCCATTGCCAAGGAGCTGGAGGATACCAAAGATAAGGCGATACAACTACAGGCCAGCTTGGAGGACTTTTCCTCCCGTGAGTCTCAGTTCCAACAGTTCCGCAGGAGTCCCCACGACCTCAATATGGCTCCTCTTGGCCATATACAGCAACTGCATCCCAACATGCACTCGCCCTCTACTGGAACCCCTCCTTCTCTGCTTCATTCAATTCAACACACTCCACCTTCGCATGCATTCCCTATGCAACACACGCCACCTCCGCATTTGCAAGCTAACCATCATTACCAATCAACACCACCTCGTCATGGCTCATACCACCAGTCGTCGCCTCTTCACAGTGCATACCACGGGACGCCGCCTCTTCACAGCTCCTACTACCAGTCGCCGTCTCCGAACCACGTCTACAATCAAGCTTTCTCGCCATGTGTTGGCCAGGGATCTCCTTACGGCGGTCAAACATCAGCTCATGGATACCCAAATAAGGGTCCCCCTCGACCCCGAACGAATGGAAGGGACGGAACGTCGAGACCACAGACTGCTCACAGTATTGCCAACCAACAGCACCAGGAGCCCCTCGAGGGCTACTTTACTGATCAACCTAGTCCGTTTGTGGACCAGCCGTCTCAGAAGCATAACCGCCCGGTATCGAAAGGGGTCCGATGGCCTGATAATCTCCCAGACACGCCTTTGATGACGATGAACCGCGGTGATAAATGCGAGAACAAAAGGCCGAGCACAAGCCACTCAGACAGCGCCGGTATCGTCGAAGCCACCCCTGTCAAGACCAAGTCGAGTCCTTCCAAGGAGAATGTTAGCCCTGCCAAGCCTGGCACGAGTCCCTCCAAGGCCTCTCCCACAAAGTACGGTACTCTGAAGAGGAAACTTAGGGGGATTCGTAGGCCTCCCTACGGGTACATGACAGGAACATCCGGTGGAACCGTGACAGCGGAGGCTGCGCTCCGTCTCGACCATCCCATTGTTTCGTGGGAAGGTCCCTACTTTCATTCCCGCTCCCGCTTTGGCCCAGTCCCAGCGTTTTTGGATGAGCGGCTGGAGACGATGAAGCAAGATCTCAGTCCTTCTCTCGTCGCCCTGATGTGGAGCAAAAGTTGTCGACGAGCCTTGCGTCGCAGGCCTGAAGGGCCGGGTGGAGTAAATATCGAATCGCTTAAGCCTTTGCAATTTGAAAAGACCAAGATGAAACTGGCAGATGGGCTCGGAGACCGCATGTGTCTGGGTTCCTTAACTTGGCCAGTGCAGATTCATGTCAATTAGATGAGCAAGTTGCTAGTTAAAAGATATGTGGGTGTATGTATGCCGTTGCTGTACATACTAGTACAGCATGTTATATAACGATATGTGATTACTGTTCTTCATCTCATCTCCACTCAGGTCAGAGGTCGTCAACTGTAATTACAGTGCTGTATCTAAAGTAACCAAAAGCTCCCCATATTCTTTATTCTCTTTTGGAGACTTCTAGAGGAAGCCCCCGGCAATGGAGATTCGGTTCTCCTTGGTTCCGTAGACGGAGAGCTCCTTGGTAAGAGACCGGTGTAGCAGAACACACCAATCGCAACTGTTCTGTTCGTTCTCGAGAAAGAATACGTTGGTCCGGCAGACGAGCAACTGAGCGCGCGTGTCAGAAGGGCTCAGTATATCCTGGGCGATTTGGAGCTGATGTTTCACAGAGAGGACGACGACGACTACAACAAGGGCTGTGAGATCTTGTTTGCCAATCTGCGGACGGAACTGCGCAAGTCAAGCCCCTTTTGTATTTTGGACCCACCAAAATAGGGCGTTTGGTACGAGACGCATTGGCGGGAGTACAACTCCGTGATCGAGGCTGTGCCCGCCATTAAATTGATAGGCAGGCTGATATCACTGGGTGAAACGAGTGTTCGAAGCTCAAGGTGGAGGCTTTACAAATTTTACAAGAGCGAATCAATACACTGGTTGGTAAGGCTTTTCAGAAAGAAGAGTCTGTGAAATGATTGGTCAAGGCGACAACTTTTCTCAGAGTACTTGGACCAGACGAATAGTCGCCCTGGCTAACCTGATTTACACTCATTTAGACCTGAAAACTTGCGTTTAGCTCAGAGAGATCAATTCTTTTTGGTACACGTTTTTCCAGCAGGCAGGGGGTGTTCTAGAGGACAAGATCAGACGGTGGTCTTCATGAATGCAACCTGGCGGCAAGCTAGCCACTTGGAGGGACTGAGCTTTGGTCTTCGTGAAGCGTCTTTCAAGTAGAAAGTGGGAAACTACAGACTTGAACAGGTTGAAGTAAGGAGAAGAAACGAGTTGAAGGTCGAGAAGCAGACTGCAAGGCTCTTAGATGACCGACCAACTTTGATGGATTCAATGCTCGAAAGGAAGACATAATGGACTACAAGAAGAAACGTGAACTACTGGTCCTTGATGAAGAGGAGTTCCATCTTGACTTGAAAACACTTCGCACTAAAAGAATTGTCCGTGAGTCCCACGTCCAGATTGTTTCTTCTCAGTCTACAGTACAATGTAATTGCAAACACACACTCGGTATATATCATAATAATCAATAAATTAACGTCATTCATTCCTCCTCTACTCCTCTCCCATAGGAGTCAACTGCTCCAGATGATCATTCTTGACTCGGGCTAACCAGGGGTCGTTGGACAGCTCGATGGCGCTCTCTCGCTTGTTGGGGTCTCTATCCAGACACTTTAGCAGGAACGCCTGACCCTCGGGGGACAACTGCTCAGCACTAGGCAGTTGGGGCATGTGTCCAGAGGCAATATGGAACATGATGGCGTACTCATTGTCCAGGTTGGACCATGGTCGTCTGCCAGTAGCCATTTCCAAAACCACACAACCCAGAGACCAGATATCAATTGCCCCTTGTCGACCAGGGTTAGAACCTGTAATTACCTCAGGAGACATGTACATGGGTGTACCTGTCAGTGAGTTTATCTTGGAACGGGTTCCAGTCTGGGCAGCCCGGGTTCGGCCATTTCGGGCAATCACCTTGGCTGCACCGAAGTCAACAAACTTGATGAGACCATTGTGGTCCAGAAGAATGTTCTCGGGCTTGAGATCTCGATGTACGATACCAGCATGATGCAGGTAAGCCAGACCCTGAAGCATCTGGAAAGTGTAGACCTGAATAACCTGCTCGTCTTCGATTCGACCGTGCGACAGCAGATCGGCAATGGACCCACCCTGGCAAATCTCCATAAACAGATAGACCCTGTCTCGATGGACCTCCACGCCAAAGTACTGCACAATATTGGGATGGTGAAGCATCTCCAACACTGTCATTTCATCCTTGATGGCCTTGACGATAGTTCGGATTGACTGAGCGTCCTGCAGACGAATCTCCTTGACAGCCATCATCTCACCATTATCCAAATTGAGAGCAGAGTAAACGTCTCCAAAGGTTCCAGAACCAATGAACCGACCCAGCTGCCATCGCATGGTGACGTTGGAGAAGGCTGACGCCAGCGACATGAGGAACTGGTCATCGGCAGACCCGTCGTCCAAAACTCGACCCACGTAATGGTGCTCGAACTCGAGGTCGTTTCGCTTTCGCTCCAGATCCTCCAGCTTCTTGACAGCGTCGTTTCGGAACGCCTCCATCAGCTCGGTGTCATCCTTAAACGACATATGCGAGATCTTCTTGCGACGGGCAGAGGTGACCTCGACCTTTTGCTGGGCCTTGGCCTTGGACCGAGCGCCCATAATGTCGAAATGCGAAATCAAGAGAGACATGCATCCGGCAACCTTGACTCGCAGCCGCAAGAACGCCTCCTCGTTGACGGCGAGAATGTTAACGCCAGATGTCATAACAGACGCAAACTCAAGAGCCGTCACCGTGTAACGGAAAGTACGGTACTCCGTAGAAGTACAGTCGTCAACCACGAAGGAGACCCACTCGATACAAAGATTGATGAGCTTCATGGTCACGTAGCCTCTCTTGGGTCCCTCCAGTGACCGCAGACCTCGCTGGCCAAACTCACGTGCGAAAACGAACATGTTCTGCACTGTGTCCTGGCATCCCAGACCCTTGAGAGTGTGTCTGATGGTGGCCACGTTGTCAATGACCGACATGGAGAGCCGGAAGAAGAGTTTCCGAAGACGTCCGAACTCATGATCGACACGCAACTGGTTGGATTTCGCTTCAACCACGGTGTTGAGAAATTCTCGCTCACATACCTCGGCAAACTGTGTCTTGGCAAGCTGCAGCATGTGTGTACCTCCCTCGGACACGATTCGCATTCGACCCATCTTGATTTCCAGGTCAAAAGATGGCATGTCAATGTTGAGAATCTCTCCTTCCCAGATAAAGGGCTCTTCCGAACATAGAATCAGCACATGTGCGATGTGATCGTACTCCACACTGTCCTCCTCAGGTCGCCGGTAACGAGAGTATCCACGAATGATCTCCTTGAGCTTGTGTGGCCGCTCTCGAAGAGAAGGATCCGCAAACACGTAGATACCGTCTCGCTCAAGCACTCCAGTGTAGACAAGAAAGTAGTTGGCTCGACGAACTGAGTTAACAATGGCACCCAACCGAGAGGGCTGGATTGCGTACTCGGAAGCATTCTCGTAAGAGGAACACATGGAGGTGTAGAACCGAATAAGATTCCGCTCAAACGATCGAATCTGCTCGGCGGTTTCGGAGTAGAAAGCGGCAATCTCGTTAGCTTGATCAGAGGCAGGACCCTTGAGTGAATCCTGCCAGTAATCTAACAGCTTAGTCATCAACTTCGACGTTAGGTAGGAAAACTGCTCGGCAACAAGGTAATCGCCGCCGGAAATCCACTCGCCAATCTTCGACAAGAACTTGTACTGGAACTCGAGCTGCTCACCCTCCTTGAATGTTCGGAACACAGCGTTGGACGACTCGAGAAACTTCCGAGACAGCAGATCAAAGTAGAAAGAGACACAGTCGATCAGAGTCTCGTCAAAGGCATCACCGATGGTGTCCTTGAGCGGCCAAGGGCCATCCTGGGTGGGAGACACAAAAAACATGTATCTCTCTTTGGCCTTGAGAGACAGCTCAATGTATCCTCTAATGTCGACCATAGTCTGGTCGATCATCATCATAGTAGGGTTGGCGAGCTTTCTGGCGTAGTTGAGCCGGGTTCGCATCACCTCCATGATCAAAAGTGAAGGGAAACGTGCCAATGATCCAATGTGGTCGTAAAGCACAGGCAGCCCAAGCGTCTGAAAGGTGTCGTGGTACTCCAGAGCTGAGGTTCGAGCTCGATCCACAAGCTGCGAAAGAGGTCCCAGCACTCGGTTTTCGAAAATGTTCTTGAGATCCTGTCCCTTGAGCAGCCGCTCAATGAACGGCGACTTGTCGGCCATCATATCGTTGCCCTCGGCCGGTCGTGTCAGATCAATGTCCTCGTTTCCAATCCACTGCTGGAGAAGTCTAATCTCCGTACCAATGTTCCAGGTCAGAGAAGACCATGTCAGCAGAGCTGTGAGACGTTCCTGGAACTCCTGGCTGCCGTAAAAAGGCTTGTCCGTCTCAATGAGCGAGTACGAGCGCCACAGTTGCTCGAAATTGTCCAAACGATTCAGCAGGTCCTCCACCTGGTCAGACGCCGATCGTCCTCCCGCCTCATCTGCAGGCTTAGCTCTGAAATTGACCACCTCCAGAAGAATTCCGTCCTTAGTATTTCGCGAGTACTCAATGATCCTCCGCTGCTCGTCCATAGACCGGCCACAGACCTTTGCTCTGACTCCCATCCACAACTCTTCAGCCACGAGCTTCTTGTCCATTTCCGGTGGTGCTCGCAGACGCTGTTTCTCATTTTTGACCACCTCTCCCGTGAGCACAGACGTCAGCATGCTCTGCCACTGAAGCCGTTCTCTGATGGACTCTGATTTTTCAGCGTCATCAGCATTGTACTTGGCCTCCAGAAACGGGTAGCTAATAGCTCCAGAGTCGTCGAAAAATGTGCCCACTCCTCCGAGTCCCACAAAGTCGCCCTCAAACTCACTCAGAGACTCCTCGTCCGAAGATCTATCCAGATCGGATGCAGGAATACCTTTCGTGTAGTAGTCGTCTGCAAGGTTGTTTCGCATTTTCTGCAGGTATGCGCGCTCCTGGGCGTAGTACTGTGCGTTGGACGACGGCTTGGAGCCCGACACAGAAGGGACAGCTCCCTGGCTGGTCTTGCGAGTGCCTCGCTGGTTGTTTTGAGACGGATGTCGCGCAGGAGCATAGGTGTTGGAGGGTTGTCGTGAGGGGCTCTTGGGTCGTACGGTGTTTGAATTGTTTGTCGCAGGCACTGTCTGTGGGGTCACGGGGTGCACCGAGGCATTGTCGTTGGGTGAAGCTGGCGTGGAGAGTGTTCTGACGCTGAGATTGTGATTGGAGTCAAAGTACCCGCCTGGGGAAGAGCTTCCTGGATGTGGGCTGTATGCGGAATTGCACAACAGCGGCGACGTGGTTCCTCCCCTCGTCACGGTTGCTGCAGAGGGCGCGTCGAGAGACCCAGACCGTTTACGTCCTGCCGCGGTGGCTCCAGCCAAAGCAGCTCCAATGGCCCGAGCTCCGTTCGTTTCGGGGATTGCAAGCGTCGGCGCAGAAACATTTGGCATTGACATGATCTTGTCGGCTCCGGGAGTCTTGGGCAGCACTGACAGTGGAGATGTCACGATAGGTGTCGTCGATGTTGCTCCGACAAGGCCTCCCTGGGGGAGAGCTGGCGAGTGGATGGGGGTGTGTAGTGGTGATCTTCGCGCCCCCGAAGACACGCTTGTCTTCTCCGGGTGGTCTGACATTGATTTGGTCCGAACAGGCTTGTTTTTGCCGTCGTCCATGTCGAAAAATGTGTGATGTTGTTGGTGGATTTTACGTCCAGATATCGCTGCTGCAGCAATTAGGTTGTGTCGACAGTTTTAAGTTCCAGAAGCGAGGCTGAGAGAATGAGCGATGGCGGTGGTGTGCAAGCACGGGGAGGAGGGAGCGGCTTGGGGGGCGAACAGAGAAGCGAAGTGGATGACTGTGGGATAAGTAGTTGATTAAATACGCCCGTAACAAGAGATGGGCTGTTTTGAGAGTTGCTTAGTCAGCTCAGGTGGCTGGGGGGGCAAGTTGGGTGTTGGTTGTTGATGGACTACAGTACAGTATGTAGTTATGTATGTACATACTTGTAGGGGAAAAAAATTAAAATAAAAAAATGGACAAGTACTGTAGGATCAAAGTGCTGTTGATCAAGTTGTTACTCGCGCTGGTAGAGTGTGGAGTTGGTTTTATATCGTCTGTTTCATCTGTTTCGTTCCCGTACGCCTGGTTGAATGAGGGGTTTCACTGACTGAGGTTGTGGTAAGTAATTCGTCAACCGCGTGTATTGAGTTACTTGGCGTTAGTTGGGATGTGAGAGGAGAGGAGGTATTCCCGAACCGTGAATAAAATGGCGCGCAGCGTTAGGTCCTGTGTCGTGCTGTGTGGTAAATGCGCGCCTCCTCGTCTTCCTGGTTCGCCCTGGTTGGATCGGACTGAGATGTAGAACATTTGGACCACCAGTTGCTTCTTACTGGAGAAGTACAGTATAACCCTGTTTGCTTGGATTCGATAATTAAAATAAAAAATTCAAAGAAAAGAAAAAAAAATCTCTTCACACAGATGTTTAGTTAATCGAATGTATTAAGAAAGAAAAAATATAAAAATATATAAAAATATATAAAAAAATCAGTCGAATGGTGCAAATACAGGCAATTGCTGTTCTCGCAAATTCTTCAAGAACTCTCATGGTTTTGCTGAACAATATCTACAATATTACCAAACCCAACACTGTTGAAGGTAATACCCGGTGGGGTAATACCTGGCTAATTCCTCACATAATGATGAGATGTCACCACATAGTAATGAGAGGAATCAGCTGGGTCGTAGACGAGATGTCCATCCTGTAGATAGTTTTATCCACTGATCTAGAATCTCTTTTCTGGTGAATGAGCAAGCACACACCCTTCTGGTGTGTGCTACTATCGGAACGCCGTGTCCCTAGAAGTGGGTTGTAAGTTGTTAATTAACTATATCACATCAATAATACTTATGATCTTCAATAAACACCCCCGATTGGCCCACGGATCTCTCTGCAGGCAGCCCAAGACAATGTTTTTCTTCAATTGACGAGGCCAGGGAAATGACGAGACCTAAGTAGCCCCGAATATCGGTAAATAGGGAAGTATTCTCTAGGTCCACGCAATTGTCTCGACAATAACGGCATTTATTCCAATGTCCTCTAACTTAGAGAAGGGTGAGGTGAAGGAGATCATAGAGCACGGCTAGATGATGTGTTCTAGAGCCGAAGACATGAATCGTATTGTATGAGTCAGTGGATGTCTGTGGTTAATTTTTTTGGCCCGTTCCAGTCATTTCTCCAAGTTTCATTTGAGGACTGCTGGTCATTATTCTATAATGATGCGATTTTCCAGCTGCAATACATTTACGCCTGTTCAGATGTCAAGTCCCACCAGTGTTTACGGCATAACTCGCGAACCCTTTGACAATGTACAAGTACAACAAGTATTTGTAGTTGCTTGTAGTATGTTACAAATACTCACCGCTTTTCGTGTCCATATTCGACGTTACAAGTACAAGTACTGTACTTGTATAAGGGTTGAGATGTCTGGCGGTTTTCCTAAATTCAATTTAGAGATATTCAACAGATAATCACCAATAAATGGAACTTGACTAATTATAAAAGCGTCGATACCAAAACGACCATACAGCGCGACAGGGGAGCCGCCACTACACACGCCAAGGGCAGATAGTCAAGATGGATGCGAGAACGGATATGGGCTCGGATCAAGGGCCAGATCACTCCCCTGGCCTTTCGAATGGCGAAGATGCCGACGAACAACTCGAATTCGTACTGGAGAAGATGGAGATTAGGACGAAATTCAGCACAGGTGTGAAGGAATTCGACGAAGGAAAGAAGGAGTTGTATTTCAAGGTGCCTCCAAGGACAATTATTGGCAACATCCACTCGAAACTCATCCACCTGGTGATTGAGAACCCAATGCATCACAACAGATACGCGAAGCCGTTGGGCAAAGCTCCTCTCAAGGGAGACGACAATAAGAAGCAAGGGAGATGGAGTGCTCACTTCCGAAATTTATGGGTTGATGCCCAAGCAACGAGTGCCGAAGATCCTGTGATTCCATGTGCTCCACAACGTTGCCAGGAACCACCCACTCTTCCAACTAGCCCCTCCCCTCCTCAACCAGAGCCTGCTTCAATCCCGGAGGACGATTGGAGTTGTCTTGCTGACGCAGTCCAACAAGACATCTATGACCAAGAAGAAGACAACGAAGCCCAACTCCAAGGGTTCGATGACGATTCAGGAAGACCCCACGAAGGATGCGAACCCGAAGATCTTGGAGAGACCATGGACGAGACGTCAGATCAGAATTCGAATAGGATTCCAGATACCGATTCGGAGGAGGATCAGGGCTCGGGGATTCAAAGTGAAAGGGAATCGATGACGACGACGACGACGACGACGACGACGATGACAACGATAACAACATAAACATGGAGTTCATACCCCGCGCCTTATCCCCAACTACAGGTGTTGGAGTCGATCCTGACACCAGGTATCTGGAGAAAGATCTTGCTGAATTGCGAGGAAGTCGTAAGAGGCCCCACGAGTTTCTGGAGGATGTAAGCCCAAACGAGCAAACCAGGCAACAGCTGGGACTCAGGGGCTGCCTGTACAGTCTTCCCAAAGAAGATATCAAAGCAGTGTTCGACGACAATTTCAGGCCTCCCACCAAGGACAGTTTTCTCACATTCGACGAAGCCTTGGAGTCTTGCAAACAACACGCATTTCAGCATGGATATGGGCTGGTGGAGTGATAGTCATTATCGCAACTTGCACCAAATGAGATCGGCAAATATAATGAAGATGGCCGTTCCAGACGACAATTCCAGTCCGGCGTACACGAGGATGTACAATGAGCACCTCGACTACTACAACCAAATGCCGCCACAAAACAAGTGGAAGATTGCGTGTGATAAACAGGGCCTAGGTGCTCGTAGCAAAATGCGTCAAAACACCTTTCTTCGATCAAAGAGGACTGGTTGCGGATTTCAATTTCTAATTCGCTATTATGAGGAACCATACAATGAATTCGCCAGGGGTTGGCGTGGACGATACAGAGTGGAACATTCAGAAGATGACCCACGCGACGAGTATGGACAAAATTGTCATAACCATCGACCCGCTGCAACATGTTCAATTGATAAGCCTTACCGTGATCGTGTCTTAAGCGAAATCCGAAATGGGAGTCATGATATTGATATTCTCGACCTCATTATGGAGCATGAAATTGCACCATCGACCGGATTGCAGATGCTGAGGACTCTTTCAGCACAGGCCTATCACCTGACATACGACGACTACAACGAACTGCTCAAGAAGCGTGAAAAAGAGCTGACAGGTTCTTTGAATCCAGCGCATGCGCTTATTTGCATGCTTCAAGGAGCAGAGAACAACTTCTTCGTCGAGTACAGGAAGCAGAACCTTCCGCCAGATGCTGACGACGTGGTAAAAAAAGGGAAAGGGAAGAATTCTGACGAGCAACAAGGTGCCGATGCTGGAACAGCGTGGGTATTAACTAGGGGTGAAGATATCTCGTTGCAACCATATTAACACAGAATTGTCACTTCTTCGGTAGTTGAACACAACGACGATGCAGCCAGTACTGAAGAACAGCCGGAACAGTACATTTCAGACATTTTCTTCATACACAATGCAACCGTCGAGTATCTTCGAGCATATCCTGAGGTCATTGTCCTTGACTGCAGCTACAATACAAACAGCAACAACATGAGACAGCTGAATTTTATTGGAATCGATTCCTGCAACAGATGCTTTCCAATCGCCAATGCGTACGTCACACGGGAAGACGAAGACACTTATCAATGGGCACTCGAGCAGCTCAAAAAATTCATGGATAAGCACATCATTCCAATGCCCGAAGTGGTGCTCTCTGACTGTTGCCGTGCTATTCTCAACGCACTGAAAAATGTGTTCCCTGAGCCTACCACCACACCACAGTTGTGCAGATGGCACGTTAACCGGGCTATTCGGAGGAAAGGCTGTATGCTTTCCCGGAGTGGTGAGAAATTCACCAAGTTCACGCATCTATTTGCTAAAATGACTGATGCCGATTCCCCTGAGACATTTGACAAGCTCTACAAAGAGTTCGCGACGGTATTCGCGAATGTCAAGGGCCCCAGCAAAGCAGCAAGCCCAGATGAGATGGGGGACAATGATGAGAGAGAGGAGATTCGGAAGTACTCTCCCGTGGAGTATTCGAAGTACTGGTTTGGTGATGACAACGATCACAGATACCGGGACAAGATTGTCAAGTTTCATGTTGAAAAGTCGTCGGACTTCTTCAATCTCTCGAGCTCTAGAGTCGGGGGCGTTCACGCTCACTACAGGCGGTACATGAGAACAAGGAGAATGTCGATTTTCGCATCAGGGCGGCTTCTTATCCGTACTAACCTTGGTTTGTTGGCTAATATGAACCACCGACATGCAATGAAAATGTCAACACATGTCATGGATCGCAATCACGATTGGTTGGACGATAATATCCAAAAGTCGATATCAGCAATAGCGAAGAAAAAGGTTCACGACCAATATGAACTGAGATATAACGACAATATGAAAGAGGATTGCAGTGGGAGCTTCAAGTCAAGAAACCAACTTCCTTGTGCCCATGCTGTTGGCGACATCGCCAAGACCAGGGAAGGCGGCCGTCTGGTACTCAGAGATTTTCATCCCCGTTACAGGCTCTTCCATCTCACGAAGCAGATGACGGATGATGAGTGGGAACAAGCATGCACCGTGGGAGTCTATGCAGAGGAGTGGCAGCAACTGCGGGCGCGTGAGGAACGGTTTAAGTGCCAACCGCCACCCCCACCGGAGCCACGAAGCATGGACATTCTTGATAAATCCATTGTTAATGGCTCGACTCCAGCTGTGCGAATGAAGTCTTATTTTGTGATGGATGGGAAGAGATATCCAAATTGCAAGGTTTGTCAAAACCCGTCCCACAGCCATGTTACCAAGTTTAAGTGCTTCAAAGATAGATTCAGCAGGAAGGATGCTATGAAGCACTGGAACAGGTACAATTTCAGCGGTCGCAAGCACGACAACGAGTAGCTACCTCATCGTACTCTACTTGTATAACCAACCGATCCAACCGACAGACCAGCTGCTGAACTGGGTGACAGGGTGGAAAAGGAACCACAACTTGTCCTGTATGTACAAAGGGGGACTTTTAGTGGTTCTGATTTCCGTCCTATGCAAATACTCGAACTGTACGAGGCTACAAGTACAAGTACAAGTACAAGAAGTACACGTTTGGAGCACCATATTGCAAAATTCAGATCGTCCCAAAAAGACGGAAGAGATGAAATCTTAGATTTCGTTTACAAGGGTCAAGATATTGAAGCTGCATTGGAAAAAAATCTAAAACAAATTATGGACAAATAAACTCCATCCAAGTACAAGTATAGCAGCCAGGACGGAAATTTCGGCTGTTTTTACGCGTACAATACTATGCTTGTACAAAAAGACGCCGATGCTCCTCCCCTCCCCCTCGTTCCTGCGTGATAATAAAATTCAAATTTCCCACGGACTTTTTTTTGTCCCCTCTTTAGCTTCCATGCACGGATGTTAAGTATGAGGAAAGTAAAATAAAATAATAAATTAAATTAAATTAAATTAAAGTAAAAATAATTAAGTAATAAAAATAAAATAAAATAAAATAAAATAGCAGAAAAAAAATAGCTAGGTATCACGTGACCGGGATGAAGACTCGGTCATTGTTAGGCCAATATCTGAAGATGCAAATACCTACCAATACGTTCTTGTAACTATTTGTCTTGATGTCTGCTACATTCAGAACAATGTTTTTGGACGGAACTTGGTGGTTGTACAACACGCAATACAGCAGGGTACAGTACGAGTACAGTACTTGTACCGGCACGATAACAGTGGAAAAAGAGGGCATTTGGACCGGTATTGCAAGGACACCAGAAAATCAAGCCTACTATCAATCTTACGGTACAAATACATACATTCTGGTACAACTCATACAGTATGTACTACTTGTAGTACAGTATGTTGATAAAAGGAAGTACAGTATACCGAAAGGCACGCTGATTCAAACAACACAAATATCTCTGATTCGAGTTGGGCAAGGACTGTCAAGTAAGTATGACCACTCTTACTGTACCCGTACCACACTCGTACGAACTCATACTGTACTTGTACCGGTACATACTGTACTCGTTCAGACGGTGACTTTCTGACCACATTCTATACATGCAACTCTGATTTGGGCCAACTTGGGTTGAAGCTGTTGGGGTCACTACAACCGCTGTCTGAGCAGGTATTTTCCAGAAATAAGATCACTTTTGTACTTAAAACCGGCTCTTCTGAATCGATTAAACTGCCTAGAAATCCAATCGGACCTCAGCAACACCCTTTCCACGGCATGTTTAGCTCCCGAGATTAGCGTATCAGATGTGCATGCAGAGATTGGCATGCTAAACGTGGAGTAGCGGAGTAAACAAAGCACGTAGAGAACCGGCGAAAATAATGACCAGAACGTCATATGACTCGAAATACCAACAGCATTTCATCTCTTTTGATTAGTCAACACACTCGGGGTCCCGCCCCCGACCACGTGACCTTCTCCGCCCCGCTCCCCCGCCCCGACCCACCTCCGCTACCCTCGTATATGTTGCCACCAAACGCGTGAACTCTGTCTCCTTACCACCCAAACACTGTTTCAACATCACCAAAAATAGACAGCAGGAGAACAGGGACACCCAGAACCATTAACACAACAGCATAGACCGAGGTATAGACGAAAGCGGCGACGACATCCACAACATTAATCAACGCTCACATTCTTTCTCTCTCTCACACACACTCGCTCGCTTAGGCATTACACACACACAAGATGACATCCAACCTCGACTTGGACGAGTGTATAGAACGACTGTACAGAAAAGAGCTGCTTCCAGAGGTGGTGGTGGAGTCTTTGTGCACCAAGGTCAAGGAGCTGCTTGTCAAGGAGTCCAACGTGGTGCACATTCAGGCGCCGGTCACGGTGGTGGGCGATATCCACGGTCAGTTCCACGATCTCATTGAAATCTTCCGCATAGGAGGATACTGCCCAAACACAAACTACCTGTTCTTGGGCGACTACGTGGACCGGGGGTTGTTTAGTGTCGAAACCATCACTCTGCTGGTGTGTCTCAAGCTGCGGTACCCCACTCGAATCAATCTGATTCGGGGCAACCACGAGTCTCGAGGTATCACACAAAACTACGGCTTTTACACCGAGTGCGTTCGCAAATACGATAGCGGCAACGTGTGGATGTACTTTACCGACCTTTTTGACTACCTGACGCTGTCTGTGGTCATCGACAACTCCATATTTTGTGTCCACGGTGGTCTTTCGCCGACCATCCACTCCATCGACCAAATCAAGGTGGTTGACCGGTTCCGTGAGATTCCCCACGAGGGTCCCATTGCAGATCTTGTGTGGTCGGATCCAGATGAACAGAGAGCAGATTTCGCATTATCGCCCAGAGGAGCAGGGTATACGTTTGGCATTGACGTGGTCAAGAAGTTTCTGGAGGTCAACGACATGAAACACATTCTGCGGGCGCACCAGTTGTGCCAGGAGGGCTACCAGGTGCTGTTTGACGACCGCTTGTCCACGGTATGGTCGGCACCAAACTACTGCTACAGATGTGCGAATCTGGCATCGGTGTTGGAGGTCAACCTGGCTGGTGAGAGGTTCTTCAATGTGTTTGATGCCGCTCCCGAGAACGAAGAGCATCAGCAGATCATACTGCAGGAGTTTGAAAATCCTCAGATGAACTCGTTGCCATTGCCAAGGCCGGTGGAGTACTTCCTGTAATGGGCTGACTACAAGCGAGCCTGAAAAGGGGTACCCCGCCGGAGGGATCTGGGTCTCCAGAAGGATCCAATTGTCGAAAAGTATGCACTCACCGGTCCGATTACAGTGGAGGGGGACGCATGTTGCATGTTGCAATCACGACGACAGTTCGGGGTAGCGATATCCTGGCTGCACTTAATCTCTAGATGGAAGCCATCGTCACGCGACCAGTAGTACGAAACACAACGTACAGTAATACTACAAGCTCACAAATAGCATATAACAACTTCAATAGATGCATAGAATAGGTTGCACTGGTGGGTGGTTGCAGGTATGAGTACAAGTACGAGCACTTCGCGCCTTTCAGATGACTTTGAGCAGGCGTATTCTCTTCTCATCCACATCTATTGTCTCGCAGAAGCGTAGGGTCCGCTGCAAAACTCCTTATGTCCGTCTTTCTGAACACGGCTCAGGTATATCTTGTGTGTCATACAGTAAAAGATCTTCGGTGCCATTTCTGACTTGGTGAGGTTGAGTGCGAGAGAGATACAGTAGGTATACTGCGGGTTATCACCAAGTATATATACCAGAGGGATGAGGCTGACCAGGATATTATTATTGTACTGTAGGAAAAGGGTTTCTGTGCCTCAATATTCTCAGAGATGACCTCAATTGATGGCTCCAGACGTATGGTCGCACCAAATACTTGTACCAGAAGTTGCCAATAAGGCTGGTTTGAAAGATTTAAATTAAATAGTTTTAATGTGTTATGTTTTTAAAAAATATTCTGTACTACAGTATGTACTGGTAATTCAAGATTTGGGTTGAAAAAAAATAAAAATTGTTGTTGAATATGTTGAAATATGTTGAAAATGTTTTGGTAAAAAGTCACAGTACAAGTATGCATGTACTGTACTTGTAGGACGATAATCATGAGGCGTGGACTCTGTAAAAGGAGTCAAGAAACACAACTCCAAGAGAGATATTCATTATGCTGTCTCATCATTCATGTATCAGTACAGTTCTGGAGTGTAGAGGCGGCGCTTCAGGGAGTATTGGTCTATAGGAGTAGCTGTCGGGTATCAAAGCGGTCAAAATAGAACATGAGGGATCATTGTGACGGAATCAATTGGTATTGCGGTGCCGATAATGATCCGAGAACTGTTTCATCTTCAGGGATGTTTCTTTCACACTGTTTCCTATTCATCTTCTCTGTGGAATGAGGGTCCAAGGAAGAGGTGTAAGAACAACAGTAGATGGTATCTTTACTCAGTTGGTTACACTGAGAGCTTTTTTGAAACCCGAAATCCGAGATTCCTAGCGTCTCCAGGGACGACCAGCTAGTGTTTGAACACGGCTCAAACCCATGTTTTGTATAATCATCTCTCATTAGCTATTTACAATTCCTATCCTAGGCAGCAGTCTGCCTTCAGTATAGTCCATACTGAGCTGATAATCTTGGTCCTGTATTCTTTACCAAGATGGCAGTACAGCTCGTTCGTTGCTCTCATGGACTGTGCTCGCTGTCCCTTAGACAAACGCCTGCAACGCACTCTCCAACTTTGTCTTCATTTCAAGCCACTCCTCCATAGGATCCGAAAGCACAGTGATGGCGCCTCCAGCTCCAATTCGCCAAATCTGGCACTCACCAGTCGACTCATGGGCCGAACTTTCCATGGAGGCGGGATCGTCGGCGTGTTCCCAGGCCTCGGACTCATCCTTGTACGAGAATGCAGATCGAATGACGACTGACCAGTCACCCTGATCGGAAACAGACCAAAAGCCACATACTCCCGAGTAAATGCCTCGTCGGTGGTTGTTTTCGAGGTCTCTGAGAATCTCGACGGATCGCAGCTTGGGAGCTCCAGTCATGGATCCAGGAGGCAAAGAGTGTGCCAGAGCATCGATACCGGAATACTGACCATGAAGATCGCCCTGAATTACTGACACAAGCTGGAACACGGTCTTGTACTCCTCCACGGTCATGAGTTTGTCGACACGCACGTTGTTGAGCATCTGGTTGAGGTCGTGACGAATAAGGTCGACAATCATGAGGTTCTCAGCTCGCTCCTTGGGGGTGTTGAGTTTCTCCTCGGCAATTGCGCGAGTCATCTCAGGAGTGTTCTTGATAGTACCCTTGATAGGTCGGAACTCACAAACACCATCCTTGCTCCACGAAAGAAATCGCTCGGGAGAAGATCCCACCAGGGTAGCATCCTGAAGGTCGAGGAAACACGAGTATGGAGCTGGGTTTCGGGTGTACAAAATCTTGTACAGGTCCCAGGGGTTCAGCTTCTTGGGAACCTTGATTTTAGTCTGGGCAGTGAGACAAAGCTCGTACGACTCTCCTGCAAGCAGGTAGTCCTGGCACTTTTCAACTCGCTTAATGTAGTCATCCTGATCGGGAATAGACACCTTGGGGGAGCCTCCAGTGAGAGCAGCAGAAGTGGAGGGAATGGACGAAAAGAGTCTATCTTTTTTGGCTTCGAAATCGGGGGCGAAGAAATAATCCTTGAGCTCTTCAGAAGTCTGTTTGATCCAAGACTGGTCGTCATCAGTGACTGAGATGACATAGAGGCAGCACTCCTGGTGGTCAAAAAGAACAGATCTCTCAATATCGACGAGATTCACGTCCGGAAACGGTCTATCGGCCGGAGTGGGGTTGACCAGAGACTCAATGTTGTTGGTTTCATTTGTTTCATACGAAAAGTAGCCCACCAGACCTCCATAAAACGGACAGTCGTCAATCACGTCTCTGCACGACTTGAATTTCTCAATCTTGGGCTTCATGTAGGCACTGAGGTAACCCCAAATGCCGTCATCGCCAAGCTTAACAAGATATTCACTGTGATTGTTGTGGAGCTCGTGAGGATCATTTCCCCAGGTCTTCATGAAGGCGTGAGAAGACTTATAGTCGGTGTAGTGGGTGATACATCGGGTCTTTCCCTCGTCCAGAAAGCCCAGAATGGACCATCGTCCGGGAATGGCAGCAGAGTTGAGCATGACAAACTTTTGGTTCTTGTCGTTGAGATGCTCTCCCAGACAAACCATGGTTTCAGGGTATGCGTCCTTGGAAAATTTGGATCGATCCAGAGCAATCTTCTCAAACAAAATCTCGCCCTTCTGTGCTGCTGTCTCTTCCAGAGGCTTGGCAATGGACAGGTTCTGGTCCGATTTGGTCAGAGGGGCGGGTTTGATGGAGTATTTAGCGGTGAAATCGGCTAGGAGAGTGTCCTTGTTGGCAGGGTATTCACGGGACTTGTTATAGTCCTGGGCAAGGCTCCAGAAGTTTTCCACTAGTTTCCCTCCGAAATCAGAGCAGATACTCTCAGGGTGGTACTGGACGCCCCAGAATGGCAGTTCAGTGTGTTTTCCGGCCATGAGAATGTCCACCTTCTTTCCGTCAATGTCGTCTGAGGTCCAGGCCAAGGGCTGGATCGCAGTAGATTCTCCGTCCTCCAACGGCACATGCAGAGAGTGATATCTGACCGAATCAAAGGTGCTGGGCACGTTGTCAAACAGTTTGTCGCCATTGTGGGTGATCTGGGCCACCTGGCCGTGTTTGACGAGCTTCAGTCGGTCCACATTGAGCCCGTTACCCAAACACAGAGACTGGAAGCCCAAACACACTCCCAGAGTAGGCACAATCACGTTCTTGTTGTTAGAGTAGATCTGGGGCACACATCCGACATCGGCGGAGTTCTGAGGACAGCCTGGACCGGGTCCAACAACTACTGCGTCAAACACACTGAGATACTTGTCAACCAACTCAGAAGCCGGCAGCGAGTCGTTGTGAATGGTAATGACCCGGGATCCGGGCACGGCCTTTTCAATCAGCGTGGTGAGGTTGAAGGTGAACGAGTCGTACGAGTCGATGAGCAGAATATTCATTTTCGAGGTCGGTGAACCAATACCGCACGTTTCTGTGTTGTTACAGATTACTAGTGTCAGATTTTGACCAGCAAAGTTAACCTTGCATAACGGTGATCTGGAGCGGGTAGGACGGGGAATATAACTGAAATTAAATACCCAATAATAGGGAAAACGTCGGGGAAAAAAAAAAGAATAAATCATTGAAACGATGGTAAACACAATGAAATACATTGTTAAGTTTCTACACATCTTTTTCGTCATCTTATATGCATTTCTTGAAAACACCAACTTAAGCCTATTGTTCTCGAGAGCGGGAATAGAAGGAAGCCGCAGAAAGCCGAATCCACACATATTTCCGGTAAATCAAAAGAGCAAGCTACAGAAACGTGCTTATTAAGCAGAAATGAAGACGACACATGGCACAAACACCGGCTCCTCGGCCACACTTCACCCGTTACTTGCTATTTGAACACCTTGTCTGATTGGTCATCAAGGGCCACTATCCGTTAACGTGTGGCTTGTCACCAGACTTGCACACTTTGAGGCTATTTTATTTGCTTAAATTGTGAGGAAGGCAAAAAAAAAAAAGAACAAATGAAAACACGAAATCCAGCCTGTGCCGTGCCATGCAATACAAGTAGCAAATAATATGACAAGGGGGACTTGTCTGGAGAGGTTGTTTGGAGGGTGTGGTAGAGGAATTGAGGGTCAATTGGCTTGAATTGATCAACACGTCTTCATGGTATTTGAACTTGAATTCTTTTACAACTACAATATTATACAATACGAGTTGGAGTAAAAACTCGTTTAAAATACAGTGTATATATTCATCCGACTAAATTTCGGATAAACAGGACTACTCAAAATAAGATTTCGGATCCCCCAACAATGCGGTTCAATTTGAGGAGTGGGTGAGGGGGATGTGTTTCAGAGGGCTTAGACTGGGAGCGGATGACACTAGAGTTGAAAAATTGGTCTGTTTCGTGCATTTTTGGGCAAGTTATAGAGATTGTAGTGGAGTGTACTTGTTCAACTATGTACGATAATTAGAAGGTTTTTGAATTTTTGATGGACAATACGAACACTTACGCTGGGTGTTACGTAAGGCTTTTTCAGCAACCAATGGAAAGGGAAAAGGGAGGTGTCCAAGGGAGGTGTCCAGAAATGAGCGTCGTGGGGTATTTGGCAAGTAGTATGAAGAGGTCGGCGATCGTGGTCAGGAGTGGTGCACTTTTTTTTAATCAGTTGATTCGTTTAACAGAATCTAGTGATTATATGATGACTTTTTTGAATGTTTTCGGAAAATCAGAAGAAATCATATCAAGTCACAGAGAAGAAATCAGATCGAGTCACAAAAACACAATCACTGAGTCAAGTATGTACATACGAGTAGATATCTGTGTTTCATCAATGTAGTTTTCGAATCGAAAATATAACATTCAAAGTAGATGTTGATTCAAGTATCGTAAAGTACGTACATACTGTGTATCGGTAGTTGCCTTCACTTCTGGACAAGGGTACAAGTACAATGTGTTATGTAGTGCGGCATTCGTACTCGCACTCGTATCGTACATTGTTCCTGTATTCCTACTGGATACATCATATAACCCGTTTTAATACCGCTTATTTTGTCTCGTGCCAAGGACATCTTTTTTCCCCCATTATTCCCCAATTCCCACAACAATCCTGAAAAAACAAATAAACTCGCCAAAAACAGGCCAATTTAAATTACGTGACGCAACACGATACAGCTGATGCGCCAACATCTCTGTTCGTCCATCAACCACACCTCACACCGTCACTTCCACAATGCCGCCCAAAGGACACAAAAAAACCGCCGACGGCGACTTCCGACCCGTCAACTCGGCCGGTAACACGATACAGGCCAAGCAAAAGTACTCGATCGACGATCTCCTGTACCCCAAATCAACCATCAAGAATCTGGCCAAGGAGACACTGCCAGATGACGCCATCATTTCCAAGGACGCGTTGACGGCCATCCAGCGAGCTGCCACGCTGTTTGTGTCGTACATGGCGAGCCACGGAAACGCGTCGGCCGAGGCTGGAGGCCGAAAGAAGATAACGCCCCAGGACGTTTTCGTGGCCCTTAAGGACGTTGATCTGGCTCAGTTTGTGCCCAGTGTGACCCAGAGTGTCAACGAGTTCGAACAGGAAGTTGCACAAAGGAAGAAGGACAAGGTTGTACGCGCCCAGGACGACCAGGACCATATTTCCAGCTCAGAGTCGGAAACCGAGGCGACAGAGGAAGAGGGCAACAAAAGAATTAGAACTGATGAGTAGAAGACGAGAAGGACAACGTGGCAACAGGACATTTAGATGCCATACTGAAAGATGCGAACATACTCAACACGCAGCTACGTGTGGTCAAGGTCACAAGCAGAAAGCCCTGATTGCAGTCAAAACACACTCTCCACCTGGCGCAAAAGCACAACCGACACATACGTTATCGCACGATAATAACCACTTACATACATGCCGCAACGGCATCAATACATGCACATTTATTTGATACACAGCAAGCCTACTGCCGTGCACTTGGGGCGGGGGTGTCTTAGATGCCCCGTTGTCATTGCCAGAACCCACGATGTAAAAGATCTGGACAGTTGCCCATATTGAATAATGAGCATGTCTTGATTCGCGTCGTACAGCACGACCAGACTATATGTTCTGGTCTCTTTCCGGTGACTCGAGCCTGTTTGTCATCCCAAGAGCGAGCTGACGAGTTCCACCAAATAAGGCAGCTTGTACTTAATGGTAATGGTCAGATCGACAGCTCAAGGCCTTTTGGTAATCTTGGAGCTCGACGGGTTGTCGTCCTCCGACTTGATGGCGATATCGGAAGGACCGTTCTCGTTGTCCTTGACATTGTAGCCGTGTTCATCGTGTACTCGAAAAGAAGATAGATAAAGGTTGATGGGGATCTTCAGGGAGGATAGATGTATTCGATGCCGAGAATAGTTCGTCCGTGATGGCCTTCCTGTTGTTTGAGCCGATTGTCATAAGTGTTTGAATACACGAGCAGGATCGAGATGAATGACTGAACACACTTGCCGCAGTGGAAGATGAAGATGCCTCCCAAAGAGTGTGACTTGATGGCACTTGTACTGTACTGGTTGCTGGTATCATGTAGATATAGTAAGAACCATGGGCTTCTCACCTTCTCCTGAGTTTTTTGTAAACCAGCAGAAATCAGCTCACAATATATAGCAAACATATGTCGGCGAACAGACTACGGAGATACTCTACAACCATTGCGTTACATTCTATTATACAATACATCCCGTTCTTTCTTTTAAGCCATCTCAACGTCCTCCTTGACCTCTTCGGTCACCTCTGCGGTTGCGCTCTTGGTCTCCTCCTTTACCCCGTTCTCTCCGATCCACAGTACGTTGTTGCATCTGATGAAAACGTCGCCTAGCTCGCCCTTGTTCTCCTGGTCGACATACTCCACTGCATCCTCCAGCTGCAGGTTCATATAACTGTCGACGGAAACAAGTGTGCCCTGGTACTCGGTCTTGCCCCACTTGAGGTGGACAATGACGGACTTGCCTGTGAGTTCTTGCAGAAACGGTTTGGGGTTGGTGGGATTGAAAGGGGTTGACTGGGTTAGTAATGATAGTAGAGGAGATGATGTGCGTGGCGACGACAGATGATTGTGGGCGAATCAGTTGTGAAGCGGAGGTTAACTAAGCATGGTTGAGGAGAGCTAGACCACACATGTCACTAGTGTATATGCGGTTCACCTCGTTCGAGCGAGACAAGAGCTTGCCAAGGAGTCAGCTGCAAATTGGACCATTTCCAGTGCCTCACTTTCCCCTCATTCACGGTTGTAGAAAAACGACATTCCATTGCTGTCACACCACACAAACACAAACAACATAAAAATTGCATGACTTTCACGGCGGACTCTTGATATGGGGTTTCTCGGAAAAGGCTTTGCGTAGCAGACAATATCAAGCCTAGACGCAGCAGTAGTGTCACCGTGTCGTCCTTCCATTCTTGTAGATGTTGAGTTGAATCCAACTACAAAACGAGAGATCAGAGACACAAGACCACAAATACTTGCAGTCCATACCTCGGTATCCATAACCACTCCAATACCCCGCTAGGTACGCCACTGGTCCAGCTCTTCAAACAGCATTCCTGTCTTGACAGCATCAGACCTCGTCAGTATATGGTCCCCTCTCACACCCCGTCCCTCTCACACCCCGTCATTGTGTCTGCCTGACTACCAATAACGCATATCCATCATCTGTAGCATTTCCACTGCTCAAAAAATTCATACTCACCATCCTTGTTGTGGTAAAATGCTTGTTGTAGAAGTGGTGATGATGGCCGTGATCTGAGGGTCTACACACTGATACTGCAAAATAAGGTTTCCTGAATTTTGAAGAAAAAAAATAATTGCGAATTCTGTGGATCGAACACAGGACCTCCAGATTTCAAGACTGAGAATTACTTCAGTCTGGCGCTCTCCCAACTGAGCTAAATCCGCCGCGATTTCGATATTTTTGGATCAATCTCAGCAGTCAGCATTGTCGAATTATGTAATCATGATTGCTGATATATTTACCGGTCAATAGATGAAACAAGAAGAATACGTGAACAACCATACACGAATGCCATGCGCTCTTCTGGACAACTGAATCCAGATCCGATTTGCAGGTATAACAGATGTACTCAAGTAGCTGATGTATTTCCCCAGCATGAAAAAAAAAAAGAAAAAAGGATAACATAAAGTCCTCTGTTCCCTGTATTCTAATATATCTTTCTGCACGGTTACGACAGTGTCCATACCTTCAATATGGCCACCATTTTTTTATATTCTACTTTTTTTATTTTTTATTCTAATGATTCCTTTCTACTGCGGCTGAGTCATCAGTCTGCTTAGTCAGAGGTCTGGTTATAAAACGGGAATATCTCCAGGTCCCTTGGCCCAGTTGGTTAAGGCGTCGTGCTAATAAGAAATAGCCACTTTGCAACGCGAAGATCAGCAGTTCGATCCTGCTAGGGACCATTCCTTTTTGCTCCTTTCAGAACCGCAGATGGTCAGTCGCAAGCGCTTCCTGTCCTGATGTTGCTATCTCATTCTCTTCTAAATGGTTGTGAGAAGAGAATGTTATCGGATCGGACCCGCTGTGTTTGCAAGCAATGTACAAATTTCCATGTGGGGTTTCATTGAAGTCTTGATAAAACCCGAGAAAGAAGACAATGGCCCATTCCAAAGCAGTCAATGGCGTCTATTTTGCTACTTGGAGAACCGATAGCCCCCACACGCATTTCACGGTTGGCTCCCCCGCGTTTCTCGTCGACGACGGAAAGGTCCGAATCTAGTGCTAGCGTCCAGGGTATGAGCATGGCTCCCATGTCCGGTTGGATATATGGAATTGCTGCTTACTAAAAGGAAGTGTGTTTATGAGCGATGAATGGCCTTTCGGGACCGGAACTTCCAGATATTGCTGGTAACTGCTAATCGACACAGCTCTCGTTCACGCTAATGAGTGGTGTAATCTCGTGAGTTAGGTAGTAAATAGCAGTACAGTACATCTTGAAGTTGTCGAACTGGTGAAATTTGTACCTTTTGGCGACCAGTTGCCACACTCTCCTAGGTCGAACGAGAAAGCTCGGGTCGATAGATGGGTTGTAGTTCGATCTCTTAAAACCCGTTTCGTGAATTACTCTGAATTCTCCAACTATCGGATCAGAGCCTGGGCCTATTTGAGCCACTTCATGTGTATCGTATGTGTGTACATTGTAGTCATCAATTCATCCGCAAGGATCGCGGTTGTTCTCCAAGTACGGGTGCGGACTGGACTCGTATCACACCGAAGGACAGAGTGGTGGGTATGTTTAACAGTTCAGTGCAACGTGAAGGACTTTCAAGGACGACTCTACTAATTTACAACTCTACAACTCAAGAACTCAAGAACTACACAACGACAATTCACCGACAATTCAACGACCCGGCTCATAAAAAACAATCCAACCACTTGATAACAACTCAATCAATCCAAGGGACATATAAAAGTGCACAGTACATACAGTACTGTACATAGTGTACGCAATTTAGCCGTATCCGCAGTAGATTATGGTAAGTACCGTAGTCGTAGTACGTATATACTACCAAAACACCTCACACCAACATCTGACGATTGCATCACTCACCAGACTCGAGCACTCCTAAAACTGACCTCATGCACAACCATTTTCTGCCCATACCTTCAACTTTCGGCGTAGTCCGACCTCGTTCAGACCGCCGTGAGTGTCAGAGTCACGTCTGAGCAGCACACTAATTAGATCAACGCGTCGCGCCAAACTTTAACGGAGCCGCATGTGGTGAACCCCGCGCGGAAATCACATAAAAAGATAAATAATAAAAAACACCTGATCTGAAGATATTGTCATGGCCAAGAACACGGATTCTGCGACTCCCCCGACAATGTGACTTCCACAACAGCGAAGACAGACTTGGGTCGGGGTGAGGTGACGCGCGAATATAATGATCTCGCCAAATGTGATGTTCAATGCCATGTCAACCCGATTATCAGATCAAAGTGCTTCTATCTGGCCAACCTTGCAATGACAATGGTCAAACCCCCATCCATGTCAGAAACGGGCATTTTCGCGGGCCGAGTCGCTCCGTGGGAAACATGACGTGTCTGGGTCGATTGGAGTATCGCAAATACATACAAACGCGGCTTGAGTCCACTCGACGATGACGTAGTGGACGCATATTACGCCGCATTGTTAAACTCAACATCGTGAAAAGTAAAGTAAAAGAAAATGAAAAATAACAAATTACAATGGGAAAAAATAACATCCACCGACACGCGAAAGGAAAAAATGAGACTTGATGAGATTCAATGAGGTCCGATGAGGCTGGATTGATGCGTGGAATCACCAACCAATCGTTGTATTGCTAATGGCCGTGTCGACTTTCTGAACACACCTTGTCTCGCTGTATGCATCCCTTGTGCCATTTCAGCCGCACAGATCAGAAGTGTATGACACGCCGACGATTCCATGTCACAAACTCCACAATCAGTCATACCTACTTATATCAAATAAATAGCATCATTACCGTAATTATACGTGTGTACGGTGAGTCAGAGTCAGTCTGAGGCAGCCGAGCGTCCAGTCCAGAAAATAGTCTACTTTCCCTTATTTTTCGCACTTTTTTATTATGCTCATCTCACCACAAACTCTACCCCAAACCATATATTTATCGCCGTTTCTCTCCACACATAACTGCACTCGCACTTTGAGACATCCCCCCAATCACCCTCTGCACTACGCCATGTCTCTAATACACTCCAATGACTCGTCTTCCGTCTGGCTGGAGACGGTGTCGAGAACGGTCAAATGCATTGTGTCCGTCTACTTTCGCCACCACGAGGCGGTGGAGTTTGATCACCCGCTCAAGTCCGAAGCCAGTGGGTTTGTAGTCGACAAGGAGCAGGGCATCATCGTCACCAACCGCCACGTGATTGGGGCCGGCGTCTTTTCCGGCAAAATCAAGTTCCACAACTTCGAGGAGTGCAAGGTCGACGTGCTCTACTGCGACCCCATCCACGACTTTGGTTTTCTCAAATTCAACCCCAGCGACATCAAACATGTCGCCATTGGAGAAATCAGCCTGCGACCCGATCTCGCCAGGATCGGCACAGAAATTCGAATTCTCGGAAACGACAGCGGACAGCAGCTGTCCATTCTGTCTGGCTTCATTTCCCGAGTCCAGCGAAACACACCCCACTATGGAGACCACACCTACAACGACTTCAACACCTTTTACATCCAGGCAGCAGCCAACGCCAAGGGCGGCTCTTCAGGCTCCCCTGTCATCAACATTGATGGCCACGCTGTCGGGCTCCAAGCTGGAGGAATGACCTACTCCACCACCGACTACTTTCTGCCTTTACAGCGAGTCAAGAGAGCTCTCGATATCGTGCGTCAGGGAGGTCTGGTCACCAGAGGATGTCTGCAAACCATCTGGGAGCACACATCATTCAACATTTGCTCACATTATGGCCTGACAGAAGACCTCGAGGGCCGAATTCGAAAGAAGTATCCTGATAATGTCGGCATGCTGGTTGCCAAGCATGTGGTCAAGGACGGCAAGAGCGACAAGAAGATTCAGGTTGGCGATATTCTTGTGTCTGTGGACGGAGAAGACATCATCGACTTCGCTGTGTTGGACAGTATTCTCGACGAGTCTGTGGGCAAGTCTCATTCCATTGAAGTGTTCCGGGACTCGTCTCTTCTCAAGTTTGATGTGGAAGTGGCAGATCTGCATGCTCTCTCTTGCACTGAGTTTGTCAAGTTCGGAGGCATGACTTTCCATAACATGACTTATCAGCTTGTCCGATCTACCAACGAGCCCATCGATGGAGTTATTGTCGCTTGTGGAGGCCCCACTGATGTCAACTGTCGGTCCAAGCTGTACAAAATCAACGGCAAGAAGATTTCCAATCTTACTGAACTGAAGGAGTTCTTCAAAAACGCTGTGCATGGTAAGTCCTACGCGTTTGAGTTCCGAATGATCAAGACCACCACGACCAACAACCAGTCGGTGCGGTTCGATCTGCATTTCTACCCCGATTTCGTCTGGGCCCGAAAGACTGGCAGTGTGTGGACTATGGAGAAGCTCATTGTTAACGGTATCAAGAACACAACTATTCTTCCGTCAGTTATCAAGGGTACGAGCGTTTCTCAGATCGAAGGAGTTCCCACCGAGGTGGAAGGGTCTGCTGCTGCTTCTGAGACCGTTCTCTCTTCCGAGGCAGCTGTCAAGGAGCCTGAGACTAAAATTCCCACAGTTTTACTCTCCAGTATTTCGGATATTACCGCTTTGTCCTTCGCTAACATTCTGCAGTCGTTTGTGACCGTCACAGTGTCACGGCCGGTCAACTGTGACTCTGTGGAGGCTGTTGAGAGCGGACATCACTCTGATGAAGAGTACCAGAAGACGGGGTACATCATCGACAAGGAGCTAGGCATCATTCTCACCACCAATGTCATTTTCTCGCACTTTTCTACGCTGTACATCACCTTCTTCGACCAGGTCCGTCTGCCTGTTTCCATCAAGTACATTGACTTGCAGCAGAACTTTGCTCTTCTTCAATATGATCCCAGCATGATTTCTGCTCCTGTAACAGAACTCAAGCTGTCTTCCACTAAGAAGAATAACTTTGCTATTGGCGAAAAGGTGTACTCGTTCCAGCCTGACCCCAGCAAGGCTGTGTGCTCTCGCATGGAGAACTCGATTCTAAACACCCGGTTCTCCACCGACGTTGGAGAAGGAGCTGACACTCTGCTTGTGGAGCGGGAGCTGGAGAAGTATATGGCCTATGGTATCATCACCAGTCCCGAGACTGACGAGGTGATTGCTATGGCCGGAAGTCCCAACGGCTGGAGATCTCGAATTCGAGGTGTCTACGAGGTGCATCGAGTCCTGGAGAAGATTCGAAACAAGGAGCCCCTTCCTGAGAAACGGTTTATTAACGTCTACTTCACCAAGACTACCCTCTTGCATGCCCGGGACAATGGTCTTTCCGAGGAACGGGTTTTGGAGTGCACGAGTGACGAAGGCAGCGGCAGTGGAGGGGTCTACTCTACGGTGTTTGCTTCTGCTGATACTCCTTTCAAGAGTGGAGATATTCTGCTCAAGATTGAGGGCAAAAACATCAAGGAGGACGACTTTGTGGTGTTTTCTACCCTCGAGGAGTTTGAGGTGTTGATTCTGCGTGACCACAAGGAGCTGACTCTCAAGGTGAAGACGTCTCCTGCGAGTGAACTTCTTACTTCTCGGCTCTTCCTCTGGTGCGACAACGTCTTCCAGAAGCCGTGGATTGATGTTCGGCAGACCCATGCCACTGAATGGCCCTCGGAGATGGTCATCTTTCCCGATTCGGCTCAACTGAGTGATTTGGAGCAGGACAATCTATGTTTTGTGACCCATGTCAACTCAAAGCCAGTCAAGACTATGGATGATCTTCAGAAGATTCTTCTGGACATCCCCAACGGCACATACGCCACGCTGGTTCTTGAAGACGACACTTCGGGGCCTCGGACAACTTCCATTTATTGCAATTACGACACCAATCCTCTGGTTGAGTATGTGCGGGAAGGTCGTCATTGGACTCGAACTGAGTATGGTGTTGCAGAGACGCGGGTAATTGAGTGGGACGAGTGGACTCCTGGGTCTGGCAAGTCTTCGTTGTGATGGAGAGGGTTGCATCTTGTAATTAGTATGGTTTTATGTAGTAATGTATTTTAGCTGATTAAAGGTACTGTAGTACACGTTTTATACACATTTATCACGAGTAGGTTCTACCATAGAAGTACTACATCCATATTTCATATTCCCGCTATTGTCTCTAATCAAGCCATGTGTTCCGTCTATTTATTAGTTTACCATCCCTCTATCGTTAGATCAATTGTCTCCTCCTACTTAAGCAATCTTCTTACTGGCGGAGACAAAGCCGACTCCCTTAACGGTGCAGATCATCTCGTTTTCGTTCTCGTCGTCCTCCTTGAGACGCATTTCTACGCCCCAAAACTTCTTGATATCTCGGGCGAGGGTGACGAACCGTTCGTCAATGTTCTGTTTTCCAATCACCAGCCGTCCGACATCTCCGGATCCCAGAATCATGAAGATGATGGCCATGTCGAGCTGGTTGCGGCCAAACACGCCCGCTCTACTGATCTCCTCAATGAGCTTTTTGGCGGTTTCTCGACCTAGATCCTCAGGAATGGAGCCTGCTACCGCCACCGACTCGGCCGAAATGCAAAATCCGGGTCTGGTTTCTCCCACAAGCACAATACCAAAGCCAGGCGACTTTCCAGACTCGTCTCCTCGAGCCACGTCTGAGAAAATAAATGTCTCGCAACCAGTGGCTCTCAGCTCCTCTCTCGCTCCATCAATCAGTCGGTTCACGGACGCAGGAGACACTCGACACGAGTATGCAATGCCTCTGATTTTGGATATGGTGGGTGTGGTGGTGGCATGAAGGGTCTTTGGATGTAGCACTAGGTGCGGCAAGTGCAGCATCACCTCTCCTCCACCAAGGGGAGTGGCTCCTCGCTGAATGATCTTCAACTCCTGTCTCTCAATACCAAACTTCTGCATCACGGGGAACACGGAGGTTCGAATACTGTCTGGCGACGGGTCCAGAGAATGCGAAGTGATACCCCGAAGAGTGGCGGTCAGGGCCTTCTTGCCAAACGGCGCAAGAAGCAGAAGAGGTTCAATGAAGTACCCCACTCCTCTACTCAGGGGGCAATTATGGGTCACAGAACCACCCACAATGATTCCGGGCTTGAAAACAACCGTGGTACCTGTGTAGGAGATTTCAAAAACCGATCCGTTGGTGATCGATTCAAGCAGACGTAGAAACGACACCTCGTAGTCCTTCACACCGGGCTCCACATCGTCTGACCGGATCTTGTCGATTCGCACAGGCATGCCCGATAACGTGGCGAGCACGAGCCGCCGTCGGAAGTTGTTGTGGCCCGAAAAATGTATCGTTTGTTTCTTTGCCGTCGACATGGTGGTTTGTGTAGCTAGTGATCAGCATGCTCTGAAATATATTTTTTAAACACCCTTCATGCATAATTTTTTGGAATAGGCTTTACGTTAGAGTTTAACCGATGGCTTCAGTTCGATTCGCGGTGGTGGTCGAATAGACGCGGATTGGAGTTGATGCAGGTAGCTGGAAAAAGTGTCGGGGGAGGGGGATATCCAGTGCATTCTCGCTTTCTTTTACTTCCGCCTGGTACAAGATTGCCCTTTTTGGTGTTGCCGTAATATTGGTTGTTTTATTTTGTTTTATTTGTTTTATTGTTTTTTTAATTGTTTAATTTTTTAAGCTGATATCCCAGCTGTAATTATCCTTACTTGGGGTTTTTAAACCAGTCAAGTCATCATATTGGGCAATCTTCCTCGTTCATCGTTCGAATCCTGGTCAGATCGGACTGAGACGATAAATGTTTGGACACCCGTTTTTTCCCACCGGAGTCACAAGTCTCTCGTTCCTCTTGCACAGTATAACCCGTTTTGCTTACATTCGATACAAGGATTATTCTCTTAGATGATGTTTTAATTAATGTATTGAAAATGTATTGAGAAAAATCAATAGCTGTTTGCACAAATGGCTGAGATAGCCTTTAACGCCAAAGTCGAGCTGAACACTTTTCCTCCAGCATTTTATTCTGTTGACTTGCGTTCTCACCAGGGCTGTCTTGGTGGCGTGTCAGCTATTGAAAATCCTAAGTATTATTGATTAGATATAGTTAATATAACGACTTACAGCTCACTTCTAGGGACACCACGTTCTGATAGTAGCACACAGAAGGGTGTGTGCTTGCTCATTCACGACAAGAGATTGTAGATCAGCGGATACACATCTACAGGATGGACATCTCGTCTACGACCAAGCTGGTTCCTCTCATCACTATTGACCTCTTATCATTATGTGAGGAAATTAGCCAGGTATTACCCTACCGGGTTTTACCTTCCCCTTGCAGCATGTCTAGCGATAATCTCAATAATCCGTCCGCAGTCGAAATCAAACTGGAGACATCTGCTCTTCAGGAAATGATTACGCAGCTGCCATGCCGCCGTAGGTTCACACGACGCTCCCGAACAGGAAATACGAAAAAGGCGCATCTCATTGGAGCAGGCTAGGGATCAAAAGAATAAAGAAGAAAAAAAAAGAAGAAAAAAAAAGAAGAAAAAAAAAAAGGGGTGACACACTCATGGACTGCGGCGTATTGATCACAGTTTCAAAACAACTTTGGTGTAATACAGTCCCCCTACAAGTAGCACGATCGCATAGGCTACAAGTCCACATTGGTCTGGGCTACAATTGTAGCATCTGGTATCGCAAAGTACACCCGTAGTGTGACCCGGCTACAGACGGTGAGTTAGTTAGTGTGTCTCTGAGCAAGAAAAACAAAGATGGTTACGAGACATTTGTTTTCGCTGCCGTACTTAGCTCACGAGACATTTGCTGCCGTAGCTCGCGAGACATTTCGGAACATTTTGGGCGTTGTGCACAGCAAAGTGTTTTTGGATGTCGCTGTAGGAGGGAGTGCATCACGGGTTGTGGTCATAACTTCAGCAGAATAGGAGGTATAGCAAGGCAGTGTGACGCCTTATAGTCGTGGAAAACAGTTGGCCGTAACGTTCATAACTGAAGCAATAAATGATAAATGCCACGGAAAAACAAACCGCCCATAGGTAGGACAAGGTCCATGTAGCAAAGATCGTATGACAGTAAAGGGTTGCTACATGGGAGGAGTAGAAAGCTGTCAGTGGGAAGGAAAAAGAGGAGCTGTGATGACGTACAAGTGCATCTACTTGTACTGCACTGCACATACTGTACTTGTAGTCGGTCTGTGGTGGAGACGGGAAAGACAGAGCAGTGCATCTTGTGTGTTTGAGAGGTGGTGCAATAGATACTTTGGTTGTATCGTAGCGGTCCTAAAGAGCAGGTGCAACTGCTGGAATCATAGATTGAACATAGAGAGTGGAAAAATGCAACGATACCACGAGATATGAGTGTCGGGAGCTTCTTGTGGTGACTTGTCGTTACTTTTTGCTGTTGTTGGACTCCTCATCTTGGCAGCCCTGGTATGAGCTGTAAATGTCATCTGTTGTATAACCATCTGTCGATAGCGTTGTTTTGTCCGATCCGTGCTTGGCTCGAAAGCCACCAGGAGCTAAGGACATTTGCTAATTAATGAAACGACCCCAGCAGCTCTGGCTCCAATGGCCCGGACGTTAGTGGTGAGTAGCCCTGTTGGTGGTTTGGACACGCCATTCCCTGGGCTATTCCCTGGGTCCTCCAACGTCTCGATGTTAGCCAGTCAGCGTTTTCTTGTTTGGGTCTTGGTCATTTCTTTTTCACACACCTTTTTCCGCTCGCTTTTCCCGCCTCTCTTTGCACTCTGCTGCTCCCTCGCCCCGTAATTCGGATTAATTGCAAAGCCTAAAAACCACAAAAGAGGCACTGTGTCTAGCCCCCCAGGGCAAGGGTCGCCTCGTACAGGTAATGGCCAAAAACCTATAAGCCGCATCAGCTGGGTTCCCCACACCTGACTGTGCAACTCAAAAAAAATACAAAGCCCGTGTGGATACTCTTGTGATGACGTGGGCATGTGCACGTACAGGAGCTACTGTAGCAACCGCCGCCACCAGCTCGCGGCTGGGTCTAGCGCCACATGGCACAAACACCGGGGTTAGAGCGTGGGTCAGGGGCTCGTTCCGGGTTGGTCGGCAGATGGGCTTGTTGTGGCAGAGGCACCAGTGGTGGACGGGGGTTAGGGCCAAACTAGTTTAGTGCGCGGTTTGGACATGGGTCGGGGTTGGTGTGTGTGTGTGGAGGAGGAGGAAGATAAGTGATTGGGGGTCCGATGGGCTTTTATTGTCGGCGATTTCTACTCTCTTTTTATAACCACATGATACATTAAGCGTCTCTAGCAGTTCCCCTCGTTGTGCTGGGAAAGCGATAGACGAACAACCGTCAAAAAAGACCCGACTGGTAATACCAGTATAAAGTTGACCAATCTTAACGTTGATTTTCTCATACCAGGCTACGAGTAATTGTCAGACCCGGTAATTTAATTTAGATTTAGGGTTTCTGAGGAGTGTACTGCTCCACCGCTGGGTCAAAACCAGTCACGACAGTATTACTGCCAACATCACCAGCAGCGCGCCAGAGTTGCAGACAGAGCAAGACAAAACCCGCATTTGCGCCAGCGAGCACTCCCGACGCAACCAAGAGCCCCATCACGAGACCGCACAAGTTTGAGAGCACAGCCCAGAGGCATACACACACACACACACACACACACACACACGCACTCTCGCTTTGTCACAACAGCGTGTGAGCGCCACCAAATTAGCACCCGGAACGTTACCGACACCTTTCCGATACACCAGTGGTTCTACAGTACAGTAGCAGGTTGCGCCAGCCCTAGCACATAAAATGGAGACGGATTCCAAACGCGGCGTGTACTCCATTGCACGATCCATGTTGCCGCAGCATTTTCTGCGGCGAGCCCCCCACGAGGACTACGACATTGAGCAGCACCTCAACATGAGCATGTTTGAGGACGACGACGGGCTCAACGAGGAGCTAGACATTGACATGGATCAGTTCCACATGGACCTCTTTTCGCCCCAGCAGGGCGTGGTCACACAGACCCCGATACCCACGCCGATACAAAAGTCTCCGGCAACGCTTCCGACACATTCGACACATTCGACACAACCCGCCACACAGACACAAAAGGCCAAGAAACGCAAAAACGAGTCCGGCCTGGCCAACTACAAGTTTGGCCGAACCACGCCCATCATTTACCCCCCGTCGTTGAGCCCTGGCCCCCACAACTCCGGCTCGCCCCCCACCTATCTGCCGGACTTCAACCCGGTGACTTGGGACCAGATTGGCAGTCACACCGCCCACAAGCTTGTGGTCCAGGACCTCCCTCCCCGCTCGCGAGTGGAGACACAAATCAACCTGTCCATGTTTGTGTACCCGCCGCCACCACAGAACCTTGTGCATCTCCCCACCGACACAATTTCCAAACCCAAGCTGCAGCTGCGACAGGGCTTCGAGCCCGACGCCGACGTGCTCATGTTGGAGACGGTCGTCGTGTGCCATTCGGACCCCCGCAACTTCGTCAATATTTGTTCTGGTTGCATGAACCGAGAGCGAAAGCGAGCGTCGCGTAAAAAGGTGCGTGTCCCCATCGACGAAGCACACTGGAACTGCGACCGGGACCGACGCGCCATCATCTTCAACTGCAAAGAGATTGTCGAGCTGTCCCCCGTGACCACCGAAGGAGGAGTGGTGGGTCGACGGCTGGATCTGCCCATGCGGATCGCGTGCTACTGTCGCCACCACGGCGAGGAGCTGGGCTTCACAGCCTACATTTCGCTGAGGGACCACACGGGCCGTGTTGTTGCCCAGACAAAAACCACCCCCATCATGATCACCGACGACCACAAGGCCTTGACCGAGGGCGACGTGTCCTCTCTAGCAGCTCGAGTCTCTTCCGAATCGCAACAATCACAATCACAACCACAATCACAACCACAGTCACAGCCACAATCACAACCACAATCACAGGCGCAATCGCCCTCTCCCGATGGTCCTCAGATGGAGATGGAGGTGGTTCGAACCACCAAGAAACGTAAGAGTGGCGCCGACGACACACCCTACTCCATGTCGTCGACCACGTCACTCCAGAAGCTGGGCTCTGTCTCAGAAACATCTTCCATTCCCGACACGGATCTCTTCACGTCTGTGCCCTCATCCACCGACTTCTCCGAGTCATACACCAACATGGCCAGTTTGTTGAGTGGGTCCGAGAGTGCGGCGGAGGAGGATTCCTCTGTCCCTGCCGTCAAGCGGCTTATTCCCTCTCAGGGCTCTATCCGGGGAGGTATGGAGATCACCTTGCTGGGCCAGGGTTTCCATGACGGACTCGTGGTGAAGTTTGGTGACAACTTTGCCTCAACCCAGTGCTGGAGTGATACGACCATTGTCGCACAGCTTCCTGCCACTGAGGTTGCCGGGCCCGTGATTGTCGCCTTCTCTGGTATCCCCGTCAAAAACCCCCAGGTCTTCACATATATCGATGACACGGACCGACAACTCATCGAGCTGGCTCTGCAGGTGGTGGGTCTTAAGATGAACGGCAAGCTAGAGGACGCTAAGGACATTGCTCGTCGGCTTATTGGAGGAGGAGGAGTCAATAACGTTTCTGGCGTGATGGTTCAACAACAGCAGCAGCATCAACAGCCTGACTACATTCAACAGCAGATGCAGCTGGAGAGCGAGGTAATCAAGCTGCTGAGCTGCTGTGACGTGATGCAGAGCTCTGAAAACAACGAGGGCCTCAACTTCACCAACGCCAAGACGCAGTCGATGATGCACCTGGCTGCCGGACTCGGATTCACACGACTAGTGGTTTTCTTGACCTCTCGGGGCGTGTTCCTGAACACCCAAGACGACGCGGGCTTTACCCCGCTGCATTACGCTGCTCTTCGTGGCAAGCTGGATGTTGTCACGTACCTGGCTTCTCAGAACGTCAACCTCTTTGTGGAGTCCAAGTCCGGTCACTACGCGCTGGACATTGCTGAGGAGGAGATCCGGTCATATCTGATGGATCTCATGTACTCGGGCGTGTCTGCTTCTTCGGATGACTCTGGTTCAGAGACTGAAGTGCCCGCATCTTCCAAGCGGTCGCGTCGACATCGACGACGAGCACGAGGACCCCGAGGTATCGCTCAGTACATGTACGACCTTAACAGCGCGGTGTGGAGCTCCAACATGGGCGATCTGTATGATTTCATCAAGTCGCCCTTCAAGGTCGCTGAGTCATCTACGTCGGAATCGTCTTCCGCGTCTTCCGCGTCTCCCGCGTCTTCCTCGTCTCCTAACGAGCATGCTCCTCCCAAATACGAAGACATCTTTCCCGAGGGCTCCAAGGTGCCCGAAATCGACTACTCGTCGTCGGTCATTGAAGCTGGGTCTTCCACCCCAGCAGCCCCCAGCTCGTGGGACCGAAAGGAGCAGACAGAAGTGTCTGCCACTCCTTCTAACACACCCACCGATGAGTCTGCTGCTTCCTGTGGAGCAGTAGAAATGAGCGAGGAGGAGGTCATGGAGGCCTGGAAGTCGAAGCGTACGCTTCTGCACCAAGACATTATGTTCTTCCTCTTCTGGCTTCCCATTTTTGTTGCTCTCATGTACTGGGCCTATCTGACCGCTCGGTCCTCTCTCATGGGCTACTCTTCGACATCTTCTTGGGATGTCAAGTCTATGAAAGACACTTTTCTGGACTATACTTTGCATGTCCTGATTCCCAAGAAGCACATTCACAAAGTCAAGTGGTTGAGTTGAGTCGAAAATAATAGTTGCATTTAGACAAGTGATTTATTGAGTATTTTCGGTGTTTTGTAAAGAGTATGATTTGTTCTATTGTACTTTTGGTGTAACTAAATGTACAGTACAGTACTGTGAGGTTGTACCACCTGAGTCAGGGGCGTATTATTTAATTTTTAATTCTAATTTTATTCTTTCGTTTTTCCGGAATTTGGCTGAATAATCATCTTTGCGCCGTCATAGCCGCCTTCGTGGCCAAGTGGTAAGGCGCAGCACTAGTAATGCTGAGATCATCAGTTCAAATCTGGTCGAAGGCAGTAAATTTTTGTTCCCCATCAAAGAACCAATGGAGGAGGATTTTTTGGGAAAAAAATATTTAAATTTTAATTTAAAAAAGCCCGACGTGGGGCTTGAACCCACAGCCTTGAGATGACCTTAGAATAAGAGTCTCACGCTCTACCGATTGAGCTAGCCAGGCGATTTTCAAAAAAAATGTATCCTGTATTATTTATCATGAAAATTGTCAAAAATCTCGCGAATTGATTTATAATTGATATCAGAATATTTATCTTGACTTCATTAGTACCCTTCTGGCTTTTGTTTGGACTAATGGGTAATTTCAAGTCTGTTGTGAGTCCAGAAAAAGGATCTACAAACTGGTTCAAAACTGCACAAACGGATTTATGACTCTAGAGTCTTCCAGCAGTGTGATAATGGAATATATTGTGATCTTGCAGACCGTTTCTTCTAAGGTCAAGACTGTTCCTATATTGTCTTTATGAGCAGTACTTTTTCTCACGGTTGTGCAATTGACCCGAACCTGGACGGATCATCACTGTCATGTTCTGAGCGTGTACAAAAGTGTACTTGTACTATATTGTGGATATTTATGTATTGTGGCTGTAAATACTGGTTCTGTTGAGCATTTTTGAGACCCCTTGCTGTTCTCCTGCTGGAGCGAAAAGTTTTAGTTGGGATTATGGTCTGATTAGTTGGTACTTCCAGCATTCAGGTATAGCTGTCACGATAGACATTCCACATCTGCGACTCAACACTCGCTTTTGCAACTCGATTTGACGAGATTAAACTAGTCCGCTTTTTTGAGAGAGCCCTTTGAAGACCTGAAGGGATTTCACGGCTTCAATTCTGGTGTCTGAATCCATTCAACGACCATGACTTTAGTCTCTCTGCACTTCAGATGTCTCTCGACAAGTATTGGCAGAGATACTTATAGAACACTTGATGGTGCTGGCACCGTTGACAAGTCCAATATCGTAATTCGAATAATCTGCTAGGAAGATTAATGCATGGTTCGTCTAAACCACCGACATCTCGTGTTCCTCATTTCACCTTGGTCCACACATCCACTTCGAGCCATGCAACCAGTCTTTCCCCTGGTATCCGCCTTGGTTTCCCATTTTGAGTCGATCGCCTCGTAATCTGGGGGTGCTAGAGACTCGTAGGAAGGAGCAGAGTCATCGGCGTAATCGTTTTTGAAGACCATGTTTGTATTCTTTAACAGGGGGTACTCGCACAGCAAAAAGTCTTCATATTCGAACGGCACGAGGTTAGAGCAAGCGTCCACCTGAGCGGTTCCGAAGACTGACCGCGCTCTGGAGAACACCAAAGGCGCAGACAGAGACAGGTCCACGTACCTTCGGGACTTCTGATTGGGCTGGTTGGTCATATCCAATTGTGAGAAGCGCAGCGACACGTATATCTTGTGCACCACGTGAAGAGGGTGGGTGCGGGAGGTTGATGCGGATAATTTGTCAATGATCCGGGAATTCAACTTCAGCGAGTAATCCAGCACTGTCTCTTCGGCTCCGGGGATGAGAAGATTGCCTCTATGGATGGAGTCGAAAAAGTTTTCCTTCACGTCGAACCCTTCTTCCCTGGCTTGCTGGAGTTCTATTTCGTCATGCTCTACATCGTCCGAATCTGCGTATCGGTTGGAATACACGGTGAGGAGTCCAGTTTTCTGCGTGTCATTGGCGTTTGAATTGCAGGTTTGGGTCACGGAGATCTTGACGGAGTTGAGTCGAATGGGCTTCTCAAACAGGGTCGTGGTGATCTTGACGGGGATCTCGGTATCTTCGTTTAGAGAAATGTCTTTCTGCGGGTAAGAAACAACGAATCTGAGCTTGTTGAGCCAGGGAGCCGAGACATTGACGGGGAGAAGAGTCTGGTCGTCTATCTTTCTGCCTCGGGCTATGACAATCTCCTGGGAATGCTCAATGAGGCCGCAGTTTGAATGTAACCGCTTTTGGCAGCTCACCTGGGTGTCAAGAGTGTACCACAGTTTGTTGGAGTTGTGGGAAGCAGTTTCAGGAAGCCCAGCAGGAAGAGAGCAGTGAAGCGAGTACTTGTGAGTGGAGGCTTGGATAGAGACCGGATTGGAGATTGCAGAAACGGGCCCTTCAACAGGCTTGGATCGACCCGACAAGAGATCCCATTGGACCAGAGTCTCGTTCGTTTGAGCCCTTGTCTCCGACACTACCATGTGACGCACTAGAGCAGTGGTCATCTTTTTGACCCGCGTGCTCTTCGTGTACTTCACTGAGACAATGGGGGTAAAGTCCACCATGAGTGATCTCTGTTCCTGCATGACTTGTTCAAACGAAGGTAAAGGCGAGTCGGACCGGGGAAGAGAGATTGTTGTCTCTGAGAGAGCGTCTAGTCCTGTGGTGTTACTGCTGTGTGATCCATAATCTTCATCATCCTCATGGGACTCTTCTGCTGGTGCGTAAGGAATATCCAAGTGGGTTCCCTGATAGGAGATGAGGACAGACATTTTGGTCACCAGAACAACGACCCTGGACCCGCTTTATCTATCTATCGAGTGAGGAGCTGATCGTTAGCGGCTCTTGTTTGGAACCTAGACAGATTAGCCTCCGACTCGCTCCTCAGAGCTTTCCCTGTTGTTGCCAGACATTCATCGTTATATGATACAAGTACGAGGTTTGTCTGCAACAACGGAATTCTAATCTTCCTCAATTGATTTCTTTTGTCCAATGTCTCCTTTACTCCTGCTAACTGGCAAGCGACTGCGCCATCGTTTCGTGTGCTCTGCTATTCGCGCTCCGTCTCAGCCGCTGCGTCTTTCAACCAGACATCGCTCAACACGGTCTCCAAGCAGACATAACCAAAGCCCTGATAACTTTGAGACTCTGAGGGTTCGCAATACGATGTCCGATTCTGCATCGAGTTCGAAAAGTGGAAGCAAACCGGCGGGATAAAAGGTTCAGCCGCAAGATAAGACACCAATGGCGGTGAAGGGTTGTCTCGGCGAAGCTCAAGGTTGTTCCTTTTCTGGAGCTCTGTAGCTGCCCTTTTCTCACGGTAGGGGTGTGTTCTGCTCCTGTGTCGCACAGCGTACGTTGGGTCGCTCAAGCGTTCGATCGTTCGATCTTCTCGTCCCGCTCCACGATCCAAAGTGACTCAGCGTCGCAGGTATGGCTCACAATCGACGCTAACCCAATGGCTATTACTCTCTCCGCTTGGGCTAAGTGCGGCTTAGAAGCCTTAGCTCCTAGTTTGGCAGAGATGTGTTGTGGATACCTGCGTATGTACAGTAACGGAAGGGATGTGCGGATCAGGACCTTCTGTTGCTAGTTCCCCCGTTCTGTATCGCACAGCCGGATACAATGATTGAAGGGGCTGTGGGCGGACTATCTGTCCACCGTCCAAAGAGCTACCAGTAGCTCTATTGAACATTCAGAACTGTAAATCACTTGGTGGCAATTCAGTGTTCATACCAGGGATCGCCCTTCTTATTGAAGTTGAAGTGGGTGGCAAGTGCCTAACGCCACCCGGTAGTAATCTGCTCCGCTGGGACGTCGTCAGTTTGGGGATTCCAGCGGTGCGGTCAGGGTAGATGTCGATGTTACCTGCGGTACTTGTACATTTGGAAGAGTAGATTGATGACTTCATATACAAGTACGAGCACAGTTTCGTATCGTACATAGTGCATTTGTACTTGCACCGGCACGATAGTGGAATGTGTGACTGTTTCTCCACGGACTCTGAGCTTCTATATAGTTGTCGCCGTTGTTCATTGTCACCATTGTCCTGTAGATTTGCCACCAGCTCGTATTCACCCTTAATTGGGGATATTCCGAATACCTCGGGCGTCTGCTGAATTGGTGGATAGCGGTTTGAGATAACTTGGAGACGATATGCTCCATTTTCAATCGCAAGTTCTTTTCGTCGAGAACACGAGCAGGTATTCTTTTTTAATTGTAAGAAGAGAAGCCCAGGATGGGGGGGGAGAGAAAGACGGTCCGGTCAGGGAAATGGAGGAATGAGGTTGGGAAAAGGAGAAGCTGAACGAGGATATCTAATATTTGCCGTTTTATCGCTTTTTGCTGTTTTTTTGCCAGTAATTTCGCCAGTAATTTAACACTTTTTCACGTCCAAATGGATTTGAACCGCTCTTTCTCGGGAAATACTTTTCAGCTGCTTGAAGCCTGAAACCTATAATCAATATTACATCCTCATATCTGTTCGCATTCGGTTTTTTCAGAAGAGCGCTTTTTTTTATTATGATATTACTATTTTTATTCTATTACTATTTTTATTCTATTACTATTTTTATTCTATTACTATTTTTATTCTATTACTATTTTTATTCTATTACTATTTTTATTCTATTACTATTTTTATTCTATTACTATTTTTTATTCTACGTTATTTATTCTAATGATGGTTTTTTATTTTTTATTTTTTTAATTATTCATCACAGCTATATACCTACTTGTAGTAAGCCGGGTTATTGGCGTTCAATAAATCATACACTTCTGAATCATTGCGGTGTGCGCTGCGAGGCGCTGTCAGTTGGTTTGTCGACGCTTCGTCTAGTTGTCTTCATGACTAATCCAATGTCTCAGTTTTCCTTTTCAATTTGTCCTTTTCTCAGAATCCGGTCCCTTGGCCCAGTTGGTTAAGGCGTCGTGCTAATAAGAAGTTAGCCTCTTTGCAACGCGAAGATCAGCAGTTCGATCCTGCTAGGGACCATTCTTTTTGTTTTTAATTTGACAGTAGACTGAAGCAGTGGTTCTCTCCCAGTCCAACGTTGACTTGTATTGTATTTTTATTCGCCTACCAACTTTTTGCTTTTTGGATACTTACACTGTGTGGCTACAGTAAAATCTCACCGCAGTCTCAGGGGAGAGTGAGAAGGATATACAAGGACTTGTACGGTACAATGCTTTTACTTGAGATATTGTAGTGACTCTGAACCCTCAGCCAGCGTCTGTTGTCGATTTAAACAAAGTGGTTTTTTTTCAAGTTCAGGTAGATGAACATAATAGGACTACAACTACAACTACACACTGTACTTGTACAAGTATAGAGGTGTGGATTTGGACGCATAACGGGACACAAGCCCAGTCACCCCGAAAGCAAAAAAGGATACAAATAGCCAACCCCAGCCCAAAGCAGAGTCTCGGAACACAAAATCCGGTAAAATTAAACCCATTGGACCCTTTTAAAGGACTTTTTCACTCCCACACTCAGCTCATCGACCCTGCATATCCCCAAACTCTAACCGACTCGGAGAACAATACAAAAGAATTATGAGGAGAGACTGTTTGTACATTGTACTTGCTCAAGCACGTTGTAGCCAGCGATGACTAACGGGTTTTATTCAAATCATGATGATCATTACAAGACAATGATATGTACTATACTTCAATATATATATGTAGGTTCAATATCGAACTCCAAGTCTAAATGTGCAGGATCCTGTCTAGTGGAGCCAAAAATCTGTGCTGAAACCAACCAGAAATATAGCCAGAGACAAGCAAAAAAACAGCTGGACCGCCTAGCTGCTTCTCACTCCGATACGGGGAATCGAACCCCGGTCTCCACGGTTCTCAACATGAGAGCGTGATGTGATAGCCCCTACACTATATCGGATAGGTTGTTTTTTTGTTAGAACCCTGGCCCCGTGACTAAGCAGACTGATGACTCAGCCGCGGTGGCCACACTCAAGGTATGGTCACTACCGTCACTCTCAAGAAAGGTATATTAGAATACATGGGATACAGGGGTTTATATGTTATCCAGGGTTGCGGTGCAACCCTTTGTCCATGATAGCAGGCTTGACATATCGATATTAATGATAGTGTAATCCCACTGAGGGCCCACATGGTGGCCCCTCGTCATAGTCTCCGCGGAGTCCCGTCGGGACTCCATTAGCGGTTCACGGGTGACTAATCAGGCGATATTTTCTTAGTCGCTGATCCCCAACAGTGTTGCTCCTGGCACAGGTAAGCGCCTGTTGAGCATGGTAAAATCGTGTCGCGTGGTCTTAGGATGCCTCGCCAGGTCCGTGGTAGAGACTCTTCCACTCCTGTTCTAACATATAATAATGGTAAGGAGTGAATCGGTCGGTCAATAGTTTGGTGAAGTCATTCCAAGTCGTGGGCTTCTGCTCCAAGTCGAACCACCAATCCTCTGCTGTGCCGCACATGGCCGTGACAGCAACAGCGATTTGAACTGACTCGGGGATGCCGAAATGGTCCATTCTGTTCTTGATCCGTTTCGTGAATCGTCGGACATCGGAACCGGATCGTATTCCCTCCCCGTTAAATTTGGGTTCGAAGTCTTTGATGTCGCACTCCCGGCAGTAGTCTCGGAGGGTCTTTGTGGCCATATTGGATGTGGGTATTGCTTTAAATACTTGTTGTCGAACGTCTCCGAATGTGTGTCCCTGTCGGAAGACGTGGTGCTACTCTGTCCTGAATCTCCAGTCACGAACGCGTTGTCGGAAGAAGATGGGAGACAGTGATAGCGTGTAGTAAAAAACTTTCAGTCGAATCGGAAAGAGATTCCACGTAGGGCTCAATCTCGATGTCTTGTGCGCGTCCTGTTAGATCACTCAATGATGTGTGTCTCGTGATGTGCAGTGACCCTGATGTCTCGGAAAAAACCAGAATTCGCCACCACGTGTAACCGTTCAAGCTCACGTCTCTTGGTCGTCGTTGTCGTAAGTATTCTGGCGTGTGACCGTCTCACACCGCGCTCGTCAAATACTGCTCGTCTGCAATATACTTCATATATTCTCCCAACCGCGAGTCCGTGTCACAGGTCACGTGCCTCCTACATGAACCCTAACCCGGACGTCACGTGCCTTACACGAGATCTTGAATGGGTGATTCAGCGCTGAGGATGCAGTGATCAAGTATTACGAGATGGCCAAGGAAGCCTCTGTCCGGGAAGCCTGAAGTAGACAAGAATGAGTACAGTAGGCAGAGAAGACCAAGCGAGTTGGGCTGAAGAAGGATGGGGGGTTCGAGCTCGAGCGGCCCAGGAGAAACGAGAAGCAAAGCAACACGCGAAGGAGGCAAAGGAGGCCAGGAAGGCAAAGGAGGCCAGGAAGGCAAAGAAGGCCGAGCGGAAGCCAAAGCAAAGGTCTGAGCAGCAGCAAAAGACGTGGGACAAATATGGCTGAAGAAACAAAGACCTGCTGAAGCAGAGGCTTGCAGAAAGTTGCTGAATTGAATACTGAAGTCAAGAAACAAACCGTTGGTACAGTAGAAACCGCACCCAATTCTTCCCAGGATACACATGTTTCCGACCCGCAGGCTGAGGACGAGAAGAATGTGGACTCTGACTCTGACTATGAAGACTGGTTGCGGGGAAAACTCGAGATCAAGTCAAAGCCGGCAGTCAAAAAGAGTACACTGACGCAGCCTTCCACTGAACCTCCTCCTAAAGTAAAGCAGGCAGCACCCAAGTTTAGCCAGTACCCAAGTTTAGCCAGCACCCAAGTTTAGCCAGCACCCAAGTCGTCCCAGCCTTCTCTTGGGAGAAGGAGTAGTCGGAGTCTGAGTCTGACTCGGATGATGAGTGACCGACAGCGAGGACTTCTATAAGAGAACCATTGCCCAGACTCTGTCAAAAAAGCGAAGACTGCTGTGAAGCCCGCTTCTAATGCTGAGGATAAGCCTGGTTCTATAACTGAGGACAGGCCTGCTTCAAGTCTTCCACTACAGTGAAGCCTGAGGCCAACGGTTCTGCTACCAAAAAGGGAGGCGAGGCTCCCAAGAAGTCTCCTTTTTTTTCAACTTCCAGTCTCTCCAGTCTTTGGTCAAGATGGGTGTTCCTGGGGTGAAGGACGGGGGAGGACTCCGACTCCGATGATAACTCCGACTCCGATGATGACTCCGACACTGTCAATTCAATCGAGAGGACCCAAAGAAGCCCCTCAGAGTTCGGGAGCCACTGCGAACCAATAAATTTGAGCCATTAATTCCAATTAAATGTCGATATTTTGACCATTGACGCCTCTGGATCGCTTTTCCACCCTCAAGTACCCACTCGGCTCCCCAGGCAAACATCTGAGACTGCGTGGCCAAGTTGGTTAAGGCGTACGACTGTTAGAAACACGTGTTCGGAAATCGTAAGATCGAGAGTTCGACCCTCTCCGCGGTCGTCTTTTTCCTACCCTACCCCCATAAATGGACTCACATTCATTTTTTTTTGGCACACCCCACACCTCGCATATGCCAGTTGCGATCTGAACTTTGGCGATTGTGAGTGACTCCAGGAGAGAAATGGGTGGGTAGAATGACCTGAAAATTTGGCTGCCGGTCAAGATTGCCATCGAAATGGTCCTCACAAAATATCTAAGCGACAACATGTGAACTGCATCTTTTATTCCGTAAAATGTCCATCTCCCCTTACCAACAACCCAAATGAGAGGAGGTTGAGCAGCGCACAAAAATACATCCGAGAAACGCGACTGAAGAAGCGGTAGGATGCAAAAAGTGATTTCTGGCAGGATCGAACTGCCGACGTTCTGCGTGTTAAGCAGATGCCATGACCAACTAGACCAAGAAACCCGGTTGTGGACTCGGGGTGGGTAGCGTGGATTGATTGTGGGAAACACCTTAACGAATTAGAATAAAAAAGAAGTAAATAACCTCAACTAATATCCCAACTATACAGATAGATAACAAAGAACCAAAATAGTTCCAAGTCTAAAGCTAACTAAATATACTTGGGGCTAGGTTTAGAATCTAGCAGAAACTGATCATTTCAATCATTATTTACAACTATTGGGTTATGTGTGGAAATATCTATAGTCAAGACTCATCATTTATAACCAATTCGTCCATTCTGCGTATCAAGTCGGCATCCAACATACCAGACTCACCCAACTGATTAGCATCCACCACAAGTCTGGTAGTGATATCGTGAATGTACAATTTTTCGTTCTTACCTTCAATGATTGAGTATCTATAGTCTCTCTTATCAAGGGGATGGGCTTGATCGACGTGCACAACATGTTTGGATCTCACTTTATCTGTTATTGTCTTTGTATCGATGTCCAACGAGAGTTGAATAGCACAGTATCTTTTCGGTTCAAAGTACTGGAGTAGTCCATCGTAGAATATCAAGTGCCATGGGCTTTCACTTTCTTTCCTACTCTGAAGCTCTCGAAACCTCTTCTGGTGCAAGTAATTGGCCGTCCAGTATGGATCCGCACCAAAACAGGAGCTTGCGAATTCAAAAAGAAACACGTGTGGTCCCATAATCTGGAGGAAGAAGCAGTCCACACCGGCGTGGTGCACAATATCAGGTTCAAGTCCTGGGGAGTCTTTGAACTTGACAATGACTGTTGCGTTACCTCCCCCAAAGCAACAATACATTTGGCAGTTTCCAAGGGTGGTAATGATCAGCATCTGGGGAAGCGATATTATTTCAGACATGACTTCGTCCCCACCTTCTTCTTCTTGTTCTTCCCAATCCCACCATTCATTCTCCTTGGACAAATCCACCTTGATACCATGGTTGCTTGTGTGAACACAAGTTCGCAGTTCTTTGGCAGGGGTAACAAGTGGTGCCGCATGCGTTCCGTTCTTTGGTGACAGTCTCATTACTGATCCAAACTCCTCAGGGCCAGCCCTTCTAAGTCTGGGTGCAAACTTGGCCCCAGGCTGCTGACGTCGTAGATATTCCATAGCACACTCTCGGTAGGAGTTGCGACAAGAGAACTGTGGTTCAAACCATGGACATAATGGCTCCAATTTTTGTTTGAAAATAGAGTCAGGAATGGAAAAGATTTCTGTTTCGGCGATTGCGCAGAGGTCAGCCAAATCTAGAAGATTGCAGATGAGTTCCACCAGTTCAGGGGGAAGCATGGATGACAGAGAGGCACGACAGCGTGGCTGCCAGAGTTGTGGTGGGTCGGTGGTGAAAAATATAGAGCTGAGGAAGAGGTTTTCATGCATCATGAGGTTCTACAGCCTCTTATATATACAGTACTGTATCCCCTACATCTCCCATCCAGTGTATGCATTGTCGACTCATTTTGGATGCATGTTGATGCGATCCTGTGAACTGTAGTTGGTTGATATCTCTATAGATGTAATATTTGCGTCTTAGTTCAATTTGTTTGAAATGAATTTCGCGTTTTTTTCCTGTTTGTTGTTTTTCTGTTTTTTGTTTTTCTGTTTTTCGTTTTTCTGTTTTTTGTTTTTCTGTTTTTGTTTTCTTTTATTTTTTAATATTATTATATATATTTTTATTTTTGAATTTACTTGTAGAGAAATACAACACACAAGCTGTTGAAGGTAATTCCTCACATAATGATGAGAAGCCACGACAAAGTGATGAGAGGAATCAGCTGGGTCGTAGACGAGATGTCCATCCTGTAGATAGTTCTATCCACTGATCTAGAATCTCTTTTCTGGTGAATGAGCAAGCACAAACCCTTCTGGTGTGTGCTACTCCTAGAAGTGGGTTGTAAGTTGTTAATTAACTATATCTCATCAATAATACTAGTGATCTTCAATACAAACAGTGTCCAAACCACAAATCAAACTCGGATTCGGGTTTTCAGAAGGGCGTATCGCAATAGTTTCTGCGGTTTCCCCATATTACTCCTACACCAGATTTTTGCCGTTTGTTTCTTCTTTGCTACTATTTTTTTATGATGTTTCTTTTTTTATTTTTATTTTTTGCAAAATATTTCAGTCTTTTTACCCTCTTAACCGCCCAACGCCTCGTTAGCTGCAACGGCAAGCCTGGTTGGCTCAGTTGGTTAGAGCGTTAGTCTCATAATCTGAAGATCACCAGTTCGACCCTGGTACCGGGCATCCGTCTCTTTTTTTGCCCGCCTTTTATTTGTTGTCATACAGAATATCTGCAATATTGCTCCATCAAAACGTTGTGAAACTTTGGTCAATTTTTTTTTACTTCCGATCTCAATGAACCCTAAACATGAAGAATATATCTTCAACTTTGAAATAAGAGAGAAAAGGTCGGAGCGAGTTGCATACTCGTATTCAGCAGTTCTGCCGCGTTCTAATAGTGTTGCCTAAATTCTTACAACTATTATATTGGTCGTAATATTGGTGTCTTCTTTCGAGCTTCAATCTTCCAACCTCTCCTCCAACGATGTCCTGTATGGTATGTACAGTGGGTAAGTTCCACACGCAAAAATGGAAAGTTTTTGTACGACACTTGCCTTCATTTATTCAACATCACCTATGGAAGTGGTATGTCCATGCTGAATGCAAATTTCCTTATCATCTTTCTTGCCCCAATAAGCTGATCCCATCCTACCATCTCCCTAACAAAAGTCTAAGTAATACCTGTTCATGCAAGGAAGATACTTTTCGTCTTAGTATGTACATACTGTACTCGTCTCAGAACTCTCAAACAGCCCAGATCAGCTTTCAATTGCTTTGCAGAGAGGTAGCACTACGATTTTCACACAATATCTAATTCATGCTGTAGTCCAGGGCACTCGTTCGTAGTAATGACCCTAACTAGTGGATGGGGTTAGGTATGTACTGGAAAAGCCATCAAGAGGCACGAACCAGTCACACTACAGTACAGTACTGCATCTATGCCTATAACCTGCTATGCTGGAACATGTGTAATGTCTCTTGTCCATGTAGATCAACGCATGCCTGCAAATGCCCAGGCATTGTAGCCAGGACCATAGTCATCGTAGTAATAGTCTGAATAGCCATGGTTGTCTGAATAGTCATGGTCGTCTGAATAGTCATGGTCTTCATCCCAAGCACCCCAAGGGTCGACTTCATCACCTGTGCCATAGTCTTGGTAATCATCATCATCATCTTCTTCTGAATCTTCTGAGTCCAGATCTTCAGAGTCCATATCCCAATAGCTCTTAGTATACTCACGGACAGTATTGTGAGACAAGAATCTGGCGAGAAATTTGCCATTTTCATACCCAAGAAAGACTCTGCTTCGATCACGTCCAGGGTTATAGTACGAATGTGGAGTTTCCACATCTGTAATAACTCCGCTGTCAAGATCTACCATTCGAATACCTCCATTTTTCGTCCACTCGGTGAGATACTGCGAATTTTGGGGTCTGAGACACTGATGAAGTCCATCGGGTGCTTTGTCAGGCAAGGTGACGATTTTATCCTGTCTACAAAACACCTTTCCGGGCTGGTCCAGGTCCAAGAAGGTTGGAATCAGATACTTGTCTTGATGAAACCACCAAACCAGTCCATTGTAGTTTTCCTCAGGACACGACTTGTTCGATGCAAAAGACGGAGTGCCATACTTGACCAATTTCTTGGTGTAAGGGTCGTGTAAGCCATAAGTGCTTCTTGCGTATCGTGTCACATGAATATTTCCAACTTGGGAGACAGCGTCAATGTGGGGAGGATAGACTGTTGCATGCTTGTAATGAGGCTGGTCTCGGGGGAACACGTAGTGGTGATGAGTGGTGGGGACCATAATTATCTCACTATTAACAACAATGGGAGCTCGTTCCAGGAAACCAGTATTCTTTGGAAGATGTTCAGGACGAATGTGACCAGGTAGGGTGATTTCAATGTCCATAAAGCTGATGACCATCGCATCCTTACTCTCGGAAACCACCTTGATCTGGCTGGGCTGCTCGGGCACCGCATCGAGAGTCCAGGGACTCAAAACTGCACCCAGCGGGAGGTTTTCCACGTGCAATCTGTCGCATGAGAACGAGCAGTCGAAATCCCGATGGTCATCGAACCCCTCGTAGTCACAGGGCAGCTTCTCTCCATGGTTGAGCCCCAAAGCAGTAACTCCCTTCACCGGCTTGGGTGGTGGAATTTCGACGCTATCCCAGCCGTCTATAACTTTCCACTTGGAGCTGGTGAGTCGCGAAACGTACACCAACACACAGTCGCCCCAGGTCTTCATTTCTCCTTCTGGCTTGATCCAGGGAAATCGCCTCACAAGTTCAAGCTTCAGATCACGGTCAGCATGTGTATAGGCCAAGTACCAATAAGAGCTGGCTTCTCTAAGCGAAACACACGTTTCCAGATCGCAGTGGGAGTAGATCAACGTGGCGATTTCATAAGGAAGATACTTCCCATCGTCCTTAGGGCTCACTGCAACCTCAGACTTTGGCTCTTTCCTGTCCAAATGCCTTGAAAAATTGACAGCTTCCAGCCAGACAGACCGTTTCAGGCTTTCCTCCTGATCCTCGAGCAGCTCATGTATCTGTGTCTGCAATCGCAGGCCTTCTGCCTTGTCTTGCAGGTCCAGAGGAGGGCTAGAGAGCATCTTCGATGCCCACGCATGCATGTTTAGTAGAGTCCAAACATACTCCTCGACGAAGACAGGGTGTCCGAGATGTGGATCTAGCCTCTCAAACGCTTTGGTGACCGTGGATGTAGTCTGCTGGAAGTTTTTCAGCCTCCTGACAGCCTCCTCTCTCTCCACGCGCCATTTCTGGTTGAACTCGTCGTTCTCTCGAAGCAGCTTCTGTACTGCGGTGAAACATTCTTCCCTGGAAGCTGGAACCGGTAGTGGTGCTGTCGATAATTGAGCCGCGTGACCCGACGCCATCTGTTTCTTCATCTTCTTCATGTCCTCACAGATCACTTTCTGCTCTTCCTTCACTTTGAGCAGATGAGAACATACCACCAGCAGTTTGTCAGCCTCTGACTCAGTTCCATTCCAAGGCGAAGGCAGTCCTTGTGTTATGGCTGCTGCTGCTGTCTTAATAGACGTTCTTGGGTACATTGTCAGTACAGTACTGTAGTGACACGTTGTGGTGAAAAAGGCTCTGATGTAGAGAAGCCAAATCCACCACTACTCAGGTAGAACATTAGTTGACCATTACTTGGTACCATCGAACACCCCTCAGTTCGAATCTTACAAATACCATTTTTTATACCATACCTTCGATATATACAGATTGAGACGGAATATTCACGTGGACCTCGTCGTTACCGAATAAAAAGCTTCGGGCGATCATATGTGACCTCTTTAGGGAAGACAGGCGGTCCCCGCTAATCATTTTGTCTCGGTCTTCCCCAGTCGTCGGACCCACTAGCGTTACATCAAGAAGGGACCCACTAGATGTAAATACGAGAGAAGAGAGATCTGAGAGAAGAGGTGTGTGAACAACCAGCGAATCAAATATTGAGGAAACACACAACATCTAACCACCTGACACTGCTTTGAAAAATCGAGCACCAACGGTCCAAATAGGTATTCTCACGGGGTATTATTATCAATGAAAGTCTATGTGTCTATATTGTGTTGTAGAAAGCTGGAAGCTGTCAAGATGATGGAACTGGACTGCCCAATCTGGGCCTTACTACTCATTATTGTTTTCAATGGTGTTGGTGGTAGAAAAGAGCGAGTGCGGCAGTATGGTGACTACTGTACAGCACCTGTAGTATGTAGCCTTAGTCACTCGACTGCACATGAGACACTCGGAGCTCTAGACTGGTTCCCACTACGCCTCTCTCACCTCCTCAACAACCTGGCTCTTCTCCAACTCCTTTCTGGCAGCCTTTTCTCGCTCTTCGACATAAAAGTACCGAGTGTACACCAAGGAAATGTAGTTGACCACCGAGTTGAGAGCGATCCAGCCAATGAGAACTCCCACATTGAGTCCTATTTCGGAATGGACATTGAACAGAATGGTTCTAATGGCCTCCACAGCATTGAAAACCGGCAGAGCGTGGCCAAACTGGTAGACTCCAGGTGACATCTCCAGAGGGAACATTCCTGGAGCAGAGTTGAAAATGACCCAGAAAAGCAGCCAAATTGCAAGCGTAGCGGGGAACTTTTTGGCGAAGAATGCCATGATGTTGTCGGTGGCTCCTCCAAGAGCAGCCATACTCAGAAAGTTGATCATCCAGTAGACCACAAATCCGCCTCGGCCGTATCGGAGAGTAAAGTCCTGTCCAAACGCCAGAGACACGAGAGAGAAGAAGAGTGAGATGAAGAAGATGGAAATCAAGTTGATCACGGTTCGGTAGATGAAAAACTGCCATAGAATCATGTGCTCGCCCTGAATGTTGTGAATGAATCCCCACATCATCACCTGGTAGAAGGAGATGATGACGAGATAGATGAGACCCACATTGTCGATAGCAGACGCCACACCGCCGGAAAAGGGTCGAATGTCGTTGTTTTGGAACTCCAGAGGCGAGGTCAGAAGCCGCGGCGTGTTGGTGAGCAAGTCTTTGATTTTGTCGTTGGAAAAGTCGGCTGTCAGGTTTCGAATGATCTCAGGAACCTTCTGCTCCTGGAAGAGAAACTCAAGAGCATCAACCTGAGGCTGACAGTAGGTGGCATGCACACTTTCCTGTCGACCTCCAGTGTTGAAGTAATGCAGGGTTTTGAACCAGTAGTCATCCTGGTTGCCCGACTCAAGGGCAGCCCGTAACGTAGCAGTCGAGTTTTCAAACACCACAAAGGCGCCCCAGAACTTGTACTGCACCACTAGCTCCTCAATCTGCTCCAGAGATGTGTACTCGGATGACACCACTGGCTTGATAGTCACCAGATGGGGCAGATTAGGTCGCTCGTTGACCAGATCAACGAAGGCGTTTCCAACCACGTCGTTGTCCCAGTTGATGACGGCCATCTTCAGATTGTGGGCTCGATCTGACCGCTTGTACATGGATCCCCAGAACAGCGGCAGAATTCCGGTCAACGCAATGGCCAGAGTGAGCACGTTGAAGAAGGACATCTTGGCCACCATCCAGTGGCCCTTTCGAAGCTTGGGGTGGTGCACAGGCACATAAGTTTTCGGTGGAAGGAGTCGTTCAGACGAGGTTGTGCTAGACATGGCGGTTGAAGCGGTTGAAATGATCTTTTTTCCACCGCTTGTCCTCCACCCTCACCTATATATCGTGTAAACAAAGACCGTTAGTCTAGCCACTAGTGCGGAGGAGAAGCCGTATGTGATAAGAGTAGACTGGCAGTATAAACACATGGTTAGATGTGTTTTTTGGGGGAAATGAAGCGATAGTCGTTGGTATTGGGGATCATGGTATCTCAGAGGGCTCCTGTCCGTCTTCAGTGATCCCCTTCAGCTGTCATCTCCACCTGATGACATTCTCTTGCTGCAGAACGGCGCTAAAAACGGCGCTATTTTCGGTGACATAAATCCGTCGTAACGTCGAGGACGCCGTACGAGCGAGGCGCAGGGTTAGTAATGATTATCGGTGGCGGTTTTGGTCGCGTCTTTCGGACTGTGAAAAGATCGGCTCCATATCGAATTCCGCTGCCGACATTTTAATTCCGGATAGGAGTGGGAGAAAAATTGCCAGTAAGTATAATGATTACTGTTCATAAAAGTGAAAAAAAAAAAAAGACTAGAAAAAAGACCAAAGAAAAAAGACCAGAAAAAAAAATATGAGTAATTACAATGAGAATAAACAGAACTGGAGAGACAGGAAATTCACGGAAAAAAAACATCTATTTTATTCTATTTTATTGTCAGAAACTGCTGTCAGAAAAACTTCCACTCTAATACTGCGCAAGTACGTTCCTGAAGGGAATTTCACTGCACCCACCATTATAATTCCGGATACAGCTGGTGATAATTTTAGAGAAATAGCTTCTGCAATCACCGTACGAGGTGGAACAAAGAGAAGCAATAGGTGACGAATTACTACATGGGAAGATATAAATAACTCCTAAAAGTCGAAGATCGATCATAACTGTTCGGTGGAAAGCACCTTTTCGACGCTTCCGGTTAGTATGAGTTGTTTACTTGCTTTCTAGTTAGTTGGTGTTTAGTTGACCTTTCCAACCAATCTCCCAGTCATTACTCAAACCTCCAACTATCAGCCTTCTACATTATTTGACCAAACAACCTCCCAAAACAAACTCCACGTTCATGTACCTTACGCGTCAGGGATGCGCTTCTCCAACTACACTTGACATCTACATCGACGACATTAATTCGTCATAGCTCCTTCTCAATGCCACCAAAAAAACAACAACAGGTCGTTCCCGACATGGGCGACACCGGTACTCTCAAGCAGCGCAAAGACCGCACCAACAGACTCTAGACGGCGTTCAGACAGGAAGAAGCAGACACAGCAGCTCATTTCCAGCAGTTCAACGAGAAGTTCAAGCGGGAAATTGCCCCTCATCCCCCCGCTCCCCGTTCCCGCATTTAAGCAATAGTGTGCAACTGCTGTGAATCTTCTGGTGCAGAAGCACGCTACACTGATGCCCCGATGACAACCCAAAAGACAGCAGTTTCAACAACCGTGGAACCAGCTGCTGGATAAAGCTGCCGCCACAGCAATTACGGTCTATGTCTTTCCGCGGGACAAGCCCTTTCATTTCAAGAACGCGCTTCAATACAGGTTCGATCGCAGAGAGTTGAAGAATCGCGCCAATATTCTTTATTTCGGCTCAAAAGGTGAGAAGTACCAGTTCTTCGACCTCCAACACAAAGTGATACGCGATCATTTCACCACCACGGCTCAGCCTGTTGCTGTCTCTGATGGCCTCACCTGGTGGTGTTCCCTTTTGTGGATCTGCAACAGCCAGGGATCTTCTTCTCCAGAAGAGACAAGACTGTTATGGTCGCAAATGTGAGTGGTTACGGAGACCTGAACAACCATTTCCGTCAGTGTGAAAAGCCAGGTCTAGGCCGCTTCCTGTTGAGGAACTTCATGGAGGGAGTGTTAGTGATTGATCTTGCCAGCACCACTGCTACCAATGTGTTTACTCCTAAAAAGGATCAGAGGAATCCTGACATCGTTATGGGGTTTGTCGACGACAAGTTTGTGGCCAAGTTCGTTGACAGCAAAACCATGAAGAGATACGAGCAGGAGAAGCTATGGAAGACCAAGACCATAGAAAGTGAGGGGAATAGGTGCCGCGATTATTATGATAGCATGAGGGTGCATGTTTTCTACTCGCAGAAAATATCCTGTCAGCTGGTATGAAAGGCAGGTGGATTGGAGATGGAGGTAATGCAGTTCTTGGTAGTAAAATGCTCTCAACAACCATCTCAATTGCACCAAGGAAGATACGGAAACAAAATCCATATCACAGGTATTACACCCAGGTATTATCACTACTATCCAAATCAATGGCCTAACTATTCCACTTCCCAACTATCTAACTAAACTCAACTATTTATTTACCAAACTAACATAAGCATCAGAAAAAAAACACGCATCAAGTACGCTCATAAGCAGCCAAATGTGACAAAAAATCCATATAAAATATCTCTAAAACACCCGCCTAGACAAATTCCACCATTTGTAATCCCATATCTCCACTATATCTCTCCATATCGCGACCCCTCCCGTTCCACCCGCCTCCAATGACTTCCGGGTAACCCAACCTTAAAAAATTACTACCATGCATAATCATCACAGCATGGCTGAATCGAACATAAACCCCATACAAAAGGACATTTTACAGCACACAAAAACATGATCCCCGGATTCGTTACACCTGGAATTTTAATATCTCTCGTTGTCGACCGAGACGGCAACAAGTTTTACCCCGGAATCGGCACGGCTGTTCGAGTTGTGGAAGGTTCCGAGGCCAAGGTTGCTGGCAAGTCGCAGGCCAAGGCCATTGTCGCCACAGCTACGGGAAAGGTGGTGCTGAGCGAACGACAGGAGAGCGCGGAGCACAACGACAAGTCACGTGATACCAAGGGCTCATGCTACACGGTCAACATTGTGAAGAAGACCAAGGGTGACGATTCATCTTCAACTACACCTACTACATCCCATGTGTCGCCCTCGGCTTCGTCGGGACTGCCCAAGGTTGGCGATTACATTCTTGCACGAGTTTCAAAGCTCACGTCGAAACAGGCCAACGTGGAGATTCTGGTGGTGGAGGGCCAGGGAGGAGTGGGCCAGGACGCGGGTTTGGGACTCAATGGCAACGAGAACGGTATCCACAGCAACCCTCTGTCAAATGCGGGCTCTTTGGTGGAAGGCGCTATTCGATCAGATCTCGGTGAGGGCTTCGGTGGTATCATTCGGTCCATTGATGTGCGAGCCACCGAGCGAGACAAGGTCAAAATGGAGCTGTGTTTCAAGCCCGGTGATATCGTGCGAGCACAGGTCATTTCTCTCGGAGATGGTGCCAACTACTACCTTTCTACAGCCAAGAACGAGCTCGGAGTTCTGTTCGCTCGATCGAAAATCGGAGAGTTGATGTACGCTACCGACTGGCAGACCATGGCCTGTCCTGTGACTGGCCTGACGGAAGAGAGAAAGTGCGCTTCTCCTTATAAGCAGGAGGTCAAGGCTGAGGTCAAAGAGGAGGCCAAGTAGGTATATAGGTATTGCATGTGGTGTATCGTATGGTACACCTTTTTTGATGGAACTGGAGATACTAATCTGTCAGATACAGTATATACTGTACCATTCAATTTAATATATAGAAGGTTCGTTTCTCATGGTTAAGAATGATACCACTAGCCATGCTTGGGGTTTGTCTTTAGGATCCGTGTAACCAGACCCTCTCCGATACGCCTCATGGTACAACTTGAAGTACTGTACTGTACAGTACTCCTTTTTGTCATATCTGTTGCCAGGACGCCTCTTATGCCATCAAACTTGCCCTTCTTGTAGTAGATGGACGGCTTCTTTCCATGATGTCTGATTTTGAGCTCGTGCTTGATCAGTTCCATATCGGAGTCTTCATTGTTGTCTGCGTCAGTGGAGGAAACGTCGCAGTCGGAGGAATATCGCCTACAAATAGAACCACAATCCAGTTCTGCAAGTCCTGCTCCTTGTTCTTCTGGTAGACCAACTCAACGTCGCAGTCAATGTTTGTAAACTTGTGGGGATCATCAACAAAACAACTCTGAGAAGCATAGGTTCGTCGAGGATACAGGGAGTAGACCCTCTTTCCTTGCAAGTCGAACTCAACAAAGGGACTAGTGATCCGGTTATATTGAGAGGCGCAGAAAGCATGGAATAATATCGCCTAATCAGATTGTTAGACCCAACCTCCTGCACCCTCGTGAGGTGTGTTAGTCGAGAGCTGATATATGTCGAAAACGAGTAGACCCCACGTCATCCCCCTCTTGTTGCCAATATAAAGTAGGGAAAGACCAGTTGACGGTCGGCCTGTGGTTCTTGCACAGATGCTTCACCCGTCAGCAGATCACCAACGACAACTCCATGAGCTCCTCGAAGGTGACATCTCCGTCCATTGAAGGGTGACAAATCGGTCCATTCCCTGATTCTGGTCGCCCTGGATAATTCCAAGAATCTTGTAGACATGGGAAGACGACAAAGGTGCCAAGCTGGGGGAAAAGGGCGCTGATAGCAGTCAGAGCTCGTGTGTCGGTTTTCTGTGGAGGCGTATCGTGTCCAATCTTCTCTCGGATGGTAGGACGCATTAGGGGCTTCTTTTGTTACAGTACCCCATGTCTACCCACAGCCTCAGGAAACGGCCTTCGTGAAGATGGTAGAGATAACCATTGTAGGTGGCGCAATATTCTTGGTGAAATTTGTCTCCTCCATCATATCCACCAGCATCCGCACATGGAGCTGCACAAAAATAATGTGGCGCAAGTCCTCGGTAGGCTCAATGTATCCTAAGTAAGGGGAAACATTGTGTGCTGCAAGGAACCGTTTGATCTGGAAACCTGCACTTCCGGGAAGATGGTTTGGGTAGACCATGTCGTCCAATGGGATGGTAGTCGGTCTTCTCGATGTCTGCATGCTCTTCAGGTCCAGGAGCGTGTCGTTGTGGATCAGTTTGTTCCGTAGAGTCCAATTGAGTCAGGGTGTCGATAAATTTCGTCCGGAAACACGGGTTTCATGTTCTCTCGTAGGTCGCTGTCTTCACTCTCATCGGTTGCATCGACGCGGCGATAGCAACTCACATTGCCCAGACAAGACAGTTCCAGAGATTTGACGAGTAAGAAGCCATCCCGTTCCCCAATATCGGGCTGTTTGATGAGACTTTTCTGTGTTTGCGCGACCAGCACGAGTGCACACTAGTTCCAGGACGTGAGACCTGCGGATCCCTCGTTCAACGCGAACCAGTGTACAGTACTCTCTTGAGCACATTTTCTCGCACCAACGTCTTGTCCAGTGATCTCCACAGCTTTCGGTACGACTCCCACGATTCACTGAACGCCAGTGTTTCCAGCTGCTGAGTTTGAGGATCTCCAGCTTGATTTCTGTAGACACCGAATCGAGAGTACCAGTCGTCAGGTTGGCGGTGGTGGAGTCATTGATGACAGAGAGTTCCTGCATGACGTTCAGCGCTGACTGGAACTACGTGAACAGCTCCAAGTCGAGTATGACATGTTTGTGGGGTGGCCTGTAGTACATAAATCCCCTCTACACTTTTTTTTTCATTTTTTTTCATTTTTTTTCATTTTTTTCATAATTTTTTTCATATTGGATCCGAACCTTTTTTTAAAATAGCGGAGCGATAATGGTATGAGATAACTCAAGAGGGTGTCCGGAGCGATCCAAAAAAAGGCAGTGAGCTTTAAATTAGGACAATAATTGCTGTGAGAAGCTCCCCGGTCAAGAGAAGGAGAAATTTGGTCGATATTTGCACCAAAACACGTCCGCATCACTCGTACAGTATAGACGCGCCTCGTGCATGACCTGAAACAGGAGGAGATGACAAGTTTCAGGGTCTCGCAGAGATCGGGAAGAGAATTAATGAGATTTTTTGTACCTTTATGTGTACTATATCTGATTGGAGATATGTTTTTGTTTGTCATAGTCTCAATAAAGAGCACATCTCAAGTGTTATGTTATAGGAAGGCATTTTTTCTTTTGCATAATACATGTACATTGATTAATTATAACTTCTCTTGCAAGAATTTTTTTCTGCGGTGGAGACCCTGACCCAACAGTCTAAGTAAAACCTGGATGGTAACGAAGAGAAATAGCGGAAAAAACGGGAAAAACGTGTGGAAATAAGGAGAATATAAGTTGAATTGGTTATATTTATGGCGATCATCTACTTTATCGGCGGAGTACAAATATGTTCGCCATTCTAACAGGTCTGGAGTAGTGGCACCAAGTCCTGGCATTCTCTCCTCTTAACTAAAGTTCAACTAAATAAGCATCTTATTTCAAATAAATACAAGCACAATTCAAAACGTGTGTAGCAGCGGCAATTTGCAAATAAATACCAAGGGAGGTATAGAGCGGTGGCGCAAAAAGTTGTGGATATTGGTAGGCGATTCTTCGGTCTGCACTGGTTGGCAGTTTGGAATCAGCATCGTTACTGACGGCTATCTTTCAACGCATGATCTTCAACGTATCGACGTCGTTCAGGGGATAAGGGAGGCTACAGATTGATTTGGGATCAATTTGCAAGTATTCCAATAACACGGTATATAAAACATCAGCAGAATAAGCTGATTCCAGTCATTATGATCTCTTGGGCCGATAGCAGTCATTCTTGAAAGGAGGGTCGGAGAGTGGAGGGAGGAGGTCTGTAAGGCTGGTGGGTCGGAGGGAAAGGTCCTTGAAGTCTGTCAGTACAAGATTGGTGCTATATATGAACGAATGAACTCCATTTGTCACCAACTGGGGTTGACTAGTCACTTATTAAAGGCTCCATTTAACTGCTCAGTCCAGATACTATCGTATGTACTGTGCGATGCCATACTATACGAGTACTGTACAATACAAGTTCCATATCAATTATTGATGACATTAGACACACCAATTCTTGTTGAGAGCGACAGAAGCCCCAATTGTTTCTACAGTTGGCATTATCCACGAAAATATTGAAGCCGGTGCCGAGACTGAGCATGGCTGATGGTCGAGACGAAACCTATGACTGACCGTCGAGGCCAAGTGAAGTATTTGGGGTTTCACTGACGGGCAGGTAGTAGGTGAAATACTACACCACAGTATCCTACACTACTATACAATAGCTAGTTGTCACTGCTGACACCGGCAACCTGACAAGATAAAACAACTGGGAATCAGGACGGACTCGAGACTGTGGTAAGAATGTTCTCTGTACGCGCGAAAGAGACGTATTGTAGGCGGACGAGTTGACAGTCTGCTACTGATAGTCCATCTCAGGTTACTTCCGTAATCGCGAGCGAGCCTTCTTACTTGTAGTCACCCAGGGTCATATTGGCACATTCTCTCAACTACGATAGGCGTGTTTTTTTCTCGGAAACATGAATTTATTTTCAATTCAAAACACTTGTGCCGTAGGGATAAGTCAACAATGCTCCTCAGCTCCCCCGCCTCAGTCCTGGGACACTCGGAGTGAAAGTCGTACCGGGAACAAGTCCGAGAGTGGTAACGCACTCTTGTCTTGTCATAACTGACACTCCTTTGACCGGTATTTGTAAGAATTTGCCAAAGTTCATTATGTGATAATTACTTTGATATCAGTAGAAGACGCACATGTCGCCTTAAAATGTTTCATGTACTCCGGTCGATCTTGGGTCTCTTTCGAACAGGACTGCTGAAAGGGTCCGATTCACTTGATCCACTGACACACTGGAACAGCTGTTTAGTCGAATCATGTGGTGGAGACCTAGATCCTTGAGCTTTGGGCGTGCTTGTCATTATAGGCTGTCCACTCTGAGGAGGAACATTTCTCTTAGTAATGGACCTGCCTGATACAAGAGGGCTGGAAAGATCCACACGGTCGGGCCGTGGACCATGGTATATGAAGTCTGTAAAGCTCTCCAAAGAGTCGTCTTCATCTGACTCTGAACCGATGTGGACTTGAGACTTAGGTGTCTGCGGTGCCTCACTCGGTACAGACTTGTCAAATTTGGCTTCCGTCACTCCAGCAAATATGGAATCCAGTTCATCTTCTTCAGGTTCCCACACGTCGATATTCTCCAAGGAAGAAATGGCATCCAGTGATTGATCGGGCGTAGCAAGATAAGAAGTGGGCAGAGGCTTAGGCGTGAGTTTCTCCTTCAGGTGTCTTCTTTCAATAGGAATCAGAGTGGAAATGGTGGAAATATCTGTGATCTTGACACGCATTTTTGTCTTATCTTTCTGATCCCTTGTGCGTGCCTGGCATTTGGCATTGGTGATTTGAATGTAGGAGGTGTCTTCATGTCGTAGCTGTTGCTTCAGTCTTTCTTCGACTCTAAACCCCTCCAAACTGACTGTGCAATCAATGGAATCGGTCAGATAGAACAGTCCATCATCGCCTAAGTTGAGTTTGCCGTTGATAGTGACCAATCTCGTAGTATCAAATCTGTCATAAGCCTCCTTAAGACTCATCTTAGTACTGACAGCACGTGGGGTGGGAGTTTTCTTCATAGGAACTGCTCTAGGATCGTCCTTCCAGTCGTCAATCAGACTAACGACGTATCTGTGGTTATCACTTCCTCGGCTGAATTCTTCAATTCTCCCCGCTTGTCCGAGAAAATGCTTGCCGTAGACCTGTTTTTGGGCATTGTAGAACATGACGCCCGACTTTGCTCGGTTGAAGTAGAGCATTGAGTTCCCTTTCTTGTGTCCCCTCATCTTTTTGAACCCCCTCAAGACCACCACGTTGCCGACTTTGAGAAGTGGACTCGGACGCCATTCGTCGGAGAAGTTGACCACGACCTCGGCCGTCATACCTGACAGTTGACGAGACCCGAAGTCGGTCAAGGTGAAGAACCTACCATCTCGGATGACAAGTACACGTGCAACAATGAGGTCGATGAACGAGTTTGCCCCTACTGTGGAAATATTCCTCACCGGAGTGCAATCTGGAGGTGACATGGTGATAGGACGACTTTGAAAGTTTGGAACGCGTCTTGAAGCGTTCTAATGAGTTCAAGAATCAGAAAAAAAAGAGGATGTTTAGCGCAAGGGAGCTAGCGTGAGATTTCCGGTCGAGAACAGAAATCAAACCCTTCAATAAACCCGAATAGTTAGACGTGGTGCCTCAGAGTGCAATTAATGGCGACTGTCGCGTAGTTGTCGCGTGGTGGAGAGAGTGCATGGGAGCTGTGGGCTCGATGCAGTAAAAATGAATGTTGAAAGTGAAATCCGGTAGGGTAATATCTGGCCAATTCCTTACATAATCATCAGAGCCTGCTACTGTAGGTGGTAGACGACAGACGACAAGGCTACACTATAGATAGAGTATCTGCTGATCTAGAATTTTTTTTCTGAGCAAGCACACATCGGAAGAGTGTGTGATATGCGGAGTCCTTCATTTAAATTTATTTTATAATAATAAACAATATGAAACTCTATAATTGTTGAATAAAAAAATATGGACTTTTATATAGAAATACATTAAAGACCAGACAGAGGGATCAGGAACACGGGACTACGGTTGGATATAGGCGCAATGATGCACATGAGATGACTCCTAAGTTTTTCGGATTAGTCAAGACGAGCGGTGAACCAGAATCTTCCAGGTTTTCCTGGACTAGTCGCAAATCAGCGCTGCATGTGTCTGATCTCGGCGAACTGCTCTGAATTCGACAAGAACTTGGCAAGAGATTCAAACTGCTTGTGTGACGTTCTCCAGAGTGTGCGGCGACGTCTGTTCGTCTTGGTTGATAGCTTGAGAGGCAGAGTCGCGGCTTCTCTCGCTTGAGTTGTATCGCGGGGGTTGGACAATTGATGCTGTTCTTGGGTACTGTGGGGCTCTTAAGCCGCCAATTGGGCTTCAATTCGAGTTGTCGCTGCACATCAGTAGATACAAATCTACAGGACAGCCATCTCGTCTACGACCAGCAGGCACCTCTCAAGACTATGAGGTACTCTACCAGATAGCACCGGTATCACCAGCAACAAGTCATAGAGTCAACTATTTGAAGCAATTTATACCATCCATACCTGGAGATTTACGTGCAGTACTTTACAGTACGGTGAAAACTTGATTCTTTGGCGCCGATTGCGCTCTGTCGACGTGCATGTTCGTGAGTGCAACAATTGATGTTGATGATATGTATTGAGGTCATTTAAAATAGGTACAACGGTGTGAACATAGAAGTGGTGTATTGTATGTACAATACTTGTTCGAGTACTATCTCCGGTTCCATAAGACAGACCTGTGACGAATCGCATAGACCTAGGTGGCCATGGACCGCTCAATTTGCACACAACGATCTGGATGATTCGCACACTCTATTAAATGATAGATTATTGGTTTTTATGGCGATATTGAGTTCCTTCTAACGGGATTTCTTCTAATGGCCCTTCTAACCTCAGGGCTCCCGTAGCCTACAGTACATTCACTGTAGTTTGACCATCTTGTGTTTTGATGACATGTCCGAGGGGTGATCCGATGATCATGTTTGTTTGTTCACCGTGCACCCATCTATGTCCTCATTAAACGTCGAAATCGAGCTCAGCGGACTTTCCCGCAGCGTAGTCGAACAGAACCTGGAGAGACTCGAGTCTGGATTCGCTGGCGGCTCTCTGGCTGGAAATGTGGCGCTTCAGGGATGCAGCGATGACGGACTTTTTTCTCAGAAGCTGTTGGTTATTGTCTCGGAGCTCGCTATTGAGCTTTTGCAACCGCTGGAGCTCGCTAGTCAGCTTCTCCCCCTCCTGCTCACGCATCTTGAGCTCATTGAACATGGTGATGACACCTGCTTTGAAAGCAAGGTCGTCGGCCGCATCACAAATCACAGCAGAGACCGGACGGAGACGCGGATTGCCCTCGCAGGCCTCCCTGAGAGCCAGAAACGGGTCCTTCTTGGTGGGTGGAGTGCTGGTGATCATCGGAGGGTTAGCTAGATCAAGGTTTAGTTAAGAAGAAGAAGATTTACCTTTTGTTTTGTTAGATAAATATAGAGTTACTGAGACAACGCTTACGATTACTTAGGGTACTGGTGAAGATGACGGATGTGATACTCGGATATCGCGAGAGATTTTTGGATTCTTACAACGAGATATAGAACCAGACAGACAGATTAAACTAGACGTATAGTAGTATACTGAACTTCTAGGGCACAACCAGCGTCAACAAAGCAAAAGCACGGTCTCCTGTAGCTTGGACTCACAGAGGGTACTGTACTGTATCTTGTAGTTGAATGGAGCCCGAGGTTTCCAGCTTGATGGGGTCAAGCTTGGTGGGCTTCTTAAAAATCGTATTGGCTGAAATATCGACTATACTTGGTCCTACTTACAGTCACTCGTACTGCACATACTACTCAACCTACCCTCGCTAAAATACAATCAATTGCTATTTACAGGTTCATTTGTGATGCTTGTGCTGGTGGTGTTCGTGCTCCTTGTGCTCGTGCTTCTTGTGATGCTGCTCGGGGTCGACGTGGGCAATGTCCTCCTTGAAGCCCTTGTGCTCCTTGATGTCCTGGGCGTCCTTGGCCAGCTCGGCGTGCTTATGTTCCTTCTCAGTCTGGTGGGGGGCGGCGCTCATTTTGTACTTGTACTTGGTACCTGTAGATAGAGGAAGCAGATCAACGGAGTGTCTCGGCCCTTATATAGTCTTGCAACACCTTCTTGCAGGCACCAAAACGAAACGTTACCAGGCGTACAGTTTGCTGGCGACCACGCGTGCGGCTCGATAATGTTGCTCATCGCGACTGCCTAAGCGAATAAGGCAGCAGGCAGCCGGGCATTCAGGAACATTTGTGACCTGAAAACACGTGGTTTTAGGTAAAATGTTTTTAGGAAACATTTTCAAAGGCTCAGATTCACCGATATTTCTTTTTTACTCCACCCGAATCGGTCTCAAACCCTCAGATCGAAGAGTGTCTCCAGTCTGTATTTCCGAGCCGCACGCCACCGAACATCTGCACACGGTGTATTTCGTCGATACATGGATCTGCTTAGTTGGCTGGGGTAGGAGGACTGAGGGTAGTCACATGTAATGGGTCTTTTGAGCAGAATTATCTTTATTTGTGACTGATGAGGCGCTGTCGTCTCATGAGAGACCTTGGCGCGTCCCAGCCACGTCCAGCCGGTTCTATACTGGTTGTTCATAGCTTGGTAACTGTTCTATGATAGTTAACCTGAGTACAATACAGTACATCATGTATCGAGTGAAACTGAGTACATAATGTATCGTACAGTACATATTTATCGTATCGTACACAATCTATCGTACAGTATGTACACTGTACTGGTGGCTACGACAAACTTGACCAATGATATTACCCCGTTGGGCTTACAATAAAATTGAATTGATACTCAGGCCGGAATCTGTCAACAAGTCTCCTCTTGTCATCTGCAGACTTGAGAACATCTCACGTTGACTCCGTTTTGCACGATTGGTAAGGCGAAAAGATACATGGTACATTCGTTTAACGAGCAAAGAAAAGATACTAACAGGGAACAAATCATTTGGTTATTCCATCAGGTTCGAAACGGGTTTCCGACTCAGGTTACTGACTCAGGTTTACGGAAGAACGTATGACAATCGTGCTCGCCGTTTCTTCCTCTAGACCCGATAAACAATAAATATCAACATCTTTGAATATGTCGCTGGTGGTGGTTTCAAATTGGACCGTCGAAGGCTGCAGATTGACGAATAGGCTGCAATTGGCTTGAAGTCGAGGAATGGGCGGTCGGGGCGACAAAGTGTCTTGGTGATGTCGCATGATATTATTTCTTCCTATTCCAGCTCGTATAGGTACAATATTTGTCGAATCATGCAACAGTTCAGACACACTTTTCTTTTTCGTCGTAGGTTTTCTTTCGTGAGACCGTCTCTCGGCGCTCCCGTCAAATTCTAGCCTTGTTGCACGGAACTCCACAATGGGCAGCCAGTCTTCCCAGTCTCGCTGTAAAAAGTAAAGTAGCAAGTCTCTGGCCAGCTCCGTGTTGACTCGCTCCATCTGTCCATCTGCTTCAGGGTATTTTGGTGCCACACTTAATCTGTCCAATCTATGTTGTAAACTAGCCCAAATCTCAGCTGTGAACAACTTGTCTCGGTCAGACACAATATCCATCGACACACCGCGATATACAACTCGGTACAGGTACAAGTTGCTTAGTTCCGCTGCATTCAGTCCTCCTTTGACAGAGATGACAAGAACCATCTTCGACATCCTGTCCACGACAACCCCAGACTTGACAGTGGCCATTCAAGGAGGGGATGATACGGCCGACAAAGTCCATCGTGATGGCTGACCTGTTCTTCGTAGGCACGGAAAGTTGTTGTAATAGTCCTTGCTGCGGCTGTCTTCGAATATAGATAACTTGACTTAACGAACACGTCTTGCAGTGTTTTCTCATCGTCGTCATCGTGTATGACAAGTAGAAGTCATATCTCTTGAGACTTTGGTAGTTGCCAGCAGTGGAGTGTGCCTGGTTTTTTGGTATTCTAATGACTCATTACTGCTTTTTTCAGCAATTTTTTTTATTCTAGTGATTCATTACAGCTATATACCTAGTAAGCCGGATTATTGGCGTTCAATAAATCATACACTTCTGAATCATTGCGGTATGCACTGCTAGGCGCTGTCAGTTGGTTTGTCGACGCTTCGTCTAGTTGATGTCATTATCGTGGTCTCGTAGTGGTGAAACTTTTTTTTTATTATTCTAATGATTCATTACAGCTATATACCTACTTGTAGTAAGCCGGGTTATTGGTTGTTTTTTTTTGTTTTTTTTGTTTTTTTAATTCTAATGATTCATTGGCTATTTTTTTTCTAGGGACTGGGAATACACATTGCGAATCACGAATTTCACGAATTGGCATTCTGGCCGAGTGGTCTAAGGCGCCAGGTTCAGGTGACTGAATCAATATCCTGGTCTCTCCGGAGGCGAGAGTTCGAATCTCTCGGATGTCATTTTTTAAACAACTTGTTCCCATCGTCATCATCAATAATGTGGTAGGTTACTTTTTGTTATGACTATCACCCGATCCTTGGCCTTTCACTTCTGGTTCTCTTGCCAATCAACTTTCATTGCCTATTAGAGAATGACATTGCAAAGGGTCCTACTTTAGCTACAGGTCATCGTCGACACCTATGTCGACACCAACGTTCGCCAGCACGTTCCTGCACCAGTAGTACTCCGCTGTCATAGTCGCTATCACTTCTTCCAGCTTTAGTAGAATGGTCAGAGGGCCCAATATCCCAGCGTTCTCGGCGTAATCTGTTACCCCGAGTAGATCAAAATAATCTTTCTGGGCTGAGGCAAAGTCCTCTGTCTGAGCAGCCTCGAACGTGCGGAGTCCCTCAAGTTGATTTAATAGCCGGTTTCTTTCAAATTGGATCAGCTCCCTCGACCAGTACTGCTTCTGGGAGTTGAGTGACTTGATTTCTCGTTGACGCACGGCCATCTTCTCTCTCAGTCCATCATGGTCACATTGGAGTAGAAGCGTAGCAGGAGAATTTCTAGGGGTGCTCGTGTATGTTGGATAGAGCTGGTAATCTGCAGTAGCTGGTGGTGCTAACATTGGAATAGATTCTATAGGCGGCAAGACTGGAGGTTCAGACTCGGCTTGCACCTGGCCATTGCAATTTAGCTGTGGTAATGTACGACTTGAAGCTACAGGTTGAACCTGTGATGTGGGTAGAGGAAGGTATGGTAGCACTGGGAGATATTGGCCAGACTCCACTTGCGGGTGCGTAGCATGGATTGATTGGCCATGTGACTGACATTGTTGCGGTGTTTGAAGAGCTGCTGCGTGAGGATCCTGTCTAGACCAGGGTTGCAACCCATAGTCAGTCTGAAAAGAAGCGTGGTAGAAGGACTGATGTGGGATGGGTGGGGAAGCTGGCATCGTGGGTACGGTATATTGAGGCGTAATTGCAGTCCCCCGAGTGGTAGCTGAGGAACGAGGAGCGTTGAGCGGTGTTTTTGCAACTGTGCTGTTTGAGAACGATCCAGTATAGGCACTGTTAGAGCCGCTGGCCTTCTCACTTGACTGGTTAGATGTGCCGGCAATAGTACTTGAAGGTACATTGCGAAGAGCAGCTGGGATGAATGGTTGGTAGTGCGTGGGCCGAGTTGTGCTTGTTGGTCGTGGTGACTTGTTCCCTACTGGTGCTTCTGGGGCAGGAAAGGGCTCTAATGTAGGGGAATGGTTCAACCGTGTAGGGTGTTTGGGTCGTGGATGTCGGAGCGTTGGTTGCTTTGGAGCTTGAAGTGGATTTGGGCTCTGGGAGTTCGCGGAGATCGGTCGTTTCATATTTCAAGCACTGGGTAACTAGTGTTTGTTAGCTGAAGAGCCCTTGGTAACGAAAATCTGTGTGAGTATCATGGTGCGGTATCATTGAGGAGGGGGAGCTCACATCTGTTGTATTGGGGTATCTCAGGTTTGTGTTCACAGGTACGTAATTTGCACAAGAATTGCAGTCGCAATGCAAAGGTCACGTTTGGTTGACAGTGTTGGAATGTTGTGTTGTAAATTGAATGGTGATACTGTTGTGCTTGTGCTTATACTTACTTGTACAGAGTATTTATAATTAAAATATTGTGTCAAATCACATAACACAAGTACGTACAGTAACACCAGACTGTTAATATATCATTTTATTTATAAATATATTCATTTCCTCCCATTAATCGTCGAGTTTTTTTTGTTCTAGGGAAATACATTTCCGTTACTTGGCCAACAACAGGGTTTTACCCGCAAATCGGATTCGAATTTTTTTTATATATTGTTATTACATTTTTTATTCTAGAATTCTATTCTAGGATTTTTTATTCTAATGATTCGGGATTCTTGAACCAGATATCAGCCCAAAACACTCTTATACTCTCGTCAGCTTCATAGTGCCTTCGTGGCCAAGTGGTAAGGCGCAGCACTAGTAATGCTGAGATCATCAGTTCAAATCTGGTCGAAGGCATCTATCTCCTCTTCTATGAAGGAGATGCATGCGATTTTTTTGGTTTCCTCACCCCGCCATTGAGCTCTGCTACCTGGCTTGATTTAGAGAGCTCCCTTACACAGTTGGACAATTGCCGCTTCCAAACAGCTAGCAGTGGTTTATATATTCATACCAACTTTTCAAGCAAGTACATACAGTACACTATGTACTTACCTGTTTAGAGAACATGACAACGGACTTCAAATGAGAATGGTCCTAACTCACCGTTTCGCTACTGTTGAGTAAGACATAAACAAATTGTTGAGTAACATCAATTTGAGTGCCATAAACTTGCAATGCCAGAAATTTGAAGTGCCGTAAACTTGCCATATTATGGGGCCACTTTTAACAGAAAATCAGGCCTTTTTTGCCAAGCTTACTTCTTCGGGCATAAACTAGGGTCAAGATGTATTTCCGGTGTTAGCGTCGATTATGCAGGGACTAATGAGATAAAAACGTTAGTATGCACTACGTCAAACTCAAAGTGGACATCGTCAAAATTGGAGCTGAATGGAGTCGAATTCGTGGCATTATATAAACCATCTTCATACGAACCCCGCATGTAAAATTCTGGTCATTTTGGCTATAGCTTACTTACCTGTGTGTATAATATCAATCCTCCCCTTTTTACAGACTCCAGAATCCTCTTCTACATGTTACCCATGATCGCCAAGAATCCGCCAAGTACGTGTTTTGTCTCAAACACTGAAAAAGACAGGTTTTGTTTTGTCGCCGGGTAAGAAAGAGGGGGCTTGGGAGAGTAGTTATCCTTTCTTCCGTTATACCGTCATCACTGGGGGACTTTTTGGCACCGTTGTGGCGCAAATCGGGTGTTTCTTATGCAAATAGTTTGACACAACCTCATGCAACACCATGGAATATCATGAAAGATCTCGGTATCGTTACAACAGCTGGTGACACTTCAACTCCAGTGACCATCTGCCTCACTGCCAACTTTTTGACGACTGATACTCACAACCAAGCCTTGTGACACAAACATACAAACTCCACAGGTGTCTTATGTTGCCCACACCCTGGTAGTCTTTCAACCGAGTTTCAGCTGCGCGAAGTGTACTCCCCAATTGTCAGTGCCACGTCTTCTTCACCATAACCTTCAACATACTAACTCAGATGGGCGGCGTCCTAGGATCTAGTTACTACCATAGACAATAGGCAGGGCTAGACAGGGACGGGTGATTCTCAAAGAGCTATGAGCCAAACGACAGTGTCTTCAGAGGGTGTCGGATAGGCACAGTCAGGCCAAAGTCTCCAGGGGGGGCATCTTAATCCCAGAGAGGATTTTATTTTGTTTAGTTGGGGGGTTGCGAAAACCAGGCCCAGGTTCCAAGCATAGTATGAGCTCAGGAACAGAGTCTCATAAGGAGTGCCTTGGAAAACTCGTGTCTCCTGGCGATTTTCGTCTTCAAACACGACGCAAGAACCCAGTTAGTTTCAAACCAACTTGCAATCACCCGTCGCGTCCCAAGAGGGGAGTTTGACTACACAGAGACAAAACCAGACTAGCGTAAGGTAACTCACGTTCTCGGCGGAACGGGCTCGTGAGATTTATTTGTTTCACTAGCCGTCCACGATAATTTTGACACTAGTGATGTTGGAGCAAGGGAGATGGTGCTCTTAGAGGTGGAAGGGGGGAGTTGAATCGTGAGGAGGCTTGTTTGCAAGACAGAAGGTGTGGGGAGTGTGAGGAGTGATGGGTGGTGGATGGTAGATGAGAAGAGTTGGAAGGGGGTGATAGAAGGAAAGTGAGGGGCGGTGGAAGGTTACGAGCGGTGGAAGACGAACGGTGGAAGATGAGGGGTGGTGGAAGGCCCTAGGTCGTTGAATACGAGTTATTGGAGCGTGTGAGGGAGAAATTACTGGAACCTTTGGGTTGTTTGGTGTTCTCAGTCACAACAGTGTGCGAGGGACCAAACACTGGAACCCTCGTTCTCAATCACATCTGTGAACGAGGGAGAAAGCGCTCGAGCCTTCGGGTTGTGTGTTCTTAATCACATTCTCCAGGGGCGGTGGAGGGAATGTTTGAAGAGGGATAAGGCATTCTAGGGAGATGTTGGGGTTGTGTGAGTGGGACATATAATTAATGAATCACTTTTCTTGAATCGAATGAGTTGTATGTGAATAACTAAGACAGGATCCGAAACATTGCATTGTATGGTATAATTGATTTTCCAGTCTCGGGGATGTTGTATTGATGTGAAGAATTCATCTAAGAACCAATCTGCCTTGGGCTATATCAACATCTCCAAAATGGCTCTCTACTGTTTATTTCCGAACACCTACTGCGTACAAAATACCCCTACAAGATACTTTTTCCGCGTGAAAAACAAGCCATGACATTCGCAAACATATATATTTCCATATCGCTTATTACATAGACAACTACAAGTATTACCTGCTCCAACTGTAGCCATAAAGGGGGCGACCCCGTCGCTTGGCAACATAGACAACATCCAGGGCGGTGACAATCTGTCGACGGTCGTGCTCGGTGTAGGCAACCGCATCTTTAATGAGATTCTCAAGAAAGATTTTCAGCATGGTTCGGCTCTCCTGGTACATCTGGGTGGAGATTCGCTTCACACCGCCACGGCGCGCAATTCGTCGGAGAGCAGGCTTAGTAACACCCTGAATGACATCTTTAATAACCTTTCGGTTTCGCTTTGCGCCTCCTTTCCTAGTTCTTTTACCTGCTGTACCTTGAAGGCGTTTGTTGTTCCCGGGGTTGAGCTTGGCCTTGGCCTTTTGTCGTGTAAGTGACTCGAGCTCCCTCGTCAATCTTATAGAGGGTTTGTTCGCAGTGTTCTGGTCAGTCGGGATATCACGGGCAAGACTAGCTTCGGAGCCACGGGGGTCATCGACAACGTCAGAACCAGGTAAATCGGGGGTGGGTTGCTCAAGCTCAAACGCCGCATTCAAGCTTCCGTTGGCACCATGTACCTGGGGGATGGAGTTGTTGGGGACGTCGCTGCCGTTATTTTTGCTGTCGTGGGTGGATTCTTTTCTGCGGTTTTCCTCGCCAAAGCTGTTGCTGGAGGACCCTTCAGGATTGGGCACCGACTCCTCCGCCCACACAGATCGGTCCAGAGAAGCAACTTGTCGTTTTTCCCAAGTAGTAGCGGGGCCTTCCGAAGGAGGGGAATATGATGGGTCAAACTCAGATTCAGAAATGTCGTCGCTGCTGGAAGCTGGAGCCTTGCCTTTGTCCCGGTTGGGCTTGTTGTTGTCGTCGTCGTCGCTCGCCAGAGCTGCTGTCAGAGGGCCCATCAGGATCGGGCGCAGACTCCTTGACAAACACAGGTCGGGGCTGGTAATTTGGAACCGATCTTCTTGGAGATTGGGAAACGTCAGAACCAACGTGAGTAGTCTGATTGAAGGGAGCAGAAGGGCGAGGAACATCCCGCGAAGAAGAAGCAATAGGTTCGTCGGAAAAGTCATCTTCATACAAATTCTTGAAATCCCTTGGGCTAACCACTGGTGCTGACACAGGAGAGTCGTCAAATTTATCCGACGCGTCCAGAAACACATCATCGCCGTCTTGGTCCGGGAATCCTCCTGATTCTTGCAAGTCAGGCATAATCTCCTGGTGGTCGTCCCAGCCTGTTCCAGACCTAGTATGGGGTCTCTCATCGCTGTCTTCATCGTCGATGGCAATTTTTCGACGTTCACGGGGTCTTCCGAATGACCCAGGCCGTTTTTTATCAGCTTCTTCAGCTTCTGAAGAAGAACCAGCCGCGCCCTACGGCGGGCAGAGTGTTCGGCTCTAACCACAGCTTCACGTTGGACTTGAAGGTCGGCTTCATATTCGGCTATAAGGTCGGCATCGAAGTCGGGATCGAATACGGCACTAGGATCTTCCAGTTTTCGAAAACCCTCATGTAGGGCCGCGAGTCGTTGTTTGGAGTGGGGAAGTCCGCGTGTTGGAGGTCGCACTTGATGCTGCCTCTTTCTTCTATCGTATCCTCACATGGGTGGGTAGAAGCCTTGTCGGGCGAGACTTTGAAACATGGCTCGATTTTTCAGCGTGTCGCGCATTAAGTGAGTCCCTGGGGGATCACGCCAAAAGTCTGCCACCCTGTTCTCTTCTTGCCTGACAATAATTGGGATCAAGGGAGTTTGGCGACACCGCTCCGAGCGTCTCCGGGAAGGGTTCTGATAATGGGAGTTTTCATCGGCAGACTCTTCTCTGGTGAATGTGACGTTACTGGTGGACGAACTGGGGTCCATGCTCCTCCTTTTATAATCTTTTTTTCCGTGTGGTTCACATTGGTTTTGGCAACAATGTCCAGTACAGTTCTGGTGATGGTGTGGCAGAGTTGACTGCGGCTGTCTCAATGGGGTATCATGGAAGAAAAGACACAAGTGTGGGGCACCTTCCCCAATACATACAAATCAATCTTTTTTGAAACAAGCCCAAGTTCAATGGGCTTTCCAGCCGATTTTCGATTCGAACTCCGGGTTTTTTTTTCTGCATATACATTCGGGTTATTGTAGTCCAGTATCGTACATTATCTACAGATCAAGGTTCGTTATCAGAGATACTGAGAGTCTAAAAAAAAACCCCGGCTTTGAAATTTACCTGGCTAATGATAGTCCCTGAAGAGTCTGAAACACCTCCCACAATTGACATGTTTCCGAGTGAACTTGAGATTTAATAACATGATGTGATACACCATGTTTCCACTTCAACATCACATTATCAGTGATAGATACAGTAGCTACTCACTGTTCTATAAGAAATACAGATTCGATATCCAGTCGTTGTGTTGAGAGCCACCAGGTTGTTATTGCAAGGATTCTGCCGATACCAAATTGCTCAGAAACGCTCCTCAGTCGTGTCAATCCAATAGTCGATTTCAACACTGGCGCTAAAGGAAATGAGACCAAACCTATGACGATATATAGTGCCGAATGTGTGGAGAACACGAAAAGGTTGCCTGTATTTGGGTCGTCACCTCCCACAATCTTGAAACACCTCTCACAATTCCGAAACAATCTTCATTGAGATATCTGCACCCTTTTCGCCCCTTGCTAAACACATTGTCATTCATAGTCAGTCTTAGCCTTAGATAGCTCCCCAGGAAACGATCTATTTATACAATAGTAAGGTCCTGGTCTAGGGGAACATTTTGACACCAAAAACTCGTGTATTTCGCTGCATAACATGCCCACAGTTCAGTTTAGTGCGTCCTACAGTACATACTGTAGCTATGCATGTTGAGAAAAATAAAAAATTATATACCACACATTAACGACTTATATATCATCGAATTATATATCACTTGGGGGAAGGCGATCCGATAACCTGACTCTTCTATCCATCGGAGAGACCCATCAGGAGAGTCTCCGCGCCCTAGTGGAGAATTCGACTGAGCATGCCACCAGCTTCTACAGCAGATGGCATTCTGATGTGATTCAGATGTGATTCAGATGTGACTGATGTGACTGACGTGACTGACGGGATTGACGTGACTGACGTGACTGATGTGACACCGACGTGACTGATGTGACTGACGGGACTGACGGGACTCGGAATTGCTTTCATTGGTGTACATCCTATCATTTCACAGAACAATTCTGTCTTCTTTCGTTTGGTTCCAGGAATATCTATCGGGGAGTGTGTGGGATAGGTCGGCAGTGATTAATAACATATTCTGCACAGTGACTGAAATCTACGGGTTCCTATGACTGGATACATTGAGCGATTCCGTTGTAACGTTTGACTGAACCTCAATGTACAGTACATACTGTTGCTGAACATCATAATGAACTGACAAAGTGAATTGCGTGATGGTATTTGGGCTAACTTGACTACTCATTGTCTCACCTCTAACTGCACAAAGTGTCAACGGGGCTTCAATCTCGGCAAGAACTTCACTTGCAAGCCCCCACCGTCTCCTCACCAGATCTGTCGGACTTCCATCTCGATCTGAGGCCCAAGCCAGCGCACTTATGGGCAACCTATCGCGATTACCAAACGAGGTCTGCGGTTATTTCTATCAACTCCAACTTCTGGTCTATGGACATCTACAGCTTTGGTTCTCCATTCTTCCGGGCGAACTACTCCAATGAGAACAGCTTGGTCGGAAGGCGTAGATCACGGTCCATATTCAATGAAAGTTTCAAATAATGTGTAAAGGGGGTCAAGAGTGGCTTATCAGCACTTTTTTGGACAGGTCAGTTGGTACTCGCTGCGTTTTCTGGTTCCTCTTCTGTATCTGAACAGTCTAGATGGGCTGACTAACAACACGACCCCATGACCGACTGCAGCACTATAGTGCAAAAACACCGTCCACTTGCTAAGTCCATGGACTAATCTGTGCGGTAAAAAGATTACAGCACCCAGGATTCTCGTATGGTCTCCCACTACAATACTAACTGGGCTCTCTGGTGCTTGACTATGGCTGATCGAACGGGAAGCCGTATTTTCACCAGGATATGGCCGTAACCAAACTGCGCCGACCCGGAATCGAACCGGGGGCCCATCGATGGCAACGATGGATTTTACCACTAAACCATCGGCGCTTTGGAGGTATTTTTGGAGCTCAAATCAGCTTACTAATGCATAGAACTTTTTTTTCACTCCTACGAACTTTGGAGGCTCAAAAGTGAACCGTACCAGACACAAATCAAGCAAACAACGTTCCCAATTGAACCTGAGAACGTGTTAATAAGTCTGGTCTTCTTCTTCTGTGTTTGAAATCCCTAGTAAGTACGAAAATTTGGTTTTTCGTGATGTCTCAGAAATACCAGTGCCGAAAAGCATGATTTCGTCACTAAACAGATCGCCATTTTGGGCTCATTGTTGGAGATTGAAACAGTGGTGCTGATCTGAATGGCGGAGGTGATGTCTAATAAGCGACCGTTCAAAACTTGTATGGATTTTCCCGTTGGAAGACCGTCAAATCGCAAAAATGTAATAATATCCCTTTTCAGATAGGACATACAATCCTGATCTTGAATTTTCAGCCGCGGATTTAGCTCAGTTGGGAGAGCGCCAGACTGAAGTAATTCTCAGTCTTGAAATCTGGAGGTCCTGTGTTCGATCCACAGAATTCGCAGTTTGGTAGATGATCTACTTTTCTTTTTGTCCTTCAAGCAAATATGTTCTCTTGCCATAGCTGTGCATTTTTTGAAGGCTCATGGCTCATTGGAAAATTAGGAGAAGTTATGAGTACCAGGAGCCAAGAGGACAACAGTTTGCTACAGTATAAGACACTGCAGTCGTTTCTGGGTTGGAAAGGGGTTGTCATACAAGTACAACTGCAGTACTCTCTTGCTGTACTTGCTCTCTCAGAGCTGTTTCCGAATGGCTAAAATACACCTGTTAATCCATCCCTCCATACCCTTCGTACTTGTACCTCCACCAATTGGTTCAACTATTGTCAAGGAAACATTCAAGCTTTAACAAGCCAAATCTGCAAGATCTCCTCCAGTACTTGTCATGCTCAAAACATGACAATTGCAAGGCCTGAGGCATTGACAAAGATACCAATTCAATTTCAATTCAGGATTTCGACGAGCCCTCCGAATCTCGTTTCTCTGGAATGGGATTTGTGCCAATTGAGATGCATTGTGTCTCACCGAAGACACTATCTCCATGTTTTGTCTCAAAAAATTGATACAACGGTCGGAATTCCAACGGAAAAGACCAGCCGAGTTGATAACATTGAGATTAATTGCTCAAATGTGCTTTGAATCCCGAAATCCCTGCGGAAACAGCGTTATTGGAAAAGTTTGGGTGCCCATGTTCGCCCTCAAATACGCGATTCGGAGCCCCGGTCATCACAACAGAGGACGTGGCGTAATGGTAGCGCATTGGATTTCGGTTCTTGTGAACGACGTCCTCCAAAGGCTGCGGGTTCGAGTCCTGTCGTCCTCTGCCCTCTTTTTGCCCCTCTTTCGGTCAGATTCAGTCTGCATGTCTGATATCTGTATATTGATGCAGTTCAACACACAACTTGAGTAGACGCTCTTCAAGTATCCACATGGTCGGTATCTTTTAATGTGCAACGGTAATAACTTCTCTGGTGCAGTATGTAAGGCAGCATATCGTTTCTCCACAACCTGCCTTTTCGCCGCTACTCTGAAGACTTGATCTCCTATCTCACGCTCGATACCATGATCTCTGTCCAGAAACCCTGCAGTTCACCGCCCGTAAAGATCTCGGTGGAATAGTCACTTGGAGAGAGCTTTCAAACATTTAACGCTAGTCCTAGCCAAGACCTATTAATCAATCGGGCGTCGTAGAAGCTATTGTCAACAGACCCCGTGAACAGCGTGAATGCAGACATGACCAGGCCAAGACAAAGGAAACGTCGACACTCTGTAATATAGCTCATAAGAGTTCTCATATGGGATAGAGGGGGAAAGAAGCTGCTTCTGTCATAAGTGCACCGCACCGATATCTGTGCTCTTACTGGGTTCCGTTCTGTCATAGACGACCATTGGGCTGGAACAGGACTGGCGACTGGAAGAATGTCAGCAGTGCACCTCTTTGACCGTTGAAGACAAAGCTACTGTAGGTGGAAATGTGATCAAGTCTAGAATATTGCAAACCGTGCCATTATTATGACAAAGGACTCAATTTCGCTGGTTGTAAAGCTCTCAGCTCTTGGAGTAAGAGTCCTGAGATCCAGCACCTTGTCTCATCCATGGATTTGAATGTAAAATGTCGTCGCAAGACCATCTGAAGGAGTTCGTCATGCTGCACTTCAAGAGCGACTAGAGAAGTCGGCGAGTCCCCTCAATGCTGTATTTGCATCTGTTACAGTGTTTCAAACATCTTGAATCGACGAGGCTGCGCCGTCTAGGCAAGATGTTCTTCCACTGCTGCTTAGATGTATAGATTGATGTTCAATCGGAGCTTTTCGAGTCCAGACACTGGAAGGTCTATTCGGTAAATCTCCACCGAGAGGCCTACGGACTCCAGTCTTGCGGTATCGCGTTCGCCGTGTGGAAACATGTATTCTCCCAGCGATGGGTAAAAAGAACAGTTCATTTTCTAGAACATTGTCTGGTAACTTGTCCATGGCGTGTTCTGGAGAGATGTGAATATATGGCAGGGGGTTCTGTCCGTGCACTCAGCTTGTTCTTGTTTGTTATTGTTCTACTTGTAAATTAGTTGAGAGTTAGAATGCAAGAAAGATATGCAAGTAATTTTACTTGGGAACAACCCCGTGAAGGTGTCCAAATGTCCATAATTCGTGGCGAATCGGGAGTATATGTTTTAGTTTCTCTTCTTTCAAGTCTGACACTCGTAGGCTATTCAAATACTTTGACTTTTCCTCACCTCCTCGCCATCGTCTCTCCACTACCTCGTCGTCTTCGTCCGCTCCACCCCAACTAAACGTCAACTAAAATTTCCTATAAAATGCGCCCTCAAAAGACAGGCAGAAAAAAAATGGTAAAGAGAGTCAGAATTGACGAAACTAGTAACTAACAGATCCTCAAGACTTTAATGACCATATCCCTTCTATATCTTCTGCAAAATCCACTCGAAACCACCTCGCGCCAGACTTATATTGCTCGCTCTGGAGAGTTTGGTACCTACAGTACTGCGCATTATAAGCGCTCAACCAACGCCCTCTGATAAAGCTGGACGCTGATCCCTACAGCGAAGACACACTACTTGTACGATAGTGAGAAGACACGCCAGGCAGCTGAGTACCCTTACACCACCCATTTGATGACCACTTCACCGCCTTTACTCACCCTCACGCCATGTCTGAACTTAACAAGTTGATTCTGAAAGCAGTCACGTCGAGCTCGCTCCAGGACCGCGGCACGTTCTACTTTCTGTTCAGCCACGTGGACGCCGGACGAAGAAGCAGATACACAATCACATTTGTGGACGCGGACGGCAAGATGTCTGCTTCGCCGTCGTTTGGCCTGGTTGTCAACGACTGGCTCAAAAACGCCATCGCTATCGACATGGACACAGTTCTCATTGTGCCTCATGACGGAGCTCCATTCACACTTGTGACCACCAACAAGTGGAAGTCGATCACAATTCCGTCAGCTGACCCGAAGGAGGTGCTCCGATCGGTCATTGACGGCCTGCTGGAACACAACCCTGCCAGTCAGACAACCCTGACCCGAGTCAGAGAGACTAACCAGGGCCACGACTTTGTCATCGCCTGCGAGGACGGCGATATTCCAGTTCATTCCATCATTCTGAAAGCATCATGGCCATTCTTTGACAGACTGCTCGACAGCAAAATGCAGGAAGCCACCGACAAACGACTGACTCTACCCTACCCAAAGGAATGGATCGAGCCTCTGGTGTCTCATTTCTACGGTGAACAGAGAAACATGTCGTTTGAAGAAGCCACAGGCGTCATTATCACCGCTGCAGTCTACGATCTCCCTGCTTTACACTCCCTAGCCTTGCGACGTATTAGAGAAGAGACCATGGACGTGCTGATGGCAGTCGTGGCATGGAAACGGGCCTACGAGGCAATGAACCAGGCCCTCATGGAGTACTGTGGAGCTGTGATCCAGACTGAAATGAAAAACTTCCCAAAAGTCCAACACCTGCTACAGGACTTTTCTCAGGATGAGTTCTTGCAGCTCTTCAGCCACATGTCGCTCCATGCTCAAAAGGCGACCTCAAAGACACCGTGCCCCTCTGGATACAACCACTGGTATTATTAGGAAAATGTACAGTAGGTAGTGTAACTTCGCTTTATACATTCCTAACATTAATTATACATATATACCTATATCTGAGCTATGTGATTCAACGCCCTTCTGCGTGTATCGTGATTTTCCTTCTCCTTGATTCTGTTTATTTTGTTCCCATGCAATAAATTAGATGTGTTAACTGTCCCAACCCAGAAGGGGACGACTAGATTCCAATGACGGACAACTCCAGGGTCCACACCCGGCGGATGTGGACGGTGATGGGCTCATCGTAGCCCGGGATACCCTCCAGCTTGACCGAGTCCCACCAGCATTTTCGTGCAGGTTTGCGCCAGAAAAGCAGCAGTTTGTGACGCGTCGACTCAAAGTCGTCCTCCCCATTAGGCCCGGAGTTGTCTTCCTCGGCAGTGTGCATTTCCGTATCCGAGGGAACACCTGTAGCAGCCTCTGCGGCAGAAGCGGATTCTGCGGTGACGGGGGCCCCACTGGACCGCAGCTGGACAAGCGCTAAACTTCCAATCACAGCCCGACCGGGCTCGGTAGATCGGTAGCCCCAGGTGTCGTTCAGAGTAAACCCGGAGTTGCACAACATCTCCACTAGATGCTGCTCGGCAGTGCCGCTCTCACTACCACGCTTGAGGCCCGAAAAGATGTGGTCTCGCTGCACAAGCTGGGCACCACAGGCGACCTTGAGCTCACGCATCTCGGCCTCGGTTGTATCACGCGAGGGCGGCAGACAGAAGTAGTCCAGGTCCTCACGTAGTACCACGATTGCGGGCTTGGTGCGTAGCATCTCCACGGACGCGCCATCTTCGAGAGATGGGCTCCACTGTTGGGCAGCGGCCTCGGTGGGGTCTACTCTGGACAAGTAGTCGGCCTCGGCGGACCGGAACAGGTCAAGCGTGTATTTGAGACAGTCGGGCGAGAAGTTGATAGCGACCACGTCCTGCTCTGACAGCGTCTGGATGACGTTGCCATGGATGTCCATGAACACGCCGTTGGGGAACAACGACAGCAGAATGGACTCAGGCAGCTTCATGAGCTCGTTTCGAGTCATGTCGAACATTGTGCCTCGAGCGTACAGCTTGATAGCAATGTCGGGCTGAGGAGCCATATCGTAGCCCGCCTGGTTGGGGTACGGTTGCTGAATCCCGGCTTCAGGAGCCACCTGGGTCAGCACAGAAGAAGCCTGTACAGACATTGAATAAAAGTTTGTGACGGGCGGAGAATAGGGCGGCGGGGGCGGTGAAGGAGGAGATGCGCTCTTCTTCTTTACAACTAGGTCGACGTCGTTGTTGAGGGGGTCTTCGCTATGTGTGTTGGTGACCGAGTCTGGGGCAACAGCGCTCTTAGTGTCGTAATCCGAGTAATCTGGAACGGGTCCGAAATCCGTTTTCGAAGTGACAAAAGTGGCGGTGGAGGCTCGCGAAGAAACAGGTTCAAGCGGACACAGATCGTCTAAAGGAGCGACTAAAGTTGGAATTGAAGAGACGGTGTATTGCTCCTGAATGATGGGGTGGTTGAGTGAGAACGAACGAGTGGCGTGACGTGGCGCTTATATGTGAAGGCACAAACCCGAAAATGTAGTCGAAGGTCGATTTTGTGTACTCAAAAGCGCGGTGTCGTTAACACGATTCTGCCAGGCTGTCAGGGGTGGGTGCAGATGTTAGTCCAAAAAGTGACGATATTATTATTAAGGTGCAATCGTACAGTGTGGGAGGTGTAGGGTGTAGGGACTTTAGGGTTAGGGTTGCATATTTAGCAACAACATTGGGCGTTTTAAGTTGTCAAACATTAGGGTTGTTAAATATTTAGTTTGGGGGAACCAAAACTTTAAAAAAACAAAACATGTGAATTACTAAGCCAACGAGGAAACCCGCGGCTACCACCAAAAAGATTACCAGGGCAGGAGTACTGCAGACAAAAAGGAAAGGTCGTACCCGGAATCGAACCGGGGTTACTGGAAATCGACTATTAATCAGAATCCAAGGTGATAACCGCTACACTATACAACCGCTGTTTTTGTCGAATGTCATCTGGCTGAATTTATGGGGCAAAATATTGTTTTAATCGCGGTTTTTTTCATGAAATATCGTGATTTGAGGAGCCTTGGGAGTGGTATGGCCTTGGTGTTATCATTATTTATATACTGTTATTGTTTTAGGAGCATCTCAAGTTGTGTTTAGTTCAGAATGTTTTGGTGGTGGTAATGGTGCAGTATGCATCGTATGAACAGACGTGTTTGACATTTATTGAGCACCGATCAGTTGAAAAGTACAAGTACAAGTATAAATTTACGCCTTTCTATCTGGTTCGTACAAAAGCGGTCGTTTTCTTTTCTTGCCTTGTCACATCTCTACTCGTACAGTACGTGTTGAATGATTCGACCCTGTGGAGCTTGCCAGTATGTAAATTTCGCTATATATTCCTTCTCTTAGGTGAAATGAACTCTTAAAATCCAACCAGTGCCTTTCTCAGAAGCACCAAAAGACTCCCCTTGTGTCCCCAGAACTTCTTGAGCGACTTGCCTCCACCGCTGTAGGCCAGGAGATTGGGTGTTTCTTGTCCGACGTCAGTGAGGATTCCTTCGGTCGAAAACGCGAGGAGGTTCTTCTTGAGCTGAGCGGGTGTGACAGAGGTGGCGAAGGCTGAGTCGGAATCGGGCTGGAGAGACAGAAAGTAGGTCAACAGGCCAGCAATGTGAGGAGAGGCCATGGAGGTGCCGGAGAGCGTGGCGACGGCGTTCTTGGACCCAATGTAGGTCGACAGAATGTTGAGACCGGGTCCAAAGACGTCCACGCACTTACCCTTGTTGGAAAAGTAGGCTCTGGAGTCTGACAGAGTCGAAGCTCCAACGGTAATGGCGTTCTCTGAGCTGGCAGGAGAGTACTCGCAGGCATCAGAGTTGTCGTTTCCAGCAGCTACTGCAAAGTTGATACCTGCCTTGACTGCACTGTCGACAGCGAGATTGAGAGAAGGAGAGAAACCGCCTCCAAGAGACATGTTGGCAGTGGACCCCTTCCATCCCTTGGGCGGCTTCTTGGTCTTCTCCTCGTGCTCTCTAGCAGCGTAGACAACTCCCCCAATCACGTCAGACATGGTTCCAGACCCGTCCGAACGAAGCACCTTGACAGCCACAATCTCGGCCTGCTTGGCAATGCCATACTTGGTTCCTCCAATTGTGCCTGCACAATGGGTTCCGTGACCGTTTGCGTCTTCGTCAACGTCTCCGGAGGGAACAGTGGTTCCCCATTTGGCCCGACCATCAAAGTCCTGGTGCCTGACAAACACCCCAGTGTCAATAACGTAGGCAGTGACTCCCTTGCCGGCGGTATCGTCATAAACGTACTTGTTGAAGGTACCCAGATTGAGCCGGTCTCTGTGGGACACTCTAGCTAGTCCCCAGGGAGCGTCCAGTTCTTCCTTGTACTCGTACGCATGCACAATCGAGTCCCTCTCTACGATAGACACTAGTGGACTTGCTCTGATGAGATCAACCACGGTCTGCGAAAACACTCCGGCGTATGCTTTGAACGAGTTGATGCTGAATGTTTGTGTGACTCCGGCGAGCTCCATATCGCAGCTTCCAAGCATTTTCTTCAGCCAGTTTAGATGATTTTCAAACTCCTCCTCGTTCACGTCTTTCAGAGTAATAATGTAGGCATTGGGCACGTGATCTCGGTCGTTTTCGAACAGAGGAGCGAGAGAAGGCGGAGAATGCTCATACTTGGCCGAGTGCTCGTTTCCAGGTCGGTTTGCTTGCAAATCGTTCACTAGTAGCTGGTCAAACTGCACTGCCTCTGAGTTGGCCGGGACTGCCGCCAGAGCCGATGAAATGAGGGTCGTCACTAACAGGGAGAGTTTCATGGCAGGTTGATGAAGGAGAGTGTGCTTTTCCTGGGCGCTTCGGCCTGTATAAAGAGTGTACACGGGGCGTGCAACAAGTCATGATTGCTCTTCGGAAACGGAAAGTGTATTCCCAAACGGGAATTTTGGATATCCTACAACAGGGCGAAAAAAGGAGGAAAAGTGCATGGAAACACGAAAAATCAGATCCAGTCGGCGGTGAGAATTGATTGCACCTGAAAGATTTCCTGTGGCCCCAAAACTGGTCGTATTCAGCCTTGCGCGGACCAACATGGATAATGCTACTCATGCATATCAAAAGGCGGATGCAGATCAGTGTAGAGAAACGTGGGCCTTTGGGGACTTGACCAGGTTGCAGGTATATTTACGCCGTTCTTGAGTCCGGGCGAGCAGTCGGGATAGTTCATTTTTGCGGTTTATTGACCCCTGGAACGTGTCCAAATCTCGTATATCTGTCCGACCCCAAAACGCGCATGTCCCAAAACAGACACGGCTTCCAAATTGGGACTAATGAACTTTCAAGGCAGTGTTTCACGTTGCGTCATAAATGGTGGGTAAATGATGGGCGGGATGAGAGATGGGATCAGTCATTTTGATCAAGGCGGTAGCAAGACTTGCTCCTGTTTTTTATTGTCATTGGAGTAGCCGTTCTACAAGGTATTCGTGCTTGTAAAAGTACAGTGGTTCCCACGCGTACTATGTTCGGTGTGCTAGTCGAGGTTCACAACGAGAGACTCATGGCTTGGAGAAGGAGCAAATTCTGAGGCACAAGTACTTGTACTCGTAAAAGACAACCAGTTTGGGTCACGTGAATAGCAGCTCGAATAGATGCCTTCAGCTCGACATTCCCAGCCCTCTTTGGTCGGCATGATTGAGCTGGCTAAATCCACTGTGTATGGCAAGAGTTGAGAGGTCCAGAATGAAGAGAAAGAAAACGCACAAGTCGACGCACAAGTCGACGCACAAGTCGACGCACAAGTCGACGCACAAGTCGACGCACAAGTCGACGCACAAGTCGACGCACAAGTCGACAGCATTCTGAATTCATTCAATGTTAGAGATTGCACGCTGAATCGTACTGTACTGTACTTGTACAAGTACTAGTAGGCAATTTCGCTTCTCCTTCCTGCTTGTCTCCATCGGTGTGCAGTATGTACTGATAAGAGCTTTCTCAAACAGCTGTTGGAAGCCCGTGAGGCTGACGCGGCTTCTCCTTCTCTTTCAGGAATGTGTGAGCCAGGTCATGTTGAGTCCTTCAAACACGGCAGTTGTCCTCCTATCCCCTGAGATTTTCTGGAGCGGGAAAGCCTTCGGGTCATACAACTGACAGTCTGGCAGCTGTTTGATCATCAGAGCGATCCTAACAACTAAAGTTGTGGTAGTTTAGTACTTGTGTTGTACTTGCACTTGTACTTGCACTTGTACTGGTACTTCGCTAGCATCAATCTGCCCAGAGGCACAGTCTTGTGCTCTACTGTGCTCTGCCCTACTCGTAGTTTTCATGAGACTACAGTATTGCCTATCTCCTCCGTCCATGTGACCGCTCCCTCATTCCAGTATATAAACAAAAGTCTGTCCACCTTCTACTCTACCACACAAAATGAAAGATACCAAGCCCGTGAACAACGAAAATTACGACCCGAACGGCGATGAATCGAACCACAACGATACCCCAACGATTCGTCACCGAAAAACCCCGCTCAAGGAAGACAGCTGGCCCCTCTCAGGATCCGCCCAAGGAAGACAGAAGCCCACTGCTCTCAAGGCTTCCAAACCGCCTTCAAGTACAGACAGAAAGATACCCTCCCCTACCGACGAAGAGATCGCCGAGGCCTGGGCTGCTCATCCGGGCATTCCCCCCGCCGAAGTCAGTATCAAGATCATGCAATACGACGATTCGGAGCCATCTGAAATCTGCGAGGAAGACTTTTCTCTGGATTCACAGTGGCTGTCTATGGAGATTGATCGAATCATGAGAGAGCAGACCGATGATGACATTCCCACTTGTAGCTTTCAGAAAAACACAAACTTGGGTGATGCCTATTCTGCCGATACCAGTCTGTTGTTCTGACTCCAGTCGTGGCCTTGAGATGGACATGTCCAACATCAGCAAAGAGCTTGCCAGACTCAAGACAGAGGAGAACAGGGACAAGGAGAAAAAGTCATTCAGCAGTGAGGGCTCTTTGGAACTGAGTCTCTTGACATCCTTGTGTACTTCCACCCCATACAAGACTAGACCCTAGAGGACAGTCAGGAATTGGGCATGAGCATGAGGAATGAGATGGCTATATAATGGAGATAATAAGGATACTTAGCTTGTTGAAGCATGTAGAACGTGACAAATATTGGAGCAGTGGTAATAGGAATGGAGAGCCATCTTTCACGATATGGTCTAGAGAGGTAGAGCGTCTCCAGAACTCCTATAACCACTTGGAATGAAGAAATTGAATGGTAAAAAGAACGAAAACGCCATAACTGGACATTTGAAGACCTCCCCAAACGGTTTGACACAAAATCTCCCGGACTAAGGCCTTTTTGAGAGTCACAGAAACCCCCACCATCATCAACGTGATATCAAACAAGGTTTGTGCAGTTACCATGGAAACGGCAATTAATATGTGGAGGGAGTGTAGGAGGGAGGTGATCTCAATTCCAGGATATGGACTCAATTTGATGAGGGAAAAACGGAAATACAATAATTTAAGTTGGAAAAACCATGATATCCACTCATTTTTCGCCTTATTACAATTAAATGGCGATTTACAGACGTCCCCACAACCACTCCTCCATCTCCAACAACTCGTCTGCATGAAACCTTAACCGTAAACAATTTTTTGACAAGATTATTTTGCATAGGCCAGAAGCCTTACTACACCACACAACACCCACAAAAATGGCCACCTTGCTGCCTCCTCCCTCGAAAAAACAAAAGCGACTCGCACAGGAGCCCAAGGATCTAGATCTGATCCCCGAGGACCTGCCCAATGTGCTGGTTCGATTCCAGGCGTCGGACACTGGCGAAAACACTGGTGGATCGGTGCGAGTTCCTGGAGCCGCCACCGAAAAGCAGCTGGAGATGCTTCTGAACCAGCTCCAGGAGACCAACGATGACCCCACGCCTTACACTTTCTCTGTGATCAAGGGAGAAGGCGACGAACAGACGCTGATTGACATTACCGACAACATTTGGGCATCGATTCTCAAACCCGGACACAAGAGTACAGAAGACCAGCTGACGATTGTGTACACCCCACGTGCTGTTTTCAAAGTCAAGAACATCACCCGATCGACCGCCGCCATTCCTGGTCACGGCAGCACTATTCTGACCACCCAGTTTGCACCCCACACTTCGTCTCGAATGGTTTCGGGCTCAGGCGACTTCACTGCACGAATCTGGGACTGCGACACTCAGACCCCCATGCACACTCTCAAGGGCCACTCTAACTGGGTTTTGTGCGTGGCCTGGTCTCCCGATGGTAAGATGATCGCTACTGGATCCATGGATAACACCATTTGCATCTGGGACGCTGTAAAGGGCACCCAGATTGGAAAGCCCCTCAAGGGACACACCAAGTGGATCACAGGCATGTCGTGGGAGCCTCTGCACAAGGTGAAGGAGGGTCACGTGCCCCGACTGGCCTCGTCATCAAAGGATGGCACTGTACGAATCTGGGACATTGGAGCCGGCACCTACCTGCGAACCATGGCCGGTCATAGAAGCGCCGTCACCTGCGTCAAGTGGGGAGGAATCGGTTTCCTCTATTCTGCTTCTCATGACAAGACCGTGAAGGTGTGGGATCCCGAATCTGGCCGTCTCCAGCACAACCTGACGGCCCATGGTCACTGGGTCAACCACATTGCGCTGTCGACCGACTACGCCCTTCGAACCGGAGGCTTTGACCACGACACCACACGAAAAGACTTCAAGGCCAGCGACACTGAGCTGCGAACCAAGGCGCTCGAGAAGTTCAACAAACTGGCCAACACCTCTGGACGCATCTCCGAGCGAATGGTGACCGCCTCCGACGACTTCACCATGTTCCTGTGGGAGCCCGAAAAGAGCACAAAGCCTCTTTGCCGAATGACCGGCCATCAGAAGGCCGTTAACCACGTCACATTTTCTCCTGACGGCCGATATCTGGCTTCTGCCTCGTTCGATAACTCCATCAAGCTGTGGGACGGAAGAGACGGCAAGTTTGTCACCACGTTTAGAGGACATGTGGCCTCCGTGTACCAGTGCGCCTGGTCGTCCGACTGCAGACTCATGGTCTCGTGCTCTAAGGACACCACTCTCAAGGTGTGGGATGTGCGAACTAAGAAGTTGTTGTCGGATCTGCCTGGCCACGCTGACGAGGTGTTTGCTGTCGACTGGTCCGTCGACGGAAACAAGGTGGCTTCTGGTGGAAAGGACAAGATGATTAGATTGTGGTCTCATTGATCTATATTTATATGCATTGTAATAGACGGTAGAATGGTTTCGTACACATCCATGTGAAGTGGACATGGGTGGTAGAGAGCGTGATGAAGAGCAGTATCGAGGGCTGTAAGGGAAGAGTAGACGACCTGAAGATACTGCAAAGGTGTCTCAGGAAGATATGGATCCAGGCTAGCTTGAACACCAGCAGTAGGAATGGAAGAATGGAAGAATGGAAGAATGGGAGAATGGGAGAATGACATTATCATACTGAATGGGCCTGCTTCCTAGTTGAGTAGGAATAATCAAACAGAAAAAAGACTTTAGCTGGATGGTCTCAATGATACTGCGTACAGTAGTTTTTCTCTCTTCAGCCTGGTAGGTCATCCATATCCATCATCCCCCTTTTCTCTTGTTTGGTCGCACGCCCAAATCGAACTCACGACCGCCAAATCACCATCCCCCAAAGTCTAAATGGTGATGTGAAATTTTCAGTTTTGAGGGAGAGATCAGGACACAACCTCCAACACAACCCGCTGAAACATGTTCCGAACGACATCAGCCCGAATCGAGGCCGCGTGTCGGCCGCTGGCACAGACACAGATGCGATTTAAGTCGCAACTGCACCGGCTCAAGCACCCCCAGCACATTGCCCAGCTGGTCCAGAAGCGAAAGATCACCGCTCTTGATCCCTTCTCCAAGCAGGTTCTGGAGCGAAACAAGGATGCAGTTGCCAATGCGTTCCCCGACGCCGCTTCTTTCGACGTGGCTGCTCTCGCGCCCCAGCGTCTGGCTCTAAAGTCCGAGGGAGGAGCCGCCGTGGCTCCCAAGACCAACAAGTCCGGCTACGGCTTTGGTACCGACGGATGGTACCACGTTGGCCGAACCGCTCTCAACCACATTGCCGTCCACTCGTGGAAGAACTCCACCAAGGTCAAGACGGAGATCTCCAAGATCACCGGAAGCGCCGTGCTTCTGAAACGAGACCTGTGCAAGGCTCTCGACCTGCACAAGTCGGACGTGGTTATCGCACCCAGCGGTCGAAAGATCTACGTTCGAGGCAACATGGTCCCCGAGGTTCGAACCTGGCTCGAGGCCAAGTTCTAGCATGTACATATTATCTAAAATTGTTTTATTGGACTGAGGAGAGAGATGAAGGTGTAGCGTGAGAAACGGTTGGACAAGCACAAGTGGAAGTGTCAGTGTTGTTATCATCAGTGTGCACACAACTATACTTATCACGAGGGTGTACAGTAGTTGGGGTTTCATCCATCTGAGCAATAGATTGAGAGGGATATTCACCTGTCAGCTACTGTACATACTGTACAAGTACAAGTTGACAGACGACTGACCATAATCAGTATCCAAGGTTGAGTATGTGAACGAAACGCCGTTATGTACTTGTACTTGCTGATACCATGATAGTCATTTTATGATTATTTACAGAGTTACCTGTTCAAAAACCAATTAGGAATGTTTTCAAATAGATTCTTAGCAGTGACACCTTGCCTTGCAAGCCGATCTGCCTGCTTGTTTCCTTCACTAGAACCATGGGCCTCTACCTTTTTCAAACCAATGCAATTGGTGCTTTCAGCCTTCAATGTCAGGATACGCTTGATCACGTCCTGGTTAGCCACTGGTTCCCCGCCCCGGTTCCGCCAGCCGTTTCGTTCCCACGCAATGTGCCACTTGGTGAGACAGTCGATGGCATAGCTTGAGTCGGTGTAAATCTCGTAAAGTCGGCCATCTGAGAGCTTAGATGCGCAAATGCAATACGCGTGAAGAATTGCCGTTAGCTCAGCTCTCTGGTTGGTCTGAGGCGACCCATAAACACGCCCGGAGAGGTTTTCCTTATGGTTCTCTCCGAGATAGAGTCCAAACCCAGCAACAGCGTCTTTCTGTCCGTTCCTAGAGCACGCGCCGTCAGTGAAAATCTGATTGATAATGTCTCCATCTGAGTTGGAATAGTGTAGACCTCGTTGTTCTGGAGGAAAGACGAGAGCATAGTCAGTTTCTTCTTCCACATACCCAATAGCTTCTTCGAGGCTCAGAAATGACTCAATGGGTAGAAATTTCTGAGCAGCACTTCTCATGGCCTCTCGTTCCTGGTCGAAGATGAGGTTTTCGCAAACAAAGAACATCTGGCCGCCGTTTTTCTGGGAATTAGCAGCCTGGATCTTCTTCTGGGCCACCCGTAAGTCCAGCTCTGCCTCTTGCAACTGGTTCTGGGCCGCTTCCAAGTCTCTCTGGGCCGCTTCCAAGTCTCTCTGGGTCACTTCCAAGTTCTTCAAGGCGGCTTCCAAGGCGTCAGTTTTCACAGCGACATTGATTTTGAACAGGTGGATATCAGCCGTGGTGTCCTGTACAAGTTGAACTAGCATCCGAGTCGAAAGTCCAGCATCGCCTATCCAGGACATGTACTCCTGCGCCTTGTCGTAGTCATCGAAGCCCTTCCATTCTGCCCCTGGAAACCTTTCCGTCTGTTTGTCGCACTCAGCAAAGGAGTTGTAAATGCCGGGCTTGCGTCCAGCTTTCACAGCATAGTACTTTTTGGCCATTGCGAGAGAGCGTGTGTGATACGGTGCGCAAATGTTGTCTTGCGAATCTCGTCCCGTTACTGTCGCCGGTCACCCAGTGTTTCTCTAGGCGCCCACCGTCAGTAAAATTTCACACCGCAAAATAAATTCGTGAAGCTTGAAACATGCAGTGTGCGCGAAACTCCAACATGACTTAATCTCTTCATCACAACTCTTCCACAAGTGGTGAGAAGATACCTAGGTGACGACTTCTGCTCTACAAGTAGATGACGAAGGTTCATTCTGTTGCTTCAGATCAACTTCGCCATGAGACTGTGCAACTACTTGTAGCGAGGTTTGCAGCAACTGAAGATGTTCTCATCTAGCATCTTGCTGGGGACCCCGATGGCCATCTGATACGATCGTTTCTTCGACAATGACACTGGGAGAAGTCTTCTAACTGTCCCTTGTTTCAACTCAGATCTGAAATGACGTTGTCTCAACACTGTGCCAAAACAGCCATCTCAGCAAAACAGCTCCCTTTCCTCACACTGGCCAAGTTTTTTTTTGAAAATAATGGTGCTGGGATTCCGTGTTAATACCCAGACACTACTCATACCATCTACACTGTGACACCAGAACAACCGATGAACCTCAACCATCACTACATCGACAAAACTTCTACCAAATTCTACCATAACACGGCGAGATACATCCAGATACGCCCTATACAGGCAGATATTACCCCAGAATAGCAAAACAAGTCTTTTCTGAGCTATAAAATTGTACTGATAATGTCTCTTCTGACTAGCCTTCCGAAGAGTGCCGCTTGATTAACAACCGCCGCAGTTGGGGTCGCCACACTTGGAGCAATGCTTCTTCTCCTGAGTAGGAGTAGGAGCACAAGGCTTGGCATCAATTGCCACAGTGCCGGTGATGGTGGTGTAGTGGGTGGTGATGATGGTGGTGGACTTGGGGCACTCCTTCTGGGGACACTTCTTGGAGTGGATCTTGTCCTTGAACTGGTGGATGTCCTGGGGGGACTCAGACTGGTCGTTGTTCACGGGAACCGCAACGGCGAGAGCGGCCATGGACAGGAGGGCGAGGTTCTTGATCTGCATTCTAGTAGATTGGTTGTTGGCTGGTTGATACTAATTGAGGGGTGTCACACTGGTATATATACTGCAGAAAGATCTTGAACTTGTCCAAACAGTAGTTGAACTTGACCAAAGAAAAGTTCAACTTGTCATTCTCGAGGCTCAGTTGTCATTCGCGAGGCTCACCTCTGCTCCCGTTGGCCTATTACTTCTCAGTCTGCCACTCCCGAACCATCATAAACTAACCCCATAGACCATCTCGGAAAACCAACCCCTTTCCGGCATCCACCAATGGTAAATATCCCGCTGCAGTTGCCGTCCGGGTGTGATTGTATGCTATGTCAGAGACGGAACGACGCGATGAGAACTATAGGGCCATTTCGGAAGGTTGCGGTGAAACATGTGACAGGCAGATGAGTAGGTGGAGGAATTGCGTATGAGTAGAGCTATGAGATGAACATGTTTGGTATATGCTGCAAAGAACTTGTAGGGTAAGAAGTGACGAACAAAAGCGCAAGACAAGTCCGGTAGGGATGTTGGATTCAGGACAATATCTCAGAAATGCATGGATTGAGAGAATCGTCTAGACTCAGATTAATACCCCTCACATCTTTTGGGTCGAAAACAGTGCGATCTCCAACTACCAGGCTTGAATTGGTGATGAACGTGTACGTCCGATGCCCACTCTAGAAACATATTGGGCTGTTTCTCTGTGAGTGCTTCGAAGCCAGACTGCTTCTGTAGGCTCTCGGCTCTGACATTGTAGACATGGCAGGCGTAAGCAATGGCATAACCTCAGTACCGATCATCAAAGATATAGCCAGAGTGCTAGTGTTGCAATGACCAACTCTAGGCCGAAGTCACAAAACTATAGATGCTGAAGGCTTCCTAAAAGTACGAGTATAGCGAGATGCAACAATAGGTATAAACACCATCTTGTTTCTGGGGTCTCTATGTATCCTTGTTCCTCGTAGCTCCTACAAATGAGGAACATTATCATATTAAGCAAAAATCAGGTATACAAAACCACCATTTAAATTCAGAAAAATCGCCTGGCTAGCTCAATCGGTAGAGCGTGAGACTCTTACTCTCAAGCAATCTCAAGGCTGTGGGTTCAAGCCCCACGTCGGGCTTTTTTGCCATTCATCTCGTTGATACATGTCGCCCATATGGCAACTTTTTAGGTCTCCTTTTGGGTGTACACTTGTTTGGGTCTAACTTGGCTAAGTTTAGGACAATGGGTGCCCCTGAAACCATGCCCCTGACTTGTGTGGAATGTGCAATATAATAATGTGCCAAGCCCGAGGCTGCGTAGAACGATCTTGTCTGGACAACGAATCAGAGCCCTGGCAGGCGCCCAACCTTGTCGCTTTGCAGGGTGCATTTCGTGCGCATTTTTGGGCGCATTTTGGCATTTTGGCATTTTGGCATTTGGCGTGTGGGGACTTGTACAAGGGTAAAAAGCAAAGGGAATACGACTTATTATAGCCAGGGTGAAGGAGTTATGTATGAGTGTCGTACCAGTGTTACAGGGTGAGACGAGACGAGTGAGACGACTACAAGTAGCAAGGGTGACGTATAATATGGACTATGGACGGTTCGTAAAGGGCGTCTCGGTTCGTGAAATTCAGAGACGTTCGTGAAGAGCGTTCATTCCACCTCACGATGTATACTCCGTGGGTCTGGAGAAAGAGGTCGACTACAGAAGATCGACATTGTACATAAAATGTTTGGCCACAAGCCGCGATCGGCAGGTGGGGTGGGGGCAAGAGTCACGTGTAGACAGGGACCGTCGTCGTACTTGTACCGGAACCGAAGCGTTCACATATGGGCTGCAAAGTACTTGTCTTGTGGACGTGTTGGCGTTGGAGTTGACTTTATGATATATCATAATATATGTCCAAATTTCAGACGCGCCGTTTAGTTCATCTCAAGAGCACCATGTGCAGCGTGCAGCGTTTTCAACTTTGGGCGGCACCCATGTCATGATACGAAGGATACGGCGTTTGGGCGGTTGCGGCTGGATCTTTGGAGTTCATTCTCTCGCGATCTACCAGGCACAGAGGAGGATCGCTGTGGTTTGTGTCTGCACATTCCGGGTTTGTTTAGGTTGAGCTGCGAGTATGTTGGACACCATTGGGAAGGTGTCTTTCCACGCTGGGTGGGAGACTGTCGATCGTCGCAGGAAATGTCAAAAGGGTGGGTGGGCATAGCAAAATCTGAAGTGGCCGCAAGTACAAACACAGCAGGTGAGCACAGCGAGTGAGCAGCAGTGAGCAGCAGTGAGCAGCAGTGAGCAGCAGTGAGCAGCGAGTGAACACAAGTTTTGTCCAGTGCAAGGTAGTATATGGGCTAGGACGAGTCAACCAAGGGTAATACAAGTACGAGGATGGTAAGAGTACGATATGTACGAGTAGCAGTACATACAATTAATAACTGGCATGTACGTGCGGTGCTTGATCTCGTGTAATGGCCGGGATGGCCAGGTCTAGACGCAGGTCTACGCTACGTCGTACGTAAAGTACCTGTACGGTCGTCTGATGGTTTATTTTATTTAATTTTTCAATTTTTTCAATTTTTTCAATTTGTTCAATTTTTTCAATTTTTTCAATTTGTTCGATTTTTTTAATTTGTTCAATTTTTTTAATTTGTTCAATTTTTTGTTTTGTCTACGAAAAAAGTACGGTACAGTCGAACTCGTTCAGCAAACATGTCTCATCCCTTTTCTCCAACGGCTCCAAATGAGACAGTCAGCGAGGGTCTATTGCGAGTACTTGGAGACATACGATCGCACTCACTCTCGCACTCGCACTCACTCTCGCACTCGCACTCACTCTCGCACTCGCACTCACTCACAACTCTGGCGAAAAAGAAGACACACGACAGCTGCGACTGCTGCTGTACGGGTCCATACGCCCAGGGGAAAATGCAGAAATACGACCTCTTTTACCGACAGACAAAGCCCAATAAAGAACAAACAAGCCGGAGAAGTGTTCATTTACGGGAATGGAGGTGCAGCAGGAGAGAGGGAGATGGAGACGGGGATGGAGACGGGATGGAGGCGGAGATGGAGGCGGAGATGGAGGCGGAGATGAGGGACGGAGATGTGGGACGGAGACGGGAGACGGGAGATGTGGGACGGAGACGGGAGACGGGAGACGGGAGACTGACTGAGCTGAGCTGAGCTGAGCTGAGCTGAAACCAACCGTTTTTTATATAACAACGACCGACCTATTTACCGCTCCCCTCTCGCTCTCCACCACAATGCCCCTTTTAGAGCTTGCATGGTTGAGTTTTCGGGTTCCTAGAACGTTGAGGTACAAGGCGGGTTTAGGTTGTTAATTAGTTATTTACGTCATCGCCCTCGGCTTGGATTGTAGCGGCCACAGCCAACGCGAGGGGCACCTGTCACGAGAAAGCAGCCATCTCACACTGGTTCCGACACGTCGACCGCTCTCCACTGTACGAATCTCCCTTTCCACGCGATTGGTGGCTCGCAAAAGACGTGCTCGTACCAATAACAACCGTATCCTACACCGTACCAGGCGCGCTCTCTGCACCTCCGTAAATTACGTTTCTGCGGTTGTGCAAACTTGCCTCTTCATCTCATCTCTCTCTCTTTCCATCTGAAACACAATAACGCCAATCAAGGCCAATTGCAGCCACTAGCTTTGGCTCTCTTCCGACTTTGAGCCAATGTAGCATCGTCAGGTACCGATCTGTGTCAAAATGCGGCGGCTCCGTCGTCCATCCCCTCCGCCGCTTCTCGCCGAACTTACCACCGTGTTCGCTCCTCCACCGTTAAGCTCGCTCCGCGAAAATCCCCGCGCCCAAACGGCTAGACGCGGATACCGACAGGGTAAAACTCGGACCTACACACTGGGTACGGTACGATAGCTACAGTACATGCTGGCCAATGTTATGTCTGCTCTAAGTTCGACTTGCACCGGAACCTTGACCCAAAGATTGCAAGTGTATCTGGTGCTGGAAGCCTCTTTCTGTCAATCCTAGCAGGGGTGTGGGAGACCAAGAGGACGAGGAGGTGACGATGAAGAGGCGGCGACGGGAATCAAGAACGGACGACGAAGTCTTCGGATCATGTGTACACCTGCTCGTACCGACCCGTGCCCCTGTCGCCACAGCTATTACTCCGTCCATTTGCTCCTCTGCTCTGCAAGTTTCTGCGCGCATAGAGGTTACCTGCCAAAATGCGAAAAAAGCCATTCCGAAGATCCCGACTGGGGGTCCAATGGCAGTGGGGAAATGGAGTAGACGAGATCAACCAGGTCGCAGTCCACCGGGCAACCCACCGGACAATTGCGCTCTGCCTGGTGACGTCCTTCACTGGGCACGTCTTACTGGTAACGTCTTATTGGTAACGTCTTACTGGACAACAACCTGGGGGCTCGCGACCTACTGTCGGTCCACTTCGATACTCGTACCTACTCGAACTCACAATTCGTTACCCCGTACATCAGTCATGCCGCGTGATGTCACCCCACAGCCCAACAAACACAGCAAGAGAAACCCAGGAATATTATGGACACACAAAGAACAAAAACCGCGCCATCAACGCCTCTTCTGGACGAAACCTGGCCCCATCTTTCGGCGCGGTCGCAGAGTCGTGCCTCGCTAATGGGGCCCTAAAAACAAGGCACTAAAAAAAATGGAGACCTTCCCCAACTCTATTTTCCCGGCGAGCGCCGCAGAACAAAGGTCGGAGGCTAAACAAGACAAGAAAGCCAGTTTCGGTGCTTTTTCGAAAACCTAGAATGTGGTACCGGCTCCCCTAAAAAAGTGTGCCCCAAGAGAGTGTGCCTGGTGTGTACATAAGCGAGTAGCTCTGGCATGCCACTTGCACGTTTCCCCATTTTCGTCCCTAGCTAAACCACCGCCACGCCGCCGCCACAGCTAGCTACCACAGCGTCTTGTTCGGGATGAGAATACGCCTATCTCGCGGCCAGATCCGCCTCACCACCCTCACCATTCTCTCCATGGTGGTGGTGTTTCTCGTCTACGCCTCCTTGTCGGGAGTGCGAGTGCAGGGCTACGAAATCCGAGTGACGCAGAAGGACTCCAGTCCAAACGGTGACAAGCACCACAATGTGATGCACAACGTGCACGAAGCCCCCAACCCACCCCAGAAGAAAACGCAGAAGGTGGTCAACACCCACAACATCAACGGCGACTTTGGCAAGTCCATAGACGAGCTCAAAAAGGGACACCTGGAGGAGGAAGAGGCCAAGGCCAAGGAGCTGGAGGAACAGTACCAGAACCGAGGCGAGGCCCAGGCCGTGAGCGGCTCCGAGACTGAAGACGAGGAGCCCTCCCACACGGAAATCATTCTGCCGTCCAACTCGGCCACCCCCTTCGTCATGAAGGCCCCTTCTCTCATGCATTCGTCCCCTGGTTCCAACCCAGACCCCAACATCCAAATTGCATTCGACTACCCCGCTCTCCGTCAGCAGACGGAGCGAGCCAACGCCACTCTAGTTTCGCTGGTCCGAAACAAGGAGCTCAAACAGATGGTGCGCACGGTCAAGAACTACGAGGACCGCTTCAACCACAAGTTCCGCTACGACTGGGTCTTCCTCAACGATGAGCCCTTTGACGACGACTTTATCGAGACAATGACAAACCTCGTGTCGGGTAAAGCCAAGTTCGGACTTGTCCCTAAAGAACACTGGTCTGTACCCTCCTGGGTTGACAAGGAGAAGGCAGACAAGGCGAGAAAGGCCATGGCCGAGCAGGTCATCTACGGAGACTCGGAGTCATACCGACACATGTGCCGATTCAACTCTGGCTTCTTCTTCCACCATCCTCTCATGCAGGAATACAGATACTACTGGCGTGTGGAGCCCGAGACCGCCATCCACTGCGACGTCAACTACGACATTTTCCAGTTCATGCAGACCAATAACAAGACGTACGGCTTCACCATCACCTTGCTGGAAAACCCTCTCACGGTTGCGTCTCTGTGGCAGGAGACCAAGGCTTACACCAAGGCTCATCCCGAGGTGCTGGCCAAGGATAACCTGCTCAACTGGCTCTCGTACGATAAGGGTGAGAACTACAACATGTGCCACTTTTGGTCTAATTTCGAGGTGGCCGACATGGACTTTTGGCGGTCGGAGGCGTACCAAAAGTATTTCGACCATCTGGACAAGTCCGGTGGGTTCTTCTATGAGCGGTGGGGTGATGCGCCTGTTCACTCCATTGCCGCAGCTCTGTTTCTGCCCAAGAGCGAAGTGCATTTCTTTAACGACATTGGATACACGCATCCTCCCTTCACTCACTGTCCCATTGATGGCGACACCCGGAAGGAGGGCAAGTGTTCGTGTCTTGCTGAAGAGACGTTTGATTGGAAGCCGTGCTCGTGTCTGGGGCGGTATCTGGACGTTCAGCGAATCAAGCGGCCCCATGACTGGGAGAACTATAGTGACTGGTAGGAATATTTATTGTAACATATTATTTATTAATTGGCACACTTTGGTGCTCGAGACCGAAACTGGATCCGTGCAGCTCTCTGATCGACGGCCTACATTCAAGGCGGACTGTCTTGTTACAGCCCGACCAATGTCTTGTCTCATTACAGCTCAACAATGTCTTGTACCGTTAATGCTCGAGTGTTTGACAATGTCTGACTTGATGGTTGGAGATGTTCATGACTCGATACAGCTCATCAGTCCAGGAACCGGCAGCGTTGCATGCAATGACTGCAATTTCGCAAGCTGACGATTTTCCGGTCTTTGTTTCGAGCCAGCCTCCGCAACCCGTGTCATTGTGTGCCCAGGTTACATTGTTACCCCTGCCTCTCCACAGCTTGCATTCCGTGTCTCAGTATTGTGAGACATGTTTTGGAGAATGACGTCAATTATTTTCAGAGTTTGGGTTATCGGATGAGATGACCGTGGAGGGAGTGCGGAGAAGACAGGTGACGATTTGTAGGACGCGGATAGGAGAAAGAAGGAGAGGTTTTTTTGCGTCTGGAGCGCACGATAAGCGATTGATATATGGTGCAAAAGATGGAGCTGGTCGGGAGCAAACCGCCGGGAACCTGGTAGCTCTTCATCAACACACTCTTTGAACTGGTGCACAGCCTGGGTGCCGTATGAAGTTTACCGTCTCAGAACTTTGAGGGTAGCGTGAACTCTTTGCTACCAGAGAGTGTGCGAGGAGGTGTGACCGGTCCTAGGTCTCGGTAGGATTGCTTTCTTCGCAGTCGTTAGCTCCGGTTTGGATAAGGTGTTGGTTGCTTCTGATGCGACTCCCCAAGGTACACCCAGTACAAGTGCAGTACGACGTTCAAGTACATACAGTACGACGTTCATGTACGACGTTCATGTACAGTACATAGTCATAGCGATATGTTGTACGACACTTTCAGCATTCCAATTCACTAAATCCTATCCACTTATCAGATCATTCACCAACAGTACATGTGTACATGTAAACTTATGCCTCCAACTCCCCTAGAAGATCCCCAACATCGCGAGAAACACACCTGCACACAATGCCGCACCGTCGTTTATACGGAGCCTGGATTTGGACGACCCGCGCGTGTCTCAAAGGAGGAACTAGTGGCAGATTCCAATGGCTCACAGGCTCACAAAGGGGATCACAAAGCTTCTCGTAGTAGTCGACTAGCGTTTGTGTTTGGGATGCGTGGGTTCTGGGTAACGAGTCCAGTTCGTACGTCCGAGACAACTCCAACAAACGGCCATATGTAGCCGGCGATCTTGAGAAGAATCGGTCGGAGCTGGACCAGGAGTTGCCAGAGCCACTCAACCGCCGTCTGTACATATCCGCGCTGTCGGGGCTGGTTTGGGGGGATCACAGGGATGGTCACTCGACCTGGAAAGTGGTGTGTGTGTCGGGGCGGTCCAAACAGTCGGTTGAGAGTTGAATCCTCGTTCTCTCGCAGTTCTCTGAGGATTAAAGAGAGCCGATCTGGCGTCATAACAATGGCGGGGAAATGGGTAGAAACAGCGGAAGGCGCGCTGTTAGATGAGGGTTCTTTGAAAGGTGCTGTTGGACAACTCTCTGTGAGTGATGTAAATATCGAGGGTTCCTGGGTCTACTTTATTATTCCAGTTTTAAATACAAGTAGACTGTTTGGGGTACAAATGCTGGGACTGTAGCTATATCGACTTCGCTATTGGAGTGACATACTGAAGAACGACTGAATGAGTGCTCAAGAACAGCTGGATGAGAGCTCAAGAAGTCTACAGTATTCGCAGCAAAATACCCCAATGAAGCTCTCGAATGATTAATTGTAGGTCTCGTACGTAAAATCGCATCTTTTCATGTTGCTCTCCTGATAGTACGTGCTCTCCTCTTTTTCTCCGTTTTTTCCCCATTTTCCCATTTTTCTTTGATCAATAATTTAATTCATTACTATGTACATCAAATGCTGAAAACGTCAAATTCAGCTGATTTTTCCGAGTCGGGGTTTCTAATGACCTCATCCAGGTGCTTGGACCGAGACACGGCCTTGTGGATCTGCTTCATAGCCTCCTCATGGTAGAAAGCCTGAGCAACATTGTGGAAGAAGGCCAGATCGTGCTTCTTCCAGTTGAAAGTGGCAGGCGTAGCCGACAGAATCGCAGCAGCTTCTCCAAGCTGTTTCAGGGCAGCCAGAGCATTGATAATCTTGAGCGCAAAATTGTAGTCTGCGCTAATCTGCTGAGCCTCAGTCCTATACTTGTTCTTGTATGCATCGGACTTCCGCCACTTGCCTCGCTCTACCCACACGTCCTGGGAAAATTCAAGTCTATCGGTCATCTCCTGAGGGGTGAGGCGTCTCAAGGGGTGGTTGAGGTTGGGATCCCGTTCACTGGCATCAGCAATGCAGTCAGCCTGAACAGCGTTCAGGGCAATAAAGAAATGAGCATCAGAACGGGGGGCAGGAGAGAACTGAGTCTGCAAATCGTATCGCTGAGGCTTCTTCTGTCGAGCAGAGTAAGTCTTCATCTCAGAAGGACTGATAACAGCGCCCTCGGCTTCTCCAGCACCCACAGAAACCTCGTTGTATCGTCTCAGAAACTCAGGGAAATCTCTATGTCTAGCTCCCGCCTTGAGATAGTCAGTGGCAGCAATGTTATCCAGCAGCTGAGGCTTGTTGTTCTTCAAGAACTGGAAAATGGCTCGAGATTCAGCAATGATCTTCTTACGGTCGAAAGAAAGACTTTCAATGGTATTGGTAGGCAAGAAAGGAGGGATCATGCCGGGATGCTCCTCGTTAAGCTGCACCATACCCTCAATATCAGGGAACAAGAATCCTCGCATCATTTCTTGAGCGTTACCTCCATAAAGACGGCCCCAAGTAGCCCGAAGAGCAGAAGAAGCAACTGGTTTGGTCCGTGTGTCGTACCGAGCATAAGCCTGCATCAGAAGCTGAGTCAGAATGGCATCAGGGTACGTCTCAGGAGACATGCAGAGCTGCTTGTAGAGTGATCGAAGGAACACCAGGTCTCCAGTGACGGCTGCGGCCTGGAAAACAACAACCAAAGTGTGTCTGGAGTAGAAACTCTCACTATGTTGTTCTCTGAGCTCCAAAAGAAGCTCCCATGCCTTGAGATGATACTTTTCCTGTCTCAAACAGGCAAGAATCAGCGATTGATATGTTCTAACGTTGGCAACCGATTTCTGTTTCATTTCCTCGAACAAATCCAATGCTCGTTCGGTATTGGAACGAATGGCAGACGCTGTAATCAGCGAGTTGTATGTGTGTGCAGTTGGCTGGGTCTCCAGAGAAGCATACTTCATGTATTCGAAGATCTGAGATGCAAGTTCCACCTTGTGGTTTCTTAGAGATGTGGAAATGAGGGTTGTGAAAATGACCTGGTTGGGTCGGATACCGTAGAGTTGTTGGGCTAATTTGAGATCGTCGAAAATCTCCATGGCCTGCTTCAGATCCCCCCGTTTATCGCATGCCTTCAGTCGATGCGCATAAGTATGTACAGTAGGGGTGATATTGTTATCAATCATTTGTCGGAATCTCTCCTCCACCTTTTCCACGTTGCCGTCCTCGGCGTATCCTAACATGACCTGGCCATACGTGATGGCAGAAGGCTTCACTCCCCGCTGAGAAATCCACTCCTCAATCTGAGGCAGAAACTGCGCTCGAATGTCGACCGGGATAGTCGTCATCAGAGAGTTAAAGTCTGGAATCTGAAACTTGGACGTGTTGAGCGTCGAAATGACATGTTTCCAAAGATCGTTTTGGTATGCAGGGGTGGAAATGTGATGGCTAGCAGGCGTGGCTAGCAAAAGTTGCGTGGGCGAGCCAGCCATGGCCTTGGCTACCTGTCTACTCACATGAGGCGTGAGCTTGGACTTTGCCAGGTACTCCATGGGGCTCTTTGTGTCATGCTTGATGGGTGCAGTGTGTGTATTTGCTCCCGACGGTCTCTCTTGTTCAGCTGGAGGCAGCTCCTTGTGCTGTTCGGTGGCTTCAGCAGCCTTGTGGTCGCTCATGAGTGAGTCAAAAAGACTGTCAATATCCTCGTCGGAAACGTGGGTCTTGTTCTCCTTGAGAGGCTTGTCGGGCGTCTCCTGGACAAACAGCTCTTCTTTAACCGGCACATCAGGAAAGTCGAACTTGAGCTCCGAACGAACTGCGTTTGATTTTCGGAACCTGGACCCCAGAGCGGTGCTGTAGCATCTGTCGAGTCTGTGCACTAGAGCTGGTCGTACCAGCGGCACTAGAAGGCGTGCTCTGAGCATTTTTTTTTGAGCGGTTCTGTGTACACTTGAGCTGTAGTGTTAGTGGTTCTGTATGATTTTATTCTCTGGTATTTTTTGTACTGAAATCATGCATGGTGCACGTGAGTTTTTTTTCACCCAAGGCCAAACTGGCGCCTCTGCTTTTGCCACAGTGGATTAGGGCTTTGCCACCAAACTGGACTACAAGAACCTTGACTAGGAAGAGACGGCGTGGGTTTCTGTGCGTTGGCAGGATCTAATAGCAGACACGGCCATTAAATAATGCTGAATGCGGCAATTATTTTGGTACCAATAACAGCTGCAGGTCCTGCTAAAATACCGGGTCCAACGTTGTTAAAGTTGTCAGATCGGGGTGGCTTGAAGAAGGAAGAGCTACACATTGCATCTTTTCACGAGTGTCTCGAAGAATGTCCCGTATAAAGAGTAACTGAGTAACTTGCGGCGGACGGAAACATATCTCACGACCAAATGTGTTCATGACGTCCGCGTCTTTAGATTCTTGATGTTTTCGCCCGGTGTTGTTTACACCTTTGGGTCGTGTGAGACAGGGTGGGGTGGATTGAGACAAGATGATGACTAAAAAGTCTCCAAACGAATGTCGAGTGGGGAGCGGGGAACACTCTAGAATGACGGGTAGAGACGAAATGTTCTCACTAGACTGCGAGCACAACCACAGTAGCTACAATAGTAATAGTAATAGTTACCGACACTGCATCTACAGTTCGGTCTGTATCATAATGACCCAGTATCCTCCTGGTATGAAAGTCAATGCTTAAGTAATCACTCACATTCAGCTCACTCGTACTTGTAGACGATTCCACTTCATCCACCATTCATATTGATTACATATACAATGAAAGGATCATATTTCGAACTCTCTGGCAAAAGGTGGGGTGGGTGGAGCTTAAGCGAAAAGCTAAAGAGTCGGTCGATGAACTTTCGGGCAGATGATTTGACATCTACTACAAGAGCCTGGGGATGGATTTCTTCCATTTTTTTCGATGAAAAAGACATTAAACCCACGTTTTTTCGATTTCCCCAGCATACAGCTCCCAGGATCTTGTATAGAGGAGTTGGCACTCACACAAACCCCCCTGCCGCACACCTATTAAAGGTACATTCCAGAGACGCGCATAACCAAGAGTAAGTTAAACATGGATATAGAGATAAACATGAAGAAAAGATACAAATACAAGTACAATACCGGGGTACAAGTAGCTACTTGTAGGCCGGGGTGATTCTTCGACACTACCGCTCAGTCGCTTGCTCGCCATGTCTGCACCAGCTGTACCATCAGGACACTCTTATGACGCGGCTGCCATCTCATCGGTGCTTGCAGGAGTGCCTACAGAAGTGTGGGTTAGTTTACAGAACTACGTGGGGGCCATGAGTACTCCACCACCTGGATCTACTCTTCAAATTCCCGGCGCCGGTTCCACAGCCGTCCTTACTGCGTCTCCTCAAAAGCAGAAAACCAATTCAGCTTCACACATGGTTGTTCCAGCTATTCTCGTCGCTGCTCCTGCGCTTGTGCTCTTGATCTAGCATAACACCACTCGATCTCGCTTCTTCTTATGATCTCACTACTCATGATCTCATAACACATCTACGACCCACACATTCACTTCTACAAATCTACAAACACAACGACCTTTCGTTATTGTACAGTCTTAATTTATTCTTTTCACACCAACAATGTAGATGTTTATAATGGTCCTCCCTGACTGACTGCAACAAGTACTAGCTGTCTATGTATCTAGTTTCAGCATTGTCTTCTGTGTTGGGTTCTGATGTGCTTCCAGATAATGTTCTACTGGAGCATCTTAGTTCAAGACAGTACGAGTACAAGTAGTTAGTATTACTCCAAAACTATTTTTATTTTGAGGACTACAAAAATCAACATTACAATACAAAAACTACAGTTTGGAAAATCGGGTGGAACTCAATGGTCCAAGATTTATTATTAACCCAAGAGGTTCGGAATTTCACCTACTCCTCTCTAACTAGATAACAGGTTCGGTCAGTTACATCCTCTGCCAAGAGGTTCACTGCCTACTCCTTCAGTATGACTTCAGCTCATGCTCCGGCTCTTATCGCTCTTTGGACTTATTGGCTACTGGCTGGCCTCGGCTCTTGGGCCCTGGCTCCTTTGGCTTATTTCTGGCGTTTTGCACTTATTGCATCTGTGGACTCATTGGCAATGCTCAGCGACCGTGCTCTTATTGCCGTTAAGGACTTAGTGGCTTTGGTGCTCTCGTATGGCACTTATTGCTCTCTGGCTCTTTGCCCTCGTCTTCGCTGCTATTGCTCTTCGGACTTAGTGGCTTTGCTCTTTGGCGGCTCTGGCGGCTCTGGCGGCTCTGGCATTCGCTCTGACTCTGGCATTTCAGCTCTAGTGACTGGCGTAACAGCTCTGGCTCTTGAGTGGCTCTGGATTTGGCACTTATGCCTCTGCGGGACTCACAGGCTCTGACTCAGGCATCTATTGCTCTTTTGACCATGTATGGCGTCTGTCTGGCAGATCTTTGCTCTAGTTTCAGCTTTTCTGCTGTAGTGGCTCTTGCATTTCAGCTTGGCTCTTCAGTTCTAGGCGGCTTTCTCATACAGGAATTGCACCCTATGAGACTTTCACAAAGGAGTTTCACCCCGTGAGTATGAGTATCTCGAACAGGAGTTTCGCCTGTGAGAATGATGGTCCTCTCAAAAGGAATTGCACCCTTGAGTCCTCTCAGTCGGTGGCTCGGGCTCAATGGCTCTGGCACTTTGCTCTGGCGGCTGCAAATGCGGTTCTAAAGAACTCACAAGGCACGAAGGTGGTTCTGACATTTGTCAGTCAGCACAATCACTCGCTCTTTGCTCACGGCACTTTTCCAGCTCATGGCGGTCAACCGGACACAAAAGGTTACGGACTTAAGACACTTGGCTCAGGCGGTTGTACTCGCTTCTGCAAAGAACTCGCCGATTTCTCAGCTCAAACGCTCAATCAGGAGCTGTCGCACTGGGCTCATGCGATAAACGCGTCATTGCCTTTCTTAACCGACTCTTGGGATTCTGGAATTTCACCACATTGCCCAAAAACAACTCAATCGGACGGCAAAAAAAAATGGAAACGTCCTCGCTGTAGACAGATCAGGTCAACTGTCTGGTGAGACAGGTCTGCTTGTCAGCTCTGCATCTCAGCAGGCTATAAAAGGCACCTTCCGTCTCCAGAATGGCTCAGAGTAAACTGGTCACATTCTGAAAGAAAATGTGGGTCGTGGAGGGGGTTTATATATTCTTGACCGAGCCCTTTACAGTTCGACAGAGATGGCTGGTGGCAAAAAAATACGCATCAAATATGCATCAAATATGCGTACCAGCCATATAGGTGCATGACTCGAAACAGAGAGAAAGGAAAGGAAAGTTGTAGAAGCGTAGAAGCGATACAGAAACAACAATTATCAGATAAAAAAACAGCACGATCAGAAATATATAGAGCAAGTTACGCCTTACACCCATTCCAGAATGTACCACAGTCACTTTATACTCCTTTACACACTCCCTTCATCGTCTATCCCCCTTGCATATACGAGAATCTTATTTTAAACCTATGTAGCCAGCCGCTTCCAAAGAACGCTGAGGAATATCAGCACTTTTGTAAGCCGCTCGAAGCGGAAAATTTCCAAGAAAATTACCCGGGGATAGAGCTGGTGGCAAAAAGAGGGTATTCGGCGCTTCCACATATCCGAAAATATCTTCTGAATATACAACTGAAAGGTTTGAGTTTCTACACAGGCCCACATCATGATGGTGAAAGCAGGTAGGGGACAGAACATGGCAGATTATGGAAAGGGCAAAAAAGGGAAACAAGAAGCTCCGCAAGGGGCAAAACAATTGCAGCACCCAGGATTCTCGTATGGTCTCCCACTACAATACTAACTAGGCTCTCTGGTGCTTGACTATGGCTGATCGGACGGGAAGCCGTATTTTCACCAGGATATGGCCGCAACTGGGTTCGGACAAAAGGACGAGGTTGGAATTGGGCCTTGTAAGCCACGTGACAGCTAATTCGAACATCCACGAGCTGGGTTCTCTAACTGGATCTCTCACGCCAGTAGCCATTGGGCCAGGTATGTACGATGGTGCAGCTATTAGTAACTAAGACACTCTTCATGTATCCACACATGATCATCACACGTGACTTGATTGTACGACTAGGAATAATCTGACAAACATTGAATCCGTTCCCATCTGAAATTTTCCCAGGTTAGCCAAACGATAATGCATCACCCTCAAAAGACTTTGAGGGCTGGGTCTAGAGCTCGTCAAACTCCTTAGAATGGGTTTTGTTTTGATCCTCCATCTCCTTCTTGAGCTCAGCTACATCCTTCTAACGCTCCTCAATCTCTTCCTCCTTCTCGGCGAGATTCTTCTGCACCTTGTCGAATTCATCCTTGACTTGGCTGTTTTAATGCGGCACCTTTCAGAGTGTTCAGGAGCCGAGTAGAGGTAGAAAGATAAGAAAACCATTGGAATGGAATTGTATAATAGATTCGCCAATATCGGTGGAGCCATAGACTCTGCGAAAATGGTGGTATACTAATCGACCTACTTGAGAATATAACCCACCGGTAGGGTGTGCCCCTCCGCGAACATACATACAAACAGGAATCGATAAATTATTTCTTCTCGGACTTCTTGGGATTGCTAGTCTTGGCGGCGGCAGGCTTGTCGGCACCACCCTCAACCTTCACATCTCCCTTATCGGTCTTCTCCTTGGCAGCCTCCAGCTTTTCAGTAGCCTCGTTCAGCTCTTTGGCGGCCTGCTCCTTGACGGCAGCATCACCCTCAGCCTTGACAACTGAGCCCAGCTGCTGCTTCATCTCCTTGACGTCCTCCTCCTCGCTCTCCTTGCCAACACCCACAATAGTGTCGGTTTTCAGCAGAACGCCCGTATCATCACCAGTATTCTGGACATTCTCAGTGACAATCTCCTGGAAGCCGGGTTTCTGCTCATGCTTGACCTCGCCTCGCAGAATGGCCTCCACCTCGGTCTTTCGCTTCTTCCACTCGTCCACCTTGGACAGCTTCTCCTCAAGCGATTGGATCTCCTTCTCCACACTCAGACGAGCCTCCTTGGATCCCACAATCTCAAGATCCCAGTCCTTGCCGTCGTTGCCGAGACCCAGCTTGAGCTGGGCCTTGTGGTACTTCATCAGAGAAGGTCGATGAGATATGGTGATCAGAGTAATACCGTCCTTCTTGCAGTTCTCGTAAAGGGAGCCTTCCACATCAGAAGAAACAGCAGCAGTACCCTCATCAATAACAGCAAACTTGGGGCGATGGTATAGGATTCGGGCAAACATGACTCGCTGCTTCTCTCCTCCAGAAAAGACATCCTTCCACTCCTTTCGAGTGTTCCAGCCACCCTCACGCGAGGGCAGGTAGCCCAAATGGACTCGGTCCAGAATAGTCTGCAGATCAGCATCAGTGACGTTCTTGCTGATCATGTCGGCATGCGAATCGGGGTAGATAATCTGATCCCGCAGAGATCCAATGGAGAGGTAGGCTCGCTGGGGCAGGAAACCAATCTCGGAAATGTCGGGACGAGAGAGCAGACCACGGTAAACAGGCCACAAACCGCCAATGACTCGAGCAACTGCAGACTTACCGCAGCCGTTGGGTCCGGAAATAAGGATGTGTTCTCCGGGCTTGATGAGAACGTTAAGATCTCGAACAAGCAACTCACCAGAGCCGACAGCAGAGGGTGCAACAATCGGAACACCCTCGAATCGCACACCAGGGTATCGGGGCTGAATGGTACCTGAAATGGAGTTCAGAGTGAACTGCTCTTCCTCGGAGAGCTCACTGCTGCTGTCGGGATCGGGCTTCTCGCCGATAACAATGCCCTCCTCCTTGGCCTCCTTTGAAGCAGCCTCCTTGATGGGAGTCTTGAGTATTCGCGAGGTGTAAGCTCGAGCATGGACTCGATGCAGCACCGAAAGCAGCATGTAGACTCGAGAGGTGTAACCGGACAGCTCGGCAAGATCCTTGATGGAATACATCATTCGTCCACCGGCATCGGCAAGGGACAACATGAGTCGCTTGTTGGTGATGAAATCTCGCATGTGGTCCTGCTCAGAGAAATCCATGGAAGCGGTAACAGCAGATGCAGTCGTCTCCTTGGTCTTCTCCTTGATGGAGGTCCATGCGGGAAGGAAAACTGGCAAAGAGGCAAACATGTATCCAATGGCAGACCAGGTGTACTTCAGAATGATATCCTCAAACATGTTGTAGAAGATTTTGATTCGGTAGATTCCTCGAATGTGTCGAGCCAGTCGAATGTATGCCTTTTCGAGAATAGTTCGCTCCAGGGAAGTACCATCGTAGAAAGCAATTTCCTCTGCGTTGGTGATGAGCTTGGAATGCGCTGCTCGGTACTCACCCTCCAGCTTGGCCTGAATGGCGGCAAGCTTACCGAAGGAAGGGGCCAGACGTCGCAGCAGGTATGCAGTAAGACCGTAGTTGGCGAAAATACCAATGAGGGCCATGGGTCCCAGGTTCTTACTCAGCTGGAAGGTAAAGATGAGGAAGTCCACAAAAGGCTTACCCAGGTTTGAGTACAGTGCTGCAGCCTTGTCACAGAACCGGGCCAGATCTGTGGTGATGAACTGGTCGGCAGAAGTACCGACGTTGCCTCCATCAATGTCCGCAATCTTGTAGTATGCGAGATCGGCATCCAAATACAGATCATGTACGTATCGGGTAAGACGCGTTCGGAATGCCAGCGAGAGCTTGGCCTGCAGGTACTTGATGACTGCGTTTGTGTAGGATGCAGGGACGGCGATGGCGAACCAGTAGCCCAGTCCTCTGAGGAACTTGCGGCCGTCTCCGGCAATCATGTCTCGCACAATTTGGCCGTCGAGCTTGGCCACGAGAAGCGAGATCCATGTTCGCAGAAACAAGAACAAGGCGTGCACCAGCAGAATGAGGGATTCTCGGGACTGCAATCGGGGGACCATGATGACCCACAGCGCGGAAAACTGTCGCAGGAACCTGCCGTTGATGCCAGATTTGGCTTCTCCTCCCTCCGAGTCGTCCGGTCGCAGAAACAGTCGTCGATGTGCCTCGAACGTGACCTGCTTGGTAGGCTTGATGGTCACGGTCGTTTGTCCCTCCTTGTATGGCACCACAATCTGCTTGGACCCATCCGACAGTTTCACCGCGCTGTCCATTCGGTGTAACGGCACCTTCTTCTTGCTCTTTTTTGTGTTGAGATTGTCCAGCAGCGCCTGGCCCGCAATGCCCGTGCATGAGCCAACCAGCAGGAACGCCACGACAGCAATCACCCTCAGACGTCGGGGAGACATTTGCCGCAGACTCGCCAGGTACGTGGAGATGAACGCCCGCAACTTGACGGGGTCCTGCAGAGCCTCGATGAGCAGCGGTCGTAGTGTAGAGACGTTTGCCATGATGTTAGACGGGGTCTTGAGAGCTGTGGCTACGAGTCTTGTGAGTCTTTTGTTTGTCTTGGTGTCGCACTTGTTGTTGTATCAGAGTCGTTGGTGTTGCTGTACCCGTCTGTCGCTTTGTGTGTATCTGTAATGCACCTGCTTGCTAGCAACCACTAGTACCGTCCAAAAGTTGACGTTGTAGTGTCACGTTGTGCGCTATGTTGCGGGGAGGAGTACATGTACAGATTGCACTTTAAGTTTTGGGACTTGGGGTTCATTTAACTTCCTCGGTTCGGCAGACAGACTGGGGAACGACGAGGCCGAAAGAGACGAATATTGGTAGGCAACATGGGCCGGAGAAGACAGCAACTTGCTGTTGGCGTCCATTAAAACGGTTATGCCGCTTTTGGTTTTCCATTAGCACAGGTTTAAGCCGCTTTAGTCACTGCTGCAAGCGGAGCCACCCTACTCCCGAAAGACCTGGAAAATGAAAAAAAGCTTGCCTCCAATCAAAGCAAGTGTAAATGACGGCAACGATAAAGAATCATCTCCGGGAGAGGCGGTCGGTCACGTGATCTTTGGACAACGAACCCCGACAACCGCATCGGATGGTGAACCGCTCTTTGCGCCCCTGAAATCGCTTACGTAATCTCGGTGTGTCGACTTTTCACGAGCCCCTCTTCGTATTCGGGTTTAAACGCATCTATGCATGAGCTGGGGTAAGATCAGGGCGTTGTCTTAAGTAAAAGGTTCAAGTGTAACTCTATTATAGATGGTCGGGTTACTTAGTAGTTAGGTGGTGTGGTGAGCATTCCATATGAAAGGGAACCGATATGTGAGCACACCACGGGAGTTTTCGGTTAAAACTAGAGTACACTTGCTGTGTTATCAAATATGCGCACTTATTCAAAGGCAACCTGTTACCAGTGGAGAGTTGTGGTCACAGCGAAAGAGCGACTGCCGTGCTCTTCAGATTGGGCATGGTGTTTTTGATCTCCTCCACAAGATCAGGTTCAATGAATCCAAGACGCAGGGTCTGAACAGAAGGAAAGATCTTTCCGGGTGGCTCGGCGCTGATAGGCATTAATCTGCTGGTGCTAAAGGCGCTTCTTGTGATATCGACAGTCTTCAGCTTGGTCAGTCGAGATGCGGCTCCTATCAGCATATGCCACGCTATCAGAGGCTGAGTGTCACGTGAAATGAACTCGGTGAGACCACTGGGAAGGTCATTTGAGTCGTTGACTAGGGCTGTGGTAATCTTCTCACTCAGCTTGAGTGTAGTGATCGGCAGCTTGGCCATCCAAGAGTAATCTGGCGCCGGTGGGATCTGTAGAGACGTCTGGAGGTCGTGGTCTGTGATAGGCGTGATTGGCGAAGCAAACAGTTCGAGATATTTAATGCGAGTCAATGCAGGGGCGATTTCAGCCAGAGTCTGGTGGTCTTCCGATCCCCAGATGAGGCTGACTGGGACTCGCAGAAAGATGATTTGTTTGAGCGACTCGGGGATAAAGTATTTGATCTGATCAACAGAACGCACCTGGACCAGCAGGTCGGCCTTGTATTTTGCAGCGTAGGCACTGAGTTGGGACACGACGTCATGTAGCTGCTCGCTGAGGTCTGAATCGGCCGTGGTGTGATCTATGGTCATGACGATGGAGATTTTGTTGATATTTGTAAAAACTGATCTGTTGAGAAATGCCAGAGCCGCCAAGAACTGCTGTTCTCCCCACCAGGGCGTGAAGCTGAACTCGACTGTCCGAACCGATGACGACGCGAGCATCCCAACCTGTTTCTCTTCCAGCGCACCCTTGAAGCGGTCTACGTTGAGGTTGTGTAGAATAGTGAAGTCATCGTGACGTGGTAACAATCGCGTCTCCACATAGTGTTTCGGCATCTGGGTGATGTGTGTCCATAGTAACGGGATGACGTTGTTGTAGAGACCTTGACAGGTGCATGCAAGGTGGACCAGCTGCGTCTGATCCTCGACGTATCCAGCAATGATGCGGAAGATTTCGTGCGGCAAGTTCTCCATAGCTAGCGAGAGATTGAAGCTGCAGTTGTAGCTGGTTGTGGAGTGGTGGCAAAGGTGCCGGGGTAGTGAGAGTGGAAGAAGGTTGATTCGAATTCGCTTCCGATAAGATAATGCATGTATAGCGCTGCAATAGGGTAATTGGTAGGGTGGAGAAGTGAATGAAAAGTCAGCATACAACTTGGTATATGTGCTGTAACTGGAGGTTTTGAGACCAAGGCTGTTGAATTGGGCCAATAGTGTCACCTGTCAAGGTCGTAATCACTCCAATGTCAACATATTTCCGAGTTCGAGGAACTCTATCAGAGATGGTAGGCGTATCTCAGCTATATGGAGAAGGCTGCTGGTTTATGGGTTTTTGGAAACAGACAGAATGTGTATTGTTTCATTTCAGAATGTGTAGTGTTTCCATTTTGCATCAAAGAAGCACTGTTCCTGTTGGACTGGTTTGCGTCAAATATACCTAGAGCTCAACTATCGCGCGCCTCACTAGTCTGATGTCGATGACGGCGACGACAACTGCAACGATAATGATAAGCACCAGCTTGTCCGTGTCTTTATTTCTTTCTCTGTTCAACTTGACTCTTCCTTTCCTGATCAGTCCAGTCACTCAAGGTAGACGTTCCTGACAAACGTCTTGAGGACCTAGCTGGATGCTATTCAGGTGATGTTGAACAGAAAAGATACCAAAGTTCTTGAGCCTTGTGTTTCTGCGAATCTGGAGCCCAGGATAACTAGGTCGTAAGTCGCAACAATCAGACCTTCTCCATTCTTGTCGTCAGCCCAGCACGCCAATGAGTAGAGAGCACTTGTCTTCAGGTTCCAGATCTTGAACACAATCTGGTTTATGTCAAAGACGGCTTGGCTTATGTCAGAAAGACACTCCGTAGACGGCGCTGAGACGAATGTCGAATTGACATCCCTATCTTGAGAGGAATCCCATCAACAGTATGTAGTACATGCTGTAGAATAGTGCGTCTTTCCATTCCAGATGGTTGTTGGTGCAACGATAGCTGTCCCCCGTACGATTCCGGAACGATAACTGCCAACCGTACATTCCGTGGAATTTGATCAAAAATCATCTGATAATATCAACAAGTAATCATCGCGAGATTTTGCCCGATCAATCGTAATTCGTCCCTGTTGCGTCTGCCAAGCGCCGTGTGGCAAGACGCGCAGATGAGATAAATGAGACGATACAATGTATATCGAGGTGAATGGGAAACAGAGAAAGGGGCCACGATATGTAAATAACATGTAGAGGCACTTGAAGGCATGTAGAAATACGACACTAGCCTCCGTTTCTGCATCCGGACCTCTTCTTCTAGGGATATTTCACTCCACACTCCGCCGTTAAACTTGGGTGGGGTTCGTGTGGCCAAGAGTGCATGAAAACATATATCTGGTAGAGAGAGAAAGAGGGAAAGAGGGAAAGAGAAGATGGTCTCTGATTATCACCACAAACCCCACATTCTTTCCACCACATCAACATGTCTGTTTGGTCCCCAGAATCACCTGTTTTCTCCTACAGCGAGCGCCAGAACCACCTGCTTCCCCGGTCCCACGAAGATGAGCCCTTGTCTCCCACAACGGAGTATGCACACGAGCTGACCCACCAGGCGGTCCAGTATGGCAGCCAAAGTCCTGAAGTCAGCAAGATCGAGATGACCGAGGACTTTACTCCAAACGCCGGGTACATTGAGGTCAAGCCTCCAGCCCGACCTCGTCAGAATATCGCCAAGGATAATCAGCAAATGCGACTGGCCCTTCTGCGAGTCAAGAGATACGAGACCGCCGTTCAGCGACTGCAGGAGGAACAGGATAGAGAAAGACAGACCGCCCGACAGGCTGGAAGGGATCTCATCAAGTACACAACGTCGGTCAAGGACCATGCGGTTCCAGAGCTGTGGGGGTATCTTCCCCCGGAGAAGAACCCTTATGCCCTGTATGAGGAGGAGAACAAGACGACCGGATGTTGTGTTATTTCGTGACCCGCGCCGAATAAACAGGGACCGTTTTAGCTGAGGTAATAAATTGACGCTATATCAGAGAAGCTGGAGCACATGTGCGCCCGAATAAATAGCACAGGATGGTTGCAAAAGTGGTGTCATTCTGTGGCATGTCTGCTCAAATTGCAAGAGTCAACAAATCATCAACAAGCTCGGTGTCAGTATACTCAATGCCCCGGTTGCGCATCTCGTCCTCACACCATCGCTTGTGCATGAGAGTCGCAAACAGAGCCTCGCTCCGAGCCTCACGAATCTCACCCATCTTCTCAAGACTAATTGATCGGAACTGGTTCAGGGCCCGCACCTGCGTTAAAAGCGCATCCGAGTGGTCAGTGCCCTTGAGCTCGTCGTGGATGAACAAGCACGACTTGACGCAAAAGTCAATGCTCTCCTGGAGCTGGATGACACCCTGGCCAATCCCTCTGTCTCTCTTAGCCAGAGCGGCTCGCTCGTCCAGATATTGTTCTCGCAGAAGCTTGAGCTCGTGGTCAGACGCGGAGGTGATGTGCTCGGGAACTTGGCTAGGTTGGTTGAACATTGATGGTGTAATATGTGTTTAGATAAAGAGGAAAGAGGAATAGTGGCCAGCTGCCTTTCTTATATCTACATCAGGAACGTTACATGAGGCACACTACCACATGATACCTGTGATAAGGGAGTTGTAAAGACGTAATTGCTACATCTGGTTCAGAATGTCTATATATAAACCCGTTAGCGTCCAATAAATTACCTACCTGTGCTGATTACAACTTCTTCTGAGCCTCGGTAAAGTTGGGATAGTCAATGGGAACATTGAAGCCCTTCTTGACCTCTGGAATTGACAGCAGTCGAGTCAGCCACTTGTCCAACTCAGGGAACTCGCTCAAGTCAATACCAATGGCTTCCGAACGCTGCACCCAGCCAACAAGAGTAATGTCGGCAATGGAGATGTGGTCACCGGCAAGATATCCAGTGCCGTTCTCCTTCAGACGGGTGTCCAAGACGCCATATAGACGCTTGGTCTCGTCGGTATAACGCTTGATGCCATACTCAATTTTTTCGGGGGCATAGATCTTGAAGTGGTTGGCTTGGCCCTGCATGGGTCCAACGCCTGCGTTCTGGAAAAACAGCCACTCAATTGACTTGTAATAGTCCAGGGTGCCCTCAGGATAGGAGATTTTGTGGTCTTTGTCGTACTTGGACACCAGGTACTGCAGAATGGCGCCAGACTCGAAGATGGCAAACGGAGCAGAAGAGGTAGCCCCGGGACCCTCGGTATCGGTGATGGCGGGAATTCGGCCGTTCAAAGACACCTTTCGAAACTCGGGGGTGTGCTGCTCGCCATTTTTGATATCGATGGAAACCACCTTGTATGGCAGCTTGAGCAGTTCGAGAGCGACGGAGATCTTCACGCCGTTGGGAGTGGGCCAGGTGTACAGTGTGATTGCCATTTTGTGTGGTATTTGGGGTGTTGAGGAAGAGAGAGAGTCAGCCTCGGTGTCAAGAGAGGGCCTTCATACACTGGTGGTGTGGCTTGCTTAGATGACGCATTATCACCAAATCTTAAAGATCACCCCACACTTTTGCCTTTGAACCACCGAAATTTCAGGCAACTAAACTCCCAACAAAGTACTGGGATTTAGGACTGGAAATTGTGAAGAAAAACAGAACAAAAAGAAACAGGAGCAGATATGGCGCCACAGTTGGTGAGTATGCGCGAACTTTTCTGCAGTAAAAGTTGATCTGCTGAAAGAAGAGCATAACAAGTACGACTGGTGAGTTGTGGGTTTGTCGGGTGCTTGGACGAGTCCATATTGAATCTTTCACTTTCGCAGCATGGTCACTCACCGAAGAACATATGTACAAAGTACGTACTAACAGGAGACCGCAAATAACAATGCGAGCCTCCGAGAGTCGTACTTGTAGTAGTTCTTACAGCTTCTGCAAAACCATACCTTCATATTTGGTCTCACATGGTTACTTTTAGTTCCAGTTTTCTACTCGGAACCTCACAACGAGCTTAGTAAGCAGAGACTACGGAATTCCGAGCCACTCGCCCACTCGTCCACTATCCACTCGACACTCACAGGATTCAAAAAACAATTGCAGCACCTAGGATTCTCGTATGGTCTCCCACTACAATACTAACTAGGCTCTCTGGTGCTTGACTATGGCTGATCGGACGGGAAGCCGTATTTTCACCAGGATATGGCCGCAACTGGGTTTGGACAAAAGGACGGGGTTGGAATTGGGCCTTGTAAGCCACGTGACCACCGAAATTTGCCGTCCGTCGGAAGAAAACCGTGAAGAAATTCCACTGTCGGTCTATTTTCTGTCGTTATCGTGTCAATTGAGTCTTCGGGAACGTACTGTCTGACGTATGTGTTGTCATGATACTGCAACAGCCAATTATCCATACTAGTGTTTGTTGATTACTCTTACACATCAATACATGGCACAGGCCGTCTTAACTATTCAATACTATATACATTAGGCGACAACGTCACGGATGGAGGCGAGGTAGGTCTTGTAAGATCGGTTCTCAAAGGTCTCGGCAATCTCGGGGAGCAGCAGCAGGAAGGTGGTGTCGACACCTCGAGACTGGATGTAGTCCTGGATAGATCGCTGGAGATCCTCGTCGAGAGAGTAGAAGTAGGGACCCTCGTAGGCGTTTCGTCGCTCAGCAGCAGTGTTGGCGTCGTCAATGGTGGCGAGCTTGCCGTCCTTGTAGGGGGTGATGGTGGAGATGATGAACTCTCCCTCGTCAATCTGGCCGTGGATGGACAGAGCGCCCTGGGCGGCTCGGTCGATGACAACGTTGATGTCCATCATCTCGGGCATCTCCATCTCCTCAGCACTCTCCACCTCGGCCTCCTCGGGGAAGGCGTCGGGGGCAGGCTGGGCAACGGCGCCCAGAGACACAAACACTCGGGTGACGTCGCCGTTGTCAAGCTTCTTGACAAGCTCGAGCTCGTCCTTGGAGGGGGAGTAGACAATCTCGAAGCCGCTCTTGGTCAGCTCGTTGTCAATCTCCTTGGGAAGTCGGTACTGGCCGGTGGAGCCGGACTCCTCGGCAATCTCGGCCTCCACGGAGTTCTCGTAGTCAATCTCCTTGGTCAGTCGAGCCACCAGTTCGGTAGCAATGGCCTCGGAGGAGAAGGCGGGTCGAGAGGTGCTGAGGGCTCGAGTGAAAGCGGGAACAGCAAATCGGGTCACCTGGGGAGCAGATGCTCGCAGGGCCTGTCGCACAATGTTGGAGGCGTTGATTCGCAGAATTGCTCGGGACATGATGTCTGTGGTTGTGTAAAAAACTGTGGACTTGCTCAAACTGAAGGGGGTTATCGTTCGTTATATAATTTTATTCATGCATGCTGCACGTCTCTTCAGGGTTAGGGCTGGAAAACCGCACTACAATCCATTGCCACTCTCTATTGGGAGACCCAATCCCAATCAAGTTTTGGGCAGTGTGAGAAGCCCATAGAATTCCCAACCAAAAAAAAAAAAAAAAAAAAAAAAAAAAAAAAAAAAGGGAAATCTGGGGCAGCGCTAAATAAGCTCGTATTTTTTAAAAAAATGTTTGTTTTTTTTTTTAGCAGAAATTCGCCACCAAATAGAAAATGACTTTTGTTGAACATCTCAACTGCACGGCACGATATAGAAGTCTTGCAAGAAATGAAAAGAAATCTGCTACAAAGAGAAAAGCGGGTACGAGTGGAGGAAGAGGAGTAGGTCGCCACCATATTTGGCGGGTCAGTTTCCCAATTGAGCAATCTACACATGCCTCTGCATCTTCTACAGGTTGGTACATATAATTTCAAGTGACTAGAGGTTACAGAATGAATGAAGCCGTCGTAAGAGAGCGCATTCAAAATTAGTGCTTGAGAGTCTCGTTCTTGAGAGACTCGGTGGCGTAGCCCTCTCGAGCAGCGGTGGTGTTCTTGGGGTCGGCAACGCCTCCAGCGGCCTGTCGGGCCTGCTTCTTGAGAGCCCGCTTTCGGATGTCGACGTGCATCTTGTAGTTGAAGCCGGCAACGAGCTTGGAGAAGACGCCGACGGTCTGGGCGATCCACCAGTGCAGCAGGGCGTGGGACCAGTAGGGGGTGGAGGTGGCAAACTTCTCCTGGGCTCCTCCGGCTCGGCCAACGGACGACAGAGTGGCGGTGACAAACTGCTTGGGGTTGGGGATCAGAGCAGAGGTCTTTCGGACCTTGGACATGGCAGAGGTGACGAGGTAGGAGACAACGAGCTCGACATCGACGTGCTCGGGGGCAAGCTCCACGGCCAGAGCGTTGGACCAGTGCTGGAGGAAGGCCTTGGAACCAGAGTAGGTAGCGAGCAGGGGGGTGGGCAGCAAGCCGCCAAAAGATCCCATGGTAAGAATGAGACCCTTCTGGAACTTCTTGGTGGCTCGGGCCTCCTTGACGGACTCGACAATCTTGGGGGCAATCAGCTGGGTGATCTTCAGAGTAGCCAAGTTGTTGATGGCGATGATGTTGTGCAGCTCGGCGGGGGGGGTCTCGAGGAAGGGGGTGGGGATGGAGTGGGACAAGCCGACGTTGTTGATGAGGATAGACACGCTGGGGATGGTCTCCAGCACGGTCTCGATGTCCTTGTAGTTCTGGGGGGAGTCGGTGGACACGTCGATGGCCAGGAACTTGGTCTCGACCTTGGACTTTTCGGCAATCTCCTGGGCCAGCTCTCGCAGCTTGGACTCGGTTCGAGAAATGAGGAACACGTTGAAGCCTCGGAGACCCAGCTGTCGGGCGTACTCCTTGCCAATGCCGTCAGAAGCACCGGTCACCACGGCCCAGGCGCCCCGCTGGGAGCCGTAGGGCAGGTAGTTGGTGGGAGGCAGCACAAACACGTCGAGAAGAACGGCCACATAGGACACCACCTTCAGAGCCACGTGGAAGAGGCCAATTGCCAGCAGAAAGACGGCAATGATGGAGAGACCATGGTACTTGATGAGAGCAGACAGCACCCGGTCCGTGTTGTTGATGATCGAGTCACAAAAGTAGTTTTTCGCGTTCACGTAGACCATTGTGAGGGTTGTGTGAGTAGTGGTTGAGTTGGTGTATAGCAAACTCCAACCTATTAAAATACCATATGCACTCTGCCACTTCTCGGGTATCTTGACGCAAGGTCGTGGGACATTGCTGTGATCGACACAATCCATTGTCTATAGAGTTCCGGTTTATTGTCCGGGTTGTGCGACGGGTTTGTGGTTCTGAGTAGTATATATAGCGCTTGTTTCCCTTCGATTGGGCCCATTCCCTTCAATTGAGCCATTTTTTCTTCTTGTCTCATCCCAGCCTTTCTGCCAGTCGCTAGCGTCTCCGTGGAGGGACTCTGACAGGCCGCCCCACTGAAACTGTCCAATGTCTACATGAAACCGGCTAGACGACCTTGAGTTTCAGACGAGTGGCTGTGACCGGAGCGCTCATACAACGGTGTGTAAGTACAGGTACTGTACGATATTGCACCATGTACTCGTGCGATATTGAAGTATGTACTCGTACTCGCACCGTACCTACTGCTCATGTCGTGAACAGCACGTGGGAAGAGATGTAAAAAGACGCCGCAGAAGTTTATCTGTACAAGGAGATGGACTTGTAGGTTGTAGAGTAATGGTAAATGTGTCCGTTAGAGCACGGTTTCACGTGACATTTTATGGCTTTTATGGGCATTTTATGACCATTGTCGCCATGCTGAATCCCCCAGACTTGTTGTTTTGTCAGCTGCTCCTCTGGAAGACGAGTTATGGCCACTGTCTCCATTCCTCGTTGGTGGAGCAAGGCAGATGGATAGAATACGATCTTGTACATACTGTACTTGGTCTTGTAGGGCAAGTCCAGGGGTTAGGGATACTCAAGTGGTGAATTCCGGCTCATTGATGAGTTTGGACTTCAACGCGTCGCTTTACAGCACCAAAAGTTGCACGCGTGTTTGGGACGCTAGCACGGCCGCCTACAGCTATTAAACCTCATTTCGACAAGGTCAAGCATTTCTAGAAGGTCAAGAAAGCTTGGGGGCGCTTGCGAATGCTTGGGGACGCCTTGTGCGGTTCCTTCAAAACCTCTCATTGCTGATCCGCAATACTATGGAACTGGACGCGGGAGCAGCGGAAACGGCGCTCTGTCGGGCGACATGGCTTGGTCGTGAGGACAGTGCGAGCTGCCGGACCATGGCAGCCTGACCGGTTTAGGCGGTGATGAGGCCTGGCGGAGCTGAATGGCACGTTTTTGATCGGCAGATTGAGGTAAATGCCCGATAGACGTGGGGGGGGGCGACCATGACAGATTCAGAGATGGTTGCCATGTCCCTAGGACCGTGGGTTGCGAACACGGAGAGAGGTCGTCATACCAGAGGCAGGAGTTGGCCGTCATGTTCCGGGACACGAGTCTTTGACGAACGCGGAGTAGTCGCAAACCCCATTCAGCAGTAGCTTGGGTTGGACGCCTTCACGAACGAACGGGGAACGGTGTTGAGCTCCGTTCAGAGATGGCTACCAAATGTCGTAGGTGAGTCCAGAGGTTAGGGAGCTGCAAGAATGTCCTATGAGCGAGGGACGGCGAGACAGGTATACGATGACAGTGACAACAGTGACAACAGTGACAACAAACGTAATGTGTTAAAAGTACAGAGATATACAGGAAGTAGATGTGGATGGGCCAAGTATGTACAGTATTGTAGCAACGAGCAAGCAATACAAGGTTTAAATACAATGCTGGGTCAAGTCTCATTAATCTGGATCTGAGACATGAAGACATGTCTTATAGGTCAGAAGAGCAGCTTTTGGTGAGTTCAAAAGTCTGACTAAGCCGAATTGTTCAGATTATGAGCAATATCATCCCTAGTTTGGTTTTGTGGGATAGTTCTACAAACTGCTTACACTGTTCTGAACTGCAATATGGTTGCATTTTTGTTTGTAGGTGCACTGTACTCAACTAGTTAGGATCTCAAATGAGGGTGTCCAAATGAGGGTGTCATAAGCCGGACAACAACGGAAACTAGTTGTAATACCACAAGCCCGACGTTCGCAACGCTCAAAAACAGCTTCGCAGCAATTGCTATATATATACCAACGCCCTTACTCCCCACAGACACCGAAAGAATCCCTCCTAACCCTGATTGTGCAGCAACTCAAACAACGTTAATACTGCCAAATGTCCAGTGATATGGTTGGCTCTCATCACCGGCAATCTCTCCAGACATGAATCTGTTTTCCAAGTCCGAGGACGGCTCCAACACGGCTACCAATGCATCTCAGCCCGACAACGTGACCGCTGGCGCAGGGTCCGCTCCCTCCACAGCCACCCCCGCCCCCGAGGGAGACGGTACCAACTCTCAGGAAAAGACTGAGCTCGGAAAGCTGACGGCTTTTGTCAAGGAGGACCCCCAGAACACGTACTACATTGATGGCGAGCGGGAGGTGGCTCGAAGCAGCGTGTGCAGAAACACCCAGCAGGGCCGAACCTGTCTGCAGCTGCTCATCTCCTCCAAGGTCATGTTTCAGCAGATGCAGAAGATGGTGAGTATAGACATTGGACGGTAACAGATGGGTCAACACGCCCAATGGTGCTGGACGACACCCTTCTGCCTCATCCACTAACACAGAACTTTTACTGTGCTCTTACAGACGAAATTGGCCGAACAGACATGGAGTGCAAGTACGTCCCATAGTGGTTGCACCTCCCCCCCCCCATGCTGTGGCAAGACAGACTCTAAAAAAAATTCCATTTCATATCATACACAGAAATACAAACATATATATATACATGCTTTAACACAAGTGTCCAAGCGTTTGGTCTCTACGCCTGTGAGTTCAACACCTCCAACGCATGGCCCGTCACCTCGGCCCTAACCCCTTCACGCACCACATCGGTCTCAATGCTGGCATACTCGCCCTCCAACTTGCGTTTTTTCGCCTCCAGAATCTCCAACGCCTGATTGAACGCCTCCAGCTCGGTCAAACGCTTCTGGATACCCTCCGTTTGGGCAGTTTTAATGTGATACGGCTCCGACGCTCGAGACACCGTGGTTTCCGATCCCAGATAAAAGTGCGCCTCCTGGTACGCCTGGTTGGTGTGTGTCTTCGGAGTACCCACCACGGGCGTTGTTGGCGTGCTACTGTGGTGTGAGCTGTTGTGTCTAGACCCGTTTCCGCTGCTGGGCTTCGGACCATGCGGTCTAGAAGGAGAGTCCTTGTCACGCTCAGGCGGGCGATGAAACTCACCCCTTGGCTCCCGCGGTGGTGGACGACCGCTGTGATTGCTGCTGTGACTGTCGTGGCGTTCCCTAGGACCGCTGGGGGGCCGATCTCTAAACTCCCGCGGAGAGTCTCTAGCATCACGCTCCCTGCTATCACGCTCCCTAGGATCACGCTCCCTAGGATCATGATCGCGTGGGTCACGATCGCGTGGGTCACGATCGCGTGGGTCACGTGGTGGAGGTCTGTCACGTGACTCCCATGGTCTCGGCTCCCGTGGGGGTTCTCGGGGCCAGTCTCTGGGGCCTTCCCGAGGTCCTCGCGATCCATCTCTTCTGTAGTCTCTCACTTCATCACGTCGAAAACCTGCTCGATCAGAAATCTCGCGATCCCGCGCGTACTCCTGCTCGTAAGCATGTCGCCGTTCTCTTCCGTATCCAAATCTCTCGTTTCCACGGCCTCTTCCGCGACCTCTGTATGGTCTCGACATTGTTGCTGGTGACTGTTGTAGTGGTGTTTGAAAACTCTGATACAGGTTATGACGACTGGGGATATCACCAAACCTTGTGTGTACCGATACTGTACAGTATGTACTGGAGCTACGATTGCACCCTTCAGAGTACTGTACAAGTATCGGATTATTCATATATGGAAAAGTTCGACAAGGAACGGGACTGTTGCTCCATAAATGGAAATTCTTAGTATAGTCGTCAGTTATTCACCCCACATCCAGTCCATTGATTTCCCTAATCTAGAGCATACAGCTAATATTCTTAACTACTGTCATCATTATTCCTAACTATTATCACCACTATTGGAAATTTTACTTGGACAAGACTAACAAATTCCAGATAAGATTACAACTAACAAACAGCTACAGTAAAAGTAGTACAAAATAATAATCCATTAACATATCAAGTAATGACAAGTGGAGAAAAGACACAATTGAGAATCTTAGAAGAGGAAGGCAACAAGTGCTACAGAGACGAGACTAGCAGGAATACTGTAGCGAGAGGCCGAGTTGGCTTGAGCGGCACCGGAGCCGGTACCAAACTGGTCAGGTCCAGACTCATCAGTTCCCAAACCAGATCCAGAGCCTGAGCCGGAATCAGAGCCTGAGCCAGATCCAGAGCCTGAGCCGGAATCAGAGCCTGAGCCAGATCCAGAGCCTGAGCCGGAATCGGAGCCTGAGCCGGATCCAGAGCCTGAGCCGGAATCGGAGCCTGAGCCGGATCCAGAGCCTGAGCCGGAATCGGAGCCTGAGCCGGATCCAGAGCCTGAGCCAGATCCAGAGCCTGAGCCTGAATCAGAGCCTGAGCCGGATCCTGAGCCTGAGCCGGATCCAGAGCCGGAGTCGGAACCAGAGCCAGATCCAGAGCCGGAACCGGAGTCAGATCCAGAGCCGGAACCAGAGCCGGAACCGGAATCGGATCCTGAGCCTGAGCCAGAGCCTGAGCCGGATCCTGAGCCTGAGCCGGAATCAGAGCCTGAGCCAGATCCAGAACCGGAGCCGGATCCTGAGCCTGAGCCGGAATCAGAGCCTGAGCCAGATCCAGAACCGGAGCCGGAACCAGAGCCAGAATCAGAGCCAGAGCCAGAGCCAGAACCGGATCCTGAGCCAGAGCCAGAATCAGAGCCTGAGCCAGATCCTGAGCCTCCGTTTCCTCCAGAAGATCCAGAGCCAGAGCCAGAAGTACCATCACCAGATCCAGATCCAGAGCCAGAGCCAGAACCAGAGCCAGAACCAGAACCAGAGCCAGAAGTACCATCACCTCCAGATCCAGAGCCGTTACTGGAAGAACCATCTCCACCAGAGCCAGATCCAGAGCCGTTACCAGAAGTACCATCTCCTCCAGATCCAGAGCCAGAGCCGTTACCAGAAGTGCCATCTCCTCCAGATCCAGAGCCAGAGCCGTTGCCGGAAGAACCATCTCCTCCAGAGCCAGATCCAGAGCCAGAGCCGTTACCGGAAGTGCCATCTCCTCCAGATCCAGATCCAGAGCCGTCACCGCCATTGCCGGAAGAACCATCTCCTCCAGATCCAGATCCAGAGCCAGAGCCAGAGCCGTTACCGGAAGTGCCATCTCCTCCAGATCCAGAGCCGTTACCAGAAGTGCCATCTCCTCCAGATCCAGATCCAGAGCCGTCACCGCCGTTGCCGGAAGAACCATCTCCTCCAGAGCCAGATCCAGAGCCGTCACCGCCGTTGCCGGAAGAACCATCTCCTCCAGAGCCAGTTCCAGAGCCGTCACCGCCGTTGCCGGAAGAACCATCTCCTCCAGAGCCAGATCCAGAGCCGTCACCGCCGTTGCCGGAAGAACCATCTCCTCCAGAGCCAGATCCAGAGCCGTCACCGCCGTTGCCGGAAGAACCATCTCCTCCAGATCCAGATCCAGAGCCGTCACCGCCGTTGCCGGAAGAACCATCTCCTCCAGAACCAGAGCCGTCACCACCGTTTCCGTCACCATCACCTCCAGATCCACTTCCGCCATCGCCGTTGCCGCCGTTTCCAGAAGTGGAAGTAGAAGAAGTAGGAGAAGCAGTTGTGGGAGTACCAACATTACCACCGCCATTCGTGGAAGACGTGAGAGGAGTTGAAGATAGAGAGTCCGAGGTGTCACCGGACTGAATCGACGTGGGAGCATTGGTGTTAGTACCATCAGGGATTGACGAAGTAACCGTGCCAGACACACCAGTGTCGGTAGCAGTAGCTCCAGTGTCGGTAGCAGTAGCTCCAGTGTCAGTGGCAGTAGCTCCAGTGTCGGTAGCAGTAGCTCCAGTGTCAGTGGCAGTAGCTCCAGTGTCGGTAGCAGTACCGGTGTCGGTGGCACCAGTGTCGGTAGCAGTACCAGTGTCGGTAGCTCCAGTGTCGGTGGCAGTAGCTCCAGTGTCAGTGGCAGTAGCACCAGTGTCGGTAGCAGTACCGGTGTCGGTAGCACCAGTGTCAGTGGCAGTAGCACCAGTGTCGGTAGCAGTACCGGTGTCGGTGGCACCAGTGTCGGTAGCAGTACCGGTGTCGGTAGCTCCAGTGTCAGTGGCAGTAGCTCCAGTGTCAGTAGCAGTAGCACCAGTGTCGGTAGCAGTACCGGTGTCGGTAGCACCAGTGTCGGTAGCAGTACCGGTGTCGGTAGCACCAGTGTCAGTGGCAGTAGCTCCAGTGTCGGTAGCAGTCGCTCCAGTGTCAGTGGCAGTACCGGTGTCGGTAGCACCAGTGTCAGTAGCAGTACCGGTGTCGGTAGCACCAGTGTCAGTGGCAGTAGCTCCAGTGTCGGTAGCAGTACCGGTGTCGGTAGCACCAGTGTCAGTGGCAGTAGCTCCAGTGTCAGTAGCAGTCGCTCCAGTGTCAGTGGCAGTACCAGTGTCGGTGGCACCAGTGTCAGTAGCAGTACCGGTGTCAGTAGCACCAGTGTCGGTAGCAGTAGCACCAGTGTCAGTGGCAGCACCGGCTGTCGGTAGCAGTGTCGGTGGCAGTGGCACCAGTGTCGGTAGCAGCACCGGTGTCGGTAGCAGTGTCGGTGGCAGTGGCACCAGTGTCGGTAGCGGTGTCAGTGGCAGTGGCACCAGTATCGGTAGCAGCACCGGTGTCAGTAGCAGTGTCAGTGGCAGTAGCTCCAGTGTCGGTAGCAGTTGCACCAGTGTCGGTAGCAGCACCGGTGTCGGTAGCAGTGTCAGTGGCAGTGGCACCAGTGTCGGTAGCAGTGTCAGTGGCACCAGTGTCTGTAGCAGTGTCAGTGGCACCAGTGTCAGTAGCAGTAGCTCCAGTGTCGGTGGCAGTGGCACCAGTGTCGGTAGCAGCACCGGTGTCGGTAGCAGTGTCGGTAGCAGTGGCACCAGTGTCGGTAGCAGTAGCACCAGTGTCGGTAGCAGTGTCAGTGGCACCAGTGTCAGTAGCAGTAGCTCCAGTGTCGGTGGCAGTGGCACCAGTGTCGGTAGCAGCACCGGTGTCGGTAGCAGCACCGGTGTCGGTAGCAGTGTCAGTGGCAGTGGCACCAGTGTCGGTAGCAGTGGCACCAGTGTCGGTAGCAGTAGCACCAGTGTCGGTAGCTGTGTCCGTGGCACCAGTGTCAGTGGCAGTAGCTCCAGTGTCGGTAGCAGTTGCACCAGTGTCGGTAGCAGCACCGGTGTCGGTAGCAGTGTCAGTGGCAGTGGCACCAGTGTCGGTAGCAGTGTCAGTGGCACCAGTGTCGGTAGCAGTGTCAGTGGCACCAGTGTCGGTAGCAGTGTCAGTGGCACCAGTGTCGGTAGCAGTGTCAGTGGCACCAGTGTCGGTAGCAGTGTCAGTGGCACCAGTGTCAGTAGCAGTAGCTCCAGTGTCGGTGGCAGTGGCACCAGTGTCGGTAGCAGCACCGGTGTCGGTAGCAGTGTCAGTGGCAGTGGCACCAGTGTCGGTAGCAGTGGCACCGGTGTCGGTAGCAGTGGCACCGGTGTCGGTAGCTGTGGCACCGGTGTCGGTAGCTGTGTCTGTAGCAGTGTCTGTAGCAGTGTCTGTGGCAGTGTCTGTAGCAGTGTCTGTAGCAGCAGTGTCTGTAGCAGTGTCTGTGGCAGCAGTGTCTGTAGCAGTGTCTGTAGCAGTGTCTGTGGCAGCAGTGTCTGTAGCAGTGTCTGTAGCAGTGTCAGTAGCAGCAGTGTCTGTAGCAGTGTCTGTGGCAGTGTCAGTAGCAGTGTCAGTAGCTCCAGTGTCGGTAGCAGTAGCTCCGGTATCTGTGGCAGTAGCTCCAGTGTCTGTGGCATCAGTGGTCTGAGATACAGACTCTTCAGTGGTCGTGACGGGCAGAGTGCTCACAATAGTGGTGCATGAACCAGTAATGGTGTCTGTTACACACGACGAAGAAGCCGTAGTGGACATTCCGCATCCTCCAAGGTTGTCGAGGAAAATAGCAGGGAGGTTAGGAATGGATGACAGATCGAAGATCGAGACACACTGCAGACACTGACCAGCTGCCACAGCACCAGCCAAAAGACGGTCACAAATACAAGTACCACCAAGAATATTGCAGGGAAGGAGATTGTTCACAATTCCTGTGCAGATTGAAATGCACTGCGCCAATGTAAGTCCGTCATCGATCGGGGTACAAGTAGTAGACGAAGTGTCGGGCTCGCAAGATGTCATGGTTGTAACCACATCAGTTACAGTAGCAGCACCGGTGTCGGTAGCAGTGTCAGTGGCAGTAGCACCAGTGTCGGTAGCAGTGTCAGTGGCAGTGGCACCAGTGTCGGTAGCAGCACCGGTGTCGGTAGCAGTGTCAGTAGCAGTGGCACCAGTGTCAGTAGCAGTGGCACCAGTGTCGGTAGCAGTGGCACCGGTGTCGGTAGCAGTGTCTGTGGCAGCAGTGTCTGTAGCAGTGTCTGTGGCAGCAGTGTCTGTAGCAGTGTCTGTGGCAGCAGTGTCTGTAGCAGTGTCTGTGGCAGCAGTGTCTGTAGCAGTGTCAGTAGCAGCAGTGTCAGTAGCAGTGTCAGTAGCAGCAGTGTCTGTAGCAGTGTCTGTAGCAGTGTCTGTGGCAGCAGTGTCTGTAGCAGTGTCTGTGGCAGCAGTGTCTGTAGCAGTGTCAGTAGCAGCAGTGTCTGTAGCAGTGTCTGTAGCAGCAGTGTCTGTAGCAGTGTCTGTAGCAGCAGTGTCTGTAGCAGTGTCAGTAGCAGCAGTGTCTGTAGCAGTGTCTGTGGCAGCAGTGTCTGTGGCAGCAGTGTCTGTAGCAGTGTCAGTAGCAGCAGTGTCTGTAGCAGTGTCTGTGGCAGCAGTGTCTGTAGCAGTGTCAGTAGCAGCAGTGTCTGTAGCAGTGTCTGTGGCAGCAGTGTCTGTAGCAGTGTCAGTAGCAGCAGTGTCTGTAGCAGTGTCAGTAGCAGCAGTGTCTGTAGCAGTGTCAGTAGCAGCAGTGTCTGTAGCAGTGTCTGTGGCAGCAGTGTCTGTAGCAGTGTCTGTGGCAGCAGTGTCTGTAGCAGTGTCTGTGGCAGCAGTGTCTGTAGCAGTGTCTGTAGCAGTGTCTGTAGCAGCAGTGTCTGTAGCAGTGTCTGTGGCAGCAGTGTCTGTAGCAGTGTCTGTAGCAGTGTCTGTAGCAGCAGTGTCTGTAGCAGTGTCTGTAGCAGCAGTGTCGGTAGCAGTGTCTGTAGCAGCAGTGTCGGTAGCAGTGTCAGTGGCAGAGGCACCAGTGTCGGTGACATCAGTGGACTGAGACTCAGTTGTAGACTCGTCAGTGGTGATGACGGGCAGAGTGCTCACAATAGTGGTGCATGCTCCAGTTTGAGTCTGTGTAACACACGATGAAGAGGCAGTTGTAGCCATTCCACAGCCGCCCAAGTTGTTCAAGAACAATGCGGGGAGGTTAGGAATGGATGACAGGTCGAAGATAGAGACACACTGCAGACACTGACCCGCTGCTACAGCTCCAGCCAAAAGACGGTCACAAATACAAGACCCGCCGATGAGCCCACAAGGAATTAGGGTAGTCACCAGACTTGTACAAACGGAGGTGCACTGAGCGAGCGTCATACCGTTGTCAACTGGACTGCATGTGGAAGAGACAGTGTCTGGCTCGCATGAGGTCATGCTGGTGACCTGTTCTGAAGGTGAGGCGGTAATGGAACGACAAGCACCAGGGAGAGTGGTAGTATCACACTGAGTCTGGGGACCAACAGGAATATTGCAATCAGCGTAGTAGTTCAGAAGGTTGCTAGCCAGATTGGGAATTGCGGCTGTCAGGTCAAATAGCTGGGAACACTGCAGACAGGCGGCAGCAGTTGCCAGCATGCCTCCAAGTCTATCACAGATGCAAGTGGTCACACCGACACAGAGACCAATTTGAGCAATCAGGTTTGTGCACTGAGTTGAACATTGGACGAAGGTGAGATCCTGAGGATTGGGAACCGAACAAGTGGAAACAATTTGAGGTGGGTCACAAGTCACAGCAGGGTCAATTGTGGTGGTTTGACACACGGGCTGGGGAGTTGTAGGCTGTCCACAACCGGCAACAAATGTAAGAAGTCCACTTGTGATGGGGAGAACAGAGACATCGAAAATTGAAGCACAGGCGATACAGTCGTTAATGTTTCCAATTGTCTGCACCACCCGGTCGCAGATGCACGACTGGATGCCCAAACAGAGGGCGATATCGTTAATAACGGCGGAACAGATTGACAGACAGCTAGCTTGGTCGGGAACGGATGGGAGAGCACAGCTGGTAATCGTAGTCTCGGGGGCTCGCCGCTGCAGGGCAAAATGACGAGGCGCGGATGTGATAGTCGGAAGAGGGGCGCCGCAAACGGGGACTTGGGGAGCGAAGGGCTCACCTCTCGATTCAAGTTCGTTGTAGACGGCGTTTTTGTTGTCCAGGTGGAACACTGTCAGACATTGCAGACACTATGTTAGTACGGTTAAGACACAGGGTACAGCAGCATGATACTCACTTTCTCAACATCGGCATTGTAGATGAGAAAATCATTACAAGCACTCAAGCAAGAGTTCTCGTTTAATGTGGTCGCTGGGATGCACGTTAGGGGACGTTGCACCGGACCAGCTGCTACCAAGGCGGCAGCAGTCAGCAACAATGATAGTTTCATCTGCGTTAGTCTCACTCGTAAAGATTGCAATTGAGGGAAAAGTACTCACGTTGTTGAAGAGGTTGTCGTTCGATGGGGGTCCAGCATAGACGGGGCCGGTGGTTATATGTTCTCGAGGGAGTCCTTGTGTGCCTCGAGTTTGCTTGTCCTCACCTTCATTCCAAATATGGCCAAGCTAACCGTTTTCGTAAGGAATTCGAAGCCTGCAGCGGGCCGCGGATAGTGTCCTTGTCATTATGCACACTCTTTTGGTGATATTGGATGTCACACACTCACGCAAACACATTTTCTCCCGCCCCCTTTCTTTGTGTCGAGAAGGCAGCCATTCTTTACACGCAATTGAGAGGACGGATAGAGCCACTTTGTCGCTGACAGGTCTCCATTGTGACTGCGGGTGTCAGAGCCGATCCATTGAGTGCTCAGAGGAATGGTTCGCCGAGAATAAGGATCATAAACCGAGTTGCCATTATCATAGTGTTAAGGTGTGGCCCATTTGCCGGTCCCACTACTCCGATAGCTGCGTGAGATGCACATGTTTGTGGGGGACCCGAGACTCTATTAGTTGTTCCATGCCCAATGCGTCCTTGTCGGGGAGCCGTATAGCGGGAGTCAGCTGCAACTCAATCACAATCACTCAATCACAATGACAATGTGTTTGTCAGCCACGCATTGTCACTCTCACATCACATCACATCACATCACACACATTCCAGAATGGGTCGCATCGCATCTGGTTGGGGTGGCTACGCCCTCACGGTCTCGATAGAGCACCTTCTTTGTCATGTTGATGGGAGGTTGCATGGACCGTGTGGTTGTCATGTCTGATATCGACAGTTTTGACAGCAAAATGGTCCGTAATTAGCCAAATCCGTAGTCTAGCCGTGAAGCAGCCACAGGAGCCAATAACTGAGCCCCATGCCGGTCATATGACTCTTGTCTCACTGCCTGCGGGGGGATTTATCGGCATTCTGGGGATCGTAGACTTATGTTTGTCGGGGTTGGTGCAGGTGTGTATGGGGGTTTGTCCTTCACAATAGGAGCGGTAGGAGAACAATGTCCAGAATGAAACCTAATACGACCCTTGAAAAAGACTAATAAACGATAGTGTCCTAACCGTAACTCTGTTTTTCTTTGATCCCCGCCAGGGCCCACAAACTCTGCAGCAAACTAGTGGCGAAATCGTGGGCTGACAATGGGCGCCCTGGCGACGGGCCATCATCAGTAGCTCGCAGGCTATCGTGGGACGGCCGCAAGTGGTAGTGTCAGCGACTGAGACACGGCCAAAAAATATTACTTGTCTAACGGGAAACGCTCAGGCAGGGATCGTCAGAGACATATGTCCGTATAACTGTGCTTTTTTTTGAGACATACGACTCCTCACGCAAGATTTCTTGGTCCACCGCATGACCCTGCTGCCTTCTTCGGCGGGGCCACTTGTCGAGATTGCCCATCTATTATTCCTTGGTTCCAATACCCTGCGCGTGCTAAGCACAAGCTGCCACAGTTTGGCTCAGAGCTTCCTAAACCGGCCATGGGTTTGGCGCTACCCAAAGACACTAGAACCGACGTCAACCCGAGCCGTATTGCTACAGTGGGGGCTCGGGGGGCTCGGGGGGCCACTTGCTGCTTGGTGCAGGTGAGTGACATCTCTCGATACGGCGAGCAAGCCAGAAATCTGGCACCGGGATGCAGATAACAAGTAGCAAGCTCGTACGGGGCACGCAACAGCTGCATCTGTCTACCTTGTACTCGTAGCTTAACTTATCTGATGGCTGGTGGAGAATAAACAAAGTCAAAGACGCCCAGAGAATGCCATGTCTGATGCATTGGCCAAACCTACTGTCCCGATTGTCTCGAATTGTTTCGTCAGCCTTGGTCTTGTCTCGACACTAGCTGGTGCAAATACAACTCTCGGCGACCTGGGCCATAACACTGCCCCCCCCCTGTACTGTAGGGTGACATCATATATTGAACGAAGACTTTTTGTATTACAGGGTTTTGAACCAATTTTTTTTTATATATATACCATTATAATAAATACATGACACCTTATTTCTTCTAGAAGACATCCATAAGAGTGTCGGGAGAATCATGCCCGGCCGGAAAAGCCCTTTCGGGACAGTAGCCGGCCCCCTGTCATGCCAACGCACGGCAGGCCCACTCGTACTTGACTCCCTCAGTCCTGATCCATTCGTCTGTCATGTTCCAGCCCAAAGCCGCCGCCTCCTGTAACGACGAATAAACATGCAGAGGCAATGCATATTCGTCCGACCAAGGACGGTAACCACCGCCGTGAACAACCGGCACCGCTGTTCTAGAACGCCGCCCATACGACTGGGGGAAATGTTGAGAAATCTGCGACAACGGCAGACTTCGACTGGCCCTTCGAAAGTCGGCCGTGTATCCCTCTTGCGTGCGACATAGGCTCAGCGCCAGCGTCTCAGCCGGAGGCACCTCGTCGTTACCCTCGCCTCCACGTGCCAAAGCCTTGGCTTGAGTGCCGAGTACCAGACCAACTCGGACATGAATCATTGCCCGCATCAGGTAACAGCATCCAATCAGGTGAGGTTGTTTGGCAGCTTCCAGCAGAAAATTGACTCTATTGACAAAGTTAACCAGTGATCCCCAGCTCTTGTCCTGCGGCACACGGCCTGTCAGGATATCTGCACGCTCTTCGTAGTTGAAGGCAATGATATAGCACAGCAGCGAGTCCATAGCCGCGGCTGACGCCAGCGCAAACTCCTCAGATGTGAACTTGGCGTCTGACATGTGTTTTTTTGCGCGCGCCAGATCCAGCCAGGTACGCATCTTCTTTCGCAGTAGCTTGAATTGCTGTTTGGTCTCTTCGTCGCGCGTGGGAGATACCGCCTTTGACTTTGCCTTGGTTGGAGTTGTGCTTTTGTCAAGATCGCGGGCCGCGGGGATTCGCGCCGATGATGCTGATGATCTTGCTGATGATGATGGTTCCTCCTTTTCCTTTCTGTTTTCCGTGCGGCCATTGGTCTTGCTCTCCCTGCTCCCCTCCCTGGCATCGTCCTCCGTGGCTTTGGAAACATCGCTCTTGCTGTCGAGCCGAGACAGCGCCTTTTTGGAAACCTTGAGAGTGACAGGAAAGCTCTTGTCCTTCATCTCGTGACTCAGACCCGTCTTCTGGGCCGTCTTCTTGCTGCCACCAAACTCGAAAACTGCAGGCAAGGTGGGCGACAGCATTTTCGGAAACTCGACCTGCACGCAATCCGTCCATGGCGGAAGCGTGGGACTGAGCATGGGCGGAAGCGACATGTTGCGATTGTGCTTCTCGCCTGGGGTCCAGCTCGTTTGTGAGTGCTGAATCGATGGTCACTGGAGAGAGTGGTGATTACGCATTCTGAACGCTAGAGTTTGTCACTCTATGCACACACACCTCCCACAGTGGGAACTCTCCGTCCGGGTAACCCCCGCTTAGCCTTTCCCCTCCCCCACATGGAGTGTAAATAATTCAATACGAAATCACACATTCCATAAATCACCAACCAACATGGGATACAGACTTTCGGCGCTGACATATGTGCAGGGCGACCTGTTTGAGGAGTCGCCGCGACCGGCCGTACTTGCACATGCGTGCAACTGTCTGGGATCGTGGGGCTCCGGAGTGGCAGCCGGCTTCAAGCAAAAGTTCCCCGGGGCCTTTGTGGAGTACAAGCGACACTGCGACAAATACTCGGACGATAACTCGGCGCTTCTGGGCACCTGCCAGCTGATTGAGACGCACGACGCGCAGACCGGCGAATTGGTTTATGTGGCTTGTCTGTTTACTTCTGTGCGTTTTGGAGCGCGTGTGGACGGCCCCGAGCAGATTGTGAAACAGACTAAACTAGCCATGCAGGATCTACAGAAGCAGTTGGCGAAAATGTCAGGTCCAATTGACGGCAACTCGACCGTCCACATGCCCAAGATCAACGCTGGGTTGTTCCGAGTGCCCTGGAGAGACACGGAAAAGGTGCTGGAGGAGGTTGGCCAGCCCTGCACTGTTTACGTCATTGATTAGTGTGGGCGATGAAGCACTCTTATCTACAGTAGGGGAGTGTTGACATTCATGTGCACTCTTCTACAGTAGGGGAGTGTTGACATTCATGTGCACTCTTCTACAATACGCGAGTGTCAACATTCTACAGGTGGGCGAGTACCAATTGGGACATTCTGTGACTACAAGTAGACAACTGTTGAGTCCAGTCAGCGTTGGGGTTGAACATGGGCTACGTGTGCTCGTACTAGGGATGGGTGACTTGCTACTTATTTACACCTATATTCGCAGCGTATATTAGGTAATTAGAAAATTTGATTGAGCTGTGTCCAGGGAAACTAAATGAGAGCGGCGAAGGCAGCAACGACGGCGACACCGGCAGCCAGCTGGGTGTTGAAAGAAGAGCCAGCGTTGGCCTGGTCAATACCGTTTCCGTTGGGGATAGAGGGGCCCATGGTGGAGTTGGAAGGAGAGGACTTGGAAGGAGAGGAGTCGTCGGAGATGGACGAGGAGTCGTCGACGATGGAAGAGGAGTCGTCGACAACGGTGGAGTCGTCGGAGTCGTCGACGACCTGCTTGTCGGTGGTGTCGTTGACGATATCATCGTTGGAGTCGTCCTCAACGTTGGAGTCGTCCTCGACATTGGAGTCGTCCTCGACATTGGAGTCATCCTCGACGTTGGAATCGTCCTCGACATTGGAATCTTCCTGAGAATCACCGGTCGCCTCGGGCTTGGCATCGCCAGTGGCAGTGGGAGCGGCATCGTCCTCGGCGGCAAAGTTGGGGGCGTTTCCGGCAAGACCAAGGTCCTGGGCAAGAGCCTGAACTCGCATGGTGGCTCGGCTCCACTGCTCGGGGATCTTGGGAGTCAGCTGGGGCAGGTTGGGGGTGACGATTGCCATAACTCGACCCAGGTTGTTCTCGACGTTGGCCATGGCCTTGGGAACATCGTAGTGGGGCAGGGCAGAGTGCAGACCGTTGGAGACCTTGGCGTAGTCGGGAGAGCCCTCAAAGGCAGCCAGGGACTGGCCGGCGGCAGACAGAAGCTCGGGCAGGTTGTCGTCGTTCAGGCCGGCCATGGCAACGGGCATGGCCTTGGAGAAGAGACCGATCATGTCGGGGTTCTTGGTGACAACCTCCAGAACGGCCTGGAGCTCGGAGGTGGCCTGCTCGGGAGACACGGAGTCGTCCGTCTTGGCGGCAGCAATGCCGTCGACAATCTGGTTAGCCAGAGAGGCCACAATGGGGTTCTGGGCGGCAACAAGAGAGGCCAGAATGGCAAAAGTGGCGGAGGTGGAGAGAGAAACCATTGTTAATGTGTTAGAAACGGCAGTGTTTGAAGTCCATGGAGCCCGCCACCAAGCTATATATACCAGGGATTGGGTACAGTATCACTACTCCTCCGGGTGGCAGGGGTCAGGGGTGCCTGGCTTCAGGCAACTGCTGTAGTTTCGGGGCCATACTGTTCTCACTGGTCTAGTTACGGTTGCCATAGAACTGAATCGGCAACAAAGTCCCTCGTAATATGGCATAATCACATGACCTATCTAGGGTAGAAAAGCGGCATATCGTATCGTATGGTACAACTGAGTACTGAGTACATTTTTCTTGCACCGCACCTACTACTGCTCATCATCTCAGTACAGTAGTCTATGACGTTCTTGCGTTCCATTAGCATATAAAAAATAAAAAAGGTTTGTTACAAGTATCGTATAGTGCATACTACATAGTGTACACTGTACGTATGGAAGGGGTTGAAGGAAGGCTGAACAGGGTGTTTCTAGGGTTTCTATTAATAGCCATGCATTAAATGGCCCAATTTGCCGGGTTATTTGCTCCTTTCCACCTCTTCTTTCCTGTTCAGCTGCTATGAAACACCCCATATGCTCCCCTTGCTATACATGTCTTGCGGGTCTAAATTTGGGTGCATATGTTGAAAGTCGAAAGGGACGAGAGAGAAAGAGTAGCTGGAGTGGGACCGAAATTGGACTAGAAACTCGTTTCGTTGTTGCAGAGTACGTGTACTTGTACTTGTACACTACTTTTTTTTACTCGTACTGTACATAAACCGACAGTCTAGCACACATCCCTCTTGCATTATCTCCAGGTAACTCCGACCATCCCAATTCGTCCAAGCCCTGCAGGGTCTTGCTCCGTGACAGAAGGTGTAACGGTCGAATGAGTGGCGGAAGGGTGTCGTATTAGGTGTGAGACTAGGCGGACGGAAGGGTGTTATTAGTGGGTGTTATTAGTGGGTGTTATTAGTGGTTGTTGTTGAGTGACTGGAGCGTGTTGGTCTCTATGAACAAGACTTGAAGCCCAGGATGGTGAACGCCGCGAGTCGATCGACGGATGACCAGGAGCAATTTACATACATACAAACCCATTGATTCTGTTTCGAAGCCTTGAGCCAGTAATCTGTTGGCCATCAGCACTCCCGTGCTGTACTATAGTGGTCGCTCAAACCACCCCGGCCAAACGGACCCTCAGGTAGTCGATGAGGTCCGTGACAAGTCCTCCCGGCCAAGCTGGTTTAAGGCTCGAGAAATGTTGGAGCTGTTTATGTCCCTCTTCGCCGTCTCCATAATAAAAGTTCGAGATACAGACTGTCAGACAGTTAGACAGTCAGGCAGTCAGATTGTCAGATTGTCAGATTGTCAGACTGTCAGACTGTCAGATTGTCAGACTGCCAGATTGTCAGAGATTATCTTTCTGACAGACTCTTTCCCGCAGACTCCCCGACAGACTCCGACAGACTCCGAAAGAAACCGACAGACTCTTCCCGAGGTCACGGACAGTCGTAGATGTAGGTTTATATTCTGTCTGACTTTTCATCACAACTGTTTATGAGTGAAGTGAGTAATCATCCATCCACGTACATTCGTCTACTGTACGTACATTGGTCTACTCGCTCTTCTGATGGCGTTCGGAGAAACGGAGACTCGTGACTGCTGCTGTACGCGCTCCAGTCTGACACAATTACACCGATAATCGCTCAGGTCGTTGTCACTCGCCGAGCTCTTGTTTCCGTGTTCTGCCGGGTAACCGTCGGAAACCGAGCCGACGGTGTTGTGACATAAAACTAGGTTCGTCCGTCGGGCGGACCTGAGGAAACAGGAACACACGCGGCAAGGACGAGTCTCAAGCGGTGAAGAAATGTGCGACCAGCAAAGATGGGGCAAAACGAGGCGAAAACGAGGTGAAAACGAGCGAAAACGAGGTGAAAACGAGCGAAAACGAGGCAACAAGTGAGATGAAGAAGAGGCAAAAAGAGGCAAAAAAAGACAACAAGAATGATGAACAAGAGCCAACAAGAATGATGAAAAAAAGGCAACAAGAATGATGAAAAAAAGGCAACAAGAATGATGAACAAGAGCCAACAAGAATGATAAAGAGGCAAAAACAGACAAGAGAAGAGGGACTTGATCAACGAACGAGGTGAATTTGATTGAAAAGCAACGTACACTCACGTACGACACTCACGTACGGCTTGTGCCGGTTGTTTTCTCACAAGACACCCACTCGCACTACTGTAGCTACAATCTGCACCAACAAGCAATATCCATTCGCTTATGCGTGATTGGTGCAGATAGGCCGTTTCGCCGACCTGGGGTAGGATACTAGTCTAGAGATAACCAAATATGAAGATGAAAAACCACCAACACAGATTACGAGCGTTTTTACCGTGAAACAGACATGTCGTGGACTTATGGCTTCGCTTGGGACACCCTCAGACGGCTGTTTCTCCGCCGCCCATCTCCCATCTCGTCCTGTTTCAAGGTTGCAAGCGTGCATTATCAGCTGAAATGAAGCGGCCAAACTCTAAGCTCAGGACGCAGGTTGATCCGCGGCAGAGACCGGGCCAATCTTGTAGGCCCGATAAACACCCCACGCGATTAGAGCCAGGCAGCTAAGATATAAAGGTGAGCCATCCCGCAACTAGACCCCTCCTCCAAACGACACCAGTCACGACACTGACACCAAGCGCAGTCGCAACCCTTACACAAACGACGACATGACAGCAGACACTCTCACGGCAATTCCTCTGCCCGACGCTCCTCTGGGAGCCACCATCCAGCTGCCCACCGGCATCACCGATCCGGCGGATCTGAACGACGCCGACTTCCAGAAGCTCAAGGAGGCGCTCATGACATACTCCGTGGTGGTGATCCCCGACCAGGCCAAGCTCAAGCCATCGTCGCAGTACGCCATCACCAAGCGAATGGATCCTTCCTGCGGAGAGGGAGCATACGGCCACTCCAAGGAGTTCCGACACAAGCAGTCCGTGCTGGCCAAGGACGGTCATTCAGTGCCCCACCAGCCCCAGGTCCAGATTCTCGGCCAGGGAACCCACTACAACCACGAGGGCGTCGACCAGCTGACCCTCACCCACCCCATCCACGACACCTTCCACAAGAACGTGCTCACCGACGAAGAAAAGGCCCAGGGATACACCCGGTTCTACCGATGGCACATTGACTCGGCACTGTACGGACTTTCCCCCCCTGTCTGCACCACTCTGCTCGGAATCGACGTGCCCCCTTCCTCCAAGCACCAGAAGGTCAAGTACACCGACACCGGCGACGAGCTCGAGCTGACCCAGGCCGCCACCTGCTTTGTGTCTGGCGCCAATGCATTCAAGCTGCTGTCGCCAGAGGACCAGAAGCTGGCTTTGGAATCTACCGTCGTCTACGCTCCCCACCCTTACATCTTCATCTCGCCTGCCAAGGCTACTGATGATGGTCTGACTATGGTCAGCGAGGGCAAGGAGATGGATCTCGAAAAGCTGCCCGAATGGGAGGAAAGCAAGGTCAAGCGACTGCCCATGGTCTGGACCAACCCCGTCACCGGCGAGCATCATCTGCAGGCCCACGGCTGTTGTGTCCACAAGATTGAGCGAAAGAACGGCGAGGTTTTGCAGCTCGAGGACGCTCGAAAGGAGTTGTATCGAATCATGCGACCCAACATTGATCCCAAGTACGTCTATGCCCACTCGTGGAAGGCCGGCGATCTGGTGCTGTTCCACAACCAGGGTGTTTGGCACTCCGTCACCGGTCAGTTTGCTCCTGACGAGAAGCGACTCATGCACCAGTGCAACATTGCTTCTGGAGTTGATCCCGTGTGCAACGCCTAATTTATGAGATTGATTTATGTATTCATGTAATAATTTATTCGTGTTAAGATGATAATGGGTACAGGCAAAAGTACATACTGTACTCGCGTAGAAAATCTGTTCCAAATAACCCGTTTTTTATGGGTCTTTCTTCGACCATCTATAGTACTTGGGACGGACAGAAGTCTTCGTCCAGCTTATCGTGTTGACGGGGTCTCATGTCCACTTGGTGTTGGTGTTGGTGTTGGTGTTGGTGTTGATTTGGTCAGAAAGTTTCACTACAACACTCAGCGACCCGTGTTTGTAGAAACCACCAACGGCACGTACAAGTACGATGATTAAATAATGCATTCTATGTTAATGTTGCGGTAGCTGCTACCATGGGACAATTAGGACTGTTCAGTGGACGCAGACGCAGACGCCGACGCCGGAGCAGAAGCATCTGTTGTCGATGCAGACGCCGAAGCAGAAGCCTCTGCGGATGCAGGCTCAGTAGAAGCGGAATTGGACATGTCTGGAGGCTGAGGAGTTTCCGAGTCCAGCTTCTGCTTCTTTGCGTCGCCCTCTCCCTGCTCCTTAAGCTTGCGTTTCAGCAATCTCGCCTTGGTTTTCTCCACGTCACACGACCGCAGCTTCTTTCCAATCTCCTGCACATACTCCTTGGTCGGCTTGTCCACCTTTTGCAGCATGTCAACGCACTCCTGAACCAGCTTTGTGGTCAGGTTGAACTGCGCTGGGTCGCTCATCTTCACTCGCAAATACTGCTCGGTTATCTGGCTATTTGTGCACATCATGGCCGCGAGCGAGATTTGCGGAGGGGTAAAGAGGAAATTTGCGTCGGTTAGAAAGCTCAGAGACACGTACTTTCTGGCTCCATCGTACAGAGACCCGACTGTCGAGGCAGGAACGTGGGGCAGCGACGTCTGGATGTCGAGATAGAAGCCATGCAAGGGAGTGTATGCGCTCTGGGCGCTCAAAGAAAACAGCATCGACTGCATCACCACAAACTCGAGTTGCAAAACGTCCTTGGCCACCGCTCCAGTGTATTTGCAGAACTGGTTGATGGAAAAGAAGTGATTCTCGGCTTTGGTGGCCAAAAAGAAACACGTATGCAAGACCTTGACGGGGTCACTGTACACCATGACGGAGTTGATGAGGAAAAACTTTTTGAAGAAGAGTACAGCTGTTGCCTTCACTTTAGAAGGTAGATTGAGAACTTGGGCAATTCCCTCGCTCTGAGAACACATGTAATTGACCATGGTAAGTTCCTCGTCAACAGAGAGGATTTTGGCCATGGCGGGATCGAGATCCGCCGCTAGAAACGACTGTTTGACAAACTCGCGGCCGTTGGTGTTGGTTTGAAGCCGTCTAGCTGCCAGTTGCGTCGGCGTAAACGACCATTTTTTGAACTGCGACGATTGCCGGTAAATATCGTCGTCCGTGACCGTTTTTGTGGCCTTGGATGATGCTGTAGCGCTTGTCATTGAATGAGTATTGTAGTGTATTGAGGCTGCTTAGTTCTGTTTCGAATCTTGATTCAGAATTATGTAAGCTGCGATGGGAAGGCTTGACCGGGGTTAGGGTTGGTTTCATTCTAAAAATTAAAAAAATAATTTTAGACGGTGAGACTTTAAACACGTGATCTGTATACAGCTCAAGTAGTACATACGGGTAGTAGCGCTAGTTGCAGCTGTACACCTTTGAAGAAAAACGGCGGGATTGTTGATAAGCTTAGTAAGCAAAACGAGCCGAGTCCGTTGGGTCCTCCGGTCGCTTATTAATCCAAGGGAGTGGAGTGTGCACAGCCTTGGGCAGGTTAGGGCTACATGCATGAGTTGCGTGGCTTTAACGATTATGTACTCGCACTGTACTAAAGAGGTTGGGGGCAGAGATGAGGTGTCACGTGTGTGGGGGTGTAGTTGTGGTTTGTTTTGTGTAACTTGAGACCGGTCGCCAAAAAGTATTTAATCTCTCTGTTTCCCGCGGTTTTCTGCTACCCTTATCGCTTGATGGCTTGTGCTCTGGTGCATCACTTTGTTGAGCCAATTCACTCACGCTGTATAGCTACTCCCACACACCTCCCACCACATAAGCTCACAACCATTGCTGTGCGCATCTGACAAGTCATCAACATAGCTCTGGCCCAGCATCGCGACATCGACAATGCCGTCTCTGTTCCACGGCGTGTACCAAGCGCTCTACGACTATGAGGCTCGTACGGAGGACGAATTGACCTTTTCCGAGAACTCGCTTCTCTACCTTTTGGAAAAGTCGTCGACCGACGAGTGGTTAAAGGCCAAAAAAGCTGGACCTGCGGGCACCAACGAAATCGGACTGGTTCCCTTGACTTACATTGAGCCGGCGCCGGCCAAACGACAAGCCTATGCTCTTTACGACTACGACAAACAGACAGAGGAGGAGCTGACCTTCAAGGAGGGAGACGCACTGACAGTCTACGATGACAGTGACAGTGAATGGTTGCTGGTGTGCCGCGGAGGAGACGAGTACGGATTTGTGCCTGCAAACTACACCGGCGACGCTCCGCCATCCGCGGCCCCTGCCCCCGTGGCTGCTATTCCCACGCCTGTTGCCGCCATTCCCACCCCCGCTGGCCAACCGACGACGCCCATCACCAAAGACTCACCACTACCTCCTCTTCCAAAGGATGCCTTCCCCCCGCCCCCACAAGCGTACCGACCGCCTGCCTCGACCACCCATGCGTCCACCGAGCCCGTCTACGCCAACGGACGGGACGAAGAGTCTCCCCCTCCCATGCCTGCCCGACCAGGCGGAAGCGGAAATGGAAGTGGACGGCCCTCTTCGGGAGCAGGCGACAGCCGAAGCCGAGGCTCGTCCGTGTCTCGATCTCGAAACGCTTCCTCTGCAAATGACAAGCCTTCCTCGTCTTCTGCCAACTTCTTCACATGGCCTGTCCAGGAGGTGGACGGACGGAAAAAACGAAAAGCGACTCTGGCGATTGGCAACGGCATGATCATGTTCTCCCCGGAGCGATCGTCCGGACAGCCCCAACAATGGCCAGTCAAGGATCTCGTTAACTACAACAGCGAGAAGAAACATGTGTTTCTAGACTTTAAGCACCCCACCGTCTCGTTTGATCTGCACCTGGGAAGCAAAGATACCGCTGACGAGGTGATCTACGCCCTTGGCGAACTCGCAGGAGCCTACAACTCTTCGGGACTCACCGAGGTAATGATGGCAGCCAACTCGGCCGGCCAGAAGCTCGGAAAGGTGCTGTACAAGTTTGACGCTCAGGGTCGAGACGAGGTGTCTGTGGAGGAGGGCGAGAATGTGTTCATTATAGATGACACAAAGAGCCGGGACTGGTGGATGGTGAAAAACTCGTCTGGAGTCGCTGGTGTCGTCCCCAGTAGCTACATTGAGATTGCGCCCAGCGAAAAGACCCTCAAAAAGGTAGTTGACCAGCAGAGGAAGGCCAGCGGCTCGTCGCGTGATAAATCACGTGACCGATCCCGTGACGACCGGTCTCGAGATCGAGCGGACAAGCGATCGTCTCGATCTTCCAGAGACGCTCCCAAGTCCAAGCCTGATCCTAGAAAGGTGCGAACTTGGACCGATCGGTCCGGTGCATTCAAGGTAGACGCCGCTCTGCTTGGATGTGTGGACGGCAAGATCCATCTGCACAAGGTCAACGGTGTCAAAATTGCCGTGGCCTGCTCCAAAATGGCCATTGAGGACTTGGAGTATGTGGAGGACGTGACGGGCGTTGATCTGGAGGAGGACAAGCCCCTTTCTCGAGATCGGGGCGGATCTTCGCGAGACCGACGACGGTCCACCTCTCGGTCCGACCGGCGAAAGTCGTCATCGGGAGCTGCGTCTTCTGCAAACGCTCCCAAGCCAACTCCCGAGTCGGACTACGACTGGTTCGGATTCTTTTTGGATTGTGGAGTCGACGTGCATGCCTGTCAGCGATATGCCACCTCGTTCACACGAGATCAGATGGACGAGTCGATTCTGCCTGAAGTGACTCCCTCCACTCTGCGATCTCTGGGTCTTAAGGAAGGTGATATTCTGCGAGTCACCAAAAAGCTTGACGAAAAGTACGGTCGAAGCGGCACTGGTACTTCTGCCAGCACTCCTGTGGGCGGCAACCCCTCCGGTGGCCTGTTCTCAGACACCACTGGTGCTCTGAAGAACAACACCAGCAAGACTCTTACCAAGGCAGACGATACCGATCCCTGGTCGTCTCTGGATAAGCAGCAGGCTCCTCCCCAGCAACAGGCGCCCCCAGTTCAGCAGCAGCCCCCCGTTCAGCAGCAGCCTATCCAGGCTCAGCCCACAGCTCCTATTCAGCAGCAGCCCATTCAAGCTCAGCCTACTGCTCCCATCCAGCCTGTTCGAACCGGCTCCATCAACGATCTGATGAACATCAAGCCCCTGCAGCCCACCCCGACATCTTCCAACCTGCAGACACAAGCTACTGGTGGTATCATGCAGCCCATCCAGCAGCAGTACACCCAGCAGCCAATGTCCCAGTCCACGAGTGCTCTCCCTCAGCAGAGCATGAACACCGGCATTCTTCCCCAGACCACTGGGCCACTACAACAGTCTCTTACCGGATCTGCTCCCGTGCAGAATCCTTTCCTAACTGGTGGTCCCAACACTCTTCTCAGTCAGCAGACTGGTGGGCTGGTTGGTGTCCCCACCGGCGGTCTTGTTGGTGTCCCCACAGGTGGACTTCAGGGCGTTCCTACCGGTTACACTGCTCAGAATGTTCTTGGCATGAACCAGCCTGCAAACACGGGCGGGTACTCCATGAATGCCATCACCAACGCTCTTGCCGGTGCTTCCCTCAACAAGCAGCAGCAGCAGCAGCAGCCCATGGTCCAGCAACTTACCGGAGGCAGCATGTTTGGCCAACAGCCCATGCAGCAGCAGCTGACGGGCTCCAGCATTTTCCAGCAGCAGCCCATGCAACAGCAGTTCACCCAGCAACAACCAATGCAACAGCAGTTCACTCAACAGCAGCCAATGTCGCAGCAGCTCACTGGTGGCAGCATTTTCAATTCTCAGCCGCAGCAGCCTTTTCAGCAGCAGCCTATGCAACCTCAGCAGACTTCCTTCCAGCAGCAGCAGCCCTTTTCCACTGGAGCTTCTGCTTCGCCGTTTGGAAGCCAGCCTACTACTCCTTTCGGACAGCCCCAGCAGTCTGCCGGTTTGAGCTACTTTAACAACATCCAGCCTCTGCAGCAGCAGCAGGCGTTTGGTCAACAGATGCAGCCGCAGCAGACCTTCCAGCCGCAGCAGCCTTTCCAGCAGCCTTTCCAGCAGCCTTTCCAGCAACAGCAGCAACAGCCTTTCCAACAGCAGCAACAACAGCCTTTCCAGCAGCAGCAGCAGCCGTTTGGTGGCCTGCAGTCGCAGCCTACCGGCTTTGGTTTTGGAAACAGCTCGTCACCCTTTGGAGGCATGCAGTCTCAACAGACCGGAGCACCTTCCACTTCTTTTGGTCAGCAGCCGCTACAGCCCACCGCCACGGGTCGTCAGCGAGCCAACCTGGCCTCTGCCACTCCTAACAATCCCTTTGGTTTTTGAGAGGCTATGTATGAATAATGTTATGATAATGTAATTGGCGACTTGTATGTGAATGGACGAGCTAATTGAAAATGTGTAACAGGTATTTTGATAACCAGAATGTATAATCTCATGTGACTTACAGTTGCTGCCATCAAGATTAAATAGATTAATAAATGATTTGTAACAGCAACAACAATAATGGGCATTTTTACTCCTCTAATCTCCAAACCGAGGTGTAGTTGCAGCAGTCAAAATTACGGTTTGGAAACAACATTAAGGTTTTATTGTCTAACAGAAACTGCATTTTGAAACTTTGGGGTCACGTGACCCGTGAGTCATGTTGAAACCTCCATTGCGATGTAGCCAACCCATCACGGAGCGGCATGGCGCAGCGGAAGCGCGCAGGGCTCATAACCCTGATGTCCCTGGATCGAAACCAGGTGCCGCTATGTTTTTTTTGCTTATGGGGGGAATCTTGTGGTTAGCGTGCTGGGTGTGGCAGTACGTCAAGTACATCCAGTAATGTCAGTGTGATTCACGAGTAGCCATTGCTGTGTTATAAATCGACTTTCGGAAAACCTGTGTAGACCAAAGATAGGCGGAGAGGTGTACTAGGGATGATTGGAGTCCAACTTCAGGATGTATTATACCTTGCAACCGTGGCTCAATAAACAGTAGCTGATGAGTATACATGTTGGCGAACGTCGGAGAACTCGCCTTGGCCAGAGGACCTGGGCCCTGTAAGATTTCTACTTGTAGTGCAAGGCTGTCAGTTGACCCAATTATCCTCAAAGGTAGTCTGCAATTCGTCATCTCAGACTGTCAAAGGTCAACAGGTTACGATTCCTGCGAGTATTGGTTCGTCCATCGGTCAATAGTAGTCACTTTGACAGTATGTTTTGTACTGTAACTGATGGTCGAGTTGTAAGCGCCAACCTCAGACTCTTTAGTTGAGGGCTACAAGTAGTTGGAGAGAAAGTTGTTCTGCGAAAGTTGAAAGAGCTCATGTAAAGAAGTGCTTGATAAAATGTACACTTGGGCCTTTCGAGTAACGTGACGGCCGAAACGGTACACTTTCTGTTTCACTATTCAGAGTTATTTTCGGTTTTGAAGTTGTTTGATGCATTGAAGTTATGCATTGTTAACTTGTTTTTAGTTAGATATTAGTTAGATATTAGTGATGTATTAGGAAAACATAAGTAGCCTCAACAGCATTTCAAACAAGTATTATGTGCATGGATGTACTGTACAGACAGTATGTACACTGTAGTAAGCCTTCAGCCTACAGGGACAGTGGTAAATGTGATGGATAACTGACAGAAATTGGCCATTCATTTCGTCTTCCACCCACTATCGGAACTCCATCTTCTCTACAGTCGCGATTTCAGTCTCAGCAATACATCACCACATGCGTCAAAATAAACTCTTGCAGAGACAAAATCACAACATCTGGTATCCTCACCATCACATCCAACAATGTCGGATTTCACACAAAAGGTGGAGAAGAAGTTTGGTGAGCTCGTGATCGAGCACTACTTCAAGAGCGAGCCGTTTGTGTACTCGTCTCCGCTCTTCAACACGATTGGCGACACGCGAAAGCTGTTTCCGGACCGAAAAAACATGTTTGATCGACTCTACGAAGACAACATCAACCGGGAATCGCTAGCCGAGACGCAAAAGCTGTTTCCTCCTTCGAATTACAACGACCTCGTCAAACTTGTGCGGCGGATCGAGACCGACAAGACCACAGAAACGCTCCAGGATGACCTGCAACAAAACTGTCTAATCTACTATCTGCTTCTGGACGCCAACCAGGAGGCAGCTGACGCCTACGCGACCGAGATTCTGCTGCCTGTGGCTTACAAGCATTTCATGAACGGCTGCTACGCCCTGGATCGAGCCGACATGAACACAGCTGTGGAGGAAATCACCTATCCAGGAACAGCTTCCACTTACCCTGACGCGGTTGTGCGGGCTCTCAACGCTCAGGCCGTTGCCCAGAAGAAGCGCCGCGAGGGCGACCAGCTCATTGTGCGGTACTTTGACGAGACCACACCGAAATGTGACCAGCGAGAGTCCGTGACCATCTACATCGCCTGCCTGGCGCGTCTGGACCCCATGATGGCTCTTACATACATCCGATCTCTCACGGCCAGCGCGCAAATGGGCGCCTTTGAGTGTCTCGTCAAAGCATGCATTGAAGAACGGTACCTGGGGGGCGTGTGGCGTCTGAGTAATCTTCCCTTTACTGACCGCGAGGGAGATTTGCTGCAACAGGCTCTGGACGCTGTCAGCACTGACGAGGATCTCAACAACGACATTCTGGTTACCCGGGCTCTGCATCTGGGCCAGGTTCGAAAAGCAAAGAGTCTCATTAACCTGGCCGTGGCGAAACGAGGAGGAGAGGAAAAGTGGGGCGAGTACGAGGCCACGTTGGCGCTGTACTAGACGCAGCATCAGCGGTCTAGATGTACAATAAATTATTCAGTTGTGTGGATAGTAGCTCTGGTATTTGATGCCAGTATCGTAGGTTCAACAAAACACGTGGTAGAGGTGATGGGCGAGCAGCGTCAGTACAATACGACGATACGACGATCTGAAGATATGACGATATGACGAAGTGACTGTCACATAGTCACTGGCGAGATTCTGTCGAGACCAAGTGTCTTTGTCTGCTTCTGACTCTGCTGTAATTTTCAGAATGCATTGTTGCATGATGCGATCCAACGAACAATGAAATCCGACACTGTCTTCTTCTTCATCACCAGTGGTACAAACACCTACCACGACACAGACACGAAGCAATAATGGACTGTCTTAATGATACACCGACACTGTTACAAGTCTCAGCCCTTCGATCCCAACACTTGCCATGACACTCTCGGAGTTAAGCCAACTTTATGGCTGAGCAGCCGTCCTTCACAGCTAGGTCAAACTGACATTACAAGTAGTCAATTGACCCACTACAAGTACGCACCGTTTGGTCACCATCGGGGCTGATTCATTGGCTACAATGCGCACTATCGCTGTGGTACCTAGACTGCCTGCTACAATCTCCTCCTCCTACAGGAATGTGTCTCAGGAGTGTCCGGAGGTTTGGCTGGCACTCAAACTCCTCGCTCAACTGGGAAGCCGTCAGACTCATCGCGCTCCACTAACGTCAATCGATCCATACTATATACATACATCTCCGTTTACTCGACGGAAGCATCGAGCTTGGCTCCCAGAGAGGCGAGCAGAGACTCGGGGGTTCGGGCAGAGATCATCTGCAGGACGAGCTCCAGAATGGGCTGCTTGACGGACTGCTCGTAGATTCCCAGAAGGTCGGTGGGCACGGGGTAGACGGACAGAGCCTTGTAGTAGGCAATGGCGGCGTTCTCGATGTCGTTGGCCTGGGCAAACTCGTCGGCCTGGGTCACCTGGGCCAGGAAAAACTCCTCCTTCTCCTTCATGCCGGAGGGGATCTGCTGGGATGCCAACGAGGCGTCGAGCTTCTTGATGATCTGCTGCTTGATTTCGTTCTTCTTGGCGGTGGCATGGGCAGCTTCAGCCTTCTCCAGATCTCGGTTGCTCTTCTTGAGCTTTCGTCGGAAGTCGGCGTTGTGTCGTCGCTGGTAGTCAAAGTAGACAACGTACGACAGGGCGCCCACGGCCAGGGCGGAGGTCACAACGGTGGCGGTGGAAGGCATTTTGGGGGGTGATGGAGGATGTAAGGTTGTTCAAGGTGATGTTGCTTCCTTTCCTGCGCTGTATTTTCGAGGAAGTGAAAATTCAAACCGAACCGGGTCTAAATAACGTTAGGGTTGTCCCACTCGCAGAAGCGTGTAGAAGGGTGGAGGCAGAGCGGTGGACAGAAAAGGCCCAGATAGAGGAGCATCCTGGCGCATTTCGGCGGTGGCTTCTCTGGTCGATTTTCCCCCGATTTTTGTCATTTTTTTCCCCAATTTTCCACTTTTCTCCTGCGCGGTTTATTGCCTGAGCCAAAAAGGCGGTGTATTTCCGGCAATACCGAACCTTACGAGTTGGGAAGAGTAGCGAACTAAGTAAAGAGATTAAAGTTATTGGGATTTTGTTAAGAGGAAGAGTCTGGAGGAGTGAGAGGCGGTGCAGATTCACAACAGCGTAAACAGGCAGCCATTGCAGTTGAAAAGCGATTTTTTTTTTATTTTCCGCCACAGCCATACAAAAAGGCGAGTTCAATGCTTGTTCAATACCGATGGCGCACGTAGCTCACTTGGTCGTCAGTAGTCTGATGATGCCCCAGAAGCTGTACATACAAGCTGTACATACAGTGTGACAGGTTGTTGCAGTGTAGCCGTGTTGAGACGTGATCAACGCGAGATCAAATACTCATAGGGTTATGGCTCTGTGTGAACTACAGTAAGCACCGTCCAGGTTCGTTATTCAATAAGATAGCGTCGGGTAATTGGTACGGTGTGTACTTGTAGCTGGTAAATGTACTGTATCTTCTTGTTGCTGTACCTTCTTGTTGCTGTATCTTCTTGTTGCTGTACCTTCTTGTTGCTGTATCTTCTTGTTGCTGTTCTTTCTTGTCGCTGTTCTTTTTTGTCGCTGTTCTTTTTTGTCTCCGTTCTTCCACATCGCCGTATCTTTCTATCCGTATCATCCATATCGCCTATCACCCCCTTCCCTATCCTCTCAAAGATTCAAACCTGTTCTCCCAATTTACAATCTATCACGCTCTGCTTTCCTGCTCACTCTTTCCCTATCCTCGGCGTTCCGAGTCTCAACCCAGCTGCAGTCCCTCTTCTGTTGCAAGTCTCAGTTGCCTGGCATTTTTTTGCTGGGGTTCTTTTCATACACGGCCTTGATGTAGTCCATCAGCATTGCGGCCTTTTTGAGCTAGTACTGGCGAGCGGTCTTTACCCCAGGTAGAGGAGAATTTCGGTGATACCAGGACCTGTATTCCTCGGCAGTTCGGTAGTTGAGAAACATGTCAGAAAACGACTTCCAGATTCCAATTTGGAAACGGTAGCGTTCAGGACAAAGATTGGCGTAGCTCACAATCACCTCCCTCTCCTCCGCGGTGTAGGGCATCTCTGGGGTGTTGATTGGCTTTTCAACGGGCCGTGTGTTGAAGTAGGTATTGCTGATGGAGGTTCGTGGACTCTAGCTTGATTTTCCGTGACTCTAGCTTGATTTTCGACTCCCTTGATCTTCGACGTATAGTGGCCTCGCTTCTTTGCTGGAATTCAACCAGCCTGGAATATTCGGTTGAATAGAAGCTGGGGATTGGGGCGGGATGGGGACACGTGCGACGAATCCGGGAACATTTCCACTCGAGTCTTTGTTAACTCGTCGCACTGTTTGTCGGACAGCAGGAGATCCTCTCCCAGAGGCTCAGGCAACTCTTCTTCCCCATCAGCGAGTGAGTCGGGCTCACCAGGCGGACAGACGAAAAAACTGGGGCGGATTGATTCTATCGGCAAATGATTCTATCGACAAAGGACTGAGGCTGGTCAATTCGATCAGCAAATGACATGGCCTTGACTGACGATTCCATGACCCTTCCAAACCTGACAGCCAACGGAATGTGTTTCTGGACTTTCGCCATGAGCCGGATCCCGCCCTTGTAAGTTGCTCTGTTGCTCTGTGGTGTGGCTATCAAAGTTGTGGTAAGATAGTGCATGAGCCTGCGTTCGGAGATATCGGAGATATATATCGGGATGAGGACGTCAATGGTTCATGACCTGAAGGAAAGGACGGGACTCTGTGAGTTTGAACAAGTCTTTGGGAATGTTCAGTTGAGAGCCTGGATGGGGACATTGGAACTGTCACGAGTGAAAGGGACTAGTGAGGGTGTAGATCTACCTGGGCGGGAATGACAAGACATTCAATGGGTTTCCAGAATGAGTTCCCGTTGACAAGAATGGGTATACGCGACAAAAAAAGCATTGGTACAAGCATTTGTAGTCTATCAACCATCTAACTCGCAACATTAATCTTCCATTGAACTTGCTCTAGACCCTTTTTGCCTCGTCCAACTATTCCCGCACAACCCTGAAGCGTAGCACAACTGTCCCGGAGAGCAAGCAACGTCCAATGGTTCCTTACACATGGAGCACAGTACTTACAGTACCTAAGCCCAAACCGGATACTCAATTGAATGTCTAAGACCACAAAGGACTGTCTCACTCATGAAATAACGTCAGCCACACGGCTTCCCCGGATTCTTCCAGCAGTATGTACAGTAAGTCAGTATGCACAGTAGGAAGCAGGCAACTTTGCGAGGAGTGACCCTACAAGAATGAAAATTGCTGCATTTCAATTGGCATGACTGTTAGTACTTGTACAAGTACAAGACTTGGCTATAAACAACTTCCTTCCCTGGATGGGGCCAAGTTATCTCTTTCCATGACATCTTCTTTAGGAGCTAGAACAGTTTGCTACGAACCTGCTACGAACCTGCTACAAACCTGCTACGAACCTGCTGCGAACCTGCTACGAACCTGCTACGAACCTGCTACTAAAACCGTCAAAAAAGTTCTTTAAGAACCAGATTTTTTATTAAACATTTGTCAACACCTGAAAAGTTCTATTAACGCCACTTTTGTCTTTTCCATGGCGTTTTTCGGCCTCCAGCTCACCACCCGTCCATTACGTCATAAGCGTAACCGCAGCAACGTGGGTCAACATTGAAAATATTTGAAGAGGCCCAAACACTCCGACACTCCACCAACAGAGGCGGAAAAACTTGCTACAGAAACAGCAGAAAAGCCGAAACTTCAAAATCGAACGTTGACACTGTTAATAACCACCACAAGCAACTACTTTAGTATCTGCTCTCCCCACTTCACCACTAGCCCTGGCTACCATTCAAGTACAATATACCCCACAATTTCTTTGAACAATTGCCCCTGAAGTTTAGGTTCAGTGGATTAACGGCTAGAAGAAGGGTCACGTGAGCCTCGGACGTGCTAGAGACTACTTTGGAGACGCTAAGAGGCACCGGAAACGGCCTCTTCATCTCTTGTTAGTCCGTCTTTGCACCTTGGACAGCCGGTTGCACTCGTTCTCTGACACTCGGTTTTTAGGTTCCACAACATGCACGAAACGCACTCCTTGTATCTGCATCTTCAACTACAGTGCATACAAGTACAGTTGCGATATCAGACCGACATCCGAGCTCTCCAGCCATGGCCGAAACGACCCCGCTACTAGGTCGCGACGATCTCGGTGACGCGACGGCGTCTCAGCCGCTCGACCTTGTGCCCATCTACTCGTTGGTGTTGTGGGTTCACGACATTATCACCGACCGGGTCGAAACGTCTCTCAAGTATGAGCAGATTAAAACACCCCAAATTTACGCCTATCTGATCAAGCCGATTGTGGAGGAGTGTATGGTGACGGTTGGTCCCTGCGAGGAGGAAAACCGAGCCGAAACGCACCCAGACTCGTGCGATCACGACGAAACCATCTCGGTTGGTATCATCTACTCCCTGCTCGCAAACCAAGTCCAGTTCCTGAGAGAGAGTGACACAGATGGAGGAGTCCACGGAGGCGTACTGGAGACACGCGCCATTGTGTGTGAGATTGTGGCTCTCAAACTGCTGCGTGAACTGCACGAAGACGATCTCATCCAGGCTCTCACTTACGACTTCTACCCACTGGCCACAGGCAAGCCATTCAACGTGATTCCGCGGTACCAGCGCATTAGTGCCCTCGAAATGGCCATCAAGGCAGGCGCAAAACACTTTCTGGCCCACAGAATCGTGGTTGCGGTCGTCCAGGAGATCTGGGACGGATCTATCATGTTTCAAAGCAGCATGGACAAGCTGCACAGAAGGAAAAAGCCTGACAATGTGTTCACCCAAGAGCTGGTTGGATACGGACGAAGGGGTCCAGGCGTCAAATACTGTTATGAGGACGCGTCGCTGTTCAAACTGTCACGACTCAGAGTACCCAGATACAGACACAGTATTGGCATAGTCACTTTTGCGGTGCTCATCGTCCTGTATCTAGGAGTACTATATCAGCAACACAAGCAACTGGGCACTCTAGAAGTAGTCTTTTGGTTGTGGTCATTGGGGTTTGTGCTGGAGGAAATCATCAACTTCACAGATGCGGGATACACCCTCTACGTTATTTCGATCTGGAACATCATCGACCTCATCATTCTGGTGTTTCTCGTATCGTACTTTGTGGTGCGAGTCTATGCGCTCGCTGTGGCGTCTCCAGACGCATTTTATTACTGGAATGCCCGAGCCTTTGACCTACTTGCCACCGTCGCCATCTTCCTCTTCCCTCGCATGTTTTCTGTTCTCGACAACTATCAGTACTTTTCGCTCATGCTGATTGCCGTCAGAAAGATGACCATTGATCTCGTGGTCTCGTCTGTAATGATCATCCTCTTTTCGGCAGGGTTTTGGGTCGCCTTCACCATGGCGTTTGCACGAGACGTGTTTTCAGCCAAGAAGATTGCATACGACCTGATGAAGATTCTGTTTGGCTTCACACCCACCGTATGGGATTCCTGGAAGTACTACTCGGTCCTGGGCCGTGTCAATCTCATGTTCTTCCTATTCGTGACACATTTCGTGATAATCACTATCCTGGTGGCTGTTCTGTCCAACACCTTTGCAGCCGTATCTACCAATGCTTACGAAGAGGTCAAGTTTTTGTTTGCGGTTAACACCATCACTATGATCAAGTCTGAATCGTCGTCTTTGTTCTCCTACGCTCCCCCTCTCAACCTGCTGGAGTGGGTGGTCAGACCACTGTACTACGTTCTGCCTCTGCGCCAGTTTCTTGTGCTGAACCGGACCATCATCAAAATCACGCATGCGCCGATCCTGTGGACCATCTTCTTCTACGAGTGCTTGCATCTGCGCCTCTCAGGGGAGAAGGCTCTCAGAAGACGGCAGAATGAGATTATCAAGCACGAGATCATCAAGGGGCAGAACTTTAGAAAGAAGGGCGCCTTGAACTCGTCCACGGCGCCATCCACCAACGCCAGCTCTACTGCTAATCTCAACACACAGCCCAGCCATGATCTGAGAGCTGTGGTTCCCAACCCAAATAAGATCAGACCAAAGCGGTCATTATTCAACAAGATGGCCCACAAGCTGCGCAAGCCGTCCAAGCCGGAAATCAAGGTGTCCAACGACGATCTGCTGGACGAAGTGTTCAAGCGGCCATATAAGGGCACTGTCCGCATCAAAAACAACACAGGAACGGTCCAGATGGAAACCCTGTTTGATGGACAGGATGACGAGGAGGAAGAGAACGCCGTGGATGGAGAAATTCCGTTGGAGAGAACCACTTCTCGTGTCACTTATGAGTCTGGAAGACGGACTCACAGTATGACTTCCAGCTCCAGATGGATCCCTACTCGCATTACTGGAAATAGAAACACTTCGGGAAGCACGTCTGGAAGCACGATTTTGCCCCGAAACAGACTGGCCTCTGCCAATTCGTCTCTCATGCAACAAAATCTCGCCATCAGTCCCTCCAGAACAGTCAACACGGCTCTCTATCATTACGACAGCGACATCCGGTCCCAGGCACTCAAGTACCAGAAACGACAGCAGCTATTGGACAAGCTGAAGCGCAAGACCTCGATTGACGACGTGTCTCTTGGCAGTTTGGATGATGACGAGGAGGAAGAGCATGCTGACGACGATGATGACGAGAACGACGATATCTTGTCGGACGCCCAGCCGGACGGAGAGCTTTTGGACATGACCGCCATGTTGGTGGGCCGAATGGATGATCTCCAGGAGAGCATTCAGAAGATTGAGCTGTTGCTTGGTCATTTCATGGAGAGGTGAGATAGTACTAAAGAGGAGAAGCGGTCAAGAGAAAATGACGCCAGAGAGAAGTGGAGATGAAAACGAAAACGAAAACAACAGTTTACAACATTGGGTAATATAGGTAATGGTAATGATTTAGTATAATGGGTTTGAAGGAGAGGTTTAGAAAACTCATCAAGAGAATAACGGCTAGTCTGGATGTGAAGGGACTTTACATACTACTTGTAGAACCAATATTAGCTTATAATGGTGGATTTTTCCAGTCTGTTTACTCGTTACAGGCACTGTAGTTGTTGTAGTTGATGGGATAGTGATTCACAAAGGTAGTTGTCATTTACTTAAGAGTTAACAAATATCTATTCAACTATTCAAGTAAAGTTTAAGACGTAGTTAATATATTCTTAACTTTAGAAGAGATCAAAGTGAAAATATAAGTACCTTTACTGCTGTGGAATCAGTATAATAAGCACACAGTGAAGCCTGAAACTTGATTTTCAACACACTGTGGCCTTCATTTATCCATCTATACTCCATTTACTGCGTTTAAGATCATATTTATATGTCATATACTCACCCATCACAGCTACCCTGTAAGGTCTTCTACAACATAAGTACCCCCCCCCCCCCCACCAATCCCACTTCACCCACTCCTCTGCAATCGTGTCCAGTCGACCCACGACTCACTCAAACCAGTCTCGGGAGAAAAGACGCAACGAAGAGACGTTTGAAACAGACTATGGTACCATCTCCGGCTCTGGTCTCCGAGAATGACTCTGATACGACCGACTTCCAGGCCAAAATTGCACGCCTTGACAACCCTGACCAAGTGGAGAGGCGGAAGGAGGAGGAATGGTCCGAGAAGCAGCGGATATGACTCGAGACTGGGTGGTATAGTTGTCGATCTTGGGCTCGGACATCTCGGTGAGCCGTCTAGACCTGGAGAAAGCGTTGAATCGTCCTTAACAGACTTGGGAGTCGCATCATCTAATCGCCGTCGTCTCCACCAATGATAATGGGGGGCTTCTTGAAGGGAGTAGGTGCAGAAGAAGACTTGGAGGGCTTCTGGAAGGCATTTATTTCTGTCATTGAGAGACATAGGCTCGCCGTCCTCGTCCCCGTTCTGGTGGCTCTCATGAGGTCCGTCTTGATGGGGTTGTTTTCAGAGAACTCCTTGTGTCCGTTGCCCTGACTCGAATGGCTGCAATGTCAATCTTACCTAGGGACTTGTAGGAGTCACCGACATTGCCTCGATCTGAGTTTGCGTCTCGTCCCTCGAGTGTGAAGGTCAAGCATCCCGGCTTCTTTCGGATCTCGGCCAGGTCACCCTTGACGAGCTTGTAGGACGACTCGACAGGTGTGGCGGAATGTCGAGGATGATTTTTTTTCTTAGGTCTCTGTGATTGGTGGGACGAGTACGGGACCAGTTGCCTTGATAGTAGTCCTCTATGCATGCCCAGAGCGGGAATCAGTTGCCACACCGTTGCCCCACCAGTGTGGATGCGGGGTAATTGTAGTGCATGAATGAGGCTGTCTCGAGATTTCACCAGGGAGAGCAGCGTATAGCCTGCCTCGTCTTACACAATCGCAGCATCTCTGAAACAAGCCCCATTCATTCTGCCATTTATCTTGCAGTTCTCGGAACTTGATTTGAGGATGATGCATGAACCTCACCAACTGACTGCCTCATTGGTTTCAGGTGGGTTTGGTTGCAGGTATTAGGAGATGTATATATAGAGAGAGAGCTGTTCAATGTTTCTTGATTCTCTCACTGCTACCACCTAACTACGATCCAACTAAAACCCAACTAAAACCTCAACTACCACTTCCATACAATCAATGGTCACCAACAACCGGGATATCGACAACATGAGTTTTTCTCAGCTGAATCACTTGGTTCGTGCAATGAGAAAGCGCGAAAACCAGCTTTCCCGAGTGACCTCGCAGTTTTTCGACTCTGTCAACCAGCATCTGGAGAAGATGCTCCGTGACACGAACTCTCCTACTTCCAGACAAGAGTGTTCCGAGGCGGCTCGGACTTTGAAGCGGAATTTCGCCCTGATGCTTGTCCTGTGGAAAGAAGACCGAACCAATCTGGTTCAACTGCTGACAGAATGTGTTTCTACGCTCGCAAAAACGATGCAGCGACTGGCTCAACTCCCCAATGATTCCGGAAAGGTGCTTAGTCGAAACGCCAAATCCATCATCACAAGAGCCGAAAAGACATTAAATTCGATCACTGAACGTTTCGAAAATATGGAGAAAACGACACTATCGACACTATTGCGCAAGTTCGTTGTACGCCAGAACCCGGAGTTGAAAAAGTGGTTTCGCCAGGAACACCTCAGCCGTCGCCGCAATATCCGACCTATCGTGGCTTTGGCCCAAGAGAGATTTTGGCCAAAGGAGTCATTCTATACGCCTCCCGAGCTCATGGTACTGTTTTACATCAATGCAGATATCCTGGCATGTGTAAAGTCCAGTCGCATCAACTCTGACTGGCTCCGTTGCTTTCAGGACCCGCACATGGAAAAACACTGGGAGGCGAAGATGCGGGCTCAGAATCCAACTTTTCGGCTAGGGGATGCGGATACCCAGACTTGGGCTGACTGTATCTTGGCTTATGCAGGCCGACTCGAAACCTGGCAAGCTGTTGATTATGTGAGTGGCAACACTACAAACAAGACCCCTGCTGAGGGAGACTCCCACAATCTCCAATCAGACGTCTTTCAACTGGAACCTCGACATTTTGTACCTCTCAAGGACTCATGGGAGTACTTTTGCTACCATCAAGATGTTCCGATGTTCCATAGTGGCGGTCCGCTCACGCCTTCTGAGCTTCTCCAAGTCTTGTATCTGGACAACGGTGCTGCATTCATTAAATATGGGGGCATTGAATTCACGCTTCCTCCCAGCATTCTTCCGGATGAAATGCTTGGCTATGTCGAAGATCATAATTATTCGCTACTTTCTGTCAAGCTGACTGACCGCACAATCCAAGTTCGGTTGAAGAACGGACAAGTTGTCTTATTTTCCCGCGACGACCCCCATTCCCAGAAATTCTTCTTGGGAGCAGTTGGAGAAGACTACTTTGAAGTCGGAGATGCTCTTTTTGCGAGGGCAAAACAAGGCACGGGTTGGACTTACTCCATTTTTGAAATCGGCAATCAGGAGACTGTCAGGGTGTTCGCCGGAAGCTCGAAGTTCTCAACTCCTGTGACTTGTGGAAATGGCATCATTTGGTGGAGGATCGATCGACATCTCGTCCCTGCGTTTTATGACCAGAGTGGTTCGGGAACAGTGTATGTACCACCAAGCACTATCAAACTGGAACAACAACCGGAGCCAGTGAGTGCCGATCCCCAACATTCTACAAAGCAAGTGGGCAGCCAACTGGCTGGGTCGTCGTGGGAATGGGTGTCCCTCGCCGTAAACCACAACGCTACCCGCTTGGGATTGGTCATGTCTGCTGCTGCAGGATTTATGGCAATAGTACGTTGACTATCGTGAATAACAATTATGTAAACATCAATACTGAATCCCGTATCCTTTAGATTCATTCTATGGCGTTCCTGCTCTCCTTCATCCTGGATCTTGAGTTATAAGATGCAATATATCATAACAGAAGGTACTTATCTCGTATAGGTCTGGTAGCAGTGTTGACTCTCTCAACCTCTTACAGTCTACCATAGCAGACGACCACTCCTAAACAATCATTACGAGAAGATTAACAACCCTAGCCACTCCAATATTCCCCTCAAAGACAGATGGACCTTGGGCGAGGCTCTGTTTTGCACAAGAAGAGCTCCATCAACTATTTCGACAATGGCAACGCATTATTGATGACAAAGAATGGACCAAGAACCACATTTTGGAGTCATTTAGTCCAAACAGATGACCTCTGACTACTACTACTACAGCAGCAGCTAACTAGCAAGTCCTCAAGTGACTCGGAGGACATCAAGTGAGTCAGGAGGGTATTGGTGTCCTATACCTTTCGCCAAGTTCGCAGTTTTCTCATCCTGTGGATGCAGCTCTTTCTCCGAGCCTGAGAAGGTCAGTCAACCTGCTGGAGTGGACTCTTCCGCATGTGGAAGACGAGATCTGGCCACATCGGTTCCTCAAGGTCATCCATCAAGCTAGGACCGACCGGGATTTCCAGCAAAATGACTCCACATACTCAAGAACATGGACAGATTGTAGAAAGTATTGGCATCTGGAATATGACGGATCTGAAACGCACTGTCTATACTCATCGGCACGACGGGACCTAGCTGCGTGAAAACATCTTCAGACCCTCGTGTGCCAGTTCAACAAGTCCTCTAACCCGACCATGAGTACTTAAACGCCAGTTCCACAATAAATCACCCGCTGGAGAAGATTGACTGTGATATTTCCCTGATGTTTGCCAAAATTGTAGTTATTCGAAACACTTTCCAACCGAAACGTCCGGGGAAAACGCTTGGAAAGGGTGGTTGGGTCGCTCGAGTATACATCCATGGCGAGTACCTCTTCCAGTTTGACCATACCAGTTACAGTATGACTGCTTCGCATCGTACTCGACTATTCTAATACTTCCGTCTATCTTACTGGCCTCCCAGCCCAGCAACCATGGTAAGAGACCAGGCGAGAGAAGTGCCTGGATCCAGCCATCGAGACTGGAAACCCCGGGTGAAAAACTGATACGCAGCATTGGGGTCGAAGATACTTCGATCTAGCTGAAGAGTACCTTTCCACCCACTATCGACCCAGTTGATGAACCCTGCAACCCGCTGATCCCATGTCTCTCTGACAAACGCAGGGTCTCGAATGTATGCAGAAATGGGAGTAGTGGGGAGAGCATGGATACCAATAATGTACTCGGGGTTCATACCAAAGTACGTTGCATGGTCAGCCTTGTTCTCAAACGAAATACCAGGGACCTTGTTCTTGATGAATTTCATGGGCTGATTCCGGTTGTTGTCCTTCATGTACCAGTAGGTGTTCATGGCACGCTTCATTATAGCCAGCTGAAGGTTGGCACGGGCCTCCATTGCCTGGTTACCACTGGAATTACCCCAGAGCTTGATGGCATACACCGAGTGGTAGTCCTCAGAAGAAGACTCTTCATCCTTACCATCAGCACTAAGATACAGGCCTTTTGCCCACGAATGACCGGACCACCAGTCGAAAGAACGATGGATAGGAAAGCTCTTATCCTGAGAACTGGGGTTAGCGTAGTCTCTGACCAGATTATCGACCCACTGTCGATTCTGACTGAGCCATTTCCCGTCCCCCAGCTCTTTATCTATCTTTGCGATAATAGCAGCGGCATGGACAAAATAACCATAGTGGAAATGGTGGTCATTGTAGTAAGAGTTGCCGAAATCAGCGGTGGAGTCCGTACCAAGACCCGCAGTAGAGACTATGCCCTTCCAGACGGTGTCGTAGGCAAGAGGATTCTGCTGTCTGTTATTGGCAAACACAGAAAATGCATTCTTCAATCGGCCAAGAAGATCGCGCGCACGTGCCTTGTCTCCAACAACATCGTTCAGAACCACCAGAAGCTGGGCAAATTTGTCTAGACCCTTGCCGGAGAAGTACATGGAATCGAGATTGGTCTGAGAGTTGATATCCTGTAGCATCTCTTGGTTGGCAGCATTGGCGATAATGCCGCGAACATTGGCATCATCGAGGCGAGACTTGTAGTTTGGTAGAATCGCCTTTGGGAGATATCCCACATCTCGAGGCAGCAAGGGCTCGACCATGGTGAATTTGTCCGTGATGAACCCACGCATCTGGCCCTTGGCAGGGGAGTCGAGGGTCGCCATGGTCCAAGTGGATAGCATACTGTCTGTCATGCTCTGGACTTGGTGTTCGAGTGCGAACATCAAAGGTTTGCCCCATCTGCTCGAGCCGGCATGCTTGAAGTTGATGCTGTAAGATCCACGAAGACCGTCCTGATCAATGTTACCAGAGACAGAAGCCCCCACAGCATAACTTCCAGCCGCAGAATCCAAGGCATACTCAGAAGAAGAATCAGGCAGAGCAGCAACCTGAACCACAAAGTTGCCTCGATTGGTGCTGACGAGACGGTTGCCGCTGCTGAGAGTAAAGTGGATCGACTCACCCGGAGGGACAGTAACGTACATGAGCCACGTAATTCCGTTGTTGAGAATGAGTCTATACTTGAGGAGATCGAGGCGAAGAGAGGTTTCTTGCTGGACACGAGCGAAACCAACCTGAGAAGCAATGACAGGAGTCACTCCGTAGTACTTGGCAGTGACCATACCCATACCTCTGACTAGGGGAGTCCACATCTTGAGAGAACCACTTTCATCGAGAGTATTGGCGTTGACACTCATGTGGTCCAGGGAGTCCATTCTCATCGAGATGGTGGAGGAGAACTCGCGTGCGCTGAAGACTATAGACATGATACCGGAGGGGTTGAAGTAGAATTGAGTCGGAGTTCGATTCGGGTCTGGTCCATACACAAGTTGACTGCGCCGAGTGTGGGATACTGCTAGTCCCGAAAAGCCATCCTCCTTTGACCACCACACGCTGTAGGGATAGACGTATGCTGGAAGAGTTCGGGTGCCCAGCAGCATGTTGGTGTAGAAGTTGTTTGTGGGAACGGCCCCTAAGGGTGTATGGGAGCTTCCAGTGACAAATGGCGGCAGCTTGACGGGGTGTTCTCGTCGGGGAAACATGCCCAAGGGGTCAGCAGTCGAGATAGGCACGAAAGGGTTTCCGTTGAAACGGGCCCCGAACGCCTGGCGTTTTTCCAGTTCGTGTGTACCCGACTGCCCGTGCGCCAGCGCACTGACCAACCCCAAGAAAGACAAGCCCTGAGAGAATCTCATCTGACCAGCAGAAGGCTTTGTTAGTGATTGTTGTCATGGAGACCTGTGACGAGGTGGTTATAGATCATGGACTTCTTTTTGTTTTCTTTCTTTTTTGCCATTTGGACAACCAATGAGTAAAGTGCTGTATGTACTTACAAAACTTGACCAGCAAGCGTGTTTGTGTTGAGCAGCAAGATCTAGGAGGATGGCACTACCTAGCTGATGAATGTGTTATGCAGAAAGAAGCTGGTGGTTGATACTGCGCTTTTGTGTGTGAGGCGAAAGAGTGTCACGGTCCTGACCACAACTATATATAATCAGGATGGGTCCTTCATCAGATGTTGTCCTACTCAGCTGACAGACGAAGTACATACTGTAACAATGGAAGAGACTATGTTCGTTTGGCCAATCGGCTCAGAATGTGAAACACGAGAACTGTACAGTATGAGCGCAAAAGCGTCTACTAGAATGCATTGCTTTTCTTCAACTGAAGCCATACTGAGCCATATCAGTCACAAAACCTCCAATTCTTGGTCGCTTGATGGTGTATCAATACTGGGTGGTCGACAGGAAGATTCAGGGTTCGGGAGAGTGTCCCAAGCGGTAACGGTGTTGTCTCTAAAGCTATGGATCTGCTTCACCAGCTACGTTGCCTTCATGCCGAGCGGTGTAGTTGGTGAGTGGTGATGGGTCACTGTGATAATCATTGATGGATCAACTGGACGTTATTGGTCACATTGAATTGGCGTTATCTCTAGGGCCTATGCGATACACTGGCTTATCCCGTGTCCACGGATCATGCTGGCTCCGAACCATCTATCAGATAGATGACTTCTAGCGGACCATGCTCACGCTTGTCGCAGAGCCTGGTATCTGTCGGATGACTTGGATTTTGCTTTTGTTCTTGAGTGTTCAAGATTATAAATCCATAGTTGAAATTCGCAGGGGGATTGCTTCATCTGGTAGTTTTTTTGCCACAATTCAACCCCGCAAAACACAAGGCAACCTGGCCGAGCGGTCTAAGGCGCCAGGTTAAGGCTAGCACCTTGACGAATATCCTGGTCTCTTCGGAGGCGAGAGTTCGAATCTCTCGGTTGTCAGAAGCGGATGCGAACGAAAATCAGCTTTCTTTTTTTCCCCTTTGGCAACACCCAACATCTTGGTGAGATCCCTCACAGTGCCGGTATGTGGTGTACGGAGTCGACTGAAAACGAATTGAACATGAAAGGAATGAGTTAATGGATCTGGCTCGTATTGTCGTCCAATAATCATTGGGCTCCAGGGGAACTCGACCAACTTTTGGAGCATTGGAAACGCAGTCAAAGTTGAGGGAACCTCCGTCAGGACCTCGGTCAAGTTTGGTGGAACCTCTAACAAAAGAACGAAGGACATGTGCCTCGATGAAACACAGGACAAAAAGAAATACTGCCACAATGCAGCTATAGAGGACGACAGGACTCGAACCCGCAGCCTTTGGAGGACGTCGTTCATAAGAACCGAAATCCAATGCGCTACCATTACGCCACGTCCTCAACTTGTTGGCGTCAAAGAAGATATCAGATGGGTTGTGAATAGAATAAAAAAGCCAAGAATCATTACAATTAAAAGAAAAAGAAATTCACCCAGTAATATATATAATCTGCAATATTTCCGACACAATAAGATACGACAAATTGCGCATTCTTCTGTCAGACTTTTCGAGCCAAAAGATTTTTTCCTTATCTTGCATCCAGGACGCATTAAAAAACCGTATCTCCCCGTGTTGAGAAAACCAGGTTGTCGATCAATGTTTCCGCGATCGAAAAAAACCCGTGTTACGGTAGTAGGGATTCAACCAATATCTGTTATTTATTTTCGTTGCAGGTGCGCAAGAAGTGAGTTTACAGAGCATTTGCAACAGCTATAATTCGATACTCGTACGTAATACTCAAGTTTCTTGCTGAGTAAGCGTACAATACAAGTATTTCAAGTGATTTGGCGGTCATGTGACTCCAAAGACTCACCTGAGGTTATCCATTCTTCAAGTGATTTTTTTTTTTTTTTCTGCATAAACATTCATTTAATTATAACTTTGCTGTGAAAGAATAACCTTTGAAATGAATGTACGCTTACACGAATATTACTAATTAAACACGTTTAGTGTCATGGTCCAACTTGGCACGTACCTATTTCCAGTAAAAAAATCATAAAAAAACCTGGTTCAGTCCGTGTTGTATGTTGGTCCACATAGCTTCGCGTGTTTGTTCGTTCATCGGGAAAACGCCACTCCAGTCTCCAGTTCTCTAATCTCAATCCTTCCATTGCCCTCTTCGTTTGCATTGCCTTTGAAAACGTCTCCTTGTGGTTCTTCTTCGTCATTGGTTTGGTTCTGCGTCCCCTGTGGTGACTACGCGCCCTGCTACGCTGTTCTCTCGGTGGCCTCGGCCGCCTTTTACGCTTGCTACTGTCGCTACTCTCGCTCATCGTGAAGTGCTGGCGGTTGTCCATCGTAGAAACACATCTGGGCTTCCTTCAGGAATTGAAGCAAACCCTGTTGGACATGTCCCAGGGTGGCGTCGTCCCCTGAGTACCGGAGGGATCTCTCCATCTTCCAGATCCCATAAGCCAATTCCCGCAGATATTTGCGTGTCTTGACTTGTTGATGTTTCCGGGGGGCGTCACTGTTCACATGCCCTGGGAAAGAGGGGAGTACTCCACATTTCGACTCGGTAAAGATCCAGTCCTTTAGAGAGTCCACTGACGGAATCTTCATCCTGGTCAACATGGAAAGAAGAACTTCGCACTTGCAGAAGATATGCTCGTGCAGATCCTGAATGATGGCCTTATCACAGAGCCCGCATCCTGGATTCTTCTTGGTGAAAACGTGGTCGTCAGGGTATCTCCATTTCACGAGCGGAAGTCGAGATATCCGCATGAGGTGAAGAACTTGTGCTTTGTTGGCGTCGGCGATGTAGTGTTTTCGAAGGTCATGCATTACCTCCTGCCAGACCATGTCGTCAGCGATGCCCCCGTAGTCGCTTCGTTGAGTCCACTTCTTCGGTCGTGCAAGTGTGTGTGGGAAGTTTGGCAAGTCGGGAGACGAGGTCTTGTGAAACATGAAGTTCTTTAGAGTAAGTGGTCCCATGCTCCACCGGAGGTGGTCGATTTCCGCTGTGGACACCATTCTGACCGGATGGTATCGTCTCGCGGCTGCGATGTCGACGTGCGCTTCCCGGAAAGATTCTGCTGCTCTCACGTTCACCTGGTTTCGTTCCCAGATTCTGTGATTAACTGTGTCTGTTGTAGAGGGCTCGTGATCTTCTCGAGGGTTGGCATGTTCCGCGGTGAGGGGCTTGTTGAGCTCGAAAGAAGCTCTGATTGCGTCTCGCATGGTGGGGGAGGCTGCGTAGCCCCAAGCTTGGCCTGTCGGAAAGCGGCAGTCGACGCGCTGGTGTGGCTTTTCCTGTGTGAGACTGTGAGTTCTGCTGTAGAACTGGAAGGTGCAGTCCCAAAGGGCCGGCGATGAGCCATGGAAGAACCTGTAAGCCCGAGCGGCCTTCAGGCACACCATGAAACGTCCCATGTCCCGCAGGTTCAGTCCTCCTCTGCCTACCGGAGTTTGGATGAAACCATTGCTGAAGGTTTTGCGTGTTTTGTCGGGTGATAATTTGTTGATCTTGTCGCACGCTAGTTCGTTCAGCTCTCGGATGAAGGTGTTGTCGATCTGGCTGACGTAGGGTCCAAGGAAATTCAGTTTCGAGAAGAAGTAGATGTTGATCATCCACGCCTTGCTGTAATAGGGGAGACCCCATAGTGAAAGGCGTCGCAGCGACTCCTTGAGGTCCTCCTTGATCTGAGCGTAGTGCGTGTCCAACCTTTCGCGATTTCCGAAGTGTACTCCGAGGTAACGGAAAATGTTGTCAGATGTCCGGAGCGTCGGGGCCTGTCGTGTGTTGTTGTCGGTTGGCCAGGTGGCGTCAATTGTTCGCTGCCATTCTGCGTCAATAAAGGTTAGTGGAACAAAACAATCGGGGGGGCCGATCTTCTGAAGCACCGTCTTTGACGGGTTTAGTGTGAGGCCTGAGACCCGTTGGAAGAGGCAGAGCACTCTACCAACCGTGGCCACGTCCTGGATGTTGTTGAGGAACACCGCTATGTCGTCCGCGAAAGCCGACACCTTCATGTGTCCAGCTGCCACTGCCTCCGGGTGAGTAGGGGGTTGTGGCGGCCTGTGCCCAGTGGTGTGGTGGTGGGATAGTGGCAGGCCTGGGGCCAGTCCAAACATCTCTCGGTCCAGACGACGCACAAGTGCGTCTACTGCGATGATGAAGAGGGTTGGAGAGAGAGGGCATCCTTGTCTCACTCCGATCTTGATGCGGACTGGGCGAGATAGGACACCTCTGATGTTGATTCTCGTTACTGCGTTCTGTTGTACAGCTAGGATACGGTTGATCATCAGTTCCGAGACACCCACATTTCGAAGCGTCTTTATCACCCAACTCTGGCTGATAGTGTCGTAGGCTTTCCGGAAGTCCAGTGATCCTACGACCCAACCCATGTTCAGCTGGGAGTAGGCGTTGCAAAAATGATCCATGGTGTCGAGATTGTTAGTGATGTGTCGACCCGGTACGAAACCGTTTTGGGCGCCGTGAATGCTGTCCGGAAGAATGTTCTGGATGGCTTTGTTAATGAGCTGTGTGTAGATCTTCACCTCTGTGTTGATCAAAGAAATAGGCCTGTAGTTGGAGATGTCGGCCTGATCTCCCGACTTGTACAGTAGTTTGATGATAGCGGTGTTGCGTTCGGTGCTGATGGGCGAGTCGGCTCCAGCTTCGTTGTAGACGTCCGTCATCAAGTCCCCCAGCTCATCCCAGCAGTCGCGGTAGAACCTGTACGGGATGCCGTCTGGCCCTGGCGCGCTGTTGTGCGTAGACGCCTTGATGGTATCGAAGATCTCCTCCTTGGTAAAAGACGAGTCCAGGCTTGGGTTAGCTGTATTCACCCTCCGGGTTTCTTCGGGGAAGAGGTCTAAAAAGGCGCTGTCGTCGGTGTCGTTGATATCGGCAGCTCTGTCGAAGATGTTGTCAAAGTATCGAGCTGAGATGTCGCAGAGAGAGGAGGTGTCGGTCTTCACTCGGCCTTGGTGGTTCCGTAGGGAGTGGATCTCCATCTGTTGCTTGGATTGTTCGACCCGAGCATGGAGCATCGGGTATGGCTCGTTAGCTGGGTAGGCTTGCCAGTCTGAGGCTGTTGCCATGAGGGCCTCGCGGCGTCTGTTGTCTGGGTGGTTGGAATCTCGAAGTGCGCGGTTTTTGGCTTCCTGTTGGATGGTGACCTTAATGTTTTCTTTCAGGCATTGCAGCTTCAGGCTGGGCTTCAAAGGACCATATCGCTTCAGAATGGATTTGACGTGGAACTTGAGCCAAGCAATGTACTCTGTATCAAAAACCCACCAGGGCATCCTCCAGGTGCCTGGGCCTCTGTCTTGTCGCTGGGTGAGGTTGCCAAAGTTAAAGACGAATTGGACCGCGTGGTGAGAGGACTTCGTGATGTTGTGACCCTGCTTGTTGGTTACCAGTTGTGTGGATTTGATCCACTGTGAGAGTGTCGAAGAGATGTGCAGCTGATCCAGGCGCCTGCCAGCTCCGCGGCTGTTGTTGGTGTGAGTGTAGAGGCCTTTTCTGTGTTTGCTGATTAGAGTGTAGGTGTCTAGTAAGTCCCAGTTAGCTAAGAAGTCCTTAAGGTGAGTCGTCACTTTTTCGCCAATCCTGCCGTCGTTGGAGGCGACCGCGTTCCAATCGCCTGCCGCTATCAGGGGGTATTGGCAGGGATGGAGGCGTAGATAGTCGTCTAGTGACTGGTAGAACTGCCGGTTAGTGAAGGGGGAGGCTCCCTGCTCGTTTGGTGCGTATACGTTGATCAGCGATAGGTGTCTGTCGGTGCCTTTGATGTGCACGTCGGCCAAACACAGTCTGTTGTCTAGGGCTGGGAAGTATTCAAAAACTGTTGTAAAGTTTGTGATGGTGACGTTGTCGGAATAGACTAGCCCCACGCCGACGCTTCTATTAGAAACACCAGCTGTGGAGCCGAGGAGGGTGTAGTGTCTGCCCCCCGGGTAGGGCGAGTTTGAAATGATTTGTTGAGCGGTTTGTAGGGAGGAGTCCACCCAGTTCGTCTCTTGAAGAAGGACGAGATCGGGGTAGTGAGTAGTTCGAATAATGTTTACAATGGTGTCGGGTAATCGGTTAAGCGCTTCCGCCATCTTAAAACCGCCGATGTTAGCCGTGATGACTTTAACATTCGGAGATTTCATTTTGGCCTGGGTGCTCTTACATGGGGCTTTAGAAGGGGTGGTAGTAGAGGTGAAAGACATGCTTACTGGTTCTGCCCCGGTCGGAGCATTGTGTCCACCTCATGGAGAGTGGTCACCCTAGGGGGGTTCGGGGGACTGTTCGGGGGTTCTACAATCTCGTCTACCGAGCTGAGTGTCGCACCGTCGTGGAAAACTTTGAAGTGGCATGTAGACAGGAATGTCGGGCACCTCCCGTCAATGAACTTTGCTACCTCCTGAGAAGGCAGCCAGCAGAGTCTGTTCTCCGACCTGTCCGGGTTCAGGATTTGCACCGGAACCTCGCTCGAGGCGGTCTGGAAGACCGCAATGTGCTTCTTGCCGAGCGTGGTGTGAGAGGGCTCGCCAGAGAAACTGGAGGTGGTGTGCCCTCCTCGGGGTCGGCCCTCGTGGATACTTCCGGGGGGGGGTTGTGTTTGGTTGGTCGTGTTGGGACTGGTGTGGTCGTGGGGAAGGCCGTTGTTGGTGGCCTCGGTGTTAAGCGGGGTAGCGGGGGGAAGAAACTGGGTGACATCAGGGGCTACTTCAGGGTGAGCAAGTGCGTCAGGCTGGGTGTCAAAGCCGTTCATGGATACGTCAGCCGGTTCCGTTTCCTGGTCGTCGGGAACTGTGTCTTCCTCGGAGGCGGGGATGTTGATGGGTAGATTCTGAGTTCCATGCTGCTGGTTCGTAGAGGGCAGCTGGTTAGTTTGCTCGGTCTCTTCGGGTGTGTCCTCTCCGGTTTTGTCGCTCAAGACTTCAAAGTTGTAGTAAGATCGGAGGGGCTTTTGACCGGTGGGTTGGGGGGACGTGTCTCGAGTCCGTCTATGTCTAGGGGACTTAGTGCCGACGGTCTCCCACTGGTGAGTAGCAGGCGTGTGGTGGAACTTGCGAGTTTGGACCGGGGGCTCCACGGTGGATGGGGCATGGATGGAAGCAAGGGCTTTACCTCTCTGTGGGAGGGTACCCTGGTGAGCGCGGGTGCGGAAGATCTTGGGAGTGACCATGTCTTTCTCGGGGCAGGCCTCCCGGATGTGCTTAGTGCTCTTGCACTTAACACAGATGTTATCGCCGTTGGCGAAGTGCATCTTGATCAACTTTGAGCCGGTAAGCCTAGCCTTGGTGGGATCCAGGTTGACGAAGAAGTCGGGGATGGTCTGGGGCAGGGTGGAGCCTAGGAGAGCACGAACTGCGATCACAGGACCCGAGATGTTCTGATGGTTGGCAGAGGTCATCAGAAGGGTGCCACTCAAGAGGGAGGAACCTGGAATGGCCTGATCAATGTCTACGTCGAACTGGTTGAGAATAGCGTTGAGGTGGATCTTGAAAGCATCCTCCGTCTGACGCTCCATCTTCATGTACGAGGGTAGGTTGAAGTAGTAAAGTACTCTTCGTCCAGCAGGGTTAGCCGAGCCCTTCCTCATGATGCGATAATCTTGAGTATTGGCCTCAACAATGAGACTAACTGTCTCCAGAATGACAGCCATTCGTTGTTCGTGGGGGTCGGTGAGGGCGTCCGACGTCAGGTAGTGCCAACCATTTCCCACTTGGTAGCAGTCTTCAGGGTCCTGTTCTAAGTTAGTCTGGTCGATCAGGTGGGGGACGATGTCTAGGTTGTGCCTGGACAGGTCAAACTCCGCCAGACCAACCTGACCCTTGATCTCGTCGAACTTTTCGATGACGCCCTCGAGGACACTGATGGTGTCCTTCTCGTCGACTTCAGCGGCGTTATCGAGGTGCTCGAGGAACATGGAGATAGGAAGATTCCAATCAGGGGTGGCGGAGCGGTCAAGAGCTCTTCGGAAGAAGTTTTCCTTGCTGGCTACATAGGACACGTTGAAACGGCCGGAGGTATGCCTACCATTCGGCGCCGCAAGGGGCTCCGAAATTCGCTCCTTGTTGAGGTTGAATTTGAGTGTGGAGGGGTTCGATGTCAGGAGAGCCTTGACTTCGGCCTTGCTCTTCCAGGCGTTGAGGGTGATATTGTTGTCGTTTTTTTTGTCGTTTTTGTCGTTTTTGTCGTTTTTTTTGTTGTTTTCATCGTTTTTGTCGTTTTTTTGGATTTTTTCAATGTCGGTTTGGTTGGGGGTTTCGGTTGAGGTGGCTCCATCACCTCGCGATAAATCAGGAGGTGGGTGGTTCGGAGCGCCCAAGGAGTTACCCGCCGAAGCTTGGGCTTGCGCTGTTTCCATGGTGAACGTTTTTTCTGGTCGCGCTCGATTAATAGCTCTGTTTTTTTGTGTCTAGTTTCTTCGAGCGCTGTATCGGGGAACCTCATATTAAGGTTACCCAACAAAATGTAAGTATTCTGTTGAGCGTTGTCAGCAATTTAAACAAGCACCATAAAATCCCAATTAGTTCTTCACAAACGACATGAAACACAAACACGAGGACATGCTCCACATGGTGGAACAAATCTTCATAGAGTTAGTTGAATTTTAGTGGATATACGGCCCAAACATCACTTTTTAGGCGGCCGAGGCCACCGAGAGAACAGGTGTATTTCTGACGTTAGCGTTGATAATGCAGGGACTAATGAGATGAAAACTTTAGTATGCACTACTTCGAACCCAAAAAATCGACATTGTCAAAGCCGCGGTCAAATGGAGTCGATTTCTCGGTTTTATATAATCTATCTTCACACGAACCCCGCACGTAAAATTCAGGCCATAATTTAAGGTCGCATTCTGGTTATAGTTTAATTGTCTGTTTGTGCAATATAAATATACCCCCAATTTACAGATTCTCCAGAATCCTCTCTTCATGTTAACCATCATCGCCAAGAATCCGCCAAGTACGTGTTTCGTCTCGAACACTGAAAAAGACGGCTTCTTTCTGTCGCCGGCTAAAAAGAGGCGGCTTGAGTGAGTATTTATGCTTTCTTCCATTCGACTGGCACCATTGGGGGCTTTTGGCACCATTGTGACGCAAATCGCGTGTTTGTGGCACAAAAAGCTTGACAAACGACAGCACACAACATCACATTGCATCATGGAATATCTCGGTTTCGTTACATAAGCTGATGACACTGCAACTATACTCACTGTCGCCATCACCAACCACGCTTTTCGACGACGGATACCTACAATCAATCCATGTGGCCCAAACACAACAACACCAAGTGACACAAACACGACACAGATATACTGTACAAAACTTGACAGGCTTCTTATGTTCCCCGCACCTTGATCATCTTTCAACCTAGTCTCAGCTGCGAGAAGTGTTACTCCTCAATTGCCAGTGCCACGCCTTCTCCTCCGCAATCTTCAACATACTAACTCAGATGGGCGTCTTAGGATCTAGTTACTACCATAGGTAGGGCTAGTCTTAGACGGGTGCTTCCCGAAGAGCTATGAGCCAAACGACTGTGTCTTCCGAGGGTGTCGGGTAGGCACAGTCAGGCCAGAGTCTCCAGGGGGGCATCTCAATCCCAGGGAGGAATTTATTTTGTTTACAGGGGGGGTGTGCGTTAACCATGCCCAGGTTCCAAGCATGCTATGAACTCAGGGACAGAGTCTCATAGGGAGTGCCCCGGACAACCCGTGTCTACTGGCGATTTTCGTCTTTAGACACGACGCTACAACCCAGTCAGTTTCAAACCAACTTGCAATCACCCTTCGCGTCCCAAGAGGGGGGTCTGATTGCACAGAGACGAAACCATACTAGCGTCACTCACGTTCTCGGCGGAACCGGTTCGTGAGATTTACTTTTTTACTTGCTATCGATGATAATTTTGGCACTGGGGATGTTGGAGCATAGGAGATGGTGCTCTTGGTGGTGGAAGGTCGGAGTGGATTCGGGGGCTTGTGTGCAAGACAGGAGGCGTGGGGATAGTGAGGGGCGGTGGGTGGTGGATAGTAGATGAGGGGAGTTGGAAGGAGGTGATGGAAGGAAGACGAGGGGCGTTAGAAGGTGGCGAGTGGTGACAGTTGAGGGGCGTTGGAACAAGCAGTGGAAGATGAGGGGTGGTGGGAGGCCGTTGGCCGTGGACTGTGGATGGTTGGAGTTTGTGGAGAATGCACTGGAACCCTAGTCTTGTGATCCGTGTGTGGGGGAGAAAACACTGGGATCTTCTGATTGTGTGGTTTTCTCAATCACACCCGTGTGTGAGGGGAAAAGCACTGGAACCCTCGTTCTCAACCACCTCAGTGTGCGAGGGAGAAAGTGCTCGAGCCTTCGGGTTGTGGTCTTCTCAATCACATCCTTAAGGGTGGTGGAGGGAATGCCGGGAGAGTGATAAGGCATTCTTTGTGTGGGTGGAATATATATAAATAATGTATTGATTGTTTTGAAGCTCATGAGCTGTATGAAACTATCATTTAGAAGCATTACATTGTATTGTATAAATACTACTGTATCGGAACCGCTGTCCTTTTGGCATCATCTACGGTCCAATCTCACAGTCATCTAAGATCCACGTCTCACACTTATTGAACTTCCGAAACGCTTATTGGGCTGAGTCGAACAAAATAGGGATCGAATTCGGTAGGGATTGTTCTTTTTGAATTAACAGTTAGGAGAGACGATCCATGTGCAACTAGGCTCGGGTTAGTCTGAGCTGGGTCAGTTTAAATGGTCCATGGGCGCATGTAGATTGCGGCATATGTTTTCTGCCAAGCCAGTGGTGCGTTATCTCTCTTGGCACATGCATTGGCATCTGATGATAAGGGCCAACTGTGAGTTCAAGGAATTGTATTCAATCAAGGAGCACCTTGTTATGACCGCGATGGAAAAACCTACTCAGTGGAGCTTATGGTTTGACCTCTCTGAGAGAGTCGCGTGGATATGTGTTTTTCTAGCCGAGTGGCCGTCAGCTTCTAGTTTCTCTTCCGCCTAACTGACAATCGCCATGGTCAATCGTGTAACCAAGCGACTTGACAACTCATCGTCTCTCCAAACTGAGGTGGTCAGGGTTGGTAACAACGCTCTATTGGACTGGGGAGTTCGAGGCTCAGCAGATATTCAATGCGTCTGTCTCCAACTGCACAAAGTGTTAACAAAAGCATTGATCTCGGCACAATATCACTCTCAAAGTCCCCACGGTCTCCCCGCCTGATCTGTCCGACCTCCATTTCGTTCTGAGGTCCAAAACAAGGAAGTCACCAATCACTATGGCCACTAAGCGAGGTCTGTGGGTTATCTCTAGAAACATCAATTCATCCGGGGGTGTTCAAGTGGCTTGTGAGAAAGAGAGTCCAATGTGAACAGGTTGGTCAGAGGACGTGGATCATGGCTCATGTTCAATAAAAGTTTCAAACCATGTGTAAATGGAGATTGTCTAGCTTATGAGCCCCTTTACTAACAGGTTTGTTGGTACTCGCAGCGTTTACTAGTTCATTTTGTCTATCTGAACGTTCTGTATGGTTCGGCTCATAAGACGACACTATGACCGACTGCAAAAACTCCGTGACCGACTGAAAAAGTGATTACGACGCAATAACACAACCCAGTCGCTACACTCATAGGCTGGGCTGAGCTGGCAAGGACGACAAAAAGATTACAGCACCCAGGATTCTCGTATGGTCTCCCACTACAATACTAATTGGGCTCTCTGGAGCTTGACTATGGCTGATCGGACGGGAAGCCGTATTTTCACCAGGATATGGCCGTAACCAAGTTGCGCCGACCCGGAATCGAACCGGGGGCCCATCGATGGCAACGATGGATTTTACCACTAAACCATCGGCGCTTTGGAGGTATTTCGGGGAAAAATATTGCTTACTAACTCTCAAAACAGTATTTTTCGAAACTTTAGAATAAAAAAACTTTATTTTTGACAAATAATGGAGTTCCCCATCGTGCTCTGGAGGTGGAGAGAACTCGTAAACTAAGACGAGAAGTACGTCAATGTCGATTTTGAGTGTTTTATTCCTATTGGTTAATTTCTGGGTGTTTCAAATTTCGAATTCGTCTCCATATGTCTTCAGTTTTGGTTCCATACTGTATATACTGTACGAGTGAAATATTCAAGCTGACCCAGAACAACATGCTGTGTTTGCAATTAGTGACATCTCCTGGGGGACAACAAGTACTTGTACAAGAACAAACACAAGAACAGGAAAATGAGCAAGAAACGTACATTTGTATTAACGAGACTCATTTCCCTTACTCAACTTCACTTGGTATGATCCCCAAGGTTCTGGAAGTTCCTCATTTTTCTCTAAATGAACAAAATAGTAACAAAGCACCTATAAGGTAGAATAATAACTGTCACTCACTTAAACAACCCCTTAAAACTGTTTGGAATTTGGAGCTATTACTTGTAACGCATTTTTCGTTGTTTCTGGGGATTTTTTTCTGCTTTTTTTTTATTTTTTTTTATTCTAATGAACATTGCAAAACAGGTGAAACACCCTTTACACTCTCGTGTGATTCATAGCAGCCTTCGTGGCCAAGTGGTAAGGCGCAGCACTAGTAATGCTGAGATCATCAGTTCAAATCTGGTCGAAGGCACTTTCTTTTTGCTTCTCAAGGCTTTTTCTTTGGTTCGAAACGAGACAGATATGCCATACCTACTCTGTCATATTAAGTTAAGGTTCGATGAGAGCGTTGAACTAAAAATATTTTTCTCATGAGTGAAAAATAGCAGCTGGAACGGCTACAAAAAGATAGCCCGACGTGGGGCTTGAACCCACAGCCTTGAGATAGCTTTGAATAAGAGTCTCACGCTCTACCGATTGAGCTAGCCAGGCGAATCTTGGAAATGTTTGGAAGAAATCCCACTCAATGTCACGGTGGATTAGTCAGCCAGAAGTGTATGATTTATTGAACACCAATAACCCGGCTTACTAGGTATATAGCTGTAATGAATCATTAGAATAAAAAAAAAACTAATTGTTAGAATATAAAAACAGAAAAAAATAAAGTAAAAAATAAAAAAGTAATAATTCATTAGAAAAAGTTAGAAAAAAATAAAACTGAAAAAGAAGTATTTTTCTAAAACTGAAATGTAGTTCTATAGAATAAAAACAAAAGAAAACAGATTCCTCGTTTCTCAGCAGCCTAAGACGGCAGTATCTGATACGACTATCACAGCTTGCTTTATTTGATTGCTTTATTTGATTGTTGATATATTTGTGCAGTCAGAGTACTGAAGATCATAAGGAATAGGCAGAATACGTGAACAAGCGAGAACGAATACCATGCGCTCTTCTGAACAACCGAATTCGAATCCTTTTTGCAGGTTATAACATTGTCTTTACGCCTCAAGTAAATGTATTTCCATAGAATAAAACAAACAAAAAACAAAACAAAAAACAATGAATTTTATTTTCCTAGATACAAAAAAGAATTATTAGAATTTTTTAAAACTAATAGGAAAAAACATATTATAGCCGTATTCGTCATTAGACCAATAACACGTCTAGAGAAAGAATAAAAGGAAACCATTGGCATGTTTGACATGTACCCTTCTGTATAACCCGAATCCGAGTCCGATGTCCGCTTTTGTTATTGTGTTAGACCCAGTGAAGTATGTACAGTAGCAGAAATGTTTCCCTTGAAGCAAAAAACACTTTATGAGAGGGCTAGTCTCTAGTCAGTTAGTATCATGATTATTGACACCTACTCGAGAGTATATAACTGCTATCGGCTTACGGTAGTATATACACTTCCTCAAGAGTATATAAACACATGCCGGTCTACCTTAGTACAGTATGTGACAGTTTATAAGGAATCGATTATTGACTCTTGCAACAAAATATTGGTTCACTGACCTGTCCATTGCAAGACGGCAGTACTACCAGTTAAGCCTACCAGAGTCCAGGTCTGGTTTCGAACAGAAATCTTGAGACCTCTGAGTTGGTCTCTGGGTTGGTATATCCCAATTCTGGTGTCCAACTTGGCCCAGAAAAAATCACCAGTTTCCTAAACGAGCAGAAGATACCTTTGACGAGAGTACCCTCGGATCATGAGAGCTGTTGTTCCCGAGATGATAAGAACGAGGTCAAATTCGGATTCCATCTCAATGCTCCCCGGAGACCGTCATCAAAGGAGACGATCTTCCAAAGTTTTAGTTCGCCAAACTAACCCGTCCAACCATGCTTAGTTGCTCACGCGCGATCCTGAGGGCAGGCCTTCCGTTCTCTTATCCTCAAGTCCCTACGGTACCCTCAAGTCCGTTCCACTATACTGGCAAGGATGGCTCGTGCGTGCCTTCCATCAACGACCAGCACAGCTGATGGACGAACGGTTTAAGATGCAATGAAGATGTGGGGTTTTGGAAACGACACGGGACTCGCGCACGAGTCGGAGGAACGAGAGGCAAGTTTCAGATGGCCATCAACAAAAATAATCTCGCGGAAGATCGAGCGTTTATGGAGAAGACCAGTGTCAAGTATAGACATGGTATATGTGCATTGATTTGCAGGTTGAATGTTGGAGTTTGACGGAACGTGAAGAGAACACTTGGGCCATTATTTTGCAAGTGATACATTCGCAACATGAACTTGAACTCCTCGTACACAGAAAATGCAAACCAAAAAAGGACGGGCCCAACCGGGAATTGAACCCGGGACCTCTCGCAAATTGCTCAGGACACCCTAAGCGAGAATTATACCACTAAACCATCGGGCCATTTTCCTGGAAAAACCTAAAATAAAGGGCCGCACAACCAGACCAATGATTAGTAATCAGCCATTTTACATGTGTTCATGATCCCCGAGCTATATCATCATTTTCTATCTTCTCTTGCTTCACTCGAAGCACCTTGTAGTGTTCTGACAAGTATTGCTCCATACTCAATCACGTTATCCCAAAGTGAAACACCCTGTCTCCTTAATTACGCGCGTGCAAACTCTAAAGTGAGTATATATAACGTGGCTGAGAGAAACCTGTCTCCAGCCCCCTACAGCATACACATAACTAACACCATGTCTCAGCAGCAGCATCTGGAAGAGGAGGAGGAAGAGGAATTTGTTGACACCTATGTGCCTGGCGAGAAGAAGTCCGTGGCGGAGTACGTGAACCTGGACGCTGAGGACGAGTCTCTGCGAAAGTGGAAGGAGGCTCTTGGAATCACCTCCAACGTGGCAGGCCAGACGGTGGGTGATCCTAACGACAAGCGAAGGGTCGTGATCATGGAGAACAGAACCTATCTTGGTGATGACGAGCCCATCGTCAAGAACCTGGAAGATCCCAAGACCATCGAGGATCTCAAGACTGGAACAATCAAGATCAAGGAGAAGATCAAGTACTACTCTGAGATCAAATTCCGAGTCCAGCATGAGATTGTTACCGGTCTGGTCTACCAGCAGACTATCTCTCGAATGGGAGTGCCTATCGAGACCCGAAAGCAGGTGATGGGCTCATACCCTCCCAACACCCCCGAGAACCCCTTCTATGTCAAGAAGTTTGAGCTGCAGGAGGCACCCTCGGGATTTCTGGTGCGAGGAAAGTACCTTGGCCAGTCAAAGTACATTGATGACGACGGTGTCGTTCATGCCGAGTACCCTTTCAACTTTGAGATCACCAAGAAATAGAAGTTTGTATATTTATCATACCTGCAGTTTGACACTGCAATCGTATCAGTTGTGTATGCGCGGTGTTTGTAGGTGATCCAGTCGAACTAAAACATCAGGCCCACCATCGATTTACATATCGTAGTGGCACAAGTATGTACAAAAGAGTACATACTTGTACCCTTACATGCTCGTCACATTTCTACTCGCGACTGTGTTCTGTTCTACAACTATCTAAACAAGTATGATGATGCCAAAGCTCTCCTGGCTGTACTCTTTTCCGTCCAGGTCGGTTCTTGGGGCTTGTACTCTTGTCCCACCCTGTGTGGTCAGACAGGTGCATTGTGTTTTACTGTCTCTAGTCCAAATCTCGTCACTGGTACCTGGGATGTCTTACTCTCATTACGCCCTGATGTCAACCCCGAGGGGAACCATCTCGGGAGGACCATCTCTGGGAAGCGAAATCCAGCCTTCATGTAGATTCCTTACTTTGACAGAGCCCGGCTTGGAAAGATAGAATGTCTTGTCTCCGGGATGATCATCAATCCAGGTCTTGCCGTTACCCCAGTATCCAAAGCGATCGTCTGGGTTGAGATATTGGTAGTTGAAATCTTCCCATCTGGGTTCTCGTAGAACAGAAATGGCATGAGAGATAGTTCCAGGCCACGAAATTCGCACCCGGGTGTCACCGTTGCGATCAATCTCGGTAAAGTAACCTCCAATTCCGCCCTTGGTGATTGACGAGGCCTGGGACAGTTCCCAGATACGTCTGGAAAAGGACTCGGAGGGTTTCTCCTTCGGATCAATGGAAGCAATGTCTTCAAACTGCGCCTTTCGGATCACCTTGGCAATGTAGCTAGACTGCTGCTCTACTGTTATGGGAGGAGTTCCACAGTAGAGATAGGAGTTTACCGAGAGGGTGTAGAAAAAGTTGGGAAAGCCGGGCGCCGAAACTCCAAGGTAGGACAGAGAGTAGCCCTTCTTGGACTCAAGAGGTGAGAAATGTGTTCGTAGAGTGTACCCGTCGGATCCGATGATTTCATAATTGGGAGTGGCTCCATATCCGTTACCTCGAACGTATCCTGTCGAAGAAATGATGACATCAACTGGACGTTCTTCTCCGTCAAATACGATACCATTCTCAGTGAACCGCTCAATGTCGCCCTTGTAGTAGTCCACGTTGGGAAGAGCTAGAGCCTCGAGATACCCAGGAGCTGGAAGGAGACGTCTGGGTCCCGGAGTGAAATGAGGCACAACCTTTTCAAACAGTTCGTCGTTTTCGCCGACCCGAAGGTACATCAGCGCCAGCAGTTCCTTGATGCCCGCCTTGTAGCCCGGAGTTCCAAACAAAGTGGCTTCGTACTTGCCATGCAGCTTGGAGTCAAGAGAAGAACGGTACTTGTGGTACTCTTCAGAGGACTGGATGGCGTTGATTTCTTCCTGAGTGTAGTCGACGTAACCCGGAGCTTTCACGCCGAATAGTGTGTGGCCTATCCAAGCTCCTCTTTTGACGTAGTGGTCCACGTGAGCTGCACCCTGTTTGATGAGCTCTGGCAGAATCTGGACCCCTGTGGCTCCATTCCCCAGCAATGCCACCCGCTTTCCCTTGAGGTTCAGATCTTTAGGCCAGTTGACAGGGTGGAATTTGGGTCCCTTGAAGGACTCGAAGCCGGGTTGGACGGGAAACTTGGCAGTCTGGAGAGATCCAGATGACGAAATGAAAAAGTCCGACTTGAGAACCTCCTCTTTTCCGTTGTGTTCCACTCTGACATGCCATTGGTGAGTTGGTTCATCCCATTTGGCCTCCTTGATGGAATGGTTCAGTCTGAACTTGTCTGCAAGCCCGTGTTTCTCCACTCTGCTCTGCCAGTAAGCCTGGATATCCTTTCCGAAGGCATAGGCGCTCTGCCAGTCTGTTTTGGGATCAAAAGTAAGCTGGTATGAGTGACTGGGAACGTCACATCGCACGCCTGGATACTCGTTTGTAGCCCAAACACCTCCGACCTTGGAGTTTCGATCCAGAACAGTCAGAGTCAAATTGTCGACTTTCTGAGACAGCAGGATAGCTGTGGTGATTCCGGCGAGACCAGCGCCTGAGATGATGACGCTGACGGCACGTCTACCGAGATATGGCCGCTCCAGGATCTTCTTGGCCCATTCGCTGGCCTCCAGGTTGTTGAACTGCTCAAACTGCGCAATCAGCGCCTCCTTATCCACCCCCGTTGTGTCCGTGTGGCCCACTCCGAGTTTCACGTTGGAAGGATCAATTGAGGGCATGGCTAAAAGGCGATTGAAGTTTTCGGTCCCGTGGAAAGAGCTGACGGACCTCCATATATACCCCACAGCTCGTCATTGTGGTTGCATAATCGTCAGGCACGACGCCACAACTCAATCTGCTCGCATAAGTGGAGATAGTAGTGAAGAGGCGATGATGGCAGCTCGAAAAAGAGGTCAGTGGGGAAATAGGAGTCACGTATTTGACTCTGTAGTAGGCGTTCTGTGTCTTTTGCTATCTTATCGGTATTACCAGCATCTCTGGTTGTTCGTTTCTCCGTTCTGTGGCTTGACTGATAAGAGTGAGACTAAGACGGAGATAGTGGAGGTTTGGTGGCCTACTTGTAGATGACACGAGATGGGTGGATAAGTTTTTGGTGATTGGTCTGACTCGATATCTACAAGTGATTGTAAGTAAAAACCCCAGCTGGTCCAAACTGGTTTCAATCGCTGGCTGCTTCTATGGAGATTTACAAGGGTTAGTCAGGGTCCATACACCATCGCCCTACTTACCAAATCTTCAAGTGTTTTTGTTTAACTACTGACCCTGCCGTCTAAACTCCCAACTAATGTACATCCCGTTCAACAAAAGCAACTCAACATAAATTACTCATATTACTCTATACAATACAATAATAAACAGGACAGGTCCACCAGCTCCACAATTACTCCCAGGTAAGCTCTGCAAAGTACTTGTATCTGTCTGCAGATCTTCGTCTCAACTCCTTACCATAGCGGATCATGGGGTAGATGAGAAGAAGGGGGATCACAGAGAGACATCCAGAGATGATAAACACGGTCTTGAGACCACATCGGTTGATCCAGGGCTCGAGAGAAAAGCAAACAATGGTTCCAAAGGCGTTTCGAACAACCACAACGCCCACAAACGCGTCAGCAACCATGTCCTTGTAGCAATCAAGCATGTAGGTGATGGAGATGGATCCCACTGAGCCGAAACCAAACATGATGAGCGAGAAGCCAACCGTGGGAATCATCCAGTGCTTTCCCTCTGCAATGGGAATGCCAAACATGAATACACCGACAGTGACGGCGACCGCTCCGAGGTACATTGAGTAGAGACGCATCTCAGGTTCATACAAACCTCCGTTTCGTTTGGTGAGCCACAAGATGGACTTGTCATTGAGATAACCACCGAAGACAGCTCCCAGAGCCATACCAATGAAAGGAGCAATGTTCACGTTTCCAATAGCAGTGGAAGACATGTTGTAGGGCTCGCTGGAGAAGGAGTTGGCGATAGTGGTAGCAGCCATCGCCAGCCAGGTGAGCATGAAGGCGTAGTTGATGGCCACAAACGAGACAATAGGGAAGGTGAAGAGCACAATGAAAGGCGTGTACATCTTCTTGAAGAAGTTCTTCCATGAGCCAGGCGAGTATGTCCACAGAGCAAGACGCTTTTTGAGAGGTCGAGGGTGGTAGACAATGTTGTCAGCCACTGAGGGGGTGTTTGAGTCACCGACAACAATCTCGTGTTCAGAAACAGCCTCCTTGATGTCCATGGAGTTTCTTCTGGAGGTTGATTGAGAAACTGGTCGAGAATGAGACAAGGAGTTTCGTCTGGAGGGCGCCTGGGAAACAGGACGAGACTGAGACATTGAGATTCTCGAGTCCTCCAGGTTCTCTCTCAGACGGTCTTCATGGAGGTATCGGGTGGCAGTAGAGAGAGGAGCATCTGCACTCTTTTCGACTCGGGGCTTGTCGTCTTCTTCATTCACCTCCACGTCCTTGTATGTGATCAGTGTCTGTTCAGGAAGGTACTTTGTTTCTTCAAAGAAGAAGAAAGAGAAGACCAAGAAAGCTCCGTCGATAATGGCGATAATCCAGAATACCCATCGCCAGCCGAGCGAGTCGGTAATGTATCCTCCAGGCACCAGCACGAGGAAGTTGCCGATATCGACAACCGTCATGAAAATGCCGTTCATGGTACCTCTCTGGTGCACAAAGAAGAGGTCAGCGACCGTCATCTGGATAATTGTCTCGGTCAGCGAAGCAGCCAGACCGTCAATGAACGTCGCAATGTACATGTCATAAGGATGGTACATTTTGGCCTGCCAGATGGCAGTTCCCACAACGGCAGCAATACCACATAGGTAGACAGGCCGCTTTCCAAACTTGTTGGCAAAGGGAATCAGAAACGGACATCCCAGGCCGAGACCGGCAAGACCCATGGCATAGCCGTTGTTGAGCTGGTCAAACGTGAAGCCCAACTCCTCGTTCAATGGGCCCCAGAACACTGTGGGGATACAATTGAGAGCGAAGGCCAACAACGTGAAGAAACAGACAACGAAGAAGTTGATGCCTTTTCGGTACTTGTTCCAGTTGAGAGGCTCATTGGGATCTGCGCTGGGCTTAGGTTCCAGAATGATATCATTTTTGCCGCTGTCCAGCCGCTCAGGGTCCAGAAATATCGTTCCAGGGGGGAATTCGTATGGGTCCATGGTGTGTCAAGAGAGTCAATTGTGTCTCCAAAACAACCAGCAACTGCGATCGCTTATATGTCTGCCTTGTGTGCGGAAGCAACCGTTGTGTCACACATTCAACACAAAGACAACAGCGCGCTTCCTTTACTGATTCTGCACATGTCGCCAAGACGTTGGTGATGGTAAAGCGCCTGTATCTGTACCCCTCTTGCCACAGGGTAGTACCCCGTAACCAGCTAGCAGCGGATCGCCAAACCGCTCGAGAGATGTTGCTTGGGGGTGTATCGATCTATCACGTGACCCGGATGAGACCATACCATGGCTCCAGTGGCAACACCATCTCCTTGTCGCTCTTTCCGATATCACTCCGAACACGGTCTCTACAACAACGATATGCAGGGTTTAGACGCGGTAGATATTTACAATCTGAAATAATGTGCCATTTTTAACATTTTAGACATTTTTAAGGTTGAGGATTGAGCCAGAAAAGCGAGTCGGGTATCGATCCTAGCGGATAACAAGCAGTACCAAATACATTATTGGCGGGGTTGCCGGCTAGAAATTGGTCACGTGATCACATTTCTAGCCGGATTTTCTGTTATTATTTCCTTTTCATTTCTCTGTGGGCGTTTTTCGGTTGCGTTTACCCCCCCCTCAATTCTGCCCGTTTTCCGGCCCCCCAAATTTACCCCACATTGCTCTTTCCTATCTAAGCATGTGTATGCGGACGCTATCATGGGATTGATATGCACATGTACAGGTCGGCAAGGAGCGCGCCGATGCGGTGGAGTGGTGGTCCGGATGGCCGAGGTTTCCAGCGACTAAAGCGTCTTGTTTGAGGTTGAGAAATGACGGAGATTGAGAACTTTTGGCGGCTGTTGTTGACGTTACGATTGATAGTTGGGGAAGTTAACAAATAAAGAAGTTTATTTGGGAAATTGTTGGGGTGGCTGACAAGTCGTATCAGCCGTGCGAACCGATACGAAGTTGGTTGGTCATGAAGTGGTGCAGGTACAGTCCGATAGAACATGTGGGATAGGCGATTATTGCGGTCGAAAGGGTCTCGCGAGAAACAACTAGTGGTCGTACCCGGTATTCAATCCAGTCTTCTCCGCTTTAATGGTAGATCTGTACTGGTGGGGACTTGGTATCGTTAGATCGTTGTACTTGTCGACAATAGATGGATAAGAGATGGATGAGAGATGATACTTGTAACACCCAGTGGCCAGTAGCCACAACCCTTGAAAGGCCGTCCCTATTAGACCAATTAATTACTCTGCAAATCTCTACGATATCCACTGGTCATATATTGCAGCATAATCCTGCCAGATATAACGGCCACTCGTCTCGGTCAGCTTACACTCGCGGGAAGAGATACCATACGACGGCCCCGATCCAAATGGCAGTCAGGGACTCCAGCGCAATAACAAATACGATGATCAGAGGTGCCCAAACTTGGCTCCAAGTTCTTCCAGATCTTTAATACGTCAGTGGTTTCATGTCGATACGGCCGTCATTCCACCACTGAGAGGTAGAGTTCTGAAGTACCAGGTTGGCTCTGGCCAGTGGAACAAGAAACCCACCTTCAACTCTAGGAAGGTGGAAACTCCAGAAATACTTCCTACCAAGAAGTCTAGGTGCTCAGACCTCGTCACTGTTGTGCGAAGCTACCACAGCAACTATCATGAGCCAGACGACCCTCTTCTGACCCGAAAAACGGCTTCTCATATTCTGAAGACCCTAGAAAACAGTGACGGTGATATCGAAAGGGCTGAGGGCATTATTGGGCTGAAAGATGATGACTTTGTGACGACAGACTTTGTGATGACAGACTTTGTGATGACAGACTGCTGTGACGACTGTGTGGTACAATGTCATCAGTGGGGCTAGAAGGAGGATCCAGATCCCGGTGACCAATCATTAAAAGTCTAGGGTATGGACAGTACTGACAGACAACAGTCGATTAATGAGCCAAAATCGCCCAAGAACTCCATCTCCGTGTTCCACGAGATTCTGGTCCATGCGACGCAACTATCATCAACTTGGACCCAAACGAGGTGCTGGATCAACTTGGTAGGTCAAGGTGTCGGTTGTGACTGTCGCAGGAGTGTCTTTTTGAATCAGAAGTAGTTAATGTGTATCTTAGTGTCTTCGGCTGGAACCAGCGGGAAGTCCGAGGGAAAGAGTGTATAACAGAGATTAAATCTTAGGCACTTTTGTATTAGATATTTCTTGACTATGTGAAATCGCTTTGCACTAATCTACACTTGGTTCTGTTGACGTTACAATGGCAAAAAACCTATAAACGTGAACAATGAAAATCATTTCAGAGCACCAAAAACTATGCCGATGCCTTCAAGACACCGAAACAGAGGCTACAAACCAGATTCAAAGCCAAATCAAACACTACAACCATTTTTTCGCCAGAGATATCGCGTTGTCCAACACTCAAATAGACAAAATACAGTCTATCGTCAATCTGCCTGGCTAGCTCAATCGGTAGAGCGTGAGACTCTTATTCCAAGGTCATCTCAAGGCTGTGGGTTCAAGCCCCACGTCGGGCTTTCTTTTTGGCATTTTTGGTCTGCTCTTGTCTCCAAACACGTAATCTATGTGTGCCATTTTGCTTCTCAAATTTTTCTTCTTATCTATGCATATGCATGAATTAGACTGGGTCTGCATACTCTACAAAGTGGAGACAGCGGAGGGTATTTCAGGTCCCGAAAGTCGTTAATGTCGACTCATTCCATCATTTTGTTTGATCATTTGTGTTAATTCGAGTTTTCAGACCTCCTAATGGTCACAAAAAGACGTTTTTCGCATTTTCCGCATTTTCCGCATTTTCCGCATTTTTCTCGAAATTTATAATCTTTTATATTTAAAGTTTTTGTTAATTTTTTTTTCATTTTTTTTTTTTTGAAAATAGCGTTCGATAAGCCAACGGCTTTGGAGAGGAACATATCGGCGAAAATGTAGCATTGTAGTGCCGAAAAAGAAAGACAGACAAGGGGGAAAAAAGAGGACGACAGGACTCGAACCCGCAGCCTTTGGAGGATGTCGTTCAGAAGAACCGAAATCCAATGCGCTACCATTACGCCACGTCCTCAGAAATTGTTGGGTTATTTTCGGCTTTCAAGCTTTTAACCGGCCAAAAATAAAATCTCACCCGCGATATTTTGCTCCAAATGCATCAAGAGAGACTAAAGATGTGAGAAGATGACAATTATTTGAATGCAAGTGTTCTGAGTCGGAAATATCTGGTTCTTACTACGCTGAGATGGAAATATCAGATTCTTTCCATGCATTGAATGTGTGATTGAGATTTAATGGTGTATTTTGTTGGGACTTGATGTGTTTAGTTAGTGAATACTACATAATCTAAGTGGGAGTTTAAATACATAACAGCTACTTGACCCCAATTGTTAAGTACCACCACCCACATACACCCAGGAAACGGAAGTAATACCAAAGAATATTCAGTAGGTTAAATCTCCATGAATGTCCATTCCAAACATTTACTTTAGCGCTTTTCATTGACACAATTATGAACTTTATCTCAATGACGGGCTTGTGCAGTCAGTTCCCCTCACCTACTCGACGACATTGTACAATCTCTTCTTTTTCTACATCTATATCCCCTTAAGATACCATCCATCAACGGAAACTGTGGAGACATTGGTTTTTATACCCACTATACCCATGAGACCGACGATTGTGAGACCAGATGTGGCTGCTATCGGTCGGTATTTTGACCAGCAGTTGGACCTTCTGAAGGAGAAGGACAAGACGAGTTATGAGGAGGGAAAACAACTGAAACGACTGATGATTGGAGGTTACCTCAATCTGATCTACATGCAATGTGACATGTCCTATTCCGAGTGGGCTGGATACATGATGGTCGCTGTGGCTAAATGTGGAGGACTGGTGCTGAAGATGAATCTCATGCGACACACTTTCGATCTCATATACTCCCTTTACTGTGGGTTCGCTGGGGATACTTTAGGGAGAGATGAACGCCTCAAAAAGTACAAATCCAAGTATGGAAGCAGCAAAACCACCTATAAAGACGCCAACGATATTGCTACGGACTTCAGCAACTCGTGGGGGGAACTCAACGACATTTATCTTGGCTGGAAATGCGAAATGGATACGCGTGACATAGTCGCCATGATTGAGGCTATCAATCTTCCAGAATGTGGTTTCGATGGGCCCCCAGAACTCGAGAGACCAGAATTGGATCCCGCTACTCTTGCTACTGAGAATTACATCATTTCATACCTGTGGAAGGCTGCCCTTACAACCTATGCCAGACTCAAGTATTACGGTCTGGATCTATGGGACTACGATGTGGTCTTCCAGAACCAATCGCCTCCGTTCCCCGCCTGCGTTTTCTTCGACCTGCTAAACAGGTATGAACAATACTGCGGTTGGATGCCTGTGGGGAATGTCGGTTTGTTTGATACCGCTTGTGTGACTGAAGATTTAGTGAAAGAGAGTTCAATGGGCCTTCACTGTCATATCAGCGGGTGTGGAATCCCCCGAGCCCGGTCTTGCACCTGGAGCAGAGAGTTTTTGGAGGGAAGAATGGATCATCACCGAGGGGTGGCAGAACCTCGGCTCAAAGAGGGCAAGCTGTATGTTAGCGACATGGCGGACTTTGACCCTGTCAATGAGTTCACTGAGATGAATGAAATCAAATCATTGGGTACAAAATACAACCCTGAGATAGCGGAGTACATTGCCAACAGTTTTTATGACTACCGAGTTATGAATCCCCATCTCTTCTCGAGCAATGCCGACAGGTACATCGGAATGACTCTTTTCAATGCCGACGACGAGGACGAGGATCTTATACGTGATTTGGAGGAGACTCGCTTGTATGGAGCCCAAGATTTTCTGAAACTCATCAAGAGCGACTTCAACGGAATCAAGACATGCATAGTCAAGAGAAAATTCGAGAAACCGGCTGAGATACCCTTTCTTGGAGACATTAAAAGGCTTCAGCAGATCAAGGAGTTTGGTTTTTTCAAGGAAATTCTTACATCAGGCCCAGAAAATGTCAGAGGAGGACTGTTCGTACAGGCATGCATTGACTATGCCAACAACTTTGATCCGCTTGTCCCCGACCCCAATAAAGATGCCTGGGTGGAATGGACCGTGATTGATATGAGTGGAAATGAGGGAATGCTAATCAACGACAAGAAACTTTTCATTCCTGGCACATTGGTGGAAAATTCAGTCCATGACGCACACATTGAACAACTTTACAAAGTGAGGGCTGAGGGAAGCGTTTGCTACGGATACAACTGCTACGGTCAAGCCCTCGTTGCTCCCGCCTTATATTGCGAAGGTTGTCCTTACAATGCCCTGTCTGCCACATCCTACAACCTCATTAGGGAAGCTGTCAAGAAAGACCCTGTGACCAGCATTGTGCGTCTACCGCTTCTGACCTTATCAGAACACACATTGGCCATGGTTTGGAGAGGTCGTGAGCTTCCGAATCTGGACATTTCATATTGGCATAAGGCTCTGGGTCATGTGAGTCTTAGGGCTCTCAAGAGATACATGCGGATCATCCAGGGTATGCCTCCGTATTTTTGGCCGTACACTATCTACTGTGATGAGTGTTTTAAGTGTGAGAAGGGTGAGTCGTCGTAGCATTGATGGTTACCAACCAGAGTGTTCGTTTGGTAGTCCCAAATATGACGAGATCATCCAAAAGCATTGTGTGAATTGTACTGTACGTAGTTTCAGAGAGCAAGTACTTAATGTACATTCTGTACTAGATATAGAACCAAAAATGACCAGAACAGTGATCGATAGCCAAAGGAAACGACCATGGAAGTCATCACCTTCAGTTGTTGCAACTAAGTCAATAAACACCCCCTTTTACTCGTGTTCCCAAATCTCTGTCCAAAAGACACCAGGGACTACAAGTGGTAGAGATGCTTGGTAGAAAGAGTTGGTGATTTGGTTCCTGTGAGCCTGTATCGTTGATTGGTTTTCTCGGTTTCGATTGAAAACGCAGCAGGGGATAATCAGTCACCATCAATTGACAGAACGGCGTTTGGAGATCTTCATCACCATTACACTCGCGGTAAACGTACCACAGACCAGAACAGCAGATGCAATGTAAACAATGTTGATGGAGCTGGTCAAAAAGGTTTTAGTAGGCTTCTTACGATCCTATATATATATACATAGCGTCCTATTTCACTAAGTCCTCTCTTGTATCAACGTGTTGTTAACACAGAGAAAGAGGATTTTTCAAATATCCAAGACTAAAGGTCCAATAAAAACCAATGGGCCTCATTGTACTGTTTTTCTCTCATCATGTAGAGTGTCAGAAGAAAGAGATAGGGCGGAGGAGAAGTCTGATATTCCTACACAAATCCGTGGCAAATGCATGGCCTTGCAATGTCTGGAATATACTGCCATGTTACTTATCTGAGATAGAACAGCTTTCAATGAGAGCAGAGAACGTCATGTAGATGTAGATGTTCTCAAAGTATAGGTGATACGAGGAATTGGACCTGGGAGTCCTTTTATGCGTCCAATTAGCTGACTAATCTATTGTGTTTTCTTCGAGTCACTCAAGAAACGAAATTAACACACAGAAGCCGTCCATCTTTCTTCGCTCTTTGATTTACTGAGCTTCGAATGGACTCCATTTCTGAGATTAGGTTCAACGTGCATGGATAATGCACTCTTTGCAGTATCTAGATTAATATCTGTAAGACATTAAAACAAAGAGGTTTGTGCCTAACAGACGATGAAGACCTGAAAACTACCCACAAACACCACCCGAGAACGACGCAACACTTCCACCCACAATAAACTTCCGAGAGGCCAAACTATGCCAGCAAACCATCGTTACAAATATCAACAGTTGACCAGCCAACCACTTGTTCCAGACCAAGACATGAGGGGAAACTTGAAGTAGCACTTGAAGTGTTGCATCGAAGGAATTGCAAATCTTAAGAAAGCTATCGAGATCTCTGGCCGAGGAGGTCTATTCGGTCCAGACGAGCACCGACGAGTACGACGTCTCACGGGCAGTATCCAACATTCTCATGTTACTATCTGCCATATCTGAGCTGACAGATGGTTCTAACTCCATGGTTGACTCGAACTACTCTCCAGACTTGAACTACACTTCAGATTCAAATTACTATTCAGATTCAAACTACTCTTCAGACTCAAACTACTCTTCAGACTCAAACTACTCTTCCGACTCTAGTTAGCTAATGAATCAATCATGGGATCTAAAACTCCAGCCTACAGTTCAAAAAGTCTGCCTTTTACACATCAAATATACTCAATAACTACCATCTACCTTCTTCTTGTCGTCCTCCTCAATGCAGTTGACCACCTGTCCCTCCATCACAACCGGCTCCAGGGTCGTCTTGGGACCCTCGTACCACCTATGGGCAAACAGAAAGTAGTAGAGCATACAACCACCCCAGACGGTGAAGAGAATGATACAGGTGTAGTTCATGGTTTCCTTTGTGGGATGTGATGAGGTTTGTGGGAACTCGATCAGCACAATCACAAACACTAGATAGAAGGTTGCAAACGCTCCAATTGCGGTTGAGAGGAACTTTCCAAGGTAGAAGGGACCGGGAACAAACGACTCTCTGCCGTAAAACAGCTTGAGAGCAATGGGAATGAGCCACGCCAAAGAGTTGGCGCCTGCAGCCAGTGAGAAGAGAGCTGCGGCCGCTGCAGCATCAATCATACATAAGCATCCGATACACAGGGCCAGAAGAGCGTTTCCCCAGACACATCTGATGGGGTTTGAGAATTTTTCGTTGATCACCTTGAAGAAGTTTGAAAAGGGCAGAGCGCCGTCTCTAGAAAAAGCCCACGACTGTCTGGAGGCAGCAATCACGTTGGATAGGCCCATGGTCCACTGCAGAATAAACAGAACAGTCATCATTCCAATAGTCCAGTTCTTTCCAAGAGTGTCGTATACCAACTGGGCAAAGGGCTGTTGATAGACGGTTCCTAGTATAGGTTGCACGTCGTGGGGCAATACGGCAACAATAACAATGATCACCACAAATCCCAAAATCCAGCACATGCCCACCGAGGCAATGATTCCGAAGGGAACTGCTCTGGACGCGTTGGAAGCCTCTTCGGACATGTGGACACATGAATCGAAGGCTCCAATGGTCCAGATGGGGGCCAGCCAGGCCAGAAAGAAGACCCAGGCGCTGGGCCAGCCCTCCGTCATGTTTTCAATCTGGCCAAACATGTATGCTCCCGAGTTGAGATGATGTCTTCCTCCAATGGGTAGTGCGATGATCATGACAACAATAATGGTAATGTTGGCGTAGATGCATCCAGTTTGAAGCTTGGCCATGTGTTTGGTTCCCAGAGAACCCACACACGCGTGTGACACTACACAGGCTGCAAAGATGCCGTAGACCACGTAAGGAGACGGGTTCCACTTGCCGTCAGTGCACACAATGATCATACTGGTGAAGATCTGGGCAAAGCCGTAGTCAATAGACATGATACCCCCCGTCAGACCCAGCGTATTTGTGTATCCTACCAGAAAAGAAAGAGGTTTCTTCGCTTTTTCTGGTGCAAAGTGGTATGTCCACCAGTACAGGCCTCCAGAAGTAGGCAGAGAGGAGCCCAGTTCCGCCATGGCAAGAGCCACTGTGAAGATGCATCCTGAGGCCACAAACCAACCCCATACCATTCCATAGGGACCGGCTGGGAGCGAGAAGGACAGGGTTGTGGCAATGGACGGTAGAAGTCCCATGATTGAAAACGCGATTCCAAACACTTGGAGCATGGAGAAGTTTCGCTTCAGTTCGGGCTTGTACCCGATTGTGGCAAGGAGATCAGCGTCATCGCATTCGCGAGGAGAGATTTGTTTTTCGAGTTCCATCGTTGAATGGCTGGGTGCAGTTCTTGCGGTGGGCACTTGAGGTCATGCTGGAGGATGGGTTCTTAAAAGGAGTGCGAGGGTGAGCTCTGGAGACAATCGCGGGGCTATGATAATGACTCGGAAAGCTATTCTGGGGTTAGACTACGACTATCTGCGTTTCTGCGGTCTCACTGTAGATCTCGGTGTTCTCGGGCAGATTGTCTGTAAGACTAGGAGAGCGTGAGGAGGGTTTAGATATTGTTATTCTGCGTGCTACAGCAACTAAAAAAGTACCAATCTGGTCGCCCGAATCTGACGAGTACGATGATATTGTTTTTGTCTCGATTTGGGCACTGAATCACCAACCAGCCTCGTCTCGTCTCAGCCACCTCCGTGTCTTATCAACAACCTAATTAGGAAGGCGTAGTCCACTAAACCTTATTTTGCACACCAGATAAGCGCGCTTAATCGTACTAAACCGGAAACCCGAGCCGTGATGCATTGATTATGCAGGTGATATGTGCATCACCAAGATAGGAAAGTCGATGAAGGAGCGAAAGAGTGAAACAGGACCATTACTGTGGGAAAGACCAATAACTGCTTAACCATTTGGAAGGACATTATTGAACACGGTTGGATTTTGGATATGGACACAACCAACATGCCCGAACCGAGGATATACACGCGATTTTGGTATCACATGTTGAACTTGGGGACACATGATTCCAGTCCAAAGGTCTGTCTAAAGATAAATCACAAGATGACGCACCGGAAATGGTACAAGAAGTTGTACAACTTGTACTTTACTCTTTTCAAAACGCGTCTATTGGTCTCTGTATGAAGCAGATGGGGCTGATGAACTCAGAGATAGGAGTCTTATCAAGTGGTTATGAGTGCAAGTACAAGATACGAAAGTTATATATCAGAGTTATTACTGCTTGTGATAATCTGGATGGGTCTCTTTGTACTTGTAGCATGAAGATCATTGTATTGTAATCATCACCAAGCTGAGACATGTCTTATTCTGCACAGCATAAGTCCAGAGGACTCCACAAACCACAAGGCCTGTCAACAGTATACAAGTATGGTATGAGTTATCATAAATTGTTGATATAATTATTAGTTATCTAATCACGCACTCAATTACTGTTGGTATATTACAATGCTATACAAAGCCAGCTCCGTTTGACTCGACTCGATGTTGCTGAGCAACGGCACCCTACGGTGCTGTATCACCTCGGTCAGATCTAGTCCTTCTGAGAGAACTCGACCGTGGAGGGAATGACACGTCCATGGCTCTCCCCTCAATTCTGTTTCGCGTCATTGTAGATGCCCGGGAGATGATCACACTCGGCTGGATGCTAGTCAAAGACTCCCGGGAAACAGACAACTCGCCAGGAGCGTACGGAGCCGGTCGGTCTGAGCTGCTTGTAGTGGCCAGGTATGGAGCAGACTCTCCAGATACAAATGAAGCCGTGGTGGTCATACTGTATCGTTGTTGGGGATCCGAAATAGCACTTTCAGCCATGCTGGGTGTACTGATCCGTCGACTGGGGTCAGAAACACCGGATGTGCTGTATCTCTCTCTCACACTCGGAACCTCCATATGCGGACTTGTGGGTGCAGACACAAACTGCATGTCTGTGGTTTGGGATGCAGGGCTGATTAGAGGGCTAGAGCAGTCTGCGGGAGCATCGAGAGCTGATGGAGTATTCATCGATGGTGGAGAAGGAGGAATGTGGTTCTCGTCGGCAACAAGAGCTCCAGTCTGGTCCCAAAGCCGCTCAAAAGAAGCCGTAGACATGGTAGCAATGCTCGAAATGCTGGACTGGTGAGAATGCGTCTCACGTATCATGGAGACAAACTTGCCTGACACATTTAGTGGTGGAGTTGCAGGGACCGGTGTAGATGGAGCATGAAAGAGAGTAGACAGAGAAGAGGAGTTGGGAATATGCTGAATAGTGTTCAACGGAGGAGGTTGAAGAATGGGAGAAGAATATATACTGGATAATGGCGGTCCAAACCTGGTCGTGGTTGACGATGACAAACCGTTGTCGTCGGGGTTCTTGGACAGAGTAGTGTACTCTTTAAGTGGACTTCCTCTAGGGCTGCTGTTTTTGGTAGAATCCACAGGAGACATGTATGGATCGTAGTCTGACACATCTTCCACGTGTTCCGAGGTAGTCTTTGCTTCTTGCTGATTCTCTCTTCTTCTGGCAGCCTTTCTTTCTTGATAAGCAGAATACTGGTCGGCAATACTGCTGTAGTCCAATACCCCAGGCATGTAAGCGATGGGGATGATGTTGGAGGCGTTGGAGCTCATGGTCAGCGACGAGTCCCGAGCCGTAGACGGTGTTGAAAATTGCGGGAGAGACGTGTCCTGTTTGACTGATGAGCTGGGGGACGATTTGAACGACAGCGACAGCCGTCCTGTGTCTGAAAAGAGAGAGCCAAGCGACAGACGGCTTGTGATTGGTTTCGGAAGGTGGAAGATTGCAGACAGACCTCTGGGCTGGTGTACTGGTTGAGCTGGTTGGGGGACAATCAGGTCTGGCTCATAATAATGGGTATCGTCAGTGTGTTCGAATTGCTGGTGTAGAACCGGAGTTCGGACCCGGTTGGTGCGTTCTCGGCGTGTGTATATGAGAATGGGCGATTTTGGGGAGCTCGTCGATGAGTTGTCCTCAAACAGCGTGCTGAGACTCTTGTAGCTGTTTCTGTCTTCGTGCAGCTCAGCGTGAGACTCTCGGACGCACCCGAGCGGGTCCTGGAGTTCTCGCAGGTAGTTGTCGTCGATAATGATGCCTGACGCGTCGCGTTTCTTCAGATTGGGTGAGCGGGTGCGATTGATCTTGCTCTTGTTGCGGATCGGCTGTTTCCGGTGCTTCTTGTTCCACAGGATGAAGAACATAACCAACGCCAGTATGATGAGTCCGCCGACTCCTCCAAGCACTCCTCCGATGATCTTGGGAGACGCTGAGCCTTCCGAAGGCGCTGGAGTCTCTGAAGCGGTGCTGTTGGTGCTTGAGGCTGTGGACGATGCCGAAGCGGTCGTGCCATCGCTCAACGCCACACAGCGAAGCGGCGGACACGTCGAACAGTCGGTTTGCACCCCCATAAGACACTGGAACGAGCTCGGACACATGAGACAGCTAATGGGCGGACCACACTCGGCACAGCCGTTCTGCAGCACCGGAGCTTTGCTGGGTTGCAGTAAGAGAACCAGACCAGCTGTATTGGAGGGTAGATCGATGTCCAGGGCTGTTTGTGTCGGGTCAACAGCCACTGTGGACGTCCATCCGGCCAGGGCAAGCTGGGTGGCTGTCGCTGGGTCGGTCACCAGGGGCGGGAGCGCGGGTTTGGTAGTACTAGCCATTTTCGAGCCGACCGGAAGGGCAGGGAGGGTAGCGGGCGTGTCGAGAACGATCAGGACGCGTGGTAAACAAGGATGGAGCGGTTTGCATCGCCAATACTCCAGATTCAAGACACATTCCTGGATGTAACCTGCACCGGGTGCTTGTTACAGATGTAGGTTTAGGGGGGTGGTTGCTGGGGTCCATAAAGGGGGCTGTTATGGGGGGTTTTTGACTGTGAAAATTGGTACTCTGGGTATTTCCGTCCCGAAAATGACAATGGAGGCATCGCCCACTCAATATGTTCTCCCCAACACCCGTTTTTCCACCGTCCACCTCCCCCACGGCGAAATAGCCTGCATTAATCTGCATACAGCTAATCAAGGTTGGGTCTAGGCAAACACTAGTTTCGGGCTTGTGTGCGAACAAGAAAAAAGAAGCCGTGGCGAATATGGCCCCAGTCTCCAGCAGGCTTTGGGGGCACGTGATGTCCACGTAGGGAACGTGTTGTACATGACAGCGTGACTTTCGTGTGGCGGAAAAAAAAACGTGTCTGTGTTATTGTTCCTGGTCGTGGTTGATATTCTGTAGTCTGATATTGCGTGCGGCCTCTCACAGTTTAATCTCACAGCGGCTCTTCGCATGTGTGTGGAAAATCTGCAGATCTGCCGTTTTGGCAGAAACGGAGAACGCGAATTGCGGGTCGAAAAGGGCGTTTTTGGCGAATGAAAACCGCCAGTGGTCTTGCTGGTGGCTGCCAACCATCTATGGCTTCTCTCCATGTTTTTTTGCTCTTCCAAAACCCGCTAAAAGTGCATAGTGCAGGGTCTACCGTGTGCCGCCGTGCGTGTAGTCAGTGTCATAGTCCCAACTTTTTTCAGAGCGTTTTTTGGGACATAACGTTAGAAGTACTACCAAGTAGCTTTATAGCAAAAGCAATAATTTTGCAGGGGGGTGGTGAAGGTGGTAAAGGGGTGGTGAAGGGGTGGTGAAGGGGTGGTGAAGGGATGGATGACACGTGTTTGACCACGTGATGGCAGTGCACACTGTAGTATTACAACTACCAGTGGTAGTTGTTGTTTTGGCCGTGTCAAGAGACCCTGTTTCCGTCTGTTTTGGCTGTCTCAAATGTGAAACAAAGGTGCAGTTTCACAATTCAGGAGAGCGCAGGAATGGGTTTGGAGAGACCGAAGTAGGGGTTTTGATGAAGACGAGGGTAAACATATATGTAAGGAGCGTCTTGTACGTTAGCGTTGGTTGCAGTGTTGTCGACAGCCACCCGTTGAGACCAATGGCTACACCGTCGGCACACATACACGGTATGAGTATGGGTGGGCGCTCACTCTTCAAAGGCTTACATCCTACAGAACTTTGCCGAGGTGAAAAGGAGCACGAGATGACGAGACGTCGTGAAGAGGGGGAAAAGAAGAGACTCAGCAACAGACCGTCATGACATCAAACAATCGGCCATTCACGAGTTCTTTACAAAACGGTTCTTTACAAACGGTTCTTTGCAAACGGTTCTTTACAGCACGAGTTCTTTACGACACGAGTTCTTTACAACACGAGTTCTTTACGACACTCGAACTACGTATTGTGCATACTGAAGTCCCACTTCCCAGTCCAAAGGTTCCTTTTCTTCGTCTGTTTCAGGTGTATGCTTGCAGCCAGTGGAAGGAGGTGACCCTTGGAACGGACTCCTTGTACGTACTGTACTTGTACTCGTACTTGCCGTCTCGACTTCTCCACATCAATTGACTCCGAATTTTCTATCTACGACACCATTGCAACACCAATTGAAACACATTCGACTGTATCAATGTTGCACTGAAGCAACGTCGACAAAGTGCAGCTACATTGCTACAACTAGTCGAGAGGGAGATGGTAGAATGATTCAACATTGGTTTCAACCGATCGGTGGTTCTGATGACAGATCATCGATTCCGATGACAGATCATTTGTTCCGATGACAGATGACTGGTTCTGATGCCAGATGAACATTCTCTCACACTACCAGGACGTTCACTCGTTTCCTCTGCACTTCTCCGAAGTACTCTCGGTGGGTCATCGACAAGTGGGGATTTCTCTATCTCATCGGATCACGTCCTCGGTTCCCACTCTCCATTCGGTTGGTCGGTTCTTCTCCAGTCCCCACTAACGTACAATATGCATCTCTCGCGCATTTGCCGAGGTACTCGACGCGGCGCAAAGAGACCTCAACCACGACAAGAATCGGTTTCTTTTGTGCACAAACAGCATATTCGATGTGCCGCATCATATTCACGACATTCGCCATCTCCTCTGCTTCAACATCTCCAGCAAAACGTGAGTTTACAACATCATACCAAGACTTTGGCACTGCGGCTGGCCTCCGATTCCTGCATGGGGGGCATCAAGTGAGTTTTGTGCGACAGCTACATGATGGCCGATTTGCGTCATGGCACTAGCTCGTTGGTGGACCAGTACGGGCTTACAGTACTCATGCTGGACTTGAGCATAAGTCGTGTCATACAAGAGACCTACTTTCAGCTTAGGCCGACGACTCAAGTGCTTTCGAGTTACCAATCCCGGTTCTTGTTGCCCATGAGATCGTAGGGGGATCTTAAGAGGGATCTTTTTGGGACTTCACTTAATCAAGAGGAAGCCGTAAAGTGCTTCCCTGTGTACTGGTTTTCACAGTGAGCAGGCTCTCCCAACTACTACTGTTACAGTAGCGCGATGGCGTCTTATGGATATCATCAAACCACCAACCTACAGTCTACTACACCTTGTAGTTGGAGCAATGCCAACCATTCACTCAGACAGCCTCTCTGAACGGATCTTGAGCAACTCTGAGCATCCACCACTTGGTGGACATTGGTTCTCTCCTCAGCTTGCTGTCCTCCAACTGTTCAGCAATTGCGAGTAACTACAGCTCTGGTCGCTTCAATGTCAATCAACGCTCCTCACACGCGATACCTCCATTAATTCCGTATCATAATCCTTGATATCAAGTCATTAACCATCGATACCCACTGCGATAACAATAATACCCGACCTTTCACCAATTCAATTCTGTACTTCGACTCGCGACTCTTACTAAGCACTGTTTCATTCGTACTCGACTGAGCCGCTACCCCACTTTACAGCTTTTGATGCTCTCATAAGATCCAGCCGAATGTTACCCAAATGACTCCTTGACTCAGTTACCCAAATGACTCCTTTACTCAGCAGTCACCGAACCTACCTTTGATTACCAACCGTGATACATCCAGCCGAGACATGTTTGTTACCACTGCGAAGCTTCCTCACATAACCGACCATATGGCAGGTGCACAGCATCACGTGTGGCCCCCAAAAACGGCGAACACAAGTCTGGATACACCTGATCTGCAGACCTTCAGCTCTTGAAACACTAGCGGTTTCGTCGTTGCTATGTCTCCATCAAAGACGACGACACATTCCTGAATACGAATGTTACGCTTGCCTGCCTGCATTCCTCAGGCCAGCCCCGCGAAAAAGAAAGTCAGTCCATCCCTGTAATGAGAATTTGGTTTCCTTTTCGCAACCTAAGTCCTGCCGCGTGTTTACCTGCTCTAGGGTTGGATGCAGGTGTAGATTTGCTGCAGGAGTGAACACAGGCACAGGAACGAGCGGTAGGCCGGTGACTGACGCGGTCCTGCCTGCGCCAAACATTCGGTGCATAAAAACAAAAGTTGCCTGATGTTTTGGACCCTCGTGAAGGGGCTGCTTATTCAATCAAGGGACTGGATGGAGCACCAATACCTGCATATGTCAATCCCATGAGTGGACCCGGTGATCTTACGAGTCATGGAGATCTTACGAGGGGCTCCATTTGGGGTATGGAAGAGGGTGTTGTCATAGTCGTGTCCAAGACACCAATCACACGACTGTCTCAGAATGTTGGACCGTTCCACGGCCCGCGGACTGCAAACAGCACCCCCCCTGAAGCTGTCGCAACGGTTGTCAGCAGCAGCTTTCACGTGTGGCCTCTTGTTTTGTCTCTGCCGGTCGCGTATCTCCAGCGCGTCCGCCTGTAAAGTGCATCTTCCCTGCATCTTTCTATTGTCGTCTGCCGATCTTCGCGGCATACAATGGACGTGACGCGACTCTGAGCTTGAAAAGTCCAATGTAACGTAGGCTGTGAGACATGATAGCGGCGCAGGATATGCCAGGGCGTTACAGGGGTGCTAAGGGGCAGACCTGGCTGACATTGAGAGTGTATTTGCAACTTGCTTCTTGTTTTGGTGGCTGCTAATGTCACCAACATGCAGGGCACGGTGCTTACTCACACCCTACAGCTACTGCTTACACACTCACCGCGACCAAGCTCAGTCCTACATGATAGACTGTCGCTCACGATTGACAGCTACATGACCTGCGCCGCCACACGCGAAAACGCGATCTCGCAAATCCCCGATCGTCACAGGATCTCCATTTTCAGATCAACTGATCGGCGACAGGGGCTCGGATCGGCGGTAGGGTAAGCTTTCTGTGAGAGAGGAGGAAGAAGATCATCAGTGGTGATAGTGGGTGGTAGTATGGTGGCTAAGGACTGATTGATTGGTGATTTCGCCGCGGTTTTTTCGACACTTTTGGTGATGGCGATGTTTGATAAGGGCAGTATGTAGGTCGGTGAGACAAGGCTGTGTGGACAAGGGTGGGTCATAGAGTACAGCACCCAAGTACAAGTAGTACAAGTACCTGCTTGTCGCCAAGCACTAAACTTTGCTTAGTCTTGGAAGGGGTGAATGGTGGCCAGGAGAAGCCATTAGTGCGGTAGGAGGTCCTTGTTGGAGCTGGTTCGATATGGCATGCTTGTGAAAGACCCAAAACGATAGATCCAAAAGCGGCCTGGGGACTAGACTCCCGCCATTAGACCAAATAACTTGACATTATGACTGATGATTATGACACCGGTATTTGTACATTGTAGTTCACCGAAGACACTCGACGTTTGGCAAGGTCAGCTCCAGTGCAGTAACTTTCAGATACACTTAAGCGAGATGTGAGGTACAAGTCTGTTTGAGATGTGGAGAGATTTGGGGTCAATTGAAGTGTCTGGAGACCGTGGACAGCAGCTGCAAGCCATCAATATCATCAATATCGATCACTTCCAATTCCGTATGTCATTTGCGGATAGTCTCCATCTATTTTTTCACGACTCTGCTATTTTTCAGCCATCTGAAAAACGCATCCGGACAGAGTTTAGGGCCAATGTGTAACCTGGGCGACGGGGATGGAGTGGAGAGCTATAGGCCAGTTTGGGGGTCGTTTTGGAGGCTGAAAAGACGCCGAATCAATTGATATAGACCTCAATATCCCGCCATTTTCGCTTCGGAACGTCACCTTGGCTCCAAACCTCAGAACCACTCTTTCGTCCTCTTCCAACCAGTGTGTCCGTACTTCACATGATAGCAGTGCCTAGTCGTTAAGTTGTGCATTAATTAGTGCCAGGCACACGGGGTAGTGATTAGTGGGTGGCTAGAGTTTGTGGGACAGCGACGGAGATGGCGACGGAGATGGCGACGGAGATGGCGACGGAGACGGGGATTGCGACAACGACAGCGACAGCGACAAGGCCCCCTTTCATGTCCATTACATAAGCACAACCTCTGCTTCAATCGTCCTCAATTCGCTATTTCGGTGCATCTTCAAGTTGGAGCTTTTGGTTCTGCTTGAACTTTGATCCTTTTGCTTTTTTCTTGAACTCTGCACCTTAGACTCAACGTTTCTTTGTACACCAATGCGGCAACAGTAGGGACTATCCCGTAGATCGAGGGCTACAAGATCGTCGTACGCGACCGAGAGGCTCGCTGTGTATATAAGCTGTGGCCCTCCTCTGGGTAGAGTCGACACGATACGCACACGTTCGACATATTGGCATCCAAGACACAGTGAGTACTATGTTGAGAGGTGCGACGTTGTTGGGAGAGTTGGTGGAGCAGAGAAGAAGACGTAAGAGAGTGACAAGAATGACGACATTTTTTCGGGAAATGACAGCGACTCAGAGTCAGTCACAGCCACAGCCACAGCCACAGCCACAGTCACAGTCACACTGGCGACTACACATACGACAACTGCTACGACACGCCAATACCACCTGTTGAGACTCGGCTTGGAGACCCAAAACAGTCCTACAGCCTTACAGTAACCACGCTGCACTCTGCAAGACTCGCTCTGAGTTAAATCCAATCTCTTGTCTTGTCTCACTGCGAACGCTTCATTTCCCAATATCATGCACCGGTCCAGCTACGCACCGCGCCTAGGGCTTTGTGTGGTATGCAGGCTTGAGAATATTATCATGGAGCGCCGGTAAGGGTCCGCCCGCTGTATTTTTTCGCCCAAGTTTCTCAGAATCCTGTCGCTATACATGTACCACCGTTTGTCTGCGGTTTCCGGTTCCAATCTAACACAGATGACTGCCCCCGCTGTAACGCTGACAATGGAGTGGCTCTTCTGCGCCATTGCGCTCCTGTCGGTCGGCGCCCGACTCTACGTGCGATATTACGTGGCCAAGCTGCGAACCCAGGTCGAAGATTGGTTCGTCATCATCGGCGCCTTATTATTCATCGTGTGGGTCAGTTGCGACACCTACTCGGCGTCCCAGGGCTTCATGGACAACAACAAGTCATACCTTGACGGCTCCATTTCCGACCAGATCCATGGCCCCGACAGCAACCGGGTCAAGGTCCTCAAGGTGGTCTACGCCTCGGCCATCCCCTACTACATCAACCTGTGGATGGTCAAGTTTGCCCTGCTGGGCTTCTACTACCGACTGGTCCCCCGAGGAGGCTACCTCCGATACTTCTTGTGGCTCACCATCATTGTCTGCGTGGTCATGATTTTCGTGGTTGTCTTCCTCAACCTGTTCCTGTGTCACCCCATCTCGCTCAATTGGGCTCTCGACCAGCAGTACGGAGCACCCGGCACGTGTTACTCGTCCACAGCAGTGAAGCCCTTCGTGGTCTCGGTCGTGACCAACCTCATCACCGACATTGCCATTTTCGTCATTCCCTTCCCCCTTCTTCCCCAGCTTCAGCTTGCCGGTAAGCAGAAGCTCGCGCTTTGCGTCACCTTCTCTCTCGGAGCCATCACTATCATCGTCTGCATCGCCCGAGCCGTGGCTATTGCCGTCTCCGGCAACATTGCTCAGGTTGCCATTCTCACGGCCTTTGAGTGTTCCACCGCCATGCTCGTCGCCTCCATGCCTGCCATGCGAGTGCTGCTCAAGCAGACTGTGCGAAAGGCCTCCAACTCACAGTCGCATTCTCGGTCCAACGGCTCTCGTCCTGGTACGGCAGGCTCCGGAACCAGCGAAAAGAAGAACAACTGGTTTGGTCTTCGAACTCGAACCTTTGCCGAGAAGACTACTGCTTCCGAGTTCTCTCAGGATCTCGAGATGAGCGCACACCGATACTCGGGCCCCTCCGATGTCGATAACACCTACTACGACGACGGAGAGACCAAGGACTTCTCGCCAGACTCGTCCGTCACCAAGGACGAGCCTCGAGTCAGCATTTTCGCCATGGAAGACGAGTACCTGCATCCTCAACAGACTCAGACCCAAGAGGTCGAGTACGCCCGACAGGTTGCTCAGCGGTTCGAGGATCCTCTGCAGTCGTCATCAAGCGAGCACTCACGACACTCGGAGGAGCTCACAGACGCCTACCCCGAGCCCACTGAGCATCAGACCCAGATCCAGCGGTTGCAACAACAACAGGCCGCCATGCAGCAGCGTGGATACGTGCATTCTTATGGAGCCCAGGACGAGTACATTGAGACGTACATGAACCACTCCAACCAGTTTTAGATGGAGTTTTATTTATTAGTAATGTATAATATGAGCAAACAGAGCCTTTGCAGAGAGTCGTACGAGTACATTACTTGAACCACTACCAGTACACTATGTACACTGTTACAATACATACTGTCATTGTTGACCTCGTATAGATGTTTGTCGCAGACTAAGTGCTTGTTTTGTTTTCATATCTACAACTACGGCAACTGTACTCGTATTGTATCCATACCGGCATAGTAAATAATAATCATATGCGGTATTTTGCACTTGTAAATAAGTACCGCCGAAACTACAATACTTGGATCACGCAATCCACATCAATCCTCGGCCTCTGAAGGTTCAATATCACCAATTGACACGATAATAACGTCAGATTACATGTGTTTCACAGCTCCGGGTCTACCTTTTTGAGTCCAGGGGTACATGTAAAACCTCTAAGATACACACGGTCCGCTTGGTGTATGTCTCAGACTTGCATTATGGTGATGGTGTCAGTCAGCAATGGTGGAGGAGTGCGATAAAGAGGGATGAGAGTCGTAGTACTGCCATTAGTATGAATATTTGGTCTCTCCGTACCATATTACCTGTTCATTTGGTGTGATAGATTGATAACAGAGTGGATTCAAACAATAATGTCCGAGTCTGACCCACACAGCCGTCTGTTTGCCTGCGTGGAGAAAAAGCAACCATTAGTATATAATATTGTGAGGTAGTCAGCAAATAAGACATTGGCAACCGCGCCATACCGCGCTGAAACGCATATAATAAACAGCTGGGCTTAGCGCGTACATTTTGTATTCGTGTCTGGTTCTCGAAATGAAGAGGTGGATGTGGTAAGTCGAGAAGCGGCTTGGAGGGGTGTTTGAAGGAACAATTCCAAGTGAGGAAGATGTGTATAGAATGAGAAATGCGATATGTGATATTTGGGTGCTCTTTTACTTGAATGTGATGCTCTGGTGTTGGATATTCTGGTGTTGTTGCCCTGTTTTTTTTTGTTTTTTTTTTGGAAACAACAAAAAAAGAAAAAAAGAAGAAGAAAAAAAGAAGAAACGTATGTGAAATTTCCGGGAGTAAACAACTTCCTTCGAGATACGAAGGAATGGGCCACACATAATCATCAGTCTTCCACATGTTTGTCATCGAATTCTCACGGTACTCACACAGCCTGTTAATACAGCATTCCTATATTTCAGTTGTTGCTTTTTCATACGAATAAATTAGGTCGGCACGGCGAAACACGCTGGTTTCAGACACACGGTTGAGAATTGTAAGCTCACATGCCGGCGCGTTTCTGTGAATATGAGCAGATTTGTAGCTCGTAGGCAGATTTGTAGCTCGTAGGCAGATTTGTAGCTCGTAGGCAGATTTGTAGCTCTTGGGAAGATTCATGGCACGTGGCGAGGACCAGGCGGCCCTGGACACCCTCACGGACCCCAGAATCTCCACCAGCAACCCGGCAGTAAACGCTCTTCAGGATATTCTCCAAGAGAGGTGTTCTGAGCACCATAAACAACGGTGATGGCAACATCCCTTGGAAGTGGCTGGTAGGGTTCGAGCTGGTGAGCTTGGAGCTGCCCAATTGGTGTGAAAACTCTTTTGATCATTGTCGTATCAGCGGTTTTGTTGTCATTTCCGTGCTGAAAACCTGGCCAGAGTTTCTTGCTGTTTGCTGGAATCATTGACTTCATCTAGAGCCTTCCTCTGGACGTCACTGATGACTCGATACCGCCCACAATCCACTTCCGCAGCACAAACCATCATTCCCCTGGAGTCATCAACAAGAAACAACTTCCCAAAGTTGTCTTCAATCGAGTAGTATCCATGCTCATGAGCTCCGACTTTGTAGCTAGGATACCCAAACTGATATCCGCTGATAAATTCCTCCATGACAGGTTCGTGATCCGTTATACTCTCCAAAGAGATCCGCACAGAAGTGTACGACTCTTCGTCAAAGAACAGAAGAAGTCCATCATAACAAGTGAATTGAAACCGAGGAGCATGACCCTGTTTCATGAGTATGGCGCCGTTGTTCACGTACATGATCCCAGGCTGATCATTGTCAAAATAGGGATCCTCGGAAAAGCCCAGAAAGACATGTCGTCCTAGAACGTGACAATAGATATCTTCCGAGGCCTGAATCACGCGCCTTATGTCTGGATGTGTGCCTTTGGACCCCTTATACTTGATCAGAACGTGACATTCCGCTCCTTCTAGCATGAATATGAACACCACCACATGCGGAAACGACACGAGTTTGTGGATGCTCAAGTGGTTGGCCATCAAGCTGTAAGCAGACAAATCAAGCCTGATCCCATATTTGCTGGTGAACACTTTCCCGTCTGCTTCTAGTTTAAGCGAGTCCACAAGTTCAGGTCTGGTGACAATGGTCAAGGACCTTCCAAACTCCTCAGCGTCCACTTTTCGAATTGGACGCGCGAATTTCGATCCCACCTGCCGACGTCGACAATACTCGATCGCACACTCTCTCCACGTGTTGCGATGCGAAAACTGGGGCTCGAACCAAGGACACACCTCCTGTAGTTTGGATCTGAACACACTGTCGGAAAGAACCCTGCTCCACGATTTGCTAGACTGCGATAAAGCACACACAGAACGAATATCTAGCTGGTCTGCGATGAGCTCAACTAGTTCTGGAGGTAGCATTGTGTGTTTCGACTCGAACGCGACTCGAACGGGTATCACTTGGGCAGAGGAGGAAAAGTGTGTAGGTGCATAGGTTCAAATCTTGGAGATGGGAAATAGTAATACAGTAATTAAGGGCAGGGAATCTTACAAAAAATCCGCTATAAAAACGGTTGAAAATATACCTCAACATTTATTGGCCTCGTTTGAATGGCCAGTCAAAGATTATTAAATACAGGGGTGGACCTTTTTCGAGACCACTATCACTGACCTCCCTTACGGTAGATATCCGAGATCAGCTTTTCTCGTCTCTCGCTATCACTGAACAGTGCATGGACCAAGCTCACCAACTCATCAGCCGAGTAGTCAACCAGAGCATCACTCTCCAGCAAGTATCGAATGTCGGCCAGGTTGGACTCCAAAATCTGACCCAGGTACTCAAACTTGAGCCAGTTCTGACAGAAAGTGGCGGTCAGAGCCTCACCAAACAACGACTCAACACCAGCCGAAATCACAGCAACAAGTTTGGCGAGTTCTTGACTCTCGGCCTCAGAAACGTCGCCAAGATTCTCGACCTCGGTGACGATGGTTGTGGCAGCACAGTTGAGCAGGGTGCCCAACATCTGCATTCGGGCGTTGTCGCTCACTTGGTCCTCCCACTCGTCCGAAAGCTGAGTGAGGTAGGATGTGAGCTTCTCGGCAGCAGCCTGGCAGTTGAACAGGTTGCCGCCTTCATGCGAACAATTCTGGAATCCGCCAGCACCGTTCAAAATGTCGGTAATGTGGCTCTGGTGCTGTTCAAGTACCTGGCGCAAATGCCGCTTTCCAAATTTGTCCATCAGCTCAAGCTCGGCAGCAAGTTCAGCTTCATCCTTTTGGGCTCGAATATGATTGTTGATGGTTTCAATGTCGTTATAAAGCGCCAAAGGAGACTTGGCTGATCGATACGCCAGTGGAACGAGAGCTCGATAGAGGGCGTAAAAGTTTGCGGTCTGAGAAGGATACATGAAACCAGCGGATCCAATTTTCAACTTCTTTCGCTCCTCATACAAATGACTTCCCTCGTTCAAGAAGGAGGTGATTGTGGAAGTGAGAATCTCAGGAAGGTTAGTAGTTATAATAGCAACGTCCGCAGGAGTAGCAGTAGTGGTGGCTTCGACAGTCACATCGCCTTCATTGTCGTCAATGACAACATCAGTCTCATCCCCCCATCCCCAGTCCTCGTTTGACTCAGCTGTTGACTCAGCGGCAACCGACTTTGCCTCCTCGGCCGTTTCCTCGGTAATGGGCTCGTCCCAACCCCAGTCCTCCTTGGTCTCCTTCTCCTCGTCACTGAACTCAAGGTCATCGTCTCCCCAGTTGTCAGCAGAGCCCTCAGAGGGAGCCAGAGAGGCCTGGGATTGCGACTTTCGCACCTGCCTCGAGCCTGTGGTGGAATGTGACGCAGTCCTGGGTTTCTTGGGGCTTTCCTGGGCTTTGGAAGGAGGTCTAGGGGTCGTCTTCTTCTCGTCAGAAATGTTTTCGACAGCTCCAGACAACAGCCTAGTCCGCAGCTCAGCAAGAAACTTGTCTTTACGCGCAGACAGCCACACCTCGGGAAGAGAGAAGCTCCAATCGGTGATCTCGTCTCCAGACAGCCAGCCAAAAGAGGTCAACTTCTCCTCCAGAGTCTCAAGGAGATCAAGATGTGCCTCAAAGGCAGGAAGACCGTCGACAGAATCGGGAATAAGCTTGCCGAGACTCTGCAAAAGCTTGTTGGTCACGGGGGTGGAGAGTCTTTTAATAACAGGAGCAGACACGTCTTTAGGAAGAGTGTTAATGACTGTAACAAGAGCAATCAGAGAGTCGGAAAATTGAGGAAGTGTCGAACAGGCCTCGGGTGCGATTGAGACACGCGATTGACTGTCGCTCTTCACCTGCACCTGCAGATCCAGTAACCTCTCAAACACTCCATCCAGAGACTTGACCAGCTGACCCAGAGACTTCTTCTGAACACCGTCACCGATTGATCCCAGTAGTTGAAATTCGGTTCCAGCGTCATCTCCCACAGCCACCTGCGTCTGGGTGACCTCCACGGCCTTGCTCCATTTGGCCATCTGCTCCTCCTCAATTTGGGCGAACAGATTGTCAGCTTCGGAAGACAGAGCACGGACGATTTTGACCTCCGAATATTGCTTCATCTGTCCAATGGCCTTGGTGAGCTCCTTATGGGCCTCCAGCGCCTTCTGTGTCTCTTGCTGCTCCACATGCTGTCGCAGAACACTGAGCTTTTCTCTGCACACCTTGAGTTCTCTCAAGACGGCCAGTTTCACCTGCGTGACCTTGTAATCGTTGAGCAGCTTGACCTGCTGGATGCTGGGCTCGCCTCGATGCACCTTGGCCGCCTCCACGTATCGTTTGGTGGCTACTTGGAGCTCCTGTCGCGATTTGGCGTGTGCGGTTCGAACCGACTGCAAAATGTCGCCCAGAGTGTTGTCGTTTTCAAACACGTTGAGTTTCTCAATTGCCTCGGCGTCGGGCTCTTTGCCAGACACCACGAGACTGCTGAACGAGTCGGCCACGAGCGACATGATGTGATGTTCAGATGGTTGTATAAAGCTCCAGCTTGTCACGATGCACAGCAACTCTATCAGCGTGGGCAACTTGATCGGGGTAGAGTTTGCTTAGTAAGCGAGGAGGGTGATGGAAGTGAAAAGTGACAAGAAGTGAGACGAAGTGAGAAAAAGGTGGGAGGAGCCTTTTGAGAAATGAGCGTGCCTTGAAGATTTACTTTGTGTATGGATTTGAATTGATTAGGAAGTTGCTATGTTCAATTTGGAGTCTCTCTGCAGAGCAGTCCCCCTAAACTTGTCCATTTTCCATCTGACATGAACATGTTGATCTGTTTGTCGTATGATCCGAACACCTCGGGAGTTGTTTCCAAGATGGGGTTGGAGATGGTCATGTCTGTTGCAGGCATGTCTCCCTTCCGAAGAGCTGTAACTAACCACCCAGGAAACGGCTTATCATGACTGGCGTGAGCCGAAGACTGCGAATTCTCTGAAAAGGTGTGGTATCCACCCATAGTCAGCCCTTTGCCCACCATTAGTCCGAATTCGTCCGTCAAAGATGTTCTGTATTTTTCCAGACGGTTTACCGACAACTTTGGTGATAACTTTGCCATAATCGCCCAAAACAGTCCACGAAAGCAGACTCAGCAGCTTGTCCTCGTCGATGTTGAGGTTCCAGAGGTTGCCATTGTTTTGAATGTCAGGAACCTGCGGATAGCCAAAGTACAAGTACATTATTTACTGCACCCAAAGTCCACGGTCCCCCAGAAGCAGAAGACGTGTAACCGATAGACTGTAGTAGTCCCGTCGGAGTGGTTGAGTCCTGATTTCAATCATCAAAGGCCTTCACCACCCCGGCTGAAACAATCATCGATCTGCAGTCACCTCCTGAAAACCCCAGAGTCAAATTGGAGGTACGGTCTCTGTTGGACATGATTCCTCGACATCTAGATCTCCGCCACGTTTTGCAAGAATCTCTTCTCTTCAGGGAAAGACTCGATTTCTGCAGCTTGGCAGCGATAAACGCGGTTTCTGAACTCGACATGTTTTCTCCTTGTCGTGGAAGCGTACCATTAGGACACTTGATCTTGTAGGGAGTATCTCCGGACAGTATTGTATGTACTGCAGCTAGTTGATATCGTACATGTGGTTTAGTTCTTCTGGGGACTCTGGGATAGTACCAGTGTGATATTCACGTAGCAAATAATAGCACGTACTCGCACTCGCACTGTACTCATACGAACCACCACTATACACTGCTCTAATCATAGCAATCTACCCTATGATCTTCACATTCGGTACGAACGATTAACACTGAGGGGTAATTCTCGAGAAAAACCACCAAATGATCCAAATGATCCAAATGAACCCGTTGGAGACGTCTTTCGCCCCCGTTTGACTGTCTTCACGTGTTGTATGTTGTAATGTGGATACCGTCTACAGTACTTCTTGTATTTGTACATCCACCCCTCCGTAATTCAAGTCAACCGGTAAATGAGCATCAATCTTCTCCGACAAGAACCTCGGCTCCGAGACTGCTGATTTGAAATCGGGTTTCAATCACTCCATTTGGTCATATTGCATCCAATGCCCGCTTCCCGGCTCGCAAACATCTCCATCTGTTTGGCGCTATGGACATAACCCCAAAGCCTAAATAGGAGAGTTTTGGGCCTGGTGCAGCTCTCAAGCAAAGGCGGTGGACCAAGCTGAGGGGAGTCCGAAGACTCGTGCGCTAGGGGAGGGGGTTTTGGGGAGATTGGGGGAGGAAATGAGGCAAAAAAGCGCCCTATCTCTCCAAATTACGTCCATTTCTCCCACTTTCCCGTTTTTCCGCCTTTTCCAGCTTCCCTTAGTCGACTCTGTTCCGCCCTTCTACACTCGCTCATGTCCCACTTTTTTCCTGTGCAGAATAACCGTTTTATGCGCAGTGGCGGCATTATTCGGGAGCAACCAGAGAAGGCAATAATGGGGCTGGAAGGAAACGGGAAACGGCAATTGGCTGGATTTTTGGTCCCGAATACAATTGCCTTTTTCAAAATGTCCAAAATTGCCTCCCACAGCGACTACACACTCCACATGGGCTGCCTTGCTGCCACTCGCTCTGTCAAAAACCTTGCGGCGTAGGCTTTATCGGCCTCCCCCACATTCACAGACAAAACCTTGAGTCCCACACAGTTGGGCCGAGGCAGCTGAACTCTGGGGTATACTTATACATACAGAGGCACATCGCAGTCTGTCACTCAGTCACGCAAAGACACTCACAAACAACAAACAACAAACAACAATATGCCTCTCGATTACTCCGCTTATGACCAGTTCAAGATCTCGTTCCCCGCCGAGTGGGTGGCGCTGGTCGAGACCAACCGACCCAAGTCTCTCAACTCGTACAACCTCAAGACGTGGGAGCAGTTTGGCCAGATTTTCATCCAGATGAGCGACGATAGCGACATCCGATGCATTGTGTTTGGCGGCGAGGGCCGAGCCTTCTGCTCGGGTCTGGATATCAAGGAAATGGGCTCGTTTGGAGCCGATGACGACGATATGGAGGCTGCTCGAAAGGCCATCAAGTTCCGACGATTCATCACCGACTTCCAGGACAACATCAAGCAGCCCCATCTGTGCCGAAAGCCCATCATTGCCGTGTGCCACGGAATCTCCTTCGGTCTGGCCCTCGACATGATTTCCGGCATGGACATTCGAATCGCCTCCAAGGACGTCAAGTTCTCCATCAAGGAGGCCGACATTGGTCTGGCCGCCGACATGGGCACTCTGCAGCGACTGCCCAAGGTGGTCAACAACCTCGGATGGATCAAGGAGCTCGCCTACACTGCCCGAATCTTTGGCGCCGAGGAGGCCTTCACCCAGGGTCTGGTTACCCACGTGGTTGAGGACAAGGCTGCCGGCATGAAGAAGGCCCTCGAGATGGCTGTTCTCATCTCCGAGAAGTCCCCCGTGGCTGTCCAGGGATCCAAGGAGACCATCAACTACGCCATTGACCACACCATTGAAGACGGTCTGGCCCAGATTGCAAACTTCAACACTTATGCTGTTGCTGGCGACACCATCGAGGCTGCCATGAGCATGGCCATGAAGAAGAAGCCTACTTACGAGAAGTTGTGAGCAGAGTGGGCGAATATATTGAATGAATTTATTGATCACTTTCGAGTGGGAGCACAGCACAACACAATACATACTGTACACTACTACCTGTTATGTATGTCGAGCAGTTGTGTGAGAAGAGCTAGCACAACCATCGTTCGGACTCTCTTGACTTTTTAGATGGTTGTAGTGAGTCAGAATGTGTCTCTACTGCCGATGAACTACCGTCAAAGGAGAGGTCTAGATTGAGTAAGTACGAGCACAGTACATACTCTACTCGTATTCAATAGATCCTCACTAGAATCGGGATGTTCATTCAACGTTAACAATTGTTCTTTACTTGAGAGTTAGCTGTTGAGAAGCCATAATGTTAGTCGAAACCAGACCGGGCCTTCTCCAGCTTGACCTTTACATCATCTGCCGCGACCCAGCCGGTTCGAACTTCATACCCTCCATCTCCCTTAGTGCAGAAAACTGGCTGGATAGTTCCGTTGTCAAGTCCCTCTTGACGCCCAATCTTGTACTTCTTCATGCGCAAATGCTTAGGATCTGTCATGAACTTGGCTGACCATTCTCCAGATGACGCATGTTTAGTGTAGAAGGAGTTGTAGAAACGCTCAAACTTGATATCTGTTTTGATACAGTCGAGTTCCGCGTCAAAGTTGTCCAGGTTCACATACTTCCATGCCTTCTTGAGATTGGCACCCCTGAACCCCTGCTCAATGGCGTTGGGAAGAGGGTAGCCCGCGTTGAGATATTTCTCAGTCATTTGAAACGGAAAATTGAGGTTCTTGTAGTTTTCGCCCGTGGGTCGGTCGTACGCTACCCACTGAAACACGTAGGGGACGACTATCTCGACATGCCTGGAAATGGCGTTGAGGAGCTTCTGGTTGGTTGAAAGAGAGTACTTTCTGTCGGTGACGGGGTCCACAATGACAACTGTGGTGTTGCTAGTGTCAGAAAAGTTGGCCTTCAACCAGTCGGTAATCGCAGCAGTGCCGTTAGAGACGTAGGAAACAGGCAGGGGCTCTCCGTCAGCCGGGAAACAGACTGCCACAGTCTTCTTTTTGTGCTCCAGCACTCTGAAGTAGAAGATGTTTTTCCTGTTGTATTTCGCTTGGGTCATTGTATCGTAATGGAGAGCCGAACGGGTTCTCCACAGGCATATATATACTCCTCCACATCAGGTGTACATCTGCATGGTTGGGGCTGAAACTAAAGAGGGGTAGCAAAGGCGGATGAGAATGAGATGCCGGATGGTTGGTGGTGATACCAGATGGATTGTTATGATACTAGATGGATCGTTATCATACAAGGTGGTCCTTTATGAGCCACTTTGAAGAGCAGACATCTGGTTTGTGGGTGGTTGACAAGATTCTTTTTCTAGCCTGGTTGTTCTCCACACCAGAACAGCCCCAAATGCACGTGAACAGCCCCAAGAGTCCAGGAATGGGGAAACAACATGCCAATTGTTCATTTCGTTGGGTAAATCAACCAGAATTGATTCTCTAGTTGCTGCTATTGACCCAACTTCTTGCCAGAACATCGCCAGATGAAGACCCAAAAGCTGAGACATCCGAAGATACCATCAACGACACAGTTCCGGGCTGACTCCTCCGATGGGTTGTTGGCCAGAGCAAATTCCCACATGAGTCTTGTTAATACTCACTGAACACCTCCCCTTTGGCTCTTTTTGGCTCTTTTTGGCTCTTTTTGGCTTCCTTTGGCTCCCCTTGGCTTCTAGAGAGCAATACCTTTCGAATATGGTGCTTTGCGGTTCAAACATCAGACCCGAATCGAGAACATCTCTTGGACTGAACAACAACAATACCGGTTGTTACACAACAACAAGGAGTTGAATCTGTATCTGAAATCCAAGATCAACTCTCAGTATTGGTAAGCCATGAGATAATCTATGGAACGACAGATTATGCTCCCTCGTCAAGGCGTCCATATCCTGCTCTTACATATAACAGAAGCATTCCCACGTTCTCATTCCCCATTCCTACTATGGATCTTTCAGAGTTCGACCGCTTCCTATCTCCCGAGGGAGAAATCCTGCTCCACCCTGAGGAGCTCGTTGATGCTCTTCTTTCTTTGTTTCTGAGCAACGCCAATCTCAACATCACAGTCAAAGTGGAGTCCCTTCAGTTCCCGGGGCGTTTCCATCATCTCACTTTCAAGCGACTCTATCAGTCTTCCGAGTCTCCTCCGCTAGAAATGACCATGTCGCAGCGTCTGGGGGAGCAGCGAGACGAAATGATGGATTCTATCGAGGCAGAATGGGATCATCTGAGTGACTTGGACTCAGACACGGAGGTGTTCTATCCAGATGCTTTTGAAATCGTTCGTCGTAATCCGTTCGTTATCACTGAGGGATTTCCAACAACAACCGAGGGAGCGTCCTTTGATGAATTTTGAGAGACGTGATCTCTATGATGGTTCATTGGTAAGGTCAAAGGAGAAAGGGAGTTGTGTATAAACTGGCAGATAGTTGCAAGAACTAAATATGACCCTATTTATGTGTGTTACTATAGTGCTTACGAATATCCCGATCCCAGATTCTCTTCAACTATCCCCAATGTGCATGCTAGACACTCCTGTCAATGGCATAAACGTGGCGATGCGGTTGATTACTAAGACAAAAAGAGTAGACCATACCAAACAATACAAAACTCGAAACTACCAACCGCGCCGCCAATACGACTAGTCACGTGGCTGAGACTAAGTCACCCACGCTTCGACTTGATCAGCAGCTCCCAAACTCCTCAAGCTGTCCTGACTGCAGCTCATCTCGACCCACCAATAAACTTTGACTACGCATCTTTCAACATTGAAATTTCACTCGGATACAAGCAACACAATCATGTCACAGGGACTGACGGCTTACCGAAACGTTTTGCGAGCGGCCAACCTGGCGTTCAAGAGTGAGTACAGTTGCGGCAACAACGACTGCCAAGGGAAACCCGTGCCCCGACAGACCCTAACCCAGATGATCACTTTGTGCTAGGACAGGCCAAGGCCAACATTCGAAAGGGCTTTGAGGACGGCCGAAAGCTGGATCCCAAGGACGAGGACGTCAAGGTGCGTCTGGAGCATATCAACGGCGTGGCCTACGTGCTGCGAACACAGGTGGTCCAGGGCCAGAAGCACAACCCTGATGAGGAGAAGTACCAGCTCAATCTGCACAAGGACTCCGAGATGGGAGACAATGAGTCCATCAAGAGCCCTCCTCCCATGCCCACCAAGGGCAAGAAGGGCAAGAAGGTCAAGTGCTGCTCCGAGTAGATATGTATATAGTTGTATGATGTGAGTTGAGAGTAGAGAGAGTTGAGTGTGTTGTAGGCTTGTGGATCCGAGTTGTAGATGGAATCATCTGGAGCTGTGGGAACCTTGATAGTTGAGTTGATCATTCTACGTTGTATTGTAGTTGAGCATACATGCTGATAGTCAAAGGATAGAGGAGTATCACAGCAATAGTTGAGTATGGTACGAACTGGCTTCCTGTTCTGTACCTGCATCTACAGAACTTGTCTTGATTGTTATCATGGCAGTGGCTTCACTAGGTAACATTATTCTCTACTTCGTCGTACTAACCTTTCCGTATCTCTACACATGGGCATGCCTACATCCTCAAACAAAGTATAATACATTATCAATCTCCTCATTTTCATCTTCTCTCATTACTCCCCTTGGTCATCCTCGTGGTCGTTCCCATTACTTCTTCTTCAAGAACCCTTTATCCTTCTTTTTGTCCTTCTTGGGCATGTACTTGTCCTTGTAGATCCAATGATTGCCCACAATGACCACGCCCCGATCCTCCGCCTGTCTGTACAGCTCCGCCGCCCGATGCAAATTTTTCTTACGACCGTTGCCTCCATTCTTCATCCAAATGTTGGCCGCCTCACACAGCGCGTCTCCGTCTCCAAGTGTGCCAGCCAACTCGAAGTACTGCAATGCCGAATCCTCGTCCTTGCCGGCGCCCCACGAATGCAAATAGCTCATCCCCAGCTCGTACAAAGCCAGCCCCACCCGTGACTTCTTCACGTTGGACGTACCCGAGCCTCCTGTGACAGTATCTGCCTTGCCTAGAGTCTTGAGCAGATCTGCCGTCGACGAACGGTTGCCCTTGTCGTTACCGGCATCGAAAAAAATGTTGGTTGCCCGCTTGAGCCACTTGACGGCCTCCTCGGGGTTCTGTCGCAGGCCCCATCCGTGTCGTAGAGCTAGACCATACAGTAGCATGGCAGTCGGCTCTCCCATATTGGCAGCCGTCTGGAACTGGTACGCACTCTCACGCAGCTTGCCATGCTCGTGGAAAGTGATTCCAGCGGAAAGATGCTCGTCTGCGGTGGCCGAGTTGGAAGGAAGAGGAATGGTAGCTGAAGAAGCATTTCCAACACCTCCAACCGGGCCCCCTGCACTAGGAGTAGGAGCACTGTTAGTATTGCTCACCGTGTGTGTAGAGGGCGTCAGAGACCGCATGGAACCGTTGGAGGGGACTCTGGTATGCTGTTGATGCTGCTGTTGAACCCGCGGAGGCACAGGAGACGAAGGTAATGGCTTGTCTGCAAATGCAGGAGGGAGCGGTTTGTCGGCAACAGGAGCCGTGAATCTGGTCTGCTGAACTTGCGGCTGTTTGACCAAATCCTCATCTAGCTCATCATCGTCGTCATCATCGATAATTCGAGGTTTATGATCTCTGTAGTAGTTTTCAAACTCGGACCGATGCTCCTCTAAGGTCAGTTCCCGCTGTTGAACAGTGTCTGCTGAATGTATACTGGCTGTGTCGTTTGTATACGTCTGAGCGAGTGGGGTGTCATCCTCCTCGTCTTCATCCTCCTCATCTTCGTCCTCCTCGTCCACCTTTAGTGACATGAGTAAGCCTCCAATACTGCTGTTTGTGCTGATGATGGACGTTTGTCTGTGGTTGTAGGAGAAGTCCTGCGAGTCGCGCGACACTATAGACGAGGCCGACGATGTCCTTCGCGGGTTCCATTCTCCATATTGATTGTATCCAAACTGATCTGTCACTCCTCCCATAGTTTCGGTTGATTCGATCGAGGTGATCGAGGCGTTGGAGGGCAGAACGTCCGAGTCCAGTCGCTTGGACATTTTGTTGGTCTTTTTGGACAATATGTCCAACGGCGAGAGATTGTTGAAGTCCATTCTTGGGTCTGTTGGAGAGAATGGACGGTTGATTTGGTTGGGGACGTGGGTTTTTGGTTTTGGTGGTTTTGGTGGTGCACTTGGGTCGATTCTACTGGTGCAAAACTCTCGAGGTGTCGTTGTCTCTGCTTATCTGCTCCCGCGCACTCGGCTGCGTGTTCGACCGGTGCTCCAAGGGCTGTAGTCCGCTGGTGAAAGGTGTGGACTGGTGTATGGTCGCGTACCCCTTCTTTCTCCGCGTCACCCAACTTGTGGAACCTAAAAAAAGACTAACGTCTGGACCACATGTGATGTCACCATACATATAGGGGTGCATGAGGGTGAGGAGAAGGGAGCGTTTTGGGGCCGGTAAAGAATGATTTGTCGGAGAAAGTGGGTCCTTATATACACAAACAAAACGTCTGTTCAAAATCCCACTTGCCCTCCTCCTCACCACACCACACGGCACACACTAGTGTGTCTCAAACACCCGCTCACGCACTCGCTGCAAACTACGAGAGGCAGCCAACAGGCATACTTTTACCACGAGCCATGTCTGCTGATACTTTTTCAAATGCCAAATTCCATAGAGCTGAGAGCATAAGCGGACGAGAGTGCAAACGCTACCTCCGATACAATTCTATGGAGAGCAAAGATACGTGATCCAAAAATATCCCGACATTACGTGTACAAGTGGAGCATCTACGAGACGCAGCAGACCAACCGGTTCTAGCACGGAATGAGACGGCAACACTCTCACTCTCACATCCTTGTGCGGTCTATGCACTGACGCGGATGGCACAGGCGCGAAGCGAACATCTCCCTCGTTTATTTGCTCGGCCTTCGAGTACGTATTTGTATGAATTTCTACGAATACGCATGAGTACTCGGAAACTCGGAATTATGGAAATGCAGAGCAAAACGACCATACACTATGTATTTCTGAGCTGGGTTCTGAAACACGAGACTACGAGATCTACCCGTCGCATGGTTAGGGTTGGGGAGGGAGGGTTAGAGATGGCTCTCAGTACGAGTACAGTGAGTACAGTGAGTACAGTACGAGAACAACCCTATCGGACCCCACTTATCATACACATGTGCAATTAAGCAAGCTGTGGTTACTGTATCTTGAAAGATATCATTTTCGTTCAGATGGTGTGTGTGGGTGTGACATCATTGTGCCGTTCTCTTATGGCCCGTCCGTCGTATCGCCGTTTGTTGAACTCACTTTGACACTGCTTTTCGGGGCACGTCCGTGGATGAAGTTTTGGTGGGATTCCCGATTCGCCATAGCTATAAGTATTGCACGTACAGGCGATGGAGATCTTTACGAGAATCAAAGTGTAGAGATCGAAGGGTGATGTTATGCTGAGAGGTATGCGATTTTTTGGTCATAATTGCCCTGCTGGGGAGGCTGTCGAGAAGGCTTCTGACGCTTCTACTGAAGCCCTGCTGAAGCCCTGCTGAAGCTGCTATTGCTGAAGCTGCTATTACTGCAGATGCTGCTCCTGCTGACGATGATGACGGCGATGAGGATCTGTCTGATCTTGAGAAGGATGGGATCAAGAACGCTGCTGTTGGAGATTACGACGACGACTAGAACAAGATGAGCGCCCACCGACATGGGTGCAGAGCTCAGGCAAGAAGATACTCCAGAAGTGAGCCACCAAGGGCTCGAGGGCCGCGTCGATCCCAGCCTCAATCTCCCGTCGTCCATATGTGAGTGATCGATCTCGTCCTCATCGTCGTCCCACAGGGATTGTGTTGTTCTTGTTCCCCTATTATTTCTTTTTTCGGCGCAACAGCGGGTTTTTGCTATGGAGGACTGGCGATGGAGAAAAAGGAGAAAGAGAAGACATTGCTGGTTGGCCTCCTCTGTGTTCCGCGTGTGTTAGAGACCTGGAATAGAGGCCTAGAAGCTACAGTATCTTCCCATGAGTATCATATGTCCACAATTACGAGCACCCTAACCATCATCATTGCGCATTGTCATCCTGTTGGTCTGCTGTTCAAAAACGGTCAAAAAAGTACACTGCTACCGAAAGGCAGCGAAATTGAATATTTGACGAGTAATGGGCGGCTTTGAGGTACCTACTGTAACCCGGGACAGTCCCTCAAACTAGTACTACTGCAAAGACATGGTTACATTTCTCCTAGCTATGATCTCAACCACCCCAAGAGCACCAATCAAAGTCAATTAATTTACATATACTTTAGTTGACTCTTCCAGATGATTTGATGGGTCCTGAATGACCACCAAAACACGGAAGAGCAGCGGACAAGGCTCTAATGGTTCAGAGCCTTGTCAAAGGTTGCTTGGAGGGAGTTAGCAAGTACGGAACGGTACAGCTCCGAGTACTTGTACATGTTCGAGTAAGTCTTGGAGTTCTGATTCTGGCAGATCTATGATTATGTACATGCTCTCACACTCCAACAGCCCAATGTTGCTGTACCTGTACTCGTACTGTACTGTACCAATAAAATCAGTTGACACACACACTGAGATCTATCCTTCCTACAGCCTCTTATGAACCTCATCCTCAGCACACTCTTTCAGCCCTGACGACAACCTTGAACCTTGTCTACTACATACCCAGTAGAACTGAAGACCTATTACAAAGCATCTCAGACACCAATAAATAAATGGCGATTCATTAATCAATTCAAATGTCTCATTGGACTGACTCTATACCCTCGTATCCGCCTAAACCGCCTTGTATCAGCTTTGCACTGCGTCATCGTCGGACGCACTCTCCACTTTGGCCTGTCGCGAGATCAAAGCCTGAGTAACCACTCCACTACTTGTACATACTACTCTCCACCAGATGTGCAAGCTGGTTCACGTGTTGCTCGAGCCCACGTACAAGTACAGCATATCCGGACCATGCGAATCTCTCGTACCCTAGGCTGTCCCAAATAAATCACTCACATAATACCTCTCCACCCAACCACTGTCCGTTCTCCACGGAATACCTAATAGCCGCGAGGGCAAACTGAGACAAAGCGTGGATGGGCGCATGAATGGAAGGGCGGAAGTGCGCATCCGAAGGTCCATCCGAAGCGGGCTCCAAAAAAATTTAAAAAAAGACCACATGAGTACCGCAAAACGGGACGTTGACGAATTTGCCAGAGGCACCAGAGGTGCATCTCTTGATACATGTTTTTTTCACTCGACAGGTCAAACGCACCGTTGAATGGAACGTCTTGGCAAACATGTAGCGAGCACCGCAGGCGTCCCAGCTATAGCGCACACAATAGTCCATGGTGCATGGAACCCAGCTGGATCGTCGCTTATCTTCATCAGATTGGGCCATGTCTGTTCATTTATGATTTCATTTTTGCATTGTTGGCTGAAAAACGTTGGGGTCTAGCTCCCAGGCCGGCCCCAGTTGGCCAGACAATAGACTTTCAGCGGTGCTCAAAACAACTCAGGACCCTAACCCAAATGACTCTCTCACGTGATGATAGTCATGGAGACTCGGTAGGCTTGAGTCACCTGCATAATTGCTCCGACAAAAACACAACCTCCAAGCCGCGCTATGAAATGACGGAAAATCACGATAATGAACACGGAGCTGCCACCCGGCTCTCGTCCCCGTTTTCCAAGTCCACCAAGCTGCCGTCCATGCTCCACGCCATCTCCAAAACGCCCGCAGACTCGCCACTGAGTGAAGAAACAAACACAAGCATAACTGCTACGAGCGGGACTGAAGAAAAGACCACTAGCGACGACAATGCCGCGGAAGGACCGGTCACAGCCACAAACGCGTCTGCCGCCAGCGTGGCCCCGGATAACCAACCCACAGGCTCGAGTTTTACGCCGCAAAATGCCAAACCAACCACCCCTCTGGCTTCGAAACAAACACAAGCACAGCCCACCAGCCCGGACAACACGGAGGACAAGAAGAAGGGCGGAGTGACGCAGAGCATCAGGGAGAAGCTCAACTTCCAGGACGAAAAGCTGTGGAAACGCTTCTCCAGCCGCCGTCTGGATCTCATTGATTCCATGGCCCTGTCGTCCAAAAAGGCCAGTGAACAGGACGTGGAAATCTCCAATGTGGCAAACACGTTGCGCGAGGAGTACGGCTATCCTCCCGAGACGGCTGCAGATTTTGATCGACTAGTTCGAGCAGGAATCCAGTCTGTGCGACGAAACAGGAAACGAGTGCCACGGTTCAAGCGAAGCTCCCATGTCGTTTCCCAGGGCCATCACCCTCAACGAGTCAATTTCCTGGCCGCAATGGCCGGACCTATGCATCCCCATCATGGTTCGCCTGCCCACGCCGCAGATAACGGTCACAATGGAGTTGCCACCCCTCCTCCAGCCATGTCACCCGTGAAACGTCACCGGTCTGAAGAAGACGCATCGGTGGCCCTGCAGAGCCTGCGCTACCAGCAGCAGGCCCACGGCCCAACGACGCTGCCATCAGTCACGTCATTGAGTCTCGGGATCCCTGCCGAGCACTTAAAAATCGCTTGCGATCGGTTTCTGTCATTCGTCGCTCGCTCGCATTCTGGAAAGGAGCCTCCTTCGTCCAATTTGGAAGCTTTAGGACGAGGTGTGCTGGAATCCGCAGTCGCCTTCATGCTGGAGCGTCACCAGCCCAAAGACAAGCACGATAGCTTGCGGGAGAAGCTGCTTTCCGAGCCTACCACCGCACACGTGGTTCAGACCCTGAACCTGCGCCCCCAACCTGCCCCCGGGACATCCTCTGCGTCTCCCTTCTTCCATAACCTCATTGGAGGTTGTGCCAAGGACTTTGGATTTGATGCAATTGTGCATGCTCTGGGAAACATTTACCTCGAGCTAGTCCCTCAGTACGTGGGACCCGTGGCTGGACGAGCACCAGTGACATCTCACACTCCCCACTCTGCACCTCCTCCACGATATGGACCCACCCTGCCTGGGTACAAGTCAGTGACGTTTCGGTTCATGGACAAGAAAATGGACTTTAGTTTCTCTGTGAACGAGACCCCGCCAACTTTGTACGAGCTGCTCGAGAACGGCATCAAGACTTTCCATATCATGGTGGAGGACAAGGTGCTGCACATTCGCAGCCACGAGGATCGGGAGCTGGTCAAGTCCGACTACGACGTAAAAATGGTCTTTTCTCGACCTTCCGTGGATGTGGAGTTCTTCTTTCCTCTTCTGCCTACGCCCAACGCTACGAACATGCGTTATATGGATTCTCCGTCGTTTCAGAAGTTACTCTAGACATCAAGAGCCTCCTTCCAAGTTACTTTTTACAAATAGCCGGGGCCTTATGTCGTTCTTTACAGTTACCCAACCAGGAAAGTGTTATAGCACGGCTCTGGCTGTGGATGCCTGTTTTGGTCTGACGTGCGCCTTTGCAGCATTGATCCGTTCACCACAATGAAACCTCATCCAAAAACTTCACTCCAAAAAATAATAATTTGGTGGGTCCATATCTTTCCCCAGCCTTCCTGGGCTCGGAGCGACTTTTGCATCCTATTTATTTGGTCTGTGTCCCCACCATATCAGACCCTCATCATTTCTCTCACACAACACTTACAATACTACAATGATGTTCATGAGCCTAGTTTCTCTTGCTCTGCTGGTTGTGGCTGCTCCAGTGACTACCTCTCCCGAAGCCCCTGCTGACCAGATTCTGGTCGTGTCACCCGCCGACCTCAATGTTCAAGGAACTGATATTGTCTATCGGCCTACTGTTGGCGCTTCGGACCCCGACTATCGTCCCGATCTGAGCATCAACGTGGCTAACGGCCGTGTGGAAATCGACATTGCCGGAACCCCCACGAATGCCACCTTGCATACCTCCTCCAATGGACATTTTGGCTACGCTCCGGTCGGACAGACGGCTCTGAAGTGGTCTCAGGACGGCTCCGCTGCCACCTTGACCTACAATGGTTCCCCCTACTTTTACGCTTGTGTCGAGGGATCTGAGCAGTACATTTACGTGCAGATTCCTGACATTGCCGCCCATTGTGCTTCTCCTCAGTGGATGAAGATTAGTGCTTAGATGTGAATGAATTTTACGACTTGAGTGTGCCAGTAATCTCCAAAGAACGAATGTTAATGAATCTATTATGCAATTTAGTTTTATATATATATACAAGTGTCTGTTTTTGTGAGTATGGTTGTGTTTGGTGGCTACACTACCACCATGGTATACTTGTGTTTCTTCATGGCGTTATGCGAGTAGGTGCCCCAGGTGACGCTCTGCGGGAGAGTTGTACATCGGATAAACGTAGCTATCGGGCACTGGGCGACGATATGGCCCTTTCTCTTGCATTTGATGCAGCAGTTATCTCCGGTGACAAAGTGGGCTCGGATGGGACTGGAGTTTCTGCTTTCTTTGCCCCAGGCAGGATCGACGTTGAACAGCAGATCGAATCTGTATCCCAGCGAGGCCACGTTTCTGAACTCCACCTTGACAGCGATCACGTTGGTTGTCAGCTCCTTGTGATTCTTATGCGTGTAGACTCGGTAGTTTCGGTCTAGAGTGATCCCCTCGTCAAAGGCCTGGAACTCCTTTTCAAGTCCAAACAGCCATGGATTCAGGCGAGAGGCACTGCTCTTGTCAAACGGATCAAACCAGTCTGGAGCGTACATGAAGTACAGCGATCGAGAAACCTCAGCTTTCATGGACGGCCGGAAAAAATCTTTAGCTGCCATTTTGGCCACCCAGAATTGCGTGGGTTTGCGGGATTTCGGATCGGGAGCCCTTGGACGCTTATTATTGATCATATCAAGGTCTGGAATACGGCAGGTGGGGAAAAAGATGTCGTCTTCGTCACTGTCCGTCTCATAGTAGCTGCTTCCGCTGTCACTGTCGCTCTCCTCGCTCTCCAACGAAGATGTGTGGCTGTCGTTATGGTGGCTGGGATGCAGAGCGGGCGGAACAGCGTCGCTGATGGTGAGTTGGTCGTGTGTATCCTCATTCCTTCTCATGCCGTGCCTTTGTTGTATCTGGTGGAAAGAATCGAGCTTCTAAAAGTTCCTGAAAAGTTCATGTACATGCGATATGCTAGGTTAGGGTTGGTCAGGTGGATTTGAGATGCCTTTGTTGGGCAAAGTAGCTGGCGGATTCGGATGGAAACAGTCTAGGGGTTTTCATAGTCCTTGTAATTTTCGATTTATTGCTTTTCCGTACATTTTTTTCGCCAAAAACCCCCATTGATTAACACCTCTAGCTCCCTCAACCATCATCCGAAACTCATCACCTCCCGGTGGCCAAGCTGGTTTAAGGCGCGAGACTGTAATGGAATCAATTGTAATCTTGAGATCGGGCGTTCGACTCGCCCCCGGGAGATGGTACTGATCACTCTGTGATCGACTTCTTTTTTCGATCCGCTTTTTGCATGTCATCCTTACAGCGTCACCTACCAATCCAAACTAAATGTGTGTGAAGATACCGCTGATGTCTTCACTCAGAGCATCAGCGAAAAGTTTTCCGTGGCCTAAAGCAGTGACATAATCCACCCCAATCACTTTGATAGATGTTGTACATCTGCTTATCACGTCAGCTCCAACTAATGTCAATTTTCGCCGGCTAGTTAGGCTACTCAACACCTTCCATAGCTCCTACCCACTCGGAAATACCAATTCGCCTGGCTAGCTCAATCGGTAGAGCGTGAGACTCTTATTCAAAGCAATCTCAAGGCTGTGGGTTCAAGCCCCACGTCGGGCTGAAGTAACTATCTCACAGAGTGGTTGTACTTTTTTTTGATTACGTGAGCCGAAACGGAGCTACGAAGTTGTATTTTCCCGGACAAACACACTAACAATGTGTGTTCAACAGCCAGATTGTATTCCGTACATCGATCAGTTACATACATCCATCCGTTGCAACTTCAAGTGTGTACTTGCCCTCGTACTCGTCTTCACATCTTCTCCTTTATTCTTTCTTCTATTGTGCAGCTCATATGCAAGATTATGCAAGGACGATAAAAGCAATCCTATCGCTATACTACATGTACACACACAGCATGTTGTACTTGTTTGTACTCGTACTCTCCTCAATTTACAAATCCCAAAGTGTTAAATAAAATGACGTAATATACATGTTCGAATGTCACCATTCATTGTTATCATCTGTGTTATCATCTGCTTCTGACCCGGGCCAGATCCTCCAAGAAACTGTCAATGGCATCTCGCTCGGCCTTAACCTCCATAGGAACAGCAGATCCATCCTCAGTCTCCTCAGCCAAAGTCTTTCGGTACTGATCCAGACCAGAAATGTTGAGTAACTCCTCGACATCCACTCCAGAATGAATAATGTCGCCAATCAACTCGGAAACAGTGCCCACACCGGTGGCATTGAGAATCGCCTTACGCAGATCATCTCCAGAAGGTCGGCCAGAGTGAAGAAGGGGCTCGTTCTCTCGAACCTGCATCACAAAAGTTCCCCACTTGTGAAACTCTCCCTCCTCGAGCTCCTGTCGTCGAGCCTGGATAGACGCCGACGACGAGTTTCGGGAAAGAGCGGGACGACCTTCATCCACTCCCTCAACCTGGAGATCAGGAGCCTTGATCTGAGGTTCGTTGCCTGCCAGGCCCATCATGTGAGTCAGAGGATGGACGGTGGGACCCTGGGTCTGGGGCTGCTTTCGCTGCTTCTCAAAGTTCTGAAGAGTCTCGTTCAAAGTAGCATCGAGGAAACAGTAACGAACAAGCAGCTCCTTGTCCTCGTAGGTCAGCTCGCCGTTGTTTCGCTTGGCAAACAGCTCGTCCATAACCTTCTGAACCCGAGTCTTAACGTGGTAGGCACGCTGAAGTAGCATGTCACTAACCTGGCACGTCTCCTGGTTAAACTCGAGAATATCATCGACAGTAGAAGCAATGTCCTTACCCACGTCAAAGATATCCCGGTTGTCTTCTCCGACCTCAATCTCATGGTCAATCTCGTTTTCAGAGGTTGCCTTGCCGTATACCAACCGCTCCATGTTGCGCATGCAGTAATGCACGATTCGTCGCTGCTCCATCTTGGGTACGAGACTCTGTTCAAGGTCAAGAAGGTAGATGGACTTTGAAACCCGAACGGCTACAGTCAGAGCTGCCACACAAGTTCGGTCCATGCGCGTGTTTCCAACAAGGGAAACATGCAGAAGCGACTTACATTGCGCCAAAGCGTCTGAAATCTGCACCACATCACGAGGGCTCAAGTCGCAGTAATCGAGATGAATTCGGCGCAAATCTGGGAAAAGCGGTAGAGCTTTACACAGATGAGTCGTAAGGGAGGGAAAGAGTCCAGAGTTAGAAGAGAGATCTAAAAACCGGAGATTCTGCAGCTTGGAAAGGGCAGTGATGAGCTTTTCGGTCGTGGGAGAGGCCTCGAGGTGCGTGGAGTTCAGGGAAAGGAACCGCAGGTTCAGCTCCTTGTCGGAGAGTGAATCCAGAAGAACATCAAGAGCGGTAGGTTCGGTTGATTCGGAAACGGGCACCTTATCCTTCTTCTCCTCCTTCTCCTCCTTCTCCTCCTTCTCCTCCTTCTCCTCCTTCTCCCCCTTCTCTGTACCTTCGGCTCCTTCTTGTCTCACCTCCTCCTCCTCCTCCACGTAAGTCAGATGGTTACCTCCAATATCGAGACCCTCACACTCGCCAGTCATCCATTGGCCAACGAAATGCATCTCCTCGGGGCCCAAATCGTTGAATGCTAGTCCGAGACGTTTTGTATTTTTGCATGCGCCCAACATGAGATGCTCAAACACCTCAGAAGGCACTAAACAGCCGTTGAGCACAAGTTCCTCCATACCTTTGCCGTACTGTAGAGCATCGCACAACAGCTTCCAATCCACAGTGGGAGGGGTTCGCTGCTTGAGCTCCTTGTCCTTGTCCCGCTTCATCTGATGCGACAAGTCCAGCCGAACAAGCTTGGAGTTCATGGCCAACAAGTAGCACAGGCGCTTCCATGACATCTCGTCAATGCTAGTGTTTCGAAGAGACAGCTTTTCGAGCCATTGCGAAGCACTCATTGCCGCAAACAACAGTGAAAACATATCCGGAGTGAGGGTCACATTATCCAGAACAAGTGTACTGACCGGAGCCACAGCCACAAAGTCGGCAAATGACTGGATCTCAATCAACGTGGGTCTGGGATTCATCAGACGCAGGGAAAGAGGCGCCTTTTGGGCCTTGATCTGTTTTAGAGTAGCTGGGATCGGCAGAATCTCTCGCAGATGACAGCACCGAGTATACAGTTTCTCTACGTCCACATCCAGCGGGTTGTCCTCGTCCGACTCGTCCTTCTCGTTGTACATTTCATGGGATGTCTTGAGAGGCGTGTCGATAATGAGGTTGGAGATAGAGGGCACCTCGTCGTCGCCCGGAGGAGGAGACGTTTTAGTGTCTTTGGTACTGTCCTTGGCAGTTTCCTTAGTAGGTGAGGGGGGCTTGCTGGGTGACGCCTTGGCTGCCAGGGGAGATGCAGACCGAGGAGAGCCAGCAATAGGAGAGTTTTTGGGCGAGTTTCGGGGCGATCGTTTCTTGGTCAGTGAGCCCGAACGAGCCAGAGTGTTCTCCTTATTGTAGACCGACGCCTTGGTGAACTCCACCTCCTTACCATTTCGCATGATAACAAACTTGGAACGTCCAGAATTGGATCGTGAGAGACCAGAGGTCGTAGGCGAGGGAGAAGGCGATTCTCGAGGCGACCCTACGGGTGAGCGACCCCCGACCTTCTGCATGTCTACTGTGAGATGGGGTTGGGACGGTTTTCCAAGAGGAGACTTGCCATTGGGAGAGGATGCTCGAACAGGAGCGCCGGTAGGGACTGTGAGGGAGGAGTTGTTGGAAGAGGTCGATGACGTGGACGAAGTGGAGGAAGCAGAAGACGAGACTCCGTTGGAGACAGCTCCAGTGGAAGGTACAGCAGAGACTGTGGAAGTCGCGACTGAGGAGCCACCATTGGAGGGGATTGCTGCTGCTGCGGCAGAAGCAGCTCCAGCCGTCGCAGCAGTAGGAGGGCTTATTTTGGGAGCAACGGGCTCTTTGGGGACTGCTGCTGCTGCTGCTGCGGGAGCGGGTGCTGCAGGTTTGGGAACTGCAACTGGAGCTGCTTGGGCTGCCGGAGAGGCAGTGGCAGGCTTTTGAGGGGTTGTTGTCTGCGTTTGAGCCGCCTGAGCAGGAGCTGCCGTCTGTGGGGTCTTGGATGAAGTGGCAGGAGGAGCCGTCTTTGCCGCCTGCCGTCTGGGCTGTCCAACACCCGAATTGAATGGGTTGAAGTGATGCTGGTCATGGTGCTGAGGGGGTGATTGGATCACCATGCCATTCTTACGGAGCAAACCATCGGCACCAACCTCTACATTACCCTTCTTGGGCTTCCGGGCGGGGATCTGCTGAGGAGGGTCCGAATGATACGTGTTGATATCAAACGACACTCGACGAGAAGAGACGCCCTCAAGACCCGTGAGCTCACAATTCCGTCGGTTACTGTTCTTGTTCAAAACACGCGACGTGGGACACGACGCTACGCCTCCTGTGGAGGGCTGCGACTTGGAGAACCGCCGCAGAGTGTTGAGAAGGAACCCCTTGGGCGATCCCACATCTGTGGATGCAGAAGAGGCGATGGACGAGGCCACCGCCGGTGAGGCGCCTGCTGCGTGGACAGGCGGGAAGGGCTTCTCTGGGATGGCAACGGCCTCAACATTGATACGAGGAGAGGCTGTCCGAGGGGGTGAAGTCGGGAGGTTGGCAGAGGTGGGAGTAGATGCAGGAGGGACGGTAGTGGCTCCTGTGGCAGCAGCGACAGGAGGAGCGATTTCTGGAATCGTCGTTGTGGTGGTTTGTGTCGTGGGGGCAGCCTTGCCTGATAGCGATGCCGACGTTTGCTGCTCCTTGGATGCAATGGGTTGTGATTTGCTGGGTTTCGAGAAAGGCGTGGCTGTAGGGCTCTTTCCTAACGACGACGAGGATGCATCCTTGCCATCTTTAGTCTTTTCGTCTTTGCCAGATCTCCACTTGCTGAAGGAGTTGAGCCACGACTTTTTGAAGCCTGGCGACTGCTCCTTGTTGAGCTTTTCACGCTCGGACTTGAACTCGGGCGCAGAAATGGTGCGTGAACGAGACAGGTTGGGGCTTCCGACAGAGGTCTTGACGTAGGGGTCCAGGGAACGGGTGTTAGACAAGTCGTGTGAGGAGGTGGAGGGCTCCAGTGCCGTCTTTGATGCAGAGGGGCTGGAAGATGCAACGTTTGTGGGAGTGGTACCTGGCGACGTGGCCCGTGAGGATGAAAGCGAATCAGCTTCTTCCTTGACATGCTGGAGACCGAGAGAGAGCTTTGACGGCTGGTTTTGCACTGAAGAGGTGGACGAGGACCGGGCTCTAGTTCCTGCGTTAGTACAGTACTGCATGAGTGGACTGTTTGTTTAGGTCATCGTTGGCAACGTCATTAACAGTGTAGAAGAGACGTCATGGTGATACCATGACACTAACAGCTGTTAGTATATTCAACACCTGCGTCCTATAGTCCGCGTGTATCAACGTTATCATAATAGACCACCTTATCATCATCTCGACACAGGTCAGTCCAACGACGGAGCGCTCATATCCTGTGCGGCTTTTTTTTCCCCACAAAATAGGAGCACGTTTATCGGAGCACAAAAGAATCTGGATCGAGTAGGAAAGCAACGTGGACGATTGCGTTGGCATCTTTGGCGTGGACTCGTGTTTGTGCATCGGCAAATCGCATGTTTCTTATTACTGACTAGTGTCAAGTCAAATCGGACGCTGCTATCAGGTGACCTCATAGCGACGGGGGTGATGTGTGGTGTCTAAGACACTGTTGAGGGGGTGTGTATATCGTGGCGACGTTTGCGTTGTGGTGCGTATCGCTTTTTTTCCGCAACACCTAAACACAGTTGGTTTGTGTCACGTCATCTCGCTCGACGTCCTTCTATCAGACGTCCACAGACAGCCGCCCACAGATAGCCCACAGTCGACGGTGAGCACACAGACGACACCGACGGGGGGGAGGGGGGAGCCGGCAGATTGTGTGCACATGTGGGACGACCTCAGCCAGCGGACAGTATCACACGAGTCTCGTCGGACCCGCTGTCCAGCACGCACGACGTTGTCCATGTCACCACTTTTCCTCGATCCCTTCGACGATACTCACTTTTGCTGTTCAGGGCCGGAACCTTGCCGCGACTGAGCCACGACACTTCGGTGTTGCTGACGCCGTTGATGACGGAGCCGATGCTGCTTGCGAGAGTCATTTAGTCGGGGTGCGGTGGTCGTCTCTCGAGATATGGCTGATGTTGAAGAAGCAGCAAATGTGTGGAGAAGACCATCTAAACCTAAACGGCGGGTAAGACGGGAATATCGTGTGGGATGCAACCGTATGCGAGGTGGCTGGGGGTTGGGGGAGGAGGGTTGGGGAGGGTTGAACCGGTGAGCAGAGCGCGGGGAGAGAGCGGAGAGGCCCAGGCGACGTCGAACGGCTGTGCGGTCGGTTCCGACTCCGTCCACACGGCTGGCCACTAAGTAACCTCCTAATAATCTGACCTTAGCAAGCAGCCATTTTCTGGGACACTATGCAACTTTAACCAGTAGCTTGAAAGTGAATTTGGCATTTCTGAGGAGTACAGTACGACGAGCATCAGCTTAGATGTGGGAGGAGCTACAGTGAGTAAAGGTGCAGTAAAGGGCGGCCAAGACCAAAAGATTGGCGAAAGAAGGGCCAAAGATTGGCGAAAGAGAAAGACCAGACCTAGGGTTGGCGACTACTCACGACTTATTCTCACGACGGTCGTTAGGGTTCGTCATCTACGGCATTCAGAAACACTGTGGAGCTACTTGGAAGGTTGCGTCATTAGACGTAGACAGCGCATCGAGAGAGGGCCAGATTGCCCATTTAGGGGCAAGAGCAGCCGATTTGATGCAAAGAAAGGAATGAGAGCGCCCGGGGACCGCGTGACACACGCAGGTGGCACAAACCAGAGCAAATAGGCGCTCTCCTGGCCGGATTATCGTCTAGGGGTGATTGGCGAGAGTGCGAGTGAAATTATGGATGTTTCCACCAGTACATACGATACTTGTACTCGCACCCATATTACAGTTGTGTGGCACAAGTAAATACAGTATTACTGTATGGCACAAGCTCCCGCCGTGGGACTCGGCAAAAAGAAACAACAACAGGAAATTTTTTTTCACTTTTTTCCAATCTTTCAACCGCCAATCGTTGAGCCGGCAGCAAAATGGAAGGTCACGTGACGCATCTGGACGCATCGAGCGAAGCCGTGAGGGGAATGCATGGCGTACGAGTAGCGAGTAAGGGGTAGGGAGCAAGTCTTGTGTACTTGTGTATTTGTGGAGTATGATACGAGTATTATGTACGATGCTTGTATCATAGGAGTACATACAGTACTTGTAGTACGTACGACACTTGTGTGATAGGAGTACGACAGCAGTACGATAGGAGTACATACTGTACAAGTAGCCGTACAAGACTTGTGTCATTACTTACACCCGAAGACTCCTCCGAATGACCCTATGCAACGTCCAATGAGCTACATTGTGCCATGACTACGAAAGGTGGAATAGAAGCTCAACGTTTCGCTTAGAGTACGGAGGTGTTTCAATATGGGCACTAGACAGAGAGGTGGTATAAGTGAGTACGTACGATAGGAGATAACATAGTGATGGTGGTACGGTAGCTGGAAGCGGGTAGCGATGGTTGGAAGCGGTAGCGATAGTTGGGAGCCGGTAGCGATGGTTGGAAGCGGTAGCGATAGTTGGAAGCGGTAGCGATGGTTGGAAGCGGGTAGCAGAGCTTCCCCCAGTCACGTGACGTTGCTATATTGCTATGGTAACGTGAACTCGCTCTGCAACATGTTCTCCGCTCAGCTGTGCCACTGGTTGTTTCGCCACGTCTTGTCTCGTTGGCCTCGTCTTGTTCACCTCGTCTTGTTCCGTTACCCTGCTGTCGCTATCAACCTACCCCAGATCAGCCAATAGTATCAGCACATCTCCCACAGTGCAGGTGCATGTGAGACGTGGCTGTTCAGGGTACACTTGCATGCAACATTAATCCGTGGGTGGCGAGGCGTCGGGGCTACGGGCCGTTTCTGGGCGCGGATAAACGCGAAAAGCGGGTAACTTGCACTGGAAAAATATTTTGTGGGTCTCCCGCGGTTTTTCGCGCTTATCGTCGTCGGGCTACGAGGTATTTGGAGACACCCCTGTGTTTGTCCTTACAACTCTAACTGCACGACCCCACAACCTTATTTGTCACCCATATTCCATTAGCATTATGGCTTGTTTGTTACACCTGGGCTAGAAAAAGTATTGTCAGAGAAATATATAAGGGCGGAGGAAGCCCAGAAGGTGTTCACTAACCAACCAACGTTACAGCACCGACCATAGTCAGCGCAAAAAGCACAACACACAAACACAGCCCGCTAGAACCCACACACAGCTAGAACCCACACACAGCTAGAACCCACACACAGCTAGAACCCACAGCCAGTTACTAGTAGAAAGCACACACAAGACAATGGACAAGCCAATCCGTACCTCGCCCCCCGTCTCTCCCCAGTTCCAGACGGGGTACCCCATGCCCCCTGCGGTTGCGACTCTGGCGCAGGTCAACATGCCCTCCACCCAGGTGCTGGAGCGGGCCAAGAAGGAGTCTCTGCACTGGGAGGACTTTGTCAAGTTCAACATTTTTGGACAGCATTGAGATGAGCATGTTGAGTTGATCTTGACCTATTCATCTGCTATTGTTGCTGGTGTATTATTTATTGCTGGAGGATATAGAGAATGTATTGTTTGTAACTAGAGAGTAGTTGGAGACTACGAGTGGGGGAGTGGGCATGTCGGATGTACTTTACCGCACGTGGTACAGTTGCAATTGTAGATTACGAGTAAAAGTAAGTACACGGTACTCGAAGTCGAACTCGACCTCAACTCGAACTCGTTGATACCGACAGTCTCATATTGAGGAATGATCGAAACAAGTGCAATGGTCTCACTTGGTTCTCTGAAACTTGTCGGTCATTGTCAACTAAGGAAGATCTTGTTCAATCTATGGACCTGAAATTGCATGCCACAGTATCTACCGTACTCGTACTTGTACCCTCCCTCTCTGTATTCACTCTCGCACCCCAGTATTCCATCTCTTGGCACCCCTTTTTGTCTTGGCTCGTTGCGACCCTGATTAATTTCCCATCGCAGCAAGATACATACAAAGAGTGAGACCTATGTGGGGCAGACGTGGACAAAGTGGGATACAATGCGTACCTGTACCAGAGCGGAATGTCGAATGGTTTGTGGGTGGGTTTGTGGAAGTTGCTCCGTCTTTTCCTCCACCTGTGGCTCCTTTGGTTGTGTCACTTCTCCGTTGGTCCGGAACAACGCTCATTTGGCCACAGTAGCTCTGGTGGCAAATCTATCTGCTTGCTGCGTCCCATGAAGCACGCTATCCTCCGGTACCACCGAGTTAATAGGTTGGATAGAGTTGCTCAAAGGGCTATCTTTTAGTATCGGTTTAATCTCAAATGTGGGGTACAGTAAGTTGACGAGGCTGAGCACCGTGGAATATTAAAAAAAAATTAAAGGCACATGAAAATATCTCGGAAAATCGTGTCGTCAAAAAATACGTCTCCGTCTGGTTGAGTGTTGCACGGAATCAAAATACTATCCTCCGGGCTTCGCTATGGAGGTCTTTTCGTCTCAATCCAACCCATATAACCCCTCAACATGGCTGCACTAAATGACGTCACAGTCGGCGGAAAAGTCTTTAATCCCGACTTGCCGATGAGACAGGGTGGTGCAAGTATAGTATGTACTACAAGTGCTTGTAGCACCTCGTACCGTAGCAAACAAACAAGCAGGTCCTAAAGAGATCGTGCTGAAATATCCCAAGTATACTCTACTTGTACGCGCCATCTCTGTGCTACACTACAGCCTCCTTTTGCGAAAGTTGAGCGCAAGTCTGTCTCTTTGCTTGATATTGTGTCGAACTTGAAACCCCCTCTTCTGTCAGTCACCCTCACTTCCACTCACCCCACATTCCATAGCTCCTATGTGCGGTGCACAATCAAGGGCGCACTGGTGGTCCCGATACCGGTTAGTCTGCTATGTAATAGATACTGGCTATGAATCTGGGGGGTTTTTTTTATGAATCTGGGGTATTTTTCTATGAATCTAAGGATATGCTACTGTAGATACTACAAGTAATACATACTCTAGCTGTAGTTCATTTAGTAGATGCTACAAGCAGGGTATAACATAACACCAGTGCTTGTAGCTTCAAGACATACTCGTAGAGGAGGTAGTGTGGTCATGCTGCGACCAATACGTAATTTCATACGTCATCGTCGAAGCAGTCTTGACTACGTAGACTACTTACCGTACAACACGTACTCGTACGGTATGTACAGAACGTCAACTCTGGCCGGTACTCCCTTCCGCAAGACAACCCTCCTGGTACTTGTACACTTCCTTGCGTGACATCGGGCCGTCGAACACTGGAGCACCGGTGCCCTGACTCGGACTTCTTTTTCACGCTCAGATCATCCCCTCGATCAGCTGGGGCATCGAGACGTTCCGGGTAACGCGATCAAGCATGTCTGAGTTGTTTAAGGCGTTTAAGACAGACCTAGTTGCGAACCCTACAAGTGCAACAGTGGCTCCTTTTGGTCATGAGTCTATTGTCTGTTGAGACCTTTAGATCGAGCCCAACAAAGCGCGGGTCTTGTTTCTGAAGTTGTCGATCACTTTTGCTTGCATCGTGTCTCATGCTTGATGTGAAGGATCTGAACGTGAATGGCAGTTGAAAGCACAATGGCTACTGTACAAGTACTTGTACAAGTATTGCTCACGCTTATGATTCCGTAAAGTCAACGTCGCTCAGAACATTCAATCGTTTCTTTTTCAACCCCTGAAAAATTTATACAAGCTGCGCACCCTGTATCGCAGTATGATATATCATCTTCGTTTAGGACGCATAATACACCATCACGAGTTGGCCGAAAACGACTTACTCTATGAAAACCTGTCCAATACGCCACCAAAATATATTTGTTTTTAGCCGCCATGGCGAAATATCTGCTTCTAAATGCCTCAGTTGCTGTTATTGGCCCCGTCTGACATTTTTCCAGATTGTCACGACCCAGTTAAACTCAACCTCTGAAATACTTGAGCTTATGACCTGGTTACTTGGAGGATCACTTGAGATCGCCGTGGTTGGAAAAAAAATCAAGGAAAAATCTGTGCGGATGCAGAAGCCGAGAATCTTCTCGCTGAATGACTACTGAATACGGAAACGGTCACCTCGCATCGCATATCAGCCCATCCAATGGCGACCCTGATCTGCAGGTGGCTTCCCGGTGATGCTGATCCGAGAAAAGCAATCAGGTAGGGCTTAAACGCCGGGCCCGAGTGAGACATGCGGTGGGTGCGCAGGGAGATTGAAGTGATTACTAGTACGATATCCTGGGGTTTAGTAAGACGGCTTACTAATCGAGCTCTGGGTGTGGAGAGGTTAGCTCTCTACTCGTACTCCCCGGACGGTACTCATAAGATGAGGATAAAACACACCAGCGGTAGTAAGAGACCGAAGTCATTCTTCGACCACAGTATCTATATTAATCAGCATTCTGAACAACTCTTTAATTCGTCGCAACTGCTTAGTCACAGTAATCTATTACCCCACCCTCCCCCCACTCGCCAATATGAAGTATAGCCAAGCCGCACATGAATTAAAAGAAGTCTTTAAACGCATAGACGAGACATGTAGTGGAGAAAACGAGCTGACCAAATAACAATTAACACCATTCAACTGGATCATTAAAAAAAAAAGTGTTCACAATTCGCCACCACCCAACTAACCGTCAACTCACATGTATGCTGCATATGCATAAACACACTTAATCATCTGTTTAGTCTCACTTATCACCACGTCATACGGAGATTAGAAGGTATTGATCAACACTCAAGGAGACTCGAAAGACGCCCCAAAAGCAGTCCGTACACGCCTCACCACCCGCTGACTCATCAACCCTACCAACCATGGTCAAACAGATCTTTATTGTGCGACACACCACTCGTCAGGACACGGTTCAGAGCAACTGGGCCGAAACGGCTGAATATGGATACAATCCTCCATTGGCTGATCTCGGACACTCGCAGGCCACAGAGGCGGGTCGCTACATCCGTTCCTTAATGCATCAACAGCCCACACGGGTCATGGTCCACACGTCGCCATTTCTACGATGTGTGCAAACAGCAGCCCATATTGCGGAGGAATTGATTGGATGCAATCCCAAGATTCGAATGGACGCGGCTCTAGGCGAATGGCTGACGCCCGACTACTTTGCCAACTCGAGCCCTCCTCCAGACGACAACCATGCCGACTTGGCCAACCAGGCTGTGTCTGCGCTGCAACGACAAAGTAAGTTACGACTGGTGGAGAACGGATGGAACATTACCTGTCTCGGAGACTCGGGCTCCATGCGCGAGTTCTGGTCGGAAATGCATCTGCGATTCGAGCATTATCTCAAACGTCTGAATGGCTTCTACTCTAAACACAACCGCAAGATTGAGACGCTCATCATCGTCACCCACGGCGCCGGAGTGTCTTCTCTGCTGACCCATTTCTGCGGCGAGCCCGTGCTCAGCGAAATCCGGCTCGGCAGCATTTCTCTCGTGTCACGCGACGAGGAGGCTGACGAGGCCGGCTCGTTTGCCAGTGCCGGCAACAATTCAAAGGACTCCGGGTCCCGATCACGTGCGGGGTCCATCACCAACTGGGCGTGGCTGGGCCCCGATCAGGTGGAGGAGAAGTTTAGCATTGGCTCTTGGCAGCTGGACCTCCTGAACGTTGCAGCCGGCACGACAGGTGCAGCTCACAACGGCAGTGTTCCTGGCAGGTCCAATGTTGATGGCTTGGCGCCCCCGGGCAGCGACATGTCCATGAAGCGTCGAACCTCTTCGCCAGCCATGTTTATGCTCAACACCACTTTCCTCGGCTCGGCTCCCCCCTCAACACGTACTTCGCGAGCCTCTTCTCTTTTGCGACCTAGCGGCCCTCCTCAGATTTTGTCGGTGCCCGAAGGAGTAGTTACTGGAGACAGCGCGTCGCAAAAGGCTTGGGTTGCTGCTACTACAGATTCTACTAGTGCTGCGGCTTCTTCTGCTGCGGCTTCTTCTGCGACCGCCTCTGCTGCCGTTTCGTCTCCTGCAGCCGCTCGCACTAGCGGTGGGTCGCAGTTGACGCCTTCGGCTTCCGTGCCGGCAATGCTCGACGTTGAAAGCGGCAGCAGAAGACAGGAGCCGTCTACCATTAGTGGTTCTGCCTCTAGAGCCCCGGAGTCGTCAGACGCCCCTTCTACGCCGCCCAGCGAGTCTCCCGAAGGCTCGCCCACCACGTCTCCTCAGTTCTCGTCGGGCACGTGGCTGCTAGGCTCCAACCGTTGGTGAAGGGCGCCTGCCTGCTGCAGCCCGAGCGGCAAATAAAAAGCCGTTGGAATCAAGCGACCGTTGGATACGGATGCATGCAACTTTTTCGTTCCTTCTTTTATTTTTTCCTGCCGCCGCTCTGGGCTGCATTTTGCGCTTTTCCTGCCCTGCTGCTGCAGCGTCCTTGATGCATCTGCGTTCCTTTTTCTTTGTTCCGCAACCCTAATTTTCTATTGCTGTGAAAGTGTGCCGAGGTTATGCCGAACGGAAAAATAGGACGAATAATAACATCTATCGAATAAAAATTCTCAGTCGGTGATAGCGGGAATAGTGCGTGACAAGAGAGAATGTGCAGTCCGCGCCTGCGCCTCCACAGAGGTGTAGGTGTAGGCGTAGGTGTAGGCGTAGGCGTAGTATCGTTGTCGTACTCTAGAGGTTCTGTTAATGTATGTCGCTTGTAGTGTCAAACTCGTATCAAATCGTACCAAACTCGCCGACCGAGGCTGGAGCTTGGTCGCTCACACCATCGTAACATCACGTGCTCCTGCGTGAGTTCAAGTGGGTCTCAAATAATAACACATTTTCGCCATGGTATGTGAAATTGCACGGGATGGTATATCCGGCATCGTCAATATGCGGAAAGCCTATTATTGATACTTCTGACAGTCGATTTGAGCGTCAGTCAGGTCCCAGGGCGGAGTCCCAGTCCGAGTTCAGGGGAAGGCGAGAATTTCTTTTGCCCGTGCTTTGCCCTTGCTTTGCCCTTGCTTTGCCCGTGCTTTGCCCTTTCCTTTTTGGCCATTTCGCCTGTGTTATTGATCCGTTTAATGGCGCGTTGGACATGTGTTTAGCGTTTAAACACGGGCTTTTTCCGGCTTGGCACGCAATCTATGAGATGGAAATAAACGGCCATTTACACACGAACCCAAAGTCGAGTGCCACTCTGATTGTCGGCTACCGTCGGGGTTTCCAAACGTCTTTTGGCGCTTTTTTCCAGGAGGATGAGGGGAAGCCTGTGCAGAGCCTCAGACACTTGGCGGGTGAAAAATTTGCGATCCGTGGAGTCTCATGTTACTCGATGTAGCGAAACGGTGCGCTGCGATACCGTGCGCAGCGACCGTGCCCTCTGCGGTCCGTACTGTACCCTCTGTACCTCCCTCAGAGTGACGCGGACTCGTGGTCGCGCATATTATGCTTGGACGCAATGAAACAGCCGTAGAAGACGGCCGGTGGTAAACATTAGACGCCATTGGATTTGGGGACCTTGCCGAGATGAGCAAGCGCGGCCAGTCCGGGAATGGGGTGGTGCCTGAGCAGTTTGGGGTGGTGTCTGGCAGTCAGGACCGACGCTCGTTGACGGTAGGCTTACGCCGACTGCATCGGTAGTTTATCCCGTTGGCACGGGCTTGTCTTGTCTTGGTTTTGGACCAAATGCCGGGGTGTTTGGACAAACGAAAAACCAAACCAAGGGAAACCGAAAAGCCAGTCAACGGTTGTTGAGTGAGACATATTTGGAAGGTGGCACATGATGAGGTTAGTGTGCATATAACCAAAAGTTTGTTGCTGGAAGCGAGGAGTGTGGAAGGGAGGCTTGTTGGTTGTCGCAGGGGTGGATCTGATGCGAGGAGTTGGTGGGTGGATCATGATGGGGCAAGGTGGGTGTGTAGTTAAACGGTTGAGGGGGGAAAGCGACAGACCCAGACGGTCAGGTGAGACCTGAGACACAGCTCCGTAGGACCATAAATATACATATAAACTCCGGGATTCCCCTCAACCGCCGTCACTAGCACCCGTTTTGCCCCGTTTGTTCCGTTGTCTGTCCGCTGGGTTGCACCCCTCGCTTGCCAGCGTACACGTCATACCAAAGGCACAGTGCTTTAAAATAGCGTTTAACGTCTTCCCTTGTCTGGCGACGTAAAAATCCGTGTGAACCAAAAGAAGACAACGCCGCCTGTTTGCAACGTTATCTGCATTTTATCGTCTGTTCTTTTGAACGTTGGACTCCCTCACACTTTTTTAAAATCACAAAAACACAAAAAAAAGGGAACCGCCAGACGGAAACCGGCCGTGTGGGTTGAACTTGTCTACTTGTCGTCCACTGCGTTTTCTTCTTTCTTCCTCTTTCTTATCTTCCTCAACCCTACCTTGACCAACCGCTAACGACTCGACACTCGCAAGTGGAGATACACTCCAGTTACGCCAACCGATTGCACACGACACCACAACCAAACGAGCTACACAGAAACACCGACACACCATTCCAACACACACAGCATGGCGATGAAATACGACGGAGCCATCTACCTAGACCCCAGCTTGGCGCCAGATAATGTGCTGTGCCAGGACCGACCGTCCTTCTTCTCGTGGCAAAGCAGGACCGACACACACAGCAACAAAAGCACAAGCACAAGCACAATCACAAAGCCCACCGCCAGCATCACAAACAACAGGTCGCGATTCGTGCCGGTGGGGACCGGCAGTAACCAGGGCAGCTTATACGAGAATAACAGCAACGACAGCAACAATGTTAGCAAGCCCATTTCGCAGGAGTTGCACGAACAGAATGTGGCCGTGCTGCAGGACTTTGCCAATGAACTTGTGCTCACGGACTCACCCAAGCATGTGTTTGACATTATCGCCAGCACCAACAAGCCCGAGCGAAAGACGCCGTCACTACTGATTGCCATCGACGTGACGCAGTACTACACCAACCACGACGACTCGGCACCGCATGAAAACGGCCACTCGGACGCACACCACATTAATCACAACCACCATAGCCACAACCACAAGCCACCAGTGTCAGCCCGGTCCATCATCTCGCAGATTTACATATACTTCCATCATCTGCCCATCTCCATCGTGGCCATCTCCCGAGATGGAGCCGTGTGCGACGTGCAGTTGTACTCTTCGGGAGTCGACTTTGTGGGTCCCAACCCCCTCAAGCGTGAGATTCTGGAGGCTACTGTGCAGGAGAAGTCCGTCTTCCTGCAGACCATGTCGCATCATGTGGATCGAATCAAGCTACGGGTGGGTCTGTCGGATAACAAGAGACGACAAAACCTGCTGCGGCACCTCGTCATTGACGGCCGAAACGACCTGCAGTTGCTGCTTCAGTTCGACCATGGCTTTTCGTACACGGAAGCCGACCTGGAGGCTGCTCGAGAACGGATTGCTGACTGGGACTACGATCCCTTTGAGCTGTCGTACGATGAGCTGGTCATCATGGCGCTCGTCATGTTCCAGTATATCTTATCTCTTCCTGGCCTGGAACCCTACCGACTGGAAGAGCCCGAATTGGTGCGATTCCTCATCATGATGCGGGACGCATACCACCATGAAAACCCATACCACAACTTCCGTCACGCCATTGACGTGATGCAGGCCACTTTCCAGTTTCTCATTCGACTGGGATGTCTGCCTCCTCCTCCATTTAAACGGGCCCCCAATTGTTCCATGATTCCGCCTATCGGACCGGCCGTCTTCACCCCCGCAGAGTCGCTGGTGGTTATCATTGCAGCTATTGGCCACGACATAAGCCACCCTGGGGTGACTAACGCCTTCCTGGTGAGCTCGCATTCGCCCATGGCCCAGGTTTTCAACGACAAGTCGGTACTGGAGTCGTACCACGCCTGTGTGCTGAACCGGGTGCTTAACATTTTTTGGCCCGCTACCCAGGAGCCTCACCTCAAGAAGCTCATTGTGGAGTCCGTTCTGGCCACCGACATGGCCCAGCATTTCAACTATGTCGACCGTTGGAACGAGCTCAGCGCACGGTGCCGAAGCAAGGGCAAGGGCCGGTGCAACGAGGAGCGCGGCAATCTGTCGCCAGCAGACCGGCAGCTGGTTGGCAGCATGATCATGAAGTGCGCGGACGTGAGCAACGTGACGCGACGACTGGATCTGGCAGAGAAATGGGGCCGGGTGCTGCAGTGCGAGTTCTCCGAGGTGAAGGACGTGGAGACAGACTGCAACGTGCAGACGCTGCCGCCTAACTGTGGCAAGAATGCGAACCTGGCGCAGTCGCAAGTGTCGTTTCTCAATATTTTTGCATATCCGCTGTTCCAACAGTTTTCTGACGCGTTCCCCGAGTTTGGGTACGCCTTCAAAACGCTACAGGAGAACAAGGCGGTGTGGGAAAGCAGACTTGTATAGTATGTATTATAGATGTGATAGAGTAATTATAGACCCCTAAGTACTTGATCCTACAGCGAGTGTGAGCACGACTTTTGCTGAAGAAGAGAGGGACTTTTGTAGGGAGAGAAGCCACTTTGTACAGTGCACAGTACAACTACATTTCTGGGCTTGGGGATCATAAATGACACTTATAGACCATGCGGATAATGATGTATTTTCCGTGCTATAGAACATTGGCTATGATAACTGTTGGTCTAGGTGTCGCACAAGTCTGTACATACTGTGTACATCTACACATACCGTACTTCTATACAAGTAGTGACTTCGGGCATGGAGTTATGATAGTTGTAAAGAATGAGGGTATCAGTACAGTGTGCAAGCACCAGTATAACTAACGATTACATCATCTTTCAGAGCATTTGTGTTAGATAAGCAATGCCTGGAAATGTTCGGGTCACGTGCCAGACGCAGCGCTATGTTACACGTTACTAAGCCAGGGGTGTGCGGTAGTTTGGTCGGTATTATTTGCCGGAAAAACAAGCGAAGATAAAACCAAAAACCAGACATTATTCGGTGCAGTTTATTATCGCTTCTTTATTATATACTATGCAGTGTTAATTATATTGGCAGGTGGTCTGGGATGTACATACTGTACAGTATGTGATATCGGGGTCTGCCCAGCTTAGGAAGGTCTACTCGGTATATATTATGGAGGTAGCCGTTGGTTGATACCGGTATCGGTGCCGGTACGAGTAGAGAGAGGAGGAGGGGAAGTGAAAGACTTACGGTGAGAGAGTAAGAATCGTTTGGATGTTGAGGTGGATGTTGAGGTGGATGTTGAGGTGGATGTTGAGATGGAAGTTAGGTGGAAGTTAGGTGGAGGTTAGGTGGAGGTTGAGATGCAGGTTGAGATGGAGGTTGTAAGAAGAAGTCAGACAGGTCCACCCCACTGAGGGAGAGCAGTGATATCTTTCCTCTCTATTATCAATGATTGAATAGTAGTAAAAGTACGATTAAAAGTCTGAAACGTTCCGCCGGTACTTGTGCTGTAGTTACCAGCTCTTGGCAGCTCTTCGCACCAGTTGTTCCATGTACAAGTACACCCGCTCTCCAAGCCTGATGGAATGATCACCCGCAACAACTCTCGGTTCTGTAAATTACAGACTGAAAAGTGGGGAGAAAATCAAGCTTGGTTTATTGTGTCTTAGATACGAGCTATACGGACGGCGATCAGTTGTTGAGAGACATACATTGCTTCACGTAGTGGTGATAGTAGTGATAATGTCGAGAATTGTCAGTCACAGTCAGTCGGATGTACTGTAGTCGGCCATTCGGACGTACTGTCGTCGGAACAACCACCGTACTAAAACACCTAGGTTCTAACTCCGATGTTGATCTCTATTATAAATGACATTACTAGAAATGGCTACTTTTGCATGCGCCGCCAGTGGAGTGTGTTGGACCCGTACAATATACTGAACAAGGCTGTCTTGTACTCGTACTCGTACAACCTCCATGTACATACTGTACCTCCAAGAACAGTGTCAAATGCGTAGGACTCTTCTCGTCTTGCTGTGGTTGCACTCGACCGCAGAGTTCGTGCTCCGAGTCACACGCTGTTATCGCCGTGAGTTCGGGTGCCGAGCACTTCAAAAGTCCACTTCTCAAACACCGCCCAAGGTACCATCCTTCTGTGCATCCCTGACCTGCTCAAATACCTTGAGCATCTTTCTTCTCGCACCCAGGGCGTTGACACCCTTTTCCTCCAGCTGTGCATCATCCAACTGTACAATATCTTGCCACTCCATATCCTTGAAACACTCTGTGTACTTGTGTAATCTCAGGGCTCTCAACCATGCACTCACGTCTCGTAGCAGTTTGATGTCCGTGGCTGGAGAGGCTGAGGATGCCCCAGACAGCTGTGTAATGGAGGAAGAGGACGAGGTTTGATGATGGCCCTTCATTGGAGTTGCCAGGGAGTGGGCTCCGGGGGCGGGAGAGCCGCCCGGAGTACCTGGCTTTGTGGGGGTCGATTCCTGCGAGTTTGTGTGTTGGTGGAACGAGCTTCGTTTGCTTCTATCGTCTAGCGAGGCTCGGTTGGACACGGTACTCAGAGCAGCCAGCTTCATGGCGGTGGTGTTTGCAATCTGGGCGTTGAGATCGTGTTCGGGGGTAGCGATCATGGATCTTCGCGACCCGATGGGCTCGGTAGACAGCGACGACGTGTGTTTATGGGATGGGGTAGAGGGGAAGGTACCGACAGGAGCATAGATGGGGTTGTGGGCGTTGGGGTTGAGGTTGGAGTGGGTAGTTTGGTGGGGGTGCAGACCTCCGAGGCCTCCGAGACCGCCGGTCATGGCCTGGCCCATAGCTCCCTGGCCCATGGGGGAGGGCTGGGCCGAGGTCTGTTGCTGTTGCTGAGGGGCTCCGTTCTCGAACGAGTTGCCAATGGGAGAGCCGTCAAAGTCCATGTTGCCAAACTTTTGGAGCACGGTGATGAAGAAGCGAATCTGCACGGGGTTGGTCTGTTGGAGCAATGCGTATAGGGCGGCGGTCCGTTCTCCGTCCGACAGAACGCCAAACCACTGCTCAATGGAGCTCAGCTCGTCCTTGAAGTCCTTGTCCAGCGACACAGTGGCCATTTCCTCCAGAATCGCATTGTACAGCTCCAGGTCCTGCAGCCACTTTTCGCTGTCCATGGTTGCTGTGTTGGCGAGACCGCCTCCCAGGTGCTGGAGCCCCGGGGTGGTTCCACCGAGGTTCAGATTGCCCATTCCGGCGCTCAGAGAGCCCAGTCCCGCCGTGGCGGAGCCGCCCAGACCATACGGCGGGTACCCTCCGAGGTCCGAGTGTCTGTAGGACGAAGAAAAGGCCTCCGAAACGGGCCGCGTTCGTCGGCCCGCCAGAGGCGATTCGCTCTGGGGGATATCTTCGGACGTGTGGAGCACGTGGCCCGGCATGAATCTGGGGATGTTCATCTTTTGTGTCTGTCTGCGGGGTCTGTAGTGTGTGTCGTGTCGTGGGCTGAGCGAAGCCTTTGAGTTGTTTTAGAAACGTAATCCCAACTGTTAACGATAATAGTTAGTCCTATAGTCGACCCAACCTCTGCTGCGATGCATCTGCTTCCAGTCTGAAACACGCGTCAACTTTGTTTGGAGGGGAGGGCGAGGAAGACAGTCTGGAGGGGCTGTGCAGCTATATATATATATATATATATATCTAAGATGTATTTGTGACGAGGGGCGCCACTGAAGACGAAAATGTCACACTCGGAGTCACCCCTTCCATTACCCAGCTATCGCATTGTAGTAGCAGCTAATGATCTATTGCCACTTTTAGACTGGGCCGTTTTATTGTTTAGACTATTTTGGGAGCCACAAGCGATAATATACCAAAGCATGCCCAACATCATACAACCAGTCTACAACGGGCGGTAGGGCCAATTAAAGACACGGTAGGCGGAGAGGTGGTCGATGTGTTACGTAACAAACGATTCTACAATGTGTGCTTTGCCCATTGTCCCTTGCACACTGTTTGAGTGCGGCTTTTGATCAGCCTCGTGTGATGCCTGAGTGAGTACAGCAGGAGTGAGTACAGCAGGAGTGAGTACAGCAGGAGTGAGTACAGCAGGAGTGAGTACAGCATGAGTGAGTACAGTAGAAGTACAAGAGTATGTACTCGTACTGTGCTGTAGATATTGTATGTATCGTACATACTGGGCGAGATAGAAGATAAAACAACAAGACGTATAGTACGTGCTCGTTGTGTCCTACTTACAGTATCGACATTGTGCTGTAATTGGTCTCAGCGTTCGAGTACGATTCTCACTCATACTCGCTCACAGGACCTCTCAGTTCTCCTCTCCACACAGCCCTTTGGCTCGCTTCACAGCCCACCTGGAATGGCCTGTCTCGGCTTGTCTCAGAATCGAAACTCATCGCACAAGAGAAACTTCCCGGACTAGACCTCTGCAGACGTTGATCGACACGTGATTCGTACGTCATTCCGCCGACGTGTGAGACCTGAATTGCAAGTGCAAGCGTCAATTGGTCCCGTGACGGATATGTGACGTTGCACTGTCAGATGGCAACGTGTGGGAAGGGTACAGTACGAGTACGAGTGAGAGTATGAGTGGGAGTATGTACTGTACCCGTGCGAGTACTCCGTGCGAGTACTACAGTACGATACAGTGCGAATACAAATACCGTGCAAGTACTTCGTACTCGTACTCGTACCCGTACTCGTACTCTTCCAGCACTCCTAGAATCAAAATCTTACAGTACCCACTGCACCGTACAGTTCATGCTCGACTCGTGATAGATCCAGTGGACATTTATACCGTTATTGGCCCAAAAACCTCAATTAACGACAGGAGACACGGATTAGCCCCCGGATCAGACGGCAGATCGATCCGAATCAATCAACCGCCGTTTTCCAATATCTCATCACTCACATCTCCGATACTCACTCGATTGCTGTCGCGTTTCGTCGCACTGCTGCATAATCCAGGGTTGGGGTAGTTCCAAAACCGGCGCAATGCCGCAATCGCGTTGCAAAGGGGCAATAATGGTGGGTGCTTTTGTTCGGTTCGGTGGTGGCGGTGTATTGTGTCTGTTCCAGTACTGGTGGTCGTTCTGCAGTCGCAGGCCTCGAGATCGCGTGATCTGTACTCTTTTTTGGTCACATGACCGTAACTCTGCATGGTCGATAACCTCACAATGGGGCTTACAGGATTACATTACGCCTGACATGTCGAGCGGATGGGTGGGGTGACAATAGGCCAAAGTGGAGAGAATAAAGAGCCGGAGGAGCAGATTTTGACGGAGAAAAGTTGCTACGGAACAGGAGGAGACAGGAAAATAAAGTGGGCGTTGCCCTCGTCTTATATGGTGCCCCGACTACGTATTCGGCTCGGTGCCAAGTCATGGAACCCCATGGAAGCAAACACCGGATATGTTTTCACCCAGAGACCGTGCCGTGAGTCACTGTTCTGCCAAAGTTACAGTGGACCGCAGAAGCAGCACAGGAGCAGCACCACCAACATATTAAGAAAGCTTCCACACGCGCACAAGCGGGTTCTGGGCAGTGGGACATTTGGGGCGTGGCGGCAGGCATGGTGACAACGCTCGGTAGCATTGAGCCAAGAGGGTCGTACACAGTGCAAACCCCATTCGCTAGGGGCGGAGCAATAAGGTGGGAGGTGGCTGCCATATATATATATATATATATATTTATTTTATATTTAGTGGGGCTAGATTGAGAGCAATATTGGGTGACACTTGGGGCCAAAAAAACGAGTATATAACTCGGTGGCGTCCCCCAACGAGACCTGAATCACAGTCTCAAGAATAACCGTTGGCACCAGGCAACTTGTTACTGTTGCTGTTTACCGAACCGCCTCGTGGGCAAATCTCTCACCACACCTTCTCCCCTCCCCAACTTACCCTCCCGTGACAAGGTTTAGGAAAAGACACACGTATTATCATACAGTCAGATTTTATCAACACTCTCCCACCACACGGCCACCAACACGCCCTAACATCACGACTACTACTACTATGGCCGATCAGAAAGAAGTTGATCTCGACTCCGTCATCGACAGACTGCTCGAGGTCCGAGGCTCGCGTCCCGGCAAGCAGGTCCAGCTGATGGAGCACGAGATTCGATATCTTTGCACAAAGGCCCGAGAGATTTTCATCCAGCAGCCCATTCTGCTCGAGCTCGAGGCACCCATCAAGGTGAGTAATTGGTTTTTTTGTCCAGCGGACAGAGGGGGTTTTTGGCCGGCTTTTTTTGCTCGCTTTTTTATCGGCGTTTTGTGGCCCTACGGCTCGCCGGGGCTTTTGTTGGGCCTTTACTCTTATCGAGGGGGAAGGTCCAGATAACCGCAACATTGCCAGAGCCACTTTTGGTTTGTCAGGCAACCAATCAATCGCCACAACACACAACAACAGCAACGACATCGATCGGAAAAATCACAGACTCGGGAAAAATACAGACTTTGATTTCAACACACGTCGACAACGATCCACCATGTTTTGCCACAACGCCGCATACGCATGCTTTTTTTTTCCCGTTGCGGGCACCTGTATATGCACAACACACCACACCCACCACGCCATGCACCATGCCACGCCATCGACCTGAGAACGGAGAACGAAGATGAAAATAATACCGACGAAAAATGGCATTTAAAAGTGGCTATCGAAAAGTGGGATATCAGATGCCGTTGATGGATGCTCCTCGCATGTGAACGTTCTGTGTGTAAACAACGCGCCTTCCATGCCTGTCGGTGTGTCGGATTTATTTGTGCTGTTGTTGCCGTGTTGTTTCTACTGGTTGCTTTTGCCTTCAATTACCCCGTTAGCCGTGTTTTACGGCCGCTCTCATGAGCTCCTTACTAACCCAGATTTGTGGAGATATCCACGGCCAATACTACGACCTGCTGCGATTATTCGAATACGGTGGATTCCCACCGGAGGCTAACTACTTATTCCTCGGAGACTACGTGGACCGAGGCAAGCAGTCATTGGAGACCATTTGTCTGCTTCTGGCATACAAGATCAAGTACCCCGAAAACTTCTTTATTCTGCGTGGAAACCACGAGTGTGCATCTATCAACCGAATCTACGGCTTCTACGACGAGTGCAAGCGGCGATATAACATCAAGCTGTGGAAGACATTTACCGACTGCTTCAACTGCCTGCCGATAGCAGCAATCATCGACGAGAAGATTTTCGCCATGCATGGAGGTCTTTCTCCCGAGCTCAACACCATGGAGCAGATTCGTCGTGTGATGCGACCCACAGACATCCCCGACGTGGGTCTTCTGTGCGACCTGCTGTGGTCCGACCCCGACAAGGACATTACTGGCTGGAACGAAAACGACCGAGGTGTGTCATTCACCTTTGGTCCCGACGTTGTTCTGCGGTTCCTGCAAAAACACGACATGGATCTCATTTGCCGAGCACACCAGGTCGTTGAGGACGGTTACGAGTTCTTCTCCAAGCGACATCTTGTCACTCTCTTCTCGGCGCCCAACTACTGCGGTGAGTTTGACAATGCCGGAGCCATGATGTCTGTCGACGAGTCTCTTCTGTGTTCTTTCCAGATTCTCAAGCCAGCCGAGAAGAAGCAGAAGTTTGTCTACTCTGGCATGGGTGGTGGCCGGCCTGTGACTCCCCCTAGAAAGCAGAAGAAGGCAGGCAAATAATTGGGCATAGATGGAAAGTATTGTTATGTATAAACGGTGAGGATAAATGATAATGAATGAAAGAGCACGCGGATTGAGGTAGTGGCGCGAAACGATGTACTGTATGTATTGTAGAGTGACGTTGTTAGTAGCACTGTGTTGGTACTTACCGCCTGTGTAATATAATACACTGCATCTATGCAGAAACTCTATTGAACCAGGCCCCATCATCTCGGCCACACCGGTGTGAGAGTACCCTTCAACAACATGTACCAGCCTCCGCGACCTTTTGAACTGCCATCGGACCTCGCAGCCGGCATCACGTCGCTGTACCGCGAAAATGCCGACGCCAAAGTCATCATAGACAGTCTCGTGAAGCTCGCTTACGACAGTGGTAAGGAGCAGTCGGAGCTGGTTCACAAGAAGGCCAAGGTGGATGGGCCGCCAGCTACGTTGTCCGAGAGCATAGTCAGCAAGCTGAAGATCTTTCTGGGCATCAATCAGGTGAGCGTGGTTTTACCGATCCGCAAGAAGCTCAACGTCTTCATTGGCGCCGACCCTCGAGGCAAGACGTGGGTGTGGGTGTCGTCCAAGGAAGACGGGTCAGTGGACGACATGTATCCTGCAACGGATACGGCCGACTTTCGGTGTGTGGCTTGTCTTCCTGTTCCCGATCGATCGGGAACGCCTCTGTTCAACATTGTGTTTGTTCCAGGCGGAGCTGCCCAGGAAGTGACCACTCCTCCACAGCCGCTGGTGTTTTCTGTGCCTGAGGAGCCTGCTAAGAAGGCATTTGACGGCTCGCTGTTTCTGCAGGGTAAGGACAAGAACCAGTTCATGTACAAGGACCTCATCTTGCTGGGATGTCAGGGCATCTCTTTGCCCATTTCGGTCCCCGACACGGAGATTTTCGGCGAAAAGTTCCACGTGCTTGCTCATAAGGGCGCGCGGGAGGGCTATTTGTTTTTCATGCAGAACGAGGTGATTTTCGGCTTCAAGAAGCCTCTCTTGTGCATGAACACGGAGGACATTGAGTCCATTTCCTTTTCAACCATCACCAGACTCACCTTCAACATCAATATTGTGCTCAAGAGCGCTCCCGATGTGGCTATGGAGTTTTCGCTGATTGACCAGAGCCACTACGGCGAGATTGCTGGCTTCATGGAGCGTATTGCTGTGAAGAACGAATCCTTTGACGATAAACTCAAGGCCAAGACATTTATGAAGAACCAGCAGCCCGACAACATCCTGGCTGTTGCCCAGAATGAGGCAGAGAACGAGGTGCCTGTGGCTTACGACGATGAGGACGAGGAGGACGACGAAAACTACACTGGAGAGTCGAGTGCGAGCGACGGAGATGCCGATGAGAGCGACGAGGAAGAGGCCGAAGAGATGGAAGAGCAGGAGAGAGAGTATGACGAGGAGCTTGGAGACGACGAGGTGGAGCATGATGAGGATTTGGGCTAGACTGCGAGTTCATCTATGCCATTGGTTGTATAATTACAAGAATATGACGGTATACACTGGGGATGGTGTCGACGAGAGCCGAGTGTGGCGAAGGGCAACCACTTGTCGCTTCTCTCCGCAGATCTGTCTGCAATGTAGTTACACAGCAGTCTTCTAAGGAAGATGTATGGATGGGACTAAGCTGCTCGAGGTGCCAGGGACGTTGTCGCAGGTGGCGAAGGGTCAGAGTCACAATGACACGGGTGTGGGTGTCACGGTGGCGACAACTCCAGTGACAACAGAAGGATATGAACTGCTACTTGGGTACTTCTATAGGTTCACGGGATGAAACAAGACGCGTATGGATCCGAGTCCATAGCAAGCGTGGACCGAGGAGGTTCAACCGGGGGTTTACAAGGGCTGAATTGAAGCATGCACCGTCAATCGGATGTTTCAACGCGATTTCAGGCACATTACAGTCAAATAACTGTCACATTTGGTCGATAACATATGATTCGCTGTCATCTTTGGTCTGTGACAGGCTCATCAAAGTCACGTTTGACTCCAATATGTACTTGCAGTGCATGCCGTTATGGTACATATCTGTTTGGTTGTAATCGAGTATCGACCAGGAGTTGTACTGATGAGTATACTGAAATTATCTGGACTTGGTAGGAGAAATACTTGTCGAGTTCCATTTATTTGTACTCGCTGGGACCGTTCGTGAGGTCCAACAGTCGGAAACTGGTGGTCCCAGGGCTGTAAGAGACATGAAGCCAGTAGTTATCGCCTTTGAGGGGATTCACCTACTCGTACTTGTATTGTTTGGTGTTCGAGTAGCTGTAGGAATACATTCCAGGTGAGATTTAGTTGAGATTTAGTTGAGATTTAGTTGAGATTTAGTTGAGATGTAGTTGAGATTTGGTTGAAGACTGAGATTCATATTGAATGCTGCAGACCCATTGGGAACATAAATGGTCCGGAAAAGACTACCCAATGAACAATCGTTCCCCAAATACGAGATAAATGGATGTTTGTGAGCAATGGGACAGTCTGCCTGAGGTTGGAGATGTGTGATGTTGGAGATGTGAGGTTGGAGATGTGAGGTTGGAGAAGAATGCGGGAGAAGAATGCGGGAGAAGTATGATTTGATTAGTTATATTCTGACCAAGGCTTCAGTTCAAGGGTCAGACCAAGTTGATACGGTGGACGTTTTGGAAACAGGATAGGGGATTACTTAACATAGCAATAAAGGAAATGCCTTGGAACTTACATAATGGTACGACGCTACTTGTAATTTAACAGATAGTTGATGTTGCACTTGTTGATATTGGCGTTGGAGACAGTAGATACCCGGTGAGAATCTTGGGAGTCTCCGCTGTAACACGTCTGGGGAGGAGGCTGGTCGTGAAGGGGTTCTGGAGCGGCGACACGTGACTTGGTGAAGGCGTCACGTGTTTGGTTGATTCTGCTGTGTTTCTTCCCCACCCTGTATTTCATGTCAGGTAGCTTGACGTAAACGGGTGTTGGTACTTGTTTCTGGTTGGCATCTCCTTGACGCCGAGTGTTGGTGTCGATAGGGGCCAAGGGCCTTCTACTTGTAGTGCGTTTGGGTCGGTTCTGGGGTGGTATCATCTGCTGATCAGGTCCGGACTTGGACTCTTCCAGGTTTCTCAAGTCTTCAATCCATTTCCACATTTTGACTCGTTGGTCCATGATGGAAGTTTGAGAGAGGGGTCTTGGTCGTGATATAGAAAGCCACTGTTGGTTGCAAGAGTCGGAGTTGAGACACTCAACTGTCGGCCCCCTGTCGGCCCCCTGTCTACTCTTTATATATTTGGCCAATCGTAGTGAGGCAGGCATCTAGGGCTCACCCTGCCTCAGCCCTTGGAGCGTATGAAGATGCTTCAAGCCCCAACCAGTCTCAGCCAAGCCTCATCAAGAATCAACTAGCAAGCCCCACCAAGACTTGACAATAATTAGCCAAGACCTAACAAGAATTAGCCAAGAATTAACAAGAATTGCCAAGACTTAACTAGTAATTGCCAAGACTCAACAAGCATCAACCAAGACTTATCAGTCAGTTTTTGTCCCTCGAAGCAAACAATCTCATCCATCGTAGCAACTCAGTCAGACCCCTGATCTTGCAAATTCCGTCTTGTCTGGTCCACTACTGTACAGTACCAGTACAAGGACTCATCGTACTCCATGGGACTATCCTTTTGCACGGTAGCTACTCTACAATACTCACTCAGCACTTGAGGCTCACAAGCCCGGTATGTTGCTGTATCATACGTCCCACTCGAGGCGTTAGATCAGGAGATTGGCGTGTTTGGAAGCAAAAAACAACGCCAGTTTTCCATCATTTTTATCGTTTCCATCATTTTCTTCGTTTTCCATCACCCGCAAGTGCTATGCTCGTACTGTACATACATACTGTATACACCCCATTTTCACTGCAAAAGACTGCCAAAATACAAGAGAATTTCTATCAATAAGTCCTTAGCCAAAAAAGGGCTACTTAGAACCGAAAGGACCATCAAGCCAGCTCAGTATATTTCTCATTGAAGGAATCTATAGCAAAACAGTAAGTACAAAACACGAGTGAGACCTAGCGATGCTCATGTACTTGTAGGTTCTTCATGGGATGATCTCCAACAAATCTCGCCTTACTCAGTTCTACTCGAACCAAACTATACCTGGTGTCGTTCTCAGAGGAATAGTGCGATTTGTAAGTAAGCACCGGTTTACCATCAATTCTCGATGGATTTGTCAGCATCGTCCTCGTCGGTTTATATCAAAAATTCTCGATGGATTTGTCAGCAATTGCACTGGTTTACCACCAGCAATTCTCGATGGATTTGTCAGCATCGTCCTCGTCGGTTACATCAACAATTCTCGATGGATTTTTCAGAATTGCACTGGTTTACCACCAGCAATTCTCGATGGATTTTGTCAACATCGTCCTCGTCGGTTTACCATCAACAATTCTCAATGGATTTGTTTGATTTGTCAGCAACAACGACCGTTTATGCTTTCATACTAACCCTTCGAAACCTCGCCTCACCACGCCAGTGCTTCGTTGCTGCAGTTACCCTACCCGTTTTTCATGTAGCCGCATCTGATAAAAATTTCACGTTTGAGTTTCGATTCCCGACTGCATAATTTTTTGGCACCCAAATCGTTCCACCTCACACCACCACACATCACCCCAAAATGGCTACCGAAACTCTCCCCGAGCTGAAAAAAGTGCTGCTGAACGAAGACGGACAGACCGCGCTGGCCCTGCGGTTCCGAGCGCTGTTTTCGCTCAAGGACATGGGTGAAAAGGGCGACAACGGCGCCATCGATGTGATTGCCGAGGGCTTCAAGGACGACTCCGAGCTGCTCAAGCACGAGCTGGCCTACGTTCTGGGCCAGACCAAAAACTTCCACGCAGTCAAGCCTCTGCAGGGAGTGCTGGCCGACACCAACCAGCAGGCCATGGTGCGACACGAGGCTGCCGAGGCTCTGGGAGCTCTGGGAGACAAGGGCTCCGTGGCCATGCTGCAGGAGTACTTTGAGAACGACCCTCTGGAGGTGATTCGAGAGACGTGCGAGCTTGCACTGGAGCGAATCAAGTGGGAGAACTCGGAGGCTGCCAAGACGGAGACTCTGCAAAAGTCTGCCTACACCTCCATTGACCCTGCTCCTCCTCTGCCCACCGACCAGGCCGAGGGCTCCGATAAGGCCACCGTGGAGAAGCTGCAGAAGACCCTGATGGACAAGTCGCAGAGCCTGTTCCACCGGTACAGAGCCATGTTCCGTCTGCGAGACATTGGAACCGAAGACGCTGTTCTGGCACTTGCTACCGGCTTCGATGACTCCTCTGCTCTTTTCCGACATGAGATTGCCTACGTGTTTGGCCAGATGAGCGATCCTGCCTCCGTTCCTGCTCTCATCAAGGTACTTGGCAAGACCGAGGAGGAGGGAATGGTCCGACACGAGGCCGCTGAGGCTCTGGGCTCCATTGCCACCGACGACGTGCTGCCCATTCTCAAGAAGTTTGCCGAGGACAAGGACCAGGTGGTCCGAGAGTCTGCCATTGTCGCTCTGGACATGTACGAGTACGAAAACTCCAACGAGGTCGAGTACGCTCACTAGGAGAGGGGATGATATTTATACAGAGTAATAGACTTGACTGAACAAGAGAAGTTGAATGAACTGGAGAGATTGGTCGAGAACTTGAAAGAAGTCACGTGATCATAAGGGAGGTGTTCAGAAGAAATTTGATACTTGGTGTGGGTACGGCGAGAGCACACGGTATTTGACAGTCTACGAACGACAATGTGGCTGCACAAGAGTGGGAACCGTCAGTAGAGGAATGAAGAGTCATTTTTCAAGGCACGAAAGCATCTAACCGACACATAAACTGGAGACCAAAGTTGTCAACTCCTCTTATCCTTATTAACCTGCCTTTCCGCAAGATGAGCGAGATGTTCTGTAGATGGCTCCGTCATACATACCGCGAGTAGGATGTACTCTATGTACTATATGTACAATATATCGAACCCGATTACTTCAAACACTGGATCTACGAGCATCATCAAGATAGATTTCGTAGACTTGATCGTTCAAGACACATCCCACAGTCCTGCTTTGATGTTCGGACTTGAACATACTCTACGCGCGATATTCAAAGTCTGATATATTTGCAAACCAGGAATGTGTTTGCTCATGCTATTTTTGGAGACGGTAGACATGCCACATGCCACCAGACTCATAGTATACAATAAATAACCCCTCCTCTAATTATTGGTTCGGAACTTGTAGTGACACTTGGTACAGGTGTAGAAGACGGTGGCACCTTCATCGGCAGATCGCAGCTGCAGAGTATGGTACTGCATCTCGTCGTGGCCACACTGAGGACACTTTTCCTTGATGATGGCTCCCTCGTCGGCTTCTCCAGCGGCCAGAGAGGTCTTGACGACGGATCGTTTGGACCGCAGGGCCGAGGGGAATGCGTCGGGGGCGGACTTGGTCACGACTGTGAGGTTGGTGGTGTCTGTGTTAGAAGGAATGGTGAAACCTAGGCTGCGACCCGTGGTTCGAGATTGTATGAAGTACTGAATGGTAGAGGGCGATCAGAGACACTTGCAGGGGACGATCATCGATCGGACTCAGAAGTCAGACTTGAATCAGAGATCAATGAGCAGACTTGAATCAAAGATCATACACATAATCAACGATCAGACATATAACATCAGATAGAGGGATCTAAACATGGTACGAGCCTTCCATGACTCAAAATGATCATCCCATAAGACAGACAGGAACATGTATATCTCAATCATCTGTCTATAGACGGCATTAGAAGCGGGCGGACAGACGGTATCGGATCTCCCCTCATCTGCTAGACATATCGCGTTGCCCACCATCCATTACCAGCAGCCATCCAAAGGAGTAATAAAGACAAGTTCACTCGTCACCCAAACCGCGTCCTTGTACAGCTCCTGCCTCTATCTCCGTCCCTCTGCTTCCATCTACATCAGGTATCTTCGATCTGGTATCGTGATCATTCTGTACATCTGTTCCGATCCATTAAGTCATTCGCATAACTCGTCGCCACATAACTCGTCGCCACATAACTCGTCGCCACATCTCCACCCACCTCGTACTCACTAGCTGAAGGGAAAGAAGCATCACATTGATCACACTCGAGATCTTTGCTGGCGTTGAGCTGAGTGTCCATGAGATTGCCGCAATCCGTGCAAAAAATCAGAGATCCGACTGCCGACATTTTTGTAGAGTTGCGTTGATTCCAGTCTGGTAGACGGCCGTGTTTCAAAGAGCCTTCTGCTTATCGCCAAAAATATGCATGGTGTAGGAAAAAAAATTTCTACATGCAGAGTCATGTGATATCAACTTTATCAGTGGAGGATGGAGGGCGAAACAGCACCGAGGGTGTAAAAAGTGCGGCAGAGGGTACGGGGATCGAGGAAATGGGTGTGACGTGATGAAACAGCAAGTTTTTTTTCTTTCTTTTTTTTCCTCTTTTTTTTTTCTCTTTTTTTTTTCTCTTTTTTTTTTTCTCTTTTTTTTCTTCTTTTGTTTTTCTTCGGTCAGTTTACGAGTACATACATATTAAACTGCAAGTGGAGTAGTCATGAGGCACATATTATTTTTTATTTTTATTTTTATTTTTATTTTTATTTTTATTTTTATTTTTATTTTTATTTTTATTTTTATTTTTATTTTATTATTATATATATATTTATATATTTTATATTTTTTAATCTAATTTTATGTCAAAGTGAAAAATTGTGAAAGCAAATCAACACCGGCTGACCTCCAAACCGATTGGAGGCATGGAATGTGTCTCTTGTTGCAGCCATTCCGAGTTGCAAAACCACGCGGATGTGGTTGCACGGTTGTGGTTGCGCAATTGTCAGCTTTTTCAAGTAGCAACGAAGTGCGGCGTGCGGTATTCGGGATAGTGGTATTACTGTAACTAATAGCTATCCGTACTCGTCCAAGTATGTATGTACTATACCAACGTTACGACATATCATGAACTACCTGTGCAAGTAATTCACCAGCTAAGGCTTACTCAGCAGTTGTTATAGTAGTATGATACGAACCGGTATATACGATACTGTACTGTATCGAACTCATGGAATCGGATATCAATCTTGTGAATTGACACATTCTCGATTGGGTACACCGTACGGTAAGTAAATACTTAAGGTTTTACTTAATAGAGGGTAGTGAGGTGATATGTTATTAATTAAAAAAAGAGGAAAGGGCAACTACGAGTACACTGTGTAAGTACCATAAAAGTACTCAGTAGAACCATGATAAAAGGAGCATAAAACCACGAATGATTACTCAAACTCGAATTTGAACTCGTACTCGCACTCGCACTCGCTCTCGTAAGCTCCTCACGATGCTCTTTCGCACTTGTCTTTGCTTGTACCCCTTCTGATAACAACATCCCATTTCTCGTACCCAGCATAATAACAGCACATTTTAAGCAGAGGGATTCAGGGGGCGGAAAAAGTATATAGAAAAAAACAGAAAAATCTTGTCTCAAAAATGGGACATAATATTACAAGTACGAGACAGTGTCCGAAACACGATGAAACCAGAATGTATCACAACGTGCGTAACGCACTGAACCCGTATATGGACGTTCTCTCGCATCCGCCGCAAGTCAGGGTCACGTGACGCCCAGAACCCGTACCGTATACATTTATGATCGACTGGTTGCGCCATGCTGCTGGATGCAGCCGCAGGCAGGTGTTGTATGGTATACTTTTGTAAAGGGAGCCGCCGGCCTGGGGAGTGGGCGATACAGCGAAGCAGCAGAGGAAGGTGTTTGGATGTCACGTGGGGTGGGTGGGGCAGACCCACGGATGGTGGTGTTAATGGGCGTCTTTTGACCATCTTTGGCGCGAATATGTTGGGTTGATACGCGCTAATGTGTCGTTTACTGCGATATTCTGTACCAGAGTGGGTTCTGTAGCTACGTTTTAGTTTGGAGGTTAACAGGGTCTGTTTTTTGCTTTTCTTCCATGTCTGGGGGTGGAGAGTACACAGAGTTGGAAGGTACGTACTTACATTCTTGTACTTGCACTTGTACTTGTACGTGTACGTGTACTTGTCCGTTTACCGTGGGTTGGTCAGATCCGCAGTGTTGTTAGATGGCGGGTTGTTAGATGGCGGGTTGTCCGTCCCGGCTGAACAGACCAAACATCAGGCCAGTATGAGGTTCTCACACCGCACGTACAGTCAGACTCGAGACATTCGTCACAGACGCACAGACGCACAGACGTTAGTTCAGATGGTTTCTTTTTCTGCGCCGACGACAGCTTGCGTAGTGGTTGCGTAGTGTTGTTGCGTGCGTTGCGTGCGTTGCGTTGTTGCGTTGTTGCGTTGTTGCGTTGTTGCGTGCTTGTTCTTGTGCTTGTAAACAGAGCAAAGAGCATTGTACGATACGATAGTTCGTACGATACTGCAAGCACTTTTGTGATGCAAATAATGCACAATAAAGCACAAAAACGAGGATCCGGCTGAATTTGACCGCGAGAAACAGACCTATCTCACTGTCCACTCACACCAACTTGTTTCTCCTCTGTTTTCTTTTTCTTTTTTTTCTTCTCTCTTTACCCTTCTTTTTCCCCCTTTTCTCTTCTTTTGCCCTTCCTTATATCTCTTCTTTTTCTCTTCTTTTTCTCTTCTTTTTCTCTTCTTTTTCTCTTCTTTATCTCTTCTTTATCTCTTCATTTTCTCTTCTTTATCTCCTCTTTTCCCGTCTTTTTCTCTTATTCTTTTTCTTTTTCTTTCTCTTATTCTTTCTCTTATTCTTTCTCCTCTTTGCCTTTCCCTTTTCTTTTACCTTATCATCTACAAGTAACTTGTTAAGTTTGATCGCTGCGGGAAGGCACTGAAACGGTGTGAATATCCGAACCAAAAAGCTAAAGCCCTGTCAGGGGTGATGCATGGAACCAGAGGGCCCACGCCGGAGGTGATTTGGTGACGCGGCGACGAGGTCGGGAATCCGGTGACGCGGCAACGAGCCCGTGGGTCTGGACCGTCCCAGAATCCCCATTTGCTCCGGTCCCAGAAAACCTCAATGGCTACCTCCACCGACCACTCATCCGCCTAGCGAAAACAAGGCTGAAACAGAGTCCGAAACTGGTTCGTCTCGGACCTCGCTCCCGTGGATAAGGTGCGTTTGTCATGTAGCGGGTCCCCCGACCGAGACATGAGTCTGATCCCGCCCGCCGTGACCAACTTGCCCTCCCCCCCATGAAGCGTTTTTTCCACCGCCACCAGGCGTCCCAGAGCCCGCCCATGCCTCTGTGCGACTCCCACAGGTTTGACAGCCACGACCAGTCGGCGTGGATCTCGCTGGGCAACGGCGAGAACCCCGACCCGGTCCCTCAGCTGCCCGAGGTGCCCGAGCTAGCGCCCATCCGCTTCTCCAGAATGAACTTCGAGGTGTACTCGGGATGGAAGCCCGACAAACAGGTGATTGACGAGCGGGCCGACCCGCACGAGACCGACTCACACGAGACCGACTACACCGCTGACCGAGACCACCATAGACACAAGTCGCTGCGATCGCTACAGTCCCTGGACAGCCTGGGGTCGTCAAGCGATTCGCTGTCGCTGCCGTCGTTGCCATCATTCGCCTCCACCATCTCCGACTCGTCGTTACTGGGCATCTGTGATCTCGACTCTCACAGTCTCGACAGTCCCCAGAGCCACCAAACCCATGTTTCGAATGATACCCTGGTCCAAACCCCCAGCAACAGTCACAACTACACAAACCACTCCACCAGCAGCTTGAGCCATCTCGGAGACTCGCAAAAGAGCCCCGCCGCTCTTCCAAGCGCCCACTCCCTGCGGAAAACCAAATCAACGTCGTTCGACCACTCCTCCCTCCAGCCCTGGGAACTGTCGGAGGATGAGTACAACGCCTACAAAATGAACGCGCTGAAGCAGATCAAAAACCGCCGGCGTCAGGAGGGCAAGCTGCCAACCACCAAAAAACACAAACATAGACCGCCCCGAATCCTTGTTCCCCAGTCACCCCCCAAGCTGCAGCTCATTTCGCCCCTGACCCCGACTTTGGCCTCAGCTCCTCCATCCCAGCCCCCGCCCAAGCTCCCTCTGCCCTCTCTTGCAGCTTACACCCGCATGCAAAGCAGCCAGACGGGGGGATGTGCAGTACGAGTAGATGCACCAAACACCACCCATCGCAACGCTTCCTCTTGCACAGACCTTACTGATCAGGCTGACAACACCTTCGACACCTCTGTCGACTTTCAGGACACAAGCACGTTCTTCACAACCTCGTCTTCACCCGCCTCCGCATCTCCTCCCACATCACCTCTCTCCGCATCCACAGCGTCCATGAGGGGTCTACAAAAGACGACCACGGGCGAAAAGGCGTCGTCGGAGGACAAAAAAGACCGGCGATTAATCAGCAGACCCATGAAGGCGTTCCGCGCCGCCTGGGACGGAAAACCCGATACGGAGGTGGGTTCTACGGATTCGGCAGGTCCAGACAACAACCCTCGGCTAAAAGAGGTGGATTCGCCTATTATGCCGCGCAGGGAAGCTGACCCTAGCCCTGATAAAACCCCACCACCAGACCCTAGCCCTGTTGCCCCTGGCAACCCCGACATGGCGGCTACCAACTGTGACATTTTCGACACCTCCCCTAACCCACCCCCTAGCCAAACCCTATTACCCCAAACCGCAGTAGCTTCAGAACAGCCTCGTGTAGGTGGTAATAATAGGAGTGAAGCCGAGCTCGACGCGACCCCGACTTCTGACGCTCACCACTCGACTTGTGACGACCCTATTTCCAACGAACCGTTCCGCGATATCCTAGAGGACACGCATTCCTCCGATTTCTCCGACGACAACGACTGTGACAACAGCAGCGACATCCAAGACACTGACGCAACCGGTCAAGACATGAACGGGCATCCTCGACGCGTGTCTTCTCTCTCTAGCACGACTTCGATGAGGTCTCTGGACAAGTCGCGTGACAAGCCGACCAAAGATTCGCGCGAGTTGCACCAGTTGTCTTCTATTACCAAGGGACTAGTCAAGAATTCGCCCTTTTTCGATCTAGATGAGGTGAGTATTAGTGGGCTTATGAGAATGGGTATTGTGCTATAGGTACTTGTACCGGTTGATTACAAGTACTCTTAGAAGTACTCGCGCTCGCACTGTACGTCGTGCGATGATAGGGGCTGGAAGAGGGGAATGGTTAGGTGGCATTTTCTTTTGACGTCTTTTCACGTTTGACGATCTTGAGCCACCTTTTTCTCGCCTCCTCTATTGCTCCTATTATTATTTTGCCGTTTTGCGGTGTTACTATTTTGCCGGTTGCCGTTTTACACTATCGCAATTTGCTTTTATTTTATCGCATAATTGTGGAGGGGAAAATTCAGGGGTAAACTGCCGGATTGCAGGGGACAACAATAGTACAGTGCTAACTCAGAACCGAGCGAAAAGCGGTCCTCGTGCTAGCGTGCCAACCAAGGGGCTCAAGGCAAAAGTTGGCGACCAACATAGCGGCAGCAACAGAAATAGCAGAGGTGACGGCGACACCGATTCCAACAGCACCACCAGTGATACGACCAACGTGGAACGCGACATTAGCAGCGCCGGCACAAACAAGGACACAAACAACACCGGCAAGTCTGGTAACTCAACCAACGACACAAACAACAAGATTGACCCCACCAACTCCTCCTCCACCTCCACTTCCACTTCCACAATCAAGCTCGTCCAACCCATGCACGACCCCTCGCTGCAACAACGAGGCAGCAGTTTGAGAGCCGGTGCCGGGAGGTCGCATCCGGACTCGTCGACGGACTCGGTGGACTCGTTCAAGAGTACTAAGGAGATTCCACGCGAGTTTGCGCCCGACAGCCCGCCGTCCACGTCGCAGATTTCGACGCCCAAAAAGGAGTCGACCAACCATCTCAGCAGCAGCGTCTTTGGCAGCGCAACGAGAGAGCCGAAGGACGACCCGGATCAGGAGGACTTTTCGTTTGTCGACCACAGCGACTCGGTAAAGCGGTCGGGACACAAGCCGTGGGACAAGGACGACCCGCGGGTGCGACGGAGTATTCTCGCCGAGTTTGAAAGCGATCTCAATGACCTGTTGTTGTTGAGCAAAAAATCTCCTGACGGCGAAGACATGCACGATTTGGAGTTCGATCCAGAGGCAGAACCGGATGCGAATGCAGAGGCAGCTGAGGACAGAGACACTCACACCGCAACACGCGACACACCCTCCCATGACACAATCATTCCCGTGGCGCCTCCTGGTACTGCCTCTTCTGCATCTACGTCGACCACTACTGCCTCAACTTCGACTTCACCTACACCCATCACAATTCCCACCACTGCTGATGTCTCAGAACACGCCTTGGGATCCGTAACCACGGGTATCCACCCCACATCGGTCTCACCTAATACAGCAACTACGTCGCCAACGTCACCAACGTACATGGATGCTCCTCCTCCCCCACCGGCAGATCCCATGCCCACCACCCCTGGAGAGGCTCTTGACGCGGAGACATTGTCACGTGGTAAGAAGGCGCCCTCCATCGCGTCAACCAGCACGACAAACACAAGCGCAAGCACGCCACTCTCGCTCAACGCCAACAAGCGGGGTCTGCGATCGGTATCATCGTCAGCGTCTCTCAAGCTGCGGACGTCTATCTTCCCGTTCAAAGGCCCTGCCTCTGCAGGTGTAGCCACGACGCCCGAAACGGCCTCCATGACCGGCAGCATGTACTCTTCCAACACCAGTATGTACTCGTCGGGCAGCACTCTTGTGCGCGACAGTCCGGCGGTGATCATGGCCAAGACCCGCATGCGAACGTCTCTCAAGTCGTTCCCCATCTTGTACTACGCCGTGACGCTCTCTGGACCCGTCAACGTCAAATACAACATTGAGGGCGCCACTCCCTCGGGCCAGTATGGCATCTTGTCGCTCCCCACAGCCCCCCATCCATGGGAAAAGCCACCGGAGGACCTGGCTCTCCGAGGAGTGTGGTTCCTGCGTCTTGTGGTGGACTCAGGCACCAACACAGCCGGTGGCTTTCTCACCGACAAACTGTTTGTGCCACGGGACGTGTGGTCGCTGTCGACGTCAATGTCCGCCAAGGTCCTCGACAAGCGACTCTACATCACCGACGAGTACTGCCGGGCCATTTGCGAGTTCATGGCGTTTGCCGACTCATCTAGAACGGGCGTCAAGGGCCAGAGTTCGTCGGCGCAGTCGATCGACGATGCCCTGGAGCGACTGGATGCTCGAATTGACAACCTCTCGCGACACCAATATGTGCTGAAGGCCGACGGTGATCTAATTATTGATTTGGGGGCCAACTCGCCTGATTCCGACGACACTCTAACCCCTCTAGCGTCGTCAGTTCCTTCTGAGTCGGCCCTGCACCCCGTAATGTCGCATCCCACCCCATCCACGACCCCAATGACGTCTAACAACCGTCGGTCGTCGGATATCGGGCTGCTTGCCAACCACATTTTTTCCAAGAAGGAGGAGAAGCCCAAGGAGGACAAGGACAACTCGTCGTCCAAGCTGTTCAAGCGGTTCCAGCGCAAGATCAGCCTGGCCAATAACCACAGCAACGAGAACCTGTCGATTTCGACGGATAAAAGCTCCAACGGAAGAGCCGAGGCCCCTCCGCGCACTCCTATCGATCCTCATCATGATTATGGTGCTCGGTACTTCAACGCCATTTCGGCCTTGTATTCGGATATGGAGGCGTTGGCTCACTATCGATTTTTGCTGCAGAATGAAGCTCGAGACTCGCAGGCTGCCAAGGGATACTCTCAGGCTGTTATTGTTGAGGCCATTGACTCGTGTTTTGCTTTTTCGAACACCATCTGTCGCATTATTCTGCAGGACGTTTTGGCCATGTTGGAGGTGTATTTGGAAGGGGGCAAGGCGGTCTTGTCTGATTAGCCATGAATGGAGGACAGCAGGTTGCGTGACTAACACGAGAGCGCCGTTGGAGGCGTATAGAGGACATTATTTATAAGTAATAAGGGCAGTCAATGTGTGCATTGGCTGGTTGTATTTTTATGAGAGACTAACGAGCATTACTTGGTATTTTAGAGGTTAGTTTGATAGTATTGTTGACGATTTGTGTTAAAAAAGCAAAACTTCAAGTACTGTACAGAGCTTGAACAATATTGCTACAAACTGCATCGCAAAGAGAGGTGTTAGGCATTTTGGCGGAAACAATGATTATAAACATTTAATTGAGATATATTTTGGAAGAAGAAACGATTAGTAACGTTTACTTTATTGGAAGCTGTTAATAGACAATCATTACGTCCTTCTCTGGGATTCCATCTCGGTTAGTTTTGGAGATGCACATGAGACGTAACCTCCTGAATGGAGGCACAAGTACAAGTGTTTGAGATCAAAGATTCGACGATCATCGGTTTAGAAATAGATTTACGCTTGTTTCTGGATGGTGGACAAGTACAACCACGTTCTTTGTCGCTCAATTGACGAGATGAAGTACTGAGGTTTTTCTGGAAAATCCGTACTGTACTGTATCTACGGTGTAGTTGGAGTATGGACCTGGACTTGTAGATTCTACACCGGTTGCTGTTGAGAGAGAGAATATGAGATCACAATCCAACAAAGAAACATGTGATGACTGCGCCACTGCCTTTTGCGGCGTATAAACCGTTCTTTCCGACAATGTAACGTGGTTTAATCTTCTCCATAGATCGACGTTGAGTGCCAAAAGTGACGATCATGGGAGTCTTGGTGTATGGTTTTGGTGTTATGGGCGAGAATAGGTGGTTTCCAGTGAAACGGCGGGAGGAGGGGTGCATATGAGACGAGATAAGTCCATTTTGGTGCTGAGAAAATCGTTTTTTTGTGTTTGTATAGCGACATTTGCTGCTCTTGAAGCCCCCACTTTGCCCACCCTGTTCTGGAGTCAATTCTGAACGGTGTCTAAAAATAAGACTGACGTCACACCCTTTTTTTTCACTATTTTTCAGCTTATTTCTGAACTCAAAACTCCCCGGAACTGGGTGCGTTTGTAGAGGGAAAGGGCGGATCCAGGGCTCCGGGGCCGGCTAAAAGGGGGAAAAACGGACTATTTTTGCGAGAATATCGGTTCACAGCAACTATTGCCAGTTTTTCTCCTAACATTCACGCTGCTGTGGGTGCTGCGGGGTGTGCCTGAAATCATCCCTCCATACATGGCAAATGCAGGCCCGATGCTACCCTCAGAGTTCGAGATGTATCTTCAGAGTTTGGCCAGTGTTCTATTTTGAGCACACAAGTCGTGGATGGAGGACCGTTGAATGACGTAGATTGTGCCAAACAACAATATATAAAGCTCTGTGATGTCCCACAATCAAGCTTTACACAACACCCACCTCTACAACACACACACACACACACACACTCACAATGCAGTTCAAGACTCTCTCCATCCTCACCGCTGCCACCGCCGCTCTTTCCGCTCCCATTGAGGCCCGAGACGCCCAGCAGTACTCTCTTCAGGCCTCCATTGGCCCCGGTGCTACTGGCCTCAAGCCTCTCCAGCTCCACGGCAACAACATTGTCTACGGTCTGACCCAGGGCTACTCCGACTTCCGAGCCGAGGACGATGGCGATATCATCAAGCTGTTTGCCGCGGGCTACCCCGGACTCTCTCTCGACGTTGCCCAGGACGGTGAGCTCACCTTCAAGTCCCCCCCCGAGCCCAAGGAAGGCTTCACCTTCAAGGGTGACGGCAACGTCCAGGACCTTGAGTTCAACGGCTCCCAGGAGTTTTACTCTTGTGCCGACAAGATCCTCGGTCCTCTCCATCCCCAGGTTGTCTATGTCAAGACTGGCGACAAGTACGAGTGCGAGAACCCCGTCAAGTTCACCATTGCTGCCACCAAGCAGTAGCCTGGTTATTTATTAATGATATTGTTTGAATTGTAAGATGATGTACAACCAGTTGTAAGGGGACTGAGCAGAAAGAGGATAATGTGGAAACGAGTCGCCAAGGGGACTTTCTTCCACCGCCTGCTTAACGTAAGTAAGACGTGAAAGAAGTTACCATTTTGCGATTAGGACCCTTTCATGTCGTGTAATTGTTTTATTTAATCGATAGGGTGGTCTTTTGATTGTTACCAGCACTTTTCACAAACGCAGAAGAGAAGTTCAAACGGTTCCATACTGTTCGTTTTTGTTCCAAAAAGGGGGTCAAAACATTATAGATTTAGTTGAGAACATACTTGACAAATAATGTTCCAGAACTACAAAAAGGGAAACAATGGTCCTAATAAGAACACGAATAAAACTGCTAGGTGAGAGAAGACACTATGAACACGAACCAAACTTTTTGGTGAGAAATATCACCATAGATGATCCAGTTCTCATTTTTTTGAGCGTTCTCGCTGAGATTAATGGGTGGCTAAAGTTCAAACTAAACGTCAAGTAATCATAGTTAAAACTTACAGTGAAAAATGAGTGCAAGAAACCAATGAGATATCACATTGCGGACTTGCTGACAATAACTAAACATAACCACAGTATTCCCAGACTCGGGTTTTCTCCTGACACGTGGTCAACGTTCTCATTTTTCCGCCTCACGTGACTTTTACAACCATAGATAGTCCCAGCAGATTTTTAGGCCCGTGATTGCGGCCATTTCCTGGTGAAAATACGGCTTCCCGTCCGATCAGCCATAGTCAAGCACCAGAGAGCCCAGTTAGTATTGTAGTGGGAGACCATACGAGAATCCTAGGTGCTGCAATCTTTTTGCAGTCCAGCCCATGAGCGTAGCGACTGGGCTGTGTTTTTGTGCTATTTTTCTGCATAATTAATTAATTTGGTTTGGTGTAAAATTTAGTGAATTTAGTGAGAATTAGATAGAAGCTCTCCTAAAAGGCGGCGTTATCCAGTGGAATATACTACTAGTAGAGAGTATATCCAGGTGACTACAGTAACAGTTTATATTTATTTCAAACAGACATTTATATTACTATACGCATTGTTTGTTTTTTTTTTTTTTTTTTTTTTTTTTTTTTTTTTTTTTTTTTTTTTTTCCGATTTTTTTTCAAAACTTAACCCCCATTTATAAAAAAAAAAAAAAAAAACCCTGTAAAAAAAAAAAAACCATTTTCAACCCCCCCAATTAACTGTCAATCAATCAATTTTTTGGCCATTAAACCCCCTCCCCCCCCCCCGCCCCGGCCTTTTCCTCCTCCTCCTCCTCAAGGGGACCCCCCCCCTCCGGGGAATTTTCCTCCTCCTCCCCCATAAAAACCCCCAAAAAACCCCCCCCCAAAAAATCCCCCCCCGTCCCCCCCGTTTCGTCGTCGTCTACGAGCTCGTTGGGCCCAAAAACCGGGTTGGGTTTAAAGGAAAAGGCCTTCAGCCTGGGGTTGGGGGGGGGCCCGGGCCGGGGGGGGGGGCCGGGCGGGGGAGGGGTTTTGGGGGGATGGGGAAAGGAAAAAAAACCCCATAGTTGTAGTGGGGGGGGGTGGGAGTGGAAGTTGTCCCCCGGGGGTTGGTTCCCGGGAAGGAGGTTTTCAGGCCGGGTTTTTTTTCATCCCCGCATAAGGGGGGGAAACTGGGTTCTTTAAGCCCCCGGGTTGGGCCCCAATTTCCGCCCCAATTTTCATAAAAGGGGGGGTTCCCCCCCCCCTGGGGGCTTTGGACCCCCCTTTAGCCCGCCGGGAACCCCCTTGGGCCCCCCTGGGGGCCTTTGGAAAAGGGGGTTAACAAAAGGGGCTGGGGTTCCGGGGGGGGGTTCCAAAATCCCCCCGTGGGCCCCCCCCGCGGGGGGTTCCCCCAAAACGGGGGTTGGGGTTTTTTTTTTGGGGGGGCCCCCTCGAGGGGGTTCCCGGCCTTTTTGTTACCCCCCCAAAAACTTTCCCCCAAAAAAGGGGGGCCCTTTTTTTTTAAAGGGGGGGGTTGGGGGGGGGTGTGGTTTTTCGCGGGGGGGGCAAAAAAAAAAGGGGCCGCCCCCCTATAAAAAGGGGGGGCGGGTGGTGGGGGGCCCCCAAAAACCAAACAAAAAACCCCCCCCCCCCAAAAAAAAAAAAAAGGGGGGGGTGTGGGTTGGGGGAAGAAAAAAAAAAAAAACACCCCCCCCACCCC